GAGGAACGCGAAAACGGGACAGATCCTAGACGACTATAAGGGGTACCCGGCGTTTACGGCAAAACATCTTGCAGGGCTACTAGACTACGGACCTTGGGATTACGAGATTAAACTTAAGGAAGGTGCCTAGTTGAAGTTTTTCAAGGTATATTATACCAACGAGAAGTAAGATGTAGAGTTGAGGAGCTATCTCGAAAAGAACCTCGAGATAGGATATATTAGACTATCGACATCTCTAGCGGGCTACTTAGTCCTCTTTGTTCTAAAGAAGGATGGGAAGCTTAGGATGTGTGTGGACTACCGATAGTTGAATAACGAGACGGTGAAGAACCGCTACCTACTGCCACTGATTTCGAGGCTTCGAGATTAGCTGTTAGGAGTACAACACTTTATACGACTCGACCTTCCAATAGTATACGCCTATATCTGTATTAAAGAAGGAGACGAATGGAAGACGGCTTTTCGGATACCCTACGGGCACTACGAGTACCTCGTTATGCCATTCGGGTTGACCAACGTACCAGCGACGTTTTAAGCTGCTATCGACTACACAATTCGACATTGCTTCGACAAATTTGCAGTTTGTTATTTGGATGATATTCTTATCTACTCTAAGATACTCGAAGAGTACAAGAAATACGTGCGGTAGGTGCTGGACGTACTGTACGAGTATAAATTGTCAGTCAATAAGGATAAGAGCGAGTTTTATGTTAAGAAGATAGTGTTTCTGGGTTACGAAATCTCCCTGGGATGGGTTAAGATCGAACCTGAGAAACTGGAAGCTGTTAAGATGTGGCCGATACTGACGAACGCTACGGAGGTTAGAGGATTCATCGGATTCGCTAACTTCGTCAGAATGTTCATTAAGAATTTCGGTGACTTCGTGAGACCTTTGTACGAACTTACTAAGAAGGATGCTACATTCCAATGGAGGTGGGAGTACGAGTAGGCTTTCTAGCGGATCCGCGATGCGATTATCGCTGACCTGGTGCTTATGTTGTCCGATCTAAGTACGTTTTTCGAAGTTGAGGCTGATGCTTCGGACTTTGCGATTGGAGGACAACTTGGATAGAGGGATAAGGACGGTAAGCTTCATTTAGTTGCGTTCTTCTCTAAGAAACCCGAAGGACCAAGGCTCAATTACCCGATCTACGACAAGGAGCTTTTTGTAATTATTGAAGTATTTTAGGAATGGAGACTATACCTTAGCGGTATGATATACGAAGTTTAGGTGTATACGGACTATAAGAACTTACGATACTTTACTACTACGAAGGTGCTGAACGGACGACAAACTCGGTGGGCAGAATTTCTGTCCGAATTTAACTTTACGATCTACTATAAGAAAGGCTTAGAAAACGTACGAGCGGATGCCTTGAGTAGGAGAACGGATTACTACGATAATGTGTCTGAAGCCTTACTACTATTGCTATATCAATAGATAGACGGATCGCTACGGTATGCTTCCTAACCGACTGAAGACTATGAGATTGTAGTACTTCAGTAATAGTTGGAAGATCCCGAAGCTAGGCCTCTGCAACTGTTTGTAGAATGCTGTGCGGCCTTTAGAGAATAGAGATTGGAACGAGACTTCCAGGGAATTATCGCGGACGATAAGCGCGATGTATGGTAGGAAGAGCCAGAATCTAAGATCGTAGGGTTGCAACTTAAAGGGATGAGACTCTAGTACTACAATAAGGCCTACGTTAGGCTTGGTGACCAAAAGGAGCTTATTCGAAAGATCTACGAGTCAAGACTCGGAGGATATATGGGAATTGGTAAGATAATTGCGAAAGTTAAGCAGAACTACGATTTCCTAGGAATTAAGTAGATGGTAGAAGGGGTTCTGGCGGAATGCGACCTCTGCAAATGAAGTAAACCAGGACGATATAAGCCGTACGGGCTATTGCAGTTACTGCTAGTTGTAGAACGACTATGGAGTTCGGTGATGATGGACTTTATTACTAAACTGCTAGTCTCTAAGGATTTGGTAACGGGAGTGGAATACGATAGTATCCTTACAATGGTGGATAGACTTACTAAGTGGAGCTACTTCCTCCCTTATAAGGAAATATGGTTGGTAGAATAACTTGTAGATGTGATCTACTGTAATATTACTTCGGTTTACGGATGGCCGGAGGAGTGGATTACGGATAGAGATATGAAGTTCGTATTAAAGTTTTGGCAAGCTCTGATAGCGAAACTGGGTACGAAGAGTAAGCTTTTAACTGCTTACTACCTATAGATAGACGGATAGACGGAACGACTTAACTAGATTGTTGAATAATACCTACGGTTGTACGTTAACTTCCAGTAGGATGATTGGGCTGAGCTGTTGCTAACGGTACAACTCGCCTACAATATCACCGTTACGGAGACTACGAAGGTTATACTATTCTTCGCGAATTTCGGCTACGAAGCAGATTTGTGATAAGGGCCTGAGGTTTCGGTGCCTAGAGCGGCAGTCAAAGCCGACAAAATGAGCTCGCTATATGCGATGCTTAAGGAAGAACTCGAATTTATACAAATACGGATGAAGAAGTTCTACGATAGAAATAGGCTCGAGGGACCTCGCCTAGAGGAGGGGGGCAAAGTCTACCTCATTTCTCGAAATCTTCGTACGAAGCGACCAAGTAGGAAGCTCGACTTTCGTAAAGTCGGACCGTTTAAGATCGACAAAAAGATTTCGGAGAACAATTACGCTCTCGCGTTACTCTCGACAATGCGACTACGGACTAACGTTTTCCATATCTTACTTCTAGAACCAGTGCCTAAGGGCGTACGACTCGACAAAGACGCCGAGGCAGAAGATGAAGAGGAGGAATGGGATGTTGAGGAAGTCCTAGACTTACGTATTACGAAAGGATAGTTGGAGTATTTGGTTAAGTGGCTGGACTTTGGTCCAGAAGACAATTTATGGCAACTAGCTATAAATCTCAACTGCCCCGAGAAACTTTAGGAGTTCTACCAGAGGAACCTGGATCGATTAAGGGAAATTCTGCGGAAAAATCGATTCTAGTAAGGGGATTCCCTAGGGACCAGTCGAACCCCGCGGAGGGGTCGGCGGAGGAATTAAGATCGCCCTTAACCAAAGGTGTTCCTGCTGTATTAAGAGACTCTTGTCTCTCGGCTGCTTTAAGGTTATCCAGAGTTGATAAACTACGAGCTACTATATCAATACTACGGTCTACTAGGAATTTCTTCTGTTGACGTAGGCGATGTAAACGGGCTAGGTGTTCCGTAAGAGCTCGCTGGTCTTCCTCCAATTTCCGCTGAGTTGCTTTGAGGGACTTTTCGGTGTCCTGTTTCTCGCGCTCGATCCGCCGCTGCTCCTGTATAATACGATCTACTGGGGACGTTGGAGTGAGCTAGGGACGTGATGGGTAGGGGGAGACTTACGTTGGGAGATGGGGATACCAGAGCCATCGCACGATCGACCGCGTTGAACGCACGCACTACAGCGTTTTACTTTCGGAAGCATACGGTACGTTAAGCTCTGGGAAGCGCACCAAGAACAAGGTATGACGACAAAACCGTTCTTTCCGATGTTTTCGGCCAGGGAAGTACGATAATGCGCAGATTTGGATCGATGTTTCTCTACGGATATGTTGTTAGCATCAAGAACTGAGGGAAGAGGATGGAAAGGAGAAGTTACTAATAAGTGGGGGAAGCGCCGTAGTTAGGGATTATTAACTAACGTTAGGAATGGAGAACCAACGTCTTTCGGGTCGAAAGACATGAGAGGGGGGGCATCGTGTCACGGAACGATCTGAGGGGCGGCCCGGGGCGGCTACAGCCGAAGGCGCAGGACGCCGACAGTTAATCGCTAAAAGAACCAATAGGAACGGTTATTACCGACTGTTAGTGATAATGAAAGATTATCACCAGTTGTTAGTGATAACGGAGGATTATCACTATGAGGACGGTGATACTAGATAGTATATAGTTACTCGTTCTGGAGAGCTCTGGGAGTTCTCCAGTTAGCAATCACAACTACAGTTCGCTATAAGCTCGAGAGCCTACTGTTGAGATAAGTCTTTGTTGTGTACCCTTTGGCTGTACCGAACCTAAGTACCTTTGAGAGAATACCTTCGACCGATACTGAACCCTAACAGGACGGGTCCAGAGACAGGTTCGTCACAATATAATGTAAAGAATAAGCGATTATAGTTTTAGTATACAGTACATTTTTTATTCTATATATAGGTGGCTGTATAATGTAGCTGGGTAGAAATAAGAACGAGGTGAAATTATAGTATATAAGGATGTAAGGTAGTGTTATGTAAGAAACCGCCAGACGAAAAGCTGCAGAGGGGGGTAAAGTGGGAATATATGGTGTGAATGTAAATGCTGCAAAAGCTGGGTAAGCTGGTTATGTTACTGTGGCGGCTATCGTCTTCCGTACTCCGGCTCTCAATGCCGAATTCATCCCGACACCGGTCGGCGTCCGGCCCGTCCTAGCAGGAAGAAGGAGAGCAGAACAAAGACTCATCAAGGGCCCAACGAGACGGGGCTTGCAACGAGACCCAAGAAAGCTCTTCGAAGTTCACCATGCCTGGCCCGTGAAAGAATTGGAACCCAACAACCTTGGAAACCATTCGAAGTCGCGACATCGGTTCTTGGCATTCCTCTCAAGAGCGAGAAAACTCCCCACAAGCAAAATTGGCATGTTTTTAACTAACGGCAGGGAGAGACCCTGATGGTATCCTTCGAGAAGTTTTTTCTTCCTTCCCCATCTGGAGGAGGGGCCTCAACGATGGCCTCACCGCTTCGGTCTTGACCTGCTCGAGCCGAACCTCGAGCAACTCCTCGGCAAGGCCTTGATCCGTGGTCAACGTCCGTGTTCAGCGGGAGTCGTCAAGACGACACGAAGTAGAAAAGAAAATAAAAAGAGACAGGAGCAAAAGATCGACCAGAAATTCTCGGCTACGGCAAAGGATAAATGCATTTCCCATCGCGAATCGTAATTCCAAATCGCCTTACCGCGGCTTTACAACGTCTCATGATCGCCGGCCTTGCTCCGGGCGGATACACCGGCCATGCGTTTCATCGACGACGGCCGCCCCAGTTCCCTATGGAAATTCCCAGTAGAATTTCAAATCACACCCTTCTAGAAGCCAACGCGGCGGGATTAAGACATGGGAATATAGGTGAGGTAAATCTAGACCGTCCTATGCCTGTATCGTTTTAGTACACAAACAACGCCGGGCTCACAATGAGTTCACGTTCCCAAGGTGAACTTTCACTCCATATAAGGTAAACCGCTTATCAATTCATAGTACACAGTAGCTTCATGATTGATCATAGTATATACGATTCTTACAACAGAAAAGACAGACGTGGTATTTTGCTCGTGCCGTATCATGCGCCAGCCCCTGAAAGCACCGTTGCCCCATCCCAAGTAAACAAATGTAACACACACAAAGAAAGCCTCAAACCCTATTGTAAGTTGTTGATGAACGAGAGGAAGAAAAAAAAGACAAAAAAAAAGAGAATACACATCCATTACCCAACCCTAAAACGGCCTCCCACTCCCCTCCCACCCCCTCGAAGTCGGCGTCGTCCCCTTCGGCGTAACCACCCCAAACCGCCGGTCCAAATACCTCGACACGCGGTCATCATCCCCATAGACATCGTCATCATCATCATCACTACCTCTCCCGAGAATCCCCTGCTCGGGGTAAATGCTCTCGCTGTAGTACCGCTCCGGCGCCGCCGCCCTCCGCGTCCCACTGCCGCTAGTATTCGGCCGCGCCGCCGGCACCAGCGTCGCGCCCACCGTGATGGTCTCCATCGACGGTCGCGGCCGGGCGCTAGGCGTTTTGGGTGTCCTAGGCGTCCTCGGCGTCCTCGGGGTGCGGGGTGTCCTAGGCCGGCTCTCCGCTACCGCCGCGGGCGGGAGCGGCGGCAGCGGCAGCACGGGCGGCGCTCCGCTCTTGTTGTTGTTGTTGTTGTTGTTGTTGTTGTTAGCGGCCCCCCTCCTCCCACCGGTGTAACTGCCCGCGCCGGCGACGGCGATGTCCTTGACGATGCCGTCGATCTCGCGCTGGATGTCGCTGACGCGCACGAGGCCGTTGCTGGTCATGGCCTGCTCTTCGCTCGACCGCGGCGAGGCGCTGCGCAGGGATGCGAGCCCGTCGTGGTCCGTCCGGATCCGGATGATGGTCGGCCGGGGCTTGGTTTTGCTGGTCTTGGTCTTCCGGCTGCTGCTGCCCTTGCGTCCGCCGCGCGACCCGCCCCGGCCGAATTTGCGCGCCGTTGCGCTGTTGTTGTTGGTTATGATGGGGGAGGTTTCGCGGTCCCAGCCGATGGACTTTTGGCCCATTTCGAGGTCGGGGTAGGAGTTGGTGGCTGTGGTTGGGGTTTTGTTGTTGTAGTTGTCAAGGGCCGCACCGCGGGTTGTGGCCATGACGCTGCGTGCGAACCAGCCGCCGCGGTCGCGCGAGCGAAAGATGGGGCGGAGGGCGGGGGCCGAGGCGGTGATAATGGCAAGATTGGTCTCTACGGCCGACGTTACGAAGCCCACGTTGTGGGAGGCTGCGTTGGGGAAGATGGAGACGCTGAAGAGGCCCTGGACGAGGAGGACTAGGCGGATGATGGACGTAATTGTCACGCTGTGGCATGCATGGTGAGTGGGGGGGCTTGGACAGGAGGTAGTGAGCGTTCGGGGGGGCTAACGTACAGAAATCCCAGGAGAAAGACGATATGGAGCGCGATTTTGGTGCGTTTGGGAATCCGCAGTGACGAGAAAATCCACAGCGGTAGTCCGAGGATTAGAATGTCTGTCAAGATGTTGAAGGCGGCGGTCGAGATGTATAACACTCGGCGGTCGACGCAGTAACCACCTTGAACGGTTGGGTCCCAGTTGAACGAGACGGGTGTGCATTGTAAAATGATGGCAAAGAAGACGCCAACCATCTGGGAAATATTGGCAACGTTGAGCCAGAGAAGGAACCGCCGCACCCAGTCTTTCTGGCCGAATAAACGAGAGAGGAAGATCAAAACGGAAGACTTGACCAACGCAAGGATAGGGTTGTACAGGATTTGAACAGCGTACGACCATACCAAGCCTTGGGTTGGATCATGGGGTGGCACCCTCTCCGGAGGTATGCCGACGAAGTTGGTCTTGATGACTATTACCGGTGTTAGTTATCATACCCAATGGTGCTAATGGTGGTCAGACGTACAGAAGAAGCTGAGAACCGTCTCAGTTATAGACAGAAGCATGGCTATGCAAACAAGCCAGTCCTCCACGGCCAGCCGGCTTGCCACCACCCGGCCTGCTACCCGGGCAGAGACCACAAGGAGTGCCAAGGCAGGGAAGAAGAAATTGATAAAGAGTGCAAAGATTTGGAGCCCCGATGCCGCCGGGGACGTTGGCAGGGCTAACAGCGAGGAGGCGTCCATGGTGCGACGCAGTGGTTGTGCTATGTCATTACAAAGGGCTGGATATATGGTGTAGAGAAAACCTCCATCAGGAGCAACGGCAAACGTCTAAAGAATGTAACGAAGGGGACAATCGATAAGAGGACTCTCGAGAGTAGATACTAAGAACCCGTGGGCATATCCATCAAGATATAGCAGACAGCCGACTCAAGATCTGAGACGAAGGCGGGATACTGCCGGTGGCGAACGGCTACATCATGAGATGGTTCCGGGCAACACCATCAGACACACTCCCTTGAAGCCCGCGCTGGCGTTGGTCGAGGCTGGATGGGCCGTCATGATGGACGTTGCATGTCGATCTGTGAGTCGTCTCGTCTCGTCTCTTGGAGCGGCTCGCATGCAAAGAGGGCCGGCCGGGTAATCTGTCTCGTGTGTCAAGATAGCTTCGGGACTAGACCTCGGGGGGGCGGCAGGTGAGGCGGGTGACGGCCGGATGGCGACCGGCATTGTATTGAGAAAACTGCCAGCTACAGCCGTCGGTTTCGAGTTCGCTAGCAAGAAGGCGGATACGCCTGGCTAAACCGTTCTTGACACAGGAAGAGGCGGCGACTCGAAGGGATTTTGAGGATCGGTGGTCTTCAAAAGGCTACTCACCCCTCGCCTCCCGGCTCCCCTCGAGACCTTTCAAATCATCCAGATTGTGGCAGCTCGTCGCTACCTGTCACCTCGGTGCGCAGGCGCTCTCTTAGATAATGCTTCCCGTGAGATACAGTTGCTTCCGAGCGGATACACCAACGGGTCGGGTAAATCAGGACAAGAATGGACGTTACCAGAAAGCAACTCGCCCAAGCGCAGGGAAGTTGAGGCATGGATACCACTAGATGGAACGAACGAGGCAAGGAACATGGTATCTAATGTTCGAGAGACATTCCAGATCATCGACAGGGAGTTCACAGCATCAGACGACGCAGAAATTGGCCTGCCATGGTAGGTGATCAAACAAACCAAAAGACTCCACTCGGCCATACCGATCTCGAGGAGGAGACAAGGACTGGGCCTCATGCGAAGAGTAGGAGTGGAGGAGATTCTCCACCTAGGATCCATGAAGTACAGCAAAATCTGGGGAAGAGTGATGGGAGCCAGGGCCTTGTTGGACTGCCGGACGGGAGTGACATGCGCACAGATGCTCGACTCTACCAAGGAATCCTACCTTGTTGATAGGAGATGGGATTTCGCGAGAAGTTAGGTCCTGAGGCTCGCCGACGGATTTCTCTTCGATAGTACGGAAAGACGATAAGCAGCAAACTGGTCTTCAATGACAACTTGGAGAGCTCGAGCCATAAGGACGGGGGCTGTCCTGGGGAGGGGCGGAGAAGGTCGTGGTTGGCCGGTGACTGTTGTGCAAAAGACGGCTTCTCAAGACGATACTTCTGCCTATAAGGCTGTTAAGCAGCTCAAACAAGCGCGGAGCCAGCCGTCCTTGGCCACCTCGTGGTCCTTGAGAGGAAATCGTTGACGCACAGACTGCACGGCATTGAGATCCCTGTTGCGGGGTTCGGCATCTGGTCGATCATAGGAGTTGGATACGACGACGATGGCCGGGGGAGATGAAAGGAAGAGAGGCAGATCTGGGGGGGAAGCAAGTCTCGGCATGTGAGCTAGATGTATTATGTAGTCTGATTGGTGTAATGGAAGTAACCTCTTCGTAAAGCGCTGTCGTCTGTTGATGTTTGGTTGTGGGTCACCTCAGGATGGTGTAAGTGAGCCGATTGGGACCAGGAGAACCTGAAACGAAGGAAGTTCATACCCGATGAAGTACTATGTGGCATTTAGCAAGGACAAGCCACCCAGAGATTGAATTCAGCTTGAAAGAAACTTACTGACACAACATCCAGTCTCCCTTGCCTCTTCCCCAGGCTGTTGTTAATGTCGGCGTGGTTGATGCCGTGGGGGCCGAACCAAAAAGGGTGTCGCTCTGGGCGACGCCGGCACAACTTGTGTCAAAACATTTAGCCAGCCCCCAGGATCCAAGACTTCGAGGATAGCGGTACAGCCCCGCCGCCACCTAAACAATGCATTGAGTCTGGAAGCCTTCGATTGCAACATCTCTTCGTTCGTCTGAAGTAGAATTTAGAGTTTGCTAGATGGCCAACAGCAAACCGTTCGCAGCTACACAGTAGACCGGACTACCCAAGATTTTCCTAGGTCCATGAATAACTATGGTCGACTGTGTTTGTTGTTGTTGTTGTCTGTCGACTGGGCGGCTCGATGCTCTGACAATCCCAGAACCTAGTTATGCATAGCTTCTGGCCCGAAGGATTGGTCGCGCAGAATTACCTGAAAATATCGTGCCAATCAACAGCCGCCATGGCCAAATCATGTTCTCTTCCCACGAGAAGGAGGCGGATTTCGTCTGACGGTCTCCGGTCAATGAATGGGATTTGGCCTTCCCAACCTGGCGTCGCATTGCAGGGTGGGCCGAATGGCTGAGCAGGGCTGAGAGCGCCGAGGAAGAGATGTCTGAGTTTGTCGTCATCACCACGTGTGGGTCCAGGGATTGAACCTCGAGAGTCACTCCACTGGCTCGGGTGATTGATTCAGCTAATTCAACGGGTAAGGCTAGGGGGGGATTCTGGAAACGACCGCTTTCTCCAATCGAGAGAATCGAAGAACTCCAGAGGGTCCAGACTTCAAGGAACTGGTAGGGAAAATGGCACAGAATGCGGGGTCAAGTTGCGATCGGAGCAGATCTGGTGGGCCCGCCTGAAACCCCGCCGCGAAGCACCCAGATCAGCTGCAAGGAACCGGCCGTTGCCCTGGAGACAACGAGGGAGGCGCGAACCAGGATTTGGTGCAACTTCCACGGCTTGGTCCTCGAAACACAAAGACCATCGGCATCCCGCACTCTGACATTTTCTTCGGCATTTTACCACCCTCCCTTCGTTTTTTGTTGCTACGGGCCGAGCTGCCACAAACGCAGAGCACCGCTCGTTCGATTTCTATGCGACTCGTCTTTTTTTTTTCCGACGACGCTTTGTTTGCTGCGGCCTCGGCAATGTGCTGACACCCCCCAGTTTCGCCTTGCGGAAAAGGGTTTGAAAACAACAAACTTTAGCTGCAGAACATAGCTGCACGTCATTCCAGTCCACGACACACCCCACCATTGACAACACATCACATCACATCACACACAGTCACAAGTGCACGGTTAGCCTAAGGATTAGCGGTGGAGCGCTAGTGCTCCTGATTTGACTTGCGCCCAACCTACCTAACCCAGATTTTGTTCCCCTCGACGGATCCGTGCCGCACACCATGGATACCAGCTATCTGGCCCAGCAGGTCAATACAATAGTTGGCCAGCTGCATGGCTTGTTCGACGAGATTGGAGTTCCCAGCCATGATCGCGACGCTCGGGAGGAGGAGGTAAGAGATGTCCCGTCGCCGGGCCGGTTCCTGCTCAGTCCTCATTACTGACGGCGTTGATTCCAGCTATTCGCCGCCCTTTCCGATGCTTTGCAAAACCAGGTCCGGCAGGTGACGGAGGAGAAAAAGGGGATGGTCGAAGAGGCACAAAAAATGATCACGACGATTCGACAAATGGAGGCCTCGCTCGACGACGGCAAGTCGCGCCGCGACTACCAAGGCAGCGATGACGGGAACTTGAAGATTACCTATCCTCTCACGAGGTGTCTCCAAGTGCTCAAGGAAAAGCACATCCAAGTCAGCCGCCTCCACCGGGAGCGTTACGAGCAAGTCAAGAGTATGCGTTTTCTCTTCCCAGGTCATAAACCCGACCAGCCAAGACTAACAATTCCCAGAGTTGGTCCAGGCCCTCGAGTCTTACTCCCTCCATCTCGAGCCTACCTTTGTCGAATTGGCTCTGCCCCCTACGGCGCCGAATCAGTCCATCCCGCCCAGCTTCGACTTGTCACCGGCCTATGTGGATAAGCTGGATGCCGAGTTTACGCGCGTGTATGAGGAGTACACTCGCCGCGTGGCAACAGTGAAAGCACTGGCCGAAAATATGATCCAGCTATGGGCGGAGCTGGGAACCCCGCAGGCGCAGACAGACGGCGCCATTGTCAAGTACTATCGCGATGCGCCCGAGCAGCTCGGCCTCCATGAAGATGACCTCACCCGTCTGCGCTCCAAGAGGGACAAGCTTCTGGAGGAGAAGAAGAACCGCGAGAGGCGCCTAAAGGACCTGAAGTGCACGGTCGAAGCCCTCTGGGAAAAGCTGGGTATTGAAGAAAGGGAACGTAAGGCGTTCCTCAACAGCAACCGTGGTTGTGGTATTCGGCAAATCAACGAGTTCGAGGACGAGCTAGCGAAGCTCAACGAGCTCAAGCGACAGAACCTCCATCTATTTGTCGAAGATGCCCGTTTCAAGCTGCAGGAGCTTTGGGATGCGCTGTATCTCTGCGAGGATGAGATGCTTGAGTTCACGCCAGCCTTCTCCGACGTCTACAGCGACGCCCTTCTCGAAGCCCATGAGCGGGAAATCTCCCGGCTCGAACTGCTGCAAGAACAGCGCGCCCCAACGCTGGCTCTTGTCAACAGACACAAGAGCCTGGTCACGGAACAAAATGAGCTAGCTTCGTCGAGCCAGGATGCCTCGCGCCTGATGATGCGAGGCCAGAAGGGAGAAAGGCGGGATCCTGGCAAACTGCTCCGGGAAGAGAAGATGAGGAAACGGATCGCCAAGGAGCTTCCGAAAGTCGCCGTGGAGCTGCGCAAGGCGTTGGAGCAGTGGGAAGACGAGTACGGCCGACCATTCATGGTGCATGGAGAACCGTATCTCGATTCACTGGGAGAGGCGGAACCGAGAGCAGCTCCAGGCCCAAGGTCGAAAACACCCGGCCCAGCCCCAACACCTTCGAGTAACACCAATGCCGGTCTGAGCCGCGCACGCAGCGTTGGTAGCGTCAGAGGAGCGCCAAAAAGCACCACCAAAACGCCGACGGCTGTGAACACGGCCAAGGCCGCGCAGCCATCACAAGGGGGGACCCTCCGAGGAATGCCAGCAAACGGTAGTCGCAGTCCAACCCGGCTTCCCGCGCGCATGCCGCTCTCCAACCTCAAACATGGCGGCAACTCACCCGAACGCCCTGAATCAAGAGCGGGTCCTGGTGGTCCCCGCCACGGCAACCTGGTAATTAGGGCGCCGCCGCCGAAGATGCGAGATCTTTTGCCGGCCCCAGAACTGGAGACGCCGGTCAACCAGTATCGGTCTGCCGGTCTGAGTGCTAGCATTGTCCGGCACGTGGAGCCTGAGGATGTCTATGACGACCGGTATTCGTACCAGGAGAGCAACAGCAGGCCAGCGTCCCGGGATTACTTCTCTTCGCGGTCAACGCAGTCTTCCTACCCCCAAGCGCCACCTGCTGTTCGGCAAATTTCTCATAACTCGAGTAGCAGCTCCAATACCTCGACTGTCATCACCGGCTCTGAGAACTGGGAGACGTATGACGACATCTCGGAACCAGAGGAGGACCTCTCAGACGACTATTTTGCCAAGCTACGCGCGGCGCGGGCTGGCGCGGCGCGGCCACCGAGTCAACTGAAGCGGCATCGCGGTCTCCCGCCCCCCCAGCCAGGACAAGTCACCGTGGACGACAACGGCAACCGGATCATTTCTGGAAGCGAGTGGACCGACGAGGACGGCTACTGACAAAGGCGCTCCCTTGTCGGTTCAGCACATGTCTAAATGATGGGTATGAGTTACGGCGCAACGACGACATGTCTTGCTTTTTGAGCAGCCATATGCGTTGATATAGCCCGCACTTCTTTTGTTGGGGTCTCGGCGAGGCGTTGGTTGATTCGCGGCCTTTGTGTTTTATATGAGATTCGACTCTTCTTCTTCGGCGTTGTCGACAACCCTCTCGGGTCCCTTTTTTCCTAATCGCGGTTTTCATTTTCTTGTCTGGCTGGCGCGGGCCGATAAAACAGCCTCCTTTGGGGTCAGCTTCTACTTGTTTCCTTAGCGCACACATGTATGTATCTGGGTTGGACTGGGAACTAGGGGCGGAGAGGCTTCCTTCTTGCATGTCTGCGGGAGGGGGCCGGCGAGCTGGGGCTGGGGCTGGGGGTTGGGGTCGAGGAGATTTGCAATGGTTGGCGTTTTACTATACCGGGTTGTGATTTAGCTTCTTGTCTATCAAGCCGAGTGCCCGGGAGGTGTGTGCCCTCCATCTCCTGGAGGGCACCGCCTGGGCACGCTGTAGATACCACTCCACACTTGATATCCTTTTGTATTTGTGTTTTATATTTCAATAACATTTGAAACAGCGATTTAGGACCTTATCATAGTAGCTTTGTGAAATGTACTGGTGATGTTGCCCATATAAACGCGTTTGTGCCCTTCCTCTGTACTCCTATATCGAAGGCGCGCGCCAAACGAGCCAACCACAGACTGCGCTCAATGCGATGAACTTCAAGGCCGCCTAACGGGCAACCCGGGCAAGGCTGGGGCGGGGTCGGGATGTTGACGCCTCGGCGTGTTTGCCATGTGCATCCTTGAGCCTCTCCCTCTTTTCGTGTCCGTTATTCTCTCTCAGTGCCTAATCCAACCGGAAAGACATATTACTATTCTTTTCAGTCTTCGTCGTGAGCATGGCTGAATTGGATCTGCAGGTCGGAAGACTCGACCTGGCCGCCCGAGCTCTGGACTTGACCACGTCGCTGCTGACGGCAACATCCACCTCCAACTTCCTCCTCAAGGGCGCCTGGGAAATCGGCCAGTGGCTCGGCCGGGAGCGGCTGAACCAGCATGAGCTCCTCGACTGCATGGAAAAGGCCAAGGGCCTCGCGTTTGCCAACAGGAACGGGCACGACTTCTTCGACAAGGTCGTCTCGGGCACCGACGCCCTCCCCGTCGGGCCCCTGTTCCTGCAGCAGTCGGGGTCGCTGGGTCGGCTCATGGCCGGCGACCCAAACCTGAACTGGATCGTGTCGACCGTGGCCGGGCTTTTCCAGCATCACGGTGATGACCGGCTCGTGGCGGCGAAGGTGACGGGGCTCATCATGGGAGTCCACCGGGCTCAGGGGCAGGGCCAGGGGCAGGGAAACGAAATCTCGGCTCCTGCCATCGACTCATCCATGTACAATTCGACGCACTCGAGGCTGAACGCCGTTGTGACGAAGATTGTCTCGAGCGTGTGGTTCAACGTCGTCAACGTCGGCTGCGACACCATCCCGCTGCCCCAGGAGCTGCTCGACCTGTGTCCGAAGGGTCATTACCTGGAGCCCGGCGACTTTGGCCTCGTCATCAGCACCATCCAGACCCGTTGCCGATCCAAGGCCGTCCTCCGCACCGACCACCTCTTGCGGGATGTCCTCCTGTGGCTCCTCTTGCACTACGATGGCACCATCATTGTCAACGCGGGCGGGCAGATCGTCTACCGCGCCGACCTCGGGAACCGTCACCGGGAGCTGGAAGTGCGCGTCTCATCCGTGTGCTCCAAAGATCCCGGCTGTGAGGCCGCCGGAATGGAGTCGTACAAGATCCTCCACGACATCTCGGGCAGCTTTGAGGAGTTCCTCTCGGGAGCTTCCTTCACGGATTACGGCGGCCTACCCCCCCGGCCGGGGGTCAGGCAGAAGCTGTACGACGTTCCCCGGCCATACCCCAACGCCAGCCCAATGTACAAAAAGGAGCTGCAGACTCTTGTAAAAACCTCTGCGCAGTCGATTCTGCGATGGCTGCTCAATGTTCCGTTGTTCGGCACGTCGTTCCCCACCGGGCGAGAATGCTCTACCCCGGGCTTCAGTGCTGCACCGAGGGGGTCGGCGGAGGAAGGGGGCATGACGGTCGCTCTGGTTCTCGAGAGGATCCCGGCCATGGTTAGCCTGCGATGGGGCGACCCGCCCGCTTCTTTAGGTATCATTAGCACCTCTTCGTACTCCCGCGGTTTGTTAGGGGTTGCCAACGACGAGACCTTATGGACGATGGAGCGCCGGTTTGATATCCTTTCCGATTTCTTCCCGGCTCTCCACCATCTGGAGCGGAAAGTGTCAGCGGATTGTTCGTGCCCGGAGTGCAATGGTAGAAGCATGCCAACTTCTCGTACTTTCCAACCTGGCTGCCTGATGCGGACCGCCGTGGAAGAAGCCTTATTGCTCTTGGCTCACGGTATCGCCGATGGATTCGGTGTCAACGATGTTTCGTCCGTTTCTGAGACCCGGCCAGTTGTCGAAGGTATGGCCGTACTACTCGTGGAACTGATAACGGAACAGAAGGTTGTATGGGACACCTGGTTCACGGTAGCATCATGTGTTTACCCTCGGCTGTCCGTTCGAGACACCCCCTCCGCCGTCGGACCATATTGACGGCGCGACCTCGTTCGCGGCCATCCAGTTTGGAAACTTGGCAACGTCGGCACCTTGGCTAGACTTGTCACGGGAGATTGTGGTCCGAGGATGCTTCGGCTTGGTTGCGTCTAAGGGGCGACTCGGAGTGGTGACGAAGAGCGATCGCCAGGAGACGCAGTTTCGGGCCGTCGAGGAGAACTTTGCCATCATCGAAATCGAACGGACAGAGGATACCGCTTTGTTCTGTTCCAGGCACAAAAAGGCGGCCTCAATTGTGGGTCGTGACTTTCGCTTGGACGAAGACGAGTCGGCGGTGGAAAGCGACGTGATCCTGTGGCAAGCGGACGACAGATTTTACCGGCTCATGCTCCGTGTCAAGACAAAGAACCACTGGCGCGCCGTCGACCCTAGCGCTGCGTTAATCGCGTCGATCAAGATGCCTCACACATCGGCCCGCTGTCACCATGGAGCTGAGCCCCCGGAAATGGCGCCTTCGACCGCGAGGATCTACACTCTTGACGAAGTCGTTGGGAGATGGCCAGACACGATTCAGACCCCCCGTGCTTCCACAGCAGCAGCGGCAAGGAGAAACAAGCAGCCAGATGAGGTCGGCACTTACTACCTGACCAACGTTTTGGACACCCACATGAAAAAGAACATCGCCCTTGCTGTTTCTGTGGAAACGAGGGCGGTGCTCAACTTTCCCGAGCTCGCATGCCTACCATGCACGCTCCGCCACGCGAGGGATGGAAAGAGAGAGTCCAGAGGCAACAAGCGTAGCGAGGACAACGACGCCTCCCGCTATATCATCAATCTCGGGACTTGGCTCGCGGACCGGCATGGTGGCGTATTGCAGATTGGCTCCTCGGTCGATGCCAACGGTGCGCTCTGCTGACGAGACATGTAGAGAATAAATCAGGTAGGTAAGGTAGGTACCTACTTTTTGATAGGAAGAGGTACTATGCACAAATTGTGGATGGCGTTGGGGGGTTGATATTCTTTGTTTCTTTATTGACATGGATGGAAGGTCGTGGTTTTTGAATTCTGCTCGTAGCGATTTACATATGTATGTATGTAACTTTGTATGTACACCTAGACAGACTTTACACAGCAGCCTGACCAGCATAGGTGCTCAGCTCGCGCAGGTCGCCTTACCAACCCCTGTAATCCAGCCTCGCTTGCCCCACTCTGAAGACAAGGCAATGGAGTTGTTTGGCTCAATGGACCCCTGTATTTGTGGACTCATTCCAGGCACAGCCAGGACCTCCCTGGCAACCTTGTTCACCGCGAAGCTCGGGCTGATTCCACTCTCAACCTCAAATCTCTATTGGAAACCTCCCTCTCCCGGCTTCGATTCCCAGCCGAACATAATAATGCTAAGATAAAGAAGCAATCCATTCACCCTAGGGACCACTTTGCGTCCTCACCCACTTCCCGCCGTGCATTGCGTCGCATTGCATTGCATCACATCCCAGTCCCAAACAAACGACCGAGCACCGGGTGCATCGATTCGAATCCCGAACCGGCCGACCTCAACAAACATCTCTCGACCCCTACCTACCTACCGAGGTACCTTTCAGATCATCCCCCGACAGACCCGACACGCCCAATCCCCTATGCAACCTCCATCGTCACCGACCCGACCCACGCACCCCCACAGCCGTAATACAATAGTACCCTCTACCCCTACACTCTCCACAGCGCCGCCTCCCGGAGGACATGCCGCCGCCACCAACCCCGCCGTCTCGGCCGCCCTGCAGGGCGCAACCCTCGCGTTCAACAAGCAAAAGAAGGCCGCTGTAGCGGCTGCGCAGCAGCAACAGCAGCAGCGGGGTGGTGTTGGGCGTGGCCCGTCCCCGGCCAGACCGTCACAGCAATCGCCGCAGTTGCAGCCGCAGCACCAGCAGCAGCAGCATCAACAGCAGAAGCAACAACAGCAGAAGCAGAATAGTGGTGCTGTTGTGGGATCTGGGCCGGCGCCGCGGGGGGGTAACGGCGCGCTGCTGGCTGCGACACAGGCGGCGAGGGGACATTCTGCTGCTGCGGCGTCGCGGTCGAAGTCGGCTGGGGAGCTGCCGGGCAATGTGAGTCGGCATGCGACGGGCGGCGCCGCTGCCGGCGGTGTGAGTGGTGGGATGAAGGAGGTCGGTTCTACTACGGCAACGGAAACGGGGACGGGGACTGGGTTGGAGGGGGGTCATGGGCAGGGTGGGCTGGTTGTGCAGAGGATGCTGGATCTGCATGCGAGTGGTGGTGGTGGTGGGAGCACGCTGCTTCCTCCTCCGGGTGGGAGGTCGGGCGCCGATAGCAGTGGCAAGCGGGCGTCATCGACTTCGCCCTCGATGATTGCCGCTACGCTGGCTGCGAGTCGGTCGGTTTCGCCGGCTAGGGGCCCGATTCCACAGTTGGATTTGAACGGTGGGAAGGTCACTCGGAAACGGGGGCAGAGTGTGGGCGCGGCGAGTGTCGCAGCGGGCACGGTGGGGTTGGGAGTGGTAGGGGGGATGAGACAGGAAGCGGAGGTTCTGGACACGGCTTCTATCCCGCCGACCACGTCACTGGTGTCGCTGTTTGAGGGCAAGAGGGGTGAGGACGACGTGGACCCTGTTAAGAAGAGGGCGCCATCGGTCAGGACGAAGAATCTCGACAGGGACGAACAGGTATCGGCGGAGAGGACACCACAAGAGCCGCAGAGGGCGAAACCGAAACCCACACCCAAGCCGAAACCGAAGCCAGAGTTAGCTACAAATCCTGCTGGGCCGGGGCCGTCTGATGAGGCACGCGAGTCTTCTCAAGGAATGAATCGGTCTGGTGATACGGGGAGAGGCGATCGCAGCGATGGGAGGGGCCGCTCCGAAGAAAAGCCACCCCAGCGCCGTGCTAGGAGTCAGAACAGCGAGCACAAACCGGCCAAGAAACCGAAACCTGCACATCGTGGTTCCCCAACACCCCCGCCGCCCGTTCCTGCGCGAACTCCCTCAAACCACATTTCCTCACAGCCAAAGAAGGCAATCAAGACACCACGCCTGAAACCGCCTACCCCTTCGGTCAAGACATCGTCCGTAACCAAGATGGTGGAGCCGATTGTTCAAGTTACACCCGTCGAGCCAGACGAAGACCAAGTCGACCTATTTCTTGGTCAAAGCCGGACTCCAAAGCCGCGACAAGTATCACAGGGTTCGACTTCATCCAACGACACGTTTGTCTCAGCGTCTTCTGTGCCGTCAGGGGCCGTATCACCAACTAGGGAGGCGGACAACACCCCGCATCGACCTGCCTTGCCAGCACGAAGCCCCTCGTCCCGATCGATCTCAACGCCTAACCCACCGCGACACCCGGCGACACAACCCTCAACGCCCAACCTCACCCTCAGTTCCCTCACCAACGCCATGATGGCAAGCAATCTCGCTGCCGCCCGCCTCACCCCAACCACGCCCTCCCAGCCCCCTCCTCTCCCGGCACCCCGCCGATCGGGTCGGAGCCCGCTACAACCCCACCACACTGCGGACAGCATCCGCTCGCAACTCACAGGCGGAAGCAAATCCCCAAACCACCCGAACCATCAACAGAAACAAAGGACGGGCATGCTCCAAACCCTGCGGAGCCCGCACACCTCGCTCTCCGACGACGAAGACGCGCGCCGACAGCACCACCAACGCCGGCGCAGCAAGGTCCTCGGGGGCAGCAACCGCAAGCACGCGCACCACGAGGGCTCGCGCCGGCGCTGGCGCGACGAGATCACTGTGCGCGAGCGCAGACGCTACGAAGCCGTGTGGGCGAGTAACAAGGGCCTGTTTCTCCGACCCGGGTGGGCCGCACAATACCAGAACAACAACAGCCTCCTCCCCCCGGGACCCGGCGCAACCGGAACAACAGAAGAAGAAACGCACAACCAGACCCGCGACCGAGTCGAAGCCAGCCGGGCCGGGCACGGCGCCGAGGCGGACCTGGTCGTCAACGTGGTGGCGCGCGACATCTGGAGCCGCAGCCGGCTGCCCGCCGACGAGCTGGCCGAGGTGTGGGACCTGGTCGACCGCGGCGCGCGCGGCGCCCTGGGCCGCGACGAGTTCGTCGTCGGGCTGTGGCTCATCGACCAGCGCCTGCGCGGCCGCAAGATCCCTGCTCGCGTGAGCCAGAGTGTGTGGGATAGTGCGGCTGGTGGGCACCATGGGGTTGTGGTGCCGCTTCCTGCGGGTGCTGGTGCTGGGGGTGGGGGTGGGAAAAAGGGGAGGCGTGGGTGGTAGGTCCGGGACCGAGCGAGGGGGGATGGGCGTGTATGGCGGCATCCCGTATCTGAGTGGCTTCTGCTTCGCGCATGTCCTTTCACCGGTGGGAATGGGAAAGATCATGCTATTACGCAAGGGTCCACTAAACTGAGTGCGGAAGGGGTCCGTCCTATGGCGCCGTAGGGGGGACGGGCCGATTCTCTTTGTCTTTAACTCGAGCTTCTTCTTTCCTAGCGTACCTACTGATACCCCCTAGACTAGTACTGGTAATTCATATAGATGAGGGTGGTTTCCTTTTTCAGGGGAAGGACCTTGCCTTGCCAGGTCTTGACATTGTCGTCGATTCGGTTAGTATTGTTCGAAGCAAACAATGATGGCATCCCTCCCGTGTTACCCCCTTGCTTGCCATCCCGTGACGGCAGCTCAGTGCAAGCCACCCGCTACCGATCCGACGCCTCACTCATCTGCCGGATCGCCGTGAGCAAACAAAGATGGAAAGCTTTTCGTGGGATATACCCTCGGTTGCCTGCCTCTGGCTTCTATTCCTGGCAGCTGCGCTCTAAATTTTGCGTCCCGCTACATTTCGGCTGCATCGCGAAGAATTGAACCATAATGGCGGTGCCTCATCTGCACCTTTCGACTCCGGTTGATATACCACCTACAATTTTGATCCTGGGCTTGGTGGTGCTTCTCCTGATACTTGCCTTACTCAAGGGCGTACTCTATCCAACCCTCGACCCGCGCGAGCCGCCACTACTACGGCCCAAGATCCCGTTCATCGGCCACAGCTTGTCTATCGTCTCCGACGGCGGGAGCTACTATGACAGACTCTAGTACGCATAACCACACCCCCATAGCTCACCTCTACACGTTCATCCCCCCCTCTTAATGCAGAAGAAACACACTAACCCCCCCCCCCCCCCCCTTCACACAGCAAATCAACCCACCTCCCCATCTGCACCCTCCCCGTCCTGACCAACAAACTCTACGTCCTCAACTCCCCCTCCCTCATCTCCGCCGCCCTGCGCAACCCGACCCTGTCCTTCGACCCCTTCATCGTGCTCTTCTCGCAGAACGCGCTCGGCGCCAGCGACGCCGACATGCAGCGCCTCCGCGACCCGGCCTACATCCGCTCGGCCAAGAAGCCCTTCTACCCGTCCATGTCGGGGGATCCCCTGCGGCTGATGGTGGGCGCGGCGTTGGAGGATATCGCGCGGGGGTTGAATAGGCTGGGTGTGGGGGGCGGTGGTGGTGGGGGTGGGGGGTGTGAGATTGTTATTCCGCATGTGGGGGACTGGTTGAGGGAGGGGATTTCCAGGGCCGTTGTGCGGGCGTTGTATGGGGGGAGGAATCCGATCACGCTGGGGAGGCTTGGTGATATTTGGTGGGTTGCCCGTGCCCGTGGGCGTGGTGGGGGGGGGGGGTGTGCTTGTGAGCTGACGGGTTGTTAGGGAGTTCGACAGGAAGATCACGGTTCTGACGCTCGGTCTTGCTCCGCGGTTACTGGCGCCGAAAGCGGTCGCTGGTCGGGACCGCATACAGGCGGCGTTGTACGAGTATTATCGGGACGGGCACGACCAGGCACCGGATGTGTCCGCCTTTGTGAGGAACCGTGCCGCGGCCAAGCGCCAGATGGGAGTTCGCCCCACCGACCTGGCCTCGGGCGAAACCGATATCCCGTGGACGGCACTCACCAACACCATCCCCTCGCTTGCTTGGGTCTTTGTCAATGTGTTTGCGCGCCCTGACTTTGCGGAGCGGGTGCGTCAGGAGACGGCGGAGGCCACTAGCCTGGACGGAGACAAAGCCAGCGTTGATATGGAGACGCTCGGGAAGAAGGTTTTCATCAGTGCTGTGGTCCAGGAGGTACAGCGGATGTACAACAAGCTCTGCGGGTATCGGCAAGTGCTGGAGGATACGGTGTTGCGGGATGTGGATGGACGAGAGTATCTCCTGAAGAAGGGATCCAATGCCCAATGGTTCCACGGAGTGCCGCATCTGAGCGAGGACATCTGGGGGCCGGACGCGAAGGCTTTCAATCCCGAGAGGTTCATCGACACGCCAGCCGAGGAAGAAAAGAAGCGGCGCGGGGCGTATATACCCTTTGGCGGGGGTAAACACCTCTGTCCTGGTCGGCGGTTTGCCGTGGCCGAGATCATGGGCATGGTCGGCGCCATCGCTCTGATGTTCGATGTTGAGGGCGTCTCAGTGCCACCGGCCAAGGCGGGTTATGCTGGGTGCGCCATGGCCCATCCGGATTGGAAACCCAACAATCCCCCGCGAGTGAAGTTTAGTCGAAGAGAAGGTTGGGAGAATGTCGAGTTGGAATTTATCGTTTGAGACTGGTTCATGCTTGATTTAAGTTCGGTTGTTCTAGGAGCTTGACAAAAAGCCAAGCGATGGATTTCATTGTATAGAAATATTTGAACTTTGCCGTATCTAGCTACCTTTTCTAACAAAATATCATTTTTTGATGGCGCCACAACCGTTGATCCAAACCGAATTGAAGTTAGATTTTGTCTCGTAGAAAATCGTAAAACTCATGCGAAGGAACCTAGCTTCGAAGCTGCAGCCAACGTGGGGCCCCACATTCTTGACTGCCGTCCCCTGCCGCCCACAACCGCCCCGCGGACCGAGGTACACAAAGCGGAGCCGAGCTCTTGGCATCTCAAACTGCGGGCCCCGGGACAAGAGTTCGGCCTTTATCACCACGAGGGAATCATGCACTGAACGCTAGCGCATTGAAGCCCCCTTTTTATGAAGTTGAGCCCGGGTGTTGACTTCCAGAGCTCCAATTCCAGAAGGCAGCAGAACATCAAGCTGCCTAGCTGGTCCCCATTCCATTGCTCCCGCTTAGGTAGAGCAACCCCGACACAGCTCTTCAGCCTTTTAACGGTTTAACCAAGTAAAACCGACCCCCCCGCTCCCATTGTTTGCGATTCCACCAATCCCCGAGAGCCAGCAACCGAACTCCATCCCGAGGTTCCTTCTTGTTTCCTCGATCCCCGACTCAACATCGCCCACCTGCTGTGGCATATCCCACACCCACACATCTCCCCCGTCAATCAACCCAATCGACCACCAAAAACACACCCACCACAATGGCCGACGCAGCCCCCGATCTCGATGTGCCCGCCCCGGCCCCCATCGCCGACCTGCCCTCGGGCGAGCCGATCCCGTCCTCCACCCCCCCAGCCAAACCCCCGAAGCGCCAACCTCTCCCGCTCGGCGCGCTGCTGGCCGCGCTGCCCTCCAACGCCGACTCCTTCCTCGTCCGCCTCGAGAAATGCCTATCAACCCCCTCGGGCATCGACACGGTGATGCTCTTCATCTGCTACACCTCCAAGCTCAGCGCCTCGGTCCTCACCTCCCTCTCGCAATCCGCCCTACGGCGCTCAGCGCGCGAATGGATCACCCTCATCGCGGCCCTCCCGCGCGGCACCACGGTGGTCTTCTCATCCCCCGCCGCGGCCGCAGGCGCAGGGGCCAAAACCGCCCTCCCGGCATCCGCCGCCCTCGCGCTCACCCTCGCCAAGCGGCTCTCCTCGCTGTCCTCCCTCCTCAGCGAGGCGCGCATGATCCTGCGCCTGTGGTCGCTGCTGGGCATGTACTTCTGGGCGCGCCGCCTGCTCAAGCACACCTTCTCCTCCACGCCCGCAAACGCCAGCGAGAAACCCACCACCACCACCGCAACCCCCACCAAACTCGAGACCCTCCTCGAATACCTCCGCCTCGGCCTCTGCATAACCTTCCAATCCCTCGAGAACGGCGCCTACCTGTCCTCGCGGGGCGTCATGTCGTGGACGCCCGCCGAGCAGGGGCGGGCGTTCAAGTGGAGCGCGCGGTTCTGGGCCGCCTACGTGGGGATCGAGATCGGGCGGCTGGCGGCGGAGCGGTTCGGCGGCTCCGCCTCCCCAAGTGGCGGTGGGTTCCAGGCCAAGACGGCGCGGGAGAAGGGCGAGTGGGCCAAGAAGACGGTGCGGCAGCTCGCGTGGGCGCCGCTGACGCTGCACTGGGGCAGTGAGAAGGGGTTGGTGAGCGATACTACGGTGGGCGTATTGGCCTGTATTCCGGGGGTTATTCAGATGCGCGATCTGTGGGCTTCTACGGCTTGATGGGGAGGTAGTTGGTAGGGGTTAGGGGATGTTTTCGAGGTTTCTGGCGAGCCTTGGGCTAGGTACACCCGCATTGGCAGTCTTGCGTTGCCTACTTGTAAATATTTGTCTCTCTTAGGTTGTTTAGTTGCAAAAAGAACCTTAAATTGAATGCATGTGGTATCACTGTGATTACAACCCCCCGCCCTCTTCTAGACCCCGACTTTAAAATGGCCGTCTCGTTCCAATGTTACCCGGATCCAAGACTTTCTTTCGACCGTTCAACCTTCGCATCTGCATGCAATATCCAGTCCCCAAACCCGGCCCTACCATGCAGTCCCATGTCTCGTAAATCGTTCCCATTAACCTTTCCAGGAGCGCAAACACTCTCTCATGCAGTGCCTACCACAGAAATAGCAAACTCATGCCCAATCCAACAGCTATCGCCTGCACCAGGCACACTGTAACCTTCTCTGAGCCGTTCCCTATTACAGGGTCGAACGGGCTTCCACCGCCGGTTCCCCGACCCCCCGTGTCCTCTGAAGGCTCTGGCGCGCTTGTTGAACTTGAAGACGAACTCGTCGGGCGGGAAGACGGGATGACCGTCTGGATCGGCGGCGGACTAGGGGGTTCTGTGGGAGAGACGCTCGAGGTCGACGTAGACGTCTCGGGCTCCTCTGTCTCTGTCACCGCCGTGGTGGTGGTCGACGGAGGTTGGACTGGAGTAAAAGTGAGCGGCGACGTACGTGAGACGCGCTGTGTAGTGAGGGTGGTGGGTGCTGCCGTCGGACTCCTGCTTGGGGTTGCCACTGGATTCTCGGGAGAGGATGTACCTGGACAAAGCAGCTCTACCAGGTTGCCCAACAGCGCCTGCCCCAATACCGAAATCTCTGAGACCTCTGTCCTGTCGCAAACATACTCGAGATTCGACTCCACCCTCTTGAGGCCCCTCACGCACGAGGCCGAGCACGTACTGCCCGCCACAAAGTCGTTTATCGAACAGCCGGGGATTTCGGCGTTATAGGCTAGAATGCAGCCGAGGGAGATGGTTGTTGCGGTGATGGGCTGAAATTTGGAGAGTGGGATGGCCGAGGCCATCGAAGCCATCATAAGACAAAGCCAGACCCATTTTGAGAAGAATGGCCCGACGTGAATTGCCATCGCGAACTGACGCCAGACTTCCCTGGCTGGTGTTGACAAGGAGAAGGGGCGGACAACTGTAGAACTTGGAGGTCTCCAACCCTCAACCAACCCCGAACGGTCCTTCCCAGTGATACAACCGGCCGGTCGATGATTCTCTCCCCTTTCCCGACGTCCACACCAATGGGCTCTGCAACGGCGTGGCAAAGCTGGCAGCCAGGGCGCCCTGGTTGCGCAAGTGGAGCAATTTCGTCGCCGTGCGACTTCCCGAAACGCGAGTTGTGTCAGAGAATCGTGATCGCGGGAGATCCGATCGGTCGGGTAACCGTGCTAGCCTTCCACGCGAGTGACAGTGTGGTCAATGCGGCTGAAGACGGCTGGGCCTGGTCTCGGATGCTCGCTCAGATGTCTTCCGGTGATGGAGATTCAGTGCGTGCCGCTGGTTTCGGTCATGCCGGAGCCCAGTTTGTCGCAAAGCAGCAGGGGAAAGGGCGCAAGAAATGGAGTGTCACCCCAGGTGGTCTTGTATATCACTCAGTCGGTCGTGCAAAAGGAGCGAGGCAACCGATCGCAGGCAGAAGGTTGATCAGTGGCGAAATAGGGTGTAACGTGATGGTGGTGGTCGAACGGAAAGCGGCCAATTGCGCTCGCAAACAAGCAAGTACAAACAGAGAATGGCAGAAGCACAGCTTCGATGGTTGAGTTTCTCAGAAACACAACCAGAAATTGCAAACAGAAGAAGAGAAAGAGAAAACACGAGGTCGAGGGGCCCGAGGCAACAAGGGAGGAACAAGGCCAGAAAGGTGCGACTCAACTCGATATATCGAGACCGAGGTCGCAACGGTTTTCACACGAGGAGTTCCGAGAAGGTGGGTGCTACTGAGCTGGAGAGCTGCAAGGCACGAACTATGAACCAGTCGTTGCGACACTTGACGCACGTCTGCCCGAGCACTCGAGTCCCTTTTCTCGAGGACCTCGGCCAGGGGTTGCCCTTTGCATCTCCTGTCAGCCAGTCAAAGCTGGAGATTCGATACCAAGCTCTCATCACACGTGTGTGCCCTGCATTCGGCTCGTTTCAATGTCGCCCGTCAGCGCACGAAACAGGTGGTGAGTCGGCGACATCGTTTGCTCGCTCCGTCCTGGGGGGTTGACGTGGAGGCCAATGGGGTTGGACAGGAGAAGTCGGCGGTTCGAAACGAAACAAGGCTCGCGTTTGAAAAGAGCCCCAGATGAGCCCCTAGGGCGTGAATGATTGGTCTGTCGGCGGGTCCACAGCGGGATGCCACATCGCAAGCACTCGCAGAGGCCCACAAAAGAGCGCCTTTCCACCAGCGTTTGTTGCCCTGGACTCAACACCAAAAGAAACATCGTAGCACTGGGTTGTATCCTCGCCGCCCAACGCAACTCGACGACCCGGTTAAATCGACTGTCTCTCTCCCCCGAAATCGACTGTCTTGGCACCGCATTGGGTTTAGTGCAGGTAGGTCAGTGAACGACATCAGCATCGCCAGACTTCGCCATTCGAATTGAAGCAATTTATAATGGTCGAATCGCAAGGAAATACAGTACTCGAGTTCGCTCAGGGGGTAGAAAAATAAAGGTTATTTCAATTGTGATCCCTTTTAGACGATTCTACATTTCCTACTATAACCCTAACCCTAGTTGAACTTCAAAAGTTCATTCCATCATCTTCACCCTAACCCTAAACATAAGTCTAAGCAAAATGGTATTTACAGACTACTATATTATTAAACCATTTCGCAAACTCTGTATTTTCTAGCGATTCAATGACGTTCAATACCTTCCTTAACTGTAAACCTCTCCTACTTATATTTCTTTTGGTACGTTGATGAAGAGCGCTGTACAACTTTGGTGGGAGCTTCACTGACCTTGGTACCTGCCCTAAACCCAATGCGGTGCCAAGACAGTCGATTTCGGGGGAGAGAGACAGTCGATTTAACCGGGTCGCAACTCGAGGTGGAAATGGCCAATTTAGTTACAGTGGCAGTATCCCAGTGCTACTCGATATTTGACACACTGGGGCCGTTCAACGCGAGAGATCTTTGCGCACTGGCATCGAGCGGTCGTTGAAGGGACACGAGAGTATCGAGGAAGCAAGAACTACCGATCCGGGAATGCTCGGCAGAGCGAGCGGGGTTAACCCCTCTGGATTGTCAGAGGTTGAAACTTACCTCGGTAATATCCCACAGAAAGAAAGAAGGAAAGAAAAAGAAAAGAAAACTGCTGTTCGGGACTAGTTTCCCGCACTACCCGACCCCGCCCGAACTCAGTCACTCCAACACCATTTCCCATGTATGAAGGGACATTTACACTACCTATATTGATATCCCAAGCGGCACTCACCTATGCATTATCAGCCCCCTGGTAAAACATATCTTCAATGGACCTTGGATAGAAGGGAAAATAAATCCGTTTCTTCCCAAATTATTTTACTTTGCCAACAACCTTTTTAACGCTCGCTGCCCCACAGTCTCGACCTGGTATCGTTCATTACATTGCATTTTTACAAACTCCTCTGCTCCACCCTCCACTCCACATCCGTGCGCTGCCGTATCGCATCCGCCGGACACCCATCCCCATCCTCATCAGTCCGCCCCGTCCTCCCACTCCCACCATCATCCCCTCCACCCACCCCACTCCCATCACCAACAATACCACACTCCTCATCACTCCCCCTCCTCCGGGGCCTCGGACTCGCATGCACGCTCACATGCACGCGACCGGCCGCGTGCTTGGGCACCAGCTCGAGGTCGTCGCGCGAGTTGGACGGGCTCTCGTCCAGGCGGTTCCAGTGCGCGCCGCTGCCGCTGCCGCTGTTGCCCCCGCCCTTGCGCCCGCCCGTGCCGCCGATGGTGACGATGGCGGCGGAGCCCTTTTGGTGTGAGAGGCCGCCGCTCTTGGAGCCGCCCGTGCTGGTTGGCCAGGCGGATTTCCAGAGGTCGCGGACGAGGGGGCCCTGTGAGGGAGTTATTAGCTGTGTGTTGTGGGGGGGGAGGGAAAATGGGATGCTTCTTCTTCTTCTTCTTCTTACCAGTGTGGGTAGACAGGCCGACACGATGCCGCTGCTGATCTCGATGATGTTCCAGGCGCAGGGGTCGGCTAGCGACCATGGCACGTCATCGGTCGTGTAGGACAAGTACACGTAGAAGCGGTAGATGCTCGTGAAGACGACATAGCTCCCGAGCAGGAAGACGAAGGTGAGCAGCATCCGCTGCCAGAGATTGGTCTTGAGCCGCAGGACGTGGGGCAGCGGGAGGCAGAGGATGGCGATGTCGCAGAGGATGCTCGGGACCGAGATGCAGAGCTGCGTGAGGAACAGGTCGATGCATGTGCCGTCGAGCCACGGCATCCACAGCCTCTCGCGAGGCGTGCATTGCCAGGTGGCCGCGAGAATGCAGGCGATGTTCCAGGCCGTCGAGACGCCGCCGCAGATGTAGCCGCCCAGCCGAACGGAACGGATGGGGAAGACGCGGAAGTAGAAGAGCAGCAGCGAGATCTTGTACAGGTTGACGCCTGTGACATAGATAATCTCGGCGCCGACAAGGGTCTGCGAGAAGGTTAGACTAAGAGGAGACGGTGCTGCATTTGCATAACTAACCTCGTTCAACTGCTGCATCTGTGGAAGGGTCAAGGCTCCTGAATGCAGTCCCAACCCCATCTTAATAAGCTCCAGGTTCATGATCATGTTTCCGACCAGCACTACGAAAGCCGCCACCATCATCCAGTCGTCGATCAGAATGCGGGCGTTTTGTCGATAGCGGGCCAGAAAGCGCAACCCCACGAAGACGCCCGCGAAGACGGTGAAGGCTATCGTCACATCCCGAACGTAACCCCTCAAGTCCTCCGTCAGGTCCTGCTCGGCGGCGAAATCTGTTAATTTCTGCAGGTACTCGCGCTCGGGTCCGGACCGGGAGGTGTCGTTGACCGGATACACCACCGGTGTCAGTTTTGTCGGTGAGCTCATGGCTGGCTGTCTTGGGGGGGGGGGGGGGTGCCCTTGGATCCGTCCGGCTTGGGTCCCTCTAGTTCGGAGGTTACTCGTTACAGCAACATCAAACCGGCACTGAGATGATTACCCATGCTTGCATCTGCATAAGGGCGAGATGTCCCGTTAGTTATAAAGGCTGGCGCAACCTGCCAGGGACCCGGTAGCTCGGAACCAGAGCGTCGGATCGTCGCTTGAAGGCGCCCCCATCCATGGCCTCGATCTGAATCCTGGGGCGCAACATGTCGTGCATCAGCGTTGCTTTTTGCGAGGTCCTTGAAGGAGTTTTTACCCCGAACTCACGCCACGCACGCCACGCTTGGTCTGACGGAGGGTTTGGACAGTGCACTGCCGATCTCTCCCCATACCCTTCTGGGGAATGTCATCCGGGCTTCGTCAGTGGACGGAAAGCTCTTTGGTCAAGCTTTCGGACGGGTTTACCCACAAGGGAGAAAGCGCGACGGTGAGCAAGGGCCCACAGCATCTTAGCATGGGATTATGGGACATGGGCCAACTCCACACCTTGGTTCTTTGGGCACCAGTCGGGTGTCGTCGCGCAGGAGCTCCTGGAAGAAGGGTGCTGTGGGTGCGGATCCCGGAACAGGAGCTAACCAGAGCTATCAAGAGCTCGCATTGAGCTAAATTAGCACCACCACATCGCCTTCACGCGCTATCAACTGCCCCCGTCGACGACAAGATGGTGATAATCTATTGTGCCCACTTCAAGGGGCCTTGGCGGAGGGGTTGGTGTTCAGCCTCTCCCTCGGCGGGGGCGATTGGACTTCGTCGCCGTGAGTTAAAGGTGAACAAACACGCCACGGGAAGCTCTGTGCTCGCCCATCTCTCGGAGTCTGCAACTGTCTCACAACCTTCCCACACCCCCTTTTTCATCCTTCGCGATCTGCATTGTAACCCCGGCCGCAGCTGTGGGTTCCAAGTGCCTGGAGCGACTCACAACTGCCGTCTCCATTGGATATAAGGGGTTCGAGACCCCAAAAAGAAAAAAAAATGCAGCAAGCCACGATCTTCACCTCCCTCTTCCATACCCTTCTCGTCTTGGCCGTCTTGTCCGTCTCAGCCATGGCCGCCGCCACCGCCGCCACCAAGCCCACGATCGTCATCGTCCCGGGCGCTTGGCAGCTCCCAAATGCTTGGGACGAGTTCCGGTCCGTGCTCGCCCGGGCCGGCCACCAGGCGCACCACGTCGCCCTGCCGAGCGTGGGCGGCACCGAGGAGCCCCTGACGGGCCTCCCCGAGGATGTCGCCGCCGTCCGGCATGTTGTCGGCGGGCTTGCCGACCAGGGCGACGAGATTGTCCTGCTGTGCCACTCGTCCGGCGGCGTCGTCGGCAGCAACGCCGTCGAGGGCTATGATGTTGCCGCCCGCCAGGCCGCCGGCAAGGTTGGTGGTGTCGTTCGCATCGTCTACCTCTCCGCCTTCATGCTCCCCAAGGGCAAGAGCTTGCTGGAGATGTTGGGCGGCACTCCCCTGCCGTGGATGATTGTTGACGTGAGTCCCACTGCGAACCCGGCCGTCAAACATTTCCCCTCGCTGGTGCCGAGGTAACTAACGAAACGCAGGGCGACCGCGTCACTGGCGACCCCGCGCAGATGCCCGAGATCGGCTTCAACGACATGCCGGCTGAGGAGGCGGCGTACTGGGCCAAGCAAACGACCTGGACCTCGGCTGCTCTGTTCTCTGCCGCGTCTCAGTTCGAGCCCTGGAGCAACGGGATTCCGGGCGCCTACATCTTCCAGACGATCGACAAGGCCCTTCCGTACAATCTTCAGCAGGACATGGCCCGGCAGCTCGGACCGGATCCGCGCACAGCCACCATGGAGACCGGCCACTGTGGCTTCCTCAGCAAGCCCGATATGATGCTGGCTGCTCTGAAGCAGGTCATTGGAGGAAACTGAGCGATCGATGGGGGTGGGGGTGACAAATGGAGGACTAACTGAGAATGCGGTGATACCCAAATCAGACAGATGAGGGCGCTAACTGTGTTGCCCTATTTAATTGCAATTAATTATATATGGGAGTAAAGTCATGCAAACCTTGAAAACAGTGGTGTCAGCTTTTGTGGTATTCTTCTACTATGAATAGGTGGAGGGGAAAAGCAGTGTGGCCGACAAATGGTTACGCTTATTCTCCCACCACTCCACTTACCGAGTCTCTCCCCTTCTACGCTCTAACTCGCAGTGACGAGCCCCGATAACGAACGGGATGAAGGCGTCGAGGAGACGCAGAGGGTCCGAGTCACAAGGGGCTGCGAAGGCTGCCGTGGAGGGGTGCCGAGGCTCTGAGGCGCTCGACATCCCCCGGCCATCGAGGGGGAAAGGAAAGCTACTCAACAAAAGAAAAAAAAACATACAACACCGAGGATTCGCTGGTCGTCACCGACCCAACTACTAGTTCGGCTCTCACAAGTTTATCGAGGGGAGAGCGGACGGGATCCCGAGTTCTCTTGCGGATATGGTCGTATGTGGTAGTTGGGCGAGCAAGTGTTGTTGATGAAGGTGGACTCCCCAGCTCCACAACTAAAACAAAAATACATACAACAACAAGGATTCGCTGGTCGTCACCGACCCAACTACTAGTTTGGCTCTCACGAGTTTGACTCGGGGAGAGCGGACGGGATCCCGTATTCTCTCGTGGATATGGTCGTATGTGCTAGTCTGGTGGGAAAATGCGGCTTGTGAATGGGGTGTCGTTCCTGATAGTTGAGGGAGAACTCGGCGAGTCCCTGAGGAAGGCAACTCTACGTATCTTAGCTAAAGTGTCGGCAGCTTCATTTATGTGCATCAAAAAGAGTTGCGATAATAGGAAAGAACGTACAGGAATTCGGATACAAATATCAAATCATGAAAGCGACTATGTGCCGCCTGGGCGAACTACCTATCTACTCTAGGAAAATATCGGACACTCTACTCGTGCGCTAATATGAAAAGGCCCAAGCCTCATTATCAAAAATTATAATACACGTAAGATTTCTACTCTTAATATACTCTATCCATGACACATCACAAACAAGACCGCGCGCTAGATGATAACAAGAAAATATGTACACGCTCTGACAACACAATACAAAAGAAATGACCGCTCGTACATACAATTCAAGATCGCTTCTGCCCCATCTCCTCGCCCGCAAACTCATCCCACTCCTCCCCAAACCCACTATTGACCTTCCTCCCGACCCATATACCCGCCGCCGTCCCGACGCTGGCGAGCAAGAACCACCCCTCGAACCAACGGTCCACAAACCCGGGCTCCAGCGCGCTCTCGAGCGCGTCGCCGACGGTGCGGCCCACGTCCCTGGGCAGGTTGCTCCGCATGAGCAGCGCCGCGCTGATGACGTAGGTCGCCGTGACCTGGCCGACCAGCAGCGCTAGGTTGGCCTGGGCCTGGTGAAACAGGCCCGGCGCCCACTTGGCAAAGATGCGGAAGGTTTGCAGGACCGAGTTCGCGCTCGCCGCGAGGATGACGCCGGAGAGCAGGAAGGAGATCTGCCGTGCCCAGGCGATCTGGTCGAGCTTGGGATCCCAGTGCTTGGCGAGCACGCCGAGGAAGCGGTTGATGGGGTCCGACGAGGAAAAAGAGGCGTGTGGGTAGTACATGCGTCGGAGGGTCGTGAGCGTCGTGGCGAGGATGCGGTAGACGCAGTAGCCGGCGAAAATGTACTGCGGGACGGCCAAGAGGCGGCCCAGCACGGTGCCGTCCCGGGCGTGGGCGGCTTGCCTCGATTTGAGCGAGGAGAGAGAGCCAGCGAGGTTTGACTCCATCGTTTCGAGACCGGATATCTCGACTTGGAGGGCCTTGATCTCGGCCGCTTCGCCGGTGCCGGTCATTGTTTTGAGGGACCCGATCATTTTGCCCATTAGCCCTGATCCCGCAGGCGCTCCATGAGAGGTCCCGCCTCCTACGCCGTCTGCCACCGCTTGCGCTTTCCTCTGCAGTGACCTCAACCGATGTCGCTTCGTCAACAGTAACTCGCTCGTCGCGTCGAGCCCGGCCTGCTTCCGGGCAATATCAGCGTCCGTAATCGGCCGCTTCCGATACGTCCGGTCGTCCACAAACGTATGCCACGGACTCGACACGCTCGCGAACCCCGACAACAACGCCATCAACGAGATCCCAATAACCCCAATCCGCTCCAAACACGCCCTCGACAACCCGCCCTCCCCACTCCCCCCAAACCCCTTCACACCAAACCCACCACCCCTCTCCGCAATCTCCGCCCGCCCAATCGTCATCGCAGTACTATCAAACCCCCTCCCGGCCCCCTCCGCACTCGCCAACCCCGCAAGCCGCCACAACTCCTCATCCACCCCGCCGCCCACAACCCCCATCCCCAGCCCCGTCACCGCCCTCCCCACAAACCAAAACCCCGCCAACCACCCGGCAAACACGACCCCCAGCACCGCCCACGCAGCCCTCGAAACCACCCTCCCCTTCCCATCCCTCCCAAACCGCCACCCGCGCGACGCCAGCACGCTCTGCGCCTCCAGGACCGGCACCACCCCGACCAGCATGACCAGCAGCGTGGGCACGGTGACGTGCAGGCCGGCGGCGCGCGCGCGGGGGCCCAGCAGGCCGCCGCGCAGCTCGAGGATCTCGGCGAGGATGAGCTCGGCCAGCACGGCGGAGAGGCCGATGGTGGCGGCGAAGGCCGCGGCCGCGGCGCGGCGGCGTGGGGAGCGCGCGGCTTGTTCGGCGTGGGCTTGGCGGAGGGAGGGCGGGGCGGAGGGGGGGAGGAAGTGGTCTTGGCCGTCGTCGATGGCGATGCCGGAGGAGTTGTTGCTGCCGCTGGTTGGGGAGTGGTGGTGGGAGGTGGAGGGTTGTTGGAGGCGGGCGAGGTGGGGGAAGAGGCGGGTTAGCGCGAGGGAGGAGGCGAGGGCGAAGGTGAGGAGGACGGGGGTCAGGGCGATGGTTGTGGAGAGGAGGGTGTTGTCGTTGGCGCCGGCGGGGGAGCAGGAGGAGGGGCCGCACGATGCGGAGTCGTGGTCGGTGCCGGGCGATGTCATGGTTGTTTTCTTTGTTGTCGTTGTCGTCGCGGTGGGTTCGGGTTCGGGGACGGGGTTTGGAGGACGTCGGCGACGGCGGTTGTGTGTTTGGTGTAGTCGGAAAACGCGAGCATTATATTACCGAGTTGTGATTGAAGCAGATATTTCCAGCGCTACAGGAGGCTAGGCTACCTGGTCATGGCGGCCTTGCGGGTTTGGTTTTAAGTCTCCGTTCGCGATCCGTTTGTTCGTCGGAGTTGAAGTGAAGTGGACGGCTGCAGGCCCGCCGCGGCTTGCGCAACCGGACAAGGGACCCCGGACATGAGCTTTGACCACCACCCCACGCTTCCCCGGAACTGCCCCGCGCGTACCCCCACCATGACACTCCCAAACAGTCGGCTCCAAAAAGCCTCCGGTGTACATAGTAAGTCGGCCGAAGCTCAACGTTTAGGAATAGGTAGTACAAAAGTCATTTGGCAGCCGAAAGAAAGTACGTAGATCTCGAGGGGCCTAACTTGTATAAAGCGTATATAAAACCCGTTGGAATTATCTCTTTATTTACAGGAGGTTTTGCTTTGGTTTCATTCTCTAGTAACTACTCCATTAAATTCATTCACTTGTCCCTTCTCTTGGATACTTGGGCTTCTATATCTTCTTATATCGAACAACCTGGTCTAGAAACCTCAGATAAATACTCTTAACGCCTCTATTTGGTAGGGAACTATTCTGTTTCTCTCCTCTTTCCCTCTCCCTGTCTTCTCTGACTCCTCCTTCTCCCCATTTCTCTGTCGCTCTCTACTCACCCCCTCTCACTCGCCCTCTCTCCCTCGCCCTCTCTCGCTTGAACCATGGAACCCAACCGAAGCTGGCATGATCCCGTAGTAGAGATCTTCAGCAATCTCATCACCCCAGGCGTACGCTACTCAGCCGAGGCCTACGACCTCGCCAACCGCCGCTGGTACCGTCTGAACGTCACCGAGCCCGACGTCCCAGACGACGACTGGCTTTCGGCAACTGTTGCGGGGCACACCAAAGCCCACCACGACGCCCACGGAGAAGTGCCCCCATGGAACACCATCACCCTCCCCAGCCGCGACGGCCCCGCCACCTTCACATCCCTCCCAGACAGCCAAGTCAGCCGGCCCATCCGGACTTCCCTCTCCTACGGCACCTCCCCCACCGACGGGCAGCTCCCAACCACACCAGCCACCTCACTGCAGCACCTCACCTACCTCAGCCGCGCAACCGACCGCTGCGTCTGGCGCGGCCGCGCCTGCGTCTTCAAGCGCGTCGAGTTCGACGTCGACGTCGAGGGTATCGCCGGCGAGATACGCGCGCGGGAGGCGCTTAGGGGGGCGCTCTTGTCGTCGTCGTCGTCGTCGTCGTCGTCGTCGTCGTCGTCGTCGTCGTCGTCTGCGGGGGATGTTGATCTCGATGCTGAGATGATGACGCGGTTCTGCGTTGTTCCGGTGCTGGCGGTGGTGATTGGGGATCGGGTGCCGTGGAAGCAGGGTACGGTTGCTGGTGTGCTGATGCCGTTTTGTGGTAGGGATCTGGAGATGCTGGGTAGGGCTGGGGTGGGAGAGGGGGTTGCGGTGACGGTGAGACAGCTGGCGGAGGTGGTGCGCGGGGTGCGGCGGTTAGGGGAGTGTGGTGTGGTGCATGGGGATATTAAATACTGGAATACGGTGCTGCAGCAGAGGGAGGGGGAGGAGGAGGCGAGGCTGGTGCTGATTGATTTGGGGACGGTGGCGCCGGAGTATGAAGGGGATGTTAAGGTTTTGGGGACGTTGCTTTTGTGGTGTGTGGAGAACGTAAAGGGGCTGAGGGAGGATGTGGGGGTGAAGGCGAGGGTGGTTGCTGCTGCTGCGGCGCTGAGAGCTGGAGAGGACTTTGATGGTGCGTTGGCTTGTTTGGCTGATGAGTAGATGGTGGTCAGTTCTCATCGTTGTATATAAGGAAGAGATTGGGGAGTGAGAGCGATGCGCCCAGGTTTCGGCCAAATTCCGTTGATGTCCAAGACTCGAGTAAAACAATCAGCGCACAGCCAGGAACACACGGGGTCCAACGGGTAGAATTCTTCGAAATACTTTCTGAAGAAAAGATGGCGGCTGAGAGTGTATCATTAATTTACAAAAACATCGCTGGAGAGTACCAATCCTGTGCTGTACAATTACAATGAGGCCGCGCGCTTCCCTTGCCCCAGTTCCGGCTAAGCGTAACCACGGGACGAATGCCTCTATAGTCCAAAGAACAAAGGCGCCGCTCAAATCCCAGATCACAACCGTGCTGTGGTGGTTGGAAGACGTCCGTCTAAACCACATTTGCCGGTTTCACGCATCCTGCCATGTGCCTGTAACGCCGTAACCCCCCTCTCCCAAAAGAAATAAACCAGCTATAGCAGCCTGCTTCTCGGCATCAAGAGACCAAAATGCCGAACCCAAGATCCTCCTATGATTTGGACGCGTCTTCCGGCCCTCTCTCCTGAGATTCGTCATCGTCATCGTCATCATCCTCGAGCGTTTTCGAGTTGCCCGACTTGAGCAGAGCAGCAGCTTCGCCAACTTCCATAGCGTGGAGTCGTTCCTTCTGTTCTTCAAGCCCGGTTTGTTTTCGCGCTCCCGCGGCGAGCTGCTGACTAGAGACGGCCTCAACCTCAAACTCGTCGTCATCATCACCGCTATCCTCCTCTCCACTCTCGGCGGCAAGGGGCGTCGGGGGCGGGGAAAGGGAGGTTGTTCGTCCCGAGGAGGACTGCCCCGAGGGTGACGACCGTCGTCGATTTGCATCGCGGGGATTGTACGGCTTGATGGTGGGATCGAACCTCGCAGGGAGGCCAATGGCTGCGGCGACTCGATGCGCCTCCTCGTCCGGCGATATGCCCTTCTCAAACTCGTATACACTGCTCGCCTCGCTATCGGCCTCGTGTCTTCCCGAGTTGTACGCGAGCATAGCGGCGTAACTCTGTCGCGAGGGATCCTGAGATCGCTTCTCTTTCTTCTTCAACCGCTTGTCGTCTGGCCTGACCACTACCACGGGGATAGGGCTATATTGGAGACAGTATTTGGAGAAGGAATTTCGCGCGTTCATCAGTCCCTGGAACCCTCCCAGGGTCCGCCCCTTAGTGCCGACCACAAGCATGGAGGGGTTGTAAATTCCGAGCTGGTGTCCGAGTTAGCAGCGCCACCACGACATCATATCCAATCGCCGAGAACACCTACCAATTGCTGGAATGTATCGTGCAGCTTTCCGACCGAGTATTCCAGTATGATACTGATGGCCTTATTCAGTTCGTTCTTGGACTTAATTATCTCCAACAGCTTCCTCGCATCCTCCTGGTAGTTCTTGTCGGGGCGAACGGGGTTCTCCATGACTCTCACGCAGATAATCTCGTCGCCGTCGTCTACCATGTGGGTCAACAGCCAGACCAAGGCATATTGCGAATAGTTGTGTTCGTCGACGCCGATCATGAATGTGCGCGATCTTCGTGACGAGTGGTAGCCCTGATGGCGCGCTTGAAGAGTGAATGACGAGGGATTATTCTTGGTCGCTTCCCCGACGGGGAGGTTGTCAAACCCAACATGTTGTTCGAACCTGTGAGGGGGAGGCGGCCTCTCTGTTAGCGTGGCCATGCTGGACTGGAGCTCGGTGGTATGAAGTGGCGGGTTGGAATTCTAGATGGCTGCAGGAAATGACAAGACTGAAAATCGAAGTTGAGAGAAAGGCAGTGACAGCAAAATCTTGCGGGAATTACTTGATCTTGGAAGGGGACCCAAATTGGTAGCCGCCGAGGAGGCGATAAGGGGATGGAAGATGACGAGGGGGGAAACGTGATGTCTGCACATGCGCATCGGGCCATGGCGATCTCGACTTTCTTGACACAGCCACAACCCGGAAGCCCACAAGCGAACAAAAGGCGGGCGGAATCGAATATCGAGGGCACTTCTGCCGCCCTGGCTAACGGAATTAGGCGAAAGGGATGACATCGTCCAGCCAGATCCAGCAAGTTAGTGGGGTTGCGGGGTCGCACGTCGGAGCTTTTGTCGTCGGCGGGACTTGGCCCGGCCTGCCGTCCACGATGCACCGTCGAGCTCGCGTGAGAAACCCGGCTATGCTTCAGCCACTCGCCATGCATCGCCGTGATCTGCCGATGCCCCCTCCGTCCCGTCCTTCTTCTCATGCAACGGCTTTGGTTCGCAGATAGGATGAGCCTCTCCCGTGTGTGGGCCCGGTGCATGCGGGGAAAAGCCGGGGAGACGCTGCATGCTCTTCCCATGTGCGGCGCAACCGGGATGGGAGCACGTTCAGGGACGGCCTCACCACGCCAGCTTGGCACTTGCCTCGCACGTGAAGAGGCGTCCAGGGCTAAAGCGACAGGAAATGCCAAGGGCAGAGACATATGCGGCTTTCGTTGGGAGCAAAAGGGCTCCAGAAAACAAAACTGGCTCTCTGGAGTACCACCACTCGGTTTGAAGGCGTGGGGTAGGGTAGGGGTGATGAACAGCAGCATGTGGTTCCAACAGGGAAAATCGCAAAAATAGGTAAAGCAGGCACTCACCTCACAGGCGAAGGGGAAGACTCCCGTAGCCGCCGATTATCCGTCTTTCGCGGGTGGCCTTGGGGCAGGGACGGGTTTCGTGGTGGCTGGAATGTTACAGACGCGGTTGAAGACTTCCTATGTCCAACAGAAGGGCGGCTGCTGTCGTTAGAGGATTGCCGCGAGCTCTCGAGATGGCACTCCTCTGAGATGGACGCCAGGGTGGCAGTGCTGGCATCAGTCGATACCGACACAAACGGGCGGGATAATCCATTGCGCCTCAGGTCGCCGTTGGGGCGCGACTCGGCCGAGAAATAGTCGGCAGGTCTCGACGGCACTTTCGTACCCGGAGACACATCCGAGTCGGGGCTTTTGGCGACCGGCGAAGATGATGTTAATCGGACCACATTGTCGAGAACCTTGGCCATCGTATGATGGGATCTCGTGTGAATTTGTCGGTTTTTCGAGACTATGCCAGTGCTCGTACGGCCTCACGCAGAGGCCAGCAGAGGCTATCCTGCGACAACAACTCGCATGGGGCTCACAGAACCCGAGCACGAGTGAAAACCTGGCGCCAGGGCACCAGATGGCGACGTTGAAGCCGGCGCGCGTCTACGAGGCGATCGTGGGCGGATGGAGTACTGCTCGTAAGAAATGGCGGAGTCGGTCAACAAGTGGCGGGTGGCTAATAAGGTAGGTATTGAGGTACGGATATGGAGATGGGACGATCAGGTATCCGAGTCGCGTACAGACTGCCAGGCACCTCGCAGGTAGGCAGCGACGAGCAGGTGACAGAGAAATTAGGCCGGTGATCGATGTGGAATGAAGAGTCGAGCGCAAGTTGGCAAGTGCAGGTCAAACCGAACTCGATGGTTCCAGTTATGAGCAGGAGTAATCTGTACTAATAGCTTGCTTGGGTCGAGTGTTGGAAGGAGCTTCCTGCGGGGCGGGGGCCAAGTGACTTAAAGCTGAGGCAGAGCTGGGCTTGGCTTAGGCGGTTCTGCCACTGCCTCGTGGAGCCAAGATACAAAGAGGGACAAAATGGGCTGATAGATCGGACAAATTCACCTTCGCGAAACAACAAGGACAAGACCCAGATGGGCATGGGAGCCGGGGGAATAATAAGCCAAAGCTTGGCTGCACATGAGGCACCCCGTCAGCGCTCAGATATCGCGGCTCGAGTTTCCAAGGTGACACTTCTCTTGCATATTTTTCGCCGTACGGCTTGGCAGCAGGCTGATGCAACGCTCCATCCTTGCAACTGGGCACCACTGGAGGGCCCAACGGCACCACGGCTGCGGCAATGGGCGAGCCGTCAATTTAGTGCCGCCGCAGGGCCGCATGATGAACCTTCTGGACCCCCCCAGTTATTTCTCGTGGCTTTAACCGCTTCGAGCAATCTTGCCCTCCCGCTTCCCAGCATGTGAAGGTTGGAAAGCGGTCCGGGCCAGACGCGGTCGATCACAGCACGTCAAACAGTGCCAATAGCGGTATCCGTAAACTAAACGGCTCCGACAACCGACGACAAAATCCGGGGTTTCGGAAGAGGGTCCAGAACAACAACGTTCCCAGACATGCCGACCTCCCGACCTCGTCGGTAACCCCACATTACACGCCCGCGAAGTACCTGTAGCCATGTTCCGAGGCCCGTTCAACACGGTGAGACACGCACGGCACGGCAGGCCAAGCTTCAGGCGGTAGGGCCTTGGCAGCCCACCGCTGGGGTCCTGTCGAACGCGCTGGAGGGGGTGGTGGCACCGGCCCAGGTACGCAGACTGCGGGGAGCCGACTCCCCGTTGAAGATCAGCTTGAATGGATGTATGGACATACGTACACGGCAGCATTCATGGTTCCAGAGGTCGACACAGCCGCGCCCACGCCGGATATCGTCACAACTCGCCTCGACAGCCGCCGGCCCCACCGCTCTGGGATATGAAGCGCAGTCTTGGTATCTTGGTATCTTGGAAACGGCAGGGTTCGGCTTCCACCGTCCCGCCAAGATGCCCAGTGGTGGGGTTGTCGTCGACAGCACCAAGGTCCTGAGGTCCCGTGAGAAACGCCCCTGTCGTGATGCCGAAGGACAGACGATCCGTGAGGCGGTCTGCGGAATGGGAAGGAGAGAGACGAGGCTGGGATGTCTCATGTATGTATGCAGTGAGAGAGCCCGGCCGATAACGTGAGGGGAAGCTGGGTTGATTACAGATTACAGATGGATGTACTGCTCGGACATAGCTCCGTCGTACCTCCGGACGACCTACCTACAGGCCCTTCAAAAGTAAGACATGCAACGACCTCGTATCTCGGCCATCAAAACAGTGAAGTCCCAAACTACTGTCTTGCTCGTACCCTTTGGTCCTTTCCGCGGATTGTGCGCGATAATCGTGATCAAACCGACTACAGATGAATATCCCCGGTACCTATCTCTGTGCAGGAGTTTGGGCGCCCAACGAGGTGCACTTGCAATCTTGAGATCGGGTTGAGGTTGGGTTTTTGCCCACCGAGTGGTTTCCTTTATGGCTGCGTCGCCAGCTCAGGTTATGGAGGATTTAAGTGAACTCCCATCGCCGTCTGATATTCCAGCGTTGTTTTCCTGTAGATCTTTTCAGCAGCTCTGTCAGGCCTCCTGGCGGCAACGCCGGGATTATTCCACCTTTCGTCCCCCCCCCGGTGCTTCACAAAACACTCAAAATATCCAGCAGCTCCAGCGTGAGGTGAACGACCTCAGGGCTGACCTGACCAACGCCAGGTCGTGGATCCAGAACTTAGCTCTACGGGTTCCTCCTGAGGTTCTTGCGAACAATCTCTGGGAGTCTGTTCCCAGACCTCCTGCCCCAAGTGGTAGTGTTGGTTCGGGCAACGGTGGTCCAGGTAGAGGCGGTGGTGATTCCCGAACCTCTACCGTAAGTGGCCCTGCGCTTACAGATGCCCCGTGTGCTCACTTAGGTACTGATGGTCCAGGATCGTTGGGGGCACCACTGCTGTTCAGGTTGTGTCCGAGTCTATTCCTCTTGGTGTTTGGACTTGGAGGCTCTTTGAGTTTGTTGCTCTACTGAGTCCTTCAGGCTATGAATAGGTATCATATGATAGACGTGCTTCGCATTTTAGAGCTGAGTAATTATCTCGGGTTGGAGTAGCACTAAACTTTTGATATACCTCCCATCTTTTCTTCTCGCTCGCGCAGCGTTTTGACAGATGTATCTTTTTGTTACCCTACTTGGTAAAAGTTCGCATTATTTTACTTTATTACTTTATTACTTTATTTACTGAGTGAAGATGGGAGCAAATCTTGGCGGGGGGGAGGGAAGCGAAGAGCAAAAAGCCAATGAGCCTTTCAAGGTTAGGTCATTATCGAACCACCTACCAGCTTCCAGGTTGTGTTTAATTAATAAAAACTGCCCTTGCTACCCACAGGCCGATCCAAGAAGCTGACCCCCCGCCCACTTTGCAGTGACCAAAAAAGAAAAGAAACGGCACTGCCATTGGGAGATCTGGAACCAGATGATCTCAGACGGGATTCGAGTCTCATGTCACCCCACCTTAGCTCCAGCCTCCAATCGAAGCTCCCCTCATCCAATCCTCTTTCCCCGCGTCGTCGGACATGCAGCCGTTCTTCCCCAAACCGGAATGCATGTGCTGTTCGCTGCCAGCCAGAGGAAACCCTTCCCACCAACCGAGACCAAACTCACAGGGTGCACCACACCCGACCACACCACGCCGCCACGCCACACATCGACGGCTCCCAGCTGCAAGCTGCACCCCCCGCATCGGCCACAAAAACAAGCATCAAACCAGCAACCCGAACTGTGCAGCATCCTGCGCCAAGCGTCAACGGGGCTAGAACGCCTACGAATGGCCTCCCGTGGTCCGATCCGAACAAGGGCATCGTGGTCGGAGGCCTCCGTCCCTTCGGCCAGAGCCTTCCCGAGCCGAACCACTCCTGGGGCATCTGGGAGCAGGACATCAACACCACCCTCGAGCATGCAACATTGCGTTGTTTAAACGAGATCTACTCTCTATTACGTCACTTCCCCCATTCTCTCCCACCCTTCCCTCTTTTCTTTTTTCTTTCTTTCGTAGCGAGTTACACGGTTCTCGAAACAACAACAACAACCAAACCCCCGGGAAGCGTTCCGAGCCAACCAACCACGGGACGATCAACACCCACCCTCGAATGCCGGCCGGCGTTATCGGGCCTTGGCGTCTTTTCTCTCTTCTCCGCCGAGGAATCCCAGAGGAACGCAAGGGAAGTGCGTATTGAAAGACGCTGTACCACCGACCACGCTATCTCCACGGTGCAGCGCTTAGTAGTACGTGCGCAGATTACAAAATGCTTTGTATAACGTTAGCAAGCAGTACAAAGTACCTCCCGCTGCTTCCGCGGACAGGGGCCGGAAGTGTCGTGATTGAGGATTGTGATGATGGGGGTCAGTCAGCATGGCTGTCATTATCGGGGAACACGGTAACAGCGGAGTGGGTTATGAGTGAAAATATCTTGGCTTTGCGACTCCAGGGTCTTGTCGCGCCCGCTTCTACGACGGGCGCAAGCACAGCGCAACTATCTCCTCTCATAAGATCAGGAACTTTTGCCCCCCGCCTCTTGTCCCTGTCATTCCATGTCATAAATCCGGGGTCCTCCCGAGGTTGATTTCTCCGGACCGCCCACCGGAGAAGGCAAACGTTATCATCGGCATCTGTTCAGTACCCATTGTAACACTTTTGCCAGCCAACTTGCTCACCGCCCCTCCCAAACCGCCCGATGTGTCCGTCCGTCCGACGCCTAATATGCAATGATTCCGAGACCTGCGTAGCCCCGACTCCTCGGTCCCAAGATTACACAATGACTAAGGGGAGCAAGAGAGGGGACGGGTTTGATGCTCCCGCCCGCGTCGTCGCTAGCATCAGTGCCGTCTCTATTTCGCCTTCTCCGCTACGTCTACGCGTATGTGCGAGACAGGTTGCGGATGTACCAGTCAACCAGCTTGCGGCCCATCTTCGCCTCCGAGATGTGGATGAGGTCCTGGAAATAAAATCAGTATACGTTACAGACAACACGGTCTTCGTAGAACACTTACACCCTGCAGCGCATAGTCAAGGTCGCTGACGTTGACAGGCTCGCCCTCGAGGAGCCCGTTTTCGGTCCACCGGAGCTGCTTGGTCCGCTGCTTGCTAACGAGCAACCACGAGCGGAGCTCCTCGGGCTTCACGTTGAGGAAGCCAGCCAGCTTCTTCAGGTCCATGGTGGTGTACAGGCGCAGGTACGACTTGATGGTCGGGCTCCACATGTTGGTCTTGACCTCCTCCATGAAGACGGACAGGTGGTGCTCGATGGGGTCGATGTTGGCCTCCGGCTTGTCGAAGTCGGGAGGAATCGGCGACATGAACTTGGGGCACGCGATCTTAAAGAGCTCCTCGAAGACGGGGAGCGAGTCGGGCCCGCCGCGCTGCAGCTTCAGCAGCTGGTCGCCGTACTTCTCGCGCAGGGCCGTGTGGATGGTGTCATCCAGACGGGTGGGGTGGAACGCGACGCAGATGGCGATCAAAGCCAGCATCTGGTCGTTCTTCTTGGTGATGGAATCGTACTGCGTGTTCTTCTGGAAGTTCTTGGTCCGCGAGACGTAGATCAAGATGTGGCTGAACATGCGGATGGCATCGGCGTAGCGGCGCATCATCATGTACGAGAAGCCCACATAGTAGTAGGTAGTGAAATGGGCGGCCATCACGCGGGCGAACATGGCCTTCTTGTTCAGCTCGATATCATCCAGGGTCTTGAGCGCGAGGCTGAAGTCTCCGAGAAGGCAGTGAACGCGGAGGAGCCCGATGATGGAGAAATACCCCAGCATGCGGTAGAGGTTCTTGGAACCGTAAGGGCCAGCGACGGCCATGGGGTCCTCGTTCCGCTTCATCGCCGCAAGCTGCTCGGTGATTTGAGACTTTTGGATGAGGGAGTATAGGACGTTGAGCACGCTGTAGCAGCCCCATGTGTTCGGGTTGTCGCGCAGAATCTGAGCCTCCTCCTCGTTGCTGGCTTGCCTCGCAATCCGAGCCCGGTACGTGCAGAAGGTGTTGAATTGGTAGATGAACTCGTCAATCACATCCCACGCCCAGTAATACTATTTTCGAGTCAGTGACCCAATAACAAGGCTGGAGCAAGCGGCGGGAGGCTAACCGATGGTGGCTCTAGGTCTACGGGACCTTCTGAGTTGAGGATGTAGTGGAACAGGGCGCAGTAGTTATCGTAGCTGGCGAACTTTGTCTCGAGGGTCGCCTGGAAATCCAACGGCTGGGAAGCCTGGACTAGCCGGGACTGGATTTCATCGGCCTGCTGAGCGAGCGTGGCCTGGTCTATCTCCTCCATGCCACCCTCGGAATATTGAACCTGCTCCCTGTAGTCGGCAACAAGGGCCTCCTCCTCGACATCGCTGTCGTCCTCCATAGCGCGGGCGGGCGCCATGCCGGTCTGGTAACTCATATTGACGGTCGCTCGGGACGGTTGTGAAAAGCGACTCGTGGGATGGTCAAGTCGTGGTTGTCGCCGGCGTTCTTGGTCGTGACCGTCGCAAAGACCCGAAATGGTTTGCTCGGTGGGGCTGGATTTTTGTGGTCGAGGGGCTTGGACCAAGCGGTGAAATTTCAATGGCGCTGCACCGGTTTAGGGTTTGGTGTGTATGGGTAAAATTTCGTTGATGGTTACACCTCGGTTATCGCATATTGGATTCAATAGAGATTTGAACATACACTCGTGACACTGTACTAACCAACGGGATGTTGGATGTCTCACTCCGTCATTATGATTGTAAATGAATCATCTCAGATTTGCTACTACAAATGGTCGCTGCCGTGAAAGAACCGGACCACGCACGATGCATGGTCTGTTGCCACCATCGGCGCCTAATATTGCTGTAGCCAATATATACGATCTGGGCTTTTTTCTGCCCCGCCACGCCACGCCAAAACATCCCACTTTCCTTCCTTGGCTGGGCGTCCCTTGAAGGTGTTAGTCAGGCCGACAAATTGCCCCGCGGCTTCCGTACCTTTTGCCTCCCCTCCTATCTCCTAATACTACTAGTATAGTACACTGGCACTTACCTAAGGTACCTACCTTCCAGCGGTCTTTTAGATCAAGACACCAAACAAACAACTCGAGCTTGTCTTGTGGCACCCCAGGATATCAAACCAAGATGCCAGTCGTCAACCCAGAAAAGCTGGCAACGCTCCAGCAAAATGCTAATGACGTGCGGAACGTGAGTCTCAATAATTCCAAAGAAAACAAATAAAAAATAAAAACAACACTAGAATTTAAGCTAATCGAATTCCAGATCTGTATTTTAGCCCACGTTGTAGGTATCCGTATCCGTATCTCTTCACGGCTTGAAGAACTAGGTTGAACGAAGCTCATACATTAATTATAGGACCATGGCAAAACATCCCTCACCGATGCCCTCCTTGCCACAAATGGCATCATCTCCCCAAAACTTGCCGGCAAAATTCGGTATCTAGACTCTCGGCCGGACGAGCAGCTCAGGGGTATCACCATGGAGTCATCAGCTATCTCCCTCTATTTCTCGATGCTCCGGAGGTCAAGCCCTGAAGCTACCCCTGAGCAAAAGGAGTACCTCATCAATCTGATAGATTCACCCGGCCATATTGACTTCAGCAGTGAGGTTTCCACAGCATCCCGTCTCTGTGATGGTGCTGTTGTCTTGGTTGACGCCGTGGAAGGCGTGTGCAGTCAAACCGTCACCGTCCTAAGGCAAACATGGACCGAGAAGCTTAAACCACTGCTCGTCATCAACAAAATAGATCGCCTGGTTACCGAGCTAAAAATGACGCCGACCGAGGCATACGTTCACCTCAGCAAACTCTTAGAACAAGTCAACGCCGTTCTCGGGAGCTTCTTTCAGGGGGAGCGGATGGAGGAGGACCTCAACTGGCGGGAGCGGATGGAGGCCCGTGTCGCTGCTTCCGCTGCGAAAGAAGCCAAACTCGCAGATCAACTAACGGATTCCGGAGAGTTTCGCTTCGAGGAGAAAGACGACGAAGAGATTTACTTCGCCCCGGAGAAAAATAACGTCATTTTTGGCAGCGCCATCGATGGCTGGGCTTTCACGGTGCGCCAGTTTGCCGGACTTTACGAAAAGAAACTGGGCATAAAACGCAATGTTCTAGAAAAAGTCTTGTGGGGGAACTTCTACCTGGACCCCAAGACGAAAAAGGTTCTGGGTCCCAAACATTTGAGAGGAAGGGCGCTGAAACCCCTTTTTGTCCAACTCGTGCTCGACCAGATCTGGGCCGTCTACCAAGCCACCGTCGGCGATGACAACGGAAAGGGGGACGCCACTCTTCTCGAGAAGATTACCAAATTCCTGAACATAACTATCCCGCCTCATATCCTACGATCGCGAGACCCGAAACTCCTGCTCACAACCGTCTTTGCCTCCTGGCTCCCCGTATCCGTCGCTTTACTCGTCTCCGTCGTGGAGTCGCTCCCATCGCCGAGCGCGGCACAGACTGAACGCTTCCCACTGCTACTGGAAGACGTACCGGGGGCAGACCACATCGACCCTAAGGTCAGGGACGCAATCGTTTCGTTCAAGAAGGGGCCTTCAGACCCAGTCGTTGCGTACGTGAGCAAGATGGTGTCGATGAAAGAGAGTGAGTTGCCAGAGAACAAACGGCGCGGGCCCATGAGCGGCGAGGATGCAAGGGACTTGGCGAGGAAAAAGCGTGCCGAGGCAGCGCGTGCCGCACAAGCTAGCCAGAGTGAGAGCAACGATATGGATGCCCTAGCGTCCGCCTTCTCGAGCGCCACCCTGGAGCAGAAGGCCCAGGAAGAGGAAGAGAAGGAGGCCGAGGCGGAGCACTTGATCGGCTTCGCGCGTATCTACTCTGGCACTCTATCCGTCGGCGACGACATTTACGTTATTCCGCCAAAGTTTTCCCCGGCACATCCGCTCACAGAGCCCTCGCCTAAGAAGGTGAAGGTGACAGGGCTCTACATGATGATGGGCCGGAGTCTGGAGGCCCTCGACTCCGTTCCGGCTGGCGTGGTCTTTGGGATTCGAGGGCTTGAGGACAGCGGCATCCTCAAATCCGGCACCCTCTGCAGCCAACTGGAGGGAGCAATCAACCTGGCTGGTATTGCAAACACCCTCGGTCGCCCGATTGTGCGGGTAGCCTTGGAACCGGCCAACCCGGCCGACCTGGACAAGATGATAAAGGGCCTTCATCTCCTCGTCCACAGCGACCCCTGTGCCGAGTATGAGCAATTCGCGAGCGGCGAGCACGTCCTGTTGACAGCTGGTGAACTTCATCTCGAACGCTGCCTGACAGATTTGCGGGAGCGGTTCGCCGGTTGTGAGATCCAGTGTGGTGCGCCCATCGTACCATACCGCGAAACCATCGTCCGGGCCGAAGAAATGCGTCCGCCCGTCAACAAAGAGTTCGGACGCGGCGTGGTGGTCGGTGTCACAAGCTCCAAACAAGTGACCATCACGTTGCGAGCAAGGCCTTTGCCCCAGGATGTTACCGACTTCTTACTCAAAAATGCAGGAGGTATCAAGCGATTGTACTCGGATCGCGGGGCTACGGAGGCGGAAGGATCATCGACACATGAGCCAGTCACAGAGACTGGCGCGGTTCAAGACGACTCCCAAGAAGCTGACGACGACCTTACCGCCGCCAGCAAAGCTCTCTCCCCCGAGGAACTTGGGAAACAGCTCCAGTCCCAATTCGACAGCGAGAAGGATCGCCTTGACTCCTGGAAGGGTATCATTGACCGCGTCGTCTCCTTCGGTCCACACCGCATAGGCCCCAACCTCCTTATCGATGCCACCAAGGAGCAATTCCTCCCGAAGGCCTTCAACACCCATAGCAGCCACAACAACGACAACGGCCGCCCGTCAGCCAACGAATCCCTCGGCCCGCACCACTTCTCCGACAAGATAACCTATGCCTTCCAGCTCGCCATGTCCCAGGGCGCGCTCTGTAACGAGCCAGTCCAAGGCGTAGCCATCTTCATCGAAGACGTCTCCGTCGCCGCAGCCGACAGCAGCAGCGGCGAGGATGCCACCTCGGCACGCGATAACCTGGGCCGCCTGACGGGCGAAGTAATCAAGACAGTCCAGCAGTCCATCCACAAGGCCCTCCTCGACTGGTCACCGCGGCTCATGCTAGCAATGTACTCGTGCGAGATCCAAGCCTCCAGTTCGTCCCCCCCGCCCCCAAACAACCCCCCAACCCATCCCAACCCTCTCAAAAACAAAACCAGACTAACTAACCCAACCCCTCCCCACCCACAGCCGAAGTCCTCGGCCGCGTCTACGACGTACTCACCCGGCGGCGCGGACGGGTCCAATCAGAAGCCATGAAAGAAGGCACGCCCTTCTTCACGATCCAAGCCCTACTCCCCGTAGCCGAGTCATTCGGGTTCGCCGACGACATGCGCAAGCGGACGTCGGGCGCCGCGCAGCCGCAGCTCATCTTCGCCGGGTTCGAGATCCTCGACGAGGACCCCTTCTGGGTGCCCTTCACCGAGGACGACCTCGAGGACCTGGGCGAGTTCGGCGACCGGGAGAACGTGGCCAAGCGCTACATGGACGGCGTCCGGCGGCGGAAGGGTTTGTTGGTGGAGGGCCGGAACGTGGCGACGGATGCGCAGAAGCAGAAGACTTTGAAGCGGTAGTTTTGTTTGTATTTCGGTTTCGGATTTCTTTTTGGGGGGTTGAGAATAGGGGTGGACTGATGAATTAAAATCCGGTGTGTTGGGTTGGCATAGTTACTGAACTTGAGCACACACTTGAACAAAATGCGAGATCATGTCACAAGTTGAATCCATGTTTTGTAAATGCATCCTATTCCTTTTGCTATCCCTCGTCTAAACCGAGTAGAGACCCCCGCGAAAGCCTGCCCGAAGCCAACCAAGCTCCCATCCTGGCCCAGCCCGTGAAGCATGCCATCGTCTAAACGCATAAAGAATGCCGTCGTCGTCCAGGCATAGAAATGTCAGAGCCGGTTAGTGGGCAGGTTGCATGAGATGACCGAAAAAACCAAAGAGATCGGCGGAATCCCCTTCGAAGTTTAAGGGAGCCCGCATTCCGTACCCTCACCGCCCATATCTATCTCAACGCCCCCTAGAGTCGAGATTCGCCAACTTCAGCAGGAAGAGCAGCCTGCCGCGGCGACCGAGAAATAACCCGCACGCCGTGTCATCTGCCCCGTTGGGCCGAAGCCCGTCATCGTAAAATATAGAAATCCGCGCCGTTTTCCCGGGGCATAAACCATAAACGTCGTGCTCGGGAAATGACGAGGCATGTATACTGTTTCGGTATAGCTGGAATATCATGTGGTTCGAGATGGCCCCGTCGTATAGCCCACCATCACCTGTTTTGGACATCAAACTGATAGCGCAAGGAAAGATGAGTACGAGGTCCCGCCTTTGAATAGACGGTGATGCACGCGAGGAAAGATATATCAGGCAAATCGATCCAGTCCCGAGAGGTGGGACAAGAGAAGCTTGCATGAAGCCGAGAGCGCTGCTGCTCGGCTATCCAAGCCAACGACACAACGATGTTTTTGGGGGCAGACAATTACGGCGAGAATGCCGATGACGAGTGCCGTCGATTGGCCAAGGTCAACAACTCGCCAAAGTCGACGCGGACCCGGAACTCCCGCGACGGAGTGGCGAGAACGAGTCTATGAAGGTGTTATGTGTGCATTCAGGATGCTACCGGGCGGCCGCTCTGCCCACGGCGGCCTTTGACTGGGGCGGCGACCGTGGTCCAGCCGTCTTCATCAACAGTCGGGGTTGGCGGTGCTTGCTCACTGGTGGGGGACAGCGGCTGCTGCGGGGTGGAGCCGTTACCGTTGGTGCGGGGCGGGCGTGCGGTATCCCGAGGACCACGAGCGGGACCGCCCCGGCGGGGACCGCTGGGGACATGGCTGCCACGAGACGGGGCACGCTGCTCGCCTGGCGCTGTTCTCCAGTTACCGCTCTCGACAGCCCGTGACTTGGGCGGTTCCCGTGCCTCACGGGTCCGAACCGGGATTTTCTGCTCGGTTGAGGCTTCGTTTCCAGCACCCTCCTCGGGGGCGGTCTTTGCCTCCGCCGCAGACGCCTCCTTTTCCTCCTTGGCCTTAGCCGCCGCCTCTTCAGCTGCAGCCTTCTCCTCTGCGGCCTTCTCGGCGGCTTCCTTCGCAGCAGCCTCCTTAGCAAGCTTCTCCTCCTTTGCCTTCTCCTCGGCTTCTTTAGCAAGCTTCTGGCGTTTCTCTTCGATCTCGCGCGTCCGTGCGGCGGTGTCGATAGGGCGAGCCGCGCCGAAGGGGCTAGCCTTCGAGTCGCTAGCGTTGGAGGTAGCTGCCGCATCGGTCGCCTCCGAAACCGTCCGCTTTGCGAGATTCAACTTGGGGCGTCCTGCGGGGAGGGCTACCGACGGCGCCGGCGAAGGAGGCGCCTCACTGCCCTCACGAGATTCACCGGGCGACTTGACAGAGGAGTCAGGCCGCATGTTGTTTCTCCAGTTGAAATCCTTCTCGGCAGCCGTGGGGGCGCGCTCAGGGCGCTCGGGTCGCTCGGAAAATTCCCGGCGAGGCGGGCGGGAACCCTCCTGACCCTCACCAGGACCCCAAGCAGCGGGCGAGGCTCTCCGGTTTCCGCCGCGGAATGACTCGGACCGGGTTTCCATGGTACGCGAGCGAGACCCCTCGCGAGATTCGGGGCGCTCGGGTTGGGTTAGGGGTGATAGGGGGCCGCGCCGCTCCCAGGAATTGAAGTCGCGGACCTTGCCATCGTCGTTGGGCTGGTATTCCCGGCGGCGTTCCCCGAAGTCGCCACCACCACCGCGACGATCACCGCCGCGGCCAGGAATATCAGCTAGGGGGCCCCTCTTTGCGCCCCAGTCGAGGTCTCGCATGCCCTCCGATGAACCGAAGCCGCCACCCCTCGCTTCGAAGATAGTCAGCTACCTGGGTCACATTTCTCTAGACAATCGTCAGACTCACGTGGATCAGCAACCTTGACACGGATGGCGCGTCCCTCGAATGTCTGCCCATCACGGGTAAGGGCGGTCTTGAGGCCCTCGAGGTCGCCAAATTCGGCGTAGGCAAAGCCCTTGGGCCTGTTCTGCTCACGGTCCTCGATAATCCGCACATTCACAATATTGCAGTCTTCGAAGAACTCAGTGACCGTCTCGACGGTTGCGTCGTAGGACAGATTGCCGAGATGCGCAGTATAGGGCGGCTTGGTGGGTAGTTCCTGGGGTAGGTTATCGCGGATGGAGTGGTAGCCTGGAACAACTCGAGTTAACCATGAGGACAGAGAGTTTCCGGTGACGACAAGACATACCCCGATCATTACCACCACCATACGAGGTCATCGTGCGGCGGTCGGAGGGGGGCAGGGGTTGGGTGCCTAAGTGCGGGTTAGCCTGTCGGTTCCTGGATTACCGCGGACGAGAGGCTGACGGAATCGAGAAGAAACAATCAAGCACTCATCGATGGCGACAACTTACCCAATGTGTCCTCGACTTCGTCGGCCCATGATCCACCGGCACCGCCGAGGGCTACAGCGTCGGGTCAGCAAACCATCAAAATAGGCGGGCGATGTGGCGTGGCGGTAGGGCCTGGGAAATTGATGAAAGCGGCCTTGGCGTAAAGGGAAGCTTACAGGTATCATTCATAAACTCAGTCAGAGTCAACTTCTGGGTTTCCTTTTTCTTGGGAGCTATCCGTGAGGGTCAGCGAAAGATGGGCATGATGATGTGGGCGGTTGCCCCGCGCTGCCGGGAGGTGGGCAGGGGCGGGCATGGTGGGCGGTGCTCACCCATGATTGCGGTTTTTGGGCGCGCGGCGATGTACCACCGAGGCGCGCGATGGGAATATAGTTGACCGAAGGAATGGGTCTTCGGCACGAAGTATAGATAGGTTTCTCGAAGAGAAAAGGTAGAATTTGCTACCCCGGGATGCGGTGGTAGGCGGGGATGAATGAAGGATCAGTGCGAAGATGTGGGCTTCGCAACGCAGTGGTTTGTCCTTGTCACGCAGATTTAGGTGCGGGCGGAAGCGAAAAATTATTAAGGTGAGGTCGATTGAGGAATCAGGGTTGACTTTTTTTTCCGCTCTGCAAGGGTGTGTGGATGCGGCCAATGGCCCCCGCTAGAGCTGATAGGGCTTAGTGCAGACCGGGGGAAAGCTGCCCACCTCGGGCCTGTCGTCCAAGTATTCCATCGTATCATTGCACCAAACTTGAACACTGACAAAACTTCATGACCGGAACTCGACGTAACTTACAAAGTATCGAGACGCACCCACACTGGATGCACTTTTGATACGTGCGGAGCCTTTTGATAACTTTACCCAGATTTATCCCCTTCACCAACGTTTACTTAATCTCAGCAACATCAGTTCAACACATCCTCGTCATATGACTTTTGTTTCTTCTCACAAGATGAAACGCATAGTCGGCCAGAACCCGGAGGAAGACCCGCATCACAGTCGTAATTCGGTCTCTGCACCGTCGCCACCGGAAGGGTCGAGGCCAGTGGAGGGGTCAAGCCCACGGCGGAACCAATCAATTCCACCCGAGTTGGCGGACATTCTCGTGCCTTCGCTCAAAGTCGGGGCGGTTGCCGGTATGGTGGCATACCTACGCTCTCTGTTTACCACCATTTCGGTGTTCTCGGCCTCTAACTGGTGCTAGGTGCATGTGGTATCTTTACCGGAGCGGCGGCCGGGATCATTCGGTCCGCCCCTACACTCTTCTTCTCCGTCATCGCGGGAGGGCAGTGGTTTACACTGGGCACGAGCTACTATGGTGAGGTGTACCGCGCACAGGTTGCTGTTTATTCCTGACACATCCTAGCCACGCGGTTGATGACGTTGAAACATTTTGCGCAAGAAGAACCGACAACTGGTGATAAAGTAAGAGCGAGCACTGTTGCAGGCGGTGTTGCTGGAACTCTCGGCGGTTTGTTGAGTAAGTGTCCGCGCCGTAGATAAATTCCGTCTCCTAACATGATGTAGGGGGGCCGAGAAACGTCATCCCAGGAGCTGTGGTGTTTTCGTTGCTCGGGGCTGGGGGCCAAACCATCGCCAATTGGCGGGCTGTGGAGGCTGCGAAGGCCGCGGAGGTTGCGGAGGTTGCGAAGGCTGCGGATGCGGCTCCGAAGCCGCCGAGCGAGTTCTGGTCGAGATGGAGCCCCATCAAGCAGCTCTCTGACCAGGATTATGAGAACATACTCGAGGAAAAACTTCTCCGAGTGGAAGCTGATATTGCACTCATAGACGACCGCGTCAAGGAGCTCCGCGAATCCGAACGCCGGATGAAGGAGGGGGGTTCCGAAACTGAAAGGAATACAGCACATTCAAACAAGGCTTGATTACGGTTAGGGAAACGAGTCTCTTGCAGACGTGCCACGAGGAAAGCTGTACCATCTAGTGTAAATTAGTGGACGAATGAGGGATGGGCAAAGACGAAGCTCAAGGTAAAGGTGCTCATTAATTAGTCTATCCGGCCCTATTCCAGTCTAACGTAGTGTACATCTATTTAGGTGAAGTGTCACCGCGGTCAGTGTATCGCCATACACGCCAACTCCGAGGACTCCCAATGCGACTTCTCTCTTGCATCCTGATCGACTGGCGAATAGATATCTGCAGGGACATGTCAGCTCGACGAAATTGGTGCACCACGGGTTCCGGGCTCTTACCATTCTGAGTCGCCCACGTCAAACCACTAACTAGCAAGCGCCGACATGTCGCTGATGAGACAGCCTTCCATCGACCACCCAGACGCCGTTTCTAACGCGGGGCCGGTACCATCAACCTCAGGGGCATCACAACGGACCAGTGAAGTTTCTATCCTCGCCCGAGTAGCCAAGTCTCGGCCAGCCCACTGGGAGATTTGAGTATTTCGGCAAGACATATCGACCCTGGCACTGCATCACCCCACATTTGAGGTCACAGAGTCCGAACAGCTTGCAATAGCAGTCGGATGCCGACGGGCAAAACACGGGCTCTTTCCCGAAGATAACTAGATGCCATTAGCCACGAACGGGTCACTAACAGTTGGTGGGTGGCAGGGCACACTCACTGTGCCACATGTACTCAAACACCCGCCCACTCAAATCATCCGCAAGCGGCGTCTCCAACAACCAGTCCCGCCAGCGGATGTAGTCCTCCCTCGGCCGGCTGTGGATGGCCTCGCGGGAGACGGCAAACTGCGAGCAGCAGCTGACGCCAACCTTCTCGGGGACCTCGACGCCCGGCATCAGCTCCTCAAAGGACTGCTTGTAGATCTGCTTGGCGGTGAGCGGACGGCCGTCGCTGCTGGCGCCGATGCTGCGCGCCCGCTCGGTGGCGGCGTCGACGTGCGGGCGGATCTCGACGGGGCAGCCGAGGACCTGGACGCAGCGGAGGTTGACGTAGCCCGAGGACTGGACGTAGTCCAGGTTGAGGTTGCGCAGGGTCGGCAGGTTGTCGTAGTCCGGGTCGTCGTTGTGCCAGGCGAAGCGCGAGGCGTGGATGAAGACGGTGGTCTCGGCTAGGGTGTCGTAGTTGGCCACGATGTGGGTGAGGTACACCATGGCCTCACGGCCCTTGTTCTCCGGGACCGTCAGCGGGGCCGTGGGCTCGTCGACGACGTAGACGCTGCGGGCCCAGCCCGGGAGGAAGCGATGGACCCAGGTGGTGTCCTCGGCGCTGACGCTAGCCACGACCACCTCTACTCGTGGCTCCGTGGCGAATAGGGACCAGTCCCATTGGAGGTGGAAATGGACGACGAGCAGCCAGCTGCACGTGAGAAGGAGAATGATGGGGATCACGGATCCCCTTGCGCTGGCGGAACGGACCAACATATCACGGCATCAACACAACGCAAGGAAAATAATAAAGTAATAAAGAGCGAGAGACTATGCCGAGTGTATCGGTGGTAGAGATGACATTACGAAGCAAGAAAAGAAGAAAGTCGAAACCGACACAAAGAACATCACAGCCTCCCTAAAGAACCAAGGAGTCCCCACGGCGATCTTCAAGGTTTGTCCCCTTTCCGGGGCCTCGTCAGCAGCGGCACGGCGGGCGGGCGCTCCCACAAGACCCGACCTGCTACCAACTTCATTCCTCGCAGGGCCGCTTATTTCCGGCCAACCATAACTGCGCCCTTTTTCGCCGATCGAAAGACCCAAGAGCTTGGTGAAAGTAACAAACTTGTTCACAAGGCACTTGGCGGCGTTTCGCCCGACGTTGTGGGGAAAGAGTTGCGATCGCCATTTGCCGGATCGGGGGTTGCCGAGCGCCAAACCCTGGCGCGTATCCGCAGTCTTCGTATGGCTTCACGGTCGACAAACTCGGGAAACAGGCCGATGCCGGATTAGCCGCGCGGCATTCCTGATTTGCATACGTTCGTAGTGTGAGGGTAAACCCGAGATAGCTGCACATAACAGTCGTTACCTAAATGGAAGAACGAGATCATTCAATAGTGCTCTTCCCGGCCTTCCCGGTCTCCCCGTTTCTTCTTCTTGTTTCTGGCTGCTCCTCTCGATCCCCCCTGAGCGTTCCGACCAGCGACATGAATCCGCCAACTGCGAGAGGTTGATGCCGGGTTTGCCTCGTCGGTGATGTCGGGAAATCGATAGTGGAGGTCGAGGAGTCGAAGAGGATTAACTAAAGAGGAGGCCTCAACAACCTGGAAGCAGTGGAGTGATTGAGGGTATCCACTAACTAACGACATACGAATATCCTCATTCTCTTCCCATCAGGGGTATGGATATCAGTTTCCACAAAGAGAGGGGAGAGAATGAATGGTGCCGGGCAGTGTGAAGACTTTGCAATACCTTACCATAGTAAACAAGGGAACTTGCTTTTGGATGGTGTACCCGGCAGCGGATAAATCATCCCTTTCATGGCAGTGAGTTGACGAGTGCCAGACTGTTAGGTACCTCGTTAGTTAGTGCAACATCTTTCGTTTTGTGTTCGGGCTTCACACAGACGAGCGAGGTACTGAGGTACCTCATTACCTCCCTCAACTCGACAAAATCAATCGTCAACTGAAAGTGGAAGGATTTGGAATGGGGAAAATTTATTCCAAAAAGCATCTTCCCTTCCCCTTTACTCAAAAACACTCCCCAGTTTGGAATGTCAAGGGCATGGAAAGGAAGTGATGATGCGGCGTGTGGGGTCCAACCCCAGCGGTCCAGGGGTTTTCCACTCACGAACAGCACAATGGGAGAATGGAACCAGGCACTTCATGGACAAAAAAAGCCGAACTCCAAAGCGCAGATGTTGGTAATGGAAATTCGGAGTCCCCAACTGTAGGAACAAAACGAAAGCCATCCTCAAGCCCAAATAAACTTGATTTACTCTATTTACTTTTCCCTTCACCTTCTTTCTGTTATTCGATTTATTCTTCTCGCTTCCTTTTACTTTGTTCTTTTGCTTGATTTTCTGGGTTTTTTTTCTGAGTTCGGCTTTTTTTGGCCAGAGGGTGCCAGGGCTCGTTGGTGGGGGGCGATCAAAGGAACCCCATCAAGCCATCCCGCCCTGGCATTGGGGAATTGCTGGAATTGAGACCCAGTTGTTCATCAAATTCCTTGGCGCGACTTGCTGACAGCTTCGCTCCCTGCCTTTGCTCTTCAATTCTGCCGAGAAGCTTCAAAGCTTGATCCCTGGGCTTGGTGACCGGATAGAGTTGTCGATTTTCCGATCCTGCACCCTTTGCGACCTCAACATTCCAGCGACACCATTTCTGTGCCCCCCGGAGTTCCAGAAACCCCCCGAGAATCGGCACGACCTACCCTGCTGCGACGGCAGTTATCAGATACCGTACTACAGATTACAACACGAACGAACGGACCCGATAATGGTATTTCGCAGCATGCCCCGCGATTAGAGGAGAGAGCCCGGGCCCCGTGTTTGGCTCCCGAACCCCCAGCCTGGTCAGACCGCGGACTGGAGGACCTATCGGCTTTGCTTTGCGACTCATGGGTGCGCCGGCTGGTCGCTGGTCCCTTGTCGCCCATGCTCAGTCGAGATGGCCCTCCTCAACCCGACTTTCATATTCGGCATCTTCGTCTTGCTCTACCTCTCGTCGTTCGTTGTCTTCGCCGTAATCCGTATCATTACCGGTGTCTCGATCCAGCGCATTGGCTATTTCTCTCTCCGGCGGCTGGCCTACACCGCGCGTGATGGCGTTCGCTTCGAGATCAGGGGCCTCGGCCTCAACGTCCACCGGCCGACCTTCGCCCAACCGACGTGGCTGAGCATTGTGATGGACGAATTTGCGGTTACAATCAATATTCAAGAGTTGGAACGGGCTAAAGCAAAGGAGGCGGCACCCGAAGATGTGGATTCCGATTCCGACGTGGCCGAGCAACCGCCTCGACCGACGACCCCGAAAACGCCAAGGACACCGAGGCAGGTTCGGCGTGATATCGACCCAGACGAACGGAGCAAGACGTGGAAACGGTTGACGAGGGTCAAGGAGCGCATTAAGAGGCTACATCGGAAGGTGAATTGGCTCCGGATGGTCGATGTTGTGGCTACCAATTCGACCGTCAACGTCACTGGCGTGGGAAACCTGCAGATGGGTAGCCTCACCATTGCCGTGGATACTCGGCGGAAGATGGTCGATCGTGCCCGTTTCTTCCTGCAGGGCGGCTCGCAGAGGCGGCCCCAGAACCGGCAAGCCGAGTGGATAATGACTCTGCGGAGCGTGCTGTTCACGGCGGAAGGGGGCGAGGCGACAGAGGTCCTGGACAGTGCAACGTTGAACATTCACGGTTACCTGTACGAAGCTCTCGACGGTCTCCGCGACACTGCGATAGCACTCAAACTCGGCCGTCTCCACATTCCCTACGACGATGTTCGTCACGGCTTGGCCCAATACAAGAAGATCAAGCATGCGGGTGATGAGCCTTTTGCCCGCGCCGAGCCCGTCGACGTGGTCGTCGACCGCGTCATTCAGGAGCTCGACGTTCCTGGTAGCACCAACCACGAATTGATGCAGACGGTTTCCGACTCGAAGGAGCTGGTGAGCTCAGTTCTGAAGGGGATCAGAGAGGTCCAGTTTGCCGTCAGCTTCGTGGGGCTCACCAAGAAGGTCGATTCTGTCAAGCCTGCAGGGAACCCCATCATACTCACTGCGTCCATGAAGGAAGTGGGCATCGATCTTCACCGACTGGATCCCAAATCTGCCGCGCACAGGATGTACTTCCCATCCAAGGACATCGCCCACGAGGCCTTGGCCGCTGCACTGTCCATCTCTGTCGGTCTTGATGATGGGCACGGCAAACCGGAGCGCATCATGTACATTCCCATGGCCACTACGACCGCTCGAACTACGCTCCCGTCCAAGACGGTCGAGTTGGCCGATGACGGTACCGCCGAGCAACGGAACGCCAACATCCTCTTCGCCAACTCGGTCGTGACTTCTCCGTCCGTCGACCTTGATCCTCGCCATCTCCCCATCCTGTTGGCTATGCTTCAGCGAAAACCAAAACCTCACAAGACGCCTCAGCAGCAGCGCCACATGCTCATCTCACGGTTGCTCCCCAAAGCAACCTACAAATTCTCTATGCATGAGCCCGTCCTGAGGATAGCTCTTCCGCCGGTGGAGAAATCGGCGGATCCCGACGAATTTGACCTAATCATATCATCCATATCATCCGTCTCTCTAGACATGGAGTCATTCCATTCGACGGTGGAAGAGCTCCATTACTCTCTTGCTGCCACTATGAGAGTCCAGACACACAACTTGTACTACCAGACTTCTGCTGGCAGCAGATTTGACCTCCTTGAAACAGAAACGTTCGACCTGAAGGTGCAGCTCAACGCATCACCAGACGTTCGCGTTGTTGTCACCGGGAATCTCGAGACGTTTACCCTGAAAATGGTCAGGGAGGAGATCCGTGACGGCTTGCGTCAGATCGTTCGCCAGTTGAGGCCCAACGTTGAGCCAGACAAACGCGCCGTGTCCAATACCTCGACGCACTCCAACTTCTTGCGCGCATTGCCCGCCTGGCTACTGCATTTCCAGCTGCAATGCTCAGATTGCAGTATCGAAGTTGCCGGTGTGGACAAAGACATCTCGGAAGACTCCAGAGGTGTCGCCATTCAGCTGGACTCGTGGTCTGCCGAATACCGCGCCCAGAGGCTGAATGGGCTGCAAAGGCGGCCCTCTCGACGGAGAGCCAGCAGTCGCAGCCTGATGTCGCCGGAAAGTGATATTTTGAGGGCTGTTCCGGCGTCGCCGAGGAAAAAGTACCACCATGACGGCGACGGCCGTCGCATTTCCCTGCATGCCCGCGGCTTCGAGGTCTTCATGGTCGAGTCGGCAGAGAAGTGGGAGTTTGAGCCATTCATCAACATTCCCAAATTCGAGGTCGCCCTATCCACCCTGAGCGACCACCAGGGCCCAGTCTTCCATATCCACTCCCACATCAGGACCCTCCTCTTCCACTACTCGCTCTACCGTCATTATGCTATGGGGGTGGCCGTTTCGAGTCTCCGGAAAGCATTTATGAGGACAAGCAAGGTCACTGCTGAGCCAAGGACACCGCCCATGTCGCCTCAGAGGCGGGTAATCGGTCACCTTTCGCCGCCCCCGATTGGGCTGTCTTCTGATTTGAGCATGGATGCCGAGGCTTGGAAGGCCGTGCCTGAGCTTGTCGCTGTTGACTTCAAGGTCACTCTCATCCAGGTCAAGGCCGATTTACCTTCGGACCCCCCTTTGATGCTCCACGTTTACAACTTGGAGGCTGGCCGGCATCGGTGGTCGCCTCCATTCATCCAATCCAAGCTCATTCGGCTGTTTGCTGAAGCTCCCAGAATGCGCAGAGTATGGGCTCGAGTTCTGAGCGTCAAGAACGTTCGGGCTGACTACCGTGAATCACGGCACAAACTTCCGGGCGGGGGAGTACGAGAAGAGCGGATGGTTGATGTCGTCTCGGAAAACGTCCGCTTGGCCGTGCCTCACGAGATGGTCATCTACAAGATCACCGACAACTTTGTCAACACCTTCAAGTCCGTCCAACAACTTCACCACAAGTTCAAGACGGGCACAAACGAGTACATTCTCGAGAAGGGACCGGAAGGCCCCAAAAAGGTGCCAAAGGTCTCCCTCAGAGCGAAAAGCTTCCTGTTCGAGCTGGAAGACGGCGCCTTCGAATGGAAGCTCGGTGTTATTTACCGCGCGGGCTTGGTTGAGATGATGCAACGCCAGGCGCGAGAAGAGGCCTTCCGTGTCAAGGCGAAAAAGATCCACGAGCAAGAGTCTAAAAAGGGCTTGTCCAAGTTGCGGGCCCGGTCAGCGGCTCCCCAGGACGAGCCTCCCGCACCTGGCACCTCCCATACCCGAAGCCGCAGCGCCGATGGCCGGCGCCGCTCACTCAGTGACGGGCACATGCGCGGTCGGGCACCGAGATATGACCCTGAAAACGGCTCTCACGCGATGAGCGGGAAAGCCCGTATCTCGATCGCCGATGCAAGGCACAAGTTAAACATGCACAACGCCAAAAGCTGGAAGCAGCGTATCGACCAGCAGTATGACCTCGCGAGGAACATGGCAAAGGACGTGCGCTCCACCTTCTGGGGCGTTAACGAAATCCCCGACGACCTGGAGGATAGCGAGAAGATATTGGAAGTGCCGCAACGACCGGCGCTCATGGCGGGGCTGATCAATGATCTACACATCGTTATGGATAAGCCGTCTTTCCCAATCAAAGAGCTCCCAGAATTCCTGCACAAGGTTGGGAAGGGTATGCCGAAGGACATGAAGTACGCTTTGCTCGTCCCCATGAGTCTCCAGGTCAGCATGGGAGAAGCGAGGATATCGCTTCGCGACTACCCTCTGCCCTTCCTTCATGTGCCAGCAACTAAATCCGGCCAATCCGTTCGCCTGCCTGCCCTAGCGATGACAACGGATTTCGTCATCGCAGAGGAGTATCGTGGTCCAGGGTCGATGAGAAAGATTCGAGTCCCGATCGTGCCGCCGCGCGGTCTTGACCCGGCGTCCCCAGAAGACAAGGGCTTTTCTATAGACGTGCGGAGGACGATTGGGCCAGTCAAGACTTTTTCAGACATGAGCGTCAATATTCACACTGCCAACCCTACCCGGATCACATGGGGGCCGTCCTACCAGCCCGCGATACAAGACATGATGATGGCCATCGAGTCTATGACAAAACCGCAGCTCGACCCTTCCGACAAGGTCGGGTTCTGGGACAAAATCCGGCTCAACTTCCATTCTCGAATCAGAGTAGCCTGGCGTGGCGATGGCGACGTGCACCTGGCGCTGAAGGGCAGCAGAGACCCGTATCAAGTCACGGGTAACGGCGCCGGCTTCCTCATGTGCTTCCGGAACGATGTGAGATGGAGCATCAATAGCGTTGACGACCCAAAGCGCTTCATGACCGTCGACAGCGGTGAGTACGTCCTGGCCGTCCCGGACTACAGCCACCAAGTTCGCGAGGCGCGCCGCCAACACGGGGAAGATGAGAGCATCAGCAGCGGCTCGAGCTTGAAGACCGGCGCCACCTTCAAGAAGGTTGTCATGAAGCTATCCGGCAAAGTGCAGTGGCTCGCTGGTCTTGTGTTCGAGCGGGCGATCGAGCAGGGCAACAGGAGTTTCGAGTCGAAACCACACTACGAGGTTGTTCTCAAGTCTCCTCACCAAGCCCAAGCCCAAAACGGTCTTCCGTACGACGCCTTCCGTGGGTTTCGCAGCCAGCATATTCACCTCTCCGTCGCCATTCGCGCCCCAGTTGACCGAGAATGGTCTGGGTCGGTCGTCGAGCCTTCACGCAGCTACAACACCGTCCATCTCACACCTCGCTTCTTCACTCACTTCTTTGCTTGGTGGTCTCTGTTTTCGGGTCCGTTGTCTCTCCCAATTCGACAGGGTTCCTTGTGGCCTGGCAGGGAAAAGAGCAGCAAAAAGTTTGGTAGACATCTTGCCACTATCAAATACAACATTCTGCTGGCGCCATTGTTTGTGAGCCATATCTACAAGCACAAGGACGCCGAGGATTACACGGAGAACGCCGTTTCCGCCACCGGCATCAAGGTCCGGCTCGACAGCTTTATGCTTGACTTGCACCAGCGGCGAGAGGAATTCAACACCAGGGACCGCGGTCGCAAAACACAAACTAGGACGACCGGTATGAAGATTCACGCTGGCCAACTCGATGTGGTTTCGGCAGACGTTCGCGCTGTTTCGGCTAGCATCCGGAGCACCACGGCGGATGCCTTGACGAGGAACTCTCTCTCAACTTTCATCACGGACCAAGAGGGTGATGGCACCGACCTTTCTCGCTTCACAATTCCCGACAACGATTTGACGTGGATCGACATGGATGACTTCGTGGAACTGGACTGGATATTGCCGACCGAACCGAATCCCGACACTAAGATCCTGCCACTCGCGTTTGCGCCCCGTGTGACCTACTTCCGACAGACAGACATCAACGGTACGATTGCTGGCGATCCGGACAGAACAAGTCCCTTCGGCAAGGAACCAACCCACTTCTGCAACATGAGCCAAGATGACGACCCTAGAACGGTCCAGTGCCAGCTCATCCGTCGGCGGTTGGAGCAGCTGGATGAGCAGATCGAGACACATCAGCGTAACCTGGGGGAGATTGAACTTCGTCTCATCCGAGGCGACCCGGATGATGCAGACCTCGATGCTGAATTTCAGATGTTGAACCGGCATTCGGGGGTTCTCGCCGGGAAGAGGACGTTCCTGCAAGGCATGCTGGCGGAAATGACGCCTAATTCTTCCTCCAGCAATGAGAGCCGAGAGTCTCCAATCCCCGAGGAGTTCCTTGAGGCTACCCAGAGCCTGCAGGGGACCATGTCAACACCTGCCGCCGCCGAGTTTGCGAGCGACTTCAAGAACAGATTCGTGGTCCACAACATGCAGCTAAAGTGGAACAACACCCTGAGGAACATCATCCTTCGCTACAGCCACCAAGTCGGGCAGCGTCGGGGTTTCGTCTACTATCTGTCCCGTCCCGCCGTCAAGTTCATTCTAGACCTTGTAGAAGAACAGTCCAAGTCCAAGATGGGCAAAGGCAGCACCACCCCGACGCCCGGGGCTCCGGGAACCACGTCCGACGCGAACGGAGCAGATCGCGACGTCGCAAAAGACATAGAAGACCGAATCCGTAGGATCTTGCAGGAGAACAAAAAGTTCACGGGCTCAGACAACATCGATGGCTCGCACCCAACCATGTCTGATCTTTCCAGCGGCATTGCGGATGAGTTCACAACCCAAAACAGCTACCATGTCCGCCTGATTGCGCCGCAGATCCAGCTGCAGAGCGACAAGAACAAAAAGCACGTGGTCCTCACGGCATCCAAGGGGATGGAGCTCAAGGTGGTCGACGTACTCGACAAGAGCAGGCTATCTGACAATGTCAGCGGCCTTGTGCAGCGGCGGTTCCTCGTCAACATGGACAGCACGCAGTTCTTCGTGACCCATCAAAAGTGGTTCTCGACGCAGCTCGTATCCATGTACTCGGGCAATACCTACGGCACACCCTCGGGCTCATCGTGGCCACCGTGGGTTCCAATGGAGGTCATGTTTGACTTCCAGTCAGACCCCTTCGGGTTCAAGCGCGTCGTGCAGAAAACGTCGGCCATGCTCCGCTACGACAAATTCAACACGCTCCGTCTCAAGTACAATGACGAGGTCAACGCCAGCGAGGGCGAGGATTCAACCCCACAAGACAGCACCGAGAGCAGGACGGACAGCCTGTGGGTCGAGTTCCCCCAGGCCCATGCTCTCTGCAACTCTTCCCAGTATTACGCCATTTACGTCATCGTGCTGGATCTCCTCATGTATAGCGAGCCGCTGGAGAAGACGCGAAACGAGAGGCTCGAGAAGATCATGCTGGCTTCAGACTTCAGCGACTTGAGAGGAGTCCCGGAGATGGTCATCAGGCTTCAGGAGCGTGTCCGGCAGCTGGAGGAGATCAAAACGCATTTCCAGATCCACTCGAAACAGCTGGACAAAAAGGGGTGGAAGGATCGGCTGGTGCTTGAGCGAGACTTGGCGGCGTGTGAGGACGAGCTGTTCTTCATGATGAAAGCCATCACCTCATCGCAACGAAAATTCGACAACACCACCAGCAGTGCGTTGCTGAAGTGGAGCATCATGGCCAAGGAGATCGTCTGGCAGCTCATCCGCGACAACAACGAACCGCTCGTCGAGCTGCAGCTCAAGGATGTCGAGTACGATCGGATCGACAACTCGGATGGGTCACACATCAATCTGATCCAGGTGGGCAAAGTCCTCGGTCTCAACCTGCTCCCGGAAGCCATCTATCCATCTATGGTCGCGCCCTACGTCGAGGGGAACCGGATCACCGCCGACCCGGACTCTCAGCCGATGATCCGGGTGTACTGGAACATGCTCGAGGCCATCGCCGGCATTCCGGTGATGGACCATTTCGAGGTCACACTCTTCCCTCTGAAAATACAGCTTGAGCATGACATTGGGAAGAAGCTCTTCGAGTACATATTCCCACCCACGGATGGGGACAGTGCCTCGGGCGGCAAGAATGATTCGCCGTTTATGATCAAGCAGTCTGCTACCGACGACGAGGACGAGGAAATGGATAATGAGCCGATGGCCGATCGCCTTGGAGTACCCGACAAGGACCAGGACGGATCGCCATTCACGACACGGGCTGGCTCTCTTGAGATCCGGCTGCGACCGACTCTCACTTCGGACCCAGACGAGGCGTCTCTCAAGCACAAGGCGCTCAGCATCCACTCGGGGGAAGGCACTTCGTTCCGGCTCTTCCGGTCGGGGACTGGGCTCAAGACGGTCAACAAGAAGCGGTCATACGACTCGCTGCGCATCAACACCGGACGCCCCGGCGTCGGCAGGACAGGGACCGGCTTTTCTTCCAAGGACAGCGCTTCTATCAACGGCGACTCCAGAAAGGGCTCCCGCTTCACGCTACGTCACAAGTCCAGCGATGGCGACAAAGCCAAGCAATCCGATGACCTGTCCAAGATGATAGACCGCGCCTCTAACTACATGACATTCGCCTACATCAAGATGCCTTCGGTGGTCCTTTGCCTCAGCTACAAGGGCAAAGGCGACCGTAACTTCGAAGACGTGCACGATTTCGTCTTCCGGCTCCCGACCATCGAGTACCGCAACAAGACATGGTCCAACCTCGACCTCGCACTCGCGCTCAAGAGCCGCGTCATCAAAGCGCTCATCAGCCACACAGGCGCCATCATCGGCAACAAATTCTCCCGCCATCGCCCCAACACGGCGCAGCAGTCCAAGCTGCGCGAGCTCGCCACCACCTCGGTCCTGCTGGCCACACCGTCGACGTCCGAGTCGCGCGACAACAGCGGCGATGACTCGTCGTCGCTGTACGGGAACTCGCCCGTCGATTTCTCCCGCTCCCCGCCCAGGTCCATCCGCAGGTCGCAGACGTCCATTCCCATCCCGACGTCCACAAGCAGGAGCTCGAGCGTCGCGTCGTCGATGCGCTCGCATATCTCGACGGTGAATAATAACAGCAACAGCAGCCGGGACTATCCCAAGGGCCAGGGTCAGGGTCAAAACCAAAACCAGGGGCAGGGTCAGGCCGCGGGGACGGTGCCGAGCTTCTTGATGGCGCCGGCCACGCCGTCGGCGACGCTGTCGCCCGACGCGCAGAGCCTGAGCGGAAAATCATCCGGCTTCAGCAGCCTGCTCCGGCCCTCGTCGAGCGGCTGGTCCAGGCCGTTCGGCGGCGGCGGCGGCGGCGGCGGCGGGCAGCAAGGGAACAACGGCGGAGGCGGTGGTGGGATGAGCAGTAGGCCCGGGAGCAGCAGCGGGTTCACGACGGGGTCGGGGTCGGCCTCGTCGCCGAGGCGGTCGAACGCGACTGCTAATCCGGAGGAGAGGGAGAGCCCTGAGCGGAGGCGCACCGGTGGGCTGGGAGGTGGCGGTGGTGGTGGTGGGGGGTTGAGGGATAAGATTCAGGCTTTGGCGAATCGGTTGAAGGAGAGGGAGAATACGGTGGTACAGGTTGGGGGTGGTGGTGGTGGTGGGGAAGGGGAAGAGGGGGAGGAGGAGAATGGGTTGGTGAGGAAGATTAGTCGGGCGAGGAGTTGAGCCCGGTTCCGGTTTTTTTGGACATGGCGAGATGGACGGGCTGACTAGCTGCCTGCCTTGGGGGGTGGTTGGTCGAGGGATACATAATTTTCTACTACTATTTTCAGGTATTAGTACTTTTTGGCAAAGTCTTAGAAAGGCCGGAGGGTAGAGGCCAGGGAGGCAACAGGTCTTGCATGGATCGGAGCATTGGAAGGTTAGGGCTTTGGTTGTGTGGATAGCGCACCGTCTCTGTCACTGAGTACCTACCTGTACATAAGTCATTTTCATGTTTTCATATTAACCGATGTTCCAAAAGGAAGTTCAACTTATTCTCGAGTACTTTGTGAGAGTGGAAAAGTGTGGTGGGAGAGGAAGCAACCCTGGCACCTTGACGGCAGGGTCCTTATCTTATCGAAGCTCAGCAGGCCGCTTGCCCCTCTATCAACTTCCAGGCAACACACGCGCCCACTGCAAGACACCAGAGTTCCGAGGATCGGTCACTTTTCGTAGCAACTTTTTATCACATTTTGGGAGCTGCGTGCAACGATGGGTAATTGACAATCTCTCCCGATACCTTCCAACTTGGTATCTATGGGAAATGAAGAAAATATAGCTGACCGATTACCCACTGCAGAGCTCCCACTAACCGACAAACTGGTCGATCGCCAGCGAGATGCCCTCTTCAACTACTCGGCATCCTCTCAAACCGAGGCCAGCGCCCTGCGGCCGTGGTCCAAAGATCCCACCTACTTCAAAACCGTCCGCGTATCTCCGACGGCACTCGTCAAGATGGTCATGCACGCACGATCCGGCGGCGCCCTCGAGGTGATGGGTATCATGCAGGGGTACGTGGATGGGACGGCACTGGTAGTAACGGACGCTTTCCGACTGCCGGTCGAGGGGACCGAAACTCGAGTTAATGCACAGAGTGACGCCGACGAATATCTCGTCGAGTACCTCTCGCTATGCCGCGACGAGTCCCGCCAGGAGAACGTCATCGGCTGGTACCACTCGCACCCGGGCTACGGCTGCTGGCTATCAGGTATCGACGTGGCCACACAACAGCTGCAGCAGCTCCAGGGCCCCATGGTGGCCATCGTCATCGACCCGGACCGCACCATCTCCGCCAACCAAGTCGAGATCGGCGCCTTCCGCACCTACCCAGACGGCTACACCCCACCAACCAACACCACCACCACCACAACCACCTCTGTATCGTCCGGCGTGGGCGGGCAGTCAGTCCCCCTGGTGAAAGCGGACGACTTCGGCGCGCACGCCAGCAAGTACTACGCGCTGGAGGTGGAGCACTACAAGAGCACGCTGGACGGCAAGCTGCTGGAGCTGCTGTGGAACAAGTACTGGGTGCAGACTCTGGCGCAGAACCCGCTGCTGACCAACCGCGACTACGCGAGCAGCCAGATGGGCGACGTCGCCCAGCGCGTGCGCGAGACCGCCCTCGCCGTCTCGCGCGCCGGCAAGGGCGCCGCCGCCATGGCCGCGTACGGCGGCGGCGGCGGGCGCGGCGGTGATTTCTTTGCCGGTGGGGAGGGTATTGCGGGACCCAGTGGGAGTGGGAGTGGGAGTGCTGGTGGTGGTGGGGGCAGGGCGGCCGATAGGACCGGTGCCGGCGGGAAGGGGGGGGATGGGGCGGTGGAGAAGATCGTGCAGGATATCGGGCAGATTGCGGCCAAGGAGAGGGCGGGCCTGGCCGCGGCTCAGGTGAAGGCGCAGATATTCGGTGGTGGGAATGCGTGAGACGGGGTGTGGTTTATGGGATATGAGTTCATGGTACATTAAACGGCGCAAGACACGGTGCTAGGCGCATCCTGGGGAGTGGAAAATCAGGGGTTGTTGGTATTTGTACAACCCGTCTAGTCCAACAAAGACTCTCTCTATTTACACACTATGATACAATCCTCGGACGTTCCCATCGTTGTTCGGCCGGGCCAGGCTACACCCCCGCAGCCCGTGCCACCCTAAGCTGAGTACGAAGGCTGCCTTAAAAGTGAATAACCACCCCGTTGCGCCAGCACCTCGCAAGTTGGTATGGACTTGGGCTTGGTGCACCAGGGTAATTCATTTTTGAACTCAGCCTACGTCGTTGCGGTTCGACACCATCATCCTGACTGACCCACTGAGGCCCGAGATGTCATCCCGCGGCACAGCCGCCGCCTCAGCGGCAAGCTCCGCGACCCTCAACCGCCGGAGCGTCTCGTCCCTCCCGAGAATCTCTATCGTAGTCCACATGGGCAAGCCTTTGTCCCCCCCAATCAGCGCCCACCGCAGCGTCATATACAAGTTGGTCTGCGAGTTCTCAGTCCCGAAGCCCTCCCAGCACGCGGCGTCGGACACGATTTCGTTCATCGCCGCCTCGATGCCACCACGGTTCCAGTTGCGCTCATCCACGGCGCGGAACTTCTCAGCCATACGCCCGACGGTGCGGCCCAGCCGCCCGGCCCGCTGGTTCCCGGGCCCCTGGCTCCCGGCCTCCTGCGCCGGCACCATGGGTTCCAACGCCCCCCTGCGCAGCGCCTGCTCCTGCGCCTCCGGGGCCACGTCCCAGATGTAGTAGCGCAGCCTCCGCAGCGCGTTGGCGAAGCGGTCGGCCGGGCTCTCCAGCGGTATCTTGTATGCCTGCACCAGCCGCGCCAGGTCCCGGCGGTAGCGCTCGTGCAGGATGAGGGGCGTCGCCACCCGCTTGCCGATGTCGTTCGTGTTGAACTTACCTGGCGTTATTAGCGAATCCTCGTCCTTGGCCTGCTGCACCTGCTCGATCGCGGCCTGGAGCGGCTGGAGGAACTCGCGCTCGACGACCTGGGATTCGATGGGGGTCTTGGTGTCCTTCTCGAAGAGCCGGCTGAGGTGCTTGTCCTGGAGGAAGGGGAGCTTCTGGAGGGATACGATGATGTCGCCTTTGCTGAACTTGAGGGAGAACTGCGGGTGTGGGGGGTTAGGGAAACGAGGGGTGGAGGTTACGGAGGGGCGTTGTTTCGGCACGTACGTTTTTGACCATCTCCTCTAGACTCATGACATCCCCCTTTGTGGGCGGCGCTCGCCAGCCAAGTAGGACTGCAAAGTTGAGGAGAGCCGAGGGGAGGATGTGGCCGTTTTGGTAGTACTCCATGCTGGCTGAGTTGTCGCGTTTGCTCAGCTTCTGCCGGTTTTTATCGACAAGCAGGCCGAGATGGGCAAACTGAGGGGGCTCCCAGCCGAATGCCCGGTATAACTCGACGTGTTTTGGGGTGGAAACAAGCCATTCCTACGCCACAATATACAGTCAGCTCAGCCCAGTTTGGGGTGAAGCCATGGACCCCTACCGCTCCCCGGATGACGTGGGTGATTTCCATATGACGGTCGTCGACAACATTGGCAAAGTGATAAGTCGGGAAGCCGTCACGCTTCATGATGATGTAGTCGTCCTCGGGGTCCTTCTTCTTGAAGCGGCTGTAAATTATATCCTGGATCATGAGCGGCTCCTCGGCGCTCCTGAACCGAATAGCGAACTCTTCACCTTTATGGGCACGATCGTCAGACTCTTCGAGGGAGATGTGTCGACATGTGCCGGGGTAAAGGGTTGGTTGGCCGGACTCGTGCGCCTCCTTCTTGTGTTGCTCCAGGGCCTCGGGCGAGCAAAAGCACCGGTACGCCTTCCCCTCGCGCAAAAGTTTATCGGCATGCTCTCTGTAGAGAGGGAGCCTTTCGGACTGGGGCAGTTAGTCTAAAGTGGGACGAGACATGTCACGGTATGAGATCACGTACCTGCCGGTAAGGCCCATAGGGGCCCCGGATATCAGGACCTGCCGGTATTGTAAGTGCCCAAGCCGGCCGACTCGGTGTACATACTCAATGCTCACCTTCGTCCCAGGATAAACCGGCCCATTTAAGGTCTTTGTAGAGCCTCTCTTCTGCATCTGGTACTAGACGAGACTATAACCACATGAGTACCCTGGTAATCTCGGAGATCTTGCCTCCCATCCCAAGACATATTCTCACCTGATCCGTGTCTTCAATCCGCAAGACAAATTGGCCCCCGGTTGCCCTAGCCAAGAGGTAGTTGAACAAGGCTGTCCTCAAGGAACCCAGATGCAAGTACCCCGTTGGTGATGGGGCAAATCGGGTACGGCATGGTGTGTCAGGCAACCTGGTCTTGTCTTTTGACGACTGTTTGGCTGGATGTGCGTCAAGACGAGAAGTGGTCGAGAAGGAAAGTCGTTGTAGGGACTGTGAGAGAGGTCTCCATCTTAGGCATCCGAACAACAATGGCCTCCTCAAAAGTCCCCTTCCTCTCAAAACGAGGCTCTCCATTTCCCCGAAAATTCACGGGGTTTGTTGGAGAGCATCTATGAGTTGGATATTTTGGTGTTTTGGATGTTGAATGATGAATTAAGCCACACCTAGAATCTCATCCCAAGCAAACGGACAGGGATCTGTGTGGCTGCTAAATTCTACCTATGTGGCGGTACTAGCGTTGAGGCCGCAGTTCGGTGCTCGGTGTTGCCTTGATAGGAAGGCAGGTGGGGTCTTACTGATAAGAGCCCCCCCATTGTCACCGCCTATTTTTTTCGGGCATGCCAGCTTCAGAGAATAAAGAGCAGGTGGTCTTGTTCCAGAGCGAATCTAAGAATTTGATCGCCCCTATGAAATATGAAACCCTGTGTCTCAAAAATGGCGTAATGAGTGGTTTTGCATCGAACGGCGACTAATCCTAACTTACGTCAGCCCAAGGATGCCTTGGTGTTTGAAAGAGAGGTACCCGTGGACATTTGGATGGAGGAGATGTCGGTGATAGCGTTCAGATAGGCTCCCGGCTTTGCTGCCCTATGTCGGGGTTGTTTGTCAACTAGACATCGCCATTGAAGGCCACGACATAAAGGAAACATTGTCTCAGCCTCCGGGCCTTTGCCAGCACCTAAAGAACATGAATTCACGTTGCTAGATACCTTGGTACCTTGATACTTTCACGTAGGCAACCTCCCCTTCTGAACGTGGGGCGCGCCTCTGCCGCTGCAGGCTGTAACTAAAATTTCCCACTCCCAACGGCGCTCCTCCAGTTATCCACCTACCACCTACTTTTGGTTCTCTGGCAAACGAACCCCCACCAACACCGCCCGCGATTTGTTTTGTCTAGATTTTACCACACGTTACGCCGTTTCCTCTTCGCATCTGTCTAAAGTTCAAATAAATTTGCGATCATGGACGGACCCGGTGCAGACGAGGATTTGGACCTCTATGGTACGTCATGCGTTCGAAGCGACAGCACAGCGCAGTGCAGCAAGCCTTTGCTAACCGACTTTCGTAACATACAGCCCTCCTCGAAGTAGACAAGTCGGCTAGCCCCAACGATATCAAGAAGTCTTATCGGAAGGTGAGTTTCATCCCGCCACCCAACCGAGAGCATCCCTCGTACAATGTACTGACTAACGCCTGCTAGCTGGCACTGCAACACCATCCCGACAAGGTCCCTGAAGAAATCCGTGCCGAATCTGAGGCCAAGTTCAAGGCGATCACACAAGCATACGAGATCCTCCGCGATGACGAAAAGCGCCACCTTTACGACACCCACGGCATGGCCGCGTTTGACCCCTCACGAGGCGGGCCCGGCGGCGCCGAGGTCGACCTGAACGACATCCTCTCCCAAATGTTCGGCATGGGCATGGGCGGTATGCCCGGTGGCATGCCCGGTGGGGGGCCCCGGCGGCCGAGACGGAGCCCGGACGAGGAACAGCCCTACAAGGTAACGCTCGAAGAGTTGTACAAGGGCAAGACAGTCAAGTTCGCCGCCGAGAAACAGGTCATCTGCGGCCAGTGCAAGGGTAGCGGTGCAAAAGACAAGGTCAAGCCCAATAGCTGCGACCGCTGCCACGGGATGGGCCGCCAGGAGGCCTTCCGCCAGGTTGGGCCTGGTCTCGTCCGCAAGGAGGTGATCCCCTGCGACCATTGCCAGGGCTCTGGTATGTACTACAAGGAGAAGGACCGCTGCAAGAAGTGCAAGGGTAAGCGAACCGTCAAGGAGACCAAGGCGCTAGAGCTCTACATCCCGCGCGGTTCTCTGCAGGGCGAGCGAATCGTGCTGGAGGGCGAGGCCGACCAGATGCCCGACATGACACCCGGCGACTTGATCTTCCATCTTGTCGAGGAGCCGCACGAGGACTTCACCCGCATCGGCCACGATCTCTCAGCCGACCTGCACGTCACCCTTGCCGAGGCCTTGTCCGGCTTCTCCCGCGTCGTCATCAAGCACCTTGACGGCAGAGGTATTCACATCGAACACCCTCGCGGCAAGATTCTTCGGCCCGGCGATGCACTTAAGGTTCCCAATGAGGGTATGCCCCATAAGAGGGGAGATTTGAAGGGAGATTTGTACCTCCTTGTCAAGATTGACTTCCCCGAGGATGGCTGGCTGGCGAGCGACAGCGACCACGATGCTCTCCAGAAACTCCTCCCGCCTCCCGCTGCGCCTATTCAGGCCGACGAAGTCGACGAGGTGCAGTACGAGGAGGATGCTGATATCGAGAAGGTAAGCCTCCGTAGCAAACTAGCACAAGTAACCCGGACCAGAGCTGACAGATCTCACAGATGGGTGCTCACCAGGGTGACCCGCGATACGGCGGCGAGTGGGAGGATGATGAGGAAGAGGAGGGCGGACCCCAGTGCGCCACACAATAAGTCAACCACGACCCACTGGTCTTTTGGCAACGTGGCGGCGTCTCCTTTGGGGGTAATCCATGATAAACAGAGGACACAAGTATTTTTGAGGCTCCTGAAGCCAGGATAACCGGCCATGGTCCTCCTCCATCGTGGTAAAAGGCAGGGAGATACCGCCCAGCTCAGCACTATCCACCGAGTCATCGAAGTGGTTACTCCGCTTGGATAGCCTGGAGCTCCTTGCCCCGAACAGTGCCATCTCCCTCGCTTTGGTCATCGCTGGGCTTGTGGCGTGATTAGGGGTGTATATTCACTGCCAATTCCAACCATAGACGGGTGAGGAGTCGAGCAGAACCGACGGCGGGTCGCTTGTTTTCTCTCCTAGGCACCTCCTTCTACATAGACGGGACACGACTTAATGACCCGGAAAATACCAGCTGTAGACAGTTCACCCTCAACTTCTGCACACATGATTCTTACAACGCAGTTGACAAGTTATTCTCGTACGTAATTTACTTTCTAAATATTCGTAAAACCCCGGTGCCTGGGCGGGTTGCGATGCCAACTTGGAACAATATGAAGTGGATGCTCCTGACACTCGCCTGGAGGACATCCTCCCAATAATGGCAGTCGATATCTGACAACATGGCGACCAGAGTGAGCCGATTAATGGTGTCGCGGTCGTCGAACACGACACTGTCCATTTTCCGCTCTTCCAAGCCCCTCGCGCTGGGATGAGCGGTACTTATCGATAAGAGATAGGCCCCGCGTTCCCTTGCCGTTCCCGCCGCCAAGCACCTGAGACCCACTGGCATTGCGCGCACTGACCACTCAGCCTTAACAATTTTCGCACAACCCTAAGCCCACCAGCTCGACCAAATTCTGGAATTTTTCCCAAGGTAGGTCCCGACCGTGACGACGCCAAATTCGACCATCACCCGACAACAATACCGTCAAGGTAAAGACTATCCATTTAACTGCTATTATCAGCTTCACATTCCCAATTTCTCGTTCTAACAAACCGCACAGATGGTTGCCGCCAAGAAGCACATCCCGATCGTGAAGAAGCGTACGTCTCTCGAGCCCTCTCTTTCCACCGATTGATCTCCCCGACAACCGAGCAAGCCTTTCGCATCTCCTCCGCCGAGATACCGAACTTCGAGTTAGCGATGGGATTTTTGAGAGCGCGAATGTTGACGAGTATGTCGGTTTGCAGGCACTAAGCGCTTCATGCGCCACCAGAGCGATCGCTTCAAATGTGTCGACGCGGCGTGGCGCAAGCCCAAGGGTATTGACAACCGGGTCCGGAGACGCTTCAGGGGCACTCTGGCTATGCCCTCGGTATGTGGCCACCTTTTCTTGGGTCCTCTTCCGGGCGAGCGTCTCGAAGAAGCCGGGGTTGGGGAACAACAACGGGATTGGAGACCTGCTCGGATGCCCATGCGAGAAACGAGGAACCACGGCTAACAGGCTCGTCCTCTCACTTCCAGATCGGCTATGGCTCCAACAAGAAGACCCGCCACATGATGCCCTCGGGCCACAAGGCTTTCCTCGTCAGCAACGTCCAGGACGTCGAGCTGCTCCTTATGCACAACAAGACCTACGCCGCAGAGTACGTGCCCTCTCACCACGGACGTCGAATAGAACGGCCCCGGCGGCATTCATGCATGGGAAATCTGGGAAATCCAAGGCTAACGCGATCTCTCCAGGATCGCCCACAACGTCTCCTCGAGGAAGCGGGTCGACATCATCGCGCGGGCGAAGCAATTAGGTGTCAAGGTCACCAACGCGAAGGCGAAGGTCACGACGGAGGTCTAAACGGCAACCAACAGTCATGGGGCAACTTCTTTCTGTGTTTTGGAGCATCTCAGGCGGTCTCAGGGAAAGGTCTGCTATTTGTCTGCGATTGCCTAGCACCCACCCAAGCTAGTGAATACAATTGCGACCTCCTTCGTCACGGGCAAACAGGCAATAACCGACGTCGGCTGATCGGGTCCCCTCTGAGCCTCACTGGGACGATGTTTGGGGGATCGAGCGGCGGCGAGTTGACGGACCACATGCGAGATGGTAACAAATCTACAAATCGCTTGGGCCACGAGTCCTTCACCGAGCACCTCGCACGTCATGTCATAGCGTTCGCCGAGCCCCTCGTCTGTCATAGCGTCGCCAGCCCTTAGTGATGTTGGGCTTTTTCCCGTGCGCCAGCAATGAACATTCACCACGCACCGACACAGATATTCAACTGCGAACAGCGTTCATCGGATACACTCCTCACTCCTGACTGCTACATCGACAACGTGAATTTCTGCTCTTGTCGTCACTTACAAAATCCAGCATGCAGAATCTATTGACAAAGCCCAACGCCACCGACAGCTCGTCCGTCGTCTCAAATCGTCACCATGCCTGCCCAATAACGCCTCCTCAAGACGCAGGCGACGACCGCCACAGATGTATTGTCGATTACCGCCGGGAGCCTTTCTTCGTGACTTGGTGGGGGCCCCCCGTGTATCCTGACCTCCGCAAGTTTCCTGCCCTCGACTGTGCTCAAGTATCCCCGGTACCGTTGACTCCGGCCCTTGCTACGATCTGGAAGGAGTCAGCACCCCTGAGTTACGGTTCACACGCGTCCATTCGATCCCACGCGTCCGTTCGAACCTCGGGGCCTAGCCAATTCCCCATCTCCAAACTCGCCCATCCAGACCCACAATCGCTCGGTCTTATCGAGTACGAATTCCGGAGGCTCACTGATTTGAAGGGTCTAGGCCTACCCATTCCGGATATTGACCCGCAGCCGATCGTAGACGGGGGGCGCATCCACGGCTACCGGATGGGGTTGTTGGGCAAGCTCGAGAGATGGGAGCTGCATTCTCGGGAGCAAGACATCCTCTGCGCCCTTTCGGAGCTCCACGCGGCGGGATTTTGCCATGGGGACATAACACCCGGTAACATCATGAAGGGTAGAAACGATCAGATTATACTGATCGACTTTAGCTTCGCGGGACGGATAGGGAGCACCGTCCCGCCGTTGATTCCTGACTGGGTGTATGCCGGCGGTATTTTCGCAGCGGAGGATGACTTGGAAGCATTCCACGACTTTATCGCTGGTTGAACACTTTCAAGACCTCCTTGCACAAACCCCGGACGTAATTCGTACCTTCACGGCGCCCGTCGAGCCTTCACTGCCCGCCAAGGGGGACTTATAAAAACGGCGATTCGACTGCTTTGTGGACTGCTTAGGGATACTACCTTCGTTACTCGCCAAAGGGACGTACAAGCGTTCATGGAATTTATTACATTAACCAGTCGACGGGATCGGTAATCTGTATTTCGTACCTCCTCGTCCCAGAGTCAGTTCCCACGGCGCGTTCTACTGACCTGTTTGATTTCGTCGCTTTGTTTGAGAGTAATTAGCACGGACAAACCTCGAGGCGTCGACAGTCAACTCGGCCGCTGGGGGACGGCATAGTCGCACAGGGTCACCGCCGAATTAGCGAGCCTGCCGAAGTCGCTGCCGCCGCCCCTCGGATGATTCGGGCCCGGAGAATGAGCGCATTAAGTCGGGCAACAACAGCCTGCCCACCTGTAGGAAAAAGATCACGGGATGGAAATCAGGCGCCTTGGCGCGGATGTCGCGTCTAATGGACCTTGGAGGATGGGGGTGAGTTCAGTGATCACTGTCTCGAGTTTGGGCTAAGATGGGTTTTAAGGCAAGCTACCTATTTACAACCAGAGTTCAATCGGACTTACTATTTCTCATCCGCGTGAATTCAATTCCTACAAGGAAAGAAAGGCACGAATCGCATTATTGAAGATGCTGAAAGTCGTTTGATCAATATTGAAGACCAAAGACACATATAAGTGAGAGAGATCGCTTACCTATCTTACCAGTTCAAAGGTATCATTATTACCATCCGCGGCACAAAGAGCGGGGGAGCTCGGTGAAGCCGATGGATATTACGAGACTGTCAGTGATGGAGCCATCGTCGCAATGGTCGAACGGTGTTGGGAGAAGCACGACCGGACTTCGGCGGTTGAGGAAGCGAGACCAGGACAAGCTGAGCAAGGTCTTTTCAACCGAGACTATTAGGGCGGGTTGCGTTGAGTCCAAACAACTACTGCTATAGTATTAGCCCCGTCGGGCAATACCACATCCACCTAGGCTCACCTCATGCTCGCAAACACCTCAACAAAAGGCTTCGCCCCCATCACTCACCCCTGAGCTCCCAAGACGACGCCGGGCCAGACATCAAGAGAAAATGTGCACACTCGGTATAGACTTGCAGCCTGGGCAGCGCGGCGGAGTGGACACGCCGTCCTTGCCTGAGTCCGGTTAAATGCTATGGTGCTCACTAACGGCATGATGGTATTCTGTCTTGATCGGAATTCGGAATTCAGAGTACAACAGCTGCAAGCGATAGTAACTGCTGTTGAGGCATTTGATGTATCAGGCGTATGTCACTTGAGGCGGGTCCAGGAAGCAACGCAACAATACTAACTTTGGTGCAGTATCAACATGGACTTTTCTGTGGGAAAATTAAGTTTCCCAAAGCCTTTTGGAAGTTGGTCCCCTTCCTCTCCCTCAATACTAAATAATCGCCATCTGGTGTAGTTTTGGGTATCTTGGCAACCTGGAAAGTCAAAAAATCGCTCTAAGAGGAAGCGAGGTGCAGATAGATGTGGTTGGCTCGTGAGCGGATCTTGGGGGCCAAGTTTGACAAGATGAATGGTAAGGTAGTCAATGCACCAAGCCATAAGTGGAAACCTTCCAAGAGAAGCTCCTGGACGACAGCACAAAGAACAAAACAAGAATATTCTCTTATGGAAGTCATCATTACCTATGTAATAATGTAAACCACTCTACTCCGTTCTCGACAAGATGGTTGCTCCCCTGACAGGCAATTCAAACAGCTGCTTTGAAGAGATGGTTGAGACATCCCCGTGTACTTTTTCCAAGTCTTTTCTGTCTCTGAATCCACCGCTGGTGTCTACTCTCGCCTGAGACGGCATGGGATAACACAACAACGAACCAACGACATGGACCCCACGTCGTATTTCGCAAGTTGATAGCTCATTCTAGACTCTTTGACGTCGCAATATTGGCCAGAAGAGTCGAGCATGAGTGAGGCACAAACGGAGAAAGTCCTCCAGCCTCCAGGCTTCTTAGTGTAAACGAATGCGACTGTCTTGTTTAGCGAGAAAGGGTGAGGCCGCTGAGGCGGTGATATGTGAGAACACGGACAACGGCGCTGGGGGGTGTTGTCGAGGAGGAGCCGGGCTCGACTAGTATAAGATGCGTGGTCTTCTCTCCGTTCTCTCCAGTCCCTCATCCCTCATCCTCACCACACACAACCACACAGCGCATACCATACTCCCGCAACTTGTCCAACATGGCCTCTACCACCCTCCGCTCTATCGTGCTCGCCTCTGCCTTTGCGGCAGTGGCAGTCGCTGTAAGCCCGCCTTGTCCATCAACCCAAGGAACTCTCTAACCCTACTTATAGGCCCCCGTTGCGAACGAGAGCCCAATCGAGGGATACGCCATCGTCCCCGCCACCTGGGAGCTCGACGGCCCGGATGGTCAGGTCATTCAGCTCAACGGCACGGTCCAAGAGGTCGTGGCCCAGCTCGATGTGATCGTCCCCAACTCGCGGAACAAGCTCATCGCCGACATCGCCACCGCCTCCGCGAGCGCTGCCGAAGCGTCTACGCTGGAGAGGCGCTACGACGAGGAAAGTCTGCACTGCTTCGTCTCCCCGTGGGGCAATGGCTATGTCGATAGTATCCAGGACGGTATGTTATGTCGTGGGGGGGGAATTCGACCACCCCAGCCGCACCGAAGCTTCTGAAGACTGACCCTGTGCCCTGTCTTCCCATTCCACCAGGTATCAACTACCTGAACAACGTCCCTGGCCGCCCGTGGCACAACCCGGGACCCGGCAATTGCGCTAGGGTGTCCTGCTCGGTACGTCCCACTCCCTCCCCTATCCGTGGAATTCAATTAGGTACCTAGAGAACCGTGGCTGACCCGTTATTCCGCAGTACCGATCCGCCATCTACTGGTGCAACGACAACAGGTTCCGCAAGGAGCTGAACAGCTTCAAGGTAAATTCCCGCCCGCCTTTTGACCTCTTCCCCAGCCAAGCCCCATATCACTAACCTGATCCGTGTCCCAGGACATCGCCCACGGCGCCGACAGAATCAAGAACACATGCCGGCGCCAGGACGGCGTGGGGTCGCTCGTTACCAACGGCCAGATCTTTTACACGGACGGCTGGAACGTCATCGTCCGCAGTGACAGCTGCTAAGTCAGTCCGGATGGACGCCCAGGGCTCCCGGGAGGACAGACTTTGGATATTGTGAACTCTTCATTTGGTTTGCGTGTTCTCCAAGGGAGCCAGTGGCCATCCACATAACAAAACGTGGCAAGATAGCTCCTTAGATAGGGGCTGAGGTTAGGGACACGCTGCTCAACTGCCTCCACTTGGTGGGACAAGACGAGCTCTTGTTTGTCAAATCTTAGACGCCGTTCCGTACCCCAGTCAAGGATTTGTTTGCTGTCAGATCGTAGCCTTTCACCGTGCTCTGCTTTTCTACTAACCGGCGCTTAGTAAGTGCCCAGGTACCATTCTTCTGATTAATTACATTTGCCAGACCGGAGCGGTGATTCAATCCCTGATGCCAAAACATATGAGGAAACATAAATCGCCTGACTTGTTTTCCAGGATAGCTCAGCGTGTTAATATTAGAGTCTTCCCCAAGTATAACATATTCTCACTCACCTCCAGACTCTTCAAAATCATTAACTACCTAAGTACACTCCACAACCATTTAGTATTCAATACCACTCTCAAGCATTATAGTGCCGTTTTAGGGGGCGGTGTTCTTGTCTCTAACATTTCGTAAACCAGCAATCCGCAAAGGCCAAGATATCAACGGTTGGTGTCATACATCGCACGGCAAGTAATGTCACGAAAGCAAGATTACGAAGAGCTTATCCATCACAAATGATATCTCTATTTCCAATAACGATATTTTAATATCCTGCCTTGATCGCCGCTGTGCCAAACCCAAAAACGCGATTTCATAATAGCTCGGTTGAAGATACAACCTAGGAAAAGACGAACATCAAAAACAAAAGCAAACAGTAACAGGCTCAAACACGCAACAAAAATTATTCTATGCAACACAAGCGCCCTTCACTAATCCTTCTCCATGCCCAAAATGGGCTGGGTGTGTTTTTCTCTAACGCTGCTGTGGTTTTTGTACGCCGAATCGCCCAAATACAAATGCTACAAACCAATACCAAACAGGGAATTACTGAAAAGTGAAATTAGGCCTTGTTGATGTTGGCCATCCTCTTCGACATGCTATCGACGGGGTTAGTATATGGCCATGCCAAATCAAGCGAGGGACTGGGGAGGGTTTCTTACAAGTCATAGAAGGCAAACTGGCTCGGTGAGCTACCGCACTCATAGACGAACCGGCTGGCGAGGTAGCTGCCAAAGATGGCGCGCAGGTACGCGTCGGGGACGCGGTGGATGATGGTGTCGAGGCCAATCCTCTCAATCAGCAGGTTGGGCAGGGCGTCCTCGAGCACGGCGCGGCGGACGTTCTCGTTCTCCCATAGGTCCGAGTGCTGCAGCTGCTCGTCGAGCGTCGTGATGGCGGTCGACAGCTTGTCCGACAGGATTGAGCGCGAGATGCCCGTCTGCTCGTGCTCGCGCCAGATGGCCTCAAACTCAAGGCGGGCATTCTCCTGGATCTTTTCCTGCACCGCCTTGACATACGCCCGGTAGAAGGCGGGCACGTTGCCCTTGCGGTCGTGGCACATGTGCTCGACGAATCCAGTGTCGTCGAAGCTGAGCGACGCGAGGACCTCGAGCGACGAGCTGGTCACGCCGCCCTTGTTAGCGCTAGCGTCCTTGTACACGACGCAGCCGGCCTGCTCGAGGCGGAGTTTGGCATCTTGCGTGATGAACAGGTTGGCGCCCTCGACCAGGTACGAGACGGTCGACTTGCCGTCCTTGATGAGCTTGTTGACCGAGACCAGGTCAATCGACTCGGGCCGACCGCCGCAGGGCACGAAGATGTCGGTCAAGCCGCTTTCCCGAAGATGGTATGTGTTCCGGAATGCCGTGCCGTTGTTGACAACTTCTCCGGTGGGCAGGGTGATGTTCGAGTCGTCGCACAGCACCCGGTAGCCGTCCTTGGTCAGTTTGGACAAGTCAAAGTGCACAATCATCTGGCGCTTCTTGGCGAGGCGGTGCAGCTCTTCCTTGTTGATGCCATTGGGGTCAACCAAAACACCCGAGCCGTCGACGATGGCCGTGTACTTCTCGTTGCTGAGAAGGATTTCGTTGCTTCCCAGATCGCCGTCGGGCCCTCCTGTCTGCATCTTCCTCACAGTCGATGGGTCGAGGTTGAGCTTGCGATAGATACCCTTGACATACTCCCGCACCGACAGCGTCGTCATGCCGTATGTGTCGTGAGGGATGCCGCCAAGCTTTGGCGACTTGCCGGTGAAGAACGACTTCCACCAGGGGGCGCCACGGTTGCGGGCGTGCTCTGTGGCCCAGTCGACAAGGTCGGCCGTGTTCTCATCCGGGCCCATAAAGACAATCTCCTCCTTCCCGTAGAGATCGACGATGGGGTTCTTGATGCCCGGTGTCTCGGCCTTGAGCAGCAAGTCCAGAATGCTGTCAATATACTTCTCGAACGCCTCGCGCGCCTTGTCCTGTTGCTTGGGGTCCAGCAGGATGACACCCTTGGAGCCACCCTCGGGGATGTCCTTGTTCTTGCGTTGCTGTGTGCTGGCGAGAGCGTAGTTCTCGTCGAACAGATTGCGGGCGTTGATCGAGTAGGCCTCCTTGCTGCGCGACTTGACGATACGGATGCCACCGCGTGAAACATCCTTGAAGCGCAGATGGAAGCCGCGAGACTCGGATGTGATGACGAGGAACATACCGTAGAGCGGCGTCGGGTACTCAATCGCGGGGAGGAAAGAGGGGTCTAGCCGGAAGCTCAAGGCAACCTTTGTCGGGGTGAAGTAGTTGGTCTTGAGAACGGCCTTGTTGAAGACGCGGAAGGCGGTCATGACCATCTCCTCGTGCTCGTTCGTGACATCCTTGGTGATCTGGTCCTTAAGCTTAGCATCCGAAAGGACCTCGGTGGTGGGGGTCGGAGCGATGTTGCGGACGTCGAAACCGGCCCCAACCTTCATGTGGACGCTGGCGAAGGAGGCGTACAGGGCACGGATGAGCTGGGGGTGGGAGAGGATGATCTCGAGGATATAGTCGGGAGTGAAGGTCTCTGTGCGCAGGCGCTTCTTCATCCTGGATAGGATCTCGGCATGGCCGTTGTTGCTGGGGTCGAGCGTTGCGACAAGCGAAGCGTACTCGGAACCCAGGCGGTTCAGGAAGTGCTGCACAAAGACCCACACGCAATGCGCATAGGAGGTCTCTTGCAAGCTCAGCTCCCCGGAAGCGAACAGGGAGTGCAGCTTGGTCTGCGGCATGCAGTACAGAAGCGATACCTCCTGGGTGATCTGGTGGATCGACTCCTCGATCGGCGGATACTTGGAGTCGACGTTCGGTGCGGGCCGCAAGTAGATACTCATGACGGTGATGCCGTTGGAGAACTGCTCGACGTACTTCCGGGAGCTCGTAACTCCGTAGTAGTGGTAGAGGTCGCTGAGGGCGCTGAACAGCCCTCTTGCAGTCCTTGAGCGGAATGCGACGACCAACCGCTTCTCCTGCAAGCCTTCAATGTCGAAGACCTCGATGACCGGGCCAGTCCGGCTGACAGAGGCCTCGATGATCTCCTGGTAGATCTGCTTGGTGTTCTTGGTCGCCTTGGCAAGGAACATGCGGTCGCTGATAACCTCAAGCCGAGTTTCCTTAGGGTCGGCGTTGGGTTCAACGAACTGGCACTGGTAGACGAAGTAGCAGCGCAGGGTCGCCTTGAAGTCTGCATGCCCCATGCTGCTGGGGGACCTGAATGTCTCGACGCGGAAACGCTTTGATGTGTCACTGCCGTCCAGGTACTTGGACTCGAGGCGGTGTTCATATTGAGGCCCGTTCATTGCGGACTTGCCGGGCTCGCTGGTGTCGATATAGATGGCGTGATCCGAGGCTTCCATGTCCAAGCGGATCTCTTCCCGCTTGTCCTCGCGCGCAAATGCGGCGACCTTGGCGGCATACAGAGAAGTGATGTGGTTGGCGATGACTTCGGGGTTCTCGGCCTGGAAGTAGACATCGTCGATGCCCAGCTCATTGTAGAACCATTGAACCTGTGCGTCGACCAGCGCGTCGGGGATCCAGCCGCCCTTCGTGATGAACTCCTTGGCTATTCGGCGCGTCAGTTGAGTGGACGGACAAGGGAGGACAAAGATCTCCAGACTACTACTAACCTTGGCTCATCTGCTCCTTCTTGCCCTTGAACTCGGGGGCGACATAGCCAACCGTGGCCGAACGCAGAACCCTGTGCCCATTGCCGTTGACCTTGGACAGAGGATAGCTGACGTGGGTCGGCTGAGGCGAGGGATGCCTCCCAGCTTCGTCCCCTTTGACCTTCTCAACGAGGCGATTTGCGGCGGCCATGGTAGCAGGCGAATTTGTCATGGTATCGTCTGATGAGGTAAACGGATCCACGTACTCCGGGAAGCTAGACATTGACAGGTCAGTCATGATGGTCAAGCCAGACACGCGGCGGCCCGCGCCAATGGGGTTGGCGAGCGACGGATAAACTGCTAGATCACTCATAGTGACTGTGAAGCGAAAGGAGGTATGAAGTGTGAAGGGGGGTGACAGCAGGCACTCCTGACTGTGGTTGGGCCAAGTGTTGACGAGGAAGGGGGTTGGAGGAGTCGCGAGGAGCAGGAACTGGCTTTGTAGGCCGAGAGAGCAGGAGCGGGAGCATTATGTCGGTGTAAGTGAGCGTGAGTCGATTTGGTGCTGTGACAGCCATAGAGGCGGGCGGTTGGCCGTTATCGAAGGCCCCGGTGGCTGATCGCGGTGAGCGGGTTTGACATACGGGAAGGACAAGAACGTCAGCGACGACTTGCCCTGGTCCCTGCCCTCGCTATCAGGACAATCGACCGCCATTTCCCGGAATCGGACGGCCCAGAAACACCATGAGCGCCGTGGCACAAGGCAGGAATGAAGAGTGACGCATCGACATGGCGTCGACCCAAATTGCCCACCGATTGGGCACAGCAATTCGGACAAGGCGAGTTTCGGCTCTGCTCACCGCTCCTGGTATCTCTCTGTTCGTGCCCGTTCCGGGGCCTCGGTTGTGTTTCTCCCCAAGATAAGGAAAGATAAGAAGATGCTTGGTGTTGCGACACCCCCTTCCGTTTCGGGAAATGGAATACGAAATCTCGACTGGTGAACAACTGTTGGTTAAACGTACCTTCTCTCGACTCGAGAATGTGCTCGATGGTAAAATCGTGCACCTGAATTTGTTTGGTAGGGACGATTTGCCGGAAGTCGTCTTGGAGTTGCTCTTATCAACTCGGAAGCTGTTATCGCAAAAGGAATCAGTCTCTGACGGAATGAAACAGGCGCGGGAAGGCGTTGGATGCGGCCCTGGCCGGAGGGCGTGCGACGCGATAAGGTAGCGGAAGGAGTGTTTCGTACCTCAGCAAAAGACGGGATGAGCAACGGGGGGCTGATCCGGGTGAACAAAGCGCTGTTCCTGTGGCGGGCCGGAAACAGACGTTCTAGAACCTCAAAAGCCCGCGATTTTGATCGAAAACAGGCCTAGGGATCAGGTACGCAAAAAGCCCGGGGTGAATCTGTGTGCGATTACAGAAAGAGGGACCTGGAATTCGTGTTTTGTTAGCCAGCCGTTTCTGGAAAGAACGGGCCAAAACGGCCAATGGCAGTCGCAGGAAGTGGCAGGAAGGGGTTGATGCCCTCCAAAACCAAAAGCTCCCAACTGCCCGGGCATTGCGGCCCAATTGGGTAGTCCAAACTTTGGTCCTGACTCTGGCAAGCCCAAGGTTCCGATTCTAGGCTTGTAAAACCCATCTCCAGCAACGAATCGAAACCGACGGAGCGCCGGGGCTCTGCACCTGCCGCAGCCCGTGTGGCAAGGCGGCGCAGCTCACGCCACTTTGCAGCGGCTGGCTGGTTGATGCTCATCACGCGAGGGTTGATATCAGGAGGGAGAGAGACTAAGGGGCAAAAGTAAAAGGGCAGGGTTGGTTCTGTGAAGGGCCGGTATGCAAGACTGACGGGACACAGCAGGTCCGAAGACACAACCGCGATCTCCATGTCACCGAACAGGGCCCAGGGCACAGGAACCGAGAAAGGGGATGTGTAAGCTTAGTACCTTTTGTTGCGACAACGTAATGTTGCACGGAAGATAAGGTCGGCAGCGGTGTTTGGTTGCCGAGACTGATAAGAATGTCTGAAAATAGGGTAGGTACAGAAAGGTTGACTCGTCTGTAGTGGTGTTGAGTCAATCACAGACTGGTATCTGCTTGAATTATGAGATGGATAATGGGTTGGGACTGCCAGCAACACAGTCTGGAGACGGGCACGCCACTGATTTATATGTTGGACAAAACGGCGCCGTCATCTTTTTGGAATCTTGGACGACGGCAGGAACATTGGCACTGTACAATACATGTTGACTCCACAGGCATGGCAATTCCCAAAGGGAAGGAGTTGCCTGCAGAAACAGGTGTTGTGATGACATTCGGCGGCGCTGTGACAAACGGAAGCTAGGGAACTAAGCCAGATCGGGCAACTGCTAGTCCCCGCTGATTGGGTCACAAGGTCGGCGGTACCTGAACGCCCCAAGAAAAGACTCGGAGTCGGGATGAAGGTACGTACCGCTTGGCCACTGCCACGATCGGTGGCCCCGGGAGCGGCTATTCGAGGTTCTGGGGTAGAAGACTGGAGAGCAGGTGGGTCCTTTTACTCGTATGCCAGAGTTTGAACGGCACAAGGTATCCTTTTTTTGAGGGAATTGTTTGTTTCCTTCGAATGACAGAATAGGAGCCATTGAGCTTCCTGCCTTTTTTCCGATTTTCTTGAAGGGGGGGGGGGGGGGGGGGAGGGGGGGTGAAAGTTGGTGGAAAACATTGGGGCGCTCCTCACACCATGTTCCCTAATTGGGCTGCTACGGAATCGCCCAACAACTGCAATAAGTGTACTTTCAGGGATGGGAAAAAAGTGTCGTATGTTTTTGGAACTGAACGCGCAAGAGCTTTGATGTGTTACCCACCTAACTTTGACGTTACTTGGCCTAGGGATCACACCACTGGGGCTGCTCCAGGGGCAGCAAGCCGCTGTCTGAAGCTCCTGGTTTGTGTAATGTCTGTACCAGAGCCAACCTGTCTGTCTGCGGATATTCAGAGCTCCAACGGCAGCATGGTTGCCCGAGACTCAACACTGGACGATCTACCAGGGAACCTCCCCTCCCTCGAGAATGCTGGTCTGTGGACGCGCGCTCGAGTCGTCTATTTTTTACCAAACCATTAGTTGCACAGTACATACCTAACCATTGTCGTCCAGCGTGACATGTGGGCAGGGTTACGAGACAAGATGCCGTCGCGCTGTGCAACGCATCAATGTCTCTTACCGCTTCTTCGTCTTACAAGCAGGGGGAGATCCTAATCCAATCGTGGTGGCATCATGGACGGCCGGTCTGTTCTCACCGGCAGCGAAAAACCATCGAGTCAGAAAGCTCCTTTTCGAGAAGCTCAGCCCGGGCAGGGCGCCAACCAGGATAGAGGTCTCAGCGTGTGCGGGCGGATCCCGTGACTGGAGAACACGTAAAATCGGCCAGGCCTTTTGAGCGCCTGGACCCAGTTCTCGCTGTGGCTGATCAGGTGCCCCGCCATTTTCCACTGGCCCCGGAACGCCAACCCCAGACAGTGCGTCTCTCATCAAGTAAAATGGGGGTAATGGAAATCCCATTTTCTGCGATTCATATCCGCCGACCTGTTCCTGACGTCGCACGGGACCGGGCCGCCTCAACAAATCTAGTAAGCCGTTTTCTCGAAGGTGCGGAAGCGGTGGGAAAAACGGAGTTACGGGTGAGGGGTTCAGGGACGGGAACGGTCGAGAGATGCCTTCACGGTGAGATTCGAGAGGAATGCAGACGCACTGGGCAGACGTCACTACACAGTACGCCACGAAGACCCAACTGCACAGTACGCTACTAGGTAGTGAGGAACTCTCGTCGACCCCTACAATTGACCGCTGCTATGCCGGCCGGGGGTGCCGTGACAAGTGACACATGGACGCGCAGGAGAAAGATCGGGTTCCGGGAACGAGGGTCCGGGTGGAATGCGGTGAAACAGGCCCAAGTCCGGAGAAAAACTTCTGTTGTCCTCGTGCCGGCAGCCAAACTCGCAACGCTGAATCGAAGCATGCTCTGACCTGGTCACGGGGTCGGGGAGAGATTGGTATTGGCGCTCAACGGCGCCGCTGCAAGTGTTCATCCCTGCCAAGAACATCCAGACCGTCTCCGACGCTCCACGTTTGGGGCTGCGTTGCCATGATTCGGTTCCTTACCCGGGCTTGGGGTGCTTGGGCAGCCGTCCCGTCCTGGAGACGAAGTCCCAAAAATAAAAACAAAGCAAGACGAAAGACTCGATTCTGCGGTATTTTGTTTTTATTACTCGAGTAGAGACAAGACTAACTTGTAAGGGATACCCTATGTATGTACCGTGATTCGAGTCCGCTGACTGACCCTGCCCTTGCATTTCCGGGGAACTTCAGGATACATGCATCGGCCTCCATATTATTCTCTGGATCTGAACCAAGAACCCCTTTCCTTAAGATAAATACTGTGTACATATTACCCCAAACGTTGACCGACAAGTCCACCTGCACACCGCGGCATCCACATCTCCAGATCCAAGTTCCCTACGTAGAATGCTCACGATGCCAGGGAGGAGTCTTGACAAGACGTTGGTCCGTCGGAATTACCTAAGATATTCGAGGCTAATGCAAGTCAACCCCAGATTTTCACCTGTCTCGCACAATGACCCCGGAAGGTCACCGAGGGGGTTCCGTCTCGGGAGATCTGGGGTTCGTTCGAAGCGGTGATGAGCGAGCAAGCGCGGCTAGATCGGATAACAAAATTTAATGCGTGGCTGGGCTCCCTCTCGAAAGAGAGAACCTTACGAAATACCTAGTGTACTGTGTAGTTGCGCTCCTTCAAATCGCTGACCCAACCTCAGCCAGCGTCATGACAGTACCTTGAAGACCATGGAGCCATGGTGGCAGTAGGTTGGTGGCTGGTGGAAGGGCGAGGTAAGCGTGGCGAGAGCATGGAAGATTCCATCGTGATGTGGGTCCTCCGCTGCTTGCCGCTCCCGTCCTTGGCAAGCGGCGCAGGGCGGCCTCGAGGCCGATGGTGTGCTATTGTTAGTGGGGTGGCGGGCTGGTAGGCTGGTGGGCTGTTTGGTGGGGTAATAATCGCCGCAAACGCGACAACCCCGCCGTTCTCAGAGCTTCGGCAAAGGATGGAACGGAACGTTTTGAGAGATTTTGGTTTATTGAGTGAGCTCTCTGAGTTGCTGAGCCGCAGCCAAAGCTTACCTAACCACCGACCTCACTTGTTGGTCAATCTTGAAACTTGACTAAAGTGGCAGTCAGATCGGAACTGAACACCACTACACAGTACGGAGTAGTTAGGACCCTTACCCCTCGAGTGATGGTAATTCTCCGGTCTTGTTATTTTTCTTAATTTTCTCATTTACCCCGCGGTCAACTTGCAGCACAAATAACCCTCGCAACAACCTTCAACAAATTTAAAATGAGCTCCCAAAATAATATCTCTTCCGCTATTGCGGACGCCCAGGAGAGAGCTCGGGCGTTGGACCGGGATGACCCGCTTGCATTTACACGCAACGAGTTCAATATCCCGACCAAATCCCAGATCGCGAGCACCCGCTTGCCCGACTCAGGTGGGATAATTTCGGACCCTGGGCAGTTCCCGTAGTTCTGGATTTGGAAAACTAATAATGACATTGTCTTGTGAGAGTAGCTACCACCAAAGCTGGGTCCGGGTCTGACGATGGCGCCGCTGATAAGTGCGTCTACCTCTGCGGGAACTCCTTGGGGGTTCAACCCAAGCGGACCCAAACCCGCATCAACCAATATCTATCCACTTGGGCTACCCAGGGAGTTCAGGGGCACTTCAAGCCCCTCGAGGAGTCACCGCTGCCTACCTGGCTCGACGCAGATGAGAAAGCCGCCCAGCTTATCGCCCCGATCGTCGGTGCCTCTGAGGCCGAGGTGGCTGTCATGCAAACACTGACGGCCAACCTCCACCTGCTCATGTCTGCATTTTACAAGCCGGACATCAACGGGAAACACAAGATCATGCTCGAGAGCAAGGCGTTTCCTAGTGACCACGTAAGTCCGTTCGCATCTCCATCTCATACACATCCCCATCAAAAATGACAGTCCTAACCCATCCTCAGTTCGCCGTCGAAACCCAACTCCGCCACCACAACCTCGACCCGGCCACCTCCATGATCACGCTCACCTCACCCTCCTCCCCCGAAGACAACGTCCTCACCACAGCGGAAATCCTCGCCGCCATCACCGAGCACGCATCCTCCACCGCCCTACTCCTGCTCCCCGGGATCCAGTACTACACGGGCCAGCTCCTCGACATCCCCACCATCACCGCGCACGCACACTCCCACGGCGTGTTCGTCATCTGGGACCTCGCGCACGCCGTCGGCAACGCGCCGCTGGCCCTGCACGACTGGGGCGTCGACGCCGCCGCCTGGTGCAGCTACAAGTACCTCAACGCCGGGCCGGGCTGCATCGGCGGCCTGTTTGTGCACGAGCGCAACAGCGCCGTGCCGCCCCCCGTCGAAGAGGTGGCAGAGGGGGAGGGGGAGGGGGAGGGAGAGGGAGAGGACTATGCCAACCGCCTCGCTGGCTGGTGGGGCAACGACAAGCGCACCCGCTTCGCCATGGTCAACCGCTTTCGGCCCGTGCCGGGTGCCGCGGGGTTTCAGCTGAGTAACCCGAGTATTCTGGATATCACCAGCCTGTCGGCGTCGCTCGAGGTGTTTGCCGAGGCGGGCGGGGTCGGCGCGCTCAGGGCCAAGTCGCTGCGGTTGACGGCGTTTCTGGAGGGGCTGCTCGTCGGCGAGGGCGCGCTGGTGGGCAGGGAGGAGAGGGCCCTGTTTCGGGTGATTACGCCGCGCGATCCGGCGCAGAGGGGCGCGCAGCTGAGTCTGAAGCTAAGTGGGGGGTTGTTGGAGCCGGTGATGAGGGAGTTGGAGAAGCGGGCTGTGATTGTGGATGAGCGGAAGCCGGATGTGATTCGGGTGGCGCCCGCGCCGTTGTATAATACCTTTGAGGATTGTGTGCTGTTTGTGGTGGCTTTTGCTGAGGCGCTGGCGGTGGCGAGGAAGGAGGTGGCTGTATGAGATGATAGAGGAATAAAGCTTTTTTCGCGGGTGATCGGGCGTAGATATTGTTGTGGTTATTGAAGCCTACTCGTCGTTGATCGGGTTTGGAATATTTCTGACATTCTATAGGGAGGTACTGAAAGGCACTCGCCTCACAGTGCTATGGATTAGGTCCGCGGCACCAATATCCAACGAGGACCACCGGCCACTCGACAGTAGCCCAACGGTTACTGGCGGTGGTCCTCCGCCCCCAGGCAGCGAGTTCAACCCCCCTTCGACGGGAGGTCGTGGTTCGAACCCTGCCCGGGGGCTTTCCGAGGGGGGCCGCCCCCCCTCAAGACGGTGTAAACCCCCGACGGGGGGTTTCGTAGCCGGCCACCTCCGACGGGAATTGGCCGGTGAGCTTTTGGTGTTTGTGACTAGCTGGGTATGCGTTCCTATCATGATCCGACATGGTAGGTTCAGTGTTCCTCTTATCGAACTTTAGGACTTGGGTTTTAGAACCTTGCACAGATAATGATAAGATGGGTGTGATTAAAAGTAACAAATTTTAGCAAAAGGAAAAGTATTACGTAGAGTAGATGTAGTTTCGTGAGGTTTCTATTTCTATAGTCGAGGTGTGGTTAATAACCACACTTGTAACTTGGCTGCTTTATCTGTGAAGTGCGTACATGACATTTAAGTCAACGGTTGGGAGTATTTAGCGAAGTAGGTTATAGCATCACCCTAAAACGTTATACGATGGGGCAATGGGGAATGCAGGGCGGAATACACGTCGCGAGGCAAAACGGGTAGTGTATAGTAGGTCCCTCATGATAAGCCTGGCGTTACTACCTATAGCTGCAGAGTCCTGTCACCTGCGCCGAAACCATCCATGGACCAACTTGCCCCTTCCACCACCAGCCCATGGCCTATGACCATGAACCCCTTGGCAGAACCACTCACTGCTTCTCGCTCTCTAGCACAGCCTTGATCATAGCCTGCCCCATCTCGACCGCCCCCTTAAACCGCGGCTCAAAGAACTTCTGCGTCACCGCAAACCGCTCCCTCCACGTCTCAAACTGTCTCAGCGCGACACACTCGGCCCAGCCCGATGCGGCAATCGTAAACTGCAGGTCGTCGCGGCGAAACGTGTTATCCTCGATGCCGACGCGCAGACTCTCGTCCAGCAGGCCCGGGGTGCGGAACAGGTGCTCGGTGACGCCCAGCCACAGGCGGAACAGCGGCGTCGAGCAGATCATGTGGTCGTAGGGGACGATGCCGAGCGCGCTCCAGCAGTCGACCATGGCCAGCAGCGAGAGGTGGTTGTTGGGCATGGGCGGGGCGTTGTCCTTCGCGTTGGCGTTGAGGCTGAAGCGGTCGACGACGCCGTCGGGCAGCAGCGGCTTGCCCTCCCACTTGGGCCGGTCCTCGGGCCCAAAGACCTTCTCCTTGGCGGCGTAGACGCGCTCGCGCAGCTCGTCGCGACGGCCCTCGAGCATGAGGTAGAACAGCTCGGTGGTCGAGCGCGCGAACTGGTTGATTTGCTTGTGGGCCTCCGGGTTGAGGATGGCCAGCCCCGCGTAGACGTGCCACTTCTGTGCGTAGATGCGCAGCATCAGGTTGATCTTGACGTTCTCGATGCCGCCCATGTAGCGCGTGCTCTCCCAGGGGAACTGCTGGTTGGCGTGCCAGGCCTTGCCCATCGAGAGGAAGGCCGCGTGCGTGACGGCCTGGGTGTCGGCGGTGATGCGGTCATGCTCGCGCGCGGTGAGGTAGACGTGCTTGGAGCCGAGGCAGCGTAGGACGGTTTCGACTTTGATAAAGGAGGCATCCGAGGCGCGGTGCTTGATGAGGACGAGGGGTTGGTCGCGGGGGTCAACGCTAGGGCCGTGGAGGGAGTGGCAGGAGACGATATCAACGTCACTGGGCAGGTGCTCTTCGAAAGCCTTGATCTCGGGGTCTTTGCAGGATGTTTGGCCACCCACGATGGCGCCCAGCCGAGTTGCTAGACAAAAGTCATATGTGGTGAGAATAATGTCTCGAGAGACAGAGGCAGAAACGGGTATCACGGTTGGCACACACATGGACCATACTGAGCGACAACACGACCTATCGCGGCCGCTTCAACACTGTAAATGATGTAGTTGCTGGCGCGAGACACCAGATGACCGTTGCGGAGAATTTCTATATTCTTCTATAGGCACAATCTCAGCACTGGTTCGCAGCGGAGACCAATTTAGATGCACGCCATACATGGTTGGCAAACTCTTCGGCCAGCTCATCGTATTTCTCCTCTCTGTCGCAGGCCATGATCCTGGAAGTCCACCACTATCAGCCTCTACTCTGTGTGTTCATCAACAAATCTATATCCAGGTTAGCAGGTGCTCAAATAGAACCAATGCTGAAACGATGTGTGGATAGGTGTATCATCAGACAAAGAATAGTAAGGTAGCTGAGAATTTTCATCATGGAAAGCCCGCAGCGGTGAACCGGGGCCAGAAAGGCTGACCGGCCATGCCACGAACGATACTCTAGCCAAATGCGCTCAAGTCATCATGCGATGGGGTAATGTGGGGAGAGTGAAGGTGAGTGAAGGTGATGTGGGAAGAAGCGACTTACCAAAGTCAACAGCTCTAGAAGCTGGGGGTTAGCAACGGCCACCACCTGCCGCAAGGCAAAGCCTCGTCGGTACTGCGGTAGCTGCGCGGAGAAGAAGATAACTGGTAAATTACCTCCATCCGGCACTGCTCAGACGCCGGGCATACATCTTGCCCATGTCGCCCATGCCGATGAGGCCGATGACAAAGTCTTCGGCCCCCGCAAGAAAGGGTTCCATGACGGACGCCATTTTCTCTTGTCCACTGACTGACAGACTGCTGATTACAAGGCAAGTTCCTCGTTACCAGATCACATCGTCGACCGCGGCGCCGACAGCTTCCTTTCGTTTCGAAGCCGAGAGCTGGGCGGGATGTTGCGAGTGAGGTGCAGAAGAAGCTGGGAAGAAAAATTTCCAGTCGCGTTTGGAATTTAAGCAGTTCGAAAATCCTGGTGGGTCCGAGAAGACGACCCCACTTTGACGCCCAAGATGGATGCCAATGCCCCACAGTGCGTGGATTGCTGCACAGTGTGCCTAGCACTCACAGAGCATCTCTTGTGAGCACCAAACCATGGAAGTATCTCTCCTTCACGTCCAGCACACCAACACAGCCCTCCCAAAAGAATAGTAAAAGGCCTGTCAAAAATGCTTATAATTCAAGCCTTCGGCTCCAACGGCTCAGGCCAACTCGGCATCGGCCACAAAGAAGACGTCTCCACCCCCCAACCCGTCCTCCTCCCATCCTCCATCACCACCACCACCACTCCCCAGCCAAAGCTCAAACGCATAGCAGCAGGCGGAAACCACACGCTACTCCTCTTCGAATCAGGAGCCCTCCTCTGGAGCGGTGACCACACCTCGGGCGCATGCGGGCCCGTCACCACCACCAACACAGACGACAGCACCCCCGAGCTAACCCCCCAGTTCCGCCCCGTCGACTTGACCTCCCTCCCCCCAGGATCAAAACCCGTCCACGTAGCCGCCACCTGGACCGCCACCATCCTCGTCACCACCGCCCCCTCCCCCAATCCCCAAAGCAACAACAACACCACCACCAACAACACCCACAAAGTCTACACCTTCGGCACAGCCACCAAAGGCGAACTCGGCCTCGGCCTCGACCCATCCAGCCCCGCTTCCACCCCCATCCCAACCGCCATCCCCAACTTCCCACCCCCCGGCACCCACATAACCGACCTCTCCTCCTGCATGGGCCACGCGGTAGCGGTGCTCGGCAACGGCGAGGCGTGGGGGTGGGGCAACGGGCGGAAAGGCCAGCTGGGCGAACCCGCAACAGGCGCGGTGCACTCGCCGCGGCGGATCGAGGGGGTCGGATTCCCCGTGGCGAGGGCCGTGTGCGGGCGCGAGTTTACCTGTCTTTTTGGGCGGCCCGACGACGCCGGGGAGGTGGCTGTGCTGGGTTCGGATAAGTGGGGGGTGCGGTCGCAGGTTCCTCCTTCTTGTCGGTCGCTTTCGGGGGGTGTGGCCGGGTGGAGGGAGGTTGGTGCTGGGTGGGGGAGCGTGTTTGTGTTGAAGGAGGATGGGGGGTTGCTTAGTTGGGGGAGGGATGACCATGGGCAGCTGGCGCGCGAGGATCTTGGGCGAGTCCGGGATATTGCTGTGGGTAGCGAGCATGCGTTGGCGTTGACCGAGGCTGGTGATTTGATGGTTTGGGGCTGGGGCGAGCATGGAAACTGTGGACCGATTCGGAATCAGGACGGAGAGAAAGGAGAGCGGAATAAGATTGTTTCGGCGAGCGAGGGAATGGAAATCACCATGATTGGCGCCGGTTGTGCAACGAGCTGGATCATCTCCGAGAAGCCAACATAAACCACCCCATGGTATCATGGGAAGCGCAACCTCCACATCACCACCAACGCCAAAGCTACGCAACCGAAAGCCGGGCGATTTTCGCCGCTACACCCGTCAAGTCAAGGGGAAAATAGGCCGAACCGACGGACCTACACGAGTCAGCTGGATAGCATGCCAGGCGAGATTCGGGGTTGCACGTACCTCGGAGAGCCGTTGTGTTGGCTCAAGGCCTGAGGCAAGGCGATCGGGAGGCGCCTCTTGAGTCTCGGCCTGCCTAGACAGATAACTTCCAACGCGCAGAGTCGATGGGTTCTACTCCGAGTTAGCGAAGGCTGCGGGTACGGTCAGAACAGAAACATTACCGGCTCATTGGTGGCATTCCACTCTAGTCTCCCGGTTTCCTCCTCCTCTTCTTCGTCTGGGTTGACGGGCTCCCACTGCTCGTCGTCCTCGCCTTGGTCAACGAATAGCGAATCGGACCGAGCTGTGGCGGGAGGTTGCATCGGCGATGGCCGCATTTCGAATGCGTGGTGGCGAGGCCTGATAGGCGTCTTTTGTTGCGGAGGTTTAGATGCAGGCGGGTCTGGTTGGTTGTCATTTGCGGCGGAACTCCCCCGGTGCGGTGCGGAATCAAGGTGCGGTGCGGAATCAAGGTGCGGTGCGGGAGTCTTTGCGACACTCGCCCGTGGGTTCTTGTGCTTCTGTGTCAAGGCGTCCTTCTCGCCGACTGTCATGAGGATGAACTCGCACAGAACGCCATCAGTACTGTAGGATAGCTTCATGGGACGCCCAGGGTTCGAGTAGCTGGTTGCAAGCGCGCCGCTGGTCATCTGGGCGTGTTGGAGGATGGCGCGGAAGTCCTTAACACTAATGATGATGTGAAGCTTGTCTTGGACCTCAACGTCATCAAACTCGTCCATTTCGACCGCAATGTTAGTGTGGAGGGGCTTTTTGAGAACAGCTAGTATCAGTCAGCGTAAGCTCCGTCGAGCGAAGAGAAGTAGTGTCGTTACCTTCGTTGCTGACAGTGCCACGCTTCTGCACCTTCTCCGTAAAGCATGTAAAGTTCACGGCCCGGGCCTCGTCGTCTGTGTTGATGTCGAGAAGCTCTATGCCTGGGCCGAAGTGGTCCATTAGTTGCCGCAATGTCCTGGATGAAATAGACCAACGGTGTTCGGCTTCATCTTGATTGAACTTGGCATGAGTAGGGGGTTTCACTTCGTATGGTAGCGAGTGTGAAGCCGTGATGCCTTAACCGGTCAGCAGCTGGGCCACACACAGACCTTGGAGAGAGATGGTGTATACCATTCCTGAAGGAGACCCTGGCCACGAGACGACTCTTCTTGCCGGCCCCGTCATCAATGGCCACATCACACCGGTCTATCGAAGCATCCCTCTCCCTTGACTGATCCCCGCTTCCTTGGCGGGCTCTAAAGATGGTAAGGAGAGACTGAAATTGTGAGTTAGCACCGGCGGCACGAGAGAGCGGAAACTGGAGAAGTCATACCCGGATGTATAACTGGCAAAAGAAGCGGTCTCGATGCTGGGGGGTGCCCTCAAAGCTGTATCGTGAAAAGAATCTGTTGGCGGCAAAAGAGAAACAGACATATGCCGACTTGGAAATGTTGAGTGTTGTGAGCGTCAACTAAGAGAACGGGGCCAGTTTAGTAAGATAGAACTCTCCCCTTAGGGTTGATGAGCGTTTGCATAACTACCTTGTCCTTTCTCGCCTCCAAAGAAACATCGTCGCTGAACTTGAACATGCAAGCAAGAGCATCGTGGAGCACAGCAACCCCTTCTTCGCTCAATGTGAAGTTGAGGACCACCATGGCGGTCTCCCCACAAAGACAGATCTAACAGTCCAACAAATCCCAGAATAATGCAATTTTCCCAGGTTGCTTTCCTAATACCTTGGCGGGGCAGGAAGTCAGGTTTATGTTTCAAGTTCAAGTTGGTAGTAGTCGGCCGGGGATGTAGAAAGGACGCGAGGCAGGTATTACCTTCCTCAAGACTCAGAGACGGTGATGACCCAGGCCGATTCGGGTAGGAGGAGTCGGGTGCCTTGCAAATGGAAGGAACCACCGGATACAGTGGGGAATGATTTTTCCCTACAGTGCCCAACGTGCCAATTCAGCGCTGTAATTTCTGAAATGGATGGGGGAACGCGCGCTGCTGAGTCGAGCGGCAGGCGAGTCGGTTTCGGCCGAGTTAAGCCCGCGGCTGCCGACGCGTCAAACAGCTGGGATGGAACCTCAGCTTGGAAACCTGGATTCATCTCATCAACCAACATTTATATCACAGATACATCATAACACAGCATCAATTTCGACTATTTTGCCCAGTGTCCAAACCAATTGACTTGTCATTTGCATTGTTGCATGGTTGAAGCTGCCTGGATCGCGAGGTACCGAGCGCCGCAAGCACCCGACGCGTCGCCAGAAGTTCCGAGTCCATTAAACGCCGTGTTTCGACCCCCCAGGTCCCCCACAAGTTGCCACCCCGCCAAATCCATCCCACCCCGCGCGATACACGTTACAATGGAAGGGCAAACAGGTCTAAGCTTCCCACAGGAAATATGGTGGCTTGTTTCTCAAGAGTTTGCGGATCGGCGCGACTTTGGCGGCCTTTTCCTCTGTGCCCGCTTGGGGAAGGGCATCGCTAGGCTGGCGCTACCGGAGCTGTACGCCATTCACGACCAATCGCCTGCTATCAACGCCCACATCCTCGATATTGAGACATCGATATGTCTCTGGCGCTCCATCATCACGTCGAGCCTCGGCAAGACCCTCTTCCCCTACTGCTGTTGGATCAAGGCTCTGAAGCTCGGCAACCTCCACTCGCAGTTGGAGGATCTCGCCCGTGACAACCCGGGGCTCAAGGCTAGTTTCTTTAGCCCGCCCCTTGAGAAACTCCAGATTCGCCGCGGCCGAGGGAGGGCGCTCGACCTCGAGGCCATAATCATCGAGGTCGCCAATCTGGTGACCGAGTGTATTAGAACCTCGGCCGCTCAGGAAAGCAAGCGGATAGCTCTCACTACGCTCGAAGGCAACTACTTACCCACCGCCAACCTGCCCAAATGGGTCTCGAGTCTCTCTAGCTTGACGTCGCTTTCCGTCCGTGACGGTTCCGTACTCAACAGCGACGTGGCTCGCGCCATCCGAGCAAATTGTCCGGCTTTCAGAGAGGTGTAAGTTGACCCTAACCCTGATGATGATCTTTCTCCTGGTCACATCTGAGTGCAAGTGCGCGAGTGTGCGATATCCCATGCTGATTTATGGGCTACTGCTGCCTATCTAGAGAATGTTTCTTTTGCTCGGGAACGGACCTCGACGAAGACTTGGCTGGCTTCTTCCGTAACCTTGAGCCCAACACCCTAGGTACGTTGTAGAATATAAGTGGTTTGGGTGGCGTAACAAAGGGGTTGTTGACAAGCTTCGCAGTGTCATTCACCATTTTGAGCATGAACGAGATCGGGAAGGAGACCTTCAAGGCTTTGAGCGAGCATTCTAGGTCTTTGAGAACCCTCAGTCTGTTTAGTCTCGAACGGATTGCCTTCCAGGCGTTGAATGAATTGCAACACTGTCTCTCGCTCGAGTCGCTCAGACTGGAGGGAGCACCCGGTGCTCGCCGCTACCTGTGGGAAGCTGAATGCAAACAAGTTTTTCAGGAAGTGGTACAGTGGCTACAGAAATGCACTGCCCTCCGAGAGCTAGAGTTTACAGTCGTTCCCACCGCAACCACGATCCTCGCCGAGGTCCTGAAGTCACCTGTTGTTCGTTTGACGAGCCTCAGCCTTCTGACGTTTGACCTCGATAAGGAATTCTGTCTGTCGTTGCTCAAACAGCAAGAACTCCGGCATCTGGCAGTCAAGATCAGGGATGAAGAACTGCTTGAAACCGACGACGAACGGCACACCATGTTAGCCAATGCCGTCGCCTGCTGCCACGAGCTGCGCGAGCTAGACACCAATGAGCTCTTCAGTCTTGAGGAGATTGAACACATATGCACATCGCTACCTTGGTTGGAGGAAATCGTCCTGAACGGAGACCTTATTGACAACGAGTTTCTGACCCCTCTCTCTCGACTTTCGAAGCTGAAGTCGCTCAACATATTTGGACCCTCAGTTCTCTCACCCGACACGGTCTTGGAATTCCTAGAGAAGATTGCAGCAGATCCAAAGGGCAAACACGACGGGTTGCAAGTCTGGATTTCCAACCAAAACTACGACTCCAAGTTCACCGACGAGGAAGAAACCAGGGTGGCTACTGCGTTGTGGGACCTGTTCAGGGGCCGGTTCGACATCAACTATAGGTTAGACCCAGACGAGCTTCATGAATCTGATTTTTCAGATTGATGCCGCTCTGTTACGGACCATGGTACCAACCGGCCGTGTATTCTCGGTATTCATGGACGGTGGCCTAGTCAAGATCAGCGAGTATCTCCGCTAGATAAGCCCTGGCCTCTTCAGGGTCCCAATCTACGAGTTTCTTCTCTTTGCTCTCTTCCACCTTCCTGTCGACAAACGACTCCATCCGCCTCTTCACCTTCTCCGACAGCAGGTTCATCCTCCCTTCATAACCACCCTCCACATTCGGCCCAAAGAACCGCTTGTCCACAAACTCCCAAAAGGTCGGCTCAAACCCGTAGCATCTCCGCGCGGCATAGTTGGCCCAAAACGCACCCGATTCCCAGTTCTGTCTCATCCGCTCCGACAGCGGCACCGCATCAAGACTCAGGGTTTCAATATGCTGGTCGAGAGACCACCCTTCGTCGTCGTCCTCTTGCAGCTCTAGATCCTCCTCGGCGCGAACGGCGTCGAAGAACACGTCGAGCACCCCGGTGTACTTGTCCCGGAAGTCTAGCAAGCCCCCGTCCCAGTAATCGGGCCGTCCAAGCAGCAGCCACCAGGGGGGGTCGCGGACGAAGGAGCACGGCGCGAAGTAGGTCCACTCCCAGTCGACCACGCCAACGATGTTGAGGTCGGCGTCGAGGAGGATGTTGCTCGGCCGGAGGTCGTCCATCCAGAGGCGGAATGTTTCTTTTTTTGCTTGCTTTCGGGGTGGTGGTTTCTTGGGGCGTCCACTGGTTTCTCCCGAGCCTGCTAGTGTGGCTGTGGCGTCGAAAAGCTTGCCCTGGCGTACGAGCTGCCGGAAGAGGTGCCGCGCTACAAACTTGTCGCGGCAGTCGTCGTCTGAATCGATGGCATTATTGTGCTGGAAGGTGAGGAGAGCGAAGTGGACGTCGGCGAGTGCCGTGTACCACTCGTCGGAGGTCGAATAGGTGGCGTTTTCAGGAGGGAGCATCGAGGGCGGAATACCCCCTTGAACGATCAAATCGTTCATGTCCTGCGTCAGAGGCCGGCTGCCGACGACGAAGGAGTCTCCCTGCTGCTGCAGAGATCCGATTCTGGGCATCTCCAGTTTGGAGAGCTGCAGAATGATTTTTGCGGCCTGTCTGTACAAACGCCCGAGCTGATCGCTGGGAATGGTGAAATCCAAGTCTCCTTCGCCATCCGGGACGGTCGGGTCCACGAGGAGGTCTTCCAGCTTCTTGTCATGAAATATGTAATCCATGATGATGAAGGGACCAAGTCCCAAGGGGTTCTCAGCGGCGGTGCCCCAGTGGTAGACGTGCGGAACCGGTATTGAGGTCATCTTCTCGATGTAGCGCAGGGTGGCAACTTCGACGCGGACTGCCTCGTCCGGGAACGCGGTTTGGCCAGCGATGCGCACTCGCAAAGCAGCTGCGCTTCCGTCGCGAAACTCAAGGGGGAAAACTGCATTGTAGCTGCCGCGTACTCTGCGCCCAGGCCGCACAGGTTTCCCCGGGCGATGCTTCATGATAAACTCGTAGATTTCAAGAAGCCGCCCCTCGTCAAAGAAGGCGCCTAGCTTTTCCCGAAAACCGTCTTCCAGCTCGTCGCTTTGTTTCATTACGAGGGAATCCTGGAACATGCCATGTTCCCTATCCCGCTTGTCGACGCTGCTGCTGGCAGGGGGGTCGCCCTTCGGCTTATCCGTGTCGCCCATGGCAGCGGCTTGTTTGCTTATGGGAAACGAGAGCTACTCAGGGGTGGAATATGCGACAACATCGGGCTTTCGGCAAGAAACTCGTTTTGTCATACGAGGTGAATTGGGTCAAGTTCACTAGCCAAGCGGAATTCAGGGTGGTTGGTGGTTGGCGGTTGGTTGTTGGTTGTTGGTTGGTTAATACCCATGTTTTCTACGACAGCCGTTGAGCTCATCCAGTCTTTCACCTTGGCTCCCTGGCGCGAGGGCGAACTACTATGGCGGAAAGATTGAGATAGACATGAAATTCAATCGAGTAAAAACTCCAGATAGCAAGTCTCGCTCTATGCAGGCTAAGCAAGGAAAAAAGAAAAAGGAAACATGGCACACAGCAACCGTTACATCCACACACAATCCCGTTCCAACTCCACAACTATATGCTCAACCCAGACAAACCACCCCTCTAAAATCCAGCATCCTTCAGCCACTCAATAGGGTGGCCACTCATCTCAGCATCCCCCTTCACCTCGACCTCAACAGCCTCGCTCCCCTTCAGCTTATCCTCCAACTCCCGCGTAATCTCATCAACATCCACGCTCAGATACTCGCTCAAAAACTTGCCGACATCGGTATTCTCCACATTACCACGAATCTTCTCGGCGGCCTTGCCACCGGAGCTGTAGATATTGACGTCGACGGCGCTGTGGCCGTGGGTGCTCCAGCCGACGCGGGCGCGGGAGCTGACCATGGCGGAGAAGATGGTGGTGGCGGCAGCGGGGTTGGAGGCGAGCGCGTTGAGCTCGATCTCGAGGGCGTCGGTGATGCCGAGGCGGCGGACCGCCAGCTCCTCGTTGATCCAGTTGATCAGCGACTGCTCCGACTCGCCGGCGGCCGCGGCCGACGCCATGTGCTCGTGCAGCAGCAACGAGCAGTACTCGGTCGAGGCGTTGGCCTTGGCGAGCACCGACGGGTGCCAGTTGTAGACGGGCAGCTCGTTGGGGGCCTCTGGAAGGGGGGTTTAGGAGGTGTCACGTTTTGAAAACGGGGTTACACGGGAAGGGGGGAACGTACGCCAAGCAGTGGACAAACCGCCGGTCTCGTGGTCGCTCGTGGCCACCAGGACGCCCTCGGTGTCGGACTTCTCCAAAAAGTCCACCACCAGCTTGAAGGCCTTGTCATACTCCAGCACCTCGCGCACCTGTGCAGCGGGGTCGTTGAAGTGGCCGGCATGGTCGATCCTGCTGCCCTCGATCATCAAGAAGAAGCCCTTGTCGCTGTCCTTGGTGGCGTCCTCGAGGGCGGTCAACGCCGTCGCAGCCATCTCGCTCAAGCTCGGGTACACGTCGGCCATGTGGCGGCGGTCAATCTCGAACGGCACGTCCGTGTCCGCAAACAGCCCCAGCATCGGCAAGCTCACATTCTTGCCGCCGCGCAGCTCATCAAACCCGGCACGGTCCCCCTTGTACCCCCAGCCATACTTCTCCTTCGCCAACCCCACCACATCCACCTCATCCTGCCGACAGCTCCCGCTCGTCCCATTCCCGAGAAAATGGCACCTGCCCCCACCCAAAATCAAATCAACCGTCCGCCCCAGCGGGCCCGCGCCCACCTCCTGCAGCGCAATCTCATCCATCTGCATGCGCATATCGACATGCGCCGCAAAGCACGCGGGCGTCGCATCCGTCACATCAGTCGTGACGACCAACCCCGTCGCCAAACCAGCCCGCTTCGCCGCCTCGAGCACGGACCCACAGGGCTTGTGGCCGGGCAGCATGCTGATGGCGCCGTTGTAGCTCTTGCGGCCGCACGAGAAGGCGGTGGCGCCCGCGGCCGAGTCCGTCACCAGGCTGTTGGACGAGCGCGTGCGCGACGTGCCCCAGAAGTGCCGGTCCAGCGTCAGCACGTCGTCGATGGGGAGGGACTCGGTGAGTTGGCGGAAGGAGCGGGTGAGCGAGAGGGAGGCTGGCCCCATGCCGTCCGAGACCATGAAGATCAGGTTGCGCTTGTTGTTGTGGGGTTTGGTGGTGGTGCTGTCGGTGCTGTAGGGTCCGCCGGCGGAGGGGTCGCCTGGGGCGATGGGGGGTGGGGGTTGGGAGGGGGAGGGGGAGGTGGTGCTGTTGTGGTGCTGGAGGATGACGGCCAGGACGATGACGGCGGCGGTGGCGATGAGGGCCCAGGCGAAGAGGACTACCTCGCGCATGACGCGGCGGGGCGCGGAGGGGGAGATAGTAGTGCCATGGAGGGCGGCATCTTCTTCCTCGGCGCGGCGGGTCGAGTCTTCGGAGTTGCGTGGGCGGTCAGCCAGGAGCGGTGTCCGCTCCGAGCCTGGGGCCTGCAATGGTTTCAGGTTAGAAATGACTCTTTCTCTTTTGTTATTCATCAATTAAGGGTTTGTGAGTGTAAGCTTACCATCGCGCCGGTATTCAAAGTGTTGCTGTCGTCTGATGGAAGGTGCGCGGCTGCTGAAGGTAGGACGCGCAGTAGCCGATGGAGAGTGTACACAGTACTAAGGCAGCAGGTGAGGTGTGTTCGAGCTGCAGCTGGAGGTTGGGGTAACGCTCGGTTTAAATCGGCGGGCGCCCAGCCGTCCCGCTGCTGCTGCGGCATGGCCCGGAGGGTGCTCAGCTAGGCCTGAATTGGAAAGGTGCAAGGGTCCACTGCACCCCGGATGCGACCCTCACAGCGCATGACGTCGATGAGGCAGGGGATTTGGCGGGGATTGGGGGTGCATTGTGAGGGCAGCTGCCGACGGGATGAATGACATCTGATGACTTCCCTCTCAATAACGTTAGACCCTTATCCCAACAACCCATTCAACAACCCTCACCCAACCCAAACCCCTTTCTAACCTCAACCAACCCAAACCCCCCCGAGTCACCCCCCTCCCTTGAAAAAGTGAATAGTGAACAGCACCCAAAATGCCCCCCACCCCCAAAGCAGAAGCACCAGAAACAGAAACCCGCACCGCCCTCCACACCTCCGCAACAGCCTTCTGCGACGCCTTCCGCACCTCGACCCCCCCCTCCGAACTCCTCACCACCCACTTCACCCACCAGCACGCCAACATCCTCGTCCACGAGCACGGCCGCCCCCACCCCCAACTGCCCTTCCTCGGCCGGCCCTTCCGCGGCGCGGCCGGGCTGCACGCCTACCTCGACGCCGTGTCCAGTTGCCTGAGCCACGAGGGGATGCAGTTCACCGAGTATGTCGTCGACGCCGAGGGGCGCAAGGTGGCGGTGCGGGGCGAGGCGCGGTTTACGTGGAGGGCGACGGGTCAGGGGTGGGACGAGGTGTTTACCTATGTGCTGGGGTTTGATCGGGAGTGTAGGGTGGAGAGGTACGAGATCTGGGCGGATACGGGGGCGGCGTTGCTGGCGAGTCGGGGGGAGTCGGTTGAGTGAGTGAGCGCCTAGATATCTACCTAAGTGGGTGAGGGTTTTGGGGTGTGTGATTTGTGTGTAGCGGTAGCTGTTTTTGTGTTATGTTTGGGGTGATGATCTATGACGCTCAAAATGTAATTGGTATGAAGATGAAGCCCAAAAGAAAAAGACAAAAAAAGATACGCTGGACAATGTTAGAACAAGAAACCTCTTGCGACCCCCCTCTCTATGTTATCCGAGTCCGATCCCAAACCACAACCGACCGATACCGATACAACCGCCGAACCCCAGACCTCTATCAGACACCCCAAAAGGAAACCCAAGGTAACAAACCCCAAAGCACGAACTCATGCGTCACTCTTGACCCCCGAGTACCGCACGTACAGCCGGTCCCTGAAATGCTCATGCCTGATCCCATTGGGCCTGGCCTTGGCAAACGCTTCGATGGCCTCCTTCGCAGTGAACCCGCACCGCTCGACGAGGTAGCATGCCACGAGAAACCCTGTCCGATTGAATCCGTAGTGGCAATGCACGCCAATGGCATAGCCTTCGTCCCACCCCTCCAGTCTGGCCTTCTTCTTCTGCTCGGCCCGGATCTTGTCGACAAGTTCGACAAACCCGCGGATTTCCGTCTCGTTGGGCGGCACCTTGGACAACGTGCCATACTTGTGGTAGTGGACGCCGCCCTGTTCGAGACCGTCCGGGTTGTAGACGGGGTTGTCGTGCGAGATGTCGATCACGTCCTTGATGACCTTTCCCCATTTCTCCACAAACACCTTGGGGCAGTGCTCCTCGTCGACTTCCCGGAGCGTCTTTATAGCCCGGAACACCCCGCCGATCGGACCAGACACCGGGGCAACATTGCGCCACTTTTCGAGGTTTTTGACGTCCCACTTCCCGTCTCTGCAAAGATACTGTAGCTGCCACCCGAGGGAAAGGCGTCCGGTGACGTGGGTCGAGAGAAAATCCGAAATGAGGCCGGCGAGAATGGGTACTGTCGCTGGTGCGTATAGCAAGCCATGCCCCGCTGGGCTGGGAAGCTTGGTGCTAACCACGACTTTCTTCGGATGCTGAGGCAGATGTGGAAGTCCTGCCGCGCCGTTTGAGGGGGTGCTTTCGTCACTACTGCTCTTTCCACCATCGTCGTTTGCCTCCGAACCATTCTCGGATCTATCCCCTGCGAGGACAGAGACAATCTTGTCGACCTCTCCGTGGGACACAACTTGATCATCCGTCCCACCGACTAGGAACACGGGGATGTCCAGTCCTGCCCAGACGTCCAACGCCGCTATCCCGTTCGAGGGTGCACCGTTCGAATACTTGGGGAGCGCGCCCCATGCCATTCGCCGCCAGACCGGTGTCTTGCTCTGGAAATTGTACATGTACTGCAGCCGTTTCGTCTCGGCATCGGCACCTGCCCCGACGAACCGGTGCACACTTGGACTCTCGAGACCCCCGCGCCGGTCCCAAGCTCTCCACATGTTGAAAATGAACTCGGGGATACAGAGTCCTGCCCGCAACATGCGGACCTTCTCTGGAGTAAACTGCCCTGCAGTGGGGCATATGGCGACCAGGCCGAGAATATAGTTGTGAAGTGATGTTTTCGGGTCCCGTGGGTTGGCGAGCAGAGCAGCGAGTGAGGAGCCCATACTATGACCAATTAGAACCACCCCTTGCCCGGCTGCCACATCGCGATGGTCTTCGACTACCGCCTCCAGCAGCTCAATGATGGCATCCGTAGAGTAGGCGTCCCACTTCCGGGGCTCGAATCCAGAGACACCGCACCCTGGGAGATCGACGGCTAGACATGAGGCAATCGGAGTGAGACTGGTGAGCAAGGGACTAAATTGGGCGACAGAGCCACCTAATCCATGGACGAAAACTAAAAGGGGTACTGGCGCGGGGGAGGTGGGAAGGTTATCGGCGTGCTGATGTTTCCGAAAGAAGACGCGGAGTTCGGGGTACGTGGCCCGGGATGTTGTATAAGTCTTTATATTGGAACACCTCTGGATGAGGGGAGGGTCCGTGGCTTTGGCATCTGCGCTCGCTGTCAATTGACTTTTTGGTGTTTTTGAGGTATGCATATAAGAAGATACATACCGTATTGAGAGGAGGCCATGTGGGAAGTATGCCACACGGCCGCCGATGTGCTTACGTCGGTTGGTGCTGACAGGGCCCTGTCGAGCGAAGGTAAGTTTTGAACCGTCATGATGGTAGAGGAAGTTTAAGAATAAAATATAAATATAAGTAAAATAAAATATAGATGCTATGTTAGGTTTGCCAGTCGAGCGAGGGGAGGCATTCCAGATCCACAAAGCAATGGGTCGTGAGTCGGTAGGTAGCTGGGGAGACAAAGGCAGGTTGAAATCGTCGTACCTCAAAGAGCACCTGCGCAGGTATTAAAGAAAGCAAATTAAGCAAACGAACAGATTGATGATCTCCCAACAAACGGCTGTCTGCCCCGTATGATGAAACCTGTTGTGACAAAAACAAAAACTGGCGAGATGTGAGGAAATTTCGTGTCAGGCGAGGATTGGGTTAATGGGATTGAGACTTGAAGAGGCCAACAGCAGCCCGCAGTGCCCAGAGAAACGCGATGAGACGGGAGAGAGGCGGGATGATATGGTGATGAATCAGGCAGGCAGGTGCAGCTTGGCCCTGTTCTGATTGTTGGAAAAGCAATCGACGCGCAGTCGGTGGGTTGTCATGTAAATATTGGCGGATAGCCAGATGCCTTAGTTAAAGTACCAGGAAACGGAAAGTGAGAAATGGATGCCCCATCAATCAATGCCCAACTCGTTGAGAAAGATCGCTGGTTCCTTCCTTTGACCTGCAACAAAACATTTGGTACGACCTGGGGAGGGTCAGAGCTTCACCGAAATTGACAGGGATGGTCCAACAGTCGTCATCGCTTTGCCAGTGTGCCCAGGGTTGATCTTCCCATTGGGCATTGGGCCAAGACAGGCACCAGACATGTAATTAGCCAGAGTCCGCATCCGAATCCACGCAGCCGAGTCCGGTGTTGGGTTTCACGAAGGAATTATTGAATTCCAGCAAGACTGACTGAAGGGTCCTTGTGTGATTTTAAAAGCGAGGAATTGTTAATTTAACAGATGCAGGGTTTCCGGCGGATATCTTTTTGCGGGCCGCAAATCATCATGTAGGTACCTATCCGTGGGCTAATTGAACCTCTTTATCTGCATACCGTCCGGCTTGGGAGAGCTTTGTCGGAGCTGTCCGTTCTGTGGCTCCGACCCTCACGATAGCGGCCCCACTCACAGGGTTGCAATCAATCGGCCAAGCTCGGCTCTGCGGCGTTTTGGCGACCCGTCATCGTGATTTCCTAGCCGAAATCTCATGCGGGCGATTTACATATTAGGTACCTCACAACTCTCCCTAAACAGAGTTGTTTCCCGCCCAGATCCCCAACCGCCATGGCAACAAACCGCTTGACGTTTCTATACCCTCACCTCTGCCGCACCGGTGGGCGCTGGTATGAACCTGCAGCGTCACAAGCTATCCGCAGCTCTCGTCGCAACCCCTCAACACTGCCGCCGTCTTGCCAACATGCCGCTCCATTCACGATCCCCTCGGCAAGGAGACAGCCTGCTTTTGCTAAGCGAGCTGGGAAGGGCATAGAACCTCTTCCGGTCGAGACTGCTGGGCAACAGCCGAACACCGAAGAAGAGAAACCGGGGAAAAAGCCGAAGAGGAAACCGGAAGGGGAATTGGAGGATAAGTCGGAGCGGGGCCCGGAAAGGAGACCGAAGGGGAAGCCGGAAGGGAAGCCGGAAGGGAAGCCGGAAGGGAAGCCGGAAGGGCAAATAAAAGCCCAGGATTCAGGGCAATCTACACCGCAGGGGAAACCCACACCGCAGCCAACAGAGACACCAGCATCACCCGTACCACCTGCCTCGTCACCCTCCCCGTCCGCGGGGTCAGGTCCGAAAACGGCTTCCCCTCCCCAACCCGACCTTCCACAGACGATCGAGCTACCCCCTCCAGGCGACATCGACCCCATTACCCAGGCCAAGAAAGGCAGCCCCATGGACGAGATCCTACACATGGGACCTCCACCAGACTCCGTACCCCGTCCGCCTCCTAGCACTCTCGCCTCCGAACAGCCTAGCGATTCAACCAACCCCCCTGCCACCGACGCCGCCACCGACGCCGCCACCGACCACGCCGCGAGCACCAAACCGCCGCACCTGGTGCCGACCCCCTACATCCACCACTTCGACTCGTACACACTGGTCAAGCAGCTCACGACGGGCGGGTACACGCTGCCGCAGGCGATCCTGTCGATGAAGGCGATCCGCAAGCTGCTGGCGGCGAACCTGGACGTGGCGCAGTCCGGGCTGGTGTCCAAGGCGGACGTGGAGAACGAGACGTACCTGTTCCGGGCCGCGTGCAGCGAGCTGGGCGCCGAGGTGCACAACAACCGCCGCGTGGCCGACGAGCAGCTGCGCCAGCAGCGCACCCTGCTGCAGCACGAGGTCGACATACTCGCCCAGCGCCTCAACCAGGAGCTGCTCACCCTGACCGACAGCGTCCGCGGCATGTTCAACGACCGCCGCATGGCCGTGCGCGAGGAGCAGAAGTCGCTCGAGAGCAGGGTGCGTTTTTCCCTTCTTTTCTTTCGCTCATGATGATCCATCCCACATGCAAAGCAAAAAGAAGACTGACCAAAGACTCCCCAGATCCAACAAATCAACTACAAGATCAGCGTGACGCTCAACAGCGACGCCAAGTCAGACATCGAGGGGCTGCGGTGGGTGCTGATCCGGCGGTCGGTGCTGGGCATCATCTTCATGGCCGTGCTCACGCTGGGCACCATCCGGTACGCCACCTACATGGGCCACAAGCGGCAGAAGGAGGCCGACCAGCAAGCGCGCGAGGCCGAGGAGATCAAGAAACACAACGGGCGGTCCGACAACTCGCCGGGGCCGGACGCGGCCGAGATTCTGGCGGCGAACTGATCTGATATGGTGGTTGGCTGCACCCAGTGCCATGTTTTCTTTTCTCTTCTCTTTTTTTCAACAAAAAACATACGGGGCACCATAGACGTGGTTTGCATAGCGCACGGAGGGTAGGGACCGGGTCACATAGAAAGCAACCAAGGCAGAGAAGAAGAGAGAAAAAAAGATATCCACGGCTTCACCGCCGCCCCTAATTCTAAATCTACAACCCTCCAACCCCATCCACTCCCACCCACACACCCCGCGGGAAACCAATCCTCAAAACCCAACCTAAGTAGGTACATACCTAGGCAAGCAAGCCCTCACCCCCCAAAATCCATCTTCAACGCAATACTCGGCTCCCTCGCCCCGCCACCCGCACTCTCCACCCTCCCCGCGGCCGCCTCTCTCCCAGACCGAATAACCTCCTCCAGAAACCCCCTCTGCCCCTCCCCCATCCTACCTATAACCCCGCGGAACGCAACCTGGTCGGCCGACGCCAGCTCCAGCAGCCGGGTGCTGGTCTCACGATAAACCACAGACCCCTCGCTCAGGGCGCGCGCGAGCAGCGCGGGCAGGACGAGCGCCATGGCGACGGGGGCGCGGTCCGAGCCGGAACCCGTGCCGGCGGCGGCGGCCAGCGCGCCGACATAGCCGCACAGCGCGTGCGCTACCAGCCCCCGCGCCTGCTCCGGGTCCTCCGGGCTGGTGTCGGCTGTGAAGGCGAGGAGGCGCGGGAGCAGGTGCCGCGCGAGGGATTGGTCTGCTGTTGTGGGTTGGGGTTGTAGGAGGAGCGTGCGCAGGCAGGAGGCGGCGATCTTGGCTGTCTGTCAAATCATGGTTGGTTAGTTGGGTTGGTTGATATTTCCAGGAAGGGGTGGGGACGTACCATGCGATCGGTCAGACAGTCGAGGACTTCCTCGAGGAAGCGCGCGACCAGGGGCTCGCTGGCGGGGAGGTGGTTCTTGCCGCCCGTGAAGAGGATCGTGAGCGCCAGCAGGCAGTTCTTGACGCACGTCAGGGACGTGGGTGCCTCGCGCTTCTGGGCGTGGAGGTAGATGGACAGGAACCGGCGCAGGCAGCCGAGCAGTTGGATGTCCGTCTGCGAGTGGCCTTCTTCGGAGACTTGTCTGGAAAGGGACATGCTCGTGATGAAGCGCTTCAGGGTCGGTAGGGACTGAGGCACGATCACGTCCTGGCAGGAAGGAGTGGCGAGGACGGTGGCGAAGATGTGGATGATGCAGGCATAGAGATCGGTCTTGATGATGGCTGGGAACACTTCGGCGGCGTCGACAAGCGCATTGAGTGCTGTCTTGATGAGGAGGATCGCTTCCTCGGTCATCTGGTGGCGGATTGGTTGCGGGCTCTCGCTGAGATTCGGGATGAGGCCGGAAAGAACCAGGACGATGATACGTGTGAGCTCGAAGAGTTGCTCAATGTCCTCTGACAGCTCGCCATTATCCGCTTCCTCTTGTTTCCTTGCTGCCGGGTGCGCTAAGCAAAGATCTCTTGCGATCTCGACGATCACCCCCTGAACGTCGAGCCCTTCGGTGAGAACAAGGCGGTCAAGAAGATCCATTGTCTCGGAGAAGATGGCCTCGCGGTAGATCGCTTGGCCAGACACGCTCGGGTGCAGAATTTTCTTCAGCGCGCTGAGGATTGCAAGTGTTTGCTCCTGGGTAGCCAGAGATTCGCTCTGGCCGGGCTTGGTTGCCAGCGCCTCGAAGGCGATGCCAAATAACACAAAGAAGAAGGCCACTGGCTCATCCCGGTAGTTGATACCCAGGCCTCGGGGACCGCCGTTGACGTTGGGGCCTGTAACTTCCTTGCCGTCCAGCGCGTCAAACACAAACTCGCTGTCCTGCCCGATGAGACTGGCAATAGCATCCACCAGCTTCAGCCACGAGTCCTGGTAGAACTTGAGTTGCGTCTCCCTGTTGAGGGCCGCGTACACCGTGTCAAGGCTCCCGGAGAGCGACGGTGGTCCCAGAGTCATAGAGATATCCGGCTCAAAGCGCAGCCGAGCAAACTCCCGGAGAGACTCGAGCCATAGGGGAGTCAACGTGCCGATGTGCGGTTTGAGGACGTCAAGCAGGTATTTCTGCTCCGAGCTCGCAACTTGGAGCTCAGCCCAGGCCCCAAACACGGCCATTTTGACCATGACCCGTGCATTGGAACTCAACCCCTTTAGGTCACCAATGCCCGCATTCTCATCCTCGGTCTGGAAGTTCTCGAGTGAGCTGACAAGCGTCTTCAGAATCCTGCCCATCCTGTCGACATCTCTAACAATGCCCGTCGCGATGAAGCCAGCGCAGACATTGACGGCCTCAGCAGCCAGCTCAGGGGAAGAGTCGGCGGCAAATGCGGGCGTAAGGGCGGAACTGATCTGAGCCTGGTACTGCTCGAGGAGCATGGCCTCCTCAAAATCGGGGTCCGGGGTCTTGCCAAACATTTTTAGCACGGCGCCAATAATTTTCAGGCCCCAGATCCTCTGCTCAACCACCCCGGAAGTCGACGCTGAGAAGGCCATCCGAACGACATCGGCAATCTTGGTCTGGAGCGCGACCTGCGCCACAGACTCGCCATTGGTGGCAATGTCTTTGGCAACGAGAATGAATATATCATTCAGGCAGTCCATCGCAAAGGTCGTGACCTGCCACCTCAGAGGCTCAACGTCGGGGCCGCTCAGGACGTCCTTTTCGTCCTTGGTGGCGCCCGGCGCGGCAGCGAACCCAGCGACTTCTTCATCTTGAAGATCAAGGCCGGTTCCCGATTTCTTGGTCGTGGCCGTCTCCTTCACTGCGTCCTTGGGCCGAGTCATTTTGAGGACATGCTGGAAGCGTGCGAGCCAGGCAGCCGTGTTTGCAAGACACGTATGCCGCATCCAGTTCCGGAGCGTGTTGTGCATCCCGTCATGACTGGGGTCCGAGTCGAGCACCAGCCAGAGCTGGTCTTCGAATCCCTGATCCGCTGCCTCGATGACGTCGTATGGGTTCCGCTTCATGAGGTTGTGAAGGCCATCCACAGCAACATCTCGAAGAATTGTGTTCTCGGAGCCAAGGTAGCCTTGAAGTGTCTTCACATACTCTTCGAATTTCATGTATCCCGGGGCGTAGAGTGAGAGATGCTCTAAGCACACCAGGCTGGCTCTCTGCACTTCAAGATCCTCTTCTTGTTGAAAATATCCAACAAGGGTAAGAATGAGCTCTCTCGACTTGGTCGAGTCCTGGAGGTCAGGGCCAAGGACGTTGATCAGCGAATCTACGCAGTGAGCGATCGCCGCGGACGTAGAAGACTCGACCTCGAGGTTCATCGAGGCCGGCAAGGCCACTTCGGGATTGTGTGTTTCCGAAAAATAGAGGTTAGCCAACATCCCAAGGGTGGCCGAGACGTATTGTGCGAATCCCAAGCCAGAGGCATCCGCTACCCGCGCAACTGCCTCTAACGCCCAGTAGTGAACAGTAGGGTGCGGGTCGTTGCACAGAGATAACAGGATGTTGAGAATGGTTTTCAGATGGTATCCGGCCGCCATGCTACCGATCTTGGCTTGGATAGTGCCGAGGGCCATCGCACAACCCGCTCTCGCGCTAGGTTCCCGGTTGACGACGATGGTATCGACAAGGTACTTGATCTCTTGGTTTGTGAAGGCATTCCCGCAAGTGCCACACAGCCGAGCAACTGCCTCGTAGGCGATGCTCCGGACGTACTGGTCTCGATCTAGTACGAAGTCACGAAGCAACTCCTGGATGAGTTTCTCGACGGCCGGATTGGTCACGTCGCCCGGAGGCGACCTTGTCTCCTTGACTGCTACTCGCAGGATCGAGAGCAGAGCGGTGGCGACGTTTACATTGACGGCAGCCTTCCGACCTGGGTCTCGTTGCAGCGACCCAGCCGCAACAAATGTCGTCACTTGCTCCAACACGCTCTCCTGAACCTTGGGTGGCGTGAGCGGGAAGACAAAGGCGAAGAGTTGGATCGCCATATTCACGACTTCGGTCGCTGCGGGGTCAGGAAGGCTGGGTCCGTCAGCGCTGCCGATGTAGAGAACGGAGGCATCGTGCTCCAGGGTCCCGCAGACGGGCGAGAGCAAAAGCCTCTCGATTTGCTCTTCCGGGCCCTCTCGGCCAGAAGGTGTGCGGTCTTCTGAGCTTTCGTGTTGTCCTGGAAGCGGTCTGACGTTGAAACCCCGTACGAGACCGGTCACCCCGAACCCAGAGTTGTCGCCTATATCCCACACGGACTCAAAGGTCGAGGCTGTGTTGGCGATTGATGCACTGAGCGAGCTCGGGGTGTAATTATCCGGGTCCGCGAACAGAGATATGGCTAGGGTGAGGAGGTTGGATTGTAGGAGTGCCTCGGTGCCGCCGGCTGGACTGATATTCACCAGTTTTGTGTAACACTGGAGAACTCTCCGTTGTACCATGGTCTCCAGGTCTTGAAGTTGCAGTGACGGTGTCAGTCTTTCGTTGATGTCTTCTGCAGTTTTCTTTGAGGGAAGCGTCTTCAGGAATGCGGCCGTGCTTTGCAGCATAGTCGCAATACGCTTCGAGACGTCGACGGTTAGGAGGCGGCTGTTGAACTCGAGGAACGCGAGGATTGAACCAAGCGCGCATTCCCGGACATGTGTCAAGAAGGAAGCATTCAGATAGTTTCTGTGGATTGAGCTGTCCTTTGATAGGACCTTTGGCAGGGCATTCTTCCATAGGAGAAGAAGCTGTGAGAGATGGATCTTGACGAAGTTGGGTCCGAGTGACATAAGGCCCCCGATCAAGGTCCAGGCAACCTGGATTTGAGTGCTCGCCACACGCAGCTCGGAGCTGCCGCTAGACTTGAGCAGATTCGTCGACATTGTTAGCACACGGCTGTTGATGTCGACCGAACCGTATAGCGGCCGCTCCGGACTTGCGCTAAGACCGGAGGCAAGACCATGGGCAAAACCAAGACACCTGCGAGGCGAGCCTCTTCCAGTACCAAGCAGCCCCAACTCTCTGCTGAGGCTGTTCATGCACACCGAGAGGCAGGGCAGAAGTTGTTGAGGGCAGGCTAACAGGAAGGTTTTCAAACATGACGATGCGTAGACTTGAACGGTGTAACTCGGATGCTGAAGGACTTGAAGGAGACCGTCGCGACAACCTTCCGAAAAGCTGTTGGCTGCTGAGCCCAAACTGTTTATCAAGGACGCTAGGGCGCTCAGCGAAACAACCAGTGTTTGTTTGGTGGGTTCTGGCTTCTCCTTGAGTGCTTGTGGGTAATTCTTAACGACGTCGTTGAGGAGAGCCTTTGCCGCGCCGGTCTGGCCCGACTCCCCGAGGATCTTCTTCCCAACGATGTCCTGGATAATAATTTCCACCATTCGCCGGGAGATAAGCAGGCGGTAGCGATTGTTGGTGATGTTGCTATGCCCCAAGAGCTCAACTGTCATGTGCTCCACAATCCGTGTGTAGTTGTTCTCAACCGTCTTTTCTCCCAGCTTCCGAAGCATGTTGCCATAGCAAACAGCGATTGCGGCCCTAGATTTGTTCGTAGTCGACATCCGAACGTATTGTGTCGACAAGGTCTTGAGCATATCGACCAGTGACAAAGCCAGCACTTGGGACTTCTTGGTTGGCGCGGGACTCTCGGGCCTCGGGGGGAGGTCATCGTCGTCTTGGAGTGCCCCAACTTGCATAGACTGCCGCTTCACAGCTTTGGACTTTGTTCTCTTGAGCAAGACCAACGGAGCTTCTCCAACGGCGGACTCGGAATAACCTCGAACGAGAGCCTCGGCAAAGCAGTCGGCAGCAGCAGAGCGTACGTTGGATGATGGCGAGTCGAACGTCTTGAACATGGAAGACCGGAGACTATCGAAGTCGCTCGAGGTTTGGAAATAGGGAGTGAATTGTAGGAGCGAACGCAAGCAGCGGCACGCGGCGATGATAACAAGCGACCCCTTGTCGCTCGTGGCGTAGCTCCGGCCCTGCTTCCAGACGTCCCTTGCGATGCTCTCGTCTAAGCTCCCTCCCAACATTGTTGTGATCTTCCCGAAAACTGTAAACACGGCGGCGCGAAGACCGGCGTTGCTAGAGGACGACTTTAGAAGCTTCAGGAGGGCTGCGCAGGCGAGTTGGTGGAGGCCGATGGCACTATCGCCCGCAGCAGCATAGACCTCTCCCAAGCACGCAACGGCAGCATGTTTCGTCCGGATCTCACCCTCATTCTTCGATTTTCCGCTGGAGATAATCCCCGATAGCTCGTTGACGGTCTCGAAGAGCAGCTTCCGATCTCCCTTGCCAAATATGTGTGCCAGACATTTCCCTAGGGTGTTGCGTATCACTCTTGTTGGAGGTGGGGCCGCGAGGTTGATGATCTTGAACACTTCCTTCTTGAGGTAGAACTGCTGCGCAGTGCAGTCGTCGGGTGCGAGGCTAAGGACATGTTTGCTTAGGGACGAGGTAAAGTTTAATAGAAGCAGTTCCTGTTGCTCAGAGGGCAACCCTTGGAGTTTGGAAACATCGAATTCGGGATTGGGACTCGATGCTGCTGCTGCTGCTGCTGCTGCTGCTGCTACTGCGGATGTGCGCGGGGCATCGCCGTTTACGGTACTGGGCTCATCCGTGCCCGCTGTCGATGCCATCGGGAACTAGTATTGTGGAGGTTGTTGGTGTTCCGGGTTGTAACTGTCCCCGACCGTAAGAAATGTAAAGTTGCAGTGCCAAAAGAGAAGGAACCTGGAATGGACTCTTTGGGCCCGTGTCAGGGGCGCCATCCCACAATTGCGTTCCATGTGGTGGAGCTCTCTGTTAGGCCAATGATAACTGAATGAGGGGCCCCATGCAGATCATAAACCCTGTCCTCCCGCTGCCGTCTCGGCAGGCAGCGCGAAATTCAATTTCGAGGTTCGATGGAGAAAGCTTGAACTGCCGCTTCCCGAGCGATTCACCTCACCTCGGTCTTCAGAAGGAAGCTTCCAATCCCAAGACTGGCTTGGGGAATCCCCGGCCGATCGAATCTGCTACTCTCGTTTGTATTTACTCGTCCCCTAATGGCATGAATACGACCTGTACAAAGCCCATTCCGATTTAATGGCGTCCCTCTTCCGCCCTCTCGCACCGTTAACTCGGCCGGCGATACCCTCCTCCATCTGCGCGCAATGCCGCCGCACCTTCGTTTCCAGTCCAATCCTCGAGTCCGGTCACAACAAATGGAGCAAGATCCGCCATGACAAGGCGGCCAACGACGCGAAAAAGAACACCACGCGCACGCTCTTCGCCAAGAACATCACTCTGTACTCAAAACGTACGCTGCCCTCCTCTGCATCGTCAAGCTCTTAAAAGACTTACACCACGGTGGGCAGTCTTCGGCCCCGACCCGAACAACAACCCCCAGCTAGCGACTGCCATCCACGCGGCCAAGAAGGCTAGCGTGCCCAAAGACAAGATCGAAGGAGCCATTGCCCGCGGGCAGGGCAAGTCGTCCGGAGGCGCGGCCCTCGACTCCGTCACATTCGAAGCGGTGATGCCGCCATCGATTGCGTTGATAGTCGACGTCGAGACGGAGAGCAAGCTGCGGGCTTTGCAGGATCTGAATCAGATGGTCAAGAAGGCGAAAGGGTCGACCAGTTCGTCCAAGTTCTTCTTCTCGCGCCTCGGCCGGGTGGTGTTCGAGAAGGGCGAGAGCGGACTGGACGTGGATCAGATCATGGACGATGCGATCGAGGCCGGGGCAGAGGACCTCGAGAACGATGCCGACGGGAACATTGTCGTCTGGACCCAGCCGTCGGGAACGATGCAGGTGTGCAAGACAGTGGGGTCCAAGTTTGGGTTGAAGATCCTGAGCTCGGATATTATCTGGACGGCAAACGAAGACACCAAGGCCAAGCTCGATGCGTCGGAGGAGCTGACCAGCTTCACGGACTTGCTCGAGGCGCTGCGGGAGTACCCCGAGGTGCAAGCAGTGTATTCGAACGTGTCGAAGGGATCTATGAGCGACGAGGAATGGGCGAGGATAGAGGAGAACCTGGATACATAAAGGCTGACCGGAGACAGACTTTTGGAACAGTTGATAGACATGAGCAAACCCCATAGATGTATATGTAGTGTACAGTCGTAGAACATGTCGCGCCAGCCGTAGCCAGGCCGTCGAGAGACGAGATGATTCCGCCGAAGCTTCCGTAAACGCCGTATTTTCCCCCAAACCCTCAAACCCACTCACCCTCCCCCAGTCTCTCGATAGCCCCCGATCCCGATCATACATCCACCGCCCACAGCCAAATCAACCCCGCCCCCAAAACAACCCACCTCTTCCCAAACGAGAAGAGACCCCTACTCTTCCGACTGCTGCCCCTGCCCCTGCCCCTGATTCGGGTTGAGCGCCGCAGCGCGCGCATCGGCGGCCAGCCGCTGGTCCCTCAGATACAGCCTGCGGGCGCGCAGCCTCTCGAGCTCGGCATGGATCTCGTCGCGCTCGACCGGCAGCCTGTTGGCGTTCTCGGCCTTGGGCCAGAAGTCGGGGACGGAGAAGCGGCTGTCGAGGTTGGTGCCGAAGTAGTACATGATCCCGATGGGGAACATGACGTACATGCCAAACTGTGGGAAAGGTGGGTGGGTGACCCGACGGGTTAGCTCGGGTTATGGGGAGGGAGGGGAAGGTGAGTGAGGTGGGGGTTGAAGCGGGATGCAGTGGGTTGAATGGGATGGGTGAATTGGGGCTGGGCTGGACTAGATTGGATTGGCAGGATGCCCTTACCTTGAAGACCTCGAGGTTGAGCCCACCCATGATTGAGTATCGTGGTAGCTGATCGCTGCGTGCACGGTGCAATCGGAGGGCGAAGGGTGAGCTTGCAGGAGCGGCTCTTGCTCGGAAAACTGACCCAGCCCCGACCATCTGGTCGTCCCACCCTAAATTTTGGCAGGGGACAAGGCAGGTGGGTCGCCCAGCTTGTGCCGAGCAAGCACGGGGGCGACGGGCCACTGCAGGTCAGCATCCTTGCCGCTGCGGCCCAAGTGCCGGCCATCCATCAGGGTGCCCAAAGATCAACCAAGAGCGGTTTCATCATCATGGATGTTTTTGAATTGCGCTGATATCAAAACTCCGCCCAAAATTAGGTACTATCTCGCCTTGACCCGAGGACAGCTTTTTGTGACTCTCCATATAGCAAGACCTCGCCTCCCAATAACTCTAGAAAGGGTATTCCAAACGCCGTCCTCTCCAAAATCTAAATCGTCCAGATTTAGGTGTTGCTGATGCCGCCAAACCTCGCGAAACCTCAACCCCTCCAGCCCCTTGTTTGGGAGATAGGGATCCAGCCATGTCGCAGATAACGGCGCCACCAGATATGTCCCGTTCTTCTCCTTCAGATACTCCCCGTTCCTTCTGTCCGCCGGTGTGTCGCAAGTGGCGAGCTGCCCCAGTTCCTCAAGGAGCGTCTCCCCCTTCATGCCCATCACATCACGTGTGCGCAGGACCTCGTTCTTCCCGTTCAGTAGCCATATCGGTGGCATGTATGTCTTCCACCAGACTGCTTGCGTCGCGTCCGGTTGCTTGCTCATGAAGACTTGAGCAGGGATAATGCCCCCTTGGTGATAAACCCCCATCAAGATTCCAAAGATGGCGTTGAAAACGATCCACGACACCGCCCAGATGCGCAGGACCTTCTCGCCTTTCGGGAGGCGCACAGACGACAAAAACAGGGGAACGGTCGGAAGGAGGAACCTGGCCTCCTGGTGCTGAGATAGCGAGAGCACGACGATGCCCGAGATCGCAGAGTAAAGACGCAGGGAGCGTTTGGGTCGCATGAAAAGAAGGATCGTGGCAGGCCCAAGCAGCTGCGGCAAGTTCACCAGCAAATGCTGATACCACGGGTGCAGCCCATGTTTCGCCAGGTTGGCTGGCGAGATGTTGTAAAGGAGGTTATTAATAGGGGTAAGGACTGGGTTCCGGAGAAGGTCGGACCAGGAAATCGAGTGCGGCGTGTAGTACGCGGTATCGAGCGTGATCGCAAGCGCCGTGGTGCAGAGCCCCGCTGTCACAATTGCGATGAACGATAGCGGGCTGTGGCTCGTTAGCTACGGTACCAGCTTGAGGAGATCAAGGGTCACGTACTTTTTCCAGTAGTAAGGTAAGAGCCGAAGCCCGGGTATCAGTAAGAAGGCGGGAAATGTAATTCTGTTGAAGACTCCAAAAACGACGACGATTCCAAGGACCGTCGAGGCAAGAACCGAACCGCGCTGCTATATCCCATCAGTCAGTTTCCCCTCATCGCTTTCATCGTTGGATGCGCTTACCGGACTAGCGACAGTGCGCTCAATAAGGACCAAACTCCAGGCTACAACCAGAGTCTCGATCGAGTTCGAAAAGGTATGGGTCTGGAATGTCCAGGTAATGTAAGACGACGCGACCAAAAGTACGGCGACGCGCCTGTGCCGCTGCGACTGGATAAGCTCGTGAATCGCCCAGTCCTCCAGCACGAAGCCGACGATAAACATCAGCACCCGCAGCGTCCAAAAGACGGCGATAGGTGGTATCTCCCCGTCATTCCCATTGCCGATCCATAACCACCTGAGCAGGAGCATCGGGAGCCCGTAAACGGGCCATAGCGGGAAAACGCTCCGAATCGGGTTGTCGCTCGTGAACTCCCAGGTGTGTCGGACGGGGTAACTGAAGATCTCCCCTGTGTCACATCGAAGTCAGTAACATGTTCGCGAGGACAGTGGCCGCGCGCGGACAGTGACGAGAGAGGCGCATTGCGGCGCCCAAGCCTGTCCAGTTGGCCCCAGGCGCGCAACCACGCCATGCGCCGTCCGACGCCAAACATGAGATTTGTCACATACCGGCGATGACCTCGGGGCCCTGGAAATTCTCATCAGGGTGGAGGTAGCTCGGGGACAGAGCGAACCACAACCGGACCAGAAGCAGAAAGAGGTATGTTCTCCGCCACATATTAATCTATCAACTGTCGCGCCAGCAAAGAGATTCCGCTGCCGCAAATCCGATGCATCCGATCCGAGGTGGGGAAAGAAGCGGTTCAGTTGCTGGCTGTCCTGGGAGCATCACCAGGTACAGCAATCGGGAAGAAAATGTTGAATCGTCGTCGAGTGAGCCAAGGAGGGGAGGTCATGATCGGGAAGCTCGGACGTGATGGTGGTCGCGAACAAAAGCAAGAAGGGAATGAGCAGGGAAATAAAATAGTCTGGCACAAATCTTGGGAGCGCTGGAAGAGTCGGCAAGAGCCAGTAGACGACGTGGTTGTTCCACGGTTCGAGGGGTGACCCCCTGTTTGCGACAGGGATCGGGACTGCAAGACAGCTTGCATTTGTGCCCTTTGAGCTTCTTTCAGGTCCCGTTTCCAAAAACGGTATGATCCACGAAGCTTAGATAACCTCTTGTCTGCGCTTGGCCAAAAGATCTGATGCCAGTCATGCCTGAGTTAATGCGAGCTCCTGAACAGAATTCCGACGGATCCGTCCAGAGACGGCGTAATTTGGACGGAATCATGGAACCAAATCTGAATCTCATGTGACCTGAGCCCTGGCCGTTTGCAAGCTGCAGAACAACATTCATTCCTGCAGGACTCCGTCGTTTTCAGATCAAACCCCAGATGCCAATCCCCAACATGGAGGTCCAAGCTTTTCCCCTGATATTCCAGAACACTTCCATGTTGGTGGACTTCCATCCGCTAACTAACAGGGGCGGAGAGAAACCGCTTCAGGGTGCATCACGATCTCCAAACACGGATGACCCGCTCCAAGGCCCATGAAAAAGGACGCCATCGACGCTGTGCGACGACCTCGCATGGACTTGACACACTTGACATGAACGTTGCGCAATAATATGCAGTTATCATCGCCCTCCGTCACAGAACCTTATCGAGAGCATGAATCACCAGTGGATTGGTTTATTTTGCCTGGCCGGCCGGTGTCCAGATCACAAACCCAGTCACGGCGCAGGCAACAAAAGCCCCCACCACACAGATGGGGGGATGGGGCAAACAAGGTGGTCTGTGCACACTATCGAACTCCCCACCTTTGGGAGGCAGCAGCGCCACTTCGCTTTGAAGACCTCGAGCCTACATCGGTACAAGAATCAAAACGTCACCTCCTTCTCGTCCGATCATTGTCTGGTCGTTCGTGCACTTTACAAGTCTGAACATCATCGATTGTGTTCTTTCTTTCAAGCCGCACAACCCTTGGAAGGTCCGCTCCAAGCTACCTCTTATTTAAACACTGTGCCCCCGCCTTTCTGCAACCCCCGATTCCTTTCCAACCAACTCAATCACTCGTTCTCCCAACCAACATCCACGCTAACCCAACAACAATTTCAACAGTCTTCGACCTCTTTCCTTCTAACCAGATACCCAAATATTTGACGAAGTCATTTTCACAAACTCAACAACCAAAATGTCTACCGAGAAGGTCAACAAGGTCACTTTGACCAGCAACGAGGGATCGAACATTCAAGTCGGTAAGTCGCTTTGTTTCCTCCCGCGCTTTGTTGGCCCCGCCTAACTAATCATTTCCCAGATCGTGTGGTAGCTGAGCGGTCCATGCTCATCAAGAACCTGATCGAGGACTTGGGTGACGACGCCGTCGCGGGCCACCCCGTCCCAATCCCTAACGTGAACGACCCGGTGTTGCGCAAGGTCTTCGAGTGGTGCGAACACCACCGCAACGACGCCGCCCAGTCGGCCGACGATGACAACGACAACAACAACCGGAAGAAGACGACGGATATCGACGAGTGGGACCAGAAGTTCATGCAGGTCGACCAGGAGATGCTCTTCGAAATCATCCTCGTAAGTATTTTCAACGAGCACCCCCACCAACCAGAGACTGAGACTAACTCGTTATGCAGGCTGCCAATTATCTTGACATCAAGGCCCTTCTCGATGTCGGCTGCAAGACCGTGGCCAACATGATCAAGGGCAAGTCACCAGAGGAGATCCGGAAAACGTTCAACATCACGAACGACTTCACTCCGGAAGAGGAGGAGCAGATTCGTCGTGAGAACGAATGGGCTGAGGACCGCTAAGGTGTAATCAGATGAGGGCGGGGGCTTTTCAGCCCACCTCTTGATTGCCCGGTTGTTTTGGACTTGCGCATGGCAGAGATGGACTGTTATAGCCGCCTGTCCAGCGCAGTCTTTCTCTAGCATCCGCAGTGGCGTTTCGGTTCCGTTGAGTGTGGTTAGGTAGTTTTGGTATTTTCTGCTTTGGGAACACTTACGGGGCCTGCACCTCAGACGTTGCAGACAGTTATGGGAGCACCGCCAGCGAGGGACGAGGATACATGATGCAATGATCAAGCGAGTATGATCCCATCACCTCGAGCCCCCTCCCTCATACGGGGCCCTTGCTAAATAAATATTGGCACTTTCTTAAATGCCCGACATCCCGACTATTTGTGAACAGAGTCCGTATGAGACAAAGGACTGAAGTGCCAGTAGAAAAAAACGTGAGCCGGCGGTTTGTCCGTTGAGCCAATTCCATTCATCCGCGATCGGAGTCGTAACTGTCGACGCGGCCAGGCAACAATAGTAGACATACAAACCTTCATGAGTAGTTACCGACCTCGCCAACTTCACTCCGGGCGCATTTGCTGAAAGGTTCAACCCGGACAAGCTCACAACAACAAGGTGCTGTATGCCAGAAACATGCGTCATGTGCAAAAGGCATTTGATGCCATCTCTCATTCCCTTTTCCCCTTGACCCTAAAATGCCATGGCATACTCCGTTAAAGTGAAACGAGTTTCCCCCATTTCCTTCCCAGCCAAGCTCAAATCAAAGAATCCCAACCAGCCAAAACGCTTTATCCGCAAAACTAGCAACCCAGTCTCTGTCGCCTGCACCCTTTCGTTCCCCATGCGAGGTTCACCCGTCTGCCGTCATCCCCTCTTGATGCTGGTCATGGCTTCATCTCTATTCCTCGAAATGGTGATTCGTGTGGCAGAAGCGCAGGCAAAAAAAAAACACCATCGTTGTTGACTGGGGTACAAGGTGTTGCCGGAGTAGTTGGGTAGGAGCAGCAGTAGCCGTGGGGAGGGTCGAGGTCTGATCGTTGGGGTCGAATGAGGAAGGAAGTGGGAGGGCATTTAGAGGCCGAGGCGGGTCTTGCGCCAATGCCTGCGCTTGGCGTTGTACCTGTTGGAAGCAGCGTGTCAGCACCATGTAACCGGCAGTGAGGAGCTCGTCGTCGTCGAGGGAAGAATCGTACCTAATGGTGTTGCCGGTGCGGAGCCGAATCCATTGGGGAATGGGCCGGTTCTGCTTCTGGGCCTTGGCCAGCTTCTGCTTGATACGGAACGTCTTGTGGCTCTGTTGATAATCGCACTGATTAGTCTCCGGTTGCCATAATGTCGAATCTGAAAGACCCCTCTCCCGGCTTCCGCGAGATTTCTCCCGAAAGGGTCGGAAACCAAAATCACAAGCCGGAACTGCGGGAAAATCGTGCAGGAGCGCCACTACGTACCGGCATTTTGACGGTGTTGTCGATGTTTCCGAGTCGGTGTCGATGTCGTGATGTTCCTCAAGTGGGTTGGATTCGAATATTTGGTGTGGGCTCGGAATTTCCGCGTGCTAGGGCCCGAAATCAAAAAGTGGCTGAATCACGTGCACTTGGCTGTGGCTGCTTCGGGACTGCGGCACTCAATGTGGCTAGGGGTCTGGAATCGGATCCTTGCAAGATCCCGGCCGGCGCCTGCCAATCGAGTGCCGATCGGACGCGACCGTGCACCCTCGATTTCCAAGCCGAGCGGCCTCTTTGACCAGCGAAATCAAAGTTGCATGAACCACGAAAGCCGAAATTTTCCTCGACTTCCCAACTGATTGAGAGCTTCAGCGAGTCTTTGGCGAGCGAGTGTTGCCCCGTTTTGCGTTTGGGGTTTTCCTTGATTCTTTACGCTTTCCACGAGACCAGGTGCTCCTCTTTCGAGTTTTCCGCCGCCGCCCTGTATCAGTGGATTCGTCGAGTTCGCGACGTTCTGCTTCAACCCCTTTCTCACCGACGCATCAAACTTTCAACCGTTACCGCTCAAAATGGGTCAGACTGTGTCATGGCTGTCCAACTGGGTTTGGGCGAAGAAGGAGATTAGGATCCTAATCCTCGGCTTGGTTCGCTTTACCCCTTAGCCGTACCTCGACGACCCGCAAGCTGAACAGTCGCGCTCCGCAGGACAACGCCGGCAAGACGACGCTCCTATACAGACTAAAGGTTCGGCTTAATGGCGCTCCCCTCGGCGAATCTCGATGACTTACGCAAGATACAGATCGGCGAAGTAGTAACGACGATACCCACGATCGGTTTCAACGTCGAGTCCGTGACATACGGGAAACTGAACTTCAACGTTTGGGATCTGGGCGGGCAAACAAGCATCAGGCCGTATTGGAGATGTTATTATGCCAACACTGCGGCGGTCATCTTCGTGGTCGACTCAACCGATATTGAGCGCCTGCAGACGGCCGCGGACGAGCTGTCGGCCATGTTGAACGAAGATGAGCTCAAGGATGCCGCTCTGTTGGTGTTTGCGAACAAGCAGGATCAACCGGGGGCAAAGGGCGCGGCCGACATCTCGCAAGCGCTTCGGCTCGGCGAACTCAGAGACAGGAACTGGAGCATTATGGCGTGCAGTGCAGTGGAGGGCTCGGGTATCAAGGAGGGCATGGACTGGTTGTCGGTAAGTTCGGACCTGACCCTGAATACGACTAGGCCCTAACAAAAAAAAGCAAACCGTCGCACAGGATTAGAGGGATGTCCCGGTTTTTGAGACGCAGGGCAGGGTTGTTTCTGTAAATGACGACTATACGTCTTATACCATTCCGGCCGCTCTTGGGTATTGGGCAAGGTGGTAAACCTTGTGGCGTTTTGGCGGACAGCCGCCTTGGCTCATGGACGACATATTATGTGAAGGCGCAGGCTGCATCAGATGGGGCGGGACAGCGTTTCGGTACATGGATACACCACTTACAACTTTTAATACACGAGGCGCCTGGCTCCCAAGGGCTGGCGACTCTCTTCACGGTTTCCGGTATCATTGTTATCTGTCAGTCAATGTCAGGTGAGTCAACCGTGACGTTGCCTGGGACTTTGTGGATGAAAGAAGGGTCTCGATCGAGGCGCTCACTACAGCGAGCATGCAACTACGCGATGCCCTGATTAGAACGTCGCCTGTGTCGCAGTTTCGGAGCCTGTGCTCTGTAACCCTAGGTAGTAAGCGTCACAACCAATGCCTAGTCATATCATTGGGGTGCTGGGACGGAGGGTCTGATTGCCAAACCGCGGTTTACAAAACACATATATTATACAAGACCAGGGGCGTTTCAAACCACTTCTTCATGGTTTGAAAGGCCTTATCTTCGAGTAGTTCGGAACCAAATCCCGTAATCAAATTCTGACCTATATACCTAATCCTCAAACCCATTATCATCTCAGACGTCATACCCAGGCAGGTAGACAACTCGCTACCACCCAATTTCAGCTGGTTCGAGGTGACGGGTGGGGTACCCGAATTCACAATTGGTTTGCGGGGCCAGAAGAAATACGAACTGGCATCGACCCATAAGCAATTTTAGTGAAAGAAATAGACGACTAAAATTATGAATCTTTTGCATTTGACATGATTCCCCGGAATATTGCGTTGACCACTTGGTTGATGCGGTGTGGTTGTGAGGTATGTATGTACACACCAAGGCTTGAACTCGAGTAAATTATCAAATCAATCTTCAAATTCCCAAACCCTCTGCAAAACGCTCCAGTTTCTCCTCGGCCGTCTATGACTGTCAAGGTACCTAATCAACTTGAGCACCCTCCACCTAGAAGTCGAGGTTCTCAACCGTTCACGTTGCAGTCGAGCAACCTTAGGATAATGGTTCGGATAAGGTATCTCCAAGGAGATATGAGAGCCACTTTGCCATCTTTGAGCAATGTCTCCCTCCCTAATACCCAAACGCTGAATGACAGTGTTCTGAAATGTTAAAAGCGATACGAATGACTTCCTCGACAATGCGATGCAGCCGGTTGTTGAGGGGAATATGCAGTTACTGAGTGCATTTGACCCCGCCTAAAATTGTTATCGGCAAGGGTGGGGCTTGGGCCCAAACGGCAGTGCCCCGCGATTCTGGCGTCTGAGTCAACCTTTCGTGAAGACCAAGTCAACAGCTCAGCAATACCAGTAACATGGCACCAGCAAGCAGCAATTCTGCTGGGGACCTCACCTCAGAGGTCCTCCAGGCACTGTCCAAGTCTGACCCGATTTCGTCCACCGAGGCCTTTCCCGATATCCCCTTCGAGTCGATCAAAGCTGCCCTGGACCGTCTCGCTTCCCGGTCTATGGTCACATACGAGCAGGTTGAGCGCGAGGAGGCTTTTCTGGAGCCCGAGGCCGAGATTATTGTCAGTCATGGTAGCCACGAAGCCCGTGTCTTCGAGGCGGTTCGCCAGGCCGTGGACGGTCTCTCAATTCAAGATCTCGAGGGCCAGATTGGCGATAAGACGGTGACCAAGCTTGGCCAGGGCAAGGCCTTTAAGGAGAAGTGGATCAAGAAGGATGGCGCAAAGCTCATTGCATTGGTGGGCTACACCTCGTGGTAACTTCCGAGGAAAGGGGCGCTGACTTCCGGCAGGTCGAGTCGATTGACGATGTGACGCGGGACCAGCTCAAGGTGATCCAGGAGAACCGGACACACGACGCCAAGATCGTAGCCGACTTGAAGAAGCGCAAGCTGCTAAGGATGCAGAAGATTATTTCCTTCAGGATAAGCAAGGGGACCAAGTTTGCGCTCGAGCTGGTAAAGGAGGAGACAGACCTCACGGCCGAGATGCTGGCATCTGGCTCATGGAAGACGGCCGCCTTCAAGCCGTACAACTTCAACGCATTGGGTGCGGATCAAAACGCTGGCGCCCTGCACCCCCTGAACAAGGTGCGACATGAGTTCAGGTACGTTGTCCCATTGCCCTTGCGGTTTGGATACCCCAGATGTGAAGTCGACTGACCCCTGAGCCGTAAAACAGGCAGATTTTCTTCGAGATGGGTTTCGAGGAGATGCCCACAAACCGGTTTGTCGAGTCGGGATTCTGGGTACGTGGTTTTCGGTACCAAATGTCTCTGAAGAGGCTGTTAACTCGGAAGACATGCAGAACTTCGACGCCCTGTTCGTTCCTCAGGTATGTTATTCTAATCCTAGTGCTCTTTATTTCCGATTCTAACTCGTTGAAGCAACACCCTGCGCGCGACCTGCAAGACACCTTCTACGTATCAGACCCAGTCAAGGCTGGTCGGCCCGCACCAGCATCCGCGGATGACAAACACGACTACGACGCATACTTCCAAAATGTAAAAGAGATCCACCAAGACGGGAAGTATGGCTCGATTGGGTACAGATACCCATGGTCTGAAGACGAGTCACTCAGGTATGTAACCTTCTCTCCACCTCGGTGACGTTGGCTAACCCCAGGCGAGACTCGTCCTCCGGACACACACAACTTCTGTCTCAGCCGCTATGCTCCAGAAGCTAGCTGGCCAGCGAAAAGACGGGCGGGTGCCACCCGCTCGGTACTTCTCAATCGACAGAGTCTTCAGGTAATGGCGTGCTCAGATGACGGGAAGGTTTAGGCACTCACACTAGAACAGAAACGAGACCTTGGACGCCACTCATCTCTGCGAGTTCCACCACGTCGAAGGTGTCATCGCCGATTACGGGTTGACCCTAGGCGGATTGATGGAGTTCATGGACATGTTCTTCGGGGCGATGGGTGTCACTGACCTGGTCTACAAGCCAGCGTGAGTTGCTCCACTCCAGTAGCTGAGACATATATGGTTGCTGACTGTCGGCCGCAGTTACAATCCTTACACCGAGCCGAGTATGGAGATTTTCTCGCACCACAAGGGGCTCAACAAGCTCATCGAGATCGGCAACTCGGGCATCTTCAGGCCCGAGATGTTGCAGGTATGTTGATAACCGTATGAGGTGGGGGTGAGAGTTAAAATACTAACACAGGAATCAGGCTATGGGTCTGCCCAAGGATATGAGGGTCTTCGGTTTCGGCTTGAGCTTGGAGAGGCCGACGATGATCAAATACGGCATGTCAAACATCCGCGAGCTGCTTGGCCACTCCGTCGACCTCAACTTCATCCAAAGAAATCCGGCAGTGCGGCTAGACAAGAACTAGATAGACGGGTGCGTGTGAGACCAAAAGCAGCGTTTGACGATACCATAGCACATGTGTAGGCATCTTTCCAGAGCGCGTGTGATCTCATGCCGAAAGCGCGACAGAGATGTGGAGCTCCCGGAGATATCAATTCCTGAAGGATTCCGAGCCCCAGGCTCCCTCCGCCTCCGGGACCGGATGAACTCGGGGCTAATCCGGGGTTGAATGCGACCTTCCGGCACTATATCCGGGGCGACGGTGAGAGAGTCATCCTCAGGCACAGATCGTCGTCGCCTCGTTTCCCTCGTTTGCGAACCACAATTCCCCACAGAGTCGTCCGCATGATGCGTACGTAAGCCCGGCGACGCCGTACCCCAACTAATGACTGGTCCAGAAGCCATGCAGCCCTATAAGGTCACGGAACTGTGCCCCGCTCCCATGGCACCCAAGACGATTGGCATCTTCGTCGAGATCTCCACGTGGACACGTCGAGGTGGACCGTCGCTCTGCCATGGCGGACGGAAGTCGGGAATAACACGACCGGCGAGCCACCGAGCTCATCACCGGGGGCTGGGCGCTGCTGGGTTGGCACAAGTTGGCGCAGAGTAAGCTCAGGTTGGTAAACGGGGGCCGTTATGGGGGTCTGCCGAGAAATGCCCAGCAAAGACGAAAGAGGAACCGATGGATCTCCACGGAAAAGGCGGCCATTTTGGACCCATGACTCCCCGTTTGTTTGGCCGGTTATGTCACGGACATGCAGGTCGTTGGCGAAGGTAGGACTTTGGGGCTTCTTGTCCTGCCTGCCTGTGTGTTCTTAATGAGAGCCTTTCGGCCTTGTTTCTATCGTCCTCTCCCTCCATCTCACAATCTTTCCCGGCAGCTGATATTGTGCCATCCCATCGTCTCAGACACACGCTTACACACACACACTACACACGCTCACTGCACACACACACTTACATATCCTACCACACATCACATACTTGTGGTGGCAGTGCAAATCATCTCACCCAACCATCCCACGTCGGTAGTCCTCATTCAGTCGAATTAGATCGGTGGTGCGCCAAGGTACCTAGATCTTGTAGTAGCAACGACTGCAGCCTTTCCTGAATAAGCTCCGGGCAGCCTGCCTCTCATACATACGCCGATGGACGGTCCTACCCACACGTACACTCCCACCTCGCAGAAGCTTGGGCCCGTGAGGGCCACTACAAGCCTCGATGAGGGCACACCCCAGTCGGCCAGCACCATGGTATGTCTTTTCTCACCCCCCAACTAGGGCCCCCACCAGAGCCCTTCCTCTCACCAAAAGACAGCATGAGGCTAACACCCAACCCCAGGCATCCGGCCCCTTCTCAGGCAGCGACAGCTGCTTTGACTCGCCCACGACGGTCTCTTCAACCGCCTCCACATTGCTCTGGCGAGGCCGTACGGACACCGCCGAGTCGGCACCGGCTTCCACCGAGGCTCTGAAAAGGGAATCCTCGGTTTCGGCCAAGAAGGTCAACGCCAACAGCTACTGTGGCAGGCACTCGAAGGAGTTCCTGTTTGGCGGCAAGGGCTTTGGCGACCTCTGGAGGGCTGTCACCAAGAAGTAGCTTGTGTTCTCAATGAAACATATGAGAACGGGCAAGGGGAGGGAGGCGGCATCATCCTAGTCTGATCTTGGGTTTGGAAACCGTTCATAATTGGACGGATGGCAGCGCTGCAGTGCAGCGGCTGGAACAGGTTGCGGCGGATTGATACCCAGTTTCTTGATACCCATTGTTGTTGATACCCATCGGGAGCAAGCTCCTTCATTTCGAGGAGTTCGGCAAACGGGTGGGTTTGCAGAAAGGCATTTGCGCTTTGGGTACGGATCATGAATAATGGCTCGAGAATGATGTCTCGTTCGTAGCGTTTTCTGTAGTTGGTTGTAAATTGAGCAGCGTTCTACACGAGTTCTAGTCGCGACGGGTTTCGTGTTTAAGCGCATGGAAGCACGCAACTCCCGTTTCGTCGCATGTGAGACTTTGTGGTGAACCCCAGCCAAGACACGGGCCTGGTTTAGCGGCCCGAAATCCCTGAACATCTCGCGTGCCAGGCTCAACGTGCCGCGGGCACCGGGCGACGGGCAGGGGCCACCTAACACAAAGCCGCCCCATCCTAGGTAAGTCAACAATTTTCTAGTTTACATCCCCAAGACCTCACAAGACAAGACAAGACCACGCCATTGAGGTCCCAAATACCCGACGACGGATTAACCCGCGGCAGCACAGCACCAAGATGGCCAAATCAACCGGTTTCGGCCCCAAAAAGGCCTACCTCATCCTTTACAATGCCGCCTCCGCCGTCGCCTGGGCCACCATCCTCGGCCGTGTCGCCGTCGTGCTCGGGTGGAAGGGTGCGCCCTTCGTACCGCTGGTGGTCGACAACTTTGCGCGCATCACGCAGACCTTCGCCATCATGGAGGTCGTGCACGCTCTAACCGGTACGTGGCCCCCGCCGCTTCCCACCCACCACCCCCTTGAACAACCACCTCCCCCCCTTCAATCGCTAACCATGTCTCGGGTATTCTAGGCGTCGTCCCCGCCCCCGTCTTCACGACGGCGATGCAGGTCGCGAGCCGGCTGTTCCTGATGTGGGCCGTGTGCTTCCCGTTCCCGCAGCTCAACGTCAATATCTTCTACTCGACCATGCTGTGCGCCTGGAGCTTGACCGAGGTCATGCGCTACTCGTACTTTGCGCTCAAGCAGATCAACGCCGTGCCCGCCTGGCTGCACTGGCTGCGCTACAGCGCCTTCCTGGTGCTATACCCCGTCGGTATCAGCAGCGAGGTCGCCATGACCCTGGCCGCCATGTGGGGGCCCGCCGCCGACCTCGCGTCCTGGTACCCCATGGCGCTGACTGCCGTGTTGGCGGCTTATGGTCCCGGTGAGTAGCCTAACTAAATACATTTGGGGCGCGCGTGAGGCTGACTTGTTGATGTAGGCTCGGCTATCCTCTACGCCCACATGCTCAAGCAGCGGAGGAGATATCTTGGGACTGGCAAACCCGCCCAGAAGAAGAAGCAGTAGAGGACATGGGGAGGGCGTGGAGTCATCTTGAGAGGCGCTCCGAGGGTGCCGGAGGGACATAAAGGCCCCAGGCCGCGTGAGAGCACACACGTAGAACAAGCCCCGGAAGCGGGTTATTAGTACATAATATCTACGACATGAACACAGCCGCCGCTTCAACGGATTGCACGGCGCCTCAAGCGCGTACTACCGGATTTGCCGAGCTGCTCTCGTACCAGTCATTCCGAAACCAGCCCGCGACCATGTCCCTCGACTCCTTGGACAGCCTGTCGATACCCGGGTTCTCCTTGGGGTCAAACATAGCTACAACCAAGTTAGCACCGCAAGCCACATGTCAATGTCACCCCCAAAGCAGAGAAGAGAACACTCACAAACATGGGCCCCAATCTCATCCGTCGCCTTATCATTGACCGCCTGCCGCCAATCCCCAGCCTCATCCCGCTGCGCCACGACGCAAAACGTCCTCTCACTGCTCCCCAGCACCGAGCCCGCCACACCACCCCCGGCGGCGGGCTTGGTTCCCGCGGCCTGGCCGAGGCGGGTGTAGAAGTTGCCGAAGCCGACGCCGAGCTCTTTGCGCAGGCGCGCCATGTAGGCGACGCGCCGCCGCAGCTCCTCCTTGCGCGCCAGGCACCCGACGAACTCGAGGTGCGACGTCGCCCACCCCAGCCCCTGCGTGATCTGCTCCCGGTGCAGGTACGCCGCCGCCCCGCCCGCCGCGACAGCGCCTACGGCGCCGGCGGCTATCGCGATCGTGCCCCAGCCCCAGCCGCCGGTGTTGCCGCTGTTTTGGTTTTCTTTGTTCTTGTTGTTGGCGTCCCTGCTCCCCTGGCCCGCGGCCGGCAGCGCACCGCGCGTGGGTGGTGGCGGGTCTGCTGCCTTCTGCTGGGCGGCTTTGGCGCCGCCCCAGAAGCTTGTCAGGCCGCTGAGCTGGGCGACGGCCGCGGACGCGGTGGCGTAGTGGGTTTCGGCGCCGTGGGCGACCACGCCGGGCGAGATGCCGAGGAAGGGCGTGTCGAAGGCGAGCACGCCCTGGATGTAGGGGAACATGAGCGCGTTTGGTGCCGGTGGCATCGCCGTTGATGCTTTGGCTGGGCTGTTCTCGTCGACCGAGTTGTGGATTGGCTTCTCCGATGCGATCTTGATGGCTGTCTCCGCGGCTACGATGCCGCCCATCGAGTGCCCCACTAGCACGACCCGCACCGATGGGTCGATGGTCGGGGAGGGCGTGCCGGCCGCTACTTCGAGGTCGATTACCTTGTTGAGAAGCCTGGGTTGGAGGTGTTAGTGGCGGGTGCTAGTGTGGGATCGGTGGGGGAACATACCAGTCGCTGAACCGCGTGACGCATTCGCCGAGGTCACCGCGGGTCTCAAACGTTGGGTAGACGACAGCTTTGACGTTTATCTTGGGCAGGGCAACGGTGAGAAGCTTCCGGAAGTGCTCGACGAAGGCATAGTTCCGGCCAAAGGTGGTGTCATCACCCTATGGTAGGTAGTCTTGTTAGCTTTCAAATGCCTTCCCTGGTCACCGCAAGAGCGGGCATACCTTGAAGCCATGGATAAAACAGAGCAGCAGTGTCTTCTTCATTGTTTGTCCCCATTGAGTCTTTCGAGCAGGAGGGGCGAAGTGTTCAGCTCAAAAAAGGCTGAGCTTCTGTGCCGCTCCCCGTCTGCGGAACCAAGCAGCAGTTGGCTGTTAGCATGTGCTTCGTTGCAGGGCTGAAGCGGAATCTCGGCGGGGGCGGGGATCAGTCGGCAGATCCATTGAGGTGGTATTTCGTGTATTTGTATGTAATGACGTTCGAGAGTGGTACGAAGTACTCGTGTCGTCAGTCGAATGCTTCCATATAGGCGACTTTCATTGTCTGTCAAAAGCAACCGGTATTTTATCCTTTGAGTCTTTATGTTATTGTAATCGTATTATACATGCGAACTCGATAGTTACACTTCTTTCTCTCGCACGGCAGTTGGCCCATCTGTCCATTCAGCCCCAGCGTTCGCAAGCCATTGTTTTCAGCCATACCGTATTGGCACGGCGATGCAAAGGCCAATTAGCGCGATTGGGCGCCTTGCATCATCCCCACAAGACGCGCTTACACAGGACCCACTAAACCACTCCTGTGCACTGTGATGCGCATCTCCTTTCATCAGCCCTTTCCAGCCGCTCTTCTTTTGTTGATCTTTTCAACTACTTTCCAGTTCTACTTTGTCGCCGTTGTCGTATCATGCCTTGAGCTTCGCGACGGCACAGGTGCTCCCATTTCGCACCCATCATATTTTTCATTCCTTTCCTTCCTCTTCTCCCCTCCCATCCGCGAACGACACTCATTTCAGCGATCCTTCCCATTCCTTCGGCTGCGCTTTCGCGGTTTTTGCCCGTCGACGCCGTCACAATAGCGATACAATTTACCGGTGCCGCAATCGAACTTCAGTTGAAATTCTCTCGATTCCATCATGTCCGAGATAATCTACGGCGTGACGCCGCCAATCTCGACCACTCTCCCGACCGAGGCAGAGAAGCGACTGAACAATGCGCTACACCAGGAGTTGCGCGCACAGGGTACCTTCGAGAGCCCTCAGGAAACGGAGAAGAGAAGGGAGGTTCTGCGCCAACTCGAGAGGATTACGAATGTCTTCGTGCAGAGGGCGGCGGCCGAGAAAGAGCCCAAAAACACGTTTATGATCCGCGACGCCATTGGCCGGGTTTTCACGTATGGCAGTTACCGCCTCGGTGTCTACGGACCGGGCTCGGATATGGATACTCTCGTCGTAGCGCCGAAATACGTTACGGTTGAACAGTACTTCGAAATCTTCCCCCAAGTCCTCGTCGAGATGGCGCCGCCCGGGGCCATCACCGACCTCACCCCCGTGCCCGAAGCCTTCGTTCCCATCATCAAGTTTGAGTTTTCCGGCATCAGCATTGATCTCATCTTCTGCTCCATTCAGACGCTCAAACAGCTGCCGAACGAGAAGAACTGGAGCTTGGCCGACAACAATCTCCTCCGCGGCCTCAGCGAGAACGAAGTGCGCTCGGTGAACGGGACAAGAGTGACGGACGACATCCTACATCTCGTGCCGGAGCCGGCCACTTTCAAGCTTGCTCTCCGAGCCGTCAAGCTCTGGGCGCAGCGCAAAGCCATCTACGCCAACATCATGGGTTATCCTGGTGGTGTTGCCTGGGCTATGCTCGTCGCCCGGGTCTGCCAACTGTACCCCAAGGCCACAAGCGCGGTGGTTGTCAATAAATTTTTCCACATCATGTTCAAGTGGCCCTGGCCCCTTCCGGTTCTCCTCAAGGACATCGAGTACGGCTGTCCCGTTACGCGAGTTGCGGTGTGGAATCCCAAGGTGAGTTGCGCCCCGGTCCCGGTCGACGCTGATATCTTACCACAGAGTAGATTTATGCCAGTGATAGGAATCACAGGATGCCCATCATCACACCCTCCTACCCGTCCATGTGCGCCACTCACAATATTGGCAGGTCCTCCATGGCGGTGATCAAACAGGAGCTGGAGAAGGGGATCCAGGTAACGGAGGATATCATGCTTGGAAGACGGCAGTGGAAAGACCTCTTCACAAAGCACACCTTCTTCACCTCGGGGTTCAGATACTACCTCACAGTGATTGTGTCAAGCAGGACCAAAAAGGCACAGAACGTCTGGTCGGGCTTCGTCGAATCGCGGGTGCGGCTGTTGGTCAACAAACTTGAGATGCACCCTTCCATCGCCCTGGCCCGGCCCTTCAACAAAGGTTACGACCGAGAGCATCGATGCAAGGACAATGCGCAGCTGGAAGAGGTGGTATCCGTCGGCAGCCTCGCTTACGTGTATAAGCCCCCGGCCGATGGCGAGGACAAGGCGAAGGCCGAACCCAAGATCGAGCCCAAGCGGGAGGTCAAGCAGGATATCAAAATGGAAAACGGCGGGCCGGCAGTAAAGGAGGAAAAACCGGAAGCGAAAGGCGATGACGGCATGCGAATTAAGCAAGAGCATTCGGAGGCGACCCAGCTCCCACCTCCATCGGACGTCAAGCCCGAACCCAGCGACGACACTGACGGCGAAATCAGGCTGGAGGACATCCCCGAGAAGAAAGAGGAGCCCGAAGAGATGGAGATCTATACCACTAACCACTACATCGGGCTGCAGATGGTCGAGGGCTCCAAGTCGCTCGACCTGTCGCGCGAGGTGAACGACTGGAAAGCCATGTGCACGTCCAACGAGCTGTATGACGAGGGCCTGATGTTCCTCTCCATTCAGCACCTCAAGAACACGGGCCTCCCCGACGATGTGTTTGAGCCGGGCGAGACCAAGCCCCGCCCCGTTAAGAAGAGCCTCAAGCGCACCGCGTCGGAGGAGCCCGGCAATAGGCAGGTGCAGCCTCCCGCCAAAAGACATGTTCTGGGTAAGGCGCCCGGTCCGCCGGCGCAGCAGCAACAGCAGCAGCAGCAACAACAGCAGCGACAGCAGCAACGCCCCGCTTCCACCGCGGCTGCGGCGGCTGGTTAGAATCTGGACGATGTACGAGTCTGGTTGAAATTGAGCAGTGAGGGGCGGTGAGGAGTTGGTGGGAGAGGAGGTAAAGCGATGGGTTTGGCTGGCTGGGTTTGCTTGCTTGGGCACGGATGCCCCTGTGTATGGGATGTGTAACTACTTAGATCTTCCTAGACTAATAGACGCTAGGTTTTGAGGCACAAGATGCCTCGCCAAAAACAAGCTCGTTCCCCTGTTTGCTATTAGGTGTTTCTAGGCAGTCTAGTCTGTTCTACCGTCTAAATGGGTGACATATTGGGCACAGTGACAAAAGATAGTCCCCCAATATGGCCAATGCTAAACTACTACTCCTATAGAAGCAGCATCGTGCGCAAGGCTAGCCGTTGAACTTCACAAGCTCTGCTCCGAAAGAGCTACTTCGCGGACTAGAGCAATCCGCGAGAGTACGGGGTCCACACGGTCTGCTCGCTCTTCAAGTTGGACCGTTCTGTCTCGAGTATATTCTTGAACTCCAACGTCGCACGGGCTGCCTTCTCGACATCCTCGTAGGTCATCCAACCCGTCGCAGGGCGGCGGCGGGCGCATGCGTCGGCAATATTCAGCACGTTGCGGATCTCGCGGCCGTTCAGCTCCCACTTGGCCAGCTTGTCCGCCTTCTCCATTATCCGCTCAAGAGCACGCCGGTCCTTGTGGTTGTCTTTGTTGAGGTCGAGCAGGCTCAGCCAGATCTTCTTCCGGTCGGTGGGCGTCAGCTCTTTGAAGCCGATGCCGATCTGGATGCGAGACTGGAAAGCTACGTCCATGGTACTGATCCGGTTCGTGGTCAGGAACAGGACGCCTCTGAAGTACTCGAGTTGGCGGAGGAAGACTGTTTGCATAGATGACATGTTGTCAGTATCAGTCAAGCTACCCTGCTTCCCCCGGGGGGAGGGGGGGGGGGAATAAATATGATGATGGATGGGCAGCAGTAAGCAGTACCTGAAACGATGGCATTTCTTCGAACGTCCTCGAATGATCTCTCCTCCAAGATGACGTCGGCCTCATCCAGCAGGAGGATGGCATCCCAGTCGATTGCGCGCGAAAACTCGCTGACCAGTCGCTCTTGGAGCTTCGATTCGTCCCATATCAAACTGCCAATGCTCAGAGAAATCAGAGGCTTCTTCACGTGTTGGGCGAGACTCTCCGCCGTCAGGGTTTTCCCGACCTGAGAGAAGAGGCACCAAGGTTAGCCACTGGCATGTGTAGGGGTATACACACACATTTGACTTCGGATACAGATCAAGCTGGGAAACTTACCCCTGGCGGACCATGCAACAAGACCACGAGCCCTTCTCCCTTCTTCGGTATGAAGTCCCATTGGTGACTGTCCTGCTGCTTTTTGTTGTAATGCTGGCTCACTAGACCCTCTAGCAGTGTTTTATTCTCCTCGTCCAAGACAAGGCGTTCCATAGCATCGGCGTTCCACGCTACCGGCCGCAGTCTTTCAGCACTGACGAGGTAAAATTCCTTGTTCTCAACAGCATAGCAACCAACCAGAGGGATACAAAATTGGGCTTCTTCATCGGTCAGAACCTTTGTAGCGGGTAGGTTGTCCCACTGGTATTCGTCTCGGCTGTCAATTTCCGCAGCGCTCAGCTGGGACGCGGCCGAAAACGGGGGCAGGCGGTCCAGGCCGTCGGTTGCGAGCTCCTGTGACACTCTGCTAACCACTACTCGGGCCTCTTTGACCGACATCGCAGACACCTACGCAATTCGGTCAGAACAGTCAGTCGTGATCGAGGTACCGAAGGTAGGTAGGCTTGTAGGGAGAGTCAAGATTCCTTCCGGTCATAGGTCATGCATGACTACTAACCTCCCGGTCCACCCGCGAGTTGAAGTTGAAGAGAGTCTTTCCACTAAGTGCCGGGCCATCGTAGTCCAGACACAATGCTTGTGAGGAAACCAACTTGAACCAGTGCCGGCCTCGCGCGGCTAGGCCTTGCAATAACTTCTCGACGGAATCATGCGTTCGCTGGTACTGGAGGGGGTAGATGGATAGCAGGTGTACCTCCTTTGCCCCGGCGTAATAGTCGATGCGGAAAACGGAAGCCTTGCGCTCAAGCTTGTTTTTGTGGCCGTTCCATGAAAGACCCCAAGTCCAGAACTCCATGTAGCGGTCCACGGCCATCTGGCCGATCCGGCCGGTCTGGCCTACTTCAACACTCTTCTTATGTTCCTGCGCGTACATCAAGGTGAGGAGCCACTCGTTGCCGAGACCATCAGTATGAACTACGAGGTCGCCCAGACGGAACAGCTGCCAAAGGGTGTCGAACCGAACATGGCTAGAGTCCACATTCTCGGCACGCGCCGCGTTCCACCGTGACGCTACCCCCGTCTCCTTCAGAGCGCACTCCAGTGCCTTGAGATCTGCCTGGGCTTCCGGGTTGCCGAGTCGGTCTATCTCCTCCCGCATGCCTTCCAAGTGGTGGTAGAGAAACGGGAACGGGTCGTACAGCGTCATGTCCGGCGGATGCTTCGAAGATAGGTGCCAGTTGAACTTGTCGAGCGCGCGCATCAGGTGGGGTGACTCGATGATGATGGTCTTGGTGGGCGCGTGCATGTCCAGAAGAACCCCTGGCACGCTTTTCACAGGCGTCTCGACCTCGGCCTCTTCCGGGACCTCGATGCTCTGGCTCTGGAGATAGTAGTCATACCTTGTCCATCCCCCATTCCCGTCGGATCTCCCGAGTCTCCACATCCATCCCTCCTCCTCCTCCTTTCTCGTCACCTCCTCTCCCGGAGCCGACGCAGGAGTCGTCTCTCGAGGCTCATGCAGTAGCGAGGAGGCAGTCGATCGGGACGGACTGGGAGATGAGTCGGTTGCCCCATTTCCGATCCAAGGTCCGCTTTGCTCGGCTGGCGTGTGGGAGTTCGAGACCTGCGGGCGGGCCTTGAGGCCTTCTAGAGCTCCGATGAGAGCGTTTAGAAGGCCCTCCATCCCTGTTACCGCCCCTTCATTGTTGTCGTTCTGCGGCATCGTTGAGAAGATTCCAATCTGTAGGCTATTGAAGCATGACGAAGACCACGAGGACCACGAGAACCACGGAGATAATGTGTGTTGTGTACTGGTAAGAGGAACCAGCCCCGTATGATGCGGATGCGTGGGCTCAGAAAAGCCTAGCTACCCAATGGGTAACGAAAAACATGCATGTATATGTGGGGGGCGGCTAGTGCATGTGATGTAACAACAGGACGTGACCACTCCTCTTCGATATGTGTCAGAGGGAAACCCCGCCGAGGACAGAGAGCAGCGAGCAGTGAAGTGGTGTAGATACAAAAGAACACTAAAGATAGGGTTCACGGTTGAGTGGGGGTGAAAGGAGAACCCTTGGGATTCCGGATTCCGCTTTCGGCATGTTTAAATCAAAAGATCCTAACCCAGAGCTAGCTTGGTGGTATCTGCCGGGACACCAGAAAGACAGGCATGTGACTCTACCGTCTTTCTATCAACTTAACTCCCTACCTAGGTATCTACCGATCTCTCGGCTAACTTCCTCGCTCTATCGTTCTATATACCTAGCGAGATCTATGCTACGGCCCTCCGGAAATGCAAGGAGATAAACCAAGAACTGAACCCGGATCCGTTTGGTGACAAGCAGCGGCACCATGGACGTCTGAGTTGGGGCCGAGCCACTAAGTCGCGAGTGGCCAACACGGAGCAACCACAGGCGTATGACGCATCGAGGATCAAGGAGCTGGTCGAACAGGAAACAGACCGAGTTCAGAAGGCACAAGACTCTAGGAACGGGGATGCGGAATGGACAGCCAAGGTCAAAGACGTAGCCTACGGGGTCATAAGACTCACCCAAGTCCTCAAGCCCGTCATTGATGTCTTCGTACCCCATAGCCCAGAGTACACGGTTCCGTACGCTTGCGTGTGGATCGTCTTCAAGGTGGGAGCGTCGGGGGTCCCCCCTTGTGTTATGCTGCTCTCTGACCGCCGTTACCTATCTAGGGGTTCTTAGCGAGGAGGGAGAAGAAGGACTCTATTCCGGACCTCATCAAATCGCTGTCCGAAGACCTCCCCATCTTCGACGCTTACCGAGTCCTGGCTCCGACGGATCTCATGAAAACCACGCTGGCGGAGCTCTACATTCACGGTGCCGACTTCCTGTGGAGGCTCTCGGAGTACTACTCGTACAGCTTCTTTGGTGGGTTCCTCTTGTGCATGTTGGAACTCGTAACCAGCTAATACCCCGCGAGGTCAGCTTACGGATGGGTTGTTGCCCCGTACCAAGTACAACTTCAGTCTGTACCAAGCCAACGTCAAGAGGGCGGCAGACCGGTTGAAAACCATCTGTGAGCTCGGGAATATGGCGAAGCAGGACGCCGTCAAGAACAAGATTGACTGGATGGCCTCTAGTACGTCTTCACCAAGCCAGAGTGGTTTCTGGTATCTTGGGAAATCGGGCTTTTGACTTACACGATACCATAAAAGCAATCAACGTCCTCTCTGAGCGGTTAGAGGGCGACCGTCTAGGTAGGTCCACGCCCCAGCCTTTTTTTGACTACCCACCGAGAGAGGTACCCGGTCTCACTCAACAATCTCGCGCTTAGCCCAGGCACAACACACTTCTTCCGACCTTATCGACATCTGGGACGATGAAGTGGGCGACGTCGAGCACGAACTGCGGCTCTGGGGGAGCTTGCGATTCTCCACAGCCGCGAGGGACCACTGGAGCCAGAACGGCATACTCGGATGCCTCTCCAAGTGGCGCGCCCTCTGCGAGGACGAGTCGAACGCCTCCATCCTGTGGATCTGCTCCGAAGGAAACGGCCGGCAGGCGTGGATGACCGAGTTCTCGCTCGACCTCGTTCGCGTGTGCCGCGCCCAGGGACAGCCCGTAACCTTCGCCCTCTGCGACCGCCCGAAAGCCAAGTGGACGCCGAAGCAGGTCCTGAAGCAACTCATCGCCCAGCTCCTCCACCAGAACCCCGAGGGGGTCCTCTCCAACCCTTCCGTCTTCAGCCGCCGGAGCTTTCGCAGGGCCACCACCTTCCAAGCGACCCTGGACTTGCTCTTGTCCGTTATTGGGACCCTGGAATCACTTGTCATCGTCATTGATCGTCTCGATCTCTGTGCGCCCGACGCCGACGCCGACCCGGCCGGCACACAACAACCCGACACGATGTTGACGCTGGCGCTGGCGCTGACAGTGCTGATGAGCACGTATCCGCAGAGTCTCCGGATCTTGGTCTCGTCGGCACGTACGGCAGGCCCTCAGTCGCTGCCCGGCTTGCCTTTTAGCTTTGCCAAAGTCAACACCCGTAGACGACCCCGGAAGAGATACTACGAATACTCGCCGGCCAAGGAACAAGAAGACTCGGACGACCCGGATGGTTCAAAGAGGGGGGGACGTCGGCCTTGGGCGAGAGCATGTAGCCCGAGGAAGATGACGGCGTGAATTGTTTATGGATCTCTTACCATATATGAGGTCTCCGTTCGGTCTCCTTCGGGACTGAGTGTAAATGTCAACTAAGCCTAAAACTAAACCATGTCGAACCATCATAGTAACGAATACGTACCTGGTCAAAAAGACCAAAAGCTCACCGGCCAGCTCCCGTCGGAGGTGGCCGGCTACGGACCGCCTGAGAGGGTTAATACCGTTTCTAACCAGTGGCTACCCGCGTCACCAGCGTTGTGTTACGTAGAGATGTATGGTGCATTTGAACACACTCCGAAAAACGGGAACATCCCCCGCTCTTCCTCTCGGGCTGAGATGTGCACATTCGTCCTCTCCTTGACACCTGACCATTGGCCCAAAGAGTGCACCTGCAGAAGGCACGAATCAAGGCTCCGTGATAGAGCGACCTCTTGCAAGGCACCAACACAGCGGAGGTGGTTTGAGGTAAGGCGTCTTCGAGGAGCTGGAGACATTCTAGGTTATCACCACTTCCCATCCCTTCCCTTTCCCCGCAAACTACCGCCCTCTTGGGATCACAACTAAAAGGCCTTGTCCCAGCAACATGTGCAACTACTTCGAGTCCAAGATGACGTTCAAGGAATGCGACGCAGACCCGAAACATGTCGTCACGAGGCGCACTTACGACAAATGCGAGGAGGCCAAGAGCACCGGCTATGTGTGCGACGATCCCGAGCCGACCAAAGGAGCGAACGGCAAGATCATCCTCACGGGAACATATAGGAAGCCTGGCAAGTGTCCGAGGTGCCTCTCTTGAATATCGGTTTTGTTCTCTCTGCCTGGGCCGGTAAGCATCCCCCCCCACCCCCCTCGAAGTGGTCATGATAGACGATCGCGTGCTGATAAAGTAGTGCGGATGAGTAAAGTGGTCGCGACGGCTACGGCGACAGCCAGGACCGTTGTCTTGATGCTTCATGTGGCAGGCATAATAGGGTTCTCCCCTTGGGCTGCTTTATGTTAGAGATTCCCATCAACAAGGGTGCATCGGCTGTGGGTGGTGAGGGCGGTTAGATATGTACCTACCTTTTAGGTCCTGGATAATTGCCTCAAATCCATCATACTGCCCCCTCCAGCATTTTTGGATAACAACCCCCATTTGACCCAGCGAAGCTGTGTCTGCAAACTCCCCTCTCTTATACCGAGCCTCGATCTCGTCGTCGGACAGCTCTTTGTAAGGGGCGGCTCCGGTAGTGATTTCGTAGATAACCGACCCGAATGCGAAGATATCCCCTTTGACAGATAATGTTGGACCGGGGTATTCGTGGCTGGCGGCGACGCAAACCAGCAGATCGGTACCGTCCAGCGAAGAGCCGGCGAAGTCGGCAACCTTGGCGTTGAAGTTCTCGTCCAGAAAGATGTTGTGGCAGGTGAGATCGCCGTGGACAACTCCGGCGGAATGGATGAAGGCGAGAGCCTCGGCAATCTGGAGGGCCCATTGTTGATGCTGTTTGGGGGTAGTCTTCATGCTAGGCTCCTTCTCTTGGGCGCATAATGTACGGCGGATGTCACCGTTTGGCGCATATTCTAGTCGGATACCGGATTCAACGGTGCCGTGATAGCGAAGAATCCGTTCATGGCCGCCCCGTTGTGTGAGCCGTTCATAGATATGACGCTCCCGGGACAGGGCAACCTCGCAGTCATCGAAGAGGGGTGTTTTGATGACAGTTTGTGAAGACTTGTCGAGGACGACAAGGCCCGAGATGCCATGGGATACGACATCTTTGAAGCCGAACCCGGCGGGATACTTGACCTCGTCGGCTACCATTTAGAGATACTCTAGGTGTTGAGCGTGGCATCAATTGCCGATGCGGTTAACTTGAGTTCGGAAATTCGACATGAACCATCACCCGAATGGCTTGTCTGAATCATTTATTTTTTTGCCGGTTTCTGAAACCAATAAATGGAATTGAACCGTCGGGTATGTTCTGGTCTTTTTACTGGAAATAGTCGTAGGCGGGGATCGGCGACTTCGAAGGTCGGGATGGTGTTTTGGGGTGTTCCGGCTCCATGGAAACGATCACAACAAATGTCTACTCGAGACGACTTTATACCGAGGTGCTCAGGAATGCTTCAACTTTCCTTATAAGCTCCTTTCAGACACGCTTCTATCACATACGACCATACCTGCCAGAAAACACGGGATCCCGTCCGCTCTCCCCTAGTTAAACTTGCAAGGGCTGGATCAGTAGTTGGGTCGGTGACGACCAGCGAATCCCCGGTGTTGTATGTTTTTGTATTTTTTGTTGCCGCCTATACCCATCAAATCTCCATCGATTGAAAATGGGGTCAAAGATAGAGCGTCTTTTCATTAATGGTCTCTTCTCCATCCTCCTTTTGATCCTTGGTAGAGGTTAAGAAGGAAGATAGGATGGGTGGGGCAGCTCCATCACGTGAATCAGGTCCATCCCTTCCGCAACAGGAAGTGTGTTTGTGTCTGGAAGGAGAGTCCCTCTTGTAATTCCCTATCGTTGTTGTAATCCGAAATAAATGCACGTGTTCCTGTTTAACCAACACCAACACTCAACTACCTACACTTGCTCCGCCCGACGTTCATAAACGACGCCGTCCCCATCGCGGCAACGGCCCTCTTGTCACGAATACCAGGATCACCCAGCACAAAAGCAGTCAGATCAATTGCCCACTCGACCGACCGGCCATACAATACATCCATTTATAGGTAGACACTCGTCTTGTTTCATCCAGCCCTACCCCCCACTGGGCCCTACCGGCCACGATGGGTTTGAGTGGATATGCCGACATCATGTTCTTCCATCGACAGACGTACACTGCATCGGAGCCCGGAGTTTTTCCGTCCAGTCGATGCATTAAGCGGCGTGTGAGAAAGACCGTCAGGTGCCGAACTGTCGGATTCGTAATGATCAGGTACCCCTGTGTAGTCATGCTCCTCGTTCTTTTCAACAGCCAGACCTCCGAAGCGGGTACCCATATTCCGGGGACAGAACAAGTGCCCCGTTTATACTCGCGATGCGCGCCAATAGGATGACGGACAAGATTCGCCGGGGATGGTTGACTGCCGGGGTTACGTGGTAGTGTACCCCGAACTTCAACGTTTGACCACGGCAAAAAGGGGGCGCCTCGGCCGACTTGGCACTTGCTCCGCACCTCACTCTCCGCCCGGGAGTCAGAAGTCATCCCAAGATCAAGAAGTTTCTCCGATCTTCAATAAACAATAAACCCTTCGTGTAGGTTGAGAATACATATAACACGGACCGCTTGGTGGAAAATGGAAGTCGATAAGAAGCAGATCTCGCCTGAGCCGAGTTGTCATTTTGTCAACATTAAACCTAAGCGTTCCTCTCCGACATTGCTGCTTCGACCAGTACCACCATCAGCATGAGATTTGCTTCAATTGTTGGGGCCCTCACAAGCCTCTTGGCTGTGGCCTCGGCGGCATCTTTTACCAACCCCCTGAAGCCCATAAATGGATCAGATCCTCAAATGACCTATTCTGACGGGTACTACTATCTGATGACCACGACATGGACCAACTTGCAAATTACCAGAGCCAAGACTCTTGAAGGTCTGAAGACCGGGGAAACTCGGATCGTCTGGACTGATGCAAACCCTGAGCGTTGCTGCAACGTTTGGGCACCCGAGCTTCACGAGATCGATAACACGTACGTACCTCATGCCCGCCCAGCTGCGCTCGTGGCCTGGATCTAATGGGCTCCTGGCAGATGGTACATCTACTACACAGCAGGCAACAGTCAAAACTTGGATGGCCAACGTTCCTACGTCTTGAAGGGTACTTTAAAAAGCCCCATACGAAGTATATCTCCCCGTCCGCAGGGTCTGAGAGCTGACAGATCTGCATAGGCGGTGCCCATCCCTGGGACGATAGCTTCTCCTATGCCGGTCAGCTCACCCCGGACTGGGGTATCGACGCAACCATCCTGCGGGTCGAGGACCGGAACTACTTTGTGTGGTCCTGCTTCTCTCGCGGCCTACAGTCCATGTGCATCGCGCCCATGAACTCTCCCACCTCGATCGGCCCCGGCAAAGTGCTCTCCGAGCCAACGTTGGACTGGGAGCGCGTGGATACCCCCGTTAACGAGGGGCCCGCTCCGCTCTACCACGACGGCAGGATCTTCTTAGCCTACAGCGCCAGTTTCTGCTGGACACCCAGTTACCAGCTTGGCCTCCTGACCTACAACGGGGGCGACCCGACGCTGATGAGCAGCTGGACCAAGACGGGACCGCTCTTCAGCTCGGCAAATGGAAACCATGGGCCGGGACACAACGCGTAAGTTGGGTTGGGCCCTGTTTGTTCGGTGCTATTCATGTTCCCGCTCTTCTCTCTAACTTGCATGGCTACTCGACAGATTCCTTAACAGCCCAGACGGAACCGAGGTCTGGAACATATACCATGCGACCTGGATCGAGACTGGGAATTGTGATGGAAACAGGTATACCTCGGCGAAGAAGGTCACCTGGAATCCCGATGGCTCTCCAAACTTTGGACAGCCCGATGCCCTAGGCACCACCCTTGCCGGCCCGTCCGGCGAGTGATAGTTTTTAATCGGGGAAGTCGGTTGGGAGTAATTGGGGGTGGTAGAGGCTGGGGTAGAGGAATGTCAGACCCGAGGGCTTGGAGCAAAAGTGGAAGGTGGTTCATGATGGCGCAGGCGTGCGGCTAAGCATTTCGAGGGAGGCAGCTGAGCAGGTCCAGTGAGCAACGACGCTTCTCCATCATACTGTGTAGGTGTAGAAAAGAATGTAGCATGTAGTAGGTTGCGTTTAGGGCAACGCCATCACGTGAATCAGGTCCATCCCTTCCACAATAGGAAAACTGTTTATATCTGGAAGGAGAGTCCCTGTAATACCCTATGTTTTAACACGAAAAATAAATGCCCGTATGCCTGTTCAACCAACTTCACTCGACTACACTTGCTCCGCCCGACGGTCCATAAACGACGCCGCCCCCCTCGCGGCAACAGCCCTCTTGTCACGAATCCCAGGATCGCCCGGCACAAAAGCAGTCAGATCGATGGCCCAGTCAACCGACCCTCCAAAGTTCTGTCCCTGGTACCGCGCCCGACGCCGCTCCTTGGTCGTCTCGGTCATGTAGGCCGCCCACGAGTCGGTCATGTACTGCGCCATGTCCGAGTCGCTGGCCTCATCGTACCAAAACACCGTCCCCTCGAGTTCGATCGCCCGGATGTCCTCGAGCTCCGCCAGCGCGATGATGCCCGGCTCGCGCGTGCAGCGCCCCACGTAGCCCCTCTCATCGGGCCCTAGGTACCGGCACATGGGGTCTGCGCGGCAGTTGCGGTCGGCCATCTTGAAGCTGCGCCCGTAGCTGGCCAGCCCCACGACGATCTTGTCGCTCGGCACCCCGGCCTTGGTCACCATGGCCAGCGCGTAGTCGGTCTCGGTCAGGTTGACGTGGCTGCGCAGGCAGTTGCCGCCCGGGCAGCCGGCCTGGTTGTCGGTGCCGTAGTCCCACTGCCCGTGCAGGTCGTACGCCATGTAGACGATGTAGTCGACCACGGCCGACATCTCGGCGATCGGGAACCCCTGCAGGTAGTGGAAGGACGCCGGCGCCGCGAGCGAGACGGTCTTTTCTGCGGGCAGCAGCTGCCGCACCATCCTGAGTAGTAGTAGGTACTGGGCGCCGTCCGTCGGGCTGCCGCCCAGGTCCACCGCGCCGGGGTACTCCCAGTCGAAGTCGACGCCGTCGAGGCCGTACTGCTCGACGGTCGCGACCACGCTGCGCGCGAACCGCAGCCGGTCCGCGTTGTTGGTGGTGTTGCGGAAGATGGGCAGGGGCTCGCCCCCGGTCGAGTACGACCACCCGCCGAACGCCAGGATCTTCTTGAAGCCCGTCTGCTCGACGAACAGCTCGAACTGCTCCATCGAGTCCGACAGGTCGACGGCGAAGTCGTCGGTGATGCCGCCGAACGAGAAGTGCACGTGCGAGTACCCCGACGGGATCTGGTCCGCCCGCATGTTCAGGCACGGCCGCTCCAGGTTGTACGACTGGAAGTAGCCGACCTTGAGGAACTCGGCCGGCGCGCTCGGGCTCTTGGCGATCTCGGTGCCGCAGTTGGAGATGCACCCGACCTGCCCGGCCGACTTGGGCGGCGTGCAGAACTCAGGGGTAATGCCGCAGTTGCCCCAGGTGTTGCACTACAAAAGGGGGAAATATCGTTAGCTCAGTCTGATGCTTGGGGCGAGTTCGCCGGGAGAAAAAGAGGACTTACGCAGGCATTCAGGGGGCAGGGGTTTAGCGTCGCGAGCTGGGACCAGTCGCTCGGCCGAGCGGTGCCCGGGGCCTGGGGACCGCAGATAGCAGTGTCGATGGGCGCCGGCATGGGCGGGTCGCCGGAGCTGACGCAGATGATGGCGTTTCTCTGCAAACCACCGCAACCATTCCAGTTCCAGCTGTTGCTGTTCCATGTCTCGATCTCGTCGACCGTGAGCTGGAACTTGCTGGCGATGAGGGAGCAGTACTCTCCCGGCGGAACCTCGTACGTGGCGCAGGTCCCGTCCGGGTTCGGCTCGGGCCTGAGGTTCGGGAGCGAACCCTCGGAGCAGCACACGAGCTGCCCGGCCTGGAGCGTGTTGCAGAAGGTCGAGCCCGGGTTGTACGTGTAAAAGTCCGCCGTCGAGATGCCGCACCTCGACGCGAGCGAGCCGCACAGGTCGCCCTGCTGGACGGTAATGGTCGAACACTCTTGGCCCATCTTGTCTGCTGTTGAGCGGGGAGCTAGCTGGTGATGGTGAGACTCAACATGGGCCGGTGACAAGACCGCGGCCAGCGGCTCCCCTTTTATGCCATTTTCCTCCTCACTCAGCCTACAGCAACACCATGACTCCTTCGGCGGCTTGTGTTGATGGTCTTGGCCGCGGATTTCAAAGGCCAACCGCCCGTCCTCACGGCCGTGGTCGCCGTTGGTGCCGAGATTGCCGCTGGAACGTCACATCGACTTCACTAGCCTCTAAACGGGGCTGCCTTACCAGTCGCGTCGAGCGGCTCCATGAGATAGCCCTACGGGGCTGCAGTCACCCATCCGAGCCTCAAGTATGGCTCTTGTGTTTAATGAGCTCTGCCTGTCGAGTCACACCCCGCCTCCGGTTGAAGACCCGGTTGTAGAGAGAATTTATTATGGAGGACGTGACAGGACTTTTGTTCCTGAACATGGTACTGTAAGTGTAAGGCAGACGATACAAATTTCTTTTTCTTTTTTAAAAAATAAATAAATCATCAGAGTGAGAATATGGAACCGTGTTATAATTGAAGAACCGTAGTTTGTCCAGGTACGAGGCAGTCTTGAGGTTCGAGCCGCGGCTAATACAAACCCAGGGGTTCACCCACTCCATGCAAGGTTTTTCGCCGCGCCAACTGCTGAGTGCTACATCAAGGTTACATTATTGGACAATGGAGTTGACAGGAATAGGTGCAGACACGTGCCAGACTCATTGAGCCCGCGGGAAAGAAGGAAGCAAAGAAAGGATCAAGTAGAGCGTAGCATTGGGCTCCGGGAGCGGGAAGCATGTCCGCTGTGGCAAGAAAAAGAGGCAAAAACGAGCGCTTTAGGATTTTAGCACTCAAGCAGCTCGGGGGCGCGGTCGGCCCTACCCACCAGTTACACAAACGGCCAATCTCCTCCCGGCTTGGTATCCAGGCACCTGCTGAGCTATCACGGCCCTTCGTCCTCATCTCGACCGTCGCCTGAAGACATCACGAGCTCACCGGTGCCCTTTGATGCGACTCACATGTAGAAAGTGTGGCTATCACACGTTGCTCTCCTCGTATTAACAGGCCCGACGGTAGGCACTCAAGCTGGGCACTGAATCCTCGAGATGCAAGGAACAAGTGGGCGGATGGGCGACCTAGTTGGCCTATGTGACCTCAAGCATTGGCATTGAGTTGGATACCTTCCTACCCGGCATCTTTCTTGCAACGAAACAAAAGGGTATAAGCGTAAAGCTGCTCAAGCCAACACAAAAAAAGGAAAGGAAAAAGAAAAGGAGCAGAAACCTCGACATCCCACATCTCGTGACTCAGCCCGAACCCACACACACGAGTATGCATGGCCGCTTCCGCCCGCAAAGCACCAGGCCCGCGGGACGGACGCCAAACCATCCGCCCTTCCCTTACTGTATCCATCCTATCCCATCACATTCCCTTCCCATCCCTTCCAATATCCACCACCCACCCACCCAGCACTCAAAAATGGTCCTAGAGGTAAATGTATGTACTAACCCATCCTCACCCCGGCTCCCAACCCACCACCACTACCACCACCGCCACCAACAACCTCCTCCACCCGCCTCGGCCTCTCCTCATCATCCATCATCATACCAAAGCTCTGCTCCCTCGGCGGGTTATGTATCCCCGGAATCCCGGGGTTCGTTACCTGCGAATGTGCACCACCCTCCTTCAGACTAGCACCACCATCCCCCGCCGCACCGACCACCACATCCCCCGTGACTGTCGCTCTCTGCTGCACGCGCTTGATGCGCCCCGTCTGCTGGTCGACCCACGACGTGACGCTGCGGAACCGCGCCGGCTGGTCCTCGCTCGTCTCCGTGTAGATGGTCTCGCGACGGCGGCTGCCCGTGCCGGTGCTGGTGCTGCTGGCGTTGCTGTTCTGGCGCGCCGGGGCGTTTGGCGGTGGTGGTGCCGCCGTCGCCGCCGCCGCTGCTGCTGCTGCTGCTGCTGCTGTTGAGTGTGAGTGTGGTGGCCCCTGGGGGTGGGACATCCAGGAGAAGCGGGCTGAGTATTGCTGCTGTTGCTGCTGCTGCTGGGGGCTGTTGGTTGGCGATGAGCCGGGTACGGCGGTTGGCGCGGGAGGGGTGATCAGCGGGTTTCTGACGATGATGTCGCCGTCTCCGAAGCCGGAAGACAGGGAGGAGACTTCGCTGATGGTCCGGCTGGGCTGTCGGTAGAGTGGATTGTAGGGAGTGAACTGTTGGTTGAGGAGAGGTTGGTTGTAGTACGAGGCTGGTGAGACCCCGGAGTGCATGGGGCTTGCTGCGCTCTCGGGTGTCATTATGGCGCCGAAATGAGCTGCATTCGTGGAACTGAAGGACCCTTGGGTTTGATGTGAGTAGGCTGCCGGTATATTGGTCATGAGCGTGATGTGGGGGCGGTTGGCGGCCGTGTACGTGTCTCTGGGGTTCGGTGGTGGCGGGTACATGATACCGGACTGTGTTGAGTCATGTCCCGGGATCATGATATTCTCGGGAGAACTTTGGGGCCATGGTTGTTGCGGGGGCTGCTGGGTTTGCACCTTCTCCGGCCCATAGAAGCCCTCCCCCGATGGAAAACGCGCGCTGCCCGTCTTCTCGCGGTAACTGGGTGGTGGCGATTGGCTTGTCGAGTCCTCCAAGTTTCGCCAGCCCCGTCGTCCAAAGAAGGGGATCTTGGAAGTAACTCTCCTCGAAAGCCCACCACCGCTACCTCCGGCGCGGCCTTCCCTTTTCGACTTCTTCATTGTCCGCCAAACCATCCAGGTAATAAAGCAGACGAGGATGAAGCCACCTAACAGCGCTGTTAGCCTCCGGGGACCAAGGTCATTCGAGCACCGATACTAATCATACCTATTGAACCAACCGAAATCAGGATGCGTTCGGCCGTCGGGTTCATACCAGTCGGTGCCAGCTCAAGTCGGTTGCCGGCACCATCGGCGCCTCTGCCGTTATCATTCGCAATATCATTGTCCATTGGCCCCCCTGTTGGGGGAGAGTTGGGGAATGTTGTTGGTCTAGGCCCTGAGACAGGCGGCATAGCCCCAGACTCAACACTCTCGGTTGACCCAGAAGGGTCCGTTGAGCCTACCACATCGCTGGCCGACGGCGAGGGGATGAACTCTGTCACAGTCGGGTTCGCCTGTTTGCGGTGTTAGAGCCGGATGATAGGGTAGAATAAGGTCGTGCTTACCTCATCCGTTAGACTCCCGGTTTCAGCACCGGTTATGGCGGACTGCAGTAAGACCACACCTTGGTTGAACTCGCTCGATACTTCTATTGCCGGGGCAGGTTCGGTTGAAGACGGGACGGGTTCTGGGGCTGGAGTCGGTTGCGGTGATTCCGTTGGTAATTCCGATGCTGGCTCTGATGTCGCTTCTGGTGGTGTCGATCCCAAATCCGATGTTGATGACGGTGCTTCTGGGGGTGGCTCCGATGACTGTGGTGCTTCGGCGGGGCTGGATGAGTTGGTATTATCGTCTCCATCATCGTCGTCCCTATCCCTCCCAAAGCCTCCCCCGAAGCCACCCCCAAAGCCACCCCCTCCCCTGTTATTCCCTCTCCCGCGGTCGCCATCACCGAAACGGTTGCCGAAGCCGAAGCCATTCCCACGCCCTCCACCGTCGCCGTCACCAAACCTGTTTCTATCCCCATCCCCTCCACCATCACCGTCACCAAATCTGTTTCTATCCCCATCTCCTCTACCATCACCGTCACCGCCGTTATTGTTGTTTCCGTTGCCGTTACCAAAGCGATTCCCATCCCCGCCTCCCCTGTCATTATCATTTCCAAAACGGTTGCCGAAGCCGTTACCGAAGCCGTTCCCCCTGCCCCCGTCATTATCGTCGCCATTCCCTCCGCCTCGGGAAAAGCCTCCCCCTCTCCCTCCCCCATCATTGTCGTCGTCATCGCGGTCGCCGCCACCATTGTTGTTGCCAAAGCGGAATCGACCGCGTCCGCCGTCGTTTCCGCCATCACCCCCCATCACCTTGCCGTCGGTACAAGTTGACTCTTCGTAGTAGCCTGGGTTTGCCGCTCAACCATCTTTGTTCGGTGACCCCTGAGGGGTTCTTTAGTGGTGCCATTCCCTCTCCTTCCGACCCTGGCATCCTTGGGTCATCTGTGAAATCGGCAGAACCGGTTAGGGCGCCTGGGGTTTTGTTGTGCTAGAGATCATGGGCTGAAGTTTGTGTATCCCCGGTTCAAACGTGCGGTCGAGATTGCCCTACGTGGTGATGCCTGCGGTCGGGTAGGTAGGTGACTTGGAGATGGAAACGGTATTACAAGAATAAATAATCTAGAAAAAAAGCAACAATATTGAAGACAGAAAGAAAGCAGAAGAAGAGCGGGTAGCCGGCCCCGTGAAGTGAATAGGATGGAGGAGGAGAAAACAGCAATGAGGGAGAAAAGCCGTGACAAGGGACAAGCCCCGGCCGCCCGGATCGTGCTTGAGCTGGTCAAGTTGCCCAGAATATGCATGAATTGACAGGCCCAAGCTCCCGCCAGTGAGTGCATCAGGGATCGGATGACTGACGGAACCGCAGCGAGACAGGGCCAAAGAAAGGGACAGGGGTATACGGAATCTGCCATCACTCCTGGGACTGGATCCACGAGCTGGAGACGCCTCAGGGATCTCGGATCCGAGTATCAATCATCCCGGGGTGGGGGATCACCACCGGAGGCGGATGGACGTCCATGGTGCTGCCCTAGCACGATTTTGGGGACGTGAAGCGAATTTTAAGCCGGATCCGGATTAGGTGGGCATCCCAGGCTTTCCCAAATGTTTTTCTTCTCGTCTTTCCATTGCAAGCTGCTGTAGGTATTGAATCTCGAGTGCTAACACTGGCGGGGATGTCCTCTCCGCTTTGGTGAGACTTCACCAGCTGCACCCCTATTTGCCAAGCCTCGACAACAACCTTGGGCCAGGAGTCCAGTTTGGCAGGCGGCCGCTTGAGCATGCAGCTGCGGAAGCGCACAGGCCGACGCCAATTGTGACGGTTGAGAAGAACCACCAGAGTGCGGTACAGGGGCCAGGGGGGTTCAACGTCTCAGCATGGGGATGACGTTTCAGCCGAGGAGACGACGGGGCAGGAGGGGCACTCTGAGAAGTGCGGCTGCAGTCGCTCTGGCGGCTCAGATAGGCGAAGTCACAACCGCTCATTCGGAGACAGATTTATGAACCCGATGCCAGTTGCCCGCTACCCGCTTAGTTTCGTCGTGTTGTTGTCGCTAACCCATCCCAACATGATCCTCGAGCGCCGACCCGGGTGTCGCGGCGTGTCGATGACTGCGTCGCTTGCTTATCTGCCGTTGAATCACCGTCTGTTTCCGCATTTAACAGGAGACGGCATGGAGGAGATCAGTCAAGTTCGCAGCCAGTCAATCCGGAATGTGCCGGGAAATCGGCACTCGACCTTCTCGGAAGAACGACGCTGAGGGTGTGATTTACCTAGATCATCGCATGTGGTACAGATCTGTATGTACATAGCGCGATACTAGCATGCACATTACCTAGGTAACCTGTTGTGACATGTCATGTATGGCGAGTACCATGGGTAATTCAACACCATGTGCCTGAACCGAAAAACGGCAAGGCTCCCGAGCGCACATGGGACGAGTCTGGGACTGCGGGGTGAGATGGTCGCATTTTCCATGCGGGACCGATCCCAGCCGATCGTTCATGCGCGATGGAAAGGAGATGCGGCCCGGTGGGACGTCAGGGCAACTTTTGGACTTTCGACTTTGGATTTTCGGTTCCGACATGAAAGATCAAACCGGGACATGCCCGTTGCCCACATCTCAAACTTTGGGTGCATTTAGCGGGGCGTTTTTGTTGGCAGCAACCCTGATGGATGTGCAAAATTCGGGGTGTTCCTTCCTCCGTATCCAACAACACGGGCCAGAGGCAGGTCCGACCGTGGCGACGCCGACGTTGAACGGATGGAAGTTAAAGTGTTCGAATCTCGTATTGTAGGATTCGTCCAGCTTTGGTAATCAAGTGTACCATATGTACAGATTACCGCATTGATGTTTTGTCTAACAGAGGAGCTAAGCCATGGCCTCACGTCGAGCAGTACACAGCCAAGTACAAATTAATTGGTGTCATCCGGATTCCAGGGCACGCAACCGATCGGCCCCGGGGCTTCGAGCCTCGGCAGGCTCGGGACCGGCCCGGGGTGCTGCCGGGTCTGTGCGTCCTCCGGAGCACATCGGCTTCTGCTTGACTGCCCCGAACCGCCCCGTGAGACACAGAGCTGTGCTTTGTCGAGCAACGCGCATGTGATGGTTGAATTGCCGGTCATCCCCGATCGTCGTAAAAACCCGGGACGACCATCCAAGTCGGAGAGACTCGGAAGGACAGCACGGCACAGTTGAATGCAATCTGACTGTGCAAGATGTCTGACAGCAAGAGAGGGAACGGGCGGGGACATGTGCTGGTTCGTGAATCGCAGGGCATCCGCACCTCTGCCGGCTTCCGTTTTTCGGACTCGAGTCAAGAGAAGAGGAAGGCACGGTTTCAAAGATGGGACGTGGGGGATCTCCACTGCCTCTTCTCAATAGTTAGCCTAAACCATTACCTACTCGAGTTGTCCCCTCTCTGGACGCAGTTGGCCCCAGTTGTGGCAGGGGATAAATGGCTCTTCTGCCTCTTCACTCCCGCGATCGGGGTTTCAAAAAAACAAAACTTCAAAAACCTCCAGTCCAGAATCCTGTCGTCATCAAGGCCAGGCCCTGTCACAGCCTTGGCAAGAGGCTGTGGTGGGGTGTCGTGGGGGCAGCGTGGGCATTTGAGTGGCTCCTGAGCGAGACGCTAACAAAGTCGGCGAATAGGATAAAAGTCGCAATGGCGGGATAAAAAAAAGACGTGACGGATTCCAGGAAGCTCCCGGGAGTCCCACCAGCCTTATCTTAGTCACCCAATATCAATTTGCGCCGCTTTATCCCACGCAAAAACCCATTGTGAAACTTTTCAGTATTCCGCACTCCCTCTTCCTCCCTTTCGACGAACATCACCTTTTTGCGAACCAACGCCCTATATTCCCTCCCTCGGCGTTGTCCGCCGTCTCCCACATACCCCGCTCCTTAATTGAGCCATGGCGTCCACGTCAAGAGCTCTGAGCAAGCTCGCGGTCCCCCCCACGGGGGCCATCTTGCTGCAACAGTCGCGGGCTGCCCCTCGACTTTTACTCCAGACATCGGGCCGGACTGTTGGGGCGAGGCCCGTCTTTGGTAGCACGCAAGGTCCCGTCTCCCGGCAGTTCCGCCGTGGCGTTTCCAGCGATGCCGCCCCCGCCCCCCGGCCCAAGAAGTCACGGTTCCGGGTGTTGAGATGGACTTGGCGACTCGGATATCTCTCGGCGATCGCCGGCATCGGCTACATTGGCTACGGCGTGTACGAGGATAGGCATCCGGAGCCCCAAGTCGTGCCTGACCCGTCCAAGAAGACGCTCGTCATCCTTGGTGAGTTGGCTGTTGCTGCGCCGTCCAGTAGCTTTCCGTTTTCTGACATGTGCCGCAGGTACCGGATGGGGCTCCGTCTCGCTGCTCAAGCGTCTCGACACCGAAAACTACAACGTCGTCGTTATCTCGCCGCGCAACTACTTCCTCTTCACGCCCCTCCTCCCGTCATGCACAACCGGTACTATCGAGCACCGCTCCATCATGGAGCCGATAAGGACCATCCTCCGCCAGAAGAAGGCGAGCGTCCGGTTCTACGAGGCCGAAGCCAGCTCTATTGATCCCGACCGCAAGGTGGTGCGCATCTTTGACAACTCGGAGATCAGGGGTGACATCACCGAGACCGAGGTACCATACGACATGCTGGTGATCGGCGTGGGCGCCGAGAACGCGACGTTCGGCATCCCCGGCGTGCGCGACCACTCGTGCTTCCTAAAGGAGATCGGCGACGCCCAGAGGATCCGCAAGAGGATTATGGACTGTGTCGAGACGGCGGCCTTCAAGGATCAGTCGCCCGAGGAGATCAACCGTCTCCTGCACATGGTCGTGGTCGGCGGCGGCCCGACCGGCGTCGAGTTTGCCGGCGAACTGCAGGACTTCTTCGAGGAGGACATCAAGAAGCTGGTCCCGGAGATCAGCGACCGCTTCCGCGTGACGCTGATTGAAGCCCTCCCCAACGTCCTGCCCATGTTCTCCAAGCAGCTGATCGACTACACGGAGAGCACCTTCAAAGAGGAGAAGATCGACATCCACACCAAGACCATGGTCAAGAAGGTGACGGACAAGACGGTCGAGGCCGAGGTGACGCGCCCCGACGGCAAGAAGGAGACCATCGTCTTCCCCTACGGCCTGCTCGTGTGGGCAACGGGTAACGCCGTGCGCCCCGTGATCAAGGACCTGATTGCGCGCATCCCGGCGCAGGCGAACTCGCGCCGCGGCCTCGCCGTGAACGAGTACCTCGTCGTTCAGGGCACGCGCGACATCTGGGCGGTGGGCGACTGCGCCGTGGCCGGGTACGCCCCCACGGCGCAGGTGGCCGGCCAGGAGGGCACCTTCCTAGCGCGCCTGTTCAACAACATGGCCAAGACGGAGGCGCTCGAGGGCAAGATCAGCGAGCTCAGCTCGTCGCTGAACCTGCAGCCGGGCAACTCGGCCGCCGTCTCGCGCGAGATCGAGGGCTACGAGCGCCAGCTGCGCCGCATCAAGGACGCCAAGCCCTTCCACTACAGCCACCAGGGCAGCCTGGCCTACATCGGCAGTGATAAGGCCGTCGCCGACGTGACGTGGTTCAACGGCAACGTCGCCGCCGCCGGCAGCCTGACCTACCTCTTCTGGCGCAGTGCCTACATCAGCATGTGCTTCAGCACCCGCAACCGCCTGCTGGTCATCAACGACTGGTTTAAGTCCAAGGTGTTTGGCCGCGATCTCTCGCGCGAGTAAAGAGGGCGGCGAGTGGGTCTTCGGGGCTTCCTTTTCCTGTTTATGAGGGTCATTCTATATGGATGCAGCGGGCGAGCCGGCCTGTCTTCCCTTTTTTCCGATTTCCTTTGTCACCTGCGGCGGATGTTAATGGAGTCTTGGGCTTGAAAATAATTAGACCACGGGCTAGACTGGGTTCGGCAGGATAGACGAGGGCAATGATTGACGGCGGGTCTGTTTTGGTGCTGGTTTCATCCTCTCTGTTGTATCGGTCTTGACATTATTAGTGTTGTATCAGTTAGCTTGCCCTGGTGGCTTGCCCCGGGGCACCATGGCCTTGTACTGTAAACCAATATTAGTTAGACGGGTATTCAGGTTCATTTTGATGCAGTTCGCTGCGGCCCTTTCGCCTGGTGATAGAGAACATGATGGTGTTGTACATACGACGACGATGCTACTCAAGGGTTAGGGCTTGTGACATCAGCATCTCGGAGCATCCACTTATTCAGAGCTCACCCGAACAGAGCTCACTCTTCACTTCTCACTCATCGGGCACCTGCCTCCTTCCCGTGTTTTTTAAGCTAACCCAGCTCACAATGCACGAAACCATCACTCTGCAGTTCGGGCAACAGGCCAACTACCTTGGCACTCATTTCTGGAATACTCAAGTAAATTCGATTATTTACCCCTCCATATCTTATCCCGGTTTTAACTATCTCAAGAGACAAATAAACTAATAAACTCACCTTAAGGAATCCTACTTCACCTACTCCCCAGACCAACCCGAGTCCCCCATCGACCATGACATCCACTTCCGCCCCGGCCTCGCCCCCGACGGCACCGAGACCTACATGCCACGCACAGTAATCTACGACCTCAAAAACGCCTTCGGCACCCTCCGCAAGGTCAACGCCCTCTACGACATCACCGACGACGCCAGCGCCTCCCAAGCACTATGGTAACCAACCCCCCTCCTCAACAACCCCGCCCTTTTATTTTATCCCTTCACTAACCCCCCAACCAGGCAACGCCCCCCCACCACCCTCCCCGCCACAACAACCACCCCCCTCGACCCCTCCCCCTACCTCGCCGCCCTCAACGCCAACCTCCCCCCGCCCCGCCCCACCCCCGCCACGATCCGCTTCTTCTCCGACTACGCCCGCACCTTCTACCACCCGCGCTCCGTCGTGCCCATCCACGAGCGCGACCTCGGCGGCGGGGCGGGTGGTGCGGCCTTCGACCGGCACGCGGCGGGCGAGGAGCTGTTTGCGGACCTGGACCGCGAGCATGATTTGCTGGATCGGGATCTCAGGCCGTTTGTGGAGGAGGCGGATTGCATGCAGGGCGTGCAGGTGTTTGCGGGGTGGGATGATGCGTGGGGGGGGTTTGTGGGGCGGTATTTGGAGAGGGTGAGGGATGAGTATGGGAAGGTGGCGGTTTGGGTTTGGGGGGTGGAGGGCGGTGGTGGTGGTGGGAAGGGGGGGGTGGGGAGGGTGAGTTTTGGTTTTCTTTTTTGCTGGTCTTCCTTCTGATTCTGGGTTTGGTTTTGTCCCCGGGGTGGAGTGGGTGCTAACGGTTGTGGTGGGTGTAGGAAAAGAAGTTGCTGCGCCTAGGGAACAAGGCGAAGGCGATTACCGAGTGGTATAAGCAGGCGTCGATTGTGGTGCCGCTGGCCGTGCCGGAGAGGTTAACAAGCAGGGTGAAGCTGGATCCGACTTCCCAGTGGCACACCTCGGCGTTGTTGGCGGCTGCGGTGGAGAGTGTCATGCTGCCGTCGAGGATGAAAGACCCCTTAAAGAGGGAGTCATTAGGCCAGATGGCTGATGTCCTGAACGTCATGGGAAAGCAGAGCGTTGCCGGCTTGCAGATGAGCTTTGCGCGGCCGGGATCGGAGGGGCAAGAGGACACGAGGCAGAGGAAGCTATCTGAGGAAGAGCTCTCCGAAGGTGTGCAGCTCGATATCCGGTTTGCGCCGTCGTATCAACTCGACTCGTATGCCCGATCCAATGGCTTCGATAGGCCCCGCGTGTTCAGCCAGCTGGTCGCTTCACGGGGCTATGAGGAAGAAGAGAGTGAAAATGGGGAGAGGGACGAGGCAGGGCGTCGGGTGCGGCGGAGCTCTTATGAGCCTGTAACAAAAAGGCATGCCCCAACAATAACGACAACCTTTTAGATATAGGCTAACTGGCAAACAGCTGCACCACGGACCTCCGGTTTCCACTACTAGATAGCTTCCCTGAGATCTTCCGAGATGACGATGACGAGCCACTGGCGGAATCGCTCAACATCACAAGCAGCTTATCCACCGACTCATCCGTCGCCAACAAACTGAAACAGCTGCGGTCAACAGTCATTCGGTCCATCGGTCTCGAAGACCGCGAAACACTCGGGAACGATCTCATGGAGATGGCAGACGAGTACCACGAGGGATGGTCAAGTGGGAGCGACGAAGGGGAAGACGATTAGCAGCTCTATGCTTGACAAGGTGGGGGAGGGACGAAGTCCGTCGATAGTACGAAGTACGTCAATACCAAAATACGGTGTCACCAGCCAAGGTTAACGTTTCCCGAACGAGTTAATTGTTTCCATTTATTGGTGTTTGGCGCTGGAAGACTTGCAGAGCGTCGACAGCTGAATCACCTGGCGACCCTGCCCCGAGTTCATGGAGAAGTTTTGCGTTGCCCAATATCACCGACCACCCCCCAAATGGCCGAGTGGTCAGTGGGCATGGTCGAGGCCCCGGGGCAAACACTCCTAGTGAAGGTCTCATCGAGAGCTCACCAGTTCGAGCCGCCCCGGGGCTCGAAAGAACAATGAGGGGGGTTCAGACCCCCTTACCCCGAGCAACCGAAGCAAACCCTAAGGGGTTTCGTAGCCGGCTACCTCCCTCCAAGAAAGGAAGGGAGCTAGCCGGTGAGCTTTTGCCCTTTCCACAGATCGGTGTGTCCTGTTTATTCCTACTTCCCTTTTCTCCTATTCCGTATTTATTGATCATTTTCTTCTCCTTTTTGTTTACTCGCCATCAGCCATGCTGGGAAGGTCAAGACGGTCGATAAACCATTCAATAACTGATTGGCTCTCGTGGATTCTCTAGTTTGGATTGGCAGACTGCGGACGAGCTGCGCGAGCAGCACAGCCTCAAGGCTGAAAGCGCCCATATGCATGAGAGCCTGGCCAGTCTTATTTCTAGCAGCTTCGTTTCTTCTCCGACTCAACAACTTTCCACAGTTCAAAGCCAGAGAGGCTTCGGTCCCTTGTACTGCCAACAAGATGACCTCTGCCGGCGAAATCATCGCCATCCTCGGCCTCTTCGAACGCGTAGTTATCGAGCTACGCAACTACCACGACGCCCCGGCGCACTTCCAGAACCTGCGTGCAGAGCTAGACCTCCTCCGCAGTGCCTTGCGCCATGCCTTACAGCTGCGGGCCGACAGCGATGAGGAGCGCCAGATGCTCGACAAGGTCGCCGCCATCGCCATGCATTGCCTCCAACCGCTCCAGGCCATGGCCGACAAGATGCGAACCAAGGAGAGCAGCCTGGGCTATTTTCGCACGTCGAAGAGCCTGGTAAACATTGGAACCCGTCTCCACTAGTCGCTGATCGCACGTAAGGACGTCGACGAGCTGAGGCGGGTGGTCTTGGCTGAGATGGTCGCCATCAACATATTGTTGAGCGCCCAGCAACTGTACGACGCTCAACCAAGTCTACCAACGATACGGGTAACTAACCCCTAACACCACATTAGAAACCAAATCAAGCGCCTCTCCGCGGAAGCCAGCGGGGCCGAGCGTACCCAAAGCGCCCTCATCGAGAAGCACTCGGACGCGCTAATGCGGCAGACATCCTCTATCCTCAGCATCGTGGCGGGCACGCCCGGCGCGATCGCCGACCTCCAGACGGGCATGGCGGCCCATGCAGCAGCGCAGTCGGCCGAGAGCCGCGCGCTCCGGACCGGGCTGGACGCTGTAACGCAGCATATGGAGGCGCTATCCCGGACGGCGGGGACGATGTGGACGGCGACGCAGCGGCAGGCGGTTGCTATGGGCCGTATGGTGAAGAGGGTGGGTGTGCTGGTGAATGACATTAGGGAGATGTTTGTCTTGTGAGTGCTTTTTGTTCTTGCGCGGCTGTAGTTGTTATTGGCATACTCACCTGTTTAGTTTGGCGACATGCTCGAAAGAGATGCTGGCAGAGATTGGGCGGAATACGTGAGTGTCTATTGCCATCCAGGACTTACTTTGGCTGACTCCTTTAGGCGTCTGCTGCTTCGTATCGCCGGCCAACTGAAGCGTGTTATACAAACCATCGAGGCCATGCCGCGCAACCTAGGAGTCGATATCATCCGCCTAGATGATGCGCTCGGGGAGACGTGGGGCTTGCCCTTGCAAGCCTGCGGAAGCTGGGAGGTGAGCTTCCACTGCTTGTTTGCCCGTTCACTGTACTGACGTAAGAAGTCATTCTGCGACCTACTTCGGCATGTGGTGTTTGCTGGCAAACCGGGCCTGGACCAAGTCGCGAGCGGCCAGTTTGTGATTACGTTGGCAAAGATGCGCAACCTGACCCTCACTTCAGACAATTGGAGCTACGTTCTGAAGAAGGATATGCATATCGAGCAAGCCATGGTTATCCCCCGAGCTCGCTCGAAGTCGAGAAACAGATGTCCTTTTCTAGGGTGTGCTGGTATTCCCAGGTCAACATCCACTAGCGGAAAGAGATGGTAAGTGACCTCAGCAGCAACGATACCGTCGGTGCGCGGTGGCTTGACAAAAAGGAAAATGGTACTTACCACTCACTCTCTAGTTCGACATGTGGACGCCAGGCGAGAATAAGGAGACGAGCTCGTGGTTTTATCAATATGATACAAAGTGCTTCGGATCGACTCCCGGAAGCACCGCCAGACATCCTGCCAACCTCTCCCGGACCTGGTCCACTACCGATGCAACTGGCAGACGGAGAAGATCAGCCATATCGCCGCGTCCAATTCCAGGAGGTTGCGGAGCCACTTCAAAGCCTCGACGACGCTATTCATAGATTTAAAGAGGACGAAACAGACATGATAGCCGCTGTTTACATCGGTGTTGAATGTCTGCGAGCTGTAGAGGAGGGCAAGCCGCTTACCGACGAGGGGATTGCCGCATACCTCGAAACAGCAGAGACCTGTTTCGGGGTTGCAATATGCGTAGGTACGTAGGCAGTGCCTCAAACAGCAGCCTCTCCGATGCCGAAAGTAACCAAGTTAACGTTGAGGCTGCCAGAGCCCGGCATTGCCGAGTATTGGTATTTTTTAGCAAAGGCGTACATACGTCAGGGGAATATTACCGAAGCAAGGAACGCCTTGGGACGTGCGATCTACCAGGCTCCGTCCGTTTCCGCCTTCGTCATCACAACTGGGGTCATACTTTCCCACCACCAACCTCGCCTCGCGATCAGTGCCTTCTTTCACGCGTTAACCCTAAACCCCTCCCAGTACGAATATTTGTGCTGGTATAACTTGGGGGTATTGGTACGGTCCGAACAATTACTATCTTTGCTAATTTTCGTTTGCTTAGCGATATTCCGCTGACACCGCACAACTAGTGTGATGGCTACCTAGAAACCTGCCAGACCATAAGCTGCTTCAGACTTTGTCTAGCGCTAAACCCGGATCTCCCACACGTCGAAGCACGGCTACAGGTTTTACGCAGGCACGCTACGGGCACGGTGCCGCCCCCAGATGACTTCAAAATCCACGACCTGAGAGACGCCGAACCCTGGCAGGTTTTAAACGAGTTGAGGTCCCGCGGAGGCTAGACCCGAATAGTGAGTCGAATTGACAGTATCTATTGGGGATTTCTGGACATGTTTGGTCCCAACGAAGAAGAAGGAGGCTTGATTGTCTAAGTGCCGAAGTGCCTCGTTCACCTGCCCAGGGGCTATCCCAGAATAGACGCAATCACAACCCCATCCCCCACCGGCTGGCTGATCCAGCGTACGTACACACACGTCCAAGCCCAGCCAAGGCGATGTCTACCCGACACCCAAACGCCGGTTGATGATGATGATGCCCCTCCATCCCCAGTGACCCATGGATGTACTAGTAGTGGTAGTAGTAGTACAACGTTCAAACAGCCAGATAGCTACCAGTACAGACAGACAGACAGACGCAAATCCGACGCAAACCCGACGCCAACAAACCCCGCTCAGTGCGGCCCACTCCCCCCATTCCTGGCATTACCCCCATCCAACAACAAATGCGGCTTGATATAATCCTCATCCAGCTGCCGAAACAGCGCCGACGGATCCTCAGTGCTGAATAGCTGGCGAATCGCAGCCGTAGCCGTCAGCGGCTGCTGCGTACCAGCGCCGCTCCCTCCCTCCCCTGGCACAGCCTGCCTGCTCGGACCAGCGCCACCCTCCGTACCGGCACCACCACCACCGCCAGGAGTGAGCATCGGGGACCGGCTCCTCGACACGGGCGCCGCCGGCGGCAGGTCCGAGATATCGATGTCGCTGCCAAACTCCGAGTCGGTATCCCGCCCGGAGGAGGCCGTGCCAAGTAGCTCAGACCGCTCGTAGTCGTCCAGGTTGCCGCTCGCCTTCTTGTTCCGGCTCCGGCTGCTGCTGCCCTGGCGCACGAGCGGCGCCGTGTTAGGCGACCTGTGGCCCGATGCCCACCCGCCGTTCTGCTCCCTACTCCCGCTGGGGCTGTTGGAGCTGTTGCCGACGTTGCCTAGCGGCACCACCGACCCGCGGTTGCGAGAGCGGGGGTTGAACCCGATGGCGGTGTCGGCGCGCTTGTATAGGCCACCGCCGACGGCCTCGATGTCGAACTCGTCGTCCGAGTCCATCTCCTCGGTCACGCCGGTGCGGATTCCGAGGATTTCGAGCATGCGGGCGGTTGTGCCGCCAAAGATGATGACGGTCAGGACCACGACAACCAGCACGGTGGCCTGCAAGGCCTGGGTCTCCTTGGCGGTGAAGAGCGCCGACAGGGCGACACCGACGGCACCGCGCAGTCCGGCCCAGAAGAGCATAGCCTGGTAGCTGTAGGGCAGCTCATCGGCAACCTCGCGGCCCTGGCGGCGGGCGCGGTAGCGGATGAACCAGTTGATGGCCTTCGAGAGGGGAAAGACGGCGAGCCAGCGTGCGGCGCAGACGGAGAGGACGGTGACGATGATCAGGAGGGGCTGGTAGACAAGATTCTTCTCGGTAAAGAGGGCCAAGCCGAGGTAGATGAAGATGAAGTTTTCGGAGAGCTGGGCAGTGACTTGGAAGAAGTACTTGGTGGTAAGTTGGGTGCGGCGGGACATATTGAAGTAGGCGTAGTGTTTGAGCGTAATCCCGCAGAAGAGCAAGGCGACGATACCTGTAAAGGGTCAGCGCGTGTACAGAGCGGACAGGACGTTTCTCCGAGCACGTACCGGACATGCCAATGGCTTGAGCAAAAAAGTACGTTGCGTATGCGATCAGCACCACGAGCGAGCTCTCGATGTGTGGGTACCGCCGGACATAGGTATATTTCAACCCGAGTGCCGTCAGGACGCCTATGAGGGCGCCGATGGCCAAACTGCCAAAGAATTCGGACAAGAAGTACCAGATGCCGTGGAGGACGCTCCAGATGCCGATTCCCCCACCTTTGGTGCCTGCGCTCTGAGCCGACTCGAAAATGACAATGGCGACGGCATCGTTCAAGATGGACTCGCCAAAAATGATGGTGTACAGCTTCGGGTCGACCTTGAAGGTATTGAAGATAGCCAGGATGGTGACGGGGTCAGTTGCCGACAGGGTTGCGCCAACCGAGATGGCATCGACCCACGACACATCCAGACCTTCGAGCGAGATGGACGTGTACAGCCACAGGAGCGCGCCAATGACAACGGCAGAGATGAATGTTCCGGCAAAGGCAAAGGTCAGGATGGTGCCGATGTTCCGGAAGAAATTGGCTTGATGGAGCTCGTAGCCAGACGAGAGGATGATGGGCGGAAGGAGCAGGTTGAAGAAGTACTGGTAGTTGAAGTTGACGAGATCACGGATGGAGTCGAAGCCCGAGACACGCAGGATCAAGCCAACGGTCATGCCGCCAAAGATGGAGACGACGGTTTCGTGTATGGCTGTGATCTTCCTCTGCTGCATGGTGTAGCTGGTGCAGAAGGCCACGATGAGCAGCATGATCAAGATGAAGATGGCCCATGATGCGTTGTTCTCCTGCTTCGGGGCGTCGTCGCCTGCAGTAGTGTGTTAGCGTGATGCTATGCTTGTTTGCTTGCTTGTGAATATGGGCTCGATCGAGGGCGCATTGTCGATGGCATACCGGCGGGGTCTTCTTCGTCCCTCCCTATAACATTCTTGTCAGTACTGGTCCGCCCTGTGAGATACACATAGTTATCTATGATAATGGCGTACTGGCAAGCCCGATGAGGGTGCTGGCGACGGTTTGCGAAAGCGCCTCCATGGTGGTGGAGATGGCGGAGCGTGCTTAGCCCGTCGCGCACGCACAACGCGCCGGAGCGGCAGCCGAGATTCAGAGATCTTCGATTTGCAAAACTGCCTGCTTTGAGCCGCTTTCACGATGGGCGGGCTACTAGGGATAGTCGGATGGGGGCCGGGAGGGTATGGAATCGATAACGTAAAAGCGCAACCCTACAAACGCGATTGATTTGACACGGCGCAAGGGTCTCAGTACGGAGAATTGGGATGAAATCGCCAGCTTTCCTTGGCTTGGCTTTGATTTTCCCACATGCAAGACGCTCACCCCACAAACGGAGGGATCGGCCAATCGAGGGGGCGCCGCTAGGCCAGACGGGGGGCTGAATACCAGGTTACAGAAGGTGGGCTGCACCTGCACCTGCGACCTCTCTCAGCCCAAACCCAAACCTGACGGTGACGTTCAAGCACAAAGCTGACTAGGTTTTCATTAATGGCCGAAGAGGTTACCGCGATGTCTACATTGCACGTTCACAGCTGCGCCAAACCGCCCTTCCCAAGTTGAGGTTATTCTGAAACAATATCTTCCATGGCCGGACCAGTTCGAAAGCATCTCTCGTCTTGGGACCAACTGAGCAGTCAGCAGGTACAACCTTTTGGGGAGATGTCAGCTGGCTGTCATGAGCACGAATATGGAGTACCTCGGGATTCACCCCTCCAAAGGAGTGCCTCGTTCTTCCCGTCGTCCCGGCACAATGCGTCCCGTGGGAAAGATCAACGTTTTCAGCCCTGCGTCAGACAGCCACTGGCAGCAGGCGTCAGGTGGAATCCGGAGAACCCAGTGCCCCATCCTTCACCCCTGCAAGCCGCAACAATCCACACCCAACCGCTGTGGCCCGCCCTCCATTTCCCGATTCGGTCCCCTGCAAGCCCATGTTCCAGACCCGTGCCGCGTGACGTCTCTCGCTCGCCCTCTCCCAAGCATCGCCCTGCCATCAGGCTCCGTCCTTTCTCGACATCCCTGGGAGAACGACACTTGCCGAGGTACTGAGTCGAGATCCTGTGTAGATATTTAAAGATTTTGTCTCTTTTGTCCTCCCAAATTGCTCTAGCCGAATGACGACGGTATCGTGGCATCTTCTGGCTTGACCATCCGATGCCCACCACCAACAACATCATCAAATAATAAACCAAGATTCAACAATCAAACCTCAACCACCGAATCAGCATTCCTCCTCCTTTCGAGTCTCTCTCCCGAAAGCACCGGCCGCTCCGAGTTAAGCGCCGAGCCCAGGCCCATATAGACTCCGTCACGATCCGCGTCCGAGTCCCTCTAAAGCTACGATCTTCGTCTGACCTGTCGCCTTACAATAAAAAGGTTGAACCGCACCGGCCCGTCCCTATTCGGCTGTCGGATGAGTAACGTCGAGATCAATAACGGCCGCGCCCATACCTTTTCTGCCTCGCATGACGTCGTCGTTAGCCGAATCTCCAGATACGGCCCGCCCGCCTAACGAGCACTCAGCGCCGCCGAACACGACGAATAAGGATACTGAACAAGTTTCGAGCAGTCCTAATCATGTACAGGAGAACAACAACGCAGAACCCCTCAATGAGCAGTCACCGCTGCTCTCCCCAAGCTCCGGCTCGGGCGAGGATGACGGCTTGATGGACGGTCAACCCCCGACTAGGGGCCTTGACGAACACCAAAAGACCAAGAGCATATGGTACCTCATCCTCCTGACCATCAGTATCGGCGGTCTGCAGATTGCATGGTCGGTCGAGATGTCCAATGGCTCGCCGTACCTGCTGTCGCTGGGCATCACCAAGTCCCTCATGGCCCTCGTTTGGATTGCTGGGCCTCTGTCAGGGACCCTGGTGCAGCCGTACGTGGGCATGCTGAGCGACAACTGCCGCATTCCCTGGGGGAAGCGCAAGCCGTTCATGATCGGAGGCACCGTCGCCACGGTGGTCTCGCTGATGTCCCTCGCCTGGACTAGGGAGATTGTCGGTGGCTTTCTCGGACTATTTGGGGCCGCACCGGATTCGAATGGTGTCAAGTACTCGACCATAGTCGTTGCAGTACTGTGGGTCTATGTCCTCGACTTCGCTATCAACACCGGTAAAGCTCCAATACATCTACATCTCGCGGAGGGCCTTAGTTGCTGATATCCCAACAGTGCAAGCTTCAATTCGTGCTTTTATTGTGGACTGCGCACCCACGCACCAGCAAGGTCAGGCGCCCCTTACCAAGTGACAACGTTCAACAAAACGCTAACCACCCCAAAGAGAGCGCCAATGCCATGGCCAGTCGTTTCCTTGGTATCGGCAACATCGTTGGTTACCTCGCTGGCTATCTGAATCTGCCCTCTGTTTTCTGGTTCTTCGGCGATACCCAGTTCAAGGATCTATGCGCCATCGCCAGTATCGCCCTTAGCGCAACCATCGCCTTGAGCTGCCTCTTGATCCACGAAAGAGACCCGCGCCTCGAGGGCCCTCCGATAAAAGACAAGGCTGGCGTTATGGCCTTCTTCCGCAAAATCTTCACTTCCATCAAGCGGCTCCCGCCCCAGACCAAGCGAGTCTGCCAAGTGCAGTTTTGCGCTTGGATTGGCTTCTTTCCCATGCTCTTCTACACGTCCGAGTACATTGCAGAGATCTACGCGGAGCCCTTTCTTGAGCAGAACCCCAACATGACCCCAGCGGAACTCGACAAACTCTACGAGAACGCCACCCGGGAAGGCACTTTTGCCCTGCTCATTTTTGCCATCATGGGTCTGGCGACCAACGTCTTCCTCCCCTTTTTCGTCGAACCTACCTACGAGACCTTGCCTAGCATGGCAGCCAATGGTTCTGGAGAAGCAAACGGCTCCCTCAAAAACTACGGCGAGGAGAAAAAGCCCTGGCTCGACTACTTGGTTATCCCGGGCTTTACCCTCCGCCGCGCCTGGATGTTCGCTCAGATCCTCTTCACCGGCAGCATGCTCTGCACCGTCTTCGTGCGCACAGTGACCGCCGCCACTATCCTGATCGGTCTCGTCGGTATCACATGGGCGCTGACGCTCTGGGCGCCCTGGGCCATCATCAGCGCCGAGATCTCGCGCCGCGACGAGATCCGCCGCTCCCAGTACGCGCAGCGCAACCCCTCCTCCAGCGGCACCGGCGGCGTGGCCTCCCTCGACGGGTACTCGTCGGACGAGAACAACCGCGAGCGGGCCCTCGACGACGACGCGGAGGGAGACGCCGACGACCAGGCCGGCGTCATCCTCGGCATCCACAACATGGCCATCGCCGCGCCCCAGATCATCGCCACCGTCGTGAGCAGCGTCATCTTCCGCGTCTTCCAGAAACCCCGCGGCGTCCCCGGCGACCACAGCATCGCCGTCGTCTTGGCCCTCGGCGGCATCACCGTGCTCATCTCCGTCTTCTTCATTCATCGCATCCGGGACGACCTGGGGACTCCCGCCGATGCCATGAGTGCGGTTGAGGATGGGGGTGTTGGTAGCAGGCCGGGTACGTCGCACAGGAGGTCGCGCTCCTTTGAGCAGCTGCCGCGGGCGAGCTTGGAGAGGGCGGCGTTGGTGAGGAATAAGAGCTTTGGGGGCGTTGAGTATTGAGGAGTTGTTGGTGGTTGTGGGGTAGGCTGGTGGTGGTCATTGTGTTAATCACCCGTCCTGAATTGAGTGTGAGGACAGGAGCTTCTCTCCTGCCTGGGAGAGAAATGTCGGTTCGTTCTTTTAGACTGGATCGGGGCTTGGGGGGAGTTGAATGCAGCTTTAAGGTGGTACTGCCATGCATGTCACCATTATGGCTAGGTTTTACATCGGATCGTATCGCAATTATATTTGTTTGACATCCCATTGGGCGTCGATCCCATTGAGCGAACCCGGTTCAGGGTACCATCTGGTCCCGCCGAGAGGGGTCGCGCGATATAGATATCTCGGAAGTGAGATACACTACTATTCTCAGCTTATATTCCGAAGGACATTTTTCCCCATTCGTGGAACGGCCTCGGCCTGCTTGTCTCCTCGACTTCATCTGTATACAGCCCGCTGTGGGGTGCTCAATGACGAAAACCGCTGACTGCTACCGGCTAAACTCTACGGACCTCGACATCGTTAATGAACCCAGCCGAGTCTAAAAACCGCGGAGGTTCCCATCCGCATATTAGACAAAAAGGATATCTAATAACGGACCGCAATGCCTCTGTTATATGGCGGTACTAATTACCGTGCAGCAAGGCCCAATATGCCGGTGATTCGGGGACTCGCTCATTGTCGTCCCGAGCGGTTTTCGGACAACTATTGACGATGATATGAGAGCGTGAACAAGTTAGTATAAGATCTCCGGTCAATGAACCCGGAATTTCGCAACCTGGCTCCTAACGTGGTCTTATCCTAGAGTCTACTATCTCGTCGCCAGCTGTTACCCCCTGAAGTTCCCTCTTTGTACATACCCCCTATAACCTCACAATGAAAGCGGCCTCCATCCTTGCGGCCCTCGTGGCGTCGGTCGACGGCGCCGTCCTCTGGGACGGCCGGTTCAACGAGTTCACCAGCTCCGCGGACCTCAACAAATGGTCCTGGGGCAACCAGGTCGGGCCGTACCAGTACTACATCCACGGGTCCGGCACGGTGGAGAAGTACATCAACCTCTCGCCCGACTACAAGAACCCGGCGGACACGGGCTCGACGCAGGGGGCCAAGTTCACGCTCGACAGCACGGCCTTCTGGAACGGGCAGAACATGCGGCGCACCGAGCTGATCCCGCAGACCAAGGCGGCCATCAACCGCGGCAAGGTCTACTACCACTTCAGCATGATGCGCAAGGACACCAACGCGCCCAGCGTCAACCGCGAGCACCAGATCTGCTTCTTCGAGAGCCACTTCACCGAGATGAAGTACGGCTGGATCAGCGGCGAGCAGGGGGCTAGCAACCCCAACCTGCAGTGGATGACCAACCAGCAGAGCCGCTGGAAGACCGAGTGGAAGGCCGGCGTGTGGCACAACATTGCCTACGAGATCGTCAGTCCCCACTGTCACCCCCCCGCCCAGTATCTTTCTCAGTCTCAGTCGGCATACAAGTGAAACTGACCACCATGCACAAAAAAACAGGACTTCAGCGCCAACAAGGTCGGCTTCTGGCACTCGGAGGGCGCGGCGCCGCTCGCGCAGGTGGTGGCGCCCGTGTCGGTGTCGACGTCGTCCAACGGCGCCGACTGGCACCTGGGCGTGCTGGAGCTGCCGCGCTCCGGCTACGCCGACGCCAACGAGGACTTTTACTTCTCGGGCGTCTACGTCGAGGACGGTACCATCACCACTGCTGTTGCTGGGCCTGGTGAGTTGTTGCTCTAATGCTTGCTTGCTGCTTGCTGTCTGTGGATTGGTAGCGTGGGATGCTGACTGACTGGTGTTTAGCGTAAATTGTGAGGCTGGGGGGATAAGGGAGGGTGGTGGGCTTGGAGACGGGGCTGGTGCTGTTTACATATATGGATTAGTTCATGTGCAAATTCGCTTCATTGAACCCTCCTCGGTGATTATCATTGTAGCTCCGCTTGGTCGTCCGTCCCTGTTGCGGGAGTCGCCTCGACACTTCTAACATCAACTCTCCAACAGTATTCGAGCAGCAAGAATAAACATATGTTTTGTGGTAAGGGTATCGTATCATCGTAATGGGTAGTATAAAGGACACCGAGAGAGGAAAATCCCATCACCTGCCCACCGTGCCAGTGTTGGTCCCGAGTTCCATCCTTGAAATCCAGTCCCGCGTCTACAACAACCGCTTAACCAAACCCCGCTCCCGGTCGGCCACGCTCTCGTACGCTATAGGGGAATGATGTGTCGTAGAACCTAGAGCACCGCCGACCCAAAAAACAGCCCAAACCCTAAGAATACCCGGGGGAATAAGAAGAAAATGGTAAAATTTGAACAGTGTGAAAGCAAAAAAGGCGTGCGTGAAGTCATGATGCGCGAGCACCAACCACCCAAAAAGGCCAGTCGTGCTCATCGCAGGGGGGGAGAGTAGAATAATCCGGGTGCGTCGCGGTCCTCCACCGCTATTACTGCATCATAGAACCTCAGACGGAACCCCTGAGCCTCTGCTTACGGGCCAACCAGTCCCCAAGCATGTCATCGAGTCGCTGTAGCACACACAAGTATCAGTAACTAGCACACACACACAAAGAACGCTCCGAAAAAGCCCAACTCACCGTGGTGATCTCAGCCAGCTTGGCATTCTGTTCCCTAAACAACGACCCAGCAGCCGGGTGATCGGGGCCGACATCGTCCACATCGTTCTTGTCGTACACCACCAGCAGCAAGTCCCGGATATCGGAGCCGGAATCGAAGAAGGCGCGCAGGCCGGCGTCGTCCCACGACTCGGACCGCGTCGTCGACGGCGTCGTCGCCATCTTGTGGCTGCCGGCCATGTCGGCGGCGTCGTCGTGCTCGATCAGCTCGGGCGACGGCGACGACACGGGCGAGACGCGGTCCTCCTCCTGGCTGGCGTTGTCGACCATCAGCGGCGGCGGGTTGCTGCTGCTGGTGATGGGCGACACCTGGACGGGCGAGTCCGAGAGCCCGTCGGCCGCCGTCCGTGCTGGGATCTGGACGGCCGGCGCCGCGATCGGTGTGGGCTGGACGATCGCCGGTGCTGGCTGGCTGGCTTCCGCGGCGTTGTCTTGCGCGTCGCGGGGTTCCTGCCGGGTGGTTTCCTCGGGTACCGGTGCTTGCCGTGTTGGCTCGGGTGCGACGTCCTCGTCGCTGTCCAAGTCGTCAAACTCCGCACGGGGTTTGGCGATGGCGGATTTGACCGGACGAGGCTCTGGTCTTGCCGCCTTTGACAAGGAGCTCTTGACGGGCGACGCGTCCCGTTCTGGTCTCTGATCTCGGGGGCTGCCTTGGGGAGACGCCTTGGGGCTCGATTCGACCAGGCGCATCGACGCCGGGGGAACATTCGCGACGTTGTTAACCCTCCCTTCTGACAAGAAAGACTTGACATCCACTCCGTTCTCTCTGACGCTGTTGGATCTCCTGGTGGGGGACGGTTCGCCCCTCGGCTGTTTCTGGAGCTTGCTCGGGTTCCTCTGGGGACCGGCCTTCTCTGGCGATCCTTGCGATTCCTCTTCTTCGATGTCCTTCTCCGGGGCGTCTGCGTCCATCGACCGCTTGCCGAACGAATCGTCATCATCCTCTCCTTTCGATTTCTTATCCTTCCGGGAGAAGAAACCCCGCAGACCGCCAGGCTTCTTGTCCTTCTCCTTCTCCTTCTTCTTTTTCTTGTCGTCCTTGCTGAAGATGCTGTCCTTGTCGAGCTTATCTAGGCTCGGACGTTGCTTCACTTCCCTGGATTCGGTCGAGGCCCGCGGAGCATTGTCATCACGCAGCAGGTTCGGCGTCAGCGTGATCTTCTTGGTCTCGACGGTATCATCTTTGAAGAATGAGTCCCGCACGGTGCCGTCGCTCGACTTCTTCGGCCCGTCTGTCTTGACGTCGGCGGCCTCCTCAACAGCCCGCGACACAGTTGTGTTGGCGTCGGTGTCGTCGTCGGCTTCCTGCCGCTTCGAATCGGCCTTGGCTTGTTTCGTTTGTGACCTCGGCTTCAACGGTTCCACCTTGGCTGTCTCGTCATGCATTTCCCCGTCGCCAGTCGATTGTTGGGCTTTCTGTGACTGTTGCCCTTGCTGTTGCTGTGCAAGCTCACCGTCGGCGTCTTCCTCCTCGGTCGAGTAATCGATATCGGAATAGTCAACATAAGTGGGAGCGGCGAACTGAACGTTCTTCTTCCTCCTCTTCATGGCGGACCTGATAGGGTTTCGTGCCTTGTCTTGTTGGTCTCCCAACATGGACGCAGAAAGCTACACCGCGTCAATACAAGCCCCCTAAAAAGCGCCACCATCCCCCAGCTTACATCAATGTTTCGGTGCTTGTTCAGGCGAGCCAACCGTTCGGTGGGCGTCTCGATATGCTCTGCTGGTAAATAACCTGTCGGGAATTTACGATTAACTTTTGTCTCTACGGCGGACTTCGGGGCGGTTTACCGATGCTGCTATCTTTGACGACCCGTACCAGCCACCAGTAGCTGTTGCTGTCGTCAAGAAGGACCATAGTGTCCCCCTTTGTGGCATTGGCCTGTCCCTCAACAGTCGCCACAAACGTGTGAAGGGCGTAGACGAAGTCGAAGTCGATATCCTCTGTCTCTTGTAAGCACTCGCCACCCCAGCCGGAGTCAATGAATCGGGGGTCAGAAAGCCCGGAAAAGTCGCCATCATCATCATCATCTTCTTCATCGGATTCGTAAGGTACTGTCAGGCCGTGGGTAGCATTGTCCTCTTGTGCTGCATTGTTCTCATTATTCACCCCCTCTCCTCTCGATTCGCGTATGGTTGTTAATCCGTCCCCATTGTTCGAATCCTCCAACTCGAAGTCGCACTCGTCCTCTTCGTCCGCCCAGAGCAAGCTGTCGTCGAAATCGGAGTCATCCGGCAGAGGGCATAGTTCGCTTGGCACGTGGTCTTCGGTCGTGGCACTCGGCACGAACCCACTGTCATGATGATGATGGCGACATGTGCGAGAAACAAAAGGAGATTGTACAACCGCGCGCTGGCGCAGTTCTCTGCCGTCTTCTCCCAGTGGCAGGTGGTCAGGACTCTCGAGGTATGGGGAGGATGACCTCTGGTCGCTAACATTCGGCGAATCCGCGGGGGCACAACTTTGTCGTCGCGACGCTGGGAGAGACTCGGTTTCGCTTAGAGAGAGGGCCGGAAGAGCAAATATTAACCCACCGTCTTCGATTGAAGGCGAGCTCGAGATCTTGTCCATCATGTCATCGTCCATGTCAACCTCGGCGTCGCCGTCCAGATCGCCGTCGTCGACCTCGTGGCCGCCATTCTGGGCGACTGCCAGCGCATCCTTTTGGGCGCCGGCGCGCATCGTATCCAAGCTAACGTTTCGCTGGCCACCGGCGGCCGGGTCGAGAGCGAGGGTGTGTATTTGAACGTCGTCTGGGTCGGGGTTCCACGCTACACCAGGGCTCCGGAGATTTTCCTCGGCGGTTTCGGCCGCGATCTCTCGGAGGGTCTCGGCTTGGTGCGGAGCGAGTGATCCGTTAGGAGGCGGCCCGTGGTGCCTTTGCGCGGAGGGTGTCTCGTGGTCTTGGAGGTCAATGGTGTCTAGCAGTGAGGTAAGAAAGGGTGTGTCAGGTAAAGTTCGATAAGCCTGGCGCGGCACGGCACGGGCTGAGGCACAATTGCAAGGCAGAAACCGCGCAGGGACACCCAATGCGTGGGTCGTGGGTCACAAGCCACGAGGGACAGGGCCACGGCGTCGCGCATCGGTCCAGGGGCAGGCGAGATGAAGGGGAGGGGGGGGGGGGGTTTCCGGGGGGTTGATGGGCAAGCATACCAGCGCGAATAATCTCTGGCCTCGTCATTGTGAATTGGCTCGCGCATGAAACGCCCCGCAAATGATTCAAAATTGAGTCTTTTGCGATCTGCGCTGGCGCTTGCAATGCACGTTGGGCCGCCAAATCTTGAAGAACTGAGTGGCATAACCTGGAATCAATTGTTGGATGCGACTTCTTGGGTCGAGATGACTGCGCGAACCCCTGAAGTTTCCCAGCTGCGGCTGGCGGGCTAACTCGGTCGCGTTGGTAGTTAGTTCAATTTATTAGTGGGCGAGGTGAGGTGCTGAAGCGCCCCAGTTTTGGGCTGGCACATGAAGATGGCTTGGCGTCGGAAGATGGGTCGCTGAGGGGCGTCGCATTTCCATAAGACGGCCTCCCTCACTAGCTGGGACTGCAAAGAGAGAACAGAGGCTTTTCTGAGGACGATTTTTGGATTCTAACTTCCGTTGAGATCAATGTTTCGGTCGACCGGGTTACTGGACGAGCCCGACGGGAGATCTCAGGCCGCTGTCATGGAGAACTTGAAATGTGTGCTGCATCGGGCATGGAACCTCCTGCGTAGGTCGTTCCTGAGCTGAGTGAGTGCCCGAGCTGCGATCCATGTTGGGCTGAGCTCATGCGGCCCCTGATGTGCAGAAGAAACGCATAATTCGATTCTTGCCACTCTTGTCTTCGAGAGAAAACACCGTATTCCGCAATTGTGAGTTATGTATATAACAGTGTATGTTCTTGTATCATGTATCGACATGGATTCTGTCCGGAAATGGAATATGGACGGTTCTGGGGACATGAAACACTGGACTCGCAAGGCCAAGGAGGTGCAATCTCGATGGCTCCTCCGAGCGAAGGGGTTCGGTGGGGCCGAAACGGCAACTTCAAAATTTCCATGGAGGGGGGAGGGGTGCCAGGAACATGCTCCAGTTTTCATGTTCGCACTGAAATATACCGTTTTGGCCGGTATGTGTAAAAGTGACCAGAACCAAGGAGGTATCGTGTTCCAGGGCCAATATTGGATGACTTCAACTGCAAATTCCAGGCAGAAGAATGAAATTGGAGCTGATATATACCATTCAGCTCGGAGGCTCTCACAGGGCTACCTAACTATATTCGATCGAAATACTATATTCCGGCTCTGTTTTCATATTGCAGCCATGTTTTCGAGAGACCTGCACGGACCCTCCTGAGCCGGCGCGCATAGACCACCTTCCCGTTTGGAGGTATATCAACAAAAGGGAGGCGCACCCTTTTATCGTGATTTTAGTGCAGATAGCTTAGTTGTTAATTGATTCACTTTTGCTCTGTGACCTCCCTGTTCGATTCCTGATTGTGCCGTTTCTTTAATTCCTCCAAGTAAAAAAATTCGTCGGTGAAAAAGTGAAAATAGAAATGACAGTAAGAAACAGTAAGAAACGGTAGAAAACGGAGGCGGGTAACGGAGGGTATTGTACGGTAATATCTTTCGGTATTTTACCGGGCCTATAATACTCTTTTTCTGGAAAACAGATGTTCTGCGAAAACATGATATTAAGTTGAATATGATCAGGAAGGCCCCTGATACTATCGGAAAGAACGCTCTTCTTCAAAAATCATGCTCACTCCATAACTTCCACCTTGAATGTTATTTTGGCCCGAAAAAATAAAAACTGGAGCATGTTCCTGGCACCCCCCCACCCCCCATGGTTGGGTTGCCCCGCCTTTGCCGTCATGTTCAGGTCCGGCTACCATTGCTCGCATTGCCGACAAAATTATTTGCAGACAACGGAAGGCGTGCCGGCGACCAATAACTCAACACTGGCAAACTCTCAACACAACACAGCCTGGCTGAGTGACCCTCCGCAATCGCGAATCTGAGGACCGGATCATCATGATGATGTAGCGCGCAGACTCGCCAAGATCGGGCCGTTGAGTGCTCTCCCATTTTCCTGTTGACGAGATATAATCCGTGAACTAATGGATGTGTACATACGAAGGAGCAATTGGACTCCCCACTGCTCCCTTGTGTTTGTGACCGGCGGACAACCCCGAGTCATTGCGTGACTAGCGAGGTGCATCTACCGTGTAAGGCTTCGGACGCACCATCCTCTCACCTTTGTATCCCATCACAGTGCCGCAGATTTGCCGGCACCTCGGGCAATATACGGGAGTTACTGCCGCGTCTCGAAAAACCGCAACCCTCATAAACTGAACAACAGCGCCGCCCAGGATGAGATCCCGCTCGCCCCTGCACGAGTCATGAACTCCTCGCCCGGTCGCTGCCAAGGCGGTTCCCCACAATAGACAAGCCTTTGCCAAGATCGGATGCCAGCAGGACGGGCCCCCTTGGCAACCTTCTTGTTCGTTCAGGACCCTGATGATGACGCGAATTTTTGTCTCTCAAGAACGAACGACGGCGAGGTCACCCCGGTACGGAACAGTTGGTGATTGTTTGTGTTCTCGAGGACGGGCGCTGCGGCAGATGCATAGTATTTGACAGGCGCCCCAGGATACACTGTGTGCGCCTCCCCTCGCACTGGAAAAGGTGTTCAAGACCGGCGATCCGGAGTTGTGAGTGGGCCGAGCTGACATTGGACCACCCGCAGCTTGGTCAGATGCCGTGTTTTCACCAGTTTGCAGGTTTCTTGCAGTCCTTTTGCAGGTTCTTCGCACGTGCAACATATTCCCGCATGCAACGAGCGGAGGGGGGTTCGAGAGAGGATGTCGGTGGCCCTCAGGTACCACTGGCCAAAAAACCGCCCAAAAGGCTTATTTTGGTCTCATTGATGGCGGGTCCAGGGGCCGAATTGAAATGTTTCAGCGTGCTAAATCGAAATGCGCCCGAACTCAGCGAACATAAAACAAACACACGGTCTGTCGGCGATGTTTTACACATTCTCACATTCAATCCAGTGGCTTGTGCATCCATGACAAAATGGCGGCGGCTTGATCCCCGAGCTTCTGAGAAAGTGCGGGCCGCTCATTCTCGCCTACGAATTCCACCGTGCTGCGCCCCGTTCTTGGACGGGGATGGCGTCTTGTGGGTACCAATCCTGTTCAACAGTCGAAGCGAGTCTGGCCACACAGTGCGGTACAAGAGGTCGAATCGTGTGCCGCCTACAGATGGGGGTGCTTTTATTTTGCCTCGCGGGGTATGTCTCTGGGTGATAAGCGCTAATTAAACATCCATTTTCTCATTTATTGGTCGCAAAAATAGTCGCTTTGATTGAGCTTTTTATGCACCGCGAACTCGCATTCATCCCGAAAAACTTGCTCCGGAACGACACGTTAACCTGTATTTACGCAGAACGGAAGGTTACTCGTGTTCGACATGGTATTGCCGGATTTGTTGAGTTCGAGCAGCGGCGGATGGATGCGCCAGCCTGCAAATCCCTGAGGACGGTACCCCACCAGGTTAGAAAAGGGTGTCGGACTGGACCCCTCGAACAGTAACTATTGACCCATCTGCGCACGGTGCCTCCGCTTGATCCCGTCCATCCGCCGTTCCCCTCGGAATTTCCATGCTCATGATGGGGGTGCACCCTTTCTGCTCTCCAGTTCCTGAGTCAGGGTTCCAAACACTTTCGAGACGACCTGGCGTAAAAGGACGAAATCGCCTGCGAAATTCACGGGAAAGCTTTGTATTGCGAAACAAGCAGACGCGAAACACTTTCTTGGATCCACAGAACCTTCCATTGATTGACAGCGCTGCGTGTCCTCGGTGCCCCTTACAGCAGGCCCCGAACCGACCCGACCACGAGGGAGTTCTGGGCGCCCAGCCTCTACAATCCCCCACAGCAAACATTCGCGACGGCGATAGGTACCTGTTGGCTTGCTCGACATCGCGACTTGGAAATCGCGGTAGACCGACGGCGACGACGACATTGAGAGAGGATCGATAGGGAAAAATTCGACCAAATTCCTGCCGACAACTGCAATTGCGCGGTCGCTTCGGGCCCGGCTCTGCCTTGCCCGACAGCAATCCCTTCCACGCCACAACGGGTTGTCATAAACCACGACGAGGTCCATTTCCATGGCGATTGCGCGTATAGCTGAAACCTAGGCGGAAGCCGCCGTTTATACCGCAACCATGGAACCGCGGCAGCTCCTCGCGGGCTTGACGGCCGCCGCGACGCTGCCGACCGGCACACCCGTGGTCGGTCGCAGCTGTGGCGGGCTGAATCTCCCCATGGGAGGTGTCCTCTCCATGCCGAATGGCGAGTTTGTCACCCTCACAGCAGCAGCCGCTTTCAAGCCCGTTTGCACGCCCGTCACACCTCCCGCCATCATTGCGAATGGCGGAGGCGGCTCCGTGTCGATCGACGACACGGTCGAGGGATCAATGCCGACCGACGATGGATGGACCTTCTCGGACTTCCGGGATCCCTTTTACGCCTCGACATTTCCCCAGTGCTACGCTCTCGCTGCAACTACCGTGGTCGCATACACGCTGGTCATCATGCTTTTCGCTACACCGCGATCGTTTCTGGATGGTGGAGTCGTTGTCTTGGGCCAGAGGGGATTCACAAACAGGGGGTCCGGTCCGACCATCGGCGGACGGCCCTGGTTGCAAAAGGTTGCGGCCCTCGCAGTCGCCATATCCCTCACCATCGCCAGCGCCGCCACATTCCAGGCCGCCGAAGAACAATACTCGTACGGCGTGCAGAACGCGAGACGGCTACAGACGGATGTGCTCGGCGGCAACGAGCTAAAGATCATTCGCATCATCTCGAACACCTTCCTCTGGCTTGCCCAGGCCCAGACGCTCATCCGTCTTTTCCCACGCCAACGAGAAAAGGTCATCATCAAGTGGACCGCCTTCGCCCTCATCACGTTGGATGTCATTTTTCAGTCTCTCAACAGCTTTAAATACGAACAAGGAGTGGCTCGGCCCGGCTCCTTCCAGGATGCTGTCCCCGCTCTCAGCTATCTTTTTGCCCTCTCGCTGGGTGTTCTATACGCCGCCTGGGTAATTTATTATTCCCTCTTAAAGAAGCGGTATGCCTTTTGGCACCCGCAAATGAAGAACATGCTGCTAGTAGCCGTGTTATCGCTTATGTCAATTCTTATACCCGTTGTGTTTTTCATCTTGGATATCGTCCAACCCGATTTTACCGGATGGGGAGAATACGTCCGATGGGTAGGTGCCGCGGCCGCCAGCGTCATCGTGTGGGAGTGGGTGGAAAGGATCGAAGCCCTGGAGCGAGAGGAGAAGAAAGACGGGATACTTGGCAGGGAAGTGTTCGATGGAGATGAGATGCTCGAGATGGCTCGCTCAAACAACGGACTCAGGCGGAGACGAAAAGAGGCCGAGGAGGGGGATAAAGAGTCTAGCTTCGACAGCGGGAGGGATGACAGCCCAGACGCAGGACAAGGCAATAATAGGTGGCCGACCGTTACAGCAATCGCGGCTAGATACCGACCACGGCCCAAGCCCCAGAGGACGACGAACCCCGCCGAATCCCCGGATACGCAACCCTCCAACCACGACAGGATACGCTTCCTGCAGCCACCACTATGGCCCGCCAGGCCACAACCGGCTGTCACACCGATCAGCCGCACCGACACCTCTAGCGCGGCGAGCACAGTTTATGCTGTGAGGTACCATCCACTAACCGAAACGACATCGCGCACCCCACCTCCTCCGCAGAGTAACGCGCAACTGTCACGAAGGGACAGCATAGCCTCCAGCCACGCCAGTGACGATGATGGGGCGCCGAGCGAAGCTGGCGATGCCCCTACACAGCCGGCCCAAGCTGCACCGGCACCATCATCAACGGCAACATCAGCCAACCGCTGGCGCTCGATAACGCAGCGAATACCGTTCCAAAGCCCACGCAACACCGACGTGGAGCGCGCCATCCCGGCAACCCAGGATCATGCCCCACGGCCAAAACCCAGCAGCAGCAGCAACAACAGCAATAAATGGGACTTCCGCGGCCGTCTTGAGGACTTCGCCGCCACGCAAGCAGACCGCCTGCGCGACAAATTCTGGACCACACCGGACACCGACAGCCTGCCGGTGACGGTCATCCCGGCCCCGCCCCGCCGGGGTGCCGCGCTTGCGCAGCTGCTGGAGGAAGAGGAGCTGGACACTCGAGGGGGCGGCGCGACCGACCATCCGATACGCCGAGAGGATAGCAACGTATCGAGGGCAGCGCCAGCGGAAGACGAGACGTTTGCCGGGGGCGGGTCTGCCATCGCAAGCCCAAGGGCGCAGCAGCAGCAGCAGCCGCCGCCTTGGCAGGGCGCCGTGCGGCGCGAGTCTGGGTCGTTTTCGGCCCGCCCGCGCCTGTCGATCCCCCGAGCCGGCACCCCGCTGTCGCCCGGCCTCGACAGATCGCCGTCTGCCCATCCGGCGTCGGCCGTTACCCCTGGCTCGGCGGGCCCTCCTCCTCCGCAGTCGGGTTTTGGTCCCGGGCCGGACTACGGTCCGCCATCGGCATGATTCCGTGTTTTCCATGTTTTTTTCCTCTGGATATCGTGTGCTGTTATGGATGAGCATTTACGAGCAAGCTATGCGATAGCGAGCACTGCTTTTGGTTATTATTATTTACGTTTGAAGGGTGTGTCGACGCGGGATACGTTGGGTTCAAACAAAATGGTGGGGCGCGGGCCATAGGAATGATAGGTATGGGGTATGGGTATGGGTATCTTTTTGAAGGGGGTCATGGAGTTTATGGGTTGGGGATTGGGGATACCAGGATCTGGAGTTCGATTTGAACCGGACGGAGCAACGTTTCCAATTTTTTCTTCTACGATGCTATAATTGAGCTGTTATTGTTTCTATATCTGGGGGACTGATACTCTCTGGACTAGTCTACTACCTATTTATGACGGAATCATGAATAAGATGGTCACGGAAAGCCCGTAAGGTTGCCCACCCATCCAGGTTCTCTTTGCCAAAACAGGCGGTGTTTCCGTTAACGTTAGCGCCAACAGCGTTGCAGCAGTCACGGGAGTCATGGTGCAGAGTTCCCGGCATGCTGTCCGAGATCTACCTCCTCAGCATTCTCTGTTCTATCTCATCGGACATTCAAGGAGAGTTCGAGGGCTACCCTCCGCCCAGCAACACAGGGATTCCTTTACCTTCGGACACCGAGACTCAATCGGAATACGCCACAAAAGCGGGCGTCACGATACCCGCGTTTGGCTGTGAGACCGGCACACCAGACCCGTAGCCGGGTTCGGAGATGACCGCCTACGACCTGATTGCTGAGGCGGATGCCGACGATGAATGCAGGCTCTGGGTGCGAAAGCTCATCAATGCCAGAGACGAAGTTGTAGCCTTTGTCGATTCCCGGCTTGACGGTCGAGGGACCGGAGTGTATCTTGGCTTCTTCAAAGGTTCCTTCAATCTCAGCTTTCACATTGGCTTTGGAGAAGGGAGGCCGGGTGTCCTCATGCGCTTCGCAAAGCCCGGCCACACCTTCTCAGCCTGGCGGGACGAAAAGGTCACGAATGAGGTACGGGTGATCGAGTACCTCCGGGAACATACCACCATTCCCTTACCTCACGTGCGATGTTGGGGTCTAGCTGATGAGAGCCCGGCTCAACTGGGCCCCTTCATCATCATGGATTTCGTCGAAGGCGTTCGGTTATCTACCTTTCTCAAAGAACCCAACGAGGACGACGAGGCAGATCTCATCCTAAACCCAACCATCGAAGAGGCAACACTTGACACCATCTACGACCAACTGGCCGATTATATCCTCCAACTCTCTCGGCTCAAGTTCTCATCAATAGGTGCCATCTCCAAGGATGCCGACTCCAACACTTGGTCCGTCACCGGAAGGCCACTCACCTTCAACATGAACGAGCTAGCCACCAACACGGGTTACCCAGCCGATCAGTTCCCCGACGGCCCCTTCACCCGCGCAAGCGACTATTTCCACGCCATCGCCGACCAACACACGCTCCACCTCCGAACACAGAGGAACCTCTCCAAATCGGACGGTGAGGCTGACGCCCGGCGACGATTCATCGCACGCCACCAGTTCCGCCAGCTCATCCCAAAGTACTGCGTCGATGATGGTGACACCACCAACGATAGCTTTGGGCTCTTCTGCGACGACATGCAACCCGCCAACATGCTCATCGAGCCACACACCCTCCGCATCACGGCGCTCCTCGACTTCGAGTTCACCAACAGCGCGCCGGCGCAGTTCGCGCACGACCCGCCCTGGTGGCTACTCCTACGCGGGCCCGACATGTGGCTGGACAACCACGGCGGCCGGCTGGACGAGTTCCTGGCGCGGTACGTGCCCCGCATGGAACAGTTCCTGCGGGCGCTGGAGCGGGCTGAGGATAAGGCCGGGGTCAAGGCGGACGGCGATGTTACTTCTACTGCTACTGCTACTGCTACTGCTACTGGGGATGGGGATGGGGTTGTGGACTCCCACCACCACCATCACAGGCTGAGGCTGTCCGCCCGTATGCGCGAGTCTTGGGAGACGGGGCGGTTCTGGTTCAACTACGCGGCGAGGACGAGCCTGGACATGGACGACATCTACTGGGTGGCTCTGCACCATCACGAGGCGGACGGGGATGATGGCATTGCCTCGCTGGATGCGGGCACGCGGGCGGAGATGGAGGAGCTGGTGAGCTTGAAGATGGAGCAGCGACGCGCGTATAACGAGGCTTATGACATTCGGTTTCCGGAAGAGGGGTCCGAGTGAATCAGAGAGGGCTTCTTCTTGGTGCCGCTAGTAGGTAGTTTGGATAAACGCGGGCTGAGATAGGGAGAGAAGCTGGCGAGGTTGAAGCTGGAGAAGCAACGCGCGGATAATGAGGCTTAGTTAGCTGTGACGACGTTCAGTTTCCGGATGAAGGGTCTGAGTGAATCAGAGCTGAGCTGGCTTCTTGGTATGGACTTGCTACTGGTAGTCTGGATAAACGCAGGCTTGGCATAGTATGAACGTACAGATGTACTCTGCGAAGGTATCTCCCGGAACTCTATTGACCGCCACAGGTTCCGAGTTATATCAGTCAATAGTATAACTCTGCAACCCGTGAAACAGCCAAATCTCACCTCGGCTATTCCTGCTCTCTTTCCCTCATTATGATCGATGAGAGCCCCCCTGATGTTATTAATAGAGAAGTGTAAAACCATCATCTGCCACCCCGATCCGCGCGTCCCAGGGCATCCATCCGCAGATCCGGCACAGGCACCGCCAGACACCGGGGACAAGGCGAGTCGTCACCAGCGAAGATCGGCTCGGAGGGTTGGTTGAACGAGTTTCACTTTCGCGCGCGCGGCGATGCCAAGTCGGCCAAGACCGCCAAGATGACCAAGATGCCAACCCCCGAATGCCAATGCCTCGCCCCTGGATGCCGATCGCCAGCAAACCACGGCAGACGGCCTGCCATGTCTCCCACGCCAAGCCGCCGCAAGAAGGCTTGGCCGTGCCTCGTGAGACGGTGCCCGTTGCGGTCGGTGGATGAACGCTCCCCCTTTCGGCCTTTTCGGCTGTTCATGCCTGCTGCGGCTTTTGTTTGTTTTCGCTCACCCGCAAGGCCGTCCCTGTCTTATCTCTTGTTCCCCCTGGTTCAACCCAAGGGGCTGTGAGTGTTTGCGCCTTGTCAGAGAGAGCCGATAAGTGACGTGGGCGTTGCCGTGCTGGGGCCAGTGAGCGCGGGTTGTCCAGCGCCGTGTTTTACTTCGAGGTGTACACCGGAGCACGAAGCAGACGGGTAGGGTGAAGCTTGGGGCGATACACTTGTTTCGATTCGTTGCTGATACATGCCCATGTCGAGTTGTGGCTCCGTAACGGGAGTGCGCCGTTAAGAATGCGCGGTCTCTCGCTCATTACACCCCGATGATCCCTTCTTAGGCTCATTTTCGTCTTTTCTTGTCCTTTCTTGGTGTCTCTGGCAGCGCCAATTAGTTAGCCTCTTCTTTTCGTATTGGCGGGTCCTTTTTCGCTTCTCTTCGGTTTATATGCGTCTTTTCTTTCCTCTTTCTGGGATTTGAACTATCCCATTTCCACTCCCACCCTCGTCCCCCTTACTAGTTAGTTAGCACCTGTCGGGAAATACCTTCTGTCTAAGTAACGCAGCCGCTTGCTGGCCTCCGAGCGCCGCGTTAGCAACCGCCAAAATGCCGAGCCTCGATGTCAGCGAACTCAACATCGTGTTGAGCGTCCTGGGTAGGGAAATAAACCGCTCACCCTGAAGGGCAAGTCAAGCTGACGGCGTACCAGGCGCCTTCATCCTCCTCTATGGCATCATCTCGGTCCTGATCAAGGCCCGGTGGTTGTTGGGCGAAGCTCGTGAGCACACCCATGCCTCCCTTCACCCGATACGGCCGCAGTTTGTCTGACCATCTCCAGTCCCTGCCGTCGCCGTCGGTGTCGTCCTCGGGCCCATTGCCGCCAAGTTTATCGACAGCTCGCGATGGGCATCAGCCGCCGACGGCCAAACAGCCAACATCACGCTCGGCGTGGCCAGGGTGGTGATCGGCGTGCAGCTGGTCATCGCGGGCTTCCAGCTCCCAGCCAAGTACCAGCAGCTGCGGTGGAAGGAGATGGCGCTCTGCCTGCTGCCCATCATGACCATCATGTGGCTATGCACCACGCTCTGCCTGCTCGCCACCGTCCCCAAGGTCACCCTCCTCGCCGCGTTGGTCATCGGCTCTTGCGTGACCTGCACCGACCCGATCCTCTCGCAGGCCATCGCCAAAGGCCCTTTCGCTGACAAGTTCGTCGGCCGCCACCTGCGCGAGATCATCTCGTCCGAGGCCGGCGCGAACGATGGTTTTGGCTTCCCTTTCCTCATGCTCGCGGTTTACCTGATTCGCCATGCCGATATTCCGGGCGCGGGAGCCCACGGTGGGGAGGCGGCCGAGCTTCAGGAGCGTGGACTCCAGCTGTTGGCCCGTTCGGGAGAAGTTGGCCGGCTCGGCGGCGGCGTCGGAGTCGCGATGCAGAACTGGTTCGTCGAGACGTGGCTGTACATCGTCCTGATGTCGGTGGCCATTGGCGCGCTAGTTGGCGGTGTCAGTTTGTTCGCCTTGAAGTTTGCGCTTCGCAAGTACGTCAACCATACATCTGAACGGTGTCCCTTCCCAGTTTACTGCCCGGACAGACCATGGCTGACCTGTCTATCCTGATCTAGGAAGTGGGTTGACTCGGAAAGCTACCTTCTGTACCCTACCGCCATCGGCGTGAGCATTCCCATCCCTTAAACGGACTCCGTGTGCATACCTGAAGGTCGATGATCTAACTTGACACCGTTACCAGCTCTGGCTTGTTGGCGTTTGTGGCATGCTCGGGACCGACGATCTGCTCGCTTGTTTTGTGGCTGGCAACGTCATGAACTGGGATGGCGAATACCTCCGCGAGACGGAAGACCGCCACGACGAGGTCAACTCGTGCATGGACGTTCTCCTCAACTTTGGCGGGTTCATGTACATCGGTACCATCATCCCGTGGAGCGAGTTCCACCAGCCCGACACGACCGGTCTCACCTACGGGCGGCTTATCGGCCTCGGCGTCCTCATCTTGTTGTTCCGCCGCATCCCGGCCATCTTGATGAGTTACAAGTTCATGCCCGCGGTCTGCAAGGACTACAAGGAGGCCCTGTTCATGGGTTATTTTGGCCCGATCGGCATCGGCGCCGTGTTTTACGTGGAGCACGCGCGCCATCTCTTCCCGGAGCTGGGCGAAGGCGACGCCGAGGAGACGGACCTGGTCCGGGTCATGGTGCCAGTGGTGTACTGGCTGGTGCTCTTCTCCATCGTCGTACACGGCCTCTCGATCCCGGCGCTCAGTACGATCTACCGCTTCTGCGGCGTCAAGCCGATCCAGGAGGACGCCGTCGAACTCCGGCGCATGTCCATGCGTGTGGCCACGCCCGTCAACGCCGCCGTGGCCGACAGGGACACCTTCATCGCCTACAATCGCTTCTCGCGGCCTGTCTTCAACCAGTCGGACCTGCCTCCCGTCAATGGAGTCGGCGATGGGGATGATGATTCTATCGCAGACGAGAAGATACGCGTCCACAGGCGCTATTCTCGCAGGGTTCAGGTTGTTTGACGGAGCGGTTGTCTTTGTGGTTTGTATGCGTCGGCTCCGCCCCGGTCTGGACTGGGAGCGGGAAATGTTAGAGAGAGAGATAGACATATATTAATACTCACCCTAGTCCATCATTTATCCCTTTGTTCGCTCTGCATTATTTTCCGTGGGGGTTGGTTGCTTGTCATCTTCACGAGCGCGATGCCGGATTTGGGTGTTTGGGGCAGGGCACACAGGGACAGGCAGTTGTGGAAAGGGGAGAAAGAGCTGGGACCAAGGGAGCAAGGGGGAAAGGAGGGGGGATCGTGCGGTGTAAGTTGCCTAACACGGAAGTTGCGATGGAAAGCACGAGAAAATCCCTCAGCATAGGTACCCTCGCCACGTCCTTTCCTTCCCTTCCCTTCCTTCTCATCGATAGCCACCAATCAGCAAAATCAATTAGCAAAAAGAAGTTGGCCAGTCTCCAGCTGTTGATGGCGATAAGCACTGGCATGCATGGCGAGGCCTCCCGCCCGTTACCAGGCACCCGGTAACGGGCCCCATTCGCACATTGGTCCAGAACCCACACTTCACATACTATATTATGTACTATGTCTCTGAGGTGTGCATACATACACCCTCCTCGGCATCTCTCAAGCTCACCAAACTGCAACCCAACGAAACAAACACCAGATTCTGCACCTCGCATCCCATCCCGCTACCAGCCTCAGGGCTTCTTCATCTCTGTTGGCCGCCATGTGGAAACCATCGCTGAACTACATCACCCTACACTGTGAGATACCAACCACACTCTCCCAGGCAGCGTATCCATGAATAGGGGTGATGTGAATGTGAACAGGGCAACTAACGTATGCTGCGTGTCTTACACATTAGATGCATGGATTATCTTCGCCGGCCTCCTCGCCCTAGTGGTCGTTTATCCCTACGGCAATGTTTCTGCCATGGACGCCTGGTTCTTCGGCGTCAGCGCATCCACGGAATCAGGTCTTAACACGTTCGTCAAGCAGCCGTAACCCTCCATTTAACTAGGTACACACCCTGACACATGTGCAGTGTCGATGTAAAGGCATTGAAAACCTACCAGCAGGTGTATGTCTACGTAATACCCATCATCACCAACCTCGGCTTCATCAACATCATCGTGATCTCTGTCCGCCTCCGCTGGTTTCATAAGCGCTTCAAGACCGCTGGTGAGTCGGCTCCTTTCCGTGAACCAGCCATGTTGAGCAATACCTAAAATACTCCTCTGCAGCAGCGTCACTCTCGAAGCTGAATGGCCACTCGCGGGACATCGAAGTCCAGATACCAGCGGTTGAACCGGAGAGGCCCGAGAACCGGAATGCCGATACCGAGTCGTCCGAGTCGTAAGTCCCGACAAGCAGAAGCATTGGCGGAGTTGGATAATAACTAAGTGGCCTTCCCCTTTTCCCCCGCAGGGCCGAACGGACTACACCCACCGACACCCCTGAGACAAACGAAACCGCTCAACTTGCCTCGGGACCTCGCGTCACCTTTGGGGAAGACGTAAAGGGACCGCGCTCAGATTCGGCCTTGTATATCCCACCGCCGAGGGAGCGTGATGATGGTAATACAATCTGGCGGGGGCGGCGTCGATTGAGGCTTAACTGACCAACATCATCCAGGCCATTCCTTCGTCGAGAAGAGCTACGTAGCAGATGACGAAGATGACGGTAAGCCAGGTCAACTCCACAGGGGACTTTCGTAATCCCTGCCTACTGACATGTCCGTGCTAGATGACGATGCCATCAAGCCTGCAGCGTCTCAGGGTCTTTCGAGAAGACGAGGATACCAACACGAAGATGGCCCCAGCATGTCACACAGCAGAACCGTGGAGCAGGCTGTCACGTCCCTTTTCGTCCTCGGACAGACCAGGACAGTGTCTTCGAGGCAATCTGCGTCGAACCCGCGTTCTGCCGCCGATCTTCCATACCTTTCCAGGGAGGCAACGGTCGGAAGGAATTCCAATTTCCACAGGCTCACCGCACAAGATCGGGAGCGGCTCGGCGGCATCGAGTATCGAGCCTTGAAGCTGCTGCTGAAGATTGTCACTGGTACCACGTCGACATAGCCCCTCGGATTCACCGAAAGAAAACTGACGCACTGTGTAGGTTATCTCGTCGGAATTCACCTGTTCGGGGTGATTTGCTTACTGCCGTGGATACACCGGGCGCCGGCGAAATACACTGAATGGCTAGAAGAGTGCGCGCAGGACAAGTCTTGGTGGTAAGCTGCACACACCGGGTCCAGCACCACGTTCTGAGACTTACCTACTCGTTTAAGGGCCATTTACTCGGCCCAGACCATGGTGAACAATCTCGGCTTCACCCTGACCCCTGACTCGATGCTCACCTTCAGAGACGCCACCTGGCCCCTGCTGGTCATGACCTTCCTCGCTTATGCGGGCGAGACCTTCTACCCGATTTTCGTGCGCCTCATTATTTGGACCATGTCCAAGCTCGTGCCAAAGCAGTCGTCCATGAATGAGACCCTTCGGTTTCTCCTGGAGCACCCGCGGCGGTGCTCCATGCTCCTTTTCCCTGGCCGGCCGACCTGGATCCTCTTCGGCATCCTGTTTGTCATGAACTTCGTGGACGTGCTCCTGATCATCGTTTTCGATCTCGACAACCCCGCGGTCAACGACCTGCCGATGGGTCCGCGCATCCTGGCGGCGCTGTTCCAGGCGGCTTCGTCTCGGCATACCGGCACGGCGACCTTCAACCTCGCCGCGGTCAACCCGGCCGTGCAGTTCAGCCTGCTGGTGATGATGTACATTGCCATCTTTCCCATTGCCATCAGTATCCGGGCGTCGAACACGTACGAAGAGAGGTCGCTGGGCGTATACGACCAAGAACTGCCGCCGGATGAGTCGAACGGCAAGTCGTACGTCTTGATGCATATCCGGAACCAGCTCAGCTTCGACTTGTGGTATATCTTCCTCGGCACCCTCTGGATTTGCTTCGCCGAGTCCGACAGAATCGCCGACGTCAAGGATCCTGTAAGTAACAATCTTGGACGGACAGGACAAGGCATATTGCTAGTTGAGGTATGCAAGGAATGGCGAAACTAACCCGCATCCCATCACAGGCCTTTTCGGTCTTCTCGATCATGTTCGAGGTCGTCTCAGCATAGTATGCCCCCCACGTCTACCCACTACCCGTACAGGAACAGGAAGGAATCAGATAAGCGTAGCGCTAACCGCCACCACTAACCCACAGTGCCAACGTCGGCCTCTCCCTCGGCCACCCCTCCGTGATGACGTCTCTCAGCGGGCAGTTCGGGACCGCCAGCAAAGTCGCCATCTGCGCCATGATGATCCGCGGCCGCCATCGCGGCCTACCGTATGCCGTCGACCGTGCCGTCCTCCTGCCGGGTGAGCCCGAGTATCAGTATCAGGGGTTTGAGGGCAACGATGCCAATCCGGAGACGCTACCGCGCGGGAAACGGCCTGCCAGTCGGGCACCGTCGCTCCAGCGGGGCGAGGCCGAGCTGGAACGGGAGGAGGCGCAAAAAGGTAGGTAGAGGTGTATGTATGGCCGGGTGGTGGTATTGTGTGACCCGGCCCCTCCCCGCTGTCCCTCCACACGACTCTTGTCTGCCTGCCGGAGTGCTTAGACCTGAAGTTTTGGGTTCAAGTGATTTCGAGGGCGTGTTCCCTTCTGGTTCTTCGGTTTTGACACACTCCGGGGTCATACATCCATTGACGTATTGAAATGTTCGGCCAATATAAATCTCAATATTTTAGAATGAAGCGTGGCAGTTCTCTACAGCTATAAGTGGTTTTGACTATGCAGTGCGGTGGTCGGTACCAAATAGAGAGAACAAAAGATATCGTATTGTCCTGTCCGTGTGTATGTGTATGTAAGTACTTGCTTGAGAGAACACCCTGGAATTCGGTAGCTCAGCCCGCGTAATCTGTACTATGCATGTAAAATCCAGATGTGGGGAGTTCGACGCGGCAACAGCGCGTTGATGAATCTAGACGCTGCAGGATCTTTTGGATACCTACCTAACTTGTCAACTACTTGGGCTTGGTCGAGTTAAACTCGCATGTGAGGTTTCCAGGTTTCCGGGTTTCTTCTCGGTTATCTGCCTCTGCATGTGGGGCATCCATGGCAAGCTGAAGTTTTGCAGAAGTACCTTTTATTGCCTGATGTAATCCGTTCGGCATGAGGCATCCATACTTTGCCAAGAGACTCAAGGTGGTGTTATGTTGCTTGGCAAGAGTGGATTTTGTGTTCAGGGTCCCAAGGAAAGAAGAGACAGAAGAAGAGTTCGTTTCTGCTTCCACACCACGACTTCCCGGAGCTGACACGTGCTGTCTTTCCTTCCCCCTATTTCTCTATTTCTCCTCGAGTCTCCCAAACCGCACTGTCGTGACGGTAAAACATTACAGGTGCAATTTCAACCATTGAACACGAGAGGGCGTCTCAATTGCGACTCGGAGACTCGGAAACCCGCAATCCTCACTTCTTCACCCTCAACACGCGCCTCCCGCATTTTTAAAGTTTTGGATTTAAACACCGTAACAAAGAAGTAACCATGGCGGGCGGCTCCGAGCCCTTCCCGCCTCTCAGCATGGCGGCCAATCGCCAATTCCAATCTACGACGCCAGACAGTAATGCGCCTCGCCGCCGAAGAAAGTCGAGCATCCTCGGCAGCGAATTGCGACTCGGCGACACAGGCGCGCCTTCAATAGCAACGGGCATTGCCCATCTCAGCGGATCCAAGGTATGTATGCCCCCGCCGGGAGGCAAGGCAGTTCAAAGACGTCGTCCCGCTGACGGCACCAGGAGCCAGTACTAAGCCCCGGTACACCCTCGAAGCGTTTTTCCAAGCGCCGGAAAGCCCGATCCGCCCTCCGCCGCGCGAAGAACATCGCCGTCAAGCACACTTGGGTACTGCCGCTAGCCATCCTATTCGCCTTCCTGTTGCTATACGCCGTCAACCCGACCGAGTCCAACCCAATCCACCATTTCATATTCCTCTCGTACAGGCTGCCCGTGTCGAACCCCGACGAGCTCCCGCAGTATGGCAAGGGCCTCTGGGACATCGCCTTCGTCTCCTTCTACACCGTCGTGCTCTCTTTCACCCGCGAGTTCATCATGCAAGAGATCCTGCGCCCCATGGCCCGTTACGCTGGGCTCAAGTCACGCGGAAAGCAGGCCCGCTACATGGAGCAGATGTACACGGCCCTCTACTTTGGCATCCTGGGGCCCACCGGCATGTACGTCATGAGCCGCACTCCCGTGTGGTACTTCAACACCCGCGGCATGTACGAGAACTTCCCGCACCAGACCCACGACGCCGTCTTCAAGTTTTACTACCTTTTCCAGGCCGCCTACTGGGCTCAGCAGGCCATCGTGCTGCTGTTGGGTATGGAGAAGCCGCGCAAGGACTTCAAGGAGCTGGTCGGCCACCACATCGTCAGCCTGGCCCTGATCGGCCTAAGCTACCGCTTCCACTTCACCTACATGGGGCTGGCTGTGTACATCACCCACGACATTTCCGACTTTTTCCTTGCCGTACGTGCACGCCCCTCCTGCCCCTTTTTTACTCCGCTAACCTTTCCCATCTTTCCAGACCTCCAAAACGCTCAACTACCTGGACCACTGGCTGACGGGCCCCTACTACTTCACCTTCATGTGCGTGTGGATCTACCTGCGCCACTACCTCAACCTGCGCATCCTCTTCAGTCTCTTCACCGAGTTCAAGACGGTCGGGCCCTACGGGCTCGACTGGGAGACTCAGCAGTACAAGGGCACCCTGTCTTTTGTCATCACACTCGGCCTACTCAGCTCGCTGCAAGCCCTCAACCTGTTCTGGCTCTTCTTTATCCTGCGGATTGCCTACCGCTTTGCCGTCCACAATGTTGCCAAGGATGACCGCAGCGACGCCGAGGAGTCAGAGCTGGAGGAGGACGTGAATGGCAAGGCTGCGGCCGTGGCGAATGGGACGGCCAAGAGTTGCGCCGCCACCGCTGCTGTTGATACTGCCGCTGCTACTAACGGCGCGGCGAAGAAGCGCAAGTAGAGTGGCAGGCTTCGGGCGTCGCCTTTTTTTGTACAAATCTGTTTGGATTAGATGGGGGACAGTGTATGGAGAAGGATGACAGCATATCTCTCGCTTATTTACGCATTCCCGCCTGCTCTCCGGCGAGACAGACAGGAGGAGGGTCATTGGACAGGTGTCGAGGCGTTGTTTTGGGGGACGGGTTCCCCGGCTTGAGCATTGTCAATGGTCTTGGCGTGGTTGGTTCAAGGCATCGTCGTTCGCTGGAAAAGGCTGGGGGGCACCATACACTCGCTTATTGGTTTGGGTATAGAGAGGGGAGTTGGGTTCCGACGCGGAAGATGGCCAAGGGAAAGACGGGCTTACGGGAAGGGGCGAGTATGTGGGTGGAATCGTCTGGTCCGTTCCGGTCAAAGACTGCACATGGGAGCGGACATCAACAGGGCACAGCTGCATCCATCCAAAGAAACGATACGATCCCGCCTGGCGCACGAAGAGGAACCGACTAAGACACCCACTAGCCCTCGAATTAACAACACCTGATACAGACCACATCAGGACAGGGCAGGGGCAGGGTGGGACTGTGCCCAGTCCCAGGCCAGGCAAGACCATGTTTGCACGCACGCCCGATGGCCGCAACCCCATCTCACGGGCATATATACGGTTGACTGATCTGTATGACTTTTGCCTTTTTTTTTTTTTTTGATAGTACAACGCTCTTGAATAGTAGTTTTAATACAACGACTGATGCACATACATACTCGACTGTGGCATACCTCTTATATGAAGCGCGTTGTGCCGCTAATAGAATGTGGCTATCAACAGTGGCGGTTTCCACGTACTTGTAAATCACGGGGCACCACGGCGTCCACGTCCACCTTTGGTTTTGGCCCTGCCACCTTGTGGGTGGTATATACTGTCTTACGCTAAACGTGAGGAGAGAACGTCAAACCAAGAAAAAGGTATCACATGTCCATATGCTCAAGTCAAGGCCTAGGTCGTGGAGGTTTCTGTAGATGGAATCATTCAAGGATATCATTTTCTGTATACCCCTTTCCACCTCGTGCTCCCTGTTAAAGGGGCCAAGGGCAACACAAAAACAGACCAAAAACAAATCCAGCCAGTCATGGATTTGCACCCCGATTGCATTCCATGATGTTCGCGGCAGGCCGTGGCCGTGGCGCCCCCTCTTTAGACCATCCCCAACCCAGCCCCGTCCGCCCCCGTCCCCGTCCCCGTCCTTGTCCCATGCTATCCCGTCCCTTCCCCATACCATCCCATGCGAACCCATCCACCTATCCATCCCATTACCCCCCCCCCCTTACCAAGCAAACCCACAACCCCCCCAACCGCTGAAACCCATAAACCGCTTCAAAAAACGCCGCCCATGCTTTGGGAATCATGGTCATATCATCTCTCATTAATAGTGCAAAATGGCGCTTGCACGCATGCAATACCAACAACAACAACAAAACGTCTTCCTGGCGCAGCAGAAAGAGGGAAGGAAGAAAAAAATCAATCGAAAGCAAGAAAGCTGGTTGGTATATAAACAACACACAGAAGGAGGAGGACGGGTCGAATTATTAGGTGGTCTCCGGAAAACGTCTCTTGTCTGTTGAACGGGGCCAGTTCGAAATGGGTTGAGTTGTTAAGTTAATTCGAGAACGTGATCCATCGGGCGACGATGATCGTGCTGATCATGGTTGTTGTCGACCGTGGTCTTTGCAGGCGGGATTAAAGTGGAGGGCATTGCCTCGCTGGGGTTTTGTGTTGCCGGAATTAATGACATCAATTGATGAATGATGTTGTTGTGGTAGGGGCAAACATAAAAGGGCGGGGAGGGCAGCGCTGGGCTACATTAGATTCGACCCGAAGCTGGCTCAGGGAGATCCGGATGCGTCTGTCGAGCGGCCTGCAGATGACTCGGAGGGGAATGAGTAGAGAAGCGGCCGGGACCCGTCATCCGGCTTTTCGGGATGGCCTTGATTACCGTCCGAGGCATCGTCCTGGAGGGTGCCGTCGGAGCCGCTCGAGGAAGTGCTGCTCGTGTGCGACGAAATCGACGCGGTTTCATGCGCGTCAGCAGCCGTGGCCGCAGGACTGTGAGGGGCAGTGGGTAGGATGGTCGATGAGAGCATGCTGTTGTAGCCGTCGTCGCCGATGTTGGCCTGGCTCAGGAGCTTCTTGGCCTTTCGGGTAGCATCGCGTGCGTGCTCAGCTGCTTTCTCGGCGCGACAGTGCTTCTCCCACATGGCGGAATAGCGGCCATTGAGCGCCAGGAGCTCTTGGTGCGTGCCCCTCTCCACCACGGTACCGGCGTGGAGGACGATGATTTGGTCGGCATGGGTGATGGTCGACAACCGATGACTAGCGCTGATGGTTAGCCCTGAGACCCTGTCAAACCGAGAAAACGGGCACTTACGCAATGATTAGTAGTGTACGATCCTGGCCAAATTTTCCGCTAATCAGCTTGGACTGGATCTTTTGTTCCGTCTCCCCGTCAAGCGCCGAGGTCGCCTCGTCTAGCATGATAATCTTGGGGTTCTTCAGGATGGTCCGCGCAATTGCAACGCGTTGCTTCTCGCCACCGCTCAACCGGAGACCCCGCTCGCCGACCTTCGTAAAGTAGCCGTCGGGGAAGCTCATGATGCGGTCGTGGATGGCAGCCGCACGGCAGGCGTCGAAGACGTCCTCGTCGGTCGCATTCGGGTTGGCGTACTTCAGGTTGTACATGAGCGTCTCGTTGAACAGGATGGTATCCTGCGGTACGACACCGATGAAACGGCGCACTGAGTCGATCGATACGTCTTTGACGTCATGGCCATCGACCTCGATGCTTCCCTCGCGGCAGTTGTAGTACCGGAACATGAGGCGGAAGACAGTCGACTTGCCTCCGCCAGACTCCCCCACAAATGCGGTCGTGGTGCCCGGCTTGCACTCGAAGGATAAGTCGTGCAGGGCCGTCCTGCGCTTGTCGTAAGAAAAGCCGACACCGTTCCACTTGATGTGTCCGGTGCATTCCCTAAGCGGTTCCACGTCGGGCTTGTCGACGACGGTCGGCTGGATCTTGAAAAGCTCGAGCAGTCTCTCGCCCGAGATCATCGCCGACTGCACGGTCCGGTAGAAGGTGCCGAAGAAGTTGAGGGGCCCCTGTAGCTGGTTGAGGTAGGTAACAAGCAGGACGAAATCGCCGACGGTTCTGTCACCGCGCGACACCTGGTAACCGCACGTCAGCAGCGCGACGAGCAGGCCGCACATGAACACGACCGACTGGCACATGTTCATGTGGTTGATGCCGTATGTGACCTGAGCCTCGGCCTCCTGGAACTTCTTGATGGCATCGCCGTAGCGGTCGAACTCTCTCCTCTCGGCGTTGAAGTACTTGACCGTCTCGTACGACATGATGGAGTCGTTCTTGACGGCTTCCTCTTCGCGATCGGCGTTGACCATGTCGCGGCGCTGGTCAGACCTAGTGGCAGCCATGCGGATGGTCAAGTAAAGGTAGTAGAAGGTGATGATTGAGACGAAGAGGGCGTACAGCGACCCGAAGCGGACGTAAAAGTAGATGATGGCGACCAAAAGGTCCACCAGCATCGGGACCACCTGGAACGTAACCTGTTCGAGGAACTGGTTGATAGAAGCGCCCTTGTTGAGTGCCGAAAGCACCTCGCCGGTGCGCTTGCCAAGGTGGAAGTCCAACGAGAGAGAGTGCACATGCTCGAAGGCGGCCGTCGTCAGGGCTCGGTACGTGTGCTGGGATACGGGGATCCAGAGGATCGACCGGACGGATCCCAACAAGCCGGAGGGCCCCTGGAGCAGCTTGTACAGGATCAAGAGCCCGAGTTCTATCCACACCTTGTCGATGTCATTCTTCTTGAACGTGTCGGTCAGGATTCCGAGCTGGGCGGGCACCAAGATGTTGACGACGCGCTGCAAGACAACCAAGACGAAGCACAGCATAACCACACCCTTGAGCCTGGCGGACCTGCTAGGCCACAGGTACGGGAAGAAGACCGAGTATCCGCGGCAATATTCGAACCACGACTTGTGGGGAAGCTTGTCGGGCCTGTAGAAGGCAGCCCCCTGGTCTTGTTGCTGGCAGCCCTGTTCGGTGGGGTTGTCCGAGTTGCGGCGGGCATTCCCGATCGTGGTGCCGTAATGGGTGCGCCGCATCGCACGCCCATTGCTGTGACCGTGGTAATCTCCATTGCCGTTGAGCAGAGGGCTCGCCTCGTCCGTATCCGATCGCTGTGCCTCCTCGTCCTGGAGCCGGCGCTCCTCCAACCGCCTCTTGGTGACGGCCGCGTATAGGCTGATAAGGGCGACGAGAATGCAGAGGCGGACGCCGGCGATGAGGAGGTCGATGGTGTCCCATGATCCAGGGCCGTTGTCCGGGCCCGCTTCAAAGTAGCCAAGGTAGTTGCCGCCCGTCAATGAGAGGATAGAGGCGACCAGGATGACAGTTTCGCCCACCAGGCCGAGGGCCCAGACGATGAAGTGAACAACGATGGGGCTTTGGCGCCACTCGAGGAGGGTGATGAGGACGTAGAGATAAAGAAATGCCGAGCCGACGACGTAGACCTGGATGCTTTGTCAGCCTCGGCAAGTTTCGTTAAAGCGGGCGGGCGGCAGGCGACGGGTGGTTTGCGAGTGCAGCGGGGCAAAACTCACAATTCTTTGTTCGCCACACCACCACACTTCAGTGAGCGCCTCGTCCCTGCTCGAGTTCATGGCATGGGCGGCAATTGCGGCGCCATTGGCGACGAACGACATGACAAGGGCGCCCGTCAGGTACAGGAAGGCGCACCAGGCAAAGCCGCCGCTACCGCTAGCATTGTCGTCTGCCTCTTGTGTTTCCTGCTCCCGCTTCCTCTTCGTGATTGGTAGCGGCTTCCCGCCGGGGCCCTTGACGGTGGGTGCAGCCAGCTGCTCCTCGGTTTTTGACGTGACGACGGTGTGAATACCGGCAGAGACGATGAAGGTCAGGAGCAGGATAACCGGGTATAATAACTGGGTCGTTCGCAGGACCGACTGCGGGGTGCTGGAGGCCGGCTCCGGACCGCCAATTTCGAGTAGCGGATCCATGCTAGGCCTGCGACGGAGACCAGAGAGTTAGAGGAGGAACGGTGGGTGAGGTAGCAGGAGGAGGGCGTGGTAGAGGGCGGCGAGGAGGAGGAGGTAGAGGAGGAGGAGAAGAGAAGGAATAAGGGGGAGGAAGGTGAGGAACGAAGGCTATTGCAGGCAACACGACATGCTGCTGCTTGCCTGCGGAGCTGGAGGCGAAGGTGAGGGAGGGGTGCCGTGACAGGGCGGGAGATGGTGGTGGAAGGTAATAGAGTAGTAGTGTAGGTGGTAGGTAGTAAGGCGGCGGTGGTGTTAGGACATACGAGTTTCCAGGTCGGGTCGGGAGGTCGTTCTCTTAGGATGAGGCGAAGCAGTGCCGGTGGTTCATGGCCCTTGCGGGTTGTGGCGGCAAATGGAGGGGCTGTTCATTGTGTGTTGCCCATAGTCAGCCATGGTGAATTGTTGCAACAACCTGGAACGGGTGGATGGCCCAATGTGCCAATTCAGAGTCGTGCTCGTTTGAGAGAGGCGGCATGTGGTGGGGAAGGGCGATGCGCAGCTGACGAGGTTGGTGGTGGCTTTTGCCACTGAAGCGGGTCCGGAGGTCGAGATCACGGAGATCACGAACCCGACGATGGGAGGGCGGCAGGGCGGCAGGGCGGCATGACTGGCAGATGATGAATTGACTAACCTGGGGGATGCGCAAGCCTCCCAAAGATCTACAGGGTTTTGCTTGCGTCTGCCTCTTCTCTCTTCTTTTTTTTGGGGTGTGTCAAACTGTCAACCTCGGTCGGGATGGTTCTTTCGGTGTGACCTCTTCTCGACAGGAAAGGCCGATCTCAACCGATGGAAACGGAGGAGCGAGACACGGGACCCGGGGTCAGCTAAAACGAATTGAACCTCTCAAGCCAAGGAGGGATGGTCAAAAATAAAACGAGCGTGGTGGGACGGTGTTCGCTGATGCTTTGAGAAAGGTCGAGATCCAAAAGGACCGGCCGACGGGGACCTTCCAGGTATTAGTTGACTCGAAGACCGCATTCCCTTCCCCGGGGCTGTGGTAGGTGAAGTCGGTAAAAGGTACTGTGTTGCCGGCTGCTTCGCTAGAGCAGCACCCCGGGCGCAGGGTTCGACAGGCATGCAGGGGTGCCCTGTATGGATGGGATGTCAGGCTGCCAGCCAACCAGACGGTCGGCAGGCACGCGGGTCTGCTTGGGTGGTGGGGTGGGGGAGTGGAGGAAGGGGGGGTCCAGGCCTGCGGCTTCCCAGAGTGCAGAAGTCGCAGAATGGTTGGTTGGAGGTGACACAAAGCCCGCAGTCGCAACCGTGTACCACTGTACTTTTTTCGTAGGTAACTTCCATTCTCGACCTTGGAAAACCTCGTACTTTTTTCTGGAACCCAAATTTGAGACGAACCAAGGTAAGGTACAAATGTACGTTTTCTCGTTACCGAAGCTGCCGCGAATGATGGGGGCCGAAACGTTCCCCTCTTAGATTCGGCCGTCAATCATGGGCCGCGACGTGCGACGGTCGAGACATGATTCTGAGACCGACCGAAGAGGGCACACCACACGCACACACACACGGCCAGACACACACACACACACACACACCCTTGACACCCAAACCACACATGCGCACGCACACACCGTATGTCCATACAAGTAACGGAAGGCCTCCTCAGGCTCCTCCTCCCCTCTCTCTCCTCCCCACCCCTCTACCCCCCCCACCCCGGTAAAGCTGGGACCGGTAGGACGCGGGGACCGCCCTCCCACCGTCGCCCTGGGATCACCGCCTAATGCTGAATGCTCTCAGACGGCGAGGTGCGGGAGCCGGGCCGGGCGCAGGGCGAGGATCTTGAGACGTGGACCGACGGGTTGGCAGACACGCAGGGTCTGGAACGCTGCCATCCGATCAGGTGAGCTCGGGCGGGATGCCGATGGCCTCGTACATATCTCGGGCCCGGGCGCCGAAATGCATCATGGGCTGGCTCCAGCCTTTCCTCCTCTTGTACGTCTGGATGTACGTACCGACACATACGTACCGACTCAGTCACCCATTCAAGCCATGTTTCTCCTCGGCCTGCCCGCGGGGTCAAGCAACGTCCTTCGGTAATGTATTCTGTACAATACATTGACTCCCAGTTCGCTGCTGTCTGTCTTGGGACAGCCACCGACCCGGCGGAATGGGCTGCGGCGCGCCCAGGTTGGCGATCACTGGGCAATGAGCGACAGAGAAGCAGGGCGGCAGTTCCGAATCAACACGCCCAGGCCGGCGTGTAGCGTGTGCTGAGGAGCTCCTTGCTGACGCCGGGCGTGCTGGGCTCCATCGCAAGGTGCTAGCGTTACCTGACCTCGCTGAGCGACAGCGAGGCCAAACAAGCCTGGCCAAACGGCTCAGATCGCAAATAGCCCCGGCTCATCCCTTTGGACGATGGGCTCTCACCGCCTTGCACGGTCGAGAAGTGATTGCAGCCAAGCTGCATGCATGCATGCTGCGTGCGTGCACATTTCTCCACGACCCTCGACGTGCTGGCGTACCCGTAGGCACGTCGACTGTGGATCTGAGGTCAGTGGTGCGTCCAGGGGTTGTCGAGGCCCCTGCCCACGGAGTCACGGGAGTGGTCGGCTTGTCGGGGGGAGGCTGCGCTAGCGTACTTCGGTACGGGACAGCGCCGTTGGCAGCTGCCAGTGGTTGGCGCTGATTTGTCGTCTCTCCTTGCTGAGTTCCTCTCTCTCCGCTTACACCAAGCGACAAGCCGAAACTATGGGCCAAAGGCTGCGGCGGCGGCGGCGACGGCGGCTGCGGCAGAAGAAGAAGAAGCAGCAGCAGTAGCGGCAGCCCATCAAGCCCAGTCCTCTGGCACGGTATGTACATGAACCTCCACTCACGACTTGGTAGCCATGGATGTCGGGCAGGATGTCGTCTCTCCAGTGGAGCGGGAAAATTACCCGCTGCAAGCTCGGCTCAGCCAAACATAATCGCAGGAAGTCTCGGGCAAGCCGGGGGGTGTGCAAGATTCATCACCTCGAGGGTGTGAGCCGTAGCATGACACGGTTAGCCTGAAGGAGGAAAAGGAAGTCGAAACTGAAGGGGCCCGGTCGGCGCGAGAAAGAACCTGGAAGTCCCAATCTGCCCTCGGGCAGCGCCCGTCTTCATCGCGGGAGCTTCGGCTGTCTCGAGTCCGGCCGAGTCCTGCATTGTCTGACATGCTCGGCGGGGCCTGGGGAAAGGGACCGGCCGCTGCAGAAACAGGCGAGTTGACAATTGATGACGGCCAGGGCGGCCATAGCTGACATGACTTGACGTGAACTGCCGTCTCGGGGAAGAGATGCCGCAAGCAAACCTCCTCTCCGGCTCTTTCCCCCCTGCCTAAGACGAGGCAGATATTTCCAGACTTACAATTGCGCCGGGTCCGATTTGACGGCAATCCTTTCAATTTAATCTACCCGGCGGAGCGACGGGAGAAACGGGAGGGGCTCGGAGGCCGACTTACATACAGATTACATGTGTCCAGACGAGCCAGAGTCGAGATGACATGTTCCATGACCGGGGGGGATGGCCGAGACATGGACGACCATGAAGTCCCGGGAGATGGTCAAGCGCAACATTCTTCATGCGGCCAGATCCGGTAGCCAGCCAGGGATGGGAATGTCCCGCTCCGGAGTCTTCCTCTTTGAGCTCTCAGACTCAACGAAGTGCCTCATCCGGTATGGAAATCCAATCTCCAGCACCGGCGGCACAAGCCGATCCCTCCTTGGCGTCAACCAGAAGCTCACCCTTCCCACTCGCAAAACTCAAAACCGCTCTCGGTTCGCGTCATCAAGGCCCGCTTCCCGTGGCGGATCCCGTCCCGCCCTTGTTTTTAAAAAAAGGGAAAAAAACCCTCGGCTCCAGTGCCCGGGCCTCGGGATGCAATGCCACGACAACTCATCCTTCCCTCCCTTGTAACCTCCCGACCTCCCTGTCTCCCCCAGACTGGGGGGCTCACCGACACAATGATAATGCAGGACAGATGCAGCTAACTCGACCGGTCAGGAAGCGGAGTCGCATCTTCCCGGGCAGGACCCCAAACCGCACTCAAAGAACCAGGAGCTTCCGGAAGTTGTCGTCGCTGATCTTGGAGAAGAGGTGGGCCTGGCCCGGCTGTTAGGAACCGCATGGAACACCGTCATATGCTTTTCGGCAGCTGCTGTAACCGCCGCCTGCATGTCCAATCGAGAAACGTGTTCTCGGGCAGCACAGGACAAGCCAACTGCGCGCCATGGCTGCACAACAGGACCACCACCATGTCCCCTCCCCCTCCCCCGGGCTGTTCTGGATGCCACGAGAAGGCCAGACCGAGCACAAGATGGCCATGCGGGAGAAAGTCTCGAAGCCCCATGGTCTTCTTTCCCCGAGTTCTACCGCATTTCCCGATTCGTTGCCCATGCACCTGACTTGGGGTTATGTATGGATGTATGTATGTACATTAGTATGTATGTACATATGTACGTATGTACGTACATCCAAGCGCGTTCCGGCCCCGTCGCCGGCGCCACTCAACACAGTCCGAGCTGCTGTTGCATGCCGCACCCGAGGGTCCGCCTGCCGGTTCGGCATCGGCATACACGGTCCATACATATTCCTCCTCGAAAATCCTCATCCTCCAGGCTGTGGGGGCCGCGCCCGCGGGCCCATGCGCGTACCCGGCCGGAAACCTGCCTCTGGCGTCAGCGAACGTGCATCTGATGCTGCAGAAAGACCCTTGACCATTTCGATCTTGCTCTGACCCCCCTACTTCTCCCTCTCCATCCCCCATAAAAAAAACCATCGACGCAACGGGGCGAGGAAAACAAGCGACGGCGAGGCGAGCGAGCGACGATGGCACCGAGTGGTGGACCGCCGAAACCCGAGACACCCACCACTACCCACCCGCTATGATGTCGCAGGCCGCATCAGGCCATCGGTTTCACGGGGCTGAGACCGTAGACCGTGGCTGCCGGCAGAGCAAACAGACGTATGTATGTACTGCACCGCACCGCACCGCAGCATGTGGGTGTGCACATACATACATACATTACACGTCCGGATGTCACCGCATGCCCGCCGCTCAGCCAGATCTGGGGTAAAGGGAAAGGGTGTGTGCTCGCAGCTGTCGTGGGCGATCCCCCGCATTTCACCGCCTGGCTCTGTTGTGTCGCTCGCGCTCAGATAGGGGGCGCGTGGGGTGACCGGTTAGCGAACCCGTGCCAGTTGTTGGCTTAGGAGGCTTTGGGGTTTGTCCGACGTGACTCTCCAATATGTGTGGTGCGCCTCTCGATCATGGGATCTCACAATATCACTTAGCAAGCAGGCTCGGTTTCTGCCTACCTGGTCTAGGCCCAAGTCGACTTCGGTCTTGCCTCTGGAAAAAGAAAGAGCAGTGAAAACAATCCGGCCGCTTTCCAAGCTCTTCCATCTCGTTCTCCGACGATCCGCGGCAGATCAGACAACTGTGCAATATCATCCTTCTCCGGTCAGCCGGTCAGTAAAGAGTCCAAGCGTATGTGCCCAAAATTTTCTCTTGCAGTAGCCCCTTGGGGAATGCATGTCTGCCTTCCTATGTAGGCGCTGAAGGATTCACGTGGGGGTCTATCAAGCTCAGGGTAGCCCGGCTCCTCCCTTTATCCCGCACTCCTGATCCTTCGTCGTTCGAACTTGGCCGTTGTTGCGAGCCACTCGGAGAGCTGGGCCGAGAGTTACGGGTGCCGGGGCCGGCTCGGATAAGACGGCGAGGGAGAGGCAGCGATGGAGGAATGGGACCGGGACCTATTCGGGACGGGGTTAGCCAGGACCGCGCCGACCCGCGAGCCGAGCCGAACACTCCACCGCATCCCGGCTCCTTGGGCCATAGTATAACTTGAGCCCCCCGGTATCGTTCTTGATAAACCGTAACCGTTGGGTCATCATGTAGCTAAGGCCGGCCAGTCTGTCGACGCCAACTCTCGTCCCAAGCAACCAAGACGCAACCAAGAATAACGCAAACGTAGAACGTGACGAGGAGGACCACGAGGGCTTGGGCATGAATCCCGCGTTCTGACAGCGCAGATAGTATGTACATGCTATACTTGAAACGATAACAAAGATCACTTCGACCTGACGTTGTTCTAGCTTCTATCACATGGCCGGTGCCGAGTGGTGCTGAAGAGTGCAAAGCCGCCTCGGCGTTAATGGCATGATATGTACTACATCAACACCCACAACGCGTTCGAGACGAATAATGTTCATACGGACTCGCTCGGGGAGGGGGTTGGGTTCCCCGGCCTCTCATACCACCACCGACCTGAGACAGCCTGTATTGATGTCTCGGGGGCAGTTTTTCTGCCGACTCTTGGTCCGCTCCCGAGACCCCTCCGCGTTGGACTGTCTCAAGGCCCCTGGCACGTGTGACCCTGATTTGTTTGTTTACTATCGCCCCTGAAGTTATGGCTTGCGAGCTTTCAATGGCTGACTACCAGTTGTGGCCCTATTTTCCTTGGGCGAAGAAGAGCACCAGCGCATACAACCCATTCACACTCTCACCAGAGTGCGATGCCCAAACTCAACGGTTGTCCAGTTGAGAAGTCTGGTGGCGTATGTTCGCCAATAACCCAACTCAGCGTCGTCGTTGATCTGACGTTGACGTTGACACTTGCCCGCCACCTCAACAGCTTGGGTAGCGCCCACCAGCAAAACCACTGAGACACACCACCGTATGCCCAACCAATCCGAGGACGTATTGATGTGCAGAGTCTCAGATCAGGCCCACCCTAAGCAGACGCCCCCGATACAATTACCAGCACCGGGTACGCTCCCCCGAAACAGAGACACACCCAACACAACAACGCACAACCATCCTTGTTTTATCTCGGAGGGCCACATCCAGACCCAACAAGCGACACCGCCGCTGACTTTGGTTGAATCCACCAGGCAGGATCGTGTCCCCAATACGAGACGTCATCACAAGAAGGGGACCGACCACTTACAGCCCACATTCCCCATCTGGGGGCCGCCCAAACTTCCGAATCGGGCCCGGTGCATGCTGCAGCCCGTTCGAGACGGCCGTTGCTTTTGCGGCTGCGACTGGCTGCTTCGGGTCCAGAGCACCGCAAATGGGTTTATCACTTAGCATGTTAGGTGAGGCCGGCAGGTTGGCTTTTTTCCCTTTTTACGGTTCTCGCTCGTCATGATTACTCGTTCCAGGCGACGAGTCACTTTGGGTTTGGTCGTCTTCCCCTCATTCTGCCATCATCCCCCCCCATTCCCCGCCGCTTCCCCCGCCTCACGGTTCCATCGGGCGAAGGAGAAGAAAAAGCTGAAAGTCGGTAAACCACCTCTTTCTAGCCTACACTATAGTGTCCATTGGCCACCCCGCAACCGGTGTATGTGTGGCTGCCCAGCTCGATCAGGAGATACAGTCCCTAGGGACCTCCAGATTGGCGATCAAGGGACATGTCCCACCACACCGCGTGGGAGCCGGTGAAGCCTCGCCCGCCCCCCCCCATCAAAAAGATAACGGGGCGGTGGGGGGGAGGTTAAGGCAGGTATGGTGTGCAGGAGCGGCTATTCTAGGAAGCCATCCCGTTACTGACCCGCATCCGCATTCCATGTACATAGCAGCAAGAAGCACAACACACACCTGCAGCTGCGGCGCCGGCGGCGGTACCGGCAGCTGTTGGGTGTGTGCAGTGCCGTTGGTGGTGTGCGTGTGTGTGGTGGTGAGCTGCGGCATGTCATCCCATTGCTTGCCCAAGGGGGTGGGGTGATGGGACGGATGGGGGTGGGCGGGGGGAAGAAAAGTGAAAAAGGTGATGTGCATGCTATCTAGTATATAGCCCTTCCTCCATTGGTAAGTACCTACTGTGTATCATATGCAACTCGCAATACACGCCTCCACCCCTACCCCTTTCGTGTATGCAAAAAGTAAGGTACATGTGCATGCGGCATGCCCGGCTGGGTGGACGTACAGTTCCGTGAGTGGTTGTTCGCCATCTGAAACACGGCTCGTCGAGGGCAGCGTACATGCACACCCCCCTCCCCTTCGGCGCTCGCTTGTGTTCCTCGTTTATCGGATCAGCCACTGAGACCCTTGGGCTGAGACATGCTGACGTCGTGGGTAGACCCCTCTTCTTCACACCACCCTCGCGGCCAGCAGCGCTAGACCCGCTGCGTCGGATCTCGCAGATGCGGGACCTCGCATTGGGGAAGTCGGTGGAGGGTTGACGAGGGGGGGGAGAGGGCGGGGTTGTATATGATGTGCAGGCCTGCTGGATCTGGCATGGTACAGTGATGCCCGGGTCGGAGGCTCTCTCCTCCTTCCGATCTGGTCTGGACTCTTGGACCCTTACCCCGACGCCCCGTTTGCCCCATGCCCTTATGTCGTGCGTTACCCATGGTCCACGTGCTTGTCGATCAGATCGGATCGGAACGTATCTTACCTGGGCAGCTTGGGTTTCGCCGGAGTGGCAAGGCCGGAGTGGTCACGAGATATTGATGTCGTCCTGTATTTGGAATTAGGGAGTAGGGGGGTGACCAAAAAACATAAACCAGTCACTACTGTGTTGAGAAGGTATCGTCAGCAGCCAGGTCAGGAGTGTTCCGTGGAACGTATTCCATGTCGTCGGCAGTCCTGCTTGACGTGGATTGTTTGTGTCACCCCAGTGACGAAGGGAGCTGTTTACGTCGCCCCCAAACCCCGAATGAGGCATCTTCCAGCCAACCAGCGTCAGGTTGAAGGAGAAGTCAGCCGCGCTTGACGGCGGTTGTGTAACCCAGCGTTAACTGCTGCCACGTTAACACAACCTCCTACCCCGTTTCGACCCAAGAACCCAAAATATTATTAGATGGCTGACAACGCATCATAGAGAGCTCTCTTCAACCGACCCTACCGTCTTCATAAGCATGATGATAACCCCCCAATCTTACCCCCAATACTTCACAACCACCGAAAACGAAACCGTGGGCGTAACACGACAGCAACCGGTGTGCCGAGAATATTCGAAGCCGACATGAGCGTGACGAAAAGGGGGACCGGTCAAAACAAAAAACAACCCAATGTGCCCAAAACGGAAGAACGGCAGGAGTCGGGCTTTCATCGTGGCGCCGAAATGAAAGACCGTGTTGGGCATTGATGAGACGGCCCTCTCGAGAATCTCGGGGCCATGTTCGACGCCGAGGAGGCCGCTGAGGGAGATAAGCCGAGCAATTGCGTGGTTTGAGCACTGGTGCGTTTGATGAAACGCGCCTTAACTCTTGGGTGTTTGCGTCTGAGAGCAAAACCACAGACTGGCAGGCTACCCGTTGGAGATGAATGAGCTCAGGTCGTCATGAGTGAGTTGGATCGTGACATGTGCCCGAGGCAAACAAACTCTAGCAAAAGAAGGAAAATGGAAAGGAAAAAAAAGCGGAGAGGCTGCACACTTGAGCAATTACATCGAGGACACGGAACATTAGTAGGAGAAATCCATGGTATTCCCGCATTGCAAACAGATATTTTCTAGCCATGCCGTTTACAATCACACAGGAAAGAGCGCTCAAGTCCAAGGTTGACGCAGGAAAGCACCAATCTTGGCATTGTGGGCTCCTCGAGTGACGTTCTGTTAGCCCCTGTTGTATCTGTGGCTCAATCGGTGGTGGTGGCGCATGGGCCTCAACAGGACCCTCTGCACAGACCGCCAATTGTGGTGGAATGTCTTGTGACAAGCTGGAATTCATCGGCATTCATTCAGCCTTGTTCCGTTATCCTTCAGCCTCGCCCGGCACCCTCCATCGTCCATCACCTCGAAACTGAACGGCCTGCGCCAGCTTAACCCCTTCGTTCTTCGACCTCAACATCCTTTCTCCCGTTTTTGAGACCGAATACTGCTCAAATTTCATCTTTCGCCCCCCTCGAATCCCGAGCTTGACCCCACGAAGCGCTCCCGAGCACGAGATCGATCACAGACCTTCGTGCACCTGACTTGTAGACCCTGACCCGCCTTCACGCCGGCTCAACGCGAGTCCATCTTCGGTGAGCGGACCGGCCAAAAGCGTTGCAAGCTCTAAAGTGGCCGCCCACCTGCTCGCCGCCACCTCTCATTTCCACAATCCGAAACCAAACAACAAAAGATGGCCAGCCAAAACCCCTCCACGCCCGTAAAGGTGCCTTCATCAGCCGCTAGCTACACCGCGGCCACACTCGACCCAGATCTCAGATCCCAAATCAACTCCATATTGATAAAGGAGGGGCATGTCACCAAGTAAGCCAGCCCGCCGACACCTCCCCCTCCCCACAACACAAAACCATAAAACCAACCTCCCACCATCACCCGCTAACCCCCCACCTCCCTCCCCAACCAGAATCCAAGACAGCCTCCTGCACGCCCTCCACTCGCACAAATCCAACTGGCCGACCGCCGTGCAGAACCACGCGCTCTCGCTGCTCCGCTCAGGCGAAGTGACCTCCTTCCCGGCCCTACTCCGCCGCGTGCTCGAGGACGTGCGCCAAGACACGACCTTCTCCCCGAACGGCACCGCGGCCACGACCACGACCACGACCACGACCACGACCAACGGCACCTCGTCCTCCTCCAGCAGCAAGACCGCCAACGGCGCCGCATCGTCAGAAGAGAACGGCAGCACGCCGGCGGCGGTAAACGGCAGCAGCAGCAAGACCAACGGGTCCGCCGCCGCCGCCGCGGCAACCAATAACGGCACGGGTGCTGCTGGTGCTGGTGGCAGGCCGAGCCTCGCCGTCCCGCCGACCGTCGTGGATGAGGCGCTGAAGGTCACGCGGGATTGTCTCGATTCGGTGTGCGAGATGGACGAGAGCGGTGGGACGTGATTTGGGTGGTGCCCACCCAAGGTGATGGTTTTATGAACACGACCCTGTGCTGTTCGGGATACCCGCTCACTGCCTATCTCCCTCAAGACGGGAGTAGGGGGGTGGTGGCGGATCTGGAAGGCGATGGGAAGATGTCAGCCACATCCGTGCAAAAAACACCGGGCACAACTTCGTTTCCCTTTTTCTTTTTTCAAATTTTCTGCGGGCGCGATGGCCGATTTTACTAGTAGTCGGCGTCGCCTGTTTGCCAGGCCTAACCAAAGAGGGGGAGGGGATACCCGAGGACGGTCATGATATGATGAAGGGGGGCGGGCAAATGTCACGTCATAGGATGGGATGGGATGGGACGCGATGCCATCGGGGACAATTCATGGCTGGATAACATAACGAACGGGCGTATTTCTTGGGCTAATGTACATTTAATTCGAGCATTGCGAAGGATGGAGCATCACAAATGGAATGGAATGCTCTCCCACCTATCCTGGGCTAGTATCGTGATCGGGTTGTCTCCGGGTAGTTGTGACAGTTCCTGTGGCATTCGGGTATGATGGCCGGCTGGTGCAAAAGCCTTGGGCATATGGTTTAACTAGAAAAACGATCGGCACATGTTATCACCACCACCATCACACACAGCAGCAAAGTCAAGGAGACCGCAATCTATTCCCTGTCTGTTCCGAGTGCGCCGGAATGACAGCCACGCCGCCGCTATCGGCGGGCCACCAAAACACTGTCCCCGTCCCCAAACTACGGCCGCCCCAATCTATCCGACTCCGCCTCCCAGACCCAGTAAAGCAAGCATCCATCCAGTCTCTACCAACGCAATCTCGCACGGGCAGGTACGGTTCAGCTAGCCTGAAGGTAGGTAGGTAGCTATCGGATCCCCGATGACCATGATCTCATGATGTCATGACGATTAAAGGAAAAGAGCTAGAATACACAAGATCCCAGAGACCAGATAGTCCTATTAGACCCAACCTATTTAGCCGTAGAGATCGTCGTCGTTGCCAGCATCGCCGAATGAGTTGCCAGCACCGCCGCTGCCCTCGACACCACCCTCGGGGAACTTGAAGAAGGCCCCAGGGCCAGTGTTCTTCATCTGCTGGGCAAACGCCTCGTAGCGGCGGATCTCGACGTCCGTGACCGAACGACGGGCCATCTGCATGGCCTCCTCGAAGTGGCGCTTGGTGAGCTCGGGGACCGGGTCCTCGTCATCCTCCATCTCGACATCCTCGCCGGCAGCCTCGCGTTCCTTGGTGCGCTGGATATCAATAGAGATAGACTCCTTGATGGCCAGCTTGACGGCACGCTGGGTGATGAACCCCAAATCGGCACCAGAGAAACCGTGCGTCTTGGACGCAATGAAGTTGAGGTCGACGTCGCCCGAAACAGGCGTCTTGCGCAGCTGGGCGCTGAGAATGCCCAGACGACCAGCCTCATCGGGCAGCGGGACGTAGATGAGCGAGTCGAGACGACCGGGACGGCACAGGGCAGGGTCAAGCTGCTCCGGCCGGTTGGTAGCGCCGATGACGAAAACGTTCTTCTTGGAGGTCATGCCGTCCATTTCTATCCTTGACGTTAGTACGGCACGAGACAAAGGCTAAGCGTACAGAGTGACTTACCAGTAAGGAGCTGGTTGACGACGCGGTCTGAGGCGCCGCCAGCATCGCCAACAGAGCCACCACGGGCCTTGGCAATGGAATCCAACTCGTCGAGGAAGACGACACAAGGGGCAGCAGCACGGGCCTTGTCGAAAATGTCGCGGATGTTGCTCTCGGACTCACCAAACCACATAGACAGCAGCTCGGGGCCCTTGACAGAGATGAAGTTGGCGGCACACTCGTTGGCGACGGCCTTGGCCAACATTGTCTTACCCGTACCGGGGGGACCATAGAATAGGACACCGCGGGACGGCGAGAGACCGAACTTGAGGAACTTCTCGGGGTGGTCGACGGGGTACTGGACGCTTTCCTTGAGTTCCTGCTTGACGGTCTCGAGACCGCCGATGTCTTCCCAGCGAACGTTGGGAACCTCGACAACAGCAACCTCGCGAAGCGCCGAGGGGTTCGACACGCCGAGGGCAAAGCGGAAGTTCTCCATAGTGACACCGAGCGAATCGAGAACCTCGGCATCGATGGTGTCCTCGTCGAGGTCGATGAGATCCATCTTCTCGCGAATCTGCTGCATGGCGGCCTCAGAGCAGAGGGCAGCGACATCGGAACCGACGTAACCGTGGGTCTCGGCGGCAATCTGCTCGAGATCGACGTCGTCACCGAGCTTCATGTTCTTGGTGTGGATCTGGAGAATCTCCAGACGACCGGTCGGGTCGGGGATGCCGATGTCGACCTCGCGATCGAAACGGCCAAACCGACGCAGAGCGGGGTCGATGGAGTTGGGCCTGTTGGTCGCCGCCATAACCACCACGTTGGACCGGGCCTTCATGCCGTCCATCAGGGTGAGGAGCTGAGACACGACACGGCGCTCGACCTCGCCGTTTGTCTTGTCACGCTTGGGGGCGATCGAATCGATCTCGTCGATGAAAATGATGGCGGGCGAGTTCTTCTCGGCCTCCTCAAACGCCTTCCTCAGGTTGGATTCAGATTCACCAGCCATCTTCGACATGATCTCGGGGCCGTTGATAAGGAAGAAGAAGGCGCCCGTCTCGTTAGCGACGGCACGAGCCATCAGCGTCTTACCGGTACCCGGGGGGCCGTAGAGCAGCACGCCGCGGGGCGGCTTGATACCGATAGACTTGAAAAGTTGGGGATGGCGGAGCGGCAGCTCAACCATTTCACGGATTTGAGCCATCTGCTTCCGGCAGCCACCGATGTCGTCGTATCCGACCTCGTTGAGGTTGTTCTCCTCCTCGTCGCGCTGGATAGGCTCGCCCTCGCAGTGGATGACGGTGTCCTGAGCAACGATGCCGTACTCGGGCGGATCGACCTCGACGACCTTGAACTCTACTTGCCTCATGCCACCGCGCACGATGAACAGGTCACCTTGCCTGACGGGCCGGTAGGCTTCCCGGAAGTATGGAGCGAGGAACACATCGAACAGAGACCCCGTGAGGCCCTCGATCGTATCGGCGATGGGAAGAACCGCGATCCGCTTGGCCTATTTTGATTGTTAGTTTGTGGTGAACCCGGCTGCCTGCAAATAATACGCACATATTTGATATCCGGGCAAGGGTGGATAGTGATGATATCGCCGTGCTTGACCCGCAGGTTGTGGCGGACAACCCGGTTAATACGGGCACTGCCGTCATCAAGGTCGTCGTCGGCCAGAACGATCAACACGGTATCCTTCCTCTTCTTGCCGCGAACCAGCACTGTGTCACCACGGAACAGCTGGAGGGCATCCATGGTGTTATTTGAGAGGGCAATAATCGAGTTGTCATCGTTAACGGCATCGGTCACCCTGGAAATGTCCCGTCAGCTAGCGATCAGAACATTATTATCGTCGATTCCACCTTACATTAACTGGTTGGGCTTCTTCTTCTTTTTGAGGATGGCGGTTGCGGTGTCATCCTCATCCTTGCGTTCAGCCCCGGAGACATCGCTGTGTCAAAGTTAGCTAACTGTCGATCGCACGCCAGGCTCGAAAGCATCTCCAGAGGGCCCACGTACGCCAGATTGACCTTCTTCTTGTGCTCCGGGTGGTCGGGGGTGGGCTCGGGAGCCATCTTGCTGGCCTGAGCGCGAGCTGCGGAAACAGGCGGGGTGGGAGGAGTGTGCTCTGGTGCGGGGTTGCGAGAAAGAGGATATTTTCGCAACGAAAAGGGAAAAGGTGTTGTAATGAAGAGGATGCTTCGAATATCAGGTTTTTGTGATGAAGGAGGAAAGCCTTGTGTTTAACGGCCTTCCCTTGAAGAGGTGGATGGATGTCGGAAGTTGCCTCCACGCTGCGGGACAACAGGCGGCAACTCAGTGACGTGCGGAGCTTGGGCGGCGAAGCCCGTGCGTTCTTAGGCACGTTTGAGGCCTGGCCCGAGCGTCAATCATGGCCAACCAACCAAATGGATGATGCGCACTCGCCGTGTGGAACCTTCTGGTTCAACTGTCTTCGACCAACTTCGATTTGGAGTTGTCACCGTCCCGTTTGCACGCCAAACGCTGCCGGCTGTTCCATTCTGAAGCTATGAGAAGACGGACGACGTGTTCTCTTTAGTGCCTCTAACCCAACCTAATCATTTTCTATTTATTTCTTTTGATTTTATTTTTATTTCTTTTGCCTCTCCGATTTCTTTTGGCGAAGAGGCAAACCCGCAACCCCGGGTGACCTTATCTGGCCTCGCCTCCGATCCGACAATGCCACCGGCCACCGGCCACCGTCCTTCATGCACCGTTCAGCGAGCCTGAGCCCCAAGCGGATATTTTCGGGAGTACATGCTTACAAAGCCATGAACTCGCGACAGCAAGAAAACCCCGAGTTGAAAGTTATGACCGAGGTAGTTAGAAACTGGCCAGTTGTGTTGACGCAATCAACCACCCAACCGCCAGCCACTGTCTCCTACAGGTGTGTTATCCAAGAAGTCTTAGTGATTGCTTGGCATGGAGCTTGTTGTGTTTGACGGCAACTTGCAGATGTGGTTTGACATGCTACTTCAAGGGCCCATAGCCGACCCCTCGGCTCAAACTATATCGATGATAAGGGACGGCCCATCGCAACGCCTGCATGCATCGTCACAATGATGGGCCTGCATAATTAGCTGCTCCGCAGCTCACCCCGTATCCGAATCCCTGGTCAATCCCCTTTGCTGTGGGCGGTATTCAAGAAGTACCACCGGCGATTAGCTCCATTCCTACGCTGGGGAAAGCCTTCGAAGACCGGTGCTCCTGAACCGAAGGATGGGGGCTTCGTTAATCTGATGTGCTACGAGCCCACCGTCTCCACGTGTGAGAAGACAGGCGTCTGCTCTGCCGAGAACTGTCACACCTCTTCTCGAAGGCCCGGGAACGGTCACGGAAGTGGCTTCCTCGCATCCTTGTCCCCCGCACAGCCAAGATGTCGGCCGTTGGACAACGAGGAGCCGCATGGAAGCCCGGCAGACATTTCCTGGGGGTGAGGAGGGTAAGACTGCAGGTGATGCAACCTTGTTGGACACCACGATTCCCGCACTTTGTTGTCTCCGCTGGTCTCGTCTGGTCCATCGACGAGGGCCATATAACCCACATGCCGTGATATGTTTTGAGCTGTAGCCACTCTCACCTGCGGCACAGTGAGCTCAAGTCGGGGGATTGGTGCTGCCGACCCTCGAGGGCTTTGGGATGACACCTAAGGGATTGTCGCCAAACGAGACCTTGCTGACGGGATGCTCTTGGCTTCAAGGCATCAGTCAACGAACCCCTTTATTTGCTGGGGACGGAGCTTGCTCCGCCCTCGCTAGGTGCGGCTCTAAGACCGAAACAACACTGCAAGATTCAACAACAGGGCGACAAAAAGCCGGCGTGATTCTTTGAGCAAGGCTTTACGGCAAAAAAGGGGCCGAGAAGTAATCGAGCTGTCCCGACTGCGACCTCTAGTGTATTTTCTTGCAATATTTGGGACAGATTCGTCGGCTTGCCTGAGTTGCCGCGAGGCCATGATTACTTGGTTCATCTGATCCGACAGAGTCGGAAGTTGAGTCTCGCAGGCAACAAGGAAAATGGCAGAGAATATATTAGATCGTGGCTGGTTTCGTGTTTCAGCGTTGGTGCTGAGGAAATATCTCTGCCTGAAAAGGAGCTTTGTGTAAAGCACCAACCCCAAAGCTTGTGCCGTTTTTCACCGTCCGAAGACCAGCTCGCCAGATCCAAGTGGGTTCCACTGGAGGGCTTGGCCGGCAAGGTGTGATTGGGGGGCACGAAGAAGCGGTGTCGTTAACAACCTAACCTGCTGATGGAGGCTGACGGGAATTAGAGCTCGATTTGTATTTCCAATCGACACTAATAAGAGGGCCCGAATCCTCGCACGATGAACAGACGTTCTCGATGGCTCGAGAGCCGTTAGTGGGGGGTTGTTTTGGGTGTCGTGGGTGCAAGAAGTTTAACTATAACCCCTATCATGATTGGTTCGGCACCGATACTATCAGGGGAGGCATGTCTCGGTGCCGAAGAACCCTGCAGTTTAGTTGCGGCGAAGGCAAGGGGATGTTCCACACCAGGCATCAAGACGACGCTCCCTGGACAGTAATGATGGCAGAAACAAGTGAACAATACCGAGGGCATCCCAAGAAATCAGAGGCACATACAGACTCGATTTAGAGATGATTACGCTATCGTGGGGGTGGAGGGATGTTTCGATCCGAGTACCGATTTCCTCGATCTCGGGTCCCGTTGGGGGCCGATGGTATCCAGTGTGGGGGCCGAGAGCCTCAAGAGAGGATCATCTAGCATTCCAGGGGGGTTAAGCTTTCGGCTTGAGCGAGACCGGGATGGGGCGGGTGCAGCAGGTGAGATGCATGTCTGGAGATTTGCAAGGCTAGTTTCTCACCTCATTTCTGCAACGGTCCTGCATCAAAATTCCTGGAAGCGAGGGCCCCAAGATAGACGAATTGGGATAGAAATCTCGAGTTGCAGCCAATTTCTGCCGTCTTGGGCACGGGCAGGAACCTTGATGTCAGTCGAACTCTCCCAACACTCTCGCTCCCCCACACTTCGACCCGCCTTTCCCGTGATTTGTGCGAAGACTTGACTGTGGACAGGGCTGAGCTGGTGTGGTTTGTCTCTGGGAAAGAACAAGCGTCCCAACGCCGCAAACACCAGAACGGAAGGAACTTGGCAACCTGGAGAAACCTCGAGCGCCGAGTTTTAGCATTTCCGGTTCAGGGAAACCTAAGGTTCCATACTACCCTAAACATCGACCTTTGGGTGATGGGCGGCGGGGTTGTAGCCTTCCCGTGCCTTCCATCTCTCACCTCGCAAATCACCCATTTGTTTGGCAAGTGTTCTGAAACCGCGTCCCAGCCGTCTCCTTCATTTCTCCCACCGTTAGTTACTACTACCTTGTTTTAAGCGAGCAAGTAACATCGCTCTTTTGCTCCATTTCCCGCAATATCCGCTCGCAGCAGGGGCTCCCCCGGAACAAGCAACTGCTCCGTTGCTCCCACACCGTCCACGTCTCCCCCTCCGCAATCCACACTTCCCCCCCTCGCACCCAACCCTCCGGATTGGTTGGTAAGCGCTCACGGCGTCACCAGAAATGCAGGTCAGCTTGTAGCCCCTACATAGTAGGGCTCGTGTGACACCAGCTGTATGGTTCTGGGCCGTTTCGAGGTGTTTTTTTGAGGCGGAGTCTCCAACTCCATCGATTTGACACGCTCACTATGCAGGTGCTAACCTCCGGGGGACTCCGGCGATAAGCTGGCCGCGTTCACCTTCCCCTCTACACTCCATACACTAGCAGCCCCCCTGTCCCGCCCAGGCCAGTGGCCAGAGACCTGCTGGCAAACCCGGCCGGATCCTCTGCTCCCCTGCGGCGCATTTGTGCCATGTGTCTCCGTACCGAGAATGTCGGCGCCTGCTTGGCACCCCTCTACACTAGTCGCGGGGAGCACCCGCCATTCCCAAGGCCCCAGTCTTGCCGGGACAGGCGGAGCACGAGGACGGGCAGGCAGTGGTGGTCAGATCCTTGATGCCAGTCTATCTAAAGTGTTACACACCCCGTTGGTGGTCGCTGGTAGCGGCATGGTTTGAAAAAAGTCGCCGGGAGCAACGCTTACATACAAGTATATGGATGGGTTTGACCGCCACCTCGCGTACCCCACGGTCCTCCCCTCTCGGATCGATCTAGGTCGTCGTTTCGGTAAATCTCACCACCCAAACCCACTTGGTCGAACGCCCAGAAAGAAGGGACTCCTGTGTAAGGGAGCAGAAAGAGCTGGGGAAATCCGAGCCAGCGGGTAGGAAAGAAGAAAGAGGGAATATACCCGTCCAACATGGGGCTCGACTCGGACTCGGCCGCATCCAGCAACCGCCCCCCGCAGTCTGGGAGGAAAGGGTCCAAGAAGGTCAGGACCGGCTGTATAACATGCAAGTAAGTCCTTGACCACCCTCCACGTTGTCGCCATGCCTCCCCGGTCCTCATCTCGGTCGGCCACTTGCCCCGAGAGAGATTCGTGCTCCTCTCGTGGGGGGAGGGTGAGGGGGCTGACGACAAGCTGATGACAGCGGGGCGCTCGCAAGAGATCATTGCTGACCTCGGACTCTGTTTTGCCGCGGGACAGGATCCGCAAAGTCAAGTGCGATGAAGCAAAACCATTTTGCATGCGCTGCACCAAGACGGGCCGCAGATGTGATGGCTACCTCGACGCCAAAACCATGGCGCAACGACGGCGCCGGTCCGGTGGACCGATCACCAGTAGCGTGGGCGAACCACAAGCACCGCTAGCACTGTTTTACGACTGGGCATCCTCGGACGACAGGAGAGCCTTCCACTTCTTCCAGCACATCACGGCACCTTGTCTGTCGGGAGACCTCGACGGCGCCTTCTGGCGGGTACTGGTGCTCCAAATATGCCAGTCCGAGCCCGCCGTGCGACATGCCGTTCTCGCCGTGAGCAGCCTCCACGAAGGGATGGTACAGGCGACGATGACCCCTTATCTCAACGCCGAGGACCGGAACTCATTTGCCCTGTATCAGTACAACCGGGCTATCGCCTGTCTGCTGGACCAGATGCGCACCGTTGACGCCCGGCCTCTAGTCCCTCTCCTCACCTGTGTGCTTTTCGTGTGCATTGAGCTCATGCAGAGCAAAGACAGGGAGTCGCTCCTCCATCTCGAACAGGGCCGCCAGATCTTGAGCCAGTTGGGCCGCAAGAACCCGACGCGGAACCCCGAAATCGACCTCATCAAGCAGCACCTGGTGCCCATGTATACCAGGCTCAGTCTGACGTCGCTCATGTTTGGCGGCGAGCCCGTGGAGATACCGTCACCGCTCAAGACGCTGACCGAGGTTCCCATGATGTTCGAGACGATCGACGAGGTTCGGTACGCGCTTTACGACTTTATGGACCAATGCCTCCGGTTTGCGAAGACGACGCGGTTGGCCAAACTCAGTGACATCCCCCCGGAGCAGATGCGGGCATTCGAGAAGGAGCAGGACCATCTACTGAGGAAACTCGCCAAGTTCAATGTCGCCTTCTCCCTATACCGGTCGACGAAATCCCGCGGCAACCTGGTGGGCCCGATTGCTCTCATACAGATACACATCCACACGACGTTTATATGGGTTTCGACGGCCCTCAGCCACCACGAGACAGTCTTTGACGATTACGTCGATACGTTCTCGGCCATTATCCCGCTCGCGACTGACTTCATCAACTCGCTCAGTGTCCCACCAGCGCACCCAGAGCAGCACGGCGCGCCGGCAGCCCCTGCGCCGTCGGCAGCCGACACACGGCGGTTCGCGACGGTGTTTACGTTCGAAATGTATATCATCGCGCCGCTGTACTTCGTGGCCGCCAAGTGCAGGCATCCGATCATCCGGCGTGCCGCGCTCGACCTTCTCCGACGGAACCCGACGCGGCGCGAGAACTTGTGGCGGGCAAACGTTATGGCTGCTATCGCCGAGCGGACGATGCGGATAGAGGAGAAGCACTTGCGGGCGAATAGCCAGCCCCACTCTCCGCAGCCCTCGCCGCCTGAGTTGCCCGGGCTGTTTCCCCATTCTTCGGTCCTCGGACAGGATCCATGGGACTCTCACATGTCGGATGCACCTTTCCCGGACGGTTTTGGCTCGATAAACGTCGCTCCGGCGGTCACATCCTCGTGTTCGTCGTCTTCAGCGACGGGTAGCGCCGAGGTGGGAAGCATGAGCGATATGGCAGGGCACATGCCGATCGACCCGACGCTGTTCTTCGACCCGGCCGAGGGGTCGGCGGCCCATTCCTTCAGCGTCACACCCTCGGTTGCGTCTTCGCTCGACGAACTTCCCGGCCCTGCGACATCGACTCCGTACATGGGCGGGTCCGGCGACGGGTCATCCGAATTGTGGAGCGGCACGACGTCCCACCCGCCGGGCATCTCGCTCGAGCCGGCCACGCCCATGGATGGCAGCCCCTTCATGATGCCCCTACAGGCGCACTCCCACCACCCGCAGACGCATTCGAGTTCGCACTCGCGACAGGAGTCCGGGTCGCCGTCCGTGGCGTCGGACGAATCCCCTCAACTTCAGCCGATGGGCATGGACATGGGCCCGGTGTCGGGGATGAACATGGGCGGCTTCATGCAGTACCAGGGCCTGAGCGTGGGCCAGCTGAGTCCGGTCACGGGGAAGCGCAGCGCGGATGCGCCGTACGATGTGCCGGAGCGGTTCCGCGTGCGTGAATCGATCATCGGACCGGATAAGGAGGATGGCACGAGCTGGGTGATGCTGTTCAGGAAACTGGGCGGGCTGAACGCCGAGTGGGACGTGTCAACCGAGTACGTTGCCGTTGCGTAGGCGGGTCTGGGTGCGGCGGTGGGAGGCGTTTTGGCGGGATATAATGTTTGGATGGAATACACGAGGATAGATACCCGGGTCAAGAGCAATCTTTGATGGGGCGTTGGATATGATGGATTTAGAAAACATGGGGGCGGAGAGCGGTGGTTGGGACAGGTCCCTACTATGTAAGGCTTTCGTGCTGTAAACCTTGCTCTCCATACCTACCTACCTATCTTACAAACAAACACTTAATATTCAAAGTTACATTTTTTTTCTTTTTTGAAAACAGTCCGACATTGGAATCAGATTCGGTCGGGGGCGCGGGGCTCACTTACGAGCCTGTTTCACCTTTTGCCCCGCCAACTCCGGAAGACGCGGGAGTCTCTCAAGCACACGGCTGCTGCGACTTAAAAGAGAGGCAGTTAACGAGGTGGTTCTCAAGTGACATCAACCGCCACCGAAGCTTGCACCTGACCTTTTTAAGCCCCAACCCACTCATTCATAACTATCCGATCTCACGATCGCACCCACTCGCACGAATCAACACTGATGATTGCGGAATCTCACCAACAACCCATCAACCATTTATAAACAAAAACAAAACAGTTCTCAGTCAAAAACGACCAACAACTTCGTAAAACATCAGAATTCTGCTAGACACACATACACAACAATGCCCCATGAAACAGAAGAAGAAGTGATACCCGTCCCCAAAGTAGGAGACAGCGCCCCCTCTCTGGGCAAGGACACTCATATCCCCAAAGACAAGGCCGTGATCCTCGTCTTTCTGCGGCACTGCGGCTGCCCTTGTAAGTCATTGTCGAGGCCAAATACTGTTTTTCCCTTCTTTTCTTTTTATATATTAATCAGTGACATGGTAATGGTGTTGTCTAACACGGGTGTTTGGTGTCAGTCGCCGAAAAGACATTCAAACTGCTCACCGACCTATCAAACCACCACCCGGAAGTCCACTGCATCGCCGTCTCCCAGTCGGGTCAGGAGGAGACAGATCGGTGGTACGTCCGTCCCACCTCCTCTCCCCATCCCCCATCTCCCATCCTCCATCCTCCATCCTCCACCCCCTCCCTCTCACCCTCCCTTCATCGACTAACAACCCACCCCTTGGCAGGATCGTCCAAGCAGGCGGCGAGTGGGAGGTCCAGGTCCTCGTCGACCCCCAGCGCGCGCTCTACCACGCCTGGGGTCTGGGCCTGAGCTCGACCTGGTATGCTGTCAACCCGCTGGCCATGTGGCACACGTGGAAGCTGGGCACGGAGGAGGGGATCTGGTATGTTTTTTTTGCGTAGCAACAAATACCCCGGTGGCTCCCTTCCCCCCTTTTTTTTCTCTGTTGGTTGTTGCTGACGACGTTGGACAGGAACCGGAGTGCGCAGAGTGGTAGTCGGTGGCAGATTGGGGGGGCGTTTGCGGTTGATGCGGATGGGGTGGTGAGGTGGTCGAGGCCGGCGGGGAGTGCGGATGAAGTGCCGGATTTTGGGGAGGCGTTGAGGGTGTTGGGGGTTGAGTAGGGGGTGGATTGGTTGGGGGGTCTGTCTGTCTTTTTGTTTCGGTGTTGGTGCATGGCTTTCTTGGAGTTTGGCTAGGGATGGATGGGAGGTGTATTGGTCAAGTACTGCGAAGGAGTTCTGTTATCTCGGTGGTGTTTTCTCAGTGGTAGCCTCAATAGAATGGTCGAACGGGCATGTCTCTCTTACAACTTTACAACCTTCGAAACACCTCCTCGATCGCGCCCGCCACCCTCTCCACAATCTCGGCCACCAGCTTGGCCGAGATATTGTACGCCGGCATGATCATGATATGGTCGCCCCGTCCACCCCCAGCGCACCCCTGACCATGGTATACCAACACCCTAAACTCCCTCACCGCCGTCTTATGCACCTTTTCAGCAACCCCCAGCCCAGGCTCAAACGGCTCCTTCGTCCCCCTATCCTTCACAAACTCCACACCCCAAAACAGCCCCCTCCCCCTCACATCACCCACATTCGGGTGCATCCTCAGCCGCTCTCTCAGCAACCTCCCCAACAGCGCCCCCTGCACGCGCACATTCTCCAACAACCCCTCCCTCTCCACCGCCCGCTGCACCGCCAGCGCCGCCGCCGCCACGACCGGGTGATTCTGGTACGTATGCCCATGCGTAAACACCCGCCCCTCCCTTTCCATCAACCCGGCCACCCGCGCCCCCACCAACAGCGCCGACGCCGGCGCGTACCCGCCCGCAAACCCCTTCGCCACCGCCTGCAGATCCGGCACCACCCCCACCCCCTCTCCTACTTCATTAGTCTCCCCCTGCCACGCATGCGTACTCCCCACCCTCCCCATGCCGCACATCACCTCGTCCAGCACCAGCAGCGCGCCGTGCCGGGCGCAGACCGCCTTCATGGCGGCCAGGTAGCCGGCGGGGGCGGGCATGCAGCCGAGGGCGGCGCCGACGACGGGCTCGAGGACGACGGCGGCGACGGTGTGCGGGCCGAGGCGGGCGAAGGCGGCTTCGAGTTGGGCGGTTTTGTGGGAGAGGTAGGCGGCTGCTGCGGAGGCTGCGGAGGGGGGGGAGGAGGAGGAGGGGGTTGTTGTTGGGGAGGGTGTGGTGGTGTTGTTGTTGCTGGGATGCTGGGGCTGGTACTGGCCCTCCTCCTCGCGGTAGGGGTTGCAGGCGGGGATGTGGTGGAAGTGGGACGGGGAGAGGAGCGGGTGGAAGGGCGCGCGGCGGGTGTGGTCTGTTGGGGAGGGGGGGGGGTGTTAGTTTGGCGGTTCTCTTTTTTTTCCTCGGTTGTTTTTTTATTATGTTTGTGGACACTCACGGCCTGAGACAGAGAGGGACCCGAGGGTGGTGCCGTGGTACGAGTCATGGCGGGCGATAAAGTTCACGCGCTCTGGCTCGCCCTTCCAGCGGAAGTACTCGACAGAGAGTTTCAGAGCTGCCTCTATCGCCTCGGAGCCTGAGCAACGTCAGGAGGAAGTCAACTAAAGAAGGGGTAAAGGGGGCTTACCGGAGCACATGACGTAGACTTTCTGCATCTGGCCGCCGGTGCTCTTGATGAGCCAGTCCGAGAGCTCCTGGACAGGCGTCGTCTGGAAGTGGGCGTACGAAGCGTACGTGTACGACTCCATCTGGGCCGTCACGGCCTTGATGATGTCCCGGCAGCCGTGTCCAAGGCAGGCCACGCCGGCCCCGCCGCAAGCATCGAGGATCTTGGGGCCCTTAACAGGGTACCAGTAGTGGCCTTTGGCCTTCTTCAAGACGGGGAGTCCATCGAGGGGGGTCTGGGGATGGCCCAGGTCTGAACATGACTCGGTGATGTCGTGTTCGGTTTTACGGGGGAGGATTCGGCTGGTTGACTTGGACGACGTCGAGAGGAACTGCCCCATCTTGACTTGACGCACAGAGAAGGTCCTGGCTAAGGAAAAGCGAAGCAGCCATGGACGTCAAAGTCGCGGCGCTCCAGGAGGATAGCCGAGCACATGAGCATCTCTTATAACCGTTCATAGGCGAGAGAGAGAGAGAGAGTGTCGCTTCCCTTCTCACCCATTTTCCCAGTTTTCTAACCGTCATTGGCCAACACCACTTCACTTCACCGTGATAATCCCGTCCGCGCTATTTCGGCAGTCGCGCCGACGCGGGTACCACTTGGCGATGCCGACGGACTCTCTTCCCGTACAGGCGGTGGTCAGCCGCTCACACCCACGCCGGTGTGAAAGGCAAGGGTACCAGCAGGATCGGCTTTGACAAGCCGTTGGCCACACGCAAGCGATGTGGGGGGCCGTTGGCTGCTGCAGATGTCAAGTATGTACTATGTAAACTTCCTGATGTGTACTATGTACACGCTTGGTGGGATATGGGGGGCGTCCCTGGTGTTGGACAGGCGGAATCATCGGGTGGCGAATTGGTGACCTGTCTCACACGACAGAACTTCTCGAAAGAACCCGGGATGCACCGCCCGGTCGCATCACCCCACGCGCGGGCTATGAATTGTGACGTTGGCGGGCAGGGGAGAACCGGGTGATGGTGGTATGGAGGGGGTTCCGGATGGATGATGGCGCCAGGGGGTCGCTCTACCACCTCATCACATAGCATTGAGAGCACTGACACTGATGAGACACGGACTGTCCTCCGTTGCAGTGCCAGTTAAAGCCGGTCCATGGCGAAATCCGTCCCTGGTCATTCCACTTTCCCTTTTCCCTTCAAAAAGGGAGTAAAGGAGGGGGGGGGGCTTGTCGACAGCCAACAGCCCGTGTTCAACCCCCAACGAGCCAACCTCCGGTTCACCGACTCGCGAACCAGCCAAGCACCGGACCGGTAGGGGGCCATCCCAGAGTCGGCACGGATGCGGCACCCAATAGGGTTCGCCACATTCGCGGAATCCCCCCTCCCCAGGTTCCCGATTTTCCCGTTCGGAGGACAAGTGACTCCTAAAAAAGGGCGTGTGTGCGAAAAGAGAATGCTCAGACGGGAAGCGGCGTGCCGAGGCCGGTATGCCGAATCCGGGGACGGGAACTCGCACAGATTCTGCATGCCCCCCTCGCGTGGTGCCGCGTGTGCATCACCACCCCCCCTCACCCTTCCCCCACCAACTGGTCGAGTTGGATGGTTGTGCCCAGAGTGTCGGGTCCCAACACGGGGTTGACCCGTTGGCAACCGCAAGGTGCAGGAAAAGTGTGATTCGGGCAGCATGATGTTTAGGTGGGATAAAAAGATCTCCAGTCACGTTTCCGGAGGCCGCCTGCGGACAGAAAACTGTTGACTCACCGACTGGATGGGGATGACATGTGTCAGAATGGAGGAAGGGGGGGAGGGGGGGTGGAAGAAACGGATGCAAGTCAGATTCCCCCCTCGGCAGCCTCAGTCAGACTGCCAACAAGCCAGTCGCCGGCCCTTCCCGAGCCTGGTGAAGGACCGGTCAAACATGTCGAACCACCGGAGTGAGGGAGATGGGGGCTGAAAAGAAACACTGGCCCGAGCGTTTGTCGACTGTCATCGGCCCGAGTGGTGTATGACGGTTGGGCGTGTCAGCCGAAGCGGTGACCGCTCCGGAGTGGATGACCTCAATTCTAGAATCCGGCTAGCTTCGAGAACCACATCATGTAGGAACACAGCTGAATATGACGATCGGTCAAAGGAAAACTCGACTCGCTCCAGTGAAAACAAGCTCAGGGTACCGCCTCATCCCTCACCGACTCCTGAGCTCCGACATCCCAACCCTTGGCCACACGCTGACCGCAACGTGTGGCAGCCCTGCCTTCCACGTTACCTTGGCTGGGCTGACAGGGTCCACTGAGGTTCTCGGCCCTGCATCACCACCTCTTACTCGTGTATGTATGTCCTGTGTACGCTCTGCAAGGGGAACCCCGGCTCGAATCCAAGATGTCGCAGAAGACTGGCAGAAGACTCGCCGGAGGAGTACTTTGGGCACTCCCGGCGCGATCAAACCCAACTCCAACTACACAGTAAGCACACGAGGCCCACACCAGCCCCTCAAGCGAGCGAGGACCCAAGACAAGACGCGGAGGAGATAAATCATGCCATCGTATCAGCTACCATATCTTGCCTCAGTATAACAATATGGGGGACAGCTCCGAAGCACACCGACCGACGCCCGCAAAAAAAGCAACAAAAAAAGCAACAAAAAAAGAGTGACAGCAAAAGGAATGCATCAGTAGAAAAGACTAAAACGTATCCTCGTGCCCACAAAGCCAAGTCAGCAAGCATCATACATCCATCCATCGCCGTCAGTCGGCGGCCCAGACACGCCAACCGCCATACTCCGCCAAAAGCACACAGAACAAAACCGACCCGAGCCAGAACGAGGAACAAGAACGACCGCCGACCGTTTGCTAATACCTAGCCAATAACGTTACTGACGCCGATACTGCTGTAACTGCTAGTGATAAACCGACCGACCTTTGTCCCTAACGATATATCAAACAGCCGGCCCCTCGCGCTTAAAAAAAGAAAAGAAAAAGGAGGTGAGAAGAGCAAGCAAGCAAGCCGGTAGCGATAAGCAGTGATAACAAATGACACCAAAAGTTTAGGTAGGTAGGTAGGTAGCTACGGTGATATTGCCACGCGGCGGACGGCTGACTTTGTCGAAGCACCTCGCGCAGTCGCACCAGAGCGCGCCCGCTAGGCGCTGCCGCTGGTGGACAAATCGCCGTTCGACGCCGGCTGGACCTGCTTGCCGTGCCCGACGGGGGCGTGGTAGCTGCCGATGCTCTGGAAACCCCTATCGCGCAGGTGTTAGTCGGCTGCTGCCTATCGTACTTTCCCGGTCTCGATGTAGCAAAGGGGAGGTAAGGGGTAGGGTAGGCACTCACTTAGTCAAATCGAACCCGCCGTCGTCCTCCTCGCCCGCGGGGCTAGGCGGCTCGTCCACGGGCGTGCGGCTGCTCGGCCGCGTGGGGCTCGGCGGCGCTGGCGACTTGCTTCGCGGCGGGCTGCTGCTCGGGGGCGGCAGGCCGGCAGGCGCCTTGGACGGGCTCAGGTCGAACGGCGCGTGCACGGGCTTGAGCGGGGTGCTCCCAATGTCGGCGTACTTCCAGAAGGGCGCAGGTGAGCTGGTCGGCATGTGCTGGCTGGGCCGCTGGGCGGTGCTAGGCGGCGCGAGCTTGGGGTGCACTCGGTGCGGAGCCGGCGTGACGAACGACGCACCGTCGTCTTGCAGGTACGACGACGTCAGTGTCGGTGATCCCGGCGCGTTCTCCACGAGCCCCAGCGTGCTCGACGTGTTGGCTTTCCGTGCACGCGGGAGGGGGCTGTCATCCCCGGCGCCGGCTTCGTCAGGCAACGGTTTCCGCATTGGACGCACAGGGGTCATGTGCGAGTCCCGCAGCTCCCGAAGCGACGAGCGGGGTTGGGGTGACCCCGATGGCGACACCTTGCGCTTGCGCGCCGAGGCGGGGTCCCTGGCGGCCATGTCCCTGGGTCCCGAGGTGATGTAGCTCAGCTGACTTGGCGATGATGGGTTCGAGGAGCCACGATGGCCGCCGCGACCTCCTCGCCACGCGGTGCGCAGCATCTCCTCGCGAGACTCAGCGACGAGCTGCCATTTCATGCCTTTACCGGGCTCGTCCGTCGAACGCGCGATCTTCTCAAATGCCTTGTTCAGAGACAAGTTGTGCCGAATCGAATTCTGTGAAAAGTTAGCGCTGTGTGTAACATTGAATGATCACAGGAGGGAACCTACCTGCCAGCCGGTGGCGGGCTGATGCCTGTAGTACGCGTATCGTGTTTGAATATAGTGATAGATGCCGGCGAGGTTGAGCTTCTGCTCCGGCGTATTCATAATCGCTTGTGTAATCATCTGTGCATAGCTAAACTGGGGCTTGATGTGCCGGTTTTCATCCAGACTCAAATCAACATCGCTGTTGCTCATCATCAACGGTCCGGCGCCGTGGTCAACCAGCGGCGTCTTGGCCGCTGTGATGGCACGGGCACGGGCGGAAGGGGGTGTACCCGGCCGTTTGTAGTCCGGCGGGGCTGGAGCCAAGGGCTTCTGAGAGCTTTGGCCGCGCGACGATTTGGTCGGGGAGCTCGCGTGGGCGCTGTCCCCCGATGGTAGAGGGTGCCGGGTTGGCCGCGCGGGGGTTGTGGAAGGCTCCGGCTTGACAATGCCGGCGCGCTCTAGGTACTGCTGGGCGATCTGAAGCGGGCTGAGGTCGATGGGAAGGACAAACATCATCTCCACGCCGCCAACCTCGATGACCTCACCACTCCGCAGCGGGCCGGCCTGGCCCGCCTTCCACAACGACCCATCCACCTTGAGCGAGTTGCGACCCTTCACGAGCAACCACCATTTCTCCTGGTCGCGATTGAAGTAAACTACCGCGTGAAGCCGCGAAACAAGCTTGCTAGGACCCAAGTCAATGTGTATAGCGTCGGGATCCTCCTGATTTTGGTCGGGGTCCTTCTGGTTCTGGTCCGCTCGGGCTTGAGCGGGGTCCGACGAGCGGCCAATGTTGACAGTCAGCCTCGTGATGTAGTATGTCCAATCCAGCGCCGCGATCTTGGCATAGGCCTTCACTCCCTCCTTGTTCGACTCGTGGATGCTATTGGAGTGGTCTTTGCTGGCTTGCACTTGCGCCGTGGGAGCTACCAAATGCTGGGTTACCCGGGTCACAAGCTGGTCGTCGTCTTCGATTGCGGACTGATCGGCGAGGTGAGACGAGTCGCCTTCGTCGACGGGCTCGGAGGTCTCGGTTGTTTCGGCGGCGTCATCATTCTACACAAAACGGATGGTTAGCGCCGTGAAGCAAAAGGAAAGAGGGAACAAGGCTGTAATCGCATCCACGAGTCGCAAAGCCGAGGCCGTGGTCGAGGTTCAGGTCGAGGTCGAGGTCAAGGTCGTGGGCTTCGCGACCGAGGGGCACGGGACATCCTTACCTTTCTGCGCCGCTTTGAGGGGCGGGATGGAGAGGACGATTCGGCGATCGCATCGCTGCGCAAATCACGGCGAACGCGTTGCGCGCGTTTGGTAGGGGTGGGCATTTTTTATTGCGTTACACCATGAGGTGAGGTACCGTGAAGGAGGGGTCGAAGGGGTTGGTTAGTTAAGTATATTCGGCGACGAGGTTGAGGTGGCAGCTTCGTTGCCCACTGGCTTTGCGAGAGCTTAGCACCGAATGCGACACGGTATATTCTTTGCGCGCAATGTCCAGAACACCCAAAATATGAATTGCCGTTGAGCAGCGACCATCCGAGATGGCGTGGTCGCAATGGCGTGTCGCTGTCCGAGTCACCAATAAAGCCGAGCTGAGTGTGGTTGTGGGCTTGGTTCGGTGCAGAACATGCAGAACTTGGTGAGTTCCAGGTCCAAGTTGTTTAATTGACTTGGGATTTTCGCGCCTTGAACGCGAGGAAGGGACGGAGGGGTCAGTGGCCAATCAGCCAGGTCTGTTCGCTGATCTTAGTGGGGCGAAGTGGGAATTCACGTGCGGTGCAACTGCACAAGCTCGTCATGTTGCAAAGGGAGCTGCACCTCCACTCCCAACCCCCTCTCTTCCAGTTTTAAGTCGGCCGAAGTCAACAAAGAAAGGCTCGGGTACAGACGGATTTCCGTCGAGGGTGCATCATTGTTTGGAACATATCTTGCAGATAAAGAAATTCCACTCTCGAGGTCTCAGCCCTAAATCTGCATCTGCATGCTTGTAGACTAGTGAACCTGACTTGAACAATCCCGTTGGTGGGTTTGTTCGCCGTGCGCCAAAAACGTTCGTTAGGTCACTACCTATTCCATCATTGTTCGCAGAACACCCATCTGGAGGATCAGGGGAACCCACGCCCTCCGATTTACCCAGCCACCCCAATTGACAATCACACCCTGAATCCTCATCACGAACTGTGATGAAAATAAAAATAGAAACAATATAAGAAATAAAAAGTAGAAAGCTGCAGAGATGCTGGAGAGAAGGTCAAGTCAAATTAACTATCTTGTTTACAAACTTCTACTCAGGGCAGGTGGATGTTCTGCGGGGCAAGTCAACCCAAGTCAAATGGCCACCACGCCGCCCTAAACCATGCCCCACGTGCCCACCACGCATTACCATACATGCAAAATTGCTTTCTGTAAATTGCTTTCCCTCGGGTTCGCAAAACACAAAGTACGGAACAGGGAATATTGGAGAGTGAAGATGTGTCTCATTAAAGGGTTCAACATCAACCAAACACGTCGCCCCGTGCATCACAGAGCAACAGCAACAGCAACAAGCCACCCCGTTCCTCCCCCGCCCCCCCCCCCCCCCCCCCCCCCCCTTTTCCTTGCCCCTCCACCGCCTAGGTCCTTACCCATCCATTCACCCACAACCCGCCAAGCCCAAGTTTATAGCAAAGTGACGATGATGAGATGATGATAAGGTAAAGACATGACACACCGCCCCAGCTTTTGCTTTTTATCCGCCCCTGATTCGCGCCCCGTGATGAGAATGAAAATAAAACCCAACATGCAAAGCCCCCCTTCCCCCCCTCCCCCACCTCCACCACACCTCCGCCTCCGTCATCATCATCACCCCCCTATTTTTGATTTCCAACACCGCCGGCCCCGCCTAACCTGGCCTATATTTACAAGAACCGCATAAATACAAATACACCTTCCGACAAATGCCACAGATCACCGCGCAACCTTAGACGATGTCGCCCGCTCAAGCGCTCCCACCAGCCGCACCACCTCGCCTCTTCGGGTTACCACGGCCGGCACGCTTCTTGCCGCCGGCACCGCCCGCGCCGCCCGACTTCTTCTTGTCGGTGCCCTCGATGTAGCGCACGAGCTCGTCGATGGTGCGGCCGTCCATGGACGGGGGCGGGGTCGGCTTGCCGGCGAACTCGGTGGCGGCCGCGCCGGTGGCGCCGGTGGCGCCGGTGCCGACGCTGACGCCGCGCGAGGCGAACCGGTACCCGGCGCGGGCGCGGCGCGCCTGCAGGTCCTTGGCCTGCTTGGCGATGGAGACGGCGTTGTGGGTGAGCTGCTCGAGCCAGTGCTCGGCCTCCTTGGTGTTCTTGTCGTCGGGCCCGAGCGAGGCGCGGAAGATGTTGTAACTCTCGCGCATGCGGTCCACGGCGGCCTTGGAGTCCTGGTCGAGGGCGAGGGCCTGCGCGAGCTGGAAGAGGAGCGTGGCCGAGTTGATGGATTGGCGGCCAAAGACCTTCTCGCAGACCCGGAGGGACTCCTCGAACCAGCGGCGGGACTCGTGGTACGCCTTGAGGCTCTGCAGCATGACGGCGTAGTTGTTGATGGTGGTGATGGTGTCCGGGTGGTCCGGGCCGTAGATGACCTTCCAGATGTCGAGCGCGTGTTTGGCGTAGCCCAGCGCGAGCTTGCTGTCGCCGCGCTGGTGGAGGAAAAGGCTCAGGTTGAGGTAGTTGAGCACCGTCTCGGCCGAGTCGAGGCCGACTGTCCGCTCGGCGACGATGGCGGCCTTCTTGGCTAGCTCCACGGCAGCGTCCTTCTGGTCGAGCTGGAAGTATAGCTGAGAGAGCGTGTGGTACATTTGGGCAACCTCGGGGTGAACGAGACCATAGATCTGCTCGTGCAGAGACAGCGACTCGAGGAGGAGGTCCTCGCCGAGCTTCCGCTGGTTCTGGTAGATCGACAGGCGGCCAGCCTCAAGAGCCTCCTCGGCTAGCGCGCTGCGCGGGCACGAGTCCTTGATGATGGGCACGATGTTGACAAAGTCATTAGGGGTGAATGTGTGCGGCGCAACAACAGGCGACGGCGCGGTGGACGGCGACCCATCGCGGGACTTCTTCTTGCCCTTCTTCTTCGTGGCCGGCTCGGCCTGGGGCTGGCCGTTGGTCTGCGGCGCAGGCTCAGGCTCGGCCGACTGACTGAAGCGGAACTTCTTGATCTGGATCTGGAGCCCGAGCTTCAGGGAGATCTCACGGAGGAGCTGCAGATGCCTGACCTGGCTCCACCAGTTATCCGGCAGGACAAAGCGGAACCTGCGAGTAGCCTCGCTCTGGACTTCTTCCCTCAGACCCTCGGGCGTGACCTTCTCGAATGCGAGATCGGCCTCATCAAAGAGTGAACGGTAAGACTCGTCAATGTCGGCGACCGGCTTGGCGTTCAGCTCTGTGCCTAGCAGGCAGTTGAAGAGGTGCGAGAAGCAGGACGAAGTAAGCGGGAGGGGTAGCGTCTTAAGATACTTGGAAGCCACATGCTTGAACGATCTCGCGATCATCTCGCGGACACAGACTTCACGGAAGCACTCCAGCCGAGTGTTTTCGCTCAGCGACGCCAGCTTACCAAGGTACCGCAGGTTGATACCGCGGCGGTGCATCAGCGAGGTCAGCGAGCGGCCGTCCATCGGGAAGCTGATATCGGACTCGTTGAGGTCCCGAATAAGAGCGGGGATGACGGTGTCGCGGAGGTAGGTGCAGGCATCGCGAACCTCTTGCTCGTCTTTCGTCATCTCTTCCTTTTCCTCGTCGGTCTGCGGGTTCTGGCCGCTGAAAACGTCGGGGTTCAAGGCGAACTTGAAGTTCGACATGTCGATCCGCTCGTTTTCCGTCTTTTCCTCATCCTTCTTTTCCTCGTCCTTCTCCTCGCTTGCTTCAACCTCCTCGCCCTCCGCCTTGGCCTCCTCGCTCTTCTTCTCGGCTTCCTCGGCATTCTCCTCTTCCGGCTTCTCCTCCTTGGTCTCCTCGACCGCCTCCTGCTTCTTCAAAGCCCCACGCTTTTGCAACTCGGCGTTGACAAAGTCGCGAGCCTTTTGCTTACCCAATGCCTCAACCAGCTCAGGGCGCAAGACGGTCATACGGTGGGGGTACTCAGCACCCGCGGGGCTGTTCTCCTCCATCCAGGCGATGTCCAGCGGCGTGATGCGGTACAAATCCAAGACGTACTTGCGACCGTCGGTGCCAAGAAGGCCCTTCATCTCGACGCTGGCCTCCAGGTCGAACCGTTTGTCGTCCTTGTCCCACACGGCGTGCTTCTTGACGCGCAGAGCCTGTGCGAGCTTCTCGAAGGAAGGCGCAAAGCTCTCGTCAGCAGCAACGATGTCCTTGCCATCGACAGCGCCGTAGTGAATCTGGTTCTCACCAGGCTCAGGCTGCTTGAAAATGCCCGGGACGATGCTCTGCCCGACAATACGCTTGCCCATGTAGTCAACAACGACCGTTCCGGGAGTGTACAGGCCATCGATATCGAGCTGATTCACGAGCTTGACACCGTGGACGTCCTTTCCGGTAGCAACGCGCGCAGCCTCGTCACCGCCCTCGCTAGTGAAGGTGCCGACACCATCAGCGCCAAAGGAGAAGAAAACGTTGTTATAGACGAAGATCTGGGCATCCCGGCCTTCGGTTGGGTTGAGAGGAGCAACCTCGCCGCGGGCAACCAGCACCGCACCGCGAGCAGCAGCATCGTTGTAGTCGGCATAGAGCTTGGCGAGCAGACGTTCCCGGAAAACGCGGTCCTGGATCGAGTCCCTGGGGAGCTCCTTTGCGGATTGGAACTCCTCATTCCAGTCCCTCAGCGAATCCGTGTTCTCGGCGCCGCCCAGTAGGAACGTTTCCTGGGGCCTTGTCGGATCGGAGATGTGAGCGCACAGCGGCGAGGTGGCCGATGGCACAATCCAGGGGGCTGAGGGGACGGTGTTGCCGATTTGGAATGTCGCTAACGGTTCCTTGGTGTTTGCGGACTGCTGGAAGTCGGCAAACGCCTTAGAAAACGAGGTCGAAATTTTGTCGAGCAGAGTAAAGAGGGAGTGAGCCGAGGCGCCCTTGGCATCAGTTCGGGGTGTCGGGTTGAACCTGTCCTTGTTCGAATTGTTGATGAAGAACCCCCCGGCGTGCCCGGTCACATGGTGTTGCTCGCCCTCGTTCGTGGTGATAGCGAGGTAGAGTAGGTGACCTCTCTGCCTCCATTGGGCCGGGGGCGGGTTCCACGACGACAGTGTGATCAACTTGACGGTTTTAGGCGCAGGCGGCGTCTCTTTGGGAAGAAGAACGGAGAGCTCGGGCGTCGCCGTAAAATCATAGGGCTGGACCTCCTTCTCGGCCTCCTCGGCAGCGGCAGCCACGACATCATCATGGATCGAAGTGCCCGCGAGGATGCCCTGGGAAGTGTCGGTGCGGTCTCCAGCGGCGCCGATCAGTTCTCTAATCCGAATAAAATGAATCCTCGCCTCTTTCTCAGTGTATGGATCCTCAACGACATGCAGCTCGGAGTCGGCGGCGAGACCCTCAACGTCCGAGACCTGAACAAAGTCATTGATACGCTGCCCATTGTGTTCGAGGTGGAAACACGAGTATTGCACGGCGACCGGGTGCTCGATAACGGACTGCCGAATCTCGTGGATTTGCTCTAGCGGGGACACCTGTGTCGTTTTAGAAGTGGTCTAAGATATTTCGAGCTGTCAACATACGGGAAGCTCCAACGGTTGGGCATCGTGGGGCAGGACGATCTTCACGAGGAAGGGGGAATCTAGTCAACACAGTCAGACAATGTCCAGCATAGAGGTGTGCGTTGGGTCGTTTTGCAAACGCACCATCAGGCTGCTCGACATCCTCTTCGGTCGGCTGTGTTTCTACCGGGTCCTCGGCGGGTGTGTCCTGCACCGCAGGAGATTCAGATTCCGGGTTGTCTGTGGGCAGAGAGGTTGGGTTAGTCCGGAACGGCAGTTTGTGGGCGGCTGGATAAAGAAGGGAGGGGTCCATGGGAGGTAGTCATATATATATGCACGTACTAGTCGGAGCGGCGGTGTTGTTGGACGGTGTATCGGCCATCTTGTACTCTAATTTCCGGGGTGATATTGTGGTATTTTGTGAACAATGGCGGGGGGATTAACAAAGAGTATTTACAGGTCGAGGGCCAGCCAACCGTGCAGACCTGCTCTCGGAAGCAAAAAAAAAGAAGTGCGTTAAGCAAGAGAATGCTGAAACAAACGAGCAGACGGTAGAAATGATCCCAATTGGGAATTAAAAACGTCCAAATACGCTGCCGGATACCTGGGTGGGAGTGGTTTACTGCGAAGATCGTTTGGAGGGGTTTAATATTCGAGAATTTTTACAACTTTTTTTTTTGCCCCGGCCCGTGCCGGCCAAACGGCGAGGAGTAGCCGGCACTGGAGCCACGCTGCTATGGAACAAGCCCTCGCGCAGAAGCTCGGCCTTCGGTCATCTCGTTTTTTATACTACCTAGCTGGAAAAGGAGAAAGAAAAAGGAAAGAAAGAGGGAAAGGGAAGGAAAAAAAAGAGAAATTGGAAAAGAACGGCGCTTCTCTCCAGGAACAATATTTCTATCTGAGTTCCCCAGTTCGAATCGATGGCGATGGATACAATAGGCCGGCATTTTCATAAGCTCGATGGCAGCTCGATCGGCTGGGTTGTCGGAAAGGAGGCTTGGCGTGATCTGTTGCACCCAGCCATGCTCCGTGCTCACACGCCTCGAGGTGGGATTTGTTGACGTGCGGTAAACCTAATCCAGAAGCGGAATTGAGTCAACAACAATACTTTCATCGAAAACCCAACATTGGCTAACATTGGCTAACATTGGCTACTATTCGCATTCTTGTTTGCCATTTAATTAGCCTATGATTAAATGGTGGGAGGCGGATCCCATGGAGGGCCAACATCGCAACCACGCCAAACAAAACAACACCAGCACAGCAGTTTCAGAACCGCCTCAACCCTGGACGGCGACGCGGTGCCACCGGCTTTTACGACCCCTTCTTACCCACATTGCCGCTCTTAGAAAGGATAAAGAGAGGAAAGCGTTAATCCAAAATTCAGCGGCTCCGGGTCAAGCTCCAAAATCTCGAAGGACTGTGTTAGGCAAGCGGAGTTATCCCGGCTCTGACTCGGATTACAGCGATAAAAAAATATGTCGCAAATATTCTAGGAGAGCATCTCGCAGAAGGTCATCTAGCGATGTGTCCTGCACGCCGCAACGAAATGTGCAGAGGCAGCGCCGCCAGCCCGACAACAAGGCGCCCCAGGACGTCGTGTTACCCACCCCTTTTCTCCGCCGCGTCAGGAACCACCAACTCTCTTCGCCAGCAAAGGCCCCAGACGAGCCCCCTCAGGTGGGGCCTCCCTCAACCAACAGCCGGTGCATTCACTCAGGCAATGGTTGCAAGACAAAATGCGCCTTCGAGACTGAGTTAGCTGGCTTCCGGCCCACTGTGGACTCCGAAAGACATGGGCTCTATGAATCCGTCTTCAAGGCTTTCGACGCCTTGCTAAGGGTCACTTCGCCCAGGAGGAACCGCGCAGCCGGTCCCAAGTCGCTATTAGCTATGTGTCTCCGGAAAGTCCCGGACTACATAGCAGGACTTGAAGAGTGGGAGAGGCAGGAATCCGAGGAAAACGGCACGAAATCAGCCGTTCGAGGTGCCGGAGTGTCATTCGAGATCTACTCGGAGTTGGAGTCGCTCGGCGCGGTGGATGGGTGGAACCACCTTTGTTTGCTTCTGCGGGCTCATGCCGTTCAAATAATTCAAGAGGCCGCAACCGAAGGTCTGTTGGAAGATCCGGTGACAGGTTTGCTCATACGGCTGTGCCTCGAATACATGCCGCCAACGGAATTCACTGGCCTCATCGAAACCTTCGTGGTGCGCCAGTATCCGAAGCCCTCCTCCGCCGACGATGACCTCTTCGCTTCTCTCGCCCATCAACCACTCAGAACGCTCAGGAGCTGCGACCCTTCAGGGACTTCTATTTTACCAAGGATATTGGCCCAACTCCTTGCCAACGACTTGCTACCTGCCGGCTGGATTCTGAACAAGAGTTTTATCACTCTGTGGCCCGCAACAGTCCGCCATGTCACCCACATGAAGCCCTGCCAAAACACCCTAGACTTTATCGTCATCACCCTCGAGCTTCTCTGCGCCCTTGCCTCACCCAGGAAACCGCGTGGCGTACCACAAACACGGCTCCGAGGAAAATCACAGACGACTCTAATCAGCACCGTCGCCGCCCTCGGGGCCGTCGTCCTCCTCGGCGTGGAGGGATCGACCCAATCCCCCGAGACCTCCTCGCCAACCCGCGCCGCCACCCTCCGCCGCAGAATGACGAACATCACCACAGCCTGCTCAACGAACCTCAAAACCCGCAAAACCCCCTCCCGCAAACTCGGCACCTACATCCTCGCCCTCTGCGCCTTCCTCTCCATCTCCGAACCCTCCTCGGCAGCAGCCCCCACCATCGAAGCCGCCTGGAAAAACGTGCAAACCTGCCGCGGCAACCCGGCCCTGCTCCTGCAGTACGACGCCACCACCGCGCTCATGAGCGCCATGGCCTGGCACTGCAGCCGCGGCACCGGCCTGCCGCCGCACTTTTACCTGTCGCAGTTCTGTGACCGGCTGGAGGCCCTCGCCCTCCCGCCCGCCGCGCTGGCCAACATGCGCGTCGACGGCGCGTTCCGTCTGGCGGAGCACACGGGCGACTTGCGGGATCTGGAGGTTGCCGAGGGGCTGTCGAGGGCGAGGCTGGCGTTGGCGGAGGCGCAGGCTGGGGTGGGGGGGTGTGTTACTCCCGGGAGGGGGGGAAGTGGTGGTGGTTGGAAAGGGGGGATTGGGCAGGAGGGGGGAAAGGGGAAGGTGGCGTCGTTCTCGGGGGTGAGGTGGGATGATGGGATCAGCGAGTGGGTTGCTGCCACGCCGGGGACGGAGACGCGTCCGGCTGGTGGTGGACGGAGGCGGTTGAGGTCGAGCGGGGTGGTGCTGAGTGAGGGTGAGGATGAGGATGAGGATGAGGATGAGGATGAGGATGAGGATGAGGATGAGGATGAGGATGAGGATGAGGATGAGGATGAGGATGAGGATGAGGATGAGGATGGGGCGGCGGACGGGGATACGGAGGGCAGCGGGTCGGAATCGGAGGCGGAAGCTGACGAGGTTGACGTTGACGTTGATGTTGACCCCGTCTCGTCGTCACCCGATGGTGACGAAACCGACGGGTCTGTTTCCATGTCGTCTGAAACAGACCACGAGGACGCCGCGCCATCACCAAACACTGAAACGTCGCCTGTGTCTGTGTCAGGCTCGCAGTTGGAAACAGAGTCAGAACCAGAATCGGAATCAGACCCCGACTCAGACTCGGACTCAAACCGCCCACATCCCGACGACGATAACAACCACGACGATGACATCGCCCCCTCAAAGTCAATGCCCCCACCCCCCGCACCACCCACTCCCGCGGGCGGGTTCCTCGCCGCGCGCCCGCGCCGCCTGCTACTCTCACGCCCCATGACGCGCGCAGGCGACGAGCTCGCGTTTGACAACAACGGCGGCGGTGTGGAGAAGAAGGGTGACGGCGACGGTGACGGGGGCAACTGGCTCAGCAGGAAGAAGCCGGCGCGGTTCCGCCCCGGTGCTACTGCTACTGCTACGACTACAACTACAACTGCGGCGGCGAGGAAGAGGGTGGCTAGGGCGTCGCTGGTGTATTTGCAGCCTGTGCGTGCTGGGGTGGTGGGCGTTGGGCAGAGGCGCAGGTCGGAGGGGTGGGGTGTTGGGAAAGAGGTTGGGGAGAGTGATGATGAGCTGAGTCTGCTTTAGGGGGGGTGGTTGATGAACGGTGGTTGAAGGTTGAGGTGGTTGTTTACTGATGGAATGATACCTACCATGGGGCGCTGATTAGAGGTTTACCTTTGTTTTTCTCCTTCCTTTCTTTTTTTTTCCTTGTAGAATGCGGCTAAGGTGTTTGTCTGGTTTACTGGGTAGAGTAATGCAGTAGAATCATGTACATACATACGGATGGAGAGCATAGAGCAAGGAGAGTTGGAGGCGTTGGTCTACCTTCGGTTTACGGGAGTTGTGAATGTGTCATGGTGGAAAACCAATCGGATTCCCCAGCATCACATACTCACTGTCTTGTTTGAGATGGCATGTCTCAGTAACTATGCTTCTGTCCTACCCCAGAAGCTTCACGGCTGAGTTCGAGATATTCTCAATGTCTCTAAATGACGCCATCAGTATCACCAATATGAGGCTTAACCGAGATCCCTCGACATGGTGTAACGAGATTTGAAACGACTTGGAGCCAATATCTCGTCGATTCGTATTGCTTTCTGGGCAGGTCTTGCCGATAGAAGCCCTCTGGTGGAACACCTCGAAGCCTCGGTTCGCCCAGAGACATCGGCATCCCCACATGCCCCCGGCAGGAGTGTCCTGCTTCGTTGGGATCTCTCGGAGTGGGATGCCCCATATTTGCTTCTGGAAACCACTGCGTGTGGTGTGGGAACCGGCGTGTGGGTTGGGCTTGACAAATCTCGTTTGTGTTTGAGAAGCGTTTCTCTCACTTGACAGTCCGCCTTCTCATTTTGATTTTGTGTGGACTGCTGTTGCCAGCATGTGGCGTTCATAAAAGAAAAAACTGCTAAAAAGAAACAAGGAAATAATGAAATATGCAGCAATCCTCGCCGTCACGGCGAGCAGCGAGGCGGTGACGGAACCCCAGGCCTGGGAACCCAGCCGCCGGGCTCTGTCTGGGTGCACTGAGATGGCGGTTTGGCTAGTTGTGGGCGGCGCCCGGACGGCGCCCGGACGGCGCCTGAACGACGTCGATCGAACTCCGCAACTGTTTCTTCGTCGATGAGTGGTGTGATGGTGGATGCAAGTTGTCGGGTTTTGGCGGGGGCGTGTTTCAAGATGGATCGCTTGGGACGGCGGGGGACATGGCTGGGACATGGCTGCTGTCGTCACCCTTCTCGTTTTCTTTTTCTTCTGACCGCTGGGACCCCACAGAAGCTTGGTTCGTCAGCTCCGAGTTGAAACACCAAACGGGATCTGGCGGGAGATCTGCCTCAAGTCTCGGCGTCGATCGCCACGCGCTTCTCTTCAGGCGGCTGAGAGGGCGGCTGAGAGGGCGGCTGTCGACGGCGACTCTCGAGTTGTTGACAGCGAGATAAGTTGCCCTCGAGACCCGTTGGATATTCACAAGTCACAAGTTGTGATGTATCCATATTTTAAGCCTTCGACGCGTCTCGGCAAAGCAATAATACGACAGTCCTTTTCCGTTCCCTCCACCAGCTGCCGTGAGCCGCTGTGCCGTGTTAATTGTTTGGGTGGGGAAAGGGGGCATGGCCCCCAGGCCTGGTTGCCGGCCGCTTGGTAAAGGCCTGGGCCATTTATTGCATTGATGTGGCACAGGTCAGGATGGAGGGCTATTCGAAGAGATGGGATGACGAGAGATGCGACGGTGCATCGTATGTACAACGTCAGGGTTTTTGTCATCCTACTGCAGACAGGTTTGGAATGTGTTATCTTGTGGTACAAACATAGAAGTCTCTCTCGTTTCCGCATGCAGGTCGAGAAACCAACAATCCATGGATCTCGGGAAGCGGCTTCCCTGTCTCCATCGAAGAACCTGGGCTGCTGGGCTGTCCCTGTGCGCAGCAGTGGCGAACCTGGACAGCCCAGGCCTCCGCGGGTTTCTCCGACCCCGCGGCAATTGCCTCAATCGGGCGGTCGCCGGGAGGACCGCAAAAGTCGACCGAGAGAAGTCCCGCTTCCATCGAGTTTGGAGTTTTGAGTGGCCGAGGAACGTGCTCGTTCATGCAGAAATGTGTGTGCCCCTGGCAGGAAAGTCCAAAGCGCAGTTTCAGGGCTCGGCCAATGGAGAACTCGACATGCTGGGCGCTTGGCAATCCGCCTCGTCGATGTGGGGCATGGAGCGTCGCGGACGGGTTTTCGACCGGTTTGGGAAGGTTGGGTGGAGATCCCCTGCGCCCAAAGGGCCCCAAACTTTCGAATGGGCATGCGTGGCATGCTCGAGCACATCGAGGCATGGCGAAAGGCGACCCGGGACTGGGCCCACATCACACGGCGAGTCGCTTCTGCTAGGTCTTCCTTCAGACGGCACTTGCATGACATGACGGCTGTGGTTACCGTTCTTCGGGACCTCTCAAACAGCCCACGCGTCCGTTTTCACCGCGCGGCACTCTCCAATCATTGCATTGACTATGTATGAAGCGCTACGAATACAAGTGCCAGGTTTGAGGTCGAGACACGCAGCGGTTTCCATGGTGTGCCTCCGAGACTGAGTTTGGAGGTTGACCCGACCGGTGATGGAAAGAGGTCAGGGATCTGACGCGGACAAACAAACGTTGTAAACCGGGCATCGAAATTACCGGAACTTGCGGATGTGAATGGCTGGCCTGTTCGGCCCATCTCAAAATCAGCCCCACTTGACATGTAAATTACCACATCTGACCTCTCCAGAACCTGCCGTTACAGAAAGAGAGGGGTTCGGCCAAATTGAACCAGCCCCTTCATCCGCATTACAAGCCCTGATCCTTGGGTCAGATCGGCCCTCCATGTCCATGGAACCATCCCATCTTTTGATCCATGAGTTCCCTCCCCTAGCTGGCCTATTTCGATGATTCATTCATTCTTCATTCTCGGGACGACTCTCCTTTACTCTCTGCGCGCAGAGTGTCACTGTGTGCGTCATCAACAATTGGCACTTTTGAGGTAATGACCACATCGACTGTGACTAGTTCACGATTCACACTTTGACGACTTGCCGCTGGACGCTCCCACCACATTTCACTTCTCGAACACCCCTCAAGGAACCGAAACCACATTCTCTACGAAAACAAAAGGATTTAGCGACATGGTCAGGTGAAGCTAGCAATCCAACAACACACACAAAGGCAACTTGCCTCTATTTCCAGGGAGCTCTCGTGACAAACTCCACGCGACCCGGCGCACCCGACTACCGGACGACAACCAAACAACTCAGTTACCCAGCTCCCCTTGCAGGACTCGGCGAGCACTGGGAATCATTTCGACTTTTCCATTCATTCAGATTTTACGGCCGCATTTGAACGCTTTGATAGCGTCGACGACAGACACACACATACACACACCATCCTCAAGGATTTCGACTTTTCGACGACCAATATCCAAAAGGCAGTCGACTTTCACTGGTGCTAGGAGAGACGGATTTAGGAGGAGCGGAAGGAGTTATTAGAAGAACGACACAGCAACCATCATGGCTGCACCAACAAGCACAGCAGCCCCAGGTGGACACGGCGGTGGACACGGCGGAGGAAAAGGAAGCCATGGGTCGACCGAGGCAGGTGTTGTCAACGAGATGCTCTCAAACTACCTGCTCGTTGTTTTGGGCGCCATTTCCGTCGTCCTTCTCGCCTGGAGACTCACCACGCTCCTGATCAGGCATGTCCGGACAGTGACGTGCCTCTACAACGACACGCAACGGTATTTCGCCGAGGACTCCGAGAGGTTCTCGTGGTTCAAGAAGAACGTGCAATACGCGCCCATCCTCAGCAAGCGGCACAACCGCGAATTCCAACTTAGCTCGGCCATCAACGTCGGGACACTTCCCAGCCGGATGCAGCTCGTCTTTTTGCTCGGCTACTTCGCGACCAACGTGGCGTTCTGCGTCATGACGATCGACTACTCGGGAGAGTTCAGCGACGTCGCCAGGCTCGTGAGGAACCGCACCGGCTACCTCTCCGTGATCAACATGATCCCTCTTTTCCTGATGGCGGGCAGGAACAATCCGCTCATCACACTCCTCGGCATGTCTTTCGACACGTTCAACCTGCTCCATCGCTGGCTGGGCCGCATCGTGATCCTGGAGGCCCTTGCCCACACACTGGCATTCCTTGTTAGCGCCGCCTCGAGCAGCGGCTGGGACGGCGCTTTCCAGACCGTATTCCGCGTTCGCTACATGATGTGGGGATTCATCGTGTGTACCCCTATCCCGTAGTAAACCCCGTCGAACTCTGCTAACGCCCACAGGCAACCTGCGCCTTCGTCGCCATCGGCATCCAAGCAGCGAGCATCTTCCGCCACGCATACTACGAGACCTTCAAGCTGGCCCACATCGCGCTCGCGATCCTCTCCATCATCGGCCTGTGGTACCACCTCGATCTCAAGGAGCTCCCGCAGATTAAGTACCTCTACGCGGTCGTCGCCCTCTGGGTCTTCGACCGGCTCGCGCGGCTGATCCGTATCGGCTACCGCAACATCGGCGCGGGCGGCACCAAGACGCTCGTCGAAGCGCTTCCCGGCAACGCCTGCCGCGTCACCGTCACCATGGCGCGGCCGTGGAACTTTAAGCCGGGCCAGCACGCGTATCTGTACATGCCGACGGTCAGCTTCTGGCAGTCGCACCCCTTCACGGTCGCGTGGAGCGAGGAGTCGGACAACCACCACGACGAGGAGAAGCTGCCGGTCCGCCGCCAGGACATCCTGGGGGCCGGCAAGACCACCCTCTCCTTCATCATCCGCGGCCGCACCGGCTTCACGGGCGCCCTGTACAACCAGGCGTCGGCCAAGCCGGACGGCAAGATGGTCACGCGCTGCCTCGTCGAGGGACCCTACCGCGGCTCATGCCGGCTGCACTCGTACGGCACGGTGATGCTCTTCGCCGGCGGCGTGGGCATCACGCAAGCCGTCCCGCACGTGCGGGACCTGGTGGCCGGGTTCAACAACGGCACGGTGGCGACGCGGAAGGTGGTGCTCGTCTGGACGATCCAGTCGCCCGAGCACCTCGAGTGGATCCGGCCGTGGATGACCGAGGTGCTGGGCATGGAGCGGCGGCGCGAGATCCTGCGCGTCATGCTCTTCGTCAGCCGCCCGCGCTCCACCAAGGAGATCCACTCGCCCAGCTCCACCGTCCAGATGTTCCCCGGCCGCCCCAACATCGACACCCTGCTCGGCATGGAGATGGAGAGCCAGGTCGGCACCATGGCCGTGTCCGTGTGCGGGCCGGGGGCCCTGAGCGACGAGGTCCGCAGGGCCGTCCGCAACAGGCAGTATGGTGGGAACTTGGACTTTGTGGAGGAGGCGTTTTCCTGGTAGAGGGTGAAAGGGAAATGGGAAGATGGGGGAAGGGGAGGCTGGTTTGGTAGATGGCGTAGATCTTGGGCATGGGCTTGGGCTTGGATGACCTTTGCTATCGTGTCCCTCTCTGTCTGTCTTTCTTGACCATGGCGGCGGCGTTTGCGCTGGAGCGGCGAGACGATCTTCTTGTACATTTTTTTCCTTGCCGCATGTATCATTTAGCGGATTGGTATATATTTTCATTCGAGTTCAGCATGTTTACCGAAGATGGTGTTATGGATATCTGTCTGTCTTTGGTCTGAAGTGCCTGTCTGGTTCTCTGGGGTTTTGCTCCGGCAATTCTGGCCGCTGAGATGGGCTGGATTATTGGAGAAGCCCCCCCCCCTGTTCATGGAGCTGTCACCCCACCTCGAGCCCGGGAGTTACTCCAAATCCACTTCCAGCTGCCATTTGACGTCGCTGCTTGCTCCTAACATGACATGGAAGTCCAGAGTGCAACAACTGGCATCCCTCGGAATTCACTACTCCACTGACATCTGAAAATCATCGCCGTCGGGTTTCTTAAAAACCACCCTTTCTTCCCATTGCATTCCATATTTATTCAACCTGAAGTCAAAAGATACTCATTTCCCACTGCCAGTTGCGGCATTACCATCCTGTGTCTCTTATCCACAGCTTCCTTGCCTGCCGTTGTTCCTCTGCCACCTTGCCTCACTCTGCCTCTGCCTCAGGTTGCTGTCCGGAACAGGCCTCCAGACCTGGCCATCTCTGCCCTCCAAACTCCGAATTCGGATTTAGGGGGAGGCATTCCCGCACAGTGCCGCTTCCTCCCGTGAGCTCGGCTTGCCTACTTACTAGAGGCTTGCCCCGCACCATCAGCAGAAGGCATCAATCGACGTCAACCATTCACTGCATCCGCTGTCGACTTTCAAGCCCATACTCGTTTTATTAGACCCGGTCGATAACTTGGATACCTAATCAACCAGACTGCATACGCCTCATTGCACATCGTCCACACGCAACGACGGACGCAACCTCTCCCAATCCCTCCCGACGAACAGACAAACCCGAAAGAACAAGCACACGCAAGCACCAACCATGGGTCTAGCATACAACACCTACCTCAACAGCAGCCGCGTCTACGGGTGCAAGGGCTGCAAAGCCCACCTTGCAAACCACGAGGACATCGTCAGCCGGGTAGGCACTCCTCCTTTCTCCCTTTCCCCTACCCTCGGGGCACTCCCCAGCTCCTTTGTACATACCCACCAACCAACCCCCCCCCCTTCTCTTTCAACCCCCAAACCAACCCCAACCCCAACCGCAAACAAACCAAACCAAACCACAAACTAACCCCCCCCCCCCCCACACAGAACTTCCGCGGCCAGCACGGCAAAGCCTACCTCTTCAACAGCGTGGTCAACATCGAGACGGGCGACCCGTCGGAGCGCAACATGACGACGGGGCGGCACGTGGTGCGCGACATCGCCTGCCGGGTGTGCAGCGAGGTGGTCGGGTGGAAGTACGACAAGGCCTACGAGACGAGCGAGAAGTACAAGGAGGGCAAGTTCATCCTCGAGGCCGAGCTGCTCTGCACGGTTAGCTAGGGGGGGGCGGTGGTGGTGGGGTTGGGGGTGGGAAGGGGAATGGGAGGAGGGTATGGGGCGGTGCAGCAGGAAGGGGGGGTGGACGACATGTATTGGTCCTGGGATGGGCGGTGGACACGTCCCAAGGGCAAACACGCATACAATGGGGGCTGGCTGTGGTTTGGTTTTCTTTCTTACTTTACTCTCTTTCCTTTACACACGCGCGGACGGAGACACCGGGGCATCACTGCGGCTAGGGGAACGGGGTAAGGGTGGGTGGCGTCTTGGGTTTTTATTTCGATTATCACCAGCATAGAGGACGGACACCCGGGCTTTCCATGAAACAGACATGACAACTAGCCTGGGAAACCCAGACTCCAGTAGCTCGGCATCACGGTGAAACCGGGCAAACACACAGCCCATCCTGGGTCTTGGGTAGATAGGTAGCCTCGAGCTCACTTGACAGTCCTGAATGAAACACTGCTTGGTTATATCCTTACGCCCATACTCCGTTATCTGAGATGATGCTGTTCTAGCCATTCCAATTTAAAACGAAAAATGTCCCGTGTCTGCGCCTTTCCCATGACGATGATGATGATACCGTGTACCATGCGCCACACTGCCTATATATCCACTTCCCTGTCACGATCCAAACGCCGCCGACGTGATTGATATATACACCGTCAGCTCCCCTAAGCTCAATCCCACCCACCCGACATACCGCACGAGTACGGCACGTCAGCCAGGCGAACGAATATAAACGACCCCAAACTGCCCCGACTCCGACCACAACCGACCACGTCTAGTTATGCTCGATGGGCTCCTCCGGCAGCAGCTCCTCGACCTCGCGGACGCGGAGGAAGGCGAAGGGGGGCTGGACGACGCCGTTGAAGAGGAAGGTGAAGTAGACGAGCAGGACGAAGCCGAGGACCTGCAGCCACTTGAAAGTCTCCCAGCCGAGGCCGAGCGAGACCATCCAGATGAAGAGGGTGCGGCACGTGTCGATGGTGGAGCGCGCCGTGGCGCTGACGCTGCGCGTGACCGACAGGCCGAAGAAGTTGAAGCCGCTGGTGAGGGGGAGGTGGTGTTAGCAGGCCGTATACACTAAAGGGGGGGATAGAATGAAGGGAGAAAAAAAACTCACCCGATGCTGATCATGATCAGGATACTCGAGACAAACACGCCCTTGTTCTCCCAGAACTGGCGCCACCCCTCGACCATATCAAACGGCCCATACTGTCCCGCCGCGGTCCTGCCAATCGCCGCATGCAGCAACACCATACCCAACAACGTCACCGAGAAGCCAAACACGCCCTCCCAGCCGACAACACGAAGCGGCTCGATAGCCGACCGCTCGAGAATCCACTCCTCCAGCACGAACTGCGTGGCCGTAAAGATCTGCGCGCCCGCAATCATCAAAACACCGACCACGACCCGCACCGCATCGGCATTCACCTCCTCCGGCTCGAGCCCAACATCAGCGTGCTTCTTATCCGGCTGGATCGCCCCCGCCAACCCCACAATGCCCACGCCGAGCATCACCCCGACCAGCGACAGCCACTGGAAGGCATACAAACGCCGCCTCAAAAAGACAACACTAAAAACGCCCACGAACAGCACCAGCGCGCCGCGCGTCATCTGGTAGATGGAGGCCGCCACCAGCAGCAGGCCCGCGTTCATCAGCGTCGTGCCCAGGATGTCGCAGATGGCGGGCAGCGCCAGCAGCGTCACGCGCCAGCCGCGCAGCACCGACGGGCAGGCGTGCGGCTTGGGCGCGCCGCAGTCGTTGGCGTTGTTGCTCGTGCCGCAGCCGTCGTCGGGGCTGGGGTTGAGCGGGGTGGTGGAGCGGATGCTGGCGTTGTCGTCGGCGGTGCGCGGGTTGGCGCTGTCGTTGTTGTCGTCACCATCGTCGGCGGTGGTGGGGATGGGCTGGTAGGTGGTCGAGGAGGCGGAGGACGGCTTGACGTAGCGGCGGTATAGCGAGACCAGGCCCACGACCAGCCAGCAGCCCATCTCGCCGACGAACATCTGTAGGGTCTGGATCACGGGCTGCTCGAAGTGCCGGCGCTTCTTCGGGTCGGGGTTGTCGCAGTCGCGCACGCAGAGGTTGTCCTGGGGGCGGTGGGGGTTAGTATCTGTGGAGTGCGATAGAGCCATGCGCAGAGAGGACAAAGAGAAGACGTACTTGATACTTGGTCAGGAGCGTGTTGCAGACGCCCGTGAATAGCATCATGGCCACCAGGAACGGGATGATGGCCCGGGCGGGGATAATTGAGGTCGCCATCGCTGCGTTGTGGAGAGCGACACCTCAACGACAATCTGGAAGACGGGATGCGGAGCGACTGTCGAAGGAACAGAAGCGAAGGAGGGGATCGAGGTGGCCTGGATAAAGGCACCGGGTCGGCGGGATTGAACCAGCGCTTGTTAGGGCCTCGGGACGAACAAGTATCAAACTTTGTTCACCGCCGACTGCCTCAATCTGGTGTTGAATAGAGGGACGGTTGTCCCTTTCTTCCAGGTTGAGCGGCGATGGAATGAGCCCGACCCAGGCAGGTGATGCTCCCGTCTGTTTCGGGCTTTGTAAGAAGGCTGGGCGCCGTGACCGCATGACGCCGCCCGGTGGTGGGTGGAGCCTGAAGCCACAGCCCAGCGCCCTGCTGAGTGATAGGCTGCCGCTGGTTGGAGATAAGCAGAGCACGTCCCTTGACAGGCTGCCCTATTTGCTGGCCAACAAAGAGCAATCCATTTGTGTGGGCCCATCTCGACCCCAGACTTCGGTGGCCTTGCAGCTCCGCACCCAACGAGAACCTCGATGGACAGGCGTGACAGGCGACATGCAGATGGGCATCGAGATCGTCGACTCGCAGATTCAAGAGCAGCTGAATGGATCCATGTTTTCGATTACAACCATGCAATGATGAAAAATCCAACAATACGAATAAACTCAATGCTAACAATTATTATCTGTAGTTTCTGCCGTGTGTGCTCGCTTGTTTTCCCAACGCCATCCATCAAAACGGGTATCGTGTGTGTTGCAAGCAAATCAACCTGTAAAACCAACTCCAATTCTTCCGATGATGCCCCAAAAACCCTACTTCTCAGGATCCCCCTTGTTCTTCTCCTTCGGCTTCTTGTCCCCGAGGTTGTTGTAGTGCGGAACGCCCAGCTCCTTATCGCGCGCCAGCCTCTCCTGGTCCCGCTCGCTGAGCGGCACGCCCTCGAATCTGCTGACCTTCTGCCCCTCGAGAAACATGACATAGCCACCGGCCATGGCGATGAGGCAGGCGATGGCCACCAGGAAACCGGTTGCCCAGCTCGGCCGGTCGTACCTGTTCATGCCCCACATGATGCCGCAGAGGCAGCACTGGGCGAACGTGTTCCAGACCATGGACCAGATGACAAACTCGACCTTCCACATCTTGGTCGGCGGCGCCCGCGTTCCGGTCAACGGCGGCTGGGGCATCTTCTTCTCCGGGATAGGCACGCAGCTTAGGGGGACGTCGGCCGTGATGTTGTTGGGGCCGATATCCACGGGCAGGTCCTGCGTCCCCGGGAGCCGGAGCCAGCCGTTGTGGATGCCGGCCAGCCGGCGGAGGCCTTCGGGCTTCCTCAAGATGCGGTACTTGAGGAGGTAGTACAGGTCCCGGAAGCGCCAGGGCGCGAAGCCGAAGGCCGGGACGCAGAAGAGCCAGGTGAGGATCTGGGCGTCCCACTCGATCCACTTCCGCCGCGGGGAGTCGATGTGGTCGCAGGTGGGGTAGCACATGGCGGGTGCGGCGTTGCAGAGGAGCAGGAAGATCATGCCGCCCCACGCGACGACGTTGAGGCCGTAGATGGTCCAGAAGAAGCCCATCGGGGTGGTGAAGAACCTCCAGAACGCCGCGAGCTCGTACTTAGTGGCCTCTTTCCAAGGGTATTTTGGCGGGAAGTGGTAGCCATTCTCGAACGGTGCGGTCAGCTCTTGCGATGGCGTGAGGGTAGTTTGTTCGAAAGGCGTGACGCGGGTGGCTCCCACATCCGACGCCCGTGGCTCTCCTGGGCTCAGCGGCTGGTTTTCGTCATGGTTTGCAGACGTCATCTCGTCTGTCGTTGCCGTCTCAGGCGACAGTACGGGCGAGAGTGCTTGCCCGTCAAATTGCGTATGTCCAGGGAAAGTGAAGGAGGCGAGTTTGGTCGTCGAGAATATTCGGAGGGACGAGTCTTTTTGGCGGGTGCAAGTTTTGAATTACAAGCAACCGTCAAGCATTCCAGCGGACCAAGTCCGTTGTTGATGCTAGGCGGGATCGGCAGACTTTATGGAGACGAGGATGCGATTAAAGTTCGATCCGGTTCAGGGGGGGGCGGCTGCTCCACGAAAACTTGGGGAGGAAATAATCGTTGGCTGGGACCAATTGGGCTTTATCGGCCGGGAAGCAGAATTAAAGTGCGATGACGTTGGACGGCAATGAAACTGGTCGTGATACCTTGAATTGGGAAGCGGGAAGGAGAAACAAATAAATCCAAGTGTGTGACCAACAGGGCCGTCTGCGACGACCACGCGGGTCGAGGGGCGCAGGGCACAATGAGTGACGACACACTTTCGTCCCGATCCAAAGCTTGCTCTCGCACTTCTCGGTCGATGCCGCAGCAGCGGGCCTGCTTGCGTGGCAAAGAGACGGCGCAAGGAGGCCAGTCAGGAAGAGTTGACAGGGGTAACGGTTGGCTTTGCCCGAGTCAGGACTAGCGCATTAAGGCTCTGGCGCTGGGCGGTCTGGGCAATCTCGGCGTTCTGGACCGCTGCCGATCAAAGCACGATTTTGCCGTGCACCGCAGCACCGAGTTAACGAAAATCGATTGCGGAATAGTTACGGGAAATACGGTGTTCGCGAGGGATCCATCCATTTGTGAATATTGATCGCTTCCGCTTCCGCCTCCGTCTCCGCTCCCCGGCTCCGGCCTCGTTGAGCCGGCACGACATGCAGCCCCGCCTCCGTTCTCAGCTTCCTTCTTCATCCACAGAGTATGTAATCTGTAGTCTTTTTGAGCCGGCAGGAGACACGGCTCCGCTTCCTCGTTCGTATCTCAAGTTCCACAATGGCCCCGTTGTGTCGCGATCCCAGACAGGCCCTCGTCTTGAGCAACCATATCCCAACCAAACACCCAAACATTTCCCATAAACCAGACCACCGTCCGCCTAGGCCCACCCACTAATACTTGTGTCTCGTGCTGTAATCCTTCGGGCTCACCACCAGACCGCGGCCCTTCTTGGCGCCGCGGTACACGGTCTCGACGATGTCTATGAGCTCCTGTTTGTCCTCGAGCACCCAGTTCAGCTTGTTATTGTTGCCGGTGCCGAAGTCGCACATGATGTGTTTGTTGCGGAAGAAGAACATGATGGAGCACGGGTCGTACAGCTCGTACATGGCGTTGAAGTCGGGCACCTGGTCGATGTCGCACAGGTAGATGACGGCGAAGTTCTTGACCCGCTCTGCGATCTTGAACAGCGCCTCGTCCTGCCGCATGCAGTCCTGGTGAATGGGGTTAGTTGGTTGGGGGGGTATGCTGCAGAGAGGGCTGGGAGATCTTACCGGGTCATGGTCGCGCCCGAAGCGGATGACGACGACTCGCTCTTCCTCTGTGGCCGAAGTTAGCTGCTGGAGAGTCCACCTTTGGTTTCGGCTTGTGAGCAACGAGCGAGAGATGATTTGGAGTGGTGAGTTGACACTAACCTGAGACGATGGCCTGGTCCACGTGCCAACCAGAGGGCAAATGCGGGAGGAGCACGGAACCCATTTTGTCGGTGTGGGTAAGGCGTAAGGCTTGAGGTTGTTATGTGCAAGTTGATGTCGTTGATTTCGTTGATGCCGATATTTGTTGAGGCTGAGAGATGATGGATGCCCCGCGGTGCATGAGGCTGTCCATCCACAGACCGATGTGTGACTGGGCCTTGATTTCAGAGGTGTAATGCAGGGATGTTTGGTACCGTAAATTACCATTCTGTCACCCACAGGTCAGGCAACCCTCACCGAGAGAAATAAGATGAAAGACCGGGCGAAATGGAGATGCCGAGCTCCCTACATCCCCATTCCACGTTTGTTAATCTAGGGCTGACATTTTGAGTCAGAAGTCGTCGAGTTACCGGCCAAGAATTATTTTCCTCGTCCCAATCATCAATCGGGCGACCATTTGTTTGCAGCGGGCAGTCTTTCACGCCGCCGTAGGTCGTCACCACCAGCCAATTCCTAGCGAGGCCTGAAGGAATCTGTGGGGGTAGGTTGCTATCTTGTCTCAAAAGCCTCGGTGAGCTGTGTTGGGATGATGGATGGGAAACAACATGTCAAAAAGAACAAGTGCTGGGCACCACCTACGGGAGGCTCGCCATGATACCTACCTGGGTAATCACCCAATGCCATGTCACAAACACAAGGCGGGATACCTATGCGGTTGGCGCAAATACATCTGTAGGTGTGTTGAAACTGCTTAGGGGTTCGGCAGACTGGTGGGCAGCCGTGGTGGGACGCTCCTTTTGGCCTTCTCGGTTGAAATGATTGGCGCCCGCTCGATGCTGGCCGTCTCGCTTCACCCTGATAGCCTTGTCCTGTTTATATAATAGATGCAGTTGAGCATGCCGCTGGCTTCTTGCCTCCTGTAAGAGCCTGCCAACCTTCTCATCCATCGACAAACAAACACCCCCGCCATGGCCGAGATCCTGTTGACGGCAGCGAACGCTGCGGAGATAATCATCGAAGTCTGGAGCAAAATCGAGGAGAGAATCGAAGAGCAAGAGGTCGCCGAGGCTCTGGCAGCAGATCTCTCCGAGTTCGGCATCACAAGCAAACGCGTCGCTCTCCAGACCGATGTCGAGATTGCGCAGAAGGTGGTCCGCGACCTGAGCGCCCCTGCAGAGAGGAGGAAAGACCTCGAAGTCCAGTTCCAGCGCGTCTATCAGCAACTCCAGAGCATCCCACCAGCGATCGAGAAAGTCGTCAAGAACCAAAATAGAGGAGTTCCCTTCAAGTACTTCCACCCACAGGCAAATAGGAAGCTCGCAAAAATAGTGGAAAGCTACCGAACCAGCTTCCGGGACTTTGACCAGGCCGTCATCAGAGCTGATGCGGCTACCAGGGGGGACTTCTACCTCCTGATCCAACCCGGTGAGATGAAAGTTGTCGGCGACCCGCCCGAGGTTTCCTCGATTGGCGACGCCATCTCGGTCGCTCGTGTCTCCTACACGGCCTTTGGGGCCAATGAAAGTGGCGTCGCCAAAGTTCTCTGGGAGACGCTGGCCAGTAACGAAAGCACATGGGCTGAGAACGATAGCGACATGCGAGTCCTCTCTGCGGCGCTCTCGGGGGCCTTACCACACTGGCATATACCGAGACTCAGGGGATACGAGAGGAACAAGAGTTCCAAGACAATGCGCCTAGTTTTCGAGCACCCGGACCCCACCCGTGAACTCTGCACCCTGAGCGACGTATATGAGGCTGCGGCGACGGCGCCGTCTCTCACTATTCGTGTGCGTTTGTGCTATCAGCTTGCCCTCGCGGTTTTGCACGCGCACAAGCCAAGGATCAACGTCGTGCATAAGCATATCCGACCGGGTAACCTCCTCCTGGCTGTGCCAAAGGTGTGGAAAATTCGGACGGGTGAACTCGTCATTCCCCAGGATTGGAGAGGCGAGATGGACAGGGCCGGCCGGGCTGGGTTTCCCAGCGTTGTTGACCTCTTCCTCTCGGGCTGGCAAAACGCTCGCACCACCGTTCAGGCCACCAGGGTCATAGGGGAAGGGGCCCCTCACCGGATCATGTACCAACATCCGCAACGGCACCAAACCAACACAGTCGAGAAATATAACATCGGCCACGACATATATAGCCTTGGTGTGTGCATGTTGGAGTTGCTGACCTGGGAGCCACTGGTGTCCTTCGACGAGACGACGGGGGGTTCGAGGTTGTCCGACGCATATCAGGCGGCGTTCTGCGAGAAAGAATTCGACACCAAAGTTGAAATTCCCCTCGACGGAGACGTAGACCTGGCCCAGTTGTTCACGCAGGACCCCAACGAAATCAAGGAGACAATCATCGAAATCGCCAAAACGCGCCTGGCCCTTCACGCGGGAGACCGGCTCGCTAACCTCGTGTGTCGCTGCCTCACTTGCCTCGATCCGGTCCCAATGTACGGTGGCAGTCGGTTCCACGATGGAGACAACAAAAACCAAATATCCGAGACATTCTCGCGGGAAATATTCTCTGACCTCAACAAGCTCCTAGACGTGCTCGAGGTAGCTGCCAGTACGGAGGATGTGGAGTTGATAAAGTAGCTGGTTATTGTGAGCTTTCGAACTTGGGTTGTACATGCCTCACACCGATTGCAACATACCTTCATACCTAGGTACATTGTGTAGGAGTTGTTTGATCAGTTGGTACAAGGGACGACTCGTTCTGACGGGGCCCGTAGAAAGCAATCGTCCTCGTCTCCATCCGGCCGCGGCGGTTTTTTACTCTCCTGTGAGAAATAGAGACCTAGATACCTGAGGTACTCATTAATAGAACGCCAGAAACACGGACGTTTACTGGCAAGCAACATGAGGAGCGGAAGATGGAAGTGACGGGCAATGAGTCGACCTTACAGGTAGATGCGACCGTCACGTGATGTAACAAAGTGGAAAGCAAACAGAGTACAGATCTGTATTTCGTACAATACTGTGTAATGTGTTACAAAATACAGTCCCACTCCATCAACAAATTCGTCCAAAACTTGACAATTACCAACTTCTCGTCAACCACACACCCATCGGCAGGATTTATACTCACAATGGCGTCGCTGGATCATATCGAAGCGCTCACAAAAGTGGTGTTAAACAATCTGGAATACCAACACGATTGGACAAGGATACACCAGCACACACAGGATACTCTCCCGAGGTCACTCATTTACGGGCTCCCCCCAAAGCGGCTTTATGTGCACCCGGATGAGCAGATCGATATCATCAAGGCCGAGAAGGAGCTAGGAGAGCGCATCCCGCAAGAACCTGAGGTCGAATGGGTCTTACCACTACACCTATCTGAGAAGTGGTCCCCGGCTCAGTTCGCCGCCGTGTTTGACGCCATCGAGGCTATTCCACCGGGCGGCGCAGACCTGGAGCCGACGGAGGAGGATGGCAGTGAGGAGGAATGGAGGCTTTGGAGGGGCTCGAAGCGTGGGAAGCGGATCTTGCTCGCGACCGTCCAGGACGACTCGACCGTCACCTACTACTGGATTTTTGACGGCCTTGTGAAGCCGAGGCAGAACTGAGCTGTCTTGCACACCATCCTTAAACACTATCAAAAAGATTTTCTGTTTGGGACTACGAGACTATGGGCAGCCAAGGGCTCATCTCCCCGCGCACTCAACGCGAATTCTCTCGTCACGGCTTGAAGATCACCTTTTGCACCTTCATCTGGTCAAACAAGTCATATCCCTCAACCGCCTCCGAGAGCGGCATGATCTTGTCGAACATGAAGCTACGACCATTAGCACACAGCTTCCTCAAGCAATGGGTTCGCCTACCTGAACTTGTCCTGGTTCTTCACCAACACCGGCAGCGCCTCGGGGAAAATGGACCGGACCGGGCAGCGGCCCATCTGGACCCTGACGTTTTTGCTGTTGCCAGTCAGCACATACACAACACCGCCATAAGGAGAAGAAGAAAATGAAAACCTACTTATACGCGTCGTTTCCGTCCCAGGGAATCTGCCAACTCATCAGCAAAATCACCTCACAAACCAACCACACGGCAGCAGCCTTACCTCAGCATTATGCACTCCAATACTGCTAATCACCCCAAACGGCCTGATCAGATCAAACGCGGTCCTCAGCGCCGGGCTCAACCCAACCACCTCAATCACCGCGTCCGCCCCGCGACCCTCGGTCACCTCCAGCACCCGCTTAACCATCGCCTCCTTCCCACCCTCCCCCGCAAAATTCAACGGCTCCGCCCCGAGCCCCCTCGCCAGCTCCAACCTTGCCGGCACGCTATCCACCGCAAACACCTTGCGCGGCGCGTACTCCAGCGCCGACACAATCGCGCACAACCCGACCGGCCCACACCCAACCACCACCACCGTCGCCTCACTCACAGCCAAGTCCTGACCGCGTAACATCTCAAACGCGTTCCGCGCCCCGAAAAAGCCCGTGGGGAAGATGTCGGCCATGAGGATCAGCGCGCGGTCGTCGGTCATCTCGTTGCGCGGCGGCGCGCGCACCACGGTGCCGTCGGCGTGCGGCACCCGCACGTACTCGGCCTGCCCGCCGTCCAGCTGCGGCGAGCCGAAGAGCTGCGAGTGCGCGCAGCGCGACGAGGCGGCGTGCAGGCAGTAGAAGCAGGTTTTGCTATCGGGGGCGGAGGGGTGTTTGGGTTAGGGGGTTGCATAACCATGGGGGAAGGAGGGGTGGGTGTGAAGGGGTTGAGTGGGGGGTTGAGGGAAGCTCGACTTACCAGGACACGGTGAAGGGGGGTGACGACCTTGTCGCCGACCGAGACGGATTGCACTTCGCTGCCGGCTTGGACGACGGTGCCGACGAACTCGTGGCCCATGATGAAGCCTGTCGGGGAGGGCTGGTGGCCGCGGTAGACGTGCAGCTCCCTGCGGGTGGTTGGTCAAACATTCTGGCTCGTGGATGGGCACATCTAGGGGGCGCCGACTTACGAGCCGCATAGCGCCGTGGACTGGACCTTGACGATGATGTCTTTGGGGCCTTGCACTGTGGTCGGGGTCAGCGCCGTGTTTAAGATATCGGGACATGTGAGGCGACTTGCGCTTGGGGACAGGCCGCTCTTCGACCGCGATGTGCTTGGGGCCGTGGAAAACCACGGCCTTCATGGTTGCTGGGAGGTCGGACATGACGGGGTGTATTCCCACAAGGTCTTGAGGATGATGAGATAGGATGAATCAAAGCCGGCGCTGATTCAGGGCTGGGGACCCGGTATATAAGTAGAAGATACTGATATGTAGAATTACAAGGTCGAGCTTGTGGCGTGGGCCGTTACTCATCCAATGACGATGAATAACCTTGATTACTTGATAGTTATCCGTAGGTAATGAATGTTTAGTGATGCATGCCCTACGAATTCACCCCGCCTGTTGCGGTTGGCTCCATCCCGGTGCGGGGACCGGGCGACGACCGCTTTGACCGAGGCAGAGGCAGTGGACCAAGGCCGCGGCATCCCGAGATCCGAAGTTGCGATTTCGGAGCTAGCTCCGTCTCATACTAGAAATATTGCGAATTCCTAGAAAAACGAAGGGAAGATACCGTTGATTTTCTTTGCCAGTCGTTCTGCCCCTGATCGCCTATGGAGTTGGGATCGCATAAAAGGAGGGACTCGGCGGGGTCGTTGTCGTTTGAGGAGCACACGACGTGAACTTGTTGCTATCCATTGGAGTCGATCCTTCCAGAAGGCCACGATAGTCTTCATGTGTTGAGCAAGAAAAATATCCAGCAACTTTTGAAGAGACTTGAGCCTCCAAACTGAGGAGTTGATACTCTACATCGATGATAGCGAGGGCAACTACGAAAGGCTCGATCGGTCTAAGTCTGAAGGTGCGGAAATCCTCACACTTCCCCTTCACGCAATCCGGTATTGTCGATCTCGTTGCTCATAATTGTTGTAGAGGCGTAAATAAACAAGACTTTCCCGAAAAAAAGGTAATTCGTCCAGACTAAACCATCCAGCGACTCTTAACCCGATCGATCAAGATGGTTCCACTAGTCAAGGTCGTCGGTGCGATTTATACCTTTGTCCAGAAGAACATTAACAACACTCTTCATGTCACCACGTCGATCCCGACATTCTAGGCATAGGCACATGGCCCTACGAGGGATTAGCTCGAAAGCCGGTACGTCGGTTTGGTTTGGACGGAGAACAACAGTGGTCTGCGATCTTGTCGGCAGAAACGAGCGTTGAATGATAGAGCATTCGTAATCGAGGCTAGACAAAAAGGAAAACGGGGCTTGAGATTGTGACGAGAACCGAGGGAGGAACTATCGATCTAACTAACTCCTCGCTGGGCCAGACTTTTGGTCCCTTAGCTATTGTGACTGAAGTGAGTGAGCGGCGGATGAAGCAAACCGACAAGTATTGGGCAAAAATGAAGGAAGAGGGCGGTCTTCCAGGGGCTCCGAATGGATGCCCTCTTTCGAGTAAGGTAGCCACATGGCAGACGGGTGAGAGGGACAATCGGTCGACTCGGGTAACTGCCGCGGCAGCCGGATGGAGAGGTCTCGTTGAGCGGTATCACCCAATGTTGGGGACGGTGTTACAACCACGAAGTTGGAACCCAAGCGGCACGCGGAGATCCGCCATGGGGGCATCTTGTCTCTCCTTTCGCCGCGGACAACTCCTTGTGAACGACGACTGGCTGAAGAGGAGCATCGGAATATGGTGAGTTGGGCGAGCGCAGGAAGTCTTCGCCGGGGGTAAAGGAAAGAAACTCTGCAATCGCGTTTTTAGTTTTTGCATTTGGCGCGGCCAATATAAAATGTTGAAAGTTTCGAGGACGCCGCTCGGATGGGCCCCAACTGCTCTCGCCTGTCCTCCGCGACGTTTTGTTACACTGGACTCGAGGCCGTCCTCTCCGAGGCTCGCCCACGGTCACACATCCACGCGCGCACCAGTGACACCGCTGCTTGTCTCGCGGCTGAGACACTCGGCACAGAGAACGGCTAAACTCGAAATCGATTGCTGCATGGCGTCCCGCTCGGGGTACATGTGCTGGTCCATGGCCCCAATCAAGGTCGCCGAATCCTCGATAGGGAGCGATAGCAGGTGACACGCCTCGTCTTGCCAAAGTTTGGATGCGAGCCGTCGCTGAAGAGCGGGCGAATCTTACGGCAGCATTTGGTGGGACCAGTCGATGCTTGAGAACACCGAGAGCCAATCTCGTGTTCGCCTCACCCTCACCAGCGAAGTGGATGTCATTGCAGGTTCTGCGCTGCAGCGGCCCTCTCTCATCCATGTCGTACAGAGGGCACCGATGCAGCGGCTCATGCCCAACAAGGCCCAGCCCCCAACAAACATCGGGACGGAGAAAACTCAAAGGGCTGAAGGAAGCCGAGACAAGGGCGGAGCCGTGAGGCCTCTCGAACGGGGGAGTGACCAACTCGGCCGAGCCCGCCGCTCGAATGCTTACTCTGCAGCGTCCGATTACGCTCCGCAGAATGCTACCTGCCGTCCCTGCGGGCGGAAAGGCTGGTGACTGGTCACCGACCTGGGTGTGATGGTCTGCATGGAACATTGACACGCCGCGGGCCCCTTTGCTGTCGTCGGTGTTCCTGGCAGGGGATAGCGGCTTAAATCTTCGGAGGGCATTTTCTTGGCTCGGAAAGGAAACTTTGCTGGGAATGGAAGCGATCTGAGGTTGCAGTGCGAGAAACTCTTGGGGCTCCGCTGGCACTTGGCTGAGAGCGGCAAGCTCCCGGCATGGATTTCGGACTGACCCGTCATGGCGCTATCGACCGATGAGGCCGCGGCTCTTCTTGGCTCCAGTGGCCCCAGCGAGACCGAGAGGGCCGAGAAGACGGGCCGGTTGATTGGTCGACATAGTCGGGCAGGGATTTGGTTTGAGGCTGGTTTTCCTGATGGGTTTCTCGTAAAGAAGAGTGTCGATTGTTCTAAACAAGACAGTCAGGGCTGCCTTGTTTCGTAGAGAAGTTGGGCGGATCGAGGCGCCGTTGTTTCGTGATGAGATGGGCGGAATTTGGGGCTGGCTCTGAACGGTTAGGTCGTTATGCTGTGCTCTCCCAGTGCTCCGTTCCTGGGATCGACCCGGGCCGGCTTGATGAATGCGGGGGGTTCCAGCCCAGAGTTCCCGCAACCCCAGACCTGAATGGATTTTCGCCGGTTAGCAGATTTCCCCATGCTGCGAGTTATCAGCCATCGGTGATACGAGACGATAATTTGTCTTGTCGTTGCATGCTGGGCCCCCTTCACCACGCGCTGATAATCATATAGCGCACAAAATAGAGGCCCGAGACAACGAGTTGCCCGTGGGTTGTGAGCCCAAAGGGAGCCCATCTCGGCGCCAGATGCGAACTAGTTAGGAGATGAGATGACGCCACATACCCAACCCAGCCGCGAGCACGCTGGCGTCAGGGGGTTCCGCGCCCGTCGGGGTCAGCAATGAGAGTGAACCAATGGTACCTAGTCAACAAGTGTGCGGCGGAAATCGCCTCGAGGAGCTTCGTGGCCCAAGCCCTGCGGAAACGTCGCCTCGCTTCATCTACAAGTATAAACATGATATCGAATATGGATTGGACTTGGACCTACTCGAGAAAGAAAAAAAAAGTCCTGTGGTCGGACTGAGTTGCGCACAACCTGTAAGTGCCAGCCTCCTCCTACCACACCCAGCAACGTGGTGAAAAACTCGGAAATTGGGGAAAGGGGGAATGGGGCGAGACGGGGAAGGAAGGGTGCTCCTTCTAATAAAACTCTGAACCTGAGGCGAGCCGGAATCCCATCTGTTGGTCGTTTTCTGCACAGAAAGAGCGACCGAGGACTGAACTGGAATGCCCGGGCCCTGTGGAGGGGCGGGTCTCGAAGAGCTCCCCCCCCGTCGGCCCATCCCATGGCACCCAACCAGGGTCCCCGCATTTTCAAGTGCCTCAACAGTGCATCCTGCCCACTGATGATACCTCGTTCCGTTCCCCTTCCTTCACTTCACACACATGTCGCCCTCGCCGCGTTGCATCCGACTTTACTCTGTGCGCAAGACCAAGGCCAAGTCGTCGCAGGTTACGCGTCCGAGAAAGGGGTTGCCCTCCATCACCAAGTACAACCGCCGAGTCCGAAAATCCGCGGCGTGCACTAACTCGCGACCTAGGTACAATCCAGTAATACCCATACATACCTGGCCTGGGTTAGGTAGCTCGGCGCCCAAACCTGCTGCTGTCATTAGGTGCGGCTCAACGACCTGAGCCTCATCCCCCCCGGCTGCAGCAAAGCTCCCCATGAGCCGCAGCTCCTGTTCGACGATCGAAACGATTGATTGTGCCGACACCCAACCTGCCGAGCAACGTCCGTATTTTGGAGTTTGCAGTACCCGTCGGAGGGGAGCTCGAAATACCACGACCGTCGCTCCCTGGGTACCTAACCTGGTTCATTTATTCGAGCAACCACCCTCTTTAACCATACCTGCCCGTCGCTCTTGTGGTGCCGAACAACCCCCAGCCGTTACGGCCCTTGAGCCGCATTCTCGCACCGGGGAACCCAGCCACCCCCCTCACTCCCACCCCGACAAGTTTGCAATTTGGAATCCCCCGCTCCATCAATCAGTCACGGGGTCGCTTCCGCTCTTCTTTCTTCTCAATCCAACACACGTCCTTTGAGCAGCTCCCCACTGTGTTGCGCCGCCTCGGCCCTAGTCTCTCGTCCTTGTCCGCCTACTTTGCGGCTGTTATATGACCGCTCCCCGCCTTTCGCGCGCCTGGGGCCCAGCTGCACTTGGGAATTCCCGCTCCCCAGGCTGTCTCGGCTTGGCCCTTTGACACACCGGGGACGGCCGCCTCCACCGGATTTTCCGGGAAAAGAAAGCTGGAGGAGTCGAATTTTGGAGGACACTCCTTTCGGAGACGACCCGAGTCGAGTGTGGAATTGCGGGTCTTGCTGCTTCGGCTTCCCGTCCACGACTCAGCCATCGATGGCGAGCTAATGCGCGATTGCTCTATGAGTCAAAACACCGAGTGTTCCTCGAAGAAGCAATGCGTACGGACGCCGCTTCCCATTCTGCACAAGTCCCGGTTAGCGACCTGTACGATCCTGATGACGTATTACCAAAGAACAGCCCGTTGTTGGAGCCGCGACATCCCACGCTGCAACTATCGCCGAGTCCGGCCCCCACCCTCTCCCCGTCCCCTGTCAGTCCTCCCGGCGGAAAGAAGAAGTCCAAACGTCGGAGAGGGCCGAGGCCGAGCCAGGGCGATGTCATCTTGATGGGTCATCTTGACGAGTACCGGCGCGGAACTGCGGCCTACGCAGCGGATCTCAATCTCGAGTGGAAATCGGAAACCGACAAGACCGAAGACTCAGAGGACCCGGAGGACCAAGGGGACGCAGAGGACTCAGGGCTCCGTGCAGATTCTATGTCTGCCCGTGACGCTTCCCCCGAGGAGCAACAAGTCGACGAAGAGAAGGATCGTGAAGGATCGAGCAGGATAAACGGAAAAGAGACCGGCATCCAGGGGAAGGCTTCAAGCTCTTCTACCGAAGAGGACATGGGCGCGTTGGATCTGAAGTCTTTAGCAGCGGGCGCCCTGGCTGCGTTTACGGAGCCAGAGCCCGATGCAGGACCGACACCGCCTGTTACCGAGAATGATGTGGTGGGCGGAAAAGCGCACCCAGTATCTACGCCCTCCATGGCAATCCACACAAGACGAACTGAATTTCGACAAAACGAGCGGAATCCCCCGCCCACCATGCCCTCTCCTCACAGCATGTATTCGCCGGGGGGGACGGGGCAAACGCCCTCATCGCAGAGGATGGATATGAGGTCACCGACTGCCAGCATACACTCCAACAGCCATAGCGAGGGTTTGCCGCCCCTCCTCAATTCACCGCGATACGAGAGCAATGCACAGACACTACCCTCTATCCGATCCCAACTTGGGGATATCCCCCAACTCGCGAACAACCATGGTGTAGGAAACGGTATGAGGAGCTCCTCACACCACGGGTTCGCCGGCTCGCCGCCAGCTAATATGACGCGTTTTCCGCCCCTGCACTCTCAGCTTGCGTCGCCTCCCATACCGCCCGCCGAGCCTCATCGCGACCCGCTCTCTCCGACCCACCCGCTTGCCCCCCCAACCATCAGCCCTAGGTACTACTACCACCAACCGAACGGTTTGCATCAGTCCCATGATTACGCCGGTAACTCCCCGGAGGCAGCAGGCTCGCATCAATCTGGTTCTCCGCCAGTGGCACCGGGTCTCGACCGGATGAGCTTGGACGGTATTCAGACGGTGGGAAGTTACGTTTGCAAAGTTCCCGGCTGCAACGCACCGGCATTCCAGACGCAATATCTGCTCAACTCACACGCAAATGTGCACTCCTCGGCACGGCCGCATTACTGCCCCGTCCCGGGCTGTCCCCGTGCCGAAGGCGGTAAAGGGTTCAAGCGCAAGAACGAGATGATCCGACATGGTCTCGTTCATGAATCACCAGGCTACATCTGCCCATTTTGTCCAGATAGAGACCATAGGTATCCCAGGCCAGACAACCTCCAAAGGTGCGTCCTCGCTTCCACTCTTCCCGTCTTTGATCTTGGACTGACAGCTACAAGGCATGTCCGAGTCCACCACGTGGACAAAGACAAGGACGATCCTCTCCTCCGCGATGTGCTTGCGCAAAGGCCCGACGGGCCAAGCCGCGGCCGCAGGCGAAGAGGAGTCGCGGCATAAGACCCTACTCTGGTTCTTCTTTTCGGGTCGAATCTTCGTTTACCTTCATATACCTCTCGCCGTGGTCGCTACAGCGGCCACCTCTGCCGACGTCTGTTCCTGCCAGACGGGCTGTATATACGCAGAGACGGCTTCAGGCCGGGCGCAGGGCGCAGTTACTGCTGCTGTTTGCTTCCCCGCGATGGAAGCTCTACGTTCTCTTTTCCGCCCCTCTTTGGTAGCGGTCTTATTTTCTTTCCATTTTCTTTTTTGACACGACGGCGTTTATCGGCGAACCGGAGGGAAGACCAGGCACGTCCAGGCTCGGCCAGGTCTTCTTCCTGCTGAGGGTGTTTCGCGAGTTACCCCAGATATTTCGAACTGGGCGGGATGGGATGATACCGGGATTGAGGGGCGTCTACGGCTGTGCTTTTTTTATGTTCACGTCATATACCACGTTTTCCTTGCTTCATTTGACACTGGGGGTAAAATGGGAGGAATGAAAATGGGATGGGAAGGGAAGGCAAGGAAGGGGTCAAGGGGTAAGGCACAAGGAGCAAGGGAGCGATGGTCAACCCTTCGAATGAGTCCCGTGGAGGATGTCGAACGAGCTGCGTGGGAAAGCGGGAATGCCGCTTGCGCGAGTGAAAGGGCGCAAGGCACAACACTCGCTGGCCGTTTTGGCCACTTGGCAATAGGAGGAGAGCTTCAATAGCTAGAATATCCATGTTGAGTGCCGCAGATTTATGTTGCCATTGCGCGTGGTGTAAACCGAGGTAGGTATATTTGGAAAAATGGATCGGGATGTGTGTGATTCCAGCTCTGCTTGAAAACACCTGGACACTCTCTCTAAAACCGATGTGTTCGTATGTTAATTCCTGTTGAGCCTTCCTAATTTATGCCAGTAGGCCTAATCATCCATCGGCCTATACACCTCAAAACAATACAGCAGCTTGAACCGTATCCCTATAACCAACCACCATCGAACCGCCTCTACCAATGCCAGACCACACAAACCACAAACTCAGTCCTCATCTGCATTCTCCCACCCACCCACCTCCACCGCCCCGTCACTCAACACCTCAACCTGCACCCCCCCAGCACCACTCCCACTCCCACTCCCACTCCCACCATCAGCAGCACCACCACCACCACCACCACCATTACCATACGCAGCCGCCCCACCCCCAATCTGCTCCAACACCACCCACAGCCCACCGCGCGCCGCCAGCGCCTCCCCGTTCTCAACACGCACCTCGGCCGTGCGCAGGCCCATGGCCGCGTCCGCAAACTCGCCCTCCCGCGACAGCGCCAGCACGGTGCGGTGTGCCCCCCTGCCCACCTCTAGCGCCACGCGTACCGCGCTCCCACCGCCGCCGCCGCCGCCACTACCACTACCATTACTGGCACTGGCACTGGAACGAGCACCCCTCCCCAGCGGCGCAGCGCTCACATGCACACTGACGCGAGTCAGGCGCGCGGGAACAACCCTCGCACGGAGACGAACGGGCCCCGGGCGGCGGCCCGGGGGCGGGCAGGGCGGGAGGGACGAGCGCAGGCGGCCGGCGCCGTCGGCGGGCAAGGGGCGGAGGGTCAGCGGGGACGCGGCAGAGACGCGCAGGGTGTAGGGGGCGAGGTGGCCGGGCTCGAAGGTGGAGAGCACGACGGCGTACGTGACGCCCGAGTCGAGGCGCGGGTGGGCGGCCGAGGCGCACCCGCGGGCGTACTCGGCGCTGGAGCACAGCATGTCGCGCCCCGAGGGCGAGATGACGCGCCCGCCGTCCGGCGTGAAGAGCACGGCGACGTGCAGCGGCAGGTCGTGGGCTGAGGTGCTCAGCACGAGGCTGATCGGGGAGGGGTTGGTGAGGGTGAGGGCGTATTGCGGGTTGGTGTAGTAGGTTGGGTGCGAGGCGCTGCCGCCGGCGGTGCGGCGCGTCCAGGAGCCGGCGACCGAGGTGTTGTACGGGAGCGGGTGCGGGGCCGGGGTGATGGTTAAGGGGTTGTGGGAGAAGAAAGACAGGGTGAAGGAGTAGCTCGGGAGGGGCAGCTCGGCTTGGGTGATCACGAGCGTTTGAGGGGTACCGGGGGCCGGGGTGTAGCGGAGGAGCGTGTTGGGGCTGTCAACGTAGGTGGTTTGGTGGAGGCGGCGGGTGATGTCGGGCAGAGGGACGCGGGTGCCAGGGGGCGAGGTGGCGTACAGCGCGAGAGCCATGAAGCCGAGCTGCATCGAGACGGTTGCTAAGGAGGTGCTGCTACGGTCCTTGTCCACTTTGCGTTGGCGCAGTATCTCGAGCTCGCCGTCCTGCCAGTGACGGTTGAGCAGGACCCAGACAGGGCTACCAGAGGGAGAGAGCACACTGTACTGCGGGTTGTGTGTGAATACTAACTCCTCCGTCTTGTCGCCCATTGCCCACTTGAAGTGGTGATCTTGCCGGTGGGTGAACATGGCCGGATTCCAGTTGACGTAGAGCGAGTCAAAGTGTTGGAGCACATCCTCGATGGCCATCCAGAACTGGTTGGGTGCGCCGTCAGACGCTCCAACTGTGTGCACTTTGAGGGTCGCTGAGCACCCAAGACCCGTCCAAACCAAGCTATCAACCCAGGGGTTCTTGATGAGCAACAAACGGGAGCCATCCTCCTTTTTCAGGTTCATGACTGCATACCCGTGCTCCCTCACCAAACCCAACGCTTTCTCCTCCTCAGGTGGGATGTTCCCTGTTCCGAGGGAAAGAATTGCATTCCCATCATCGTAGCCCTTCTTGATCCTAGACCATGTTTCATCAAGTTCGAGTTCGTCACTAAATAAGTTAGGCCAGTAGTTTACTTTATGATACCACCACTTGCTTACCTCAAAAGAAAGATTTGCTCAGGGATCCATCCCGTTAAAGTATGTAGGTCCGTTGCCGAGTTACTGCCGGGGAAGTCGTAACCGCCGCGTATCTTCAGGTATGCCTTTTCGACTAGAGCCGGCCATATCAACCGAGGATTGCGCCGGTCGACGACATACAGAGTGCGGTCAGTCTTGGACGCGGGGAGACGGTCATCGATTGCGACGCTGCGCCAGCTTCCATTGAAGTACATGCGGAACACGTACTTCCCGTTCTTAGAGACGGTCGGGCGTATCCTCTCGTCGTCAAATGGGTACATTAGCGAACTGAGTAACTAGCTCGGCACGTGTTAGTCATGACTCAGGGGTTGGGTATCGGGTATAGCTGCTAACCGAGCCTTTCGTAGACCCAAGGTGGCGACCAGCAGCACACAGGCTAGCTACGACGGAACAATCTGTGGCCAAATCCTGCGCCAGGTCCGTTTCCGCCTGAGTGGTCATGAGTTGTTCTTGGTCTCCTTGGCCACTTCCATCTCCGAACCCTGGAAGCTCAGTAGGGCGCCGCCAACCGGCAAAAATAGCTAGCTGCTCAGGGGAGAGGGAGAACGGCGAAGGGTCACTGGGGTTTGGGGAGGAGTTAGCAGAGGGAAACAAAGGCTGTTCGCCTCACGCCTTTACCTACGTGTAAATAGGACCGCCGGCATCGCGGAAGCTCTGTGGATCCGGGGCACGCTCCCATGGCAGGAACACATTTCCATGTAGTCGTGATGCTTCAAGAACAGCCGACTTCTCCGCTGTGGTCAGGGGCCGGGTAGACTCGGGAACAGGTGGTCGAGAGGCGCTGCTGGCAACTTTGGCGTTGGCCTTAAGACGCTCCCCTAGGGCAATGAGCTCGGTGATCTTGTTGCTTAGCCGTCTGCGGTCTTCCCGAGATTTCGACTTGCTAGCAGCCTGCATATACAGTTCGGCAGCGGCGATGGCGTGTTTTAAAGCGTCTTCTCCGTGGGCCTCGCTCAGGAGACGTTCGTGTTCCTGGTGTCGCTGTCAGACTCAACGGACCCAAAAAAGTGCCGGACCTGCTACAGGGAATTCTAACTCTGGCTTGGGCCTCCATTGCTTATTGGGCCGAGGAACGTCACATCCGCGACGACAGTCTTGAAGTTTCCAATTGCAAGCCACGAATTCCACGTCCTTTTGTGGGCGTGTTCCGTATGGGGGAAGACGGAAACGGACAATTCGGCGGTGTGACAATAGAGGTCAAAAAGAAAACAATCTTGAAAAACTTTGTTGTTGCTCGTTAATATGCGTAGTGACCCTAACTAACATGCTAAAGGTGAACCGCATCTTGGTAATGGATGTGCCAATGAACCTGCAAGTGGTTGCCATCGGTGGGGTATGGTGTTGCGGGAGCTGAGATAAGAGACCCAAGGCAAGCGCTACCTAAGGCTGGTTTGCTCACCCCTCCTGCCTCCTGCCTGTGGGCGCTGCGTTGGAGTTCTCAGGCAGGGCAGACAGATAATTCGCTGTTAGGGCCCGGTTGCCCAAAGGGAAAGGGAAAGGGAGGCCTTCCATATTGCGAGAGGGCGCTGGGAAGTGGTAATTACTATGTACGAGAGGCTTGCGAAAAAGGTGCGAAAAGATGCGAAAAGAATCCTGGGGATTCCATCCCACTGTGGTCTCTTCAACAGGAGAACCTTGAGGGTGGCCGACCTGTGCTTCCATCGTAGACCCCGCATCAAGGATTTACCTGTACAGACATGTTTGAAATAAGAGACGGCTCCAGACTCGAGTACGAACGAAGTGTTTAATCTCAAAAAAGGGTGAGGTATGAGAAACGCTGGATAACCTAAGAACAGATACAAGTCGCAAAAAGCGAGGATCTGTTGTTGAAATTGGATTGTATGCAAGTGCCCGCGATCTGGAAAGGTGACCCAGGCGCGCCAGGCCGGGGTTAACGATGCGGGGCAATGGAGGTCTCGCTGCTTGTCCCGAATAGTGGAGGTCTTCACCTGCCGAGGTTGACGGCTACACAGTCCCGATAACTATCACAGGCCCACGGGCACGAGTCAAATACAAGGGGCGGGCTCCTTTGATGTCGCCGTCCCTATTGCCATTGTCGCCATTGTCGTTTTAATTATTCATTTTGGCCTCGTCGGTGTGTTTGCTATCCTGTGCAACCGTGTATCTCGACATTTCATTCCTTGTGACTTTGCCGTGCGCAGCCGAGGCAATTGCCGTCATCGGCGGTTGAATACCCGGCAGGTACCTTGGTACACCAAACTCCCATCACGCGCCTACACAGAACACCTTCCCCTCCGATCACCGCGGCAACACTCGAGCCCACGACGTCGCGCGAAACCCGCCGCCAAGTCCTGTACGAGGACTAGAGGACATCGCAATGGCCGCGCAGTCAAAGCCCGCCCCAATTGGGCCATGGGGTAAAGCGACGGCAGGTGCCGCGGGCGCGGTCTTCGCCAATGCGCTCGTCTACCCCCTCGACCTGTACGTCAACTACACTTCCCGGCGCATGCAGTGACTAACCAGCATGGCGATACAGCATCAAGACGAAGCTCCAGGTTCAAGTAAAGCCGACCGACGCCGAGAAGACCGACGAGAAATCCGATGAGGCGCACTACAAGGGTACATGGGACGCCGTGTCCAAGATCGCCTCCGCCGAGGGTGTCGCGGGCTTGTACGCCGGCATGGGCGGTTCCCTGCTGGGTGTTGCCTCGACCAACTTCGCCTACTTTTACTGGTACTCCATTGTTCGCACCCTCTACCTCAAGTACGCCAAGGCGGCAGGCCAGCCATCCACCGTCGTTGAGCTGTCCCTCGGCGCCGCTGCCGGTGCGCTTGCGCAGCTCTTCACGATCCCCGTCGCCGTCATCACAACTCGGCAACAAACGCAGAGCAAGGGGGAGAGGAAGGGCTTTATCGACACTGCGCGCGAAGTGGTCGAGGGTGAAGATGGCGTGTCCGGGCTGTGGAGGGGGCTGAAGGCGAGCTTGGTGCTGGTAATCAACCCGTCTATCACATACGGAGCCTATGAGAGGTTGAAGGACGTTCTCTTCCCGGGGAAGAAGAACCTGTCGCCCTTGGAGGCTTTCGGTAAGCGCAAAACCCCGTTGTGATTGCTTACTAGAAGGCTAACATAGCCTCGAGCCCTCGGCGCAATGTCCAAGGCGCTCGCCACCATCGTCACCCAGCCCCTGATCGTGGCCAAGGTCGGCCTGCAGTCGAAGCCACCCCCGGCGCGGCAGGGGAAGCCGTTCAAGAGCTTCATCGAGGTCATGCAATTTATTATTGCAAACGAAGGACCAAGGAGTCTGTTCAAGGGCATTGGGCCGCAGATCCTCAAGGGACTGTTGGTACAGGGCATCCTGATGATGACGAAGGAGCGGTACGTTCTGCAAACCGTGCATGTGCATTTGGCGCCTGGTACTAACATCGGCGTTACAGCGTCGAGCTCATGTTTATCTTATTCGTCCGGTATCTCCAGGTCATGCGATCGCGGAGGCTCGGAAAGGCTGGTGATCTGGCGGCTGCGGCTAAGCTCGTAGCTCCTGTCACTGTTAAATAAACGGCCATCTGGATGTTTCGGCCGAGCTCATGGTATCTTTGAAGAGTCGTGAAATACTGTTGCTGTATTATAACGCACGGTCGGCGGCTTGTTGGTGTTGTTGGTGGAGACGGGGTGTTTGCCTCTGTATATGAATAGCGCATATAGATTCTAGTTTTGGGTATGATAATCAAAATTCGTACGATTGTTCTTGCTCACCTCTGCTGTAATTGCCATGAGTTGTGTCGGGGTTTCGGGTTGCAATTCCCGTCTCGCCGTAATTTACGTTTGCTCGGTGTATTCAATACCCTTGCGCCACGGTTCAGCCCCGCAACAGCCACAGCCACCAAATTCGGGCCCTAATTTCTTTCTCCCACTTTTGTGCGCAAGCGACAATCTGAGTTGTTGAACCTTGCACCCCAGCTTCCCAGACTCAGTCAACTTCAGTCGGAGCCAAAATCCTCTACAATGGCCAGTATGTCGCCCTCCCTATTGCCAGCATTCTCTTGATTGATACTGACGATTTTGCAGAGTCCAAGAACTCGTCTCAGCACAACCAGTCGCGCAAGGCGCACCGGAACGGGTACGCACACTCGAGAACCGACTCGGCGCCGCAACGGGGAAACTAATCGCGAGACCACAACAGCATCAAGAAGCCTAAGACCCAGAGGTACCCCTCGCTGAACGGCACCGACCCCAAGTTCCGCAGGAACCACAGGCATGCGCTCCACGGCACCGCGAAGGCTCTGGTACGCAAACCCGACACGACCACGCAATGAACGACGAAAGACCCGTGCCGCTAACAAATCTACAGAAGGAGTTCAAGGAGGGCAAGAGGGAGACTGCCTAAATCGATTTTCCTTTTTGCTAGCGGCGCGCAACGGTTGGGAGAGGGAACACATCTTCGGACATGACTCTTACGAAGGAGGGATTCTAAGGCGGTGACGATATTTTACACCACCGCTCACTGGGCCGGCTTTTCGAGGTGTTATCTAGGGCGTCATTTCGATCAAACCCAAACGGAATGCATTGGCCTCCGCGCAGAGGCGGATCTGCCGGGGTGTGCTATCCTCTCCTCGCTTGCGGGTACGGCCTGATTAGGACGAGACCAGCCCAAGCCAGCCCGACAAGGTGTGTGATGTTGATTGTGTGCTGAGCGCTGACGATGGGGAACCCGACCCTCTCTCCTGTTTGTGGTTGAACTTGACCCTTGTTTGCGTTTATTGCGGGCATCTCTGGGGGCGTCATGACGACGAACGGCATTAGTGTGTACAGCTCTGAGCTATTTTCTCCATGCTCAATCTGCTGAAGGATTATATCGTGCCGAGACGGACCAGCCTTTCTATTACCAAACACCTCTGATCTTCCTCCGAAAGACAACGGGTGCATGAAAGCGAGGCTACATTTCAGATGACGACCACGCAGTTCAGTATCTGCTCCTATACTTCCTTGTAGAAGGAACCAACAGCTCGCTCCCGAGCCCAGCAAAAATAGCTCTATAACGACGCTCATTTCTCACCTTCGCAGCTGATCGTGTCTGTCTTGTCTATGCCCGACTGATGATGCATGCAGCATGCCACTCTTGCTTTTGGCCTTCAGGGCTATGGCAACTTTCAGGTCTATGCCGCTCAGCCGCAATGCTCTTGAGTAAGCTCATACGAGCGACTCTGTTCTGTTGCCTATTGTAGCTTGTGCCCTCGTGACAAACTCACACAGTCCCTTTTGTCGGGTCGTTTCATGTGCCGCTCATCTGATGTTTAGTGTTGTGAGCAGCAGCGCCACATGGCGGAGGAGCCCGTCTCGGTTGGGGACAACCCCTATTTTCAAAAATGTACTCTATAGCCAAGCAACTGCCTGTCCGGAGGGTTTGGGTAACAAGGCCCAGGTTCCAGGCGCTTTATGCGCAAACAAAACGGGCTGAAACCAGGTGCCCTTTTAGTCTTCCATTCTCCGAGATCGTGGAGCTTTCTCCCGAAATCCCCGACGGAGTCTCATCGGTAGGTGATTCCGTGATCACGAAGCTCGAAATTGTCCCGGGCGTCCATGTGGTTCTGGAAGGGTGGAAGGGAAGGCGAAACATCCCCTGTGGAGCTTGCTCCTGCGCTTGTGATAGTGCTAACGTTAGCGGGTGACCCAGCCGCCCAGCGCCCGGCTGTGCCCAAGCTTGGGGCACACGGGATCCACTCTCCCTTGACTTCCGTGCGTCTCCCGTTTCTTCCGCTCTTCGGTTGGCTGGCCTTCCTTGCTGCACCCTGCCAGGTTCGGTTCCTCGACTCCGTCTCAACGAACTCCTCCATCCCTCCTCTCTTTTTTGTTCGTCCCGTCACCGCGAACCTGTCAACTTTCTGCTGGTTCAGGCCGGAGCAAGCAATCCTCCTCCTCCTCCTCCTCCTCCCTCTTCCTTTCGGCGCGGATTTCTGAATACTTTGGAACCTTCTTAATGGGTAAGTCCATCGTCTCCTCTCTCCCCGCCTGGTCGCCTGATGTGCGTCGTCTCGTCTTGGGGTTTTGTGAAGGTGCGGGCTGGACTCGCTTCGGGAAAACACCCCGCGGGACCCTCTGTTGTCTTTGTCTCCCTTTTTTCCTCTTTTTTTCCCATCCCACCTTCGGCGTCCACATGAGCGGCGGCATGTGTCATATCTTTGGCAGCCTTCTTGTTCCTCGACACCTTTCTTACTTGTTACTCGAAACCTTCCCTGCTTGTTGCCCGAGACCCTGCTGTGCTCGAACCTTTGCGCCTGCTTTACTAACTTGATCCTCGGCCTTTTAACAGAACCTCGTGCCCTTTCGTGACCTTCTTCATCGCGAAATTTCGATCCTCCTTTGAGGCCAGCGGGTTACTGCAGGAGTGTTCGAAAGTCTTTGCGCCTTTTCCTCTCCGCAGCGACTTCGAAAGTCCCTTCGGCGAATCTAATACCATCGGTGATCCGTCTCTGCCCGAGCACAGCAAGCCACATTTTGCCTTGGTACGTATCTGACGCGCATACCCCCACTCCTCCATAGCATGAAGATCGGTCCTGGAAAATGACGAAACCCCCAAAAGTCAGCGTAAGCTAACATTGAATAGCCGCGAGCCCTGTTTCACCTTTCCCTGGCACCTGGCACGGGCTGATTTTCAGAAACGACGCTTTGATTCTTTCCCACCCTCGTTTATAGAGTCCTTACAACGCCAACCCACTCGATTATTCCCACACGAATTTCGGCCCCGCGCCGGTTATGCTCAACATGTCCAACATCATGAGCAACCGTAACAGCACTCCCGAGGCTGCCAGCGTTTCATCGCTGCGGCCGCCCTCCTCGCGTGCAATCGGCGCAAACAACCACGCCCTTCGTGCGTCTGCGGATATGGCCGCCTTGACTGGACAGGCCGCCGCTGGTCGGATCCGACCCTCTTCCGATTTTTACGGCCAGCCGCAGGCGGGCCAAGGTCAGGGAAACTCCGACTTGGACCCTCAGGACAAGCTTGCTCAGCAGTGGATCGCCGATATCGACCAGTATGAGACCACTCTCGAGGAGATGGCGGCCGCTACCCTTGACCAGGATTTCAAGGACGAACTCAGTGCCATCGAGCAGTGGTTTCGGGTCCTGAGCGAGGCTGAGCGCACCGCTGCTCTGTATGCGCTGCTGCAGCAGACCACCCAGGTCCAGATCCGTTTCTTCATTCAGGTCCTGCAGCAGATGGGCAAGAATCACCCAATGTCTGGTGTACTCTCCCCTGCCAATTTTGACAAGGGTTGGTCTCCCAAGTTTCATTCAATATGCTATTACTGACGCTTCTCGTGATGCAGATCCCATGTCTAACCGCCTGAGCGATGCTATGAGCAAGCTGACGGTCGACTCGGCTCGGAACTCCCTGGCCCGCCCGAGCGCTGGTGCGAACGTGAAGCGCCAGTCCGGGCTCGATCCGTCGACCATTAACGCCATGTTCCCCGACGCCGCCGCGGCCATTGCGACCGAGAAAGCCAAGTTCACCCAGCAGACCGGCAACCCCCCCACCTCGACTAGAAATAGCTTGGTGGACAACCGGAACTCTCTGGTGGCGCCGACGATCTCGGCGCCCAAGGATGACCCCAACGCGCAGAACCCGGCGTCTCCTTGGGGCCCCAACGATCCGAATCGACCCAAGTCCTCTTCCGGCCAGCCCCCGATGGGCCAATTCGTGCAGCCCCCGCCGTCGGCTGGTGGTTTACGGTCCCCTCGCCCGCAAATCTCGGGCAACACTAATATCCAGTCGACTACGCTGACGGCTGGAGATTCTCAGCTTGCCGACCTGCCTCTTCTGTCTCCGTACGGCGCGAGCGGCAACTGGGCCTCGATGGTCAACACGCCGATGGTGTCGAACTTCAACCAACAACAGCCGCAGGGGAACAACGCCGATATGGTTGCCAATGCTACGGCGATGAAGCTGGCGGCCCTCTCGACAGTTAACAACCGATTTGCGCTGGATGATGTACGCAAGTATCGGCGTGCTCGCTCCAACGAACCGGGCCAGCCCCAGAACCCGCTGTCGCCAGGTGCTCCCTCCATTCCTGGAGCGATCATGGTCAGCGAGCACGGGGTGCCGCTGAGCCGGGAGCAGGTGATGGCCCTGCAGCAGCCGCAGAACTTGAGCTTCGCGGCCCATCGGTCGCGACCTAATTCGCCGGGCATCGCAATGCAGAACTACGGACCCGCTCTGTCCTTCACTTCGCCGCAGAATAATGGGTTCCTCAGCGCCTATGACGGAGGACCTTCGCTTATGAACAATGGACTGGCTCCAATGAACTTGGGTCCGTTCCAGATGGGTTTGGGCGGCCACCATGAAGGGTACCACTCGGATCATTCGGACATGGTGCGTGGCCGGTCTCCGCGCGGTCGGAGAGGCACGTCGAAGCCGCCTGAGGACCCCACCGACCCGACGCTGCTGCAGGACATCCCGAGCTGGCTACGGAGCTTGCGTCTACACAAGTACACGGACAACCTCAAGGACATGCAGTGGACGGACCTCATTGAGCTGGATGACAAGCAGCTGGAGGACCGGGGCGTCAACGCGCTGGGTGCTAGACGCAAGATGCTCAAGGTGTTTGAGCAGGTCAAGGGTAGGTTTTCTCAGCTGAAGAATGGGAATGAAAGTGGGGAAACGCTAACACACTTCGCAGAAGCTAGGAACGATGGCAAGCTGAGCTAGGTGCCTTCTTCCCGTTTCGGAGCATCAAGAACATGGGAAAGTGTCCTGGGACATTAAAGGTTTATATGGGAACGAAGTGTGCCAGGTGGTATCACATTCTTAGGGAGCATTCGTTGCTGAATATTCTTGCTGCGAGCCTACAGGCTTATGCTCGGAGTTGGGGACGACTGCGTGAATGAGGCGGTTCATGAACTCTTCAGCAAGCTATATGAGTTTTCCTCTTGGGGCGTATCGCAATTTGAGCGGGATGGTTCGCAGGTTGTACATGTACGAGGGGCGGATTTGGGCAACCACAGTTCTGGGAGAGCGAGATAAGCAGCGTGATAATAGCGTTGCTGCCGGCAAGGCGTGATAATTTACGATGGGTTTTTCTGCTCTACTGTGTAATGTATGTATGTATATGTGAAGATTTGGTTACAGAATTGTGTGCTGAGGGTCCGAGACAGATTCCCCCCTAAATTATGGTCCCAGGCTCACACTGTCAGCAACCTTGCGATATATGACGTGTGTGGTAAAGGGACTAATCGAACGGTAAATAAATGGCTCTTCTCAATCATCACCGTTTCTTTACCTAGCTGCTTTTCTTACTATAACTTTCGATTCTTCGTCGCAAGGTGCATAGCGGATGTACCTATTAGTGCGACTAAGCGAGACGCACTGTGCTCTTACTTTTGTCTTTCATCAACAGAACTCCACCAGTCAATGCAAGCACTTCCCAAACCTTCAACTGCTTGATAAACCACAATTCCATTTTTCTCCTTTTACATTTCTTCATTCTAACGATACCCCGGGTTAGAAACAATAGTGATATTTATGCCCGACTGAACAAAAAGAGGGCACCGGGAAAGCGACACTCGAGGATCTGAGCACAACTTTGGGGCGATACCATCATTCAAGACAGGAAGGGAGGATTGCTTGTGAGAATTAGGGATTGGCTAAATTTGAGACGGTTTACATTCGACATTGAAACCACCAACTTACTCGGCCTTTTTGAGGCGAGCGCTTCTCGAGATTTTGCAAGATTGAGGCTCGGCAAAGACTCGAGACGATCATAAAGATGGTCAACATGGATATCGATGGGCCAGCCCCGCCCACGCCCGCGGCTTCATCACACGCAACAGACAAATTTTCCCTCACGATGGTAGACCCAAGCCTATACCCAGGGGGGGCGCCGGCGCCCGATATTCTGATGGACGACGATGAGGACGAGGTGGCAAGCAACATCTCCGCCGACTCGGATGCCCTCGAACTGCGCGCTGAGGTCGAGCGGTTCGACCTCCAACAAGAAGCCTTCGTCGCCCGCCAGCGAGCGGAAGCATCCGGCGTACCATACCAGCCACCACCACCTCAAAAAACAGGCGGTCGGGGAGGCCGGAAATCCAAACCGCGCAAGTCCACGGGGCCCCGGAAAGCAGCCAAGCTCCCGCCAGACATCCAGTTCCGCATGTCCCTCGCCAACGAAGCCTTCCAGCAGAAGGACTACGACAAGACGGTCGCCCACCTCTCCGAGATCATCCGCATCAACAGCGAGGTCTTCAACGCCTGGATGCTGCTCTCCACGGTACACGAAACACTGGGCAACCGCGAGCAGGCCATCTGGTGCCGCATCTCAGCAGCACATCTAACACCCCGCGACGTACCGCAATGGATCGCCACAGCCGAATACGCACTCGAATGCCTCGAGGACGTCGACGACAACGACAACGACAACGACAACGACACCAACACCAACACCAACGCCAGCCCCGACGACGGGCGCGGCACCCCGGCCAAGGAGGAGGTGCTGCAGCGGGCGTACGCCTGCTACACGCAGGCGCTGGAGACGGACCGGGCCAACATCGCGGCGCGCACCGGCCGCGCCGACGTCATCATGATGCAGGGCAACGCCAGCAAGGCGCTGGCCGAGTACCAGAAGGCGCTGAGCTACCGGCCCTGGAACATCCGCACCGTGCGCAACATCGCCGACGTCGCGCTCGACGTGAAGGACCGGCGGAAAGGGGCTGATATTGCGAGGGGGGCGTATAGGCGGTTGGTGGATCATTTGCAGGCGGGCGGGGGGTTTGAGGCGGAGGAGGGCTGGTTTGAGTGGTCGGATTTGAGGATTTATCTCGAGTTTTTTACGATCTTGGAGCAGTGGCAGGAGGGCGCGCAGGAGTTGAAAGAGATCTCGCGGTGGTTGCTGGGGAGGCGGGAGGAGGCGTACTGGGACCAGTGGGTCGATGATGACAGGGAGTGGGATATCACCGACGACAGGCGGGTTGTGGTGCCCGAGTTCGAGCCCGCGCGGTTCCCACAGGAGAGTTATGGTGAGGGACTCCCCGTTGATCTGCGCGCGAAGCTGTACGTCTACCGCGGCAAGCTGGGGTTCGAGTACGAGGCGAATCTGCACCTGCAGCTGCTCGATCCGGCGAAGGAGGACGATTTTATGGACTTCCCGGACTGCCTTAAGGATATTGCGGTTACGCTGCTCGACCGCGGCAGGGCTGAGGATGCGGTTCGCTACCTCGACCTCTACAGGCACATCGCCATGACGACTGGGGATATTACGTTGGATGCCGACTTTTCTGTCTGCCAGGGCCGTTATCACATGGCCCGGGGCGAGAAAGCGGCGGCGGAAGAATGCTTCATTGCGGCTATCGAGGAGGATGAAGATCACATCGAGGCGCGCGTGCAGCTGGCTAACATGTACGAGGGTGAGGAGATGCAGGAAGGTCGGGAGGAGGCTTTCCTTCTCGTGCGTGAGGCTATGAACCTGGAGGCGAGGCGGGGTGACGGCACTGGCCGGCGCCGTGCCCCATACGGGCCGCGGAAACCCAGAGAGGGCAAACCTCGACCTCGCAAGCCCAGAGACCCGAACAAGAAGTCGAACTACGTACCGAGGCGCCTGATCAACGCTGAGAAGAGGAGGCAGCAGGAGCTCGAGATGACGGCCGAGGCGGCCAAGAACTTCCAGCGGCTGCGGGAAGTTCAAGACAACGCTTTGTCCGGGGACGAGCAGGCCAAGGGCGACTGGATGAAAGCGGCCAAGCACCTCATCGACGACTTCCGATCGTATAAGCAGTTCTACCCGTGGGAGAAGTACATCAAGTTCCTCGGGTATGCTTCCAATGTTCAAGGAGGGGCAGCGGTCCCGGCAAGGAATATGAAGCTGGCTGCCATGGAAGAGCGGTTGCGGATGAACCTCGCGCCTGCCGAAGGCCAGGAACAGGTCATCAGGATACCGGTGAAGTTCCCTTCGGACCATCGGGGCATCTCCTTCGACGTCTGGCTCGACATCTTTCTCAACTACGCCTTCACCCTCGTCCGCGCCGGCCAGCACCGTGAGGCCTATGTGGTCTGCCATGCGGCGAGGGACTCCATCGTTTGGACATCGACTGAGTCAACCTTCCTCATCCACGTCGCCTGGGCGTCATGCGCCGTCTACGCAGGCGACGAAGAGACCTGCGTCGCCATCGCCCGCTACTTCATGCGCGACTACATGCCCGGTACAGATTCCTACCGCATGTTCTCGGCCATGTGCCGGGTCTGCCAGACGCCCGTCTCCTGGTACACCTCGGGCCCAGCGCAAAAGTTCATCCTCCGCCAGATCAAAACCATGGACAACATCGTGATGCGGCAAGAAAACAACGCCAATGCCCTCACCAACCCCACCTCCACTCTCACCACCAACCCCCCCAACCCGGACGCCCCCACCAAACCCCGCGCCTCTGACCCCGACATCGCGCTCGACGTAGCCCTCCTCACCATCTACGGGCACATCCTCTTCACGACCACGTCCTACACCTACGCGCTCTCCTACTTCGCCCGCGCCGCCTCGCTCGACCCGTCCAACCCGCTCATCAACCTCAGCACGGGGCTCGCCTACGTGCACTACGCCCTCAAGCGCCAGGCCACCAACCGCCAGTACCTGCTGACGCAGGGGTTCGCCTTTCTCTTTCGGTACTACGATGATAGGCTGCGCTTGCATGCGGGCCAGGGGCGGGGGGGCGTGGCGGGCAGGCAGGAGGCGCATTTTAATATCGCGAGGGCGTATTCGTTGGTGGGGTTGGGGGCGTTGGCGGTGGAGTATTATAAGAAGGTTTTGGCGGAGGGGGATGCGCGGGGGGTGGAGGGGGAGGGAGAGGAGGGGGGGATGGGGAGTGAGGATTTGAAGGTGGAGGCGGCGTTTAATGTCCGGACGTTGTGTTATCTGCTGGGGGATGTGGAGGGCGCGAGGGGCGTTGCGGGGGAGTATTTGGTTTTGGAGTGAGCGTTGTTTCTAGGGTGGTTGGGGCTGGAGTGGTAATGGGCTGGCTGGGTTGGTCGGGGGGGGGCAGAAAATGGGAATGTCGGAAAGGGGAAATACCCGTGGGCAGGACGGGGTGGGCGTTTGGTTAACTGGGTGTCTTCTGGGGGCGAAGGAGGCGGTTCTCCCGAGAGCTGGTAGTGAAGGGAGCACATAGAGGCCCGGGCAGATGGTCGAGAGATCATGAACCCATTTTACTACGAATATATGGAGATGTGAAGACCAAGATCCTGGGGTTGAACCTGAATGTTGTCTCCCCGACCTTCCAGTCAAAGCTCCCCCTCCCCCCCACCCCGTCTCCCCGCTGGGTATCCGCTACTCCAAACATATCATCTTGAACTCGGGCCGAGCACTCAACCAGCTGGTAAGATAGACCCACCCCACACTGACCCGGCGCGCCCGGTTCTCGCCGGTTCGCTCAACTAGCATCACATTAACTACAGGAAGTGGGAACAGGCACCCGCCTGCTCTGTCCCAAACAGTCAACTCTTCAGGCGCCCGCGCCTCCTCCCAATCAGTCAACTCTTCAGGTTCCTGCTGCTCCGTACCGAGAAAGTCGGGCGAGGTAATATTGGTGGATTCCCTCTGAGGAGGTTCAACCGAGCTTGTTTTATAATGTCCATCCCTGAACACAACCATACAATCAATTTTGCCCGCCGACAAGGCAATAAACTCGAACTTGGGCCTCCCCGCGATGCCCGGTTCGAGGTCCAGCTCGTTGTCCTGAGCAACCAGCATCCCGGCGGGTTCACTTGACTCGTCCACTATGATAAGATTGCCACTGGTTGTGGTTCCTATGAAGCCTGTTTCTTGTGTTGTTATGGAACCTCGCAGTGGGAAAAGCGCGGTTTGTGCCCAGGTAAAGATGGTGCCCGGACCGGATGGAACGGTTGTGTCGTCTGGTGGAGGCTTCGGATGGGCTGCACCTCGAAATGCCTCGAGCCAGTAGCGGTGGCGGCAGGCCCATCGGGATTTGATCTGAGACCTCAATGTCGGGAAGGTGGTGTTCTCTAGCTTCGCAAAGGGGTACGGCGCCGTGATGCAACCATGACTCCAGGCGACAACCGGGTACAAAAGCCGTTCCACCTCATCCTCGGACATCTCGCTGAGACAGCCGCACGTGTCTTGTCCGTTGTGAAGCTGAGAGAGAGGTTTGCTACCGGAGACCGTCTCAACGCTCTCTGCCACCCTTTGTGCCAGAGCATCTGCTCCTTCGCGGACATGGGCCCACGCCACGAGCGTCTCGCAGTACCTGAGCGGCCGAAGACCATCCACGACGTCAATCAGCGTAATATCCCTGTCCGTTGCCGACCACGACCAGCTAGGCTTCGTCCCGTTTCCGGCTGGACCGGCGACCCAGGACTTGGGGGCATCATCCCATCGTATACACCACAACAATGCCTGGTCAAAATCCCGCCGCGGAAGTCCCCACCACAGCGAGCCGAGCTCGCCATACAATGCATTCGCCACGCCGTCGATGGCGTTGTAGATGTCGGAAGGGTTGGTGAGCGATCGTTTGCGGTAGACGCCGAGATGATGATAGAAGGTGTCGACCAGGGCAGGATGATATTGCCGGGCGTAGTTTCCAACAAATAAGTACTCGCTCCCGTAGCCGCTGACTCCGTCCTCGCCTGGGGTCCCATTTTGGCACTCAAAGAAGGCCTGCGACTCGGTTAGGATGAGCTTCCGCCGCGCTAGGACGGCCTCCTGGTACGTCCAGCCGCGCGTCGACCAGATACACCCGCCACGGCTGATTTTTCCCCAGTGCGAAAGCTCGTTGAGGCTAAAGTCGAGGCCTGCAATACGGTCGCGAACCTGGCCCTGTGCCCTCTCACGGCTGACACCCGCGATGCCGGTGTCGATGTTTCCATCGGCGACGATGATGACCAATTTTGCGAGCGAGTAGATGGCCGCCATAGCCGCGATTTGTTCGACCTTGTCGTCATGGTCGTCCTGGACGATGCAGAACCGGTCGACCCACAGGTAGGGCTCCTCGAGTCGTCTGCATACCTCCATCGCGTCCTCGATAGTAACGGGCATGTCTCGGGCGGCAAGACCGCCATCCTCTTGGAGGGCCTTGATGCTTAATCTAGTTGTGACAAGCTTCGTCGGATCCGGATCGCGCCCCCAGACGTAGCTGAGCGCAACGAACTGACAACTCGGTAGCATCTGCACTAAACGTCGTTTGTTAACATCGATGACGCGGAAGTTGGTCGGGAGGGTGATGCCCGCGCCCGTTCCCGGCGTCGCGCACTTGTCGTGATGCTGCAAACAGCTGTTTAGCCACTGGCGTGCCAGCGGCCAATTTACAATTCCCCCAGCGACCTCGATATCAGGGGCCTCCCGAATGGCTCCAACTTGGTTATCAACAGCATCGACCTCGCCCCCTTGAGACAACGAAGGTCCGCCGCTGTACCGGATCTGTCTGCCGGAACCAAAAACGGTAGAGCGGCTGCTAAAACTACGATGCCCAGCTTGAATGGTTCCCATCCTCTTAACGGAGATGACCAAGCTGCCTTGATATTTAGCCCCCGGCTTCACTCCGGAGAGGTTCCCATACGTCAGGACGGCCCGCGCGACCAGGCGGCAAAACGAACAGGCGCTCATCCGCTCGGGAATATCTTCGAACCGGCAGACCCAAACGCGGAAGTCCATAGGCCGTTCGGTGGCAGCGACGCAGCAGAGGAGGTGGCGGAGGCGGAGGTGTCGACAGGACGGACACAGGTTGGGGTCGAGGTCATCGTCATTGCGGCAGCGGGCACATTCCCTATGGAAGAGCTCCGTGGCGAGCCGTTGGGACACGCGGCGTTCTTCGCTTTCAAGCGGGCGTGGCAGTTTGCGGGATTTGAAGTAATCTTCGTGGAGGGATAATTCGGGGGTTGCACAGATGGCGCACGAATCCGTTGACGACATGATTTGTAGTTTGACACTTGTTGGCACTGGCGCTCGGGTTTGGAGAGGGTTTGAAGAGTGATGAATCTTAGCGGGCTGCCGATGGGCTGGGAGGCTGGGAGGAGGTGGGCTGGGCCGCGACACGTACGAATACGTGTTGGTCATGCACATTGATCTGTCTGATAGGAAGCCTTCTCAAGCAAGCAGTACCACCTCGGTACCCGAGGCGGTACTATTGGTTCAACCAGCCAGCCACGCGTCACGCAGGACAGCTTGACGGGTGGGTAATCCCCGACCCTATCAAACAACGAGGGCTTGAAGCCTCGTGCTGGTTTGTGTCGCATGTGGTGGACTTCGGTACCTAGGTACCGAGGTATGTTTATTGTTCCCCCCCAATAGAATGGAAAAGGCTAACCGTAACACACGCTGTGCCTAGGTAGGTACTTAGTTAGGCCTTACCTCTGCCGACTAGGGTCTGCACGGTGGGAAACTATGGAATAAATTCAAGTCTTCAACCTAGCGTGGCTAGCTACCTATATTCTAGCGTTAGAAAACGAGGTCGAGTTGCATGGCTCACGGACTAGCAAGACTGGGTAGGATGAATAGCTCACTGTTGGTAGAAGGTGTGTCCATTTGCCACTACATTGCTACCTAAGGACAGGCTGCCAGTGAGAGAGGAATGCCTCGATTTAATCAAATATTACCTCGATCAAATCAAGTATAGGTACTCTCGGATTTGGTTTGTTTGATTTGCGGTGAGCCTTGGGACCCATGATTACGAGCACGAACACCTAGTAGGTGATTAGGGGTAAGAAATCGGTTGCGTAATCTAGGTAGGTATGTACCTGCCTAGGGAGGTACCTAGGTAGGTAGGGACGCTGGACTGCTGGCCAGGCTATCATCAACTACCACCTACGCACTCACAACCCACGGCTACATGAATAACATCCGCCTCGGGGCTAAAACGAAAAAAACACAATTCAATTGCTCACGTATACAGGCACTTAGGTAGGCAGGCAAGCTAATACCATCCTGTTGTGCACCGCACATTGTGAAACCCAGAGTCGAGTTGATTCAAGTCGAGCCAGGGCCCATGGGCTTCTAAGTGATCACCCCAGCAATTTTCTTGATGTCGTCGCGTCGGGATCACCCAACATACCAGTGTCGTTGTAGGTTGGGGCTGTGGAAAGTTGGAGGGCGGTGGGGGCGGCCACTCGGCATGCATGCCACGACGGCATTGGAAACTTGAACTTGAAAATGAGCCCAATAGAGTCTCTTCTGAGACGCGGAATGCACCTTCCGGTAATTAGGTAATCCCCAAATCCCAACCGAACCCAAATTTCAAAACTGTGCTGCGCCGCCATCTGGAACAACCTTAGCTCGGTAACTCCCGCAGACCCGTACCAACCGTCACCAACAGCAATCATCCATCAATGGCAAGCCTGCCATTGACAGGGCCTGACCCATCGCCGACATCGCCGCCATCCCCGCCATTGCCGTCATCGCCACTTCTACGCCTCACGCCGCACATTCGACAGCGCATCTACCGCTATCTTGGGTTGGCATCATGGAACGGCCGACCCTACACCTTCTACCTGCACGCCGGCCACCTCAAACTGCGCCAGAGGTGGGCTCTTGATCTTGGCTTCGACTCCCTGCCAAACCCGGATCGCTTCCACGGCCTGCTCCTTTCTTGTCGCGTCATCCACGCCGAAGCGGCTGCTCTTCTCTACTCGGCCAACCACTTCGTCCTTTACTATTTCAACCCGCCCGATGACCTCGGTCAGCTTACGCCGTCTACCTCGTCCCGCCCTCTGCATACTCTACACGCTCTGACCGCGTCGTCACTCCGGTCCCTCTCTAGTCTCAAGGTAGTTCTCAACGAGGCGGCCTGCCACCGGCTGACGCTATACGACACCGGCAGTTGTTGCTTCGATGGTTGCGAAAAGTCCGATTCCGACACTCCGCCCTTGTGCAAGCAGAACCACCAAGGCCTGCACCAGCTTCCCCTCCTAAGTCCGGTGTCCGTAGGCGACTACTACAACAACAAGCGGGCGGCAACCCACTCTATCCTGGAGGAATGGCACTCGGCGGCAGCTCGTCTGCTATCTCATGTTGCTCCTGGGCGCCTCGCTCTCTCTGTGGTTTGCGATATCGACCCCAAACACCCGCGGTCGTTGGAGGTAGCAAATGCCGTCGTTGCACCTATCCGGTTACTCCCCCCATCTCATCTAAAGGAATGCCGTATTCGCCTTGCCAAAACGGCGGATACTCGGCTTCGGCAGCTCGCTGAGGATACCGTCTCCTATACCTGTGGAATCCCTACCATATCCCTGAAGCCGCCGTCAAGTATGGCGACCACCCTAGCAACTCTCCCGCGCGAGCTCCGCATCCGGATCCTTGAGTATACCGACCTTGTCACTCCGAGGAGACAGGTGATATGGTCTAGACAGGACCATGCATATACGGTATGGTCCTTTTCCTGCGACCCCGACGCCTCTCCCGACGATCGCCATGGTGATCAGTTCTCTCAATGTTGGCGTGATAGCTATGAGCGCTGCCGATCCATCAACGGCTGCTTTTGCCGTCGTCGCCATGCCGCGTTTTCCCTAGGGTGCAAGTGCTGGGCTCCGCCGGGACCTGCCCTGTTCCTCTTGTCCCGCGCTTTATACCAGGACGCCCAGTTCGTCTTCTTCTCCAGTAATCGTTTTATCGTCCACGACTACAAGATATCCCCCCCTTGGGTATTACCGGTCCTTGAGCTGTCCGACGTAGAAGACCCAGACGCGCCCGTCCCTGTATATCCCTACCCAAACGCGCGATTTGCCGCCTCCGAGTTTCTACGAGAAGTCGTCCCTACATCTTCCCTCGCCCATCTCCGATTTCTAGAGCTGGTCTTTCCCCTTTACCTACCATCTAGCTGGCCCGAGACCCGGCACCCTACGATGCAGGACTGGTGGGCAACGGTCGATTGGCTCCAGGACAAGGTCAATCTCGCGGCGCTCACGGTACGATTGATGGTGGTTGGACCGAACGACGCTCCGGATTCTTACTACCGGATCAGGACAGTCGTGGAAGGCGCGGCGGTAATGACGGCCTTTCAAGATATCACGCGACCCCTGAGGCCGTTGGCCGACCATGGGCTCGCTGCGTTTTACGCCCACTTCCCTTACCCTTGGGAGTGGACTGAGGAGTCGAGAGACCGCCGCATGACCGGACTGGGCTGGTTGCGCAAACAGGAGAAGGCCCTCAAGAAGCGTGCCGAGTTCAACGTTATGAGCGGTCGGTACGAAAGCCTCTATGCAAACGGCAGGGAAGAACCGAAACTCAGCGATTGGGCCTGGTTGGAAGGCCATTGATATTATTGATGGATGGGCTGGAGCATCAAGGAAGCAATGACCGCATCTCCACACACGCAATTCAATTCAAATCTTGGTCCGTTTTCAAGTAGGTAGATGCAGATATCGGGATTGGGAGTGAAATGGAATCGCGTTGGAATGACACCATGCAGGCGCCCGAACAGAGGTACGTACCGCGATCGTTTCAAGTCCTCAACCACTTCATCAGTATCACTGCGGCCATGCTTGTCCGCCGCGCACCTGTGCCGCAGAGGCTGTCCTCGACCGACCCTCTGGGTCTAATCTCACGGATGAAAAACCAGGGAGTTGGGCCGCTTAGGTGTAACAGCGGCCTAGACGACGGCCCGGCCGCTGTTGGTCGTCCAGCTGTTGGTCTCTTTGTCTCGTCCAAGAAAAAGAAAAGAAAAAAGAAGGAAAACTAGACGAGCGACGGCCAACTTCCAGGTGCTGTGTGGGCTGATGGTGGTCGCAATATCCAACCCGAGTAGCCATGGTTTCTGACAACCCGAGACGGGGGTTGTAACACACGAGGGGAAAAGCTGCACGCAACGCTTCAAATTGGAGCAATGGCACCGATGCCTGCAACTTCGGCCTGGCTGCGAATGGAACCGGTAACTTTGGGACCAACGGGCGTGCTTTGAACACGGTTTACAACATTCTTTGAACGGTGTTGGCTTGATGGCACCGGAAGGGTTCAGGTTCGTGAGGGTTGATTCAGTATCTTGGGAATGAGCACAAGGGGGCATGTCCCTCAACAAGATGTGGGATCGTAATACCGAAAATATATCTCTACCGCGATTATGCAAGATATGTTCTCGAGCACTCGATGGATATAAACGAACTTGCCATAAACGACATTGTCAATTGCGTCAGCAAGTGCATATTTCATCCTGCAAGTGTCTTGTGACATAAGTAGACTGGGCGACGTCTCCCGGCCTCCGTCGCCAGCAGCATTCATAGTCGTGAAGGAGGTGGCCCCGGTCTAGGAATGCGAAGGGGATCTCGTCTCCGGAGATTTTGCATCATTTCGAATGCGAGGCAGATTCAGGGGTTGCCAGGAGTGGTTAGTGAGGGACATGATTTATTACTCGTCATCAAACAGCAGGTTCCCAGGCTCGCCGTCTGAGAGTAAACACAAACAAAGTTTGGCACCGGGCAGGAGGAAGAGGATTACCGCGAAGCAAGCCACGCGGGTGGTTTATTGGTTTTTGGCAAACCCGATTTCGCAACCCCCAACTCCCCGGAGCCCAACTGCATTGGTTGGTGAGTTATCAAACAGCCGTGCTTGGTCGGCCACGGCCCATGAGCTGGGGCCACGTCATTTATTGAGGGCACAGCATCGAGGGCACGGCATGGGGGCCACGCGGGGTGATGGCGTGGAGCAAGAGGAAGGCGGGTATTGATCCTGTTGGCGGCACGAAGGTACATACATGTGGGATCATGGTGGGGCTTCCATCTGGTGTTCAGCTCCAAGAAGCAAACGGGTTCTTCCCCGCGGCGGATATTAGGGACGACTAGTGCCTAGGGAGGAGTGGCTGGTGAATGCATTCCTGGCGGACGTTGTTGTCGCACGAGTGTCCTTGGCCGCGAGAAGGCCTGGCTGGACGAGTGGTTGGGGTGCCATCAACTGGCTGCTCGGAGGGAAACTAAATCTCGCGGCGGCGCCATCGAGTTTCTAAAACCAGCCGACTGGCGGCCCAGATGTCGGCCTTCTTCTTTCCCCTGAGAAGTGCCGCGCGCGTGCTTGGTGCCGACCTGCCGAATCTCCCCCCAAAAATCCAACCAAGTCGGAGACGTGCGGATGTCTGGGGCCGCGGGGCGGCAAACAGTGGAATATTGAAAGGTGAAACGAAACAAACGCTCGTCCCGACTTTAAATCACGTCTGTCTCGGGAAGCGAGAAAGATGATGGCTCGCCCGTCATCCCGTTTCTGGATTCCAAAGTGGTTAGATTGCGGCGCCGCCGTGGAAGAGAGGGGATGGAATCTCTGGAAGAAGCGGTTCATGGAACTGTGGCTTGACCCTGACCGGGAATTCATCAAAATAGCGCGTTTCAGGGGAAGCCGACCAGGGTGAGCAGTGAGGCGCCCCGCTCCCAGCCCTGGCTTGGTCCATTTCCGCAACCCGATTGGGCGGTGGGGGATCGCTGTGCCTGAGATTGAGATGGGAAACCTTCCCGACCCGCTTTGACAGATCCGTGGGTTGGGATGATCAACCGCGCGGCATCAGGCATGGCAACGGCAAGGAAACCCATCAGATCGGATTAGTTACGATCAGATCTCATGTTTCAATAAACACAGAGTTAGAATACCCACTATTATAGGTAATCCATCACTTTGCTCCGAGTAGCATTAAGTTTTCAAATTATCGACGTGGCAAGCTTGCCTTTTCTAAAAGAACGGGAAGGAACCACAGTCGGTCCGTTGGGGGCGTGACAAGGGTGCCCAGTGGCGCATAAATCCCCGAGATGTGCAAACATGGGATGGCAGGAAACCCGCGAGCCAGGCTCCCAGGTTCAGGTAAAGTTACAAGTATTCTCCCCAAAACAACTTGGGGTTGGGTGGGAACTTGTTTCGTTTGCTTTCCCCAATTTCCATGCTCTGAAGTGTCTGAGATCGATCAGTCGGAACCCAACGGCGATCGTCGAGTTGACACACACAAAACCCTGTTTTCGAGAATATCCCTATTGGACGCCACAGACGCACGGCAAGGGCAAGAGCCAAGAAAACATGTGGCAACTTGAGCTTTTTTTCTCACACTTTTCTGCCTCTCCAAAAGCATCCAAAGCAAGGCACCGCCGAGGACCTGCAGCTCGGGCCCCAGAAAAGCGACGTGCCATCCAATGGCATGCTAAGCATCCCAAGATGCAGGTACAGCGCATGGACCACGTTCCCCCTGGACGAAAGTTCCTCTCCCGTCTTACCCCTCTCCCCCCCATCTCGGCAGCCGCTGAGAACATGGGAATGGACGCCCGCCGTTTTGTGACTGAGCGCTTGGATTCGCTTGGATTTTTCAACTTGCAACCGTTGTTCTGACTAACTACGAAGGGAGACATACTGTGTACGATGGATGTTGAGCTAAAGGAGGGCATGACACACCTCCCAGCGCCAACCGCCAACCGCCAACCGCCAACTGCTGGGCGACCGAGTCGGCCTACGCAGTAGGTGGGCCAGAGAGTTGGCCATCAGGGGGGCACACTCTGATTTGACACTCTGCCCGACAAGGGACAAAATGCTTTTCCTCCAGGCCCCAGGCCAAGGTTCAGGTTCTACTGTGTAGGTTGTGGTTTGCCCTGGCTGATATTTGGCCCCGAGAAAAAGCCTGACGGCGGTCTCGAACTCTGGCGGGAATGATTCATCACTCATCAAGGAGCAAGGGGAGCAAAGGGGGAACAAACTGGGTTAGTCGAGACCCGCAAGTACCTGCCAAGCTTCCATCCTGGCGGTGCGGTCAGGTACCATGCAGGTGAGCGGGGACGGCGGAGGTGTTCCAGGTTGCACACTCACCACCACGGCCCAGGCCCTGGGAGTCCGGGTCGCCCAGAGAGGCGGGCTATAAACCCGGCCGTCCCATCCAGGCGCCGCCATCTCAGCTCTCCTTTCCCCACCCCTCCTCACCAACCTCACCGGGCTACTTTTTGTCATTCCTTTCTCAAGGCAACTTTGCCAGTCCTTCCTTTTCCGCTCGTGCTATCTTTGCACTTGTGATTTACACTCCCTTTCAACCGCTGCCGAGCTTGCTCAGCGCTTCCTGATTCTTTGTGTTGCTTGCTCACTTGACGTGGGTTGCCCGACTTTGACTCGACCCTCGATCTCGACTCTCAACTTAAAAGCAACTTCCAGACCCAGGATACCAACAGTCTTTTCAAACAAACAAACCATTATCTGCATTCTTTCGGTGACACAACTGGTGTTGACACCACAACGACGACGACACTTTGAACAAGTCCTAGAGACCACCTCACTACTTCGCCCAACCTTGAGGAAACCGATACACACAAAATAGACCGAACAAATCAAAAAGACAAATTCGACATTTGAACACCCAAAGAACCAACAAGATGCTCTTCACTACCGCCCTGGCGGCTTTGGTCGCCAGCGTCGCCGCGGCCAAGGACTCGCGCACCTTCGCCGTGCTGCAACACTTTGGACAAGGCCCCTTGACGACTTGCCGTGCCGACCCCATCGTCTCCCCCGGGAAAACCTCCTCCCACGTCCACACCGTCATGGGGGCCAGCAACTTCGGCCTCAGCGTGACGGGCGAGCAGCTCCGCGAGTCCAAGTGCACCACCGCGCGCGCCAAGGCCGATCTGAGCGCTTACTGGTTCCCGACTCTCTACTTCAAGGACCCCTCCACCGGCCTTCTGGAGCCAGTCGAGATGCACTACATGAACGTCTATTACTTCTTCGATGCCACCAATGACGAAACCAAGGCTTTCCCCCTCGGCCTCCAGATCGTCAGCGGAAACGCCATGTTGAGGACCGCCCCCTCCACGTCGGGCGACGCCCAGCTGGACCCTTCCAAGGGTCCCATTCAGCCCGCTCAGATCACCTGCCCTCGCAAAAACTTCAACCCTCCCAGCTGGCCGAGCGGTTCTGACGGCTCCAGGGCGGGCATCAAGTCCTTGCACAACGACGGCGCGGGCATTGGCTTCCCCTTTGAGGATTGCGATGGCTACGCTTCGCCCATGCGCGTCGACATCCACTTCCCCTCCTGCTACGACCCTTCGGCCGGCCTGACCGACTACCAGAACAACATGCAGTTCCCGTCGGATGCGGGCGGCGGCAAGCTCGACTGCCCTCCCGGCTGGATCCACGTGCCGCACATGTTCTTCGAGACCTACTGGAAGACCCACGAGCTCAAGTCGCGCTTCGAGAGCATGATCGGCAAGGCCAGCCCCTTCGTCTTCGCCAACGGAGACACCACCGGCTTCTCGGCCCACGGTGACTTCATCTCGGGCTGGGACGAGGAGGAGCTCCAGCACATCATCGACACGTGCGATGTCGGCCACGCTGGCATCCACACCTGCCCTGGCCTGAAGTACGGCGCCAGCGACGACAGCGAGTCTTGCAACATCGAATGCCCTGTCGACGAGGTGGTCGACGGCAAGCTGGAGAAGCTGCCCGGCAACAACCCTCTTGCCGGCTGGGCCCTCGGCGGCGTTGATCTGCCCGCTCCCCTCCCGATCCCTATTCCTTCGCTCCCTGTCAAGATCCCTATTCAGAAGCCGTCGTCCTCGGCTGCGCCCCCTCCTCCCTCTCCTACCACCCTTATCGCCGTTCCCGCACCAACCCTCCAGCCCTCTCCATCTGCGGCTGCCGATGTGCCGGACAAGGAGGACCCGGTAAACGATAAGCCAGAAGTCGATGAGCCGGAGAAGGATGAGCCGGAAGTTGATGTGCCGGACAAGGAGGAGCCGGAAGCCGATGTGCCGGACAAGGAAGACCCGGTCAACGACGTTCCCGAAAAGGTTGAGCCGACTCCGACCCCGGCGCCGTCTCCGAAGCCGATCCACACCAAGACCGTCTACGACACCGTGACGGTTTGGCAGACCAAGACGGTCTACGCGGACGACTTGCCGGCCCCGACCCAGAGCGCCCAGCAGTCGTCGGGCAACGCGCCCGAGGACATCGCCGGCTTCAAGTACGTCGGCTGCTACAAGGACACGACCGAGCGGGCCCTCCGCGGCGAGGTGCTCCCCAAGATCGGCGACGCCAGCAACACGGCGTGCGTCGACCACTGCGCCTCCAAGGGCTTCGCCATCGCCGGCACCGAGTACGGCGGCGAGTGCTTCTGCGGCAACGCCCTGACGCCGCCCGAGAAGCTCGACGACGCCGAGTGCGCCATGGCCTGCAGGGGCAACGCCAACCAGACCTGCGGCGGCGACTGGGCCCTGTCCCTGTACGCCAAGGGCGGCGAGCTGCCGGGCTCCGGCGCTGCCCTCCGCAGGCGCCATGCCAGCCGCCACTACCTCCAGCACGCCCGCCTGCCCTCGCGGAGGCACCGGAGATAGACGTCCTCCCTCTCTTCTTTTTCTCTTGACAGTTCATATCCTTCTTCTCACACCTCCCGCCCTCGCGGCGGCGAGCTTCGCCTGTATTTGCTTGCAACCATTTTTTTCTCGGGTTACCCTTTCGGGTCGGACACGCATAGAGGGGGTGTTCTGGGACACACAAGACCCTGCTTCGCCGCGCGGCGGCAAGAAGAGGGTAGAAAAGGCGGCGCTGGATACCACTTGCTTTGGATGGATGGGAGGCGAAAGGGCGGCTGCTGCTGGTGATTTTACGACGACATGACATTCGCTTAACCACATTCTGGGGCTGGGCTGGGAAAGAGAGGAATCCGCCGGCTGCGACATCTTCGCTTCGATCTGTGTGTATCTTACCATTTATTTTCGATTCTTTACGGTGTGGGCTGATGGCTCACTGCCGCTTGGAGCTTCCGTTGGGCTGTTTGGCCGCGGAGTGATTTGGGGGAGAAGTTGTTTTTGCCTTTGGGAAACATGGGGCGGCTGGATAGCAGTTGACTACTCAAACATATAGATGCCAATAGAGCGAATGGCGCAAACCGTGTTGATGCTGGCTTGTGAACCTTGTGCGAGTACCGAGGTGTGTAAGTGGCATGATGGATACTGTGAACCCTAACCCCGTAACTAACGTTACCTTTGATCCCCCGAATTGAAATTTCAACCAGGAACGAACCACTGACACAACACAACCTCCAACTTCTCCAACTCCCTAACCACCATCAACATGTCCCTTTACCATGAGACGGCGGGGATAGTCACCGGCCCCTCTACTCATGGCGGTAGTCTCAAATCTAGGATATATGGAAATAAGGACCTCAAATCACCACCTGCCCAGATTTATGCACTGGCATTTGAATCGAGTAAATGGAGCGCCGTCTTGAAGGAAGTGGTTGAGAACTCACAACTGCTCCAAAAAGAGCGAAAAGTAAGTTGTACATATTTTAAGTGATGTGTTTGTTATGGGTGCTGACACCGTCAGATCACACCCACACTCTCTATCCTGCTTGCACATGATCTTCTCCTCGCCAAAAAGGGCATTGCCCTTCCAGCTTCTCACGGACTCCGCCTATCCGTAGAGAAGCACAAAGCAAGACTCCAATCCGAATTCACCAGGGCTAGGATACGGAGGAAATGCCCTACGGTTGACGCCTTGAAGGCCGTGATCGATGCGCAGTTTGGGCCTGCCCATCCACGATGGATTAGAGTCAACTCGCTCAAGAGCACCGTCGACGAGCAGCTGGACACGACCTTCAAGGGGTTCGAGATGGTCCCCACTGTCGCCGAGGTCATGGCGCCGGCCTCGACCGGCAAGAAACTGATCTGCCTAGACGGAAACGTCCCCAACCTCATCGCCGCCTCGCCCGGGATCGACTTCACCAAAACCGAAGCCTACAAATCCGGCGCCATCATCCTCCAGGACAAAGCCTCCTGCTTCCCCGCCTACATGCTGGACCCGCGCCCCGAAGACGGCGACATCGTCGACGCGTGCAGCGCGCCCGGCAACAAGACCACCCACCTCGCGGGCATCCTGCACGAGCGCGGGTTCGCCGGGGGGCAGCGCATCCTGGCCTTTGAGAAGGACAAGCACCGCGCCAAAACGCTCGCCAAGATGGTCGGCGCCGCCGGCTCCGACAAGGTCACGAAGATCCACCCGGGCGCCGACTTCCTCAAGACGGACCCGGACGCCCCCGAGTTCCGGTCCGTCGGCGCCCTCCTGTTAGATCCGTCCTGCTCGGGGAGTGGTATTGTCGGGCGAGACGACACGCCCGAGTTTCACGTTCCGGCTGCTGTGGGGGCGGCGAGCAAACCTACGGCTGGTGGTGCGGGTTCTAAGGTTCTCAAGCGGAAACGCGCGCCCGAGGCACCGACTGTGGTTGTGGATGACGACGGGGCGGAAACAGTCTTGTCTGAGAAGGCGCTGGAGACGCGCCTTGCCGCGCTGGCTTCTTTTCGTATGTACTCTCGCGTTTTCCACTTCCAACCACCCCTCCCTTTCTACCTCTCAACTACCTCCCCCCTTTCCCATGTCGCAACTCCACCCCCCCTTTATCCTCCTTTCACCACCCAACCCCCCGCCGTCACCCACACAACCACAACCATTCCCGCACCCCCTCCCCTTCCAACCTACCTACCCAACCCCTCAAAACAACCACCCCCCCTCACCACAACCCCCAACCCCCCATCACCACCACCCCATCAAAAACCCCCAAACCTAACTTATGAACTTATGTAGAACTCGCAATCCTCCTGCACGCCCTAACGTTCCCCCGCGCCACCCGCGTCGCCTACTCCACCTGCTCCACCCACGCCACCGAGAACGAGCACGTCGTGCTCGCCGCCCTGCGCTCCCCTGTCGCGCGCCGGCGCGGCTGGCGCATCCTTCCGCGCGAGAGGCAGGTCCGCGGGATGCGGGAGTGGCCTGTTCGTGGGGACTTTTCTGCCTGCGAGGGGGCTGGGGAGGGTGGTGAGGATGGGGGTGATAGGGAGGGCGGAGATGGGGTGGATGCGGCTGTTGTGGCGGAGGGGTGCGTGCGTGCGGATAGGGAGGATGGGAGGGGCGTGATGGGGTTTTTCGTGGCTTGCTTTGTGCGGGATGAGGATAAAGAGGAGGAGGTGGGGGATGATGGACCGTTTGTGAGGGATGCGGAGGGGAGGATTGTGAGGGGGCCGGATGGGATCCCGACTTTGAAGAGTACGGGGAGGAAGGTTGTGGATTTGGAGGGGTTGGAGGGGGAGGGGGAGGCGGTGGAGGTGAGGTTTGGGGAGGATGGGGATGACGATGGGCCGTTTGAGAGGGATGCCGAGGGGAGGATTGTGAGAGGCCCGGATGGGATGCCGAGGTTGAAGGCGGGGAGGAGGCCGGACGGTGAATCCGAGGATGAGGAGGAGGAGGATGATGAATGGGGAGGGTTCGATGAATAGTGTATACTAGTTTGCCTATTGCCGAGCCGTGGATTTTATCAGCAATCCCTCACCCCAAAGCACCTACAACGTGGTTAATATATAGTTCCCGCTAGACTGCGGCTCTGGTCTTGCCGAGCTCTCTTCGTTGCATGCATGCGCGCTGCGCCGATCGTTATTTGGCATCATGTCAAGACGGAAACCGTACCCGGATACGGAGGCTTGAGGTGCGAACTGGAGAAAAACCCCCACAGAGTACTTGCACACACCCCAAGGCGAAATTTAGCCAGCCACATTAATTGCAACCCCCCGAACTTGCGGACGCTCTGATCACAATATTCTTTAAACCACAATAACCGTTTCATCCAGTCGATTACACCGAGTTCAACGCAATAGATTTACAGTTAGTTCAACGTAGTCAATTTTTTTTTGCAGTCAGTTCAACGCAGTCAGTTTTACAGTTGGTTGAACGCAGTCAATTGTTTTTACAGTCAGTTCAATGCAGTCAATTTTGCAGTTGGTTGAACGCAGTCAATTTTGAACGCAGTCAATTGTTTTTGCAGTTAGTTTGATACAGTCAATTTTAAACGCAGTTAATTGTTTTTACAGTTAGTTTAATATAGTCAATTATTTTTACAATCAGTTCAACACAGTCAATTTTACAGTTGGTTGAACGCAGTCAATTTTGAACATAGTTAATTGTTTTTACAGTTAGTTTGATACAGTCAATTTTGAACGTAGTCAATTGTTTTACAGTTAGTTTAATACAGTCAATTTTAAACGTAGTCAATTGTTTTTACAGTTAGTTTGATATAGTCAATTTTTGTGACGAACCTGTCTCTGGACCCGTCCTGTTAGGGTTCAGTATCGGTCGAAGGTGTTCTCTCAAGGGTGCTTAGGTTCGGTGCAGCCAAAAGGTGCACAACAAAGACTTGTCTCAACAGTAGGCTCTCGAGCTTGTAGCGAACTGTAGTTGTGATTGCTAACTGGAGAACTCCCAGAGCTCTCCAGAACGAGTGACTATATACCTATCTAATTCTTGGGTGCTCAGTGTGCTCAGTCCGGGTTCGACAACTGAGCTCACTGATCACTTCTGAGTTACAATCGTCCTGATTGGTGACCTTGCCTGGTGCTCAGTGTGCTCAGTCCTGGCTTGGCAACTGAGCTCACTGATCACCATCGATCCTGTTCCTGCCTTCCGATTGGCTTATTCCATGACTGGCCCGGGGCGTCCCGCGCCCCGCGGTTCCGCCTGTTGGCATATTCGTGACACGATGCCCCCCCTCCAGGGTCGACGTCCCGTCGGCCACTTCCTTTAGCCAACTTCTTGAAATAGCGCCAACAGTCCCCAATCTGTTTGGTGAGTGGTCCCCACCATCCTTTCCCATTCATCCTTCATCATGGCTAACGGTGTGAGGAAACGCAAGCGAAAGCAAAAATCCAGCACCGAGCGCCGTCGTACTCGTGCAACTTTATCCAATCTTGTTGGCACCGAAATGGTGAGGTGTACTCGCTGCAGGGAAAAGAAACTTTCAGATTGCAAGGTTTCCGACAATTCCGACGTTTGCGGCAACTGTCTCGACGCGGGTAACCATTCATGCGACGCTTTTGGGTATAGTGATTCTGCCGTTCGTCGCATTGTTGACGAGGAGCGCGATCTGGACGAGCAGGAGCGTGCTGCCACTGATGCCATTCGGGAGGCACAGCGCGAGCTCCTGAATGCGAATCGCGACCTTGCGACGGCCCTGGCGAAAGCGGATCGCCTGCGGACCCAGCGTCTGGCCTTGAAACGCAGGGCCCTGGCGATGTTTGACCAGGAGGGGGAAGTGCTTGTGGAGCAGGAGCGCCGGGAGGTTGCTACCGGGCAACCGTCTTCCTCGGGTGTCGCCGGCGTTCCTTCTTTTGACTTTCCTTGGGTTCAAAAGTTCGTCTTCTTTACTCCCCTCCTTGCTTCCTTGCTGACAGTGCTTAGTTTTTCTTCGGACGACCCCTTCCTCGCCGGGGTCGACTTGTCTGTGGGGCTTCCTTTGGTCGGTCCGGATTCCTCTGGTGGAACTCCTGAAGTTTCTCGGGGCAGTTGAGGTTGGTAGCTGGTTGCCATGAATTGTCTTCTGGGCCAAAGTCCAGCCATTTGACCAAATACTCCAACTGTCCTTTCATGATGCGTGAATCTAGGACTTCCTCAACGTCCCATTCCTCCTCTTCGTCTTCTGCCTCGGCGTCCTTGTCGAGTCGCGCGTTCTCGGGCGCTGGTTCCAGAAGCGAGATGTGAAAAACGTTGGTCCGTAGTCGCATTGTCGAGGGTAACGCGAGTGCGTAGTTGTTCTCCGAAATCTTTTTGTCGATCTTGAACGGTCCGATTTTGCGAAAATCGAGTTTCCTGCTTGGTCGCTTCGTGCGAAGATTTCGAGAAACGAGGTAAACTTTGCCCCCCTCTTCTAGGCGAGGTCCCTCGAGCCTGTTTCTGTCGTAGAACTTCTTCATCCTGGTTCGTACGAACTCGAGTTCCTCCTTGAGCATCGCGTGCAGCGAGCTCATTTTGTCGGCTTTGACTGCCGCTCTGGGCACCGAAACCTCGGGCCCTTGTCGCAAATCTGCTTCGTAGCCGTAATTCGCGAAGAATGGCGTGACCTTGGTGGTCTCCGTGACGGTGGTGTTGTAGGCGAGTTGTGCTGCTGGCAACAGCTCGACCCAATCGTCCTGCTGGAAGTTGACGTACAACCGTAGATATTGCTCGACGACCTGGTTGAGTCGTTCCGTCTGTCCGTCCGTCTGTGGGTGGTAAGCAGTCGAGAGCTTACTCTTCGTACCCAGCTTCGTCATCAGAGCTTGCCAAAACTTTGATGCGAACTTCGTGTCTCTGTCCGTGATCCATTCCTCCGGCCATCCGTGGACCGAGGTGACGTTGCGATAGATCACGTCTGCAAGTTGTTCTGCCGACCATGTTTCCTTGTAAGGGAGGAAGTAGCTCCACTTGGTGAGTCTGTCCACCATTGTGAGGATGCTGTCGTATTCCACTCCCGTTACCGAGTCCTTGGACAGTGGTAGTTTGGTGATAAAGTCCATCGTCACCGAACTCCATGGTCGTTCCGCGACTGGCAATGGTTGCAACAGCCCGTATGGCTTGTGTCGTGGCGGTTTGCTTCGTCCGCAGAGGTCGCACTCTGCCAGGACTTCTTCCGTCGCTTGCTTGATTCCTGGGAAGTCGTAGTTCTGCTTGACTTTTGCAATTGTCTTGCTGATTCCCATGTGCCCTCCGAGTTTCGACTTGTGGATCTTCCGAATGAGCTCCTTTTGGTCGCCGGGCCTGACGTAGGCTTTGTCGTGGTACCAGAGTCTCGTTCCTTCAAGTCGCAATCCCGCGATCTTGGATTCCGGCTCTTCTTGCCATGCATCGCGCTCGTCGTCCGCGATGGTTCCTTGGAAATCTTGTTCCAAACGTTGTTCCCTGAAGGCCGCACAGCATTCTACAAACGGTTGCAGAGGCCTAGCTTCGGGATCTTCCGACTGTTGCTGAAGTGCTGCGATCTCGTAGTCTTCAGTCGGTTGGGAAGCGTGCCGTAGCGATCCGTCTGTCTGTTGATGTAGCAATGGTGGTGAGGCTTCAGATGTGTTGTCATGATGATCCGCTCTCCTACTCAAGGCGTCCGCTCGTGCGTTCTCTGACCCTTTCTTGTAGTGGATCGTGAAGTTGAATGCGGACAGGAACTCTGCCCATCGAGTTTGTCGTCCGTTCAGCACCTTCGTGGTGGTGAAGTAGCGTAAGTTCTTGTGGTCCGTGTACACCTGAACTTCGTGTGTCGTGCCGCTGAGGTATGGTCTCCATTCCTGGAAGGCTTCGATGATTGCGAGAAGCTCCTTGTCGTGGATCGGGTAGTTGAGCCTTGGTCCCTCGAGTTTCTTGGAGAAGAACGCAACTGGGTGAAGCTTGCCGTCCTTGTCCCTCTGACCAAGTTGTCCTCCGATCGCGAAGTCCGAGGCGTCAGCTTCGACTTCGAAAGGTGTGTTTGGGTCAGGCAGCATGAGCACTGGATCGGCGATAATCGCGTTGCGGATCCGTTGGAAAGCTTGCTCGTGCTCCTGCTTCCACTGGAATGTGGCATCCTTCTTGGTAAGTTCGTGTAGGGGTCTCGCGATGTCGCCAAAGTTCTTGATGAACATCCTGACAAAGTTGGCGAATCCGATGAACCCTCTGACCTCTGTGGCGTTCGTTGGTGTCGGCCACGTCTTGACAGCTTCCAGTTTCTCGGGTTCGATCTTGACCCATCCCGGTGAGATTTCGTAACCCAGAAACACTGTCTTCTTGACATGAAACTCGCTCTTGTCTTTGTTGACTGACAACTTGTGCTCATGCAGTGCGTCCAGCACCTGCTGCACATGCTTCTTGTGTTCTTCGAGTGTCTTGGAGTAGATGAGAATGTCATCCAAATAGCAGACTGCAAACTTATCGAGGCAATGTCGAATTGCGTGGTCGATAGCGGCTTGGAACGTCGCTGGTGCGTTGGTCAACCCAAACGGCATGACGAGGTACTCGTAGTGCCCGTAGGGTGTCCGAAAAGCCGTCTTCCATTCGTCTCCCTCCTTGATGCGGATGTGGGCGTACGCTGTCGGAAGATCGAGGCGCGTGAAGTATTGTGCCCCTGACAGTTGATCTCGGAGCCTCGAGATCAGTGGCAGTGGGTAGCGGTTCTTCACCGTCTCGTTGTTCAACTGTCGGTAGTCCACACACATCCTGAGCTTCCCATCCTTCTTTGGAACGAAGAGGACTGGGTAGCCCGCTGGAGATGTCGATGGTCTGATGTGTCCTATCTCAAGGTTCTTTTCGAGATAGCTCCTCAACTCTGCATCTTGCTTCTCGTTGGTGTGGTACACCTTGAAAAACTTCAACTGGGCTCCCTCCTTGAGTTTGATCTCGTGATCCCAAGGTCCGTGGTCTGGTAGCCCTGCAAGATGTTTTGCCGTGAACGCCGGGTGTCCCTTGTAATCGTCTGGAATCTGTCCCGTTTTCGCGTTCTTCGCCGTACCTTCGTAGTACGCGAACTTGCTGTTTCCAGGCTCGATGCTTGCTGCTTCGAGTTCCCTGACTTCTTCTGCTGCTAGCTCGATGTTTGCCGCTTCGAGCTGATTGACCCATTGTTCATGTTTGAGCACTCCGTGCTCGTCGACTGAGACGACGGCAATGGTTCGTTCCTCCCGTGTCTGCTTCTTTCGTCGTGTGCCGCTTCTTCCGGATTTCAGAGTGCGTTCTTCTGCACTGGCTGCTTCCTGCGGTGGGCCCGTAGAGGGGGTCCGTTCTGACCCGCTGCTCTCCCGTGGCTCCTGTTCTGCGCGTTCTCCCATCAAGTTGGTCGGATGCTCCCGCTGTTCTCGCGGTCGCAGATGGCCATCTCCCTTCCAACTGATGTCTGGGTCGTAATCCTCATGCCATGGGCGTCCGAGAATCATGTCTTTCTTCGGCCCCATGTTCACGATGTCGAATACCACTTGGGTGGTTTTTCCTTCCACCTCGATGTCGAGTGGTTCTGTTTCCCGTCGTACCCATTGCGTGTCGAATGGTCCTTTGACGACGTGTGGTTGCTTCTTGATCCTCCATGGGATTCTGAGTTGATTCACAAATGCGGGCGAGATGAGATCCATCTGCGCTCCTCCATCCACTAACGCGAGGGCTTCGATCTTCCCCCATCGCGCTGTGATCCAGAGCCTGTTGTCTGGCTTGGTGCTTCGTACAGCAGCTACTTCGTGTTCGTCTGCTGGGAGGTCGTTGTAAGGCTTCTGCTTGCGCCAGTTCTTCCTGTACTGCGCAGCCTGTCTTCGTTGTTGTGGAGTTAAAGATTTCCGGGCCCCTCGGAGGGCCCTGAGCCGTTTCCCAAGCTCTCGTGGTGTTTCAAGGCGTCCCTGTCCGCACCTTGGCTTGCGGCGTCAATCGTCTGGTGTTCTTGGAGCCATTGGGCCGCCCATGCCTCAACTGGGCGCCTCTCGTTCCTTCGGGACGCTCTCGTCCTCTGGTGTGGCTTCCTCTGGGATTGCTGTTCCATGTATCCCCAGATTTTCTCGTCGGCGTGTGGTAGGCAGTCTGCGCTTCGGCATTCGTTGACTCCTACGCCCGCCATACAGCGTTGGGGCCAGGCTGCCTTGGGTTTAACCCTCAGCCTGCCCTCGTGAGTGCGTTGGGTGTCCCACAACATGCCTGCGGGAGCGTCGCCGCTGTCGTATACCCATCTGATGGGTAGGGGTTGCATTCCTTTTTCTTCCCTCGTGGGCCAGAAACTGTTGCGAAATTTGTCCTGGAAATGGTACCGACATTCGTGCGCGATACACTGAAACCAGGGCAGGTAGATGTGGTTCTCTTTTCGTGGGTCCACCCGCTCGTGGTCTTCTGATAACAACTGGAATCCCTCCGTGTTGTTCTCGCCCCGAAAACCCCACCATTCAAGGTCGGAGGTTTGTCGTCCGGCGCGCACGATGTGCTGATGTCGAGTCCAGTATTCTTCCCAGCTCTGCTGTTTTTTTCCTTTCGCCGCATTCTGTTTCTGTGCGTAGTCGAAAAGTTGCTCGGGGTATCGCACTCCGTTCTCGCATTCTTCCGCCTCCTCGGTGGGTCCATCCCACGGTGTGTGATGCGGAAGTGCCTGGCGGATGTCGTCCTGCAAGGCCTGTGCTTCCCTTAGTGTCTTTTCGACGTGATCCCCGGCCCTGTTGTTGGCCTCGGTGATCTCTTGGACTCGTCCTCTGGCGAAGTCGAGTTCCGCGCAAAGTTGTCCGTACTGGTCGTTTCTTTCTTGGAGAAGCTGCTCGAGTTCTTCTTTCTCTCTCGACAACTCCTCGATCCTTTGCCGTTGGCTTAGGACCCTCTGTTGCAGGAAAATGAGGTTCGGGCTGACTCCTCCTTCACCCTCGTGGGTTCGCCATTGCCCGTCCTCTTGCTGAACCAGGGTGATGCCCCAGTCCTCAGCGACTTGTCGGATGTGCCGCGGGGGAGCCAGTTCTCCCTCGTCATCCGTTTCGATGAAAGCATGGTGGGCGGTGTTGTTTCCCTCCTGATGGACGCTGCTCATCAGGTCTCCTTGATCCGAGTCGGTGAGTTCATCGTCCTGCTCGATGACTCGGTCAATGTCGATTTCGAGGTCGTCCTGCGTGTAGCTGGCGGCTGCGACCTCCAGAAATCGGGTTCTTCTTCCGACCGTGTCTTGGTCGATGGTGGCGGCTTCCTTCCCTGGAACCGGTCTCCACTCTTTCTTGCTGCGGCAGTCACGTTTGAAGTGACCCTTCTTGCCGCAATTGTAGCAAGTGATGCCTGATTTGTCCTTGGCACCATCTCTCTTTCCTGCCCATTGTGCTTGGGCAGCGCTGACGTCCATGGGTCCCGAGTGCGTACCGTATGACGTGCTCTGGTGCTGGCGTTTCTTTTTGTCGTTGGGCTTGTGGTAGCCTGCGGATCGCTGAGTCTCGCTGCCCTTCTTCTGTTGTTTGCGGGCGAACTGTCGGTCGTCAATCTTGACAGCCATGGCGATGTACTCGTCGAGTGTGTCGGGTCGGCTCTCCTTGTAGAGCTCGTCCTTGACTTCCTCCTTCAGCCCTCCGTAGAACAGGTGCATCAGCCCCTCGTCGTCTATCTCTGCCTTCATGGAGTCTTGTCGGAAAATCGTGGCGTAGGCGGTGGCTGACCTAGTCTGCTTCAGCCGTCCTAGCCGTTCCTGGGCGTGCAACTTCTCGTCCTTGTCGCCGAACACCTTCTGAATCTCACTCTCGAACTCGGAGTAGTTCTCGAAGACCTTTTTGGTGAAGGGTTTGTGGATTGCTCCGCCGAGGAAATCACTCAGTGTTCCCGTGAACCACTTGAGGGCCTTGTCCTTGAGTCGGGTGGCGGCGTATCTGGTCTTGGATTCCTCGGTGGCGAACTGGTGCGAGTTGTGGTCGAGATAGTTCCGCATCTCCGTGATCCAACCTGGCAAGGCTTCCTGGTCGCCCCCGTACTTCTCGGGTTGCTCCAATTTGACCTTCGTCTTGGCCGGGTCCTTGGTGTGGACCTCGGTCGCCGCAAGTCGGGCTGCCAATGCCGCGTTGCTGGCCTTGGTCTTCGCAAGCTCTTCTTCAGTTTCATCGAGTCGTTCGGTGACTCTCTGAAGCGCGGCCGTGATCTGGCCCGGCGTCGGTTGAGTTGCCATGTCGTTTTACCTTCGAGCCTGAACTGTAACAGATCAAAGGGAGTTAGCAACGTGTGACGAACCTGTCTCTGGACCCGTCCTGTTAGGGTTCAGTATCGGTCGAAGGTGTTCTCTCAAGGGTGCTTAGGTTCGGTGCAGCCAAAAGGTGCACAACAAAGACTTGTCTCAACAGTAGGCTCTCGAGCTTGTAGCGAACTGTAGTTGTGATTGCTAACTGGAGAACTCCCAGAGCTCTCCAGAACGAGTGACTATATACCTATCTAATTCTTGGGTGCTCAGTGTGCTCAGTCCGGGTTCGACAACTGAGCTCACTGATCACTTCTGAGTTACAATCGTCCTGATTGGTGACCTTGCCTGGTGCTCAGTGTGCTCAGTCCTGGCTTGGCAACTGAGCTCACTGATCACCATCGATCCTGTTCCTGCCTTCCGATTGGCTTATTCCATGACTGGCCCGGGGCGTCCCGCGCCCCGCGGTTCCGCCTGTTGGCATATTCGTGACAATTTTACAGTTAGTTTAATACAGTTAATTTTGAACGTAGTCAATTGTTTTTACAGTTAGTTTAATATAGTCAATTGTTTTTACAGTCAGTTCAACGCAGTCAGTTTTACAGTTAGAACTAACTGCAAAAACAATTAACTACGTTCAAAATTGACTACATCAAACTAACTGCAAAAACAATTGACTACGTTCAAAATTAACTGTATTAAACTAACTGTAAAAACAATTAACTACATTCAAAATTAACTACATCAAACTAACTGCAAAAACAATTAACTGCGTTCAAAATTGACTGCATCAAACTAACTGCAAAAACAATTAACTACGTTCAAAATTAACTGTATTAAACTAACTGCAAAAACAATTAACTACGTTCAAAATTGACTGCATTAAACTAACTGTAAAAACAATTGACTACGTTCAAAATTAACTACGTTCAACCAACTACAAAATTAACTACATTAAACTGACTATAAAAACAATTAACTATATCAAACTAACTGTAAAAACAATTGACTACATTCAACTAACTGCAAAACTGACTATATCAAACTAACTGTAAAAACAATTGACCATGTTCAACCAACTGCAAAACTGACTGCATCGAATTGACTGCGTTGAACTCAACGCAATTCGCCCGAGTGCAATAAACTGAAATTAAATGGGGTGGCTAGGATTAAACGAGGTCGCTGCAAAAGTGACGGTGGTGTGTGCGCATTGACCGTGGGGGTTTTTCTCCAGTTCGCACCTCAAGCCTCCGTACCCGGACAAGGGTTCAGGGGTGCACGAATGCGACGCGAAACGCGACTCCACCCAAGTTTAACATCCTTCTTTAACCTTAACCAGTCCGTCGGGTCTTGCTGATTCAAGTCGAGTCCTGGTCCGGAGGGAGATCCCTGAAACAGCAACATCATGCAAGATCAAGCGGGATCCCCGCCGCAGGGCCACCCCTACTTCCCACAGGACGCCATCATCCCGGGGTATACGCCCAACAGCACACCGCTGCTGGGTATTCTCGCAGCCTTTGGCGGCATCATTGGCGTGTTTGTGCTCGGATGTGTCACTCTGGCGACGTGGTGTAGCCCGGCACTGAAGAGGGTAGACCAGTTGACGGTGGCCTGGTTCGCGCTGTGTGCGTTACTCCTTTTCTTGGGGGTTCTATTCTCTCAGGCTATCTTACTGACCAACACCAGGCGGTTTCCTCCACCTCTTTTTCGAGGGGTACTTTGTCCTCAACCACGCCACCATCCCGTCCTCGCAGTCCCTGTTCGCCCAGCTCTGGAAGGAATACGCCCTCTCCGACTCGCGCTATCTCACCTCCGACCCATTTATGCTATGTATTGAGACATTGACTGTCGTACGTCCCCCCACCCCCGTTTGGCTCCCCCCCTCCCTCTCTACCCCGTTCCCCCTCCAACACTGAGTACCAACACCAAGTACTAACCAAATTCCCCCTCCCCAACAGCTAACCTGGGCGCCCCTCTCCCTACTCACCGCGCTCCTCACAGCGCGCAACAAACCCCGCGAGCAAGGGGCGCGCCACCTGCTGCAGGCAGTGGTGTGTGTCGGGCACCTGTACGGCGTGGCGCTGTACTACGGCACGTGTGGGTTCGCCGAGCACATGCGCGGCATCTCGTACAGCCGGCCCGAGGTGCAGTACTACTGGGTGTACTACGTGGGTATGAACGCGCCGTGGGCGGTTGTGCCGGGTTGTGAGTTTATTTCTTTTTTTCTTTTTGCCCTCTCTCCCCCCCCTGGGTCTTTATTCCTCGGGTGTTCTGTTGGGAGGTGACTGACAGTGGTGTGTTGTAGTGCTGCTTCGGAGGAGCTGGAGGGCTGTGAAGGCTGCTTTTGTGGAGGTTGCGAGGGGAGGGGAGGGGAGGAAGCGGTCGTGAGGGGTGACGATGTGGGGGGAGGGCGAGTCTCGAGGACGGGGTTGACTCTGGGGGGTGGGTACCGGAAGTTGACAAACTAGTCTCGGGTTGACTATAAGGCCGCTTGCTATCAAGGTAACTCGACATATTGTTGAGCGTGCTTCACAATCACTGGTGCGGTTGCTTGGTTACCTTTGCCCCGAGACTTGCTGTGGATGCTGAATCCGTTGGGAGATGGAACGAAAATTGAGGATTCAGTTGTTCCCTCGAGCAAAAGCATTCGTATCCGATTCTAGCCCCAATGCCACAAATCATGTCGCTATGTGATAATACACTCCATCCCAACACATCCCGTCCCGGGCATATGGGCCCTCTTCCCCCCCTCCCCCAACTGCTCACTCACCGCACATACTTGCTCATAAACCTCTTGTGGAAATCCGACCGCAGCAAGTCCTAAAACACCATCAGCACTCTCCACAACCCACCCAAACAAACACAGGGGCAGCAAACTCACATTGATAAACTCCGTCCGCTTCCCCTTCTCCTCGGTCCCCCTCGCCTGGTTTTTAAACACCACATCATCATCCCACCGCCGCTTAATATTAAAATCCGCCGCCTTACTCCCACCCGCCGCACTATTGAGCAGGGGATTCCCCGTCGCGATATCGCGCTCACGCGCCTCCTGCTCGGCCGCCAGCCGCTCGCGCTCCTCGGCCTCGCGCTTCTCGATGCGCTCGCGCCGCACCCGCTCCAGCTCGCGCTGCAGCTCCGCGTCGTCGTCGTCATCCGACGACTCATCCGAGTCGTCTGCACTGTCGTCCCCACCAGACCCGGACCCGGAGTCGCTGTCGTCCGCGTCGATGTCGCGGGTCTCGGCTAGGATGCGTCGTCGTTTGGCGTCCGGGTCTTCGTCCTCGTCTGTTGCTTTTTCGCCGTGGGAGGTGACTGCGGCGATGGGGCGTTTGTTGGTGGAGGAGGAATCGGGCGCGCTGTCGTCGGAGGCGCCGGGGATGGGCGCGCCCTTGAGCTTCGCGTAGTGTGCTGCCTCGGCGGCCTCGAGCTCGGCGCGCAGGTCGCGCGTGGAAGAGTCGGCGTCGCCGCCTTGGCCCGGTTGTCTAGACGGGCGGTCAGTTACCGGTGGGTGTCGTGGGCGATGGGGTGTGCTGGCGCATACCTGAACTTGAGCTGCGTGTAGGCTGGGAGGAGGCGCTGGTGGTAGGCTGGTCCGCGGAGGGCTTCCTTGCCACGGGCCTGGAATTGTCGAGTTAGCGAGGCATTCTGAGGCGCATCTTTGTTGCGGTACGCCTTCTTACCGGGTCGAATGTAGGCCTGTGAGCTGTGGTCATTGTGCTGGTTTAACGTGATGGCCTGGGTTTGGTGAAGTTGGGTGGTCGCACAATTCGATGCTGGGGATAGAGGGAAGTTCCAGGTTTGGAGATGGAAAGCCACAAGGGTGCATGGGGATGCAGGTTGGCGCTCTCACCGCCCGCGTCATGCGGCAGAATCCACTGAAATTTAGCGGTCTTTAGTGGCAGAAACCTGCCCCTCCAGACAACAAACAACCCTGGGCTTTGATTCCAGTTTCGTTCTTTCAACTCTTAGATCTCAAGTTCCACGCCTCCCAATTCACAATGCCGCGAGAAGCAGAACCTTCTCTCAATGAGAAGCAATTCGTCACGCAGGCGCTCCAAGAAAATCTCCGACTCGACGGCCGCCAATTAGACCAATACCGACCCCTCGAGATCAGCTTCGGGGACCAATATGGCGTCGCCGACGTCACACTGGGCAAGACGAGGTAGATTCACTCACAGAAGCTCAACTATCCCCAAGCCCATCTCCCTAACACAACCCACAGAGTCCTCGCCAAAGCCACCGCCGAGGTAACCGTGCCCTACGTCGACCGCCCGCTCGACGGCATCTTCACCATCGCAACCGAGCTCAGCCCGATGACCTCGCCCGCCTTCGAAGTCAACCGGCCCACAGAAACCGAAGTCCTCCTCTCCCGCCTCCTCGAAAAAACCGTCCGCCGCTCCGGCGCCCTCGACACGGAGTCCCTCTGCCTGGTGGCGGGCCAAAAATGCTGGTCGGTGCGGGTAGACGTGCACGTGGTGTCGCACGACGGGGGGCTGACGGACGCGGCGTGCGTGGCGGTGGTGGGCGCGCTGCGGCACTTCCGCAAGCCCGACACGAGCATGGAGGCCGGGCGGCTGACTGTTTATACCCCCGCCGAGCGCGAGCCCGTGCCGCTCAGCTGGCTGCACTCGCCGCTGTGCGTGACGTGGAGCTTTTTTGGGGATGACGGCGAGACGGCCGTGCTGGATGCGACCTGGCTGGAGGAGCAGGTGCGTGTCGCGAGCTGTACGGTGAGCTTGAATAAGCATGGGGAGATCTGCCAGATTGCGAAGCTAGGTGGGACGCCGGTTGATGCGGTTGCGTTGCTGCAGTGTACGAGCGTCGCGCTGGTCAAGGTGAAGGAGTTTTCGGATTTGTTGGATAGGAGGTTGGCGGAGGATCTGAAGAGGAGGGACAAGGGGGGGTTCATGGCGGAATTGAGGGCGGAGAATGATAGGTGAGGGGTGGGAGGCTATGGGGCGGTAGGATGAAGATCAAGGCCAACGAGATACCCTTTGCCACTTGAGTCGGTAGAGTGGCATCAGGTGGTCCGTCCACTGGGATGGAAGCGACTTTCGGACTCGAGCCCGGCGAGCGATAACCGAATGGGCCATTGCCTGGTGCATATGGGGCGGAAAGGGGATAACGGGAAGGGCGTAGCTGGTTTCTATGCAGGGACACTGTGGGCTACACAAAAGGCGGCGGCAAGCAAACTTCAGGGGACAGACCGGCAACGGAGTTTTTGCTGTTAAAAGCGATAAGGATATATTGAAGGCCCATGATGCACAGGCCGATGAGGATGTTTCATCCTTCGCTCCCGCACTTGTATATCCTACATATCGCCAGCATGAATGGCGTTTCGGAGGTCATCCCTCGAAACCAGTCCCTGTGCTATGGTATCGCTAAATATTACAATCCACCACATCGGAGTCTCCGTGATATCGTCTCTTTGGACACCCCAAGGTGGTGGATGTGGCGCGATGACTCGGGTTCGCTAGTGACGCTGTGGGAGACGGACCTTTAGGGCGTTTGAGAAGAATAATACAGTCTTCTGTCCCTCCACGCCCCCCTCAGCTGCCCCGGTTTTGAATCCCCCCGGACTTTCTCGGATGAGAGGATCGGTCCAGCCTGAACGAGGTCCCGTAATGTTCGACCACTACCAGCCCAACATAGACGGGTGATAACGGTCCTAGCGGTTGCACGGCTGTCTGGTCCCTTGAATTGGGGGGCTTGGTGTAAGCGAACCGAGCGCAGCCGTAGAAGCGGCTTCTGCTCGTCGAGTTCGCATATGCCCGCCATTACAGCGGGACGTGAAGATGTTTGCCCTCGTCCATCACCTCATCAGCGGCGGCCGACTCTCCGTATTCCACTTCACCCTCGACCGCACCCAGTCCACGGCCTCCTTGACGCCGGTACCGGTCAGTGCCGAGACAGGCAAGACGCGCGAGTCACGGATGCCGCCGGACTTCTCGCCCTCAAAGACGCGCTTGACCAGGCCCTCCTTGATGCGCACGACCTCGACGCAGTCCTCGCGGTCCTGCTTGTTGGCGAGGATCAGCAGCGGGACGCCCTCGGCCTCGCTGTTCTGCAGCACGTCCTCGAGCACGAGGCGGCACTCCTCGAGGCGGCCGGTGGAGTCGTGCTCGAGGCTGCCGTCGCCGATGTCGGTGCTGTCGATGATGAAGACGATGGCGTGGCAGCTGGCGTAGTAGCTCTGCCACAGCTTGCGCAGCGACAGCTGCCCGCCCACGTCCCACAGCTTCAGGTACATGTCCGGCAGCACGATGGTCGACACGTTCTGCCCCACCGTCGGCACCGTCTGCAGGTTCGGCGCGGGCCCGTCCGGCAGGAAGATCGACTTGACCTGCTCGTGGAAGGTCGTCTTGCCGGCGTTGTCGAGGCCGAGGAGGAGGACCGAGTACTCTAGAGAGCGGGGATGTTAGTGGTTGTGAGACGTGGTTGGATGGATCTCCAATGCAATGAGTTGAGTGCTCTAATGCAGTGGTTAATTTGGGCTTACCCTCTTTACTGGTGGCCAACCGGTAGAGGCCCTTAGCGAGGTGGTACATCTTTCGTCTGTCTGGCCTGCGTGGAAGGTCGGGGACTGTGTGGTTCGAAGTGGTCGGTGGCAGGCCGCAGCCGGACGAAGAGCGAAGCCGGGTCGAGACCGAATGTCATCTCTCGGAGCCTGGCTCCGCCCTCATTTTAGCGTTGCTGGGGGTTGCTTCCGGCGCTGGCAGCTCTTGGCAGGGGACCAAGACAGAGAATGGAACGTAAGGTAACGCATGTAAGTTACATGAATTCTGTCATCTGCTTGAAAACTGCAACTTGCAACTTCCCCCAGCATCGACAGAGAAAGAAGAAGAAGCAGGTTCAGGATAACACGTAACACGCCGCATAGGTAATAGAACGAGTATTCGGGCAGCCAATCGGTATTACCAGTTTTCTAAGTTTTGTTGCCCAAACTCACAGATGTGGTAGTTCGTAATTCCACCTTGCCGCGTTTCCACGAGCTGTTACAAGGCGTCATTGATAATACCGAATTTCACTGTCAGATCTGTATGAATCAACGCAAACGGTGGAGGTTGGCGGGGCGGGTCTGCTATCTGATTGATAACGTCATAGGCTGGGGTGCTCTTACACGAGAGACTGGACGCGCATTCCATTTTCATCACCAAAATATCACGTTGGATCTCGGATTTCATTCATGCGATTGTGGTTCTGTTATAATTAACTATCTCAAGTGGATGACGGAGAAAGATGGCGCCGGTGGAAGTTGAGCGTGAACCAGAGTGAGCACCTCCGACTCTTCACCCCCCTCCCCAACTTCACCGTTAATGCGGATACAAAGGGCGATGCCTCTAGCTCTAGCAGTCTTACGGGTAGTCTTGGCCGTATATTCCTCTTACACTGTTGGCGGAAGCCTCTACCAGTCTCACAAGGCCCTGGGACCGGCCCAAGACACGCGGAACCGTAAGGCAGAGCGCATCAAGCTCACCGCCGCCTTTGGAAGCCTGGCAGCTCTCGGTTTGGTATTTGCCGTAACTTCTGGTCTGGAATACTTGACCTTGTCCTACAAGGTGTGGGCATCTGAGAGAGGAGTTGCAGTTCCAGATTCGTATGTTTTTACCCCCCGCTCGACCTGAACCCTCACTAAGAGCAGAGCAGCCTATTCGGGAACCACACTCTGACCACGGACGGGGCAAATGGACCCGGTTTATACCTTAAATACTGGCTCAGTGACACCCCCGTCTTCCTTGATGCCTTGGAAATCATCACCGAAAAGGCACGGCGGCTGTGGTGGGGGCAGCAGCTCGACCTCGCAACCATATCGTGGACTGCGCTCTTAGCCGTTGAGGGGCGTCGCCGGAGGATTCCGCACCTATGGGCATATTCTCTGTTGCCTCATCTTGTCAGCCTCTCATTTGCCCAAAACTTATTCTATGTGGCTTTACTCCAAACCCCATCACCAATCGCGCCACGTGAAACGAGGTACCTTATATCAATCTATCCATATCCGAGAGAGTGCGCCGCTAACTTGGCCAGGATCGCCCAATTCCTGCATGGAATGCTCCCAAAGAAGCCACACAACTGGTTCCCCAAGCTTTCTCTTCTTCTTGTGCCCTTGGTGGCCAACTACCTGGTGATACTCCGGCTCCCGAACACCGTCTGGACGCCGTCATTCCCAACTGCCGTCGGCCTCTCCAAGGTCCTAACTCTCGCACCCCTGATCCTGCCTGCCATCGCCCCGGCGTCCTGGGGAACCGTCCACTCCGACCCACGCGACGCCTACCCCGACATAACCAAGCTCTTCAACATCATCTCCGCATCGAGCGCCCTCCTTCACGCCAGGACAACACTCTCCGCTCTCCGCTACAACCTCCCAGACTCCTCCAAGCACCGGCACAGCCTCTTCACAATCCCCCTCGACACTGAAGAGCGCTCAAAATGGGAGCGCACCGCAACAGCCGTCGAGAAAGTCCTCAGCTCCATGACCGACCACCCAGCCGTCGCCGCCGCAGGCAAGGACGTCCTCCTCAGCACCCTCGGCCTGGGACTATGGGCAGCCGTGCGCTCAACCGACGTAGCCAGCATGCTCCGCTCTATGTATTCCACCCCCGAGCCCCGCCGACTCACCCAACCCAGCAAGCCAGAAAGCAAACCCACCAAACCCGAACCCTCCCCCAGTCCCGAAGAAGACGCCCACCCGACAACCCCAACCCCGGCCCTCGGCATGACCCTCCGCCGCCGCGGCCGCGCAGCAAAGGGCAGCAGCATCTCCAGCACCGGCAGCTCGAACGCCCCCGGCGACGATACCACCACGACAACCACCGCCCATCAGCCACCGAAACGGCGCGGCCGGCCACGCAAGGTCAAGCCCGAGCCAGGGCCCGAGCCAGAACCAGAGCCGGAGCTAAAACTGGAACCGGAACACCACGAGCCTGAACGAGAGGAAGGGGTGCCAGACGAAGACAAGACGTATCAGCCCACCCCTGCCGTGCGGGCCGAGGTAGGGCTGGGTGATGTCGTGCCGGAGGGCGACTTTGACTGGGAGTCGGCTGCGCTCGCGTGGGGCGTGACGGTGCTGGGTGGGTTGGGGCTAGGGAGCGCGACTGTTTTTGGGGGGGAGTGTCTCGCGAGGTGAGGTGGGGGTGGGGGTGGTGGGAGGCGAGGTTTGGGGTATGGAGTGTGGGTGGTTTGGGGTGTCAATGGTATGGGTACCTATGGATGGTTTTGCTTGCTTTGGGTTTGGTGTTGTTTGGTCATGGGATAGGTTAGGAAGAGTGGCGGGTTTGTAGTCAGGCGTGCGTGCTGTCCGATGGTCGAGATCGTATACCATGATGAGGTCTAGAGCAGAATGTAGGCGTATGGTTTATAAGCAAGGTTTATCCGTGTCGTTTTAGTGACCTAGTGGTACTCCAACTGAGTGTGACAATATCGGCCAGTGATCTTCACAGAGCTCTCGACGGGCAACTGTGAGTTCGGTCGGTCCTGCAGGCATTCCCTAAATAGGGGCGTATGTACATGCTCGGTGAGTAGATGTCGCCTCGCGGGCGGAAGGATCGCGCGCACCACTCCAGTTAGCAATCTCCCCACTGCGCCTCCAACAACGCACCAAGGGCTTTTATCTAGGAATTCATAGCAATAAAAACTTAGAAGTTGGAGAAATCTGATTGTGGAGCTACCTAATGTGTACCCCTATGCACTGTGAACGCCAAACCCAATAATGAGCTGTGAAACCCCGCCTTCTCCCAAGACCTGTGGCATATTATACCACTTTCACACCGCCGCGCCTAATTGTTGCGCGGGGACCGCACCCAACCAGGCAGACTGTTGCCTGACCCAACGCGCCCATTAGAGCGGCGACGGCCCACAGAGACAAACACGACGCTCTCCTCGGATGGTGCCCGAGCTTGAGCACCGCCGGCGAGGGCGCGGCCAGGACGGGATGGGGTGGCAACCTGGAGATCCGAGGCACTTTCGGTGTCCGAGGGGATGACATCGGAGAGTGCTGTGAAGAGTGGGACACTGATGGCGGCCATCTGAGCACCCGTTTCTTGGTGCTAGAAACGGCACGCCCGCCTTCGCGCTCCTCCCCGCTCCCGCGCTCTCGATACGCCACCACCCGCACCCCGACAGACGCTGCGGCGGGCCCAAACGGGCCAAGACGTCCCACCCGGCCGCCCGATACACCGCCGCCAACTGGGAGAACGGGCGGGCAGACCCCCGTTCTCCGCCGTCGACCCGCGGCTGCTTCGGGTCGACACGGCCAGCGCCCCCGACCCCGACGCCCCCGACACCCCCCAGTGGCGAGCGGTCCCGTACGACCGGTACGTCGCTAAAACTACCCATATCTCCGTCTCCCGATTGGCCATCGTCCCATGTCAGTCGCCCCTAAGACCCTCCCCCGCCAGCGGTCGTCCTCGCCGCCCGACTCGCCGCCGCCTTTGCCGCCGCCTATCCCCAACTTCGTCGCCCCCGTCCCCTTCCCCCCTCGGGCAAGCCCGACCCTGTACCGCCGCCTCGCCCGGGAGCAGCAGGCGTCGGCGCCGCGGCCGCCGGCAAAAAAAGCCACCGCCATCAGCCACGCATCTACCCCCCCGTGCCCGTCCGCTGCGAACCACCACCCCCCTCGCGGCAGCAGCACGCCTCCCCCCTGATCTTTGTCTTTTTCATCCTCCCCCTCCATCTCCGCCTCCGAGTCCGTCCCCACGCCCGGCTCAGAAAAAGGAGAAGAAGACTCGGAGGAGGGGGAAGACGACCCCGTCGCGTGCCCGGCCGACCGCAGCGGCGTCGGGCGGCGGGTGACGGGTGACGGGTAACGGCGGACGCGGTGTTCTGCCTCGCGTACCCGGTTAGGACGGGGCCGGGGGGTGGGACGGTGTGTGCTGGAAAGAAAAAGGGGGCGGGGGGGGGGGGGGGGGGGGTTGTGGGGAGGGGGTTAAGGTAGGTGGAAAGGGAGGGATGCGGCGATGGTCAGGTGAAGGTGGAAGGGGGTAGTGATGCGGTCGGTGAGGAGTGATGGTCTGGGGAGCTGCGTTGGGGTGGCTTGGATCGGGTCTGTCGACCGGGCGCGAGTTGGGTTTTTAGCTTGAGGTATAGTTGTCCTTCGAGATCGGGTGTCGAGGTTGGAGATTCGGAAAGCATCTCGCGTTTGAGTGGTCACCCCTTATAAAGCGCATCTTCAACCGGGCGTAATGGGCTGTATTGCATTTTGGATTGGTAGATGAGGCGGCTCGGTTCGAAACAGGAATATCTAGTTAGTAATAATAATTGAATCGGGGTTGTATTCTTTGATCATCGTCCTTGGCCTCCTTGGCCCCGAGTTGTTGACGAAGGAAAATAAAAGTCGGGGTGAAGTGGTGCAGTGGGGCTTGCGTTTCCCTGCAGTATAACTCGATGCCCATGGTCCGTCTCTCTGTTCCCGCATACCCTCCTTCCCACGCAGCGCTCAGGCTTCTTCCACAGCGCCAAGATGACGTTAAGATATCTTTCTCGACAGCCCTTTTTCAAGCTACCTCACACATTCCGCTACTCCCAAACGCCAATTCTCCAGAGTACCAACAATCAAGCAGTCAGGTGTCTATCCTCGTCACAAACACGGTACAAAATGGCTACGGATTACTCACAACTCCCCACGCCTGCCATGTGCTACGTAGACTTTTGTCTCGTTCCTGTAAGTTGCCGTCTTTAATCCAATATATGTTCAGTCACGCTAACAACAAACCCGTTTAGATTGGCACTGGCAACGTCTCGGTCGCCAAGGAAGTCGCCGAGGTCCAGAAGGTGCTCAAGGCCAGCGGACTGCCTTACACCCTGCACTCTGCTGGAACGACGGTTGGTATGTCAAAGCCTGTCTGAGCCCATGTTATCCCTCGGCATGATGTTGGTATCCAAACTCTAACCGTGCTATCGCAACAGAAGGCAACTGGGACGAGGTCATGAAGGTGGTTGGGCAGGCCCACTCGGTGGTACATCAGGCAGGTGCCGTCAGGATCCAGACATCGATGCGTGTCGGTTCTCGGTGAGCAGTTCCCGGCCATCGTATTCCCAACCTCAGAGGCCTCGAAAGCTAACATCCTCCGCCCTCAAAGAACGGACAAGGCTCAGCATGCCGAGGAGAAGGTGAAGCGGGTACAGGACCTCCTGGCCAAGGATGAGCAATCGTCGTAGGACATACCTGAGTTCGAATAGCTAATTCACTCTCCCGTTCCATTCTCAGTGTATTGGCTTTTACTGCGTGAAAGATACCCTCCTTATGCTTATGTTCACCCTCGGGAACCTCTTGTCACTTTTCAAATCTCGCAGAAGGACAGAGCAAAACGAAGGAATGCCGGAAGATCGAATTAGGGAATCCACCCCGCACCCCTTCCCCAAGTCGTGTCGTAATCCCCGAAGCCATGCTGATGGATGTGGGTCCAATCCCCATGCGGAAAGCACGGCCCCGAATATCAATTCATCGGTTTTCTCCATACTTTTTTAAGCTCCCCCTGTTTCGCACCGTCAAAAGCCACGAAGCAGGCGACAATCACCATGGCGAGCGTGATCAACAACCTCTTTGGGGCCAAATCCTCAGACAGCCCTGAGTCGACGCAGGCTGCCGGCGATGCTGGTAAGATTGCCCAATCTCGATAACCTTTAATTGATGACGTTGCTGACTTTCCTGACCGCGCCAGACTTCGCCGACTACCAGGCTGCCGACCCGTCTCCGGCTCCCGTCGTGCCCGAGTCCTCGACAGCGAACCCGTTCGGTGCCGCGCAGACCATCCAACCCTTCACAAAGTGGTACAATGTTCACGAGCGCCATAGCTTGTCCGAGTTCAAGACGGAGGGTCTCATCCTGTCCGTCATCGCCGCGGTGCTGCTCCTTCACCTGTTCGGCGCCCGTCTGAACCGCAACAAGGCCAAGAAGTGGATTCGCGCCCACGCCGCGCCATTGACCTCGGAGTTTGCCTCCGTTGGCTTTACCGGCGTTCCTCCGGCCGTGGCGGACAAGAAGGGTGATGAGCTGCTCCAGGCCCTCATCGACACGAACACGCGCCAGGGCGACAGCCTGCTCAGGGAGAACAGCCTCTTTGAGTTCGCCACCTACGCGACCGGTCGCGCTAACGTTGCCTTCCTCGACGTTAAGCTCACCCTCGTGAAGCGTTTCAACCCGCTCACCGTGCTCTTCGAGACCGCCTTTGCTTTCTTTACCGATAGCGGCGCCGAGACCCAGGACATCCTCGAGGCCACGTTGTACCCCTTCGACGGCAAGGAGGCGCTTACCGTCCCCGGAATCCCGGGTGCCGCCGAGGCGCGTAGCAAGGATGGCAAGAGCGCCTTCGACGGTTTCGTGTGGGCTCTTGTCCACAAGGAGCGCATGAAGCAGGTCCGTGAGGACCGCTACGACGTGTCGCTCACCGTGACCAAGGACCACGCCAAGCTCCCCAACTGGCTCACCGTCATGACCGAGAGCGCCGAGATCACTGACGCTCTGCTCACCCCGGAGCTGATCAAGGCCGCCGAACTCGCCGGAGACCTGTTGGAGTGCCTCATCATCACGGACCAACCGGTTGAGAAGCCCAAGACGTAAGCCTCCACCTCCATCAATCCCGTATCCTCCCCCCTCCCCGCTAACGCAGCAACGCACAGCCTCAACGACACGACCCCCCGCAAGCGCGTCTTCCTCCGGTACCGCCTCCCGTCGGACAACGACTACGGCAAGCTGGTTCCGCTGTTCAAGCACTTCCTCCGCATCACGGACCGGCTGGTGCAGGGCCCGCGGTTCCGGCCCGAGGTGCTGCGCAAGGTGAAGGCGGCGCGCGAGGCGACGACGCGGCAGATCCAGAAGGCCGACGAGGAGGAGCGCGCCGAGGAGCGCGCCGCCGAGCGCGAGCGCCTCAAGAAGGCCAAGCGCGACCAGGAGCTCAACGCCCTCGACGCCAAGGCCCAGAAGAAGTACCTCGAGCGCGAGCGCGAGAAGGAGATGAAGAAGAGCATGCGCAAGCAGACCACCCGCGGGTAAATGGTTTTGGGGGACGTGTCTGGGGGGGGGGCGTTTGCTTGAAGGGGCTGGATGATGTGCGTGAGGTTTTTTGGATGGCTCACTGAGGGAGTGATTGTACTGTGTAAATATATGCCTTGTACTATGTAGACGAAGTAATGTTTACTTGGGGCGTGCCTTGGATATTCGTACTTTCTTTCCAGTTTCCTTTGCTTCTGTTCGAGCTCGAGTCCACGACCCAACTACAATAACCTGATTGCCGTCAATTTAGGTACATTTAGTTCATCGGATAGTCGATTCCCCTTGTCCTTTTCCCCATATTTATCGAATCATCCGATATCTCATCAAAAATGCAAACGTTCATTCCAAGTGCAGCCCAGCCAAGTCTGGGGTTCCTGCCGGTTACACAACAAAGTTGGAACAGTCAATGAAGTTATTCCGTAAGTAGCAAATATTCGATACCCCATCCCATCTTCCTTGTTATCGGCACCGTCTGCCAAAACCTCAACTAACTACCGCGGTAAAGTTGTTCTCGTCATTTGCCCTCGTTGTGCTCTCTTGGTGAGCCTTGGCGGGTCAGTCGTGGGCCGTGGTTGCCCCGACGACGGCCAATCAAAGCGAGCGCTGCCCGAATGAGAAGCGAGCATCTTCACATGAACGACCATCTTCAAGGGCGAAGAACTTGGTTTTCTTTACAAGAAGAGACAATGCCAGAATACTCGAATACGGTTTAGGAGGACAACCGAATGAGGATACCAACACCATGGCGAGAACGACAACAATACGCAAATATGGGAGGAACACACGGAAGCAGACGGCCGAGCTCCTTTTCGCCCAACTGCCCACCACTCCTGTGAAGCCTGAGCGCCAAGTCACACCTCCTATCGTGTCTGAGGGGCAGCCGGTGGCGACCCCAATGTTGGAGTCACAGAAGGGGTCAGCGCTAGGAGCTGTCGAACTTCGAAAACCGGGTCGGGAGGCCGGGAGCCCCCCATCTGATGAAATGATGCATCAGCTCGTCCAGCAATTCGATTCGACCAGATTAGACGACGTTTCGACATCGGACGCTAAAACGGACTCGCGCGGATCAGACCATCTCTCACCCTTGGACTCACCAAGGAACGCCAAGGATGAGGCTGTCAACGTCGAGAGTCCGCCACGAGTCGAGCATGTCGACGATGGGTTCGAGGAGCTAGGCCGGGAGGAGTATGAGGTGTCATACTGCGACGACCTCCGCGTCCTCACCTGGGCTGACGTTTGTGCTGCTGGCGACCGGGTGGAGAAGATTGCCGAGGCTTCCTTCGCCGAGGTTTATCGCATCACCAACGCCCACGGCACCTCCATCATCAAGGTCGTCCGGCTCGAGTCGCCCATCAAGCAGCAGACGAAAGCCCAGGTGAGGTCCGGCCTGGTAGACGAGGAGCCTCATTCGGAAGAGGACATGCAGGGCGAGCTGCGGATATCTGAGTGGTTGGCCGACATCCCGGGCTTCGTGGTGTACAAGGAAAAGTACGTCGTCGAGGGGAAGGCACCAAAGGCCCTGCTCGAGACGCACCAAGCCTTCCACCGCCGGATGAAGCGCAGTGACCCGGACCGCCTGCAGTTCTATCCCTCGCCGAGCCGATACCTAGACGACACCCGGTTCCTGGTCGTGGAGCTCGGCGATGCGGGCACGGCACTGGAGGACTTCGAGTTGACATCGATCAACCAGGTGTGGGACATATTTCTGCACACGGCGCTTGCGCTAGCACGGGCGGAGGACCTGATCCAATTTGAGGTCCGTTCCCTCGCTCCAAACTCTCGTCTGAAACCCATCCATGCTAACTGCTCCCAGCACCGCGACCTCCACGAGGGCAACCTCTGCATCCGTCAAACCCGTCAACCAACCGCCAGACGGATCAGCACCAGCCCGCAGCAATTCGGCTTCTCCGGCCTAGACGTCACCATCCTCGACTACGGCCTCTGCCGCGCCAGCGACCCAGACTCCTCCTGCCTCCCCGACACCTCAACAACAACCACCACCACCAGCACACCCCCACCCACGGCAGTCGCCTACGACCTCGAAAAAGACCTCACCCTCTTCCAATCGACCCACGCCCCGCAATGCGCCGTCTACCGCCAAATGCGCGCCTTCCTCATCCACAACGACCGCTTCCCACCACCAGAAGAAGACCCATCACCCACCACCACCCCATACCCAACCACCCCCTACCCCCCTTCCTCCCTAACCAACAAACCCATCTCCTGGACCGGCTACTTCCCCTACACCAACGTCCTCTGGCTGGCCTACTTATACGCCTACCTGGTGGGCCACTTCCGCGGGGACGCGGCCGCGCTGAGGGGGTTCCGCCGCCAGACGCGCGAGCTGCGCGCCCACTTGGACCCGGCGGCGCCCCGGGGGGTGCTGAGTTTTCCGAGCGCCGGGGAGGTGGTGCGGTTTGCGGTGGAGGCGGGGTGGGTTACGGAGGGGCAGGTGGTGGAGGGGCCTTGGGGGGAGAGGAGTTTGGTGGGGGATGGGGATGGTGATGATGGGGGGGATGTTGATGTTGATGGGGATGGGGGTGGTGGTGGTGGTGGTGGTGGTGATAAGGAGGGTGCCCGGGCGTTGAGGGAGGAGTTGGGGGATGAGGGGGGGGCTCGCAAGGGCTCCCACAACGCATAGAAAAAACAATAGATATAATACTATACTAATCTTGACGACGTATTTGTTTTGGTTGAGCCAGAATTTACTCAGTTCTGACCTGTTTGAATCTGACTGACTTTCGTACTTGTGCTGGTAAATCCGTACATAATCCTAACCCAGCCACTCTCCCAACGTCCGCATCCTCACTCACGGATATCGGTACGTTAACGACTTGGCATTTCCCGCCTAACCTTTCAAGCATTGATGTATTTTAACCAGGGTACTATAGAGCGACTTCCGTAGCTGGCCATGTTGCCCAGCGGAACACGCGGAGGGTGAGAAAGAGAGAGAGGAGGGGGAAGCACCAGTCACGGGTCAGGGAGGACACAAAGGGGGGAGAGAGGACGGGAGAGGCTAGGGAAGACGCGGAAGAGGAAGAGAGAACGACAGGGAACGCGAGGACGCGAAAGGGGCAGGCGACAAGCGAGGAGGCGAGGTGAGGAATGCGATGGCAACCCGGTGAGAGACGTCAGGTGCTAGGTTTAAGTCCGAGGGATGTCCTGTTTAAGCTGGAGGTGGTGGGATGACCGAGGGTGAGAAAGTCCTCGCAGGAGGAAGCTAACGAGATGGTATTATGCATTACTGGCCTGATAATGGATGCGGTTGAGCGGCCCAGTCGAGAAGGAGGTAGTGTTTCCTCTACGCGAAGGCAGAGATTGGGAATTTACGATCGGTGCGTGCGTCGATACCCACAATTGTCAATTATAGCAGGATAGGAAAGTTGAGCGATATATAATCTGGATTTTCCCCCCAGGTCGTTGATGTTGCTCTGGCGCGAAAGCAATGTAACCGGTTGATCACCCAGAAGCCTTCCATGAGTGGTTCGGAACGGGTCCGATATTAGGGAAAATGCAGACGCGGGATATGTGACGGTGTTATAATTATCGCAGGGCTCCGTTCCTGGTTACCAATGCAGCAAATCCCACCAACCAACGGCTCGGGTACTTGTGTTCGCTCTCAGTTTTCTTGATGAGACCCGTTATCTGCCACAATCCGAGATCTCCATGGCGTTGAAAAGTCCCCCAATGAATAACTATGTTCCGATGCGGCTCTTGCCTATCGGACCTCCGACCCCGGGACGACGGACTCCGTCTGTCACAGTCCCACAATTGAAGACTCTCAAGGCCCCCAAGTCGCGTCGCGACCAAATCCCAATAGGGTTAGGGTACCCGCTCCGTGGAGATTCGGCCACGGCGTTCGGGACGGGGTCCGCCAAGCCGGGGATGAACAAGAAAACATGTTAGCGAACCCCCAGTTAGCCGCCGAGCGAGGAACGGCGGGTTTCCTGGGGTTTCCGCGGATCAATCAAATCAACTTCCAACATCCAAACCGTCGAGTCTTGGACGTGATTGCGCCCTCGTGGTCTGCATGCCAAGTTGAATATTGCCAATACCGGCCCCAATGGCAGCTGGTGGTTTCGTCAGCTCACTTGGACGGCGAGCTGCAGCTTGGCGGGTGAAAGGGTTGAGAGATTCGGAAACAAATTCTCTCGGCGACTTGGCAGGGCTTGCTTGCATCAAACTTGGCTCGCCTGCGATTACCAACTGCTGAGGCTCACAGCCCAGATCAACAACAACCCAGGCTTGGGACCAACAGCTCAGACCCTCTCGGTTGTTGGTCTCGCGGACGGTCATGTCTCAAAGCGGTGAGTTGGACCAGTGATGTTCAGTCAGTCTGAAAGATGGTTTTGCTTCCCGAGGCGGTGAGCTGATCGCTGGTGGCCACGAGGGCGTTTTGGCTCTCGAAATAACGAGCCCGTTCGTTCGCTCACCTGCCTGTGAGATACACAGTATGCTGACCTTCGGCTTGGGAACCATTGGGCCCGGTTCTGTGGAATGGATGGACCTGTCAGACGAACGGCTTTTTTGGTGTGAGACCGTGTGTGTGATTGTTCCAGAGTCCAGACCACTCTTGGCCCCCCGATTCGGGCATCAGCTCCTCGAAGTGATGGGCAAGGCGGGTTGATCTCGCTTGCCTTTCAAAGCCACACGCAAGCCGTCGCTAGGGATATTGCCTAAACCTGGCCGATCATTCCTCCTGCGATGGAAGGAGCGGTGCTCTGCATGTCCCGCGCAGATCCGCCCATTCAATCCAAAGCTTCCACTTTTGGTGGAGTCTGCGGGCACCTTCCCAAAAATTTGAACATCAAGCGTGATGGCTAAAGACAGAAGGCACACCCCGTTTTTTTGCTGATTTTTCTTTGACTCAGCTGGAGCCCCGTGAGCTCCGAAGTGCGCAACAATTAGAACGCCAAGGATGCCGTACCCAAAGGCTTCAACCTCTCATCACCTTTACCAGGTTCCACATCGGCTCTCGACCTCTAACCTCGATGCGATGCAACCCTGGCTGGCACGGCGGCAGTTGGCACCCCGGTATCGACACCGGGACTGGGACCCGCCATCTCAAGCAGATTAAGGGGTGCAGAAAGCGTTGCAGCTAAAGACACTACCCGCCGTGTGCCGTGCCGATACCGAGTACGACCCCTTGACGACATGACGTTTCGTTCTCCATCGCGACGGGATCGCGGTATTTTGTCCAACTTCGTTGCATTGGCGCAATTAGGCGGCATAACATGCCTTCTGGCTACGGTATTAGAGCCTGTCGTTCCCGAAACCCCGAAATCGGGACGGGAAACCTGACGTACTATGTAACATGAAGAAGTCGGGACACGGTCCATAGTGGATATGAGCCTCCCGGAGCTTCTTGATCCCGGGACCGGGCTGCTCCACTTCGACCCGATCTGCCTGTTTGCATCTGCTTCTTGCGCGCCTGTCATATCAACTCTTGGAAGTCTGAGGGCCAGCACATTCTCAAGAACCCTGTCCGCCATCCAATCGACCCCTCGGTGAGTTGTGCTGACCGGGGGCACGAACCAGACAAAGCAAGGCCCCCAACAAGACACCGAATGCCTACTAATAGTATGTACATATGTTGGCTGATTACTGTTCGTCCTGTGGTGTAACCTGAGCCTATCTTTGGCCATGTGGATGGCCCGCACGCGCTCCATGTGGAATCACCAAGGCCCTCTGTGGGTTATGGGGCCATTTACGCCACATGGGCACAGACCAGCAACCACCACAAGTCGAGTGGGGGACGGGGGGGTGGTCGTCTGAATAATCCAGGGAACTCGCCGACGATCGTGGCCATCGCGGAGGTTCGAGCCCGGGCAACCGGGATCGGTCACTCTGAAGTGGGGACGGAGCCACAGTGCAGTTGTGGTTTGTTTTCCCGGCCAACGTGATGATGCGATTGGGCCTTTGTTTGCGGCCGTTGCACGTTCCCAAAGACTGCCTGTTGCAGAACGGGCCGATGCATACTTTCGGTCGACCCCTGTGGGCCAGAGCCATGATATCGACGCCGGCGTCCCGTTCGGTTGTGGCCGCTGACCATATCGGACTAGGCATTGGCCATGGTGACTGCCCTGGTCCCCGTTCTCCCCAAGATCCATCGTCCGCATCCAGTCATGTGGGACTACTGCTACATACTGTGGTATGGTTCGGTTGTCGATTTGGCTACTCAATGTGTCAATGTGTGGAGGAGCCTTGCATGGCACACCCTGGACTGCCCTGCCTACACAGTGAGACCTTCTTCAGTCACACCCACAAGGTTGTGGCTGCCTCATGCCATGTTGGAGGGGGCCATGTCGATCGTCACTGCCAGTCACGGCTGGCGTGCTTGGAATATATCTTGGCGAACGCATCCCGTTTGCCCGTTCGCCCGCATGGCTTTGGAGGCTTAGCCAAGTATAAGAGTAGCCTCCCTTGCTGTCCCACCCGTCGATTTTCTCTCCTGTTTTCTGAATCACCCTGAGGATCACCAAGACATCAGAAACCATGCACGGCAGAGTCACAACCCTCCTTGCCTGGGGCAGTCTGCTGGGGCTGTCCCAAGCTGCGTGCCCTTACGCCGCCGATTCAGCCCAACTGGGAAAGCGGCAGGATGGCGAGGATTCGGACCACCTCGCCAAGTACAAGATAGATGACGGCAGCGGCTATATGTCCTCTGATGTCGGAGGCCCTATGGAGGACCAAGCCAGCTTGAAGGCGGGTTCGAGGGGCTCCACCCTGCTCGAAGACTTCATCTTCCGCCAGAAGATCCAACATTTCGACCATGAGCGTGTAAGTACAAAGCTACGGGCGCTTGCTCCCGGTCTGAGACTTCTCAGACATCGACAAGTACTCGCCAAGGCGCTGACACGGTCCCGCTTGAAAGGTACCTGAACGGGCAGTTCATGCTCGTGGCACAGGAGCCCATGGCACTTTCACCAGCTATGCCGACTGGAGCAACCTCACGGCGGCATCATTCCTGAATGCCCCTGACAAGAAGACGCCCATGTTCGTCCGCTTCTCCACTGTTGCCGGATCCAGGGGCAGCGCGGATCTCGCCAGAGACGTCCACGGGTTCGCGACCCGATTTTATACCGACGAAGGCAACTTTGGTAGGCCTCCTTGGCTCCTGGTGGTTTTCACTTGCTAACCCACCTAGACATCGTTGGAAACAACATTCCTGTTTTCTTCATCCAGGATGCCATTCAGTTCCCAGACTTGATCCACGCCGTCAAGCCGAGACCGGACAATGAGATCCCCCAAGCGGCCACCGCCCACGACTCTGCCTGGGACTTCTTCAGCTCGCAGCCGAGTACCCTCCACACCCTGTTTTGGGCCATGGCCGGCAATGGCATCCCGCGCAGTCTCCGTCACATGGTGAGTGACCGCCCCTGGCTTACCTGAACAGCAATGGGCTAAACATCTCTAGGATGGATTCGGTGTCAACACGTACCGTCTCGTAAAAGAGGACGGATCCTCGAAGCTCGTTAAGTGGCACTGGAAGTCTCGCCAGGGGAAGGCCAGCCTTGTCTGGGAGGAGGCGCAGATCCTTGCGGGCAAGAATGCCGACTTCCACCGTCAGGACCTTTGGGATGCCATCGAGTCCGGCAACGGCCCCGAGTGGGAGCTTGGTGTCCAGGTGATCGACGAGGACAAGGCTCTGGCGTACGGCTTTGACCTGTTGGACCCCACCAAGATGGTTCCCGAGGAGCTCGTTCCCGTCACGAAGCTGGGCGTCATGAAGCTGGATCGCAACCCCACAAACTACTTCGCCGAGACGGAACAGGTCATGTTCCAGCCCGGCCACATCGTGCGCGGCATCGACTTTTCCGAGGACCCTCTGCTGCAAGGGCGCCTTTTCTCGTACCTCGACACGCAGCTGAACCGGAACGGCGGCCCCAACTTTGAGCAGCTGCCTATCAACATGCCGCTGGCCCCCATCCACAACAACAACCGTGACGGTGCCGGCCAGGCCTTCATCCACAAGAACATCCGCCACTGTGAGTAACCTCCTTCTCCCCCCTTCCCCAGCCTATGTCCTAACAACCGCCCCAAGACTCCCCCAACACCCTCAACAAGGGCTTCCCGAAGCAGGCCAACCAGGCCGACGGCCGCGGCTTCTTCACCGCCCCCGGCCGCCGTGCCGGCAGCGAGCTCGTCCGCCTCATCTCCTCCACATTCGACGACCACTGGTCGCAGCCCCGTCTCTTCTACAACTCGCTCAGCCCCGTGGAGCAGCAGTTCCTGATCAACGCGATCCGGTTCGAGACCAGCAACCTCCAGTCCAAGGAGGTCAAGCAGAACGTGCTCACCCAGCTCAACCGCGTCAGCAACGACGTGGCCGTGCGCGTGGCGGCCGCCCTGGGTCTCGAGGCCCCCGCGCCCGACGACACCTACTACCACAACAACTCCACCGCGCACGTCGCCGTCTTCACGCCCAACGGCACCCTGCCCTCCATCAAGACGCTGCGCGTCGGCGTCCTCGCCAGCACGCAGGCCGAGGGCTCGCTCGCGCAGGCCGCCCAGCTCAAGGAGCTGCTCGCCGCCGACGGCCTCGTCGTCACCGTCGTCGGCGAGTCCCTCGCCGAGGGCGTCGACCAGACCTACTCGTTCGCGGATGCTACCGGGTTTGACGGTGTTGTCGTCGCCGAGGGTGCCGAGCCGCTGTTTGCGGCTGACAGCAAGCCCTCGACCCTCTTCCCTGCCGGTCGCCCGGGTCAGGTCCTGATCGATGCGTACCGCTGGGGCAAGCCGGTTGGTGCGCTGGGCTCGGCGGATGCGGCGTTCAAGAGTGTGGGCGTGCCGGCTGAGGGTGCGGGTGTGTATGGCGAGACGGCTGTTGAGGCGTTGGTTAAGGGGTTGGAGGGTGGTTTGGCGCGGTTCAGGGTAAGTTTTTTCCTCTTCTTTTATTGTTGTTGCTGCCGTTGGCCCAGGTGCCGCGGAATTTGAGAGTTGATGCTAACGGATTTGACAGTTCACGGACCGGTTCGCGCTTGACAACTAGGTCGTCGGGGGTTTGGTCGGGGGTTTAAGACTTTTGACTTCATGACAGCGGATGTACTGTATATATTAATGAGTAATTCTTTATCATGAACCAGCGATGTGTGGGTTAGATTTTAACCGTTCAACTTTCTCCGTCAACAGCTTATGTGATTACCCACGGCTTACGGCAATGTCGCCCGCTCGCCCTCCCGTCTTGTCTTCGTTCTACAAACAATGCACGACATACTTGCGCCGCATGAAACGGTCGTCACGTGGGTGGCCGCATGATGGGCCGCCGGAGATCCGGCTGGTCGAAGGTGGTGAGTTGGCCAAGGTGGTTTGATTGGGTGTTCAGATGGGGTTGCGAATACGAAGTCGTTCCCAAGACTTTGGGTTCTTGAGATGACGATCGTGGTGATGGCATCGCGAAGCTAGGAATGGACATCAACACTCCCTCGACATACAGATTACATTGGCGATTTCTCTCCCGTCACGTCAAATGCGGGCTTTGTTTCAGTTGGGCTAGGTGCTCGGTGCCAGGTCACGAACCAAAACGCGATGAGAATAGTACAAATTAACCGAGGTCCTTATCGAATGCGGTTTCATCGCTATCATTGTTGGAGACGGGTGGTCGAGTTATCGACCCTGTTTTGCTAATGGCGTCAGAAGAGGGAGAGGAACTGATTAACTAAATCTGGGGTTCCAAGTCCAGGCCAGGGGAGCCGGCAGATGGGAGCTCACAATCGTGATGCCAAGACCGGGCCGGGTTCCCGATCCCTGCCAGCCGCTGCTTATCGTGGCGTTGCCGTCGCCGTGTGACCACCACCGACCTGAGACCACCAACATCCAGTCATCCACGCTCTCTTCCCACATGACGGCTCCCCAACTCTAGCCCGGTTTTTCTCCATCGACAAGCGATGAAGAGCCAAATGTCCAGGTAGCCACCGTTTTCTACCTGAGACGACAACGACGTCTCGGCGGTCATCAGCCGCCCTCGCCTAGCCTAGCCCAGCCCAGGCCCAGTCAAGGTAGCTCCGACACAGGCCAGCCTCGGAAACGAAACCCATAGCGGACGATATCGCATACAGTCCTACAAACCGAACCGAGGACGCCATGGACCGCATCAAGGCCTTCTTTGCGCCGCCAAAGGCAAGCGCCGAGGAGTATGAACCGCTGGCGGACGATGACTCGGGGACGCTGGAGGGGTCGATATACGAGGAGGCGACACCGTTCTCGTGGATTGAATACTCCATATTCGCCTTGATTGGCGTCGCCATGCTGTGGGCGTGGTATGTTGCTCTGTGACCACAATGACCTACAATGCGCTAATCGTATTACCTGAACAGGAACATGTTCCTCGCCGCGGCTCCCTACTTCCAAATCCGCTTCCAGTCCGACCCTTGGATCTATGCCAGCTCGCAGTCGGCCATCACCTCGACATCCACCGTCGTCAACCTAGGCGCTATGTTGATCCTGACAAGAATCCAATCCTCGGCGAACTACCCCCCGCCGCATCAACATCGCCCTCGTCATCAACGTGGCCGTGTTCGCCATGCTGACCATATCCACTACCTCGCTTTTCGTCGACGCCCCTCCAAAACTTTACTTCGCTTTCCTCCTGCTCATGGTCGCCCTCACGGCATGGGCAGCTGGCCTAATGCAAAACGGTGCCTTCTCCTTCGTCGCTAGCTTCGGCCGACCGGAGTATACACAAGCTATCATGGTCGGCCAGGGCGTCGCCGGCATCCTCCCGCCCCTGGCCCAGATGTTCTCCTACCTCGCCTTCACGGACCCATCACCCGGGATTAACCCTCCCGACCAACCCAGCAGCGAAGCATCCGCCTCACTGCAAAACGATGAAGGCGCCACCGCCGCCTTCGTCTACTTCCTCACCGCCGTGGTTATCTCCGCCCTCACCGTCCTAGCCTTCATCCCACTCGTGCGCCGGCACAGCCTCCTCACACGCTGCCGCCTGGCGCCCTCCCCAGGGACAGACCTCTCCCAATCCACCACGACACTCAACTCAGCCACCGAGGGCGAGGAAACGGCGCAGCTAGGGGCGCAGGCCCTCCCAACCCGCCGGCACGTGCCCCTCGCGACGCTCTTCCGCAAGCTGCGCTGGCTCGCGGCCGCCGTGGCCATGTGCTTCGTGGTGGCCATGTTCTTCCCCGTCTTCACGGCCAAGATCCTGTCGGTGCACGACGGCGACCCGGCCGGCGGCGGCCTGTTCAGCCCCGGCGCCTTCATCCCGCTCGGCTTCTTCTTCTGGAACCTGGGCGACCTGGCCGGCCGCGTCTCCGCCGTCCTGCCGCCCTTCGCCTGGCTGCGCCGCCACCCGCGCGTGCTATTCGCCGTGGGCCTCGCCCGCTGGGTGTTCTTGCCGCTGTATTTGCTGTGCAACCTGCATGGGCGGGGCGCCGTGGTGGGGAGTGACTTGTTCTATTTGGTCGTGGTGCAGTTTCCGTTTGGGCTGACCAATGGCTGGCTGGGGTCCAGTGCCATGATGGCTGCGGGCGAGTGGGTGGATGAGGATGAGAGGGAGGCTGCGGGCGGTTTCATGGGCATGTGCCTTGTGGGTGGGTTGGCGTTGGGCAGTGTGCTGAGCTTTACCGCTGCGGGTGTGTAGCCTTGTGTGGGTGAGAGATGGGTGATGCGGTCGGGATGTGGATCGGATATGGGTTAATTTTTCGGATACGGCGCTTAGGATATGGTGTGCATATGGATTTCTTTAGCATGGATTTTTCGAGCATATTAGATCTGCCTAGACAGAATTAACGATACTACCCCAACATTTAGCGCCTGACACCACCAACCAAGCCCAACCCAACCCTTCGATCACATGGAACACCCTCAACACCACTTTACCTCATACCATCATAAGGTAATTCAAACTAATTCAAACCTCCCTCCCCCCCCCCTCTCCTTCCACCATCCCCCTCCCCTCAAGCAAACAATCCGTCCCCACCCCCTCCACCTCCCCCTCCCCTACCACCTCCACCTCCCTCCCCTCATAGTACCCCCCCTCCACCAGCCGCCCCTCCAGGTCCCGCCAGTACCCCATCTTGGCCGCCCAGTTCTTCCGGTCCAGATCCGCCAGCTTCGCCTCCACCGGCCGCCCCGCGTCCGCCGGCACCCGCACGAAGCACGCGCAGTCGCGCAGCGTCATTGCTAGCGCGAGCTTGGCGGGGTCTGGGTTCGGGTCGTTGACGTCATTGTTGTTGTTGTCGTTGTCGTTGTTGTTGTCGTTGTCGTGGGCTAGCTGGGCGGCGCGCAGCCGCGGTAGGAGCGTGTTGGTGCAAAGCCAGGTGGTAAGGCGGGCGTTCTGTTGCTGTTGCTGTGCGGGTGGGGTTGTTGTGGTCGTGGTTGTGGCGGTTGACGCGGGGCAGATGCTGCCGGTGGGCGGGGTGAGGGTGGAGAGTTGGGCGGTGACGTGGGCGAGTGCGGTGGGGGAGGTGGCGCAGGCGAGCAGGTTCAGGGGGCAGAGGGGGGTCGAGGGGGTCCCATCCGGCCTCTTTTTCGCTGCTTGCGGCTTGGTGTGCTGGCGTAGGGCCTCGCGCGCGCAGGTGCGGCAGCGGGTTGCCGAGGGAGGGGCGTGCCGTGATTGGGCCAGCCACTTGGGCTTGAATTCGAGCGTCAGGTCGCCGGTGTGGCCTGTGTTTTTGGGTGTCAGGTGTGCGTATAAGTTGTGAGTTGTGGGTTGCGTGTGTTGTGGGTATGCAGGGACTGGGGGGGGGCGGTGAGGGGAAGTCGTGCATACTCTGACGCATGTCCTCTACGAGCATGCCATACTCGGCCACTGCGACTCTGCTTCCTCTGAAATCGGGCCTTCGGGTTTCCTCTTTTAGTGCCAACGTTGCGTTCAGGCGCGAAGCTATTTCTTCGCTCCCGAGTTTGACGAGGCGCTGTTGGACGAGCTCTTCCGGCTCAAACAACGGCTTCACAACCGTTTCCCAATACTCTTGGAGCTCCACATAGTTGTGTGCTTTCGTCTCTGCTTTTGGTACTCGCAGAAGATACCCTGGGATGAAAAAGAATATTAGAAAGGCTTGTCTGATGTTGAAATCACAACTGCCTCACCTTGAAAGGTACTGCTGTGCTCATCTCCAGGTTGTGGAATAACTTCAAAAACGACGTTTGCTGCTCCCTCGCCGACGAACTTGAACTCGTAGTTCCCGGCTGCTAAAAATGACAGCACCGGGATGCAAGATGTGTTTGTGTGTGACATTATTGGTTAAGAAGTGAGAGACTGAAGCACCATCCGAGAATGAAAGTGACGACGGGTCATTGTGGATTGGCTAGCGCGTCTTCGTTCATTGACTGCAGGGTTCTCGGCTACCTGAGGTATGCAGGGAGATCTTTCAAGTTGCATGAATACCCAACCTCCCCACGGGATCGAGAAAAAAAAACCCACTAGTGCGAGGAGAGGAAACGAAACCGAGGAAAGAAACCGGAATCGAGTTCTAAGAAAACCAAATCAAGTAACATCAGTTGGGGTGTCATATCATAGTCTCCCATTCGCACGTCTGAAACAGGGTTCAAGGTTAACAATAACAAGTCTTTGTATCCGGACTTCGTGGGTACGGTTGATTCGTCTGAAGTTTGACAGCGATCTGCTTCACTTCACAGGTGGGGTGTCGGACTTCCAGGTTCTTGTACTCGTAGCAGCAGTGCAAATTGAGGTATCGGCTCTGCGTAAACTCAGCCCAGGTTTGATCGTGGGTGTGAGTTGAGATATTAGTTTCATATTGAGATATTTATTCTTCCCAAAGATAGCTCCGACACCGCCAGTCGGTCAAAAAGCGTTTCACTCACCGCCCTCGGAGCGGTTGGCCTAGTCGCGTGTAGGTGGCGGAAGCGCATGCATGATTGGGCTCAGCTGGAGCATCGAATACCAATCGTGTGGAATTCTTGTTTGTGGAGGTGCGGGCAGGGCGGGTCGCGTGCAGGGTGACCTCAGGGAGCTGTCGTGGGGACCTCGGGAACGGGAGAGCGGACGTGTTCGGCCCCACGGTGTGACGAGATAGCCGGAATCTGGAAGCAGGGCTAGATTTTGTTTGCCCTTGTCCGTACTCCATCGTTACGCAGTACACTAGTCGCAAGCCCTGGGCGTTTCAGGATAGGGAACAGGCTCTCAAACACGACGAGTTGGGGAGTTAACGCAAAGGCTCCAGGGATTCTCGAGGGCATAACAGAGTCTCGCATGATACCCGACCTCGCCCGTAATTTGAGGAAGCAGGTACGGTAACGTTGGCAGACCCCTTGACCCAGGGTCTGGCCAGGGAGGCACGCGTGAACGAGGCGCAAGCCAGGGTCAACCCACTGCCGGGAGAAGCTCGTGCGTCAGAAGGCCCACACGCCACTCGGATGCGCCGCAAGAGCCAAAAATTTCACTCAAAGACCAACTGCTCCCCCGGCACCACCACCTGCAAATACCTTGTATCGTCATTCCGTCCCTCCGCATCTCGAACTCCCACGAAACGAAACACTCCATTCCGCACCCAAACTACATTTCTCTGCATCGCCTGCATCGCCACAGCACGCGCTTGCATTCCCCGACAGCCGCCCGTCGAAACCACTTCAAACCATCCGCGACATTTCCCGATTGCACCCCACAAATTGCACCGACCGCATCCGAAAAATACCGCCGCCCTCTTCCGCGAACCCGGGCTTGTCAGGTCCACCACCTTTGGCTGCGATGCGTCGTTAGCACGAAAGCCAGTTCAACATGGCCTTCAACTTCAACTGGTCGCCTCTGACGGCTGACGCGGGCTTCTATAAGCGCGCCCGCGACCTCCTGACGACGGCACTCAACAAGTCGCCGAAGCCGCCCATCATCGTCGATGACATTATCGTGACCGAGTTCAACCTCGGCTCCGTGCCGCCGGATCTGGAAATCCTCGAGATCGGCGACCTGGCCGAAGACCGTTTCCGAGGCATTTTCAAGATGTGCTACTCGGGGGATGCTTTCTTGACTCTCAAAACAAGAGTAGAGGTAGGCCGAATATTTCTCCCCCCCTCGACATCCATGGGAGGAGGCATTGCTGGGGCGCCTTGGTTCGAGGAAGCTGCTCCATAATCCGCGCATGCTCCTCGAGCTAGGAGTCATGGGCCGGGTCAATTGCAGATCAGGGGGGAGCTCCAGCAAAGGGCTGCTGGTCACTACAATGGTCGCGTGGCGAACAAGTGCTCGCCGCGATGCTCTCGACCCCAAACTCCTCGTCCAACTCCATGGACCGCAAGACCGACTGCAGCCGCTCCCTCTTGCAGCTTCTGGAAGCAAACAGGCTTGGAGAACCCCATCGAGATGCTTGGCGCATTTAATGCCCAATTTACCGATCGCGGATTTTCCGACAGGGGTTCGCGGTCGCGCCCGCATTAAGACAAACGCTAGACCACAATGGGAGGATATCAGGGCTAATATATCAACAATCATAGGCAAACCCTCTAAACACATGCCTCTCAGCCAAGCCAGGCTTCACATCTCCACAACCACTAGCGGCGGCATCAAGCCTTACAATACCCCTGCAGATCACGTTATCCGAGTTCAAGCTCTCGGCATTCATCATCCTCGTCTTCTCCAAACAAAAAGGGTTGACCATAGTCTTCCGCAATGACCCCCTCGAGTCTCTCAAGGTCTCGTCGACCTTCGACTCGATCCAATTCGTTCGCGACTACCTCCAGAGGACGATCGAGGGCAAGCTGCGCGACTTGTTCATGGATGAACTGCCTGCCATCATCCATCGACTTTCACTCCAGCTCTGGTGTCCCGATCAGATCGTGAAGGAGGGCGAGGAATCGAAGGAGGCCGATGAGCATGGTGTGAACCCGTTAGCCACGCCGCCCCTAGACGCCGTGGACTTGCATGGGCACCTTCTCGATCCTGCTGCGATATCGGAATTATCCCTTGATGGGGGGCCAGAGGCGCAACTTCTTTTCTCTCAAAAGACACTCCAACGACTGTCCGAGATCATGAATTCTCAGGTGACATCCTCGTTGGATACCTCGGAACCGAACGACGTTCTCTTCCGGGCCTGGGCTGGGCCGGATAAGGTCGATGCGACGAACAGCACGCCGCTATCAACACCGAGCTTGGCCAGGTCACATTCCTACGCCAGCCCTCATACCTACACCTTTTCGGACAACGGCAGCCAAGACCAGGGCTCGCTCCCGTCGCGGCCCTCGTTGGTACATCTCAACTCAGCGACCGCAGGCTTATCACTGGGCTCCGGGCGACACACCAAGGCCGGCCGGAAAAAGAAGACCCGTGTGGTCAATCTACGCCGCAAGGCTGAGACTGAAGTCAATAGCGAGGAAGGAGACGCCACGTCCGAGGACGCCTCTATCGAGCCTCCTATGTCGGAACCAGTCATGCCTCATCCGATACTCGAGGAGTCGGAGGACGAGCTGGCAGCGAACAAGGTGCGCTTCGGCCGATCGGCAGACTTCCAGCAACAGCCCCGGAGACCGTCCTTCAGGGCTCAGGCTGCCGACACTCCCGATGCGCCGGTTCCCACGGCTGAGATCAACAAAATTGTGGCGTCTCCCCCACAGTCTTCAGAAAAGCAAGGCGCTCGGTCTTTTCTTCAAGAACCTGCTCTTGCCGACAGCAAGGTGGACCCGAAGCGGCCGCGCCCCAGGTCGGACACATCGTCCGTTATTTTGGAGCAGGCCTGGATCATGAAGATGGCGGGCGAGATCGCCCGCCGCGTCTACGACGAAAAGAATGGAAATCCTACCTTTTGGGATGACCAGGACGACACCCCGCCGCCCGCGTACGAGGCGAGGTAATTACTATCATTGTGACTAATCCGTTACCCTTCTTTTTCCTTTGTTCTTTTTGGGTTTGTGTTTATGGGCGGGGGGGTGGGATCATACCTGGCGTTTCGCGCGACCTGACATACCACGTTAGTTAATGTCTTATTTGGTTGCCAGGAGTTTGGGGTCTGTTGGTCAACAAAAAAAAAATGGGAAGGAAGCCTTGAGGTTGGTTTCGGGCACTGGAGGGAGATATCCTGGTTAGGGAAAGGGTATTCGGTTTCCACGGAATGGGAGTGGGAACGCGTTGAGGTGCCAGAAGGCTATCCTCGGTTGATCATCAAACTCTTTACTGGCTGCGCTTTTTTTCTTTGTCTTTGGTGGTTAGACGGTCGTTGCGACCAGGCGTGGTTGTATACCACTGTGGAATATTTGTGCGAACCACACCGGGCTTGTCAGGATGTCAATCCGGCTCGGTGAAGAAGTCCCTGCTGGGGTAGCAGGTCTATGGACGGGAACTTCTTGGAAACTCCCATCTCAAGAATCAATAAGAATGGATATTCTAATCCTTGCCGTTCTTGATGTGCGTGCCTGTCACCAACTCCGATCTCCTAAACTACACTCCGTTCCATGGATAGGTAGGTAGGTATCTACATCTTCGAATTCAAGCTTTCCCTCCAGATCTAACCCAAAACGCCTGCACGCCTCCCTACCTGTCAGGCTGAGAAAACCAACGAAATATGCGCCGCCCAATGTTTTGATACCCACTCCCGCCGCTGCTAAATCACAATCCTCTCACAGGATCCATGTATAAATCCAACACCGGGTCCGACTACTTCCCGCCCTCAGCCTTGAGCTCCTTCAACCGCTTCTCTTTCCCCGCAACATCCTCCTTCGTCTTGGTCATCAGCTCCTCCACCTTTACCAGCGCCTCCTGCAACTTCTTAATCTCCACCTGCTCCGTCTCCCTACTGAACGGCTGACCGGGGCGATTCGTCAGCGGGATCATCGCGCTCCTCTCCAACACCCCCCCTTCCGACCTCACCATCTTGACCGCCTGCTCCTTCTCCTTACTCTTCCCCGCCCCCCCACCACCACCGCCCTTCGACCCACCCTTATTCCCACCACCACCACCACCACCCCCTCCCCCAGACCCAGACGCGGGCATGGCGCCGGACGTGAGGATCTCGTAGAAGGGCTCGTACGGCTCGTTGAACAGCTGCTCCTCGTACGCCCACGAGATCACCTGCCCGCCGTTGAGCCGCATCGTTTCCTTTTCTTCCTCGGTCCGCCCGTACGGGTGCAGCCGCAGGTGGTGGTAGAGCGTCTGCGGCTTCTCGGCCGACTCGGCGACGTAGTAGAGCTTGATGGCGATCTCGAACTCGCCCCAGCCGGTTTCGTGGAGTGTGAAGGGTTTGGACTTTTCGCCTTCGATCACTGTTTTTGGGAGAAAGGGGGGGTGGTTAGGATTTGGCTGGTGGGGATGAGGGGAGAGGGGAAGGGGGGGGGGGGGGGGGGGGGGTGGACTGACTTCGCACGTGGTTGGGGATGGATTCGTGGAGTTTGAATTGGACGCGGCGCAGCCAGTAGGTGATGTCGACGTCGTCGATGCCCTTGACGAAGACGGTCCAGGAGTGGGTGTGGTCCTCGGGGACGCCCGGCGGTTTGGGGTTGGTCTTTTCATCAAATAGCTTGGCCGTCGTGCCGTAGACGAAGGGTCGGTATATCTGCACCCCCTTGACCCGTTTTCCTGTTGTTGGCGCCATGGTGCCGGTCTGTGAGGGGGGTCGGCTTCTGCTTCGGCGCAAGTCGCGGTCGCGGAAATCGTGAAGATGCGAGACCTAGATTTTGGCGGGTCAGCCTTGATTGCGGGGCAACTTTTGAGGCCCGCTTCCCGGGTCTGTGCCACCCCTGCAACTGTACACCCCTGTAGCTCAAGCATCATGGCCGAAGCTTCCCGAGATTCTTTTGGAGCTTCGGAAAGTCAGACCACCTTCGACCACAACTCTATCTGCCCTTGAGTTTCACGCTGTTTGTGAAGCCAAAGAAGTTTCAGAGCCCTGGACGCTCTAACTAACGGTTACTCCATTTTTCTTCTATTAAAATCAACGGCCTAAACACCTCCGCATCAAGCAACCTCAAGCTCAACTCACATGCGTCACTCCATGAGCTCATAAGCACCCACACATAAAACAAACCCACCATGTCAGCCACAAAAAGAATAGTCGTCTTCGGCGGCAACGGCTTCCTCGGCTCACGAATCTGCCGCGCCGCCGTCGCCCGCAACTGGGACGTCACATCCGTCAGGTACACCACCCCCCCCTTCTTCCTCCACCCCTCCCCGACCTCACCACCCCTAACCACACCCACTCACCCATGCACACACAGCCGTTCCGGCCGCCCCAACTGGCTCTCCATCACCTCCTCCCCAACCCCACCAGGATGGTCGCACTCCGTAACCTGGGAACGCGGCGACATCTTCCGCCCCGCACAATGGACCTCGCTGCTCTACGGCGCCGACTATGTCGTGCACAGCCTGGGCATCCTGCTCGAGGCCGACTACAAGGGCGTGATCTCGGGGCGGGAGTCGCCCATCTCGGGCCTGGCGCGCGCGTTCGGGCCCGCGCCGGCTGGTGCTGCGAACCCGCTGGAGCGCGTGCGCAGGCTGGAGGAGGAGAGCGAGAAGAGCGAGACGAAGAAGGAGGAGGGGGGTGGAGGTGGAGGTGCCCCGCAGTTGACGTACGAGATGATGAATCGGGATAGTACGATCCTGTTGGCGAAGGAGGCGGCGCAGGCGGGGGTGGGCGCGTTTGGGTTCGTGTCGGCGGCCGCGGGCGCGCCGGTGCTGCCGTCGCGGTATCTGAGTACCAAGAGGGAGGCGGAGGAGGTTGTGGCGAGGGAGTTCCCCGGGATGAGGGGGGTGTTCTTTAGGCCGCCGTTTATGTACGACAAGTCGAGGGGGGTTACGATGGGCGTGGCGGCTATGGCGACGGCGGGGTCGGTGTTTGATGGATTGACTGGGGGGCGAGTGGGCGGGTTCCTTGGGAGTATGGTGATGAAGCCGCTAAAGGTGGATGTTGTGGCCGATGCCGTGGTGGAGGCGCTGGCGGATGAGAGTGTCAAGGGGCCGGTGGAGGTGCCGCAGCTGGAACAGTTGGCGGAGCAGGCGTGGAGGAAGACGATGCTTTAAGGAAGGGCGGAGGATGTGCTCATCGATGTATTATCACTGTGCCAAGTTGTGTGTGGAAGTAGACTGTACAACAACATTCGAAACCCAACCCAAACGCCGCGGCTATGACCCTGAATAACAAATACCCCGTGGCACCTCCCTCTACACCATGGTTCCGCGCTCGAAGCTCTCCCTGATCTCGGAGGTATACTTGTCGTAGAAGCGCGCCAGCTTCTGGTTGAACTGCTTGTTCTTCTCGTTGATGTATGTGACGTCGCCTCCGTCCTCGCCATTCTTGGCCATCCGCTCTTTTCTCTTCTTGAGCGACGCCTCCTCGGCTTTGCGCAAGTCGGCCACCAGGCGATCCACGGCCGCCTTCTCGGGCTTGTGCTGCGCAAAGGCGGTCGAGTCAGCAGTGCTGAAGAAGGTCCCATCCTTGTCGACGGCAATCATCTCGCCGTCGTCCGTCTCGACGATGTCCAGGGTCCCCGCGGCGGCGGCTTTCTCGATGGCGGTCATCTTCTCGCGCGTGTAACGCTCCAGGTCCGGGTTGCCCATATTCCGTAGCTGGCGCTTGTAGGCCTTCTCGCTCTCTTGTGCGTAGTCCCTAAAGGCCGTGTCGTCGCGGTGGGCGTCCCTCTTGCGTACCCGCTTGTCCCATCGCTCGCTCTCCTCCACCGTCCAGTCCCATGCCCGCTTGCGCTCAAAGTCCCCCCCGGATTCCTCCACGTCGGCCTTGAGAAGTTTGTGCGAAGCGATGGCGTGCTTACGGTTGAGGGCCGTGAGTTGTGTCGGGTCTGTCGCTAATCGTTGGGATTCCTTCGTCGCCTCCTTCAGATTCTGGTCCGACGACTCTTTCGCGCGTGCTTTGAGTGCGCGGAAGCGAGCGAGGCGGTCTTCTGCGGTTTTAGCTGCATCCGCCACTGGGGGTTTGGCTGCATCCGCCATCTTGGTTTTCGAACGTGGTGGGAAGGGTGAGGAATTGACGAAGATGTTGTTTACGGGGATTGAATTGCTGGTTTGCGGAACGTTCGTCAGGATCCCTGCCTGAAGGTCTGCCTAGGCAGGCCAAGAGTTGGCAGGTTGCCCAGTGATCGCGAACAAAGAGGTGGCAAAAATTACCGAACAGTGCAAACATGCAGGGTCGTTACCTACGTATTACACAGTACACAGCATGTGGGCCAGATACCGTAACATTACAGCCTGACGGCGGAAACCAAATCCACGAACAGAGCATCTGTTGATGTTAGGTTTATCGGCGTCATCTAAAAAACCGGCGAAGCCTGGATGTTTCCTCGCTATTTGCATCTCCGCCTACAAGGGGCAAGAAACCTAGGTGCGCTCTCACCGAAATTATGGCGACCGCTTCCCCCGTAACTCAACGAACTGAGTTCTTCCAGCAAGTACGGAATACGCTACCCCTCCATCACAACTCACCACGACTCAAATCATCACTCAAATCATCACTCAACTATCACGGAATTTCTTCTTTTAAATTGCTAACATCCCACCAGCTAAAACGTGTCTGTATTCCCCTCAGCCAATTTGCACTCGGCCCAAAAAGCAAACCTGTCGACTCCAAGGAGGTCCTCAAGTTGCTAGAATCGCTCATCAACCTCTGGACTACCCAAGCAGACAAGGATGGCTCTATCCTGGACGACAAACTCGCTGACTATGTCTTCTTTCCCATCTCCCACCTCCTCCGAGACCGTGACCGGTATCCCATGCGGGTCATCGAAGCCATCATCCGCCTGCTTCGGCTGCTCATTCAGCATGGTTGGAAAGCAAAGGCATCGCCACAGCTCTTTCAACAACTCTTAGTCTTCCTCTCATTCATCGTCGGGGGTGTTCCAGATCAGCCGAAGCAAGACATGCCCGAGGAGACCATCGTTGAGGGCTTCCGCACGCTTGCTGCTCTGGTCCGCATTGCAGAGCCGTCTCACATTGCACCGCCAGCCGAGTCAGCAGCGAAGAGCAAAACAATACCGGCTCTTAGCCATAGTCTCACGGTGATGCTAGACGGTGTTTCCGAGGGTGTTGTGCCCTTGGTTCAGCTCGAGGCGGCCCAATGTTTACACACGGTGTTCACCACCATCAAGGACAATACTGTCCTTGCGCAGTTCATCCCCGGCACGGTATCGGCTCTCACAAAAGTCTTGTCACCACCACAGGCAAATCAAACCCAAAAACGGGTACTACTCAAATGTTTGGAGATTCTCCAGCTGGTCCTCGTGACCGTGCTCGCCGACATCAAAGTCAGATCGCTCGTCAGGGAACTGGAAAAGTCAAGTACAACAGAAAGTGATGCGACGACTAAAGATTCAGCCTCCTCGGAGAATTTAACACCTTCCTGGCTAAAGGCAACTGCATCTCAGGTCAAGATTGCGTTGTCGGCTGTCCTCAAGCTTCGGGCAAATGAGTCCGAAGAACTCCAATCTGCTCTTCACAGGCTCTGCATCAGCCTTCTTGACGAATGCCACGCCTCACTTGCTGACTGCCGACCGATGTTCGTGGAAACTGCCATGATGCTGGAAGATCAAGATACACAATCCCGCCTTGAGACTAGCCTCCAAGACCTTGCCGGCGTCCATGCGGAGCTCGGAGACAGCATCAAAGTGGCACTGTACAGTTGGATCACAGGCCTGCCCCGGGTCATGCAGTCAAGCGATGAACGGGTCAAGCAGCTAGGAATTAGGAGCATCCTTAGGGGTACTAGACTGGCGGCCGCGCTTCAAATGGACTCGTCAACTCTGGACGACGCACTGGGGGATTCTCTTCGAGATAGCATTATAACCCTTGTCAAAGGTTCGAAGCAGCCGAGAATCGTAGACGAGGCTGGAGCAGACGTATCGACAGGGACCGATCTCGCGAGGCATGGGGTGGAGCTGGCAGCATACAGTCCCGTCCTGCTCGACTCGGAAGGCCAGAGGACGACAAGAAAAGAGGTCGGCGCCTTGATATCCCGTGTAGGCTCCTCGGTCCAGCAGGTGAAAATTGCGACGGCCATGTTGGGTCATGTCCGGGACTCCGAGGGTGTCGAGCAGATCGCTTCTTTCTGGCTGTCGTTCGAGTTGTTGAAGGCAACTTACGCACAGTCCTCAGATCTCGACGATTTGTTTGACCTGTCCTCGCTGGGGGAATCACGGCACCAGGAAGAGGCCTTCCGGGAGCTCTACGACTTCTCTACCACGGTGCTATCTGCGCACTCAGACTCCGTCGAGGCGGACTGGCGGCTTGAAGCTATCGCACTGGAGGTAGCGGCGTTTGCGGCCTCCCGTCTGAAGACCGACTTCCAGCCAGAGCTCATCGACGTGCTCTGCCCCATCACAACGTTTCTCGGCTCTCAAATACCACAGCTTCGGAGGCACGCCATTACCACGCTGAACATCATTGCCGCCTCGTGCGGCTATGAGAGCGTCTCCGATTTGATCGTCGATAACGCGGACTACATGGTGAACTCCATATCTCTACGACTGAATACCTTTGACATCTCGCCCGCGTCAACCAAAGTCCTCACCATGGTGATCCGGCTGACTGGGCCGAGGCTGATTCCTTTCCTTGACGACGTCGTCGCAGCAATCTTCGCAGCCCTCGACAACTACCACGGCTACCCCGTCTTCGTCGAGAGCCTCTTCTCCGTCCTCACCGAGATTGTAACCCAGGGCGTCAAGTCCGACATGCTCCTCCTCGAAGACGCCAACACCAAAACCATCGACCATCGCAAACGGCCCCCTCGATCCCTTGGCGTCCCGGGCATCCTCGACACCCTCACAGCCCGCCTCGACCGCATCGCACGCTCAGCCAAAGAAGGAAAAGAAGAAACCACCACCCTCCCGATACACCCCCATCCAAAACAACCCTGGGCCCCTCCCAAAGACACCAAATCCAAACCCCAAGACGAAGCCACCACCCTCCTCAACAAACTAACCAACACCAACACCGACCCCGACACCCAACCCCCAGAACAAGAAGAAGAACCGGAACCGCCTATACTCCCCTCAACACCAACCTACACCCTCCTCACCCAAATCCTCACCCAAACCCAACACCACCTAACCTCCCCGACCCCCACCCTACGCCTCGCCCTCCTCAACCTAGTCGCCACCGTGTCCCCCGCCCTGGGGCCCGACGAGAAGGCCTTCCTGCCGCTCGTGCACGCCGTCTGGCCCGTCGTGCTCGCACGCCTGCGCGATCCGGAGCCGTATGTGGCCGTGGCTGCGTGTGGGGCGCTGGCGGCGCTGTGTGAGGCCGCGGGGGATTTTTTGGGGGGGAGGTTTAAGGGGGAGTGGTGGGAGCGGGGCGGGTTGGGGGCGTGGGTTAGGGGGGTTAGGGAGGGGGTGTTGAAGGGGAGGGGGAAGGGGAAGGGGGGGAAGGGGGGTGGTGGGATGGTGTTGGCTATGGGGGCGGGGATGGGGATGGGGAGTGGTGGTGGTGGTGGTGCGGGTGGGGCGGGAGGGGGGATATTAGTCCCCGCGAGGGAGGGGGCGGCGGCGGGGGATGGGACGAGGATGGTGGAGAGCAGCAGCTCGGGGCCGTCTGGGGGCGCGCTGGGGAGGTTTGCGCAGGCGTCGCAGGTGTGGGAGGCGGTGCTGGGGTTGCTGACGGCGATTGTGGCGTTTGTGAGGGTCGAGGATGATATGTTTGATGATATCCTCGCGCTGGTGGTGGATGTGCTGCCGCGGCACCCCGAGCTGAGGGCCGCGTTGGAGACTATCAATGCCGATGCCGTCTGGCTGGCGTTGTATGAGCGCGGGATGGCTCGGGCGAGGGAGGCACCGGTTGCGGAGGGTTTTGAGTTCCGTTTTGCAAGCGTGGAGAGGGGAACGGTGCAGGTTGGAGTGTAGGTAGTATCCGTTGTGTAGTCGTGCAAGCAAGGTTGGACCTGACTACACTTGTTACATAGTACCCGCGAACCCCACATCCTTCTCACCCAGGTTAGGCTAGTATTAGCCCGCAACCGAAGTTCAGTAGTTGTAACCTCCTCACTTGGCAACCCGGGCAAGTCTTGTGATTGACAAAAAACGGCGGGCTAGTTATCAATTTTCTGGGTACCTATGAGACGAACGAAGCAACGAAAAGTATAAGACGGAACCGAGAGTCCCTCATTAGCGATGAGATCTACCTCACCACACCCTCACTCCTCCTCCTGGTGAGAAGGATATTGTGGGCGAAAGTTAACCGAGCGGGAAATGGACGGGGAATCCTTTATTTCTTCTTTCTCGTCTCATTCCATGCGAGATCCCCTGTGCGAGCCGGCCCACCATATCCGTGATGAGGGTTCCCCGTGTTGAGGTCAGTGTCTCCCTCTTGGTCTAGGTATGTGGATTTCCGAGTGCGGATACGTGTCCTGAAAGTTGAGAATGAGATATCGATGGAGACATGTCTTCCAGGGTCTGTTTGAGAGCAGATGATCAAGAAGGTTTGGACTACATGGCCGCTCCGGGTAATGCGTATCGACGTGCGATCTCTAATCAAGGTCAAATTAGTCAATTTCAAGCACTCCCACACTGTGGAGAGACAAGAGCCCCTTTTTCTCCCAGGGCGTGCATGTGGACCAACACTTGGTGTTCTGGTTAGTTACTGTGTAAAGTTAGTTGGTGGCGGGTTCTGGCACTGATGGTTGGTTGCGGGTTGCATCACATGTGAAAGATGGTCAAGATCAGGGACACGCCCAACCGCGCTTGATCGCAAACCAAGAGGGTTTGATAGGCAGCTTTCGGCACCTTTTGGCACCTTTTGGCACCTTTTGGCATCCTTTGGTGCCTGAAAGTTGAACCCCTCCCTGGTCCACAGAGGTCACCCGCCAAGCCCAAATGCCAGCTGGCCCCACTTGGCCAGCGCAGGGTGTCGGCGGCGGTGGGTGCATTGTCGGTACCTGGCATGGACATTCAACCTCGAAACTCACCCTCTTGGCCGAGACTTGCTCGTCGTCATCCCACCTCCCTTTCCACTCTAAATTGTGTTTCTTTGGTCGGACCGGCGAGGACCGCGGCCATGCATCCTGTATCGTAAACGAGTCCCGCACGACGACGCTCCCCTCGATGACCTGAGCTCACTTCCCGACTCCGCCCCAAGTACCTCGCTTCTCTCCCCCAACTCCCACCGCCGTATCTCGTTTCCCGTCCCTTGCGCCCGCGACCCGACCCCTCCACCGCCGCCCCGAACATCGGGATTCCTACTCCCGCGTAAGAGAACGAGCAACGAAACCGCAAATGGCGTCGTACGGCCATGCGGCGCCCGCAAACTACGGGGCAGGCCACGCCGCCCCCGCGCCGGTGGCTGCTGGTGGTGCCCCGGCCGGTACTTTCTCGCCGGGAACCAAGATACAAGTTGGGAGTCACCGCGTGGTCATTCAGAAATACCTCTCTGAAGGCGGCTTCGCACACGTGTATCTGGTCAAAATGCCGACGCCCATCAACGGGACGGACCAGGCCGTGTTGAAACGGGTGGCGGTCCCGGACAAGGACTCGCTGCGGGGGATGCGCACCGAGGTCGAAACTATGAAGCGCCTCAAGGGCCACCGCGCTATTGTCACCTACATTGACTCGCACGCCTCAGAGCTGCGCGGCGGCGGCTACGAAGTCTTCCTGCTCATGGAATACTGCAACGGCGGTGGGCTGATCGACTTCATGAACACGCGCCTGCAGCACCGCCTGACCGAGCCCGAGATCCTCAATATCTTCGCCGATGTTGCCGAAGGCGTCGCCTGCATGCACTACCTGCGCCCAGCACTCTTGCACCGCGATCTCAAAGTCGAGAACGTGCTCATCACCCTCGTCGGGTCAACCCGCAAGTTCAAGCTCTGCGACTTCGGATCGGCAGCCGCCCCGCGTGCCGCGCCCACAACTACCGCCGAGTGCCGCGCGATGGACGAGGACGTACAAAAACACACGACCATGCAATACCGGAGTCCCGAGATGGTAGACGTGTACAGGAAGCAACCCATTGACGAGAAGTCCGACATTTGGGCGCTCGGCGTCCTGCTCTACAAGCTTTGCTATTATACCACGCCGTTCGAAGAGCAGGGCCAGCTTGCCATTCTCAACGCGAGCTATCGGTTCCCCAGCCACCCTGCCTTTTCGGATAGGCTTAAGGGGCTCATTGGTAAGGCTGGAAGACATCGTTCGCGTGCCGCGGAGTGCTGATGATACGCAGCTTGGATGCTGCGCGAGAACCCGCAGGTCAGACCCAATATTTATCAGGTGCTCCGCGAGGCTTGCGCAATGCAAAATCGAGAGCCTCCCGTCAAGGATGTAAGTAATAGAGGCCGCCCTTTTGTCCCCACTCGTGACTTATTCATGCCCGCCAGATCTACTCGAGCAAATCGCAAGCGGACGCCCACCGGCGTGACCAGCCTCTACCCGATCCCCATGGGGCTAAGTCGCCGCCGACTGTTGGCGCCGTCTTCTCCCCACAAGCAACCCAGCACGAACCGGTGGTTCCTGAAGTCGAGCGGATGCGAAGGGGAAGGGTACCCGTCTCCCAGTCGCCGCAGCCGAACCGGCCAAGTCCGTCTCCCGGCAAGGTGACGGACGGCGACCCCTTTGCCGCCCTTGACTCCAGAGCCGCAGTAAAGGGCGGAGATGAGCTGTCCAACAAATTCCCAACCCTCGACCAATTCTCCCTGCTTCACGACAAGGGGCAGAAGTTTGAGTTTGATGACGGCTTGGCCAACTCCCCACTGCAACCAAAGGACTTGTCCCAGCGGGTTGCCGAAAGATTAGCAGATGAGGCGTTCCAGGTGAAACCCTCTCCCGCTTCCGCGCCTGCTGCACCAAGCCCGAGGCAGTCTATGGACGTTAGCAGACCAAACCCGTCGGTCATGTCTCCGCCCCTTAAATCAGCCACTGCTCCCTCAAAACCGCGAGAGGTCAGCCGTGCATCAACCATCATCTCGAACACCCCTGAACTACAAGCTCTCTCGTCACCAACCCCACAATCACCTCCCAAGTCGAAGATGGTGTCAATAGGGACGATGACGTCCCCGTCACTGGACCAAGTTCCGCAGTACCAGATCCAGCGTTTCCCGCCCAGTGATCGCCACCGAGCAGCTAGTGTCCCTCGGCCGGCCCTCACCGGGCAAAACCCCCCGGCTCTTGGCGAAGGAACTGGTTCTCGGACGCCCTCGTTCCAGGGTGTTGTTGCCCAGCAAACACACGCACGCCACCCCTCGTCGTCGAGGCCGTCACTAGAAGGCGGGCGGCCGAACTTGGATCAACTAGATCCGGTCAGGCCGGGGTCTCGGCTCACCGTGAGGCCAAGACCTGTCAGTACACACCTAGAATCCAATCTCGAGTTTCTACGGGAGCAGGAGTCAAGAGCCAAGTCTCCCGCTTTACCGTCTCCGAGGCACTCGTTGGAGAAGAGCCAACCGCCGAGTCCGGACGAAGACACAAACATCGAATCCAACGTCGACTTCCTCCGTGCGATGGAGGACTGGGATCCGAAAAAGGACAAGTTCTCCAAGCAACACCCGAAGCGGGGCAGCCTCTCATCGCTCGGCGCCGGCACCAAGAACATCCTCGCCGGCAAGTTCGGCGACGCCTTCAAGCGCTTCGAGGGCAACACAACCGGCCCGCCCCAACCGCGCACACCCTCTCCCCTCAAAGACCTTGAACACCACGATCGCCACACTCTCACTCCTATCGCCGGCTCCGAGGCCGTTGACGGCCGCAGCGACGACGGCCAGTCACCGGAATGGGAGGACATGACACCCGAGATGCGCCGCGAGCAAGAGGCGCTCATGCTCGCGCAGGAGGAAGCACGCGTGGCCGCCGCGCAGGCCGAGTACCGGCAGCGCGTGGGCCAGCGGACCGGGGGCGGCGGCCCGCCCGTGCCCCCGCCCAAGAGCATCGGCGGTGTCTCGCGCGTCGCCTCCATCCAGAACAAGGTCCAGAGCCTCATCGACGAGAGCAACCGCGCCTCCACCACCGTCACGCGCACCGCCCAGGGCTATGGCCACTACTCCGACGCCGCCGCCACCCCCAACCCCAGCCAGGCGAGCGAAGGCGGCGGCGGGCACAAACCAGCGGTCCCGCGGAAACCGACAGGCGGGCAGGTAACAGGCGGGCAGCCGCCCCAACAACCGCAGCGCCCGACACCGTCGACCGCAGGCGTAGAGCCCGCCGCCACCGGCCGAACCATGACCTCTACCACCACCGGCGGCAGCCGGCCCCCGGCCCCGCCGAAACCCACCCACCTCAACAAACCCCTGCCCGCAGGCGGCGGTGTCGTGCGGCCCCCGTCCCCGACCAAAATGACCCCGCTCATGCCGGACCTGTCATCCAACACCCGAGGCATCTCGTCACCCAAACTCAGGGGCCCCTCCTCCGCCGCTGCTGCTTCTGCTACTGCGGCTGGGAGTAGCGGTGGTGGCGGTGGTGGTGCTGCTGCTGGTGCTGCTGAGGCGCTGTTGGCGGTGGATCTGCCCGGCGGGCAGGGGTCGGCGCTGCTGAGGATGACGGCGGCGGAGAAGGATGACTATGTGCGGGATTTCCAGAAGCGGTTTCCGAGCCTGGGGGCGATTGAGATGGTGGAGAGGGATTTGGCGGCGGAGGAGGGGGGTGGTGCGGGTGCTAGGGGGAGGTGAGGTGGATCTCCAGGCGTGGAGGGGGCTATGGAATGTGGTGGGTGGTTAGATGGTAATGTGGTGAGGCCGGGGTGGAAGCGAAGCGAGCCAAGGGGTGTAGATGCGGTGGTGATAAGGGTTGTTGTTGTTGTTGTTGTAGTTGCATGATGCGCTGTGGGGTGCATTGTTATACAGTACGGTACAAAACAAGCATAGAAATCGGCCGGTAGGCGATGTTGGATTTTATCAACTTGGGATGGTGGAGCTGTGGTCTGCTAGCGTGGGAAGGGTGATGTGATGCTATAGTGATTCACTTGAAGGCGAGATGTTTCCTAGTCGTGCAGTCTTCAACGATCACATGGTTTGAACCTTGACGGTTCATTCTTATTCTCGAAGTGCCTAATAAACCAGAAGTAGGTCTCAAGGGGGGGGGGGCCGGCATTACAAAGGACGATTCATCAAAACGTATCTATACCGCCTATGTAAATTATACAGAGCTCGAGATATGAAAGAAGAATAAAGGCTTGTTTAGTTTCAGGGGCTCGGGCGTTTTCGGGGTGCAGGTAAGTGGTGTTGAAGTACTTGTGCCATGCAGATCAACACAGTGTTACCCACCTGCCTCCGACCCCGCAGTTATAATCGCCGGTTTACCTACATCTTGCCTACACCTCGGGATTTAAGAAAAGCGTACATGTATCAACCCCGTCTCCTCACCAAGTTCAAACTCGCCTTCCCTACTCGAACACACAGCCCAATCCCGCGTTTTCATCACACCATACACTCACCCCTTACACCCCCCAAAATGTCCACCACCACCACCCCCCCTTCCTACCCCGTCCGCGTCCACCACTACCCCTCAGCCACCTCCCCCAACCGCTTCGTCCAAACCTACGAACACCTCCCCTCCCCCAACCCCCCCCAACAACAACAACAACAACAACAACAACCACCCCCACCCCCACCCCAAAACGCCCTCATCTTCATCGGCGGCCTCGGCGACGGGCCACACACCATCCCCTACCCACGACACCTCGCCAACCACCTCGCAACCCTGCCAGACGCCCAACAACGGTACGCCGTGTTCGAGGCGCGGCTAAGCAGCGCCTTCACAGGCTTCGGCACCACCTCGCTCGCGCAGGACGCGCGCGAGCTCGCCGCCCTGGTGCGCCACCTGCGCGGCCCGGCCAGGCGGGCGCGCAGGGTGGTGCTGATGGGCCATAGCACGGGGTGTCAGGACTGTTTGGCGTATGCCGGTGCTGCGAGGGAGGGTGGTGAGGTTGGGGCGGGGGATGAGGGGGTGTGGGTGGATGGGTTGATACTGCAGGGGCCGGTGTCGGATCGGGAGGCGATTGGGATGGGGGAGGATGCTGGGGAGGTGAAGGCTTCGTTGGAGGTTGCGGAGGAGTTGATTAAGGCTGGGAAGGGAGGGCAGGTGATGGTGGGTGAGGCCTTGCCGGCGGGGTGGAGGGACGGTCCGGTTACGGCGTATCGGTGGGCTTCGCTGGCGGGGGTTGGGTGAGTTCTTTCTGTTGTTGTTGTTGTCTCCCCCCTTTTTTCCTTTCCTTTTTCTTTCCCCTTTCTTACGTGACTCCTAAGCACACAGCACACTTGGGGACTGGGGACTGATAATTTCTACCTAGAGGTGACGATGATTACTTCTCGTCGGACCTGCCCGACGACAAACTGGCGGCGGTCTGGGGCAAGCTGGAGCAGCCAGTACTGATTGTGCCTTCCCAGAAGGACGAATGGGTGCCTACCACTATTGACGTCATGGGGCTCGTCGAGAAATGGAAAAGCTTCTGCAAACCCGGCATCGGCAGCGAGCTAAGCGGGCTTATTCCAGACGCGAATCACCGCGTGGATAACGACGCCGGGCAGGAATGGCTCGCGGATCGGGTGGCCCGGTTCCTCGCCGAACTTGAGCAGTAGGAGGTGCTTGGTTGTTGGCCGGATGTCGCGGGTCTCGGCCATCGGGGAACAGTCCGGTAGTGTAATTACGAGACAGTAATACCGGCAACTGAAAGATACTGAATGGTAAACAACCCCGCCAAACCCCGCTATCATCGGCGACTGCGACGGTGGGGTCTTTGCAACAATCTCACGATTAGGGGACCACATTAGTAACGGGGCGGTACGGCGACACAAACTAGAGTATATATAGCATCAAATGCCTGAGCTAGCGGGAAGTGACAGTTAGCAGCAACCGTCAGATCTCCTCACTACTCCAACTCATTCCGACTCCAACCTCAATCCCAGTCCAACATCAACTTCAATAACAACACCATGTGCATGGGTACTATCTGTCAAACCTGCAGTAAGGCTACCTAGTTGAATATTCTAAAATGATAGACGCCCGGCACTGACAGCCAATGCAGGCAAGCAGACCTGGCTCGGCTGCGGCAGCCACGTTGCCTCCGTTTTCGCCAACGTCCCCGAGGATGAGTGGTGCACTTGCGAGCCCAAGGTCGAGAAGGATGGGAAGCAGTACCCGCCGCAGGCAAAGTAAGGAGTCGGCATTTGCCCCAAGTTGAGATACTGAACCTGCCGGGGAGGCAGAGGAAATTGGGCCAGCAGACTCCTTAGTTTCGGGGCTAGGTATTTTGTGTGTAAATACCAAATACCAAGACCCAGTCACTTCTTTTGAACGTCTCCCGGGAACAAGCAATCCTACACACGTCCACATATCGCATCCAACCCCAGGCAATCCCGGACAACCGGCGTCAATACCGGCATTACGGGCCCGTGCACGCCGGTTACCCCTCCGTACTAGCCGACTCCAGTGCCCCATCCCTGTGCCCTGTGCCCTGTGGCCCTCATGACACCGCTCGGCCAAGCCCGGTGGACTCCAAACCTCACAAAGAGCCAGCACTTCAACATGCCAGTTGGATAGACATAGACAACCTCATCTCGGCAACATGCTCTCCCCGCTCCTCATCTTCGTCGCCGTCCTCCTCCTCGCCGTCCACTCCCTCCGGCAACTTCTCAGTTCGCCACTCAACAAGATCCCGGGGCCATGGCATGCCAAATTCACTACCCTAGTTCTGAAATGGCACGAGTTCAGGACAAATAGGACTCGCTACGTCCATCACTTACACCTGAAGTATGGGCGCGCAGTCAGGATCGCCCCGAACGAGGTCATCTTCGCCTCGGCCGCGGCCGTCAAGGAAATCTACTGCTCTGGAGGTAGCGGCTACGATAAGACCGAATTTTATGATATGTTCAAAGTTTATGGGAAAAGGTATGCGGTCTGGCCGGGAGAGTGAAGGCAGCAACAGTGGGAATTGATAAGGTTGCGTATAGGACCATGTTTACTACCCTGAATAAGGACGACGTGAGGCCCTTTCCAAACAACCGCATAATTATCCCTTAAAGTCTAACGTTATTAGCACGCAAAGAGGAAACGTATTCTCGCGGACCGCTATGCCAACACCAACGTTGTCCGGCCGCAGTCTCTTGACGGAATTGCTGATCGCGCCGGCAACTTCGTCAAAACGTGTTTCCAGTCCGTTGGCGGAAGCCTTGATCTTTATGTGCGTCCTCCCCAATCAGATATCTTGAGATAATGCTAACAGATATACTAGATCGGTATGTACTCGCTGAACTAGGCGAACGTAGACCGGTTCTAACTCGAGCTCACCAACTAGGTCTTCACTCCTACGCTTTTGACTGCGTCACTCACCACCTCTTCCACCCCAACGGGACAGACTCGTTGCTGAACAGCAAGGATGAGGAGATCATGCGCGAAGTAACCTTCGACGATAGCCTTCAGAGTACGTCAAGCCACACCCACCTCATCTCTGAGTCTACCACTGACAACTCCAGACCGGTTGTTCCAATACTACTGGCCAACAGCGCACAAATTAATGGGAAAAGTCCTGTACCTCTTTGCAAAACCGCGCGAGACACCACTGGCCGACGACTTCGTTCTTGACACATGTGCCCTCACAGACACGGCGCCATTCACGCTCCTCAACCGCCTCCAGGGGCCCAATTACAATCTCGACGCCCTGGACGTAGCAGCCGAGTGCCTCGACCACATGGCCGCCGGCATCGACACCACCGGGGATGCCTTATGCTTCCTCATGTGGGAGCTCTCACAACCCAGATCCATCCACTACCAAAGAGAGCTGCAGCGAGAACTCCTCACCAACGCGGGGGCGAGCTTCGACAAACTACCCTACCTCGACGCGGTGGTCATGGAAGGCCTACGCTGTTTCCCACCCATCCCCATGTCCCTCCCGCGCTATGTGCCCGCCGGCGGACGCACCATCGACGGCTTCTTCCTGCCCCCGGGCACCACAGTCAGCTGTCAAGCCCTCTCGGTGCACAAGATGGACGGGACGGTATTCCCGGAGCCAGACGCATTCCGGCCCGAGAGATGGCTGGAGCCCAAGGGCGACGCCGAACGGAAGCGGCTTTTCTTCGCCTTCGCCAATGGCGGCAGGGGCTGTGTTGGCAAGCAGTACGTTGCACCATCCATCTGCGCCTTACTCCTGTGTCTATCGTGCGACATGTCGAGTGAGCGATTTGCTGACATTTTTCATGTGGCGCAGCCTGGCGCTGGCCGAGATGAAGCTGCTGCTCCGGGCCGTCTACTCCAGGTTCACCACGCTCCCGGACGCGAGCATGACGGCCGCGGACATGGACATGTCAGATCAGCTGATCTCGTCGCGCCCGGCGGGGCAGAGGTGCCTGCTGAGGTTTGATCCGTTGGAGGCTGTGGGTGGGGACTAGGTGGTCCTGCTACTTGTAGTAAGCCGGTGAGTGCGCAAGGCAGTGAACAGACAACGCCCTGCTTGCCCTTGTGCCACAACGCCCCAGCGGGTGTGCCGGACTGGCAGGTTTTTGCCGTTGCCGCCCCAGCGAAACCCGAGTCAAACCCCGTCCAACCAGATTATTGTTTGGGGCAAACGGGCGCTGATCAGCATGATGCCGAAAGGTGTCGATAAAGGTTTGATGGGACTTGGATGAACCATGTTGGATATACTACAAACACAATGTCCCAGACGCCGTGGCACGTGGATCCCTCACAATCCACTCGGGCGAGTTGGGCGCCGTGACCCGTTGCGTTTCGAATGCAAGTTGGGGATCTCGGAATCCACTCACTGCGGCACATGGCTGCAGGGCCGTGAATCCGGACAAGGGGTTGGGCGGATCTCGTTTCTTTACTGTCACGGTGTGTATAGTACTTCGATGGAGATACTCTTCATTGTCTTTACCACCTGCAGCTGAAATTCCAGTATCAGACCACTTTTGAAAAATCAAAGAAGGCCTTGCTTGCATTGGGCAGGTGGGTTGTCAAGTGCCCAGGCACGACAGGCTCCCAGGCAAAGGCCGAGGGGCCGAGTCACAAAGGGTGGAGTCGCGGGGGCGACTTCCAGTAACTTCCAGGTTCACCCGATCAGGCTCTTCAACCCGGGCGGGGATGGGGCAACGAAGCACCGGCCCTAGCGCGGTTGCCTCAGGCCTGGACCGCCCTGTGTTCCTGATTCCCACTTCTCCACCAAACCAGGCGTCTTTCTCAAAACGTTTTCTCTTTCTGCGCCCTGAAACTTCTTCTGGCAACCACATCTCCGCAATTATTAAAAAAAACTCAACCATTTCCAATTTCATCGTCTTTGGACTTTCCGAAGCGATTTTCCAGAGCATCAACCGCCTCAGTACTCCGAAATCCTCCGCCGTGTCGTCCATCGCTGGGCAGTCCAACCCTCCGCCGGTTCCACCTCCCAACTTGGGCTCTCCGCAACACTCTAAACTCCGACCATCCCACGAGCAAATTTTGCACTTGACCGGCCGTCAAGCACCAAGTCTCCGTTACTCTGCCATCGTCCCGGCTCCGCCGACAGCAGTACAACACCCAACTCCGATACGCAGCAAAGCGTTGTTTATGTATCAGCACGAAGAGGCCACCGTCTTCCGACACATTCCCCCGCTCGAGCTGCGTCCGTTTCGCATAGCGCGGAAACCTTGTAGCCCCAACAGTTCTGACGGTTGAAGAACCTCTGAACCGCCGTCGTCTTCTAGCGTTAATGCACGCCACCGACTGTCACCAGACTTACCCTATGTCCACGCCTCTCGCACCTTACTGACGCCCGTCCCGCTTCGCCCTTGGAATCCTCGCCAATACTCTGCTCCGCTAGAGTGTCACAGACTCTCGCAAACGCCTCAGAACACCAGATCCAGGATCTCGTCTCCAGCCAGTTTACCCGTCACCAACGTCCAACACCGCAACCATGGCTTCCCTCGTCAACGTCCGCCGCGATGTCAGCGACCCTTTCTATCGCTACAAGATGGAGCGCCTCCAGACCAAGATCGAAGGCAAGGGCAACGGAATCAAGACCGTTGTTGTCAACCTGACCAGCGTCGCCCAGTCCCTGGCCCGCCCGGGCTCCTACTTGATCAAGTACTTCGGCTTCGAGCTTGGCGCTCAGACCAACCTTGACCCCGCTGACGACCGCTGGATCATCAACGGCGCCCACGAGGCCAACAAGCTTCAGGAGCTCCTGGACGGTTTCATCTCCAAGTTCGTTCTCTGCAAGAAGTGCAAGAACCCCGAGACCGACGTCCACATCAAGGATGGCCGCATCATGCTCGACTGCAAGGCCTGTGGCCAGCGCTCCGAGGTCGACTTGCGCTTGAAGCTTAGCGGCTTCATGCTCAAGAACGTGCCCAAGAAGACCAAGAAGGACAAGGCTGAGCGCCGCGCTGCCCGCAAGGCCAAGCAGAACGGCAAGGGCGAGGAGAACGGCTCCGGAGGCGATGACAACTCGGACCAGGCCTCGCCCATGGCCGATGACAAGGGCATCGAGAGTGACGACGACGCCTTGACCCGCAAGATCAAGTCCGAGGCCCACGTCCTCGAGAACAAGCAGGTCGAGGTCAAGGACGACGACTGGGCTGTGGACATGAGCGAGGAGGCCGTCAAGGCACGCCAGCAGCAGCTCCCCGGCGAGTTCAAGCAGAAGCTCGTTCTGAACGGCGATGACGAGGACGAGGAGGGCGAGGGCGGTGGAAACACCGTCTACGACCAGCTGGGCACCTGGATCATGGAAGAGGCTGAGACCAAGGGCGGCGTTAACAATGTTGACGACATTGACCTTTACGTCAAGGCCAAGGAGCTGGGCATCGAGTCCAAGCACCGCACCGTTCTCGTGCTTGTGCAGACCGTCTTCGACGAGAACATCTGCACCCAGATCGGCAAGCGCGCTCCGATGTTGAAGAGGGTATGTTCTCCCAACTTGATGTGCAAACACGCAGTATCCTAATCATTGTCTAGATTGTCACCTCTGAGCGTCACGAGAAGGCTCTTCTTGGCGGTACCGAACGCCTGATCGGCACCCTGAGCGAGGGGCACCCCGACGTGTACGAGAAGGTTGTCAAGATTCTGCAGCTCTACTACCACCACGACCTCATCTCCGAGGAGGTCGCCACCAAGTGGGGTTCCAAGGCTTCCAAGAAGTACGTCGACCTGTCCACCTCCAAGAAGGTCCGCAAGGCCGCCGAGCCCTTCATCAAGTGGCTCCAGGAGGCCGAGGAGGAGTCCGACGAGGAGTAAACCTCAGGCTCCCTTGCCACAGGTCTGCGTTGGGGACTGGCTGTAGTGCTTGGCTTTAAAGATTGATATTTCGCATTGCCATTCCCCTCTAGAGTAGGGCAGAAGACGGGGTTTCCTAGTCCATGTCCTATCCTTGGTATGCTGTCTCGGCTACATGTTCGAGATGCGGCTTTGGTCCGCGGCCTAGATGGTTTACAGAAAAAGATTGTTTCTTGTATGCTAGTTTGCTTTCGCTGGGATGGGGATTCGGTCGTCGTGCAATGCCACTCAATCATGCTTTCTTAACCTTGCTATCCATGCGTGAGTACGACATGTATGTATTGCACCGCTACGGTCTCAAGTCTACCCCTTTGAAGGCGGATATTTCTAAATTTGTACATTTTTTACGATACATTGCTAGCCGTAGCTAGTCAACTGTCAGTCCATTATGACCACTACACAGTAGTCCCTAGACCACAGATTATCTCGCCCCTTTTAGAGCGGAAAAGACATTCCCCAGCCAAAGGTGCTGGGACTCCCACCCTTCCAAGTGCAAGTGACCATAAACCACGCCGGAAAACGCCAACCGGGTATCATCTCCGTCCGTCCACCCATATTAGTCCAGAGCTTATCCCGAGCTCCAGGCGTCCGAGCCTGGATTGGTGGCTTCCCCTGAACACCAGACTCCGAGCAATCAAGACAGGCGCCAGAGCATGCCAGCCATGCCGGCAATGCCAAACCAGGAAAACACCATCCCGCCCATTCCCAACCATACGGTGCAACACCATCTTTGCACTAGTAAGTGAGAAAGGCCGGTAGGCTAGAGGTAAACTCTCCCACCGGCCCAAAGTCAATCTTGCACCATAACCCCTCCAACAAACAATACCCTCCCCTCCCCCCAGCAACACCCCCAATGAACAAACCCCGCCCCCCCTAGCCAACTCAGAGAGAAATAGTTCACCCCTTCAACCACGGAACGATAGCCCCGCCCACCCCGCCCCGGCAACAGCAACAAGAGGCAGACCGAAGACCGCCGCCCCCGCCGCGGTTCACCAACCCGCCGTCCCCTGCGCAGCAGACTTGTCACCCCACCACCCACCACCACCACCACCACCGCTCTTCTCACCACCGCCGGCATCACCGCCGCCGCCGTGCCACTTGATATTCTCCCTGCCCCCCTGCGGCGACCAGCTGCCGGGCATGCTGCTCGTGGCGGGACGCAGGTCTGGGGAGGGGGTCTTGGGCCGGCCGGTGGTGGAACCGCCTTTATTGGAGCCGCGTTGGCTGGCGTTTTCGTGGTTGGAGGTGGGTTTGTCGTAGACCCCCCAGCCGCCGGGTTGGTTGGTGGTGTCATTGTTGTTGTTGGTGGTGTCGGGTTCGTTGGTGGTGGGGTTGTTGAAGGCGGCCCAGCCTGTGGATTGGTTGTTGTCGTTGTTGGGGTCGGCGTCGTTGGTGGTGGCATCTTTGTAGGCACCCCAACCGTTGGATTCGTTTATGTTAGTGTCGTTGTTGTTGTTGTCATTGGAGTCGCCGTTGTTGCCGTCGTTATTATTACCATGGTTGCTCTTATTGCCCGAGTTGGAGCCACTCTTGCTCTTGTTGCTCGGGAGTTTGACCCAGTTCGTCGCTGGAGTGTTCCACTGCACGCCGCTCCCCTTGGCCCACTTGTGCTCGTCGGTGGACTTCTTGTCCCCGTCGCCCATTTTGAAATAGTGCGTACCATGGCTCTCTTTTTTCTCCGTTTTGGAGTGATCACCATACAACGGGTCAAGGACAAAGCCTTGCCGACGAAGGGCGTCGGCACCGTCGGGACTGCCTGGGATGCCTGACACTCCCACCGGGCGCTGGGTTGCGCCGCCGTACGGAGGGGGCACTGGCGGGAATGGGCCGTACGGCTGGCCCCAGGATGGGTACGGCATGGGGGTCGGTTGTTGAGGAGGCGGCGGGTATCCGGGAGGGATCGGCGCTCTGCTTGGATGACGGCCGTGCATGGCCTGCGTTTCGGGCATTTGAGGCCAGCCCGGGGCTGGGTATTGCGGGCCAGGACCTCCCGGGGGATAAGACTGGCCGTAGGGGTACCCCCAGTAGGGTCCATGGTAGACTCGACAGAGGTTTTTGTCGTTGTCGAAGTAGGCATTGGGCGGCGTATCTCGGGCAGGGTCTTCGACCACGTGTTGCATCTGAAGGTTGCGATCGCGAACGGGCAGAATGAGATTCGGATGAGGCTGTGGCTCGGATTTCTTTTCGTCGCCGGTACCGCCCTGCTTGGAGCTGGCGTTATCCGCCTTGTCGTCTTTGGCCTTACTCTCATTCTTCTTCTCGGGGCTCTTTTCAGCTTCAGCTTTCTTGCCCTCTTTGGGCTTATCGCCATTCTTTGGATCGGCCTTGTTCTCCTCGTTATCCTTCTTCTTCTTGTTATTCTTCTTGGATTTCGGTGGTTCCGGCTCGGATTCCGTCGCCGTCTCGTTAGCCGAGGTAGCGGCGCCGGCAGACGTGTCGGTTTCGGGCTCCGTCTCTGACTCTTCCTTCTCTTTCTTCCCCTTCTTCTTCTGAGAGACTTTCCCGTTACCCATATCTCCGCCCTTGTTCTCTTTCCCGTCCTTTCCCGGGCTTGATTTGGTCTCTTCGGTCGACGGGGCGTCGTTGCTCTTGCCGCCCTTGTTGATCTCATCCATCTTGGCTAGTAGCATTAGCCCGGCCACACAACACGAGCAAGCGCAGTTCCGATGCTCAGGCTTATCAGGCTCGGAACTACCATTGCCGCTGCTTGCTTCACTGTCGGACGGCTCCGACCTTTTCGCCTTTTTCTTTGTTTTCTTGGGCTTCGGCTCCGGCTCTTGCTCGCTACTCTCATCGTCGCCGGAATCGGTGTACTCTTCCGACGATGCATCCGAGGACGACGGCTGGTGCGGTTTCTTCAAGGCAGACTTGAGAGGCCTGTCTTTGAACGTCACCCTCTTCTCCTCGGGCGGGCTGGGTGGACTGGGAGGGCTAGGTGCTTTGGGTCTTCTGTGCTTCTTGTGCCGTCTACCCGCGCCATTTCGCGGGTAGGTGACGGTGACAGAGTCGGTGTCGGCCTCGTCATCGGTGGTCATCTCAATTCTAACGAATTGTTGTTTGGACGACTTCCTTTTCCCCGTCGGGAGGTTTTGGCCGACAATCCATTCGAATACAGAATGCGGGGGCATTATAATGGTATTGAATGGCGGATCTGATGAAGATGTTAATTCACTGCACAAGACAAATGGTGTGGGAACTCAAGCACTCCAATAGAGAAACAAACCAAAACTAGAACGATATCGGTCGGCTACGGCTAGGTTGTCGACCAGGTTGCCAATCGTCGCTGGATCGTATGAAGGCGGCGTTTTCGAGTGTCGATGTGGTGAAAATGGCCCTTTGCGCCAGGAACCAAACTAAATACCTTCAACAATTCGATGCGAGCTGTATGAGCATTAATTGCCCTCGACTGATGGCCAGGCAAAGCAGAAAAAACAAAGTGGCTATTTCCCACGATAAGAAAGTGAATCGGTGTAGTGGGTGCAAAATGTGACCGCTTAGTCGTCACCCAAAAGTAGCAGGCGCAGCTGCAACTGCCTGGCTGAACAACACAAACCACCTGCTGAACTGAACAAGAACACATCGTCACTGCGACGGCACTCATCCAACCACCACCAATCCACCCTAGGTAGCCCGCTCTCACGACCTGAGCCATTCTCACAACTTCGACCTCTCCCGCAGCTCCTGCTCCTCCCACGCCCTATTAATCCTCACATTCCTCCAAAACCCCCACGCCGCCAACACCACCGCCACCGGCGGACACACCCACAGCAACCAATTCCACCACCTCGGACTATACCTCTCCATCTCCGCCATCACCCTCGCAACCTCCCCCTTCAACTCCTCCCTCCCCCCATCATTCCAAACCACCACCCCACTCCCCCCGCCTCTCCCCTCGCACCGCCTCGCCTTCTCCCTCACATCCCCCTGACTCCTCACCCGATTCTCCGCATCCTCCCTACTCAGATGCGGATCCCGCGCCCGCAGCCGCGCCATCTGCACCTCCGGGTCCCGCACCGCCACCACCATCACGGCGCCACAGAACCGATCCAGGCGGCTCTCGAACAGCAGCGGCACGTCCAAGACCACCGCCCTGCACCCCCTCACATAGCACTTCAGCACTGCGCGCAGCATGGCGCGGCGCACGGCCGGGTGGACGATGCCGTTGAGCACGGCGCGGTCGGCGCGGCGGGCGGGGTCGTCGCCGAAGACGCGGCGGCCTAGCGCGGCGCGGTTGAGCGGGCGGCCGAGGCCGCGCGGGCCGTGCTCGGGCATGTGGTTTTTGGTGTTGTTGTTGTCGTCGGCGGCATCGTTGCCGTTGTTGGTGGTGGCGGGGATGAGGAGGTCCGGGGTGGAGGGGCCAAAGTGCGCTACGATGGCCTTGTAGCCGGCCGTGCCGGGCTCGACGACCTCTCGCGCGAGGAGGTCGGCGTCGATGATGGGGAGGGAGTAGGGGGGTTGGGAGAGGAGGGAGGAGACGGTTGATTTGCCGGTGGCGATGGAGCCGGTTAGGCCGATGAGGAGCATCTTCTTTTCTTTCTTTTTTCTTTTTCCCTCTCAGCCCTGCGTAGATGGTTTGTATGGGTGATGGTAGGGGACGGGTTTATGTGTGGTTTGAATAGGGGTGGGTTGGATGGAATGGTTCCTCTTAAGTCAGGTTTGGTTTGGTGAGTATTCAACTGTAAGCGAGTTGGGGTGAGGTGAGGTGGGCCGAGGTGAGTGTTGAGGTAAGGTGTTGAGTTAGTTATCCGGGGAATGTCCGGGGAGGTGGGGTGACAAGAGTCGATCCGACTCGAACTTGCCGAGCTACCAGGGGTTTCAATTCCGGATTCGGAAGTTGCTGCTTGGCATGCTCGTCATCAGGGGCCAATGGCCGCACAGATCTGCACTAACGCAGCTCCACTGAGATCGGGAACGCGGTGTTCGGTCAGAACGGCTCAACGGGTGCCAAGCCGGCTGCACAACAGGGGTTGTGCCTGCATGTGAAGGGGTTTTCAGCCTCCTTGACTTCCACCGCTCAAGAATGCCATTGTCAGACTCCAACATGGAACAACACAGATAGAGGATTCACACATTCCCAGCGAACAGTCAATTTCCGCCACATCGCCGTTAAAACCACATGTGCCAAATACCAGAGACCAGTACTCGAAATCGAGGCAAACCACCAACTCCGGGCCAAATCACCCTCGGGTCCCTGATGCAAACCGCAACGCCATCGTTCTCTATAATGAGATACTTCCGTTATGCTGCCATTCCTCCCACGAGGGCCCAACCCGTATACTGTTGTAGGTGGTCGTAAAAGCCGAAGAACCACGACCCGGAAAGAAACTAGATGAGAATGATTGAAGAAAACTGCTGCCGCAGCTCGATCCCGTGTTAATCAGCATTCAGACCGAGCTGGAGCAATGTTGACGAAACCCACCGAGAGGATCCGTGGCGCGTCCTTCATTCTGAGAGACGGATGGCGTAAAAGACGCCGTCGTCGGTACGATACCAACGCACATCGAGGCGATCGATCTGGCGACGGCAAAACAGCGCCCAGTGGCCGTCCATCTCGCGGAACCAGTACAGGCGGTACGGGTCCGGATCAGCGGGCTTGAAATCCTGCGGCTCGTACGCTTGGTTATTCTGTGCTATCCGCATGTTTTGTGCAACCGTCTCGTTGGGCGTCAAGCCAACACCCATTGCAGGCTCGACGTGGACAGGTGGCTGGGCCGGGACGCCAGTTATGTGAGAAGGAATACCTGTCATCGGGTAACCCTGGGCAGGGTTCGGCATCATGAGCTGCGGACCGCTCTGTATAGAATGGTTCTGAAGCATCATCGGGCCGAAGCCTGGCTGCTGCACCACGATGGGGTTCATCGGAGCCGTGGCGGGGGCCACGCCCATTGGTAGCGATTGCATAGGCATAGCCGCTCCGTTGGCCTAGAGACTGGTCAGCGAAGGCTCTCTCGACCCAATCCGGACAATGCGCATCACGCGCGACATGAAGTCGAATGGAGTGAAGGTTGGCAAAGACCACGGCATCATATCGAACCAAGACTGTGAAGAACCCGGCCACAAGGCACTGACCATGTAACTGGGAAACTGTAAACCCGGGTACATCGGCCCCGCCGCACCAAAAGCGTCCTGGCGAGGCACGTAACGATGGGTCATAGGGCCCAACTCCGTGCCGGGCACCTGAGGCTGGAAGTGGACGCCGTAGGGGTTGATAACCGGCGGAATGGCAGGCGGCGGGGGCGGAGGAGGAGGGGGCCCCAGTTCATCCGGAGGGTTAACAGGCGCAGGAGGTGCCGGGGGTTGCTGGGCCGCCATAGAGAACTGGTTAACCATCGGTGTGAACGGCACGCCAAAGCCGCCCCGAGAATGGGTTACGGGCCTCCAATAATTGCCATAGGTCTGAGGGGCCTGGTGATAAGTCGCGCTGAAACGGTTTGCGGGGATTTGCGCCGCAGAGGTGGCAGCCGGCGCCGAAGCAGGTGCGGAGGCCGGCGCTGAGGTCGCTGAAGTAGCCGGGGCCGACGTAGTCTGTTGATTGCCATTGGGATCCAGACGGGACCGGGACTGCGAGACGAACGAAACGTGGGACGGCACTGGGCTCCCCTGCGATGACTTGCGGCCAAAATTGCTTGGACCGGGCGACGGAGGCGGACTGTAATCATCCTCCGGGGCGATAGACACACGCCTCATGGAGACTTTGCCCTTGTGGTCTTTCTTGCCGGCCATGACGACCCGAATGTGCCGATAGTTTTGGCAATGGAAGGTGCTGGGTCGATGGTGGTGTGGAAGTAGGGAAGAGAAAGGGAAGTGTGAATCGAGTTGCGACCGTGAATAAAATTGAGACCCCAGTGTTGTGGGAGGAACAGTGCTAAAAAGAGGAAGGAACGGCCGGGAAGGGGGGTGGGGGTTGAGTTGGTCCGATGGCTCGCCCCAAATTCACTTCTCTTTCGAACGGTGGGTGGAAGACTGGCCTCCACCGAGTCATTCGAACGATAGTGTGCCTTCTGACAGCTCGCGGGCTTTTGCCGTTGTCGAAGAATTTGTTGCGAGTGCTAGCAGTTTGGTTGGGGATGATGCCGAAATTCCCATCGAATGCCCAGAGGGAAGTGGCGATGTGCCCAAATGCGAGATCATGTGCACAACAAAATCAGGAGATTCTGAAAATCTCCAGGCTAACTTACAGTATCACGGAGAATCCAGGTCTGTCCGTTCCAAACGTATTGGTACTGGCGGGCTGGCTGTCGCTTTCTACGCTCATACTGGGCGTTCGAGAACGAAAAGCAAGGGAGGCACATCTTGCTGTATGCTCCGAGTACCGTAGTTGTGTTGTTGCGGCGTTAGAAGTAAAAACAGTTTGCTCGAAGAACTTGAAGAAGTGAAAGAGTGGAGGAGTGATGGAGTCCGTGAGGGTTCCTGCGCTGTAGTGGGAGAAACTGTTATGCAAGGTGATTGACTCTACCTACCTAGTTCATGGATCTACCATTCAGATGAATTTAAGGCTGAATCTTCCCCATAAGTGAATGAAGCCATATACCCGGTGTCCTGGGGGCCATTGGAGGCTACTATCTTAGGGAGCCCTAACCGTGGTCTCATACAATGGGAAACAGGCCAGCTGCCCGCTACAGGCTGGTGGTTTCTCGGGCGTGGAATCCGAGACTTGTATTCGGAAAATAAAGCAATGATAATAATAATATTATTATTATACAAAGGAAACCGTACCGTATAGGCCGGATAAAAACCTCTGCAAGCAATAATAATAATTACCTAGATAATTAAGGCCCAACTACAGGCCCACGTCCAAATTTCGCACCGCTGAAGACTCCGCAGAAGCCCAACTTCCAAAACGCCCAACTCCTCCACCCCTCCTAGATAACCAATGCGTCTTGGTATCATCCAGCCACCTGAAGTCCGCAGCAGGCACCTAATCCCTAAAACGCCCACTCAAGAAAACCAGACGCCTATTCCTATAAAGCAGAGAGAACGCGACTAAGTCTTGACCGGGCATGTGACGCCGAGAGCGGAGACTCCGTAATGCCAGGCGTACTCGAGGGAAGACACCTAGCCTCCGCTGAAGTACGGTTTCTCGAGAGCCGGCTCAATTTCCTGGTAGTGCTTCATCTGGTGCTGCTGGAGGCGGAAGACCGCTCTGCAGCGGTTGTAGTGTTCTAGCAGCGAAGACTGTGACGCGCGGCGGTTAGTACCACAAGGGATCTCGGGGTTTGCTTTGAATTCTTGTGGGGGTGTGAGGATGTCTGCCTACCCGGATGATAATCACCAGCTTGCTTGCGTCCCTGCTCTCGCGCTTCATCATCTTAATGACGTTCGGCGACTTCTTCAAGAGTTTCCATTCCCCATCCTCCAGAGGCGTGGAAAGCTCGTGCTCGTCGCAGAGCAAGTACTTCCATTCTGGCACGTTCGTGATGGGTGGCTCGGACTTGAACTTTTCGGCAAGAGACTGGGCTTTCTGGGCGAGGTCTTTTGGGTGGTGGATGGTATCGAGGTCCTTCAGGAGTCTCCCTAGAACCGCCTCGTAGCGGAACTGGGGGTTTGAAAAGGTCTCCAGCGCCTTGACGACTTGGCTTTCCGTACCATGCCAGTTCAAGTTCAGCAATTTCATCTTGACGCGGCCAAACTCGGTAATGTCGGCGATTGCCAACCTGAATTTCGGGTGACGTGGGTTGTTGGGGGAGACGTCGAAACCTGACTCCGAGAGGCGGGACTTGGCGAGCATCTTGATCTGTTCGTGGGTTGTATTAGTCGCCGTTAAAGCCAGATATCTAGCATGCCTCGAAAGGATGGGAAGCTAAGGTACCTTTCCATGGAAGTCGATGCGCGAGGCGCTGCCGCCATCCAGGAACTCCCAAAAACACTTGTCGTCGACCTCCCTCTCCAATATCTGATCCATCTGGCGCAACGTCGGGATATTGGCGGGATCTTTGAACCAGTGGTCGAGCTTGTTGATACGATCCTCGAGGTCGGGCGGCAGGCCTTCCCTGCTCTCGTCATACGGGATGTAGACGTATCCGCCCTTGTGGTCTGACATCAGGCATCCAGGTCCTTCCCGCGGGAGAGAATCGTAGTCCGAGGACATGACTGCGATTTGTGCCGCGCGCTCCCTGTCGGTGATTGGTTTCTGTTTGGTCGTCCACCGATCGATGCGCTGCGAAATCAATATTTCTATGAGCTCCTGTGGCGTTAGTTGAGCGGGGTTGCCCTCAATCCGGGATAAGCTATCCATGGTGTAGGTGATGTGATTGCAAGAATGAAGAGGATCGAATAACAGGGAGAAAGATTTGTAGCGGATAGAGAACGGAGGCGTTGGGGGTAGAGAATCAAGGCGTTGAAGGTAGAGGATTGAGTGGTTGCGGGAAGAGTATGGGTGGCAAAACAATAGCAATGAGATACCTCGGCCGTGGAAGGTGCGAGGGACAGACTCCGGAAGATCTAGCCCAGTGTGCGTACTGCTTAGATACGTGCGTTTTGGGGACCAAAGCGCGATGTTGCCTCACGAGGAGGGAGAAAGCCCGGACCGAGAGAGAGGGCCGCAGCGGGTGTGGGAGGATGAACCCAGTCGAAAGTGCACTAGGTACTTTGCCAACGTGTGTCGACACGCTTTGACGGGCCGTGGACGGTGCATGACCGGTCGTGCGTCGGGAGGGGCCGGGTCTCTCTCCGAGGGCAATGACGAGAGAGAACGACGATGGCAAAGGTGAAGACCACCGCCACAGAACTGCCCCGAGAGGTGAGGGGCCATAACGGACCATTGCTGTTTTGCACTGCGTACGAGGTAAATTGTACCACTTCACGACAACGAAGCAACCCAAGGGGGGCGGCAGACGTTGATGTTGCGGGTTGTTTGGATCCGGTTCTCACCAAGACGGCCCGCGCCGACGGCCCGCACCGACAGCCCGCACCAATAACCCACACCGATAGCCCACACCGACAGGCCACCTTCCCACCGGCACCATAGTGAGCATAGCTTAAAAGGTGGTTGATGAATGCTGGAAGCTGCCTTCGAATGATCGAGGTTCACTGTACGCTATGCGCTCAACCGGGCGCTCTATGACCATAAGCCACTATTATACAATTTTCCATGGGAGGAGAGATACCCTGCGCTATGCATACCCGCCCTGCACCCTTGGCCCAGTTTCGTACACGTCAGTCCTCAAAGGGACATTTACACACAAAACAGCTCCTCGAAAGAATGCCGTTGTCTGTAGATTAAAAGATGGGATGTGGTGGCAAAATCAAGCCACAAATTGCGTCGATATGCAAGATCATCGAACCAGGTGTTTATTTAGAGGGTTGCAAGAGCCTCGGCATGGGATTCCTCGGGGTTGTGGAAGATAGTCCTCCTCACGATCTGGGTCAATGTCAGCAAGAATCCTGTGGTAAGTAAAATAAATTATGATAGCTTACCGCCCAGGCACCAGCTACTGAAGCCACGATACCGCCCGATATGGCCATCGGCCGAAGCCCCCTTGTGCTCTTAAACAGCATACCACTAAGGGCGCCGGCTACGATCGTGTTGGCGGCATCGTTCTTCCCCCTCAAATACCCGATGTATGAGTTGATGCAGTTGTAGCAGACGGCAACCACGCCCGCCGAGTTGCCCAAGAACGGCCCTCTCCGTGTGATGGAATTGAGCACCGAGTTCAACCGGAGCTTTGGCGACTCGCCGGCCGACTTCCTCAACCCCTCCTGCAACCCCCATGCACCTCCTAGCGAGAGACCGGCGAGGTATGTTGTGCCTGTACCATAGCAGAGGTCATCTGTAAAGCCGCGTGACGGCAGGGCCGATTGCGAGCCGGGCAAGTCCGAGAGCGCAGAGTCTTCGAGGGAGAGGTAGTCTAGGGTGTCCCTGTTCAGGCCGGCGAGGGGGTGTAGTTGTGAGGGGTCGGCGAAGGAGGAGCTGCCGAGGAAGGATTCTACACCCTGACCGGCAGTAGGGTCGAAGGTAGTAGTCGGTTGGAAGGTATTGGTAGGAGTAGTATGGTGCTCCGGGGCAGACGGCGCTGCTGGCGCATTCGACGACGAGGTCTGCGATGAGGACTTGCGTCCGGTGAGGGCATCCCAGATGGACATCTTGTTGGAAATTGAAGGATAAAATTAAAGGGAGATATTAAGACGACCAAATTGAATTGAAGGGGGCAGGTGCCGGTTAACGGGGCCGGTCACGGCTTGCTCGCAGGTAGGTCGCTCGTCGGTGATGTCGGTCGGGTGGGAGGACCGGACCAAGGCGCATGCCGCAAATCATCGATAAGAGACAAGAAAAATTTAGCTGGCCCGTGCACGCACCACGCGAAGTTTCTGCACTGGCCAACTTCCATCTTGGCGTTTCCTTTGTATTGTTTACAGAACCTTGAAATTGGGGATGTTAATAATGTGCAAGTGTAACTGAAGACTCGAAGTGATAGTAGGGCATTTTAACCCCTCCACGTGCTTCTGAGCATTCTCATTATCATGTTGCCCTCTGATCAAGCCGCTGTTTGGTGACGATGTCGGATAGGGTTAACCAACTCCGAGCAAGGCACTGTAACTCTGTAACAGTTACCGATGTCTTGCGAAATTCAAAGTGAGCGTTACGTACCTTACGGTAGTTCGTTACATGTACATACACCTACCCTTACGGCACGCCCAAATATTTTCTCCCCCCTCCTGCCTGCTAAAACGGTACAAGTCGGCCCAGCATATTAGGCAGAGAGGTACGAAACGGTGACGATCGAAAGGTTTCAGTGGAAATCTGATTTCTAACTGCTGGTTCCTTTGCTACCTTTTTCGTTTACTTCTTTTTTCTCTCCCTGTGTTACTCGGAATCTTTCAACCCCTGTTGAAGCCACCCAACAATTTAGCCCCTCCTTCTTTTGGAGCTGTGGGAGGAGGAATCGCCAAGCATCGAGATGGCTCAAGAAAACACTCCGACTAAAACAGAGACAAAGGATCCTCTGGCTGACTTGAAGCCCGATGTTTTCGAGAATGCAAATACCATCACGAAATGGCTGTTGAGTCAAGATAAAGATGCCCAGCCTCAGTATGGCCCCGTCCCGTTTGAGAGACTCTTTTCATTTGGCTAACAAGTGACAGGTTGGCTCAAGTTATTTTCCAGAAATTGCTTCAAGAAGCCTCTCAGTCGAGGCAATATCATGGCAACGGCCATGCTTGCGTCAAGCTTTGCAGCTTTGTTCAGCAGTGTGCCAAGTCGAGCGACGAGGCATTGAGGCAATGGGCTTTCACGGAAACTCTGTCGAAAAAGCTGTTCCACTTCTACTTGGAATGGTATGAGCACGACCCTCACCGGGCTCTGCGCCTAGTGCTGGATGTTCTCGTGGCATCATCAGCATCGAACCCTTGCCCCGAAACGGGAAGGGCTGTGAGGGATCACATACTTGAGACCCTCGTCTCCATCGTTGCCCGGAAGTCTGCGCAGCAGTTGACAAAATCAGGCTTGCAGTGCCTTGACCACTTCCTAAACAAACGAGTGGTGAATCTCACAGACATTGCCGCTCAGTACAAGCACGTTGATCCGTCCGTGGCGGGCTTGCCCCCTCTCTCATTGTGGAGATCCTTCACCTTTCACCTCTTCTCTTGGATGGAACTTACTTATGCCTGCCCTCTGGCTGGAAAATGTCTTGTTCACATATTCCGAGGCTTAAACGCAGCAGCACCGGATAAAGCAGTTGCAGAGCCAGTTGGCTTCACTCTCGAGGTTTGGCGGCAGTGGCTTCAGGACGCCTTGGCCCAAAACTCCGAGGTCTTAGAAGACATCAAGAATTACGTGCTTGCCCAAATGTTCAAAACAGAACGGGATGCTTCTCTTAGGCTGCTCGAAATATTCAGCCAGAGTCAGCCTTTGGGTCTCATTGACCGTGACCTGAGCGATCAGGGGCTCCTGCTCCAGTTGGCCGCTCTCGAACTCGGGAAAAAACATGGCATGGTCGAGGAACCAAGTAAGTCAAGTGACTGGTTGGACCGTCATGATTCTAATGAGAACCCACAGGCGGCAGCGACGACACCCCACAACCAACAGCAAAAAAGGTTGTCCTCCAAGGGGCCCTATTGGACAAACTACTTGCACACCCTTCTGTGTCTGTCCGATCCAGCGCCTTCTCACTGCTCGTCTCATCCCAAGCAACGACCAAACCGTTCTCTGAAGCGGCTTTTAGCCTCTTGAAGAAACATCTTGCAGCCTTCCACGCGGATTATGATGCCAAGGTCCGTAACGAGGTACTTGGTCATACCAAGAACCTCATCAAGAGGGCCAAGAACATTATCACCGTTGCTCAAAGGAGCCTTTCTTCTCATCAGTCTATTGGGGATGGGGTTCGCACCAACCCCAAGAAGTTCGGTCCCGAGGTTGCCCTCAAAAATGCTTCCGAGGCAAAACAGGTACTTGATGACCACGAAGCCTTCTTGAAGTGGTACATGCGTTTCCTCAAAAACGAACTCCTGTCTACTACCTCATACCAGCGGCACATTACCGCCATCAAAGCGGCACTCCTGCTTCTCAAAGTCGGGAAACATGCGGGGGATACTGATGACAGCACCGATGAGGACGTTGCGCAACTAATCTCGTCCGACTTCACTTGGGTTCGCCTCTTACTTGATCTTCTGCTTGACCCATTCGACGACGTCAGGGACGGCGCGACCACACTTTTGAGCTTGCTTCCCCCCAGCGTAGCGGAATCGAACTCAGCTGGCTCCAAAGATCTACTCGCGGTGCTTAGAGAATTTTGCGTGCGAGCTGGGAAACTAGCCGATAGGACGGGGCGAGCAGACCACGGTGATGGAGCTGCTCGCTCGCAGGGCCTTTTATGCACTTGGCTTAGCAAACCAGACTCACAAATTGCCCTCCTTTCGGAGATCCTGGAGCGAGTCGAGTCTAAAATATCCAAGGCAGAGGACGACTTGGGTCACGCGGCTATCGAAAGCCCAGTGCATGCAGACTTTGCAGCAATTAGGTGCGTTTTGGATCCCACACTACTAACCCGCTCAAATCTCGTTTCCTCCTGGACACTAACAAACCCTAGCTACGTTTGGCAAGTTCTCGCGCAAGGGACGTTCCTGGAGAACCAGCTTGATCTCATTCATCATCAACAACGCCGCATCTTCTTCTGCGCGCAGCAGATATGGTTTGTCGTCAAGCACGTCCTCTGTGACGACTCTCCAGAAGGCCATTTACCAGAGGAACTAGAGGATATTGAGGGATTAGACACCAAGGACCTGCTGAGCTATAGCTTCCGAGCGGTTCATGAGTCTAGGTATGGCCGTTCGTCCCGGAGTATTACCACGAGTTTCGCTAACCGGCTCAAGCAACCTCTTGCGCCTCTTGGTGGGAACTCTCAGGCTGAAGAATGTCCCTGGCGTGCCATATCCCCCGCTCGACGTGTTTAGAGAGACGGGTTACTTGACCTTTGAGCAACTCTCGAGTTTGCGCCACCGCGGCGCCTTCTCAACAGTGTCCTACACTTTCACAACAAGTTGTCAACTGACCCAACGCTTAAAGGACGTGTACTCGGACATTGACGAGACAGAGGACTTGCTTCGCGAATGGTACCGGGTGAGACTCACCCGTCCGTGCTATTTCTGTGCCCATGTTAACATAGTTTAGGGGGCGATCAGCTGCATCATGACACAAGCATCAACGACCCGTCGGTCGGCTGGAATCCCGTCTCTCATCGCAGCGGTCCTCACAGCAAACGCAGCATCGCCGTCCTTTGACGAGGTTTACGGAACCCTTGAAGAGATTGGCAAGAAGGCTGTTTCGATGGCCGAAACCGATGGATCCAACCTACCCCAAGTCCATGCTCTCAATTCGCTACGGGACATATTCAGGAGCTCACTCCTGAGCAAGAAGGCCGAAGGTTACTTGGCTCGAACGCTTCACCTCGCAGCAACCAGCCTGAAATCCGAGGTGTAAGTCCAGAGACGACTCTTCGTTTTGATGATTGCTAATCCGAGCTAGCTGGGCCATTCGAAACTGTGGTCTGCTTCTCCTGCGAAGCCTCATCGACTGTCTGCTTGGAACCGGTGAAAGCAAAGCCTCCATCGAATCGGGCTGGGATGGCCGCTCGGTCCGTATTTCTTACAACAAATATCCGACACTGCCGGGCGTCATCCTCGGGTTCTTGCGCTCCGCAGACGAAACACTCGATCAGGCATCGCAACCTGGGGCAGCCGAGGCAGTGTTCCCTGCCCTGGACATCATTCGACGTGCGGGCCCTCCCGAAGAGCTCCGCTCAGAGTTGCAAAAGCACATCGAAGGGTACCTCGGTAGCCGTCTTTGGCATGTCCGGGAGATCGCGGCCAGAACACTGTGTTCTTTCCTGTTGCAACAAGAGTGGGCTCAAGAAATTGGGCGGCTTCTCGATGAATCAGGAAGCAGTACCAACCGGGTACACGGGGCTCTTTTGACCGCGAGGTTTGTGGTTGAACGCAAAGCTGACTTGGGAGTGGATCTTAAATCAGGTAGGGGTCGAATGGTTCACTTGAAGACTGGTAATCCAAACTGATTCGTGTAGCGTCAGATTTGGCCTCGGTTGAGGCCCTTCTGGAGCAGCTTGCCCGGCGACAAGAGACTTTTAAGCGTTGCGAAGAGCTCCAAGCGGCCTACCTGGAGATTCTAAACGTCCTCGCGGATCTTGGCCTCCACGAACAGGTCGCAAAGATTGTGCTTCCTCAGTTCGCCACCGCACAAACTGGCTCATCATCCGCTTTATTGAAACTCCACACATCGCTAAAGGTTGTCTATGACGCAGCGGCATCTGGCGACGTGGAAAGCCTCCGAGCGTCCTTTTTGAGGATGCTTAGCAGCGACGTTAACACAGCGAGTAGGATGCTAGAGACAATCCCCGAAGCATGGAGCCAAACGGACGACCTGGCTGTCCGTTCAAGCTTGCGAGACCTGTATATCGAAGCATGCACAGCCTCCTCAGCCCCCGAAGTCCGAACCCAGGCATTGGCCAACCTTGGCCCCCTGATGGACGGCATCCTTAGTCGAGGGCAAGTTTCAGAGCTGCCGACCACGGAGCGGCTCGATGGACTCTGGCTCCAGCTGCAAAAGGGAGACATCAACCCCGCCCTGTCATGCGCCATCATCGAAACAAGTGGGACGATCATGGCAGCGCTCGTGTCTCACGGCGCGGGGAACGTCCCGAATATGGAGCAGCGATTGGCGAGCTGGGGAGACATGCTCAGCGAATGCCTGGATGTGGATAATGTACGTTGACTCTAGCCCCTTAGCCCCTGACTCATCGCTTCCCAAGAAGTACCCGCGTTAACCCGTCCCCAACAGCCTTTCGACACGCGATACGCAGCAGCCTCCGCACTCAAGTCCTTCTTCAGCAGCGGCACCACCAAGCACCACGACTGGACGACCACCGCGCACCTGCCCGTCCTCTCAGCACTCTACGATAGCCTGATCGACGACGACGACGAGGTGCGCTCGACCGCCGCGCTTGCCGCGTCGTCCGGCATCCTCGGCACGCCCGCCGTGGCCACAACGGCCGCGGACGAGCTGGTCGGCTGGCTGCGGGCGCAGCAGCAGCAGCAGCAGCAGCTCGGCGACCGCCCAGAATTCAGGGCGCGCGCCGTCTGCAGGATGGTTGGCCAGCCGCGCTGCGCGCGTGACGGCCCGCTGCTCCCCGGGGCCATGACCCCCGCCGAGGACCAACTGCGCGGGGCGCTCGACTTTGACGACTCGCTGTTCGCCGCCGAGGACCAGAACCTCTTCATCGACGAGGTCAGGGAGACGGCCCGGTGGCGAAGGGCCCTGCTGCGTGCTGGTGGCCGCCACGAGGGCGGTGGTGACGGTGATGACACGCCGCTTGGCTGCCTGCGGGCGTGGGCCGCGGCCGGGCTCAGGTGCCTCATTGGGCTGGCGGCGGGCAAGGAGGACGACGGCCCGCTCGGGTGGACGTCGGATCAGCATGTGTTTGCCGTGTGCGCCCGCATCGTGCTGTGTGCTGTGGCGATCGGCGAGATTGGGGAGGACGCGGGACTGGCGGAGCTCCTGGGCGAGTTCAGGGACGTGGGAGCGAAGACGCGGCTCCACGGCTCGCTGTTGGAGATGGCGACGTCGCCCTCGCAGGCTGAGGCTTAGAGAGAGATACAGATCATACGTCGAGCCTTGCCCCCTGAAATTAGTGTTGTTGGTTGTTGCCACTTGTCACCCGACCGACCCCTTTCCCCGGACAGTTGCGACGGTCTTCAGGTTGACAGGGCTGATGTGAACCCCTGATATGTGGGATATGTCGGTTTTGCCTACCGAGTTGGACATGTACATGCGACTTCCTTCATCCCTTTAATACAGGCTTGGAACAGTTTTAGCGGGGCCACCAATTGGAGGCTGTAGATGCGCCAAGTCCATACCTACAGTACATTGCTCTTTGGTGGTGATATATTTGTCGACCCTGGCCCCCCCCCTGAAAACACGAAAATCCATCCTGGTTAACGCGTAAACCCCCCTAGTTAGCCGGGCTTAGCTGGAAATGGAGGGGTATCTGATCCGGGCAGTTAAGAACAAACTGGGCTGGTTTGTATAATGGAAAAGGTCTGTTGTATTAACTGCCCTATCTTTTCCAGTGGAAATGGATGTTCCAATACTCCCAGTCCATGTAAATAGGTAGACGGTATTTCGAACAGCCTGTACCCGTTCGTCGCTGTTTTCCATCCTCCCTAGTTACTATAGGTACAGCTCTAACCGACCGGTACGAACAGACCCTACAGTAGGGTATCCCCCTGATCTGAATACGGCGATACATCTCGGTAGATGTATTGACTGGGAATAGCTTTACTAAATTACAGTTGGTATATCGGAAGGCGGCATTAAGGCGGTACGCGTTTATAAGCTTATTGATCAACTGCGACCGGAAGTTGTAGTAGAGTATATTCTCCTTTGCTTTAAATAGAGGGCCGAACTAAGTATCCTTCTAATGGAGGAATATATTTGTAACGATGACTTTTAGAAGTTGTTAATTAGTATAGGAAATCCGACCGGATTTAGGGTAAATATATACCGAGAAAGAAATTACAAAACAATACTAGATAAAGCCCTCTGTAATAGCGGTATCTGTATATATTATTGGTGTAGTATTAGTTACCTACGTTAATACTGTTTATAAATATATTATATACAAAGATTAGCGGAGGCACTGATATATCGAGTTTGCCCGTATCGCCGAAAATATCGTATATTGTACCCTTCTTATTCGGTTGTTTACAGGTAACTGTTACCGGGTCTTTAGAGCTATCGAAATAAGTTAAAATAAAGTTAATAATTTAGCGATCTTTGATATACTAGAGTAGGGTGCTATTCTAATCTAGAACCTCCTTGTTTTATATATTCTTGATTGTTAATAGCTTGCAGTACGACTAACCGAAAGGAACTTATTTATACCGTTTATCCGCCTTCTTAAACGTAGCGAATTCTTTCGCTGTTCAGTCGCCCTATATCGTACCTATAAGGGTAATTCGAAAGGTCTGTAGCTAACGGGCTAGTAGGATAGTATTGAAGAGGTTATTGTAAAAGAGATAGTAAACTGAGTTAAATAGAGGTGCCGGGAGCGATCTTATAAGGTGGGTAATAAGTGCTTATATAGGTTTGAGAGTCCCCTATTTATAGTTGAAAGTTAGCTAAAGGATTATAGTTAAAAATAAGATAGCTGATTTAAATACTTAACCTAATAACTCTATCGCTATTTGAATAAAATAGCTAGTTGTAAAAATATCTACCTGATATAATGATCTAGACCTTTAAATCTACTGGAGTAGGTTTGCCTTTGATTTCTACCGTATACCGGTTTCTTCCTATATATCTAACGACCTTTTTGTCGATAGAAACGTTCTGTAGTGGCTGTTGGATAGCTATCGAAACTTCGCTAACGTAGTTACTGAAGGTTATTACTTTATTCTAAAGTAAGGGAGCTGGAATAGTAGGATCCTATATATAAAATCGCCTCTTCAGATCTCGGAAACGGCTATATACTATCTATCTTTAAATCGGATGTTTCGGTCGGCTCTATCGGTTAGCCTAGTAAGTACGTTCGTTTAGTTCGGTATAGAGACCTATATAGATTAGTATCGTAAATAAAAGATATAGCTTAGCTACATTTATAGAAGCCTAGTTAGATCTTAACGAAGTAAAGTCTATTAAGATCTTATATACATTGGTCTATTAAACCTATTGTATAACTATTATAAAAGGGAAAAAGCATTGGAAAAGTTATAAGATAGAGGGTATAGTTGGAAATTCAGGTTTAGATTTAAAGAATGGGCCTTTAATAGGGAGAAAAGTTATATCGGTGGGTAAGCCAACAAGCTCCTAGCAATACCGCAACCATATAGGTTCGTAGCTAACCTGCTTCTATAGATCTGGGAATAGCTTTATTAGTTACCGAAATAGGAAAAAGAGGGAGGTATTCGAAGGGCGGGCAAACCGGTTGGAATCCGTAGCGGTACGTCGGCAAAATGGTTTGTAGTTGCAACAGAATTAGATAAGTCGGGCGGTTCGAACGGTTCCTTGACAACGCCATCCTCGCAATTGTCGTCAGAGAGGTCCATTACATCAATTTGCCTCGTGGCGAAGGGATTCGAGGGCTCCATCGTCTTGACTCAGGTGCGGTTGCATTCTCAACGCCAATTTTGCGTAGGAAAACGCGTCAAATCGGTGAATTAAATGACTAGATGGACGCGTTGACTGATTGACCCCCTGTTAAGTTTGGCTGATTGTACCCAGGTAGCCTTGGCGCCCCGCTGAAACTGTTCCAAACCTGTATTAAAGGGATTGTACACTCGACTTTGATGAGCCCGCCTCTCAGATGCTTGGTCGTGTTCACTCAACTAAGGTAGTCCTCCGAGCTTGTGCAGCGGCCTTCCCGGCAATTGCCCAACTGTGCAAACGCCATGATGCTTACAAAGGCAGTCAATGACAAACTACCTAATTAACCTGCAGTTGGCCGACACGCCGCAAGCCTCACCGAGGATTTGGAGGGAGGCAACCCACGCCAACGCCAACGCACACCCGATCGCCAAGAAAAGTCCATCGGAATGCTGGAAAACTCTTATCGATGCAAACCCAACCTGCTGGGATTTCTCGGATTTCGGAGGGCGGCATCCATGGAATTTGCGAGGCAAAAACCCGAACTGACTGTGGCGTTTGGCCGTATAACCTGGCCGCATACGTGGCAGCCACATTCAGGCGGCCCGGGAAGTTGACGTTCCTCGGCTGCCTCCGAACTTTGCCCCGCCGCTTGCTGCCGGCCGCACAGCCCCGCCCCGCCCGGCCTCCACATTCAAACCGTTCTTCGCCTCGGCTTCCCTGCCGATCGGGTTGGCCTTTGTGCCTTTTTTCCCCTCTTGAGCCCGCGCATGCAACGTCGCAAAAATTGTAATGCAGGGGAATGCGAGGCGAGGAATGCTTGTGTTCAGGGTCCTGCACCTTTTTTCCTTCCCCAAATGCAGGTTTCAGCTCGGTTTGCTTCCTTCATGGGTTGATGGGGTATGCGAAAGGGTTGAGGCCTGGCAGTGACGTCAACTGCCAGTCGGGCTCGGGGCAGCTCCGAACAGCCGACCCGCTCCATTGGTAACTGGCGGTGACCGACCCCGAAAAAAAAAGAGTCATCGCTTCTTCCTCCACTTGCAGGTTGAGGGATGCGTCGTTTGGGTACATCGGGCCGTGGACCAGAGCGGGTTTTCGTTTTTGACCGACTTTTCAGAGGGAGGTCCGGCTACGGCGGAATATGCAACTGCCACCATTCTCGCGAATGGTCTTGCTGGGAGACAGGGGTAAGGCTATCGTGAGGAGGATTTCCCGGCTTGGTCGGTATTTTCCCGCTCGTCCATCCCACTTGTCGGCCTGGCGGATCGTTATGCGACGCCGTCGGGGCTTCTTTCGCATTCGGGCTTGAGCAGGTCACCGGCCCAATCGACAAGAGGGCGTGGAAAGCGGCCTGCTCGGCTTGAGTCAGCTGCGACGTCGTGGAATCTCAAGATGATGATGAGCTGCCTTTGGGCCATCACTTGACTGGCTGCATAACCTCGACCAAAGGCCCCAAGGGCCCCAAGCCCTATCAGCGAGTTTCAAATCGGAGATGACGGGACGTCGCGGGGAGCCGGGGCACGCGTCGAATGTCGCGAGAGGCGTCCCATGGTAATCCTCTCGAATGAGAAGGCGGGCGGATGCGGTCGAACAAGGAGGTCGCAAAGGCCTTGGTTTTTGACACTCCGCGTTCTACAATTGGACTTTTGCATCACGGGATCTTTCCCTTCCCAGGAGGGATTCCCGCAGGTCAAGTGACCAGGGGGGCGTTTGTCAATCAGTCAGTGTCATGAGATCGACTTTGGTTTCCCCGAACCGAGCTGAGCGGCAAACGACGGGTGTCGCCTCACCTCGCCTGGTATCCTGGCTGATCAGCAACGGCTTGGCGGTGGGAAACACGCAGACACGCAAGCCACGCAAGCCACAAAACGCTTAACTTGGAAACGGGCTTTACACGGCGGTACTTTCCACTCTCACAGGAGTTATTGGCATTCGGAAGAGAAACATGCGGGGCGTGTTTGTAGAATTCGAAAGTTGATTTTCGACCACGTAGAACCCCGAACTTGAGTTTTGTAAAAAGTTGGAGTGAGGGAGAATTGCGTTGCTCAAGATGGAAGGCAGGAGGAAGCTCTCCCATGCTTATTGTATTAAGGGTTAGGGTTGCCAGAAGGCCATTGGCGCTCCGATTTTCGACCTCAACTTCCAAAACTTGTCTTCGTCAACCTCGACATTTCCATCATCAAACGCACAAACGCTACGGAATCGATCATCATCGCGATACTATAAACAGCAAACTCATGTTTCTCATCGGAAATTGATAGCCTAGAATGGGTTCGGTCGCCGGGATTTGCATTGCAGCAACGGCAACATCAGCGCCGAGTCGCTTTCATCAATTCCACAACTCGCGAACAACGGGAACAATGTCACCTTTTCCGTTCTAGGCCCATCTCTCGGCGCCCAAGAATGGCATCTCACAGTCCCAAGTTCTCGACCCTTTAACCCAATCAGCGACCACGACCTCGGTCCTTCTCCAAGATGGAGGCCGAGTGGGCGTCAGCCTGACAGCCAATGAGGCTCAAAAGCAGGGATCCGAACTCGCACACCTTCTGCTCACCTTCCGCGCTAGCATGAGACGACAAGCGATACATCCATGACCAGAGGCTGGCGTTGGCTGGCGACTCATTGACCCCTCTCCATCAGGGCCGGCTCTCCATGCACCATTGTTGCGCCGTTAGAAAAGTTGTCTCATTGTCCTTCCTTTCTGGAACCACTCCAGGGGCCACGCCCCTCTTCGAGACCAGCCCATCTTTGCAGATCGAGCCTCTGGCCCACGGCTCTCTCACACTCGCTACCCCACGGCTTACCGCATTTGGACGTGCTTTTGAGGTTCCAGATGCAGAGTTGTGGTAGAGGGGGGGTGGGGACGAATCGAGCAAGGCCAGTAAGGTGATGATGGGGACTGCTAGTCACCCACCCAAGTGGACGGGTCGAGAAGGGAGGACACCCTCTCTGCGCGCTTGTTACGTTTCAAGTTGGGGCGATCGACGGCGTCTCTTAGCCGCAGCCGACTGCTTGGAGTCTGAGATCTGACAACGACATGCAGCAGTACGTTTCCGGTAAGGGGATGTTTACCCGAGTTGTTTGCATTCACTCCGTCTTGCGACCTGTCTCAAGGCCACTCCAGGACCACGAGGGGCATGGCAATCTCGCAGGCATGACTGATGGCTTCAACTCAATCTCCTGGGAACGAATCGAAGCCCTCTCCGCATGCGTGTTTCGCGCCGTCGGAACGGACTTGGAATTCTTCTCGAACGCTTATGGCAGCGTGCAGGAGCTCAAACAGAGCCATCCACGACAACCATCAACGTATGGCTTGGGATGCCCAAGGCCACTGCAAGCTAGGGCGTATGGGCGGCTCGAGGCGAGTCCGGTGCAGGCCTAGTCCCCACCACCAAGCAACTTGCCTGTGAAAACGGCCTGTGCAATGTCAACTACGCATGATATTGGGGGTCACCTATATCAAACGGTGGCGCTCCGCAGCTCCGGTCTCGCCATTATCTCTGACGACCGGCCGCTCCCGGAGACCATCCGGGCAGAAGAATGGATTAAGCTGCACGAGTAGTACGCGGGCCAATCTATCCATATCACAATTCACACGCAGACTACAAGACGGGGAACTGGAGGCTGCATACGCGCTCAACCTCCTTCGTCGGGTTCGAGATGGCATCACCTCGCAAACAGAACGGGTCTCCCAGTGAATGGGCCGGCACTTCGCGTAGAAGCAATTCGCTTGCGGATTCCGGGTAAACGAGTGGAGGACATGCTGGGCGGTGGCGGCATTTCCATGGAGAGGAGAAAATGACTCCTCTTTCGCGGCGCAGGAGCTCCTCTTGCAACAGTCCTGTTGGTCCTTGTATGCACTCCACGATTCGCTCCTCGGTCGTCTGGACGCGTCATACGCCTCCTACTTGTCTTGAAGCGAGTCACGATAAGGCATGCTCGAGGCATGCTCCCACGATTCGTTTCGGTTCCGTCGAGGATGCAACTTAATTTGACCCCTTTCAAGCCCCAACGCGCCAGTGGGAAGCCGGCAGCAAACCTGGAAGTTGGCCATCGCAAACTCCCGACGCTTTGCTGATCGGGGCGCCGGCGGGGCGAGTTCAGGCGGGGTTGGCTGCCTGTCTTGGCAGAGCGGTACGTACTGGATGGTTACCAAGACGGGATCGGTGGCGCTGCACTGACCACCTGCATCTTTCAGCTCCGGTCGCATGCCACTGACGGCCCAGCCCATTCGTTCGGTGGGTGGCCCGTCGGGTTTTGTCACTGAGCATTGCGCACCGCGTCTGCAAGTCGCTGCACAGCCTCCAAAAGGTTCCAGATACACGACCCTGCCTTGCACAACTCACCTCGATGTTGGCGGCGACATGCGACGCGCAGTCAAGGGGGGAGTCCGTCGGTGATTATGATCGAAGCACGGTTGGGGCCGAACGTACAACGTACCCCTTACCCAGAGGGGGACCAGAAACCATGACAGGGAACGAAACATGGATTCCCGTTTGCCATTGGCTATTCTCCCGAGGGAAAGGACAAGCCGGGGTCGAAAGAGGGCTGCTGACATGGGAATCTCCCGAGCTGCGGCAGGCGCACGCGGATGCAGACGCACCAGACTGGCGCCAGACCGCGGAAACCCGAGCTGTCCAGGCTTTCCATGGCAAGGCGGGCTCATCCAATGTAAAATTTCACGTTTGGCGAGATTTCATGCACCAGTGGTTGCTCCTGTCTCACGCCTCCTCCGAGGAATCGGCTTCCCCTTTCTGCAGGCCAAGAGCAAAGAGGAAAGAGCGCTGCAGGCACTGTCGAGGCACTGCAAGCGGGTCCCTCCTTCCCGCCTCAGCACCTGTATGGCCATCCGCCCACCGAGCGGACCCTCAGCAAGTCGTCGTACCATCGACCTGCAGGACCCTCTTCAAGAGAGGAGCAGCAGCAGGAAGGTCCGGTACACACCCTGCCCTGTCTTGGGGACGCCAGTAACTCCCGAGTTCGGGACTGCGAGCCGTGTTACTATAACACCCCACCACCCTCGCACTTTCTCTAATAATACGAGCTTCTCACCCTCCCCCTCCTCTCCTTCCCTTCCTCACGAGGCTCCTCGCCCAGCCCATTCTCTTCTTCCCATTTGCGGTTGCTGGCGTTGCACGCTAATTCTCCCATCTTGGGACTACCCGGCTTCCGTCACCTTACTCACCTTGGTTCTTATTTACTATTCGTCTTCCGGCCCGTTGCTACTTCTTCCCCAAGCGCTCCGCCGCCCTCTCTTCCTTGTCGACCCGGTCACCTGTTGCCTAGATTGTTAGGTTTTCCTCTTTGTGCTCTGCACCTCTGCTCCACAGATCCGTCATCATGCCACCTCAGCTGTTACCGGCCTCGGCCGCCGCCTTTGCGCCTCGCGCCTCCTCGGTGAACGTCGTGCTTGGCTCCAAGGTCGAGCCGTGGTTGACACAGACTCTTAAGCGCATCAACAAGATCAAGCGTCCGCTCAACAGCGTACCGCAACACCAAAGATGCCTCACCGAGACACTGTCGTCCCCAAACGCCATCTGGAACCTGGCCTCCCTGCTGCTACCCAAGACACCCGAGGCGGAGCTGAGGAGGGACCCCAACCCGTTGATCGAGGCCGTCCTCAACTACGAGCTCACCCACCTTGAGGCTTACATCGTGCACGTCGACATGGTGCTGAGGAACGAGGTTGCTTACAAGCTGACGCCCGAGACGATCGAGTCGCTCATCGACTACCACAAGGACATCCACTGCGTCGACGCCAAGGCCAACACCTACGACTGGTCCGAGAAGGAGCAGCAGTGCAAGAAGCTTCACGAGAATTTCGTCCAGGCCATCAACAAGTTTGTCTACAGGACCCACGTGTCGGCACTCGAGGGACTGGAGGAGGATGGTGCCGGGGAACTGCTCGGAGGGAGGAGTGAGGAAGTCAAGAACAACATCATGGGTCTGTTCAAGCCGTTGCTGCCGCCGCCGCCGAGGATCGTCGACGTCGTCCGCCAGCCGCCGCTCCTGCCCAGCTCGCCTGCCGGCGCGGCTATCTGGTCCCAGCCTTCGCCACCGGCCACGATGCCCGCCCCGGTCGAATCCTGGAAAATCCTGCCGTCAAGCCCAGGCGTAACGTCGACTTCGGCCGATTCAACGGGATCGATCTGGGTACCCATGGGAATGAGCGAGGTGCAACTGCCATCGCCCCCGCCAGCCTTCAGCCAACCATACTCAACTACTGGCATGTACTACAGCTCGCCCCTCGTGACCGCGCCCATCCCGCAGCTCCCGCTCCCCAGCATGCTTGCGCCTCAGTGCGGCATCACCGTGGGCTACAACTCATTCGGCGGCTGGGATACGCGCTATCAAGAGTACGCGGCGACCATGTGACAATCACCGCCCCCGGTCTACGAAACAAGCTACCCGGCCGTGACAACATCACCCTGAGCGCCCCAGCAAAAGCGCGGCCGGGCGCAACGACACCCGTGGGCCGCCGGGCTGGCAGACAGCGCGATGGTGGCGATCCCCCGTCACACTCACCTCAATCAGAGGCATATCGGCATTTCCTCAATTTGCATGGGCTGGAGCGATCCAAAACACTCGCATACCCCTCTCGAAGCATCTCCGGTCGGTTTCCTTACATGGCAAAGGGTTAGCGAGCGAGCGAGCGTCATTTTTCCTCTTTTTCGTTTTTTCTTTTTCCTTTGATTTTGGGATACCACTGCTCCTACCGCAAGCTCGGTCACAGGCTTTTCTTTTTTTCTTCCCAACCTCATCATGGCCGGATCCTGGGGCGGATATTTGATTGCATTTACAGCACGGAAGGTCGAGATACAGGCAGTTTTGGTTTTTGGCTTAAGAAAGAGATGCAGCAATGCAACCCCAACCTCGGCGGAGACCGAGACAAGAGACACCCCCTTCTGTTTTTCCCTTTTACCCCTTTTCTTGGTTGGACCCCTTTGGGAACAAGGCTCAGGCGGCTGGTTATAATTATACCCCTTGCGTGTGTTTCTCGGAGACACATGGCGTCCACTCTTTTCATTTCCCTACCACCTTGTTTTTCGTCTTACGGATAATGTTTACGGCCTTCACGACGGATACAACCTCGACCTAATTGCGACGAATCTCGGACGAAGCGGGCCTCCTCCAGCTCGATGCTGGACGACACTCGACGAATCGGACACGAAACGCAGATTGGGCGCTGGGATAATTCGCGACGAAGAGATGCGGCACGACTCGCCGGGACTGGGTCTCGATGATGCGATGAACGGATACTCTTTGGAGGAAGGCCGGTACGAAACATACATCTAGCCCCGTGGACGCATAGCTGGGATATCGCCATCGGGGCAGGCACTAGTTGTCGACAAGAACAAGGTGCTGCTTCCGCTGGGCCCCGGCTCGGAGGCAGAGGGGAGTTGGAGCAGGATGGGGGACAGCCGCCGGGTGTCGCAGGCAACTGGTTGCCTGTTTGCTCATCCGCCCGCATGGATTCTGTCGACAATCACTTTTCTCCCCGGCAGTCGACGTCGACCACTCGGGGACTCGGAACGAGATTACTGCTGCGACAAGGCGCAACTCGAACACACAACACTCGACTTTACCTGCTAGACGGGATCGGATCGGGTACGATGTGGTTTGGGAATCTGTGTTACTTGCTTCGCAGGTCAGGTCAAGGTTTTCCGGGTATCTCGAATGGCTGGCGCCGATTTTGCTTTGGGGAGGAAATGTGGTCGGCAACTTCAGGCTGGGTTGGATGGGCGAATGCGGATCATCTCACCGCGTGCCGAGCTCCATCCCGTCGTTTCAGACGCAACCTGCTCACGCAGGGGGCCGTGTGATAACGGTGGGATGCAAGCAAGGCGAAGCCGGTTGGACCTGCGACAGTGGCTTGTTCTTGGGGGGTTCCAGGAGCAGCGCTCCGTTTCCTGCCAGAGACATGCTTACATCGTACGGTCCAGCCGGCATGAGATGCTGGAAAGTATTCCGCCCTGGATGGCGGCTGGATTACTTACTACATGCAAACACGCTCATCTCGTCGTTTGTTGAGTATGGCTAGGTAGTTTGACTTACTCTACTCTACTCTCAAGCATATAGTACCTAATGCAACAAGAAAAAAAAACGAGTCGTGTGGTTTTATGTCGGGACGTGTGTTGTGCATGTGACTGGTACTTCGCCGGGTTAGGGGTTGACGACTGAAGTTTCGGAAGGGTTGCAGCGGCGCGAATTTAGCCGCGGTGTAACTCTATCGTGGGCTTGCGGGAGAGGGAGCGGGACGAAGGATGCAACGTTTCTTCGTTTCCTCCTTTTGTGGCACCGTGATATGAAAACTCTGCTGTAGTACCGCAGTTACAAAGTAGAATATCTCCGAAGGAGACGTCCATAATGCTTGACTTGTGAAATTCCTACAGCACTGCCCACACCGGGACTTTAGAGTAGTACCGCCGAGTAGATACAGTACCTATATGCTACGCATATACCTCCCTAATTAGTTCGATACCATAATCAGGTAATTACTCACTCCTCTACGAAGTAGCAAGAGAGAACAACTCGGTCCCAATGCCAGGCAGAAGGCCCCCAAACTCCCGAGTGCTCTCGCAAGTACCAAGCAGAGCCAAGTCCCCTCCTTTCCGAAGTCACCTTTTTCCCTGCCTACGGAGTCTTGTCTCGGGCGACGCGAGCTGTCCATCTCACCTGGCCCGGCAGCCTGGGCCCTGGGCCCCGGACATCCCCCCCCACGGCGCGGCTGACTGTGCCGCAACATACCACAGTATGGGTAGTATCTGGGCCAGGCTGTTCCCTGTTTTTTTTTCTGTGTGTTCGCGAGATCGGCCTGTTCCGGCGCCCCGGGCTCACTCACGGTCCAGGCGGCCGGGTCGGGTCGCGGGTGTGGTCAGGGGGTTGGTTGGTGAGTGAGACTTGAGGGGTGTAATAAGGTCTGCCTATGTGGCGTGTATTTCATTGAGGACTTGGTTTTGCCGCATTTGGGTTGGTTTCCGGCTTACTGTGCTTGGATCATCACATGCTAATCAGTTTTATTGTCTCTGTCTTGTTTGTTTTGAATTAATTGGGCGGGTAAGATGAGCCCATTTGAGATGTTTGCCGGTTGCTTGCGCCTCGTCCCTACAGAAGGGGGTCAGTTGGTTGGCAAGAGATGAGGCATTGGCTGGGATACGGCAGTGCGGAAAGATGAGAGAAAACGGACTTGCGGCTGTTGCCTTGCAGCATGTCGGGGAGGAGGAAAAGGGGTAAGGCAGACTCATGTCGGTAGATACCCTAACCCTTAGGTCTCCCCTGACAACATCACGAACTTGATCGTCGACGTCTGGCTGTTTTTGAATTTGAAGAGATAGGACTAGTCTTTTGCGACACCTTCTACATCAAATGCTAACTCTCTCTGGTCAGTGCCAATGATGACATCTCATCATGTCAGCGGCTGTGTCACGGGCATTCCAGTACCTTGGACCCACGAGTGGCTTTTCTGATTTATATTGCCCATCACTCGCACTACAATCTATAAGCTCATAGCTAGACTAGTCAACGATACCCCATACAGCTCCTTCTACTCCCACGACCCGTCCGCAGTCCCACCTTCGACCCATTGACGGAACCCAGCCGTCAATGTAGCCGTGGACCATTAAGACCATGCGTCCCTCGAATGAATCAAGGCCAGCTTGCCCATGAGTCGCGCATTTCCCGCCCTTGCCACTCGCAACGCCAAACCTAGGACTGGGCAGCCGTATTCTCGGCCTTGGTGCCCGCCTTCTTAGCAGGGCCGGCGCCGTTAGCCGCCGCGGTGCCGTTCCCATCGGTTCTGTTCGCCGCCTTCTTCGTTGCGGCCCCCGTTCCGTTACCGGTCGCCGCCGTGCCGTTACCCTCGCCGTTGGCCGGCTTCTGGGCGCCGCCGTTCTCCGCCTTGGCTCCCGCCTTCTTGGGCCCGGCCGCGGTGGCGTTCGCAGGTGCCGCCGTGCCGTTGCCCTCGCCATTCGCCGGCTTCTGGGCACCGCCGTTCCCAGCCCCGGCCGCCGTCCGCTTGGCTGGGGTCGGAGCTCCGTTGGCATTCGCAGGTGCCGCCGTGCCATTATTACTCTCGCCGTTTGCCGCCTTCTGGGCGCCGCCGCCCTCGGTCCTGGCTGCCGCCCGCTTGGCCGGGGTCGTAGATGCGTTCGTATTCGCAGTTCCCGTGGTGACACTACCCTCGGCATTCCCCGTGGTTGCGGTGGCATTCCCCGTGGTTGCGGTGGCATTCCCCGTGGTTGCGGTGGCATTCCCCGTGGTTGCGGTGGCATTCCCCGTGGTTGCGGTGGCATTCCCCGTGGTTGCGGTGGCATTCCCAGCCCTGGCTGCCGGCCGCTTGGGTGCGGCTGCTCCGGATCCGTTCGCGGGTGTCGTCGTGCCACTGCCCTCGGCATTGGCCGCCGACCGCCTAGGTCCGGCTCCGGGTCCGTTCGCGGGCGTCGTCGTGCCACTGCCCTCGCCGTTCGCCGGCGCCCTCTGAGCGTTACCGTTCTCAGCATTGGCCACCGCCCGTCTATTCGCGGCCGCGGGTGCGTTTGCGTTTGCGGACGTGCCGGAGGATTCGCCGCCTCCGTTGGACGACCGGTCGCTTCCGCGCTCATCCCCGCTTCCGCCAGAGTGGTCCGGCGCCCCCCTCCAGCGGTGTACATCCCCATTCCCTGGAACTTGCAGGCGTCCTTGCTCGCGTTCTCGTGCCTCTCGGTCTGCTCGAGCTCGCGCGCCGGAGGCGGGGGCTCGTCGGCCGCCCCTGTTCGAGGGCGCAACTACCACAACGTTGGACCCGTCCCTCCGGCGCTCGACTGTTCCAGGCGCAGGTCTCTCGGCAAGGGTAAGGGGTACCCCGCCGCCGCGTCGCTGTTCCCGGGGACGTGTAAGCCTAAGATGTCTGATCACACCCTCCACGCGGCCTGGCGGGCGCCTTCCTGGGGGTTGGGAAGCCACAAAGGTGACGCCAGCCGGGCGTGGTTGAGTCTCACTCACCGGTGGTTGGGGGGGGGCTTGGGGCGGAGCCTGAGCGGCAGCGGCGGCGGCGTTCGGGTCGCCAAGGTACGGCTCCATGAACTCCTTGATATACGATCTCGAGACGCCTAGTGCTTTTGCATCGGCAATGGCATTTGCCATGCGTGGGATGTACTCGGCGCGAATGGTTCCGTCTTGTATGTGGTTCTTGCTGACGTAGACCAATGTAGGGAGCTTCACGTCCGGGACCGTCCCTCTGCCGGCCAGGGTGGTACCCCGGGGGTGTGAGTCGTGGTAAGCTTGGAGCCTGGCGGCAACTTCGGTAGACTTCTTGCGGGCGTAGGCATCATTGGGTGAGATTTGAACTTCCAACGTCACCCTGCTGTAAGCGCGGGACCTGACTCCTTCGTAGCGGTCCAGAGCTCTGACATCGGTGGTGTTCACCTCGAAAATCAGACCCCTCACGACATCCGCCCTGAGGTTGGTCTCGACGATGTTGGCCACGCCTCGTTCATTGATCTGCCAGCGGTAGCCACTCAACTTGCCCTTGCCCACGAATCTACTCGCGGGGCAACGCTCGGCCATCTGGGCGATATGGAGGTTGCTGCCATAGGTAAAGTACAGCGCATGCTCTTCTTCGTCGGGAGGAGGAGGGCGCGGCCTGCGCCTCACAGCACCTCCTGCGCCTTGACCTCCAGAGCTTGCCATGTTTGTTTGCCGTTGCGAGCCAACGACGAAGGAGAACAGGGGCGAGGATGGTACGGCTTGAGTTGTGTACCTAGGTTTGCGTATATTTGTGTGTTCTTATGAGTAGGTAGGCAATAGGGAATTCAAATTGGAATTCAAAATTGTTTGCGTGTGATGGAATCGACTGCTGCCTGTGCGGTTTACAAAGTCGATCAAAAAGTACCGGGATCGGGCTGACTACATGTAGTAGGGTGGCGCGGAACTTATACACCTTAAACCTACAGATGCACTATCGGAGTGCTTACTCGTCTTATCATACCTGATACCTTAATTACACTCTCTAATACCCTAGTTTGGCACTTGGCAGCATATCGGCCCTGGGTGAAGCCACCTAGGTAATCGTGGCCCGTCCGCGCAGCCTCGGATTAGGTAGCTGCGGCGCGGTCTCAAACGGCCCTCCGAACCCAGCCTCAGCTGACCCCGCATTCCAAGTCCGACTAAGCAAGTCGTTCCTCAATTCCACTGCGGTTTCGAATCACACACATGCATCTGAACAACCCAAGAACAAAACTCTGCTTCTTGTTGAAGACACAACAAGCGAATCCCTGCACCAGGCGTGGGTCGATCGGGCAGTTTATCAAACCACACTACAAAACCAAAAGCAGGAGCCAAGGAGGTCGCGCTCCCATAATCATCCTACCTATTAATTAATGCACCGGCTGCTGACTGGACAAGGTAGTCGCCCACTGGCTACACGCAATGGCGCACCCGTTAGTAGCTGCGCCGTGCTACACCTTCGCTGTCGACATCGAGGCTCGGGCGGAGCCGCACAAAATCAGGTCGCCGCTCCGCGAGAAGCATGCTCTGTACCACGGGAAACTGGCAGCCGCGCTCCGAAATAGGGGTCTGGAAGCGAACGCCGCAGATGACAGCAGCACGCGGCGTGCCGATGGCGACAACGGATGGTGGATCACGAGCAACGGCTCGCTTGGCGTTCCTCCCGATACAAGTATGAGTAAGCCCGGGTGGTGTGTGTCTCATGCCCACGTCTCTCACAGTCTGACTGACCAGCGCGACCACCCCCCCCCCCCCACCTAGTCCCTATCGAGGCCGTCTCGCCCGCCCTAGACACCCGGGCCGACTGGGGTGCCGAAATCGACACCTTCTGGTCGGCTCTGCGCGCCGTCTTCCGCATGCCGGAGCGGTCCGACCTGTGCGGCAGCCACGTGCACGTCGCCCGGAGCCGTGTCGAACGTTTCACCCTCAACCAGCTCAAGACCATCGCCTACGCCGTCGTAGTGTATGAGCCCTTGGTCACCGAGCTGCTCCTCCCCTCCCGCAGGGAGAGCACGTACTGCAAGCCCAACACCCAGTCCTCGGACTACCTCTACCGCGTGAGGGGGGATTCCAACGCCGTGGCCGAGCTCATCGGCAGCGCCCGGGACGAAGAGGAGCTGCGCAACATCATGCAGGGAAGCCGGAATGTTCTGTGGAACTTTGACGGCGTGCTCCTGCAGGGCTCGGGCGCGATCGAGTTCCGAGGCGGGCGGTCGCTGAGGGGCGAGCTCCGCACCAAGCGGTGGATGGCCTTCGCCGTGGCCTTTATTCACGCCATGCTCCAGCAGGTAGGTCCTTGCTTGCCACCATGTTTGGCCTTTTTGCTTTCCTTTTTTTAGCGAGGCTAACACTCTCACAAGAACGAGCTGTATGATTTCAGCCCCGATGGTCTCCGCTTCGACACTACGGAGATCCTGTACGCAGAAATAAGGATGGCGGCTGCCGAGATGGACATGCAACATCACCTGCCTGTGAACTATGAACGTTTCAACGAGACCATAACGGAGTAACATGGGCCAACGTCAGTACGATACCCAAGTCGAACCAGGCCGAGATCATACGAACTGCAATATTTTCTTCTATTTTACACATATAGAAATATATCTTTCACTCGCATCAACATGCTGGCGGTCTTGGATTAGAATGTCGGCGAAATAAGAAACCCCGGGCTGTTCCCGCCAGCGTAGGTAGGTATATTGATTTCATATGTTAGTATCCACCCTCCCACCTAGTAGTCGTCCGTAAAAGGGCGAGTAGCTACCAGTTCGTCACTCATAAAAACGATGGATGGTTAGCCGTGGACTGAAATCAAACACAACAAATCGCTGTACTCCACTTTCCTCTCGTCACATCTCGCCCTCCTCCTTGGCTTAGCTAGGTACTTGATGATATTCTCGGGAAAGTATCGAAGACACAGTCAAGAATAAAACAATTATTTTCTCACCTCGGGCTCTTTCCGCTATTAGTTAACCCTGATTTCGTCCGCTTTTCGACACTAGCAGCATCACTTGTCTCAACCCCTCGTTTTTCTTTTTGAGTTCACATCTGTGATCTGACCAATAACCTTATTCACCTTCCCGCCACGGGACTGCGAGATGGGTGATGCTCGATCTGCGATGTAACCTCGATCTTGCAAGTGGACAAGTAAGTTGACAAACCACATTCGTCCGTCTTTTACGTCTGCGTCGTTTTGTGGGGATATTATTTCGTTGCTGGTGCTCTCACTTTCACTTGTTTTTCTTTTCTTTTTCATTTCTTCTTTATTTCCGTTGGACCAAGTCTGCTCTGCTTACCCCCCGCCGTGTTGGTAGTCACCAACTGGAGCAACAGCGCCGCACATCTGCAGCAGAACTGGAGCCAACCGCCCGACTTTTGGCGGAGGTCTGCTGACGGGGCTTCCGTTCCTCAGCCCTAGCGTGGAACAGACCTCGGGGAGGAGAGGGGTTCCAGATTGGTTTTGTTTGTTGGTTACCCCCGTCCGACGACACTTCATACCACTTTTTAGATTTGTCCCCTTTACAAACCACAGGATTCACAATTCTCACCACTCCAACCCACCCCCGCCGCCCTAAACCTTGGTCCTTGGTGCTAACCTGTCAAGCTACACCCTACACCGCGGAGACCAAGACGCCAAAAACTTACCCATCACAAACCACAACCATCTCACACCCCCACTCCTCCACAGGAGCGAGCGGCATCACCAACCCCTTCACCCACCTTCCCCCCCTCCCCCGCCCCATCAAACAACAACCACCAACCCCCCCCCCCCCCTAAAACAAAATGTTCACCTCCCGCCACCACCACACCCCAGCCCCCCCGCCCGGCGGCCGCCTCTACTTCGCCTACGGCAGCAACCTCTGGCTGGAACAGATGGCCACCCGCTGCCCCTCCAGCTATTTCATCGGCCGCGCCGTGCTGCCCGACTACGCCTGGCAGATCAACCAGCGGGGCGTCGCCAACGTCGTCCCCTGCGCCGGCCGCTCCGTGCACGGCCTCGTCTACGAGCTCGGCGGCGCCGACGACGAGCGCCGCCTCGACCGCAGCGAGGGGGTGCGTACAGGTGCGTATGCCAAGGCGACGCTGCCGGTGGTTTTGTATGAGGCGGCGCCCGCGCTGCAGCTGCGCGTGCCGACGATGGTGCAGAATGGCGGGGCGGGCGCGACGGTGGCGGCGGCGAGGCGGAGGACGGCGATTTTGGGGGTCGAGCGTCCCAGTCGGTTGGCGGAGCAGCCGCCGCGGCTGCAGCCTGGGGTGTTGGTGTATTTGAGCGAGGCGTATGTGCAGCCGGGGGATCCGCGCGATGAGTATATTGATCGGATTAATAAGGGGGTGGCGGATGGGGTGACGCTGGGGGTGCCGGCGGAGTTTTTCCGGAATGCGGTGCGCGGGTATATTCCCGACAGGGCGCCGCCGGTGCCGCGGCGGTCGGGCTCGCGGAGTGGGAGGAGCAATGTCTCGACGACGACGACGACGACCAGGTCGCGCCGCGGGAGCCAGTCGAGCGGTCGGCCGAGGGCGAGTTCGGTGTCTTCGGGGCCGATTATTAGGGATGCGGACCCGGATGACATCGACTACCGTCGGCGGTCGTGGAATCCGAGCCCGGTCGAGTATCAGCGCTATACTACTGAGTCGAGAGGCAGGACCGCGGGCTCGGAGGATTATGAGTACTGGGCGCCGGCGAGCGGCTATGTCATGCGCTCTCGGAGCACGCGGCGGGGGTGATGGGTTCTGGCGGTTGCTGTTGCTGGTAGGAGTGGTGTTTCATGGCTGTTGGGCTTTTTAAATTGTTTCTTTTGTTATTTGGGGCTCGTGTGTATTGTTTTTTGGAGTTGGCATTAGGGTTTGATGACTTACGATATCGGGTAGATGAGCATAGAGGAAAACGGGTCATGACCTGCCTATATAGAGCTACGTATCAAGCTGTTGAAAGGCATCCCCTGCTTGAATGCCCATCTTGGTGCCTACCCCAGGTGTTTGGCTAACCATAACTGCTAATGGGGGCCACTAAGGAGTGGTCATTCGACTCGCAAAAGACTGGACTCACAGGCCAGCGACGACAATAATGACGGCACCCGGTAGCTAGCAAGTTCGAGGCAGAGCTAGGGAGACGACGTCCTTACTCCCATATGGGGGAGTTGATAACTTGATATGGCTACCAGCAACACTTTTCGAATGTACTATTTACACCCCCATCCACAGCAGCCTCAAATTCTCCAGAAACCGTGCCACCCCCGTCCCGAACACTTTCGAACACCTCGCCCACTCCCCATGAGCCAGTTCCAACACCTTTTCGCCGTCCGTCACAGCCACCGCTCAGGCCAATCCAGGACTCGGCAATCCCGGAGCGCCCCCCACGAGCTCCTTCGGCTTAGTAATCTCAAAGAACTCCGTCAGCCCCTTGACAACAACGTCAACGTTCATATTGATCTGCGGCATCTTCTCGTACGAGCCGTCCTTCATGATGGCGACCAGAGCCAGAAAGCGGTCCACCTCCCTCAGCATGATGGGCCGGCGGGCGTCGGCGAGCACCATACCGCTCTCGGCCCACTCGCAGGCGACCTGCTCGTCGAGGGGTTGGGCCCAAGGCTCGCCCTCGAGGCGCTCGCGCCACTGCTCGGAGCGCGGCCACGAGCCATAGACTTCCGTAAAGTCTATGATGACGTCGACGTAGTCGGAGCAGATCTCGTAGCTGGCCATATCCTCCGGGGTGTTGTCCGTGGCGATGTAGATCTTGGTGTTGACGTCGAACAGGTAGGCCTTCTCGAACCGGCAGGTGCGGCAGAGGTTGGTGAGCATGGCTTCGAGCTGCCCGAGGCGGGGGATCAGCTTCTGGATTACTTTGCTAAAGGCCTCGAAGATGCTGTGGTTGTAGATGGACGTCAGGTGGAAGTTGACGGGCGCGTTCTCGATGCCCTGGTCGGACAGCTCATCCTGGATGCGAATGGTCACGTCGCGCTGGATGTCGAGGCGGTAGTCGTCGCTCAGGCCGTCGACTTTGTGGATAAAAACCTCGATGTTAATATGGGGGTAGCTGCGGTGTAGGTGGAGGATGGTGGCGTTCAGACGGGCGACGGCCTCGAGATAGTCGTCTTGCGCGTCGATAACCCATATTAAGGCACCGATCTCGCCGAAGATAGCGTCCATGTCGAAAGTGAAGTTCGGGTTGTCAAAGATGTCGATCTGCCCGGGAAAGTCCCACACCTGGAACTCCATGAAGGAGCTGAGTATGTTAGCAACGGCACCGTCGTGGTTGAGCTTGAGGGCAAGCACACCTCAGACTATCCTTTTGGATCCGTGCCGTGGACTCGAGGAAAAGGGTCTCGCTAGGAGGAAGCTTGTGGAAGACCACGCTCGATATGGATGACTTGCCACTCCTAACACGGTGTAAGCCATGACCGCGGTGTGGGGGACCCTGGAGCACCACCCTCACCTTCTTTGACCCATCAACAACAGCCTCGGCTTCCCCTTGGTTTGGGGCGTTGTCGCGTCGGGCACCTTGGCGCCATCTTTCTTTTGTAATCGTTGGCGGTTCTGCTCGTAAACACGGTGGAGGTTTAGCGCTGCTGGACTAATATATCTGACGGGGCGAGGACGGGAGGGCCCGCTGCTGGTGTCAGCAGGGACTTCGCCGCCCTCCTCGGTAGAAGCAGAAGACATGATGGAGCAAAAAGGTCCTCCCGCGGTCGGCCGCCGCAACAGCCCTCTCCAGATGCTAGAGATATGCGGGAATGGCTCGACCTCGGTCTCTGGGCGGCTTTGTAGACCCGAAGCGCGTCAAGCTCATCGGTTCCGGGCTCCTTCGTTTGCAGCTCGGGAGGAATTCGCGCGTATTGGTCGCCCGGGTGTCTGAGCTGCCGGCACGGAAGGGAACCTGCGCAGGCTCAAGACAGAAACACGACGATAGACCTCGCGGGTCGGCGCAGGCGCTTGCTTGTGCGAGGGGAGAGGAGGATCTTGTCACGGCCGACCCAAGACACGCCGAGCACTTGGTTCACCGTCGTCGGGCCAGGTCACCAGCATCAACAGCGGCCATCTCCGTTTCTCCTCCGCATGCTCCTCCTTCACTTGCTCATCCGACCAGTCGGAGACGAGTGGAACCGAGAGTTGGCAGGAGCAGAGACTTGCGGCAAGGGGGACGGCTATATAAAGAGAGAAACGAAAACCGAGACGGCGGCCCCCCGTCCTATCGTGGGACGGCGAATGGCAACGAGGAATTGGCAGCGGCTCAGCACGACCAACCAAGACCATCGTAAGTCAGGCGCGTCCACAAAAGCTTCGGGCGCTCAAGCCATCGTCCGCCCCGTTCTGCGATCCGTCGCATCACGAGTGTCGCTGCCTGGGGGCGACTGGCGTGACACTTGCCCAACCTGATGATACCTGGCCAGAGCGCCCGCGTGGGTTTTCGGTCGACCAGTGCGCCGGAACCTGGATATTGCGGCCCAACCCAGGGGTATGGGAATTTGGACCTCGGGCCGGTCATGTGTCCGATTCTTGGGAATGTGATGTTGCGCTTGCAGGGGGGATGGAGATGATTTGTGGTTTCTTGCGGCCAAAAGCAAAAGGCGGACGCAAGGGAAACAACAGGCAGAGATGTCGACTCCAATGCAAGCCCAATTCGTTCGCGAGTTGCTTACCTCCATTTTGTTTGTGGAACGGCGGCGACAGCCTGTCGGCGCAAGCTCTCAGACCACCCGAGCCAACGGTCTTAACGGCCGGAAGCGGGCTCTTCGGACCAGGAGAGACTGGCGTCAAACAAGCCCCTTGGTTCACTTCCAGGACCGGGCCAGGTGCTGTAAAGAGTGGCCGGGGACAGGGGCCCGAGATGGCTTGGAAAAGCCTGAAACCTGGCGAATGAGAGTGAGACTCTATTGTGAGCGATGGAAGAATCCGCCGACCGAGAAGTTGAAATGAGATGGGGGAAACAACCAGGCAGCGAGATACCGCGGTTGAGAGACTGGGATTAAACTTACCACCGGATCGTGAACGGAAAGAGCTACCCCACGAGCAAGTCAAAACTAAATGGAGATAGGAAGGAGGATAGAGCACAACGTTTTGTCTTTGCAGGATGGTTGATGCCTCCCCCGGCTCTCTCCGTAGGCAAGCAGATGGTGATAATACGGCGTGTTAAGGCTCAGTTAGGTAGTCGTTGAGAGCGAGTGGTACCGAGCGTGTCACCCGCAAATGAAAGAGATCCCCGTGCACCTCGACCCATATATCATCGTCGGCGTCGTCGAATCTATTTATTGTGCTTGTTGAGGTACGCAATTTGGGTTTTATATCAATTGAAGTAAACGGCAAGTAGTCATGCGAGGAGTTGCAGCGTGCGTGGAGTGCAGTGCAATTGGGTGCAGCTGGAGGGCAGTTGTCTCGGGGTAAAGTTAAGACGGGTCATGGGGGGAAGGTCCAGGTGAGCCTCACCGAAGCGGGGTCCTCACAGCAGCTGGGCCGCCTACCCAATTACCTAAACACGCAGCAAGGGGAAGGCATGAAGGCCAACGGTAATTTCTTGGCATTCTGGTGATCGCCTTCCTTTCTGGTATGTCGTCAACTTTTTCTGTCGTCCGCCCATCAACCCATCAACACCAAAACTACACATGATGTGAATGAGATGCGGGATAGTTATTTTACGCCTCGTCCGCAATCGCCGGTAGAGACGGGTCATATGAAGACTTGCTGCTGGACCGGCTGAAAATGGTAGCCACGAAGCTCTTCTTCCTCTGCGCTTTTCTCTGAGGTGAGTGAGCACCGCTTGCTTCGCTTTCCGCCATCTGGGGGTATGCGCCCGGCATAGGCGGTAGATCTTCGTCACCGCTTCCGGGAGGCGTCAATTCCGGTGTGGGTAACCTGGCGGCGGTTGATAGAGGTCGAAGGGCGGCAATGGACTGCTCGGTACCATCTCGTTAGTTTCTGGGTTGTGCCGAACAAGAAACGGGAAGTAGTATTCGTAATTCAGACCTTCACCTTAACGTTAACGCTCAACATCTTCTTCTCCTTCCTACCACTGGCAATCTTCTCCACCTTGTTCGGTACCCCATTCGCTTCCACCACCGCCGCGGGAGAACCACCCACCACATCACCACCCCTCTCCAACTCCTCCACCTCCCCCGCCACCGTCCGTCCATCACACACCAAACACTCCTCCGGCACGGGCACGAAGCGCAGCAGGCCGCGGCCGGGCCGCACCCCCAGGGTATCCTCCATGTGCCGCTGGATCAGCGCGGCGTTGCGGCGGTTGGTGGTGGGCTGCAGCTGGGAGGGCAGCGCGGAGACCGACATGACGTAGGCCGGGTCGAAGGAGCCGCCCCAGAACATGCAGGCGCCGTGCCGCAGGGTGACCACGATGGATGACACCGGCCGCTGGTACCGCGTCGAGAGGTGGTAGGCCAGCTCGCTGATGAAGGTGAATTCGTCGCGGACCTGTTTGTTGGGGGTGGGGTGTGTGAGTGCTCGGTATGCTGTGGGATGTGGGGATGGGGGGTTAAGGGGGGGTGGTAGGTGGAGGGGGACAAACGTACGATCACGTTGGTCTTGACCTCGGCCGTGACGATGGCGTCGCCGTGGACTCGCTCCCTGGCTAGGCTGGGTGGGTTGTCCAAGAAGGCGTCTTCAAAGAAGTTCCGCTTGCTCTTCTGTCTTGTGAGGTCTGTTTTGGACTGTGCTTTGCTAGCGCTGCGGGCAACGTCGCCTGGCGGCGCCCGGTCGATGGGCCGCATGAGATGGGTCCCCTCAATAAGGGGTGCAGGTGACTGAGGTCCTGGTATTTTGACCTTTGGCTCCGAAACCGTAAGCTGTTTTAGGGGCTTCGGAGCAGGCGCGCTCGTTTTGGGGTACGGTGTCCGACTCATCGTGACTTGGTGTCGAATGCTATTGTGGTAAACTCTTCGTTGGTGGTGGTGTCGGCAAACTGTCCGCTCTTGGACGGGCTATGGCCCCTTTGGCGGTGGGACGCGGAAGGTATATGGCGCTTTGCGGTGGGTGTTAGTTTCAATTGGGAGAACTCCCTCCTTTTCAAGGGGGAGTTTGTGTCTTCTTGGGAGGGAACCCGGGCATAACAGAGATCAGAGAGACGGGAACGGGAGCAAGAGAGCGGCGGAGTGGTCACCATGCTTCCAGGAGGAGACACCCATTCGTCCGTGCCTAGCGAGGAGGAGGTATGTGATAAGGTGGGTGCCGTGGATGGTGGCTTGTTGCACACGGGTACCGGCATCCCTCACCCAGATTTGAGTGACGCATCATCTATCGTTCAACGCTATTAGGTGAGCTATCAGAAACGACAGGCACACCGTCGGGTCCCGGCAGCATGTCAACCACGGGATCAACTCAACAGTGTCGAATGGAGTGCTCGCGGTGAATCAAGGAAAAGATGCTCAGATTTCGGCCTTGCGTTCTCTGTCGGCCATCCAGAGCGGGCTGCCGTGGTCGTTTACGAGCAGATTAGCCCGCATGCATACGCTGCAGATTTGCCGGTGATAGGTCTAAGGATACCGTTCGGTATCATTGGGGGTCCCGCTGATACCCGAGAACCCGTGTTGAGCTCATCGACGAGATAAGCGGCAGGCACCGTAGAGAGAGAAACCACGGCTAGTAACTGTACCTTTTGGAGAGGACTGGTCGAAGTGTGGTGCCGGAATGATATACCAAACTGCAGGAAGCCGACGAGGGTGCATGCAGTTTGCCCATCCGAGTTTCACGCAAGTATCACCCCCCGTGAGCCGTTTGCTTCCGAGGTGACGAGACTGGGGTGGTGGGCAAGGACATGGAACAAGTTTGGTTCATATCTCGGACATGCTGATATACCATGTCGTGTGTTAAAAGGGACGGGCCTTATGGGTAACACAAGTAGGAAACTCGTCCAAGTCTCACACAGCGGGAGCCTCTGATAAAGGGATGCAATTGCTGTCATATCACACGATGAAAGATTATAAATACATAAAACATCCGGCCATGCTTCCATTTCCCGGGCCAGAAACCGTAAAATAATGTAAAAAAACCGGGCCACCCGAACCCATAAACCTTCCTCCCATTTCCGATGCCACAGGCAATTCCGGATCAGCCCTTGGCCAGCTTCCCACTCCATGTCCCAGACTTAATTCAGCACAGGGGTCTTCCTCGCCCCCAGGTACCGATCCGTGTACCTCTCGACCTTGAGCTGGAACGCCGCCAGGGCCAGGGCGGCCACCTCGACGGGGATCAGCAGGATGGCCAGGTACAGCCCCGCCTGGCCCTGCTGGCAGAGGGTGTCCCAGTGCGGCGCCTGCGACATGGGGATGTCCTTCCAGCGGCACGTCCACGAGACGAAGGTGTCGGCCACCTCGGAGGCGTTGACGGCGTAGTAGAAGATGACGGCGATGAGGGCGCCCGTGAGGCCGAGCATGGGCGCGATGAGGGTCGCCGTGGTGTGCAGCGCCGATTTGGCGCGGAGCTGCAAGGAAGCGGCATGTTAGTCTGGGGTTGTGTTGGCACAGATATAGGAGGGGTGAGAAACGTACAGCGCCCACGTGGCTGAAGCAGACCGCGATGAGGTTGGCGATCAAGACGATGACGCTGCCGATGACAAGCGAGATGGTCGGGCGGAGGTTGAAGTGATCCGGCCAGAGGGGCAGCATGAACTCGTGAGCGACATGGGTGCTCTCATACACACGCAGCGTGTTGCCCGCGATGCCGAGGACCGTCAGGCCCATCAGAAGCGCCAGCACCGTGACGCCCGCGCGGGCACTGTCAACCATGCTGACGGTACGCATTTTGGACTGGAGGTGGAGGTCTTGGGATTCGGCCTCGAAGGAGGATGCCGACCCCTGGGAACGGTTGCTCTTCTCCATCTTTTTATACTGGCTTTTTCGGTATTGACAACGAGCACTGCTCAAGCAAGGAGAAAGGGGGTATCAAGGCTCGAGACGAAGACGAGAAGTGGTGCAACCCGAAACGGTCAGAAGAAGACCAACAGAACAGAACAGAACCCGTAGAGAAGAATAGGAGAAGGGAAATAGAACAGACAACGAAAGCCACTGACAGGAACAGGAACGCAGGGACCCGACGGGCAGGTCTCACGATACTAATACCCCGTCCACTCACCCAACCTCACCCAGTCCGATCATCCCCCGACTAGTAAGTAGCACTTTGCTGCACATAGTTAGCACCACCAAATAAGAGAAGGCCCCAAGACAAGGCGGGCGGTTAACTCTCCCCAGGCCCATGCGGGATCATGTCGTCAACAGAAACGGCTGCTGCATCTCATCGCGCTACTGCCACCCACCGTCACGGCCCTCGGGCCAGTGCCGTGCTGTGCCTGGCCATCCCAAGCCCGGAAATAGACCCGCATCTTGTGCCCCGTCACCCACAGCAAAGCTCAAGCCGGCGGGCGCCAAATAGAAAGAGGGTGGCACGGTGGCACGGTGGCAGCGGGGGGAGCGGGCCATTCTGGAAAGCGGAAGACCAGAGACAGAAAGGCCCCATCACGACCCAGTCAGCCAACCAAGTGAGGCGAGCCCCCAGGTGCCCAGCCAGATCTCAGGGACGAGTGCAGATGTGTGCCGGGCCCGAAGCGCCAGTGAGGCGCGCCGAGATTGGCTGAACCACCAACACCCTCCGCGGCCCCGCCATTGGCTCGTTGGTGTGCAGTTAAGCGCCCGGCGTGGTGGAATTCCGCGTGGTCGGCGGCCGCGAGAAGCGGCCGGCCGTGTCGATGGGCCTAATTTAGTGATCGAGATTGATTGATGATGGATTTTGAAGTCTTCGCTTCGAGAGAGATACTTTTGGTGTATGCACGGGCAATATCGAGGTGCATTCATTTCTCATCGATGCATCGCGGCGGCAATGAGATCGAAGTGCGCTTTTCCTGGAACGGGAGAGCGCTCTTCCGATGAACCGTTACCTTGGATGGCCGTGGCCATGTCTGTTACAGTTGGATTGGATGTCGACGGACCTAATCTCAGATTTGACTAGTTAAAGGTCAAAAATGGAAAACGACAAAGTGCGAGAAATCCGGGAAAGTTGACATTGAGCTCGAAGCAACAACAACCCTAACCCCGGACAAACGATCGATCAAAGGCAAATCTTGCGTCTATTCTAGATGTCAAGTCTATTCCGTACTATATTTCTATAATCATTTTCCATGCCATGATGGGTATCAACAAAAGACACCAGATCCTCCTACGCCAGTACCAAAAAAGACACCCGATCCCGGCCCAGTCCCACACCTCATCACACCATCACCCTAACACCCCAACCCTCTCCATCCCAACACCCCAGACCATCCCCTCCGTACCCAGGTAGTTACACCTTCCTCCCCAACCCAATCCCCTTCCCCCGTCCCCTAACCAACGCAGCCAACCCCCTCCCCACCCCGGCCAAATCCCCCAACATCGTAATATGCCCACGATCCGTACACACCCGGCCCCCACGCACAACCTCATAGCCAGCCGGCAACATGGCCTCCCTCGCCAGCACAACCCCATCCCCACTCGCAAACAGCAGATCCTCATACGCATCGGCGCAGGCGATCCCCTCGCGGCTCGCCACGCCCGCCGCGTAGGTGGTCGGGATGTCCTTGGCGTAGATGACGGCCAGCGGCGGGTAGGCGTTGGCCTCCTGGCGGGCGGGGACGTGCGCGAGCTCGGCGCGGAACTGTTTGGTCTCGGCCAGCGTGCGCGTCAGGTAGGCGATGTTGCGCGCGCGGACGGCGGATGCGGGCCGGGTCTTGGAGGTGGATGGTGCTGTGTCGGGGGAGGAGTCGGATGAGTCCGCGGCGGCAGCGGCGGCGGCGGTGGTGGTGGTGGTGGTGGTGGTGGTGGTGGCGGAGGAGCTGTTGAGTTGGGGGGCGAGGGTCCGGTCTTTGAAGACGAGGTCCTTGATCTCTGACCCGGAATTGTTCTTCTTGCTTTGGGTGCCGCTTCGGCTGCGGAGGGGAAGGCTTGGGAGGGAGTCGGACAGGCTGAGGAGGGAGCCGAAAGTGCTGCTGCGTGAGAGGGCGGGGAGTGCGGGCTCCGAGACGGAGGGGCAGATGCGGTATTTGATCCAGTCTTCGACGTTGTAGAAGTCGATGTTGTATGGTTCCTTGGTGACCTTGTCGACAAAGGCGAAGCCGTCTTCCGGGAGAAAGACGAATGTTGTTCGTAGCGAGAAGTGGACTTGCGCCGTTAGGATCTTCTCATTCAACAAGACAGCATCGCCGTTGCGGAGTGGCCCGAGAATGTTGATGCACCGCTGCGGCACGCCGGCGTACAAGACGCCCGAGAAGAGCTCTGGGCGTTGATTCACCGCATGCCGTGTAATGACTCCGCCGAGACTGTGCGCAATAACAAGGGCGCCGCGTTGTTCCTTCGGGACACCCGGTTGGTTAGAAGGTAGCTTCTCGAGAAACTCGACTAGCTTTCGCGACAGCAAATGGGGGCTGAGCCTCCAGTCATAGCCGTAGTCGTGCACCCTGAGCTTGCCGGTGCGAGCGTTCTCACACTCCCTCAATTTCTTGAAAAGCCGCTTCGAGATGTCAACGGGGCCAACGCTTTTGAGCATTCCGTCGGCAATGATGCTCTTCTCCATGTTCTCTTCGTCCTCAGGATCCAGTCCAACTTCCAGGTTAACCTTTCGGACTCCAAGTTGAACCTTGACCGGCACCCACAATCGCCTATGAGGAGCCTTGGCCGACCGCAAAACAGAGCCCCTGTACCCGCCCATCACCACAATGTCTCCGGTCAATGACTCCAGCACCGCGTCCAGAGGGTCTAGGTTCGCACGTTGGCCCTGCTGCATGGAACCCGACGGGTGGACGCCTGGCGTGGGATCAGTTGCCGACTTCTTCAGCGGCGTGTTAAGCAAACCTGGCCTGGTCAGTCCATGTAACCATGGAGGTGCACATACAACGGACAACCTACTCGGCATCTGAGGTAACTTGAACGAGGGACCATCGAAGCTGTCCTTGATGGCCTTGATTCGCACATTCACTTGCTCGCGAACATGAGCAAACCGTTCATCGTCCCCGAGTGAAGACACGCGGGATAGTGTGTGGTAGAGAAGAGAGTCGTCCGAAGTTGTGTGTCGTAGGGTTCGAGGTCTTGCAGAATCCGGTCGGACCGGGAAAGGAGTGAGAGGTGATAAAAGTTCTGTCGATGTTTGAGGCTGCGATGCGTGTGAATCCTTCTGCGGCGAACTCGCGCTAGACGAGAAGAAGGTCGGCGTCGGGATGTTGGGAATGAGGCCAGAGGGGATCGAGATGGATGGCAAGGCCTTTGATAGCCTTTTCAGAGCACTCTCTCCGGCTGATTGTGAGCGATGCTGTCTTGATTGTGTTTGAAATGCCGCGGCCATGGATGATCGAAACCGGCCGGTTTCGGAAACCATGAACTGCTTCGGCCCAGCTTGCCACGGCGCCGGAAGTACCAGCGGCGACCGGCCTTCAGGTGGGTTATCGGACTCCTCGGACACGCCGCCGGGCACTGGCACCGTCCGCCCGTCTTGACTCGGCTCGTCACTCTCCAGCATCTCAAAGAGTCCCGCAGACCGGCGTTCGAAAGCCGCGACTTTATCAGCCGTTGGAGTCTTCGGCGAAGTGAGAAGGGTTGCTAGAGGGCTGATGGCCGGCTGGAGGAACGACTGGGCGTCGTCTTGGTCAACATCCAGTTCATCTTCCTCCGAAGCATCCAATTGCGGTGAATCCCCCTCTTCTTCCGGAGGCGCCGGATACAGCGACGGCGGCATGACGGCGACCGAGGGCGAGTCTGCCCTACCCTCCATTATGTAAGATGTCGTTGAAGAAAACATCGCCAACGTGGGGGCGGTATGAAATGCCTACGACAGGCCAAAAGAAAACGATGCAATACGAAGGACGGCAGGCTTAAATTTGAGCAGATAAGATGAAGCCGAGGTTGTTGAGAGGGTCGGGGTTTAAATTCAGATGCCTGTCTGTCTCTCAACCTTGTTGTTGTTCACCCGCCCCATGCAAGGTCCTCCGCGCAAACATGGACGATCAAAACGCAACGAGAAGGATTTCGTGGGGAAAAATCAGATGGTTCCCCATGCGGGCATTTAAAGCTGCTGCAGTCAGCTGAGGCTGAAAATGGCTGGGTTTGGTAGGATGGGTAATGGCCCATTATGGGTAACAGGTCGGGTCGCTCGGAGGCTCAGTCGCCCCTGCAGGGCCGTTTCTTTTGTCCGCGGTTGGAACAGTTGGTAGGGATGGGGGTTAAAAAAGTACCCCATCGCGGCGGTGCCATCCCAATGAGGGTTGGCCCCCAATCTCAATTGGATATCGTGTCTGTACCTGATTTCGATGCCTAACATTAGTGTCATTCGTGTCATCCCATCTGTCAGCGTGGCACACACACGTTCATTTCGGCCAATTGCGGGCTCGGCGGGTTCTTGTTGAGATTGTTCCAGTTGTTCGACTTGTTGATTGTATTTGACGTCATCTCTAACTCGTCGTTCCAGATCCACTTTGGCATCGAGGGAAAAGCTTGTGACAGCGCATCGGAGAAATGCCATTGGGGGCTTGGTTCAGGATGGTTCCACACGTTTCCGGCCGCCCCGCCTCCAAACCGCGCCTCTCGGTCTTGTCGGACCCACGTATCGGTACATCTTTCTCGGCCAACCTGGTAACAGGTGCCGCCCGAAAAAAAGGCTTGTTCTGCGGCCATAAGACGGCTTGGCCAGGTTTGAGGCCGGGCCGTCGTCTTAGATACGCGCAGACGGTTGGCCGCCAGGGTTGGGCAGGATGGAAAAGCCGCCCTCGATCTCCTTGATCTTATCTACCGATCTGTTCCATCCCGGCTCTGCTGCCAGACGCTCGGCGTAGGCGTGGAGTTTCGGGAATGTCTCCTTGAACGAGCCCTTTTCCCACTTGCCGATGCCATCAAACGCGCCATCCTTTCCGACAATGAGCGGGTAGGAGAGCATGATGTCGGCACCAGTAATGTTACGACCACACATGTAATCGCCGCCGCCAGGTGATGTCTCCAGGAACTGCTCCATCATCCCGAAGTGACGCTTCATGTTTGGCAGGACGATCATGGCGATCAACTGGTTTGCGATGAGTGTCGTAAGAGGCCGGACGAAGAACGGGACGTTGTTTCCTTTGAGCCCTGCCACCAGTTTGTCAGCGTGATCCAGGTATCCACGGCTGCATTTGTGGCGGTTATCATACCACTAAGGATAAAGTGCAGAACCATAGTGAACATGAAGCTGCCCTCGATGTAGTACAGCAGGTACTGGTACCGCATCCATTCATCTGTCTCACCGCCGACCTTGCCCTCCTTGCCGTCTTTCCAGCGCTGTGGCACAAGAGCCTTGCCCTTGGGAAAGTGGTCGCATAGGTATTGCGTGATGAACGCACTCTCTGCGAGAACGATAGGCTCAGGGACATCCGGTGCCGTGACAGTGATCACAGGCGACTTGCCCAGTGGGTGAATTTTCTTGAGCTCGGGCGGCGCCAGCATGGTCTTTTGGCGATGGTAAATCTCGAGCTCGTACGGGATCCCCAGCTCTTCGAGCAGGAAGAGAGTGCTCTGAGCCCGGGAGCCATCGAGCCTTGCGCGGTGTCAGTAGCATTGGACGGGGAGAAGTGGGCTTGGGATTTTACCAATGTAGCTTGACTTTCACTTCATCCGCCATGATCGTGTATAAAAGGTGAATGAATCCTTTTGCTAAGAGGGAGATGGATACGAATTGGTGGTGTAGAAGAAGGGTGGAAGCTCCTTCAAATAAAATGTTGAGAGGAAGACGGAGGCAAGCTAAGAGGGAGGTAGGATGCCGAGGCACTGGGATCTAATGATGGTGCTCCCTCCTCCACTTGGAGAAGGCCGAGACTTGCTTCCTATCACACGTGGTGGGATTGGCGATGCTAGTCAACTCGCCGAGATCAACGCTCCTTCGGTCGATTTGCCGTCACAAAAACTGACAATCCGGCGATATCCTGGCCCGCGGACCAGATTTGCCGAGGATGAGTGCGAGTTGTGATCGGTCGCCAATGCAACGACAATGAACAAACAGCTGGAAAGGCGGAGACAAAAGAAGATACGATGGGTAAAACACTCGTTCCAAAATCGCAATTAAGCACATGTCACTGATTAATGTAAACCTCGATTTCACCAACAAAAGAGAGATGGAAGCCCAGTCCTGAACTGCGCAAATCATCTGCCGTCATCGTCTCTTGTCTGGAAAGCGCAACCTGGAAAGGGTTCTCACCATCTTGGAAGGCGTGGCGCACGTGATCCTGCACGCCCCACCATCCACCATGCTCTCGGCGCCAAGACCAATCAACCACCAGATGCGCTGCTGAGCTCCATGCGAGCAGTTATCGTCTAACCTCGAATCTCGAGCGAACCCCTCGATCGAATCCCACAACAGCCACTCCGTACTGCCAGGGACAGACCCTCGCACTCCAAGATGGCTGGTCTACCGCATAACAGTGCGCCTCCGAACAACCCCCCTGCCAATTAATTGGCTATGACTACCTCAGCTAACCTGTATCCGCGCGAACAGAGATGGCCATGGACCCGGCCCTGGTCCGGATCGGGAGTACGTCGACTTCCTCCTCAACCCCGCCCTCCTACCGATGTGGCAGCGAAATAACGGCGAAGTGACGAACCGGGCGAGGCTAACCGTTGCGCAGACCTGTCTTCGAACCGATACAAGTACTTCAGGTGGACGAAGCGGACTGCCACCGTCTCGTTCGTTTTCGTGATCGCAATCCCGGGGATTCTCGGGTACCTGGGCTACAAGAACGATGTGAGTTCTTTCTTTGGGATGCGGGAAGCATGGGCCAGTGGCCACGGCTGGCCCAGTTCGGGTCGGGATTGGGTACTAACTGTGCTTGCCAGGGACTATGGGATCTCCGGGGGAAGCGGAGGGGCGACACTATCAGTGAACGCTAAGGATACGGATGATCACGGTGCAGATGGAGCAAGTCTGCTGTACATAAGGGCGCGAGACGGGATGCCGGAAATGAGACTTGCATCGACACAGTTTATACCAATTCCCGATCTCCGATCAGCGACATCGTGACAATCTATTGATGAGGCACGGCGGGATGCCGTACGTTGGAATTTATGGCAAGCGGCGGACTACTCTCGTGAGGGAGAGATAGCTAGACTCCAGAAATCGGTGATTCAGCTTGTACACAAGGATTGGGCCAAGGAGGAGCCAACACGGGAGAGTAGACGAAAAAGAGGGCTCAAGTCCCTCCAAGTGAAGCGGGCGAGCACCGGGAGTGCCAGTAAACGTGGTTTTATGGTATTCATTAAACGCCTGTCCGTTAGCTCAAACTCCAAAGACCAACTTCAGAAAGACTGCGAATACAAATACAACTGATCAGGCAAGTGCGATGGCCAGCCGTCGATTGCCGCAGCATCCCCCCAACCGATCGTTTCCTCATTGCGTTTTGCCCCTTAACCCTCGAGATCTCATCTTCCCCACCGTCCATTATCAGGAGGGTCATCCGGCAACCGATCCCCTCTCCGCCACTCTCCTTCCGGCATCCGAACCCCTCCCCTCCCAAACGGCTCGTCCCGCTCACGAAACCTCCCACCACCCCCATAACCACCCCGTGAACCGCCACCCCAGGCGCCTCTCCCACGAAATCCCCCCGGCGCAGCGTAATCCCTCTGCCTCGGCCCTGAGAACGGCAGCGGCGCACCCAGATGACCACCCCTAGCCTCACCCACCCCCGCCCCACGGCCCATCTTGGCGGCGCTCGCGGGCGCGACGTCACCGGTAAGCTCGTCCGGCGGCAGGATGGCGCAGCAGATGAAGTCGCCCGTGATGAAGCGCGCGTCGGCCAGCGTCAGGGCGCCGTCGTCGGGCTCGCCGTCGGCCACGCCCTCGTCCGGCCCCGCGCCCGGTCCGCCCCGCCCGAGCACCACCGAGCCCAGGGGCTTGGACACGTACCGCGGCGGCATGTCCATGCGCGCGCGCGTGTCGGCGTAGATGAGGCAGAAGGAGAGCCGCGTGCCGATGGCCGGGTCCGGGAGCACCGCGGGCGAGGCGTCGAGCATGTGCTCCGAGAGCTCGGCGAGGCTGCAGGTGCTCCAGGTGTGGATGGGCAGGTGGGGTGGGAGTGAGGGTGTGTTGAATTCATCTGGCCTGGCAGGGTAAGCGGCTGGTGTCTCTTTGGGTATCGGGTATAGAGTGGAAGGGATGTATATAGGTACCTATGGAACGCGCCTGTGCGATAGAAGAGCTTCAACAGGAAGGGCGGCGATGCCTCTTTCTCTTTGTCAAGGTCGGGTGTGCTCATGGTAGCGGTGATATGGACCGGTTTCTGGGGGAAGTTGAGAAACGTAGTAACATTGATTAACTAAATTCCCTTTATCACGAATATTAAAGCCCCGAGGTAGATTGACTGTAAGATCTCGGAGGTTGGAAGATGGAGGTGAGCTCGGGACCTTGAAGCTGTGCTTGCCTGCCGCGACAAAGCGCATCCCGCCCTGTGGGGCCGTCTCGGGGCGCAGCGCTTCGTGAATTTTAGCGGGCCATGATCCGCTGAGCGTCCAGAACCTCGACCATTTCACAACCACTTCCATCGACCTCGAACCAATTCCTTTGGTATCGAGCCTTCAACAAATAAACTACCGAGCCGGTTGATTCAATCGACAATCTCCCTCGTATCATCGATTACACCACCCATCCAACGCGACGACAACACCCCCAAAACAACAACAACCTCTGACAAGACCGCAAAGATGGACTTCGAGGCCCTCATGTCCCAAGAAATCTCCAAATCCAAACCCAAAAGCGGCAGCAACAAACCCACCTCCACATCCTCAACCACCACCACCGCCCCCGCCCCCGCAAAATACATCTCCCGCCGCGAAGCCGAAGAAGCGCGCCGCGCCGCCTACCTCGCCGAGCAGAAGGCGCTGGAAGAAGCGCGGGCGGGCAAGGCGGCCGCGAAGCGGCAGCGGGAGGAGGAGGCCGCGCAGGAGGCGCGGGCGCGCGACGACAAGCGGCGGCGGCTGGCGGAGGAGTCGCGGGCGCGGCGCGAGGCGCGCGAGGCCGAGGAGGAGCGCGCGCGCCGGAAGCGGTTGGGCCTGCCGGAGCTGTTGCCTGCTGCCGCTGGGGATGGGGAAGGGGAGGCTGGGGATGGGGAGGGGGAGGATTTGGATGGGGATTTGGATGGGGATGATGCGGGGGATGTGCCGGAGGAGGAGCTGGTTGCGAAGTTGAGGGGGCTTGGGGAGCCGGCGGTGTTGTTTGGGGAGAGCCATGCGGCGAGGCTGAGGCGGTATAGGAAGGCTGTGAGGGGCGGGGCGCTGGCGGCCGCTGCGGGACCGATCGCGACGACACTGCTGCCCGTTGAGGAAAAGGACATGAAGGTTCCCGACACGGTGCCGCCTGCTTCGGATAAGAAGGCCCGCAGGCTCCTCTTCCGGCAATTGGCATCTTACTTCAACATGATTCTGCGGGAGTGGGAGTTGGCGCTGGCGCGCGAGGACAACGCCGAGACCTTTGCCGGACAAGCGGCGCACAGCGCGATGATATCCAGCAAGGAGACGATGCGACCCCTCTTCCGCAAGTTCGAGCAGGGTGACCTGGACGAGAGCATCCTCGAGGCGGTCATCGAGATCGTCAAGGCGGCACAAGAACGGCGATATGTCGATGCCAACGACGGGTATCTACGCCTTAGCATTGGTAAGGCGGCGTGGCCTATTGGTGTTACCATGGTGGGCATTCACGAGCGTAGTGCCCGCGAGAAGCTACATGGTGGTGAAAGGGGTCATATCATGGGCAGCGAGGTCACACGCAAGTATCTACAGAGCATCAAACGGTGCCTGACCTTTGCCCAGGTTCGCTGGCCGTCCGAGGATGTCCGCCAGTTGATGGGGTGAGAGTGGATGCTAGAGAAACAAGCAGAATAGTGATACCCAGCGAATCGAACTTGCACTCTTCATGGCTTCCAAAGCGGGAGACCTCTTTGCCTGTGGCTGTCATGATCGTTCAAGTTTATCAGCCATGACGTGGCCCGCCATGACTATATGATAGTACGGTACTCTAATCGGCAACATTACCAGCCATTCCCGTATCATCCCGCCCAAGTTCCGAAGCGCCCTCGCCCTCCGTGCAATGCAATAACGAGCAGACTAATCAAATACCGTCCTTTTCCCCTCGGTTGGTCATGGGTCAACTTAACCCAGTGTCTCCTCAAGCATAAGGTCGCTCTGGCTGCCGAAGGGGTTCGACTTTTTTACTGATTTGAGCTCGAGATCGGCCGCGGCGAGGCCCATCCGCCTGAGGCGGTCAAGGCCCTGCTTCTCGTAGTTCTCGGCCATCCGGAGCGCCGAATCTTGCATTTGCGCTCTTGGGTTCGCCGCCTTGGTTGTTACGAGCTGGAGTGGGGTTAAACAGTGCAACGGGGATATCCGAGCGGGAAACTGGGATTTACCTTGTCAATCGTGTTGATCCGAGCCTGCAGCGCGCCCGACTGAATCATGTTGGCCAGTTCATCCTCGATGACCTGATCCGGGCCCCCAAACGCCTTATTCATGGTGTCCAAGCTGACACATGAGAACGGTGTCAGGTACTGGATGATGCACTTGCTCCGAATTTGGGAGTATATGGCGGCGATGTGCTTCTGAAGGTAAATGTCGAGTAGGTAATCCGGACGGTAGGATTCGAGAATGGCGATGCATGCAGAGTACCTGCCACTAACAAACTGCGCAACAGCACGCCTTATGTGCGGTGCCTGCTCCAGGAACGTCCGGAACTGTGCGTTATCAAGCACGTTGGTTTGCAGTTCATTACGGTCCATAGACGCGAGAGCAAGGAGGCCGCCGTAAATTGCGACATCGCTTTGGCTGGCAAGCTCGCCGTATGTCGAGCTGGGGATATTGGAGTCGGCCGAAAGAAAGCTGAGCGCGGCATCCTTGAACTTCTCGCGCCCCAAGAACGCGATGCCGTGGGCGATCTTGAGGTACGGTTGGACGGCCTTTTCGTCCTCTGCAGATTGAGCACCCCCCATCTTACTCAAGTGCGCGCTCACCATATCCCATTCGCGCCGCTGAATCGACACTCGAACTAGATGCTTGCCGACGTCGAGAAGCTGCTTCGCGGTGCTGACGTCCGGCCGCATTTTTGAATATGTCTCGCTCGCAGCGTTGAGGTCGCCGATGCTCTCGAGGTGCTTGGCGAGGTCTTCGTTGCCCATCTAGTACCGGGGAAGTGACGCCACGTTAACGAGGAAAGGACCACATGATGGAAACAACCAAAACCCACCCTAATGCTCTCCTTGATGAGATTATTCTTGTATCCTTTAAGCTCTTTGAGCAAGCGGTTGGTCTCGGTTTTGTTTTCTGCGTCCTGTGCTTCCAGCCATTTTTGATCGAACACCGCCTCCGGTTCCGAAGGCGCTGCAACCCGCAGGCACTCCACGGCCTCCCTGTATCGGTGGGTGTCTTTGCCTCTCTTGGCCTCGGCGATGGCTAATTTCAAGGCATCAACGCACAACGGCACCGAGCTGCGGCCGATGAGGAAGAGACGATCGAAGCGAGCACGGCCTAGGTGGGGATGAATCAGAATAAAGCCATCGGAAACCAGATTGGTTAGGACACCGAAAGTGCTGACCTCTGTAGCTCTGTATGTAAAGGTCGAGATCAAAGTTTGGGGGTTCTGGCCGTCCAAGTCTCCAAGTCAGTTACTGGCCTTAATCATGAATCCATCCGACCGCGGGGTTGCCCAACGCGGTGCACGGTTCTGGGAGGAGCTGGGCGGAGGTGGGGGAAAGTTTGGGATACCTCTAACAATGGTGCCATCTTGGTTGTCCATGAGAGTGAAGAATGCCAGCAGTGAGTCCGCCATATTTGATGTTCTCAAAGCCAAAACGATGCGGGTGGTCGATGGCAGCTTGACAAGGCTGCAAGCTGTGGAAGCTTTCTTGGTGAGGCTGAAGCGTCCGACAGAGAGGGTGAGGCCAGGCAAGGCCAGCCAGGCAGCCAAGTGTCGTCCATGGCGGGGTAACGGTGTGGGGCTCCTCCTGCTTGCTTGCTCCCAGCTCTTCTCTCAAAATTCAGCCCTGTCATTTCATGGTCCCCTTCAGTTCCATCACAAGCAACGGAAAATAAAGGCAAATGCGCGCACTTCAGATGATGGCGAAACGAGTCTGTATCAGGTAGGAACCAGTCGTCGCACATGACTGGGCCAAGGTGGACCCCGTCAAATGCGGCGATTTGGAGAGAAGTCAGGCATTCTTCGACGACGACTTGGCCACTGGACTTTTTTGCTCTCGGGGAGTGCCTCGGTCGCCGAGGTGTGAAGTGTTTTGGTGCACAGTACGACAGGATGTACTTGTAAGGCTGACAGCCCCCCCTGGCGATTGTACAGACGGCGTTCAATAGTTTATTCTATCTTTAACTGATCGTCCACGCAGTCGGATCGTTCTCGGAGGTTCTTTCGCTGCTTACACCCACACGGGCGTGGGAGACACAACCCGCCGAGATTCAGGCTACCCGGCCCATGCTCCGGGAATCCCAAAGTGGCAGCCACGAAAAAGGGGTCCATGGTAAAAGTAGCCGACCGCGAATCGGATCTCCAAGATCCTCGATGCCCAGAAACGCCGCCCACAATGACATGGGAGACGTCTTCCCCCAACACTCCAGTCCCAGCTGCCGAGCTCCAAGAATGCGACGGTTCTCCGGGCCAAGCTCGGGAGGCCCGTTATTTGGAAAAAGTCTGCTCCCCGGACCCCCGTCAGTTGAGAACAGTGCGCGTTCGACAACATGGACACGATGGGCTGATTGGGGACCCCTGTTCACCTCGCCTGGGGTTCGTGCATGCCAAGTCTGTACACCGACGTCAGCCAAGCCCCTAGTGCGCCAATGCTTTCCCCACCCTTTCGAGATCGCCAATGCCCGTTTCCCATCTCCTGCACTTGTGGGATGTGCTTTGTCAAGATATGCTGGGGCCGCTGCGGGTTGTTGCTCAAAATACGCATCCCGATGCTGCCCCAATATTGACGGCTTGCACCCTGCAGGAGGGTGCCCTTCGGTGCGACCGCCGCAACGCACCTGCCCAGTATCCGGCTCCTTCCCAACAATGAGAGAAAGAAGCGTTGCACCTTCCAGGGGACACCACAAGACCACGGGCAAGTAGTACGTAGCACCATCAGAGTCGTACACGAGTAGGACTTGAACTCTGCCAGTTGCCGCCGCCACTGGCACCAACCCGCAACTGCCCGCCAGGCTGCTTGGCTCCTTGGCTGCCTGGCTGCGAGTTTGGTTGAGATGTTGATCTGGGAAGGTCAGACCTCCCGTGCCTACCGTCAGTTAACGTTGCTGTGGATCATTGATGGGGTTTGCACAGTGGTTCCCCACTCTATCCACCCGCGTTCTTCCACGCCTTCCAGTTTCTGCATGTTCCATTGAGCGAGCGAGCCATTCCTGTTCCTCTCGCATCTGAATCCCAACTCGGGAATAAATCCGGAAACGAGCGGTGCTCGAGGCTTGTTGTCACGATAGGGGTTCGGTTCCCATCAACACGCCGAGCAACGCGTAACTCCTGTGTAAGAGTCAGCACTGACGGAGATGGAGACACGCGGCGGTTCTCGGGACCGGAAGGGGGAGCCAAGAAGAATTCGCACCGACGACCGCCACAAACCTCAACGCCCTGCTGCATCCACCGTGAGTTTGGAAAGATCCACGGGGAGCGGAGCTTGAAAATATCCACGATGCAGAACGCTGCTCGATCCGAACCCAACTTCTCCCGCCATCCCGCCCGGCCGCAATTGTCCCGTAACAACCAATTCGGAGAATCCGTGTGTCCCCGGGGTTTCGCTTCAGGAGGCCCCGTGCCCCCGTGCCCATTGCGTCGGAGTCGGAGATAACTACCCCAGAGTCCTGGGAACATGGAAGCAGCCGAACGGCATGCGGCTGGGGGACCCCGGGACGTGGAGGCGATTTCCCTCCACCTGCCCTCGTGGTCGCGCACAACATGCGTCACGCAGCTGGTGGGCAGAATTGGAGAATTGGGATCCCACAGACACGGAGTCTGCGGCTGCTCCGAGAAAAGGCTGTAATTTATTCGCAGTTATGGGATTCGACGGCGAATCCCAGCGCAGCGCAGAGCTTACCGGTCGGCGTGTACATACTGTGTGTGTACACACTATAGGAGCATACAGATGCTCCACAACTTTCCCAACCGCCCCCCCCATCCAACCATAGAACGGTCATTGCCGAGTCCGAACTGACAGCTCGACTTAGCTAACTATCGATTTCTCTCTCGCTTCTTCGTCCTCCAGCCACGGCAGGGTGCGTATAGATCGTCCTGTTCTCCCCGAGACCTCTCTCCTAATTTCTCTCGGTTTCGTTATTACCTAGATATGTTTGCTCTCCCCACGGCCCTCCATGATAACCCATTCCCGAGGCATCATCGACGCCCGTCTCGTCTCGTCTGGTCCGTGTTACACTAGCCCCGAGTCGGCACCGGCTCCCGCCTCCCCCCATCCCTGCCTCGCTCCCGGGAAAGACCCCCCTGGGGATAGCGGTCCACATTCGCACCGGATCCTGACAACTCCTGTCCATAACGCGCTGCACTTCCGCAGTGGCCGACTGCTTCTGCAACGCTCTCCCCCATCACTCCGTTCACCCACTCAGCTGCTGCTCAATCCCAGCACGTCGAGCGGAGCCAACCTAGGATAGAGCTTTCAGGGGATCCCAAAGGACAGGGTGTCGGCTCAAACGGGAAAAGTCCTCGTTCGTAGAGCCACCCCTCCCCCCCGTCTCGGGAACTGGGGGGTCTGGCGTGAAATCACCCACGCGGGCTTCAAACCCTCGTCGGGTCTCTCCGCCCGCGCTCGAACGCCCAGCCTACTCCTTGTTACCTATTCTCCAACGACTACCGACTCCCGAATCCCGACTCCCGGTTCCGGCGTGTGTAGACACTTGAACAACACGCCGCGCCCGTGGGCCAGACATGCGAACATACACCTAAAGTCTATCGCGACGGGGCAAGATATCCACACGGAGGTAGACAGGAAACATCTCCGTGACTTCCCCGCGCAAGCTCACACCTGGAGACGACCATGACGGGCCCGACTGTTGACAACACGTCTGTCCCCCGCGCAGTTCGGCCAGCTTCGCGCCCTCCGCGTGCTGGCCGGGCTGGGAGCAGCACGAGGAAGGCCGCCATCCAACCGAGGACCATGGCCGCCGCGAACAGCCCCGAGATGTCCGGTGAGGATTCGGCCGACTTGTCTTTGGATGAGTTCGTCTCCCGGTCCGAGAGCGCCAGGTCACCCAGACAAGGTTCCATTAAGCCAGAGTCCGAAGATGCTTCCGGAGTGCAGGACGACCTTGGAGAGGCCCCGAGCATGCCCCTACAGAAACGCCGCAGGGTGACGAGGGCATGCGACGAGTGCCGCCGGAAGAAGATCAAGTGCGATGGGAAGCAGCCGTGTACGCACTGCTCGGTGTACAGCTATGGTAACACCACCCGAACCCCCTCCTCTTTGAGCCCCCGCCCCCAACTCCCCCGAGCTCGATTTCGCTGACAGCTTGCAGAGTGCACGTACGATAAACCGTCTAACCGCCGCAGGAACCCCGCCCCCCAGTACATCGAAGCTCTGGAGGCGAGGCTCCAACGAGCCGAGGGTTTGTTGCGCAAATTCATGCCTGACGTTGATCTTGCCGACCCCAATCTGGATCCTGCAGTCCAGCAAGAGTTCCGAAATAGGGAGAAGGCCAGGGCTCGCGCCATGGAGCTCAAGATGGAGGCCTCCAGGGACCAGCAAGAGGAGAGCCAAGACCCTCAGATCATATCCATGATCGAGTCAATCGGCCAGTTAGAACTCAAAGAGACCGGCGAATGGGATTTCAATGGCATCTCCTCGGGCGCCGTCTTCCTCCAGCGTATGAAAGACCACTTTCAAACCCTCCTCGGAAATGAATACCACATCCCCTTCTTGCCTCGACCATCGGTACCGCCTGGCCTGTTCAGCCTCGACTCCCCGAAATCCGGTGCCAGCTCGCCTTCCAACTCTCCCGCCATCTACGATCTCCCTCCCTTGGAACGGGTACGCACACTCTGCTACTACTCTCTCGATTGTGCTACTTGCCTCCTCCGGATCGTCCACCAGCCGACCTTCTACGAAAGGCTCGACAAGCTTTACACGACGCCACAAGAATCCTGGGGTAGCGATGAGCACAGGTTCCTTGGCTTGCTCTACTCGGTGCTAGCACTCGGTTGCGTGTACAACGTCTCCCAGGACCACGAGTCGGAGGACCCTGTGACCTACAAGTCGGCGGTGAAAGAAGGGTGAGTTCCCGCGTCCCCCCCGTCTCCGTTGCTGCGCGTTTCTTTTCTAACCCCGCCCATTAGGGTGAAATATTATACAACCGCGCGGTTAATCCTGCAGGATGTTGCGGAATGTCGCGACATGGCTTCTCTCCAGGCGCTCGTGTACATGATCCTGTTCCTCCAAGCAACTTCCAACATCAGCGACTGCTACGCGTTCCTCGGAATCGCTCTCCGATCGTGCTTGCGCATGGGGCTACACCGCCACCTATCACACGACAAAATTACTCCGATCGAAGACGAGTCCAGGCGGCGGGTATTTCATGTTATCCGCCAAATGGACTTTTACGTTTCCGCTATCCTGGGGTTCCCTCTTCTGCTCCACGACGAGGATGTCGACCAACCCCTTCCGACCGAGGTAGACGACGAGTACATTACCAAAGACGCAATCACGATGCCGCCTGCAGGTACACCGTCTTACTTTCAGGCGTTCAACGCGCACAACAAGCTTATGAGGATACTTGCGAAGGTGGTAAAAAACATATACCCGCTCCGGGGGATGACGGACGGTGTAAAAGAGCAGCGAACCGACAGGACGTTCTTGATCAACTATTCTCGGGTTCAGGCCATCGAGTCGGAGCTCCAGGATTGGCAATCACAACTGAACGAATACTGGCGGCCAAGCCATGACGGCCCGATCGAGGTTATCCGGTACGTGACTCCCGGTGTATTCCACATCTCATACCTGCCATGGACTAATTTGACCCTTTGACAGTGTTCGAACCCTCCTCCGCTTCGGCTACGCCCATGTCCAGATGATGCTGTACAGACCTTTCCTCCACTATATCTCACCACGTCTAACTGCCGGCAAGAAAGTCGAGAACCGCTACTATCACTGCGCTGCGGCGGGCATTACCGTATCGCGGAACATCATTCACATCGGGAGCGAGATCCAGAAACACGGGGCACTTATCGGACCGTATTGGTTTATTTTATATACCGAGTTCTTTGCCATACTTTCTCTCGTGTTCTTTGTCCTGGAAAACCCCGATAAACCAGGGTCTGCCGAGATACTGGCCGATGCTAAGGCTGGAAGGGACGTCATCGCAACTCTTGCGAAACGGAGCCTGGCGGCCGACCGTATAACTGTTGCTCTCAACGTATGTCCCCCTACCTTCACCACTACGGGCGATAGAAGAGACGATATTAACAGTGACCAGCCCCTATTTGACCAGTTACCAGACCAAGTGAAGAAACCCACGGGGCGGCCAACGCCGACGAAGAAACGATCGGCTCCGGTCACAACCTCGTCCCAAGGGTCAAGAGCAGGCAGCGCGGCGCTACCCAGCCGCCCTGATTTACAGGACGGCATACCACAGCGGAGATCAGAAGAGATGACTCGCCCGGCGATCGGCCTGCTTCGGCGAGAGGCACGAGCCCCGCCTCAAAGAACAGCATCCTTCGACACCATCGGGTTTCAACATGGCAGCCTGGCGGGACAAAACTTTACCAACCTCCAGGATATCTTACCCATGAACATGCCCATGTCGGGGACGGGTTCAGATTCTAGCAGCACACAGGGAACGATGCACAGACATACGCAAGGTTTTCAGCAAGGGCAGGCCGCAGGCGGACCTGCCAGCTCGTTGTACAAGATGGACGCGATGATGTTTCCCTCGGAAGACCCCTTCGCCTACCCGAACCAACCGCCGATAGATCCCGCTACCCAGCATCCGGGCAGCCAGACGCCACAATCGAGCGCCGGCCAGTCCCACGACGCCATGCAGTTCTACATCCCCAACATGTACGACGGGATCGAGGGGCAGCTTCTGGAGCCTATCCCCTCGTATCTCATGTCGCAAGGGCCACAGAGGCAAGGGCAGCACGGACTGGACGCAACGGCGCAAATGTACAACACTCCCGGCATGCTCACAATGCAGCCCGACCACGGAAGCCACGCACATCAGCAGCCGCAGCATCACCACCAGCAGATGACCCAGCAACAGCATCAGCAACAACAGCAGCAGCATCAGCAACAGCAACAGCAGCAAAGCGGCGCTATGATGGACGAAATGCTGACGGATCCGAGCTTCCGAGGCGAGTGGGATGATATGTTGGGCAATCCCGGATATCGATGAAGGAGCTGTTAAGGTATGGGAGGCAACGACTCGAGGATGACGGGGCGGGGGGGAGGGGAGCGGTATTCGAGGGTGAATGGGTGGGCAGAAGAAGGCGACGGGGCCATGGCGATGAATGCGCGCTGGTGATTCCGCCACGACTCAGCAGCAGGACATGTCAACAACGACTTGAGATGTCGACCTCGCATCATTGCAGTGCCGGGAGGCGGGATGCGCCTGAGAGTGCGAAACCAAGGCGATATGGAACTCGGCACGGAAAAGCCGAATACCAAGGAAAGCAGGGGAGGCCAAATCCAGCCATTTGACGGCATTTTTGTGTTTGATTCACTGGGGTGAATTGCCGTTTGATACCCAAGAGGAACAAAAGACGGGATGGAACACCGGGAATGAACCGAGATCTGTGGTCTGGGAATGGATGACATACACACATCGAGTCTGGTGCTCGAGCGCTCGCTTTCTCGGTTAGACATGGGATAGACTCTCGGACGGGACTCTCGTTACATGCTACGAAACGGATGACATGAGAGGGGGGCCAAATGACTGGAAAAGGGGGTGAGGCGGTTCGGTTGCGTTAGAAAGAGACAAGCTCCAGCGGCCAGAGAGGAAAACAGCACACCCAGGCATTGTCCATGAAGTCTTGGAGGAGGGGAGCACAACAGGAAAAGAAAAAGAAAATAAAGAAAAAGTACTCAGTCAGTAAGACATCTCGCATAGGTACTGGTAAACACAACAGTGAACCTAGGTAGGTACGTATATATAAAACGAGTATATTACCCTCAAGTCCTTCCCTCCCTACTCAGCAACATGGACGTGATTGTCATTGGCGGGTGTTGATAAAACGTTACATTGACAGCATCTTGTACTCGCTTCAGCTAACAACTGGAGTAACTGACTATTTTCCTTACATTTCAACGTACTTTTACGTCTCTACTTACCAGTTTTTTTCTTTCTTTTCTTTTCTTTTTATAGAAAAAACCTCCGTCTGCCCATGTCCGAGTCTCAAAAGCCACGCAGTGGCCACACCGCAACTCGAGAGGTCCATCCACAACTCAGCTCACTGCTGAGCCACTTAACTAAGCCGATCATGGACAGCTCATGTGCTCACATGCTTACTCTCACCAAACAACAACAACTGACCAGTGACCACAGAACCATCACTCAACCAAAATGGCGACCGAGTCAAAGATGGAGTTTCACGACGATTCTTATGACCTTGTGGCTGTCGACGAGTTTGATGCACTGTAAGTTGCTTCCGCCATAACATGGGGTTGTAGTGATTGAACCATGTTCGCTCATGACTTTTGGCCTCCTGCAGTTCCATCGAGCTCAAGCCTGGCTCATCTTCGACGCCTTCGACAGAGAGGGCAGCGACGAGCAAAGTCTCCGAAGACCCCAATGGCATGATATACAACCGCCGGCTCAACCAAAAATGGCTGGAAGGTCTGGGCAAGTTTCCCGGTAAGCATTGGCCCTCCCTCGCTCCGTGGATGACCTCTCCAGGCCCCTGGTGCTGATATACTCCTCCAGCAAAAACACACGCTCGAAAGGTTGCCAACGAGCTCGGGGCGAAGCAGGGCCTCATCTACCTCCCCGGTCAGGATGAGAAGTATTACGAGGACTCAGATATGGGTCCCACGTTCCGTCAACGCAGATAGTATGTGCAGGGCACTCTCAAACGATAAACAGGATGATTCCAATCTAACATTAACCTACTTTAGCTTCTATTACATGGCTGGCGCCGATTTCCAAGGGTGCGCCGTGACCTACGACATACGCAAAGACCATCTGGTTCTCTGGGTCCCACGCATCGACCCCAAGACAGTGCTTTGGTTTGGGGGGGTGCCAACACCAGAGGAATGCAAAGCCGCCTCGGACGTGGATGACGTGCGCTACATCGAAACCCTCAGTGAGACGCTGTGCCCTGCGCTCGAGCCGGGTGAAACAATCTATGTGCTGCACCGGGACCAGATCCCCAAGCTTGATCACCTCATGGTAGTTGTCCGAGTCGACACTACCCACCTGAGGCTTGCCATGGACGCGGCTCGCGTTATCAAGACCGACCACGAGATCGCCCTGATCCGGCGGGCCAACGCCATCTCCGTAGGCCTTTCCCAGCCACCGTCTCACCTCACCAACCCCAAACCCAAACCTTGCTAACCCTCCTCCCCCTCCAGAGCGCCGCGCATAAAGCCGTCCTGCACAGCATCAAGCGCTTCACCAACGAGCGCGAGGTCGACTCCCTCTTCACAGGCTACTGCACCGCCCACGGCGCCCCCATCCAGGCCTACCCGGTGATCGCCGCCTCCGGCGCCAACGCCAGCACCCTGCACTACGCCGACAACAACCAACCCTTCAAGAACCGCCGTACGCCCGCACCCACCCACAACCCCCCCTCAACCAAACCCACTACTAACCTCAGGCACACACAGAACTCCTAATCCTCGACGCCGGCGCCGAATACCACTGCTACGCCAGCGACGTGACCCGCACCATCCCCCTACGCACCTTCTCCCGTAACGCCGGCGCCATCTACCGGCTGGTCGAGCGCATGCAAGCAGAATGCATCGCCCAGATCCGGCCGGGCGTGCGGTACCGCGCGCTGCACGCGCACGCCTGTGCCGTGGCTGTTGCCGGGTTGCTGCGGTTGGGCGTGTTGAGGGGGGGGAGCGAGGGGGAGATTTTGGGGAGGGGCACGGTGGCGGCGTTCTTTCCGCACGGGTTGGGGCATCATGTTGGGTTGGAGGTGCATGATGTTTCGGGGAGGGAGAGGCTGTTGTTGGGGGGTGCTGCTGCTGCTGGGGGTGCTGGTGCGCGCGGTGGGAGGGTTGGTGGCAGGATGGGGATGAGGATGAAGCGCGAGGGGATGACGCCTGGGGTGGTCGCGGCGCTGTGGGCGGATGAGAATCGCCCGGAGGGGGCCATGGCGGCGTCGTTGGGCGGGCCGGGGCAGAAGCTGGCCGAGGGGATGGTTGTGACGGTTGAGCCGGGCATGTGAGTTGATTCGCCGTTTCTGATGTGCTGTGTGGAGGGGATGATATGCTGACAAGTGGTGATGTTAGTTACTTCTGCCGCGAGTACATCGAGGGCTACTTCCTCAACGACCCGGACCACGCCAAGTATATCGATGCGGAGGTTCTGGCGAAGTACTGGGACGTTGGTGGCGTGCGCATCGAGGACGATATCCTGGTCACCAAGGACGGGTATGAGAACCTGACGTGGGCGCCCAAAGGTGATGAGATGCTGAAGTGTATGAACGAGCCGACTCCGCTCTAATGTGATGCTAGATAGAATATGGGGACTGGGCGATGGCGAGTTGGATTTGAGATGGTCGGAAGCAAAAACATAAGATGAAATACAAAGAGCATGCCCCATTCGCCGGCTGGTAAAAGGATGAGATGGCTGCTGTGCTGAACGTCGGTCTGAAGTTTGACGTCTGAAAACGGCGCCGTGAGGATATCAAGTTGCAACCGTAACAGAGCTCAGGGATAAACACTTGGGATGAACGCTAGTCTAGCCGCCCGCAATATCTGATCACCAAAGAAAACATAGGTATCATAAGCTAAGTACGCTTTTAATTCCTCCTATGAAGCAACCACCAACTGGGATATGCAATAAAAACAAAAAAAAAAACAAAAAAAAAAAAAAACAGAATAACGCCAAAACCCCAATCTGTACATCCAGCATCCCATCATGAACTGATACTCAACCGCAACTCCGCAACCCCACCAAACCCGCATTCCTCTACAGATACTTCTTGGGCGACGTCTTCCTGCGCTTGTAGTAGGCAAAGGCGCCCAGGAGGATGCACTGGCTGCCGATGACGACCCAGATGAGGCGGGCGTGGCCCGACTTGGCGTGGGTCTTTACGTTCTCGGCGAGGGTCTCGTGCTTGTCGTTGACGTGGTACTTGATGGCGTTCTCCGACTCGCGCAGGCGGCCGGCCATCTCGGTGCGCATGCCGCGCATCTCCGTCTCGATGTCCCGCAGCCGCTGCTCCATCACGTCCACCTTCTCCAGCCGGCCCATCAGGCCCTTGAGCTCGCCCATCATGGACGACAGCTCCGAGTGCCGCTGCTCGCCCACCCCGGCGTTCTGCCCGATCGACCGGAAGATGGTCGACAGGTGGTGGTTGACCGACTGCAGCCGGTTGTGCAGGTCCGCGAACTGCTCCTTGGACGACGTGTACTTCTCGGCTTCCTCGTCCGGGATCACGCTGTCGTACGGGTCGTCGACCGTGTTCTGGCCGCTCCGGCCAAAGTTCATGCGCGGCTTGTTGCCGTTGTTGTTGTTGTTATTGTTGTTATTGTTGCCGTCCTGCTGGGGGGTGTCGTTTGTTGTGAGCACCGCCAGCTTGAAGACCTCGAACGAGTCCGGGTTGTCGGCGGAGGCGGCCGTGATGCCAAAGTTGTAGCCGCTCGGGATGCGGATCTTGTCGCTCTGGAAGCAGTGCCGGCCGGCCACCTCGACGCTGAACTTGTCCTCGGTGTGCCGCAACTTGATCTGGGTCGGGCGGCCCAGGTTGCGGTAGGTGAAGCTGCACTGGGCAAAGGCCAGGCTATCCACGTTGTGGTTGTTCTTGTAATCGGTCGTGCCGTCGTTGAGGAAGCCGCGCAGCATGCCGCCCGACCCGCTGTGCTGGTCGATCACCAGGCCCAACCCCTCGAACTTCCCCGCCGAGTAAACGCTATCGGACCCGACAACGTGCGCGCCGTCCCTCACCAGCCAAATATTGATGTTGCCCCCGGCCCGCTCCGGGCCATTAGCCCGGAACTCGACGTCGGCGATCCAGTTTTGGTTCTGCAGCGACTTGTCGGCCCAGACGGCACCGCGCTGGTTCCCCGGCGCTACGGGAGTGAGGATGACCTTGTCCGAGAGCAATTCGGGCACATTGGGCCGGCCTTGGAGGGAGAAGTTCGGTATCGACTGTGTCCCCTCGGGGCTTATCCTGTTGGTTGAGGGGCTGTCTTAGCGAGTGCAATTGGACGAATTGTGCTTAGAGAGGGTGTTACCTGTGGCTGTGGCCGAAGCTGAGCTCGTTGACGAGATATTGGGTTTGTGCGTGGGTTAACCCAGCCGCAAGCAGGGCATAGCTCGTCGTCCAGCGCATCTTGAGCAGGCGTCAAGGGAAGCTGTCAAGTCTGGGTTTGGACGGCAGAAGGGGTGTATAGTTGACAAGATGTCGCCGGCAAGAGCGCAGTCGCGTGGCAAGCTATTATTTATTAGTTCGGAGGTCGGCTCCCCGGTTCTAGTTTCCGGCAGAATAGAACGGAGCTCCCGGTGTGCTCGGGGTTGAGGACACTTTGCAGCTCTCTCAACGACAATCCGGGCCGGTGGTTTTGGCCAATGTGGAGAACACAAATGGGACAAGCAAACACGGAGGATAGTTACGAGATGTTGAAACACGAGGGCAATTGCCTAGCGGGGCCAAAATAACTAAAGATCAGGGGGAAATGAGGACTGCCATGAGGCGGTAACTATGTGCATACGATAATAAATAATTCACATAACTAAGTAACTCCAACAAAAAGTAAGAGTTGTGCCCTGGCGTGTCCGAGACACAGCTCCCGAGATGTGAGCGCCTCCCCTCCGAAGAGAACAGCTGTGCATTAACACAGGCTCCCCTGAGGGGCTTGGTTGCCGGAGGCTGTTGCTCCAACTGGAACCTGGAGCAACAGGGGTATGTCTTCGTCTCCACAGCGGGGGAAATGTGGTTGAGTGTGGCTAGTGTGGCTGGTCACAGTGGCGTGTGCTGGCTTTCCCTTTGTGGCTGGCATCTTTCTCCAAATCCCAGAGAAGTCTCCACTAAAACTTTGAGAGCTCTCAAATTGGAGACCGGCAGGCAGGAAACCGCTCCCATGCGACGCTGAGGCCAGTGACAAGTCTCACAGTTCAGTTCATGGCAGCCCGCATGCCGCCATGACCGAGATCTATCCTTCGCTCGCGCAATGCGCGATTGTAGCCGGAGCATTGAAGATTCTGCTCTTCCCGGCCTAGTAAGCTCAACGCACCCCTATTGAGCTCTTTCCTCGGCTGACAATGCCATCGACAGCAAATCCACCGACTTTGAAGTCCACCGCAACTGGCTTGCCATCACCAACAGCCTGCCCCTATGGGAATGGTACTACGAAAAGGCATCAGAATGGACGCTCGACTACCCGCCCTTCTTCGCTTACTTCGAATGGATCATGTCGCAGGTCGCGAAGCTGGTCGACCCTGCCATGCTCAAATTGTACAACCTCGAGTACGATAGCTGGCAGACGGTATACTTTCAGAGGTTTACCGTGATAATCAGCGAGTTGCTTTTGGTTTGGGCGCTGCAGATGTAGGTGAACCCGGTTGTTGCGGTGGCTATCGAGGGTGTGGCCTTGGGGCTGACGAATAGCAGGTTCATTGACTCGTCGCATGGAGCATCGAAACGAGCCGCGCAGGCGGCCGCCATCTCCATCCTACTCTCGCCGGGTCTCTTTATCATTGACCACATCCACTTCCAGTACAATGGCGCTATGTATGGCATCCTCATCGCGTCCCTGGTTTTGGCCCGCAAGAAGTCGACGCTGCTCTGGAGCGGCCTCCTGTTCGCTGCGCTGCTGTGCATGAAGCACATCTACCTCTACCTGGCGCCGGCCTACTTTGTCTTCCTCCTGAGGGCCTACTGCCTCTCACCAAAGTCGGTTTTCCGGATCCAGTTCCTCAACTGCATGAAGTTGGGCGTCGGCCTTGGGGCAATTCTCGGCACAGCCTTCGGGCCGTTTGCGCTCAAGGGGCAAATCCCCCAGATCTTCAGCCGACTGTTCCCCTTTTCGCGTGGCCTCTGCCATGCTTACTGGGCACCGAATGTGTGGGCCATGTACTCGTTTGTCGACCGAGTCCTGATCATCCTGGCGCCTCGGCTTGGATTGGCGGTAAAGGAGGGCGCGTTGCAAAGCGTCACGCGCGGCCTGGTCGGGGACACATCCTTTGCGGTCCTCCCGGACGTCACGCCGCGGATTTGCTTCGCCTTGACACTCCTCTTCCAGACCATTCCGCTGCTCAAGCTCTTCTCTCAGCCGACGTGGGACAACTTCATCGGGGCTATCACGCTGTGCGGCTATGCTTCGTTTCTCTTCGGCTGGCACGTCCACGAGAAGGCCATCCTCCTGGTCATCATCCCCTTCAGCCTCATCGCTTTGAAGGACCGACGGTATCTGGGCGCATTCCGACCGCTGGCGGTGGCGGGCCACGTCTCCCTCTTCCCGCTGCTGTTCACGCCGGCCGAATTTCCTCTCAAGACGGTCTACACGGTATTTTGGCTCATTCTCTTCTTGATGGCCTTCGACCGCTTGGCGCCCGCATCGAGCCGGGCCCGGTTCTTCCTGTTTGACCGCTTCAGCACGCTCTACATCACCATTAGCATCCCGCTGATTGTGTATTGCTCACTGGGTCACGGGATTGTGTTTGGCAAGAGCTACGAGTTTCTACCCTTGATGTTCACCAGTTCATACTCGGCAATAGGGGTGGTCGGGAGCTGGGTGGGCTTCATGGTTGTGTATTTCACGTCATAGGTTGATGGAAGTTGAGTTATAGGAGAAAGATGCAGAATTGAAATTTTACCATCACTTGATGTCCGCATCGTCGTCATAGCGAGCCGATGGGCCGTCCAACCGTTTATGGTTAGCGCGCCAAGTTTAATCGGTTGTTTTTCTCCTGGAACAAGAGGCTGAAAAATAAGAAAGAGTTCAAGGGAAAATGACGAAAAGTACGGTCATCGAGATGTGTTATAAGCTGTATGCAGGCTAGTCTCGACTAAAAATCGGACGTTATTTTCTTTTCGTCTCGTCTCTTTCCCTCGCGAACAAAGGGTCGCCCCTGTCATTCGACATCGCGAATAATTGATTGGCTGAGATTGCTTGAGATCCACAAACTTCTGCGACCACCATTTTGAAGAGTGGGGAAGTACCTGCGAGGAAGCAAGGACGGAAGCGGTCAGGGTACCCTCGACAAACTCTTCGAAGAAAAAGCAGAAACGGGTGGCTCTTAAGAAACCTGCTATCGAGCACCACACATCTCTCCTCAGCTGACGAGTGTGGAGGTGACGGACCACAACTGTCCGTCAAAACAACTTGGTTTGCAAAGTACCAAATTCATCTGCAAGGCTGGATCTATCCTGCACGTCAAACGGTTCAGCCTTGTCTTGGACCCACCGTCTCCCGAAAGTGGCGTTGAATGCCAACAAAAACCCAACCATTCTATTGCTTGGGCAGTCGCCGACGACGACTGTGCTGTGTCATGCTGTAGGCCCCAGCAGTACACTCGTCATCCTTATTTGCTTTGACACGTAAATTAAATACAAAAAAGAGAAAGAAAAAAGGAATGGAGAAGTGTGCGCGTGTGCCCCGAAATGCAGATGGCTTATACGGCATTTTCCGGTAGTTACCTGGACTCGATCACTTGCATCTGCTCAGCTTGTGGCCCCGGCCAGAGTAGAATGTCATCCGCCTCTCAAAGTAGCTAGGATCAAAAATGCTGGCACAAAAGACTCTGCAGGCCGAATCCGTTGGTCGGCGTCGGCCAAGTCCACGATGCTGATGGATTTGGCGAGCCGCGGTCATGCTAGCGCGATGTACCTGTACGTGCATGGGTAGTCTGATCGATGCATCAAGGGGCGCACGTCCCAATGTCAACACCAACACGATATTGGTGCGTTGTTGAGGCTGCAGCGAGGAGATCCAAGCCGGATGACGGTGCGGTGGCCAAAAGCACGAGGGGCTGCATGTTAGGAGCTCAGATCAAAGCACAGCCAAAGCCCAATGACCGAAGTGGGTGCAGTGGTTGACCGAGACCCTCGAAGCGGTCCTCCTGTCCGGGGCTCGCGGACCCCTACCCATGAAAATAAAATTTGGCCTGCACTCTTCCGGCTATAAATAATCGGAAAATGGCCCAATTTGCATGCTTCGAGCGTCTTCTGGTAGCCCTCGTCCGGACGAACAAGACGAGTACAAGAACGTGGGTAAAGGGTGCATGTCGGGCGGGTTGGCTGCAGGAAGACGTTGCCCAGGGTGGTCGGGGTGTGGACGACGAGGAGCCATTTTGGGTCGGAGCTGGAGCGATCCCCGTACCCTGTCTGGCGGGTCCGGGATGCCAGCACGCTGGACCACCTGCAACCAGACCCCGGCGCCCGTGCTCCCCCATATTTGCCGTTCCCTCCCATTGTTGAACTTTTCCTCCTCCCACTTCCGCACCGCCCTCGCTTCTCTTGGTTTTCCCTCAACATCACCTCCCTCGCGGTGCAGCCTTCGACCACAACCACACGCGGCCACAATTCGAGCCACTTGGACGAGGAAGGGATATCTCATCTACACGCACTTAATTTACGCGGATCTCAGCCGCGGCCACCCGAAGATCGCCTACCATCAGCCTTGCATGCTCAACCTACCGCGCGCGCGAGCTACCAGTTTCCCTCCTAGGGGCCACCACCAAAACCCTGACCCTCTCCACCCGATCTGCCACGGATCGCGACGGGCGGCCACAACACGGGGCCCGGGTCACCACAACGCGTCTTGACCACCCACATCACCGCCATTCACGGCCACATTCAACTCTCCCATACCAACCGACTTAATTCTTTCAACGAGGCTGAATATCAGCCTTGCACCACTTTTGAGGTCCCCTACCAGACCTCCACTCTCTCCCCTCTCCCCTCTCTCCTCTCCCCCCCCGCCTCTCTTCCGCCTCTCTACTTCAGCTCTTCCTACTCTCTCTCTACTGGACGACCACCACCAGCCATGGTACGCGGCAACTTCCTCGCGACTTCCGAGGCCCCCATATCGCTGACCCCACGCCCCCAGGTCCTGTTCAAACGCAAACCGGTGCAGTTCCTGCCCGTACCAGAGATTGATGATGAAAACCAAGAGGTATGTCGTATGCACCCTTGATATTCCACCCCTACCCAACCGGCGGCCAATTGACCACAGCTCGATTCTAACTACCTCTGTGATATAGGTCTGGCATATCTCCCAGACCGGCGAGGTCTTTCTCACATATGAGGACTACCTAAATAGGTATGCAATGTCCCTTACTACCCCCCCCAGGTCTTAGTTTGGCATTGCACGTACTGGGAGGTTGCTGACACCCTTCCAGGTTAGACTTTTACAACCAGGTATGTTAGGTCGCTTAGGTCCCAGTCCCAGTCCCAGTATGGGCGGCATGGGCATGAATGACTTACACACAGCTTAGAAACGCTTCATTTGCACCATCAGCGGCCACTCCGGTCTGACCTTTTTCGACGCGCTCGAGAGCGAGGTACGCCCGCCGCACACACCAAACCCCCCTCCCCACTTCCTATGGCCATCACTGACAAGCATGGCCCACCACTAGCTCGCCGGTGCCGCCGAAGTAGACCAAGCATTCCCCGAGGCTCTCAAGGGGCCCATACTTCGACGGGTCCAATTTCAGACCGTGTCCCGCATCGATACGCTTGTCGACCAGGTGTATGACGAATTCAAGAACGACTACTACCCCGGCGAGGGCGTGACCGTTTTCATCTTGGGCGGCGAGAGGTTGCAGGGCGTAGTGAGAGATAAGACACGTTTCGGTAGCAAGGTCCTCCCCGACGGCACCCTCACGGTGCCCTTCTCGCGCTACTTTGTCAGCTTGGATGAGCGACCGGACGAGGAGGCCGTGGTGGATGACTCGCACATTTTCCGTGACCGCAAGGTATTCACCAAGGCCGTTCTGCGCTCCTTCATCAAGAAGACGGTGACAAGAGAGGCTTGGAACGGGGCGCCGTGGTTGGTCAAGCACGACGTGGCCGAGAAGTACCACATCGACACCCGCATACCGCCCCATCTGCGCTACGACAACAAACTTCTCGAGCGGAAACAGATGCAGCTCCAGAAGAAGGCCTCGCAGTTCGATCCCAATCTAGCAGTCTCGGGCCCCTCAGGTCCCGTAAGCCCTACCGGGTACAGGTTACCCGACCTCAAGCCTGCACCGAAGAGCCACAAGTCGAAGGAGTACCAGCTCCAGCAGCAAAATGCGATCAAGGGGAAGCATAGCACGTTTGGAGGACACGAACCCGGCGCGTTCGTTCACCTGCCGCTCCCCGGCAACCCCTTCCAGTTCCCCATGTCCTTCCGAGGCCAAGTGTCGCCACCCGCTGCCAGGCAGCCCGAACCGACACCACCCCCGCCGCCTCCGAAATACCCGATCGAGGATCTGCAGGTCGAGCCCCGCCGTATGGTTCGGCCACAGCTCAAGTACATGTGCAGCGACACGCCGGTCGAGGTCGCCCCCGAGGCCAAGTCGCCACTCGGCGACAAAATCCTAATGAAGTCAATAGGGCCACTTCTCGAGACGTGGGACACGTTGAATGTCTATTGCGAGATCTTTAAGCTCGACTCGTTCACATTTGACGACTATGTGGAAGCCATGTTGGTCGCCTCTGCGGAGACCCCTGTTCAACTATTTGACGAAATTCACTGTGCGGTACTCAAAATCTTAGTTACCTCGGAGGCCGAAGGTGGCAAGGTTCAGATCCAGCTGCCGGAACTGGAAGAGGAAGAAGAGGAGGAGGAGGATGACGAGGAGGAAGAGAGCACCGCGCCCACGCCCGAACCGGAGCCGCAACCGTCAGGCCGTGCGACTAGGAGAAGCTTGGCCAAGGCGGAAGCAGACAGGCTCGCGGCAGAGGCGGCGGCTGCAGAGAAAGAGATGCAGGAAGCCGAGGACGCGCCCAGGCATCTGGCCGAGGAGCTAATCCGAGACTACGACTGGATCGAGCATCTGACGAAGCGCGATTTCAAGGAAGGCGGGTGGGAAATGATCATGGTCGGGCTACTGCACCAACTTTCCCTGAGCGAGCGGCTCAATGCGAGCTGCGAGGAGCTTCTCGAGCAGCTGGTCCCGACCGATGCCGAGCCCACCCAGGAGACGGTGCGCGAGAGATATTCCGCCCTTGACGTCAACTATCGCGTTCAGGCGCTGCAGATCATTTGCATGCTCACCTCCGAGACGAGGGCCATCCGCGGGTACATGGAGGACTGTAGTGAAACCATGACGGCGTACAGGAAGGAGAAGATTGAGTGGCAGAGAAAGAGGAAGTTGCTGTAGGCGGAGTCTCCCCCTGTCGCTTTTGGAGCCTGATACTGACCGTTTCACAGGATTGAGGAACTCAAGGGCCTCAACGATCAACGCAAGATCCTCTTGCCTGACAACCTTCCTCCGAGCCCACCCCTAGAGCCGGTAAAGACCAACGGGGACGTCAAGATGTCGGATGTGGAGGACTTACCCGCCAACACCTCGGATGAGGTTCCGGACTCGGACGACGAGGGCCCGGCAAGGAAGTTGCGCCGCGCCAACGACCGCGCGGCGGAGCGCAAGCGCAAAGCCGAGAAGGAGCAGGAGCGGAAAGAGAAGGCCGAGGCAGCCGCCAAGGTGCCGAAGCAGTCGAAGCAGTTCCAGCGGGTGCTCAAGGACATCCAGAAGAAGGAAGACGAGATTGCCGAGTGCGAACGCGAGATTGCCATCATCGACAACGACCTGCGCGAGGCCGACTGCCCGCGCACGCGCGTGCTGGGCAAGGACCGCTTCTGGAACCGGTACTACTGGTTCGAGCGCAACGGCATGCCCTACGGCGGGCTACCAGACAGCTCCACGGCGTCGGCGGGCTACGCCAACGGGTGCCTCTGGGTGCAGGGCCCGGACGAGCTCGAGCGCGAGGGCTACATCGACATGCTCCCCGAGTACCAGGACGAGTACAAGGCCAAGTTCGACATGACGGTGCCGGAACGCAAGAAGCTTGAGGAGGGCGCCACCAGCGTGTTCAACGCCTGCCAGTGGGGGTACTACGCCAACCCGGAAGACGTGGATGCGCTCCTCGGCTGGCTCGACCCCCGCGGGTTCAACGAGCTGAAGCTGCGCAAGGAGCTCGTCAACTACCGCGACAAGATCGCCAAGAACATGGAGAGCCGCAAGGCCTACCTCGCCACGGCAGAGGAAGAACAGCAGGTCAAGGAGAACGGCAAGGCCAAGGCCAGCAGCGAAGAAGCCGCCGACGACGAAGAATCCACCCCGACGCCCGCCGCCGCCACGCCGCCCCCCACCACAGGCAAAAACAAACGCATGAGCACGCGCGGCCGCGGCGTCACCACCATCTCGGCGCCGCCCCTGCCGTCGGAGCCGGAACGGGAGCCCACGCCGGCCGCCGCCGCCGCCGCCGCGCCCGTGACGTACCGCTGCATGGACTGGCAGAACACCATGGCGCTCGACGAGATCGGCCACCTGCACAGCTTGGAACCGCCCCCGGCCAGGTCCCGCAAGATGACCAAGAAGAAGGAGGCTGCCATCACTGCGGCTGCGGCTGCGTCGGCTGAGCCGGATGTCATGGTTACTAGGGGGAAGAGGAAGCGCTAGCCTACTTCTTTTTTCGTCGCTTTTAGGGGTGTTTGTTTGTTTGCCTGAGCGGAGTGGAGTTGGTGGTTGTGGTTGTGGGTGTGGGAGAGCGACAGGGTGTCGGGTGTTTGGACTTTTTTTTTTGTGCTTTTTGTTTTGAGCGGACGGTTACCTACCTAACCTACCTGGGTGCCGTTCCGGTAGTAGTGCTGCTTCAGCATGTACATACCACATACCTTTTCTGGTGTTGGGGCCGGGTGTTTTGGGTTTTGCTGGGTTGGCGTGGGGCTGCTTTGTTGGGAGTATGGTTAGACATGGTACGGTACGGTACATTGGCATCTTGCATCGCATTGCATTGCATTCGTTGTATTCCTTTAAGGAGAGGAGAGGCTTGCTGTTGGTGCTTTGCTTTGCTGCTTGGGGTGTGTGTGTGCTCGTGCCTCCGTACATGATGGGTATCTATTTGTCGGTGCACTGGAGGGGGCGGAATAGAAAAATACAATAGGGTACCTGCATAGATCTATGCCTACAGCCAGGCAGGTAGATGTCAAGCTGTCTGCTCTTGGGTCCTTGCGGCGTGTAGTTGTCGGGTACACAAATTTTCCTCTACTGCAACATATCTTTTTCTGTCAATCTATCAATATAGGTTAATCAACTCCCCGACTTGGATCGTGACATGAAAGATATCGATGGCGAAGACACCAGGGTGTCAACATCAGCGTGTAGGCCACAGTGAACTTCAACAGCTTGTTCTAAGTTAAGTGGTGATTATTCTCTTCACGCCGTACGCTGGCTAGATAAACTCGCCCTGCCGTCGCAAGCAGACCTCCAACCCCCGGCTGCGTAGCTCACGTCCTATGGCCTCCCCCATTACTTCCACCCGTTTTTTACACCACCAATATGTGTCGTCTGTCAACAAGGCGCCTGTAACGCGATAGATATGAAACAACAGAACCAGCATGCGCGAATCCCCGCTCGAAATCATGGCCAACAGCGGGCCGAAACACATCATAGGGAAGGTCGTCACATACCGCACCAGGTCACTGCTCTTCACATCCGTGGAACAGTGACCGCCGGCCCCGTACCCCCCTGTTTTAGACGCCGGCCCCCCGCGATTCCCACCATCCATCACGAACGCCAGAGCAACCGAAACCCTCGTAGCCAGCCTTTTGTACGCCGCCCTCACCAGCGCCTCGTCATGGGCCCCGGCGTTTTCCAAGTAGGCATCCCCTTCCTTGTGACTCTGCCATAGTGTCATGATCCTGTACGGCGATTCGTCCGTTGGCGACAGGCTGGTGTTGCGGAGGCCCTCCAGGTAGGAGGTCGGGTAGGAGGTCGGGTCACCGCTGGCGCCCATACCCATGTCCATGCCCATACCATTTCCATCTAAGCCGTTAGTGTCGTTGCTGGCGGGCGTGGATGGGAACGAAGTGAAGGGGCTCAACCCGGGCGTCGGACCGGTCGGGCTCCCGACAGAGCAATGCGACGACGGCCCCGGCGAGGCGAACACCCCGGCCGGGCACACCCCGTTGGTGCTCCCACTCGCATTCCCATTCCCGTTCCCACCACACCCACCACACCATCCCCCACCGCCATACCCACACCCAGCACACCCCCCAACACCACCACCATTAACACCCCCAACACCACCACCCCCCATGTGACCGCCCCCCGAACCATTAACACCACCACCAACCCCAAACCCATGAGAAGAACCACCCCCCCTCCCCAAAACCCCCCAAAACCTTCTACTATCATAAACCCCCATAAACGCCCTCACCCCCCTTCTCCAGTTCAGGCCGCGCGCGTCGACGGCATCCTCCAGCGCCACACACGGCTGGAGCAGCCCCGCGCGGGTGAAGGCGGACTGGCGGGACTGGAAGAGCGGCCAGGCCATGAAGAAGATTTGGCGGACGCCCGTGGAGAGGAAGTAGAGCCTGTCGGTGGAGAGGTCGAGGGGTTTTTCTGGGGCTTTGGGGGGGATTGGGGGGGTTGGGGAGAAAAGGGGGGTTGGGGAGAAGGGGGGAAGGGTGGTCGAGGAGAAGAGTGGGGGGAGGGTGGTTGTGGCTGTAATAGGGGGGGTGGTTGTGAATGGGGCTGGGGAGGTGGGAGGTTGGGGGGAGGGGTGATGGGAGTTGTGATGAGATCGGGGGTGGCGGTCGGAGTGCGGGTGTTGGTTCAAGGCCGGTATGGAGTCGTCCTGCTGCTGCTGCTGCTGCTGCTGCTGCTGCTCCTGCTGCTGACCCTCCATGAAACTGAGATCGCACCACATCAGGTACTGGATCAGGTTGGCGGTCCCCAGCAGGGCGTCGCAGTTGGCCGGCGTGATGGGCTCCGACAGCGACCCCCGGTAGTCGTGCAGCGCCTTGTCCAGCAGCGCGTACTTGGCCCGGTGGTACTGCGCGTGCGCCCCGTGCAGGTAGTCGAGGTGCGCCGCCGCGAAGGCCAGCATCGCGTTCACCAGGTACGTGTGCTGCCGGGCCTGTGGGTGGGCAGGGGGGCAATGCTTGTCAGCTTTTGTGTAACCGTACCATAGTATATATATGCATCCCGTGCTTGCTTCTCCATGTACATATCGATATTCGTTCCAAATCGAAAGAAAAGAAAAGGGGTGGCTCCAGCAGGAGTACATACCTGGAAGGCGAGCTGCAGCATCCTCGGCCACACCTCCTGGAACGGCAGCGTGGGGATGCTATACCGCTCAAAGTGGTGCAGCAGTTCCATATGCAGCAGATTGATGGGGCGGCACTCGGGCTCGGAGAGCGGGCACCAGGCCACCTCGGGCGGCGGAGAGGTCATCGGCGGCGTGTCTCGTGTCCCCCGGTTGGGCGATGCCGGGCTGAGGCGGACGCATGTCTCCTTTCGCTTGACGCAGTTCCTGCACGGATCTCCCTCGTCGCACTGTAGGAGTCGGCAGCTGTCAGTAACTACCTATGGGCAGGTAGAGACACACCCCTCCGTCGCGGGAGGAAGAGGAGGGTGGCAAACAAAGTATGTAAGACAGACGGCCCGTACCTTGACTTTGCGCCGTTTGCATCTGATACATCCCAGCCTTGATTTCTGATCAACCCGTCCCCCCATGAAGTTAGCGTGCCTGTATCGATTCCATATCCCCCATAAAACCCGTCTCATCCCCCACAAAGCCGACCTGATCCAGTAACTCCCGCGTGGGTGAACATACCCGATGCGGCCGCTTCTTCCGAGTCTCCTGCGGTCCCACGACCTTGAGAGCCGGCCCACCATGCTCGTGATTGGCGACAAGAAACGTGTTTGCAAAGGCTGTGACCCGCCCAGAAGCCATCGCGGCGGATCAGCTCAGGTGGCCAGGGGTATGTGTGTGGTGTGTGTCGAGAGGTAGCTCAGGGGTAGAAGCAGAGTAGGCGGCCGGAAGTGATGCCGAAATGGTGTAACACGAACAGCCAACAAGCAACAAGCGGAACAACAAACACACAGGATAAGTTGGATAGACGTCCGAGTTGGGAAAACGAGGAAGCGATGGCACACTCGCACAACTACTACACGCTGAAAGACGGAATCAACAGAGGCAAATGCGAATCTCGCATCTCTTAAAGCATGCAGTTCCACCTCCCATCGGTGCCCGGAGGACTGGAGTCAGGCAGGAAAAACACGAGATGTGGCAATGACCTCAGCAACAATGCCCTCTCCATCCCCTGCCCGGCATGACCTGAAGCCCGACGTTTCAAAACGCGAGAGAGCCGACGGCAGATTTAGAACACAACAGGTAGTAGAGCGGCGGTAGGAACATGGAAGTCCCTCTGGGCAAAGGGCGGGCGTCGGGTGGCCGAACACCGTGAGGGGGCAAAAGGAGGAATATTTGGGCCGTTAGAGGTGTTGAAGAGACCATCAGAGACCATCTCGAGAGCTCGCATTCCCAAAGGAGGATGCGGGTCGGAATGATGCCGGCTTGGCCATGTGTTTTCTGATCCGCTTCGATGCAGGAGCGGGAGCCGCGGGAGGGCGATTGGCGTGCCAGGGCGTGCCAGGGCGTGCCTAGACCTGGGCTGATTCAGCAACCTCTTTGCGGGGAAGGGTTGGCAGAGGTAAAAGGGAGGGATCGCCCTGTGTGTGGCTGTCATAACTGTGCAACGGCGTGCAACGGGACAGGCAGACAGATTCGAGCGAGAGTGTTGGCCATCGGAACTGGTTCCGGCGGTGACGGGAAGAGTCCTTCATCTTACCATCCTTCGCATACTTCACATAACTTGCGCACTTCGTACACAGTAGGTTATTTTCCGAACGGATACGAAAACGAAGCACGTCACCGAGAGATGAAACGCCGATCTGGGCGATTTCCAGAAGGGAACAAGAACAAGACGGAAAAAGAATAACCCCATAGTATGACCAAAACCCCTTCTCTAACAAATTACTTGCGCTTTTCCCTCACCCCCTCCCCATCCCCAACCACAGTCCCTTCGTCTTCGCTCAACACCGCCGGGCTCTCATTCACCGGCAAACCGACCACCTCCACCCTCCCATCCTCCCCAACCACCGGCACCGGCGCCGCCGCCTGCTGCCCCTGCTGCCCCTCCTGCTGCTCATTCGCAGCCTGCAACATCTTCTGCAACACGGCAGCCGCCTCAGCAGCATAGCGGCACTTGCTGCGGATGCGGGCACCATAGCGCCAAAACAGCCACGGGAACGGCATGCAGACAAGGGCGAGGAAGGCCGGGATGGTGCTGGCCCAGTGGATGCCGAGATCATTATACATGTAGGTCGTGAAAAGCGGGAAGGCAGCACCAAAGAGGGAGCGCAGAACCGAGTTAGCCGCGAGCACCGACGCCGCAAAGACGGTGTAGCTGTCGATCATGTAGGTCAACAGACTAAGGAACACGCTGACCAAGCCGGCGGCGAAGAAGGCCGACGCGGTGATGGGCACGACCCAGTGGACGTCGGGCCCGTTGGTCCAGGCGAACCAGAACAGCCCCACGGGCAGCAGGACGGAGCCGATGATGGCGGGCGGGAGGCGGGCCTCGGGCGGGGCGAGCCCGCCCGGCGACGCCGCCGCCACGCGGCCGTAGCGCCGGTTGTCGAACATCGAGTAGGCGACGGCGAAGACCATGCCCACGGCGACGCCGATGAAGGCCAGCCCGCCCACGCCCGCGCTCCAGCCGCGGTTGAGCTGGAAGACGATGGGGAAGGCCGCGAAGAGCAGGTACAGCGTGCCGTAGACGATGGCCAGGTAGATGGACGTGAGGAAGACGATGGGCTCGGTGAAGAGCAGCGCCCACGGCCGGAGCAGTGTTGTTTTGACCTGCTGGGCTTTGGTAGCCGTGATGGAGAGGTCCATCTTGGACGTGTACGCCCGCCCCGTCAGCTGCGAGAGCTTGGCCGCCCGCCGCCGGAGGAGCACCGGTGCGTAGGTTTCGGGTACGCACAGTGAGCATGCAATCCAGAGAACACCCGTGAAGATGGCCATCAGCCCTTCGATCCAGCGCCAACCTTCGGCTTCGCCCTGTGAGTGGGTGGTGTTAGTTCTGGTGGTGCTGGCTTCGCGGAGAGTAAGGGGGGGCCGCTTACGAGGAACCCGCCGGCAATGGGGCCGATGGTGGGACCCAGGAAAGGCGCCATGGCGAAGACACTTGTTGCCAAACCACGCTCTGAGAAAAGAGGGCTTCGTCAGCATCGAAACATATTGCATTCCTGCAGGGCGGCAACGTACCCTTTGCATTGAACATATCGGCGATGACACCACCCGAGTTTGTTAGGGGTGACGCGCCAAACGCGCCGGCGAAGAAGCGCAGGATGATGAGGGTATGGATGTTCTGAGCACCCGCGGCGCCGGCGCTGAAGGCGGCCAGGCCAAAGTAAGTGAAGAAGAAAACAATTTGCCTTCCGTGGAACTCTGTTGTCACATCTCAGTCAGCGTCGTCCTCCCAAACACACCATCCCCCTTTCCTGTAACGGGACACCATACCGCTAAGAGGCGCCCACAGCAACGGCCCGATGGCAAACCCGAGCACAAACAACGAAACCCCCAGAATGGCCACGATGGTCGATACGTGGAAGTACCGGATGATCTCGTAGACGCCGCCCGAGTATGCCGTGCTAACAAATGCCACGGCCAGCGTAGCTAGGGCTTGAAGCATGGTGATGGTCCATTTCTTCGTCCGCGAATACTGCATCGGGTTGCTCCCGTCTTGGGGAAGGAAGTCGACAACGTAGGGCGACTCGGGTGTGCCCTGGCCGGGGTAGGTATGGTTCAAGACCGCATCGGTGACGCCGTCCTGGTGGCGGACCAGGAACCAGTGTGACGGGTTGTTTCGGCCTTGTTGGGACTCGACGTCTGGGCTGGAGGATAGGACCGGTTCCTTGACCGTGAAGGAGGAAGAGGATGACTGGGGGTCGGCCATGTTGATCAACCGTCTGTTTCCTAGACGGTCGTCGTGTGTGTTACCTATTCAGGGGTAGGCGATCTGATATCTTGGACTCGGGCTGATAAAAGTAGTAGCAACCCAGGAGAGATTCAACTATGCTTTATACGGCCAAGCCGGGCTCGACTTGCCATGACGGCAAATCCGAGCGAAAACCCATCATTATAATTAGTAGCCCTCGCAACTCGAATTCCGTTCCCGATCTGACGGGTACGCGAGGCGCGAGGCTCCACTAGAACCAACATACGCAGGCGTAATCACAAAATGCCCCATCGTGGGCCGAGCCGAGAATGTCGGGATCTAGGAGGGAAACGGTAGGACATGGCCTGACAGATCTCCCCCTTCTCTGGTATGTACGTTCGCTCCCTTCCATCGAGGGTCGTCAACCCCAGCGTTTGACCGTCTCACCATGTTCCATGATACGCCGTCCTGCGTATTGCGTACAGTACATGCCTCTGGATGGGGTGGTCCGGCCCACTTGAAATGGACTCGAAGACGCAAAATCGAATAGTGGATCAGTTTTCCGCGTAGGAAGCCGAGGTCGTTTCGGGGCTGATAAGGTGATCAATCCCGGACTCGGCACCACTCTCTGTCCGCATCGTCAAAGTCGACAAAAGGGATGCGATTTGTGTCAGTTCAATCCCTCGTTCATTCATAAGCAAGCCGTTGGGACCTGGATCCGAGAGAAAGGCATTGGAGAAAGGGGTCAACCCCAACTCCCGTCGCTAAGGTAAGGTATTGTGTAGGTGTCTGGGATGAACCAACCCTCGGCGGAAGCTCGCGAGCTGCCGACGCACCACCATCTTGGCAACCGAGGCGCAGGTCAGGTTTGAACAAAATCGGCGGAGTTGGGCGAAAAGGCTCCGAAAGCCGCCATGCTGAACAATGTTATTCATGCCGGAACTCCACCACACCGAAGCAGCAGCAGCTTCGAGAACATCCATCCGCGCCACAGCGAGTCGGAAATGTGGGAGGGACCTGCTCAGTACCACTCGCAGCCACGTGGCTCAGTTTTGGTTTCAAGTGAAGAACTGAGAGCGAACCCACCTGTGCTATGCTCTCAGAGAGAATTGCTGTTGGCAAAAGAAACTGAAGGCAATCGTTCGATTTCAGGTTTTAATTGAGGAGGGGAGTTGTGCATGGCAGCTGCCACCTATCGAGGCAAGAACAGTTTTGACTGCTTGGCGGGAGCAGCCGAACGGGCAGGTCTCGGCCGACACCTGCCAAGCTCAGCCCTACGGATCTGAGAGACTGGGGTGGGAACGACCGATTCAAATCTGAAGCTTTGCCCTAATCTCTGCTAAATAGGTATCATTCCCCCGTCTGGGATCGTCATTGATTTTTCTCGCCGAGTTCTTGACCGCACAGTATGTAGTAGTTATCGTTGAGCCGTTGTTGAGCGACGCCCCGCTTTGCACAGCTTGAACACTCAAGTACCTAAGATGGAAGGGATGGAATGTCCAGTTGCCTTAAGCCGTGTATAAGCTGCGACGTCACTACCTAGGTCATGAACAGATCTGAGTCGGGGATACGGGCATATACACTATGTTCACTACTGTGTAGTGGAGTGTTGAGTTGAGACGAATGATAGATAAAGAAGTGACGTCCGCACTTTCCCACTACCTGTGGTAGGTAGTTCCCGCGCAAGTCCCGGGTTCCTTCGAATCCTTCCTTCCGTCCTCCCCGCGTCACTCTCTCACCCTCAGCGAATTGAGTCGTTTTTATGGGTACTCAGAACACCCGTCTCCGCAAATCAACTTCCAGGATCAGTCGTCTGACCTAACCTCTTCCGGGGTTACGACTTCTCGTCGGTTTCTCCTCATTTTGAATGCGAGCAGTGAGCTTGAGCAGCTCAAGTTTTTGTTTCATGAACACAAACTAGGAACATACCTACCAACGTTTCTGATCACATATCCATAACTACAATAACCCCAATTCTCTAGCGTTCCTTTCTTGGCATCCCGGTCCAACGGTTTCCTCAACCTTCGACTGCCGGAGGGTTGCTTTCTGCCCCTTGCTCCATCTCGCGACTTGCAGGGGTGCACGCATGTCCCCGAAGGATCGACAATGAAGCTGAGATTCTGTCAGAAGCCCATTGGACCATGTCCGCGCCGCGGGAGCACAACCACAAGAACGGCCTCCTGGTTCGCCCAGCCATTTCTTGTTTCCCACGAGAACGGCGGCTTTTCGGATTCTTGACCGAGCAAGAGATGCTTTCTTCCGCGCCGTTGCGTCGAGGACGATGCCCTTCGTGCTCCTCGATCCTCGGACTCGTCTTCCTGGCGGCAGATGCCCGGTTTTGAAGCATTGCGTCAGTGTGAATTGAGTCCCGATCCTTTCGAAGAGTGCCCAACTCACCGCCACAAAAGCCCCGCCACGGGTCTCAAAAAGGTCGGCGCAATACGGGGTGCGGGAAACGGATCGGCGCCTGCAAGATGACTGAGCCACTCCTGTCGCATTAAAGTCTGAAAGGGACTGCACCAGGTCGGAGACTAGCCATGGATGAAAAGATTATGTGTAACCTCGCATTGACTGGTGCTTGCGAACCCAGTCAGCCATCCATCCATCCCCCTTGAAGCGTGGGTGGCCAGACCACCCGCAGTCGTCACCTCGAGTCCACGCCTCCGTAATCTGTACAATTCCTTCCCTTCTTCCGTCAGTCTTCACCGTGTTACCATCCGCACCTGGCATCGTCTCCTTTGCGTCTAGAAGCGCACATCGTCGAGGGCCAGCAAAGCATGGCTTGCGCCGTTTGCCTCCCGAGATAACACTCCGCGCCTCGGAAACAATGCCGCTCCCGGCCACATATCCCGGGGCAGTCGGCAGGTTAAGGCGGACGCGCCGAATCCCGCGTTTGCCCCGTTTGACCCCTCTATGTATATCATTGTTCTTGTTATTCTGCTTTCTCCACACTTCTTTAGCCCAACGCGACCCGGTCAAGAACTTCTGCCGACGGTTTGGCCATCAGACAGCCGTGATCGATAGAAAGTTATACATTGACGGCGGGTTTATGAACTACAGCCCGCTGTCACAATACCCGACTAATTATTCAAGTATGTATCTCGTCCGGTGGTTGGCGCCGGCCTACCTGTCTCTCGTCGACGACTAACTCGGGTGTCCGTCTCAGATCCCGGGCTTCACTACCATGATCTTGATACGCCGGGCGCAGGGCTCATGCCACAGCTTTACGCCAACCTCACCAAGAACACCTCCATCCCGACCGTCAATGGCGGTACCCTATGGGCGGATGACGTGAACAAAAGGTTCTACCTCTTCGCCGGCGAATATTACCAGCAACCGCCCTCGTCGCAGTTCACGCTCTGGTCATACGACACCATCTACAACCGTTGGGAATCATTTGGGTCGCCGGCTGAGGACGATATTGCTGCCATCTCATACGGCGCGGGCGTCTCGGTATCCGAAACGGGCGATGGCTACTACTACGGCGGATGGAAATCGAACAATACCATGCCGGGCTGGGAAGGCTCGCCAAAGGCAATGACTGGTCTGGTGAAATACAACATGGACTCGAACGAGTGGTCTACCGACCCAGGGCCGGACTCGATTGGGAGAGCAGAGGGGGCGATGGTGTTTATTCCGATCGGTGATGGCGGGATGCTGGTGTACTTTGGTGGCGTTCGAGAACCCTCTGGGAACGGGACCTGGGTCGGCCAGTCCCTGGAGACCATCTTCCTCTACGATGTGCTCAGCTCAAAGTGGTACACCCAGGAGGCCACGGGACAGATTCCGCCGATGCGAAGGCGGTTCTGTGCTGGAGCGACCTGGGCTCCGGATCAGTCAAGCTACAATATGTGAGTGGTGGCTTTAGGGTACTTGTAAGGGATCAACCGCGACACTGACTCGGATGACAGTTACCTCTACGGCGGCGCGGGGATGCCTCCCGAGACAGCAGGCTTCGACGACATCTACACTCTTTCGATACCCTCATTCGAGTGGGTCAAGATGTTTCCAGCCGACGGGAACCAAACCGGCACATACCCACACCACTCTCTTACTTGCAACGTCATCGACGACGCCCAAATGATCGTCATCGGCGGCACCTTCCCGACCAGCGACCGCTGCGACGTCCCGGAGCAATACGGACTCCACAACATCGACCTGGGCCAGCAAAACGAAGACGAAGCCATCTGGCAGATCTTCGACACCAACCTCACCAAGTACGCCGTCCCGGCCCCCATCATCGACGCCATCGGCGGCTCCGCCGGCGGAGGCGCCACCAAAACCGCCCCCGCCGACGGCTTCAGCAACCCCGACCTCCGCGTCCTCATGACCCGCAAAGCCAGCATCGCCACCCGCACACCCACCCGCGCCATCCCCACCTCCACCAACCTCCCAGAGCAAGAAACCCCCCTATCCAGCGGCGCCATAGCCGGCATCGCCGTCGGCGCCGCCGCCGCCGTCGCCATCCTCCTCGCCGCAACCATCTTCCTCATCCGCCGTCGCCGCAACCCCCCGCACGGCAACAGCGGCGGCGGCGGCACCCACCCGCAGACCAAATACCTCTCCACCAGCTCCCACGGCTGGAGCGGCCCCACCCACACCAACAACAGCGCCCAGAGCCCCACCACCTACTCCCCCACCAGCCCCTACGGCCACAGCCCCTTCCTCGACCAGCACCACCAGCACGGCAACGGCTACCGCCCCCCGCCGCCGCCACCGGCTGAACTCCCCGTCTCGGATGCCACGACCTGGCGGGGGCCGGATGGTGTGGCGTATGAGCTGGTGGATGCCCCCGCGTCGCACCTCGTGCCGAATCTGACTGGCGGTACTGCCGGTGGGGGGAGTACGCCCACGGACGGTGGTTATGGCCTCGGGGTCGGGGGCGGGAGCAGCAGTGGCGGCGGCGGGGACGCGCCGCCGCCGCCGCCGACCAAGATGGATGCCGAGGGCAGGCTGTGGGTGCAGGTGTCGTCGCCGGCGTCGTCGTCACACCTGCCGCATGGCAGTGTTGGTGGGGGTACTGGGGGTGGGAGTCCGTATCACTCGGGCCACTCGCCGGTGACGCCGGGGTCGGCGCAGCAGTATCATCTGTCGCAGCAACAGCAGCAACAGCAGCAAGGGGTGGGGTTGTGGGAGCCGCAGGAGTTGAGTAGTGAGCCGAGGAGGGATGTGGGTGGTGGGGTGGGGGATGGAGGAGGAGGGGAGGGCCCGTTGGGGGAGGGTGGGGATGGGGGGAGTGGACGGCCGAGACATCTTACTTTTTATCATCCTTGATGATGTATGTGGTTTTGTTGGTTGTGAGGTTGGGATGGTGTAGGCGTTTTTGGATGGATGGCTTGGATACCTACCGTGACTGTGCAGGAGAAACTGTGCGGAATGGCGTGTTACGTCCCAGTAAGTTGAGTTGACTTCGGACCTAGTGGGTCGGATTTAGAAATACCCTCATTGAATGGAAGATTTTTAATATCGTTCATTCTTGTGAGACTCCTTGCTGTGTACATCGACGTTGACAAGGTGGCATGGCTGGTTGCTGGTTGGTGTACCACATACATCCACATGTAGCTACAATCACACCCTCCCTAGTAGCAACCACTAATTCCGGCTTTACCGACGTCTTCCGCTCAAGCACCGAGTTGGACAACCTTTCGAGTCTCATGATCGTGCGTCTGGTATCTTGAGCGCTCCGTGGTCGGCGAATCCTTCCCGATCGGTCCCAGACCGATAACGACCGCCCGATCGATGCTGGCGGTCGTTCGCTCCGAATCGGGTCGGAGTCCCACTAACCGCCGAGGCACACAGTTTACTTTACGGAGTTTATTCATCCGAGTGAGTCAACAAACACCCAACTGCATGCATACAGAGTGTTCCAAGGGGCGTTCGCTCTAATCGGCCGCAATTCGACCGATCGCGGTACAGCCGGAGGACAATCATCAGCCGGCCAGGGTGTCCGACATTGCGTGATGGGCACGGCTGACCGCGCCATCTGCAGCATGTGCGCCTCCTGTGTGATGCAGACCAGACTGTCGGGACGGTCCGGCGTGCGAGGGAATGCAGGGGTGAGTCGTGGCGCACACTGTCACCCTCGTCGGTCAGCCACCTGGATTGGGGTTTGTCCTGGTGCTGCTCTGAGTGAGAAGTGGAGTTCTTCCACTTCGCCATTTTCTGCTTCCGGTTACGTTAGGTGCCATTCTCGAGGACTGTGAGCTTCGAGATAAGGACCAGTCGCCGATGCCTGCGAAGTCGGAGGGCTCGGATGCCCCAACCTCGAAAGCTCCGGACGAGGCTCCGAGTTGTGGGGCCGGGACCGGGGCAGCTGCCTGGCCAAATTTTCTTGGGCCGGCGCACCTTGGCACCGCGTGGAAGCGGGAAGTGGATGAGCGAGTGGAGGCCGCGCCCATTCCGGATCTCTCCGGTCTCCACGCGAGATAGCCAAGTTGACCAGGGCAGAAACTGGAGGTGAGTGACAGCTGGGGCTCGAGGCCCGAGGCCGCTCTGGGCAAGCCGACCAAATACCCAGAGGGAACGAGAGATGCCAGGATCGGGTAAATTGTCATTGAATTGGGGCTCAGGAATGAGATGTCGGATGGGGGTCATGCATCATGTTGTCGGGTGATGGATTTGCAGCCACCAAAACACCCACGTTCGGTCCGTCAACGTTATCTCTGGCGGTTTCAAAACCGCGATAAGGACTCCCGGATCCGATCAAGTGCCAGGAGTACCTGCAGCATCGTGATGCACGCTCTGGCCGGCGCGCTCGTTTGGGGAGCGACTGGGTCTCGCGGGGGTCAGCCGAGAAAGCCCCCACTGACTGCCACCCTCTCGAGTCGTGCGTGTCCACCCCCCAATGCCTCTGAAACCCGGCGGTACCCGGGCTGGATATCGTGGCATAACCTGTCGTGTCCCATGTCAAACTCGATCTCGAGTCCTGAGTAGCGACGGTAGGAAGCTGAGCATGATCGAACCTGCCTCCCGACGATTTGCGGCCTCTTATCTCGGTGGCATGAGGGCCATCGCAATGGGTTAGGATAGAGCAGACTGGGCGCACCCGAAGGCACACCCGCAATCATCAATGAACTACCGACCGAGGTAAGAACCGAACTTGGTTGACCCCGCCGTGTTGACATTGCCTCCTGCTTCCCAAAGACGGCTAAGAATGCAAGCCATGCTCATGTGCGGGCGGCCCGTATCAGCCGCTGTTGCGTTTCGCAGGTGAGGGTGCAGACGCCCTGCTTGGGCCGGACGCGACTTGCACCATCCGGGATGCAATCACCTGTTGGTTGGGAGGTGATACAACCGAACGGAGTGGGGGTTGCCGGAGCGGCAGTGCTGCCGGTGCATTGGGGGGCGAAGGTGAACAATTCCTCCTATCTCATGGTACCGGAGAATCGGATGATCGCAAATGGCTGTCAATGGAGTTCCGTTGGATTGTGCTGGTCGTTCTGTCGTCCGCAATAGGAAATAACGAGGTAGGTATTCGGTGCCTGAGCTCTCGAACAGTGAACCGTTGTGGCTTCGATATGGAGCGTTGTGAAACCGACCATCAGGGTGCCCCCCACGCGAGGCGGCAGAGCCAAACGAATCACCCTGACGGTTCACACGGCTTGATATTGCTCGCCTAACCTGCTCACGATCTCGACAAGGGGAGGCAACGCTGCGTCGCAACCTTGCTGGGCGCAGCTGTGGGTTTAAGGACCGGATGACGCACCCAGAAGATCGAATGAGACAAGGTACGCGGTCTCGGCAGTAACTATACCGTGTGCATACACATGCGGCGCCAGGTTTTCGAGCTCGGTTGCCCTGCATCCTTTTGACCAGTGCAGAAGTCAAGATCGGCGATGGAGCGCAGGATTGAGATATTGAAATTATGGCGGTCCGTGACGAGACTGCAAGCGGTGCCGTGGGATGCTGGGTTTCCACACTGACCTTTAAGCAACCCACCTTTAGCCCGAGACAACGCATTTATTGGGGAGGCGGAATCGAGAGAGGTATGACACAGACGACCCAAAGCTTTCATGAGACCAGACTTAAGAGACAGACTTTTCTTCAGGTTTAAATTGGGTGGAGCCCAGTAGCTGTGGTGGCGCCTGTCTGACCGCAACTGCCACAGTACTAGTACTCATGGCGTGATGTCGTGACAGGTGGTCGTCATCTGACGACTCCCCTAAACACAATCGCAACCCAATTCCACTGTTTGGGGTGGAGAGTGAACCCGGAATGGAGGCAGTTGGACGAGGATGAGAAGTGATGAAAATTTTTCATCGAAATTCTGGACCCGGGAGGCCGGAGGCCAACGGTGAGGGCTGGCCTCGTGGTGCCCTGGCCTGGGAAGGATGGACAATTGCAACTGGCCAGGAACGTGCTCAGGGTGATGGACGAGAAGTGCCATGGCCGCGGCGTCGAGCCCATGACCAGCTTTCACTTTTTGTGGGTGTGGGAGCTTGCCGAGCTTCCATGCCCGGATGGCAGCAGCAACCTTGCTGGGCCTTCCTGACTTCCCCAGAACGTCAGGCAGGCGCCGTGGCCCCTTCCTATGATTGGCTGAATCCCGCGCACACCTTCCATTCCGCGCGTCTACGAACCGTCAAGGTTCCATTTTTGGATGGAAGGTACGAGCATCGCTCTTGCATGTCTTTTCAACGATCGCGTATCATGCACTCTCCTTTGGGACGACTTTGTGAGCATCGATCGGAGCACAACTTCCTCAGAATGCCCGCGAAATATCACAACATTCTCACACCATGTCGGACCGCCATGTCCACCATGTCCGCTATGTCCGCGCGATCTTGCTCGTTTACCAATCCCACTTCCAATTTCCAGATCCCATCATCCACCGCACGGATTTGTCACCGGACTTATCATCGGAAAATTGACACACAGCGGATTCAGCCAGATGAAGTCAGCCCATCTGCACCAAGCTTACATGATCACGACGACGGGACACACACTGGCAACTCGGCACTGACAGGGACAGGCACGGGGACGTCGACAGGGGACAGGGACAGGGGAAGGCCCCGCCCGGGCAACCTGGAACCCCACACTGCTGGCGTCAACCCCAGCGAGACCCCCTCCCGCTCAGCCCCTCGCAGGACAGCTGCGATGCCCTGTGCAGTGCATGTTAGCTAATCGATGTGACAGACGGGACGTCGTGACCTACAAGAGGACTGCAAGCCCTCCTCGCGCCGACCTTTCACACCTCTCACTCACTTCTGTTGCTTAGTTGTACAAACGATCGTCCTGAGCGAACATCGAAATCGAGCGGGGGCACCCCAAGCCTCAACTCCACGAAATCCAGTCCCGCGCACCCATCACAGAACCCTGACCCCGGTACATGCCTCACCAGGCGCTGCATCCACCGTCGCTCACAGAGGGTCCCCACTGGCAAGGTGCACCTGCACTGGTGACCACAAACTGTGATCGCTCACCGCAGCACCAGCATCGGTGAAAGACGATTGGCCGGTTGACAACCCCGATGATCTCCGTTCTCGGCTGCTCCCAGGAACCGTCCGGACTCTGGGGTCGACGGGGATCGAACTTTGATTAGCGAAGAAGAGTCATCCAAAACAGATAACAGAACAGACGATCTCTTTGCTCGTCACGGAACTCATCACGGAATTCTTTCACTCGTTTTCTCTATATCAACACTGGCCCGCTCGTTCGTTGTGGCACCTCGTGCGATACAACCCCCTCCGTTACACAAGACGGAACGTCCTTCTAGTTATCACGTCCGCCCTTTCCACTTGCAAGAGCCCAATTGACCATTTGTCGTCTGTTCTGGGCTTCAATTGTGTTTTTCCGAACGGGACGAACCTGAAGCTGTCTCATTGTCGATCGGGTTAACCGGTCTGTTGCGGCATTACCTCGTGGCGCGAGAACCAGCTCCGTTGTCGAGAACGAATAACTCAGGCGGCGCCTGACCGACCCGCGAGTCTCACAGCGTCAACAAGTCGATCGTCGAGATACAAGCCAGTGACAACCCGGCGGCAACCGAACCGAGTTTCGTTCTTCACTCTTAGCGGGTTAATTCAGCCAAACAGCGGCACGATCCATTCCTCCACTCCGTGGCCGCGGGAGAGCAACCATCGACTGCAGCGGCACACCACCAATCCATAGCCAACGCGACAGGGTAGAAAAATTTCTTCCCGCAGCGTACATATTTGCCACCGCACGACACCACACACATTGCTGGTTTGTCAGACCTGCAATTTTTCGACCCTGTTTCCTTGGCTTGAACGGCGAAGCGGGCTCAAATAGAACCCATTCACCTGGGATCTAGGTTCCGAGGCTCGATCCCGTCTTGGATCTCTTCCTCAGTCGGACCCTCAGCGCAGCCCGCAGCCCGCTCCCTGCCTGCCCGCCTCCCGTGTCGGACCTTAAGGGACCCGGCGAATCCGTCCCCCGCACCCGCCCGCCCCTGCTTCTTCTCCCCTGGGCTTTAAGCCAATCATACGATGGCCCCGATGCACCACCACCGCCGAAGATCCGGTCATCTCTCTGGCAACTCGTCGTTGACAGACGTCCGCAAGGCCGTCACGGCGACAGATCCTTCACACAAGAAGTATTCATCTCGACCTTCGATGACCAGGAGGACCACCCCCCAGACCGCCCCGAAGCTGGGAAAGAATCCCCGGGATCGCGAGAAGGAGCTTGATGAACAGCGCTGGTGGTATGAAGAGCGGGAGAGCTTCCCGGAGTATTGGTATGTCGTCAACAATCCTTTGTTGTTTCACAGCTTCATTGCGTCTTTCCGCTTCCCCTCAGGAAACTTCCATTTCCATCCTCCCGCATTGTCACCTGACATGCGGGCGATCAGTGTCACCCCAACCGCCCTCGGCGCGAAGGACGAGCTGTGGGGGATGGGAAAAGAGGGGATTGGAGACAGGTCGATCTCCTCAGAAGTGCCGGGGGGTTGCCGTTCCTGCATATGCCCCATCTCTCCTGGCATTTGAGTCTCCCAAGCTGACCGGTTTCCGCAGCATGATCTGTGAAAAGCAATTCGTCCCGTTAGATGACCAATCCTTGTACTGCTCTGAAGAGTGAGTTTGACAAGAACCGCTTTTCGTCGAATCCCGTTGACACTCGTCCAACCAGATGCCGCATGCATGACCAGAACAGCGCGAGCATCTCTACCGTGTCAAACCACTACACGAGCAGTCACACGGCCACCCAATATCCGTTCTACTCGGGCCCGCCAGAACCCAGGGATATCATACCCCGCGCTTCCCCTTCCCGCCCGAGTTCTACGCACGTTGCCCCGCCCGTCACCCCCGCATCGGCGATGGCAGCCCTCAAGTCGCTGTCGATCAGGCCGGCAAGTCCCACCTCGCCGGTAGGGACGTACCACCAGGGCATCTGGCCATTCGCCCGGAGCGTTACCGCAACAAGTCCGACCAATTCGTACTCGAGGCAAAACGCGGGCGTCTACGCATCTACTTATGACGGTGCCTACTACGGTGGCGGCGCCGATTACTACGGGACGAGCTCCGACCGGCCGCTACCTTCACGCAAACCGGCGGCGTACTCGAGACCCAAGAGCATTGAGCTCGTGACGCCCATGTTGGGGCGGTAGTCTGTCCTCCGCAAAACCCCACCTTTGGGATGACGGCGCGGAACACGGCTGCACCCATCCGTTTGGGTCCAGGTCATGTGAGGGCGCGGGCTCGGGTGACATCTGTCCTTGTCCTGCATGACGCCTCGCACCCTGCCGACCTCTTCTCCGTCCTTCCCGGTTCCTCGATGTGGGGGACTGGCACGGAGGGCGCAATGCAACCTCGGCGCGGGGTGGTGGGCTTCTGGGACGACGCCATGCAGCAATGGCAGCTTTTCGGAGCTGTCGCTTCGCCGAGCTGTCGTCAGCAGGCTCCTCCAGATCATTCAATCAATCCTCGGCTACCCCACACATTGGCCAAGATGATGGTGGCTTGTTTGGGGGCTACCCCTTCGGGCTTTCCTGATCAGTCTTGGGGCATCCAGTGCTGTCCGGGGTAAGCCAGGGTGTCGTTCTGGGGGCGGCTGCATTCCCACGCTAACGCGGGGTTTTCGGACGGTCTTTTCCCTCCGACCGCAGCACCATGGGTCCCTCGCGTCCTCTGTGCTTTTTACCTCAATTGGTCTCATTCTTTCTTTTTTTATTTATTTATCTTTTGTCTCTCCCATTTTCAACTCTGGGTTTATCATCAAAAGTGGATTTAGCGGGCATGGGCATGTTGTCAAGATTAGATGGGAAAAGCAACTTTTTGGTGCATAATTTTTCGCGTTTTGGGTAGTTAATATGGGGTTGTCTTGGCGTCACACTCGGGCCGGACTGGGGCACGCACGACAGAAATCGTTCTTGTCACGAATCACTATTGCGGGGTGTCGAAGGGACCTGGTGATGGGGTTTGTTTGGAAATATGTCCGGTTTTGGGACTTTCACGGACCACGGTTGCTGGGAGTTGGGATACACCTGCTCCTGTAATGATATCCACCATTATCAAACGTTATCAGCCAAATTACGTCCAGACAACCCGCCTCGTGTTAATGTGGGCATTGGACAGCGCACAGCACTCTCTGCAGCCGGTCTGCAATGTGTTGCTGCCATGTGGAGAATCGATATGCCTGCTGAACCACAAGCGGACGTTGCCTGCCATCCACTCTGCTCCCTGCGGGCCCGCTGGCGGGTTCTGGGCCGTGGAGAACGAGGCCAAACGTTCTTTTGTGTGGAGATGGGGTTTGCGAGATGGGAATCTTCTGGCGAGAGCTGAACCTTGGAAATGGAGAAAATTGTGGAGTTGCTGACAAGGAAAGATTTTTTTTTTTCTTTTTCGTTTCCGTCTCTTCCTGCGGTGAGCGACCAAAGCAGAAGAGAGAAAACTAGGCGAAGGGATTCACGATCAGATCGAGACATGAATCGATTTGTCACGATGACTGGCCTTTGTACTTTACCGCTTTCGAATGGATCGTCTCCCGTGAAAGACGCCCAAAAACGTCAACGGTGTCTCATCACAACCCCAAAACTCCAAAACCCCAATTGATCACCACTTTCTTTTTTCCTTCTCCTTTTTTTCTTTGGTTCTCGTGCATTGACCCCGTCCGATCCCCCAGTCCGCTTGTTTCTTGTTCCCCGCTCAACTCCGCATGCCCCCTCCCCCTGGAGAAGTCGAGATCATCGTCGGCCCGGCCTGATTGTGGAGCTTCCTCGGCCCAGCACGCCGAGTCGGCGCGCGCGCGCGCGCGTGGGCGATAAGATGCGATAAGGTAGACCGCAAGTCGGAAAGGGGAGGGGGGGTTGGGGGTTGGGGGAAGGGGGGTGAAGGGCGAGGGCAGGACCTGCAGCAGCAGCAGCATTCTGGACCTGGACTGGGCGTGTTGCATGCGTCCCTCGGGCGTCACCGCATGCCGCGGACGAGAGCTTCTTGCTTCCGGGCGATGCTTGTCGTGGTGCCGGCCCGTCCACGTAGCCCGCGGTGTGTGGAAGAAAAAAAAAAGGGGGGGGGGGGGGATTCCTTGTCACTCACCAGTGACTGCACGCAGGGTTCTGGTTGGGATGTTCCCCCCCCCTGCGTCAACAACCAAGCGAAACTACCGGCAGCGTGTGAGCGTGTGCAGTGCAGCGCAGGGCATGTAACCCAACCGACACACACCGTCACGTCAATCTCAAACCCAACGCCAGGGTTTCTCGGATCCCGGAATGTGAGGGAAGGAGAAGGAAGACGTGAGGAGACCCTTGATCGGTGCCAGCACGGCGGCTGGTACCGTTGTCGATCGGTCGCCGATCGGCGGCGGGCAGAGGCATCTCTCGACAGATATCCCACTGCTGGAAGAGAGGGAAGGTTTCGCCGATGTGGTTCTGGCGTGAGATTCATGCAGGGTATCGCTTAGACCGTGCTGGAGACATGAGGGAACGGGGACCCCTGTGTCCTTTGGCAGGAGCCATATGCCAGAAGATGACATCGAAGGTGCGGTGTCTGGTTGCGGTGAAGGAATGGATATGATAAAGCAATATAGGAGAACGCTCGTCCGCCGGGATGAAGGGAGACCGCTCCTCTGCGGTGAAGAGAACTGTTGTGATGTCGTCAAGGGCCGTGCGGTGTAACTCGGTACAGATGGAGGGACTCGAGACGTGATAGGCCGTTGAATCGAGGTTCCAACTTGGCTTGCGGCTCTCAATGCCCCAGGGTTAAAACCACAACAAACAAACAGCATACACATTCGAAACGCTTCTAACCCAGATCACAATACCCAACGTACAATAAACAACACCAAATATGTAGGAAAAAAGGCTTACATTAGAAGCAAGCGGCGGCAGCATGCATCCCTTTTTCAACACCCACCATCCCCCCGCCCCCTAGAATAACTCCGACGGAATCGACCCAGTTCATCCCACTCACTACTAATCATTAACGAATCAAAAGATCAAATCTCGCGTTGCGAAGAAACCGTACCACCAGTAAATGATAAGATGATACCCCCCCCAACCCACACACCAAGAAAAAAACAGGGAGCCAAGCCTTCCTTCCAGTCCCCCCCCCCCCCCACCCCAATGTTTCTCATCATGTTTATACTCATTGCGGCCTCGAGCTCGCCATCTCGCCGTACCGCCCGCGGTGCTGGGTCGTGTCGTACGCCTGCAGCACCCTGGTCTGTGACTCGTCCGCCTGCGAGAAGGCGTACCCGCGCTGCTTGCGCATGCGCTGCACCTGCCGGACCTTGCGGATGGCCTTTTGGAACTGCTCCATCCTGTACAGACACCACGAGTCAGTATCGATCACGAAGAAATACATTGGGGATATTCCATGGGGGGGGGTGGGGGGTAAAGACATACCTTGGCCGGTAATCCTGGATATTGTACTTCTGAATCTCCTGCACATGGTGGTACGGTTCGGGCTTCCACAGCCGCTTGCTGAACTTCCAGGCGAAATCCCTTGCGAGAGCGAGAAGTGCCAAGGTAGGCATCTGGAGCCAGAAGGCCGGGCTGGTGAACAGTCGCGGGACGACGCCAAAGTATTCCATCGAGAAGCCGAGCATCGGGGCGACGGTGCCGTACACGGCGATAAACACGATCCAGATGGCCATGCTGCCCGGGATGGCGATGACGTGGTACTTGGTCCAGTTGTTGGTGACGAGCGCGGCCTTTCCGAGGACGGTGAGCAGGACGGCGCCGTACATGGCGGCACCCCAGACCCATTTGCCGGCGGGGAAGCTGTCTTTCTGGACGCCGTCGTAGATGTAGAAGGCGGAGCCGCCGAGGTAGAGGATGATGGAGTGGTAGACGGCGTTGATGATCCAGGAGGCAAAGACGGAGGACCGGAAGAAGCTGTTGGTTTGGCCGAGTTTGTACAATTGCGGGTAGCGGTCGAGCAGACGGGCGGACACGAACTGGTCTAGGATACCCAGAACGAGAGGCGGGAGGACCGTGTAGAAGACGTTGTAGAAGGACAATGTCCAGGATTCGTAGATGACCTCACCGGAGAAGACGTTTTGGAAGACATACTATTCCTAGTTAGAGCGCGCCGACTTAGGTACCAACAAAGGAGGGGAAAACGTACCCAAAACTGTGTGAGATAGAGGGTGATGTTCTTGTAGAAGGAAAACAGGATCGCTTTGGCAACGCGGTGGTAGCTCCACGCGCCATGGACTAGAAGTAGCTTGCGGAGGAAGCGGAACTGGGCAATCGATACATCGGCGCTACGCGCGGCCTGGAGACCCTCCATACCGCTGATACCGATACCGATGTGGGCGGCCTGAATCATGGAGACGTCGTTCGCTCCATCGCCGATGGCAAGGAGGATAGACTCCTTCTGGTACTTCTTGACCAGCTTCACCACCATGGCCTTCTGAAGGGGAGAGACGCGGCAGCAGATGACGGCTTTGCATTTGACGGCGAGGTCGAGGAAAAGCTTCTCCAGGTCCTTCTCGAGCGCGTATGTCAACGATTTTCCGTCAATGACAAGGGCCAGAGTCCCCATTTCGATGGTGCCATCGCCTTGGTTGTGGATAGCGTCCAGCTTCTTCTGCAGATTGTCTCTCGTCGCCTCAGCACTCTCCTCGTTGACAATGAGAAGCATCATGTCCTCGCTGAGCAGCTTGCAACTCATGCCGATGTTGATGGCAGTTTCCTGTCTGTCGCCCGTCAATACCCAGACCTTGATGCCGGCCTCCTGGAGAGTGTGGATCGTCTCGGGGACGCCATCCTGTAGCCGATCCTCGATTGCCGTGGCGCCGAGGAGGTAAAAGTCTTTCTCGATAAGCTCGGAGGCCTTGTCTAGCTCTTCAGCGCGATTGCCGCTCACGGTCGTCTGCGCCTTGTCGAAGACCTGATACCACTCCTGGAACTCGTGCTCCGGGACCTCGCGCATGGCCAAGCAGAGCGTCCGCAACCCTTCGGAGGCGTATTCTTCGAGATGGCGGAGGGTGACGTCGACGTGGGGGTTGTTATCATTCAGGCGCTCCAGGATCACAGTGTCGGCACCCTTGGTGTAGCACCGGACCTTGCCGTCGGGGCAGCGGTAGATGGTCGACATCCTTTTCCGGGTCGAGTTGAACTCGCAGACGGCCAGGAGCTCGTACTCTAGTTGCTCCCCGTTGACCTCGATGATGACGGCGCGGGGTTTGCGGGCGGAGAACTTGTAGCCCAGTTGCAACGCACCGTCGACGAGGGCCCCTTCGTCAGGGGAGGCGGCCTGGTATTTGATCTCGCCCTCCTCGTTTCGCTCTGGAATTACGGTATGGCAAACGGCAAGCAGGGTGAGGAAGTGGTGAATGGCTTGCGCGCTCGGATGGTCTTCGAGGTTCTTCTTCAGTTGTTTGAACTCGTGGATGCCCACCTCGACGCCATCCTCGATGGTCGCAACACGGTCTTCGGGGACGGTCCCAGCGTACATGATGCCAGCAATAGAAGACGCCTTGAACTCCATCTGGTTGCAAGTTAACGTGCCCGTCTTGTCCGAGAAGACGTATTCGACCATGCCTAGCTCTTCCACTAAGCTGGAAGTGCGGCAGTTGGCAGGCGTGTCGGTGACATCGTGGTAAATATCGAGGTCGTCGTTGATTAGGATACCGTGCCAGTACTTGACCATCTCGAGGGTAACGAAAAGCGAGATGGGAACCAGGGCGGAGAAAAGCACCCAGTAGGTAACCATGTCCTTGATAAAGATGCGGGCGACGGCGGCGGCATCGTCCAACGTTTCTAGGCTAAGATAGCTGAGGGACTCGCCTGCAACACGGCGCATGATTAGGTCGCCGGCGGTCGAGATGACGCTGAGGACCAGTAGCATGCCTACTAGGGCCAAAACGAGCTTGTTCAACTGCCTTTCGACCTTGGTCCGTTTGATAGGTGCTGCGGTCGCGTTTCGCATTAGTTTGGTCTCATGGCCGGTGAAAACGACAACTCCGTGAACCCAGGGGGTGTTCCGCAGGGTAGCACCACGGAGAAGAAGCTGCTCCGGGTTAAGGGACAGCTCCTTCTCCCCTCCGCCCGCCTGCATGGTAAGGGTGGCTTCGTACGTGTACAGGCTGCTGTTGGGCTGCTCGGAACGAAGTCTGCCGCCAAGCCGGCTGACCTCGGTCGAGCTCACCATCGACGAGGTTTCGGGCAGCGCCTGCTTGATTTTGAGGTTGGTCTCTCCATCAAGGTTGGCCGTCTCAATGTAGCACAGGCCCTCGGGTTCGGAACTGGCTAGGAGCACCAGGTCGGCCGGAAACGGCTCTTCGGACTCGACCCGGACGATATCACCGACAGCAACGTTAATCCACTTGGTCTCCTCGAAACTGGAGCCGCGCAAGACGCGGGCCTTTGACATATTGAGGGACTTGTCGGCCTGCTTCCGGCGATAATCCTCCACTAGCTCCTTGCCCGCGGACACCAACAACACCACGATGAGGGGCCCGATAGTGGTGTACTGGTTGGTGGGCGAAAGGCCTGGAATTTGCTGCAACCCGGCAGTGAACAAGAAGAAGATATTGGCGAACTTGGAGAACTGCTCGAAGAGGAATTTGAGGGGGAACGTCGCAATATTGTACTTGGCCGTCGAGACGTGGTTGTCGACGTACTTGTTGGCGGCGTTGGCGGGGGGGTTGTTGAGGTGGATGATGCGGGGTCCAAGAGTAGATGGATCGACCTTTGTTCGCCCAAACCCAAACTTGAAGTTGCCCATGTCGAACTTCTTCTCCTTTGGCGGGGGTGCCTCGGCGGTGTCTGTCCGACCTCCGGGCCCGGGCCCGGCCCCGGCTCGCGGGTCTGTCAAGGGGAGGTCCATCTCCGAGTAACCCTGTCCCATCCCGAGCCTATTTTTTACCCTCCCGAGGAACCCGCCGCCCAAACTAAGAACGCTGTTCCGTTTCCTCGCATCTTGCACCGCCGATGATTGGGCACCACCGGCCATGGCGCCCCCCTGCTGGTAATACCCACCATCATCCGGGTAGTCGTCGAAGTCATCCGCATATCTCTGGTAGTTGCCCAAATCTGATGTTTGGCTATACTGTCGGTGGATTTCCGGACCGTAGGGTCCCACGGGGCGCGACGCGGAACCCGAGGGCCCGGCAGGTGGTGGTCGTCCGGCGGGGGGTCTGGGCTGGTCGGAGCCGACAAAGTCGTCATATGACACGGAGGGTCGCGATGGCGCGGCGCCTTGGTCGTAGGCGTAGGAGTTGAGGAGATCGTCGTCGTTCAGGGCCGAGCGTTGCCCTGTGCTGTAGACGGGTTGGTCATTATCGAGATCGAGAAGGAGGTCGTTTCGGGAGGCCGAAGAGCCTCCAGGGGGCGGGCGACCGGTCATGCCGGAGGACGGCGCCGCTCAGGGCAAGTCGGTAGGAGGGACGGAGGAGGGGGGGGTCAGGAGCGGTGCTGGAACATTGATCGATGGCAAGACCTGCGCATAAAAGGTCCAACGCTAAAATGGCGTTAAAGTTCGACGAGAAGGGGTTGGGTCGGGAGATATCGACGGGTGTGATGGGTCGGTCGTGTTTGGTGCAAGCACAGCCTCCTTTCAGTAAAAAGGATTGCGAATTGGGGGACCCTGGGCAGCAGCGCTTCTTGGCTTCGTCAGCCGCAACCTTGCAGAGAGTTTGGTCGACGACCTGCAGGCTCCTCTAACAAAGGACAAAACTCGGCTGTCAAAGCCAATGAGAAGAGACCAATATGTTATTAACAGCCGCACCCCCGGGTAGCGTGGCTGCGCGGGCGGGAGAAAGTGAGTTTGAAGCTGTTGGTTGCGCCGAGTGAGCTGGTGTTGAGAAGTGGTCAAAGTCGACACGAGAAGATGGAGGTCCGGGCCCAATCGTGATGCAAAAGCACCCAGGGGCTCCGCTGGAGAGGCTGATCGAGGACTTGGCGCGCGATTGGCCAGAGCCAGAACGTCACTCCACAGTCGAGAGCGTTGGAAAAGCGTTGCTGTGAAGAACGGTGTTTCGGACGGCTGCTTAGCCAATTAGCGTGCCGCTACTCTTTTGATCCCCGTGCAGGGGGGCTGCGACTGGTTTGAGGTGACGAATCACCTCAGCCACAGCCTGCACCTGGTTCCCTGCAGCATGGGAAGTTTGCCTCGTCGCGTCTTACAAGGCCAGCACCGCCTCTAATTTACAACGTCACTAAGATCTTCAATTCGACATCCGTTTCATCAGGGGCACCACCATTTGGGCCTGCAATTAGAAGACAACACAACACCGCCCATCTACCTAACGAGTTAATTCAATCACTCTCAAAATGGTTTGCGCCAAGTGCCAGAAACTCAACAAGACCACCCTCGCCACGCCCGGGGTCAAGAAGAAGGCCGAAATGTATTATGGCTCCGCGGCATCATCATCTTCTTCATCGGGCGCGAAGAAGTCGGCCACTCTCGGGCAGACAGGAATCTCAAAAGTAAGCATCCGAAATTGGATTTTTGAGGATCGACATGGTTAGCTAACCTCCTGGCAGAGCAAACTGCTTTCCAAAGCGGCCAAGAACCCCTACGCCCAGTACTCGAGTTCTTGCGGCCGGTGCAAGACCAAGGTCGCTCAGGGACACACGTACTGCAACCAGTGCGCCTACCGTGATGATGGTGAGTCCGGGTGATAGATCCGTTCCGTTGCTATATCTGCAGCCACTGACACGGAAACAGCGTGCCACATCTGCGGCAAGCCAAACAAGAAAAAGACGGCCGTGCCGACTGTCGACGGCCAGAAGCGCACTTTCAAGTGAATGAGGGGGTCAAAATGTCGCAGAACAAGACTGCAGCTTCTAATGAAACAGCCCCACGGGCAGGAGAGGGAGCCCATCCTTAAGAGTGAACGGCCTCGCCCTAGGATATCGCCCACAAACGGCCACAATGCAAGCCGGAAGGCATGCCGCGCTGCGATCGGGTTTGGAAATTATCGGAGGTGTGTTGTTATTCCTGGCGTATTTGGGTGGATTTTGTCCTGAATTCAAAGGCTCCGAGGAAAGGCTACGCGACCGCAGCGCTTCTCGATATAATCCTGGGGCGGAACTCCGGGGTTGGCGAGGGACCGCTCTCGGTTGTACTATATATTTAAGTTGGTCGAGATGAACGGCTGGAGAGCCAGGGACCAGATTCCCAAGTCACCGACATGTATATAGACTGATGCCACCAATGGCCTGGCTTCACAACGGCCACATCAGAGGGAAACGAATACTCGGATTGAGTATCGACGGTCATTTCACACATTCAGACAATACTCGTGATAACGGAAATACAACTAGGTACATTCATCAACCCAGTACAACCTAATTATCTCTAAATCGAGGCCTTCAGGGGCTGGCCCTTCAAGATGCCCTCCAAGAATTCGCTAATGTGCTTGTTCGTGTCCGCTGCCGTCTCCCACAGCGCCCAATGCGACGCATTCACCTCCCTCTTGACAAGATCGGTGCAGAGCTCGTCCATCTTGGCCGACATGGCCGGCGGCAGGGCGGCATCCCTCGTCGCCATCACCATCAGCGACGGCACGGTGACGGTGGTCCTGCCCTCCGCCAGCAGCGGCCGCTCCTCGTCAAAGTTGATCTTCTGGGTCTTGTACCAGCACAGCGGGCCGCGCATGCCGTTCTTGACGTACTCGTCGGCGTAGAAGTCCATCTCCTCGCGGCTCAGCAGCGGGCTCTCGCCAATCTTCTCCGGCTCAACCAAATCCGTCCGCAGCCCCTGAGCCACCCCAAACACCTCCTGCCGGTCCTCCCTCCGCCCGCCAAACATGGCGCACAAGACCGCCCTGATCTTCTCCCGCCCCACAATCGCCTCCTCCACCTCGGTCCCCTCAAACTGCAGCTGATACCCAAAATTCGGCAGCATCTGCACGATCTGCTGCTTCGTATAAAACGTGTCCCCGACCGCCCAGAACGGCGTACACACACTGAAAACACACCTCAGCACCCCGGGGTACCACAACGCGAACCGCCACGCGACCGCTCCGCCCCAGTCATGCCCGCCCAAGACAAACTTCTCCACCTCCTCCCCCTCCCCCCTTCCCTGCACATGGCGCACGATGGCCAGCAGGTCCTCCACGACCCGCTTGTACGAGTAGGCGGCCAGGTCGGCGGGGGCGTCGGTGCGCCCGAACCCGGGCAGGTCGGGCACGACGACGCGTAGGCCCTGGGCGGTGAGCTGGGGCACTTGGTAGCGCCAGCCGAAGGAGAGGTCGGGGAAGCCGTGGATCAGGAGGGCGGTGCCCGTCGCGGGGGTGCCGGGGGGCGGGTCGGCGACGAGGTAGTGGTAGGTGGTGTTGTGTGGGGAGGACGGGATGGTGTAGGTGTGGTGCTGGACGCGGGGGTCGGTTGGGGTGAGTTTGTCGATGGGGGTGGCCATTGTGGTGGTTTTGTTTGGGGGGTTGTGTGTATGTGTGTGTTTGGTGTGTGGATGGGTGTTGGTTTTCGAGAGGGAATGGAATTGGTTGGGCTTGTAAGTGTTTAATGCCGAGAGGGGCGGGGAGAGGGGAGGTTCAATGGTTGGGGGACTGGTGCCCTTTTATGCGAAACGAGGAGTCGCGAGGGGCAGTCGGCGTATTTCAGACGAAAGAGGTATTCAATATGTGACGAAGTGGAAGTCTATTGGTAAAAGAGACGGAGCGGGTTCAAAATCCGTTCCACGCTTTGACGAAAGCTATCCCGAATGGGCAGGAGGGAGCTGACTTCCTCCCTCGACAGCTCGACCAAACCTCGACTGGAGGAACAGAACGAAAGCTACCCGGAAGCTAAAGGAGGTTGTATTTACTCAATTGACTTTTTCTTGCATTCAATTTCACTCCTTTGATTTGGTTTGTTCGATTTCTCTCCTTTAACCTTTTTTAACTTAATTTATTATTTTTCCTTTGGAGCTCGGCCTTCTCAGCTTCCCCGCAACACCGAATGCCGCGGCGACGACTGGAGAGGGAGAAAAGCCAATGCGTGCGTCATAAACCCCACCTTGTACAAGCTGATCCCGTATGGTTGGAGCCAAGGACCGGTAAATATCCCACTTGCGGGCTGCCCGAACTCGCCGGCGAGCCCTGGCGAGGCTCAGAGACAGGGTGCGATGTTATGTACATACAAAATGCAACAGGGATCGGAGCGGCGCGGACGAAACAAGTGCCTCGTAGAGCTTAGTTGTACTTGTGCATATACGGGCCCGCTACCTTAGCGAGGGGTCGTTTTGGGACTGACAACATGCCGACGCCACGCGGCGCCGGCCCATTACCGTCCTCTTATGCACTCGGTCAGCCAAGCGACTTACCCCAAGCGAACATCCCCACATGCGGTACTTATGACGAGTCTCCCTAGTAGCTATGGCCGGTTTAAAAACCTAGATGCCACAAACGACATGTTTTAAACACCCTTGACCACCGACAGCTCTAATCCTTTACCGGAACGGAGGACCGGAGCGCCTCCGTCTCCGCAGATCCCCGAATCCCGTTTTATCCCGAATCCCGTTTTGTGGCCGCTTACCTCGAATGCATGGCTGGCTCATCTCGCGGCAAGATCCGATATAAGGGCCCCGGAACTACTTCGTATGGTATCCCCAAACGCCGTGGCGCCACCCAAAACACACACGCTAGACACATCCACCCCGGTGGTACAAGACGCTACACTTACAACCGACGCCGCGCTGGAAAACGAAGAGCACGAAAAGATAGGTCAGTAGATCACTATGTCCTCCTTGTCCTGCATCATCTCGTCTCCGTGCTCGTCGTGATCCTTATCATGGTGAGAGTCTCGCGCCTTGGGTGGCGTGGATGCCATAGCACCGGGGTTAGTATCTTGCGGCGGAGGTTTGGGCTCACCAACCGTGGCTTCTTCTGGCCGGGGCCCATCCTTCGGTTCCAAGTTTGCCTCCAATTCAGGTTGGTGCCTCGGCTGTCGCGGGGGAGGGGATGGTGATCGTGGAGGGGGCGTGACCCCAAGTGCCCTGAGCCGCTGCTCTCTGCGCGTTTTGAAGTCCCGCCTCTCCCTGTCTACAGCCTCTTGTGCGGCGTGGACCTGGTCGCTAATAATATCCTCTTGCTCTTTGGTCAGCTCCCACGGGAGGTAGTACTGTGAACAAGTTAGCCGAGCCGCATGGCCAGATATGGGGCCAATATCCTTACAAGTCTGGGCTCGCTTTCCGTGTGCAGACTATGAGCCTTTGAGAGCATCGTCGAGTGCCGAGTGTTCATCTGCACAGCAACCCATTAGTTACCGACCCAATGTAAGGGGAGTGGGGAGTCACTAGACATACCGCCCGCTCATCGAGCTTGACCTGTTCGATTTGCCGTACCCTCTTCAACCGCTCCAGCTTCTCAGCCCTGCGCTTCTCGTCCTCGGCTCGCCGCTGCTGCGCCTTCTCCTGCTGCCGCCGCTCGATATCGAGCCGCCTCTGCTGCTGTGTGCTCGACGTGGTCCGGCTTAGTGTGCTGACCAGGCCGCCAAACAAACGCTGCCCTCGCTTCTTCTCCTCCATGCTAACGTTCCGCCGGGCCGGAGGGCCGGCCGCAGCGGATGGTCTTCGCGCCTCCGGCGACCGCCGAGACTCGGGCTCCGGGTCTGCCCGGCGTGTCCTCGTGGGTGACCCTTCCGAATGCGATCCATATCGCTCGTTCCTAACAGGGGCGCGCTCGTCTAGGATATCCTCTGCCTCGGCCCTGGTACCGTTGGTTGGGAGTGTCGCCGCGTCTCCATCTTCGAGCCTCATGCGCTTGCCGATAGCATCCTCCGTGACCTCAGGTGATGCTTTGCGCTTGTTTGCGGAATAATATTCTGTTTCGGCCATTTTCCAATCCCGGGATGCGCCGCGATGCGATTCCGGGGCGATGGGGCGCAGCGTACTTCGTAGATTGGCGTCCGTTACGTAGTCGCTCGATGGCTGGCGGGGTGGTTGAAGCTCGGGGCCTGGGAGCTTGGGGCACGAGGCTCGCGACTGTGCGGCAGCAGAAACCAAGGCGACCGAGCGTGTGACCTTTTTTACGGCTTCCGGCGCCGAGATAAGAACTTGACACCTAAGGCCGTAATCGGCGACCGCAATCCCAATTGCTATTTTGAATGCATGGAAAAAAGATTGTGGGAGATGAAGGAACTCTGAAGTCTCAAGGCTGCGTCGCAAAGTCGAGTCTCCAGAAAGCACGGGAGTCCTAAGCCAACCCCAACCCTTCCAGATCATACGTAATGCGATCGAAATTACTGAATTACGCCACCCGTGCCGAGGCTTGATAGCCGTGATAACCACCTGCGCCTGTGACGTATTTACCAGACATTTTTCCCGTCGCGTGTAAATCCGCCCCTCGCATTCTTGACCGCGACAGAGCACATCACGAGCGCAGCAACCGACGGCCTTCGACGACTTTACGAACCCTCAACGACTGTTTCCTCGCCCCTTCTCTTCCAACAGTCAAACCCCTTCCCATCTCACCACCAAAAAAAAGAAGAGGGAGATAGCTCGCTAGCCATCCACCATGTCCCGCCATCACCCGTACGTCCCCCCTCCCCATCCCTCCCCCATCATACCCTCCCAACCTCCAATCCCCGCATTAACACCCCTACCAGCGACCTCGTCATGTGCCGCAAGCAGTCCGGGATCGCGATCGGGCGGCTCTGCGACAAGTGCGACGGCAAGTGCCCCGTGTGCGACTCGTACGTGCGGCCGACGACGCTGGTGCGCATCTGCGACGAGTGCAGCTTCGGCAACTACCAGAACAAGTGCGTCGTGTGCGGCGGCGAGGGCATCTCCGACGCTTTTTATTGCTTCGAGTGCACCCGCCTCGAGAAGGACCGCGACGGGTGCCCCAAGATTATTAATCTGGGTAGTTCTAGGACGGATGTACGTTTTCTTCCTTTCTCTCTTTCTTTTCCCCTTGCCTCCTCGATTCTCTGTCTGATGGATGCTAACGTGTGGTGTGTCTGCAGCTATTCTACCAAAAGAAAACGAATCGGACGGGGTTTTAGTGACGGCCTGGCCCGGGTTTGGGCGCTTCTCTTCTCGGCGGATTGTTGGAGGCATACAATGTACTGTCTAAGGGGGTTACAGGCGGAAGCCTGGGTTGACGGCGTTTCAGGAGTTCGTGGGAGGGGCATTCTAGACGAGACATCTCGGGGACATGTGCTGCCAGTATTACCACAAGAAATCATTACTCTTTTCATACCAAGTACCTGCGGTGCGGGTGGGTTAAGCTAGCTAATACAGCGTGTTGTGTCGTCTCATACATTCTACAAAGGGAACGGGAAACCAACAAACCAACGCGGAGCAGAATACCAAAACAAAAGAAACCGACCCCTTTCCACTACACAAGATACTCGACTTCAAACCGGCGCGCCGTAGCTAGATATAGCTGACCTTGGTGCCCATCCCGGCCGTCGCCTTGACTTTATTCCAACTCGTCTGCAAAATCTGCGCAATCCTCTCACGAATCTTCTTCCGGCTCAGCAGCATGAGCAAACCAACCACGAAAGCCAGCATCCGCAACAGCACATAAGGGTTGGTCTGGAAAGCCCCCGCGATCTCGTCGACCAACGTCCGGAGGTTCGCCACCACCATCGACGCCCTCGACATGAGCGTCGGGGCGGCAACAGCGTACTACTGCCGCGACCACCACCGCCACTTGGCCCCCTCCTCGGCAACGGCCCCCTTGCCCTCGCCGAACCCCCCGAACCCGAGGCCTGGCTCCCAGACCACCCACCCTTCTTAAGCGCCGGTGACGTAGGGGTAGGCACCGGTGTAGACGCGGTGCTCTCGACCCCAAAATCGTCCTCCGTCGCCTTAGCCTTGGCCTTCGCATTCGCCTTCCGCTCGCGCTCGCGCTCGCGCTCCCCCTCCCTCTCCTTGTCACGCGCCGCCGCCTCAGCCTCCCTCTTCAGACGCTCCTCCTCCAGCCGCTTCTTCTCGCGGGCCTCGTTCTCGGCGCGCAGGCGCCTAGCCTCCTCGACGTCGCGGCGGATGGCCTCCTCGCGGGCGGCGCGCTCCTCCTCCTCGCGGCGGCCGGCCTCGGCCTGCTCCTCGCGCAGGGTGTCGAGCGCCTGCAGGAAGGCCTCGCGCCGCTCCTCGTCCAGCACGGGGCTCACGCTGATGAACTCGTGCGCGTACGCCCACTCGTCGTTGCGCGGCAGCACGTGCAGCGTGTACAGCTCCAGGATCTTGACCCGCGCGTTGAGGTCCCGCGGCGTGTCCGCCCCGCTGGGCGCCGGGCGCCGCGCACGGCCCGAGGCCGGGGAGGGTGAGGGTGACTGGTGCCGCCGTGCTGGTGACTCGGAGAAGCGGTCGGCCGAGATGTCGAGGGTCGGGGCGCGCGCTGCTGCGAGGTAGTTCTCGAGCCGTTTCTGGTTGAGGTTTTGGGTTTTGGAGTGGGCGAGGAGGAGTGTTGCTCTGTCATTGATGTGTTAGCGAGACTGTTGGGGTGGGAAGTGGAGGGGAAAGGGCGGAGAGCCCCGGTCGACCTACAGGTTGATAACCACTTCTGCGTCGACGTCCCCCTCGACACCATGGTATCCGTTGCGGATTACCTCCTCCCAGATATCTCCCGACCGAACCTTGTAACAGAGAGTTCGCCAATCCTGCCCGCCAAATGCATCCTTCCCGTCTTCCGGGTCGAGCTCGGCAATCGCATTGAGAACGGTCAGGTACAGGCTCCAGACCTTGACCCGTGAGGATCGAGACGCCCGAATAACCGGAGCTGGTTCGGCCGATTCTTTATCTGGGTCATCGGAATGGGGCGGTGAAACTAAGGGGAGAACAGTCGACAGTGCCTCGGGTAGGCGACGCGTGAGAAAGAGCGTCGACGCTTGCCTGTAGGTCTTGGAGATGTGCGAGGCCGCAGCGTTGCGTCCCGAAGTATTTGATGCGGATAGGGAGGATATGGATGATGACAGGCCGCGTGCCTGCGAGAGGCTCTCTGCGGCCATATACGATGTGCGGTTTTCAGCCATTGTGGCCGGGGGTGCTCGTCGATGGGTGCGCGTGTCGTCGGGCAATCGAAATTCAGGTCATTCGAGCGTTGTCTCTATCCTGTTCGCGTCGAGAGCTAGGTAAGTAAAACCCGGATTAAAACACACGATACACTGTGTTTCAATTTCTAGCCATCGTGTCTCAATGTTGAGCCATCACCCCCGAGATGACAAGAGACAATGCGATAAGGGCGGAAAGGTTTATCGTCGACAAACGCGAAAGCCGGCCTCGACTTCCAACTTCATTCAGTGGAGACACAACATGCAACATGTGCGTGACCACTGACCTTCAAAGCCGCAAATTGCTGTCTTGAGCCTCGGCAAGCCAAGGGTGTGCCGATTGGGCCTCAGTGCCATTGGTGGGGCAACGTCTTTGAGTTGCCGACCGCTGAGGAAGCAGAAGTGCCGAGCAGCAGGGAGTTGTCCACTAACTCTTCAACACAGTAACGGAAACACCGAGCGTGATCAAAGACGGTATCTAGCACATGCACGATCGGTGCCCGACCCGAACCTTTGCATGAACTTGAGGATTCATCGTTACGTTGACCACTCAAGACTGCATTTATGGTGGCGGAGGGTTAGGGTTTTGTATTCCCTCAGACCATTCCTCATGAGACGGATCATCTTCCTCCAGGTATGAGACAAACCATATATGTACATACGAGGGAGGAGTCAAGAGAGACAAACTAGAAGTTGGTTGGGAAAAAAGAACACACCAGTCAAAAACCTAAAACACAATCTAGCTTTATTCCGCAATAAACCCTTTTCACAATCCAAAGAACCACCCCAAAACATACATCTCACATAGCTGCCAACCATACCACCAAAATACATACACATCCACAAAGTATCTACCCTTCCTAGTAGATTACTGCAACATCGAATCCAGGCTCTCCCCAAGTTTCTCCTCAATCTCCACAATCCACCGCCTATTCTCCCTCTCCACCACCTCATCATCATCATCCTGCAACTCACTAATATACGGCAGCATCTCCGGCAGCGCCTGCAACCACTCCTCTCCCAACCTCACCGTCAACGCCTGCTGGCACTGCACGACCGCGAGGCGGACCGCCGCCTGGCTGTTGCGCAGGTGCTTCAGCAGCGCGCCGTTGAGCTCCTTGTGGTGCTCCTGGGAGTCGGCGGCGGCGGCCAGCTCGACGAGCGCGGGGATGAGGTCCTCGGCGGCGTCGGCGCCCGCGCCCGCGCCCGCGTTCAGGAACTGCTCGACCAGCACGGGCGCGACCGCGCCGAAGTGCGCCGGCGCCTGCCAGAAGCCGTCCTGGTCGTGCTCGAAGCACTTGGCCAGCGTGCGCAGCACCCGCTTCCAGAGCTCCTTCTCGTCCGCGTCCTGGAAGTCGGTCGACGAGAGGACCTTGATGGCGCTCTCGACCGTGTACGATGCGTAGCTGGTGACGATGGACTTGAGGTTGCCGAAGAAGGTGTCTAGGAAGCCGTAGACGGCGAATAGCCGGAGGGTCCGGCCCGACGCGTCGTTCTTGGGGAGCCCCGTCGACGCCCACTCCATGAGCTTGGAGAAGATGGGGCGGAAGGCAGCGTCGTTGAGCTTGTAGATCATCTTAAGCGCAACGTCGCCGATCTTGGACTCGATTTCGTCCAACTCGGACGGGCTGATCGAGGTCTTGGCCTGCCCAGACCCCACGACCCTCCTAAGGTCCATGGAGCTGAGGAAGATGGTTGAGAGCGAAGTTACGTTCTTCGCAACGGCTGCCTTGGAATGCTTATCAAGGGCCATACCGAGGATGTCGAGATATTCAGTGACGGCCTGTTTGAACGTTAGCTTCGGTCTATTGCACCACCACGAGCAAAGGGTACTTACCGAGGCACCACAGCTGGAGGCAGAGGCCCAGTTCTGGTTGAGTGCATTGTACATGACCTTGGGGTCGACCAATTTGGCCAGGAACTGAAGGCAGTGCGTCCGGTTGCTGCTCGACTCGTCGTCCAGTGCCGCCGCCGCAGATGCGTTCGAGCAAGCCAGAAGGCGATCGAGGTATGAACCAGTGATCATGTACGGGATATGCTGGGCCAACGCTGCCATGAAGGCATACGCCGCATTGTGCAGCTCGGCGTTGGGCTCCTCGTCAACCAAGCTCTGTTCTAGGTAGTCCAGTGCCTTGGGGATCGCGACAGGCAAAACAGGAACGATGCCGTCCTGCAGGACATCCACAAGTGAAGCCAGGCAGAGCAGCGCCATGACCCTAAGACTTTGCGATGACTGGCCGAGGCAGTGATCGCCCGCAATAGTCGCGGCGGCTGCCGCAACCGCATCGATGTCCTTCTTGCCGTACTTCTCCGAGATCTTGTCGACACACGTCACCGCAGTGTGCTTGTAGCTCATGTCGTCCGATTCGCGGATGACGGCAGTCAACTGCGGCAGGAAAGCAAGGAGCGCCTCCCTAGATCTTGGGTCCGCGGTGCTCTCACTGTCAACCCGAAGCTCGAGCGCCCGTAGCACCTTCTGCCGCAGCCCGACGTTCGGCCGGTCGAGAAGTGCTTCCACACTCTTGATGAACTCGGCGATCGAGAGCAGATTGAGTAGGTTAGATAGCGCGTCGCCGCAGCGGTTGTAGAGCGCCTTTTTGCTCTTGACCGTGGTCGCCAGCGTCAAGATGCTCTCCAGGAGCGTCGCGTAGAGATCGCGGATCTTCCCAGTTTCCATGTCATCTCTCTCCGCCAATTGTGTAATCTCCCGCTTCAGGCGCCTGTTTGCAAGCAGATGTGGGAGGAGGTTCAGCTGCTTTGTGGCGACCTTTTGAGTGTCATGCTCACTGCCGTCACCGCCAAGCAAGGTATTCGATAGCGCGGGCTTCGGCTTGAAGATGTCGCTAGTCAAGTCCAAGAGCTTGATGAGAGTTTGCAGCTGGATCTCCACCGAGAATGAACTCATCATCTGGGTTGTGAACGAGATCATGTTGTCTGTCGCAGCATACCGATCCACGAACATGGCAAGAATGGCAAAGAGGAAGTCCTCAGGCCCGAGGTTTTGGACCAGGGAAATGAAGAGGTCGTGCTTCCGATGCGAAGGAATATGCTCGTAAGCGGTAACGAAGCTGGCAAGAAGGTCCTTGGTGCTGGCAACCACGTTACGTCCTCTTCTCCGGAACGTGTCAATCAACGGAGGAATAACCTCCTTGATGGTTTGATTGACAACATGGGCAGAGTAGTCATCAGCCTGCTTCAACACCGAGCTGCCCATAAACGTGAAAATCGGCATGACGCTCTGCAGCACCACATCTGGTGCCGTCCTAGCCAGGCTAGCCACCAAAAGCAGTGCCGCGTTGATGACAGCAGGGCTGGACGACTTTTGGATACAGGTAGCCAAGATGTCTCCGTGGCCGACTGATGCGTCGATCGTCAGGTTCTTGTTGTCCTTGTACGCCGGCATCATGGCGAGAAGACTGCTTAGCACGAGGTTCTGGAGATACCCCAACTCAGAGCCGATGAGCGTGCTGAGGTGGTGAAGATCAGACAGCGTAGTAAAAAGGCTCGGCAGTAGTTCGGGGTGATTTGCCGGATCGGACTCTTGAACGAGCTCGAGCACGAAGGTCGTCTTGTTCAGAGCCGCCTTCAGCTCTGGGCTGCTCTGCAAAGCCACGCTCCGACTCTGCTCCGTTGTGCTGACCCGTCTCCGCTTGTTCGCGGGCTTCTCGGTCGCAAGCTTGACTTGGTCTTGTAACGAGTCAATGAGGTCGAGTTGAATATCAGTCGTCAGCTCCACCTTGCGCAGGAGCTCGACCGCCTCCGTAATGACCGGGCCGTGCTCAGACGATGGTAAAGTTTGGGTGATGTTGAACATGGATCGAGCTGTGGAGAACTTAGTGTCCGACTTCATCGATGGCCACATTTTGATGATCCGGCCAAAGATCGCCTGCACCAGATTGGGTCTAAGAGCTGTTTTGGGGTCGTTGATCAGCTGGAAGGCCGTCTCGAGGCCAGCGATATGGTTTGCTATAACGACGTCCACGACAGCTTCGTCCACGGCAGCCTCATCGAGCGCTTCTCGCGCAGTAAGCTCAAGGACCTCACCACGGCCAAGAGCAGCCCACCAACGGAGGAGCGGCAAAAGAAGGTCCGTCCGAGAGGTGCCTGAGATGCTCCGAATTTGGTTGAGGGATCGAAGCAAGCGGATCTTAACGGCCAGCAATGGTGTCTCGGTAACGTGGCCACAGAGAAACTTAAAGATCGAGAGCCTCGTTGCGTGGGAAAGATGGCGCCTTTCACCCTCCGTTCCGGATGAACCCTTCGAGCTCTCGAGGGCGCTGGTGAGGGCGGCAACGACGTGAGCGTCGTGAAGGACAGACTCTTCCAATGACGGGATCAGGACCGAGCTGACTAGAGCCTTGAGGGCATCACGGTCAAGGGCATTGGGAGCGCCAACCTTGCCATACAAGTCCTTCGCCCCCCAAACCTGCCGGGGCTGTTCCTTGAGAAGGGAACCCAAAACAGCAACAAGGTCGGCCGCGGCACGACGAACCTTCTTTGCCGGGTCGCTCAGGGCCACCGCACAGTAAGGAATGATTGCCTGGAAATCCTTGCCCACGCAATCGGGTTCCTTTAGCCGGGACTTGACACGTTCGAGGGCAGCCACCTTAGCGAGTGTGGGAAATGGCCCACACCAGACGCGCACATAGAAGCTGAGGTAAAAGGGGTTGCTCGGCGCCAGAGATCGGCTTAGAACAGGAATGGCGTCGAACTTCTCCATGTCGCTCTCGGTAGCCGCCGCAGACAGGAGGACTGCGCAGAGATCGTTGAACAGGCTGCTCGATTCTTGTGATAGACACGAGACTGTTGAGGGTTGCAGTCTAGCCAGCTCCTGGAACGTCGAGTCCAGACTTGGCTGAGTTTCAGCTGTCTCTGTCCCCTCTTCTGCCTCTTCGTCCTCCGGGCTTTGTTCGATCGCGAGTTTCGGGCGGATCGCAGCTCCAAGCTTGAGTTCAAGCTCTTCGATGTTGAAATCAATCTCCTCAATGGCCGACCTGATAACATCCCCCACGTCTCCTCCCGCCTGCGATAAGCTGATCAAGGACGAGCCGATCTCTTTGCGAATGTGACCATCCTCGTCGACCTCATCGTTGACTTTGTGGGCAGCCAAGAGCATGGCTTTGTAGATAACCTTAATCTGCTTATCCCGCAACAGGTTGGCCGAAAAAAGCGAGTTAATAGCAGGCAGGCTCCGGACATCGCCCTTCTTGGAAAGTCTGTCGATAAAGGCTAGTGCGAGCCCGTTGGCCAGTTTGTCGACTCTGTGTTGCCGGCTGATTTCCACCAGGGTCGGGACCAAGTCCTGGACCTTGATGAGGGCCTTTGCGACACGGCTGGACACCTGCTTCGCAGCCCGGTGTTGTGCTAGGATGCAGAGACAGACAAGGCCCGAACGATAGGTATCGACAGTCCAGCCGTGGACTAATTGATCCATGAACGCCGTGAGCGCCACATCATTAAGACTGCCCTTCGCAGCAAGGATTGTAACAATCATGTAGCTTGCGATCTGAATCCCGGGAACTTCCTTCATGACCATGGCCTCGCTGAGAACTGGCCCAATCTGCTGGAGGAGGATATGGTCATTTTCCAGCTGAATGCTCCTCCGACCGGACCGCATTTTATCAAGCATGCCATTGGCGGCTTCCGCCATGACACCACCCCAGAATGACACCAGACCCGGGTACTCCTGCTTCGCCCGGCATGATTCAAGCGTATACTGAGAGATGGTCGAGAGCAACTCGGGCCGGTTTGTTGCCTGTTGGACTATCGCGGCTCTAGGCGGGGCCGTTAAAGATCTGATGTAGGGATCTAAGAACCGGTACTCCAGGGGTATCTTTGCTGGAAGAATGGAAAGGAGCGTAACGAAGGCTGGAATGGTATGATACGGCAGGAAGGTGGTGATAAGGGTGTTTGTGTTGAACTCGTGGATCCTAGGACCTAGTTAGCGTGGCAGGGAGAGTCTGGGAGCGCATTGTTCTTACCTAAACCGCCGAATCAACCACTCGATCGCTTTGATGGCGGGCATAAGCCGCAGCCGGCTCCCTACGAGGTGGAGGAACGAGTCGACGCGCTCGTCCAAAGCCGCATTTTCCTCGGCGTTCATCTGAGTCCGGTCGGCTTCTTGACTCTGCTCGCTAAACAGGGAGGCGCCATAGTGTGCGAAGCGTGCATCCAGGTTGCAGAGTTCCTCAAACCCCTCGTGCGATAACTGGTAGATCTCGGGAAAGGTTTGGCCAGCGGCGACTCGGGGCTCCCAGATCAGGGACTTGGAGTGAGTTGCCTTCAAGGCCTTGGCGTTTAGGCTCGTCCGCGAGTTGGCTGCGATCTGCGCCAGCTGCGCAGCCAAGGACGAAGCCATCTCGAGGCAGTATTAACCTCCCGCGCGTGTAATTACTCGTCGGTCTCGTTTGCGACAGAGGGGTGATCGGATTGACGGTGGAAAGTACACGGTCCGAGCGGGGCGGTAGTGGGCAGGTCGAAATTGTTGACCGTCAATTAACCGTGCAGAAGTTATCTACGCCCAGCGCCGTCAAATGAGGGTAGTAGAGGGCGCAAGGGGGTGGAAGACGTGGTCGACTTCTTCTCACTGTCCGCGCTCTGAGAGCTCGCGTTGGAGTTCTTCAAGAGCTCTTTCCACTGAAGCACCTTCGTCCAGAAATTTTTCTGGGTCGGAGGGGCCGATAAGCCCAATCAAGCCAATGGTACGTCCCCGATAACCAGCGCCTCTTTTTGGTGGGCTGTTGTCTATCCAGGGGTCCAAAAAAATTCCAGCATCTCACTGCGACACCAAGCACCAGCCCAAAGCTACAAACCACCGCCTCTCCACCACCTGTCTACAATCGCCATGAGTTCCCGTCCTTCGAAGCGGAGGAGGGTCACGCTGCCCCCCGAGGACGGCCAAGATTCTGGCAACGGTGACGTCAAGGTTCAAAAGGCGTTCTTCAAAAGCGCCTCGAACTGGAACCTCGAGCAAACATACGAATCAAAGTCAAAGAAGGCCAAGAAGAAGGAGGCGAAGAAGAATGGAAACGAAACTGGAGGCAGGCTTCCCGTGAAGACGGCCCAGGGAACATGGCAGGTCCACGACGATGTCGAGTCGATAGCGAGCGATGGCGATTGGCTTGAGAGCGAAGGGGACGACGGTGGCATTAACGAAGAACCCGAGGCCGCTGTGCCGGAAGCGCCCAAGATCCCCGAGCGTGAGCAAATCCGGAAAGCTCAAGAGGAACTCGCCAAAATCGCGACGCAGTTGAACGAGGACCCGGAGGAGTACCCCGGCGCATTCAAATCGTTGGCTCGCATCGGAGATTCGCCGATTCCTGCGATTCAAAAACTCTGCATCGTTACCCAAATGACGGTCTACAAGGATGTCATCCCGGGTTACAGGATACGACCGGCGTCGGAGGAGGCCGGGGAGAAGCTATCGAAAGACGTGAAGCGGTTACGGACCTACGAACAGGCCTTGGTGTCCGGGTATCAAGGCTACATCAAGACTTTGGCGAGGCATGCATCTTCACAAGCCAAGGGGTCTCGAAAATTGGGGCAGCCGGTCTCCAGCATCGCCTTTACCTGCGCGTGCACGCTCGTCAATGCCGTACCGCACTTCAACTTTCGGGGGGAACTCCTGAGGATACTCGTCAAGAAACTGAGCGGTCGCCAGCTGGACGATAATTTCACCAAGTGCCTGAAAACGCTAGAGTCGCTGTTCCGGGACGATGAAGAAGGGAACGCTTCCATGGAAGCGGTGTCTTTGCTCACGAAAATGATGAAGGCTCGGGAGTACCGGGTTGATGAGAGCGTACTGAACTTGTTCCTGCACCTGCGGTTGCTGTCCGAGTTCTCTGGCAAGGCCTCACAAGACTCAGTTAGCCGCCCTGGTGATCTGCCAAACGGCAAGAAGCCAAAGGCAAAGAAGGAATTCCGAACCAAACGGGAGCGGAAGTTGATGAAACAGCAAAAGGAGGCCGACAAGGTGATGGCACACGCTGACGCGGCAGTCAGCCACGAAGAGAGGGAAAAGACCCAGTCGGAAATCTTGAAGATGGTATTTGCCAGCTACTTCCGGATTCTCAAGGCCCGCATGCCTCACCTTATGGGCGCTGTGCTTGAAGGCCTCGCGAAGTATGCCCACCTGATCAACCAAAACTTCTTTGGGGATCTTCTGGAAGCCCTCAAAGATCTCATCCGAGACAGCGAATTCACGGAGGAGGGAGACGCAGACGGAGAGACGAACGGCGACGAAGAGGACGACGAGCTCTCCGTCATCCGCGACACCAGCCGCGAAGCGCTCCTCTGCACCGTTACCGCTTTCGCCCTGCTCGAAGGCCAGGATGCGCACAACGCCCGCTCAGACCTGCATCTCGACCTCTCCTTTTTCATCACCAACCTCTACCGCAGCCTGCTGAGTCTGTCCGTCAACGCTGACGTCGAGCTCGGCGCCAAATCTCTCCACCTCGCCGACCCGGACGACAGCTCCTCGGGCAACCCGGCCAACCGCAAGACCAACAAGGTCAACCTACAAACCACCACGGTACTCCTGCTGCGGTGCCTCACGGGCGTGCTCCTCCCGCCCTGGAACATCCGCTCGGTGCCGCCGCTCCGGCTGGCGGCCTTCACCAAGCAGCTCATGTCGGTGGCGCTGCAGGTGCCCGAGAAGTCGAGCGAGGCGGTGCTCGGGGTGGTGCACGACGTGGTGCACACGCACGGGCGCAAGATCAACGCGCTGTGGAACACGGAGGAGCGCAAGGGCGACGGCACCTACAAGCCGCTGGCCGAGACCATCGAGGGCAGCAACCCGTTCACGACCACCATCTGGGAGGGCGAGCTCCTCAGGAAGCACTACTGCCCCAAGGTGCGGGAGGGTCTGAAGGCTATGGAGAAGGAGCTCAAGGGCATCTAGATACCTAGTTGGCTTGCCTGTGGGTTTTCTGGCGGCGGGTTCACATGGCAGAGATGGGTTGAACATGACCTCTGGCATCTGTCACTTTGCTTCTCGACTGCTGGCTGGCTTTGTTGATACCCCTGATGAGAGGGAAATCCCGTGAATAGACTTCGCTAAGCATCAACCCACTCCACAGTCGGAATTGAAATCTGAGCATCTGCCGCGGTCCCCACCTGTTCGATCTTCTTGTCCGAGGCGGATCTGCCTTCGTCAAGGGGTTGTTTTGATTACACGTTCTGGAAAGCTTTGCCGAGTACCACGCTGCCCTGGGTCAGGCGATGGGCTCAGGGGTAAAAAAACGGGCTGTTGGTCCCAATCCGGCAAATAATGCCCGACTCGGTCCTCTTTTCGTTCGTGTCAAACTTTTCCATCGCGGGTTTCGAGACCCAATGCGGAATCAGCGTTCTGCTCGGAGTGCCCAGCCGAGCCCAGCCAGCCAGCGTTGCTTTGCTGGTGGGAACCAGCTCGGGAGATGTGGAAACATGGGCAGATGGTGGATCATCTTCGCGAAGAGGCGACCCGATCGGACCGAGACGACATATTTAGTAACTACATAACTACAGGCAGAGGGAGATCAACAACATCCGCCCCTCCCGCTAGTAGCAAAGCAGCATATCCACTTCACATCCGGTTGGCGGTTGATGGTGATGTGTTCTGCGGAGGCAAGTGGGACTCAATGACGTTCCCGCACCGAGCCACCGACCGAGGCGGCGCGGAGACGGCGGCTCAGGGTTGTCAGGATTTCTCAACGATTGACTCTCGGGGCCATGCGGCGTGGTACAAGGATGCTCCGGGATTCATGCCGTCCCTCGCCGAGCCACCGGAGCAGGGAAGTCGGATGGGGACGGTTGGGGGGCCCATGACAGAGGACCCAACCCTGACCCCTGGAGCCGGCTGGGCGAGGCTGGCCAGACTGAACGGAGCTTGCCACTTTTGCGCATGCTCCGCCGTCCGAGCGCCCGAGGTCAATGTTCGTTGCCCCTGGAACGCGCAGAGCGGTGCAGGGATGGCGACAATCGCCCGCCATGGCAGCGATCATGCCTTCTGGGTCGTGGTTTCAGAAAGTCGATCTGGTGATGACCCTGCAGCTGTTGGTTGCTGGATAAACCTCAGCGTGGGCGGGGTGATAAGTCCTTTGCAGTGAGGTTCATATTGAACAGGGAGGGGAAGAAGAGGGAGGAGTAAACGATGGCCATTGCGAGCCGTGAACTGGTCTGGTTTGGTGTTTCCTCTCAGTCCACGTGGTCTGCCTGGTACGCCACGCAAAGGGAGGCAGTTAACGAACACTCAGCTTTGCCCAACATACCGTGTCCACAGTACTTGTTGTACACAGCGAAGAGGGCTGAATCGGGTGAGAACAAATCGTGCTGTCATGTTTGCAGGAATCCCTGGCTCAGGGGCCTTCCCTGCGGGTGGTCACGGTGGTCAACCGCACGAGCACCCCTCGGCACCACTTGGCTTCGGAGTGCACGGTGTTCAGGCAAAGACTCCCAAAGGCAAGCCTCTCCAGTCCCGGTGATTCGGTTGTACAAGGGGTTGTGCGCCCGCACCTGGTGACGAACGACACCGATGGACATGCTCGGCGGAACGGATCCTTTCGGCGAAGGGAGTTGGGGGTATTGTTGTCGAGCGAGTCGGGTTTCTGTTGTTTCTGCGAGGTTTCTGTGTGACCCAATGACTCAGGAGCAAGTCAGCAGCGAAAATGGTAACTGATAGCTGTGGGGTCGTGCCGCCAAAGCAAGAGCACCTCGAGGGCATGGAGGCACTTGGACCTCCTTCCCTCCCAGACCTCACTCCCAGAACCCCCAGCAACATCCGCAGATGGGCAATGGGCTTCTCCGCCAAGTCGACGAGAGTTCGAGGTAATTTATCTCCGACCCCGAGCAAACAACAAACCGCCCGCAATAGAGCTGCGCGCTGCACAGAGCAGCAGAGCTTCCGGGCTGGCAAAGGTATCTTCGATATCGGCTCGGCACCGGTTCATTTGCCATCCCCCCTCGTCCGAATTTGAGCCGTTCCCGTGTCAAGGCGGGAGCCGCCCTTCTGGAAGAAGCTGCGACAGCGTTGTCGAGTTTCATCTCTTTTCCCGACCCCTGAACTCCATCACAGAGCACGACGGCGCTTGTTTCGAGCTCTGCACCCACGCGCACCAGGCTGAATACGGCAATCACCCGTCGTCTCTTTTGGCAAGTCCGAAGTGCCCCGCTCTCCAACAATGGGACCGAGCGACGCCCTGATGAATTCGGATTTCCTCCTTGCTGCAGATTCGAATGGTTGCATTGAGAACGGGTTGCGCCAGCCATCGCGTTGCTTGTGCGGGCAATCCGCCAGGGTCGCTTCTTGTTTCTGCTCCACGCGGTCGCAGTCGAGGAACGCCCCGCTCATGCAGGCTGCCAGGCACGGCCAGGCACACCAATAGAAGCTGCAGGACAATTGCGCCGACTTCCCGCCGTTGCCTCGAACCCCTCGGCTGTCGGCCCTGAGGCAGCTGTTCAGATTGTTTCGAGATTCGCCAGCACCAAAAAACCACTTTGCTCTGTGTTTCGGATTTGGATCTACCTTGGCATCCGCCTGTCGGCAAAGCAGAATTTGTTGGTCGTTCTTTTTACACTCACCGCACCTTGAAGACGATGCCTGAGCCCGCTCATCGTGAGCTCGCGGAAACGCCACTAAAAGCCGAATTGTGATTACTGTGGGCTGCGGAGGGAGTTATCTGTTTCTAACAATAGATACATGGACGCACACCAGCGAGAGAGTCTGACATTGTCCACCTTCCCACCTGGGCGCCAAATCAATGGGCTCAGCTCGCCGCTCGCCGCAGAGCTTGCTCCACTGGGGAGCTTACACAACGACGCCCAGCTCCGCGGGACAGGGCAGCGGCGCGGGTTGCGCGGGTTGAGCATGGCCACGACTGCACACACACACAGATCGCTCGCTGCATGAACCAGGTCCCACCCGAGCATTCAACGAGTGCGGAATGGTGTGCGTGCACCGCGTATTCCGGACTGTCGCATGTACAACCACAGAGGCCTTACCGCCGCCCTGGCGGGTAGGTATTCTCCTAACCCCACAAACAGCCCAAGACTCTTTTCCAGATCGTACAGCGCGGGATCTGAACAGATCTGATAGGGCAGGTGGGCAGGTCGTTTGGCTCTTTGCCGACTGCGGCCGATTCTTGGACCACTCGGCTGCTATTCTTGGCCACCAGCTGTCATCCCACTGCCGATTCGCTCTTCGCCCAAAAGAACATATTCTTCAAGGCATCGGATGTCCAGTCAACGGCTTGGACAAGACTTTCAAATTCACCAATCAAGGTTCCCGATGCCCGCCAGCTCCATGTTATTCAGGGATGCCCGCATGTCGTGCGTCCAGCCCCACGCCGGAGCTCCTGGAGCTCCTCCGCTTCAATGCGTGTCTGGTGTCAACTGACTTGGTTGTCGACACGGCAACCATGATTGGGCGGGTGGGCAGCGGCAAGGCGCGAACATTCACCTTTTTTGCTTCTTCTTCCCCGGAGATATGAAACAGAAATCCCGAATGAATGCTGGCATTTTTGCCAACAAATGAGAAGTCATCACCAAACACGGCAGCGAAGCACGGACATGATATTGGGCAAAAACCCCCCGACACCAAAAGCAAACTTTGACAGTATCACAAGGGTAGTACAAGATGATGACCACTGATGGCGATGGGGGGGACACTAGGAATCACTAATCCGGTTGAGAGCAGACAACAACGTCTCGCCAGCAACGGTATCCTCCCGACCGCCATCACGTTGCCCTTCCGTGCCCGGCGAAAAAGCCGGTTGTCGGTCTGTACAGCAAGTATCGACACCCCCATCGTTCAGGGGTATCGGGGTAGCGCCAGGAGTTGCGCGATACAACCTCACAGACCGACGAAGCGAGGGCTCAACCGGGAAAACAAGACCAGGCTAATCTGCATACATCCATAGTACGTTCATAACACAACGGGGGAGTTTGGTTCAACCTGCTCTGCCGTGGCTTGTGACCCGTGTGTCTTGCGTGGGGGCGGAGGATCGTAGTAAACGTCTGAAACGGATAGCTTTTGTGTTTCAAAATTGCTGTCCATGGGCGATCAAGCGGAACGACATGCCCACTTGCCGGATCAGATGCTTTGCATAACGAACGGCTGCGTTGAACGGGCGCACAGGAACTGGATCCACCAGAGCGTCTGCTATGCTAGGAGCCCGCCCATATTGCCCGCTCACGCTCGCTCCACCGGGGGACGAAAGGACAAACGTGTTCCTGAAAAAAATAGAATCTTCCCTTGCTTCGGTCCCGGTAACCACGAGCTATTTACCTTTCGACCCGCCGCCGGGAAGGATTAAGGGAAGATGAGGTAAGGGCGAACTGCCGCGAACTGCCCTGGACAAGCAAGCTCTCGCCGCCTTCTGCGGGGCAGAGAGATCTGGGGAGCATCGTCGATCACAGCCGAAAAGCCGCCGGGGAAGAATGCCCGAGAGCAGCCATCAACGGGTCAGCGTTGAGAGTGGACCGCCACCCGGCCCTCGTGTCCAAACCGCGCAGGTATGCCAAGAAAACTGAGGGCTCGGCCAGGAGACGGCGGACCCCTGGCCTGCCAACTGAGCTATTTCTGAAGCATGTTTCAGACCCGACCAGGGTCAGCTCAAAATCTGTGGCTGGACACCGCCCGCCCGCCTTCGCTGCCAGCTGCTGCAGTGACCGGAGGCGGGGTGGGCAAGATAGCGGCACAGATCTGGGATTCTGACAGCCAGCGGCGGATGGAAGTGGGCAACAGAGCCCGTTGGGATCCCATTTCCTTCCGATTTGGGGGTGCTTTCGTCTTCCAGCAACGGCACGGCCTCTCCGCAAGATGGTGTCTTGTCGGCCCGAGTCATGCAAAACCTGACAGACTGAGATGTTTGACGCTCAATGGTCCAGATTGTTTGAGACAGCCTCTTGCTCGACGTCAGACAATGGAGTTGTCACTCAGAATACAGATTATTAAGACAATGACGTGGTAGTCAAAAGACTTCTTGGGTCTGAGTAATCGTTTGTGATCCGAGATCTCAGATCCCATCGATGTTGTACAAGTATACGATGTACGGATGTAGGTACCTTGAGCCGCTCAGCATTATCGTTTATGACTCTCACTGTTACTGTCGGGTGTCGTCAAAATATTCAAGCATTCCATGACCGATTTTGCAATGAATTCCCAGGCCAGCAAGCCACCAGAACGTTTGTCTTCCTCCCGCCGCCTTTGCCGTCTCACGACTGCTAGTCTTGCAGGAGATTGCAACGCTACGTCGGCGGTCCTGCCCAGCCAAAAAGCCCAATCAGGGGGCGGGGGATGGCGAGGCCCCATGCCCTCAGCTTTGGTAGCACCGACTGCATCGCAAGCCGGGATATTTTTATGAGGAGCAATTTCGCGGGGACCCTGCCCTAAAAGACCCAGCAAGCCAGGCCTGAAGAAACGGCCGCCTCGGTTGTGGCTTCCAGAGCGCTTCCACAGCGCGGCGCGCTCGTGGCCAGTGCTTCCGTCTTCAGGGGGATTGAGAAACGCAAAACAAAGCAGCATTGGTGTGAGGGGCTCAAAGCTGAGCGCCACAACGGAGCTGATGTCCAATCGCACGAAGATGCACTTACCGCATGACGAACAGACTAGACAACGAGGGCGCGTCAACTCAATGGCGAAGTTGGACGAGCCGCCAGCCAAGCGGGGTGAAGATTCAAAGTAAAAAAAAGATAGGGCGTAATGATCTCACGAGGTTCTTGGTCCACCTTGGGTATGGCCACCCATACTCCGTACCTACATCCACAACGGCAAGAAGAATGAGCGAGAATGGCGTGAATGGGTGGATGCGCTCTTCCTCGCCATTCAGGCCGGGGGGCTCCGACCTCCACCGGGCACGCTGCTTTCGTGAGAGAGAAAACGTTGTGCCCGCGCCACCAACATCGTTGGGTAGCCCGAGCCTAACGGAATAAACTCCCAGCCCCATGCATTATACCCATTCAGGGTCACTTCATTCAATCTTGTCGTCGTGGGGGAGAAACAGGGGCAATAAAACCGACCAGCGGACTCATCACGCAATAAAGCCCTACCCGTCGGTTGACCACTTCTGTTCCCCCAAAGTGTAGTTGTCATTGCGCGCGTGTCTCTCCAGTTTTACCCTAGGAACATCCCTTGATGGTTGATAAGGACTTCTGCTACCTCGAGCCTTGCGGCTGCTTGGCTTCGGCTCATGCCTTGCGTTGCTTGTTGCGTGCCGGGAGCTCCCATATTTCCGGGGGCACGCCTTATGTTGGCGGCTCTCCCGAATCTCGGAGGCTGGATGCCTGCCCGACACAGAGACTGCGAGATGGATGAACGAGGAAAGCCAAGCACCCCAAGTCATGATTTGTGGGCTTCCGATGTGGGTGCTCTTCCAGGCCGCTGCCGATGCCTGTGGCGTCTGTGCTTTTATTTAGCGGGGCCACCCCTTCCTTCGCACAACGGAGCACCTGAACGCGCCCCACTTGCCCTTGGTTCCGTCGCTTGCCTCCATTGGCCAGTAGACCCTTGATCCCTGGGGCCCGAGCAAGCGACGAGCAAAGTCATTAAACCCCCCGGGGCCGCCCACTCGCTCGCCTTCTTGTCTATCTCGCGATCCTTTTCCCAAGACTCCTCTTCGTCCCCCCTTCTTCTTTCTCCTTCTCTGGATAGTGTCGCAGGAGGACCACGATATTCCTCTCCTGCAACATCGTGCATTGTGTATTTTAGCGCTCTTGCACTGCCGGTTCCTCCTTTTTTTCCTACCGATCAAGACCCCAGAGGCAATCGCCCCCGTCGCTCCGCAACCCTGCCCTGAGCGCAGCGCAACACTTGCATCCTGTGAAGGGTCCGACAATTCGCGTCGCAGCCATCGTCCACGCCGCCAGCCAGCACCACCCTGCCGAGGAGCTCGCCGAGCCTGTTTGATAGTCATCGATACCTGGGTATCCTTTCGATCGGTTTCGTTTCATTTAAACAAGAGCTTTATTCTCATTCATCCATTGTTTCTCTCTCGGCCGATTGCCCGCCACTGCAGCGCACCAACAACACCACCCCGTCGTCGCCCGCACTGCCCCACGGCACGACAGTCTTGGTCACATTCCCGAACAGGGCTTGTTGCATCGCACGGGACGACCCATCGCACAGGTTGCCGATCGCCCCGACCCTTCGCCAGAGGCTCGTTGGAAAGGATTGAAAGAGTTGGGAAAACATAACATCTCTTATGTCACGGGCTGGTCTCGGAAATCTCGACTCTTAAAACCACCAAAACCCAAGTCAGAACTGTTCGCAGGCAGCGCCTAAGAACACAATCTCTCCTACCTTGCTGGGTTCCAAGGTCACAGATCAACTGTGTTGACGCCTCGACCACTACCCGCCGCTGCGTTATGTACCAACAGAATGCAACCATGGCCGGACAACAGATCCCAGAGACGTTCATGCTGAGCGCGGAAGCTCAGCACAACCTTCCGGAGGATGCTCAGGTAGCTCTGCACCAAGTTGATAATCGTGAGTTGCCAGCGCCAGCCAGAGCGGCGGAAGGGAAAGGAGGATTTTGCTAACCCGGGCTTGCAGTCAAATACTTTCTCCTTTCGGCACCAGTTGACTGGACTGCCGATCAATACATTAGGCGGTTTCTCCTCCCGACTGGCGAATACGTTTCGTGCGTGCTATGGAACAACCTCTTCCACATCTCCGGGACAGACATCGTAAGATGCCTGTCGTTCCGTTTCCAAGCCTTTGGGCGGCCGGTGAAGAATTCCAAGAAGTTCGAGGAGGGCATCTTCTCGGACCTGCGCAATCTCAAGTCAGGGACCGACGCCACGCTCGAGGAGCCCAAGAGCGCGTTCCTGGACTTCCTCTACAAGAACAACTGCATTCGTACGCAGAAGAAGCAGAAGGTCTTCTACTGGTACAGCGTTCCTCACGACAGGCTGTTCTTGGACGCCCTGGAGCGGGATCTGAAGAGGGAGAAGATGGGCCAGGAAGCCACAACGGCCGCCGTTAGCGAGCCGGCCCTCTCCTTCCAGTTCGATTCGTCGCAGTCGCTGTACGAGCAGCTCACGAAGGCCCAGCAAGCGAACTCGTCATCCTTCAACCCGCAATCCGTTTCCTTCTCCCAACAGCAGACCACCTCTCCGGTGATGGCGCCGATCGACTCGATGCCTCCCCCGCAGATGATGCACCAGCCGATGCCTCAGCAGATCCCCCAGCAGATGCCCCAGCAAATGCCTCAGCAAATGCCTCAGCAGCTCCCCCCGTCGATACCCCAATCAATGCCCCCGATGCCTCAAACGATGGCCCCGATGGCGGACGGCATGGAGTCTATGGCGCCATACGGAGCGATGGCGATGGCGCCGAGCATCCCCCCGTCCCAGCCGGCAGTCAAGCGGGAACCCGAGTACGCGCAGCACCCCCGCGTTCAGTACAACCAGAACGGTGTCCCAATGAACCAGACACACCAACGGCATACGTCGATGCCCGCGTTCGGCTTGGAGTACTCGCCCGCCCCGTCGTTCGTATCGTCCCACTACGAGGATTACAGCCAGAGGGGGATCTCCTTCGAGCCGTTGACCCCTCCGCAGCAGTCGCTTGCCATTGGTGGCGAGCCTGCGTACATCGCCAACGAGGAAACGGGCCTATACAGTGCTATCCCCGACCATCTCAACCCTGTCGGTGCCCTAAATGGCATGCTCCACCTCCCGCCATCGAACTTGTCAGGTCCTTCGTTTCCGCGGAGCTATGGGCCGAACAATGTGTACTCGTCTGTCATCGAAGGCTCGCCGACGTACAAGCAACGGAGGCGGCGCTCATCCATCCCTCCCTCGCTCTCAGCTACCACCGCGGCGATCGCTGCGGCAACCTCAGGCAACCACCGCCCCTCAGATCTCAGGAGGTCAGTGTCGGCCTCGGTCGGCCCCGTTGCCGAAGGTGAGGAGTCCGGGGACACCTCGCCCCCGGGTCTGACATACAGCGCATCCGGTATGCCGCAGCACAAGGAGGTGCTTGATCTGTCGCGTCATGGGACACCGTTGTCGGCTGTGGAGGGCAGCCCCGCTCTCAACCCCATGGCTCTTCAGCAACACGACTACTCGCCGCTACCAGTCGACGAACTAGGACCCCTGAACGACCAAAGGCCAATGATGCATGGAGGCCCTAGCGTGGTACGCAGAGCCCGCTCCGCAACCGTCATGGAACTTGGCCCCTATCCCCAAAAGTCCCACACCTGCCCCATCCCTTCATGCGGTCGTCTCTTCAAGAGGTTGGAGCACCTTAAGCGGTAAGACTTGAAAAAATATTTCATTTGTAAACATGTGAAGCTCCTGCGGTGTATCTGACCAAAACCTTCTAGACACGTGAGAACACACACACAAGAAAGACCCTACACCTGCCCTTATTGTAGCAAGGCGTTCTCCAGATCAGACAACCTCGCACAGTATGCCCCCCTCATTTCCTTGGTGTATCATTTCCTTCGTCAGTCGACAGTTGGGAAGTTGAGCAGCAATGTTGCGCAAGTGGCACGCCAAGAGCGGAGCAATCCTTACCCAACCCTACAGAGATCGCCAATAGTCACAACACAACAGCACTGCACAACCAACACCCCAGCCGATGAGGCCATGTTAGGTATGAGACGGGGACTGACAAAGGATTTCCTTGCAGACACAAGCGCACTCATGACCGGAATGACGGTACCGAGGGCAACTTCAACTCGGGCGAAGAGGAGGAGCAGTACTCTGGCGAGGACCAGCTGTCCTCGCTCGACGACGCCTCGCCGACGTCTGAGAACGCCTATGTTGCGGGGTCGCTCGATGCGGCCGTCAACAGCAACAACACGCCTTCGTCGCACACCGCTTCGCCCGCCAACCAAAGCCACCCGCAAACACAGACGTTCAACAGCCTCCAAACGCTTAGCATGCCGATGACCATGAGCCAACCGCACGCTATTAATACAGGCGGGATGGCTTAATTCGGGGCTGCGCAAGCGCGAGTTTTGGGACATTTGCTCATTTGAGTATTACACATCTTTATATTGTTTTCTCTTCCTCATACTTGGTCTTATCTGGGCCATATTTACTACATCGCTGGTTACCGCCAGCGGTGTGACATTCTTGTCTTTCCCTTTTGTCAGCGGCTTTCTCGTTTTACGGTTCCGAGACAGTCGCCTCCTTGTAAGTAAGCATTGCAGTGGCTGAAAAAAGATGGAGTTGGGTTTACGCTAGAGACGGCGGCGAGCAGGAAAGGGGGGGGTCATGCTGAGAGTGAGAGAGAGAAGTGGCCTTGTTTTTTCCCGAGTGGTGCGTTCCTCGACCGCCTCTTGGAAGTGGTGGGATCGACGGACGAGACGAGAAGAAGACATCTGCATTTGTCTTTGTATATATAGCTTCGTCTTCTTCCATGTTCGTGTTTTCTACTTCTCTCTTTTCGCTAGTTGATAGGCACATTAGCTGTCCTTTAGGGTGGCTGGTGCTGAAGAGTAAGATACCAGGGCGGTGGAAGCAATTGAATGTTGTTTGGAACTATCTCGTGTGTGCCCATGGTGTACTTTATTGTGAACTAGCTGTACCTTGACCGACTATTTCGTAATTGATATTTTAGACGAACTACCAAAGCCTTTAACAATCCAACACACTTTTTTTCTGATAAAGAGGGACTCCTATCTCCTTACAGCCTTTCCGTTACTTGATCAACATAAGATCACCAAACAGCATCCAAACCAAGCACCCAAGTCAACCAATCTATGCTATAACTACCACGTGCTGACATATGCAAACAAACAGTCAGACGGTGGTGGCAAAAAGATCGACTGCCCATCTCCCGATCAGATCTACATACCCCAACTGAACTGCCGAACGATCTCCGATCTTGATCTTACATCTGCCTCGTATACTTACACTACTAATAATGGGCCATCCAGCAAGGCCAAGAACGGGCAGGGGCGGCCAGTCAGACGGCCACCCAACCCCCCCACCCCCGCCCCGTAAACTGGGCTCGAAAGGAACCCAGATATCGAGATCGGGCTGCCTTCCTTCGTTGGATCGGACCCCAACGGCCCGATCAGCAGGCCTGCCAGCCAGCCAGTCGGTCGGTCGGTCGGTCCATCGATGAATATTTGCTGCTCCATTGGCATTGGCTTGCGTGGCAGAAGGGTTGGGGTGGTACTGGTTCAGCCGCGTGGCGGGGCCGCGCTGCAGTATGTGTATGTTTTACAGTTACGTTGTACAGACCGGTCGCAGGTTCAAGGGGGGCACAGGGTGTTTGTGGTTCGTACACTTGATGGCCTTTTTCTTTTGCGGCGGGCGAGGGCGCGCATGGGGACAGACAGACACATGGCAGCGGTTTACGATTGTGCCCCGTACTGTACACGGTGACGGCTTGGGTGTGGTGGGATATCAGATTATTATTTCTTGGCTTGCGTGACGCCGTCTTAGTTTGTCTTTTTACAGCACCCCTTTTCTTAGTTCCCGGCCTCTCTATGACAGACCCGGTGCTCACTGATATGGTCGGGGCAGGATGACCCGGCCGAGCAGCTCCTGTACCACCAAAGCCGGGGACTTCTTGAGGGCCATCTGCCGATCGCAGACCAGCGGCGCAGCCCACGTTGTTCTACGTTGCAATAGGAACGCGGAATGCTGAGTGTGGCGGCAATGGCGGCGTGTGTACTACGTATGCCCGCCATGATTTTAGCCCAAGGGGTCGTGGCCCCATCGTTGCTCATCCACCGGCTCGGGTTCAATGACGTTGGACCGGCCCGGCTGGGTGCCCAATTGACCAGTAGGCTAGCCGATTGTTGATGGTTTGAAACGGGCCATTGGGGGCAATATAGACGGGAGCGGCCGGAGGGAGATCTCGTGGGGGAGGGAGATCTCGTGGGGGAGGGAGATCTCGTGGGGTTTGTTTCAACAGCCCTGCTATTGAAAGCTTGTTTGCTGACCCGTCGACATGGAAGATGGCGGCGCGGGGATCGCGGCGCTGCCAGTGCAGGAGCCTTTTCGCCCTTACCCTCTTCCCAGGTGGATACTGTGGGGGAACGATCCTCTGGGGGGAGTCTCGCAGATAGAGCGCAGAGTGTCCACTGTGCAAGATGATGGCTTGCTTGCAGGATACGTGCGTAACCATGGCCGGGGCACAATCACCTCCTCTTCCTGCCCCTCCCTCTCCCAGCAGGCGCTCTCACTGAAGCGGCAATATCGCGCGCCTCGCGGGCGCTGACTCGTAACTCGGCACCCTTCATCCTGCCCACACCAGGGAGGTCGACTGGCCTCTCACCTCTCCCCTTCTTTTTTGTAATTTTGGGCTTCTTCGCCTCCCGCTCGAGGATGATGCCGTTTTCCCGCGCCTCTCTCCGCCTCTTGTCTTCCTTCACCGCAGCGGCGCCGACAATGCCCTTCCGCATGGACATGGGCATCTTGGACTGGCTGAGGATGCTCTGCTTGGCCCCCAGAGCCTGCACTCGCATATCGGTCGTTTTCCGGGCCGTACGACCAGCGGCAAAGGCGCGTACGTTGGTGGCGGTGCCAGCGGCGTGCTGAGATTGCCAGTGGGATGGATTTGCGCCGGCGGCCGACAAGATGTGGGACTCGGAAATAAGCCGCTGCAACGCCAGATCGTTGGCGAGGAAAGCGGCGCTGTCTTCGGGCTGTTCTCCATCGGCAGATGTCTTTTTGGAGTTATTCGTCGTCTGTGCCGCGAGCTGACTGGGGTCGGGTGGGCGAGAGGACTGGGCGGGCTGTCAGCAGCAACTTCAAGAGTTCAATACGGCGCAGGTGCCGCCTTACGAGGTAAGCCTTGAGCTCCCGTTTGCTCATTGCCGTGGTTGTGGTTGAGGCGGTCGACGTGTGGTCAATTACCTCGACGACGCGTGCTTCGGTGTCTGTTCTTTTGTTTTAGCAGGGAGAGCTTGTGTCGCATGATGGCCGAGGAAATAACTGCATACCCTCCTCGTCCTCATCCTCGTCGTCCGAAACTCCTCCCCATTCTGAGTTGGATTGGTCCGATTCGGCCTCACTTTCGTCATCATCCTGGCTAGCGTCAGTGTCGTCGCCATCGGACTCATCGTTGTTGGTTGTCTTCTTTGGAGCGGCACGGGCGGCGGGAGAAGCGGCGAGTGGCTTGAAACGCGCCTCGAAGTGCTGCCTGAGGAGTTCTTGGGCGTCGGCGACTGCCTCAGGTTCCTCCACTGTAGCCCGTGACTTGCGTTTGCCTAATGGGCTCGGCATTGTGAGGAATTGACTTGAATGAGAAAAAGTGAAGTTGTCAGTGGGGGGGTGGAAGACGAGACCTTCCTTCCATTGAATGGCTTGCAACTTTTGGAGCTCGGGCAAAAATTTACAGTACCTCGATGGCTGGGGTTTATCTTATCGGGTGCCAAGAGCGCCCCTCCAGAAACGACACGGCCATTACCCCGCCAAACACATAGCACCCCCTTCTGTAAACAAACCCCTTATTAGTGAGGAAACTGAAGCGTTGACTGGCCCAATTAGTATCAGTCCGTTAATTTTACTCGTGTCTTTTGCCTCGTTCACATAACCTTAGAAAAGATTGGACTTGGGGCTCCTAAAATGACGCGATTCCGACCCTGTATCGACCTCCACGCCGGCGAGGTCAAGCAGATTGTCGGCGGGACATTAGACAGCAAAACCAGTTCACTCCAAACAAACTTTGTCTCACCTCACCCTCCCGCTCACTTTGCCAAATTATACCGCGATAATGCCCTCACTGGCGCACACGTCATCATGCTGGGCCCGGGCAACCAAGACGCCGCGCGGGAGTCTCTCGCAGCCTGGCCAGGGGCTCTGCAGGTCGGCGGTGGCATCAACGATACCAACGCCAAAGAGTGGATAGAAGCCGGTGCCGAGAAGGTTGGCACATACCCCCCATCCTCAAACCAAAAAACAACAACACCTGCTAACGAACCCCAGGTCATCATCACCTCCTTCCTCTTCCCCAACGGCACCTTCTCCCAGCCGCGCCTTGACGCGGTGCTCGCCGCGCTCGACGGCGACAAGAGCAAGCTGGTGATCGACCTCAGCTGCCGGCGGCACGGCGGCGAGGAGAGGTGGTTCGTCGCCATGAACAAGTGGCAGACCATCACCGACATGGAAGTCAACCAAGGTGACCCCCCCCCCCTCCCCCTTTCCAACTCCCCTAAACCCCAACCCCCCATCCCATCCCACCCCACCCCTAACCCATCTCCCAGAATCCATCCAACGCCTCGAACCCTACTGTTCCGAGTTCCTGATCCACGCAGCCGACAACGAGGGGCTGCAGGGCGGGGTGGACGAGGCGCTGGTGGCGCGCCTGGCCGAGTGGTGCAGCATCCCCGTCACCTATGCGGGCGGCGGCCGGCACCTGGACGACCTGGAGCGAGTGAAGCGGCTCAGCGGCGGGAAGGTGGACCTGACGATCGGCAGCGCGCTGGATTGCTTTGGGGGCAGCGGGGTGACGCTGGCGGAGTGCGTGGCGTGGAATCGGCGGCAGGAGGAGGAGACATCGGTGTAGGGGGCAGGGGGGGTTTGGATAGCTACGGGCAGGGTGGGCTTGTGTTGCGAGTATATATATGCGCGCGATGGCTTCACAGTGCTGGCTGTAGCCGTCACAGGATTCGGTTGACATCCACCATTCGAAGGGTTTCACCACAAATCATGACCAAACCAGCTGCAGATGCATTCCATACAAATCTAACAAAGGCTCAAATACACACAAAGAAGCGCAACAACAACCCCAAGAGTCCCGGCTCGTCATCCCCATAGTATTAGTCAAGCCAGCTCGAACTTTTATCGCCTTCCCCCTTCCCCATCTAGCGCAAAGAGCGAAGTGGTGTAGAGCGTTAGCAGAACGAAGCGAAGATCAAAACCAACACATAACCGAACCCCCAACCCCAGGCAGCGAGACACCCATAGGACGGACAGCGAGAGCAACAGATAAAACAGACAAAACAGAGTACGCTTGCTAGACTGACACAAAAATAGACGTTAAGGAAAGGGGGGCGGTTGCAAGCCCCTAAGATGGCCACCACCGAGCAGGTGGTAAAAAAAGAGGACAAAAACGAAGGCAAGAAAAAGATAATGACGAGAAGAGAAAAAAAGAAAAGCAAGAAGAGGAGGAAGCCAGCTGTCCGCGTCCCGCCAGCCAGCCAGACCTCATGTGCCCGTTGTGTGTTTCCGTCCAGTCCCCCCCCATCCATCCCAACCACACCCCCCATCCCATCCCCACATATCATCATCATCAACTCCCCTGGCTCATGCTTCCCTACACAGTATACTCCCAACAAACCGAACTCCACATGAATACTCCGTCCATCCCACACCACAACAACAACAACGAATGTCCATCCAACCAACCCTAACCCAACCCCAACACCCGACATCATCATCCCATCATCATCGCAAGAAAACCCCTACACGTACATGCTCTTAGTGCGGGAATGTACCCTCCTCCCCTCAGCCCTCTTCTTGAGGGTATCCTCCCGCTTGAGCACCAGCTCACACCACTTGCCCTTCATGCGGCTGCCGGGGGCACCGGTCAGGAGGTCCTCAGACGAGCCACCACCATCAACCGCCGAACCCAAGCTGTCGCGGCCGAGGACCTCGCCGAGGACGCGCATCCAGCCCTCCTTGTCGGCGGTGCTGTCGGCGTAGAAGTCGATGAGCTCGCCGTTGTTGAAGCGGATGCGGAAGCCCTCCTCGACGAACATGTAGCCCTCCTCCTCCTCGGCGAAGGCGGAGCGGCGGCGGCGCCCGCCGCGGCCCGTCGTCTCCTTCTCCATGAGCGTGCGCCGGTCGTCGATGAGCCGCTTCGCGTTGGCGAGGTTGATGGTCGCGCGCGGCTGCCGCGTCGCCTCGTGGTAGGCCGTGAGCTTGGCCCCGACCAGCTTGAAGTAGCGGCGGCGCCAGTAGGGGCAGTCGCCGCCCTGCTGGCTGAGGTGGCCCTCCCAGCAGCGCGCCAGGCGCTCCTCGGCCGCCTTCATCTCGCGGATGCACGAGTTCATGCTCTTGGGCATGTCGTCGTCGGTGGCGCCCTTGGCGCGCGGTACGAACAGCAGCTGCAACTCGAGCTTGCCGACCTTGTACGGCGCGCGCCGGATCACGCCGCCCGTCGTGGCGCCCGCCGCGTTGCCGCGCTTGCTCTTGACGCTGGACGCGAACCCGGCCTCTTCGGTCGCCCACTCGTTGAAGGCCGCCACATCGACGAGGTACGGCCGGCCGAAGCAGCGCGGCTCGTGCTCCTTGAGACATACGTAGGCGCGCGCGAAGCTACCGTCCTCGGCCGCTAGGGGGCTGAGCAGATCCCATCCGCTGGGCTGCTGCGACGCCTTCAGCATCATCTGGCGGGCCTGCGCCTCGCGCTGGGCGGCAAGCCGCTCCTCCTCCTCTTGTTGCTTTTGGCGCTGCTCCATCTCGCGGCGCTTCTTGGGAGAGGCGAACACACGGCTGAAAGCAGACGTCTTGGGCTTGGAGGTCTTGGTGGGGGAGGGGAGGGCCTTCTTGTTGAGGGGAGCGGGCGCAGGCTTCTCGAGCTTGACATTGAGGGTGAGTTGGAACTCCAGGTCGTTAGGTACAACCAGCTCGAACTCCTGCCCGATGGGCGCGTTGCGGGCGAGCTCGAGCCAGGCAGTTGTCACGCAATGGACACCGTTGTCAAGCGTCAAGCTAAACCAGGTGCGCTCGTCTGTGGGTGTTGTTAGTCGGGTTATGACAGTCGTGGAGTTGGGAGGTTTGTTTGTCTTACTCTTCGGAATCGGCAGATCAAGGTCCTTGACTCCCATCACTTTAACAAAGAGCCTGCCTCTCTCTCCGCTCTCCTCGGTCGCCATCTCGACGGCCATGTCCTCCTCGTTAGCATTACCAACCGCAGCCGCATTGCTCTCCTGCCCGGGCAGCGGCGGAACGGGGCCAGTGGCGGGGTGTCGCTTCCGGATACTACGCTTCCTCTGGCCGCCACTCCATGGCTCGACAGTCCACGACTGCGGCCGGGTCGCCTTCACAGGTGAATTGCCCGCAGACCGACAGGCACGAACATCATCAGAATCCTTGTCACTGGCGGTGACCATCTTGGTGTTCTGGCGCATTAGGTAGCCGCGCTGTTTGCGATGAGATATGTTAGTCAGGTCGCCTACGGTTGCTGTGAAGGGTATCTCAGATTCTGCAGATGTTTCTCCCGCTTGGAAAAAACTGGCTGCAGTTGTGGAGGACTGAACAGAAGGAACTTGGTAAAACGCAACCTTTTGAGCCTCAATAACCCGATCAAAGTCCTGGTCAAGGCTGAGGCCAAGGTCAAGATCGAGCGTCAGGCTGCGCTTCTTGAAACTTGGGTGGCGCTCAAGGAAGTCGCTGGTGACCTCGCCAATATCGGCCTCCATGTCGCGCGAGATGCGGTTGCGGTGACGTTCCGGAATCGGAGGAATCTCACGGCTGACCTGGCGGCGAGCCTCTCGCATGGATGCAAGATCTGATGGTGTGGCAGAGGGCCGCGTCTTGAGCTTGGAGCCGGACGCCGACTTGATGGTCGCTATTTGCTCCGGGATCGCGGGAGAGTGGCGCGCTGCTTCCTCCTCGATGCTCGGAATGGCGATTGGATGGTGGATAACGGAATCGGGAGTGCCCGGGTCATCCGAGACTTCCTCAGGCTCGCCCCAACCTGATCCATCGTATTCAGGCTTGGTAAGTGATCTTGTGAGCTGTTGCTCGGGCGTGAAGGGCCGTTGAGCATCGGTCGTGCTCGGCTTCTCGGGCTCGGCAGCAGCTTCTGGCTCCTCTGGTTTGGCGAGCATGCAGGAATCAAAGCTCGCAGAGAAGGCGTTCTCCTCAGGCCGGTCTGGAATTTCCGACGATGCCGGTGCTTCATGCTCCTGAGCGGCTGCCACGGGGGGCTCATCCACCGGAGTTGTCGCCCGTGGGGTTGGAACCTGGTCCTCCTCGGGTTCTTGTGCCTTGTCGGTTTGAGGCGCCTCTTCAATGGAGTACTGGCTCTCGGTATCATCGTCGTAAGACATCTTGTCGTCATCAAGCTCATCATCATCTTCGGTCATCTCGGAACGCTGGTACATGTCGGTGATGGAATCGACGTCGTAGTCCTCCTCGATGTTGCGGTTGATGATGACGCTGCCTTCATCGGAAGCGGCGTCGTCCTCGTCGTCCTCGTCCATCATAAGAGAATCCTCCGTAGTAGGAATGGGCACATCCGGATCATAGGGAAGGGCGTGGTCAGGGGTTGAGGGGCCGGCCGGCGACGAGAACTGATAGTCGGCCTCGCGGTCGAAAAGCTTATTTCCGTTCACGCGACGCAGGATTGACTCCCGGGAGATGCGGGGAGGGAGCTGGTACTCCTCAAGGCACGACAACTCGCCAACGGTGTCTTCCTCCTCCTCACATTCCGCCGGATGAGGCTGCACGCTAGGGCTCCGGCTCTCGCGCTCGGGTGTCTGGCTCTCTACGCTCGCGCGAGGACCGGCGCGTCTCATGCGGCGCTCCCGCTGTTGCTCGGCCGCCGTCTTTCCGTCGTCGGAAAGCATCATGAGCTTAAGGCGCTCCTCAAGGGGCATCCTGCCAGTTCCGATGTTATGGGCTTCGGGCGATGTGCTCGATGCGGGCGGAGGCGAAGGCAAGCTCCGGGCGGCCGGGCCCATCCCGGGAAGAGGAGGCAGTGGCCGGCTCTCGCCGTTTGAGTTGGACGAGTCGGTGCGACGGTGAGGCGGCCTCTGAGTGGACGGGAGCTCGTCGGGCATAGGGCTCCTCTCAAAACGATCGTCGTGGCTCTGCCTCCACTCATCCGGCCCCATGACGGGAGTCTTGTCGGTGTCCTCTAGCGAGGCGTCGAAGCTATCATCCGGGTCGATGCTACCGTGGACCATGTAATGTTCGTCGTCGTCGTCGTCATCCTCCTCCTCTGAGTCGTAGCTGCCTTCTCTCGAATTGCTCCCAATGGACGACAGGTCGGGTGTCGTCATCTCATACTCGTTTACCTGGGGAGGGGCTGCGTCGAAGGTAACACTTTTTTGGTGTCGGTGGAGCGACTTGCCCTCGGGGAGGTCGCGCTCGTCACCCGACACCTCGGTCCAGGTACCGGCCTCTGGGTCGAAGCTGCTCTTGAAGCGGCTCGACAGCGAAGACTTCATAGGCGATGGCTGATCCTTGCTGGGGGTCGTCGGGCGCATGGGTGGGCTCATGGGACCTGGGGCGGTCTTGGAAGGGCTCAGGACGGGGATGCTGGTCTTGCTTTCGTTCCTCTGGTGGCCAAAAGGGCGGTTCTCGGAGCGGGGACCGGTGGTACCACTACCACCGAAAGCGTTGCCCTGGACTTTAGCCAGGGGTCGCTCGATCTGAGGGACCCTAGTCGGATCGTATTCGTGCTTCTGCTCAAGGGCGAGAATGTTGCTGTTTTTGACGCGTGAAGCTTTTTGGAGGCGTTCAATGGAGGATCGGCGACACGGTGATGGTGAGCCGGAACGACCGTCGTAGCTGTTTTCTGAGTTAAAGCTGCGGTTCTGCCAGAACATGCGCGGGGAAGTGGTGTTTTCCAAGGGCGACGACTGGAATGGTGACGAGTCCGTGAGTGCCATTTTCTGACGCATGGTAAAACAACTGGTTAGCCCGGGGTCTTGCGCTCAGCAGGTGGCACAAGACTGTCTCACCTTGTTCGATTGATTCCAGCTGGGCGAGTTCCGGCGCTTCTCGGTGGGTGAGAGCTCGGACAGCGGGCGGGGGATCGCGCTGCCAACTTTTGCTGGAGAAGGCATCGTGCTGCTCTTGGAAAGGCGCAGAGGTTGTACCTTGAAGCGCGCGATGTCAGGAATGCCAAATTCAGTGCAAGGTGTGCAGCGACAGCGACATACTGGTTCCTCGGATGTCATGCTCGGAATGACAATTTCCAAGGGAGCGCGGGGTTATACTTGGTCTCGCTTTGCTTTTTTGTTGCGATCGCTGTTGTCCACTGGGTATTATGGCAAGCGCATGTGGCAGGCGTGAGGTTGCAGCCGTGCAAACAATTGGGGACGAAGAAAAAGAATAAAAAAAATTCCGGGAAGCCAGCTGCGCCGTCGCAAAAGAATTGGCTCGTCGCAATCGCAGGCAGGAAGGAGGGACGATGCTGATACTGATTGCGGTTATCAAGGGATGCGATAACAAGTAAATGTCGACCACAACCGCGCAGCAGTTAACGTATTTTCCGACACCGTTGATGGTGAGCGAGGAGACGAAGGTGAAATCAACAACTGCACCGGCAGAGAGTTTAATGGATTGTTATGTTGAAGGGAGCCTTCCTTGGTATCTCAAGGAGTGGTGCAACGAGACAAATTATTGTCCTGATTGGTCCAGCTAAGTAAACAATTCGAGCTGCCCCTCGTGCGCAACTGCGATCCGTTGCTAGGCAACCCCGCCACAACGAGCCGCTCCCGCCCACCTCTGCTCGGTGCACTGAAACTCCACAAGAACAGCGGGCTGAGCACCTCTCCCGCCTGCTGTGCCAGCTCCCTGCGGTTAAACCCCAGTTGTGGGCGCAATCCGGCCAATTAAAGAGGTTGAGTTTGTGTTGCCTGCCCGGAGCATCAAATGCAAGGATGCCAGCGATGACTGACATACCGCAGGTTTGAGGTACAGTAAACCAATGCAACTCCCTTGGCCGGGTGACTGAGACCAGACAATGCGCTGTGGAGTTAAAAGAAAACGCATCCCGTCCTTAGTCCAATTCCGAGTCGCCGCCTGTTGTATTTCCCAACGACGAGTCGGCACCAATTCCTAACGCAGGGGAGTAACGAGGAAGGAGGAGAGCAAAAACAAAATGCTGCGAATTTCTTCACTTTATGGATGCCTTAGGGACCCTTCACATGGGCATATCGGAATCGGTAACGGAGTTTCGAAGACGTGAAGCGAAAATCGGATCAGTATTCATGGACCATGCACTCATTGTTTTGGTGTTGAGAACATTGCCCGAGAGCGCTCTGTAGCCCATATAAACACAGAGGAGGAACCCCCACACCCCTTGCGCTACGATGACGATCGTTTCTCAACCCTTTCCACCCCTCTCTCACCTCTGTTGACGTTGTCAAAACGTCATTGGTCGATCCATTGCAAATTCCAAGTCCTTGCTTCATCCCCAACCCTTCTTGCTCGGGTCTGCACATTACTGTGTACAATGTTTTTGTGATATCCCTACTCAATATTTTTTACATTGATCATTCCTTGATGCAAGGCCGTCCGATGAGAAATGTGACGACACACTCTGTGGCTTTTGAGCTGGGATTGAGAAATTGATGGATTAACCGGGCGTATTTGGTAAAATACAAACTGCAATGTGTTATCCTAAGAGGTCAATCTTACAGATCACCTCTTTCAATACCATCATCAATTGGGGGTCGAGAGATTCGAGACTAGGTAGGGTCTTCACCTCCTTCCGATCTCTCCCGAGCCGGAGCACGCGCATGTTCCCGTCCGAACCCGCTTGTCGGAACCCGGGAGTGCCCCGGGAGGTCGTTCGCGCCAAGCCATTTCGCGCCAAGCCACGGGCCCGATCGGTGATGATGCACACACTTGGGAGTCCTTGGCAACGGGCATTTTCAGCCTTATTAGGGATCGTCTTATCAGCCGGGCACAGAAAAGGCAGCTTCTCAAGCCCATTCAGGACGGCTAGACGCCGATAACCTACTGTGGTACACGAGAGTGGGATTTTCTTACAAGGTTTTATTTAGATAAATTCTGGGACTCGACTCAGCGGGGATCACTCAGCCCGAGCTAACGTTGGCCAAGCACCCATGGCTTGGTTGATCCCATGACATCAACGGGCGGTCTCGGGACGCCCCCCGTCGTATCCGATGCTCGATTTTTTTTGATGGGAAAGACTGAGACATTGAGGTGGCTAGGAATTCCATATATTTCACACAGACTCACTATGAATAAAACATATCGATTACTGTCCAGTACAGTACTCCTCGTTGCTCACGTTCGCATTCAGTGACACACCACACCAACATGCCGTCATTATCACGACCTCCAAAAATGGCCCCCCACGGACTCACCCGCTGCAGCCAACTTGCAACTCGATCTTACACACCAACGAGATGTTTCAGTATCGCCAAAAGTTGGTATTTTATCCCCCCATTTTGCAGGGCAAACCCACTAATAAACTTCATCAGACATTGATGCTCGCAAGGAACGGGTTGTAATTCTTGGCTCGGGTTGGGCAGGTTACGGCTTCGCTCGAACTCTTGACCCGGCCAAGTACGAGCGTGTCATCATCTCGCCGCGCTCCTACTTTGTATTTACCCCTTTGCTGGCCTCTACTGCGGTCGGCACCCTCGAATTCCGCACCATCTTGGAACCTGTCCGCCGCCTGCCAGGTAAGATCGGCTTCTACCAAGGCTGGGCCGACGACATCGATTTCAACCGCAAGACCATTCGCGTCGAGACAAACGCCGCCGAGGAGGCTGCAAGTAAGACGCGTGTCCCCGCACCGTTCCCTCCGGCACCGTTCCCTCCGCCGTCGGAAACGAGCGGTCTGGAAAAGGAAGTGTCGACGCCAGCACAAAAGCCCAAGGGAGACGTCATCGACATCCCGTACGACAAGCTTGTCATCGCATGCGGTGCCTACAGCCAGACCTTCAACATCGAAGGAGTCCGAGAACATGCCCACTTCCTCCGCGACATCGGCGACGCCCGGCGCATCCGCCTGCGCGTGCTCTCGCTCTTCGAGCAGTGCTCGTACCCGCGCGGGTCCGACCACCTCAGCGACGCCGACAAGCGCCAGCTCCTGCACTTCGCCATCGTCGGCGGCGGGCCCACGGGCATCGAGTTCGCCGCGGAGCTGCACGACCTCATCCGCGACGACCTGGCCCCCATCTACCCGGACCTCATGCCGCTCGTCAGCATCACCGTCTACGACGTAGCTCCCAAAGTCCTCCCCATGTTCGACCAGGCGCTGGCCGGGTACGCGATGGACACCTTCGCGCGGCAGAACATCCACGTCAAGACGGAGCACCACCTGCAGCGGCTGCGGCTGGCCGACGGCGAGCTGGGCCGCCGCCACGGCGCGCTGCGCATCAAGATCGCCGAGTACGGCGACGAGGAGGTCGGCGCGGGCCTCGTGGTCTGGAGCACCGGTCTCATGGCCAACCCGCTCGTCGCCAAGCTCGCCTCCCAGGAGCTCGCCCTCGACGGCGCCAACCCCTACTCCACCGCCCCGGGCTCGACCACCCGCCACCTGCTCCGCGACGCCCGCACCGGCGGTCTCCTGACCGACCCCTACCTCCGCGCGCGCACCGCCACCAAGGGCAGCGACGGCAACAGCAACAGCACTAGCACCAGCACCAGCGACAACCCAACCACCCCCCAACCCGGCGGCGGCAGCGGTGCTGGCGGGGTGCTCGAAGACGTGTACGTGATCGGCGACTGCGCGGTGATGGAGCACGACGCATCACTCCCCAAGACAGCGCAGGTGGCGGCGCAGCAGGCGACCTACCTGGCGCGGCGGCTCAACAGCATCCCGGCGGGCCGCAACGGCAAGGACAGCGTCGTCCGCGACGCCACCGGCGCGGAGGCTGGGGGCAAGCCGTTCCGGTTCCGCAACTGGGGCACGCTGACCTACCTGGGCAGCTGGAAGGCCATCCACCAGAGCCAGGCGGACGAGTTAAAAGGGTGGGTGGCTTGGGTGGTCTGGCGGGGTGCGTACTTGACTAAGAGTATGTCGTGGCGGAATAAGTTGTTGGTGCCGGTGTACTGGGTCATTTCGTGGCTTTTTGGGAGGGGGATTAGTCGCTTCTGAGTGTGGAAGGGGGTTGAGGGGGTGTGGTGGCGGGGGTTGTAAGCTATGGTATGTGTACTATGTACGTTTTGTGTGTGTGATATTGTTGTGGTTCATAAAATTGGGTTTGCCGGTTATAGCACGATAGATTGATATCCTTGATGGAAATAGACGCGGGAGCTTTTAGATGGTGTATAATAAATTGTATTGCCCCTTTTACATGATCTTGTGAGCTTTGGGTGTGTCACCCCACACTGGCGTGGAATCCGAAGTCAGCCTTCATAACCACTCTTTTGGCAATTATTTCGACGGGCTCCAGAAATATGCAGCCCGATAGAGAGCGCAGAGATACCCATGCGTATTTCTGTTGCTGTCTGCCATCAGCTTAGCGCGCCCCCCCTCGCTTCTCTTGACGTCAACGCCTCGCGAATATGCTAACCAAGAGGCCCATGCGTTGCAGCTTCTCGATCTGTTGCTCGGGGGTCACACTGCAGTGCGGCGGTGGGTAGATGCATGCGTTGACACCTTGTACCCCTTGCGGCTGTTTCGTAGTGGCGGCTTTCGGCTACTCTTGAGCAACCGGAGCCGGGTTACAGAGAGGACCTCCTTGGACGTTGGTCTCACTATAAAATTCGACACCGCTCGTCTGTAACCTCCACTAAGAAAGTCTCGGCTTTTTAACCCCGACCTTTGTTGGGACGGCATCGATTTTCGTTTCAAGGAACTTGCCAGCCCGCGCCTCTCGGAGCCAGGCGACTTCGATGGGGGGCACGTGGTCACGCACAAACTCGACCAGCCCTCTTGCCTGCGGGGCATCTTCCCTGAGCCCAATACTGGAAACCCGGGGTATCCCGAGTGCCGCGCTCAGGCGGTCCTCACAAGCCTTAGAAAAACCAACCAGCCTGACGGCTTTGTCGGCCGGCTGGGATCGAGCAGCAAGAGCTACCATCTGGGGGAAGTGGCAGTGAAACGTCGACGGCTGGCCGGAACGGGCCACGAAGACGACGTCGTAGGGCTTGTTGTCGGGTTCAGGCTTCGCTTCTTCGTGCCCTGAAGGTGCGGCTTCCAACGACGGGCTGCGCTCTTCCTGGCTAGACATGGCCTGCAACTCGCGGGAGATTTTGGTGAGCCCTATATCCACATAGGCGTCCAGCTCTGGCGTCGGGGGCGAGTTGGAACTCTGCGATTTTTCTTCAGGGTTCTCTGAGCTACCTGCTTTCTTGGACCGTTTTCGTTTCCCCTTTGATGGGGTGATAAACGATTTACGATGAACGCCAAGGGGAGCAAGTAGTCTGCACGGGTGCGTGTTAGGGTAGCCGTCCCAACATCAAGATGCACTAGGACAGAACTCACTGGCAGAGGAGCTCTAGGATGGCATCTTGCTCTTCTTGGGTTGTCTGCGGCCTTATATGTTAGTCAGCAGGCAGAGTGTAGAGATACCCAGGGTGATGTTCTGAGGTTTGCTGACCATGTGACGGCCGAGTAAGGCGTATCGAGGGTGTGCACGATCTTTTTACGCTCCATCAGAATAATTTCGCCGCTTGCTAGCTGGCCGAATTTCTTCTTCTTGGTGTTGATTTTCAACCAACTGTGGTTGAGCCTTGATGGCAGTTGATTGACCTGCTTTTCTTTTCTTTTTTCTTTCCGTTTCCCGCGCTTAGAATCTAATGCTAGCGTGTGGTAGTGTCGAATTCCCGAGGGAAGGCCCGGGCGGAGTAACGAATGTTTTCGCTGGTTATGACGGCGCTTCCACTTTCAATTCAAAAAGCCGTGATGATGACGGCTTTGAGCAAGTGGTTGGCGGGGGGTACCGTGACCGATGATGCGTTCTGCAAAAAAAGAGCGACAGGGGGAGCGCGCCCATGTGCAACTGCCCGGGACCGGGATCCACATTAACGAGCTGCTCGGCACGAATGGAGATCTGGCGCTCTGTCCGAGGTTTTTCGAAGCACCCCGGTGTCAGGATAGTGATGATCTCGAGAATTTGCTTTCAGTTGACGACGCAACGGCATGTGTGCCCGACCGGTGATATAGATAAAAAATTGATGATCTGTTTGCTACGTAACTCAGTGGAAGGGGGAATTTGTTTTAAACTTCCCACATGGTATACATGGTTGGTAAGTATTCTATACGAAACCCATGGTCGGCTTGGGACCTCTGCCACTCCTGGAACCAACGGACCTCGAGAACAGCAATGTCTGGATATCCATGCACTGATTTGATCCTCTCCGAATTTTATTAGGTAGGTCCGTCCGAATAGTGTGTACACAGTAAAGTGTCCCAGGCGGTGGTGTGTGCCCTCCCCAAGCAGATCCATCTACCGGGGGGCATTATCGAGTTCAAGGCCGTTTTTTTTCTTCGTGCCCTCCTACGAAGGTAATCGATTGGCATTGTGCAGAAGAGCAGCAGACCATCAAGAATCGGCGAGCGATGTGTGATACTGTCATCGCTCATCGTCGGTGAAGCTGGTGGGGCCAATTCGAGATGGATAAAGACGCCCCCCTCCCCACCGCCCGGGTATCATTGGATGCCCAGGCTGGAGAGCTCTCACGCCCCGCAGCCGCGCAGCCCCCCTCCATCGTTTCTTTCCGTCATTCCATCCTCGCCGTTGCGGGACAAGCTCCCGAAGAACCTCCAAGCCTCCACTCCACTCGAAGGCAAGTTTCCTCAACTTCGGATCCGACTAAACAACATCTTTTTCTTCTTTTATCCCAGTGCCGGCACCAGGCTGTTTGTTCCCTTTACATTTGGCTACCAACTGTGCATCGTTTGTTGGCCACCAGCTGCAGGTATGTGTTGTTTCCGTTTTTTTCTTTTCTCTCTTTCGCGCTCTCCATTCTCCGCGTCTGCCTGTTGCAGCCCCCCCCCCTCCTCTTTGAGCCCACAGCCCGCTGCAAGAACGCAGCGAGAGCTCGGTTGTCTCTCCCCAGTCACTTACATCGACCGTGTTCCCAACCGAGCTCGCCTGCACCCCACTCCCCACACCTCCCACCGACCCCCCCCAGCATCGAGGACAGGGGCTTGAGCAGATGAAAAGAGCATCAACAATCAGCAGAAAGCTTAAGCTCCCCCAGCTTGCCGTACTTTCTTCAATTCATTATCGGCTACTTGATCTCCCTTTGTCCTTCCTCGGCAGCTTGCTTCCATTCCATCTCAGTCAAATCGTCCTTTCTTACAACCTTTCTTAGGTGGTGGTAGGTAATGAAGGAAACGCGTCCAATTTGGAGCTCTCTAAAACCGGGGCCCCAAACTTTTAGTGGCTCTGGTTGCCGTGTCTGCCTTCCCCCCCCAGCACAACCTGTTTGAACCAAAGCATCCACCCCCACCTTCTTTGGCTTGCACCTATCACAAAACACAACCACATGCTCACAACCGTGATCCAGAAGCTGCCACCGAGCTTCCCCGAGCGGAGCTCACCCGTCTGCGGAGCTGAAGCCGCCTTCCCCCATATTCATCTCTTGCGCCAGCCCGATGGCTCAAGCTTCGATAGGCGACCCGTCGAGTGATCGTGCTGTCTCCTCCGAGCCTTGCTCGACCCGCCCGAATCCTTTCGAGGATAACGACCTCTCTTCCAGAAAACGACGTCGCACATCGCTAGCAAGCGACTCTCGAAGCCGATCAGTCGAGACGATCGGCTCTTCCCCAAGCCCACCTGTCGCGGCCACATCAGCCATCGAGCTGCGAAGTGATTCTGCTATGAAGATCGACTCGGACCTGGCTATCCCCGCCACGCCCGAACGGCAGCAACCCGCCGCCGAGCCTGCTTCCGAGCCGCGATCCAGCCGCGTTACGATAAACGTACGGACACCATCACAAACTCTCGAGGCGATTCCTTCATCTCCCCCGTCGCCCTCGCCCATGCACAGGCGTCGTACCCCGCCATCCGCCGCATCCCAGACCCATGCAGTCAACATGACGGCCGAGGAAGCAGAGTCCGCTATGCCGGTTAACGGCGCGACACCCGATGCTGCTGTGTCGTCGAGGTCGGATAGCGGGAGCCCGCCAATCGAAATCATTTCTGTGGCGGCAGAAGATGACGCTGATTTCGATGACGACGACTCCATTACCATGTTGGACGAATCTGGCCGATCACTGGAATATGACCCGTCCGCATCGTTCCCATTCCACGACGCCGCAGAATCATACATGGAGACCGTGATCCGGTTACTGCAATTCTTGCCAACCCGTAAGCATTCCCCCCGTCCACCTATCCCATTGGGGACCCGGCCAGCTCTGACACGCTTTCCCCCAGACGAGCAAGTACCTCGCGCGTTCATCGAATGGATAGACAAGTATCTCGACTATGTCAAAACAGCGCCCCTCCAATCCGTCGAAGATTCCACAGTTGTACATCGAGATATGTGGCAAACTGTGCCCCCGTTGGTCCTCCACATGGTGACTCGAAAGTGAGTTTGATGATAGTACGAATATGTACATGGTAATGAAGCTGACCTTGATTCCAGGGCCTACCCCCGGTCTAAAGATATGAGGAATGAGATCTTTGCGTTTTTCAGGTCCTTTGCACAGTTGACGGCCTTCTTCATCGAAATCGACCTCCGAGTCTTGCGGAGTCAAACCTTGTCCGACGAAGCACTCATCCAGGCGCTGGCTTCACCATCCTACATCCACGCGCTTGGGGCTCTCATGCGCCGGGAAGAGGTGGCAATACACAGCTCATCACTCCCGCGCAACGGGGACGATGATTGGAGTTACGTTGCTGAGATGATGGCTATTGTCGACGCATTTCAAAACTTCCCGGTACTCCAAGGAGGTTCCCTCTTGCATATCCGGCAGCTAGCCACGCTCGAGCTCCGGCTTGCGTCCCAATTCCCTCGCTTGATCACTGACCATCTCGGGAATTTATGTCTCGTCGCGGGAAATATCATGAAGTACACGCTTCGCAAGGCACAATACCCCCCCGGTCAGCAAGTCAGTGAACCTGCGAACCGCGCTATCGCTCGCATGTATGCTTTCTTCACGACCATGGCTGCCATGCTTTCGGACATGGTCGACAAGAATCTCAACCAGCTCTCGCCTGAGGGCGCGGCGAACCTCATCGAGGGACTGACAGAGGTGTACCAAACCTGCATCGCCGCGGACGGCGTCGTCCCTTCGGACGTCATCGACCGACATCTCTTGGGCCACCCTCCCGTCCCAGCGCATCTCGTGCCAGAGGCGATCGCCTACCATTGGAAATTCACGCACTTCGTCAAACTCATCAGGTCCGGCCAAATGCAGCTGCGCGTCATGGCCGTGAGTACCATGTGCAGCGATCTCGTTGCTTTGTATCGCAAAAGTGCCGACCCACTTGGGGAGGAAGCCACGCTTGCGCTCTTGCACTACGTTGCAGACTTCCTTCTGAGCACGGGCTTGGTCAACTACATCTTGGGCCCGACGTGCCATCCGGAAATCACCCTTGAGAGTAGCAATATCATCGGTTTTCTAGTCGTCTCGGCCACATATTCGCGAGCGCATACCGACACCTTGTGGCAGACCGTCACATCAACACAGGACCCGCGGGTATCGGACGCCCTCATCCGCATGATCGGCCGCATCACCAACCTGTTTACTCAGGAATCGCTAATGTATTTCCTGGAGAAGTTCAATACGATTCCCGTGGAAGTCTTTGGCTCGACCATGCGGGAGTTCTGCGATCAGGTTCTCAAACAGATCATCACTCGCTTCCCCGAGAGCCTTCTGACCGACTCTGCCCCCTTCGATCTGTTCATCCGCCTCATCCGGCAGTCCTCGGGGTTGGGGTCGCAGTCGCCAGTTGCGTATCCCGACCTGCAGCAGTTCGCGATACAAAAGTTCGACAGCGTTCTGAACCACGGCCCAGACCAGGAGGGCCGCTGGAAGATATATCGTGACTGCCTGAGTGACATCGCCCAGCGGTCCCCGTCCACAATAGGGAGCATCTGGGTCCTCAAGATGGCGACCCGTTTCCACCATGCCCGGGACTTGCATGAGTTGGCTTCCGAGCACGACCTGACGAAACTCCTGATCGAGGAGCTCGCCGCTGCAGTCTCCGCGGCGAAAGCTGCGGGCTTCTCCGCCGCCATTAGTGGGGCGCAGAACGCTCCTCGGAAGGAACTTATCACGTCACTCATATACCAGGAATCCACATCCATCACGGCAGAACTTGGGCCGAAATTATGGGATCTGCTCGTTGGTTCGGAAGCGGCGTCCCAGGAGGATCGGGACGTCGCGTGGCAAATCCTGACCATCGCCATGAAGCGAAGTTTGGGTCGGAACCCCTTCGCATCCATCTGCTTCGCCGAGTACCTCCTGGCCCTGGACCCCAAATTCTTCTGCCAGGGTGCTCTTGATTTTGTTCGCGAGGGCGTGATGCCGCTCGTAAACGACCCCACCAGCATTGTTCTCGACGACGAGGAGAACCCCAAAAACGCCGGAATCGAGATGCTGTGGCGGATTGCCCTTACTGCCCCGACCGGAACAGTCGAGAGGCGGGCCATCCACGCCCTGGTCAGCGATGTTTACGTCGAGAGCCGGTCGATCCGGTCCTTTCAGCCCTACAGGGCTCGCAAAGTACATCTGGCCCTCGTTGACCGGTGCCTTGGGCAACTTTCGTCCGCAGCTGCGAGGTTGAAGACCTTTGCCGATGGCACCGCTAGCGGGGATGACGACTCCATGGTCATAATTGCCACGGACCGACAAATCCAAGAGCAAGAACTGTTGTTCGTCCGCTCCCTGGCGGTCCTGAGGGAGTTCCACCGTGCCCATCGGGCCAAGTCGGACTTTTCTGCGCCGGATATGAGATCGCTCATCCTTGAGTCGCCAAAAGAAATGGAAGGCGAGCCTGCGGAACTCAAGTATCAGTCGTTTGATGGTGACAAACAGTCCGCGGTCATGCCCCTCACCATCGGGAAACACAACACGGGTGCAGATTTGCTTGCGAAGCTACGAGAAGTTGCCGGCTTCGAGTGCTACCAGATCTACTACCGGGGGAGACCGTTTGTTCCCCAGGAAAGCGACCTCCGTACAACCCTCGAGGACCTACAAATCCACAACGGCATCCTTCTTGTCAAGAGAGAGCCCGAGGCTCCGAGCTCACCAAGGGTTCCTCAAGGTGCATCTCCGGTGGAGGTTGAGATCTTAAACCATTTCGATGAATTGTGGGAGTATCTCTCAATAGACGAAAAGCTTGCTCGCGAGGTAAGAACCGCGGTATTCCCTTGCCTCTCAGACGCGAACGCTAACCATCGGTAGATGTACGGATTTTTGGTTAAGCTCCCCCGGGATAAAAAACTACTCGGAGCCATCAGTGACCCCTCGGTCTCCTACCTCGACATATTTCCGGTTGGGCAACCATTCAAATCGCTTTATGCCGTCGATGCTCTCCAAGAGTACCTCGGCTCCTGGCGACCAAAAGCCGCTGTTGTAGGGGGCCTCACCCCAACAGACGATGATTATGGTCCGCGTTTGGTGTCTTCGGCTCGAGCCATGTCCCTCGTCGTTCCGGCAATTTCGGACCCTCACCTTGTGGCTCAATGCCCAAACCAGGAACTACAAATCGAACTTGGTTCCGCTCTTGTAGCATTGTTCGTTTCTCTTCTTAAAGGCAAGTATCGCGTTTGCTTCTCGTTTCATGTCTCACACTTTACTGACATGATATGTGACGGGACGCTCAGGCCCCGAACTTCCAGCATCCGCGACTCAGTTTCTTGACCCTCCCCTTTTGCATCGCCTTCTCGCGATCCTTTCGGTGGCTACTTCCCCCCACCCTCAAAAGGGTGCCATCAAGCACATATCCCTATGCCTCCAAAGCATCCTGGAGAGTTGTTGCGTCAGCGACCGTTTCCTGTCGGCGTTTGCCGCCCACCCAGACGTTACGCGTATTCTTGAAGATCTTCTTCTCAACGATTTGCGGGCCACTGTCCGGCGAACAACTGCAATTCTAATCCGAGAAAAGACTGGCGCAGTTGCAGAGAATGAGAGGTAATAGCCCCATGGTTGCTCATTCCTGTTTCGCATAGACTAACGTGTCGTGTCAGCTGTTCCGGAGCACGGTTAACGACAGTTGCAAAGCTGAGGGAGTTTTTCTGGCCCCTCATCTCGCGCCTTGTCAGGCCAGCGATCGCGAGCACCGGCAACTCAGCAGAGATTCTTGAGCTGTGCTCCGACATGCTCGGCACCCTGGAAGAAACGCAAATCGGAATGCTAGATCTCAAGCAACTCTCAAATGACTGGTTCGACTTACTTATCAACTATACTACGTCCGAGGTACGCCCGAAGTTCCCCACTAGGCACGTCGTCACTTTCTCTAACTGTGTTTCTAGGATCTCACCCGTCCCGACGAAGTGGACCTTGTTGCGGCCGGCTTGGTTCGGCTCCTGCATGCCATTGTGTGCAACCATAGCGGCCGAGCCGGTCGGGACATACTTCCAGCGAGGTTAGTACTTGCCACGCCCCCGTCTTGTAGCAATAATGCGGATATACTGATGTTCTTTTAGGGGTATTGCTCGAAAAGTCTTCTGGAAGCATCTATTCCCGCTCCGCGAAGAGGTGACAGGGGAATGCCATAATCGACCCATTGCTTGTCCCCAGACCAGGGGCCAGCTCATGGAAATCATTTTCAGGCTGGTCAAAGATGACCCAACGCAGTACATGTGGCTCCTCGAGGACATGCATGACCTGGTCCCGGTATTTCCGAACCAAGAAGGTGAGCTATGCCATCCAAAAACGACCCTATAGAGCCACAGCTGACTGACCTTCCAGAATTTTACTCCTACGAGCTCCCTCAGCAGTTTGAGAGGGCAAAAACAATCAGAGCGGCGTGTGGATATCCCGGCGTCCGGAACTTGTCCAACACTTGCTACTTCAACTCGCTATTAACTCAGTTGTTCATGAATGTGGACTTCCGCGAGTTCATGCTTGGGGCCACTGTCCGAGACCGGCAGTACAGTCAGCAGTTGCTTTTCCAGACACAGAAGTTATTCGCGTTCCTGCAGGATAGCGTCCGGCCCTTCATCAACCCTGAGGAATGTGTTGCTAGCATCAAGACATACGAGGACACGCAGATCGACGTCGTTATCCAGATGGATGTCGACGAGTTCTACAACCTGTTGTTCGACCGGTGGGAGGGACAATTTTTGACGGCCGACGAAAAGAACCGCTTCCGTTCCTTCTACGGCGGTCAACTCGTCCAACAAGTCCGCTCTCAAGAATGCGAACACGTCTCTGAAAGGCTCGAGCCCTTTTCCGCAATCCAATGCGATATCAAAGGGAAAAGCACATTGCAAGAAAGCCTACAAGCCTATGTCGACGGCGAGATCATGGAAGGCGGTACGTGCCGTTTAACGTGGCGGAGAGTTGCCTGTTTCATGACTAACAAAACACAGACAACAAGTACAAGTGCTCTACCTGTGATCGCCATGTCGACGCCGTCAAGAGGTTTGTGGGAAAGGTATCTCGCGCTATATACTCGTTACTAACCGCTAGAAATAGGGCCTGTCTGAAGGATATACCAGACAATCTCATCTGTCACCTTAAGCGCTTTGACTTCAACCTGCGAACCATGCAGCGGAGCAAGATCAACGACTACTTTGCCTTCCCGGACAAAATCGACATGCGGCCGTACACCATTGATCATTTGAGCAACCCCTCCGGAGACGAATCGGAAGACATTTTTGAGCTTGTTGGTGTCCTTGTCCATAGCGGAACGGCCGAATCAGGTCATTATTATTCATACATCCGGGAGCGCCCCACCGACACCGACACCCAAACTTGGGTCGAATTCAACGACGAGGCGGTCACTCCATGGGATCCGGCCTCGATGGCAAACTCGTGCTTCGGCGGCCAAGATTTCCAGCCCCAATTTCAGTCAAGCAATGCGGTCTTTGAGAAGCAGTACAGCGCCTACATGTTGTTCTACCAGAGGTCATCAGCCCGGACCAGGAACCAGGTGGTGCCGCAGCAACCCGAAGGGCGCTTGATTCCCCCGAGAGTGAAGATGCCCAAGGACATCCAAGAGTTCATTGAGGAGGAGAACGCCTGGCTGCTCCGGAGACATTGTCTGTTTGACCCGTCCCAGATACAGTTTGTGTGCTTGATCCTCTCCAATGTGAGGAGCTTGCATTCGAATGCATGCTCTGCGGATCATACCCTGGAGACACAGGCAATTGCTATGGCTCTTAGCCACCTGGACCAGGTTGCGTCACGGACAAAGGATGTCCCCGATTTCTACACTCTCCTCGGAAGCATCCAGACCATGTGTGAGAGCTGCTCTCACTGCGGCATCGCAGTGCACAATTACTTCAGCAGGTACATCTTTGCTCTCCGCATGCTGATGCAGAGGAACGTGGACGAGGATGTTCGCCAGGCGACAGCCAACTTCATGATTCATGTTTTTCAGTCGATCAAGGAACATGCCCCGGCACAATACGGTCTCCCGACCTCAGAAGCGGATGGCGAAGGGGATTCGGATGAGTACGAGCTGCACGAATCTGTCATTGCGGGTGTGATCGACAATCTTGAACACCTGTGGCAGAATTTCCACATGAACTTGCGTTCGTGGCATGAAGTTTTCGACTTTATGTTGTCCTTCGTCAAGATGGGGCGCTACGAACTGGCAGCTTTCTTAGGGCATCGTCATTTCTTCAAGTGGCTACTATGGATCGTGTGGGCAGACACACATGCCGAGCCGTTTCTCCCTCCGCAGTTCGCTAAAATGGTTGCTGTGGTTGCCAGGAGGCCGGCCAACCGGCCACCATCCTACGAAACGATCATCGCTCTCTTAGACTTTCTGCTTTCGAACATCCGGCTCCCAACCACTGCCAGTGGTCACCCCACGGGTGTAGCAAACGCCAGAGAGCGGGTGAGGTTCAAGCCGGATATGGACCAACCATTTGACATTACCGTGGACGAAGCCGAGATTCTTCACCGGACGGGCCCTCGCGCGGTTCCGGTCAACATCTTTGCGGACAGGCTTATTTCGATTGCCCAGAACCCAGCGGCGACCCATTCGATCATCACGACGCTGATGAAGGAGAGCGAGGTGATGGAGAATAGTATCTTCCATACCCTCCTTTTCCGGATCACTGGGCAGATCGGCCACCCCGTCTCGCCGTATCTGCGTGTGGCCGGAGCGGCGTTCTGCCGCGCCGCAAGTGACGTGGGTATGGTCAGCAACCTGGTCAAGCACACCTCGCACCAGTGCATGTCGTTGCAGAACGCCGAGGGCAAGGCGTTCCTGGACTTCATGCGCGAGACGTTTGACGGTCCGCGAGAGAGGACGGGAGAGACAGCACACCAAGTCGCCATAGCTGGTCTCGACAATGTGCCCGATTGGGCACCCGGCTTGCTGGGCTACTTCGACACGTCGGTCATTGATGGAACCGAGGCATTCCTGCACGAGAAGATATTCCGATACCGGACTTTCCGGCCTTCTGGGAGCGAGGACACCGAGGAGGCGCGGGAATTGGCCGAGAAGATGCGGCTGACGGCCAGGGCCTTGGGGGTAAGGTGTCTGTACTACCTTCGCGATAACTACGTCGTCCGTAGTGTGGAGGTGACGGAGCGCGCAGTCGGGGGCCTGCAGAGGGTGATCAAACAATGCGGCAGGTACTTCAATCTGAAGGATCCAGTGGAGGATAACGAGGCTCCGGGCTTCGTGCAGCTGAACCAGGGTAAGTGGCCGCGTCATACTCACCTCGTCGCACACGGCAGGGCTAACATATAAATAGATGTCTTGGACGCACTGACCGGGCTCATGGTAGTCGACGAGTTAGAGGAGGATGGCTCCGGTATGTATTATAGCGACGACTCCAGCGCCGCATCAAGCAACACGGCCGGCTGATACCGGGCCTCTACAGACTGGGCAAACTCATCCGTGTGCTCTGGCCAGCTCGACGGATTTGAAGACGCCGCCACGGACGAGCTGCGCGGTGGAGAGGAATAGGGAATGAAACGGCAGACATCATGACGACGTAACGAGATTACGATCACGGGCATGGCAACGGCCCAGCAGAAGTTTCCCCACCAAATCAGGGGAAGCAATTTTACGAGTTGCACTGGGCGGGACGATAATAGCACAAAACGGAAGGTGTCATTTTGCCCATGGATCGGCGGCGTCAAGGCGAAAAATCAAGGGACATCAAGTATTCACGATTTGCATTTCCCAAAACTACCAACACGGACGGCGCTGGATTTTGGGACGGATAGAGGAACGGGTTGGGGGCCGGCCTGGTCTGGTCTGGTCGGGGGCTGGGCGGGTCACTGTATTGTTTTTAGATTGCCCATTGCACTTGTTTGGGGGTGGGAGGGTGGTCTCCATAGAGGGCCGGCTGCTATGCATGACAGGCGTGACTGGGTGGGACATTGGTTCTTTTATTGCTGGTTTCTTGGGATCGTTTCGTTTCGGTTTCTGGCTCGCGGGACCTGGGCTGGGTTCTTTTTTTTTTTTCCTCGATCAAGGGAGTCAAGCTAGAGAGAGGGTCTCGGCAACATCACATCATGGGTTAACCAAAACATTGCTCTTTTCAGTTGGGACTTTGGCAAGGCTTGATTGAATATCTTTGACTCCGACGGGACATGGTGGTTGTGAAATCTCCGGACTACTAACTGCTGCGCGGTGGGTGGTAAGGCTCGGGCTGATGTACAGATCTGTAAATTTTTGATTTTTGACTTGTTTTGTTCTTTTTTCTTCTTCTTTTTCCGGTGACAACCGAAACAAGTCATCGGGCGGGATGTGGTTCACAGAGAGAGCCTGCCTTTGCCGAATCACTGCATCGAAAGATCCGAGGCTGCAAACATAACAGATCAGATACAGAAGGCCCAATCATGTCTCGAGAAGAGGTGTTGGGACTTGAATTCTCAAAATAGCTGTGCCTCTTGTGTTGTGATGTCGTTGGTTCCCGACAGGCCAGGGAATCCCCAGTTTAATAGGCGCCCGGACTGGATTGGCTGGCTGGCGAGATCCGAGAGAAGCTTAACCTGGTCGAATCACGCTAAAAAGTCCCGAAATGGCCTGTGCTCCGCTACCCCGCATGAGACGACAGGCTCGAATGAGTGGGCCCCTGGAAGAGTTCTGGCCAGAGGCATGGGGTTAGCCGCCGAGGCTGCTTCCTTCGCTTCCTTTTTCTTTTGTTCTTTGATGGGCAGAATTGGTTTTTTCTGCCCGATTCGAGGGGTGAGGAAGATGTTCTGATATTTCTACGTTTTCTTCTCATGCTCCCGGTATATTCTCGAGCTCATTGCTAGGGGATATTGGGATATGGCCTGTAATCTCCACAAATGCACATACAATTGTTCTATTGATGCAAACGCAGAAAGAAACAACCAAACGCGCCTTTGAAGAAAACGCATCTTCAATCCCAACACATGGCCATGGCCAATGCGGGGCGGGGCCGGTCGGCTGGTCGCCCACCCAGAGGCCTTGCTTTGCCGACCTCCCCCTGCCCACTGCAACGCGATTGCAGTGGCTTCTTTCCTTCCCGAGACCTCATCACAAATCACACGACGTGCATGACGCCTCGTTGTCCGACGAACATGGGCATAACCAACGGCACCGCGTGCTCACCGCACCACGCGGGATTGCCGTCGTGACGAGGTGCTATTTATTTTGGACTGACCCGTCATGGCGGGAAGCTGCTGGTGCTACGATCTGAAACGCGGGCACAGTTGGGTTCCTGAAGGTGGGAAAGTCGTTTCGTTTCATCTTTCTTTCCACACCCAAGTACTTCGTCGCGGCTGGTAGCCGCCCATTCTTTTTTTATCAGTCCCCCATACCCCTTTCATTCCGGGTGCCCGTTGTTTCGTTCTTTGTTTGGAAACATTGTTTGCGTTTCCCGATCGGGTCTTGAAACAGGGCCTCGCATGCGAGATGCCAGATGCGCAGGAACCTTCTTTTATATTCTGCATGTCTGTCTTGTTTTGCATCTTGAAGGATTCCGTTTGAGGGTTTGAAGACGGTCAGCCACCGCCATCATTGCCGACCAACTCGGTCAGCCTTCCCGCAGACCATACATATCTTGGCTACTGCCCCCCCACGAAGTGGTCTCGACTACTTAGAGCACCGACCGGCCCCTCTTTTTGTGTCTACCACCCCCTTCTCTCTCCGAGCCGGGCACTCGACAACAAAGTCAGCACCATGTCGTTCTCTCCGTGTATCAGGGGCCGCATCTCCTCGCCCCTCGAAGCTGGCCCCTCCATTGTCGATGGCCACCACCTGCCCACCCACGTCAACGAGGCACTCGAGTATGCTTCCAAACGCCTAGGAAGGAAAGCGGCCCACATCACCCTCCTGGTTGTCCGCCGGGACTACCAACTACCCACATCACCCATCGCTTCTCCGACATTCACCCCTAGCCCGCGTCTGGTATCGGCCGGGAGCACGCCGTCCAGGTCAACCTTTCCAACCTCGAGGATCGAAGCACTCAAGCAGCTCGTCCGGCCAAACAACTCGGGGGAAGGGCAAATACGAGAGAGGATAGTTCACGTCCACCTGGACCAGCTGCGCCATGGAACTGCTTCGCCGGCTTTCAGTGAGGCGTCGGCGTTTTCGGCCTCCACAGCCTCCTCGGCGTCGACTTCTGACTCGACCTTCAGCCGTAGGATACGATGGCCGGGCAGCCCCACGGCATACGGAAGTGTCCCCGTGACCCCTGCCACCCCCTTCACCGTCATGTCGTCGGTATCGGGGGCAGAAGGGTACAGTGCCGCCTCCCGGTTGGGAGCGCAGAACTCGAGCCAGTTCGGCCTGAAACTCATTTTTGCCCACCCCTTGAGCCCACGCGAGGAGAAAGGCCTCACACAAGCGCTCGAGAAGGCGGCAAAGAAGTTCAAATTAGAGTACGTGCCCGGAAGGTCGCGGGATGCGACACAACACTGACACATCTTTAACAGTCCCAGCTGGCTTCCCCAAGCAGTCTCTCCCTCCACTCTCGGCCTACCAGTCGACCTAATCTTGAAGTCAACCGCCCAAAATAAGACGCTCTTCACGTCAGAGCGCCTCACACTCTTGTCGCTAGACCATCTGTACACCTTCCGCACAGCCTTACAAGCCTACGCCCGTACAAAGGCCGCTTGCCGGCTCGAGGATGCCGTCGATGAGCTCCGCCGCCTGTTTCTCGCCAACGGGCGTCGCGCACTGCGCAAGAGCGCTCTGCTGGCTGCCTACCGATGGCTCGATCCCCTCAACGACGCTGCTTTGGCCGACGTCTGCCGCATGTACGAGCGGGCGTATGGGGGCATCGAGAGAGAGTGCGGCGTGGAGAATGATGTCGACCCCGCGCCGGGCTGGCCGCCGCCTGAGAGTAAGCCGAACTCTAGAGTTGCGGAGCAACCGATGGCAAAGAGGACTGGAGTACCAGCGCCAGGCAGCCGACACCTTGAGACCACCCCGCCACCGCAACACCGCGAGCCGGAGATCCAAACTCAGATCGTCGATCCAGCCAACACCCTCGACAAGGAGATTCTCCTCTCGAACGCCGACCTTCTACCAGAAGACCAATCCGAGCTCGACGAGATCGAAGCCTGGTACCGCGAAATCCAACAACAACAACAAAACGACATGCCCCGATCAACGACGATCGAAATCCACCCCTTACGCTCCCACCCCGCCGATGAAACTACGGCAGTAGTCGAGATCCTCCCTCCTCCCACGTCGCCGCCCCCTCCCCCACCTACATCCGCAACCTACCGGAACAGGCCGTGGCACCAGCCAGAGGAACCCACCCTCTCCGAAATGATGCGCACAACCCCCAAACTCCGCCCGGCACCCCCCGGGCGATCCCTTGCCTTAAAGCTGCAGACAACGTTCGACAAGCCGGCCCGAGGCAGCGGCGGCGGTGCGGGCGGCAAGAAACAGTTGCAGAAGCCGGTCGCCATAAAACCGCAGGCCCAAACAACAACAGAGAAGCCCATCGAGGTCGTACACGAGGAGGACGAGGACGAAGAAGAGGAGGAGCTCACGGCGCGGCCGAGCAGCGCCATCAAGTCGTTCGCCAACGCACGCTGGACGGCCGGGAACGGCGGTGCCAACGGCGGCATGTCGATCGACGAGCTGATGCTGCGTGGCGGGGCGGCGGCTGGGGATGGCAGAGAGAGTGGTAGTCACCTGCAGCCGCAGGCGGACGACAGGGTCGGCCCGATGACGCCGAACGGGTATGATGACATCTCGCCCATCACGAGGGGCGAGTGGGGGTTTCTGATGTTTGGGAAGGGCAAGACGGCGGGGGTCGGGACGTGTTGATTTGGGTGGGGGTTGTTGGGGTTGGGGGGTTCTGGTTTATGGCCGTTTCAATGCTATATATTTTTATTATTGAGCATATATTTCCCGAGTCTCACCCAAGAAAAGAGAGAGAGGGATGCGTCACACGCAGTATCAATACCATATTTATTAACAAAAACAAACTTATCAAAGTCTGGGTATCATTCTGAACCACCATCGTCCCTCTTGCCCTCCCCATCCTCAACCAAACCAGCACCATCCACACGGCCACAATCCCACCCACTCACCCACAACAATCCCCTCCCAAAAAAGAAAAGCCCAACAATACCCCCCCCCCCCCCCCCACCCCCCTCCTACCACCCATACCTCCCCGCGGCATCCTTCTGGCTGCTCTTGGCGCGCGCAAAGCTCTCCTCCAGCGCGTCCTGGTTGCTCTGCGCCATGTTGACCACCTGCCGCAGGCTGTGCTTGCCCGGCGCGATCGACCGCACCGGGTTGTACGCCGGCTGCGCCGCGCCCGACTGCCGCAGCGCCTCGTTGTGCGCGTACTCCCGCTCCATGTTGAAGTCGATCACCCTGGCGTTGGCGGGGAGGGAGGGTCCGGTAGAAGAGGAGGTGGAGGTGGAGGTGGGGCGGCCGAAGAGCTCGCGCTGGGCGGCGCGGGAGAGGTTGGCGGTTAGGGAGGCTAGGGAGTCGTGTTGTTGTTGTTGTTGGTGGTGATGTTGTTGGTGTTGGGTGGTGGGTTCTGGGGGTTGGTAGGTTGGGTAGGCCGAGGTTACGTCGCTTTCTTCGTCGGGGAGGGTCGGTTCGGTTGAGGTGAAGAGCGGTTGGTAGCTGCCTGTTGCGGCGGCGGCGGTGGTGGGGTTTGTGGTTGGGGTGGGTTCGTCGTCGCCCATGGAAAAGAGGGAGATTTTCTTTTGGGGCGGAGGCGCTGTACTTGACGCTGTGGGGGGTGTCGTCGTCGTCGATGGGTGGTTTTGGAGGGCGGCCGCGCCTGGGGATGGGCTAGCTGTTTGGAGTGCTGTGTCCTTTTTCTTGTTCTTCGCCGGCGCCCTCTTCCTGGCCACCGAAAGGGGCTTGAACATGAGCGGCTTGCCCACCAGCTTCACTTCTTCCTCTGGCTTTTGCCCTTCGGGTATCGAGGGCCCGGCGCGGTTCTTGGAACTAGGCGCAAGGTCGCCATCGACATCTGCAGCCTCACCGTCGCCGCCCCCCCTGGCGAATGCCGGCTCGGCGCCAGTGCGGAGATGTACGCCAGGAGCGGGCGCGGTGCCAGATTTCCTCCCCAATGCTGCCGATCCACCTGGCGTTGCTGCTGCTGCTGCTGCTGCTGCCGCCCTTTTAGGTGGTGGCAAGAATGAGCCGAGGCCGCTAAACCTGCTAGTGCCGGCAGTCTTTACACGCTTCGCCGGTGGTTGCTCGTCCTCGACGTTGGCATCGGAAGCTGTACCCGCGGCTGAAAGGTTGACGACAATTTTGCCGGGGCCAGAAGTGCGATCGAGGAGCTTCTGGAACGGTTTCTTCGAGGATGCAGCTGCGGCAGGGTTCGGCTTTTGCTGTACGGTTTCGGTCTCGGATTCCGAATCGGAGTAGTCGACTAGGCCCATGGTTGCGATTCTGTTGTGGCCGATCTAGGAGGTGTCGTGATAGATTGATGAGTGGCGGAAGAAGGCGTTGTCTTTTTGGTCGCAATTCGAGGCCAGAGCAGCTCGATGTTGAGCGCCAAGGAGCAGGGGTTTAGCCAGTCGCTTTACAATGACTGCGGAATGAATTGTTAGTGTAAATTAGTGTGATCCATACCAACCACTAACAAGTATCTGAGGCGGCGCACTGCATGGACAGTGCACATGCCACCCCACCCGTGCGTTTCGGAGGACGGCATAGAACCCTCAATCCTCCCCAACACTTCGTACCTTCCATTACCAACACGGCCATCAAATGACATGCTACATGCATTTATGAGATGGCCGCCGCTGAGTTAAATTATTAAATTATTTGTTCAACCAGATCGAACAACGCCCTTTCTTATTTATCTATGTAGCCTCGTTCACAACACCCTCGCCCACTCAACGACCCCCGGTTGGCGCGAGCTGTGACCTGAACAACCATACACCATCATGTCGGTGATCCAACTTGAAGAGTAACCGCTCCCATTTATTTCTTAGGGGTATGCGCGCTGACAATATTTAGTCTGGTCTTGTACCAGCTGCGCACGAGCTATCTCAATGACATTGCTGATGGCGTCGGTGAGCGCCTATTCACCTTGAACGAGGGCTTCTTGAACTCGGCTCCCTTCAAGGCTGCAGGGTGGCGCACAAACCCGGCTCTCATCAAGCGGACTCACTCGCCTCCAATCCCCACGGCAGTTGCGTCAGAGTACTTCCAGGCACCCCGCCGTGCTGGTCTAACGCTCGAGGATGAAGGCGAGGAAGGAGGTCTGTTCTCGGGCAGTGTGCCTGATGCGGTAGGCCCGAGCATGGCAACAAAGCGCCGCCGACGCCGGGAACATATGGAGGAGGAGGACAGTAGTGACCTCAGCGATGAAAGCGACGACGAACAAGATCAGCGCGCTGCTCAACAGATCAAATTTGCCAAGATGCCCGTGAGAAACCGCTCAGGATCCTCGCCGCTTCAATCGTCAAACCTCCGCCAAACTACCACCATGTCTTCACCCCGTCCGGCCGGAAGAAGAGGCTCCCAATCGGCCCTCGAGACAGTCAAGGAGAGGGCACGGCGTGATACCGTTACCAGTAGCGAGGTATCATCCGAAAATGAGTTCGACGCCTCCGGTTTTCATAAGCATAGGGAGGCTGCGCGAGCTGCCGCCGCCCGTGCTGCGAAGCTCTCCGTCAAGCTCAACACGGAGCCTACCGAAGGTGTGAGACGCCAGGGGAGCGACCTCCTGGAAGACGAAGAGGACGACTCGGACGCGTCAGATATGTCGTCGGCTCTCATCGAAAGCATCGACTCGGCTTCAATCATGGAGGCCGTCAAGAACCCTCTGGATGCGTCCCTCAGGCATCAGGTGGTCGGCACTCCTCCTCGGGTCTTTACACGAAGGTCTACCATACGCAAATCCGCCATACCTGCGCCGCTGCACACGCCCATTGGAGAGCTACCTCCGCCACGACCTATGAGCACTATCCGGCCCCTGAGCCTGATGCAACCAAAGAGTTTGCTGTCTACCGCGCTGAAGGCAAAGAAAACGAAACCGGCCCTCCCTTTCGACACCTTCGCCTCACTGTCAGGCCAGGGCGACCCGAACCCCATTATGCTCCGAATCTATGCGCCATTTTCCAAAGCGCCTTCGCGGCCCTTCGAGGTGCTTATCCGGCGGACTGTCCACCAAGGAGAAGGCGGGGACAGGCCCGTGACGGTGGCCGACCTAATCGGGTTAAGTCTATGGCGTTACAATGAGGAAAAGCGAGAGCCGTCGCTTCCCAGCGACAAGCTCAATGTGAACTGGTGGACTCTACGCATGGTTGAGGAAGACGGCGAGATCGACGACGACTTCCCGCCCCTCGAGCGCAAGAAGGGGCTCATATCCTTCACCACCGTCAACAACAAGGCCGGCCGCTCCCGTTCCAACTCTAGACTCTACGACATCTTCGGCCTGGTACAAGCTTCGCCCGATGAGTTTGAGGAAAACAAACGCAACACGCCGCAGTTTGAGCAAGAAGCCGTTGACGAGGAAGAGGACAAGGACCTGACACCCCGAAGTACCCCCAGGCCGGACGCTGGCCTGCCGCCACCATCTCGACCCCGAGAAAACCCGCTCCTGAACACGGCTTACCGCGCCAATACGACAATATTTGCAGATATCCCGCAGTCCACCCAACCGGCGAACGTGTCTTCGCGTGGAGAGAAGAGGCTCTTGCGTATTCACATTCACTCGTCTGACCTTGCCCCGGGGCAGATGCTCACGCTCGACGTGAACACCGATACCTGGCTGGCCGAGGTTCTTGATATTGCTTGCAGAAAGCGGCAGCTAGACAAAGCCAACCATGTATTGAAGCTCCCGAATTCCGGGACCGTCGTGTTGCTGGACCGGACGGTTGCCTCACTCGGGAACATCACCGACTTGGATCTTTACCGGCGTCGCTTTGCCACTGATGGGCCTCTGATGGCGGGGTCGCTAAGCAGCTCTTCACCCAGGCCACAATTATTCACCGAAAACGCTAGCTGGACCAAGGGGAAGAAGTCAAAGCTCATGGGGACACACCCGTTGGCTAAGGAGGTGGCGAAACAGGAGGAGCTTGGAGTCGCCGCCAACTACAAGAAGTACACGGTTTGGCGGAAGCAGCCGATGCGGCTGTTGTCGGAAAAGCTGTTCGCCATTGACGGCGAGTATGTCCATATCATGCCTACGTCCGGCGGCAAGCTAGCCGATGCGGACGGGAAATCAACCACGGTTCACTTTAGCAATGTGGTGGGCTGCAAGGTTTCGCGGAAACACCCGACACAGTTCAAGGTATGCGGAAACAAGCGCGATAAGAACCTCGGCCATCCACTGACAAACACAATAGCTGGTTGTTTACAAGTCGACCGAGAGCAAGAGATACGACTTTGTCACCAGCAGTACAGAGTACGCCGCCGACATTGTCACGGAGCTCAAGAAGGGCATCTCACCGTACCGCGAGGTCTGAAGCCTTGTCGCTCGGACTACTGCCCAGCTCTAGGCGGCGTAAACTCACTTTGTATTCGGTGCACTCGAGCTCGCCACTTTTGGTAACACGCTGTAGCAAACATGGGGGATGGTGCGACTGCCGAAATTCATCTATCCACGACAGTGACGCCATCGTGCGAAGTGTGAGGCCCACACATCCCCGCGGGCTATGGCATTAGATGATGACGTCCTGGTCTAAACCCTTACAGGTTGAAGTAGAGTTGGCGAGTGTCAGCGGCGTGGAATGTATGAATACGTACAACAACAGGCGCTGTGTACCACCAAAAGAGATATTCATTCTACTGCGTTGGAAAGGGGTTCTTTCAACAAGCAACGGTGACTAGACAGCTCAAAGGCAAGTCGCATGTATCACGAATGGGTGGCTGGCGGCAGTCGGCTTGCGACATGCGGTTCCACCGTCGGGACCACGGCAGCTGGTTCTGATGGCAACCATCACGATTGCACAGCGTCCACCTGCCTGTCGTTCGCCACAGTCTGAGCTCCGAAGCTCCAGACGAGGAAAGCTCTTCGGAGCCGCGCGGCCACCAGAGATAGCTCCACGTAATGATGCCATTACACGACTCGAACGAGGCTAGGTATTGGACACCCAACTTGATTTCGGATAGTTCACAATGGGTCTACGCTCGAAGCCTAGAATGTGGCCCCTTTGCGCACTGTGACGGGCACGGGCAGCAAAGAGTTGTCTCGAATAGACAGGCACGCCGGTCGACGTTGCCCGGCTGCCCGCATTCCGCATTGTGGCTGTTCCGTACCGTGCGCCGGTCAGGAAATGCAAGCCAGATATAAAGCACATTCCCATGTCCGTCCCTTCTCAGCTCTTCCTCGCTCCCTTCAGCCGAAACGCACCTAGAATCCAAGTGTCTCCCGTAGCATCGACTGCCTATCGTTTTCAGCATCTGTCATATCCCTCCTACTAGATACAACGCACCAAACCTTTCACCGCCCCCGTCACGATGAATTACGCCACCATCCTCATCGCCTTCGCCGCCCTTGCCTCGGTACGTTACCTTCTGCCGCCCTTCACCGCCCCAGCGTGACACAGTCCCTAACCCAGCCCACGGCGGCCTCGAACAAACCAGGCCCAAGTCACCACGACCGTCCTACCGACAGACCTACCCACCACCTCGCTACCGACCACGTACCTCCCAACCTCGGCCCTTGACTCCCTGACCAGCTTGCTCGGCTCGGCGCTGACGTCGATCGACTCGGCCGCCTCGTCCCGGCTCGCCTCCGTCACGAGCGAGGCCGCCAGCGTCGCCGCCAGCCTGTCATCGGCGCTCGAGACGGCTACCGACAACGCCTACCGCTCCTCCCTCGAGTCCCAGCTCGCCTCCGCCACCAGCTCTGCCGCTTCTGCTGCCAGCTCCGTCGAGAGCGCCGCCTCTGAGCAGGCTACCTCCGCTACTGCTACCGACAACGCGGCCGCGCCCGCCGGCGCCCGCCAGACGGCGGGGGTTGTGGGTATGGGTGCGCTGCTTGGGGGGGCGGCGGTGTGGGCTAATTTGTGAGGGGGTTTTCTCTTTCTTTGGGGGGGGGGGGGTTGAGGTGGTCGGATGGATGGGCTTGTAATGGTATTGGGGTGATGGGATGCGTGGTGGGCTACGAGGTTTTGTGTAATTACGCAGGGTAGCTGTTATAGGATAAGCTCCCGGCATAGTCAAGAGGATTTCAATTTCTAGGGGAATAGGTCTACTCTACGTCATTCGTGATACTTCGTTTGAACAAAACGAACAGCTTCTATCCCACTGTGGCAGATATTGGTGTTTTCCATTCAATGATCACTCAAGCTCTCCAACATGGTCATTGTGCGAGGCGACTGACTCGTGATGCCCCGACAACTAGATGGATGACATCGACTTCACCGGATGGTATTGCCCAGTTCTCCGAGTCTCCTATGGCTTTGCGATGATGAGCTCTCCCCGCTTTGACGATGGGTTGACGTCAGCCATGATCTCCGACCCCGCCACTGAATGCGCCCATATCGCTATCAGACCAGAGTAAGAGATGTACCAAGTATTAATAATGACAGACACATGGAGCCTCGGGTCAGAACTTGTGGGAGTGGAGTCTGCAATCTGGAACCTGGATCGAAGCATGGGCTGTGAGTTGAATATTGTATAGAGCTGCACGTACAGCACTGAGTTGCGTGCTTGTATGAGTGCTTGTGTAGATGGCTACGTGAGGCCTAACATAGCATTTGGAAGGTCGGTCTTCAGATGCCTTCACAAAGTTGAAGCGTGCTCAGGTTTGGGAATGGCGTCTCATTGAAAATGACCCAACGGCCCTCTTAAAGCCGCGTGAAACATATCTATCAGTTGTAACAACCCACCCCATAACCCAACCACTCCATAACGCCTAGCCGCTCTTCTTCCGGGTATCATTCCACAACGCATCCACGACCTGAAAAATCGCCGTCACATCCCGCATCACCTTCTCGTCCACCTCCCCCCCAAGCCGCTGCTGCACCTTATCCGGGTGCCACCTCACCCTCTCCTCCCTCAGCCTCGCCGCAAACCCCTTCTCCCCCACCACCTCCTCCCCCAACCCAATCCCATTCACAAAAAACGCCCTCACCTCCGCCACCCTCACCGCCCCCTCCCCATCCCTCAACGCACCCCCACCACCCCCCTCCAAACCATCCAAACCATCCAAAACAGGCCACGGAATCCCCTCCACCCCGACCCCCACCCCCCCCTCCTCCCTACGCGCCTCCCACGCGGCCCAACGAGCCAAATACCCCTCCCACCTCTCACGCCACCCCTTCCTCCGGCGCCTCTCTTCACCGCGTCTCAAACAGCGCTCCATCTCGCGATCGACACGGGCCTGGGCGTCGGCCTTGCGCGCGGCCTCGGCGCGCTCGGCGTCGCGGCGGGCGCGCGCCTCGAGCAGCCCCGCGTGCGTCTTCTCCCACATCTTCTGGCGCACGTAGGCGGCGTACTCGTCGTCGGTCATGTGATCGAGGGCGGTGGTGCCACCGGGGTTGGTGGGGTTGGGGTTGTTGGGGTTGGGGGGGTGGTAGATGTGGATGGGCTGGCCGTAGACGGATTCCCAGTAGGCGGCGCCCTCGTCGTCGGCCATGGCGTCGAAGAGGGACTCGCGGAAGGCGGTGGTGGGGGAGAGAGGGGCGGGTTGGAAGGGGTCGTGGTCTTGGTCGTCTTGTGGTGGTTGTGGTTGTTGCTGCTGCCGTGGGGATTTGGAGCGGTGTCTGCGGCGGCGGTGATGATGCCGGTGACGGTGGCGGTGGTTTTCTCTGTCGGGGTCGTCGTGCCGTCGTGACCGTCTTTTCTCTTTGGGGTCGTCGTTGTCTCCGTCTCTGCCCCGAGAGTGTGATCGAGATCTATGCCGATGCCGGCGCCGGCGGCGGTCATCGTCTTCCTCTCCCTCGCGCCGCCGCGATGATCGAGACGACTTGGATTTGAAGCGGAACTTTGTCGGCCTGGGGGCGTCCGAGTCCTGGTCCTGTGGCTCTGATCGGTTGTCGGTTGTCTTGTGCTCCTCTTTTACTGGTAATTCCTCCCCTCGTGGTGCAGAGGCGTCGGGGGTCATTGTGCGGTCGCGCTTGTAGTATCTCGGTTGATCATCCTCAGCGTTTGTCTCTGGCGGATTGATGGAAGATAGGATCCGTCGCCGTTTGGGTGAGCGAGGCGATTCCATCTTGGTCGACAGGAAAATGCTTTGAATCCGAGATTTGTGGTTTCCGCTGGTTCGAGGCTTCTCAACCCGGGGAGTGACGTCGCGCGGATCGCAGTTCCCGGACCAGCTGTTAGGAGGTCCATACAAAAGAAGGCTTGCGCTAAACAGTGGAGACATTGTTGCTGTCTGTGGTCACGTGACAGCCCTTGATGCCAAGACATAAAATCGAAGCCCCATAAAAGTGACCCCTCCTTCCCCGCCTCCCCCACCAAAAAAATACAGGGACCACCCTTTCTCTCTTCCACAGCCTCTACCTTCTGCTCAAAGACAACAGCAACGTGTATGTGGCACCTCCTCGTGCAACTTGGCCAGTCTCACCCCTCGGCCTCATTGTTCGGCCAGATCTGCCGCCATCCGTTCCTCTGTCTTAGATGCGAACTCTCAGTTTCAGACGACTCGTCTCGTCGTGGGGTGATCTGTAGCAACTGAGCGCCATTGCGACTTGGTGTCCGAGGATGGCTTGGACGGGCAGAGACATGCTGTATTTGTTGTTCGTTGTATCTTCATATCTTCAGCATGGCGTTTACCGGGCACGGCATTTTGTCTTGTCCAGTATCTTTGCCTCTGGGCGGTCAGTTGATGTTGGACCACCGCCCATCGATGTGGTCTTTGTGCACGCATCGCACGCAATGGACGAGTACTGCACCCGATCCCGTACTCCACCTCCACCACCCGGGCACACCCTTCGGTTCCATGGCTCTGGGATGGTCCGCCGCGTGTGGACCGAAGTTTGATCCCTGTAGCCGGACCCGACGGACCGGGTGATGTAACGTCGCTAGCTACGGGACGGGAGGAATGGTGGTGCCTCCACCGCGCCGCCGAGACGGCGCACTGATGGGGATGCTCCGGACGACGCTCGGTCTGAGTCCGATATCCAGGTTGATCTTCCGCTTCCCCCCATTCGACACTCTCCGCTTCGCATTACGTGATAGTTAGTTACGTGATAATGCCCACTTGGTTATGAGATGCACACACCAGAAACAAGGACAAGGCCTTAAAATCTGGGCGTTTGTTCCATCCCGGGACCACTTCTACCCAACTGTTCCTTTCCGGCGACGATCAAGTCTCGGATTCGGAATTCTCGCTCAGTTTGGCGCCCGCCTAACTCCCCGAATTACCCAATTTGGAATCAGAACCCCCCGGGTCTCACGTTTCTCCGTCACGCGTGTTTGTTTCGGACATTTTAGGATTGTCGTCACCCGGAATCACCAAGCTCATGACCAGCAGCGGCTGGCCAGATGCGGAAGTCGGCGGACTCCAACTTGTCAATTTGACACGTTCACAAACACATGACACATGTTGGAAGTGTGCGGAAGATCCGTGGTCGGCGGGTTGGTAAAAAGTGAGACATCGAAGCAGATCTTGCAGAGAAGGCGCATATGGCGACAAACGCCACAGTGCTACCCGCTCTTGACGAAAGCAAACCATCCTCTGTTGGTGATTCCGCGCCATGCCAAGACCATCTGTCCTGCTTGCTTTGTTTCAGATTATTCCCGCGCTTCGGTGATGATGAACAGCGCAAATAGTCTCACGGATCAGCGCCCACCCCTTCGCAACGGTCCGCGGCCGATTCGCCCAAACCAACGGCACGTTGTTGCCCAAACAAGCCCATGAGGCGAATCACCCGCCGCAACATGCAGCATGGAAAACTCACATAATGAACGACTCTGTATGGCTGATATACGAGAGCAACGACTGCAAGACATTTCTGATGGGTGGGTCGCCCGCCGGACCTGTCTTAGCTGACGCCACCCACACCCCTCCCCCCCTTCCTCCACTGCCCCGAGAAGGAGGTGAGGATGGAAGCGGGTGGTGACATGCCGTAACTAAAACATGACACGGCGCCCGTGTTGTTCCCGCTGTTGCACTACGGGGGAAGTAGGGCCGAGACTTTTCTGGTCCTCGTTGGGCAAAAAGGGCGTCTTTGCCAGGGGTTACCGATTGGGATGTTCCCGTAGCCAAGGTAAAGAGCCGAGATGCGCGACATCAAAAGTGCTAATACTTCCCCCATAGGGAATGTCGCGCTGGGGGCGGTAATGGCGAGTGGGCAAAAATACCCAATCTGTAAGTTAACGCCCTGCCCCTTCCTTCGCCCCCACCAAAAAAGAAACGACACGTTATGGGCTGCCAGTGCAGTCCAACTAACCGGGGCACGCGACCGAGCAGTGCCGCGGCGAAGCATGCAACAGGCTGACATGCGTGATGAGCACCGGTGTCGGGGTGGGAGCGGATAGGAGAAGTCTGAAAGAAAATAAATCAGGTAGGTCGTCAACAAGAGGCTCGGCGAACCGCCCAGGCTAGCAAAGTTTATCAAATAGGAATGCCGGGTGACAAGGGGCAGGCGGTTTTGGGAATAGCTTCGAGTCACACGGCATTGGCAATCCGGCAGGAAGGTGTGACGGGACGGTTTTGGATCATTCTAAGTTTTTCTGTTTTCGTGTCCTTCCTTTTCGGGAAGGGTTCCTGCCTGAGTCGGGCAGCTCAGTGTCTCTCTCTGTCTAAGAAGCGCGGACTTGTCCGAGACAAGGTTTTCTCGGCGTTCGAATTACTGAATACACCGCCCGACGCCATAGCTGCATGAGTGAATCATACGCATGCACCATGCAACAGGATGCGCAGTTTGCTGCTTGGGTGTTTCTCCCCAGCTGCCAACATCAACCTCCCCCCGTTTTCCCCCATCGGTGTCACTCTTCCATCCACCCATCCTCCCCATCCTCCCCATCAACCCCATGCCCTCGCCCCCCCTTCGCTCCATTCGTCCGCCCCAGCGTGAACCGCCCTGCTTCGGCCGGTTTGGGTATCCAATGAAAAAAAGCGGTGATGGTGATCAGTACGCGAGCTAGTGGCTGAGCTGGTTGGCGGGGGAAAATAGGAGGGGAAATAATAACAATAAAAAAATAGAAATAAAAACAGACTTTTTTAGACCAATCTGGTATCAAAATGCTCCGCCCCGCTAAACAGATAAACAAAAAGGAGACGAGTCCTGAAAGGGAGAGACAGGAAATTATATACGAATGCCGCCCAATTATCGACTGACGAAAAAGCCCCGTAAACACCGTTAACCGCGGAAATAAACCCAAGAATAATCTCAAACACCTTGCCAGAGACCCCCCGCAGCATTTGTGCCGGAAATGTAGAACAAGCAAAGCCAAACCTGATGAAAAACACGAGATGTAATCCTATGCATGCGTGGGTGGGGAAGGTGGTGGTGATTAGTAGGTAGCAGGAAGCAGTAACTCAGGTAAGCCATATGAGTGTGGCGCGTGTGTGCGTGTGTGCGTGTGTGCGTGTGTGTGTGTTCGAGGGGGAGAGAGAGAGAGAGAGAGCAAAGGAGTGAACAAGAAACCAAAATAGACAAACTGAAACAAGACCCGATGAGGCAGAACTCTTGGTTTTCTCTTCCCCCCGTAATGAACCCCGTTTGCCAGTTGCCCGGCAGATCTGTAAGGCCTCTCTCTAGTATGACCCGAACTGCAAAAGGAAAAAAAAATGAATGACGAGAAAAGGGGAACGATTGATCAAATGCAATCTATGTGTTGGGAATCCCGAGATGGCTTTGTATCTAACCCCATCACCTGGGGCCGCCCTCCGTTTCCGGGCGCGGATCCGTCGCCCACCCGGTTTCGTGGGGGAACCTCCTCGCCCTGATGTACGGGCTATTGGATTGAGAGGGTATCGGTTGCGGAGGCGGCGCTGTGGGGATGGGGGGCGGCGTTGTCGACGGTGTCCGAGCCTGATCGAACCGCAACGGCGGCAACCGCGCGACCCCGAGGGGTGGTGTAACGTGCGGCGATGGGGGGATGCCGAAGGTGGAGTGCGGCGGCGAGGGCCCGGTAATGGGTGGCAACGTTGTAGGTGTCATGAGGTTGTACGAGCTCGTCGGGAGCTGTGGTTCGGAATCGGTCCTCCTCCGCCTTGCGGGGGGTTCAAGCCCGGATGAGTCGCCGTAAGAACCAGACCGGGAGTTCGCGTGTGCGAGTGGATGGACTAGAGACTGGTAGAATGGGGCCTGGTGATGCTGGGACTGCGAGTGGCCATGGGAAGGAGGCGGAGGGGGCGGCGGAGGCGCCTGGTGAGCGAGCATAACGCTGCCGTCGGATGCAGAAGGGCCTCCTGCGGCTCCCAAGATCGGGCTCGGTGGCTCCCGACCGGCCCACTCGCTGCCGCCGGGCATTTGAGAGACGATATCCCGCAGCCGGTTTCGTTCGTTCCGGTAGAATTCTCGTTCGGCTTCGAGAGCCTGGAAGCGCCTCGCAAGCTCCTCGTTTCTCCTCTCCAGCTCCCGGTTGTCGCTTTCCAACTTCTGCAATTCCTCTTGTTGCTCCTTCTCACGCTCCTTCTTCCGCTGTCGAAATCTCGCCGAAGCCCCTGCGTTGCGCTGCCGTTTTTGGTCTGCCTGTTTGGATCCCTGATGGACGTCAATGGGGACCACGATCTCGTCGCCATGTCTCGGCGTAATGGTCAACAGCGGCTGCCCTTCGTTCATGCCTACGTTTCCTCCCCCGCCAGCAGGCATTGAACCGAAAAGCCCAGGTCCCCACCTCGGGTCCCCCATAACCCCCGATGCACCATACTGTTGGCTGGCAGACAGCGGCGACGCAAATGGGGGCCCTGACATGACCGGCCGCCCGCTGTGCTCGCGCTTCAGGCTTCTGGGTTGTGATGGTTCGGTGACTGGCGTTGGTGGGGGGGCGTGGCCTAGGTTGGGGTGCGAAAGCGACCGGGCAAGGCTGGATGTTGGCCGGGTTGGCCCGGACGCCGCGGGTCCCTGTCCGGGGGTGGGGTTGCGTAGTTGCGGTGGTGGCCCGAGGGGCGAAGCTGCACTGCCGTATGTCTGGGCGTCATGCCCTGAAGTAGCGCCTCTTGGCCCTGGGGTTGGGAGGCTCGTCGCGAGATGCTGTGCGTCCACTGTCCTCATCGCGGCTCGGCTCAGGCTCGTTGTCCTGGGCGATTTCGGTGTCAGGATCCGCCTCGCTGCCATGGGGTACGGATGGACGGCCTGGGGAGATCCCCGGTCTGCCGACGTGGGTGGTCTCGCCGGAGACGTTGTTGAGGGAATGGTCTGGTGTGTTGAGCGTGGAGTGGTAAGGCCCGGCGTCTGGTAGATAAAGTGTTGGGACGGAGATCCCTCCGCCCCGTACTGGCCGGCCCCCATGCCTGGCTGTTGAGACCCTCCCGAGGCCGAAGGTTGTGACAGAGACGGAGACTGCCCAGGCAAGCTCGCGTATGAACCAGCCGGATTTGATATGCGGCGCGTGTCTGGAGTCCCGTTCCCGCCCAACTGGTTGGTCCCGTCGCCTTGCGTTAGCACAAAGCCGCTAGGATCACGAAGCGGCGGTTGTGATCTCGAGTCATCTCGGTAGGCACGACTTCGCTGGAGGGGGGGGGAGGTTGCGGTATTTGTCGCTGTCGCCGGAGACCGCGATGAATTGCGAGAGGCAGGGCGAGGCGCAGAATCCCCCTGCGACATCGCGGTCTTTTCCCCTTCGCTCTTGAGGTCTGGGGGTCGCTGACATTGACTTCGGCGGGCGCTCCCAAGTATTGCCTCCCCGGTGGGTTCCTGGTCGGAACCAACACCCGGTACCCGGCTCGGGGGGATGCACACGCCCTCGCTGCAGTGAGCCGTTGACAACAGCTGCAAGGAGAGAGCACCTACCCAGCTCCGCGCTGGTTCTTGGGCCCACGGAGGAACCGACTGGATCGCCACACTGACGGATTGGGATCCGGGACAATGACGTGCGTGTTGCTTTGCAGGTGCGAGCAAGCTGCCGAGTCCGGATGGCAGCAGCAGCAGCGAGCGGCTTCGGTTGTTGTACGGGGAGGAGGAGCGTGGCCCGCTAAAGGACTAGGAATACGGGCCACGGCCACGTCGGCGATGGAGGGTCGAAGGATGACCCGGGGTCGAGCTGCGGTAGGGTGGGAGCAGGCGTTCAGAGAAATGCAGAAAAGTACGTGTCCGGGGACCGCAGCAGGAGATGTGCTGGCGTTAGGCCGGGGGTGTGCCACACACAGAGACCGGTGAAGCCACGCCGCTAGCTAGCGGGACGAGGGAGTAGCAGACAAGGTGACTCGGAGCCAAGCATGACAGACGGGAGGTGCAGAGCGGCAGCGGAGCGATCGATACCGGAATCGTGGTTGTTGCAGTGGGCCGAAGTTTGATGGGATGCGGGCAGGAACAGCCAGTCGTTGACCTCAAGTTGACTCTGACCCAACTTACTGGCTCCGGACGCCGGAGTGGGCTCGGGGGGGGTTCCCGTGGTCTGAATGGACACCAAATCAACAACAGACCAGGGCACTCGCTCTTGGTTTCTCCTGAACCGCACGCCCTCGTAAGTAGTGGAGAAGTAGTGCTGTCTGGTGTTTTTCTGTTTTGGCGAATGTCGAAGAGCCTAGAGACAGGGAATCCGAAGCTTTGCCTGGACCTGTGTCGAGAGTTTCGCGCGGCGGTTATGGTGTCTCAATATCGGAACCTGTACGAAGTACATGTAATGTACCATGTACCGTTTGTCGAGACGGTTGATCCGTTCTTTCTTCGACTGAAGGGGGTGTGTGTGGAATCCTTCGGAAACACGCCGTTGGAAGAAGAGCTTGGTAATAAGCTCGGGCTGCTTCCAAACAACAGCAGACTTTAAAGAGCCAGCAGATTTTCATCGCCCTGGTCCTTTTGGGCCGCCCCTTCTGCGTCCACCGGTCTTCCTCTTTGCCGGTACCTCACGGGCAGGCAGATGACAGCCCACACTCTCGTCGCCCGGGGGGGGTCCAGTCGGAAACCGGGGTGCATGGGGTTAGCAAGGGGGGGAAAGGCATGCTGCGTGCTCGACCGCAGGCCACAACCGGGGCTTGACGGGTGCTTCCTTCTGAAAAATTGGTTGGCTGAGATGAGTTCTGGATTTTCTTATTTTGTAAATGACGGGCAGAGGCAATAACGGTCCTGATGACGACAAGGCATCCCGCAGCTCCTCTACGACAATGAACGCCTTAATTCCCATGCTCAAGTTGGGGTGTGGGGGGAAGGGGAGGGGGGTTGGTTGACCGCCCTGACACCTTGAAACCCAAGAACCGGCCCCGAGTTTATGGAAATGTGGCTCGCACCAGGCGTTCGTGGTTCTTTGCAAGCCCTGCAAATACGTCCTAGCTAGTGCGAAAGGGGCAGCATCAAGAATGACGCTTGCCTTGGCAGCTTGGCATGATCACCGCCAGCGGCTCTCTCTGCATGGCATCGCGGTGACTGGGTGGTCCCCGGACGACGGGTATCTCGGCCCAGGGCCACTTTGAAGACGCCCCGGCCCATGCACGACGGTCGGGGATAAAGCGAAAGTGACAAAAAAAAAGACGCGGCGGCCTCTTTGGTGGATACGGAGAGACCCTTTTCTCATGCCACACGTCCTTCGGCTGAGCGAACTGACGCTGATAACGTGGGATATCTGCGTGTATCTACATGTGCAGACAGGCATCCATAGGTACGTATCTCGGGCGGGAGCGGTAAAGTGATAATGGAGCGAGAAAGGCGCTCACCGACAAGACCGCCACGACGCCCTGTTTGGCAACCGTGGCGGATCCTCGCGGCTTGCGTCTGCATCGGGCTCGTCATGTCACATTTCCGCACATGTTCTGGAGACAGACAGCCAGCAGTGACGCGACGTTCTAGGGTCCGGGAGCAAGGTAAACGTGCCGAACCAAGCCAAGGGCGACAGCAAGAGCGTTGACGGGAACCCTGACGTGTCGTCATCTGGGGCACCGCTGGGGTTTCTTGGCTGGGAGATGCGAGATGAGATCTGCGAGGCGAAAGAGTGTGTGTGTGTGTGTGTGTGTGCGTGCCTCCCTCCCTGCTTGGTCTGGGGTGGGTGTGTCGACCGGGCATGACAAGCATCCCGTCACCCTGTCAAGACGGCCTGATGGACGTTGCCGGATCCGCGCTCGGCACCGCAAAGTGGCTGACGACCTCGCCCCAGGCGCTGCCGCAGTTCGGCAGACAACACGACACAAACAGCTTTTGGGCTGGCGGGATCCGACATGTCCGTCATCACCCATGGGCCATGGCGCAGGCGGGCTCGGCAGGGCGGGTCTGAGTACGCTGACTCGACAAAACGAGGGCCCAGAATTGTCCCGAGACGGACCCTTCCCCTTCCCCTGCCCCGGGGCCACCTCATGTGAAGGTGGCTGAGCTGATGAACGAGTCCTCGGTGATGGCCCGGCGAAGGGAGAAGGAGCATGCGAGTGATCAAATAACGAGCAGAATAAACTATTGGAAATCCACCCGCGAACCCATGAACCCATGAACCCATGAATCCACGGTGCGGGTCGCGGGGATAGGCCGCCGAGCGTCCCTCGTCCTTGACCAGTTCGTGCCGGGATGTTGGTGCGAGTGGAGAAGAATGCAGATGGAAGAGCGTGGAGTGCGTGGCGGCTTCTCATCAGCGTCTCGTGTCCAGCACATGGTGCCGAAAATGGAAAATAAGGCACTCGCTAGCATGGCGTGTCGATTGCCAGGTTTGCAAGGTTGCGAGGTGTGTGTTTTGGCAATTGAGGTTGCTTGTTTGGAATACCTACCACCTAACTTCCATTGTCCATGCTCGGTCTGAGGTACAGATTACTCCGTGAGAGAGTCGACTACCTAGGTCTAACTGGAGGGCACCTACCTAGGTTGGTGACGAGGTCGGGATGTGCTTTGCTTGGATAAGGTAGGAGCAGTTCAAACCGTTCTTTGACTCCTAAAATTGACATGATCCGCGTGGCTCTTGCCAGTTTCTGCTTTTGTTCTTCTCATTTTCGTGTCGACCGCTCAAATCTCCGGAAGGCGTGATCGTTGCCGATGTTGCATTGACACTGGTTGGCACTGTGTGCAACTGCAGCGCCGAGTTGCATTTTGCCCGCGTGGTTGTGTGGGCCCGGGGAGTTCACAGGAACGGGCGACGCTAAACGGGGATTAGCGCTTTCCCGCCAGAGCGTTTTGAGCCCATGGGTGGATGGCTGACGATGTGCGCGGAAGGCGGAAGGCGGACAAGGTAGCCCTACGCTAGCCTCAAATAACGTCACCAAATCCCGCTCTCCCGCTGCTGGCCACCGCCATCTGCCGTCTGCGTGGTCTGCGATCAGGGCATTGAAGACCAAACCACCTCGCCTCGGCGCGCCCTGGTCCCGGACCCTGGGCGCCGAAACTGCCCGCCAACCTGGCACGAAGGAGTGTGTGTCTGTACGTATACTGTGGATAAAGATACTTCTGGATCGACACGCACAGTATACGGAATACTTGCACAGAAGTCTGGATTGGATACGACTTTCTTGGTACCCAACCACAAGCAAACTTGGATACCGTGTAATGCAATCAGGCATGTCAACATCAGATAACTAAAAGTGAGCTTGAAGATCTGAACTTCCCCCCCCATCGGATCATTTCTGCAACCCCGGACGTGCGTTGCAGAATCGGGCGTCCAGTCACACCGCACAGACCTCCCTCGAGATCGCAAGGCCGCTGGTGATCGTCGGCATTGCCGTTCAGCTGTGATGCCATCCCGACGGTAACTAATGAAGGCGGGCGGGAGCGAGCGGGAAGCATTCGCGAGAAAAGGAGCCTGCTCGGCTGCTCGGGAGGCCAGGCCAACGCGCTTGGGTGGAAGCTTCCGAAACTTCCAACAGATCGTTTCCCTCCCGCAGTAGCTGTTTCTGGCAAGCTCTCTCTCGCTCGGCTTCGACAACCGCCGGCTCTTGGTCGACCACGCAACGGCCCGGGATTTTCAGCCGACCGGTGTCGAGACCGTGCCTTTCATTGGCCATTGGCGCGCTTCAATGTCCACCTCGGTTTGAATGCCCCATGTCCGGCGAGCCCTTTCAATCCTCCATGGTCCATGCCCGCCCTCGACAATCCGCTCCTGCAGCCCGCATTGAGCATTGACGCCCGATGGAAGCTGTTCGGTTAGCTTGGGCTGTCGTGCAGATAGTGCCTGTGCGCCGCATTCCATGGAGACATCATCACATGTGGGGCAGCGGTTGGCTGCCGATCCGAAGTGTCTTGGCCCGTTCTATTCATCCATAGAGAACGAGCGAGGCTACTGCCGGCGACCTCTGCGGCCGTTGATGCGACCTCAGACGTCAACAGAGGCACGACACCAAACCAACCACAGTCTTGTTATGTTTTGAGTGTGTTTGTATGCCTGTCTTGGACAGAGACCCGGAAGCGCCGAGCTAATTGAGCCACGGGCTTGGTCAAGTCAAGCCTACACACACCGCTCACAGGTCTGCTGCCACGGCATGCAGACTGCAGCATCGTTCGTTCTCGCGAGACCGGGAGCTGCACAAGACACACCGACTCGCAAGGGTCTGAGGTCCTCCAAGGGTGGGGGCCGGCGATACTCCAAGAAACCCGCCGCCCTGTTCACCGCATCGGCAACCGACCCCCCGGCGAGCCCGGCTCTGGTACATACATGGAGTTATGTACAAGGACTGCGGGGAAGAGCTTCATTTTCTGGACATAGTTACTTTCTTTCTAACTCTCAGCGCGCTAGACGGGAGAGAGACGGAAACCCGCACTAGCACGAGAAGCAAAGGATAAAACGCGGGCGAAACGTCCCAGGAACTCAAAAGCAATGGGCAATGAATGGGCGGAGTAAACCCCCGTTCATTTTCAACCCACGCTGATGATGGAATCGTTTCTCACGAAAATCAGGGACCTTCCCCATGAGGCATGTCCAGACGGAGTGGAATGTCTCAAAGCTGGAGACCCCCACGGAAAGCCAAATCGAGGACGAACGAGCTGCACCTTGTCCAGATCGAGGGCCCCGGTCGGCCAGTCACGGGATCCTGCTTTCCCGAACCGTCGCCCTCATGCCTCTTTTTGCGACAAGCGCGAGGCCGAAGACCGCTCAACTCGGTGTCCGCCTTGGAAGTCTTTGACATCAACTTGGGAAGGAATGGGCTTGGCCGGTTTCGCAGTGGCCCAACCAGGGCGCCGGGAACAGGTGGCATGCATGAAGCGGGCATGACCGATTCCTGGGGTTTGTCCGTGTGTGGTGTCCGTCGTGTGGGTGCCCGTGTGGGTGCCCGTGTGGGTGCCCGTGTGGGTGGTGTCCGTGTCCGTGCCAGCTCAGAACGCAATCCCCGAACAGCGGGCATCCAGCATGCAGCGATTGCATGCAGCTTGGTGTGTGGGGCTTCTTGCATGCGTCGGAACCTGCAAGCGCCAAAAAACCGCCGCCTGTCCTTGCGCCCAACGCAACCTTACCCGCAGGGGCCAAAAGGAGGTCCGCCCACAAAATGAGCGAGGTTCCCATTGAAGAAATTGGGACGTGCCCGGGTGCCCTGGTTGCTGTAATTCGACATCGCCTCGACTTGCCTTGCCTGCGGCAGGTCAATGATGGTGACGGTGAGTGACACGGGCAGTGAAATGTGCGAGACATGCCCTCGGCACCCCAAGGTGCCAACGGCGGATATGCGATGTGGAAGTTCTCACAATGTGCCAATTCAGGTACATGCACATACAAGCCCAGAACGGCAGTTCCCGGGTCACATTTCGGCACCATCTGAAATTCGCAACTTGCGCCCAAAATAAAATAAAATATCGTCTGTGCGGTGACAACAACCCCAGTGACGGAGCGAGGCCACCTCGATCAGTGAACAACCATGTTCATATCGGACATGAATCAGTCGAAAGAATGGTGGGAAAAGACCACTGCACGGGATGGATGCGGGACAACTTCAAGTTGGAAATCTTAGTTTGCGCCCCACCCTTCCCTGGCGGAAATTCGCTATTCAAGGTTGTTGACAGGTTTGACCGCAGCCAGCGAGCGGCGGGCAGGTGCACCCGCGTGGGACGAACCTGCAGAGTGTGCTGCACGACAGCTCTGAATTTCGGAAAGTGCTTATGCAGCTCCACGGCAGCCAATACCTGTGCGCTTCGACGGCATGCAGGTTCCCTTCTGCAGGCCAACGCCGATGTGTCGATAGCAGGTTCGATCGAGATGGAGAGCCATATTTTCAGTAGCCACCTTATTTACCCTAAGTACTTGTAAGGAAAACCCCAAAGGGCCTCCATTGAGCGCGAGGGCGGGAGGTCCAAAGTCTGGCACTTTCTTAGTGTTGGGTCGAGGTTTGCTGGACGCTCAAAGTTCAAGTTACCTTCCTTAGGTAGTTTTGTAGATTCACCAACCCAAACCCCTCCAAATTCTAGACTCAACCGAGCAGCGTAGTTAATCGCAACCCGGCTCCCTTCTACCCGGCCTTTCGGTCCTTGGCCGGGACGGCATTCCAGGCCGTTCAAAGCTGTCCCGCCGGTGTATTCCCGTCGGCTGTCAACATCAACCGCCGTAACGGATGTGAGGGCCGCCATCCGTACTAGACGGTCTCATGATTGCAACCCCGCGAGCCGGGCCGCTCCCTCAGGCTCCGCACATGGAGTCGAGGCCAGATCATAAAATGTGAGGGCCATGGCCATTGCCCATTGGTGGCAGCTTGCAATTATCCTACTTCTTTGCATCAACGCGGCCCCGAAATACCAAGGGCCCACTCAGCAGGAAGGGAGTGACCTCATCCACTATACCGTGACCCGGAACAACCGCCTCCGGCCGACTTCCCAAGTCCCTCTCACCGAGAGACCACGACAACAATGGCGAACAACCAGGTCATCCAGCAATGGCACGTGAGCGAGCCGTACCTGGAAACGCACTGCTCGCTCGGCGAGGGGCCCTACTATGAGCCGGCCACCAACACGGTGCGCTTCGTCGACATCAAGAAGAAGCAGCTCCACACGGTTTCGCTCACCGAAGGCCCCTCGTCGCTCAAGACGCTCCAGTTCGACGAGTCCGTCACCGTCACGGCCGACATCGAGGGCCGGGACCCGCAGGACACGCTCCTGGTCGGGGCGAAGCAGGGCCTGGCGGTGCTGGATAGGAAGACGGGGAGGTACGAGTACGTGAGCAGGTTTGACGAGGAGAAGGGCGAGCGAATCCGCACCAACGATGGCGCGGTGGATCCGAACGGCCGGTTCTGGCTCGGGACCATGACGGACTTTGGACTGGGCCCTTTCCAGCCCGAGGGTGAGTTTGCGTTTTCCTTGCTATGCCTTCTTGTTGCTGTTGCTATTGCTGTCGTTGCTGTTGTTGTTTGCTGTTGTCCGAGCCCCTTGCAGCAGGTAACCACACCTGCCACCATCCACGTGGCAAGCTGCCAGACTCCCAAGCTATGCGAGGGTAACGGTGACGGCCACATCACTCACCTGCCTCCTTTCTCACCGGCAACTCCGTGCCGTTACTCTCGTACGCAAACCACCACGTCGAGCCTCTGAACCATGCATACATGCCATGTGGCGTGACGTACCTTCCACTGCAACCCTCCTTCGAAATAAACATCCCGAACCAGTACACCAATCATTTTCCATTTTACCATTACACCCCCCCTCCCCCTTCCACCACCCTCTCCCTGGCTCCAATTAACCGGCCAAAAGGCTCCCTCTACCGTTTCGCCCGCGCCACCCCGCCGACGCGCGCCCGTGCCGGGCTCACCATCCCCAATTCGATCGGCTTCTCGCCGGACGGCCGCACCATGTACTTTACGCACTCGACGGCCCGCGAGGTGCTGGCGTGGGACTACGACGCCGCCTCGGGAGGCAGCCTGTCCAACGAGCGTGTCTTCTACCGCCACGACGGGCCCGGCGAGCCCGACGGCTTCCGCGTCGACACCGCCGGCAACCTGTGGCACGCCGTATACGGCGAGGCGCGCGTGCTCCAGATCTCGCCCGCCGGGCAGCTGATTGGCCAGGTGAACATCCCCACGCGGAACCCGACTTGCTGCGACCTGGTTGGCGGTGGAGAGCTGGTCATTACTACGGCGGACGACGCCGAGGGAGAGGGAGAGAGTCAGCGGTTGGGTGGGGCGGTGTTCCGGGTGGCGGTCGGCGCCGAGGGGGCGAAGAGGTTTGCGTTTAGGATGTAGGCGAGGGAGTCATTGGCGGGGTGGGGGTTGGCGAAGGTGGGTGGACATGGCGGAACAGTTGCGCGGTAACTGAAATGGCGAGGCGGAGGCGGTGGCGGATTCTAGATGGGGTGGTCATAGACTTGAGATGGAGCCTGCAGTAGAGGGGCCTGTTAGAGAATCGATGGTGGCATCGGGGGTAGCGTGGGTGCTTCCGCTCGTGGTTTAACTCAACCTTCTGAGTTGACTCCGCGCTGGTGTACACACTACACAGTATGCCGATAACCCCGCTCCCGCGTCTTAGCCCTCTCCTCTCTTTCTGAAGCGTAAACCGTCCGGACATGTCTTTGGCTCCTTGGAACGGAACGGTTCAGGGCGGCTCTCACATCCTCGGCACCCTCGCTCCCCATTGTTGCGGAAAGCGGCGGCTCGATGAGAACGTTACGCTGATCCCCGATGTACTTTCTCCGCAGCATGGACCTTGGGGCCGTTGGGGGTGCGTAAACAGGGGATAGGAGACTCCGCTCGTCCAGTGACGAGTGCTGTCAGCATTACGAACACCAACAAAACGTCAACATCACGGTGGATGGAGGTTGAGTCAGGGAATGGCCGGGTTATCCGCCACTCACAGCCCCTGGATCCTTCACCCCTCTCAGGCAGGAGGTCACGAAGGGTGTTGGTCGACGCGATTTCGAAATCACATGATGGGCGCTTCGAGAACCGCAGAGCGGCCGTCGCGTGTGATGAGCAACACGGGGAGGGCTGTTTTGGTTTGCTAGGGCTGGGTCCAGTTCCGCCAGTCACGGTACGTGATGATCATGGTGATCTCATGGTGTCTCTGAGAGGTTCCTTCAACCACTCGCACGTCAGCAGGACCTCCGCGGGGTGCTGGGCACTGTGATGAGCAATATTCCTCGCGTCCCCAAACCACTGGAGCCCTGGGATGCCCCTGTAGGGAAGGAACTTGATGGAATATAATCAGTCTGGACCGTGGCAGACCCACTGCGAGTGACGAGTGAGAGCATCGAAGCGGGAGGCTGCCTGCCGTTTCTGTTTTCATGATGCCCGGCTCGGGTTCCGAGTGGCAGAAAGAGAGCATGGGAACCTTCGGCGGAATTTGCTTGGAGGGGAAGTTGTCGAACCAAGGCCGAGGCCCCGGCCAACTTGAAGCGAGGGGCACCGCCAGTTGGTGAAGATGGCGGCCAACGAGCGAAGCGAGCGGTGAAGGACTGGCCAACGAGGTTCCTCGTGTGTGTCGGCCCCTGGGGATTGTCCGTCCGGCCAAGGTAAACAAGTCTGAGGCTTCTCGTTGGCAAATCATATTCTTGACCGTCGTGTATTGACGGAACGGTCTTGCCACACGCGGACGAGCGGGGGGGCGGGGAGGCGGGGAGTTCAAGCAACGGCCGTCGATGGAGTCGACATTTTTGACGAGGTATCGCAACCGGGGACCCTGGGGAGGCTCATTAAGAAAAGCACATGACTTCAACTGCTCGGGAAGAGAGGGTCCTCGACAATCCTAATTTTGGTCAGCGGCCCAAACTATTGGACTGGGATCCTGGTGGGTGGCCAAGGACTCGAGTGTAACCCAGGTACCGAACTTCATTCAGACTGTCGTTGTCTTTGCGGGAGGATTCAGATACCACGGACGTCCTGTCACTTGGTTCTGCTTGAGGCTATTCGGGTATGTAGCCTTGAGACCTTATTCAGGGACGAAGAATACTCGAGATGGGAGGAAGAAAGAGCAGCAGAACTCACTCCACGGCAAATGCCGACTCACCGAATCGAGAAGTTTCCAGGCTCATCTCAGACATTCCGGTACCGACATTGGGAAAGTAGGCCAATCTCAACCAAGTTCTTCCATCTTGTCAGCGTGTCCGTCAGGAGGGTCGTGGCGCGGGGTGGAAGCAATGGAGCAGGAGATAATCCACACCCTCATAATTCACCCACCTTGTTATGGCTCAGAATAAAGAGAAAGGTCCGACCCGTCAATCTGTAGTTACTGTGTAGCTGGATCATTGAATAATACCTACTCACGTTATCCAGCGAGAATAAGATACCTATTCACAATAGCTTGCGTTGGTTGCATTGTGTCGCATTGTTGGGTGTTGGCTTGTGAGGTTTTGAAATCCCAACTTTGTGATGCGGATTGAGTCACTGGCGACTACCGTTTTGATTATATGCCTCATTATTCCAATTGTTTCTATTATTCAAAAGCCCTCAATGGTTCTTTCCCGATGTTGAATTTGAATTTGCAGGTGCTGATGGTGAGTCGTCACCGATACTAGGGTTAGGGTGTATAGCCGGCCGTGCTGGCCTTCCAGCGGCGCAGCCAACCAGAAACTTGAAATCTGCTCCGTCCTCAATCATCCCCCTCACCACTGTCACTGCCTGTTCATCCTACTTGACGACCACCTTTTCACCCCAAGACGCAACACAGCACTCGGCAGGCATTATCATCATGATGGAGGAGCTATCTGGCCTCGAACTCATAGCCCGCTATGTGCAGGGAGACGATGATTCGGACTCGCTCTTTGGTGGCGACGACCAGGATGGCGAGCTGGGTTCCCTCTTTACGGAACCCGCCGCTGCCGACGTCGAGCCATCGTCACACGGGCCCGATTGTGAGCTAGCATTACCTTTGCCGCAAGAGCGCCATCATGAGGCGACTAACCCTCCTGCTCAGCTCGACTCTGCCGATAACCAACCACAGATTCAGTTGGCCGAGCACTCCCGGCGCTCTCTGCCGCTGCCATCGCTCCCGGTGCTTTCTCAGCTCTCGCTGCCCGCAGTCCCTGATCCTCTGGATGCCTCTTTATCGCACCAGTATGGACACACTTCAGGTGACCTCGTGGTTAGTACCCAAATTCCTGCTATTCACGCTTCTGGCTCTGGACCCGCGCCATCATCGCCCGAGGAGCTTCTTGACGATGCGGCCTTGGAAGCCGAACTCACGGGCCTCTGGGAGGCCGACGAAAGCAACGAACAGCCTGTTAATACTCACGCAGAAAGTCATGAACGCGGTCCCATTCGGGAGGAAGTCGAGATCCTCACCACACAGATCCCAGGCTTTCGCTACGCAAACAGCAACACCAATTCGTTCATTCGTCTGCCACGGCGCATCGATTTCGACCCGAAACTGGCCCAGGAGCTGGTGTACTACATCACCCTCAGTAAGCCCCCCAAACTGCTCCCCTCTCTTCGTCAGTCATAACTAACCAATGCCAGACCGCCAAACCAGGGTAGAGGTTCTTTACGGCTACCTCGAGCTGAATGTTACCGACGGTAGGCGCCTCACGGGGGAAATGAAGAAGCTCATGAGAGAGCCCCCCCTCGCGACGCTCGTCGCACAGCCCGCCAGTCGCGCGACCGATACCAAGAAAATCCTCGTCAAGATTGCATTTTATATGCTGATTTGTAAGGAATGGGGGCGGACTTGGTTTGGTGAAGACCACGAGACCGCTCCATCCCGGAAATACCTCTGGCCCAGGGACTCGTCAATGTAAGAACCTCCCCTTCAAGTATCCCATCATGAGGAAGACACTAACAAACCCGTCTAGTCTCTTGGCCGGCTTCGTCACGGTCCTCTACCGCGTCTACACAAACCAGAAGCAGACGCATCAAAATATCATGCGCGCCCAAGCTCGGCTCCACGAGGCAAACCCGTCACCCCCGCTAACACCGGACCCCTCAGCCCAGCCTGCCGGATCACCTCAGATCCCAGCACCCGCACAGGAGGGCCAGTCCTTTTTCGAGGCCCTCGCTAGGGATGCGAGCGCCGGCAAGAAGCGCAAGCGTGACGAGGCGATACTCGGCCTTGACCAAGTCCCTTACGACGTCGAGATCCCCGCCAACGCCCGGTTGAAGTATCACATCTACGTCAAGGACGGGAAGGACGGCACCGACCTAGCGCAGCCCACCACTTACCGGCACACCGACTACATGATTTCCCGCGGCGCCTTCTCCAGCCTCAAGGCCGCCTTCGAAGCCGCCGGCCAGGACCCCGTTTACGTAATCCACACGCCCTTTGGCAGGAGGGAAGTGACCACCGAAGCGGCGTGGGATAACGCTGTTCTGGCCGTTTATAACGCCAGGCGCTCGGGCGGGGTGGTTGAGGTTGAGGTTCTCGTTTGACGTGCTGTGCAGGAGAATTGCATTGTGTGGTTACGAGAGGGTTAAAATGGAGATGGCATTCGGCGTATGTCTGGGGATGGGGTACACGGGACGTAGGGATAGGCGTTTGGTGGACTTGCAGTTTTCTTTATTTGAATAGATACCCAGGGAAACGAGACGGAATCGATTACAGTAAGAACGGGATCGAATGAACAACGGGTGTTTCGAGCTCTTCAATAATTAACTTCATGAATGTAAGGTGGTCTTGTTGCGTGACGTCCTCCACAGGAACTATTCCCACGTCCTCTCCCCAAGGTGAGATGAAAGCTGGCTAATACAAACACACTAGCCCTCCCCTAACGACAAGCTAGCGATATCTAAAACCGAGGCTGTATTACTGACAATAATTATACATAAACCAGCCATGAACCGAGTCGAAACTCCCATCCGGAAGAATCATCCTCGGCCCAAAAGACGCCAACCAATGCCCCCCCCCCTAAAAGCAAGCAGGCCCAAACCAAAACCAACCACCACACCGGATGGAAGGGATATGCACGCTACCTACCCAAGAACACACACACAAAGACCAAAACCCCAAATAGAACCACCCTACACTACAACTACAGCCTTATCCTCCCCTCCCCACCATTCCCGCTCCCACTACCACCACCACCACCAAACCACGACCCTCCTCCCCCACCTCCACCTCCACCACCACCCCGACCGGCATCATCACCATCATCCCCGCCCATCCACTTCGGCTTCTTAAAATCCTGCAACCACCGCGGCGTGTCCAGCGTATCAATCGTATTCTTGACGCGATGCCCAAACGCCTCAAAGAAATTCTCATCGTCCTCGTCCGGCACGGCCGCCACACGACCGACGCGCCTCGCCGAGGTATTCGCCTGCGGCCGGCCAGCGGCAGCGGCAGCATAGCTGCTGCCGGCGTTGGGGGATGTTCCGAAGGGGGTGGTCGGGCCGCCGGGGGCGGTGGGGGAGGTGCCGTCGCGGCGGCCGGCGCGCGGGATGGAGAGGATCGGGGCGGGGCGGCGGCCGCCGGGCCCGCTGGGTGGGGCGTCGCTGCGGCGGGCGCGGATGGCGGCCGAGGTGCCGTTGAGCTCGCGCTCGATCAGGTCGCGGCCCTCGCGCCAGGAGCGGTTGAGGGCGGCTCGGCTGCTGCTGCTGCTGGTGCCGTTTTGGTTGTCGTCGTCGTCGTCGTCGTCGTCGAGGACGTCGACGCCGAAGCCGACGACGCGCTTGACGCGGCCGTAGAGGCCGAAGAGGGTGGCGCAGACGGGGAGCAGGATGAAGGCTGGGAAGAGGTAGTCGAACCAGGTGCCGAGCGGGGTGAGGTTGATGAGCTGGCCGAGGAAGTCGTAGAAGACGGTGTCGCGGTAGATGCTGCCGAGGAAGGTCATGAAGTTGTAGGTCAGGGGCACGCTGAGGCGGGCGACCTGGCTGGCGTACCAGAAGGCGGATTCCTGGGCCGTGTTGCGGCGTACGAGGGCGCGACCACGCCAGACCTTGACTTCGGTGATGGAGATGAGGGCCGCAGCGCACATGTAGACCATCCATACGGCGGCGATTGCCTGACCGGCGAAGCCGACCTGGCCTTTGGAGGCGACTTCGTGGTGGATGACGCTGTAACGGATGACCGAGAGCTGTGGGAAGAGGCCCTTGATGAGTTCGGACCAGACGATGCAGACGGAGGCCAGGGAGAGGATGGCAGCCAGCGCGGTCTGGAAATACGGGACCAAGTGGTAGTGGAATAAAAAGCGCGTGTAGGGCGTGAAGAAGGTCTGTCTGTCCCAGAAGCCCGCATTGGGAGAAGCTTTGCCGAAATCTAGTTTCTTGGAGGCTGCTGAGTCTAGGATTGCTTGCGTCTTGACAGCGTCTTGCAGCAATCGGTTCCACTCGCTGATGTATCTTGAGCGGGCGTGCCTCGCCCTGACCAGTCGCCTGGTGAGCTCAGCAAGGTACTTCTCCGTGATAACGTTCGGGAGCGGACTCTGATTCCCGGAGCCTCGGACAGCGGTCACTCGGCCGGGCTGCGACTCCGGCAAGTTGGTCATGTCGATCAACTCTTCGATCCAATCCTGGAAGAAGCTGGCGCTGCCACCCTTGCGACGACCGAGCTCGGCCACCTGCAGCTCAAGGTCCTCGAGATCTATCTCGGCATCGTCCATCTTTTCGTAGACTTTGGGCGCCTGGATCTGGATCCGACGCAGCCTGTCGCTCACGTTCGCGTTGCGGAACAGTCGTCGGGGTATAGAGACGAGGCCGTGGCCCATTAGGTAGATGGCCAAAATCAATCCCCAGCAGTATGCAAGAGCCATGACGGTGCTCTTGAGCGACTCGGAGAAGTGACCGTAGGATATCAGGACGTAAATGAGCACGAGGGCTCCAGAACCGAAGACGGCGGCATAGTATTGCGCATTCGCACGGAGGGAGTCGAGGATCTTTCCCTTTGGTTCGCGGTATCCGGAGTCCGAGTATTCGCCAAGGATAGGGAGAATGAACCTACACAGTAAGGCGAGTGAGTTAGAAAAGCGAACACATGCGCCGTACAAGCAGACAACGGGACGTACCAAGTCAAGGCAAAGGTAAGCCAGTACGTTATCCTCCACGACACCTTAAGGGTCCTCCAATTTAGCCATATACCCCGCGCATCAATGTCATCGACCATGGCGCTGGATGCCAGGTCTATCGGCACCAGCAGGACCATACTCGCGGGAAGCCATAGCGCAAAGAATACAGGGACGAGGAGGTAGGCGGGGGTGGTTCGCAGTGGGAGGTAGTGTCGCAGGATGAGGAGGGCGACGATCGAAATGCAAAGCAGCGCGACCAGCGCAAAGACGAGGGACGATACGGGCGACGGCGATGTCGCTATTTCAATCATGATGCTGAATTTGGTGTTGCATGTCCGAGGGGAGATGTTATCGCATGGGCCGGATGGGCCGAAGGTTGGCCGAGGTTGGCGACGGTTGGCTGACGCACCCTTGAGTTAACGGTTCCGTCGAATTATGTCACCAGATCCTCCGCGGCACGTGCCGAGCTCATTGACCCCATATGGAAGGAGACCCTTTGCTTTTTTGATACCGAACTCAGGCATTGAAAATTATGGCGACGCTTGAGGCCAGGGATTATTACGGGGTATAACTTCCTGAAGCCGGGTTATTGTTCGAGAGAACGTTGTGGTTATGAACTCTGATGATATCCATCATATCCTCATTATCACCAAGCACCTCCCACTCTCCCACTGTCTATTGAGCAGCGATGTCATGCCAAGAGCGCCGAGACGCGACACCCCCTATAATTGGCTACACGGTGCCACCCTGGTGATGCCTTGCATGCGCATCGTCGCTGTTGCTTGATACCAAGTACTAGAGTCAACGAAGCTTCTCTCCCGGAAATAACGGCTCAAAATCTAAGGCGATATGAACGCACTGATAGCTTACATTCATATCTGAAGTTTTTGTTAGTTCCCGAGACCCTTAAACTGTGTACTACAAGTACTCAGGTGAGATAGTAAGCTCAGTGCTACCAAGTAGGTAGGATGGTATGTACCTGAGTTCTCACATAAGGCCCACCAGGTTCGCGCTTGGCGATTTGGAATCGAGAACTTGCCCCGTGGAGCTTCCCTTCCCGACCTGGGAGGTGGGAGCAACCCCCCGCCCTTGTGCAACCGCCTATCAGTTGTCTGCAAGAGGAGGGGTTGAGACCGAGTATGCAGATAAAATGGCCACCCTCTTGCCGCATACCCCGTGTGCTCGGATGCGGTTCAGTCTCACTCGCAGAAACCAGTCGAGCAGATTCATTATTGCTGGCGCTTTACGCAACTTCTCGTTGACTCCGCAAACCCGACATCAGACCGAATCGAGGACGATGGAGATCGAACTCTCAGCTCCGAACGGCAAGAAGTGGACTCAGCCGTTGGGCCTCTTTATCAACAATGAGTTTGTCAAGAGCAGCAACGGGCAGACCATCACCTCTATAAACCCTACGTCCGTACTCCTCCTAATGGTCCAGCCCGGGACTCGTCGCTAACTCTACGACTCAGTACGGAGGAGGAAATCTGTTCCGTCTTTGCCGCTACATCCGATGATGTTGACACGGCTGTGGCCGCCGCCCGCAAGGCCTTCAAGGACCCTTCGTGGAAATCCCTCTCGGGCACTGACCGAGGGGCGCTGATGACGAGGCTCGCTGACTTGATGGAACAGCATGCAGAGACGCTGGCCACCATCGAGTGTCTCGACAACGGCAAGCCATATTCCGTTGCTCTCACTGAGAACCTGCCCGAAGTTGTCAATGTTTTTAAATACTACGCCGGGTACGCCGACAAGAACTTCGGCCAGGTTATCGATGTTGGCCCAGCCAAGTTCGCCTACACGGTCAAGGAGCCACTGGGCGTCTGCGGTCAGATCATTCCATGGAACTATCCGCTGGACATGGCCGCGTGGAAGCTAGGACCTGCCCTTTGCTGCGGCAATACGGTGGTCCTCAAACTCGCCGAGCAGACCCCCCTCTCGATGCTGTACGTGGCACAGCTCATCAAGGAAGCCGGTTTCCCGGCTGGTGTGGTGAATATCATCAACGGCCACGGTCGGGAGGCCGGCTCGGCGCTCGTGCAGCACCCCAACGTGGACAAGATCGCTTTCACCGGCAGCACGGCGACGGGCAAGGAGATCATGAAGATGGCTTCGGCCAGCATGAAGAACATCACCCTCGAGACCGGCGGCAAGTCGCCGCTCATTGTCTTCGAGGATGCCGACCTCGATCTCGCAGCCAAATGGTCTCATATCGGCATCATGAGCAACCAAGGCCAGATCTGCACCGCCACGTCCCGGATCCTGGTCCAGGAGAAGGTTTACGATGAGTTCATCAAGCGATTCAAGGCCAAAGTGGAAGAGATTTCGGTGGTGGGCGACCCATTCGAGGAGGCAACCTTCCAAGGGCCGCAGGTGACCAAAGCGCAATATGACCGGGTGCTTTCTTACATCAAGTCTGGCCAGGAAGAAGGTGCGACCATTGCCCTGGGCGGTGAACCGGCGCCGCAAAAAGGCAAGGGTTTCTTCGTGGCGCCCACGGTATTCACCAATGTGAAGCCCAACATGAAGATCTTCCGCGAGGAGATCTTTGGTCCCTGCGTTGCTGTTGTCAAGTTCAATACCGAGGAGGAAGCTGTCCAACTGGCGAATGACACGACGTACGGCCTGGGATCAGCGCTCTTCACTCGCGATCTAGTCCGGGCGCACAGAGTAGCTAGGGACATCGAAGCGGGCATGGTCTGGATCAACAGCAGCAACGATTCCGACTACAGGATCCCCTTCGGCGGAGTCAAGCAGTCGGGTATCGGGAGGGAGTTGGGTGAGGCCGGGTTGGCACCATACTGCAACACCAAAGCAATTCATGTGAACATGGAGGGTTGATGGATGGATCAGACTGAACGTAAATAGGTACTTGGTTGGCTCTGTCGAAATCAGTCCATAAATTTGTAATACCGTCCTTACCGTGTCGGTTTAGTTTACCCTTCACCTCCCACCACGTTGCCCTGCCCTGTGAATCGAGACACGTTGATGCTGGGGGAGCGGATCGGAGGCGCCAAGACATCGACGTCACCCCCCGAAAGCCCAGGGGGTCTCGAATGCTGAAAGCTCTGGAGCTTATCCCGGTCTGGCTTCGCCGCCAAGATCCTGGGGCTGACGGCCAGAAGCGATCACGATTGCTGATTGGACGGCTTCTCAAAGGACAGAGAAGGTGCAAAACTCCACAGCTGGGGAAAGCTCCACGAGACATCGTCGTCGTCATTCTCTCGCGGTCGCATAGGGTATTTGGGGACGGCATCTTCAATCGTTAGGGTCGCTTTTCCAACCAACCCACAAAATTGCTAGAGTCTCCCACAGCAGCCGCGCGCCATTTCTAGCACCCGAATCCAACCGATCGTCGCACTCAATGGCGCCCGCCATACCATCCGCCGAGTTACGACTCTCGTACCCCCTATACGCCCTCGACTTCGATCCCGAAGATGCGAACCGCCTCATAGTTGGCGGCGGCGGCGGTGCTGCCCGGAGCGGTGTTGGGAACAAGGTTAGCGTGTTGGATGCGTCCCACGACGGCGCCATCCAGATCACCTCCGAAATCGAACTCAGCCGCGATGAGGACAGTGTCAACACCCTCGCTGTCGGCTCCCGCAAGGGGAATTCGCTGTTTTTCTATACCGGGATCAACTCAGCCGAGGAGGATTTGAAGAAGGGGAAGAATGAGCACTTCAGGGTCTTCACCGCCGACCTACCCTCCAAGGCAAAGGCCGAACCAAAGATTGCCGAGACTTCGAGGTCCGCCTTCTTCTCGACTACAGATAATGAGGCATATCAGAGGTTGTTGAGGATATCGGGCCCGGTCGGCGCAGTTGCCACAGGTACCATTGGCCGCGCAAAGGACGCCCAGATTGCCATCTTTGACATACCCGCCGCAACCAGCAATAAGCCGACACCCAAGCTCAGAGGGAAGGTGGAGCTGCCGAAGGAGGCTATGGATATGGATATGATGCAGATTTCGGACGACGAGCATCAGTTGGTATACTGCGATGACTACAACATCTACACCCTGGTCATCAGCAAGACCACCACTAGCGGGCCACACTCCGTCTTTGCTATGCCGCTCGAGGAGGCGATCGGAGCCAAGGACCGCGCATCGTTCCGGGCCATACGCTTCTTGACCCCGACGTTCGTGCTGGCGGTCGCAAACGTGCCCAAGGCGGGCGGCGCAGTGCTCCAGGGCTTCCGCCTACCCAAGCCGGCTGATCTAGGGAAGGAAGAGAAGGAAGGCAAAGCCCGGCTCGCCATCTCGGCACACCTCCCAAAGAGCATCTCGCGCGCGACGGGCATGGCCGTGCGCAACCTCTCCCCGCCAGCCACACCCACCTCGAAACAAGGCGACACCCAATTCGCCATCGCCGTGACCGGCCAGGACAGCTCCGTCACGCTGTACACGCTCGACCACCAATCCATCGGCGACATCAAGCTCATCGCCAACCTCTACCCCATCACCACCCTCAAGGAAGTCCACCTCGGCCCCATCTCCGGCCTCGCCTTCTCCCCCTTCACCCCGCCCTCCAAATCACTCCCGACAACAACCCCACACCTCAAACTCGCCTCCATCGGCTCCATGGCCAACACCTGCATCATCCACTCCCTGCCCCTCCGAAAACTACCCCCCACCACAACCTCCTCCACCACCACCACCACCACCACGCCCCCACCTCGATACGTCCTCGCCCTCAAATCCCGCCGGCCCTCCCCAACCAACCTGCTCCTCGGCTCAGCCCTCGTCTTCGCCCTCCTGGCCCTCCTCCTCCAGGGCATCCTCGAAGTGCGCGGCGCCTCCCGCCCCGTCATCGGCGCCCGCACCTTCACCCCCGTCACCTGGCACCGCCCGGGCCGCTTCTACGGCGTGGCACCCGCCTCTACTCCCATAGGTGGGGGTGTGTTGGCGGAGTATCACGACCTCGCCTCTTCCGCTACCGCTGCTGCTGCTGCTGCTGGGGGTGGTGCGGATGGTGGGAAGGTGCCGGAGAAGGTGGTGCTGCACCACGTCACGGAGGAGGAGGAGGAGGACGGGACGCTGCGGGTGGTGGAGGGGCACGACGAGGAACGGCACGGGCCGGCGAGGGGGTGGGAGGAGCTGGAGGAGGCGCAGCGCGAGGCGTGGCGGGCGACGCTGAAGAAGGCCGGGCAGTGGGGCGAGGAGATGGGCGAGGCCGTGTTCAGGGGCGTGCTGTTTGGGGAGATTGCGGGGGTTGTGGGGGCTATGGTGGCTTGAACCTAGTACCTACCTAGGTATGGAAGGGGTTGGGTTGTTGGGTTAGGGGGGTGGGATGGGTTAGGGGGGTGGGATGGGGGGCTGGTGGGGATGGGAATGGGATTTGATGAGGGATGGTTTGTATGTATGAGGGTGCTGGATGGGGGATGAGTGTAATGAGGGTGTTGGTGTTGGGGGTGGGGGTTATGGATGGAGTGGGGGAGGAACTGTATTATTTGTTTCTCTTAATGTGTGCGAGTTTGCTTAGAAGGGTAGAGTGTATTAACACATTGTTTGCCTAATGGAGACTTTTACTAGGGAGCCTCGCAGCGAAACGTAACTCAGGTGTGGATGGTGTTGGGCATGACTAAAGAGCATTGACCTGATAAGTAGGAAGAAAAACGCGAACCCTTTTTCTTTCTCTCTCAATACTTAGGTATTTTCAATTTTACTCTCAAGAGAGAGGTGGGGGACTGCTGAACTCCAACCGACCCCCGAACGCTCCCCCCTCACTTGCGGCTCGGAACCTAGAATCTTGTTGGTGTCACCAAACAAGGAAGACCGTTAAACGGCAGCAAGCGGAACAAAAGCTGAACCGAGTCGCGACTGAAACATGCATGGCACGTTACCACAACATCTTGACCAACGTGACACGCTCCGTCGACGTGGAGTTGTCGAGTGGACGGGGACTCGGCAAGTTGTTCCTCGGGTTTGCTACACTGCAGGGCGAGCTACCTGAGATGTGAGCGACTCGTGGCGACCGAGCCGTTATTAACCCCGGTAGTATCGTACAGGAGCGTTGCTTGCTTCACCAGGCACGACAGGGCGGCTGATGCAGCACTGGCAGGTGGCCCCTCAATTTAGCAACACGCAGACAGACGCAGAGGACCCGAGGGCGTTCCAGGTAGTCTGTCGTGGCACCCCGTACCGGACCGCATACTTGGTTGGGATGCAGTCGATGAAGGGGAAGGTGTCTATGGCTTACACAGTTGGGTTTAGGTTGGCCCGGCCCATTTCAAGCGCTGCCTATGGAACGTTCATGATGGATGGTCCCGTCGAGATCCCATCTTGGATCCAGGTATGGAGCTTTCCCAACCTCGCAAGAGCAACCCAAGGGCAGTTTCCTAAATAGTCAGCCACGAGCATCGGCACAAAACTTGAACCGCCACACTCTTGAACAGATCGAGGCAGGAACACTCAACAGCGCCCAATCACCAGTTGCCCGTACCTGGCTTCCGTTCTCGCCAAGCATCGAGTCTGCATTATTTTCTCCGACTTGTCGTGTTCTCGACTCTCGATCGAAGCAGCCAAGCACTCGCTCACTTACACAACTGTCTCACAGCTTGTGGCGCCTTCAGCTTCTCGCAACCCTTCCTGCTTCTCGGTGTGTAGCCCGTTCGCTCCGCAGCTCCACAGCGATTGCCAACTTCATTTCAGCCGGAATTCGAATTCGTGATTTGGGGCGTCGTTTTTTCGAATTTAGGATATTTTGCCGCGTCATCCTCTTTGCGGGAATACCAAGCTTTCGACATCAGATCCTCCCCCGTGCTCCAGATCTGCCGGAAAGCAGCCGCCAATACATGCGGCTGATCGTTGCAGTTTGCGCCCTGATCCGACCCTTGGTTGCAGCCGAAGGCAATCGTATCGTCCGAAGAACCTGGTCTCTGCAGAAGGCGGCAAGTCGCTTTGGTCAGCCAGCCCATCGGCTGAGTTCCTCCTGCGCAGACATGGCTGATCAGCACGCGCCTTGCCGCATCTCCCGCCTTCTCCTTCGTCTCGACCTTCTTGTTTTCGAGCTCAAGATTGGAAGGAGCTTGCGGCTCGAGGACTTCCGAACGATCTGCTCGTATTAGACCCGGGACTGCATCGATTGCTACCACTCGCTTGTTACCACTGGCTGTCTTTTCAATATTGGCATGCTAGCGAGCTGCGAGGCTACCGTCACTCTGCTGGCCATTCCGGGCCCTTTTATATTGGGCTTGCGTTACCCAGGTCCCTCAACCCGCAGTCTCGGGCATAGGGCGGGCGTTCCTTGCGTTGATCACAGCAGTCCATTCGCACGGCCGGAAGGCTTGGAGGTGTCCCCCCCTGCACTCTTCGCCCGTGTAGTGTATGTAGTTCCCCCATCTTCAAGTTGGCGAGAGGTTGCTTGCATGCTTGCTGAGCATTTGCTGCTTTCGTATCCCACGCTAGTTCCACAAAAGAGCGGAGAGTGATGGTTGCAGAAGAGAAAGACGTTGACGCGACAAGGTTACCTGCACCGAGCAGATGGACGGTAATATCGAAATGCCCTTCGCAACGTGGTTGGCCACCGTGGCCCGGTAATGTGGCATCCACCACCCATTTATACTCCCCCAACTGCCCTCCCATCGTCGTCTTGGTCTTTGGTCGTTCTCGTCTGCGACCCTACTGCATGCACATCGAGGGCCTGCCGCTGCGGGAGTCTCTGTCTTTTCTGCTATCATTGGTGGCCCCGCGTTTATGAGCTTCGCTCGTGTCTCTGATATATTCCCTCGCTCACCTACGCCCTGTCGTTCTTTAGCGTGCTGCTTATATTTGGGTGTTCAGACGTCATTGTCTCCCCCCACGTGCAGAATATACTATCGACAGTGATCCACGATGAAGCTGTCGTCTGCCATTCTGGCCGCCTCGCTTGGCTTGGCATGGGCTCATGACGACTACGGTCAACACGTCCCAAAACTATTGGGGGTGCGGAAATTTGTATCTGGACTAGAGGCTCGGAGGAAGGCTGCTTCTTCTGAACAAAACACTGCTGCCAGGAGGCAACACCTGCCAACAAACCGACGAGCGAGTCTGAAAGGACGGCAGGACGACGACGATGAGGGGCGATGCGGGCCGGGCGTTGGGGGTTGCGCCGATGGGGATTGTTGCTCGTTTGAAGGGTGGGCTTCTCCGTCTCTCTTAACTTTCAAGGCGTAAGCTAACCAACGTGTTAGATGGTGTGGAAGGGGTCTGGAATACTGCTCCGCCCCGGACTGTCAAATCAACTATGGCACCGGTTGTGACGGCGTGAGTATTACCAAAACTCGCTTCCGAGGTCTCAACTGACAAAGTCTCTAGAACCAAAAGCCTGACGGCGCGGACACCTCGACTGTTGCCCGGCCCAAGCTTGGGAGTCTTCAGTACGGAGGAGCAGGCATCTATGACTGCGAGAATCCGGGTGATATTGCTCTAACTTTTGACGATGGGCCATACATTTACACTAGCGACCTGCTCGACAAGCTGAAGGTTTGAGACTGCGCTCTTTTGTACCCAGGCGTAATGTTAACCCAGACCCAGAGCTACGGAGCGAAAGCCACGTTTTTCCTCACCGGGACGAACCTAGGAAAGGGGAAGATCAATGATCCCGCCACCATCTACCCTGCCATCATTAAGGTATGCATCCTTGTTAGGGTCAAGAGTCTGGAGAAACTGACATGATGATAGAGAATGCATGAGGAAGGGCATCAAATTGCCAGTCACACTTGGGCTCATCAGAACGCCAGCCAGCTAACTAACCAACAATTCACGGATCACATGGTCTGGAATGAAATCGCAATCAACTCGATCCTTGGCTTCTTCCCGACATACATGCGGCCCCCTTATTCTATCTGCGAGAGTAACTGCCAGAGCATTCTGTCAACCCTCGGTTACCACGTCATATATTTTGATCTTGACACGGAGGGTTACCTCCACGATAGCGTCGAGGACATTCAGACAAGCAAAGACATCTGGGACGACGCCGTTGACGGGTCCGACCCAGCCTCAGACAGCTACCTACAGATCGAGCACGATATCCACGAGCAGGTGGTGTACAACCTGACCGACTACATCCTCACCTCCCTGTTCGCTGCGGGCTACCGGGCCGTGACCGTGGGCGAGTGCCTGGGTGATCCTTCTGAAAACTGGTACCGCACCGGACCGACCGGCGGCGGCGTCCCAAGCGGCTCCGTCGCCCCTCCCACCTCGACGAGCATCCCGCCTACCGGACCGACGAGGACGACCATCTCCGTAGAGCCGACACGCACGGGCCCGAGCGACGACGGCAGGTGTGGCAACGGCATAACGTGTGCCGGAACCGAATTTGGGTCCTGCTGCTCCGTGTTCGGCTACTGCGGCGTCGGCGACAGCTTCTGCTCGATCGAGAACGGATGCCAACCCGACTGGGGAGCCTGTGGCGACGAGGTGACCGAGCCAACCTCCTCTGCGCAACCTCCGTCCTCTGTGCCACCGACCTCCTCCGTACAACCGCCCACCTCCTCGGCACCACCGACTTCCTCGGCACCACCAACAACCCTCTCAACCAAAACCACCCCCCCATCACGTAAGCCCAACCCACCCCCCAACACCCCGACCCCCACAACCCATCCCATAAACTAACCCCCACCCTCTAGCAACATCCACCACTACCACCAAGCCGACCCAAACCGGCCTGCCCATCAGCACCGACGGGCGGTGCGGTCCCGAGGTCGAGCAGACGTGTACCGGCAGCGGGCTCGGCGACTGCTGCAGCCCCGCGGGCAAGTGCAGTTCCAACACCATCTCGTGCTTGGCTCTCTTGGGCTGTCAGCCGGACTACGGTTCTTGTATCTGAATCTCGTTTGGGGGTGGGTGGTTGGGAGGTTGGGAGGAAAGGGGGTGGGGTGGGGTGGGGTAAGGTTGGGGGTTGAGGACTGAAAACTGTGGTGGTTGTGTTGCGGCTGGTTGTTGTTGTTTCTTCTTCTTTTTTCTTTGCTGTATGTAGGGCATAATGACGGGGTGTAATTACTTTTGGTTTAGAAACGAGTTGGGCTTTTACTTCTTTCCTAATGGGCGGGGGCATGCCAGGGTCACAATATGACTCGATGAGGATGGATGGCAACACGGAAGAGAGAGATGAACGTAGATTATCTATACAATGATGCTCTCTAATGTCCTGCCATGGGCACTCACCCACCTGAGGCGCCTCAACACCGAGGGCGTTGAGTTGTGTTTTTGTGTGTTATGCTGTGGCCTGTCTGCGCAACCAGTGCGCGCCCACATTTGTTACCATGCACGTTGCTCATACACATCCCTACCTGCCCGTTCATTACCTCCATCGTTCCAAGTCGTGTAAGAAAACGCTCGTGCCGCGGGTCGTAACCCAAACCACAATCAAAACACAAATCCGACCCCGAATTCCAAAACACAAATCCAAAATGCTAGACCTGTCTATCCCATTGCGCCGTTTGCTGCTTACTCGACCTGCGAGGGAAACTCAAAAGTGAAACCGGGCGGCGAAGCGCGCGCCTCTAAAAGGTTACCGTAGAAAATGTTGTAAGAAGCGTCGTCGTAGTCAGCCATCTCTTGGTCTGTCAGGAACCCCATCTGGCTTTGATGGGGAGCTGATAGCGGCGGGGTGTCGCTCCCGATGCGAGGGGCCTGTTGCGAGGGGCTTTCGCCCCATGGCATGCCTTCGCCACCGGGAGTCTTTTTGGGCTCCTGAGCTACCTCAGCAGAGGATGGCGGAGTCAGCGGCCTCATGGGGATTGCTAGTTGCCCTGCGTCTGCGCCTGCGCCCACACCGGCGAGGAGATCGCCCAGGCTGCCGCGTCTGTTTTCGGTGCCATACCCCGAGTCGGGGATCGATGGGAGGGGCGGCGGCCGATGGGCGAGGGTGTCCTTGGCCTGGTGGCTTGGCTGGTCACCTTGTTTGGCGCCTGGTAGCTCCGCATTCCGAGATGGTGGGCTCGGCGGGACGCGGTGGATGGTTGAGCGAGAGGCTATGGTGAGGCCGGAACTCATGCGGGAAAGTGACTGGCGGGTGCCCTCCACTTCTTCCATGAAAGCATGCACGTCCACATCGGTGGATTGTGAATCCATGTGTTGGACGAGGTTGTCTCGATCAGAGGTCGCGGGCGAGGTGGCAGAGTGGCTCTTTTTGGACGAGCCTGGAGATGGCGGCTTAGCATCGGGGTTGGACGTCGTGGCAGGCTTCAAGTTTTGCACCAGGCGCTGGATCAGGAGGGCTTGCGCCATCCGCTCGAGCTGCTGATGCCTTTCGCGCAAGGCTTCATGCTCCTTTTGCAACCTGTCGTGCTCGTCGGCGGGAACGAATCGCCCAGCGTTTAAACCCTCGAGGGCAGGATCTACCAGCTCAGGGGTGATGGGCGACGGAACCGAGGTTGAAGGGGTTCTCGCCAAGTCAGTGTCATCGTCGATGTCCATAACGAGAGACTCATCAGGGTAGTCGGAATCTCTTTCCCGTTGTGGTTCGGTCTGCTGGGTTGACTCGGCGCTCGAGAGAAGAGTGTCTGTTGAATCATGCAGCGGGGTAAAGCTCTCGAACAGAACACGCCATTTTTCTTTCTTTCCCTTGGAAACCCTCTGGCAGTAACGGGAGAGGTGGTCGTCGAACGCGGCGCGGTTACTGAAAGTCCGCCAGCAGGATCGGCAGACGCCCACTCTTGGGTGTCCGAAGTCGGTATCTTCAACGTCGAACGAGGAGATGGCCCGCTCTGTCACAGTGAGGCGATGGGCCGGCCTGCTTAGGTGCCGGCTGGGCGCCAAGATCAGCATTGATGAGAGAGCGCGCGCAACGGGATAACTCACACTAGTGTCGAGATCTCTCGATGCACAGTGTGGCATGGGGAGTATTTGTCCGACCGGTTTCTGTCGCTGTTGGGCCGTCCGTGTCAGCAACCTGGATTCGCCGGTTTCCTTTCTTCCCACCCCCCGAGAGTCGTCAACTCACTATAAAGTGGGGTGAGCATGGCGGAAGATGTCGGGCATGCTTATGTCGGTGAAGTCATCGGTAGAATTGGGTTTCGTCTTCTTTTTCGGACGGCCAACGTCTTCACCGCTACTGTCTCTGGCTTTCGACGCGGGACGGGCTTTGGATGGGGTCGGCGCTCCCTGACCTGCTCCGGCTTTTCGGCTGCGATCCGGCTGCATGCCAGATGTCGACGTGGGAACTTGCTCTAGGTGTGCCAGGGGGGCTTCAACAGGCTCGTACTTTCGTTTCGTCGGCGGAACGGTGGTGTCGATAGTCAAGACGGGGGATTCGGCTTTGATCGCAACATCCATGGCGAACGATTCTTGGTGACCAATTTGTGGGTAGTGCTGGACACTGTGAAGCGGAAAGTTGGGGAGCACAGGGGCCGGTCCAACTCCACAGGGGCCGGCAGCCATGCCCGGGTTCTCTTGCATGCTGTTGTAGGTCTGACTGAACCTCTCAATGACTAGTTCGTTGTCTCGTAACCGAGTGGTTGGTGAGGTCCAGGGAAGATAGGACTCGACGTTGTGGGCGTCGCCGTAATGTGGGTAAAGGTTGTCATGGTCGCCGATTGCATCTTCTTGATCGTCAAAGAGGATGAAGTCCCCCTCGGCCGGTGGCGCAATCAAGGACTGGGGGGAGGCAGAGGCAGCCGTGCTGCTGCCGAGGTCGGCCTCGACCATCATGCCGTGGTTCGTTGGCGCGTAACCATGGTCGTCGGCTTTGCGCTGAGCGGCCGAGCGCCTGCCTTTTGATTTGCTCCTGACATATTTCCAGTCATGGGCCTTCTCCATATGTTGCTTGCAGTTGGATTCCCGCTTTGACCAGTAGGGGCACGGCTGGAACCAGCAGGGAAAGGTGCGTGGAGTCTCGGAATGCTTGTCGTTATTGTGTCGCTCCAGCTCCTTTGCCGTGGGCCAACCGAAAACGTGGTACTTGCACCTCGGATCTTTGCACTTGTACGGGCGAGTGTGTGATTTTGAATGCTTGTTCAAGTCACATAGCCGGACGAAGCTCTTGGAGCATTGGGGGCAGACATGGGCGGCCTGGGCACCGGCGTTGGGGCTGGCCTGAGATGCCATCGGGTCGTTAGGGGAGACTCCGCGGCGGGCACGTTGGTGCGAGGGGGAGTAGAAGTAAGGGCCGTCGATTCACTGGAGGTCGTTTGTGGTGTGATGAAGAGAGTTTTGAGAAAGCCTGAGGATGGTCCAATTTTCACCACGACACCTGGAAGTTCGGGGGGCGGGACGAAGCGGCAAAGAAGGCGGGCGGTCCTTTAAGGTGCGGGAGGGCGAATCCGATGAACGTGTGGGGCGGAGGAGACCGGTGGTGCGGCGAGGTAAAAGAACAGAGGGGTGTGAGGTGTGAGGTGTGAGGAAGGAACAAACGGTGGATGTGGTCCGCGGTCACTTGGGAAGCAAGTCGGTCCAGGCAGCCAATGCCAGTGCCGTGAGGGGAACCTGGGGAAGCAGGCCTCGGAATTATAACAGGGAAGGCATGGCGGAAAGGTTTGACGTATTTGGCAAGGAAAGTGGGAGTCGATTCCGTGTGGGTGTGTGCGAGTCGGAAGGGTCGAGTCGTTGCAGACCCAAGATATCGAATCTAGGCAGCGGTGGAGACCTCTTATACACACTGCAGGAGGGGTTGTCTAGTTGGCCTCAGCCTTGTGGGGACTGGAGAACAAGTGAGTGTACGAAAGAAGAAAAAGTGCAACGGCCAACGATAGGATGGCAGATTTGGAGGACTCGGATAAAAAAGGAGCTTGTCTTAAATTCCGGGTTGGGTATCGTGCATGGATCCTGTGTTTTGTGTTTTGTGTTTTGTCTGCTGTGCTGCTGTGTGGTGTTGTGCTGCCGTTCCTGTGCTGCTGCCCGGGCGTGATGGGTAAACCACACAGATGTGAGATGCGAAAGAGCCAGATGGGGATGTCGGGACTGCCATTGGGGGGATTGTGGAACAGGCGGCCGCCGCCATTTTGGATGACTTGCCTTGACATCGGATGGGCGTGGGGAAGGTGGTCTGTTGGTTCGCACATCGGACGGCTGCGCAGAGAATGCGCAGAGGCTCAGCGGCCGCCTTGCAGGACTTCCCCCCGCCTGATGCACAGGCCAGGACCACACAGGCCAGGACCGCTTCAACGGTCTCGTCCTCAATCCCCAGTCCTCCGGCGGTGGTGCACGGACCACGCCATCCGTCCTCGCCTGGCTGTCCAATGGAATCGGTGGAATGGTGATGCCGGGTCGCGGCGTGACAACTGAGGCAAACGGTCTGCCAGAAGAGCCGGATATGGACCCTGTCCGTCATCCCGCGTCTTGACGTTGGTTTTCTCATCGCATGCGTGCCGATAGACCCGCTCGAGTCCTAGATGAGGCGATGCATCCTCGAAACGCTCAGAGCCGCTTCAAACTGGGCGAATTGGCCGGTTCGCATGTTGAGGAAGTTGAGCTTGCCGTGCTGTCAGAGGCCAGCTCCCGCTCCGTCAGACTTGGCAAACACCCGATTGTCGCCGTAAACCCCCGGCCGCCATAGCCCCGAGCGGCCGACCGTCTCGCGAGGCCATGGCTGTGTCGCAAAACGTCCCATAATAATCCCGCTTTCCGGTCAAGGCCAAGCCGATGAGTGGCTAGCTCAGAGAATCAGGTTTGGCGAGTTGTCAGCCTGCCGAAATGCCTCGCATTGTGTTTAGTGTGGTTTGGCCTGGACCTGTTGTCGTCGAGATTGCGCCCTTTCCTCGGTTGAAGCACGTGCTCCGCTCCGCTGGAGAACGTTGCCCGCCGGACGACTCAGGGATTTGTCGTCATTGTTTTCCGGGTGTTTTAACAAACTGTCGATGGGGTGTCCGCTGGTCGTCCAAAACCAATCCTGCCGCTGAGTTTAAAAAGGGCGTCCCCCCGCACCCCGTCGATTGTTTGGTTGCCTTTGTGCTTGTTTTGACCACAACGAAACTGCCGCTCAAAAAGCGGAGTTCAACCGGCGCAGATGACGCAGGGTCGTCCCATCACAAGCCCCCACCCAACTCCATTTCGAAATCGCAACATCGCTTGATGTGCGAAGCCATGGCCATGAGAAGGACCCAACTCGGGGGCAAACAAGGCACTCGCACTTGCTATCTGCCACATGCCGTCCATGCCACAGCCCGCAGACCAAGGAAGGTTTTGTCAGCACGAGCCTGATAAAATAAAATAAAAAAAATAGCGACGCTCCGGACTGAGATCATCAGGCCGGACTAAGGCCGTTGATCAAACGCCGAAGCGGGGATCCGCTGAATGGCCGACCCGGGCGGGCCGGGGCTCGCCACTGAGCTCCACACCGGCATCGACGTCAAAGCCGCCCGGTGTGGGCAAGCGGCAAGCTCGAGGCAAGCTCGCAGGTGACTTGCACGGGATTTTGGTCGGGATATTGGGCAGCTGTGGCAGCACAGGAACCCAACTGTCTGCAGGTGACAGGCAATGGCGGTAAATGTAACATCAAAAATTCGAGCGGTTGCGCAAGTCGAGGTGTTGGCGCGACGATGTGGACTCGCGCATCCTTCTCAGCGCGTTCCAAGGCGGTTGGCGGGTGATGTGGGTGTGACGATCAGTCATATACACGCAAGACAGCACAGCCTCGTTGCGCTGATTTCACTGTTTTTGGCTGATTTCACGAGATGGTGGAGAATTCAACGTTTGGCCTCGGCGTTTGTGGGGATGGTCTTGGTGTTCCCAGGGGGATTGGGAGGCGCCGGGGGCAAGGCCGCAGGGCATTTGCAGCTGACTGAACTCCTTCTCAGCCAGTCTTTCTCGGTGCAAATTTCCAAGATTAAAGCGGTTGGCAGGCAGAACGGAAACATGGAAACACGAAAAGACGGAAAGAGCTATGATCGTTGCCGATGGATCTCTTTCCTTCCACCCACCTCGTCTGCCGACCATGCCGGGGTTTCTTCCCACACTCCTTCCAGCATTTATCCCCGAACTGTTGCGCTGATCCCTCCACCGCCTCAGCGCATGCTTTCCGGGTCAGTGTGGACGACGAGGAGCCGATCCCACGATTGACCGTTCCAAGAGATCCGATCAAATTAGGCACTTTTTGGGAATCAACAACCGCTGACAACACGGTGGCGCTGGTCCAGGCTCGTGTCTCTCTTTTCGTGATGGAAAACCTTATCTCGCTTGCATGTCTCCTCGCAGGGCCTTTGGTTGAGAAGGAGGGTTGCCATGGTCGAATGGGAGGAGAGTTTGCAACACGTACCTGCATTAGCGCTCCACGCAACCACCTCCGCCAAAAATGGCGCTCCCCTCGTTTTCACACAGTGCCAGCTTCCTTGGCTGACAGAAACAGGGCTGATCTGGCACTTGGTACCACGACGGGTCTGGGAGGACAAGACAAGCGGTCTCATCAAGGTGTGTCCCTGGGGCGGAGAGCACAATCAGAGATTCGAGGTTGGAAGATAGCAACTTGGAAACGGCGTGTCGTTTCTCGTCTAAACTCTTGGATCTTGGAACTCATTCCTTGAGCGGAGAAACCGACCCGCTCACACATGGGATGAGTGTCGACTCGCACTTTCACTTCAGCCCACACTTGCCCCTCGTATGTCCCCAGGACACAGTGCTGGAGTGCATCAACACACGCGGGGAACGCCATCGAGTGGCTCCAGATATTGGCAAACCGGCAAACCAAGCGTCTCCTTTTTCGGCCCTGGTCGCTGCTTGTTCAGTGGCAAGTGCGACGTGGAGAGGAAATTGCTCCCCAGAACAAGTGGGACTCCTATCACAAGAACGGACGAGGGGGCCGCCAAATCAAGGTGCTGCATGGATGGGTTCATTTCGTGGATGGTTGGCCGAAAGCGCTTCCCCTCACCCTCCATCGAAGACTTTCGTACCCCGGCTCGGCGCTGGCTGGATAGGGGCGCCGGACCGCAAAACACAGCGGCAATGCGGCCGTTGCGCTGTCACTTGGGACCCGCCCGCCACTTGCGGAGCTGCAATGTTCCCTCCTCCAATGCTCCAATGTCGCCCTCCACCGAGCCCCTGGATTAGCGTCCTCCGAATCGGGCAGCCGGCGCTGACGAGCAATTTCCCGCCTTGTGTGCGGAGCGGTGGACGAGCTCGTCGACCTATTTAACGATGGCCCGTTGTCCAGTCTCGAGTCTGCCTTTTTCTCTCTTCTTTCCTCAGCTCACTCAAGCCAATCTAAGCCCAGCTCTCTGACTTCGGTCGTCCACTCTTTCAAAACACTTCCAAAGCTTCCCGCTCTCGTCAATCTTTCACCAACCCAAAACAACACCCTCTTCGTTTTTACGAAAACCCCAAACAGTCGCCAAAATGCGTTTCGCTCTTGCTACCGTTGCCCTTGCCGGCGCCGCCCTGGCCCACGGCCACGAGGAGGAGGCCCAGAGCACTGTTTACTCGACCGAGTACTACACCATCACGTCGTGCGCCCCGGAGGTCCCTGACTGCCCGGCCAGCTCCACCGTCGTCACGTCCTCGGTCGTCGAGATGACCACCTCGACCGTCTACAGCACCACCACCAAGACCATCACCGACTGCCCGGACACCGTCTCCAACTGCCCGGCTGACTCCACCACCGTGGTCACCGAGACCGTCGCCGTCTCCACCACCGTCTGCCCGGTCGAGCCCACTGAGACCCCCGAGGTCCCTGAGCCCACCGAGACTCCCGGCTCCCCCGAGGAGACTGAGACCGAGAGCCCCGAGACTCCCGAGGAGACCGAGACCCCCGAGGTCCCTGAGCCCACCGGCTCGGTCATCCCTCCCCCGGCGGTCAGCTCGACCCTGGTGACTGAGGCCCCCGCCTGCCCCACCACCTCGGTCAAGACCATCAAGACCTCCATCACCACGGTCATCCCCACCATCATCTACGAGACCGTCGAGGTCCCGTGCGAGACCGAGACTCCCCCCGCCCAGAGCACCCCCTCGTCGGTCCCCACTGGCACCCGCCCCGGCGGCCCCGTTGAGACCGCCGGTGCTGCCACCTTCGGCGCCTCGGCCCTCTTCGCCGCCGCCGCCGGCCTCTTCGCCCTCATGGCTTAAATTCACTTCACCTGAGAATCAGTCCCCTGGTTTATAGGGAGAGTTGGATGAGAAGCTAGAGCGTTGGCTACTTGATGGAAGGGTTGGATGTTTTTAGGATTCGAGTTCTTCTGGCAGGTAGCGGATTAATGGCATGATACCTCTGTGTACTTAATCTTCTAATTGTATTTTTTTGGCGTTCATGTATGGAACGGCTTATGAACGTCTTTTTTTTACCCCCTCAAATAACTTTCATGATGACCAAAATTCCCAACCTTGAAGTGCCATATTTCCTAGTGTTGATGTTAGTCCCCGGGCTGTGATAGTAATTTGATAGTAACCCCTGGGCCTCCCAAAGACCCCCGAAATCTAACGTTGTGTGTAAGGAAGGTGCCGTCACGTCACTCAATTTCCCAGGTGGGTCTGCTCGGAAATTGCGTTGTGCTGATCTACCCCGGTTGATTGGCTCTCACGAATCAGCGGTCCATCGTGTTTGTTTCAACCCCAGTTTTTCGGCTGCCCGGTTTTAGCCCATGGCGGCTCGCTCGCAAACCCCAGGACCTGCCGCTGTCAGGGGCATCCATGCGATTGAAGGTTCTTTTGGCTGGGGGGGAACACGGGGACAACACGCGCTGTTTTCTGTCAGTGTGCTGCATGAACAGACAACTCCTTTGGCTGCCTGCAGTGGGCAGCTCACTTGGGACTCGGAGGCCGTCACTTCCTCACCAGTCAGCGTTGGCCAGGAAATTGAAATTGGAGGGCTCACGTTCCTTCCCCCCGTTTTCGTCAGATTGCTGGCAGCTGAAAGTGACTTCCACGGTCGGACTCGGACCGGGATTTTTCTTCCCAGCCTCCATCCGGCTTCCCTGCCAGATCGGGCAAACCACCACAGCGATTGTGAGATGTTGATGGCGGGTTTGGCCGAGGCAGAACCGCGCGCTCCTCCCTTATCTTCACCGCTGTTTGTTCCAGACCGTGTCGTTCATGAATCACGATCCTCTCGTATCGGTCCATCCTTCCGCTACAAGTAGTTAGCCTCGTCCCTCTCCTTCCGCTTTGTCGGCGAGTTACTGAGGGGCCATCCTCCACATCGACGAGCGGTCGGCGATGCCGGTCGACAACGATGGAGACGGAGCCGGCAGTTGGAGTGGGTGACTGTGGATTCGCCGCATCCCGGGACCGGCAGCACCGGGGCTTGTCTCGGCAACTCCACTGTGGCTGCTGTCTCGCTTCCGTCCACGAGGAGGTGTCTCATCCCGACCCGGTTTTGGGGTTTCGACATGATGATCGGCGAGGCGCCTCGGTTCTGGGAACCGGAATGCAAAAAACACGTGCTCAATGCGGAGGACGGGACGGAACCACTGTGTAGGCAAATCTTGACATTTCCCTGGTGTTGGGAACCAGCAATCCCGGGACGATGAGAGCTACCAGCAAATCGCCGACTGGTGTTGGAGTTGCGGCTAAACTACCGAGTTACCAGCCAATACCTGAGCCCCTTCTGCCTTATCGGTTTTGGAACTGGGAAGAGGATTCCGACAGGCGGTACACCACGATTTTGATTGTATAGTTGCCATTGGTGAGTACAGATCTTGTGACGGAAGGGGATGATCTCTAAAACTTGGTCAACCTGATAAAACTCACCCCGCCGACGGGGCCCAGTTTGATCACTCTGCACGCCCGCCGCCCACGATGACGTCGTCCCGACTTCGCGACGGCGACAACAACAACCGGTCAGACACCTGCTCACATAGTGGGCATCTCTTCAGCAGCAAACGAGGCGGCGAAGGCCCCCTTCCCCCCCCATCCCTTACCCCTTACGCCTTTCCCTTGGCCCCTTAGCCCCTTCATCTTTTTTGATCAACCCCTCATCATGACCGCCCCAACCAACCAGCCGCGTCCCCAAAATGGGATGATAGAATGGATGGGCAATGTGTGAAATGGATGGTATTACGAAGTCTGTGATGCGCATCTGCTCGGCGGCAGGGCCGGTTTATTTTGGTCCGTTGGAGGGTGTAAGTTTAAGGACACTGTGGTTTGTGGTACACACTTAGCATGACTGTGCCTTGCTCGCTAGTTACAAAAAGACAAAGTCAAATACAAAGATATAGGGGTTAAAATAACTCAGCATGGTTACACTGCTTGCTCATTGTCAGTTTAAAGTTGGAGATGTCTGTACGATGTACTCATGTCCCACTGAGCGGCGTTGTGAAAACTTGTAAGGGATGGACTTGACGAGATAGTATGCGCAACACATATTATTCCAAGTACAGCCGCGCAATCACTCGTTGACAAATTCACAAACATCATGGCAGGTACAAAAAAGACATTCGGGGGGAGCTCACAGAGATTCAAATTCTTGAAGCTAATATTTAATCAGACTACCATTCGTTGTTTATCCAGAACTAAACGGGGAAGCAGCATGTCACGCATTATAAGGCTACGAACAAGAAATCCTGATGGTAACTCTAAAGCTTTAATCGAACTGATCTTCCAGATCAATCAACATATACGGGATAAACGGCTAATAGCTTATATGACAAACACACAGGTCAACATGAAGGATAGTCACCCACGGCACCCAATCCATCCCTTTCCTGACGGAGCCAAAGGTTCATACGCGTTGCGGATACTAAAATTGGGTTCGACAAAGGTATAGCCTCGCCTGCCCCATACTCTATGCAATCAATGGTCTGTATGTAGTACTGTCTAGCCTGCCAACCACACCAACACACTCCGTCACTCCCTGCCGGGCTCATATGTCCCCCAGAAAGAACAAAAGCAACCTCGCTCAACGCTTCTCCTCAACACCAGCCAGTCCCCTAGGCGTCGCAACAGGAGGCTGTTCCATCCCCGGCGCGCCGAGCTCACGCTCAGTATCCTCCCCATCAAAGGTCATCATACCCTCGTCGAGGTCGGCATCGAAATCCGTCGTCTCGTCCTCCGTCTCCGTCTCGCCGCTCACACCGTCCGGCCCCACCCGGCGCTTCCTCAGCAGACTCTGCAAGTCGTCCTCGCTCAAGATGCTCTCGAAGCTCGGCCGCCTCCCCGCCGCCTCCCCAACAGCCCCGTCACCATCCCCACCAGAACCGTCACCCAACACACCCAACGCAACGCCGCCACCCCGCCTGCTCTCGCGCCGCCCCTTCTCCACCAGCCGCTCAACCCGCAGCCGGTTCGCAACAAACCGCAGCTTCGGAAACGCGCTCTGCTGGCCCTCATGGATCATGCGCGCCAGACGAGCCGGATCCGGATCGCTCAGAATCCGCGCAAAGTCGGAGAGGAGGCAGCGGGGCCAGACGGTGACGGTGCCGCCAAAGTCCTGCAGCCACAGGAGGCTCCAGTCCTGGCCCAGGGGCCGGGGCAGCAGCTCGAGGTGGCGCAGCAGGCGCAGCCACTTGGTCAGGTCGAGCTTGGCGAACTGGATGAGGGCGGAGCCGACGTACCCGCCGCGCCAGCCGCGCCCGCCGCGGTGGGTTACCGGCTGGCCAACGGAGCCCCGCGAGGAGAAGAAGAAGAGGTTGATGTGCGGGTTGACCTGGCTGACGATGGTGAAGTTGACGTTGAATTGGAGGTTGAGCGCCTTGATGGGGATGTCGGTGCGGAGCGAGCCGTCTTTCCACTTGTGGCCGAAGGAGTAGGGGAGGAGTTGGCCGGAGCGGGTTTTCATGAGGAGGACTACCGGGTTGAGGATTCCGGGGACGGCGGCCGAGGCTAGTACGGCGGACCAGATGACGCAGTCCGGGCTGGTGAGGTAGTTGCAGAGGATGGTGGGCGAGTGCTGGTCGGCGGGCACGCACGAGACGTTGAGGATGCGCCCCGTGCGCTCGTAGGCCTCGCGGAAGGTCAGGGACCCGCGCGTCCACCAGGCGCACTGGCGCGCCCAGTCGACCGAGTCGAAGCGCGCGCCCGTCTTCCACCAGCGGCGGAACCAGACGCTGATGGGCTCGCGGCAGGCCGTGATGCGGCAGGCGAGGGCCGGTATGAGGATCTCCTTGAGCTCTTCGTTGGTGCGGGTGGCTACGAGGGCGGCCACCAGCGCGCCGCCGCTCGTGCCCGTGATGATGTCGGGGAGGTAGTCCTCCTCGAGCAGCGCCTTGACGACGCCGAAGTGGTAGTAGGCAAACGTTGCGCCCCCCGACAAGCACAGCGCTGTGCGGCCGTAATTGGCACAGATGCCCTTGAACATGACGCGTTTCTCCTCCTTCGAGAGCCGGTCAGTCTCGACGAGGAACTTGAGACTTCGTTCGACTGTGTTGGCGAGTTAGCATCAGAGCCCAAACCCCTGAACCACCACCGAATAAGGGGGCGCCCAAGCAAGGTAGACCACCAGCCAGCACTCACCCTCATCAATATAATTCTGCACCAAATTCTTCGTCCCATAGTACGTCTGGCTATACAGCCTCGGATTCTCGATGCCCGCAAAGTTATTCTTGACGCACGCCTCAATCAGCACCTTCAAGTCCTCGATCGCCTGCCTGCCCTGCTCTGTATCCCTCCCCCCAGCCTCCTCCGCGCGCCGCCGGCACCGCTTCATCTCGGACAGCACGCGCTTCACGGTCCTGTTATCGTAGTACGCAAACACGTCGTCGACCTTCCAGCGGCCGTTGCCGAGGAAGTCGTCCATGCGGCGGGCGGCGGCGACCCAGTCGCGGTAGCGACTCGTGGCGCGCATGGCGCGGCGCAGGCGCGCGCGCTGGCCGCGCCAGGCGACGAGCTGCTCGTAGAGGGTGATGTACAGGCGGGTGGAGATGTAGACGAAGGAGAGGCCCAGCAGCCAGCCGGTGACGCCGACGAACAGCGGCCACTTGAGGATGCCGTAGAAGTAGCCCTCGCGGGTCTCGTCCTTGGAGCGCGCGCGCTTCTTCTCCGCGTCGCTGCGCGACGACGACGACGACTTGGGCGGCGCGTCCCTGCCGCCGCGGAGCACCTTCTCGCGCACCGGCGCCCAGTCGTTCCGCGCCGAGATGAACAGGCTGCCGGTGCTGGGTTGCCGGCTCAGCGGCGGGCGCGGTGTGGCTACGCCGGCTGCTGATGCTGTGGCGGAGACCGCTGCGCTGTCCTTTGCGCTGCGGTCCTCCTCGTGGATGCTCATGCGCGAGGACTCGGGGCGCCTGGAGAAGTCGACATCGAGGCTGGTCGTGGAGCCCCTAGGCCACGCCGGGCTGTTAATACGGAAGGTCGACGAGGCGGTGGCGCCGCCATCGGGAGTTGGCGGGATCGGGTCTGGCGCCGAGAGGGCTTGGATAAAAGCCTCGACATGTTCCGGAGGGAGAAAGTTGGTATCAAAGTCCGGGAGTCGGCTCCAGTCGAAGGCTTCTGGTGGGAAACCGTAGGTGCGGGACGGTACTTGAATGTTGGGGGTTTCGCCGTCTTTGGACTCGACTAGGTCATAGTCTGGTCCCGCCATATTGTGTGGTTTTCCCCTCTCTTTCTCTCTCGAAAGGGTCTAATTATCGTTCTTAACACATAATAAATAATAAAACGAAACAACTCTCGGATTAACTCGAGAATGACAAGTGTTCGATGTTAATGAATTGCGCAGTCTTGAAATAGCGTGCGGGTTGAAGATACGGTAATTAGTCTTGGCCGGGGGTATCAGTCGTGAGTATTATATATGCCCCTCCGAAATGTGCGACATGTTCACGGCGATTCAACCGAACTCTGAATAAGGCTCCAGAATCTGAAGCGTCGCGGGTTGGGGGCAAGCGGAATGACGTCGCCGCTTGGTTGCCGGTCTTCAGGGCTCCTCCCCCAATGTTTTTGGAGGTAAAGGAGGTACCGTGGGTGGGTCCTGTTGAACTGCAGAACCCTGCCCGTCAAATGCTGCATTACTATTACTGTGTATTACACGGGAGAATGCATGTGCCGCGGCAAGAACATAAAAGGCCGAAAACTTCCACTCCGGCGCAGGCGAGCCTGGGCAGTCGCGTGTCAGAGACCGGGAATTCAATCATTACGGATAGTACAACGAATAATGTATTTGCACCGCGTACCTACCGAGATACTTTACCGAACCGTTCTCCTGACACCCGACGGTACCTACTGTGTCTGAGTCTTTCTTACATCATGTGAGATTTGGACAACTCTTGGTTCCTCGGCACGGCGCAGATTAAAGGACAAACGCAAGAGGTATAATTGCCGAGTCATATCGTGTCGTAGAGCAGACTAGATGTAAATAAGGTAAGAATGTTCCCCTAACCGCGCCCCTGTGTCGCGCAAGACGCACGACCCAATCCGCGCAAGCCCTGCCAACACCGCAAAGTGTGCTGCGCGCGCAAAAGTCTCGGATCTATTCTTGGTCTCAACGGACTTGCCGCCCCCCCGTTCTGCCGACCTCACTCTGTATCGCCCCCGGCTGCCGCTCTCTTCCCCGCCAGCACCCCGATTAACGCCTCCCGTTCCCAAGCAGCTTTCTACACGTACTGAGACAGCCAACGGATGCCGTCGCCATACCCCTGCCTCATAACCACCGAGCACATGAACACCTCGATGGGCCGGATGCCCTCGAGCGGCACCTTGCCCTTGCCCGTCGTCTGGTACATGCCCAGCTGGTGGCGGAGCTCGTCCTCCGAGACCGCGTCCGGGTGGTCGATCTTGTTGCCCAGGATGACGAACGGCACCTTGGACAGCTCCTCCATCGACAGGAGCGCGTCCAGCTCCGCCTTGGCCTCGGGGAAGCGCTCGTGGTCCTTGGCGTCGACGAGGAAGACGACGCCGTTGACCTCGGGGAAGTAGTCCTTCCAGAGACGACGGGCTGTTGCGGAAAGCCGTGGTTAGCCGGGAAAATCCTAGCAGCTGGGGAAAAGGGGGTTGAGGGAGAGGAACGCACCTTGCTGATGGCCGCCCAAATCAAAGGTCGTAAACCTCACGTTGCCAATCGACAGTTCCTCCGAAGCTGTGGCACAATTGTTAGCCAATTCCCTATCCTTCCCGCGCGTACCGCGTCGTGTGTGTAGGTATGGAGGGAAAACGCACTCGGATGCAGGGTCGGCTGCAGGATCGCGACGCGGTCGTTCTTCAGCATGTGTAGCAGTGTCGTCTTTCCGGCATTGTCGAGGCCCAGGAACAGCAACTTGGCGTGCTTGTTGAGCAGACCGAGCGACGACAGGACGTCGTAAACTAGGAGAGTGTCAGCTTCACCGTCCCAGTCTGCCTAATCGTGTTTCTTCGCCCGGTAATTGCTCCAACGTGTCATCCACGAGACAAACCATCGGCGCCCGGATACCATGGAACTAAACGCGAGCCAATAATTAACAGAATTCTGGTGAATACTTACACCAGTTGATGATCCACATGGCGGTGTTCGGTGGTCGGCGTTAGCAGACGATCTCCTATCGCTGTCCCAGCTCTGGATATTGACGACGAAGAAAGGTTTCGGGTGGCGGGTTCTCTAAATTGAATTGTAATGACCGCGAAGACAGTCTTTGTATTGAAAGTTGGGTTGGAGGATGAGTTTAAGGTTGTGGAAATGTGTTCGTCAAGATGCTCGAATCACCGGAAACTGGCAGGAAGCAGGAATTGGCCAGCAAGGCGCATTGGCCACCCGAGCCGATGCACCAACGGATCGGAAGCCCGATGGTGTGGATACCTGAATTAGCAGGCAGCAAGGCTTCAAACCAACCGGAATTGACCCGAACCTGCATTCGTGGCCATGTTCCATGTTCTTCTTTCCTCTTGTCATCGTTTCCTTTCTTGAGTTTTTCGCAATTTTTCCACCTAGGTTAGCTCGTGAGGAGGTTGCCACCGCATGTCTCGGACCTGAGGAAGGGAAGGTAGGCAGGCATTCATGACTGTGATATGCAAAGTTGCATAAAATATTTACTTTGAATTCGTGCACTCGGCGTAATTGTACCATCTCAATGATAGCGCAGCCTCGCAGTCTAATCAGAAATGAATACAGCCAAATAATGTATAAAAAATGTATACGCAAAAATGAAGTCTGCCCCCGTGGTCATGAAGAAACAAAAAAGCAATTGCAATCCGTCCAGCCTCGTAAAGTCATGAATGCCGCCCAACCGCCAGATGCATGTCCTGGGTATGCCCGCAATATGAATGCCGATCAGAGTAGCCGCCCGCCGTCTCAGATGGAAAGTACATAATTACCGTGCCCAACTTTGCCCGCCATGATCAGGCCGAGTTCCCTCATGCGCGACGCGCCCTGCCCCGGAGGCGGCCGCTTCGCGTGCGCCTTTTCCTTCCGCGCTCGGTCGTAGTACTTTTGGTTGTACTTCTCCTTCCGCCGTAGCCTCTTCTGCTCGAGACCTTTGACAATGTCGATGGCACCGCGAACATGAGTGTCTTTCGTAGCCGTGCCCGTCTTTGACTTGCGGGCTTTGAGATGAGGGATCAGGTTGGATCTCTTGGGTAGCGACTTGGTGTGAGTCAAGCCAGACCGGAACGCCAAGGACTTGAAAACAACCGCTTCGCTCTCGTGTAGCGGGGAGATGACGGGGGTCTTGGATGCCGCGAGTGGCATGGGAGATCGTAGGCGGGGAGGCCGTTGGTCAGAAGGCTTCCGAGGAGATCGACCGCGGGCCTTGGGCGCCGGCGACGGGCGCCGCTTCGGCGGGGGCGAACGGCATCTCTTGGGGGACGGGACGTTTCCCTTCTTCTTACGGCCCCTGCGGTCGCGGTCGTGGTCAAGGTCCTCGAGTTCGCCATGCAGCCAAAGATGGTCCTCGCTCTCGCCATATCCCTTTCTGTGCAACTCGTCGCCCTCGTCCTCGGGCTCTGAGGTGGGGAAGCTGGGATCGATATCCTGAGGGATCAGCTGTTGCCGACCCCGTCGTCGTTCCTCAACACACGTGATGTACGCCTCCTCCAGTGGTCTGTCCTCATCCAAGGTGCCGCAGACGAAATCAGTGCTGTCAGGCAGTTCTGGCGTCTCCGATCGGAAAGCGACCGGACGTGTCTTTGAGCGCTTCTTGCGTGACTGACTCGACCCCTGGCTAGACGATGTGGATGAGTCAGACTTCTCGCCCTGCGATAGCCGCCGAGTTATCGATACAACACCAGGGAGAGACTCGTAGTGGCCAACGCGGGTGGTCCACAGCACTAGGTCATCATCCTCGTCATCGGACTCGGCGAAGCCAGTCTCGTTGTCCGTCTTGTACCCGTCAGAAGCCTCGGATGCCCAGGCGAGCTCGGTGTCAGCATCGCCCTGGCCTTCGTCGTCTTCGTCATCCTCGTCTTGGTCGTCCTCGTCCTCGTCATCGTCGTCGTCATCTCGAGATTCACTCTCGTTATCGTCGTCGTCATCATCGTCAATGAGGTCTGCCTCATCAACTTCCTCATCCTCCTCCTCGTCGATCTCATCTTCCAACTCGGCCTCCTCTTCCGCTTCCTTGCCCAATTTCCGAATGGCATTCTCCTTCTTGAGAGTGTCGTCGATGGTAAGTTTAGGCTGCATAGAAGCGTGATCACGTCGGATCCAGTCGTCCTCCTGCGACTCGCCGCTGGCAAACTCGTGGAATCGCACGACGTCGCTTTCCATTTCCCCGGCACCTGCCGTGATCCATCCCTTCTTCCGAATGGCCATAGGGCTGCCGGGTGTCCGGCGGGACGTCGGGGAGCGAAAAGCACGAACCGTTGACGAAGAACGTTCCTTGGACGTGTCGAGGTTTCCCCGCGGCACTGGGGTCCGCGGTCGCGCGTCGAGCTGCTGGGCATCCTTGGCCTTCTGCGGTTGTGACGGGCAGGCAAACTTGATGGCTCTCTTCTTTGCAGGCGCTTCCACGTTCGCCTCGGCTTGGGTGGGCCTAGGAGGTGGGAGCATCGCCGTCTTCTCATCGGGTTTCGGTTTGGCTGCGCAGGCGAACGAGATGCACCGTTTCTTTGCCAGTGTAGACACATCGAGTCCCTTGTTCTGCAACGCGTCCCGTGCCACTACGGTAGTGAGAGGGAAGAAGGCGACATTGGGCAAACGCGGGCTCGGCGAGCTTGTGCGGGCTGGAGTCGTGAAACCCGTGGCGCAGGTGAGATCGGCGGTTGAGGCGAAACTGGTATTGCTCGTGACGGACCGCCGCCGACGAGACTGCGGGTGGACTTCGGAGTCGTCCTCATCCGATTGGCTCTGCAACGCCTTGGTCAAGAGCGACTCGTGATGTTCGCTGCCGCGTCGAATCGGTGTTCGTTGGAAATGAGTGGAAATAAGCGATATCGGCACCAATAATTCCGGTGGCTCGTCTGTTTCTGCGCCGGAATCTTCCTCCACCGACGGTTCGACGTTGGCCGAGTTTGTGGTGGTCCACGCAAGCACGTTGGACGTGGTGTGGTCGCGAGGTACGTAGTGCTCCATCTTGGTCGAGAGCCTCGCGACTGGCTAGTCGCTGCTCAAAAAACGTGTCTGAAAGTGGGCGGGGATGTCTCGCCAGTCTGTAAATGGGTAGGCGATGTTTCGGTGATGATAATTGGTGCAGTGTCCGTTTGTGAAACCACGGCGCTTGAAGGTTATGAATTGAAGGGTTGCAGTCTTCTGACGTCAGGCTTGCAATCGGAATGCAAGGTGGTGTCCCTAAGGACCGTGTTGCTATAAACGCAAAGCCATCACGGGTATGTGCGCTGGAGTTGTAGGGCCGGGTCGTTTGATGGTTTGTAGCAAGTCAAGGCCGTCGGCCCTTGACCCAGACGGGAGGTTCTCGTGCCTGGTCGGCTTAAGGTTGGCCTCAGTGTGAGGTGGAATGACGTCGAATCGAGACAGCGTCAGCTGTTTGGTTTGGAAGGCTCAGATTATAAAGTAGTCACTTGAAAGAAGGGAGAACATAGACACAAGAAGTGCATCGTGCGCAATCCTGTGGCAGGAAGAAATGCGGCAAAATATCAGGTTTTCAGATCAGCGGAGTCCCCCCAGGGTTACACATTAGCTCTGGGTGCGTTGTGCCACCCATGAGAGGGGGACGCAGGGCGCAACCTTGGCCACAAAAGAGGGCCAGGGGGGGGGAAACCGAAGCGCTAACACTTGGCGATGAGATGGCGAGTGGAGCGGCGTGGGGTGGCGGTCAGAATTGGCGAGTTGAGGTCGGTCAGGTTGCAGTGGAATGGGAACGAACGGGAGTTGTGTGGGTGGGCCATGAGAAAACGTCCCTGCTTGGCAAGGAATTTGTTAGCGCTGAGGTCACCATCGCGTCGCCCGCCGAGTCTCAGCAAATTTGGAAGGTTTTCTTGGACTCCCTCTCGAGCTTTGATCTGCAACTGATACGACGGCCCTTCCGACCTTGTCAAGTGACTGTAGAATCTTTGATCTCTTTGTTCTCGCTTTACGCATGACTACGCCTCCCGTCGTCTTCAAGAAGGTCGAGTGGGAAAACTACCTACACAGACAGCATGCAGTACAAGCATGAGAGAGCATCAGATGTTTGCAGATGGCTGGCAGTGGCTGTGACACCCAAAAACATGTCAAAAGGCGCGGGCTTGTCCCGGGACCGCAGTCTGTGGACCCCTTGACAAAAAGTCGGCAAATGACGGGAATTCCATTCTGGCGCATCATCTATTCTGTTGATTCGTTTCCACCTTCTGACCCTTGGCGCCTCACAGGGCAACGTTTCCATTTTCGCCAACTTGCTGATCAGGGGCTGCACAGACCAGCCAGCCGTTCATTTTTCGGAGAGAACAACCGAAATCCAACATCCAAATTCAACTGTGGATCTTCAATGATTGCCCCACTATCTATTCGTAGGTATCCCGGCTCTCCCCGTTGGGTTCATCGAATGACGACTGTCAAACTCACAAGTCCATATCTTCGCCGCTGGTGTTGAGGGGGAGACGGCCATCAAGCTTCCGTGGATATTGGGGCGCCGAATTGCAGACGTTGAAATTGTGCAGGATGCAAGCTCCACTGTACAAATGGACCCCTTCTGCAATCTGCAAGCCAGTTAGAGACAAAACAGGCATTAGTGACGGACTGACCTGCAGGAGGCTTGCAGTTGGCTGATGGGTCTGACTGTCGAATATGTCGTGGAACGCTCGCCAAGACCAGGAGCTCGGGTCGGGAGCAACCTGGAAAATCCAAGGGTCCCTGTGTGTCTTGTCAGGGCTCACCCTGACGTGATTGTGTCCCGATTTCGGGGAGCCACCAGTGAACTGCGCGGAATGAACCCCGTCATCATGGCTGCGGTATCACAAATGCTCAACTCCCCGCTGCGGATACACAATACCGAACTACACAGTAACTACGCAGAGTTGCCTCCGAAAAGCGGGCAGATCGCCTTGCGGTCCACGTCGTGTGGTCGTGCAGGAGGAAGAATGCTCCGAATCTCCACCAGTTTAAATGATGACCCAACGACATCCTGTTACCCGTGCATTCGGGTATGCTGATTGCTCGCCCCGCCTGTAAAAGCCAGGTGTTGCTGCTGGTTGCCCGTCCGGTTGCGCAGGAGATGATACCCGCTGTCCCGCATCAGAAGCAACCCAAGCAACCGGGCATTCTGGAGGACAATATTGTTGCCAACGATCCACTTTGATCGGAATGGCCAAGCTATCAAAAACTCACGTTGCGTGTCACCGTGTGTAAACGATTGGCAAACGCCGTGTTGCCCACCAAGTCGCCCGCCGCTAGAAATGTGCCTCTAAACCCATTTGCCCAGCGCCGAGTTGATCATTCGAACAAGTCGGGCCCCCAACGAAGGACCGGCTCACGTCGCATCCAACGAGCCTCTTTCGGACGCAATCTCGCGCCAGGGTCCGACTGGTCAGGCCCCGCGATCGTCGTGGTGGCAGGTCAGGGAATGAAACAAAGCCAGACGACCCCGCATTCAACGCGGTCCCGTGGCGTGGGATGCTCTGCCATGCGTTTCGTTTGCAGCGAAGCTACCCTCCATCTGGCAATCCGAAGGGCAACCGGCTTCGTGTGCTTTGATACCTGAGTTGCTAACAGCTCAGCTAGTGGTCGCCGGAGTGCGCCGCCGCCGCAAGCTCGGCTCATTGGGGCTGGGATCTGAGTCGCCATGTGAGAGAGCCCAACTCTCGTCCAGTTACTCGGGACCCTTGATTTTGGAAGAGAATCCGAGTGAGGAAATGCTCGTCGGATCAGACTACCACAGGACACCCCATCGACTCGACAACATTTGCGGACCAGCACACCAGCACACCAGTAAACCAGAAGCATGAAATAGGGTCCACCATCCGAGGGCGATTTCCGTCCTTGGCGGTTCTCAGTTGGTGTGCCACCGCGCTTACACAGGAGTCGAATACTCCATCAAATAAGTCGGTGAATATCAGACGGCTTTCGTCGAGGTTTGGATGTTACCGGAGTCGAGACACAAAAGAAACGGCGACGACTTGGCCACATCCGCCAAGGGACACGTGAGGATGAGAGTTCTCCCCGCTCACCGCCCATATTTTGGCCTCCGTCGTCTCAAAGAGCTCCAACTCAGGATCCCGAAGGCCCGTTGCCGAAGCCGGGCCACCTTGGGCCGTTTCACCGTTGATCGGCGCCAAGCTGGCGTGCTGCGTTTCCGGCCCAATGTCCTGAAACTACAGACCCGGTGAGGGTGTTGAGCGGAAGACGGTTTCCAGAAACCTGCAAATCCCAAACTTTTGCAGAATCATCGTCAGTCATGGGAACAACTACCAATGGTAAAGGAAGACCCCAGCGCAAAGGCCGATCGTAGCCTGATTGGGCTCTTGATTCAGGCGAACGCAGCAGACAGCAAACGGCCAAGAAACCGGCAAACTTCAGAATCCCGTCTGCATCTCCCACGAATCCAAATGCATTCAGACAAGCCATGAGGGATGAAGGACGGCTACTGGTTCGTGGCGGGTATGGTGAAACCCATCAGGCGCTGAATTACGCAGCACAGCGGCCTCCAGCTGCTGCGGTGAACCCCAAAAGTGCAGAAGTGGCTTGGGAGCATGCGCAAGCGCAATGCACGGCGACACGGAGGACACCGACATGTGAGACCTGGGAGATTTGATGGCGGTCGACTCGCAAAGACGGTTCCTCTGTTTTAGGCATACTGTGCACTCCTATATTCGTCTATCAGAAGTAAATCATTAAACCGTCACATTTGTGGAAAACGGGGAGCAGACCCCGCCTTGTGCATTGCTTGGCAAATCTTGCGCACAAACATTCTTCCGCAGAGCTATCCGGACAATCCCGGCTAAGCGAATTTGGGTCCGCAGCCAATTCTGCTCTGACGACGAACGACAGTGGCCTCGCCGACGCTCTGCACGCAATTGAGACCGCAATCACCATGAACTCCCTCCGCATTGCTCGTGCGGCTCTCCGGGCGCGTCCCGCCGCCATCCGCGCTCCCCTCCAGCGCAGAGGTTATGCCGAGGCCGTCTCTGACAAGGTACGTCCCCGCCGTGTTGCGCCCTGCTCTGAATGGCTCCCTAACCTTTTTCCCGATAGATCAAGCTCAGCTTGTCGCTTCCCCACCAGGTACGGTGTCCCGAACACTTCAATGACCGGACGATTATGCGGCCGCGGCCCATGCGATGAAGACACGAGGTCGACCGTGACCAACCAATGCGACGTTCCTCCGAGCTGATTGTTTATTCCCGCACCCATCTAGTCCATCTACAAGTCCCAGGATGCCGTCCAGGTCAACATCCCCGCCGAGTCCGGTGAGATGGGTGTCCTCGCCAACCACGTCCCGTCGATTGAGCAGCTGAAGGCCGGTGTCGTCGAGGTCATCGAGGAGAGCGGCAGCAAGCGTTTCTTCCGTACGTCTCGACATGGAGAGCCCCGAGAATGGAGAAGGAATGCTTGTGGCTTACACAGAGTGTCACAGTTTCCGGTGGTTTCGCCGTCGTCCAGCCCAACTCGGCCCTGAGTATCAACGCCGTCGAGGGCTTTCCCCTGGAAGATTTCAGCGCCGATGCTGTCCGCGCCCAGATTTCCGAGGCGCAGAAGGTTGCGAACGGCAGCGGCAGCGAGCAGGATATTGCTGAGGCGAAGATTGAGCTGGAGGTGGGTTCGCCTTTCAGGAGTGCTGTCGCTACGGTTACTAACAAAGTACAGGTCCTCGAGAGCCTCCAGGCTCACCTGAAGTAGATGTACAAAAGCCAATAAACCCGCCCTGTAGTATACCATACCAACGATTCCCTAGCTCAAGAGATGCATCTCAAGGCGCCTTGCTTTGAGGCCGGCTGATGACCTTCGTCGCTGTGCTCACGGCCCACCGTGACCGTGAAACTGTCGTCCTCGTCCATTTCCAGCTCACGGAAACATCCAAGCGAGAGACTGCTACAGATTCCGCAATCACAGCGGCCAACCCCAGTCGCTCCAAAGAAATGCCTCGGATTATTATAAGCCGATATCTTCTGCCTTGGCCGTTAGATGACAAGTACTCCCCCACTCCTCTCCGCCGGTTCGATAACCGACTCATGTTTTGACACTACTTAATGAACCCCACGATGCTTCCACTCCGCTACTTCCGTTAACACAATACCTATGGCCGGGGTTTACCTCGACTCTCAGCTAATAGTTCCTGCCATGTAGGCCGTCCACCTCTCTAAACCACCAACTATGAGACAGTGAGCATGGAAATGGAAATGAGACCCATATATAAACCACGGCTTTAGGATTAGTTCCCTTAACCGTGATCCGAACGGAATAGACCGTCATTGTTGTTTTGGCGGCTGAGATGTCCGGGTAGCTCTAGGAGGGTGATGGGTGAATATGAGCATAATGATAGATTCGCACGGGACAATAACGACAGAGAAGGGGTGAATGCAGGAGACCTGGGCCCAGCAGCATATCGAATTCCTGCCGCGAACTCTACACAGTACGGCGAGAAACGGGCCCTCTACGTCGCTCTGACTAGTCCGCCTACACAGTAAGTAGTTTCCTCTCGCCTCGTCTTTCACAACAGACATTATCCTTGAACATGGAGTGGAAAGTATTAGTTTAATATAAATGACCCATCTCGTCACAACACTATTGCTGGGGAGCAGTACGACAAGTAAAATTGAGAATGTATTATTGTCTCAAATGATGTCGGACCGGTCTCTGTCGAGTAGTGACGCGTAATACTTGTAGTGGCGGCCGTGTCTCGTAGGTATTGGCAATGTTTCACTTGGTAGCCAGAGTTATTGATTACCTCGTAATATTGACAATGAATGTGCCCTCGCCGAGCATATGATTCCATGAGTCGATGTAAAGTCAAGGCCGCCAAGCTGCGCGCGGTGCGGAAGAAGGTGAGGCCGAGGCAAGTGGGACAGCGTCGATATCTGGACAGAATCCCGGTGTTTTGATCACAACACAAACAACATCGAACCCACATCAACTACACTCGACGAGAATCCTTTGTCCGTCTCGGCTGATACGACATGGAGTCAGACAAATTTTGGCAACAGCCCCTCGCAACTCTATCCAGCGTCACGCCGGCGCAATGCTGCCAGGCCGTTTTCCTCCTCGCGGCTGGAGGCGTGCTGGCGGTGGCGGTCATGCCGCGTGACGCGAAGACCCTTCTGGTTAATTACGGCGCCCGCAAGGCTCAGACCTCGCCGACCGATACGCCACCGAGGGATGTTTCGGACCGCGGTCGGCTGCTTTCGCTCATTGACACCATCACATCGTGGACGCAGGTGCCGCACTCATGGTTCGGCGCCTTTTATGTCGTGTCTCTGGCATGCTCTGTCTTCTGGCTTGTTCAGTACCTTGGCGATGGAGCCGTGTTACGGTTCGTCGCGTCTAGACAAGCCGCAGTCCAGCAGCCGCCCGCCACATCGGGACAGGTGGCGCTGGGTTGGTTCATGATGTTTCTCCAGGGGGGCAGACGCGTATTCGAGCATCTAACCATCATCAAACCATCCAAGTCTACCATGTGGGTTGTCCACTGGTTGCTCGGCCTCCTCTTCTACCTCTCCATCAGCGTATCCGTTTGGGTGGAAGGATCGGGTATGGTTTCCCGCCCCGGTGGGAGACAATGAAGCTACGCTGCTGACTGTCGTACAGGTGCTATCTTGGACCTGATGAGTTACACAGATGATGCGCAGTCCCTCATCAAGATGGCCGTCGCACTCCCGGCATTCCTGTTTGCCTGGGTCAACCAGTATAGGTGCCACAAGCACCTTGCTGGGCTAAAGAAGTATTCGGTACCGGAAGGCGGCATGTTCGACCATTACATCTGCCCGCACTACACTTGCGAGTGCCTCCTCTACCTCTCCATGGCCATCGCCACGGCGCCCCGCGGTGTGTGGTGTAACCGGACGCTGATATGCGCCCTCATTTTCGTTGCGGTCAACCTGGGAGTCACGGCATCGGGAACCCGCAAGTGGTACGCTGAAAAGTTCGGCATCGGTGCAGTCGCGAACAAGTGGAACATGATTCCTTTTGTTTTCTGAACGATCCGTTCCTCAAGAGCGCCCAAATCTAGACCCGAGCTTGTTTCCAAGCTTTGAGACCTTCAGCACATCGCGGTATGTGAGACTGGTGCGCGTCTGTCGCTGATTGAGCCCATCTCGGAAGACCGACGAACGCAAGAGGCTCCAGTTCGCGATGGTCTGCTCCGAAATGTCTACATCGGCCGAGATCGGCTCGATTCCGTGGAGGTACTCCGAGTAGAGATCCGCCGTTGTAATCAAAAGACTGCGCGGCTCTTGCAAAATTCTCCAGACTGGCTCGGGGTCCAAAGCACCATCCTCCTTACTTTTGTACAGGTTGAGGCAGAGGCTCGAGCCGAGACTCACAGTGCACACCACGGGATAGTAGGCACTGCCGTCCTTGTGCGGCATGATGCCCGTGTTTGGGGGGTATTCATTGACGAGAACATGGTTCGGCCGGCCATGCGGGCTATCGGCAAACATATTCGGCTCGCCGTCTGCGACTGGAAGCGAGAGGATGCGAGAGACGATGGGGGTTTCAAGCCAGTCGGGCAGCGGCCGGGAATCGAGCAGTGTGTCTTTCACAAGATCTGACGGCCACGTTTGCAGCCGGCGGTGCGTGAGTTGTCTCCATCTTGCCTTGGGTGCGGTTTCAACCTTCACGACGTTTCGGTTAGATAGGTGCTGGGGTCCCTGGGAAGCGGCGCGTGTCGAGCTACCTTGTGGAGAATGGCTTCTTCTTCTTCCTCGCTGATGAAGTCCGCGATGTAGTACGCCGCTGGTGGCAGCGCATCTATTCTGCAGGGCTCGAGTGATGTCGGAAGATGAAACGGCGAAGAAGGGGGATCCATCAGGCTCGCGAGTTCGACTTGTTCGGGTGTGCCGCTGCCGTTCTCAACGAAGCTTTCCCCCTGTTTGGGTGGAGGAGGGGCGGAGCAGTCAGCAGTGCAGATGCAAATGCAACCTGGAAGTCCGGGCGGGTCTTGCAGGTTGCTGTTGGGGGAGCGGCACGGGGAAATTGGAGAGGGGCAAGGCCGGGACGAAGTGGGCCATAACAAACACGCCAGGCTCGCAAGGCAAGAGCACATGGAGCCAAGCACCCAAGCAACCTGGAAGGATGGGAAAAAGAGGAACGCTGCATCTGTCGGTCTCTTGGTGCTTGGGTCATGATGACGCTGTTTGGGAATGGCTCATCCTGTGCACGAATGATTGTTCTGTGCAAACCCTGAAGCCTCGGGCCTCCCGAGGCTGTGCTGGTAACTCGTTGAGACACTGTCGTGAGTGTCCCTCTCCAACACTGGCACCTTGCATGTTTCTGAGCCCCGGGATTCGTCACGAACGGAATTCAGAGCGCGACCCTGCCCATTCGAACAGGCAGCAGTGGGGACGGCCCGAGCAATCGCAGAGCGCCTCACATCTCTTGTTGAAGCATCCCGTCCTGTGCACAATGCTAGGACTCGGGAGTCGGGTTGCGTGCCCCAACCAGCCGGCGCAATTTCAACGACCCAGCAGCTCCTGCCCAGGCAATGCACAGGCCACAACCCCCTCCGACCCTGGTCTCTCGCTCTGGAATACGCAATGCACACAAGGGTAAAGTTGCCCACCGTATCCCGTTGCCAGCCAATCGCGGCGGTGGCGATCAGACTTTGATCTGGGAATCGACAAGTTCCGCCTATCCCAGAGCCCAGCTGGTTTGTTCGTTCTTGCCTTCAGCCAAGAGCACAACCAGCCGGCTATCATCCATCGTTCGAATCACGTCCCGAGGTGGCACTCCTTTCACAAAACACTTTTCTCATCAGCAAGCCATCCACGGCCATCTCTAAAACGGCAACTTGTATCATCAGTATATCGTTTTTAACACGCTCTGCTTTGCATCCTGCAGTCTCCTCGACCCGTCGATCTCCCCGCGTGACTCGACCTCTTATTTTTCAGCCTTTGTGCGGTGCCGCGCCCTCGCTTTCACCCACCCACTGTGCCCCCCTGTCCTTTTCTCTGCTTGTCGCTGCTAGCGTGCTTTGAACACAGAGGCGGCTGTGTGGGTTCCAGGTTGTCTGTGCCAGGCTCACTCACTCATCACCAACAAAGTCTCCATTTCTCTTCATCACCACACCTCGATCTCGGCTTGTTTTGTCGCATCATTCCCCTCGCCCCAAATCAATCGCCGCGCATCCCCGTTCCGCGTGATTCAACGTCTCAGCATCCCAGCGACCAGGATGGTGCAAAACGGTAGTTGTCTTTCGAAATAAATGACATGGATGCGCAGAATGCTGCCGAGCCCGCCTTCACGAAGCCTGCTGCTTCTCCCAAGCGGCCAGGCAGCGACTCCGATCACCCCAAGCCCGCCGCCGTAACAAAGTTGTCTAGCGTCGCCAAACCCGAGCTTTCCCACAGAGAGAACAGGCCGAGTGCCTCCTCTGCACGCCCTAGCGATGAAGATGGAGCCGCCGACGGGAACTCGGATGCCGAGACGATCGTGTTGCCGGGCAAAGATGGCCACTCGCCGTCCAAAGTACGCAAAATCATCAAGCACGAGAAGAGCGACACGGATGAGGCCCCCTCTTCATTGATCAACCTGAGGCACGCCCCCATGATGCCGGAGCGTGAGAGTGACAAGGGCGACCAAGGCCGCCGCCCCGAAAAACCGGAGAGGCCCACGTTGGTTACCGGGGCCGGATCGCACGAAAGCACCACCCCGTCCATTCTCGGTAAGAAGAAAAAACACCTGGACAAACCCACGGTCAAGGACAAGGTCAAGGACGGGTCTAGCGGCCTGAGCTCCGCGCCTGGATCTCCACCTCAGCCCCAGCGACGCCGCCGTTTGTCGAATGCCCACTCGAGGTCGGATTCTGAGACAGCGCCTGTGGACTCGACAAAACCCTCGACGAAAGACAAAAGCAAACCGCTCGACAAGGCGGTGCCTCCCAAGCGCAAAGCGCCGAGGCCCGACTCTGACGACGAGGCCGAGAACCGCAAGATCCGGCGCCAACGCACCTCGGGCTCTGGTCTCGACGCCTCCCGCAAACATCACCTCCCTTCCCAAAAGTCACACCACGAACCGCCTCCTTCAATCCGGACTCGGTCCATTTCGCCGCAGGCCCGAGTTCACCGCCGCAGCGCCTCGACGCAGCTTCTCACGCACTCTAATGGTTTAAGCCAGAAGAAGAAGCGGGTACCGGCTCCGCTCCAGTCGACCGACTACCACTCGGACGACTCGTCAGCGAGTGGCAGCCCACACCCGCGCAGCTCCAAACTTCGCGGATTGGCGACTCCCGCCACCGCCGATTCCACCGTTTCTCCTGCCAAAATGGCGCCGCACAAGAAGCATCTCGATGCCCACGGCCAGACCTTTCTTGCTAGAGCTTGCGCTAAGGGTGAGTACGACACAGCAAAACATAGGCTACAGGACCGTCCCGAGGACATCAACGTGGCCGACTATGCTGGCAACACGCCGCTGCAGATCGCTGCACTTAATGGCTACGACGATATTGTTAAGCTGCTCGTGGAAGCCGGTTGCAACCTCGACTGCGTCAACAATGACAAAGACACCCCTCTGCTAGACGCCGTGGAGAACGGCCACTTGGACGTCGTCAAGATCCTTCTCGATGCCGGCGTGAACCCCCGCAAGGCCAACGCGTACGGCCAGGAGCCGATCGATCGGGTGAACGATGAGCTTGACTTTGCGGATGAGATTAGAGGGGCTCTGAACGACGCCAAGCAGAAGATGGGCGAGCGACGACGAACCTCGGAAGAGCATCATACAGACTTGGCGGATGCTCGCTCATCGTACGGCCCCGACAGTCCGAGGAGGTCACCCGGTGCACCGAGCTCCATCCACGCCGGCGCCGGCCGGAGAGCCGGTACCGTCCGCGCGACCAAGACTAGTAATCATCTGCTATACATGCCCATGGACGACAAGACCCTTCGTTCGGCGGCCGCCCGTGGCGACGAGGAGACGGTGACGCGCATTCTGCAAGTGAGGGAAAACTTCGACGACCCGGAATCCATGGTTGCCGCCGCTAGAGGGGGTCATGATATTGTCATGCAGCTCTTGCTAGCGTTGGGGAGGGCGAATCCTGATCCGTTACCCATCCCGAGTCCGAACAGCGAGCACTCGACCCCCATGTTGGCCGCGATTGGCCAGGAAAACATCAAGGTCGTTCGGCTTCTTCTCGACCAGACCGATTTCGACCCTACCCGTCGGATCAAAGGAGAGGCCTATCACGAAATTGCGAGAAGGCGCCGGGGCCCAAACTGGATGGAGGAAGAACACATGCTGAAGGACGCATACGACGAGCATCGGAAGTCGCACAAGGATATCTCAAAAAACCGATCACCCAACAGGCGAGAAGTAGACCGCGAGCCGAGGCGCAGGCTGGAAACGAGGGACGAGTCCGCCAAACCTCTCAAAAGGAAGGCCATAAGCCCGACAAGGGAGGTCAAAAGACTTACCGCTGCCAAACTCTCGGCTAGCCCCAAGGAGAAGCGACGAGCCAGCTCTTTTACCGCCCACCAAGATGACCAGACCTCCCCGAAACGCGGGCCTGGACGACCCAAGAAGGATGATCGTATCCCTACAATCGCTATTCCGGACCGAGAGCAGTCACCGGCTGGGAAACCTATGGCCAAGTTCAAGCGCACCGAGTCCGATTTGGCTGCTGTATCTTCAGAAGGTGAAGCGGCCAAGCCAAGACGGAAGCTAGTGTCCGGACGGGAACTGAAGGGAGAGCGGGATAGGCAACGGCGTCCCAGCCTGGCTTCTATTGCTTCTTCTATGAAGGAGCCGTCCAGTCCTCGGGATGAATCCGACAAGACGCAGATGACGGAGAAATATCACGACCGGACGAAAGCTCTGAAGAGGGACGAATCTCGTGACAGATTATCCGTCTCTGGCGACAGCACCGGCAAGCGACATAGGTCCAGCGCCACACCTCCACACCCTGGGCACTCAGATAAGGACGGCGGCGAGGCCCCCATCAAGAGGAGACGGCTGGATGCCGAGGGGAAGGAGAAGCGGCCGAAGTCTAGCCAGTCTGACGACAGACTTCTCAAAGCATCCATGCCTCGTGACCCAACGTCTAGCTTAGCCGCGGGACCTCGACCCCCGTCCAAGACACGAGACGAGGAAGACCGTAGGCCCACGTCAAAGCCGAAGAAGGCAGAGGCGCTTCTCCACCATGGGCGTCGCGAATCCGGGAAGTCTATCTCTTCCGAGGGTAGCATTCACGTTAAGTCCGAGGACCCGGACGTCGAGATGCCTGACGCAGCCCCGTCTGTGATTGAGAGGTCTGAGCACAAGGCCCCTCTCCAGAAGGGCCAGGAAGTTCAAGAACAGCTAGAGGAGGAGCAGAAGAGGCAGTCTGAGCTTGAGGCACGGGCGCGTGAGACGAAGAGAAGGGAGGAAGAGAAGCGGCACAGAGACGACGAGGAAAAAGCAAAGGAGCGGCTCCGGCGCGAAGAGGAAAATCGGAGACTCGCCGCGGCCGAAGCTCGGAAGCGCGAGGAAGAAGAACACCGACATCGACGAATGGAGGAGGAAGAACGGGAACGGGAACGGAAGCGGAAGGAAGAACAACGACGGCTCGAGGAAGAGGAGCGCAAAAAGCGGGAGGAAGAACGGAAGCGGGAGGAAGAACGGAAAAGGGAGGAAGAACGGAAGAGAGACGAAGAACGGAAGAGGGAGGAAGAACGGAAGCGGGAAGAGGCGGAGCGGAGGAGGAGAGAGGAGGAGGAGAGGAGACAGAAGGAGGCAGAGGAACGCAAGAGGCGGGACGAAATTGAACGCCTGCGCCGGGAGCAGCTGGAGCGCGAAGCCGCCGAGGAGGCCAGGCGCAGGCGTGAAGAAGACGAGAAGAAGGAACAAGAACGCAAGGAGCGTGCTCTCCGCGAGGAGATGGAGCGCAAGCGAGCAGCGAGGGAAGCCGAACGTGCCGCCAAGGAAGCCGACCAACGGCGGATTCGTCTCGAACAGGAACGTGCCCGCCTAGCCAAGTTGCCGCCCGTCTTGCGCTGGCTTGATGGCGTAGCCAACCCCAAGCAGGCTGAGTTTGCGGAAAAGTTCAGCACCATCCAAGGTGTTCGGTACGATTGCATCAACCCGGAGGCGAACGGCACTAGCGAAGGCAGAGAACAATGGTTGCTCAACACCCAAGTAGCCCTTCTTCTCGGGGAAAAGGACGTGGACCTCTCTCGATGTATGTTTGCCATGAGCGTGAGCCCATGATGGTGAGAAATATTGCTAACAAATACGCGCAGATACCGGCTGGGCTCGGAAACCCGTTTCACCCCTCGCGAAGCGTACCCTCTGGCGGCTCGAGTCCGACAGATACGCGTTGACGACACCTGTTCTCTTTGATCTCGGTAAACAGCTTCCAGGCTACTACCAAGAGAAGGACCCCCGCCACATGGCCTATCGCATGCTCGAAACCCTCCGAGCGGAAGCGTGGGAGAAATTTGCTACGATGGAGATGTTCTTTGTTAAGGTGAGCGGCGATCCGGTGCACGATCCCATTCTACTACCTTGGCGTCTAACAAGCTTGCAGGCCGCAGATTTCTTATACATCATCCCTACGATACAGCATCTTCGCAACGTAAAGCTTACAATGACGTACTGCGAGCTTCCGGAGAACGAACAGCAGTCCATCAGCTGGACGCCTCGCCAGAAGTGGAAGCATGACCCCGACGCTAATGGTCTTCGCGGGTTTGCGCCGAGCAACAAACATTACGTCAACGGCAAACTCGTCTCCGAAGACAAGCCGAGCCTCAGGGAGGCTAGCACATCGCCTTTCCCGAGACAGCGGCTTCCCCGCCGCGGTCCTGTCACAGCCGCCCCGGAGGATCCGGCCTACGCGAGGCTCCCCAAAGAACAACAGGGCCACGACGACTCGATGGTTGATGCTGAATCACCGGTGCTACCTAACGGGGTGCACACATCTCCCACGGGCGCTTCATCCCATGCGGCGGTTGCAAGGGTTAACGGCGTAAGACCACCGGCATTAGTCACGACGATAGCGACTAACGGAGTCGGAAACCACCCTATCTCTCCGTCTTCCGAGGTGGGCCCTGCGCAGGCCCGACCGCTAGTTAATGGCACGCACGGCACGCACGGCACGCACGGCACGCACGGCACGCATGGCACGGTTACCAGCACCGAATAAGCGGTGCTATCTCGGGATGCGCTTGACACCCCGAGCTTGTCCTATGGACAAACCATCTTCTTTGTTTCAAGGGGGGACGAAGCGGGTATTGTTGGTGAATCCGGTCCCGGACGACAAGCGACACGAGCATTGCGTCCCCATACCTACCTGAATGCGCAATGACACGAAAGATGGACGGTCGAGACGATCCCCTGGAAGTGACCCAGCGGGGCAGTCCACCGACGGGAACCTTGAAAATGAAACCCGGGCAGAAGTGGGGTTTGCTGCTTTGGGAATGTACAATGACCATGTCAAATGTGTGTTGGTTTATTACCATTACCATGAAGGAAGGGCCCTCGAGGGTTCAGGGAATGCGGTGGTTTGCAGGGTGGAGGAGGAAAGGGAACTGGGGCCTCGGTGATTGAGGGGTTGAGTTTCCAAAGTGTAAATAAATAACTGAAAGTATACATTCAACGAGAACCAGACGATCATCATGACCAGTCACCCAGTATAGTTACTCAGTACTGTCTACCTATGTAAAGATTTTTGATGTTCTTGTTTCGGGCGACTTCTGATGCGCCTCCTCCCTGTGACATCAATTTGCGGGGCAGCAGCCGTTGCCCACTCACTGGCACTGGACGCCCTCCCTCATGGAATTTCGCCCCACCATCAAAATTCCCACTCTTGAACTTCGAAACTCGACAACACCATCCAACGCACGTATTCCCATCACCGCCTCCCGGTGCAAGAAAACAATATTTTGAGAGGGGCAATACTAGCACAAAACCGCAATCATGTCGACCACAGTGGAGAAGGTATATTAATTTCAACCCCCCCCTTCAAATTAGCGTTCGACGCCGGAAGACTGACGAGCGATGCGATAATAGATCAAGGAGATCGAGACCGAAGTACGTCTAGCAGCCCCCTATTTCGACCCACGATTACCCGAGTTCTAACCGCTCACAACCCCCCCCAACAGATGGCTCGGACTCAAAAGAACAAAGCCACCTCGTATCATATCGGCCAGCTCAAAGCAAAACTCGCCAAGCTCAAGCGCGAACTCCTCACCCCGTCGAGCAGCGGCGGCGGCGGCGGCGCGGGGTTCGACGTTGCCCGTACGGGCGTCGCCAGTGTCGGCTTCATCGGCTTCCCCTCGGTCGGAAAGAGCACGCTCATGAGCCGGCTGACCGGCCAGCACTCCGAGGCCGCCGCCTACGAGTTCACGACGCTGACCAGCGTGCCGGGCCAGGTCATGTACAACGGCGCGCCGCTGCAGATGATCGACTTGCCCGGTATCATCGAGGGCGCGAAGGACGGCCGTGGTCGTGGGCGGCAGGTCATTGCCGTCGCCAAGACGTGCCATCTGATCTTTATCGTGCTGGACGTCAACAAGCCGCTGACTGATAAGAGGGTCATCGAGAGCGAACTGGAGGGGTTTGGCATCCGGATCAACAAGGGGCCGCCGAATATCACGTTCAAGAAGAAGGATAAGGGCGGGCTGAACATCACTAGCACGGTGCCTCTGACCCACATCGACCACGACGAGATCAGGGCAGTCATGAGCGAGTGAGTGAACACCTCGCGGTTAACTGGGTGAGCGGGCTGGTGCTGACGGAATGGCAGGTACAAGATCAGCTCGGCGGATATCGCCATTCGCTGCGACGCCACCATCGACGACCTGATCGACATCCTCGAGGCAAAGAGCCGAAGCTATATCCCGGTCATCTACGTGCTCAACAAGATCGACAGCATCAGCATCGAGGAGCTCGATCTGCTTTACCGTATCCCCAACTCAGTGCCAATCAGCTCGGAGCACGGGTGGAACGTCGACGAGCTGATGGAGGCCATGTGGGAGAAGCTGAACCTCGTTCGGGTGTACACCAAGCCCAAGGGCAAGATGCCCGACTACTCGTCGCCCGTCGTGTTGCGGTCGACCAAGTGCACGGTTGAAGACTTTGTAAGCGCTGATTCCTCCAAACCTCAATAATTAGGTGAAACCGGAGAGCTAACGCTGTGCAGTGTAACGCTATTCACAGGACCATTGCCGAGCAGTTCAAGTCGGCCATCGTCTACGGCAAGTCGGTAAAGCACCAACCGCAACGAGTCGGTCTCTCCCACGAGTTGGCGGATGAGGATATCGGTATGTACAAACATTATTGCTCATATAAGGGGTGGGAGGGCCCGAAATGCTAACCATGTCTCAGTCACGATTGTCAAGCGCTAAGATTGTGCTCTTGATCGGCGAGTATCACGGGTTGGCCAAGGAGTGCCGCTCGCGACACCATGGCTGGGCGAGCTCAGCCAACCTACAAGACGCCGAGCCCCGTTCTAGTGAGCTAGATTAGCGGGAGGACATTGGGCATCATGAGCAATGCCTAGCCGCCCTCATACCTCGAAGGGGTGGTTCCCTTCTTGCGTGCAACGTTTGGGGCGCTGGCTGGCGGCACGTTCCGGGGTCCGGATAGCCCGAATCGATGGCTGAGCCCCTTTATGTCTCACGCGTTCGAGCAGGAGCGGTTAACGGGGGCCGGGGGGGAGGCATTGGGGGTTGATGACTGGGAAAACAAAAACCGGAAGTTTATGATGGACACCCGCCATGATACCATTTCTTTCTTCACGCATGACATGACTATACTGGTGCATATACCAGTTGTATATAGAGCCAACTGAGAATGGGCAACATTTTACAATACTCAGAAGCCCGGCCTTGTTCAACTTTTGCTATCTGTCAAAACCACATCCCGCACCGCTCTCTCGGACAGCAAAATGCCATCGTCGACACTCATACCACAAACCCCAAAACCCCTGACGCTTCGTCCGAGTCGTGTCACCGTTGCCATGACTGACCCAACCCAAACCCCCTGGTTCGGATCGCGTCATCAGCTCGCAGACCGGTGAGATGGCCACCACTCACCTCCAACCCCTTATGATGTTGTCACACCCCGAGTCAAAATTCCGCAACAACAACCAAAATAACCCTCCTCGTAACCGCGTAACCCGGTAACGCCCCCTCGACGCATCCCACCGAACAACAGCCGAACCTCTGCAACACAACCCTCCAGGCCGGCCAACACGCCAGCAAAACCTGGAAAAAAAAAGGGGGAAGAATTCCCAACCCCCGATCTACCGGCAGCGGGGAAAGAGCAGCAGCCGCAGCAGCAGCGGTTGGTTACACGTAGGGCTGACCCGACCAGGGCAGGCAGCAGCAGCAGCAGCAGCAGCAACAGCAGTCCGCAGTCTGCAGCAGCATTGAGCAGGGGAAGGAGGAGGCCCAGGCCGGCGCTTAACTGCCAAAACCCACAAAACGGAGAGGCGGTATGTCCGCCCGGGACATGCATACGACATAGTACACACACATACTTGGTAGAAGAGGGTAAAAAAACTGCACTTTACACACCGGCTTCGCCCCCCCTGGGCTGGGCCTGGGCTTGGACATATGCGGCCGTGTTTCAGTCCCGCCAACCCGAGGGCGTTACCGGTCCGGCTTTTGGGGGTGGGTAGGTACCTAGTTATATCCTACTGGTGGTGGCGTTGCTGTTGCTCGGGTGGGTGCGCGATCGCGGGCTGGCTTCGGGGCGTACACGGTCGATTCAGCGATACCGAGGGTAGGTTGGGAGACAGACATGCATCCATTCATCCATACATCAGACCAGCAGCGGTCCCGGTTCGGTCCCGTTGTAGTAGTGTAAGTGGTGGGTTGGTTGGGTTGACATACAAGTAGGGGGGAGCGGGACGCTGGGTACGTCGGCGATAAGCAATGCGGCGCAATGCAGTGCGATTGTAGACGTCTTTCTACTGGTAACGGGCGACAAGCCCCCGGACGCCGGGATCGCGGAAGCGGTGGTCATGGTGTTGACAAATCGGTCAGGCGCTGCATGGCGCTAATCTGGAGGTGAGACGGCATTCCAAGATTGGGTAGCAATAGGGAGAGAACTGGCCCTTGCATCCTGCATGCTGCGGGAGCACAAGAGGTCGGTTCCGGTGAGAGTTCAGATGAAATGCATTGGAGGGGCAGCAGCCTCATCAGCCTTCCCAAGTCGCTTCAACCGGGCATGAAAGGAGACGGACCACACAGACATTCATGCGCGAGATGGGGAGCAACATTGTAAAATCCGGGTAGCGAGCGGGATGATCTGCGCGCCTTTGAATTGCCCAAGCACGTTTCTCGCCAGGACTTCGCGGATTGCTTAATACGGAATACCTTGGGAGCTCGGTGCCTGTGCCGCTCCGCTTGGCCGCACGCCAGCCGGTTTGGTGTGGTGTCAGTTAAATCTGTCCCGTCACCTTGTGCTTTGCCGCTGAGCCCCCTCACCAAGGGGGCCGGAGGGAAAGGTGGGGGAAGAGGGCAAGTAACGATTCATTCTCAGCGCTGTGCTGGAACACGCCGTGACACCATCCAACGGCCAACAGAGGCCATCGTGGCCGGCAGCCACTGTGGTATCGATCCGGGTCAGGCGGTCGGAGGCTGAGGGCGAGAGGCCGAAGATTCGGCCGAAGCTGGGCGGGCATCCATGTTCTGTCACTCACGGGGAGTCGGTTGGGAGCGACTGCGGCGGCTATTGGCTTCGAGCGCGCAGCCGCAGTCCGAACACGCCTGAGGGCTGCATCTTCGTTGGTTCCATCTTTGTGTGTCTTGACCAGCCGCGGCCGTCAGCGGCGGATGATATCAACATTGTGGAGTTTGACCGGGGAGGAAGCCGTCGAGAGCTGGGGCCAAGCACCCAAGTTGGTCGTCTTGGGGCGAAGTTGAGACGGACCGGGCCATCATCGCCAGCGCCCCTGGCACGATGCAACCTCATGATGCCCTCCGGTGTTGCTGCCAGAGCCCAGATAGGAAAGCAGGGGGCTCCGAACTGGAAACGAGCCGCGCAAACGCCGCGGCCACCAGACGGTCGTCGGTGGGGCGAGCGATGGCTGAGAGAGTCTCAACCAACAGACTGATGAAAAGAGTTGGGGGATCCACATCCAAGGACGCTGATGAGCATTGAGCACCAGTCTGACGGGCAAAAAGAGAAAACGGTCGGGAGATCAAGCAAGATCTCGCCCTGATGGTGGATCGTGGTGTCTTTGCGGGGCTCGGTAGCTGATCGCCGAGTGGCCTTTGCTCCACCATTCTTTGCCGGCTGCTGACTGGCCGTCTCGAGGCCAAAGCTTGATAATTTTGATGATGCCGATGGAGTCGTGGTTTTGGATTTATCCTCCGATGGCACTGTGGATGGTCAATTGGCCTGATTGAGCTTGGCTGAGCTTGACCGAGCCTGGCTGAGTCCGAACAGAGTGTGACAAACATTTCTGAACCGCGTTTCAAGTCGAACAAATAAATAGTTACGTCTAAAGGCGTTTGGGGCCGCGCTGCCAGCTGAAAAGCCGAGGGAATCGCGAATCCGTCCGTGGCCGACCTCCCCTACCTGCGTCGATATCTCGATTCGTGGAAGGCTGCCGCGCGAGCCATCCACGCTTCAGGTCCCTCCCGCATCCTAGCCAGCTGTCGAGAACTCATTACGAAGCGGCTTGGCCAGTGGGATGCCACGCCGGCCCTGCGCTTGGGCCCTTGTGTCTTGTAGGACCACCATTTTCTGCCCAATGGTGGGGGCAGGAACCCGGAAATTATGTCCAATGACAAACCAGTTCTGGCTCTCTTCGTCGCCGTTGGATGGTCTCGGACACGGTCCGCGAGCAACCCTCCCGGGAAGTTGGTGTTGAGAAGAGAGAGGCACGGTGGCACGCACGCACCGAACACCCTGGTTCCCTGAGAGCAATTGCAACCCAGATCGCATCCCCTGTCAAAAAGTGGCCGCCCCCAAGATTGCATCTCCGTCAGTCACGTTGCCGCGACCGTTTTGTCAGATCTTTTTTGAGGTCCTTCTGGATCATCATATCTTGGCGTGGCTCGAAGGCCAGGAATGAATGGATCAAAGACAGACGCACCTTGTCACACCTGGGAGCGCTGCTGCACTAGCCCATTCAGAAAAGCCGGGAACTGGGAACTGGGCAGATCCGGTGCGGTGCCGTTTCATGCGACCGTGTCTCTGCTCGATGCGAACCCGGCGTTAGACCAATTGGGCCGGCGATCAGGAAATGGTGCGTTTCCTTCTGTCAGCGGTTCGAGAACTGACTGATAAAAATGAAATAAAAAACAAGGAGCGCGGCGGGTATGCCGAGCCGTGGGATTATCGAGAATGACTATCGAGCCGGCTTAAGCGATCCTCACCTTGACTGATTGAGGATTGTCCGGCAGGCACCGGATCCAATTGGTTTCGGGAGGTTTTCGTGTGATTGCGGGCCGACGCGGATTAGCAACTTTGTGGGCTTCCATCACCAACACACTCGATAAACGCGGTCGATCGCATGGGCGCCATGCCATGCCGCTGCCAAAAACGGCCTGCGAGACAGACGCTTTCCCCAGAAGTTGGCCGCAGGGCAGGCCCGTTATGCGGCCGGCCAGTCCTTGCACCAGATGCATCCTTGTGGGGTCTTCCCCCCCGGGTACCTGGGCGGACCTGCCCGAACCTGAGGGCAAGCGCGGCCCCACCAAAAACTGAAGATGGAGCTCGAGGTTTTCGCTTGTTTCTCGACGGGTGCTCGAGGAGTGCAGCCTCACCTAGCTTCATGGTTTGATGATGGACAGCCTTGAGTTACTTCGCAACTAGCGTCAATGTCGTCTCAGCACTATCGGAGACCAATTCGGGATTATTGAAGGATCTTCCAAAGTGCAGACCGCCGCCGAGTCCTCGAGTGCTGCCCTTTGAAAATGGCCGCTTTTATTTATGTATACTACCCAGGTCGGGATATTGCGGATTTTCGGTCCTGCAACTACCCGTCGCTGCCGAACGTGGATTGACTTTCAGGTGAGTACCCGGTGGGCGGTGCAGTGCCGCATTTAGCAGTAGAGGTTGTGTTCACGGCAGCCGCGAGGGCCGACCGCGGTGCCCGTGTGTGTAAGTGGTAGTGCAGGCGGGAAGGTGTGCGATGGTGGGCCGGGCCTGCGGCTGCCACTTCAGGACGAAGTGTAGTACAGATGTACACTCTAACTGTTGCCCGGAAGCTCCGAACATTTATGATGACGGTTGATGAACCCGAAGCAGCCACGAAGTTAAATCCCTCTCCTTTGACAGCAAAAACGACGAAATGGGACCGGGGCCGGCGATGTGGAACAAATTTGGCCGTCAGCCACCGCGTTTCGACTGAGCTTGCGAATAACGGCGGCAGAAAAGCCTCAGCGTTGCTTTTTGCCCAGTCGAGACAACCCGGGGACGGCACGTACCGTTTTCAACCTTGGGAGACCCAGCGAGAGAGCACTTGGCACACTGTCCGGGATCTTACTCGAATACTCCGCGCACCACGCTGCCCGCCCAGCGACGTGAACGTGAGGGACTGGACGTCACGGGCGCTGCTCCTTCCACGCTAGCACGGCGTGCTCTTTCCATTCAAGTCCAGCGGCAGCCTGGCTCGGAGTCTCGGTGTTCTTCTTGCAGCTTTTCTCTCGCCTTTTTTGGGAATTCGGCCCACTCCGAGGGCAAGTGCGTTCCCCTTCATCCACCAGAATCGTGCATTCGTGGACTGTGCCGTCATCAGCGCTCTTGCTGCCTCCTCTCGCTCCTCTTTTCAGACAGACCCCTGTTCTCCATCCACACTGGCCCGAACTGGGGAGACTGACTGGACTGGTTGTTGTCCCACCCCGGCTCACGCCTCTCGATTTTCTTTCCCTGAACACCCCCCACCCACCTCACACACCCTCCCGTTCCGCCGCTGGCTGGCTCCATGCTCGCTGCTGCGCTGCCTCCCCCCCCCCCCCCCCGGGCCCCGGGCAGCCCAATGCTTGCGACCTGTGCCCTCCCACGGGCCAGGACCCTGGAACCCCTGCCGGGAGATGCACACACACTGCATTCAGCAGGCCGTCTTCCCTGACTACATATGCCGCTCGGGGCAGGTTCTCCTCCACCAAATGCCTGCTCTCCTGCACGTCTGACTTAGTTATCTCGTACCAGCCAGCCCCAGAGGTCGAACTGCATCTGCGGCGCCAGCGTTGCAGCCCTCTGCTCTTTTGTCACTGGGTCGATCGCTTTTTGTTTGCTCCCGACTGCATCATCGCCCCCCGTCCCCGGCGTTGAGAGCCAAGCTCAGCTGCTTCCTTCCCAGCTCCGGTTGAGCTGCTCCATGCTGTCGGCGCCGCCCAGTTCCGTCGGGTCCCTCGTTCTGCACGAATTGGATATCCGACTCCGGATGGGACTCTCCCCAAGCCACCAAGGTTCTAACAGGACTCTACTGGCGTGAAGAAAGGGAAAGAGAAAAAAAAGGGCATTTTCTAACAGCCTTCCCATCTTCCCCGTCCGTCTGACAAAACGCAGCCTTCCGCCAAAGGTTCCGTCTCCCGCCGCCTCTTGACTATCCTCTGCCTCAGCGGCCCTCACCCAGCCGAGACCATCCCCGCCACCCCCTCGACGAGAAAAGAGACCTGCCGAACGGCCACCCCCACCGACGTCGTTGCAGACGCTACCTTACCTTGGGGACTGTGTTACTCCGCACCCGGCTGCCCCCCGACTTGCAACCTCGCTGACAGCTCGACCGCTGCATGTCCGATCCAAGGGACCAATTGGTGTCCGGCACCCCCCCTAGCATGCATGTCGTCTCCTGAGTCCTGTCTTGCCCATCCCTTCCGGACGAGTTGATCTCCACAACTGCGAGACTCTGCGTGTGGCCCCTCACGCCCTGTGGCCCTTCACACGGCACCAATCCCACGACTCGAGGAACGGCGCCTTCCCTCCCCCCATCTACCCGCCCGGTCCGGTTCCGTCTAAATCAGACGAAGCCCCCGTCACCATGCACAACCAGATCACGGCCTCGGCGGGCATGGACCAGGAGAGCCATCTTTCACACGACAACACGTATGGTAACGAAGGCTGGGTCGACATGAACTCCTTTCATCACCAAACAACCATGGCGGACTACGGAGGTGGATATGGCTTCATGCCTCCCATCACCCATGGTCTACCCTCAGAGTCCCTCGGCAGGATGCCACCACCGCCACCACCGCAACCCATTCACCAGTCCCCGGCGACTCACACCCAGCTCCCCATGCTCATGATGCCCCATGCGCACGCTCCGTGGCCGAGTATGTTGACGAACCCGAACAACTTTGGTCCGCCGCATTCTGCTCCCCCAGTCCCCATTCCTTCCATCACAGCGCCTCTTAAGACGTCAAAGTTGCCCGCCATTCAGACTACATCGCAGCCAAGGAAGACCCTTACGGACGAGAACCGCCGGGAGATGTGCCAGTATGCCGAGGACCATCCGACCGCAAAGCAGACCGACATTGGCGCCCGATTCGGCGTTGAAAGGAGGTAAGATCACAGAGCGGCACCCGTCCACGGCTTCCCCGCCGGCTCTAACATGCTCGCCAGTACCGTATCTAAGGTCTTGCGGAATAAAGACAAGTACCTCAACTCGGAGGAGCGGAGTAGCTCTCCGGTAAAGCGCACCGGCAAGGGGAAAGGGGCCAACGTTGAGAAAGCGCTGGCAAATTATCTCCAGAAAGCGAAAAAGAATGGCATCGTGGTCACTAGGGAGGCACTGAAGGAGAGGGCGCTCGCATTTACTTCTCTGGCTTCGGGCGACTCTCTTCTCGAGTTCACAAGCTCGTCTTGGCTGGACAAGTTCATGTCAAAGCATGGCATCGGCTCCAGCAGGTTGATACGCCGCGCGTCCGAGACCAACATCCCAGACAGTATGCGCGCTTCTGGCTCACCATCGCTGGCACCGTCCCAGCCACACAGCGCCATTTCGCCCGCTTCACCCTCACACCACCTCTCCCCATCCCCGCTATCGGCGAACAAGAGCGACGAGGAGAAGGAGAACATCAACAGCTTCATGGGCTTCGCGTCGGACGGCGCTTACAGACATACAAACTCACAGAGTACGGCGTCTCTGTCTAGTGCTTTTACGGATGCGGCAACACCGTCTTTCTCTGGCAGCGCGATAAGCCCGACAGCCTCGTTCAACTTTTCTCCGGACGCCAATGTTGGCGCTTTTCTCACCGGAGACCGGAGCGGTCATATGCCGCCTCACGGAGCCGGCGGATTTCAGCGGCCGCGGAGTCAAACCTTTCCCACCCTGGACCTTGAGTACATGAACCAGCCGCAGCCAGCGGAACCCGCTACTCCTAAGTACCACGTCCCGTCCACCGCGCCGTCTTCCGCCCTCGAGTCGAGTAACGGGCCGAGCTTCACGTTCGATCAGGCAGTCTCTCCGCCCCAGCTTCGCCACAGCAGTAGCAACAGCAGCATCACACGATCCGTCACGACGCCCGTCACCTGCAGTGCTGTGGGTTCGTCTCCGGGTTCACCGACGCAGGAGGATGCACGGAGAGCCGCCGATACCTTACTGTCATTTATCACGACCGCCAGCGGATTCGTGGATCAGAACGAGTACATGGCTGTGGTAAGGTTGACTGAGAAGCTCCGCCTCCACCAAAATCAACTCGCCAAGGCCGCCGCTCACGGGATGGGGGGACTGTCGCGAATCCCCGAAGGTGACAGCGAGATGCCAAACGCGCCGCCTGGCATGATGAAGGTGGAGCCATCTATGAGCGGGTAGACGGATTCTCCCCTTCCCCGACCTCAAACGCCGAGATGGTCGCGGGTGACGACCGGGACGACCCTTGGCCAAGACGATCCGACCGTTCTCCGTTCTCGAAACGAAACGAAAATAAATATATAACCACATATACGCCACACGATATACCCCTTTACGCGATTCAAACTTCCTTATACCCAGGTTTTTGGCGTTGCCGAATATACATCGATATCGCTCCCTCACCGGAAGATACACACGCTCACGCGACTCCCCACCCTGAAACTACTTCGCTTTTCAAGCATTGCTTTTGGCTCCTTTGGGTTCTCGTTTTTTCTGCTTCCTTTCCCGGGTTTCAGCCCCCATTTTCTCTACTTTTACTTCAGCGGTTATCCGCCAGTCTGTTTGGTATCTTTGATGCATTTTCCCATTTCTCTGTATACTATTATACTTTCTTATACCATCTTTGCATTACTTTAAGGTTTCTTATCAAGTGTGCTCTCGGGCGGTCGGCGGGGCGGACGGCGCGCGCTGTCTGGGCGAGGGTTCGACTACTCTTGGTCATCCCTCCTCGAACAGTCAGTGTTTTCGACCAAACCGCAGCCGAGCTACCGACGGCAGGGTGTGATTGCTTTGGGGACGGCAAGGGGCAAGAGCAGGACGGGACCCGCGAGGGTCTAACTACGGGGGCTACAAGCCATTGGAGTACTGCTGGGGGTTGTGTTTTTTTTTCTCGTCAGTTTTGTTGGTGTCTCGGCTGGTTGGATGGACGGACTGGGTGGACGGACAGTGGGGAGCCGGAGGTGGCAGGCTGGACGGAGGAGGGGATTTAATCTTGGGGCTAGGATTGGACGGATGGGATGGGATCATGGTTTTGGATTGGATGGAAAGGCAGCATGTGGTCTACGCTCGTTTGGAATCCGGAGGACTTTTTACCAGAACTGGGATTTTTGTCTATCTCTTGGCCGAGGTCTGAGGAAATGGACTGGGCCACATGCTCTTCCCTGAAAAGGGAACTTATGTGGTGTCTTTTTCCCAAAAGGCCGGCCTGCGACCGCATGACCTCTCGAGTCCAGCCAACCAAACCAGTTAGTTTGGGGGCGGTACTCTGGCAAATCACACACAAGTCTGGGCGGCCCTCTGCATTTTGAGACACATCAGTTTCGTCGAGATTTTGACAGCCGTATGACATTAACTAGGCGACTTATGAGCCATCCACGGAAAGCCGCTCGGCCCAGAGCTCCAAAACCCCCTTCTCCGTCAGCTCCGGGAGGAGCCTCGCCAGGACGAGCTCCAGGATGCCATACACCAAATGCCGATTGCAGTAAGCATCTGAAAACACGTCCAAAATGCCCCGCTCAATCTCCACCAGGATCTCCTCGTCATCAGCACCGTCGTAATCTCGATCCTGACGAGATCCCCCCTCTCTCGCTTGCGTCAGTGGCCCCGTCGACGCCATGCCGCCCGTCGCTTCCTCACTCGCACTAGCGGTCTTGGGCAACGGCGACGGCGGCGGCGGCGCCGGCGGCGATGGTGGGTCAGCGCTAGCAGCAGCAGAACCCTGACCGCCGGTCTTCGGCCTCGGAGCGGGAGCGGACCGCCGGGACCGGGACTGGGACGGAGATCCTGATCTTGGCCGTCCCTGTCCTCGTGCTTCCTTCGTCTGTGCTGGCGCCGTTTGGATCAGCCTTGCTTTTTCCTTGGCTTCGTCCACCTTTGAAGATGACGATGACAAAGGACCCTTGTCCCTGCCCATGCCCCTTCCCACAGCTGTCTTCAGCTCCGCAGATCCTTCCGTTTTGACACTGCTCGCTCTCGAATTGGAATTAGCGCGCAGTAGGCCACCGCCAAAATACAGCCTTCCCATCCCCTTCGGAACAAGCGCCCAAATCGCGCTAGCGCACCTGCGCCTGAGTTCGCGGAGCTCGGCGTCGGAAGAGGGAGCGACCAGCGTCGGTTTGCCGGCGGGCATGTTGTTGGGAAACAGGGCCCCCCGCACGGTGCGGAGGAGTGGGGGCAGGTTAGCCGCGTCTAAGACATGCCGCTGGATGCCGTGAGAGAGGAGCCTGGAATTAACCTGTCAGCATAACGAGAAAACTGGGCTGGTTTGTCAGGCCGGAAAGCGGGGATTTGGGGGTTCGTCTGAGATCATTCATGCGTGGGGGAACCCGTGGGTGCGTGTTTGTGTGTCTCGTCGGCTCGTCCAAGCCCGAGCGTAACGACCAGGGGAAGGGGAGGTCCAGCCATGACAAGGTCGAGATAAGCTGGATGACAAACCGATCCAGAACGGTGAAGACCGAGACAAGCGGGATGAAATATCGCGGTGGAAGGCGCGGCACTGGCCGCAGAGATTGGCAAGGCGAGCAAGCACCTTTTCGGCTGAGGCGGCTTGCTTACCGGGGCCACCAGTTCGTATGGCGTTGGAATGCGGGGGATCAGGGGAGCAACGGGAGCATTGGCCACCAAGATCTGACCTCTCACGTCATGTCAAGACGACTTTCGGCAGTGAGGAGATTTCCCATGCCTTCCAACCCTGTACTCATGCACCGCTGTCACGATGGACACGCAGCTCCGTAATGAGAGAGAGATCGGCCTGGGGCCACGGCGAGGGGTTTCGACCGGGGAATGGGCACTTGCATGATCCTGCTCATCCACGCTGGGCCGCTGGCGTAGCGTGGGAAGGGTCCATGTCTCATGATGTGACATGTCATCCTGTTCTCCAAGACACCGCCAACCGAGAATGGGAACGCTTCGTCGCGGCGATCCGTGTCTGTGTTGAAGAAACGTTGAGAAGACGGACGGCGGCCCATGCGACGGTGCGACGCGTGCACGGCGGCCGGTGATCTCGTGAAGCGACACAAGGGGAGAAAATGAGTTCAAGATGGTTCAGGCTTTGTGACCCCTGTCGTCGTCTCCAGCTCGGCGCGTAAATAAGGCTCGTCGATGGATCGTCTGGCGATGCCCCACGGGGCCTTCGTGCAATCAGACTCGGCCAAGGCTGTAGGGGTTTGCGATTGGCCCAGGCATGATATGCACGCTCTCAACGACAAGACGCGGCAACAAGCGTTGCCTGCGGGTCGCCGATTCGGCCGCATGACATGTGGGAGGTGTGTTGCACTGCATCCAAGCTTTTACCCCGAGGCCTTGCCCTGGTCGGGCATTGGTGGACGCACTGCATCCAGTGACCCCTCTTTCAGCGGTGGAGGACCTCGAAACGTCCGATTGTGAACCGCACAGCCAAGATCGCGAGCTTCGTGAAACTGCCGTGTTGCGCTTGCAACTTCCAGAGCCGCAAAAAAATGCTGGTGATTCGCGGCATGAATCGTTGTCGTCAGGTCCAGTGACCGGCGGTTCATGCAGTGTGACGGACCAATTCGCGAAAAGGGGGGGAGGGGGGGTGTGAGTGTTCAAAACGGAGGGGAGCAAACAGAATTGGCCTACCTATCAAGCACGCCGTCCACGCCGGCAATTCGTCCTGGACCCATGACGGCAATCCACTGCAACATCGTCAATACGCCTCGAAGCCAGGGCATACGGATGTCCATCTCGGCGAGATTTGAGACGGCTGACCAGGTTCGAAAGGCCAACAAAGGCATCTTGGGTGCGTGCAGATCCGCATCGAAGGAGCTAGTGAGATGAGTGTGCCCCTGGCCGGTCTCGTGTCGGGTTGCGCTCTTGGGGCTCGCACCGTGAGAGGTCCGCCGAGGCAAGGAGCCAGATGTCATCAGGATCGCAAAGGCCGTTTTGATGAATGAGATGCCGAGGAAGCACCACTGCAGGACAGCCCAGAACAGGGTGTGGGCCGAGAAGCGCTTTTTGGTAGCCGATGACCCGTTGCCCGATTGCCCCGGACGATCTTGATCCTCGGCTGTTTTCCGACGCCCGGCCGTCCTCGACGCGATGATGAGGAGTTCCCAGATGAGCCATGGCTCCGATAGTCTGTTGGCTACCGTGTTGCCAATAATTAGCTCCGAGAATATCTGGCCAACCAGAGCCGTCAGGCAGTCATTTTCGAGGTCTTCGGTGGGGAGGAGGATGGCGAGGAAGGCGTGGACGAGCAACTGGCGATAGGCTGCTTCGTTCTCGGCCTGCACGCCCACGCTTTCGGGGTCCTCTGGCCGGGGAACTGGGGAAAGAGCGGGAAGCGGGCACAGCGAGTGATAGATCTCGCGCGGGTCCGTCCTGACTGGTGGCTGGGTGATGGGATCGTGGGCCACTCGGTAGGCTGGAGCGTTCTGGGGTGTCAGCGCATCACTCGCGGGCTCTGTTCATTCCCGGCTCGGGGGCGCAGACAGACCAGTGATATGCTTGTCGAGAAGATCGGGCAGTTCGTCAAATAGCAGGCTCTCCAAGTCCACCTTTCTCAGCCGCTGCTCGAGCGCGCGGGTGATATGGGCGATTATCTGGACAATCTCGGCGACAAAGTCCTCGTCGGGGGTGATCTTGGCGTACCAGTTCTGGACGAACTCCTTCAAGATGATGGCAATGAGAGCGTAGAGCTGCAGATCGACATCGTTGCGGCTTGTCAAGGGCGGCAACAGGCCCTCTATCGAGTCGGGCGAGCTCCTGCCCTTGTCGGCTTGCTGGGGGCAGAGGATGCGGCGTATCAGGAATGCGGTCGCCTTGTCCGAGAGAGGGTCGGCGGTTGATGCCGGGCGGCCTCCACGACGGGGCCCTCCCAGTTGATGCGATTGTGAAAGACTCTCCGTCGAGGCCGGAAATTGGCTAGATTGCGGTTTGGAAGGTGCCGTCGATTCGGATTGGAGAGTCGAAGTGCGCGATGACGGCTTGGGGCGAGGAGTTGGAACACGGGGGGGAAGCTGGGTAGCGGCGGTCGTCATGGTTGTCAGAGCTGGCAACAGGACCCCGTCGTCATGTTAGATTGCCAGGCTCTGGCCACATTTCGATGCCTAAAACAGAGCAAGCGCTGCTCTTTTTTTGAGCGGTCGCGATCGAAAAAGTAGGCAGTTGCGACGCGGATGCCGGAAGGCGGTGGCACCGATCGCTTATCGGTCTGCGGCAGGCGGCGCCATGCAACAGCCCAAAACGGCAGGCGGTGAATCCCCACATGCAACTTGTGGGAGGCGCGACTAACAACCTCTATTGAAGGCAAGAAAGAGCGGTTCATTTTTTAGGGCTTACGTGAGGCGATTCCTTTTATCTTCCAAGTCACTTACACAGTACCAAGGCTGCTGGCATGACGCTTTGATCATCGGTACCTATCTCTGCGACGTGTATTGAGGAGGGAGAGAATGTCGAGGGGTTCACCCACCCCCCCTGAACACTGGCTGAGCTGGAAAAGATGACGTCCTCGAGTCTGCACGGCAGTCGCGCAAACATTCCGAACTTCAATCCAAACAGCACGCAATCTCCCCGATTGTTAGTGGGGACTTCAGTCTCTATGTATAATTATACATGGTCGTGGGGCATATGCTGGTACAGTGGCCGTGATATGTTGGCCGAACTTATCATACAGAAAAGGGGGCGTAAATAAGCATAATAGCGCGAGAACTACTGTTCGGTAGACTTGTGCGTTGTCTCGTATCTGCAACAGACCAATGTCAGTATGTGTCGAGACGGTGGTGAACAGGAGCAGAACTCACCTCTTGCCCCTGAAAGCCCACACGCCCCAGTTACCGGCGCTGATGTCCTGAGGGTCCAGATCATTCAAATCCCATCGCAAGCTGCGGAACTTGTTCTCGCCGGGCTCCATCAAGACATCGAACTCTCCAGCTGCCGTTTTGTTGACAAAATCAATATCGCGTTCCATGTCGGCTTGGGTGTAACCGGTGACGATAATGGGTGCCTTGGTTTCCAAAAGCATGGGCAACGTCTCCTCCCACTCATGTGAGCTAGCGGGGTGCCCCAACCCCGGGTGAAACATGACAAAGCAGTCAAAGTAGGGGTCGTAGGGGTAGAAATGGCCAGTCTTGTGAATGGTGTGGTAGTAGTCGACAATGGTGCTGATCTTCATTGTCGGCCATACTCGGTCCTCGACAATGGCGCCAAAGGGGTTCGTAGGCGTCCGCGGAGGGAGCGGGAACTCATCGTCCCTATTTAGCATGCTCTCCGGGCCGATGAAGATGAGGTGAATCCTCGAGAGCGGGAAGAGATGCGCCAACTGAATCCAGGCATCCCGAGGCAGTGATGATTCGGCCCGGGCGCCGAGGATGAAGAGGCGTACTGCTGGGGCCTGCGCTCGGAGGCCCTTAATATCATCACCGCCGCCCGTCTTTGCCGGGTGGAGAGTGTACCGCAGAGCTGGGTAAACATCAGTTTGTGAACCGGCCAACAACAACTCCAGGGAAAGGCATACCGCTAAAGCTCTTGATACCCTCGGGCGTGATCCTGCCGCCAGCTTTGATGTTGTAAGGGCTAAGCTCGTGAAGGATGCTCCCGATCGTAACGGGGTACGTTAGCAGCCTTGTCGCCTGCCTCATACTCCGATCGGTATTGATGGCATTGAACTGTCGCGTATACAAGAAGGTATCCCAGCTGGACATGTTGATCAGCGCATCGTCCATTTGTTCCCCCGCATATTCGAATTCGGGGAACGAGCGGCCGGACTGGAGGTCGTGGTCATCCTCGTTGATTTGGCGCAGTGTGTCGCAAATCTCCAGGTGCGCCTCATAATCGTCTGCCCAGTGTTCCTTGCTACAATAAACCGGAATTCCACAGTCGGGGCACTCGAAATTGACATGGGCCGGGGCCATGGAACCGCCTGGCTGATGGTGGTGGTGGAGACAACTCGCATGTTGTTTTATGAAGGCCGCCCGCTTCCGGATCGCGGGGATCGGGGAGTTTGTGAAGGAGTGGAGGAGGTCGTCTGCCCCTAGAACTTGCTTCGGTTGTGACTCGGAGGGGGCGGCGGTCGAGGTGAAGTTGGTTTGCGCAAGCCCGGAGGAAAATCGCCTGGCAACGGGGTTTTGGATCTTGCTTGTTCGAGCGGCGGGTGTAGCAATACTGTCGACCTGGGGTATCGTCCTCGAGGAGCTCTTCCCGGACTGCGAGCGCCGTTGTTGCCGGGAAGTCTGGAGAAAGCCATTGGGTGTCTGGCCCTGCCTTCTGAGAGATACCGAGCATCGTGTGCATATTCTCGACAGCGCTGAGCGCGCCGCGAGTTCTGCCGGAAGAGCCATCGCAAAATCGCACTCGGTACGCACTCTCGTTGTCTGATCGTTTAACGATGCGACTTTTCGAAGCTTCGAATGCCGGGCCGTCTGGGCTGACTGTTGCCCAATCAAGGCAGCTTCAGCCACGCCAGATCGGCCCACACGAGGACAAGCGGGAATTGACCCCACCTTCCATTGCATCCCCACCCTGTCAAGGTCAAATTGTGGCTGGGGACTGGTCAGCCAGCCCGAGCTTGAATTATTTTTGCGGCTTCGCTTCGAGCTCGGTTCGGCCCAGCAAAACCCAGCAAAACCCAGCAAAACCCAGCAAAACCCAGCAAAACACCACCAACCTCATCATCCAAGTCGAAAGGCTGCAACGTCCCTCCTCCACAGTAAAGCCGCGCCGGCTTTCTGCGCGCCCCGGGAATCATGGCGACGACATCGAACATGTTCCTTTACTCGCTGACTATCCAGCCGCCAACCACTATTTCGCAGGCGCTGCTGGGTCAGTTCTCGGGGACCAAGGAACAACAGATCATCACTGCCTCGGGCTCGCGCCTGACGCTTCTGCAGCCCGATCCCAGGCAGGGCAAGGTCAACACCGTGCTGTCGCATGACATCTTTGGCATCATTCGGTCTATTGCCACCTTCCGTCTCGCCGGTAGCCATAAAGGTGAGTAACTTGGCTAAAACACCCGCACCCCCCACCGTTTCTCGGACAATTAGTGATTCTCGATCCGCTCCGCAGCTTTGGCGGGATGATCTCCGTTTAGAAACGCGTGGTGGCCTGCGGATTTCTCCACGGAATCCTGCTGTACGCCGGACTGTGCTAAAACGCGTCTACACCTAGACTACATCATCCTCGCCACGGACTCGGGCCGCATCGCCATCATCGAGTACCAGCCCAAAACAAACAGATTCTCGCGCATTCATCTCGAGACATTTGGAAAGTCGGGTGTGCGTCGCGTCGTTCCGGGCCAGTATTTGGCCGCCGACCCAAAAGGCAGAGCGTGCCTGATTGCCGGCGTCGAGAAGAACAAACTGGTCTATGTCCTGAACCGGAATGCTCAGGCCGAGTTGACCATCTCGTCACCGCTCGAGGCACATAAGCCTGGAGTTTTGGTTCTGTCGCTCGTGGCTCTCGACGTCGGTTATGCCAACCCGGTCTTCGCCGCCCTCGAAATCGACTACTCCGAAGCCGACCAGGACCCTACCGGCGAGGCGGGCAAGGAGCCCGAGGCCCAACTCGTTTACTACGAGCTTGACCTGGGTCTGAACCACGTTGTACGCAAGTGGTCGGATGCCGTTGACCCAACCTCTTCGCTCCTCTTCCAGGTCCCGGGGGGCAACGATGGACCTAGCGGTGTGTTGGTCTGCGGGGAGGAGAACGTCACCTACCGCCACTCAAATCAAGAAGCTTTCCGCGTTCCCGTTCCCAGGCGGCGCGGTGCTACCGAAGACCCACAGAGGAAACGTACCATCGTCGCGGGTGTGATGCACAAGCTAAAGGGTAGCGCGGGCGCCTTCTTTTTCTTGCTTCAGACCGACGACGGAGATCTCATGAAGGTTACGCTGGACATGGTTGAAGATAAGGACGGCAATCCTACCGGCGAAGTCCGTCGTCTAAAGGTCAAATATTTCGACACGATACCCATCGCACAAAGCTTGTGCATTTTGAAGAGTGGTTTCCTGTTCTCGGCCGGCGAGTTCGGAAATCACCACTTTTACCAATTCGAGAAGCTTGGCGACGATGACGAGGAGCTAGAGTTCTCGAGTGACGACTTCCCGACAGATTCTCGAGTGTCATACAACCCTGTCTACTTCCACCCTCGGCCGTTGGAAAACCTGGTGCTCGTGGAGAGCATGGATTCCATGAATCCCCTGATCGACTGCAAGATTGCGAATCTGACAGGCGAGGATGCGCCGCAGATTTACTCCGTTTGCGGCAACAGGGCGAGGAGCACCTTCCGTATGCTCAAGCACGGCCTGGAAGTGTCCGAAATCGTTGCATCGGAGCTACCCGGCACGCCCGCCGCTGTCTGGACGACTAAGCTCACAAAGTATGACGAGTACGATGGCTACATTGTGCTCTCCTTTACCAACGCAACGCTTGTTTTGAGCATTGGCGAAACCGTCGAAGAGGTCACTGAAAGTGGCTTCTTGACCAGTGTGCCAACACTAGCAGTGCAGCAACTGGGTGAGGAAGGGTTGATTCAGGTCCACCCGAAGGGTATCCGGCATATCGTCCAGGGCCGTGTCAACGAGTGGCCGGCTCCCCAACACAGATCGATCGTTGCTGCTGCGACAAATGAAAACCAAGTCGTCATCGCCCTTAGCTCCGGCGAAATCGTTTACTTCGAGATGGACGCCGATGGGTCGCTGGCCGAGTACGACGAGAAGAAGGAAATGTCCGGCACGGTCACATCCCTTAGCTTGGGCAGGGTACCTGAAGGACTTAGGCGAAGCTCGTTCCTAGCGGTGGGATGCGACGACTGCACAGTCCGCATTCTCAGTCTCGACCCAGAGTCAACTCTGGAGATGAAGTCCATCCAGGCTCTCACATCAGCGCCGTCGTCTCTCTTAATCATGGCGATGGAGGACTCAACCGGGGGCATGACATTATACCTGCACATTGGCTTGCATTCCGGAGTTTACTTGAGAACCGTTCTGGACGAGGTCACCGGCGAGTTAACCGACACTCGGCAAAAGTTCCTCGGCCCGAAGCCTACGAAACTCTTTCAGGTCTCTGTGCAAGGCCAGCCGTGCGTTCTTGCGCTCAGTTCGAGACCATGGCTAGGCTACACCGACCCCATCACCAAAAACTTCGCCATGACACCACTCATCTACTCTGAGCTCGAATTCGGCTGGAATTTCAGCAGCGAGCAGTGTCTGGAAGGCATGGTCGGCATCCACGCCAACTTCCTTAGGTCAGTCTTTTTCGTCTCTTATCCGCACTCCTGTTTCATGATGATAAAAGGGATACCTATGCCATGTGCTATGAGGCTTGACTACAACCGAGGTTGTATCAATTGTTCCTTCTGAGACAACTTGCACCCACCCACACTTGTCAACCACGTTTTGTATGTGCCACATGTTGACTTGTTCGCAGAATTTTCACAATCGAGAGGCTCGGCGACACCATGATACAGAAGTCTATCCCGCTCACTTACACGCCGAAGCGGCTGGTCAAACACCCCGAGCAGCCGTACTTTTACACCATCGAATCGGACAATAACACCCTACCCCCAGAGCTGAGGGCACAACTCCTAGCGCAATCAGGGGCCGTGAATGGAGACGCAGCGATTCTGCCTCCGGAAGATTTCGGGTACCCCCGTGCCACAGGCAGATGGGCATCATGTATCAGTATCGTGGATCCTCTCGGGGAAGAGCCCAGCGTGCTCCAAAGGATCGACCTCGAGGGTAACGAAGCTGCCGTGAGCGCTGCCGTTGTTCCCTTCGCAAGCCAAGAGGGCGAGAGTTTCCTCATCGTCGGCACTGGGAAAGATATGGTGCTCAACCCACGGAAGTTCAGCGAGGGGTACATCCACGTCTATCGGTTCCACGAAGATGGGCGAGATCTCGAGTTCATACACAAGACCAAGGTCGAAGAGCCGCCGATGGCTTTGATCCCCTTCCAAGGACGCCTTCTCGCCGGCGTTGGCAAGACGCTCCGAGTGTACGATCTCGGTCTTCGGCAATTGCTGAGGAAGGCCCAAGGGGAAGTAGCGCCACAACTCATTGTGTCACTCCAAACCCAAGGCAGCCGAATCATCGTCGGCGACGTCCAACAGGGCATTACGTATGTCGTTTACAAGCCCGAAAGCAACAAACTGCTCCCGTTCGCCGACGACACCATCAACAGGTGGACCACGTGTACCACTATGGTCGACTACGAATCGGTGGCCGGCGGTGACAAATTCGGCAATATCTGGATCCTGCGCTGTTCGGAACGAGCCAGCCAGGAGAGCGACGAGCCGGGCTCCGAGATCCAGCTTCTCCACGCCCGCAACTACCTCCACGGTGCGCAGAGCCGCGTGAGTCCGATGGCGCATTTCTACACGCAAGACCTGCCGACGAGCATCGTCAAGACCAACTTGGTGGTGGGCGGGCAGGATGTGCTGGTGTGGAGCGGGATCCAGGGCACGGTCGGCGTGCTGATTCCCTTCGTCAGCCGCGAGGACGTAGACTTCTTCCAGAATCTCGAGAGCCATATGCGGGCCGAGGACCCGCCACTGGCGGGGCGCGACCATTTGATTTACCGCGGGTACTATGTCCCCGTCAAGGGGGTGATCGATGGCGACCTCTGTGAGAGGTTCAGTCTCCTGCCGAACGACAAGAAGCAGATGATTGCCGGGGAACTGGACCGCTCTGTGCGGGAAATCGAGCGGAAGATTTCGGTAAGCCTCTTTTTTCTAACCCTAACATGAAAAGCAGTTGCTAACTCTCGGTAGGACATCCGGACGCGGTCTGCTTTCTAGAGATAATAAGGGCCGGGATGAACACATGGACTGGATTGAGTTGCGGATATTGATTGTATTATACGTGTAAGCGGGCGGCGCTCTGGGAGGACTATGGCGTTATTGTCACGCCGAGTGAACGCTTATTTATTTATCATGACCAGCTTCGACTTTAGGTTTGAGACGGAACAGACAGAATTGGAATGAATTGGACGTATATACCCGACCCTCTCTCTATCCCCTCCTCAAATCAACCCCTCCTCAATCAACCCCCCAACCACCCAAACAACCTCCCCTCCCCACCCCCAACCTTGACCCCCTCACTCTTAACCTTCACCCTCCCCCTCCCCCTCAACCCCCCTTTATAAACCCCCTTCCCCCTACTGCTGCTATCCAGCAACAAAGGATTCGGGTTCGCCCGCTCCCACGCCGCGTCGGCCCGGTGCCGCGCCACCGCCTCGTCGACATCGTACCCGCTCTCCTCCAGGTACACCACCGCCGCGTCGTAGTCCGGCTCCTTGCACGCCACCATGAACCGCCGGATCAGCACCTTGCGCTCCCGCTCCGCCGCGTCCTCGACGGGGCGCGGCGACAGGCTCGGGTCGGTGGTGCCGGTGCTACCGGTGTCACTATGGGGATTGGTGCTGGTGCTGGTGGTAGCACTGGGAGTGTTGATGTACGCGGTGGGGATGAGCAGCGTGTGCCGCGCCGCGAGGAGGTAGTCCGCGTCGTTGGGCAGGCTGTTGTGCTGCCGCAGGATGTGGGCCGGGATCCCGTACCGCAGGGAGAGTGAGGTCAGGCTGTCTGGCGAGGGGTGTGGCGGGTGGCGGAGGTGGTGGATTGTGTAGCGGGGTTGGGCTTCTGTTGCTTCTTCTTTTTCTTCTTTTTCTTGGCGGGGTTGGTTTGGGTTGCGGCCGGGCTGGGGGCCAGAGAAGGGAGAGCTGTAGGGCGGCGGGGGGGTAGGGGGTTTGGTTGTGTTGGCTTTGAGGTTGATGGTTTGGGCGATGGCTGAGTAAGGGGGCGGCTCGCTTTCTGTTACTGCTTCTGTCTCCGATTCGTCTTCTGTTCTGCCTTGCCTAGGCGGGGCTCTGAGGCGGCTGCTCGGGAAAGATTGATTCGAGGTCTGACAGTAGGGACAGTAGGTGAGGAAGCGGCGGTTTCTCTGAGGGTGGAGATGTTAATTCAATGTTTCCTAGAGGCGTAAGCTGCATGGTTGGAGCTTACATGTATACAGGCACCGCAGATGGTACGGCCGCAGCAATCCAATTGCCTGTCATCGGGTAAGGGCTTCTCGGAAGAGGACGACACACGGGGCACGGCGGCAAGCAACGACGCGCAAGTGCAGCACGCTGCCTGGGACATGGTTCTTTCCAAAGAAACAAGTGGATTTTAGGAAGTGAGTGTTGTAAACCGAACTCAATATTATTCGATTAATTTGGGTGATTACATAGGTGAATCTAGGTAGGTAGTGTGGTAATCAAGCCTCGATTTGGGGAGCACGGCTGCTGACGGCACTGACGGGTAGGTAGGTTGATGGTGTTGATGGTGGCGATGGCGGAATGGCAGGGGTGGTCCAAAAGCCGGGCTATCGATAGTTGACCCACGCACGCCACGCTGCCCCCACCTCGCCCCCCGCACCGGCCGTAGCTCACCTGCTCATCCTGTCATCCCAAACATCCATGGAATCGGAGTTAACGAACAAAAGCGGCCTCGTGTTCATCCCCGTCTCGTCTTGGGTGATGTACGCATCCAGCAGGCCGGTTACAACTCAGCTGTTACCCCAGAAACCCCGCCGACATGTTCCACCGCGCTGGGTTCGAATGGGAACTGATTCGAGCTGCTCTCCACAACGGTCTGCGGGGGTTTGAGGCAACCGGACCCGCCATGACCCATGGACCGTGGCCCATCAACGCCGGACAACGCCCAAGAACAACACGATTGGCCTTTGGGAGGCTGGGATCGAGCGACTAAAACCCAGCAGCAAGGGCTGGTGCATTCCAGATCGCAGTGCTCACCATCCCATGTGACCGGTTGCCAATCGGCGCTTTTACCTGCGCTGTTGTGGACGCGTGGTGGAATCGGCACCCTGCTGGCGAGGCAATTGGCAGGCGCTCGCTTTGTGATCCATGTTTTTGTCAACGACCAGCGGCCTGCGGGGGGCCACCGGGTATACCTACGAATCAGCTGCCTTTCCGCCTGGTCGCCCCCGTTCTCTGGTCGAGTATCACGACTTCTACCGCGGGCGAGGCGTAGCTTAGGAGGTCTGCAGAGGCCCGGCTGCTGCGGGGCTGCCCGCCCCGACGGTGGGGCGGGATGGATTTCATGGGTCGCTCCCGCCGAGTGGGCAACCGGGAGCTACCTATCGCGAAGCGGGCTAGGAACTGGGCCTTCTATCCGGACACCGGTGAGAGAGGTATTTGAAGGGAAGGGGTGCCCAGTCTTCATGGATGCCAGATCCTGTGCCAGCCCACACCTAAATAATCTTCCGAGTTCTCAAACATACAGGGGGCATTGCATTGAGTGTCCGGTGCCAACCACTAACCGACAATACCTTAACCAACCATGGCTGTAGGTTGCCCACCAAAATACCCAAGCTCCCGGGGCACAAGCTGATAAGGATAACGTTATTACCCCGCCGCAGAGCTCCTACCCTCAGATTGTCCTATTCGGCGACTCGCTCTTCCAGGGAGCTGCCGGTCTTTCCGACGGCTTTTCTTTCCAGGCTGCTCTACAAGCACGTTAGTACCTCCCTACCCCGAGCCATGCCGCCGCCGCAATGTTAGGAATATCCCCGATGTTAACGCATATATCATCGCCATAGAGGTCCTCCGCCGGTTCGATGTCGTCAACCGCGGCTTCTCAGGGTATAACACATCCAATGCCCTGAGCATACTCCCGCAAATTCTCGCGCCACCAACACCAGGCGGGCCGGCGCTCAAGTACCTAGTAAGTTCAGTTTCGGCCTATCTTGCCATTAGAAACCCGGAGCGAAAACATTGACTCGATCCAACAAGTTCATCCTATTCGGCGCCAACGACGCATGCGTCGAGCTACCCACCAATTTCCAGCGTGTGCCTCTCGACAAGTACAAGGCGAACTTGGCTCGCCTCATCAACCATCCCACCATCACGGCGCACAAGCCCAAGATCTTCCTCATCACACCGCCACCCCTAGACCAGATCCGTGTGACAGTGCTCGACCGAGCCAATGGACACCCCGCCGCGGCGAGACAAACTAAACTTAGCGCGACCTACTCCGAGGCCGTCCGGCAGGTGGCCGCCAAGCATCCCGGGGTCACGCTGATAGACCTTCACAAGGCCCTCATGGACAGGGCGATTCAGAAGACGCCGGGCTTCGACCCCAAGGGGCCAGCGCTTGGCGACCCGGAGAGTGGCGTTCGCGGATACCTCGAGCATCTCTTGCCGGACGGGCTCCACCTCAGCAGCGAGTCGTACCGTATCCTCTACGACCTTGTGCGGCCCCATATTGGCGCCGAGTGGGCGGGGACGAAGGACGAGGACAGGGTCGCGTACGTGCTGCCGGACTGGCGCGAGGCGCCTTGGCTCAGCGAGGACAGGTATCTCCGGGGCAAGTCCTTGTAGGGGGGTTGGAATGGACGCTGGAAGCCAGATAGAGACTGCATTGCAGATCCTCCTCCCGAGTGCTGGGTTGCTCAACCCTGCCAAAGGGGTCAACTCGCGAAGGAAGGACGTCGCTAGATTTTAGTGTGCGCTGGCACCCAGATAAATTTGATCCTACCTAGCCACGTTCATTGCAGTCTACATCTCAGTGAGCTACTCCAGGGACGTGATTATGATGAGAACCTGCCACATTGAAAGATCACGGACCCGTTGTGGTGGGTGGTTGGTGCGAGTTATATCAAGCATTGTATTTGTAGGGTTGGGGTTGTGCTGGTATGCCCATACCACGAGCAAACCTTGTATCAGCTGGGTTAGGGTTGAATTATACCTGACACGCCTTGGCTTGAGCGGGCCCGGTGCTGACAACATCGCCCGACCTAATCGATAACCTTCCAACTGCCCGCGCGCGTTCCAGTCTCAGAGTGTAAGAACCCACGGAACCTTGCATCCTTCTCCCTTCTCCCTTGCTCCATCGCTCGTTGGTCTCGGATTTCCATCACGCCATTTTACTCTCTACAATTTGACGAGCAACCGGACGAGTTCCATCAACTACTTTGGTGCTATTTTCGACCAGCAATCGTTTTAAGTTCCAGCTGCATCAAACCCCGAAGCTATCGTCAATCCTCCGTTTCAAATCCGCGATACAAACCCCCACAACAACGAACGCTCGACAACTCGACGCCTCAAGCCTCGGCTTAAGTGACGTCTCCAACGCCCGGACCTGGACCTGTGTGCACGCTCGTGGACGGATCAATTAGACTGGGCGCGGGAGAGACGTCGCTGAAGACCTGGCGGTCTTGCAGGCGATGCGGGGGGAGGCGGGCCTCGAGAATTGATATCATCAAGGATCGAGGTCAGAGAAAGACGGCAAATAATCGCCTCCGACCTGCGAGCCTGGGACTCGTCGAGCTTGTGTACTTCCGCGACGAGTTTCACCCCGTCCCATTCCGAAAGGCCGAAAGGCCAACGCCATCCAACCCTCTCTCGCGCCCGCCTTCAACCCCCGGTTACTAACCCTATTCCGCCCCCGTAGCTTTTTCTTCATTTCTGTGGGCATGGATCCGGTTTTCTTTGTCACCCGCGAAGAGATGCACGAATTCCAGATGGAAATGCGGCGAATGAACCATATCCAACAAACGCATGGCGAACGAATACGTGCAGTAGAGAAACGCCAGGCGGATGATGCCGCTCTCAAGTCTGTGTGGAACTCCCCGTTCCCAAGCGTCCTCGGGGGGACACCTCAGCACGGTAAGTAGCACCCCTACACAAGCCAAGTTCTTGTCGAGCTAAACCGATCACAGGACCGGTGCGCATGCCTTCGAATGACCTGCTTGACGATCTCGCCCGCGATGAACACAATCTGCTCGGGGGGCTGCCTCTCGATACGGAGGACGAGCCGATACGGCGGGGGGCGGCTTCACGGGCCAACAGTGTTCGATTCGACGAAAGCGCTTTACACGGTGCCAACCCCAGTGGCCATGGCGCCCGCCACTCTGGCGACTTCGGCCTCAGCCGCCCTGGGAGCAGCTTCGGGGGTCATCAGATGGAGCGGTCATACTCCCACAAATCAGATGGCAGACACAGCTCCGCAGGGCACTCGGTTCACTCGCTACATTCGGGCATGTCGGGACGTAACGGCAGCTTTGCGCTGGACAATACCTTTGCAGTTGGTGGCCAGGAGGATGATTCGGCCTTGGACATCCCAGAACCGCCTCCCGCCATGTACGTTCTGGGCGCACCGCCATCCATCATCCGCTGCTGGCTAGCCGCCAACTTCACGAATGCCTCGCTGTTGTATGCCGTGGTATGCACGGGGTCCCAGAAATCGACGGTTGAATACTCGCTACTCAGGCAGCTCGATCTCACCAACAACATACATCGGGACGTGGACGGGACTTACAAGGTTACCCTTCCCGTGTTCTTGGCCGAGGCCACCGTCACGCAATCAAACTCGCGGTCCGCAAGCTCAATTCCGCATCTCCCAAGCATCACAGCGTCCTTTGAGGTGACGGGCATGGATCAACAGGAATCGCCCAACTCCTCAAACACCATCCGCATCTTCATTGGCAGCTACACTCTACGCCTGCACGGTGCTGACATTTTGCTTTCTCGGAACCTGATGACACTTTACGGCAGCGACCGCGACAAGCTCTCCGTCCCGTTCGTACGCCCCGAAGATGACGGCATGTTCAAGAACCTCACCACGGGCACCCTGGTGTCGAGCAGGCCGAGACTGAACGCCACCGCCCCGGTGTTTGTCGCTGCTGATGCATCAGTAAACGGCTCCGTTCAGGGTGCCAAAGAAGGTGGTACCTCGGTGTCCGATGGAATGCTGTCGCCGACGGCGCCCTCGAGCCAGCCAGCCAAGACAGCGACCACCAGCGCGGCATCCGAAAGCGGGGAAGAAAGCGAGAAACATACCACACAGCTCCCTGCACCAACCCCCACCGAAGGGGGTTCACAAATACCCGGGTCGATGGAACTCCACCGCCGGGACTCCAACTCGGCCATCCGTACACCATGGCGGCAGGCCGCGGCCGCTCCCGGAGACAACACTACGCCGCTGAGTGGGTATCAGCCAGCGGCGCGGTCTCGGAACATGAAGGTTCTCAAGCCGACCAAGTCACACAGCTCGACGACTAGGACCGGAGCAGCATACGAGCCAGCACCAGCACCTCGCACGGCCACCGACCAGAGGCGGAAGCCACAGGCGGAGGGAGGTTGGGGAAGCACGAAACGCAGTGTGAGCGTCTCCGCCTTGACTAGCCTCGGGGAGGGAAAGCAGACGGTCAAGGAAGGGAAGCAGACGCCCAACAGCCAGGACACGACGGGAAAGGCACCGCTGACTGCTCGGTCCGGGAATAACCCCCTCGGAAGCGCCTCTGCCTTCTCCTGGATCGCGCCGAAGCCGAAGGCGCCTACTAGCACCGACTAAGGTGACCATCACTTGCTACTCTTTGCCCTACGATGGGACGGGCCTTGTTAACGAACGGATGAAAGCCGATTTGGCTAGACGATGAGTGTTTTGCAACGCCGACCTGGTAAGACAAGGAACCAGCAACGGCATTTCAGAAAGCAGATAAACCCCCAAAAAAGTAACCAAATGATCAAAGCAGCTGCTTACAACTTGCCGTGTGCCCTACCTCTTTCTTATCTAGTGTATCAACCCAACCGCATGCGTAATTTATCCCCCTTCTTTCCCCCACCCTCTAACTAACTACCTAGGTAGGTAGGTATGCACATCCAACAACAAAACCACCCCCCCCTTCCTCCGGCTTCCCCCAAACTAAATCTTACTCCCCACCAACCCCTGCAACGCCGCCTTGGTATCCCCCACCGTCTCCTTGATCACCTGAATCATGCCCTTGAACTCGGGAATCCCCGCGTCGCCCATGCACTCGTAGATCCACCCCTCGCTCGTCGTCACCGTCGCCCCGGCCTGCGCCACCCGCGCCAGCGCCACCCCGACCTCCTCCCGGTTCGAGCTGCTCACCCCGTCGGCTAGCACGTACACCCGGTGGCCGGCTGCTAGTAAGTCGAGCGCGGTCTGCGTGACGCAGATGTGCGATTCGATGCCCACGATGGCGACCTCGCTGGGTGTGGGTGTGGATGTGGATGGGGTGGGGGTGAAGTGGGTGTGGGTGGAGATGGGCGGGAGCCACATGCTGAAACGGGTTTTGTCGACGTCGGCGAGGACGAGAGGGCCCGCGGCGGTGAGGTGGGGCTCTGTGTGCCCGTCCCGAGGGGAGGGGGTTGGTTAGTCTTTTTTGCGTCCGTTTTGTTTGTTCTCCTTTTTTATGGAGGTGGTAAAGGGGGGTGATGGCTTGGCGGGAGGACGAAAACACTGGGTGGGGGGGATGAAGGGATACCGAATAACGGGAGGAATGGCGGTGGACGTACGGAGTTCCGAGACGGTGTCGCCGAGACGGGCACGGTTTTGGGTGGTGACGAAGATGGGGATCTGGAGGACGGTGGCGGCGCGGAGGAGCTTGCGCGTCGTGAGGACGCTGGGTTATGTATGAGTCAGTCAGTATGTTCGTGAGATGAGGCTTGGTGAGAGCGAGGAGGGTCGTAGAGGGATAAAGTTAAAAGCGTACACTTTGTCAAACTCAAATATGCTGGGGCGAAACTTTTCTTGCATATCACAGACGCTGGCACCGGGTAAGCAAGATGTCTGTGAGCCTCAATAGGATAGTGAGAGCTCACAATACGGCGGGGTTCTCTATGATAAATGTGTCAGTGAACGTGTTGGTCAGGGGAGCAAGAAGGGACTCACTAAGCCGCCGCTCCGGAGTAGGGACAGTCATGGTGGGCGGGCAGGTGACTATTCTAGAGGCTGGATATTTGAGGGAAACGACTCAATGAGCACTCGGCCAAGATGTATGGTGGTTGTTTTAAGTCCGGGCTCTTTTTAAAACAGGCACATGGAGCTGCAGCACGCGTGGATCCAGTCTGGGCCTGACGCGGGGCAGCGGATCGGACCCGACCGGAGGGGAGCTTGGGGTAACTCCATCCGGTACCCCGCAATTCACGTGGCAGGCAAACAGAGCTCGGGAGGTGGATATCGGGGATGCCAGAGATATGCAAGGTGGAATGGGGGGGAATGGTTTGTCTAGTAATACAGCTATACAACGTTCCTGACCTTTGCCCTCCCTAGCCAAGACAGGTCTTTACTCGCCGTGGCCTGTCTGAGGAGGTATAACTCGTCCAAAAAGGCCGGGACAAAGCTGCCCGGACCTCTAACCTCGGGCCGGGAGGCAGCGACCTCGGCGGCGATCTCGAAATGTAGAATGGCTGCGATGACGGCAACTAGCCTATCCGTCTTACGCGAGGCTATAGCAGCCGAGATAGTTGTCCCCAGCGTACAGCCCGTCCCCGTCACCATTCCCAGATACTCGTGCCCGTTGTCGATGGCAAAAGTCCGGACTCCATCACTTACGAAGTCTGTCTTGCCCGTCATGACGACCACGTTCTTCTCTCGTGCGGCAAGCTCCCTCACCAGTTTGGCTTTCTGGGAGGCATCTAGCGTGCTCGAGCTGTCGACCCCCCGTTGCTGCTCTTGGCTGCTGCCAAATACCGTCTTGATTTCCCCCTCGTTGCCCTTGATGATGTCGAGATAACCGTTGGCCATGATGGTCTTGACGGCTTCACGCCGGAGAGATGTAGCGCCAGCGCTGTAATAGTCAGTCACCTGGTGCTGGGGCTAGGTGGTCAGCGAGACATACCCCACTGGGTCGAACACGACCGGTCGTCCTTCTAGGTTGTACGCTTTGAGTGCTTTCAGGTAGTTCATCAGCCCATTGGGGTCGACCGAGCCCATGTTGATGACTAGGGCACCCCCAAGTTTACACAAATCAGGAGCCTCCTCCCCGTAACCGGCCATGATAGGCGATGCGCCGACGGCCAGGGCGACGTTGGCAGCAATATTTTGTACAACCTGTTGTACATCGTTAGCGGTTACGTTTAAATGGTAGGACGGGGCACAGCTACAATGTTGGTCATGTTGTGGGAGAGCGGTGTAGTCTCGTGGACTCTTTGAAGGACGGACGGCGCCAGGTCAACCACGGATTGTGCGTCCGCAATGTCCGAGTCCTTCCCCCTGATATCAACTTGGAAGGCCGGCGGACTCTTGACCAGCCTAAGGAGCTTCTTTGAAGCGGATTCCGGATCGTAAGCCGCCATTATGGCGCTTACTATCGCAACACCATCTAAACTCTTCTTCTCTGCGGCGCACTGAAACACAATACGTTGTAGGTTGGACTCGTTGACACCACCGATGCAGACGGTCTCAGTCTTGTGCCCCGCGTCGGCGATTTTCCCTAGGATCTCACGCACGCCGGCGGCACCAATGATCTCTTTAGTGTTGGTCTTTCTGGGAACTATGTTAGCGGGCGGTAACCACTCGAGATAAACAAAAGATCTCACGTTGGGGTGGCATAAACGGTACCGATGCCGAGATAGTCGGCGCCACCTTCACATGCCTTGAGTGCCTCATCAATAGTGCTGGCCGTGACTCCAATGATCTTATCCGGCCCTAAAAGCTTCCTTGCGGTTGATAGATCTGAAGACTGATTAGTGGGCCTCATTCAAAAGTGAAGTGAATAAAACGCTCACGCACCCATATCGTCCTGGCCGATGTGAATGCCCTCACAGCCGACAGCCAGAGCCACATCGACACGGTCGTTGATGAGCAGCGGTACATTGTACCTCTTTGTGATCTCATGTAACGCCTTCGCCTTTTCGATCAACTCTGCCGTATCCCCCTTTTTCTCACGGAGCTGAACAATAGTGACTCCCCCCTTGAGTGACTCCTCGACGACCTCATTGAGGTTTCTATCGCCGAGGATGGCGGGGGTCGAGTCAGTGACCAAATACAGCCCATAATCCACTTCTGGTTTTCCCATCATGAATTCGGAACTTTTCTGAAATTCGAGGTCGGATGGGTCAACAATAACCGGGATCAAGCCATGAGGTGAAAGCCCGGAAGGATGGAAGCTGTCCGGGACCGGAGGGTGGGGTGAGTGGAGCACGAGGGGTCGATATCATCATCGTAACTTCCATCCTTCCACATTAACGACGAAGCGGAAATGAAAATCAGGATATTCCATGCTGATCGTTTATTGGAGGCTCTGCTGCTCTCGCTCCAAGGAGATACTTTATTCGAGGGGTACAGCTACCTAACCACATCCTACTAGATTCCATCCCAGGTTGGGGTAAAACTACCTAACCTCCAACGCTCCCTCTCCCTCAAGTACTCGCCGGTAGAATAAAGAAGGTGGTGATTGACCGCGCCGCCACCGACCCCGAGATGGTACCGTCATCTGCCAACGTCGCCGGCGTAGACGCGCAGTTCCTCGTGTTATCCGAGACAAACGCCTGTACCGCAGCCGCCTTTGCACCCCCAGAGATCTTGACATTAACACTCGACGCCGACCCTCCCGAGCTAATAGCCACCACGGCAATCGTGCCATCCTCATTCCGAAAAGCTGCCGTGCGCACCCCATTCCCACCACCACTCGACCCGATCCTCACCGCGCCGGGGCGCACGTAGCGCGACCAGTTGGCAAACGCCCACAGCCGGCGCGAGGCCTCGTACGTGTTGGTGCTGTTATCAACACGGATCAACTTCTCGTTAGTGTTGGGGTTCGGCCACTGCACGCCCTCCCAGTACAGGAACCCGGAGACGTTGGTGTTAACGACGGCGTTGTAGACGTTGTTAGCCCACGTCAGCCCTTCGCCCGCGCCGCCGTTGGCGTACCACGCCGTCGTCCACTGGCCGTTGAGGTCGCACTGCTCCGACATCCACACCGGCGCGCGCGTATTCATCGCCCCGCCCCCGCCCGTATACGTATGCGACGTGACCGCCGCCAGCATGCCCTCGGCCACGGCCGCCCGGATCTGGTTCACCATCTGGGCCTGGTTGCCCCACCCCATCGAGTCGCAGCAGGTGATGCCCACCTGCCCCCCCAGCCCGGCCGCCTCGAGCGTCGGGTGCAGCACCTTGATGAAGTCGGCCGCCTGGTTGCCGTTGGACTGCATCGACGCGTAGCTGGCGCTGAAGTCGGGCTCGTTGAGGAACCCCAGCCGCGTCACGTTGACCCCCGCCGCCGCGTAGAACTTGACGTACGCCACCAGGTAGTCGGCGTACGCCTGCCGCCAGTCCCCCGACGAGCACCCCGCCCCGGGCACCCCGCATAGCGTCCCGCCGTTGGTGTCGCGCCCGTTGGTCTTCATGTACCCCGGGGCGCTCCAGGCGTCTGCGGTGCGTCTTGTGTCAGCAAACAACCCCCCCCCCCACTCCTCTTCCTCGGCAAGAAGGCAAGACTCACTCGCGTAGATGCTCTTCACCCCGTACAACTCAACCGCCTGCTGCGACACCCACAACTGGCCGCTGTCCTTGCCGTCCCACTGATACTTGGGCTCGGCGTTCGGCCCGCCGGGGTTGGTGGGAGCGATGGTGTTCATGAAGTCGGAGTTGCTGTTGGGGGTCGACCCAATGCCGTTGCGGAGGATGCTGAACCCGGCGCCCGTCGTGCGGTTGAACAGTAGGTCCAGCAGCTCGCGCTGCTTGGCCTTGTCTGACATGTTGGTGATCAGGTTGGCGCGCTGGAACGCTAGGCTGAAGCCGAAGCCATCCATGCGCTGGTATGTCCTGGCGAGGTCGACGGTGATGGTGTTGGCCTGTCGCGCCCCGAGTGTGCTGGTGCTGTCGGGGGTTGCGCCGGCGCCGCTGATGGCTGCTGCCGCGGTGAGGAGGGTTGCGGTGAGGCGCATGCTGGGCGGGTGGTGGGTTTGTAGTGTCGACTGTGCTGGTTGACTGGCTGTCTAGAGAAGGTGACCTCCCAAGGCCGCTGATGTCGACGCTAGCCCATATATATGAAGTGGTAGGTTGCAAATGCCATTTCCTCTCCACTCTCGTCCTCGTTTCTTCAAACTTACCTTTCCCCCTCCGTAGGCCCGTCACTAAACCTCCTCCACTAAGTGAGTGTTGGTAACGCTCGTATGGAGCATATTAATTGCCCTCGGTCGAGGCTCTCCTTGTATCGTAGCTCACAATTTCAATCCCCCAAAATTACCTTTATGCCCAGTCCCTTCGTCCAGAAGGGAGAGCCCGAGCCTCCAAAGATCTGTTTGAGTTTACCCAGCCAAATGGATGAGGCGAGCCAAGGTAATCACAGGCAGTCTGGTGCCCACCAATCCGTCGCTGGTGTCACTGTATAAGCCAGAGGCTGCCCAAGGACGGGTAAATTCATGGTCTGGCAGGACATCGTGAGACGGGGGAGGCGAGGACGAAAAATGCCCGACGCGGCATGCACGAAATCTCCCGAGGGGTCCATTACAACGTGCTTCGGGACTAAATGTGTGGGGTTTGGGTCCCTTTGCTCCCGTTTCTTAACTACCGTCTACTATCGCGAAGGAGAAGTAGCCAGGTTGGTGGTATTCGGCGGCATGGAGTACCCTACATTCGATACTTCTGAGTGACGGAATCTAGAAGCCCCGAGAGTAAACCCACGAATCACCACGCGTTTGGCATCATGGGACATCTAGAACTTTGACCTTTTTATTGTACTGCCTAGAGACGACCTTTTGGGACGGTACCCCCCTGGACCTGGCGGACCGTACCCCGTCAAGCCCGTGATGCCACCCATATAAAAGCCTAGCCCTCGTGTGTGCACCTCCCTTGTTTTCGCTCGGATCCATCAATCCAATCAGCAACGCAGTCGAATCCACCAGGGGAGGGTTGAAAAGTGGTAAATAAGTATATAAAATTGTATTATCCTTATATTAACCCTCCTTGCTCAAACTATTCTGGAAAGTTCAATGGCTAAGCTAACTTAAGAGTTCCTTGGATGTGAAGTCTTACAAAAATGACCCGGTGCAACCCCCCCACAAGTGTATAGGAAGAGGTCTCTACATTTATCCTCTAATAACCTTTCGAGGTGGGCTCGGTAATATACCTACTATAAATAATTCAAGGTAACAAAGTCCCGATTTCCTCGGTTCTATTACTATTTGGAAGCAGCTCAAAAATAGGTAAGGGGGGGTAAAGGCAGTAAGTAACCTTTACGAGTTTTACTGTAATAATTATCGAGTATCAACACCTTCTAAGTAGGATTGAATTTTACCCGGGTATCGTAGCTTCATACACAGAGAGTCGAGGTGTAGTTACAGTTGGATAGTAAGCTATAGCTACAGCCAACCCACAACCCAGTGCCTAGTTGCGACGATGGCGACGCCGAGCCCCGGCGTCCCACCACTTTTCAACCCTCCCCTGGTGGATTTGACTGCGTTGCTGATTGGATTGATGGATCCGAGCGAAAACAAGGGAGGTGCACACACGAGGGCTAGGCTTTTATATGGGTGGCATCACGGGCTTGACGGGGTACGGTCCGCCAGGTCCAGGGGGGTACCGTCCCAAAAGAAAAAGGTTGCCTCTTTTGTTACCTGCTCTATCAACTTGCCCACCCAAATGCCCAGTTTTCTTTTTTAGGATATGCCCCATGAGTTGGTTTGCAATGATCCCACATGCCCCTTTTTGTGAATAACCGACCCCATTTTTGTCTTCCAGAAGGAGCATACCAGGGGTGAGGCGTCCAAGCCAATTAGATGGAGAGCTGCGCTGTCGAGGCCTTGTCGAGCGATTCCTTGTACGCAGCCAGCTTCTCCGCTACCTCACCGTGGCAGTAGTCTTCGACAATCTTGGGGCAATTGCCGATGAACAGCTTGGGGTCGACCAGGCTGTCGATCTCACTCCAGACGGGCTACAGAATCGCGTTAGCTTCGTTGTACACCGTTCGTCTGCTTCTCTAGGAAACTCGCCTTGAAGAATTCAGTCTTCTTGACCCGCTCGAGGAGGTCGTTGCGGCCGCCCTGCTGCTTGACAACATCGCTGGCTTGGTGAGACTGCCACCTGTTAGCATCTGGGCGGGGGCGGGGGCGTGCCTTTGGGGGGTGGAGGGGTAGACAGGTTTCCTGACATACCAGGACGCGGATCTCCTCGTGGGCCTCTTGGCGAGAGACACCGTGGGTCGAGAGTTTCATTAGGATGGACTCGGTAGCCACTGCTAGGGTCAGCACAAAACGCCAGAAATAGGGACCCAGCTGACGTACTGAAAGGGAGCTCCTGGTCGAGACGGGACCGAATAACGTTGGGGTAAACGACCAGACCGTTGGTCACATTATCCAGTGTAAGAAGGATAGAGTCGGCCAGCAGGAACTACACGTTGTGAGCATAGTTGCGTAAATATATGGGAAGTGGAAACCAACCATCTCCGGGATATCCATCCGGCGGATGGCGCCTGGGGCAGTTAGTACCAAATGGAACAGCGGCATCCGAAAGGGGCAGTAAACAAATCCTGGGAACCAAAAAGGGGGTTAAGGGTTAGGGTTGTATCCGGGCAAACTCACTGTCATCAAGACTGCGATCCATGTCAGCTTTCTACACGAAGTTACTAGGCCCGAGGTTTCACTAACGTTCTCTCAAACCACTGTGTTTCGAATGTGGCCGTGAAGTTGGCCGGCAGGCGGGCAAGCTTGCGGCCAAGAGCAGTGATGCGTTCAGACCTCATGGGGTTGCGCTGGAGTATGGTTAGCGGGCGTTCCTTCGGGCAGTTACCAACGGGGTCTTACCTTGTAGGCCATGGCCGAGCTTCCCTAGGTACAGTTAGCAACCGAGTCCGACTGCCAGGGGAGAGTTACGCCTTCTTACAATCTGGCTCTTCTCAAACGGCTCCTCCATCTCCTTCAGGTTGGCCAGGTGACGGATGTCGGAGCAAATCCGCTCGGCGGTCGCACCGAGGGCGCAGACAGCATTGGCAACCCGGAGGTCGACCTCTACGGTGTTAGTTAATTGTAAATGCCCCACAAAAAGAAGCGCGCACCTTTCTGGTGTAGGTCTGGGTGGAAATGGCGTAGGTGGACGAGAATCCAGCTTTCTTGCAAAGGATCTAAGTATACGTTAGTCAACGGCCATTGGGGAGCTGGAACAGTTGTTGCCTACCTCATTGAGCCGCACGATCTTGCTGGCATCCCCCTCGAAAAGTTCGAGGAAGGTGGCTTGAGAGCCGGTAGTACCCTGAGCACCCCTGAACTGAAGCTTTTCGCGGACAGTCTCGATGTCTTCCAAGTCCATCATGAGCTCTTGAATCCACTGTGCGGCACGCTTTCCTGTTTGGATATTAGCAACCGGAAAGAAGAGAATTTCATGGTCATAGTGCCGTGAGCCGTACCAACAGTGATGAGCTGGGCCTACAGCGATCGTTAGCAAGCTTAGGTGCGCATCCGGAGGGGATTTACGAACCGGTTGGTAGTGGGTGAACCCTAGCGTGGGCATGTCCTTGTACTTGAGGGCAAACTCCTGGAGGTTCTGGATGACTTTGGCCAGCTTAGGAAGAATGAGGTCCAGAGCACGCCGCATAAAGATCAACTCGGTATTGTCGGTGACTGTGCAACCTGTCAGCGTTCCGACAAACATGGGGGAGGCATCGGAATCAAGGGGCGAGTCCCCCAACATTGGCCAACGCCAAAGTGTGACTGACCATAGCAGCTTGTTGCCTGTGACGTGTTAGGGACGATCCGTAACGTTGTGAGGTTGGCTTTAGGGAGGAATTGAGCCTGTTATTGACTCTTTGTCAGGAGTCTCACTTACACCGAGGTGAATATAACCTGCCGCGGCGGGGGCATCCTGAATCTTCTCGTTAGCTACCCCAGTTCAGGGAATCATGCGGAAACCATCCTCTAAAGGACTGGGACGCCGTACAACTCCCATCGAGAAGACTGCGGACATGACGTCGTGTCTAGACTTGGCCTCGTACTCCCGCGCCACGTCGAAGGCGTGGTCTGACACCACTATGTTGGCGCGCATCTGCTCGATGGCTTCATCCGGAATAGACAGCCCCAGTTCTTTCTCAGCCTCAGCAAGCCAGAGCCAGAGCTGACGCCAGGTACTGGCCCGCGAGCGGGCGGAGAACAAAGAGGTCATCTCAGAAGATGCATATCTCGTGTTGAGGGGGGTCTGAGGTTTGTGTTAGCGGGCTTTATTCTTCCTTTGGAGCAAGGTGCAGTTGGAAACTTTCCTGGTAACTGTCGTAGCTCGACATCTTGACGTTCCTTTGACCGATGTCTTGTCCTGCGTTCAAGTTTCTAAAGTCGAGGTTTGGGTGTGGGCGTTGAATAGAAAAGGCGCTGAACAGGGAGGGCGTTGAAAAGAGAGGCGAGCGGGGGGGGGGAGTTCATCACTTTTTGTTCAGCCCCACCCCACTTGAGATATCGCTCAGTAAACGAACCCTAACCCTAGACTACCGAGGAAAGAGAGGGAATAAATTCCCACCGCATAGGTAGCGCAGTCGTCGTAAATTCCCAAGTCGGCTTCTTTCTTCTAGCTAAGGGGGTAGTTAGTGGTTAAGGGTGGATACAAGGCCCAAGATAAAATAAAAAATAAAAAAAGACCTAAAAGCTCACCAGCTACCCCGTCTAGGAGGTGGCCGGACCTACGAAAAGCCCCTAAAAGGAGGTTTTCTCCATGCCTGAGGCTGGGGGGGCGGCGTCCCGGCCCCGTGCTCAGAGAAGCTAAGCAGTGTCAAGGCTCGAACTCGTGCCGCCTCGTCAGGAGGGGGGTGGGAACTCGTTGCCCGGTGGGGGAGGATCACCGCTGAATAATTAGCGATCGGCTATCCGAACGGTGGGCGGTGGTCCTCGTTGGAAATCAGAGTCACGAACTCAATACATATAGTGCATCTTTCCATTTCTAAAACAACCAACTCGTAACTTGCCGTGCCAGTTATACCCCCAGTGCCGGTCACCTGAGCTACGGTTCACATGCCACCAATAAAGTAATTTAGGCAGCAGCAGCAACATAAAATTGGGAAAAGCGATAATTCCAAGGTCTCGAATTCTTATTTTCGACTCCGTTATATGATCACTTCCTCCCCCTTCTTCTTCGCCCTTTTCTTCCACCTTTTCTTCTTCTCCTTTTTCTCCTCCCTTTTCTTCGCCCTTTTCTTTCCCCCTTCTTCTTCTATTTCTTTTTTCCTTTTCCCACTTTTCTCCTCCCTTTTCTCCTCCCTTTTCTCTTTTTCTCTTCTTTTCTCCTCCCCAAAACGACATTAGCCTCCTTGTCAGGAACACTTTAGACATAAGGGCGTCCCTTCGTCGGCTGAGAGCCAGCCCTGATGTGGCCGTTTTTGTCGACAACAAAGGCGGCTGGGCTGCCCGGGCCGTCTTGCCGTACCGGTGGGAGCTCATCGTCGTCGTCAGCTTCATCAGAAAGATCGCAAACAACAACTCGACGTCTTCCTCGCCAGGTACATTGCTAACGGCAACCCGCCATCCTCGCCGGGTGTCTCCTCACCCGCCTATGTGCGATCTTCTTTCACTCTTGGCCGAAGTGCGCGGGAGTGGAGGTTGGCAGTGAAGAGAGCAGACTTGGAATGGGTCCCCTCTGCAGCAACATTATCTTTTTGGTAGTCAGGTGTAGGGGTAGGGGCGTCTTTACAGACCTTCTGCTTCAGCGGTTAGGCTGCTGGCTTGCCGCCCACCACGTCTCTTTGCCGAATCAACGTTTAGTAGGAGGCTGGCCGGATGCCTTCCTCTCAAGGACAACAGCCGAGTCTTGCGGAACAAAAGCATTAGACCAGGCGCTTTAGCTTGGGATTCCACATGGCTACTGACAGGGGGTAATTGACAACATTCTACAGCACTGTTTTGAAGAGGAAAAGAAAAGAGACCTCAGGCCGCCTTCGGTCCGAAGGGTTAGCGGCTTGTCGGATTTGAGCGCTTCAGATTTCCCGCCGTGAACCAGCCTACAAGTCTCCGGATGCCATTGTTTCCTGAGAGTTCCTGTCCAGTTTGTATCGGAATTGCTGACGTGCCAACTTGACTGTCTGAGACAGATTGTGGTCATGTTTTTGGGCGGAAAGACATCCCGACATGGCGAGAAGGAGCGACCGACTGGCGGTTGGTTGTGAATCCGGGAAAAACGAAGCTAACCGTCCGGGGCAAGGGAAATGCAGAGTAACCACCAGTATTACTGGAGCCATCGTTGTCGTCATTGGCACCGAGGTTCGTGATTTCTTCTTATTTTTCTTTTGGCTCGTGAGATGACCGAGTCTCGTTGGTGAGAAGAGGGGGTACTGAGCGAGGTACTGTACCCGGTTAGGCCTTGGCAACCCCACCACTGTGCGGCCCGGGCCGGCGGCCAAGCGGAAAGAGGCAATATCAAGGTCGATCGCGTGTGTGGATGGGAAAACCTGCCCGAGAGTGCAACAGTTTCAGGCAAGCTTGAATCACAACCTGAATGAAATGTAACGAGGGTCTCTAGGTTAAGTAATATGTAGTAAAGGTAGTTCGCTGCAGTTCAGAGACAGTGTAGAGATAGAGGCAAGAGAGAGAAATAACAGGTCATTATTTATGTGCGAGTCGAGGCTGTTGATTTTGGTCGCATCTTAATCGGGTTGTGGTCTTTGGAATGGGGATAATTCGTACCTTCCTGCCTGTTGCAGCGATTTTCTGGATCGCGAGGCGCTGTAATTGGTCGGCGCGAGTTGTGTGAATTTTGGTGACTAAGTTGAGAAGTTCTCCCATTCAATCTCATCCTATTCTGACATTTATTCTGTTTCCAACTTTTTCTTTCGCCCACAACTCGATGACGAGAGAACAACTACCACCACCATAACAGCCTCAAAAGCTGTTTTCATCCCTTCCACTTCTTCTTTTCTCTTTTTTTTCTTTTCATAAAAGAAATTCGATATTGAATGTGCGCGCGCGTCTCTCTCGTTAGTCGCTTGTTCTCTTCAGAGACAAGCACTATTCCGATCGTCGGTTTACCGACGATCAATCTCGGTGGTGGATTTCGTGGCGGTGGTGTAAACGCCAGAAAGGTATGTTACTTCCCAGAGATGGACTCGTTGTGGATGTTTTTACGTATACTTTACTGAGTCTCGCAGGTTCATATCCAACGATCGCCGTGTGCCTCGTTTAGACGACAGGCTCTTTTTTGCTCGGTTTACCGTGGCAATATTTGTGAGTGCTTGTTTATTCAAGTTGCACCTTGTTTTGCTAACGGTTCGAGAGCCTTGAACCGCACTCAGCAGTCGTCGTCTGCTCTCCTTGGCGGCAGACCTTTTATAGGACTGGTCCTGACGATACCGGCAAGTACCTGTTCGTCTATTCTCCAACCCCGTTTATGCTGACCGCTTTTTAGTCCATATAAACGACGAGATGAATTCCGGAGGGTCCAATCAACAGACGCCGGCTGCGGCTCCGCAGACAAAGGCCGTTTGGTTCAAGCACTGCGTAGTGTTGGGCGGCGGCGGCGGTGACGGCGGCGACGGCGGCGATCCTTCCATTCCCGTCATCGCTGGTGGCCACCTTCTTGGCTCCCAAACCTCCTTGATTCGTGCCACCGCGGTATCCTCGCGGCACCCGCACGCCAACTCGTGGGTAGGATTCGACCTCCGCTTCCCGCTGCCACTAGGGCAAGCGGTGAACGAGGAGATGGGTTTCGGTGTGAGGTATAACCGTAGGTGCTGTCGTGTTAGTTGTAGCCGAACATCGTAGTGCTAACCATTCCTAGTTGACCGGAAGATTGAAGGCGGTCGAGGGCTCTCCCAATCGGTATGTCAAATTCGTGCTCTTTATCTTTCAGAGGCTCCCGAAACAGCCTTCTATTACCAGGCTACCCCTATTACCCCGAATTGGAAAAGTGTCTGACATCGTTGAGTAGGAGGAATACACGCTCACCATCAAGTTTCCGCGTGGTCAAATCGACATGACCGTTGAGCAGGCCCACCCTACGATTGTAAAACGGTTTCCTGGTGCCGAGAAGCTGTCCTTCGTTTCGGTCCGCCTGCATGAGCAGGGACGTGTTCGGGTTGACGGCTTTGGCATGCCGTACAAGAACCCAGAGCATCCGGAAGCCGAGGGGTGGGTCAACCGCAACACCACCATGGTGGAAAACATCACGCTGCTGGACTTCCTCGCTGGGAGGTCGTTCCTTTTTGCAATGGGGGTAACTCCTGCAACCATCAACAAGGAATGGAACGATGCGCGCCTCCCCCCGCCGTTCAGTTATCCCTACGGTACTGAACACCATTGGCCGCCTGCGCACAGCGGGGCCACAAACCTGACGCGCTACGTCGAGCTTCTCGAGAGGACGAAGAACGCGGAGATGTTTCGGCCAGCGTACAGGTAAGAATTTGTTCATGAAATTTCCGAAGCGCGATGCTGACCGGCTGCAATCTAGCTATGACGACGATAATTCGCACGTTGCTGTCGTTACGCAGTCTGTCATTCAGGATATCTTCTGGATTCACCAAGCATCCGAGGCTATCGAGGAGGTCAGTTCACCGGCTTATCTTGTAGAGCGCGACCGTGGCCGCTACTTCGTCATTGTCGCTACAACTCGGGAATTCATGGGTCGGTACGACGCTGCCTGGGGCCGGCTGGCCAAGGAGTGCGAAGTACGCCTGGTTTTCCATGACGAAGTAGAGGGCAAGGCAAGAGTCTCCGAAACTTGGTATGTTGCCCGGCCACATACAGCACGCAAGTCCGCTAACTACAGTGACAAGGAACTGTACCATCGTCGAGCATCCTGACGACGACCTCCGCACCAACCACCCCGTCGAGGCACACGAGGTGATCCTTCAGGCGCAGGTATCGGGGCCTAAAGACTCCAACTTTGTGCCTAAGGTGTTCACCAATCGCGGTTTGGCCGACGGGGCTAGAGCAAAGGCGACGGGTTAGCACTCCGTCTCCCTCAAGTTCCCTATCGACCTCAAAGATGCCGCCCGCAAGGTTTCCTCTGCTTGCCAATACCTCCCTACCGCGGAGCCAACCCATGTCCTCCCATACCAGCTCAGCCCGGCTGAGATTGCCGAGCAGGAAGACCGTATGGCTCTACACCGCGCGGTTATGAGGGGGCAAGGCTTCTACGACTGGATGACGCGCCCGGCCCTAAAGGACGACCTCGTCCAGATGATGGCCCCCGTCTCCCTAAGCGAAATGCCTAGACCTACAACTCGACCGCTCCCTGTCGTTAACTACCTCGGCTGTAAAGATGAGGCGTATATCAATGCGCTATTCCAGGAAGTACTCCCTGGTGACCGAGCTCCATTCCGTGAGTACCTGAAAAACAGGACTCTAGGTATTGGCGTCATCACCGCGGTAAGTTGAATACATATTACTATGTACTGAGCTTTGCTGACGTATCTCCCCTCCAGGCACCGGGCTTCGGCAAGACGACGTTGATGTCGGTTGCGGGTCTCGCGATGGAGGCTACGCTCGGCCAGGTTCTAGCTTCCGGTTCATGCAACGTTTCTGTGGACAATCTCGCCCGTCGCATAGATCGGACTTCTCGATCTGTCTGCGCCCGCTACAACCAGGGTAAGGCACAGGATGATCCAACCCGCGCGCGCCACGGGTTGGTTGTCCGGGGGTACAACATGCAGCGCGAGGTCAACGCAGCTATGGGGATGCTGAAGGACCCCGAATTTGTCCCGCGGACCCAGCCGGGGAAGCGGAAGAATCCCTGGACGCTGGAGCTCTCGGCCGCCTACTGGCTGCTGGTCCTACTCGGGTGTCGTGGGAAACGGTTTGGTGCTCTCCACCCCGACGATAGCGAGGCCCTCCACCACTTGCAGGAAGTGTTCAACAGCCGCGAGGATCTCGCCAGTCTCCGTGCGGTCGCCACCGGTAAGTTGACCTGCCAAGAATTCTCGGAAACCGAGGACATGACCCTCCTCGTCAAGTCCGTCCTTCCAAACTTGATAGGTATGATCATCGAGGTCGCCGACTTCCTAGCGATGACCCCGGCCCAATCGGTCAAGAGTGGCTATCGGACCTGGGTAGAGCGTACTGCTCAGGGCGTTCTGGTTGACGAGGCGGGCAATATGCACCGGAGCGATCTTGGCTGTATCTGGGGGAATTGCCTCCTCCCGGTCTTCTTCGGCGGCGATACACGCCAGCTCCCACCAACCGTACTGACAGGTTAAGAAAAGGATTCCGAAGGGAATCTTTATAATCGCCTCGCCGAAGACGGTGGAATCTCCGCGTTGGCCTTCCTGATCGCCAGCGGGTTGCCGATATACCGTCTCCGGGTACAGCTTCGGATGGCGAACGGGCTCTTCGACTGGGTGGCCGAGCACCTCTATCACGAGGTCAACTTTACCTACGCCCAGTCGTGCTCCATCAACCGGCCCGAGTTCCAGGCCGGCCATATCCTGGAGAGACTGATGCAGAAGCATTCATCGGTCCGCCCGCCCCCTACCGGCAAGCTGCTCCCAGTGTTTGTGCACTGCGAAGGTGCACGCGTCCATGTTGACGAGCGTACCGGCTCGAAGCAATGCCGGGGGCAGGTTATAGTCGCCCTAGACATCGCGGCCGATCTTGTCAGGGAGGGGGTCGACCCTACCAAGATTACCGTCCTCTCCCCTTACACAGCTAACGGTATGTTGAACCCTGTGTATTTTATTATTTTCTCCCGTGGTCCGGGTACTGCTTCCTTAGAAGCTCTGGAAACGACACTACACTCCCCGGCACTTCAATGAGAGAAGAGCAGATATCTAACATTGTTGGTAGTTCATCTTATCCGGGAACTGCGCGACCTGCCCGCGTACAGGGTGCTCGTCCCGATGGGCGAAGCGTTCACTGTCGACTCCTTCCGGGGCCAAGAAAACGACATCATCATCGTCGTGATGGGCACGTCGTTCCCCCAGCCCGGTCCCGGGTTCACGACGGACCCGCACCGTCTCAACGGCCTCCTGACCCGGCAGAGGTGCGGATTGGTGGTCGTAGGCAACGTCGACCTCCGGGGCCCTGGCAGCAACGACGGCTGGGGAGCTGGAAGTTGGAGGGGCAAGACCAAGGGTGGGAGGGCGTTCTTGGCTATCTCGCCGACGGGCGAGAGAAGTTGGCTGTCGGCCCCAATGCTGCAGCACATCCACCGCCGCATGATTGACAGCGGCCGTGTTGTGAGGATGATCGTTGGGGCAGACGCCCGTTAGGAGCCCATCGGGCTGTGTATAGTTATGTAGATAGTTGCTGATATGTGGAATCTGTGCTCGGACCCGTCGAAGAAGTGATATCGGGATCAAACTAAAGAAGTCGCTCTTCGAATTTCCGTGTATTCTGCTGCTCAGAAGCATCGATGCAAGCAGCCGGCCGATACGGTCTGCGGGTAGCGCCCTCCGCCACGCAACCTTGAAGGCATCGGGGGTAAAGGGGGTGAATTAGAGACAAAAGGATAAATAAACGGGAAAGGAAAAGGGACGAGAGGAAAAGAAAGAGAAAGGAAAAGGAGAAAAAGGAAAAAAGAAAAGATGGGGAGGGAGCGAGAAGAAAGGGCAAAAAGGTAGGGTAAAGAGGAAATAAAAAGGGGGGGAAGGGAAGGAGGTGGAGAAGGAAAACGGGGCAATAAAGTAGTAATACAATATGTGGATGGAGGGTTAATTACTTTTGTTTTTATTTTCGATATAAAGGTAACAACATACATTAATTTTGAGGATATTCGCAACCCTAAATACTACTTGTGCTTTTTCGAGCTCGAGGATCGTGCTCATATCTGAAACACGCGCTAGGATCATTGTCAAAGGGATAAGTAACACCCTATAGTCTTTTCTAAGGTCGAGACGGGTCTATATGCTGTGGGGTAGGCACAGAAAGAGAGGCGCGAGGCAGTTGAGGAGGCAGAGATGACCTTGATTCTAGGAGTTCTTCCCCCTTGGTCTAGGTAGTTTCCAAAGCCACCGTGTTTAATATCCACAGCCGAACAGCAGTGACCGGCTTTCTAGTTCTATGTTGTGTATAAAGACTCCTCCGTCATGGCGTAGTTGTTGAAGATGGTAGTCCAGTCGACAGCGTCACCAGTCAGAAATGAATCCCATGACGGGTCTGCGTCTTGCCCTTGCCACCCAAAGTCCTCCAGCAACTCAACCGCAGCGTCTGATAGTGTCATGGGTGCCGGGTCGTACACTCGGGCGACCTGCGAAGCCGCATATTCACTGTCCACCTCGCTGGTCTGTTGGGAAACCTTCGGTTAGCGGCCATCACCCCCTGTTGTTGTTTTGGGATTCTGAAAGACTCACTTGAAGAAGGTCTATGACGTGGCGGAGCTTGCGGGCGAGTCTCTGGTAAGGGTCCTCCGAGTCTCCCAACTGCCCCGCCGGTGACGCGCCACTCCCCCTCGCCCGCTTCCGTTTTGCAGCCATGCATTCCATGCGGTTCATCAACTGCGACATGTGTGCTAGAGTCACGCGTAGAACGTCAGCTTCGGCACCTCCCCATCACATTCCACACGCGTCATCACCTACAGTGTGTCTGCAGCTCCTCCCTCACCCTCGCCAGGTCGAGTCCCGGAATCTGGATGGTCGAGAGCTTGAGCATGATCAGGAAGGCGTAGGTCAGGTCCAGCGACGTCGCGCAGATGAAGCGCGGGTAGTCGTCGGGCACCCCCGAGTATCGCTGCACCATGAAGGCGTCGACGAGCCGCACGCATTCCCACAGGAGCCTGATCCGCTCCGCGTTGGTTTCCGCCAGCCTGAGATCCGCGGAGCCCGGGTCGCCGGGTGGGGTGGCAAAGGCGGAATGGCAGAGCTCCTCCATGCTGCTCTCGTAGATCATGATCTTGGCTACGAAGAAGTGCCCTTCCAGGGAGGCTGCGGCGACACGTCAGTATGGAATCATGCTAGGGGTGACGAGCGGGGAGACGCACGGTTGGTCCTGATGTGTGGTGGTAGGGCGGCGACAAACGCGCGGATCCGCTCCTGCATGCTTTGGATGAAGGTTTCTTGAGGTACCCGGTTCTCGCTCGGGACTGCCTTGCGACGCTCAAATCCCTGCGTGATGCTCTGGGACAGCTGTTGCGCCCGGGAGAGGTGGACGAGCAGCTCGTCTGTGGGATACTCCATCTGATTCAAGAGTGCTCGGTAGCATGTTGCCAGATACGGCGAGCTCACATTGTTCATGAGGGCGTCAGGCCGCTTGTTGGTTGTGAAGGTACTGTGAAGCCGTTGAGTAAGGGGCTTCGCCAAGGGGACGGCAGGCCAAACGAAGGGGGCTTACAGGGTCACCAGATAGTAAGTCCCAACAAATGCCCGCATTCGCTCGAGGCTCTCGGTGCCGTATCCTTCCTTGCCCGGCACACCTTTAACCTCGGCGGTACCTAGGGTTGTGTTTATTGACCGGGCGAGAAAGAGCAACCGCGTCATATGCAAGCTCTTGAGGTTATGGTGATACCTTTGCGAGCCACGAGGCGACGGTTAGCGTTGGAAGAAAGACAAAACTTCTGGCCATTCAGAAGAGAAGATTGCAACTCACCATGCTACAAACATGAGCAAGCCTTGTAAGAAGTCGATGCTATTCTGCGGCTTGATGAACGCAGCCTCGGAGATATCTTTCAGAATCTCGTCTCCCAGGGCAACCTGCCGCTGGCCATCGAAGAGGCATGCCTCCAACATGACCACTTTCCAGAAGAAGGGCCTCTGTTCTTGCATCTGGGCCGCGGTTAAATGGGGCGGCACGATGGCGAATGGGAATAGATGGCCCATTCGCTCCCGATACAGGCCAAGAAAGGCCTCGGCCTCCTCCCCCTGCGGCCATAGACCACCACGGCCTTGTTGTTGGGGTGGTGGGGGGCATGATTGCAGGTAAGGAGACGAGCCTATGGAACCGGATGTCGTTGTATGGGCTGGTGTGAGTCCTGAAGGGGCGGATGGTGAGACAGCCTTGGTTGCCGGCGAAATGCCGCTGCTCGCGGTGGATTGATGGTGTTCCGATTGGGCTTCGAAGATGGATCGATCCGGAAAGATGTGGCCAAACGGGGAGTCCCAACGATCCCGGCCGAAGGTGGGTATGGGCCCGTGGGCCCCGGAGAAGTTCCTCGGTGGCGGGGGGCCCTCGAAGTCAACCGCAGCTCCGACTGAAATAGAAGGAAGGCCATAGTGATCTGGGCTGGGCGGGCTCGGCGCTGGTCCCTGGCGTTGGACGGACTCCATGCGAGCCGAGAGATCCTCGAGGCGCCTCTCAAGCTCTGCCACCCTTGTGGGCTTGGGCTCCTTGCGTTTCCGCGCTGGCGCCGGGGTCTGCGAAGAGCATGGTTTCCTCAAACGGTGGCATCTTCCAACCAAGTTAGCGCTACTGTCCTCGAACAGCACGGCGTTCGGCGTTGGGAAAGAAACCTCGGCAGATAGCCAACGGCCGATAAGTGGTGCCTGACAAGGCCGACGGACACCCCAACGGGGGCGCCAACACCCCCCCGGCTGACTGTTGCCCTGGGCCGGCGGGCGTGAAGAACGTTCCACAGTCCGCTGCACCAACGTGCCGAGGTACATGCACCCGAAGGGCCGCCAAGTTGCAACCGATACTGGACACTGGACCATAAAGAGACGGCCAGACGTACCTTTCACACTTTTCTTGCCCCCTCGGCCCCGCGATGCACCTGCTCTTCGCCTTCGCACAGGTTGCACACGCCCTGGGGCCCTTCAGGACCTTACCCGCCACGACAGGCGAGACAGACCTTGACTCCATGTTGCCACGGGGAATGACTCCACACTAACTGCTTTACCACGTTCCCGGGTCCGTTGCGAGGCTGCACAAACTTCCTAACGCGGATGGGCAAGGAAGACGAAGCCTAGTTGTGGATGCGAGACGACCTAGACTGCCGTGTAAGATGGGGTGAACACGATGAGTACACCCACAGGGGAATAGAAGATAGAAGACCAAAGAACAAAAAAAACTGGTGCTCTCCCCTCAGATCAACAAAAGAATCCGAAGCAGCAGCATCCAAACCGACCGCCTCCCAAGTAAGTAAGTAAGTAAGGAAGTATACAACCTTCCCCATACACAGTACAACGCTCCTCTGACGACAGCAAAGCAAAGCACAGCAACAGCACGGCCACCCCCCGCCGACCCTCGCCCAAACCAACCCCAAGACGGGCAGGCGTCGTCATACAGCTTACGAAAGCCCACACAGCAGCCCGCCTCGTGTTCGAACCCCCGGTCTACAGGTGCGGATGGGATGCGACCTCACAGGGCCGCAGCGTGGGCAGGCCGCGCAACAAGAGGTCGAGCGGTGCTGCGCCCAACTTACACGGTCGTCCCAGCGGATGTCTTTCCGCGGACACCCGTCTCCACGTCCCTGGGACGTTGCAATGCCGAGATGGGGGGATGGAGCGGAGGTGCCAGACTGGTTGGGCGCTCCGGCTCCGTCGGGGTGATTTGTTTTGCTCCGGCTCCGTTCGTGGTGGGGTTGCTTGGTGTGGCGCGAGGGTTGGGATTGGACGGCCCGGAGAGAAAAGGGAGGTGGGAGTGTGGCAGAATAGATTGGTCGGTGTTGGAGATTGATGGGGGATTGGGTTTGGTGGCTGTGCTGGTGTTCTTGGCTCTTTATTTGTTTCAGGGGCCGGGGGGGGGCTGGATCTCGACCGCATTGCTGAAATAAATAACTATACTAGTGTTGACAGACGACCTCGGACTTCCATCCAACGGTAATCTGTAATCTCAAATTAGTCATTGGCTATACGCTATGAGCATAGGAGCAATGCCTTTGACGATCATTGCTTACCAGCCTCCCAAGTCGCTCCGGAAGGCATGGCGCCGCCGAAGGCCCTTGACAACGCGGAAGCTACACTTTCAGGGGTAAGAAACTCGCGGAACAAGAAATGGCAACTTTGACCTCTCAACCCGAGAGGCCAGCCAATGAATGGTCTTCGTGTATTTGATGTTCTCAGAAACATTGTTCGTCCAAAACCACACCGAAGATGCATCTGACACCGCCCACCCAGGCAAGAACAGCCGGGGGAGGGCAGAGTGAGACGGCGAAAGCAAAAAGCCAACCGCTGTATCTCCGCACATTGAGGTACACAGCAGACACCAGGCACAGACAGGTGAATCCAAAACCACACCAAATCGCTTGAACACAAAATGCCCCATGTTTGCTGCTCGCTCGCTCCAAGGAACGTGTTTCACGTCTTTGGTCTTGGAAAATAAAAATAAAAGACAAAAACACCATCACCATATGACCTAGCGAGCGCGACAGACAAAACAGACGGATTTAGGTGAGCTCCCCAAGGACGAAAGCAGCAGGGGCACCCGGACAGATATTCCGGCCGGCAGAGAAGGGAAGAGTGCTACGTCTCCGTCGCCGGAGAGCGCGCGGGGGGGAACAGGAGGAGAAAGCGAAGCAGCCTAAGCGGCGACGCTAGCGCTCGTGAGCCCCTTCATCTCCTTGGCCAGGAGCCTCTCGGTGAACCCGCCCGTCAGGGGGGCGGCGGCGGCCTTCTGCTCGGCGTCGGCGGCCTGCAGCAGCGTGCGGGCCGCCTCGGCGATGCCCAGCTGCTCGTCCGTCCAGAGCGGCTCCTCGGGGGCGGCGTCCGGCACGCCGACGCCGATGAAGCCGCCCTCGGCCGCCCACTCGCTGGTGCGCTTGATTCCGAGCTCGTTCCAGATGCTCTCGATCGCGTTGACCAGCTCCTCGCGGTACTCCTTGGTGTGGCCCGGCGTGGGCGTCACGCGCAGGCGCTCCTGGCCGACGGGGACGGTCGGGTAGTTGATGCTCTGCACGTAGATGCCGTGGTCCTGCAGGAGCTTGTCGCTGGCCTGCTTGGCGAGCTCGGCGTTGCCGACGAGGATCGGCACAATGTGGCTCGGGTTGGGGATCACGGGGATGCCGCGCTCCTCGAGGGCTTCCTTGACCGCGCGCGTGTGCAGCTGCTGCAGCCGGCGGTCGCCCTGGTGCTCCATCTGGTACTCAATGGCTGCGCGCGCGCCGGCCATGACGGCGGGAGGGAGGGAGGTGGTGAAGATGAAGCCTGGCGCGAGAGAGCGCACCGTGTCGATGAGCTTGGCGCTGCCGGCGATGTAGCCACCCACGCAACCGTAAGCCTTGCCCAGGGTGCCGGTGATGATGTCGATGCGGTCCATGATGGTCCCGCGGGGCCGCCCCTGAACGTGCGCCTCGTAATCCAAGTGTTCCGCTACGCCCGCGCCGTGCGGGCCATACATGCCGACGGCGTGGACTTCGTCGAGGAAGGTGATGGCGCCATATTTGTCGGCGAGATCGCAGATTTCCTCAATGGGGCCGATCGAGCCGCACATGCTGTAGACGGACTCGAACGCAATAATCTTGGGGACGTGGAGCGGCAATGACGCCAACTTCTCCTCCAGGTCCTGCACGTCATTGTGCTTGAAAATGATCTTCCTCGCGCCGGAGTGGCGGATACCCTGGATCATCGAGGCATGGTTCAGGCTGTCGGACAGAATGACACAGTCGGGCATCTTGCTACCGAGGGTAGCCAGAGTGGCATCGTTGGCCACATAGCACGAGCTGAAAACCAGCGCGGCTTCCTGCGCATGGAGCTTGGCGACTGTTTGCTCCAGTTCCACCGCATGCTTGTTGTGTCCCGAGATGTTGCGCGTGCCACCAGCGCCGGCGCCATATTCGTCAAGGGTCTCGTGCATCGCCTTCAGCACGCGCGGGTTGCGACCCATGCCCAGGTAATCATTGGCGCACCAGACCGTGACCTTCTCCTCCTTGTTAGACATGTGCGCGCGGGGAAACTCCTTGGCCAAGCGATTGATGTTGTTGAAGTACCGGTACGACTTGTCCTTGTGCTTCTTCTCCAGCTCGCAGTTGTAGAAGCCGTCATAGTCAAACTTACCCGCGCGGGTGGCCGAAGCATCGGGGCGCGTGGTAGCAGCCGGGCCGGCGCTGACATGCTGCTTGGTCGGAAGGCGAGGGGGGAGCTGGACTGGAGGTTGAGGAATTGTTAGCGAGGGGCTCTTCTTAATTAGGGGGTCTGCGCGCGAGTCTCCGCAAGGCTGCGGGATGCGCATGGCAACTAACCCTTCTCATGGCCGCTATAAACGGCGCCGTCAACGGGCTGGGCCTCCTTAGAGCGGCTGGTGTGCAGCTTCGCCTTGCCGGTCTTTGCGTGGCCATGGAACGTGGACATGCCGGCTTTAGCCGCGACGCTAGGGAAGCCAGCGGCGTGGCCCACGCGAGCAGACTGGACAGCCATGGCCTTGCCCATTACGGGGCAGCGGCGAGCGAGCACCTGCAGCTTCGACATGGCACCACCGCAGGGTGACACGGCAGTCGGGGTGGCCGTCGACATGGCACGGAGCCCCGCGGCAGTGGCCTTCTTCATGAAGGGGCACATGGCCTTGGACTGGCGCAGAACGGAGTCCATGGTGGCGATGATGACGGTATGGGACACTCAATTCGTTCGGTTCGCTAGGTTCGGCGTCGGTGTTGTTGGGTGGTGTTGTTGGAAGTTCTTGAGGATTTGGATTTCGTCAATAGATGTTGACTAACGGCGGGGGCGGGGGATAAATTCCTCCTCGGGACGGGAACAGGCAAAAAGAAAAAAGAAAAACAAGGTTTTCCGTTCCTGAGAGCGGCAAGTCCCCTTGCGAGAGCAGAAAAACCGACAACACGCGAGCACGAGGTGTACTAGCACAGCAGAACGAGCATGGAGAGACAATTGCAAATTTTGGTGGAAAAGGAGAAGAGAATTGACTCGAAGTCAAAAGTCCAAAAGTCGAAAGAGTCGAAACGGCTTCGGTTAGTTACAAGGGCCCTCTTGTGCCTGTGATCCACTCTTCAGTGGGTACGCACTCTATGGAAGTCGCACGATTCGGAGTCTCGGGATCTGTCCTCTTCGTCAATGAGCTTCTGGCCATTTTTCACTTTGGGAAACCCGTCATTTCCTATTGGTCATGACTTGCACCGCCCACCCCACGGCTGGAAAGTCACCGTAACTTCCCGCTCTGCACCCACTCGCTGAACCCCGCGGTATCGGAGACCTGCTGTGTGATGTTGCACCCCGGACCGGCCACGTTTTCAGGGGCCTTGCCTCGGCTGATGTTGCATTTTCCATCCATGGAAGCCATCCATCGACTCAGAGGTACGCACCACCCACTGCACCTCATCTACCCGAGCCATTGGAGACCACAATTCGTCCATACATATCCCGTATTTTGTTCATCACTGTAACTCAACGCCGTCATCTCAGTCAGCGAATGGATGGCTCCCGGAAGCACCGAGTTTTCTAATTTCCGCTCGAATCACCCGCTCGATGCCCTAACTCTTTGCCGAGGATGTAGAAGCGGATTTAATGTTTACCGCGTGGCTCTCTCGTTATTATTTGTGTATGTGCTCGTCCAACACAACGTCTAGCAAACCCCCAATAAAAACGACGCGCGCCAATGCCGATTGTCTCCCGCCTGCTCTCCTTCTCCGTTCCCTGTTCCCCGAACCCCAAGTGCCCTGCCTCCCCGAATCCCCAGGTGCCCTGCTTGCCAAAACGCCGTGTGCTAGGAAGCAAATGTGAGGGTATCTCAAAAGAAGGAAATAGCCGTGCTGAAAAATGCAAGATCCGCAAATACTTCCCTCAGTCAATAACCTGCGGAGAGTCGGCTGAATCTCCCGGGTTCGCCGCCCGGCGGCGGCCCTGCGGGGTGGCAGGGTCCTCCGGTTCCGGTCCAGACCCGAGAAACCGCAGGACCTTTCGGTTAGTCCCCTCCTTCCCTTCTCCTCCCAGCTCTCCTGTGCGCCGCCTCTCCATTCCCGCCTTCGTCGTCAGGTCCGCTCGCATTTGCTGTCGCGCTCACATGTTAGTGGCCTGTTGTCGAAGAGAAAAAAAAAAAAAAGCGCGTCATGTTGTCTTGGCGCCGATGCATACGTTGAGATCGGCTTTGGTCGTCCAAACTCGCTGTTTGAACTCGCCCTCAGCCAGGCCGTTCAGTGCGGCCGATACCTCCTCCATCTCCAGCCGCGTCATGGACGCAAGTTGTTCGGGCTCCATATACCCGGAGAGCATCGCTTCGGCGAATCGCGCGTTGCGTGTGCATTTCTTGACGTTCTGAATCTTGTCCATCATCGGCAGCTGCTCGATTTTGCTCCGGCTCCACACGCTCTTGATCCTGTTGATCAGGTCGACCGGGTGGTGCCGCGCGTGGCGGCCTTCTCGACACAAGGCGCTATGGGCGGCCAACAAGTCTGGAAAGTCCGAGCCCGAGACCTCTACGGCCGTGGACGGGGTATCGGGGTTGGTCAAGCTCGATGACCCGTTCGCTGCGGTTTCTCCTGCTGGCGGCGGGGTGTGTGGGACTTTGAAGTGCGTTCCCGTCGCGAGAATTGGTTGGGGCACAGGCTGGGGCACAGGCGTGGGCTCCTGCGTCGGGGTGTTGTTTATGGTGGTCAGGCTTGGTGTCGGGATGGCTTGCGCTATGGCTGGCTCGCCCTGGGCTGGCGGTGGCTGAATGAGTGCTGGAGCTATGAAAGTCGTGGGTTGGGGTGTGGGCGGGACGGCTTGGCCAGATGGAGCTACATCAGAAGTCAGGGTCAGTATTTGCTGCTGGGTAGAGTCGCCATCTGCCCGAAAAGACGGTGGCGCGCGGTCGCAAGGTGCAGTCCCAGAAAGAAGAGGAGGAGCTGGTGGCCCTGATTTGTGTCCATCCCTCATATGCTCTGGCACTTTGATCCTCAGGACTGTCTTGCTCGGGGTTCCCGCACCCTGAGATGCTGGTAGAGACTCACCGTCGGTGGGGTAAGGTTGGTACAGGCCGAACGACGGCAGCGGGGATCGAAATGACCGCTCGTGCTCCCGACGCCTGAACTCCTCCGGGTTCCGAGATCGAAGTCGTTCCATCTCGATGTCTTTTTCGGCTTGGAGCTTTTCTTCCGGTGTGAGTTCATACGCCTCTTCCCGTTCAAAGGTTTCGGTGGACGTGATCTTCCGGACCAGCTTGCTTATCTGCTCATCCCGGAGAAGCGAATCCAGGACTTTGTCTTGGCCGAAAGACCCAGACAGGTCCTCCTGGTCTACCTCCCTCGGCATCTTGAAATAATTGTTGAACTGTGTCGACCATGGGTCCGGATTCTTCTTGTCCACCACGCGCGAGGCTAGCTGAGTTTTGAAGACGGCATTGTTGTGGATGGTGTCCTCGAATGTGCCGCCAATGGTCAGCCAGTAGACGTAGACCGGCTTGGTCTGGCCGAGACGGTAAGCCCTGCCAATCGCTTGCTGCTCGTCGGTCGGAGTGTACTTGAAGTCAAAAATGATGACCCTGTTCGCGCCGTAGATGTTGAGCCCGACACCCCCAGCCTTGGTCGAAACCAAGTAAACTTGGGACTCGGAATCCGTGTTGAACTTCTTGACTGAGTCTTGCCGTGTAGGCATGGGTGTATTGCCATCCAGCCGTTTATATACCACCCTCTTCCGCTTGAAGATATTCTCGATATAATCCAGAGTCGGGATGCTCTGCGAAAACACCAGGACCTTGTCTCCCACTTTCCTGCACTCGTCCAAGATCCGTAGGAGGACGACAATCTTGTTGGAGAGAGTGTAATCTTCAATCTCGCGCAAGGATACGGTGGTAAGCATCTGGCTCAGCACGTCCTGTGGTATGTCCCTCGGCATCTCCTCATTGTCTTCGGGCTTTCCTGGCTTGGATGACTTGGCTTTGCCGGCCTTTTGGGTTTCTACCACGGTCTTGAAAATGATGGGGTGGGCGAGGACAAGGCCGAGTGTAGCGACGAGACTCCATGCCCTCGCTTGACCGGTTACCAGCTCCCTGCTGGGATCTATCACGCACTCAATATACGTCTTGTACGACCGCGTCTGGACCTTGGTCAAAGGAAGGGTGATGATAAACTCCTTCTTCTTGGGGAGCTCGTTCAGGAGGACCTCGATGTCTCGCCGATGCACTTTGGGGCCCACCGTCTCTTTCAAAACATGGAGCATCCGCCGCGCCTTTCTCTTCTTGTAAGGCTCGCTGTCCACATACAGTCCTTCCCTTATCGGATTCGAGAATCTGTCCCTGAACTCGCCAATGTCGGCTAGATAATTGGGGGCTACCCAACTGATCATGGCGTAGTAATCCATGACATTGTTCGTGAGAGGCGAGCCCGTCATGGCGATGCGGTTCATAGTCTTGAACTGGGCAGTGGCTTGGTGTCTCTGGGATGCTGGGTTCTTCATGTAGTGGGCCTCATCACCGATGACGAGGTTGGGTGTCTCATGCAACAGTTTGGCCATGTCCGCATCTCCCTGGACAAGGATGGTGAACATGGTGTAGCCGAGAATGAGCACCCCGCCAGACGCAACCCAAGTTCGGATCAGCGCCGTGCGCGCAGACGGGGAAGATGCCGATTCTAGCCTGTGCACCGGGCCCAGCACCTCATCGGGTGCCCACATGCGGATCTCATCTTGCCAATTGTCCACCAAGCTCGGGGGGCATAGGATCAACGTCCTGGACTCCCGCAGACTCTCGGGGATCTGGGAGCGTACGGACTCGTCCGGCGACGCGGATGACTCGGCAACGACTACCAAAAGGGTGATCACCTGCATCGTCTTTCCCAAGCCCATGGTGTGCGCAAGCAAGCAACCTTGGCGGACGCTCGAGTCGACGACGACCTGGTCCCACATGAACCGAACTCCGTCGATTTGGTGGTCTTTAATCCTGCTCCCGATATGGTCATTGATATATATCAGTGCCTGGTCGTCCGACTCCTTGGTCTCGTTGACAATGAGACGGGCATGCTTGCTAGAAACCGAACCCTGCTGGGCAAGTCTCTCGCGCAGCTCGTGGGTGCGCCGCGCAAGCTCTTCGTTGCGCTTCACGTTCCCCATCCGAAGATCCCGGGCATCCGCATCCCGTCGTTTGCGCCGCCGTCGCTTCTTAGTCGACGGTGCCGGCATGTCATCCGACGAGGACCCCTCGGTTGTGCTGGGGCCGTCCGTGGGCTCCCGAGTTCTTCTCGATGGCGTTGGAGTGCTTGGGCCCCCTCTCTGGGGTGTCTTGAGCACGATCCGAGTCGGCGTCTCGGGGGGCAATTCCAACAATAGTGGAAGGATCTTTTTGAAGAATGCGCAGAAGCCAGCAAACGAGTCTCCCAAACGTTTCAACTTGTTGCGCGTCGAAAGCCTCAACGTCAGCAAGGTGATCCTTCTAGCAGATATAGTGACGAAAGCATCGAAAGCACGACATAGACAGAACGCCACCAAGTCGGTCGTGGCTAAACTGGGGTCTTCGGGAGCCTCAAGTGTTGGCGCCATGTACTTGGCCCATATATCGGTATGGTCCCTGTTTTTTACCCCCCAGTACACTTTCGCGATTCTCTCTCGCGACCACTCAGACACCACCGCCACGACAAGCCGTTCAGCATCTTTGGCCTTTTCCCAATGATCAAGCCCGGCCTCTCTGATCTTCTCGAGACTCTCAAAGTCGTCGAGACCCGGAACTTGGTCGAGCTGTTCGACCGGTGACGCGGGGGACGAGTCGATCACTATGACCTCCCTGGCCGAAATCTCGGTGTGACGGGGAGTTGCCGGCACCAAAGCCTTCTCGACTTTGATCTTCCGGGGGGTAAGAGGCTCCGGAGCTGGGCCATCGTTGGGTTGCTCGCTCGGTGTCGTTTTCGCCGGAGAAAAACCGGCCCCAGCCCTGCCATCGGGAGTGGCAGAAACACTGCGAACGGAACTGGCTTGGGCAGCAGCCTCGTCCTGAAGCGGCTCCGGATCGATGTCCATATCGTCATTGACAAGCGGAATGGCATTATCATCATATTCGATGAACGCATCCATGTCATCCGAATCGCTTGTTAACACCTCCTCGTCGTCATTGACGATCGTTTGCTTCGCTCGTCTGGGCGCCGGACGAGGGAGGGTCGACGGTCGTGGTGGTTGGAGTGGGCTCTCAACCACATCAATCAGCCAGGCCTTGTGTTTCTTGTCGAAAACGCTCGCTTCCAAGTAGCCAGACGCTTTCTTCTGAACGTCATTTCCAACAGTCCACGGCTGGTTGATAATGTGCTTAGAGTAGCGCGCGATACGGCTTACGAAGTGGTCCATCTCCTTCTTCGCCAAGTCGATAAAAGCCATGCGGTCGGGGTTCCGGCGGGCATCCTGCCATGTCTTCCAAGCCTTCAAATCGTATTTGGGCTTCTTTTCAGCCACCCACTGGGACTCCAGCTCTTGTATTGCAATGCTGACCGCCTCGACCACCTCCTCTTTGCTGAGAAGCCTGTCCTTGGGGCATTCTCTACGCGCTTCCATCGCCGCACGCTCCGCCTCCTCCTGTTGGTACTCGCGCCAGGTCTCCGAGTCGACGCTCTGTTCGTCATCAGATTGTCCGATTTCCGACTCCTCCTCATCCTCCTCACCGCTCTCCTGAAGATTGTCGGCGAAATTGGTTCGTAGAAACCGCTTCATGACTCCCGAGACCTGGATGCGGCGTCCCGGAGGAAGCTGCCTCTGCATGAATGCGAACGGATACTTGGGTGAGGCTGTCAGATCCTCCATTTGGGGCTCGAGGAGCTGAGCGCGCCGCAAAACGCCGGCGCCCAGGAAGGCAGAAGAATCGCCTATTTGCAGCGTGGTATCTATCGTGTTGTCCAGAAATAGATCGCCTTCGGTTGGGATGACGGAAAAGGCGTTGTTACCCGTGGTCTCGGCGGAGACACTTATGGGCGCAATCCTTCTCTTCTTACTTGGCGGTTCTTCCAATACCTCCTGGTTAGACTGGCGGACCCCTAATACGTGGGAAGATACTACCGGTAAGTCGGGGCCGGCAGATGCCGAGAGTGTCGGGGACAAAACACCGGGGTAAGTGCTTGGGAATGCCAGCCCAGCATCGGCTTGATCGGCGGCCGAGCCAGACACAGGCTCGGGCCCAGCGGCATGCTCGAGTTCAGCTGGCTTGTATGGTTCGAATTTGATGGGCGGGGGGTTATCTTGGTCGGCATGCAACTGGCTATTAGCCAGCTGCTCAGCCTTCCATGCTCGGTATCCCTCGCTGCGCCTTCTGAGTTGCTTGATAGCGTCCTTGAGCGCAAGCTGGTGAGGCAGCTTTTTGACACCAAGGTAGCGCCACAACTGGTCGTACCCAAATTCGTCCTCGTATGTGAGAAGGGACTCTCCATCAACGCCGCATTCACGAAGTTTTAGTTCGAGTGCGGCGGGATCCGGGAGTCGCTTGGCGGAGGGTGATGTCCAGGACCGATTTGCGGTGCAGAGTTCTTGCACCACTCGATCCTCATCCCAGAGCAAGGGGTCGCTCTGGTCCTCCCCTGCCATCTTGGCAACCAAGTTTCTTTAAGTGTGAGTCGAGTTAGTAAACAAAGTGTAGGCCAAGTATGGTGAGGTCGAAGTTGTAAAAATATGCCCGACCTGAATGGTGGACCTTGATCTGGAGGTGGAGATACGAAATCATGCTTGGTGAGGGTTGGGTACTTACTGGCATAAAAGAGGCTAGAGAGAAAAAAGAGGTGAGATCGACTCTTGCGGTTCTCATGCAATTCTCATGCATGCAACCATAAACGAATCCGGTCTTTGGGCAATTGTCAGGCTGTCGGCTCCTTATTCACACCGGGATCCAGATAGGGTTCATTCAATGCTCGATCTCTGGGAGAGACAGTTGAGATGGGAGGTCGTCAGTCGGTAATCCTGCTGGTCAAGCGAAAACGAATATTCGGTGTCGCTAGCAAAAAGGAGAAAAGCCGCTTAAATTGATACCAGCACCCGACTGAACCCGCGCAGTGCTTCTAGAGGTAAATATTGTATGGTTGACTAATGAGTAGGTAGAAAGAAGAAGTTTGAGAACTGTGGTGGTGAATGCCGGTGTTGGACCAAGTTGGCGGGCCTCATCAGTTGGTGGGCAACCGAGAGAGGTCGCGTTTGGTTCGGCGCGTCGAGGGGGTTCAGCTGCTGGCCGGCCTTGACGAACGACCTGTCAGACAGTGTGTATATCTATATCAGACTGTACCCTGTTGCGAAAGATTGGGAAGTAGAGAGAGCTTGAGGAACCCAGCTATCGTAATGCATTATACCTATTCAAGTTGTCAACCGTAATAGGTAATGTGCCTTAAACGCCAGCCAATAGTCATGAATGTCTATTCATACCCTCTTGAATTTGCCAACGTTTTGAGAGGCACATACAATCGCAGGTGATTGAGGCAGGGCCGCCGACCATCAAAGGTAGCCAAAGCATCCACCATGATTTTAGCGCACTGTGCAATCGTGCCCGATAAGATAAAGGAAAGTGCAAGCGCGGGGCACCAAAAACGAATCTCGGTTTGAGACACTTCCATTTAGGAAGTCCTAGGGGTGAGAGGAAATCGTATATCAAGTTTACCGTCCTCAACCAAGCTCATTTCTTGGCAGTTAACGAGAGGTCCCGTTTGTGCAGTCCTCGGCCAGAAATATCGGGTGAATTTTGCAAATCAGGCCGATTCCGGCTTTGTAAGCACCCCCAGAACCGCCCGGATGTTTGAGGAGCTCTCGGGAACAAATGTTTACAGCGCATGAAACCTTCCGGTTTAAGTTCTGGATGAAGACAACCCTACCTGACTCCCGTTTCTTTTTAATTCCCAACGCCATAGCCGACGCCATAGCCGATACTCAAACCAACCCAACGATAACAGCATCATGTCTTCTCTAACTGGGGGTTCCTACCCTCCTACTTTAGAAATGCTCTTGAAAAAGACCGATTGGCGCAGGCCATAAAGGACTGGACCATCGCCAACGGTTTAGCCGTCCGGCCTCCACCCGCAATTGTGGAAAACGATTCCGAGGGGATTCTGGCCATGAGTGCTCCGGTCACCCTCTTTCCAAGTCCATTTCCCAAAAGCTGCTTCCAGGAGGCCAAGGCCATCCAAACCAAGTACAACGAGCTCTACGCCCGCATCAGCCAGGATGAGGAGTATCTCAGTGGCCTTGTACAGGAGTGGGTTGCCTAGGAGTGTTATCGAGGCTTTATCACAACGTTCACCTCTAACGGTGATGGCAGGGTTGCTAGCGGTGATGAATTTATTGCCGAATTATGGAAGATCCACTTGCGAGTGAAGGAGGAGGGTTACGTCCAAGTAAGAAGTGTCTTGTCTCCTAAGCTCACATGCTCTCACCTATGTCTAGCCGTGACTCACAATCTGCCACCTAGAACCTTGCTCTCGGTCTCTTCCGGTCCGACTACATGGTCCATCAAGACGGCGACAACCTCCAAATTAAACAGGTTGAGTTCAACACCATTGCCTCTTCGTTTGGGGGGCTCTCGGCGCAAACTTCCCTGCTTCACCAGTATGACCCCCAGGCCCCTTGAATTGGAACTCCCCTTTCTAACAACCCCCCTAGGCATCTCGCTAGAGTCGAGTATCCCCTCTTAAAAGACCCAGTACCGCGGTCCTCCGTCAACCTCCCCGCCAACAACAGCGCAGAGGGCCTCGCCGCCGGCCTAGCAGCTGCCTTCCGCGCGTACGGCAAATCCGCCCTCGGCAACCAAACCTGCGTCCTCTTCCTCACACAAGACGGCGAGCGCAACATCTTCGACCAGCGCCACCTCGAATACGCCGTCCAATCCTCCTCCGACCCGGACCACCCCATCCCCGTCTTCCGCCTCCCCTTCTCCCAAATCCTCACCCACACCACCCTCGCCCCGTCCTCCCCAGGCCGCCAGCTCCTCTACCACCCCCCGCACAACCCCGCCCTCACCTTCGAAGTCGCCGTCGCCTACCTCCGCGCCGGCTACGGCCCGAGCGACTACCCGTCCCCCGCCGCCTGGGAAGCGCGCCACCAGCTGGAGCGATCCGCCGCGATCAAGTGCCCGACGATCCTCACGCAGCTCGCAGGCATGAAGAAGGTCCAGCAGGTCCTCGCCACGCCCGAAGCCGTCTCGTCGACCCCCTCCGCGCTGCGGCGCTTCGTGGCCGCCGGCGACGAGGCCGGCTACGCGGCGCTCTGGCGCACCTTCACCAACATCTACCCGCTGGACACGACGGCGGCGGGCCAGGCGGCGCGGCGGCTGGCGACCGATGCGCAGGCGTGTTTGAGGTATGTGGTGAAGCCGCAGCGCGAGGGCGGCGGGAATAATTTCTACCGCGCTGCTATTCCGAAGCAGCTAGGTGCCACGCCGGAGGAGCATTGGGGGTCGTATATCCTGATGGAGCTCATCACGCCGCCGCCGGTGGTGAATACGATTCTGCGGAATGGGAAGCTGGAGCATGGCGGGGTGATTTGTGAGTTGGGGGTGTATGGGACGTGTCTGTGGGACCAGGGGACGGGGGCGTTGTTGCATAATGAGGAGAGTGGGTATTTGTTGCGGACGAAGGGGGATCAGAGCGAGGAGGGGGGTGTGGCAGCCGGGTTTGGGTGCATGGATTCTTGTCGGTTAGTGTAAAGTGAGTTGTCGAGATGGGGGTGGGGTGTAGTGATAGAGTTGGGTGGTTAGAGGTGCATAGGGGGGTTGTTGGCTGTTTGAAATTGAGAGTCTAGACCGTACGCCTGCATATTCTGCTTCCTGCAACTGACAACCATCGATTTCGAGAACCCTCCACGCGGGCAAAAACTGACAACAACAACAACAACAACAACAACGCATCTCTAGACCGATCACATCAACCTCCACCGCTCCCTCACAATCCCACCGCCCCTCAACGCCTCCTCCCCGCCCCAACCTCAGGCCAACCCCCCACGGCATCCTCCACCTCCTCCAAAAACGTCGCCGTATTATGCACCGTCGTGCCGCCCAACACCACCCTAACGCCCGGAGTCGACGCATTGATCCCCGCCACCATCTTAGCCTCCTCATACGTCGCCCCGCCCACAATAAACACCACCACATCCTGCGGCTTATCCCTCGTCGCCCCACCACCCTCAACAAACGGGAACTGCGACTCGCGCAGCTTGCCCTTGACGAGCTGCTGCAGCGTCATCTCGAGCAGGGGGGAGTGCTGGGTATAGACGTTCTCGACGCCCTTGAGGCCCTTGAAGCGCGAGCCGGCGCCGCTGAAGAGGCCGGCCGACTCGAACAGGTCGGTGATGCCCGACCCGGACGCGGCCGACTGCTGCAGCGAGTGGTGGTAGGTGAGCAGGTGGGTGACCAGGGCGGCCTTGCGGGCCGGGACGCCGCCCGCGGCGGTGAGCAGGTCGACCAGCATGGGCAGCGCGTTGGAGGGGTGCTTCGCGTAGCGCAGGGCGTAGAGGGCGACGAGGGCGACTTTGCTTTCGGGCGTGACGGAGGGGATCTGGATTTGGTTTTGGATGTTCTGCGGGGAGTGGTCAGTACGGCGTGCGCCGAGTATGGGGGGAGGGGGTTGCGCCCAACTTACCCTGAGGTCGGCTGCGTGGTTGTCGTTGCAAGCTACGCTCTGCTCAAGCTCGCTGACTTCCAAGAGGTTGTCTGTGCCGACTCGCCTGCTGAGCTCGGAGACGAGTGTGACGTGTTTGGTGACATTCCCCGAGAGTTTTCTGAACTCGGGGTACTCCTCAATGAAGCGCTTCATATCGGCTATTGATTCGATGTCGGCATTGTTTTTGGTTTTGTGTTGGTATTGCTCGACATAGTCCTTGATGTTGCTCCCTAGATCGCCAAAGTTGAGATACATGTTCTTCTTGAAGAATGGGTCTTGGTCCTGTGAGAGGACAATCTCCTTGAGCTCTGGCCGGATCTCCGGAACGTCACTGAGGTCGACCCGGCCGTTGTTGATCCCGAGTAGCTGGTGAACCATAGCCTGGTATGTCCACTGCATGAGCAGGGGCGTGATAGGGTCGTCTCTCCGGTCAAGGACCAAAAGAACAGGGGGTGTATCGACTTTGCGAAAATCGAATAGTTGGTCTTCCTGGTTGATGTAATACCGGACTTCGGAAGCGAGTTTCTTCGCGAGGGGGCTGGTTTTCTGGTACCTAATCAGGGGTTTCTTCTTGAGGCTGAGGAGGACGGCGATGACGCCGTCGGTAGCTCGTTGGAGGGAATCCGTGTTCCACGTGTCTGGGTTGCCACTCCACAGCCGATGCATAGGCAAAGACATATTGAGCGAGAACAAATCCGGGTTGATGACGGAATAGTCGAGGAAGTACTCCTGAATCAACTTGACCACCTCGTGGTCGTCCGCTTCGGCTAGACGCTCCAGGGTTGACTTTTTGACGACATTGCTAAAGAACAGATGGTATTCCCCGTACTTGGGTTCTCGCAGTTCATCGATAAGTAGACCGATAGAGTCGGGGTGTGGCCTCACGAAGCATAGACAACGAAGATGACGCATCTTCTCGCGGGTGGGATTATCGAGGCGGTCCATGAGATAAACCTCGTGGTTGAGTAACGCGGACTGAGTAACGGCCGTCGAGATAAAAGGTAACGTCTCCCTGTCCAGCAGCAAGATCTTCATTTTGGCCGACGGCGCCCCCGTTGCGCTCTCGCCGGCCGACACCATCTTGGTGACGTAACCCGTCGATGCTTGCACCACATCCATTTTGATGAGAGTGATCAGGTAGTGTAATATACGAATAGACCCGTTCAGTCAAGGAAATCGCCGGGATCGTAATGTAGGTTTCCTAAGAATTGCTCGAAAAGCGGGACCACATATTGATTCGCATCGAGTGGGGAGTCGGCGAGTCTAGAGCTAGCAAGCTCCTTGGCTGTGTTCAGTGTTGACGAAAGGAAATACCCGGTTGTTGTCTTTGATGAATGCACGAACAACTGCCCGAAGGCTATTGGGGCGTTGTTGCTGAGTTGACGTTCCCTGCGGCTGCCTGCCAAGACATTTTCCAGGGGTCTGCTGCAGCGCTGCAGGGCTCCGGGGTGCTGGATGTTGATAAGATAAGCGGCCCCAAGAGCTCAGTTGCTGTTCTGGGCTCTGTTTTGGATTCTTTCCAGGGTTCTCTGCTCCACTCCTACAACGTCACCACACTCTTGAACAACACAATGCAAACCCGTCGCCAATCCGGTCTATTTCAGGCAAGATGGCGCGGGATGCTTGTCCAGCTAATTCCGAGCCGACGTGAGTTATAATCCCGCTGAATTGTTCCTACTCTGCTTCTAGGTCGGGGACACCACCAGTCGCAAATCGCTAACGATGGGTTTCTCTCTTGGGGTCAGTCTCTCCTTCACCCAGGGCTTCATGCTCGGCCAGATATCCATAGTTCTTTTGCTCGCCGCTTTCATCAAGTTCTTCATCTTTGGAGACCCCCCCTCGCCCGAGATTACCGCATCAATTCGCGCCGCCGAGCGTCGCTCACGAACACTCGCCCACAAGAAGTCGCTCTTGAGCCTGAGGGAGACGAACACCCGACAAGCAGGCCAACACCCCACCCTTAATAAGAAGAAGTCTAGCATCCTACGCCCGAGCCCTCCACCTCTGACCATCGGCTCGATCCTCGACAAGACGTACTACAAGGTGGACAGCCACCAGCCAGAGAGCTTGGATTGGTTCAACGTGTTGGTAGCTCAGACAATTGCCCAATTCCGCAGCGACGCCCAGCATGACGACGCCATCCTCACCTCACTCACGAAAGCGCTCAACGGTACCTCGCGTCCGGACTTTGTCGACGAGATCCGTGTTACCGAGCTGAGCCTGGGCGAGGACTTTCCCATATTCAGCAACTGCCGCATCATCCCCGTAGATGAGGATGGCCTCAGCTTCCAGTCGGGTAAGGCCTTTGACGCAAGCATGGCCACGCGGGAAGGCGCTCGGCTGCAGGCAAGGATGGATGTCGATCTCAGTGATTTGATCACCCTAGCCGTTGAGACGAAGTTGCTTCTCAACTTTCCGAAGCGGCTCAGTGCGGTTCTGCCCGTGGCTCTAGCTGTGTCCGTTGTACGGTTCAGTGGCACCCTGTCCATATCCTTTGTCCCAAGCAACCCCTCCGAGAACACGCCGACGAAGATGACCTTTACCTTTCTTGACGACTATCGGCTGGACTTTTCCATCCGCAGCTTGATGGGGAGTCGCTCAAGGTTACAGGACGTACCCAAGATCGCGCAGCTGGTTGAGTCGCGCCTCCATCGCTGGTTTGACGAGCGGTGTGTTGAGCCGAGATTCCAAGAAATTGCTCTCCCCAGCATGTGGCCGCGCAAAAAGAACACGCGCGGCGGCGACGAGGCGATTGCCGACGCAGAGCGCTCCATGAGCAAAACAAGGGGTATGGAAATTGGGAGAGAGATACGAACCGAGGCTCGGAGAGAGGTTGAGGCTGAGGCGGATGCGCGAGTTGATAGGGGACAAGAATCACTGAGATACCGGCGGCGACCACAAACCGACGATTCCTTTTCTACGTCCGGCTCCATGCCCGGCTCATTGCCAGACCTCGACATTCCGACATGAGATGGTGGCCGGCTAAACGGAAAAGCATTCAATCCATTGCCTCTCGGTCCGCGGCGGCAGCACGGAAACGGGCTGAGAGTCCTAACCATTCCCCCTTAACGCCGTGTTGTGTGAGGGTTGGGCTGAGCCAAGTTTTGCGCGTACTTGGATCAGCATAGTTCACAATTACAAGGGCAGGCTGGAAGGCCAGTGTTATTTAGGCAGGGCACCGTCTCGTCAAAATGCAGGCAGAACGGCCTGACCAAATCGTCGGGCGCGTGGGGTTTAGCAGGGTCGGTTAGTGCCGCTGCAGGTTATGGGAGCCATTGGCTACCTCGACCTCCGACAGACGGGGGGGTCTGGCGACATCATTCACCACTCCCGAGTCGCCATCGTGAACTAGTTTCGAAACAAAACATATGTGGTCATTGGGGAGAAAAAGTCTATATCTACTGTGCTGTCGTCCATCTTCCCGATCTCATCAACCGTTCAGTCTTGCACACTAACCCCCCAAACAGCACTTACAAGGCTCTAGAAAAAAGCCAACGCACGTCACTTTGAGGCCCACTGCAGGATGCCGCTGGACCCCGCGAACACGTCGACGATTCCAGCAAAGAGCTGAACCCGGCCATTTGGGACACTTGAGATCCCAAAGCTCGCCCCTAGTTCTATTTCGATGGTGGCCAGCAACACAACCATTCCCAAACACAACGTGGCTAGCTTGTTGGTGTTCAAAATCACTACAACCGTCTTGCGTGTTCAGATCCAAGCGCTGCTCCCCAAACGGCATAGTGCCGGGAACAATGCCGGAACGGAGGAACGCCGCCGCCAAAGCCACCTCGTGCTCCAGCTTGGAGAAGACAACATCGCCGAGCCCGACGCCGAATCCACCGCCGTCCGTCGGCCAGGCTTGGGTTGTGTCTCGCTTAACAAAGCGTCAGCCTCAACACGGGTGTTCCGGGTTGGGCTGCGCTGGCACGGGTGCTGGCAGCAGGTTGCGTCGCTTGTGTCTCCCGAGGTCAAGGCTGGGCGATCTCCTCCTTCAGCCATCATTCAGGGGTTCGAGCCTTGTTGCACCTCAACTGCATGTGCGTCGCGCCCGGGCACGAAGCCAGGTGTGAGAGTGCCGTCTTAGTCTAACAGAGGCAGCCACTGCAGAACGTGTTATCGCTACGATCATTTGGGTTCATTGCAAGTATCGCGGCGATATTGTGACCGTCTCGTTTGTCTCGGCCCGTTGCTGTCCCTTGGGCATTTTGCAATCGCGGTGAACCAGAAAAGGAGTGATATGGTGCGGCGGTGTAGGTCTGGCCGGCTTCCACCGTGTCAATCGGGCAGCGAGTAACGAAGCCCAATTGGGGTGGCTCCCGGCTCTAACTAAGGTATTTTGTATCGCGGCGACGTTTCCACGACCCCTGCCACAAGCCATGGTGTTTTCGAAGGCTTTATGCCCGACCCGCCAACACCACACAACATGTCCCCTTGTTTTCTCCTCTTTTCCTGGCATGAAGCCGAGAACCCCTGCGAGCGCCCGAGTATTCTGTCTAGCACTACGCCACAAGTGGTAGCTGTGATAGCTTACTCGGTGTTATCTGGTTCGGTGTTATCTGGTTCTATGTCATCATCTATTTACGCTGAAGCGCCCGGCAAGGTACGTCACTACTGATAGGGTCACCGTCGGCTCTCACAAGCGATGAATCAGGGTGATGGAGGAACAAGCTGCTGACACTCGCGGCAAAAGGTTGGAGGGGAGACATATCCCATCCTGCGCTTCCGTGTCGACGACCCTGAGAACGATACGACTGCGCTCTGTCTCATCCAAAGAGCATATAGTGACCCCCCTGGCTGTTTCGGCGAGCCTCAAACAACAACACCGGCGTTGGTGACGGAGTATCATACGAAACGTTCAAAACGGAGAATCCAGAACATCATCACAAGACTCGGGCTCGCACTCCCCTGACAAGATCTTATCATCGGGGATCCGGTGACGGGCCGACTCAGCCGAAGGCTAGGTCTCGCACACTTGCGGTGAATGACCAATGGCCAGCCATGGTTATTATGACCAGCCGCCGCTGTTGACCCAATTGTCCTCGGAGAATCCGGGACGAGGAGACGGGGGGGTTGCTCTAACGGAGCCGTCTGCCCCCAACCGTAACCCCGCCCGAACAGTCGGAGGGAAGCGGGTGCCCGACCGCAAGCTCAAGGACTCGGACCACTGTCTTTTCTGTCCGGTTTGCGCCGGCCAGCCGGCACGGTATGCCAAGGTCACGAAGAAGTGTAAACCAGGCGCGACGTATAAAGGCCTATCAAAACTGATGTAAGAGAGCCAACTTCACCATCGCACGCTGGGGATTCTCTAACAATGGCGTTATGGCAGGGAGCATATCAACCGCGTCCACTCCCCGGAGTCATTTTGCCTTACTTGCATGAGGGCTTTACAGGGGGGGATAACTTGGAATATGCACTCTGAGACATGCCAGCCGAGAACGTTGACGACGGAGCAAAAGGAAGCATATCCTACCCTGCTTCCCAGCGACGTGTTGTTCAGTGTGCAGAACTGGAAAAAAACCGCAGGTGCGCCCAAGGATGGTAAAAGTCTGGTGGAGCACCGTTGGGAACACATATATGGGATCATCTACCCCGGAGAGCCAATACCTGACGCAAGTGAGTGGACAAACATATCTGGCATATGGCCGGAGTCACGTTTTGGGCGGCTCGCTAACACGTGTTTACTTGCCCAGTGCCGAAATCCCCAGGGAGCAGTTTCCAGCCGCCAGCGTCTCATTCTCCAGTACCGCGAGGAAAGCGTCAAGCGAGTTCTTCGCCAGACTGCAAGCCGCGTGGTTCGAGACGGAGACAGGCCAGCCCCGAGGCACAAGCGGCGGACAGGGGAGATGAAGTAGTCGGATTCGAACCCGCACCGGTCGATCTTAGCCAACCACAACCTGGCGGGCATAGTGCCATGCTTTTCGAAGAATGGCCGCGTGGCCCCAGCTACCCCGGAGACTTCCGCTGTCCGTTCTCGGCCGACGATGCGGCCGACGAGGCATCCATCATACCCATCTTGGGCATGGAGTCGATGGCCCCGTCGGACACCACTGCTGTCACCGGGCTCCCTCCCTTCACGTTCGACGGCACGACAGCCTACTCGGAGACCAGTGGCTTCTTTGAGTACGCGGACCAGAGGCCGCAAACGCCGTTGTACCTAGTCAAGGACGGAGATAACACAGATTCGGTGTTCCAGAAATGGGAACTTGAGATAATGCAGCAATGTGAGAAGGAGCGCGCTCTGGGTTCTGAGCTTGTTCCAGGCACCGTTGACTACCCGGCGGATTTGGAGAACGAGCCGGACTTAATGGCAATTACGAACACCATGGATCCATCGCTGGACCTGGAGTCGGATGAGTTTAACAGGCTTTTTCAAGGAACCTAATTTGGTAGTTGGGTAGTCTCGGAAGACTAGTTTGCATTTAACTAGATCTCTCTTAATTTCTATAGTTAATCTCGTTCGTTAAAAATAGCTTCGAATATTTCCCTTCCTTCTTCTTTTCTTCTTCTTTTTTTCTTCTACTCTTTCTCCTCCCGGTGAGATGTCACATGTGAACCCCCAAGAGAGTCTTAAGGGGCCCACTTATAGCCCCTGTCTCTCCCAACTGCGACGAACACCCCAGCTGCCAAGACCACGTGCACGGTGATGTCACGCTTCAGGTCGTAGCTGCCAAATTCTCAAGCCATCGATTTGGCGTCGTGGTCAGGAGTACCTTCCTTCTAAATGCAATGAAATAACGTCAGGCAGCTGCCTAGACCTGCACTCAATCCTTTTGCCATTCAACTCGCCGTTTGCTTTTCACTTTTCGGCCCTCTTCGATTCCTTTCCCCTTCATCATCCGGTCGGGAAACATCCTCCCCGAGTAGAAGCTACGTAGGCTCAAGCTGCCTTGCGGTGTGATGGAATCGAGTGAATACACCGACCACACGAACTGCACATCCTGAAGTTTACTTCGAGTTTGCAACCACTGCTGTCGCAACCATGATACCCTTCATACACGCCCGTACGGAAACACAAAAATACCCGCATTGACTGGGAAGCCCCAACTAACGCTGTTCCCCGTCTTAGCATTCGTTTACGTAGCCGATACGCTCGGCGCTGGTCCTGATGAGCGTACGATGCCCTTTTCCCCCGACTTTTCTGTTTGGACTTTGGAACATGGACCGAGTTACTCAAGACATGGCTAACCCATCCATCGCCCTTCAGTGAAACTCATTTTCTCCATACTCGTTTCCTACCCGCTCGCCGGCCTCCTGAAACGGGTTCCTGATGCCCGGCCCGCTTATAAGAATCTGTTTTCACTCGGGTGCGTCGTACTTGTCAGGGCTAAGCAACAGGAAGCGAAAATGACTAGTTAACACCCGACCATAGAATCTCCATCTTCTTCCTTGTCGGCCTGTTCGATCTCTGGGATGGCCTCCAAACGATGCTCATATCGGCGGGTGGCGCCTACGCTATTGCCAAGTTTTTACGCGGCTCCCGCTATATGCCATGGGCCGGCTTCGTCTTTCTGATGGGCCACATGAGCGTCAACCATATCGCTCGCCAGGCCGCCAACAGCCCGCGCTCTGTGGACATCACGGGTGCTCAGATGGTTCTGGTCATGAAGCTGAGCGCCTTTTGCTGGAACGTGGCAGACGGCTTGCTTCCCGAGGCCGAGTTATCCGACTTGCAGAAGGACCGCCGCCTAACCGAGTTACCGGACCTTCTCGACTATGCCGGCTTCGTCTTTTTCTTCCCCAGCTTGCTAACCGGCCCAGCCTTTGACTTCGCCGAGTACCGCCGTTGGCTCGATACGAGCATGTTCGAGGTACCGGCCCACGTGGATCCAGCCAAAAAGCCGCCCACTAGGCGCAAGCGCAAGATCCCCCGCAGCGGTACGCCAGCCATGCTGAAGCTCGCTTCTAGCCTGGTGTGGATTTTCATGTTTCTCCAGCTGTCCGCCTACTTTGATCACACTGTTCTGCTTCAAGACAGCTACCTGGAGTATGGATTCCTTCGTCGGTTGTTCGTCTTACACATGGTCGGTTTCACCGCACGCACCAAGTACTACGGTGTATGGACACTATCCGAAGGCGCCTGCATCCTCGCTGGACTGGGGTACAATGGCGTGGATCCTGTCACTGGTAAGGTCTCGTGGGATCGCCTCCAGAACATCGACCCGTGGGGTGTCGAATTCGCACAGAACACTCGGGGCTACCTCGAATCTTGGAACATCAACACCAACAAGTGGCTGCGGAACTACATCTACCTGCGCGTGACCCCGCGGGGCAAGAAACCTGGCTTCCGCGCCAGCTTGGCCACATTTACCACGTCTGCCTTCTGGCATGGCTTCTACCCCGGTTACTATCTCACCTTTGTTCTGGCTTCGTTCATCCAGACAACAGCCAAGAGTACGTTTTACTGCCGCTTTCTTGTGATTCGTTGCACTAAAACATTTGGTAGACATACGCCGAAACGTCCGACCCTTCTTCGTCGACCCCAAAACGGGCGCCGGGCTCCCGTCCAAGAAAATATATGACGTCGCCTCCTGGCTCACCACCCAGCTCACCTTCTCCTTCGCCGTCGCCCCCTTCCTCCTCCTCTCCTTCTCGGACTCCTGGATGGCGTGGTCGCGCGTCTACCTCTACGCCATCATCGGCACCGCGACCACGATGGTGTTCTTCGCGTCGCCGGCTACAGCGTACCTGAAGAAGGAAATTGGGAAGAGGAACGCCAAGGCTGGGGTCGGCGCGAACGGGAATGCTGGCAAGGGCCGCGACGGCAAGCTTAGCCGGTCGACTAGCTCGGAAAGCTTGGCTTCGCAGGCGCCTGTCATGGGCATCACGCAGGATCTGGAGAAGGAGTTTGATGATGCTATGAGCGAGATTCGGGCGTTCGAGGCGGAGAAGAAGAAGTGAAGTGCGGTTAATGGGTGGAGAAAAGGGGGAGAGTATCAGAATGAGAGAGCAATGGATGTGTTGAAGTAGGGGTGGTAAAGGGCGAGTAGAGGTAGGAGCATACATGCAGGAACTTTCATTGCTATATAGAGCAGCCGGCTGAGCGAGGGCCGAGCATCGGAGTATTTGGGATTTTACATTATTACACCAGCGTGTCTGAGTAGTTGCCGTTGAGGGAGATATATGGACGGAATTTAATACCATTATTCGGACTTTTGGCAGATAAATATTGTATTTGCATTACGTTGCGTCCCTCTCGTAATCCAACACAAACCGCCACTGCCGTATGATAGGCAGTAGGTAGGTAGGTAGCTCAACAAAACTAGTTTAAACACTAAGTGTAGCAGTGAGAGCCGAGCTCTCAAGCCGACGGGCCGTAAGCTCTAGCAAGCAAAGGTGTATCATCATCATCATGTGGCGCTTTTTGAAGATCCCCCACCATGACAGATATCCCACCCAGGACGAGAGAAAGAAGAAATGATGGCGAGCATGAACACCATGAGAACAACATCAACACCAAAGCGCGTGTTGTGTGCGGCAAAATAACCCCCTCCCAAAAAAGACCAAAAAAGCTCCGCCCGACTCCCAAGAGAAATAGACATAAAACAGCGACGACAAACGGGGTATCTTCTCGCAAGTTTCCCCCCCTCCTACAATAATCAAAGACGTTCCCTCTCCGTCCAACCCCCCCTCTTGTCTCTAGTTCGAGAGAGAAGGGGGGCAAGATAATAAGAGTGATAGTGATGGTGGTAATACAGTAATTGAGAAACGAAAGCGTGAAAAAGAGATGTCGTTATTATTGACATGACATGCCCATCGTAGCCAGCCAGAGGGTTGGCCAATGGCGTAGGGTCTTGAGAAACTGAAGAGAAAATGTGTGCGACAAGCGGTCGCTGAATTCGTGATACCCCCTGCGGGGGGGACTGAGCTCGTTGCAAGAGTCTATTGTGTGTCGCTGACGCTGATGATGCGATGTGTGCAGTGAGGGAGAGAATATCCGATGTAAGAAACCGTTCAGGCGCTGGAAAACGAAAATCCTCCTTCGCTCCGTTCGTGGAATGTGTTCCGTTCGTAAAGGTCGTGCTCCGTGGGAGGCATGTGGGTGTATATATATACTGGGGTGCAAGGTGTGCAAGGTGTTGGATTGTGGGTGTGGGAGGTGGACGTGATAGGAAGCGCGGGCGGCGCGAGGCGAACATTGATGGCTGTGGTCGAGGTCGATCCCTGGATTTAATGGCCCCAACCCTGCCGGACACCGATGATTGCTAACGCGACGACAGCGCCGATGATGAGAAGGCCGATGATGGACATCCCCCTATTAAGGTTACGCCACCATCTAGCGCTCTCATATTTGGTTTCGTCGACGGCATATTTCTGGTATCGGAAGGCGGGGTGGGTGGAGGTGTACTTGTTCTCGCCGCTCTCGACGTCGAGCATTTGAAGCTTCGGGTTGGGGGGCAACGGAAGGATGGCGGCAACCATCCAAGCTAGAGACGACGTTAGCATACAAATAAGCGTGGGAATTGTTAATAACAGAACGTACCCAGAGGGAAAATAAACCCAACAATAAACAGCAACACCTGGGCGTTCCTTCTGCCGAGAATACCGCTGTCGGCTGACCAGCTCACGCTCGGCGGATCCCAGACGCTGTATCGGGTCGCCCGACGATCCGTCTGGAGATGTGGAGACCAAATGCTGGACGTCTTTTGCTTGAGCGTCCTAAAGACGTGGTAGTTGTGACCCTGGGGGGCTGGCGAGATTTCCATGGAGGCCTGATCGGGAGAGCGTTGTTGACCCGTGTTCGGTTGAACTTCTCTCGCCCGCCTCCGTGGGCTGAAGATGGCCTGGGGGAAGTTGTCGGTATTCGGGGACTCGCTGCCGAGCATGCCCGAGCTGGGCGGTCGGCTATCTCCACTGTCGGACATGGTCAGGAAAGACGGGCGCCGGCCAAGGAACCGTCGTTCGCCAGAGCCGTAGTAAACCCTGGAAGCGCATGTCAGCACCACACCAAAACGGGAACGAGGTTGCTGTGACTTACCTAGCCCAGGCTGGGATTGTCGAGTTGAAGCTGTTGGCCCGAGAGCTCGAGTTCGAATGCAGATTCCAGCTCGCGCCGTTGGCGAAAAGCGCGGCCAGTCCTGTCTTTGATGGTCTGTGTTCCAAATCCGCCAATCCATCCCCGTGCTCGTCTTGGTCTCGTACCATGCGGATCTGTGAAGGCCCCGCTCTCGCGTGGCTTGGGAGCGGCCTCTCAAGCGAGTCGCTGGCCGACGTGGTTGCGGCCTCGTCGAGTTGTCCAGCCATGGATGACGATATACTTGCCAATTGGCGGCTGTGCATGGAGCTCACCCAGCCAGTGCTGCTGCGGCGCCGACGGTGCCCTCCGCTTCCCTCTGAGAGGGGCGAGACGGAGCGCGCGGGATCGCTACCCCCCTCGCTCTCGGACATGACTGTGGATAGCTGGGAGCTCCATTGATGAGGCTGGGACTGCAGCATTGGGCCCGGCGGCCGGAGGGTGATGACCTGGGGATTGGAAGAACTGGACGATGACCTCTCAGGAATCGACCATGGGAAGCGTTGGTTCGACGATGTACCGAGGTTGAGTACCACGGGCCCTGTCAACAACGCCTGGGTGGGATCTTGGTTGGTGATAATGGATGACAAGCTCTTGAGCGACTGGACAGATCCGGTGCGGGACCGGAGAGTCTCACGGGACCGTTGTTTGTAGTAGCCAAATCTCTCGTACGACGTCTTTTTCGCTGGCCTTAAAGGTGCAACAACCAAGCTCTCCTGAGAGTACACCGGGCGAGGCTTTTTGGCGACGGTAACGAGGGACGAGGACGGGGACACGGATGGAGCGCCGTGTAATACGTAGTTCTCGTCACCGCCGTGAGAAGCGGTGGTCGGTCTGCTCGGAAACGCTGGAGCAGGTGAGGATTGGGCCAAGACTTCCCAGTTGGAGGGGGTTGCAGAGTTGAAGGCAAGGCTATCTCTGGACTCTTGCGCAACGGATCCAGGGCCATACACCTTGTAATTTGTCGCTTCGGAAACGGTCTGGATCGTTTGGTTGGATACGCCGGATGCGAATGATGTTTTCCGCACCACGGTCCGCGTAGGTGTGCCTTCTTCCTTTTCGTCGCGGGGGGAGGAAGTTTCCGGGAGCGGGGCGAGCTGCGTCTCGGACGACGACGTCGATGAACTGTACACCGGTTGTTTCCCCTTATTGTCGGGGGTTGAAGGTACCTTCCGGAGGCCACCGACCAAGCGGTAGTTCCAAGGGGACGAAGAACTAGGATCCTCAGCTAACTGAGTGGACGAAGAAGCACGGGACGATGGTGTGGAGTGTCGGTGCTCAGAAAAGCTCTGGTCGAGTACCACGGTGCTCGCGCCTGTTAACGGGGTACTCGCACGTCGTTCGCTCCACGTGTCAGTCGAAGGGCAGTCCTGGGCGCTCGGTGTCCTGGAGGTGTACGACGGGTGAGGCGATGTTAGGCTTTCGGTGGTGCTCTCGGCGGTGCTATCAGCGGCGCTATCAGAGACGTCGGATTGCGGCTCTTCGGGCACGAGCGAGAAGGTTCCGTTGGGGTGGACGGCGAGTCGCAAGGTGCCTCGACGCGAGTCGGACCGTGAGCGCCGGGAGTGAGCAGTGGCTGGTGAGGGAGATGATTCTGCGCGGGAGCGCCTCGGCGCGGGTGCATTAAAGTCTGCAGTATTAGCTGAGACTTCAGATGGTGACCTCAGCGTCGGTGCGGTTGGCCCAGCGGGGCCCAGGGTCGAGGGGCTGCCCAGAGGTTTCACCCCTGAAACCCTCTCATCCCTGGATCTCGCCAATGAGGAACGCCGGGCCGTGGGCGACGACAATGCGGACCCCTGGCCTTCTGTCACCTCATCTCTCCAGCTCGTCCGCCTCGAGTGAGAAGCATTGCTACTGGCCTGGTCGTTGAAATGTCCTGAGCTGCGATTCTCTCGGGATGACGCCTGGCTTGGCGCCCGGTCCTCGGGGTCGAGCCGGGGCGGGGAGTACGGGACGAGGCGGATACCCGGTTTGTTAGTTTGCGAATTGGATCGCTCCTGAAGTGATTGTGTTCGGCCATGTCGGGCTGATGGCGCCGACATGGCTCTGAGACGGTTGGCGGTCGGGGCCGGGAGGCTAATGATCCGTCGAATTCCGCTCCCACACTACAACAAGCTGGGCGGTAGTCAGATCTGTTCCATATCCGTGTCATACGCGCTAGTGATCAGAAGCAAGTCAAGCGACCTAGGCGAGTGTCGTCTGAAGCGGGGCAGGATGGAAAGTCGTTTTGCGGAGAAAATGATTCGGTTCGATCGGATGTCGGATGCCGGTATAATAAGTAGGGAGCGTCTGCCGTTGCTTGATGTGCGATTTCGAAGTCGCGAGCCAGAGATGGTGATCGATGCGTAGCTGCACGGAGCAAAAATAAAAATTAAGTTATCAAGCAGGTACCTGGGCAGGCAGATAACGAGGCGGCAAAAGAGTGCGCCGAAGAAATGAAAAAAAAAACCACGGTTGAGGTTAAAGACAGACTCGAAGGTGGGATGTGGTGGATGACCAAGGCAAATATCAATTGAGCATTGAGGCGGGAGAGAAGACGAGCGTCTGGCAAAGCATTGGGATCCAATGAATGCAAAGCAAAACCCGAAAAAACGGACGGTCGGGCGGCAGACGGCAGACGGAAGTCTTGGGCGCCTATCTCAGCCAGCAACCTACACTAATGTAGTTGCTCGTTTGATGTTTTCGCCTTCGGGCGAAGAGATTGAAAGGAAATCAGACGTGGAGTGTTCGGAGAAAAGGTCTGGAAGCATTTCCAGGTTTGTAAATATTCCCGCAAGCGTGCACCAAACAACCCAGGATGACCCATTGGCCAGTGCGGGACAGCGCATGCCACCGCCTGCACAGCAAAAGGAGCAGTCCCCCAGTGTCTCCGTCGTTGAGAGCCAGAGAAAACCGGAGAAAACGGGCGTCGGTTGGCTGGTGCAACGCTCAAGGACGAGGCTGGAAGTTTAATTTCGCGTCGAGCTGCGATAGGCAGGCTCCGAGCAAGTTGCGTTAGCGCGAACCGTTTAGGCCCTGGACACTTGCTGCTTTGGGCACAGCGCCAGCACCCCGCGGGTTAGCGTCTTCCCACCCTTTCCAGAACAGCCTGGATCCAGAGATCTTTGCCCTTGTTCCCCCAGACGAAACATGAGGCAGTGCTCTCTCTGTTCGCTGACGCCGTCACCGACAGTTCGGTCCCTCGTGCTGCGGCCAGAACCCAAAATCGACCCGATGCCAACTCGATCAGACAAAACGATGGACGGCTGCACCCCTCGCTTGAAAACGAGAGATCACCAGAGAAATCACAGGGCAGGATGACGCCTCATGAAGCGCCCCGCAGAGCATGCAGGTGCAGACGTCAAAACCCCAAGGATGCGCGCACAGCATGGAGGCCGGACCCAGAAAAAACAACTCACCGCCATGTCTCGGACGCAACCGGTCACGGACCCGATTTCCGAGGGATGCGCTGAGCACGCAGCACGTCGTAGCACGTTGTCTCGAGGTTAACTGGGCAAATGGAGCCAATTGAAGGCGATACGCTCGAAGGCAGATTGCTCTCACGGCTTTCACTCCTTCGGACCGTTTACACTAGTCGGCGATCGCATGCGACGAAATGCCATGCGGACAGGATGGGTCCTTTGATACGTGTTCGACGGTGATGGCTGCGATCAGAAGCGAGGACGCAAGCCGCAGGCTCGGCAGGGGGTGCGCCACAAGCGGACAGCGGGGCGGCAATCAAACCCCCGCGCAAGAGCAAAAGCGGCGCGTCCCCGATTCGCGTCTCGATCGCGCCCAATCCGGTTTATCATGCCGTCGAGCAGGACCCCTCCAACCAGAGACCACGAGATACACACCAGCAGATGGGAGCTGGTGGTGGTACAGGCGCGGAGAGAGGCAACACCGGCTGTTACTGGCCCCTGGTGATTTTGCCGATATGCCAGTTTAACGAACCCACCCTCGCTCGCTCGCTCAAAAATAGGGGCTGAGGATGCGAGTAGTATTGTCTTGAAATGCACAATGGATAGCCACGGGAGTGAGGAAGAATGCAAGGGATGTGCCCAAAGACAACGACTGCGGTTGGGTTGGGGGGAATCCGGCCAGTCCAGACGCTCAGACACGGCGCCGAGACAACTCCCGATCGCGAGGTAGGGAGGGAGTTATCCACTGCCCGTGTAAAACTTTCTCGAATCCCATAACTGCCCGTATCCCAAAGATTTCGGCCAACACCTCAACTGAGAATTCATACACAAGACAGAGTCAACAGCTCACACCACGGCGAGTTTCCGACCTGTCAAGTCTAAGAATAGGAAACCTGGTGGAGTACGGGAGCATCCGCGGGTCCGACAAGCACTTTGGCGATTCGCTGAAACGACCCAATCCCGTGGCCATCCCTCCCACCACTTCCCGCGACCCGCGGTACAACCCAACCCAACCCACAGCGGGCAAACGCCCGAGACGCGCTTCTCTGACACTCTGTCGGCGTCTAAGCAGGAGTGTGGTCAGTCGCCACAGGCCCGGATCGTCGCTATTCTGCTTCATGTCGCCTAGTGTGTGCTCGATTCCGACCTAACAGGAAGTGTTAGCCGCGTTCAAGATGCCTGCTCTTACAGACACCCTGCGCAAGCTCAACCCCTGGCATGAGGGCAAGTACCTCAGACGCAAGCTTTCCCGTTCCACACCCACCACGTGCTCGTCGTCATATGAAACACACATACGCACACACACACGCACACAAGACAGCAGACTAACCCCTGAGCTCTAGACGCCACCCCTTCATCTCCGCCAATCACCACCCGAGCCGCCTACGGCCTCATCGCCCTCTACGCCCTGAGCTACTTCGTCCCCTTCTACCTGTCCCGGACCACCCGGCCGTCCCCGACCCTCACGCGGGACGCTCCCTCGGTCATCCGGGCCCGCATCCGCTCCGTGACGCTGTCATGCCTCGCCTGCACGGGCGTCACCTATGTAGTGCTCTCGCGCGCCGGCAACACCGGCGGCACGACGCCCCCTGAGGCGCTGCACCTCCTCGGCCTCTGGCCGGTCGGGCTGTGGGACTCCCTCCGCGCCCTGTTCCTCACCGCCCTGCTCTTCGCCGGCCCGCTGTTCAGCTACCTGGTCGTCGACCGCGGCTGGGCCGACTGGGTCCGCCTCGAGCCCGTCCGGGACGTCTGGGCCGAGTGGACGACCTGGCGGAACATCATCGCCGTATGCCAACCCCCACCCCCCCGTCCCCCACTTACCAAACCAACAACAACAAACATGCTCACCAAAAAAAAAAAAAACCAGGGCCCCATAACCGAAGAGATGCTCTTCCGCAGCGCCTCCATCCCCCTAATGCACCTCGCCGCCTCCCCCCCCACCACCACCATCTTCCTCACCCCGGTGATCTTCGGCCTGGCACACGTGCACCACCTGTACGAGTTCCGCCTCACCCACCCGGGCGTGCCCGCCGCGGCCGCGCTGCTCCGCTCCGCCTTCCAGTTCGCCTACACGACCCTCTTCGGCGCGTACGCGACGTTCCTGTATTTGCGCTCCGGCTCGCTGCTCGCTGTGTGCGCTGTGCATGCGTTTTGTAATTGTATGGGCCTGCCGCAGATCTGGGGGCGGGTGGAGCCTGTGGCTGCTGCTGCGGTGCCTGTTGTTCCTGTGATGGTGGGCGGGGATGTGGGCGAGGGCGAGCGGGACGCGTTGCTCCGGGGTGGGAACCGGGGGAGGCCGAGTATCCTGTGGACGGTCGCGTACTATGTGTTGCTGGTGGGTGGGGCGGTGATGTGGTATAGGAATCTGTGGGTGCTGAGTGAGAGTGGGAATGGGTTGGTGCCGGGCTCGGCGTTTTCGGGGGGTTCTGCGTAAGGGTTGGGAATGGGTAAGTAGGTGTTTGTTGGATGGATGGGTGCATTACGGGGGCTAGGGACTGGGCTAAAACAGGGAGTTGAGTGTGTTTTAAAGGATAATGTCTGCAATGTAATCGTCGTAGGGGCATCAGCACAAGCTGGAGAATCCACCTTTATAAACGACACCTGGCCACCCGAATGTCACATACGACCATATCCGCAAGAGAACTCGGGATCCCGTCCGCTCTCCCTTCGATAAACTTGCGAGAGCCGAACTAGTACTCAGGTCGGTGACGACTGGGGAATCCTCGGTGTTGTATGTTTTGCTTTTTTCTTCTTCCTTGCGGGAGCAAGTTCGTGAAGCCGAGGACTCTCAGGGCCAGTCACTTCCTTCAGTCCACCTATAAGCGCTATCATGAGCATGAGCCCGTCTCGCAAGTCAACGGCCCTTATGTATTCAGTTGATACTTCATTCACATTACTATTTCGCTACCCAGCAGAAAGCAGCCGACAAGCCCATCATTGCCCTCATGCTCATCGCCACACTCGCTCCCTCCCCTCCATACCAACCCAACACCATCCCTCGATCCCAACGGCTCAAACCCCCAAAACAGGGACCGTCCGCTGGAACCATGTAGCATCCCGATCCCAAAACGCCAGTCATGCGCGCGTTTACGTCTTTGAAAAACCTCGAAACTACACCAACAAGATAATCAGGTACGCCGTTTTTGAGATGGTAAAAGAATGAAAAACATATCCCAAGCCAATCCCCTCCCCCGCAGTGCCAAAAGCTCTATGCTGAGAAAAGTAGATCGTCCACTAAAATGGCTAAGAGAAAAGAGGGCCTGCGCACAAAACAAAGTGATGTACAAGAAGCGAGCCGAGAAGCGAAGCGAACAAGACATGGCATCAGCATTATTCTACTCCCCAGGAAGCGTTGGTCTTCTTCAAGGCTGCGAGGAAGGCCGGCGCGGTCCTTGCCATCGGGGTTTTGGCACAGGCGCGGCGTGTGTGCGGTGAGATGGCCCATATTAGCGTGGTGGACTGATGCGCCGTTCTTTTCAAGAGTTGGCGTCCCTGTTGCTCTGCGCGCTCGCGCTCATCGTGGGCTTGCTGGTGGGCAGAATACCGGCGTCCTGAGCCTTTTGCCGGACCTTGGCCCACGCGAAGACGAGACCGCTGACGAAACCGACGGCGATGGCGGTGATGCTGCCAAAGGTGATGGGCGCGTCGAAAAAGATCAGGCCGCTGATGGCGATGGGGAGCTTGTTGAGGGCGCCGACCATCGAGTATGTCGTCGAGGAAGTCACGCGGATACACCACGCCGAGCAGTACGAGATGAAGATAGCGGCCAGGCCGGAGTAGATCATGCCGACCATCAACTTGTTGCGGGTCTCGATGGGGAAGTTCTTGGCGAGATTCTCGGCGGACCAGTCCTCGACAAGCAGCGAGCAAACGACGAGAACGGGGATCGTGAGGAGGTTGTTGTAGAACATGCCTAGTGATGATTAGCATACCGCCCTGGTCGAAATATCCCGTCCCACATACTGTCATAGTCCTTGAAGTTCATCTTCTTGATAACCTTGCGCATGCCAAGCAAGTATGAGGAGGTGCAAACAACGTTCAAGCCCATCCACGCATAACCCGCGTTGAGGGTCGCAAGGGCAGCCGAAGTCTCGGCCGAGTGGCCAACACCGTCGATGGCGGCCTGGATATCAGCCCACGCAGCCACGACGGAACTGAGCACCATCAAGCCGAAGGACAACAGCATGAGCGGGGTCACGCTGCCACCGAACCAGAGCACCTCTCCGTAGGCGATAACGATGATGGTCAGGTTCTTGAAGATGGTGTAGACCGGGACGGAGAGGTACTGGAGGGCGTTGGCGCCCGTGTAGATCATGCTAACGAGGAGCAGCGAAACGGGGAACCCTGACCATGGATGGATCAGCAAACGATCTGGGGGACAAGGGGTCCGGATGACGCACATTTCTTTGCCTTGTTTGAATCAAAGGGCGCAAGGTTCTTGATGAGGCCGGTCTGCCTGGAGAGAAGAATGGCGATGGTGCAAACAAGCGACTTAACAGTTGTCAGCTTCTCGTCCTACTTCACTCCCTCCCCGTCGAAACGCGCGTACCTGAATACCGAGGTAAAAGAAGTTCAGGTTCCATGACTCGCCGGAGACAACGTATTTGTTCACGACGGTCATGCTGATCGACGACAGGCAGTAGGCGAGGATCGACGCTCCGGGGCTGTTGTCGAGCTTCCCGAAGTATGCCGAAGCTGCGGGCTCGCGACCGCGGGGTCGGGACACGGGCGAGTTCCTGCCCAGGAACGGGTCCTTCTCACCCCCGAAGTCGTTGCCGCCCTCGGCGGCCCGCATCTCGATATCCTCGTTCTTCTTGTTGGACATTTTGTGTGTGATCCGCTAAATCCTCAATCGACTAAACGAGCGACGAATGGTGGTATAAAAGTTATGCGAAACCTCTGCTCGCAAAATGCAGTCGGTGTGGGACAGATTACAGATTTCCGAAGACGGTTGCGGAACCTGTCTGACGCGCTCGGTACAGCGATCGGTGTGGCGCAAGTAGCAGATGAGGCAGTGCTCTTCGCCGAATGGAATGAAGCAAAGCAACGCCGCTCGATGCTCTCGTGTCGTCGCCCAAGAAAGGGAGGATGCTGATCGGGATGGGCGAAAACGCGTGTCAGGGGGGAGTTCACGGATCGATAGGAAATCTCAGTGTTAAATTGGCAAGACTCGAAACCAGCCCTCCACGCTTTTCCCCCTGGCTCGTCCTGCCCTGTCCTGGCTCCCCTTTTTTCGCGCTTGGCTTCGAGGTGTGGGCCCTCGTGTGGGTCCCCAAAACGCTTGTTTTGTAAGATTCCTGTATCGGGGTGTATTCGGTACCGATTCTGTATAAGTTCCTGCATTCGTTCTCGAGTACGGTTCTTGGCATGGTTCGATATGGCGCCCAGCTAGAAACCTACCATTGCCACTAAATAATTAGAGCACGTCTGACTTCCATGAACCATGTTCCTATTCTTGATCGGGCCTCATTCTGACTTGACAAACATTATCCTAACTCCTCTGCTAATAAAATTGTCGCTCTAGGTATTCCATGAACCAAACCCAAACCTAACGCCCTTGACATTCAAAAACAAATAGAACTCCCCCTATATATGAGATGCACCAACACCATCATATCACTCCTCGTGCAGCTCAAACCACTCGGGGATCTCCTTGATAAGACTCCACATGTACTTTTCCAACTTGGCGGCGCACTTGGAATACACGGTCGATGTGTCATTGTACTGGCGACAATTGCTGAAAATCAGCTTCAGGTCGGCAACGAGGTCCTTGGGCGTATCATAAGAGTCGCGTTCCAGCCTCTCTTCCATGGTTGACAAGTCCATCGGCGAGACGATGACTTTGTAGTAATCGGGGACCTCATCTCTGTTGACGGGGTTGAGGAAGGGCCACGCCTGTTTGTGGTTCTGGATCTGGTACAGGAAGCGACGGAGTTCGTTAAAGTGGGGTCCGTGGCGCGGGACCCGGGCTAGTTCGTCCATATCCGGGGACCAGCCGGTCTCCCGGATGGCGGGGATGGAGAGCGGATCGACGGGCATACCGGCGGCGAATTCCGGTGGCGGCTGGTGGACGACGTGGCTCTTGCTCATGGTCCGGATTTTGGCTTGGATGGTTTCTTTCTGCTTGAGGAGCATTCGGCCCACTTCGAGGTAGCGTATTCGCGGGACCATAGAGCATTGCATGAGTGTCCCACCTTCGTAGTCCTTGATGTAGCCCATCCAGAGAGATTTCTCCAAGGAGATATCCTTTGTAAAGCCCTGTTTCTGGAAATACCCTGTGGCGTAGTTGTCGGCGTACGTAAGGAAATGCATCACTGGCGAGGTGGCTTTAACGTAGTCCTTCAGGTGCGCCATCAGATGGGCTCCGTATCCTTTCACCTGCTGGTCGGATGAAACCGCACAAAACACAATCTCGGCGAACTTCCGGGTTCCAAACGACCGGAATGTTATCCCGCCAATGACCTCCAAGGGCTGTCTGACGATGGCGATGGACGTATGAACGCGGTCGTAGACAAGACGTGCTATGTAGTCTTTGGGCATCTTCGGCAGTTGCTTTTGAAATAGACATTTCAGACCTGTGAGGATGAGCATGCTCTCCTTGGTGCCATCGTTGTTGACGACTCGGAATTCAATTTCCCCATTTCGTTCCTCCAGAACTGCGGGCTTCGGACGGTTAGGGCCCGAAGGTTTCTCATTCGGACAGAGGAGCATACCTTATCTGGAAAAGGAACCCTCGCGGAGGGACCAGCTGATGATTGCGCATCTGCCTTTGATACAGGCATTGCTTCTTGCGAGTTTTTGATTCTTTTGGCATCTGGTGCGATATTCGAGGTCTGGGAAGCCGCGCGCTTGGGGAAGGGAGGGTTTCGCCCGCGGTCGGCTGGAATTGATGGTGACTTTCCTTTATCCATCTCGCCTCGTCTCGGTCTCGAGTCTCGCACCGTATTGTTCTCGAGGAGCGCGACTCTCAAAGGCTCCCGCTCGCCGACCGACAGTAATCGTTTGCGTTGGATGTTGGCTAAACTTGAGTTCTCGGGTTTAAAGAGGGGCTCTCCGAATTGACGTGATTGCAGTCCTTGCCCGAAATGAGTGCAATTGTTGGGGGTTTTGGGTGACTAAAGACTGTGTCCGTGTCGACGTTGGCCTAAAGTAGCCTATTAGACGTCACGTGGTAGCCTTGGACGCATGCATGCCGCGCAGGGAAGCCATGTGACGGCAAGGGTGTCGGGCGGACTGGAATGCGGACTGGAATGCGGCCTTGGCCCACCATGAACCGTTTCCGATCGAAGGTGAGAGTGGGAGGAGAGAAGTAGATAGGGTAAGTGTTATAATTGCAACGCAGGTACATACTTACTGTGGTACGGCGATAGCGATGGAAGTAATGAGACTGGAAGTGGGAGGGGACCCGGAAAGTTGGTCGGGGTGACGCACACCTGGACACAAAGGGATACCTACAATACCCCCACAGACGAAAAAAACACCCGAAGTATTGGCTCTGCCCATCAATCCCGCTGGCCGACCTCCGATTCCTTTGGTTCAGGCGTCATTCCCTCCATCACCTCGTCCTCCGGCTCCTTTTCTTCTTCGCCCTCTCTTTCTTCCGCATCATCCCGCTCTCCTCGGTCCCCCCTTTCCTCTTTATCATCACCCTCATCCCGGTCCGTCTTGTCACCCCCTTTCCCCGCCCGGCGCATCAGGGGGGACTGGATAGTTGAGGTGCTTCCAGTCTTCCAATTCTTCCGTCACCGACCGCAATCGGTCACGGATACTCTCGATGGCGTAGCTCCCCAGCAGCAGCCTCAGCGGGGGATAGGAGCAGTGGCCAAGCTGCCATACCAGCTCGGCGCACTTGACAGCGCTCGTGGGCTGCTTGTCGCCAAGCCACTGCACCATCCTCTTGGCGTGCAGCGCAGGCGACGTCGCATGCGAATATGCCTCGCTGGCGGGCTTGATCAGGAAATGGCCCCAGGTGGGCAAGGGGTTCGTCTTAGAGTCCGGCTCGTCCCGCCTGACCAGCCCAGGCTCCACGAGCGTCGCCTTGATATTGAACGAGTCAACCTCATACAGCATGGCCTCGATCAACCCCTCGACGGCGTACTTTGACGCGCAGTACGGGCCCAGCCCGGGGACACCCAGAGCCCCCGAGGTGGAGCTAAAGATGAGATAGCGGCCGCCGTTTTGCTGGCGGAAATAGGGGAGGCTGGCCTGGACGATGTGCAGGGTGCCCATGAAGTTGGTCTCGAACTGGTTGCGCAGCTCGTGCTCGTCCTGGTCCTCGCACGCGCCGATGACGCCGTAGCCGGAGCAATTGGCGATGCAATCGATACGTCCGAAGCGGGTGAGGGTGCGCTGAATGACGCGGGCGACCGACGCGCCGTCGCGCACATCGCACAGTTGGCCCAGGCACGTGTCGCTGTTCAGCGTCGCGATGGCCTCGGGGGACGTCTCAAGCACGCGCCCGACTGTGGTGACTAGGTCGCCGTGGCTGAGAGCGGACTTGACGAGCGAGCGGCCCATGTGGCCGGTCCCGCCAAAGACCTGGAAGTAGTTAGACGGTGGCTACCTGGAGGAGGTTGAAGAGAAGCGCGCACAATCCAGACTAGTGGCTTTACTGCTGCCCCGGGCTGCGGAGGGTCGCAGCTTGCTGGGAGCTGAAGCCTCATCTTGGATGGGTCGGATCCAGCGAGGGACACCCCATCGTGCGCGCTCCGGGTATCCATTCCGTACAGCGCCGGGGTTGTCGTTCAATGACCCGCTGTCTAAGAGATGATCGGTTGGGTGTTGTGGTGGGGGTGGGGTTAGCGGAAGCTGAAGCACAGTTCAAACGGCAAGGCGATGCCAATTCCAATCCGCATGCGCCCGCCTAGTCGGGTTTCAACTCATGGTATGCCTCGTGAGTTCGGATATGGAAATACTGACACGTCGGGTTTCGTGACAATATTTGTATGTGGATGAATGATGCGAGGAGCCGGCGGTTGAAAGCTGTGTGGGGGAAACTAAATTGCTTGGCAGCCCCCTGCCGAGCATCCGGGGAACATCCCGCTCGAACTTGGCGGATACAACCTCGCCCTTAACCTCATCCTGAAGTCGACTCCCTCAAGCCCCAAGTTTCTAGCGTTATTAACTGTCGGCATGGTAAAAGACAGGGACGAGTTAAAATAGTTCAAACCGAATGTGGGATTGGCTTCCTACCTTGCAATGGGAAATGGCCCATCCAGCAGCGGATTCCCTCCCTCGAGAAGGGCCGTTGAGCATCCCGCAATGCCATTCATCATTCATCATGTTACGGATTGTGCCACAAACGTATTTGCAGGGTGTGTTTCCGGCTCTGCTCCCAATCGCCACTTTGACTATACTCCATGGACCTGGTTGCCTCTCCACGCCAGCATGGTTGACGACGCTTGGCGGGGGCACCTGGGCCTCAAGGGAACGTTGGCGAGGTCACCTTGCATCGGTCTTCTCTCGGTCTGGGGTTCATTTTGGTCGAGATTGAACATTGCGTCGACCTAGCTGGACAAAAGACACCTTTAAATGGTCTAGAGAACGTCGCGAAACTACCCGACTCCTCAAGGAGATAGGGAGGCCCTCGATGGTTCAATGCGCATGTGAGTGCTAGGACTGCAGGTGCTTGACAAACCACGGCTGGATTAATTGAGTTAATCATCTCCGTGGGAGAGGTTGGAAAGCGGGTTCTAAGGAATCATAAGGGCGATTCATCATTTGGTGTTGTGGTGAATTTTGAGACGCTGGAGGATGGGACGGTGACGTCGAAAGAGATACTGTGTAGATCTCCATGTTTATGGGGAGGGTGGCGGAAGATGAGGTCTGGGCGCGACGGGGGGTCTGATCGCGGATGTAAACATGTTGGCCGTGGGAGGTTGGCCGTTGTGGTGAGTAAGATTTGAGGAAGAGGAGAGAGAAGATGCGATGCGATTCCATTGGTGCCCGGGTGGATGTGTTTAGGAGTGGGATGAACGGACGGACATATAGATGTAGATGGAAAAGAGAGAATAATGTAGAAAAAATAGCAACGGGAGGAAATAGGAATAAATAGAAGGAATGAGAAGACATGCAACGAAAAGAAAACACAAAAAAGCTCACCAGCTCCTTCTAGGTTGCCCTAGGGAATTCTGGCTACGAAAAACCCGGATTTGATTTTTACAATGCCTCCGACCTGGCTCGAACCCGTGGTTAGGGGAGCCGAGTCAAGGAGGGCCCCGGCCGCTAACCATTAAGCTACGGTGTATCCGCTACTGCCTGGCTGCATAGCGGCCGTTGGGCATTAGCAGGTAGCACGAACCTAATACATATACCCTCGAAGGCCTTAGGCCTGTTCACAGCTTAGTCATGGGTCTCTGACACCTGCTGGCCCTTGCTCTAGAAGATGTAAGGCGGGGAGAGAACTCAGATATAGTTCACTTGCACTTTCTACCCTTCCTACACTTTCTAAATAGTGATAGAGATGAGAATATTATATAAAGCTTCAAGTTCTGTGACTTCCGCGACCGAGAAGTTCTGGATCTCAGATATCATTCTACCTGCGAGTGGGAGGAGACAAAACGAACTTGGTGTCGCTGAGGGAGCCACGTGACTCGACTTACACGACTTACGGCCAAGCCTCCCAGCTTTAGGCGCGGCTTGGAAATTTCTTGGCACCGCTTCCCTGTAGCTTATCGATAGGGAGCGATCATGGCGCAATCCAAGGCCTGACGGACATGCTGTGTTCATGAAGGTAACAACAGGAGTGCTATTTCCGTGAGACAATCCTGTAGATTTCGGCCAATACCAAATCCAGATTTACAAGCGTGCCACTGCTGAGTAACGAGACCACATCTCACCATCACTGCGGGCGATCTTGCTCAACCTACTGCGTGCTTGTGCCCCTCACCACCAGATTTAACTGGGAGCCCCGCCTTGTCCGCTTCATCTCAACTCATTCCCCTTCAAGCCAAGAACAACACACATCCATCGACACCATCATACTCACAAGCCGCCATCAACAACAATGAAGGCCTACTTCTACGACGACCTCCCCGTAAGCCCCCAAAATACACCAAACCCCCAACCCCCCCCTACCTTTCCCCCCCAAAACCAAAACCAAAACCAAAACCAAAATCTCAAAATCACGCAATCACGCAATCCCCTCACCAACCCAACCACAATAATAACAAAAAAGCCCAGGGCGACCAGCGCCTCCCGCACGACACCAACAGCCCGGCCCTCCCAGAAGCGGCCCTAGCCGAGATCGGGGTGCTGTACTTCCGGATGGCGGACCTGGCCGGGGTGGACGCGCTGGCGGGCCAGCGCGGGTACCGGAACCGGGACGAGATCGTGGTGTCGCCGCGCACGATGGGGGACGCGTACGAGGCCAAGGTGCGGCAGTTCTTCGACGAGCACCTGCACGAGGACGAGGAGATCCGCTATGTGAGGGATGGAAGGGGGTATTTTGACGTGCGGGATAAGGGGGATCGGTGGGTGCGGATCGCGTTGGAGAAGGTGTGTTTTTTTCTTTTCTTTTTTTTCTTGTTCTCTCTCTCTCTGTCGTTTTATGGTGGTGGCGGTGGTGGTGGTGGTGCGGAGGTGGTGATGTTTGAGAAGGGGAAGTGATGGGGCTGACGATCGAGGGAACAGGATGACCTGATTATCCTGCCTGCGGGGATCTACCACCGATTCACGACCGATGAGAGCAACGTAAGTGTCGAGACGGGGATCAAAAAGGCGGTTTGGGGAAAACACTGACTGACGCACTGCAGTATATCCAGGCGATGCGCTTGTTCAAGGAAGAACCCAAATGGACGCCCCTGAACCGGTCCGGGGACCTGGACGCGAACCCATACCGCAAGGAGTATGTCTCGCAGTTCCTGGCGTAGGGTGTTGGCATGTCGTGGGCACCATGAGCGATGTATTTATTCAATGTGAAGCGTGTTGGAGTTGATCAACTTCGAGTCATCCCGCTCATGTTCTCTTGTCTACCGTTTTGCTCGCCCGCTGCGTAGTAGCCGTCTTTACCAGCCCTCAACATGCAAAAAAAACCCTGCATGGCTACAAAGATGGAGCTGGGCACGCCGGAGGTCTTGATGCTACCGCTGGCATCCTCACGCATTGTCCGATGAATACCCCAATCCCCTGATTAGGGTATCCCCCTCCAAACCCAACCCCAACGCCAGTGTTGTATGCAATGCTCATAAAATACCCTCTGTAATGTATTGAACCTCCTTCAACGCCAAGCCCCCCGAAATTGAATTGTATGTCGAAAACGTCCACCTACCCGCGAGCATGTACACTGTCGTACACCGTCGCACCCTTGCCTGGCCATCCAGACTCACCGCACTTCCGGCGGTGGAACCTCAGCCCCGGCGACAGCGATTTCGTTGTTGATACCGTTGGCGGTCTCATCACGGGGTCGCCCCTCTGTCGCAGGGTCAGCACAGGCACAGCCAACTTGATTACCGGGGATAACTCACCAAACAACCGGCGCCAAAACATGGGCGGGTCCAGCGGGCGCGATCCGCCATGCAGGGGCGGGTAAACATCGTTGAAGAAGTACCAGACGTGGCCGATGATCACGCCCATGAACTCGTCCTTGGGGATGGTGCCGTGCAACACGAAGCTGATGCCCATCAGGACCCACGGCAGGTAGGGCGCACGGAAGACCAGCAGGCCCAGGAAGCTCATAAGCGTGTCCGGGTTGCGGCGCGACCAGATGTACACCAGGGTCGACGACAGCGGGTGGCCGAGGAAGGGCATCGAGACGAAGGGCGACAGGAGGAGCAGGCTGGTCATGGCGTACACGAGCAGCCACGAGAAGTAGGCGGATGACCGGCCCGACGACTCCTCGAGGAGCCGCGCGTAGCGCTGCAGGAAGTAGACGTGGAAGAGGAGGTCGATGGAGAAGGGGCCGAAGTAGAGGAAGGTCGTTAGGAGGCGCCAGTACTGTTGGGGGGTAGCGGGGTTAGCATGGCGGATGCGATGCGACGACTGGGGAGTTGGGGAGGGGCTCGACTCACTTCTGACTTTTGGAATACTGTGCGGTAGCTATAGAAAAGCTGGAACGGCGTGACGAGCTGGCACTGCACCAGGCCGCTGGTCAGGACTGTCGCAGTTGTCCACCATCTCGTGCAGATGGGCATCTCCCAGAACCATGTCTCGAGCGGGAAACCCCCCTCGCCGCCCATTATTTGATCCATCTTTTTTTTGCGAAATTGCAGACGCAGTTGCAGATGTCGCGACAGTTGTAGCGAACGCAGGTGGCTTCTTGAACTGAAGCCCTGGAGTATGTACCTCGGTCGTGGCGTTTGCGGAATGCGATAGCGGCCCAGCCGGGTTTACTAGGATAACTAGCGCAGTCGCAGGCTGCGATTTGCAGTTAAAGTCGGAGCGCTTTGCTGAATGAACACATGTGCACCGCAGTCGACCGAGTAGCCGACGTGGAAAGTTGCGGAGTGGTGTGTGGTGTGGTGTGGTGCGGGCTCTTTGAGCTGCTGATGAATCGCGGTGATGCTGAGGTGTCCTTTCTCTCCAACGGTATCTTTCATCAGCGGGTGTTAGTACGCCGAGACAAGCGGCGAGCTCGGCAAGTGAGCCGGGGGTGAACAGACGGGGCCGGATGACGCCAGTTAGGAAGAAAGCCACATATGCATTTATCCGATTCCCTCCCTTGAGACGAGAGGCGAACGCACTAACATGTGGCTGGTGCGATTTCCACTGTGCCCAGCCACCCCATTAAAACCCCTGTCGGTTCAGTCGCGTCGGTCGCGCGAGCTCAATCCCGCCAATGCGGGTCATAGAAGTTGAAGCTCCCAGCCTCCCAAATTGAACCCCCCTTCTTGACTTTTGCGACCAGACCAAACACAACACTTCCTTTGTACGAAGTACTTTCAAGCATCGTTTTGATACCGCTTTCCCTTTCGGCAATTCTATTTGCGCCAGCATCGGACCCTATCTACCTATCTATCGCAAAGCATCTCGAGCTCCTTGTCGGCCTTTCCAGTCCCTGTGCACTCCCTTTTCGGTTCCTTACTCCGCCGTCGGATCACGCCAATCCCTTCGCGCATAGCTTTCTACATCTCCCAATCCGCCCATTGGAGCAACCCCAGCCAGCAATATGCCCCCGAAAAGCGCCAAGCAACGAGTCTCGGGCGGCGCAGCGGCAGCTTCACCACGAGGTCGCGGGCGACCACCAGCGGCAGCAGCGGCGGCGGCGGCGACAGCAGCGATGAGGCCAAGACACAGTAACGTACAACGTACGTCCTCTTCACCCCGCCCAAGCGCCCAATTCCTTCCCTAATTCCCGCTAACCCCCCCAAAGCAGGCGACCCCGTCCCACAACCCAAAAAGCGCCGCTACCGCCCCGGCACCGTCGCGCTCAAAGAAATCCGCCGCTACCAAGCCAACACCGACCTCCTCATGTCCAAGCTCCCCTTCTCCCGCCTGGTACGCCCCCTCCCCCCCTTTTCCCTCCCGCTCCCCCTCTCAAACCGCCCCCCCCCCCCCCCCCCCCCTTTACAACCCCCTCCCTTAACCACAACCACCCCACTAACCCACACTTCACACACCAGGTCCGCGAGATCGCCCTCCAATACCAGCCCTCGGCCGAGGAGCTGCGCTGGCAGTCGCAGGCGATCCTGGCGCTGCAGGAGTCGGCCGAGGCGTTCCTGGTGCACCTCTTCGAGGACACCAACCTGTGCGCCATCCACGCCAAGCGCGTCACCATCATGCAGAAGGACATCCAGCTCGCCCGCAGGATACGCGGCGTCTGGGGCGGCGCGGGGTGGGTGTAGCATGGCGCATGGCGTATGTGGGGTGTGGGGGAGAGATGGAAAAAGGGGGGGGGGGGCTCTTTTTCGTCTGGGGGTTGTTTGAAGGGGGGGGGTGGGAGTGGGGGGGTTTCTTTCTTTCCTCGTTGCTGAGGGCTGTTGGCATATACATACATAATCGCCGCGTGATGCGGTGTCGGGGCGGGGCTGGGTCCGCTTGGCTTGGCTCGGGGGGGGATAGAAAGGGTGGTCGGCTAGTCGGCTGGGAGGAGCAGCTATGGTCCCAAGACCTGAGCCTCCTCCGCTTGACGGCTTCCCATGCACTGACGGGGTGGGGGGCGCTATACACAGTATGTGTGCGCCGAATCGGGCGGTGGCGTTCAAATGGCGTTTAGGGGGGTTCTGGGCAGTTGCTGTGCTGGCTGTGTTGTGCGTTGCTGTTATATACCGGAGGGTTTGGGCGGTTGGGGGAGGCGTCTGGTTTGGCTTTGGTTACTGTACCCGATTGAGGCCGTGGCCGTTGTGCTAGTATAATTGACTTCAAGCGACTGTCGTCGGATGGTCCGCCGGGACATGATTCTGATTCGTGAGGTATTCTCAACTAGTGTCTTCACGCGCCTCACGGTGTTGATGGCGCAGACGCCGCTCTGTCTGTCATGCCATAACCCATTGCCGTGAGGTGTCATCTTTTTTCACCCTGACTGAACCATCTCCCTTGGTTACAGCTGGCCGTTTACCGTTAAAGGAGCAAGGACCAGATATTGGGCACACCCACCCATCTGCTCACCCGTCATCTCAGGCCCCCTTGCTCCGATCGAGACCAAGATAACGACGAGTTTGGGTCGCAAACTAGCGGCAGAGCCTCAACAAGGCCTGTCAGATCCGGGGAAGGACGATGATGATTTGATGACGTCTGGCCCCGGACTAGTTCTGCAGCCCTAATCCAATCGAGCAGGTCAAGGGCCGGAATTTGGGCCGCCAGCTCAGACTTGCAGCACCACGTGGGATCGGTGCGGGAGGATCTTCCAAAACATCGTTGCTTTATGGGCTGCTACCATGCTTTAACTGGATCCCACGGGGACGGGACACGCAGATTTTGCAGTCGGTGTTTGTGGTGTATATTGTGTATTTTATCATGTATATATTATAGACCTGCTGGTCTGCGGCGCAATAGAAAAGTGCAGACACAATCTGACCAGGAAAGAGCGCATCGGGAAGCAGATACACAGCGGTGGCCTCGCCGTCCCCGTCCGTTTCCATTTCTACCTTATCTACCCAACCCAACCCAACCGATTTATGCTTCTTCTTTTCTGGGTGCTTCCCCCCTTTTCCCTTCCCCTTGCTTATTGGTTGAAGAACCCCCTCACCCTTTCTTAAGCAACCGCCCTCTCCCACATCATCAATCATATCCGTCATCGCTTCATTTCCAGAATCCAACACCAAGACGCTTTCTCCGGCTCGCCGGCTTCCCCTCCCACATTAGCTCAGTTGAGCCGACTCGAGGGTTGGGCCTGGATCGGGTTGCCGGTGCGTTGGCGAGTAGGGTCTCGAGGTGCTGCTCCTGCTGCTGCTGGTCTCCCTCTCTTTCGTTCGTCCTACCCCCACTCCCATCCTAGGTTCTCGGGCGCTGCTGTCGCTGTGGTATCGAAGCTCCCTCCCGCTCGCTCGCCCGTCCGATGCAGATATAAAAACGATGTCGGTGTCGCCAACAAGGAGGACATGAGAGCGGTTGTCCAATCCGAAAAGGCGAGGAAGAATGTGCAAAAGAAGCCAAAATGAGTAAGGAAAATATCGAACAGTGAGTGCCTTGTTCCTAGCCGGTACAGACTTTCCAATCCATACACACCGTGTTGTGTCAAGAAAATTGTGTCAAGGGAAGACAGTGTGTGGCAGCGACCAACATCTCGAGCGAGAGTTGGGTCGAGAGATAAAAGAAAATAGGGAGCGATGATGCAACACAGGACGAACAAAGTCGGCCCTGGAAAAGAGATAAAGGGAAAGAAAGAAGACGACTACTTTTCAGGTTGCGCCGCCCGGCCATTGGTGCCAAACCCGCACCATCCATCCCAAGTCTATGGTTTGATTCCCATCCGCTTCCAGATGCTAATTGAGGCAATGACAGGATGTGTTTTTAACAAAAAAGGAAATTTATGACGACAGAGCGCTGTGGGCTCTGATGGCGGTGGGAGCAGCACGGTGCATCCCAGGTGAGTGTTGTGTGTTTCGGGGTATATATATATATGTATGTGCGTGGGTGTGTGGTGTCTGTGTGCTGATATTGTGGATCTATTTAGATCCGGTTCCCGCTCAGCTGCACTTGCGGGAACAGCGCATACTGATTCGCCGGGGGCGGTGTGCTGAGGCTCGTGGTCCTGGCACGTCCGCGTCTCGTCAGGATCGAGGGCTTGGGTTTCCCCGGCCAAGGCTCGTCCATGGCCATCCTCCCAAGATTAGACTCGCTGCCGCGGCTCTTGAAGTGGGGGCGGCGGGTAGACGGTTGAGCTGCCTCTTCCGACTCAGGGAGCGTGGGCATGGCAGCCTTGCTCTCACCCCTTCCGTGTGACTCAAATGATGGGAAGCGTTGCAGCGGCTCACTTGTCGGGAGACAGGGCTCCATGTCGAGCGAAGACACGCTCGCTGTCAACCGGGTGTAGTCAGTAGACGTCGAGGCGGTCGAGTTGTGCTTATCGAATGCCGAGCTGGTGCTTTCGATGGTGCCGGTCGTCGAAGCGCTGGTACGATACCGAAGGAGGAGCGCTGATGGGTCCATGTTCAGCTCTGGTTCGTCGAAAGGACGAAAAGCAAAGTCAGAGGCTTCTTGCCTTTCCGCCTCGCAGGCCAACATCTGCTGCTGATAGTCCATGGGGATTAGGAGAGACGGAGACAAGGTGAAGCCGTGTGATTCTTTGAAGCTGGACGCGTCAGACGGCTTCCGCACGTGAAGCAGGTTCTTGGAGTCGACTCTCGGCAGCGAGAAGTTCGAGGCCTTGGGATTGTTCACCACCGTGGGGGTGATCGCTTCTTGCGGGGTTGCCAAAGAAAGTTGACTGACGGGGCTAAGAGCCGGCACATCGAACTGCCCTGGCGCCAGCATTGCAGGAGAGGCCCCGCAAGACTCGACGCCTCGCCCATGGTCGTCAACGGGCGTGGCCGTGTCGTTGTCTCTGCATGTTTCGAGGGACGGGCGGCTCCACTCATAATCGCAATCCGCCTCCGCCTCGTGGTCATAACAGTAGTCGATATCGTCCTCCCAAGCCTCCCGAGGCAATGCGTCGCCGTTATCATCCAGCGCTTCTCGGAGAGCCAGCTGCGCAGCAAACATATCGAACCGACCCAGGGTGTCGGAAGCATCGCTGGGGCGGCGGCCCGAATCGTCGTCCTGGCGGGAGGCAAGTCCCCTCAACATCGGGACCGACTGGCTTCCGCGGAGGGACGAGTTGCTGGCCACGCTTGCGCGGGACTTCTTCGTCGCCACGGCATTTTCATCTTCCTCGGGCACGTTGGGTAGAGTGTATTCGGAAGCGGTGCTGCTAGGGCAGGGCAGAGGCCAGTTGGCGTCGTCGTGTGGGCTCATGGATGCAGAATAAGCATGTTCGTGAATAACGTCCATATCTGGGGTGTATCCATACGATGTCGCAGGAGGACTCCCGGGGTCGGCATATGGCGGCTGCCCACGGAAGCTAGCGCTCGTCTGTGGCCTATCTATCGAGTCAAAGCGCTCATGGCGACCACCCAAGACGCGGCTGGGGCCACGCGAGATACCATTCGGGGCGAACTGGTCAACTGGTGACCTTGGAGGACGCGGAGGGGGAATATGCAAATTTAATTGTTCCTGGGATTGGGAGCGATTGAGAAGTCGCCGAGACGAGGAATTCTTCTTCAACACAGACGAGGTCCTTGTGAGGGTTGTTGTTGTTTGGCGCAGTTCGGGAGCGGGAGTCATGCCGTCCTCTTCGTCCAGCGGGAGCGAATCAGACGAGAAGTCGGCAAAGTGCGTCTCATCTGATCGCGGGCCCTTTGGTCCTCCATGACCTCGAAGCTGCGCGAATTCGGAACCGAGAGTGGCCCGGTTGCCGTGTTGCGAATCGAGGGCATGCTCTTTCTGGGTGTGGGCCACATGCTTGAAGTTGTACGGCCCAGAGATATTAGGCCTGCGGTGTGCCTCGGCGGCCTGGTCCGGTTTGATGCTCCGGCGGAGACCAAAAAGCGCTGGGATGGTTGAGTCCCGACTTGGGGCGGATGGCAGCGCGGCGTCAGCCGCAGCATCCGTCGAATACATAGAGCTCGACGAGCTCTGGGCGCTGCTCTCGCGCCTCCCCTTCGGTCGCCGGTTGAAGAGAGTCTTGCCGAATATCTGCACGCTCTCGGGCCGCTCCCGCGAAGGCATGCTGCTGGATGTCGACCGCCCCGAAGATTTCCTCGACAACGTCTTTCCGTCAAGCGGGTTCTCCCACGAGGGCCGGTCGGCTGAGGTCAGCGACCGCAGTGACGAGGAGCCGGACGAGCTGGTCTGGTGGCTTTGATGCTTGTCGCGGACGGACGCGCGCTTCATCTGCTGGCTTAGTTCGCGAAGGCTCTCCGGTGACGGCGGGCCCTCAACAGCAGGGTCGAGGAACCCGTCGATGGAGAGCGTGTCGTGTGGCACAACATCGGATGACGTGACAGGTCTGACGGGGGGTGGCGCGGTATCCCTTTGTGGACTCGGGATGCCGAGGATCCTCGACGTTTTGGATCCCTGCCTGGAGCTCTTCTGGCGCGTGTCCCGTTCCACCCGGTACACGGGCATGTTGGAGGCTGCGTAGAAATTCATGGTGGGCGGCCTGGATCTCTCGTGCCTATCCTAGGATATGCTGCAACTCGGCGGGGGGTGGATACTGAGAGAGTGGGTGTCGCGGCCACGGGTCGACACCCTCTGACACTTGCCAGTCAGGCTGCCGGGAAGATGCCGTCCCGGACGTGTGGGCGAGGGCATCCGCAGCAGTGCCGGGGCGGGCAACGAGAGATAGGCGGGTGGATGGTGGCGGCAAGGTGCGATGGCTGCGGGGGGGCGTCGAGTTGCGAACCAATACGAAGCAGCTCGGGCGGTCAGCAACCCGGAACTCGATAGCGAGTCGTGTTCCCCGGAAAACGAAAGGATTACGAATATTATGACTGCTCTGCTTTACTTCGGGAAGCGAAAGCCAGGAAGCAGCAATCCGGGAACCTTCTTGTTTGTGGGGGAAGAGACGGGCCCTGGGGGTGCCATATATTCCATGCCCCAGGAAGAGATTCCTCCATCCTTGCTGCGCTTTGCAATGCGTTCCGACGACTCACTCACACATCCATGGGGCCTAACGGCCTGGCGCGACGGGCACCCATGGTGCCAGTTGCCAGGATGTGGGAGCTTGCTGCCCCTGCTTGCAGGGGAGAGCCATCGAAGAAAAGTCTGTGGAACTTCAAGTGGGGTGGGCTGCTCTCTTACCAGGGTCTCGATATCTGCACCCCGCCGAACGTCTTGCGACAAGTGGCTTGGCGCCGTAACTGTCTCTGGAACCCAGGCCAGGCTGACGTTAACTGTGTATCCGTCGCGTCCAGCACACGGCCGAAAAACGGTGCGCCGCCGTTGAACCCACTCCGACACGGCGCCATGCTCTCCGCACACCACGCGTGGATCCCGTCCCCCCGGGTTTCTTGCAAGTAGGGCGGAAAAGGTGTGTCTGTGGTTTGCACTCCGTCCACAGCAAGCCCCGATCAATTTTGGGGCGCCATCTACGATCTCCAAGCTGCCACCTCAAGGAGCCTCGGACCGGAGGTCTGTCCGCCCAGAAACTAGGGGACTTGTCTTAACGGGAAGGACGCCATGAAATCCAGGAAACGGGAAACGGTCTTTCGCGTCAGCCCGCCGCCAGTTGCGGGAGCGGTGATGTGCACTCGATACGGCCAGGAGCAGGATTGACGATCCCGGGTAGGAACGGACCGGAAAATATCTAATGGTTGCACCGCAAGCCAATATAATACCTGCAGCAATGCCGTCGGGGTCCGGCTCAAATGAGCCCGCCTACACAAGGTCAGCGAGGATGACGACTGATGGAAGAGTGAGCGACCGAACCAACACTGGTCAAGCAATAACTATCCACCAACCTGCCGACCAGCCAGCACCGCACGGTGCGCGGAAGATATTGGACTCCGTTGCAGCGTCGCACCGGGAAGCAGCTTGCCGTCAATTTGTGGCTATTAAGCCGTGACACACTGCTGGGTATTCGATGCTGCTTCCAGACGTCCCAAATGTCCTAGACATGCTGTCGCGTGCCGGTCGCCTCTGCGAATACAACCTCGCCAGTCTCGTGCGTATAGGCAAGCTGCCGTCCTGGGTCCGATGCACGTGTATCAGTGTATCACGCTACGGCAGATTTAGCCCTGTCAGGCTTGATTCGCTGTCGTCGTCGTCTCCGTGTAGCGATCGCATGTCGGCAAGCCTCCGGCTGCCGCAGATTCATTGCGGTTCTTGGGGCGGCGAGACTCACTTGTGATCGGCGCTGGCAGACAAGCGACGCACATGGAGGGTAAGTCGGCCTCGGCCGTCCGTGGAAGTTACTTGGGACTCGAGTTGTGTGGGCGCTCGGCATTATGCTTCCCCCCTCCGTGATGTCGAGCCCATGGCATCTGATCAGGGAGTGGTTCGATCCTGAGTGGGTTCTTGGGATTCTTGGGTCTGGGGAAGGCCGGTCAATCCCCGCATCTCAACGGAGGGAAGACACCGTAACATCGACTTTCTTGACCTTCAACGGGCGCGATAGTCCGGGGAGGCGGGACGGGGGTCCTGGCCTGGGAGCCTGGACCCCGAAACCCAGACCGTCAACACACATCGTCGTGCGGTGCTGTCGTTAAAAAATTGTGGTTTTTGGTTTTTGCCGAGGAACTCTTGTGTCGGCGTCGTTCAGGGTCCCATGTGTGGCCTTCCTCCACAATCTGCATCTGCAGGGTTTTTCGAAATATGAAAGAGGGAGGCAGGAGTGTTCGCTCAGGATTGGCACAAGATTCCCGAATGAGGGAATCGCGCCTGCATGAATTACAAGCGTCTTTCCTTCTGATTTTGGTAGGTCTTCAGAGCTCCCTTCCTTCCCTCCTGCTTCTTGCGGGTAAAAATCTCCACAAAAGCCGACCCGAAAGCACACACACCACACGCACATGCAAAACACGATAACGTTAACTCAATTCCAGGTCCACTCTGATCCAAACCACCTGCCCTCGCCCAAGCGGACTCGAAATACTTAGAGGCTTTCTCACAAAACTTCAAAGTCCCCTCCGCCGCGATGCCCTGGTTCAGATCTTCCATCCACGAGGAGATCCTGCGGAGGGCGATGCAGATGTCTCCGGCTAAATTGCTCGAATGAGAGGCTGATCGGAATCGCGACCACGGAAGAGGGTTCCGGTGTCGACTCACGGGCCTCGAAGCCGCCCGTTACAGGCCTCCTACTTAGCGCCGCGATGATCCCAAAATCCGTCAGCGCCAACCCTCGCTCGCTTTCGGCGCCACACCTTGTCTTGGGTGCCGGTGTGGCTAGTAAGTCGCAGGATCGGGAACCCTGATGTGGCATGGACGAAGCACAGGGACGGTCATTGCATTCAACCCGCCGACAATCATGCGCTCGCACTCCACTCGGTCGGCGAGGCCTTCTGCGTCCGAGGACCGTTCGGAGCGCCATGGGTTGTGTGGCCCCTGGTGATCGACCGTTCAGGCCGATGACGCCAGTGAGATTTTTTTTTTTTAATAATACAGGGCCCTCAGCTGGAGATTACCGAAAGGAATGTCCCCGACAGCGCGAGTTTGCACCGGAGGGTGTAACTAACCGCAGAGCGCAACTTCGACGCTCACTATGTACACAGTATTCCGTCCACAAGTTCCGAATCCACGCCAAAGCGGGAATATCACAATTGAACAACTCGTTACTGGCAAATCGATATCGAAAAGGCGACATGGGAGAGCTCTCCGCTGCCGTTGGAATTGGCCAATCAATGCTTCTCACTCGCATCCGAAATATCCAGAGCTCAACGCGTCGACAGGGTTGCAGGGCTTCTCAAGGACCTCCAGAGTGCATACGATGGAAGCAGCTCCGCCGTGCCAGCACATGCAGTAAGAATCCACAATCTCAGCCAGGACCCAGAGTGCCTGATGACAACGCTCCTCGACCATCGACACGAGGGGATCACTGATCAGCGCAGAGACGGGTGATCGCCTTCACCTGGATGCCCAAAGCGGCTGATGATGATAACCGAGCTGGGGATGTATCCGCGGCCGGCTGAGGGAGAGCCCGTCGGTTAATACTCGAAGGCCCTGATTTCCTCACTGTTGGTTCTGTCAAACACCCTCTATCGGCCCGCTGAGCAAGATGCAGCTCACAAGTCCCAACACCAGGTGCTCCCAAAGAACAAGGTCGGCCCGCGTTATCTCGATTCAGCCGCCCAACCGCTCGGCCAACAGGCTGGTCAAGGTGACGACACCATTCTCCGGTTTCCTCTTTGCGGCAGTGCCCGACACAAGGCATATGAGAGACGAAGGATCCGGGCCGCTGCTGTTCGCCAGATCGAGAGACCACGTCATTTCCCGCTTCTCGTCAAGAGCCCTTGTTTGAAGCTTCTGGTCTCTGCTCGGTTGTTGCTGACATGATTTCAAGTCTTCACTTTCGAATGTCTATGTACGTATGTATGGTTGCAGACCTTGCTCAAGATGCTGGTTGGGTGGCAGGAAACTGGCCCTGTCAGCCGCGGCCCCTGCATCCGCCAGGTGGCTTCCAACCGAAAATGGCTAGTTCACCCAGCTGGGCGGGCTTCCTCCTGCACGCTAACAAGATCCCATCGGCGTGCTTGCAACTGTGTTTGACGCGATCCTTGCAGGTCCTTGTGGGCACCGATAAATCGGAGGGAAAGGAAGATGCTTTGTCGTTCTTCCTGAGAACTCAAACAACCCACGGCCCAATTTCCCTGTCCATATTGTGCACAGTACTGACCTTCCCGCGAAGTAATCTGATTTGGACCCGGTTGGCTAAGCCCTCGGTTATGCGGTAAGGTGCTTCGTGTTCTGCATCACGAAGAGCTGAGGGCGGGACAAGACTCTGCAAGGTCGTGGTTAACTTCCAACTCGAACGGGTTGACATGAACCCACCATCAGCCGGGCCTGGAGGGCCCTCATTTTCGCTACCAGCAATTCGATACAAAACGACTCGGCTCAGCCCAGCCCAAACGACACGGCAGCGGCTGGGACTCTCACAACTCGCGTCGCGCGACGCGTGGTTGCAGCGTGGACCCAGGCAGCAGTGAATGCGACCATGACGGTTTCTCCCGTCCATCTCGATGGATCAACACGCAGGACGCTCGCGACCGAGTGGTAACTAACCGCCGTTCGCCGTCCGCCGGTTCCAAGTGCTGTCGACGGCTCCGCCCATTGACCGTTAACGGACACAGCTCCGCATCGAGTTCACCCCCTCCAACTGACTCGGAGGCGGATACGAAAGAGGGGCGGGCCGCGTGGACGACGCCCTCCTGTGTATGCTCCGAGACGGTGCAATGGGAGTCGATAACTCATTCGTTAGTTAAACGTTCGGTTCCGTTTCGGCCCTGACAAAAACACGACGCCAAGTTTTTTTTGCAGCAGAATCGTCCGCTGCTGGTTTCCAGTGATCAGCGAATAACTCCGATGAGCCAACAACATTCTCTGCAAACTTCGCAAACAGTACCAAACACAGCCACAAGTTGTCTCACAATCGGGGCCTGACGAGGGAGTGTTGAAACAAGGGCTGGGCTCCAGATCTTCGGTCTCCGGTTCCGCTAGTTATCCACCATCCAGATCCCGAACTCCACTCCACGGCACTTTACAACGTGGGAGCACGAGGCAAGCTGTGTCTCCTGGGCCCGTGAGAAGAAACGACCGCTCGTAGCCCAGCAAGGCAAGTCATTGGCGAACCGAACTTTACCTTTTTCGGGTTGTCAAAAGCGCCCGTTGGCTTGACTCCATCGGGACCTAGTTTTTTACCATGCAAACTCGTCCAACAGTCAACAGACTTCGCAGTATCTCCTTGTACAAGTATCTCTAACCTCAGCCCTCTCTCAGTGGAAAAACGGTGGAGCAACCCGTCAAGGTAGTCACACGCTTCTTCTCCAACACCCACCCCCCCTCCCTCCACAAAACAAGGGAGGAATTGAATCTCGGTGCCCGAGAACATCAAACTCCATTCAATGCCTAGGTTCTCCTCAATTGCTTCACCGACTCCAGGGTTGGTTGCTGGCGACAGCGGGTAAGCTGAGTCCTCTCATGTGAGAGCCGACAACAGCCCACGTGCGAAGGTGCTCTCGCTCAATTGCCTCGGGCATGGAGGCAGCAAGCTAATCCTGACGCTACGGGACAGGGCTCAACGGTTTTGTGAGAGCTTTCTTCTCATGCAGCAGTCAGCTTCCTCCTTCGCGAAAGTAAAAATCAGATCAATTCCGATTTGGGACTCCGAGCAAGGGTCTACGATGAGACAAGGGGGCTCTCTTACGCCGGTGTCAACCCCGCCATTTCTCTCGTCCTTCACTGGGCATTGGGAACCACAGGAACCCAAGGACCGGGGAGCCAACCCCACATTCCGTGTCTTGGATTTGGAGCTTCTGTCGGCGAGGGCGCAGCTGAGAAAGAGAGAGAGAGAGAGAGAGAGAGAGAGCGAACCCAACTTGTCCACACAGTCGCATCACACGGAAAGAACCCGAGATTTCCTCGTGCTGCAGAAGCCTGCATGCCAGAGGACGGCTGGCTTTTGCTGGTTAGTTACTGGGAAAGCTGCAACTCTGCTGCTCGGTTTGCTCTTCGGCAGCACGTGGAATTATGCAACGCGGCAGCGGCAATCCCGATTCAACCTTCACGGGAGGGTTGGGGCGAGAATCTCGAGCCAAGATTTGACACAGGTTTGTTTGTCGTCAAGTCAGGCGGTCGAAGATGTTCTCGAGTTCTGCCAGCAGCTTTTTTTCTGCCCTATCGTTATTCAGGGCCTTTTTCAAACTGCAGCTAACTAGGACAAACAAGGGCTAGACTGGAGACATTCCCAACGCTCTCCTGAGCTCCGGCGCAGTCCCAAGACGGAAGGCAGGACATCGGGGACCTCACGGATCGAATGCCGGCGACCAACACCCACAAGGGACTCACAATTACCTCAGCAGGCCATCCCCTGGTGCCGCCTCACCGGCAAACTTCACATTAAGCGGGGCACCGCAAAGCCCAGCAAAGGAGGAGCAACAGATGAGTGAGAAGACATGCGGTGTGACAGAGCGGGCGAGAGCGAAACAAAAAAAGTCCGACGGCCCTTGACGCAACAGTCCGTGACAAGTCCAGGGACTCGGTAAGGCCGGCCGGGAAACGAAACAAGGGACAACCCTGATCAAACCCACAAGACAAGTTTGGTGTTTTCCTATCTCTTCAAGCCCTCATATGTGCGCTGTCAAGCCACAAGTGAGGTGCAAGCACAAAAATGGAACTGGCGCAGAGGGAAGCTTCGCACCCGCATAACTCCAGCCCAGTGAACCAGAAAACAGGGCTGGCGTGGCTGGCGCACTTGGTTCTTCGATTCGGTTCTGTCTTCGAAAAGGTGGATCTTTTACAAGTCTGTTCTCACTTCGGCACCCCTTGTCCTGTTCCTGGCCCCTTGCACAAAATGCAACCCCACCCGATCCTGGATCCGTCCCGCCTCTTCAAGCATTGGCAAGCAAGTCAAGAATTGGCCAATCGTTCGACCCTGGCGCGACGTGCGAGCAAGCACCCACCCTTCGGTAACCCTTGCCCTGCACACCACCAGCAAAACACCAGGAGATTTCGACGTGGGTCCAGGCATCAGGAAAAACAGGAGCAAAACCTGGGAAAAGCCACCCGCGGGAGAAGGAGGGACGGGAACACCACCAAGAAAAAGAAGGGGGCAGGGTATCTTCTGCGTCCCCTGTTACCTCACACACCAAACTCCATACACAGCACAGACAAGTAGCGACTGTACATAGTTAACTCGACACCTCCACACAAACCTCACCTCCCGCACTCGGTCTCCCAAGCAAGGCGAAGGAGGGAGGACCAGCAGCACACCACCACCAGCAGTGCATGGCCGGGACGCGCTGCGAGTGCAGACGCGAGGTCCCTCGCAGCACCTGTGCCTGTGCCGTGCTGCGCTGTGCCGTGCCATGCCATGCGTCGTGGTTGCGCCATGCCTTGCAAAGGCCAGAAACGTCGAATTCAGGAAGGAGATTCGCAAGCCCGTCCGACTTTCGTGAGGTTCCCGAGTGGTGCCCAAGAAGAAAATCCCCCCTTCCAGCCTAGTCAATCACACCACCCAACCCCCCGGCCCGCCTTATCACCCTATCACATCCCCCCAAAAGTGACGGACAGGGGGTCCGGGGAGCCAGGGAAGGGTAAATCGCGAGATCCGCGGCAGCAACTCGCAGGGCAGGAGGGGTGGAAACGGCTGATTGGTCGGTTTGTTGCTGGTGGGCTGGATGGGGGCGGACTGCCCAGTGCCCCGACTGGCCAATGGCCGTCATGTTTGTTCGGTTCAAACTGCTCCCGCCGCTCTGCTCCTTGCGGGTGAGAGAGACAAGCGGATCCCTCCGTGTATCCCCCGGCCGGGGGGGGGGGGGGGGGGGGGGGGGGGGCGAAGACGCCGGGGAGAGGCGCGCGCGCCGTAGCAAGTGATTTGTCGCTCACCTCACCGTAACTACCAAGTATCCGAGCATCCGTTGCACCGGTTTCCCTCTGCGCTGGTCAAGAGGAAGGAAGGAGGAGGAGGAGGAAGTGGCTTGGCTCGCCCAGTCCTCGAAGCAACAAACCCCCCTCGGGGGCTAGCCAACGGCATCCTGTCCGTTTTTGGTGGGTTGTTACCCACCCGCGCCGGAACCGTGCGCGGCGCCCGGACGGGAGACTCCTCCCTCGAAACCATGGTTCGGGTCCGCCATCCGCCCCATCCACCGCGCCTCCTCGTTTCTGTCGTGGCCTCTCCGGATTGGGGAGGGGAGGGCTTACCTAAACTGATCGCGGGAACGTGTCAGGAATAACTCACAACTCCCGTCTCACGATGCGGAGTTGCTACTGCCGGCCGCGTGCCAGGCAAGGGGGATAGGCCATGGCCCATGGCTGGATGGATGGATGGATGCGATGGCTGCTTGCGCTCGGTTCCGGCTGTCAAAGACGCGGTTCCACTGCGCCGGTTCTATTGCCGCCCCCCCTGGCTCGGCCCGAGCTACTTGGATATCAACGGCGGCTTGTGGTAGGACGGCTATATGGAGAACCTCTATCGCCTGCCGGCTGGGATAGGGCCGTGTTGGCTGTCAAAAAAAGACCCTGGCAGCCTTTGTTGCGACGCTTGCGTCTCATTGTACGTATTGCCGCGAGGGGCTCGAACGTTATCATGCCATGATATACGTAGGATGGACCACAAAAGGAACCCGGCCCTTGTTTGGCGAGCACGACCGGAGCCCGGCCGGCCACGGCACCGGCAGCGGAGATCGGAAACTCTCGTTTATTATTCGTATGCGGTGCTGTGGAGGAAGCTCGGGTGCTGACCGCGGCTGTGGCTGTGGCGGGACCTGGAGATGCGGATGATTGATGACTGAGAACTGACTACTCTCTGCAAGCCTCAGGGGGTCTTTTGTACAACACAAGAACGAGGAGGGAGAGGATGCTCTACGAAGGGCCGACACGAAAACCTTTGGGAGCGGCTGGGCGGCGTCGTGATCTACCCCCGCGGATCGCAATTCTGGCTGCATTCTTCGCATTTGCTGTAGCATCCCGACGGCTGGATGTTTACACAGCAGTGGTGACAGCCAGCTATGTTGACGGCTCTGGGGTTTCATTGCTTGGCTGTCCTTGCTCGAAACTCTTGTGTAACACGGGGAGGAGCTCTGGACCGAAAAGCCTTCTGGTTTGGGGACGAGTGCGTGTCCATTCGGATTGGTGTACGTGACATTTCAAAACAAGCATGGACTACCGGTTATCGAACTTCTTGGTTAGTACTACCTCAGTAGCGGTGCGATACCCCGAAGATTGCGTACATGTCCAAGGTCTATTGGTGATGCCTAAGCTAAACATGGCAGTTACTTGGAGATCATTCCTCTACGTAGAGTCTTTCCGGTGACACAAGAACACCCTCCTCTGAGTCGTCTTAGGGAGCGAGGGGGTAGAGTACCCTAACCGCTCAGTCCGCTTTGTGCCGTGCTTCCCAACGTTTGTGTTGTCTACCATAGCTCGACCTTGAAACGGAACGCCCTCGCTTCTTATTTACTATTTTAGCGGTTCCACGAAAGCGAATAGACAGAACCAAGCCTATTTATACTTCGGTACTCGCAGGCATATCCCCGTCCCGGAGCCTGAATGTGTAACGTGGGCGCCAGACAAGCGGACTGCGGAGTGCTCCCGCCCAGGCCCCTGGACTCACTGGGATGGTTTGTGTTGCGCTCCACGGCCTCTGGGGTATGGCGATCGATGTTGTACGGCAGTGCCACTTCGCTTCTTTGACATGATCACGGTGATCTGCGGAGGGAAAGTCAAGCTCCAGCCATAGAGTCCTTATTCCAAACCCCAGGCAAGGAAGAAAGATTAGCATCTATAACTATCGAGAACTAGTGCGAGATCCAGGGCAAGTGTTGTATTATACACGGCAACCTATCGTAACTAGCTCGACCACCGACTAACACGGCCTTGAGGTTGGTCTCTCGTGTAGATGGCGCAGTCCAGGTCTTGTTTCTGAAACAATACCAGCCTCGCTTCCGCTAAACATCACATGATATCTGTTTCTCGCTTCCTCAGACATGTTGCATTGGCCTCCTACTCCTCCGGACCCGACAGGTCGGTTCTGACACATCTTCCGCATCTTCGTCACCGTGGATCAGACGATCCACCGCCAGGTCTCGGGTAGCGGTGAAACATAGGGTTTCATGTTGTTTCTCGCTACTGGTCGTGATCTCTGTGGAACGGACGGCAAGTGGCTGAGAACCGTGCGCTTACTTGGGGGGATTGAGGGATGGTTGGCGTTGGTGGAATCAGTTACGATTAGAAACGGGTGAAAGACGGCCATATTCTATAAGTGTAGTCAGTATAGTGCCGTTATAGTGAATAGCAAGGGGTAGGCCATCAAGATCGCAAGGGAAACGGGTAGCGACGGCGAGTTACTGTCTAAATGCAATTGCTGTCTATATCATAAAGGCCAACGTCGTTTGAGTCCCATCTTCACCCTCATCTCTCGTGTACATACATGACATATCTCGTTTCCCGTAAACACATGACCGCCTTGGCTCATCGACCCAGACTCTATCCTCGGTAACACGATCTCATATCACAACCATGGGACGAGAGGATGTAATACCTTAGCCAGACAACCCTCGCCGAACGTCTATCCAACAAAACAATAGCCCGCGTAAGAAACCCACAGAAAATGCCCGGGCAATGGCTTCCACCTCCGCCATAACCACCGCACGACACACCTCCCCACCCCAAAACCCCCAAAACCCCAAAGCCTGACCAGCAGCCCAGCACCCTTACCACAACCCAAACCCACACCGCATCCATCACCCCCCCTTCCGAATAGGCTGCAGCCCAAAGATCTGATCCGCCGACAGCGCCGCCTCCCCCGGCACGGCATCAGCAGCAGTGACCTCACCAAAGAGGAAGGCGTTCCGCTCCCTGCTCGGGTTCGGGCGCCTCTTCTGCTGTGCTGCGCTGCTGCTGTACCCACCGCTGTACCCACCGCTGTACCCACCGCTGTACCCGCCGTTTCCGCCGCTCCCGCCGCCGATGGGCGGCCGGACCGACGAGAAGGAGACGGAGTGCGGCCGGGAGAGGGACGAGATGGCCGTGTCGGGCTCGAGCATCCATGCGAAGGAGGACTGGGCGAGGGTGGAGCGCGTTGGGATGGGGCCGGGTGGGCGGTGGGTTGGTGGTGGTGGTGGTTGTTGTTGGGTGGGCGGAGGGGGGCTGTCGGGGAGGACCTCGGAGGAGAGGGATGGTGGTCGGGGTGGGGAGTGGGTGATTTCGGATTTGAGGGGTGGGAGCGTGTCTTCCTCGTCGTGGTCGTCGGTGTCCATCTCGTCGGGTTCGTTCGCGGGTGGCATGGGCTGTGGCTCCTTTGGTAGGGAGGTTACCGAGACCTTTGCGGACTCGGGTGTTGACAGTGCTGTCCTTGTCTCATCTACGGCGGACGAGGTCGTGACCACGGGGGTAGTGTCGAGCGCGACTGTTGGTGCACCGGCCTCGGCGGGGCTCGAGATGGCAAGCGTGTTGATAGCAGGGAGCTCCTCCTCGGGTAGAGCAAGTGTGGGATCTTCCAAGCAGGCTTTGACGAACTGGACCTTGGCTGCGGCGATCTCGACCGTCTCGAGATGCTTCTCCTTCTCGCCCTCCAAGCCTGAAGCCGCCAGCTGTTTGAGGCTTGAAACTGACTCGTCTAGCATGGCGGCTAGCCGGCTGTTCCGCCTTTCCATCAAAGTGATTGCTAGTGAGTGATCCGGCGTTGGCGGCCCGGATTCACCAAACAGACCACGGCCTCCGCCTGGGGTTCCCCGAGTTTCCTGGAACCCTTGGACATTTCGGCGGAACTCGCCCATCGCATCCCGTACGGCCTGGTTGATACCGAGCTTTTCTCCCCGCTCCATCATGTTTTTGGCGGCTCCCTGTAACAATGCCTCGACGCCGCCTGGTTGCTGCAGAATCCTGGCCGAAGTCGATAATGGGGCCCTCGCTCCTAGTGTCCGTTGTCGTAAGCTGTTGAACTTTTGGAATGACGGTGTTGGAATTCGCGACGGGGTTGGTGTCGTGACGGATGTATTGGCCGGGCTCTTGCCAGTGTACTTGAAGATTAGAGTCACACCACCGGCGGCGTCAAAGTGGTCCCTCAAGTACATTGCGTCGTCGACAAATGTATGAGGGCCATGCGGAGGTGGAGGTGCCGGATATTTCAGCATTGATTGCAGTGCCACTGAATAGTCTGCCTCGAGTACTGCGAGCCTCGTTAGTCTTCCGGAGGGCTTTGAGGGCGACTTGGAGTCCTTACAAGTCCATCGAATTCTGAGGAGCATGGCAACACATATGAGGTCCATTAGCTCCAATGTAGGATCATAGGCAAATATGGTGTCCCAAAGGGTTAACATCTCCTCGAATTCGAATTCCCTGCCGAACAGAAGCCGAATCCACCGACTGCTTGGGTCAGCCTCAAGATATCGAAGCCGGGAAGGGCGAGCACTCACATGAGAAATATTTGGGGCAGCACTTCAATATTCCGCAGATGGTTGGCGAGCTCCTCGTCAATCTTCATTAGAGCAACTTCGTGTATATATTTGCTTCTCTCGACGATGGTGTTTCTTTGTTGTGTTTCCAAACCGGACCCGCTTTCGATCTCGTAAAAGGTGCTAGCGCTCTCCATGATCTTGGAGAACAGCGCGAAGGCATCATGCTCGATGAAGGCCGGGTCTAGCATTTCCACAAGGAGGGCTCCATCTGGGTCGTCGGCAGCGATGGTGGTCGCGCGGTCGACGGTGTCCTGAGCCACGACCCATACAATAGGGGCGAGCAACTCATGCATACCCTGACGATACCCGCCAACGCTGGGATTGAGCTTGCAGTACATGAATAGAATGTCCAGAATCATGGTCTGGACGGCCGCCTCATGATAGAAGGGCTCATCGGGAAGCCTGGAGACATCCTGCAGGATCTCGGCCCGGACCGTCTCGTCTTTGCGTACGGCGTCCCATGGGGAGTCGGGATCGTCGGCCAGGGGGTCGACGGTGAGGGCAGCGAGTTGCTCGGGATGCCTGATGAACCTCAAGTGCTGGTCGCACAAGGCGCTGTAAGATGCACGAGCCTCGCGGGCTAGCTCGGGCCACTGCTCAGAGGGCGCATTCCTCCATAACAAGAAGGCCTTCCAGCAGATAGACCGTAAACCGGCGGCGCATGGACTGTTAGGGCCGTTGAACTTGACGGCGCGTTGCAGATCGGTTATCCCATACCCACCCCTAAAAGTTTCCTCCCATCGTGATCTGGGATGACTGTTAGTTAGCCGTTGCTTTACTTGACCGGGGGTGCATGGTGTTGAGTTGAGAGGAGGGGTTAATCTTAACGTTATCTCACTTTGTTTCGGCCAGGGATCTCATAGTGCGACGGGATGATGTGCATATTTCGAGCACACAGTGGAGCAGATCCTATCTGGATATCATCCGATTAAGAACCTCAGATGCTCTAGGTAGTGCGCGTTGACGGAATATCTCCCTTTTGGATTTTGGGTTTGAATTGTCGAATCGTCCCCGGTTCAGCCCAAGGCGATGACACTCTCACAACCCGCCTGCGTGGGCACCTATCGTCAGTGGGTTGCAGTGGGAGACCTGCCGAAGGTGGGGCTTCAACAATGACCCCCCACCCAATCGGTTGCCCTCGAGCCGGGGTGGCTTGCCCCTGCCCTTGCCCCGTTGTTTGGCTCCAGCAGCAGCCCTGCCCACCCGATTATTCTGCATTCTTGCAACCTCGAACTGAGAGATCTTGAACTGCGTGTTTGGAGTAAATTACATATCAGTATCCAAGAAAGAGGGCAACATCATTTTGTATAGGTAAGTACCTTGGAATTGCCTTGGCTGTAGTTTCAGGTCAGCAGGCAACCTCGGTACCTGGTATGGAACTCCCATTCTTGCTGCTCGGGGAAAGGGGCTTTCTATCCTCTTCAACTACCTAGGACTCTTCTGTTTGTGTTAGGCAACGGCTGGGAAGCAACGGGCAGTTAACAAAATCGGGTAGGTCACTACAAAACTGCCAGTCCGCTTATCAACCTGCCTGAGTGAAAAGATGGCCTCAAGATTTGTTTGACTTTATGTCTTAAGTGAGTATGAAAGAGATTCTGTTTCAATATCCTTCACCATAGAATCGGTACCGAGACTCAGGTAACAACACGGTATGGGTTGGCCCCCCAAAACAGTTCTCAGAACTGCCCCACCGAGCCCACCCCTGTGCCCCTGACAAGCCTAACCTCAACCCTGCCCGTCTCGGGATGACGTTCTCACCCTCCGACAACTTCCACATCAACGTTGTCGGCGTTTCACCGTCATGTTATTATGCCCCGCCTGTCGTGGGGTGCGCGAGCTGAAATATTCATAACAACTGATCATGTCGGCTGACCTTTTCGCCCTTTTTGGGGATGCGCCGGAAACGGCAGACCCTCAGCAAACTCAGCAAACCCAAACACAGGGCATACCCAACAACACCTCAACTACTGCCGCCCCGGCTGCAAGTGATCCATTCTCTTTTATAAGTTCTGCTTCATCTACTTTGCCGCCCCAAAATGCACAGCAAACTGCACAATGGCCACCATTCCAGCAGACGACGACGGGCCAATCCGCCTCATGGCTCACTTCGCCCGTCAGCGAGCCCCAGACAAGCAATGCGTGGGGTGATATCGGCAGTCTAGGAGGCCTAGGAAACTTCCAAAGTCAGGCGACAGCACTTCCGATATCCCAAAAGCCAGTACCGGCCGAAGAGGACGATGACGGCTGGGGAGATTTTGAGGTCGCCCCGACCAGCCCACCTACCCAGCCTCCTATGCCAACCACGGTCTCCAACCCGCCCCGGGCGCAAGTCACGAGGATGCCGACCATCGATATGATGACCAACAAACTCGTGGATTTAAACCTGGATTCATCCGCCCCGGAACCATATGGGCAGCAGCCATCGTGGGAGGATAGTAGCAAGACGCAGCAACCGCAGAAACCGGTGCGGAACCCCGACCCGAATGTCCTCTTCGATGCCGATTTTGAGGTAGAGCACGGCGCCGACGACGATGACGATGACTTTGGCGACTTCGAGACGGGGACGCCCGCTACCGCGATCCCACCACAGATTGCACCGCCAAAATCCGCTGTCGACCTGTTATCGCTAGACCCAGACCCGGTGCCAGCAGCAGCGGTATCGACTAAGAAGCAGCCTCCGGGATTGACTCTCTCGAATACGGCTCTGCAAGCTAACGAGGCATCCTATCCGGAGGTGCCCAAGTCCCCTTACGGGTCCTTCCAAAATCGGAAGCCGGAGCCGGTGAAGCAACTCCAAGTGAAACCGCCAACTCTGGCAAAGGCGCTCCAAGGGTCTAGTGCCGCATCGCTATCCGCTATTCAGGATGATGATTTTGGCGACAACTGGGAGGAGTTCGAAAATATCCCAGATCCCAAACCCACCACTGCGAAGCCGAAGCCGAAGGCAGCGTCCAAAACTAAACCAACGCCGAAACCCCCAGCAGACGCAGCCGTAGCCCCAGAGTGGGAATGGCAAGACTGGGGCGGACAAGACGACCAACCCAGCCCTCCCACAACCACAACCACAGCCAAAGCCAAAACAACCACCACCAAACCCAAAACAACCACCACTACCAGCACCACAACCCAACCCCCCCAGGAAGAACCCCCTTCCCCCAAAGGCCCCCCACCAACCAACATCCCCCCCCCGGCCATCCTCCTCTCCCTCTTCCCCACCCTCCTCGACCTAGCCTCCACCACCCTCCTCAAACCCCTCCTCACCCTGCCCACCACCTCCCCCGCCCACCAACGCGTCCTCGCGGCCCCGGCCACGCTAACCTTCCTCCGCGGCTACCTAGCCCTCGCCCGCGTCGCGGCCCGCCTCATCGCGGGCCGCAAGCCGCGCTGGCACCGCGACCGCTTCCTCGCGCAGGGCATGTCCATCTCCGCGGTGCCTGCCGGCGGGGGCGGGCAGCGGGGGATGAAGCTGGCCGGGGTGGACAAGGGGCGCGCTGCGCACGACGATCGCGAGGCGGCCGAGGTGGCCGCCGTGTGGAAGCGGCAGGTGGGGAGGCTGCGGAGCGTGGTGGCCGGGGTGGCGGCCGCGCATTCCGGGGAGGGGGTGGTGGGGTTGAGGGTGCCCGAGGTGGCGGTTGGGTTGGCGGTCGCGACGGCCAAGGGGGTGCCGACGGCGCCGCGGGCGTGCGTGGTCTGTGGCCTGCGGCGGGATGAAAGGGTGGCTAAGGTGGATGGGGAGGTGGAGGATAGTTTTGGGGAGTGGTGGGTGGAGTTTTGGGGGCATCGGGAGTGTAGGAACTTTTGGGTTGGGCATGAGAGTGAGCTGAGGTCGCGGTAGGGGGTTCGGGGTTGGACTCGAGCGGTTGCTTAGGGATCTGGAAGCTTTTGGGGGTTCTGGGAGACAGTTTCATGATGGCGGCGGTTTGGAAGGGCCGTTGCTGGGAATTGGTAGATGTTCAAATCTATACTGTTGCCCGGCACCATCGTTTCCTCCTAAGGTATTCTCTCGGACTAAGTGCCGGAATAATAATCTGGTTGAAGCTCTGAACCCTGTGATACAGAGATTATACGGTTACCATATATTAGGATGTCCGTCCACCCAGCTCATTATTTCTTAACCAGTATGTCGTCACCCGACCCGACTTACACCAGGAGTCATCGCTTGGGGGACAAGGGGTAGTGCCAAACAGGGGTTAGGGTTATAGCAGCCGAACCTCAACCTCGGTTCCCCGCCGTTTGCTGATCCCATCCCGAGGAGCGGTTTCACTCATACCGGAACCACCTTCCTTGTCTTGTCTCAGGTGTCTTTCACCATCAACTCTCCTGCCACTCATACCAAAAGTTGACTGGCCCAACTCGGTTTGTCAACCCCCTTACTCTCCACGCCTCACATTCCCTATTTCAGCGACCTGTTTGACGACCATTATCCTAAAAAAGTGAAACCCTCATCCCTTCCTTGGGTCCCCGATCTGTAAAGTTTAACCGAAACCGAAATTGACGAATTAGGGACGCCGCCGAGTCAAATTAGTCCCATTCCGGCATCCTGTAGAGAAGGCCTGGCAGGTTTACACATACGCCTTACGCCTCGCAGGACAGTCCTCTTCTAGACTTGAGCTGCTCGACATACGTAGACACCGAACCGCCTCCAATTCCCAATCGGTCGACCTACATACCACCACACCACCGGATCTGGGCAGTCCGAGCTCAAACCAACCGCAGGAAGAGCCTTGGAGAGCTTGCTTAGGAATCCCGATCTGATCTGGCCGTCATCGCTAGCCCCGACGGGGACGATTCGATTCGGAGTCGGCGACCTGAGGTCTCCCAAAGCAAGCCGAGCCCGACGCCAGGGAGGGAGAGGGGCACTTATCAACAAACCCGACGAGTCTCAAAGTAGGATAAGCGAAAGGTACGGTACCCTCCAGCACCCAGCCCAGCCCAGCCTCGGCCAGACCAAGGTGAAGTTGAAGGTGGAGAGGGATTCGGGCGACAAAAGGACCTGCATCTGCATTTGCATCTGCTCTCGTTGCGTCCGCATTGTATACGTTCGCATCTGGCATGCATGCACCTCGCATGTATGTCTTGCAAGGCCATACCCTGCCGAGCTGAAGCCCTCCCACACCCGCTTCGTCGTCAACGAGTTTCACACAACAGTCGTAACGATTGGGTCGGGACTAATCCCGAGAGTATTATCCAGTCACAGCCCTTCCCAAGCAACCAGCAAAAAGAAACGACGAGCCTGAGGCTGTGTCCGCCTTCCCTGCGGAAGCCATGTTGGAGGTGATCTACGTTACCCGCCATGGGGTAAGTTGCTCATCTTATCTGTGGCTTTCACGGCTCAGTGGCTGCGTTTTGTTTTGTTTCAGGTCGAGGAGCTTGTCCCCGCACGGTTCGCATGTTTCGAGAACACTCTGTGGATCTAGGGAGGGCGGCGACCCCTTTCGACCTCGTTTTCCTGGGCCATCGAGTCTGAATTTGCGCTGCTGCGGTAACGATGGCTGATTGAGTTAGTTTCGATCCAACTGGCTCGTCGACCCGTCAAACGGCAACTACACGGCCTTCATCAAGTCTCCCACTGGGGGAGCGGCCGATCCGGCATTGACCGCACATGGCGTTGACCAAGCGAATGAGCTCGCCGTGAGGCTGCTGGCGGCGGACCCGCCTATTGAGCGAGTTTATTCGAGTCTGTACTACCGGTGCCTGCAAACCGTCCAGCCCTTCGTGCGCCAGACGCAGGAAGCAGCATCAGAAACGGCTAGAGGCGAGCCGCCGTCCTTGAAAATCCGGGGCGAGACTGGGCTGGGCGAGTGGTACGGCTCGGCCGACTTCGAACACCCAGTTCCCGCGAGTCTCGGGAAGCTCGATCCACTCTTCCCGGGTCTCCTAGATCCCGATTATGGGCCGGCGGTAACGCCGAGCCGCATGGGTGAGGGCATCGATGAGTTACATGGCCGCGTGGCTGCGACCATGGAGGCGTTGATCGCCCAGTGTGATAGAGACGGTGTGCGAGCAATCTTGTTGTGTTCACATGCCGCCGTTATCATTGCGTTAGGGCGTGTCTTGACTGGGCAAATGCCTGACAGTATCGAGACCGATGACTTCAAATGCTTCACCTGCGGACTGAGCGCGTATCGACGACGCCGTGGACAGGGCCCAAAAACCGAGGGAATGGATGAGCTCGCGAGGGAACCCACAGCTGCACGCGATGCTGATCATCACGGCAAGGGTGGCACAGCAATGAGTTGGAGAGGGGGGCGAGGGGTATCAGGGGGTTGGGACTGCGAATTGAACAGCGATTGTACCCATCTTTCCCTCGGCCAAGAGCGAGGATGGTGAGTGACGCGCAGGTTCCCCTCTTTCATCGAACCACACTGATGCAGGGAGCAGGCGATTTTCGGGGGACGAGTCGTTCAAAGACATGGCGACAGGGCAGAGTATGCTGGACACCACAACGCGATTGGGAGCTGGTCCGGACGACAGAAGCAAGGATTTCGGAAGCCGAGCGGAGAGTTCCCGGGGCAAGCTTTAGCCTCGCTGGGGGCACGGTGTGGTGTTGCCGATTTGCTCTCGGGGATATACTGTGTACTCATTCCCGAATATTTACGCCCGAGGCTGCGATTGTGATATTCGGCGCACAGACAGCATGTCATCCCTTTCGTGGCGTTTGAGAAATCAGGTCTGCCTGCTAGCTCTCGACGTGAACCGCTCGTGGCATCGAGAAGCAGTAGCATCGAGATATCATATCTTCTCGAGGTCTGAAGACTCGGCGGAGAGGTTGTGGAACGCCGGGTTTGAGGGATGTCACTGATGCCGTGTTACCCCGTTGATAGCGGATGGAGGCAGCCTCCCGGGCCACGCTAGATCCAGCACCGTGGAGGGGGTGGCGTTCGGGAGTCGGTCAGCCATCTCGGGGGGGCTGGCTGAGCTCTGCAACCATGGCTTTCGAGACTCGCTTCAGATGAATAGTATCTTGCGACTGTAAGGGAAATCGCACGGGTAACCCACTTGGCATTGGACCAGAACGGGGCATGCCAACAAGGGGTCGTCTTGGATGCGGCCGCTCTTGGGTGTCGAGTTCTCATCTGGTCGGTTGCAGAATGTGCTAAATATGGCGGTGGCACTGTATGCGGCCTGGCGTGACATTTCGTCCTGACGCGCCATGGTTCTCGACCTGCGAGTGCAGAAGGTCGTCCCGGCGAGACTGCTTCAAGCGAGAGGGCGAAGAGAAGAAAACCGATTTATCACATTTCGAGTCCCCCGTCCCGCTTTTTTCTGTCCTGTGACTACCTCAGATGGGTGGGAGCGGCAAGGCGGCACCTTCCAGAGTTCAAGCTGAATTAGGGACCTCGCCTGCCACGCCTGGGTGTGGTTGGGTCGAGAGGAAAGAGCAAGTTGAGACAGAAAGAGCAAGACCCTACACAGTACTTCGTACCTAGGTAGGGACAATATGTCGGTTGACCGGATTGAGGACCAACGGTCTCTTCTCGATGACTGCAGGTAGCTTTGTAAGTTTTGACAAGAAAGCTGAGCTAATTTACATACTGTCCTCGACAGCGGACTGGACTGTTTGATTCGTTCGTGTCATGCAAGATGCTTCGGCTGGACGATCGTGCGGCTTCCAGATCGAGCCGACATTGACAGGCCGTCTGCCACGCTAACTGGCTGCGGCACAGCTGTCAGACCCACCGATCTGGGTCCGCAAACCTGAGCCAATCACAGGAATGGTCTGCCACACCCTCAGACCTTCCTTGACACACATCGAGACATACATCATTTTTTTCTTATCAACTCTTCCCGGTTCCCTGCGGTACAGTAGTATTGAGAGCAACCGAGTATCGTTCACCAAGCCTGCGAGATATCTGGACCTGTCCGCGAAGGCATCGGAAGGTACCGATGCCCGCCACATCCAATGGCTGCTTCACCTGCTGCTCACCTTTGGGATTGCCCACCCCGGTTTCTCCTCCCGCCTTGGCATCGTTGTCGAAGGGTTTCGTTTGGTTTTATTGTTTTATCGCTCTCCCTGAACATTTTGGCGACGGCGTCAAAGCGTTTGATGATAGTCCAGCTTGGATGGTTACACGTTGATGGTAGCGACACCCAAACCCCTGGTCGGTATGGCGGAGATCCCCGTTTCCATCGGTAGCTGGTGGGTTCAAGCATCGAATCCCCCAAGGACGTACCCAGCTGTGGATGCTATTTCGGTGCCTGTTGGGTCTCGGGATGTACTCCGTCTTCCGGGGACAACGCTGCCTAACTCTAGCTGCGGGGAAGACTAACACCAGTCCGCGTCTTGTTCCCACATGGTGTCTCGGTCGAGGGCCAGGTTGCGTACCCCCGTGGGCCCCCGAGGTCAATCTGTCGCCGTGATGGAGGCATTGTGATAGCACCGTGCCCTTACAAGGAGAGTCATTCAGAATGATGACCCCGAAACACTGACTGGTTCTACGTACCTCCATTCAAGTTTCCTTTTTATACATTGGTAGCTGACGTCTCCCATGCTGTAGGAGTGTTGACCCCCATCCGGAATTGGGACAAGTGCCCGCGCCGACGCCAAGTTCCGTCCACACCGTCACGTCAACACCCACACCGTCAAATGCGAGATCTGGGATGCCATCAGCTGGCGATCGATACAGCAGGGGTTCTTCGGCCTCGGAGAGATTCACCCAAACCGCATCGCATGGTGATCGACCCTTTTTCCTGCATGCTGTCTGAGACCCGTTTAGGGAGCTGGGGAAACAGGGGTCCAGATGCCCTCCCTGGCTGGACTGGGCCACCGTCGTCCACAGGTTAAGCCGCTTGACAAGGCTTAGGCGTACGACAGTGACTCGCCAATCTCAGACGGGAGCCCGGCACACCAAGAGCGACCCATCTCCTTGTCGGCCGCCGGCAGAGGATCCTCGATCCCTTCACCCCCCCCCCACCATGGCCCCTCGTTTAGGCTTACAGATTGGCTCGTTGTGTTTAGGACCTTTGGGGTTGCTGCTGCATCGTCGATAGCGCTACTGCACACTACGGATGCAGTGAGGATCTCCCTCAGCGCGGAGCTACGGGACAACAGACACTCACTTTGTGAGAATCAGTCTGCAACTTCTCGTCCGGGTTCCTGAGTTTCTGTAGGTATATAGAGGCTTGCGGACTCCCCAGTGGGTCCCCGGTTTTGACACTTCCCAGGTCTTTGACTTTTCAGGTCCTGTCACTCGTTCACATCTGACGGCAGGCCGTTGTATATTTCCCCTGGCCATTCATCCAATATAAATCCATTTTTTCAAACTCTACCGTATTCGTTGTGCCATGGTTTCCCACCCCTTCTCTCGCCTCGCCATTAGGCAGGCCGAGGAGCAAAGATTTTCCCCCGTGGGACACTCGAGGTTGCCCCGGATCCACCACGATTTGGGACTCGGAGACTCTCTAGGCATCTACATCGACCAGCGCCTCCCTCCCATCTCGACTCTTCTCAGGGATGTCCCGCCGCCGCCCGCGCAGCTCCAGCCTTACCCGAGTTTCCCCCCGTCACCACTTCCGTCTCCTATCGGGCCCTCCCCGTCCCTCTTCTCCGCTCCATACCCGCACTGGTCGACGCTCCCTCCCCGCCCACAGTCCGTCTCAGGCCATTACCCGGGCTTCCTGCCGCCTTCCCCTTCTCTCGGCCCGCGGCGGGCATCAACCGACTGCATCGGCACGGGCACGAGCACAACCCCCCGTTCTTATTCGGTCCCAACCCGCACCCCCTTCCACCACCACCGCTCCAGCCCCGACTGCGACCGCCAAAGGCGCAGCACCAAGGACCATGCCCGCCTCCGCCGCAGCTCCTCCTCAGAGCTGAACCCCGACCACCACCGCACCACCCCTACCAGCCCAACTGGCCCCACGCCAATCTCACCAAGTGTAGCAAGCAGGACAAGACCGCGCAAAACCAAACCCACCACCACCAACCCCCCTTCCAAAAAGACAACCAGCGGCGGAAACGAAGAACCCCCCACCCCAGACGCCCCCCCGAAAACAGCAACACCAGCATCAGCAACAACAACAACAAGCAAGCGCAACAACCAGCCCTACACCTTCGAACAAGAAGCCTTCTTCGTCTACCACCGCGTCGACCTCGACCTGCCGTGGTCCGACGTCTGCCGCGCCTACATGGCCCGCTGGCCGTCCATTCCCCGTAGCGTTAGTGGTCTGGAGTGCGCCTACTACCGCACCAACGCACACCTGCCTGTCGTGGGGCCGGATGGGTTGCTGGTGTTGGTTGATCCGGCGGTGGATGGCGCTGTTGACGGCCACAGCCACCAGGTGGTTGGGGGGGATATGCCGACCCCGCCGGGTTCGCCGGGTGTGGTGTCACCGTCATCGTCCTTTGGGGTGGGGGGTGAGGTGGTAGGGGAGGAGGTGGTGGTTGATGAGGAGGGGGAGAAGAAAAGGGAGTGGTATAAGATGTATCGGGGTGTGGCCTACCGTACCCGCCAGGTCAAGTGCCGCAAGGCGAGGTTCCCGCTGATGGAGCGGTTTCCTGAGGAGTTGGTTGATGAGCGCAATGATTGGGTTCGTCCGGAGCATCGCGCTGAGGCTAGGGTTCTTGGTGAGTACACTCCACTCCGACTATCTAACTTGTGCCGCGGCTTTGCTGTGTATTGTTTGGTCGCTAACGGGTTGTAGCTGAGAACCGGCGCCGGCAGAGAGAGGAGTGGCTCGCTGCTCGGGCGGCGCGGCCTCACCAGCGGGTAGTGGTGCGCTTCTGATCTTTCGGAGTATCTTTTCGCCCTGTTCTTTTTTTTTTTATCTTCGTTTCTTGTCTCTCGCTACAAGCTCGGTTGTCTGCGTCCATACCCCCTTTTTCTATGTGGTTACTCCACGTACATGTCTCACGATGTTCATGTTACCAATGTTGGTGCTGTTAACCTACGGCCACGGATATAATGGAACCCAGTCCATGCCCACTTCCATACACCTGTCTGTCCTATTTCCTTTTCCAATCTATCTTCTTTCCCTGTATCACAAGGGACCGGCGGTGACCGTCGGTAAAACGGCAATTTGGGAGGCACAGTCTGTTTTGCTCTTATTCCTCCTCCCGGTAATGGCTCGGTTGGTGTCTGGGTAGGGGTCGGCTGATGTAATGTTTGATGACCTTGGGCGGAGGCAAGATTGATTTTGACCTCACGGGGTGTTTGGGATATACCCCGAGCTACCGGATACTGATTTTTGGAAATGTACGTACGTGTGCAATTTGAGACTATCTGGATCACCCAGACATCGGGCCTCTGAATTACAAGCTAGTGAACCCTCCTCGGGTGTTATATTTCGTTGTTACCTCCACACAAGGGTCGGTTTCGAGATATCTTCCATGTATCTCGATTTTCTGCTTTCCGTCTTGTATCCTTCCTGTATCCTTGACAAAACCCTGAACGCCAAATGCTCATCCCTTGTTGCGTTCGATGCGCCGCTTGAGCCAATAACCATATGATAATACACTCGCCCATAACGTTGCTCTTCAAAACGTCCATTCTTTGGCTTGCACCTGTGGCACGCCGACCTGGTCGCCATTCTCAAAACCGTCATCATCGTAATCCCGCTCGTCAAATTCTTCCCTGTCCGAGTCATTCGTATTTGTGTAGGAGTAGGGGTTTCGGCCGAACTCGTCGTCCCAGTCGAGGTCTTCTTCGGGATAGTCTGCCGCATAGTAGTTTTCCGCTGCGTAACCGGTTAGCTGTCTGCAAACGCCAGCCGACACCGAGGGGAGTTGGCTACTCACCGTTCTCATCCTCATCATCTTCCGGAAACTCCTCGTCGCTATCGTCCTCATTGCCGTAGAAGAAATCGACCATATCCGGTTCGGTATCAAACATCAAAACGCCCACCATATGTGGCGGTACCGCCCGTTCTTGTAACCGTTGTGCGGGAACGCGCTCGTAGGTCTCCAACACGTAGTCCTCCTCGTCGGTTGAGTCCCCCACTACCCGGACGTCCACGTCCATGGATGTCGCGTCAACCGGGGGTTGCTGCTGCTTCGGGGCCAGAGACTCGGGGTGGCGTTCAAAATAGCGCTTCTTAGGGGGCTTGGGCCTGAAACGCGATTTCGCCGGACTGGATTTGGATTTGGTGCTCTGTTCTTCCATTTTGTTGAGGTTCTTGGTAATCTCATCGAGTGTCCAGCTGTCCATGACTCGGGCAAGCTCGTTTACGTCGGACTTTTCGCGCTCGCGCATGGACGGAGGGAGCGTAGGTTTATTGTCGGAGGTAGAGGTACAGGCCCGATGACCCGGCCGTTTATACTTGACTGGGCTGGGCGCCCGGTTCTCGTTTGCCGGGAGAGAGGGTCCCAAGGGCGGCGAGCCGTCCACGGGCGTTGGTGACTCTGCTGGGGTTACATTGTGTTCCTGAATCTTGGCCTTCAATGTCTCCCGTTGTTTCTTCGCGCCCCTCTCGACGAACACGGCGGGCACTGCGCGCCTCTTTGACACGCCAGCTGTCGGCTGGGGCGAGTTGGATCGCGCCATGTGGAACCGACGTATGCGGTCGGTGCTCGAGTGACTCGATGCGGTAGGCGCTGGCTGCTCTGGTACGTTGGGTGTATCTGGGGCAGCTCCTGTGGCAGCCGCATCGTCCCTGGCAGGAGCCCTAGTTCGTTTGCGCGGGTGCCTGACCGGTCGCTCTCCATCGCCGTCCCGCGTTGGCTGGATCACCGGAATCTTTGGGCTGGGCGGTTCAGCGGCCGCGTGGCTAGCACGCGCAACATCGGCTGGCTTGCGCTGGTAGACCCAACCGCCATCGCTCGACCGGGATCGTTTGGTCTCCTCGAGCCGAAGAAAGTCGACGGGATCGTCATCTTTGCCACGTTTGCGCTTGACTTGGATGATGTCTGGTGGAAGGCCTGCCATGGCTTATTGACGTGGTCGTGTTTCGAAACGGCCTGGGTTGGCAGGGGTTGAGGCTGATGTGCAGGCCTGACGGTGCCTGATGAGGGAGAATGAGAGTTGCATTGAAATGACAAAACAAATCACACCTTTGTTACCTTGCTGGCTAAAGGCGGTCAACGCTAGCAGAATAAACTCTGCCGCTTGCGACCGCCGGCCGAGTTCCAGGTTATCGATGACGCTTATGTGGGGGATCAGCCCCGCGCCAAGGTCCCACTGAGCTCCCTGCTCCACCTTTCCTAACAAGGAAGTCATTGAGCTTCTCCTGCAACTGCGACGCGCCTCATGGAATTTCCTCGCACAACGTTCGAGTTATTATCGTCACTGCTTGCCACTAGCCGCAAGATTGTGCCAATGATCGGGGATCTCGCTAGTAGGTATCTGCCTAGGAAGTTCCGCCTTGGGATTTTATTCATGTAGGTACGTAGGAGAAGCTGGGTAGGCATCGATCAATGCGGGAAAGGGCTGGGAAACTGCATGCAGTCCGCTCCTGCTTAAGAGAGAAAGAAACAAACTTGTTCCTGCGTGTGTTGCATTAAACCAAGGAAACCCGACTTCCCAATTGACTCGGCTGCCCACTACTGCATCTTTACATCTTCAAGCTCATCCCCAACTAGAACGAGATGATGGTCTCGATATCCAAATGAGCTTTCCTACGATACGCATATTTCGTTCCTCACCTAACAAATAAACCAGTAAATTAACCCCTGCGAGAACAAGGCGAGTCCCATTCCCCCTCTGGCCGATGGTTCATGATCCGTTTATCCATCTATCTATCCATTGCATATGCCCGTGGCTCTCGGCTCTGCTCTTCCTGCTGTGTCACCCTGCCGAGCCCGCCCCGCCGTTGCATACGACCACCCCAGCTGTTGGAGGCTCAGAGTGGCGTGAAAGTCCCTCCAAACCGTCATGGGCGGCACATGTTGGTTTGGTCAGCCATGCTAACTTGGTTTCATCACCTAGTCAGCGACCGAAGTCGGTTTATTCCTTGATATTGTTCCGGGTACCTATCCGAAGGTTCCCGAAGCATTATTGGGAGCAGTAAACCAAGCTCTTATTTAATATCCCGCCCCTATTCTATCTCGACTCGTCAGGCCCGTCATCTGTCCGACATGGCATCGACCCAGATCCCCGTTGTCATTACCTATCACAGGTCCGGCACTCATCCCCCGCTCTACGTCGCAGGCACTTTCTCAAACCCGTCATGGCAACCCCACGAGATGGACCCCACGGTTCGGGAGGATGGGGAATACGACTTCAAGAAGGAGATCCACGCCGAACCCGGGTCTAAGATCGAGTACAAATTTCGCATTGGTAACGGAGACTGGTGGGTATTACAAGACGATGGGCCTACCGTGACGGATAGTGCTGGCAACACGAATCATGTATTGGAAGTGAAGTCGGAGCAAGAGTAAGCCCAACATGCGTCGCAGGGTACACACAAAAAGATGATGCTAACGTTGGCAGTACCTCTCACGGCCAAGATACAGACGGTCAGGGACCACAGGGCAAACAAGGCGCCGGCAGCAATGGTGGCGGCGACCGTCCCTTGTCCTACGCAAAGGCAGCTTCCAAGCGTCTCCAGCCTTCTACAGGACAAACTTCCACCGATCGTTCGGCTACGGGCACTCCGATTCCCGCTAAAGTTGCCGCCGAGGTCGCCGATTCTGCCGAGCTTCTTCACGAGGAAGTGCCAGAGCGTGAGCGAGACGAAGCTGGCGTCGCCAAAAAAACACGCCGGCGCATGTCGGAAGAGGCAGAAACCGCAGCAGAGGTGGCCGACAGTGCCGAAGCTCTCCACGATCGCCAAGTATGTCCCTCCTCTCCCCCCCACTGTGTACCACCATCTGACGACCAAGGACACGATCGTCATCCTTGAGCCTCCTCCAGGCGAGGGTAGCCCTTTCAAGGTACAGTCACGCGGAGAAGAAACCCTAGATGATGAAGAGGGATACATTGCCGACAAATCACCCCTTTTCGCTCACGAGTGTGTCGGCATGTACGAGCCGCAGGAAGAAGCCGTGGAGGACGAGGAGGACGAGGGGGACTTACACGCGACCGAAACCCAAGACTTTGATCCTAACAAGGTCGATTTAAACGACCCGACCTTGGAGCGCTTCCCTTCGGCCCGAGATGATATCATGGACGCAGTTCGAAAACTAGAGTCTGGGCTTCCGACCGACCATGCGTCCGTTGATGGCAAATATTGTAGTCCGGTTATTAACCCATCACGTCGGGGGACCGAGGACATCACAGGCGACTTCTCGCTGGGCCCCCCTCCAGCGCCGTCACCTCCAACACAACGCGCTCCGAAGAAGTCACCACGAGGCTCGATTGGCTCAGCGAACGCCACGGCTTCGCTTCATTCTATCTCGGAGAGTGAGGAACCGAGCGAAGAACCGGCAGCGGAAGAAGGGTCCATTTTCCGCCCTGCAGTTGTGTTTTCTAACCCCCTAAAGGCCAAACCCAAGCACCTAAACCTTCCCACTAGTGATGAAGACGAGGGTGTTGCTTTGCGTGATGGTGTGAGTCCTAGGACGGTCAAACCAGCTCGCGCTCCGTTTATGACGTCCGAGACCTCACCAACGCACCTATGCTCGTCGCCAGAGACGGATCGAAAGGGAGACCATCCTAATGAACCCAACAACCCGACATCTCCGGAGGCTGAACTAGACAAGCATAAAGAACGATCGTTGGAGGAAGTAAGATTGCACCCGCCACAATCGGGGATGTCGGGCCACGCGAACCCAGCGCATGCGCAGACTAGACCTCGGAATCCGGAGCAGAAAGAGAAATTCGGCAAGGACAACTCCTCAACCGGGTCTCTCAGCGGCAAAGGCGCCGGCGAGAACAAGGCCACAGCGTCAAGGTCATCGAGTTCCAGCAAACCTGGCGACACCAAAGACGCTGCCACCCAGGTGTCGCATGGCAGACGCCCCAGTTACGCCGAAGTCGCAGCCTCGCCACCTCCCCGCAGCGATGGCCCCCCGGAGAGCAAGGCCAAATCGCCGCAGCCCCGTGGCACCGAGGAGCAACCCGCGAGCAAACCCGCATCACCACAGTCCGTAAACCCCAGCAACAGCAAAACCGCGGGACCCGAAACCCCCGGCGCTAGACGGCCGAGCTACGCCGAAGTCGCCGCTTCGAAGCCTGGCCCTGCCGACGACAAGGACAAGGCTAAGGCTACCACCACCCCTGCCGCCGAGTCATCTACACCCACATCCGCAACCACCACGGCCCGGGACACGGACACGGGTATGGATGAGCCCGAGTCCGCTGACCTCCGCAGACGAGGCGGCGTGCGCGACGAGCAGCCGGCGGCCGCAGGTGACGGTGCTAACCCCCCGCGTGTGCAGCTTAGGCAAGGTGGTGGTTGGATCAGGGCTGTCTTCCGGCTGGTGTTTGTCGATTTCATCGGCGGGATTGTGAAGAGAATGCTGCGGATGTTTAGGATGGGCTGGGTGCTGGCCATGCTAGGAGTGCGAAGGGAGAGGCAGCGGTAGGGTTGCGGTGAGGTTGTTGTCATTACTGCTGACGAGAGGGGCCTTCTTCTGGTGAGGTTGTGTTGGATTTGTCTGAGTATGGTTGTTGGTTTGGTTGTGGTCTTCGTTTTCAGTGCGTGGGGTAGGGGTGATGCAGCAGTCCTTTGATCCCTGGCTTGTCCTGCGGCAACAGATTGTTTGGGCATCAGCGGAGGTAACACAGACTGTTAGGATATTATGATTAGGCAATAGTGTTAGTTGCAAATAGCGTTTTATGTCTGCTTATTAGTAAGAGGGCGAGCCAGGTTAGGTGCCGCGTCGTTGCAGAAGAAGTCTATCGTCTTTCTTGTTCCTGTCTCTTATAATATTTTTCTTTATTAGCTTCTCCTCGGCCGTTTTCCCGCTCTCTTCTCTCTTACACTCCAGCAGCGAAGTGTGCTGACGACCTCGACTAATAACATGACCAACACTGCGGCACTTATATCCCTGTACATTACGTGTTATACGTGGGGGTTTTGGCGGGTTGAGGTTAGTCGCGACTGCAGGAAGCTAGGTTTGTACTACCTGTTCATGCACGAGACACATGTGGCTTGCAGCTTACCTACTTGAAGCTGGAACCGGTTCGAGTCCCCGCAGACATGCACAGTCACGACCCTCGTCGCCGAGGGATTCTTAGGTAGAAATATACCGCTACGCTCGCCATGTTCCTTTGAGTATCGCGCAACACATTGGCCTTTACTCTTCTTGACATCATCTTTACGTGAACATAGGTAGTCTTGTAGCATCTTATTATGGAGATGCTCATCCAACCCCCTGCCCGTGGGGTAGAGCGAGACTCTTTATCCTCGGTTTCCGCCTTCACTTTATCCATGGATGAGGAATCCACTCAACGGACCAATTCCCCGTCCTCAGCCAGCAGCCCAGATACCCACGCAGACACCTTTACAGATCCCACCCACGCGGCATGCCTCCGCTTCGCCCGAGACAAATACCCCAAAGCCACCATCGCCGAGAGCAGCATGCAGGGCCGCTGCTCCTACACGCTCCTCATCCCAGACGACGCCGGCGGCGGCTCCGGCGGCACGGTCCTCCAGTTCCGCCCGCCGCGCCATAGTATCGACCTCTCCATCACGGCCGCAGCGCGGTCCATCTTTGGCAGCCTAGTCCCGGAGACGCAGTTCCTAGGTGTCATCAACTCAGATGCAAGCCCTGACGTCCCAGGCCCCGAAGGCCCAAACACCCCCGGCTGCAGAACCATGCTCGTCTACGCCCGTACGTCAAGAGCCCATCCCTTCCACCACCTTCCTCCCTAAAATCTCATACCAAACCAACCCAAAGCAAACTAACCCACCCCTCCAAAAACAAAGACACCCTCCTCCCCGGCAAACCCCTCTCCTCCCTTCCCCCTTATAACAACACCCACCCCTCATCAGAACCAACCCCCATCCCAACCCCCCAAACCCCCGCCCACCTCCCCCCCCTCCTAACGTCCCTCGCAACCGCTTACTACACCCCCTCCCACGGCGCCTCCCGCCCCCCCACGTCCCCTTTCTTATCCCACGCCAAGCGCACCATCGGCCGCAGCATGGGCGCGCGTGTCGCACGGCTGAGGGCTGATCTCCCGCGGCCGTGGCTGAGGGCGGTGGCGGCGCGGGTGGGGGATGTGCTGGAGCGGGAGATTGAGGGCGGGTTGCCGTGGGTGTTGACGCATGGGGATTTGTGTTGTGGTGGTGGGGGTGGGGGGGTGGGGAATTTACTTGTTGGGGTTGGGGGTGGTTACGGTCATGGTGAGGATGGGGGTGGTGGTGGTGGTGGTGATAGGGGGGATGAGGGTGATAGGGGGGATAAGGGTGATAGGGGGGATGAGGGTGATAGGGGGGATGAGGGTGATAGGGGGGGTGAGGGTGATAGGGGGGATAAGGGTGATAGGGGTGATGGGGGTGGTGATGAGAATAAGGGGCTACGGTTGACTGGGCTGGTGGACTGGGCGGAGGGGGAGTGGCTGCCGTTTGGGGTGGGGTTGTACGGGGTGGAGGAGCTGCTGGGGCGGATGGCCGATGATGGGGAGGGCGGGAGGCGGTTTGAGTACTGGCCGGACGCGGACCGGTTGAGGGCGGTGTTCTGGGAGGCGTTGGTGGCGGGGGTGCCGGAGCTTGCGGAGGGTAGCGATTTCAGGGAGAGGGTGGAGAAGGCGAGGTTGTTGGGGATTCTGTTGTGGTATGCTACCTTGGTCCCCTTGTTTGCTTCGGTTGTTTCGTTCATGTCGATTCGGGGTGCTGACGGGTAGTAGGTACGGAATCGCCTTCGATGACGGTGCGCTAAACCGCGTCGTTGAAGAGGGGAGAGACAGCGAGGAGCTGCAGAAGCTGGAAATGTTTCTCTCTGGCGGAACCTCCAGCATCAATGCCGCCAGCGCTGAAGACGGGTGATCATATCAACTCGGGCCATCCACCCCGCACGTCCGAACATGGGCAGGAGCAGAGAAACAGTGCTTGTCTTCTGCAGAGGCACTAGAGAACACGCCAGCGCCCGAAGACTACAGCCCTGGCAAAGATGTGAACGAAGTAAAGGAGACCTGCGTCTGGAAAAACAGCGAAAAACAGCGAAGAATAGCGATTTGGATTCAACACGGGCACTGACCTCTAACCTTTCACGGTACTGCCCTATATCCCTTTATCTAGCCCAGCCCTCGACAAATCCAGCCATCAGCGTTTTATCATCATCTCACCACTGGTTCCCAAATTTCCACACCCGTTCGCGTAAGTCATGACCCATCGATGCATATTAACCCCCTAAATCCACCCCCTAACTGATTCAAGCCTTGAGCAGCTTCACCAGCTCGGCAATGACAGCGTCGCCCATCTGGGAAGTGCCGGCACTTCCTTGGTCCGCATGCCGTTGTCAACAGCCCGATACTCCCCGGGATAACCGACGCCTCGTCACTAATAATATACCCAAGCAGGTTGCTCGTGACCACCACGCCGTTCAGGGCGCGCGGGTTCTTGATCATGAGCACGGCGGCGCTGTCGATCAGGTGGTGGCCGAGCTCGAGCTGCGGGAACTCCTTCTGGAAGACCTCGGTCACGACCTTGCGCCACAGGCGGCTCGTCGTGAGCACGTTGGCCTTGTCCAGACTCCAGACCTTGCTCGGCGGGTCGCTGGCTAGGGCCAAGAAGCCGGCCGGGCGCGCGATGCGCTCGATCTCGGGCCGCCAATGGCGTCGAGAAGGATGGCGTCGGCGGCTTTCGCGGCGGCGAGGGCTTCGGCGGTCAGGGGGTCGTTGTGGACTCCGATGGAGGCCTGGCGGGATTGTTAGCAGAGGTTTCGCTCCGAGATTGTACGGACGGGAAGGAAAGCTGGTGTGTTCGCCCCGGAAGCCCAAGAGCTCCGTGCTCCACAAACAGGGGTAGCTCCGGGGCTCTGCGGAAAGCTCTCGGTCCTCGATGACGGCCAAAAAAGGCATTGATGATCTTGAGCCCGAAACCAAGATCTCAAGAACACCATGGAGGGCCTGAAGCCAAGGTGCAAGGCACTGATTGGGCTAGCAGTCCAATAACATCCCAGTTGTGCTGCAAGAAGACGGCGGAACCCCAGCGGTCACCGTAGCGGAGAGACAGCGAGAATAATTAAAAGGAAAGTAAACTCACACCGCCCAGGAGGTGTTCCTGCAGATTGAACTTGCCAACCGAGGGATTATTCGTCTCAATTGCCTTGAGGACCTGTATTCAAGCACAATGTGAGCTCCCTATCCCCCCTCATCCTCGCAACCACGTTTGGGGCACGAGGGATTCTGGCTCGGACGCACCTTGACGGCCTCGGCGACGACCTGTAAACGGAATTGTTAGTTCAGTCCTTCCTTCTCGTGATGGGCATGTATCTTCAAGCTAGGGATGATGCCCAATGGCGGTGCTTTGGGGTCGCTCGGTATCACAAGCCCGCTTTCCGGAGACCCCGGGTTCGGGAGTCCATCTCCCTCCCGAGATCTGCCGCACGAAGCCGCAAGGGTGCGGAACAGCAAGTGGCCACGTTGGATTGGGAGCTTATCCACAGAGGCTCGGAGGGTTTGTGCTCATATTCATCATTCAAAAAACTATCAAAAGTTCGTTCGGGTATGTATCGTATGTACTCAGCAGCAGCATTGACTGCGAAGCCGGCCGTTGTCGGTTGTCCTCTTGTCTAAACCTGTATAACCCAAAAGTCATGTTGACAATAAATTGGCAGGGGGTGGTCTTGCACCCCCTGCATCGGCGCGTGATAATCATATAACTCGTAACTGCTGGGCTTTGTCCGTTTCCAAGGGGAGAAGCTATTCATATACCCCTGATAGGTAGACGTGTCATCGAAAGGACTTTAGGGACTTGTGCGCGAGTGGAGACGTCCCTGACCCCGAAGGTCCAGTTGTCCCTGGGGCGCGCCCGTTGTCTCGGGGTCTTCCGCCTCGCAGGTTGGGTGTGTTGGCACAAAAGGCACAAATATAGATGGATGGGACCGTTCGGTGCGTGATGCTGACACATTGGCCATGCACGTACATCTCGCATGATTCACTAATTGGTTTCCTTTAGCATGCATGCTTGGATATCGATCGGGACGAGAAGGGAGTCCTTGAAGATGACGGAATACGCACCATTGAATTAGCAAATCGTCTCGGCCGGCTTCGGCCCTGTTGCAAACACAACGGACGCCGCGGGTCGTCCTATCGTTCGTCGGCGTCGGTAGGCTCGACTCGCTCATGGTCGTTGGCGATGTGGAAGGATGGCTGGGATAGTGACTCGGAACAAAGCGCTTCGGTTTTGAGCTGGATTGCTTCTGCCTCGTCTCCCGTAGCTTTCGGAGCTCGCTCAGCGCGTCGCCCGAAGCCTTGTGCGTCGGGGTCAAATCATTCACCACCGTCTCCCCGTCACTGTCGCCCGCCTCCTGGGATCCCCCATGAAAACTAGTGTATGACGTGGTGCTACGTTCGCTCATGCTTCGTTGCGAGTTGTGGAAGGGATGAACCGTCGTCGGTTTCCGAGGGTCTGGAAGCGCAAATGACGTATTCCTGCTGGGAATAATGATGGGTTCATCATCCGTCGACGACGAGTCGTCATCCGACGAGTTCCACTGTTGACGACTGGTTACAGAATACGAACTGTGCCGTTTAGAAGGGGTCGGCGAAGGTTCATCCACCACAACCACCGTCGTTTCTACCCGCGCACGACCATTGGCATCAATCATGAAGGTCGCCTGCGTCCTCATCTCCGGGCCCGTTGTTTCCGGGATTGAGGACAGACTCGACAGCCGGTGGTGATGATTACTTTTGGACGGCGACGACCTCCCACTCGGTCGTTGAGGCTGCGAAATGACAGGCTTGTTGGCATTAACGCCCGCATGGCTTACCAGCTGAGACCGCGGCCGGGGCGCGAGCGGAGGCAAAGATGGCCGGCTCGCCGTTTTCTTTCCCCTGCTTTCGCTAAAGCTCCGAGAGAGTCCGGGACGGCCGGTTTCCTTGACCGGAGAGCTTGCCGAAGTCCGATCTTGCTTTCTCGGAGTCGGATCCTTTGCGCTGGCCGAACGGCGTAACTCAGCCCGCCCAGTGGCTTTCGACGTGGATGGTCCCCGACTGGTCATCTGGCTGCCGTGCGCCGTCGCTGGGTTCTGGTTCGGCACCGGCACGGGCTGGTTGAAGGAGGGGGCTTCCATGTTTGCCGACTGAGGCCGGCTGAACAGGAGCCCCGGGTTCACCGCACCGCCTGCGTCGGCCATCCCGAAGGGGTCATCGATAGGAGTGGGATAACTGGCCGCGAACATGGAATGGTCCGCGGAAGAAGTCACGAGCATCGACATGGGCGGCTGAGAACCAAGGTTGGCTTGATGGGCGGCGGCAGACGCATCCCCGTGTCCGTCCATGCCGCCTTGGCCCTGCAAGAGTTGGTTGGTTCCTGCCCAGTCCACGGGCCCCGGAGCCTGATGAGGTGTCGGAGGCTGGAAGACGCCGCCGCCGTTGGCGCCGAAGTCGATGTCCATCCCGGCAAGGCCAGGGTCCGTATCCCAGAACGATCGCTGGGCGCCATACGGAGGTGCAGCCGGAGCCGACAGAGGGTAGCCAAACATGTCACCTTGCGCCGTTACGAAGCCACCCATGCCCTGTTGTTGGGCAGACGCCATAAAGTGCGCCTGCTGGCCATAGTCCTGGTCATTTTGCATGGCAATGGTGTCAAGCTTGGGCGCAAGCTTACGCTCACCCTTGCGGGCTGAGGGAGGAGGGGTCGCTGTTTGCCCTTGCGGTTCTGTGACAATCGCAACGCGGCGAAGTTTCTTCGCAGACCGGTCGATGGATTCCGCGGCTTGGCTAGCGGCGTCTGAGTGATCAAACGTCGGGGTTGTCAATGGGGTCGGGGATGAACGTAGGACTTTGGACGGCTCGACAGGAGGCAACGAGAGGCTGGGGTTGGGCGAGTGCTCGTTCCCATGGACGGCGACTCCGAGGCCGATTCCGTCGATGGACAAGGGCCGTTTCTGACCCGGGCCACCGAGATATGGGGTTGAAGGACCAAAATCGGGGAAGGGGATCCGAGAGCCTCTCAGATTTCCCGGGGTCGCGTTGAAGACGGAGTATTCCTCGGCAAAACGAGGTGTCCACCCGCTCGACTCGTCGAAACGTCCCTGGCCGTGCTTGGGTGTTTCCAAATTGGGGCTTGGCAAGGTGGCGGATATCGGGGTTCGTTTAGGTGTAGGAGGTTGAGCGGTTGAATCACCAAAACTGCGAAATTATATCAGCACCACAACTATTCCCGGGACGCAGGAACCTGGGCGCATTGGACCAAGAATAGGAACGGGCGAACCTGGAACCTAGCGGATCCGCACTCATAGCAGACTGAACTCTGTTTCAAAGCTGTATCCCGGGTCGCGGCATGAGATTAAGCAAGTCGTGTAAACGAATCGGCACAGTTGTATGTACGTCAAGAGCACGTCGAGTCGCAGGTGGGGAGGCAATCGGTCCGGACGGTAACCGGGAGCGCAAATACGGGGAGGGAGATGCCGACTCGGGGGGCGTAGTCGTCTTGTCGGAAAGCCCAGATCGGCGCTTAATGATTCGGTTTTGTGTCGTCAAGGCGAGCAATCGTTCACCTGGTCAAGAGAGAGCCGGTCAGTCAACGGCATTTTCTGGCGGCGGGGCTCGGGACGGATGGAGACGAAGCGGAGCTGATAACGAACCTCGACACGACGGCGGGGCAAGAAACTGAACTGAATTGGTGAAGTTGTCGGTGGAAGATGGTATTCAGTCGCAACAACGCCAACGTCGCTGGTCCACGGGGCAGAGTTGATGGTCAATCGCTGGGGGCTGAAAGTCCTGTAGTACGGCTGGGTCTGTGCTGGGCGAACGGCAGTCGGAAGCGCTGGGCGGGCGGCACGGTAGAGATAGTCAGGTACGGCCTGTGTTGTATTACCATGCACCTATCGTATCGCGTACCAGCTCGTCAAGTTTGGGTTTGGAGGTGCGTAGGGTGACACAAGTGCTGAAGGTGTTGAGGCGAATCTAATGCCTGACGGCCGGCGGCAAGCAAGACAAATCCAACGGCCGCACGAGACCTGGTTTGTGTCGTGCGTGCAGCTTGTGTGGTTGTCCCTGATGAAATGGAGGCGGCTAAAGGAGTTCACTGCAGTCAGGCAGTCGGGAACAGTGGCTGGTGCCGGTTGTGTGAGAGAGAAGGTGGGGGTCGTTGGAAGACCAGAGGATTTCGACCCTTCGACGCGGCGGGGGGGAATTCACGTTGGTCAGGGACGGCCGTGAATTCCAACGCCGAGAGGGATGCGGGTTGGGAGGTTTGCAGCAAGGAATGCCCGTAAATTATTCGCCGAGCTGTCATCCACAGGACGATGGAGAGCTGCCATTGAAAGAGCAGTGAGCTTCACAGGGGGGTAGGTAGCTCGGGCCCGTCTCCGCCCCTTCGGATTCACCCGTATTAGGCAATCGTCTCTCCTACAGAATATGGGACGGAGCGAGACTGTTGCATCGAATCCTTGGAACTGCATGTCATGAAATTCAAGAAGAGCGGTGCGACGGTGTCGGAAGCTGGGATCTCGCCTCTCTCACCACTTCCTAACCTCAGTTGGTGTTTCCCCGTTGCTTTCTCGGGGACTCACCGAACCCACCAAGACCCCATCTCGGTCTCGAATCCCAAAACAAACTGCCGGTCAAGTCTAGCCTCGGCGAGTCCAACGATTGCTCGACTGTTGAACGTGATAGATGAGTCAAAAAAGCCCTCCCTCTCAACAGGAGCTCTGGGAGGCAGCAGTTCCAATCAGCGGGCCAGACTGGTGGGGGAGGTTTGGTGCAGTGCAAGGGCGACGCTGGAAACCAGGCTGCAATGTCGAATGAACCTTGGAAGCCGTTTTTGGCGGGAAGCCACCGGCAGGGCCTGGACGGTCCACACTCGATGTGCCTTCGCACGTGCTGAGCCAATGATAACGATGGAGTGGAGTGAACCTCTTGCCCTTGTCGCCTGAGCACAGAAGCAGCCTTGTCAATTCGAGAAGTCACATTCCCGAAATGGACCGAGTTTCCATTGATTCATGATTTCTCAGTTACGAGTTCTGACTTTATCATGATGTCTCAAGTGACATCGACTTCGAGATTGCGGCCTGCATGCGCCAGCATTTGCTCCCGCCCACGATCGGATATCTGCGTCGGAGGAATCCCCCTTGCTGCACGAAAAGGAGCCTGCATGAGAAGCACCACACTGCCAGCAAACGGGATCAGTCGAGGTGGGTCAAGAAGCTGACGGCTTTCTGCACCTCTTGGGGGCAACCAATTCACGTTGCAGGAGAAGGAAATTGAGCAAGCCGTCCGGACCGGCCTTGACTTGTCTGCACAGCAGATCTGGGGTTGACCTGTAGCATCTCGGGGGTTCCTGCGTCAATGCAACACGGAGATTTGGCGCCGCCTTCCATGCACAAGCGCAGTTGTGTTCAGCTCGGCTTTTAAGTTGAACGATGCGTCGCTCATCCCGAGGGACTCGAAAGTAACAACCTCTCAGTGATGAGGATGAGCCGGGGGGTAACAATTACCAATTGGGTATCAATTGAGGACCGAGGGCCACAGAATTGGCCCTCTTGCCGCTCGCTGGGCCAGGAAACCCGAAAATAGCCTCCAGGGACCACCTCGAGCGTCTCGAAGAAGCTCTGAATGTTCTCGTCCGAGATGTGTCGTGAATCCCCACAACGACTGGCCAGGGCCAGCCGAGATCCGCTGGGTCAGGCTTGATTGGCGGGGAATTGAGCCAGTGAGGGTTCAACCACCCCTCCAGTGGGGGCTGACGGGCGAGCGAAGACCTCTCTGCACGTTCCCTTCTCACCCGACGGAAGTCACCAAAGCTGATCATCCGACATGATCGCCCCCGATCGTTCGAGCGAACCAACAGGGCAGAAGAACTAGTGAGGCCGATCACGAGAGCCCAGCCGTCTGCATGGCGTCTCCTCTTTGACCGCCCCTGCATCGAGTGCTGAGGAACACGAGTGACATCTCAGTGCCGAACACCGTTCTAAAAAAAAAAAAACCCGTCCGGATTACACCGAACGATGAGAACGTTCGAACGAAATGTTTTTGATGTACGAATACGGCTGTTTTTACCTGGGCCTTGAATCCACGACCAGCCCACTCTTCGAGGTCAGCCACAGGAGACGTGGCAGAGGACGAAGTATCGCCGGTTATGCAAGCACTTAAACATCCCTGCCACCAGGCTCCGTAGGGCAGAGACGAGAATTTCTTTTCTCGGTCATCGGGAACCAAATGGCGTTGCCGAGTCAGCCACGCCGATGTTCTGAGCCAGGGGTGGACACATGTAATCCCGTCTCGAGTCGAATTGCTGGAATGTCAAGAGGGCAAACAGACATCCCTCCCGAGACGCCGACATCCCTTCTTCACAAGTGAGATCAAAACGACCGGTCACGCCGGTGTCCTTCAGAGCACGCCTCTCGAACTACCTAGGTTGAACCTAAATAGAGGGAGTGGGGGCCAAAAAGGGCGATTCGCTCCGCGAGCTCATCTAAGCGCTTCCAGTAAATCGGAACCACCGCGTGGCAAAGAGCTCGGGTCGATATATGCCCGTAAAAAGCTGGGTTGATGCTGGAGTGTCGAGAGAACGAGCCGTGTTTTGATCGCAATTTCAGGATGTGACCTAACTACCTTCCCACCCCATCGACTCTTAGTCGGCTATTCGCCTCTCCTGGGGATATGAGGCGGTGGTTTTGGAGAACTATCGAGTTGTCTAAGTGTGTGTGTTAGTTGGAGCCGCTGGAGCAGGCTATTGACTCCAAGAACTTATGACACGCAATTGTCTTTTAAGACGACATTTATGATCACCGAGAACAAAGTCAGGCATCAGGTGCTTGTGAAGCGCAGAAAACAATCTTCCATTTTCCTCCACCGCGACTACCTAGTCCAACCAGATTTCCTTCCTCCCAGTGTTCCCTCGCCCACCAACCTCGACAACAACCCCCCATTTCCCATTCCCATCTCGCGTTTTCCTCCTCTTATTTGCCAGGGGTATCAACAAAGGTTCGTCATCATGACCAACCCACCGATCATAACCTTCCCATCCCAGACCGAGACTATCTATCTACCTAAACTAATAAACTAGCTAACGCTGTGATTAAGGGGTTTTGTTTCCAAATGAGGGGAGAGAAGCGAAACTAAACAGTTTGGTGAAGGAGTGCAAGAACTGGAGTGACAAGTGATGAAAAGAAGGAGAAAAGTGAAATAGCAAGAGAAATCGCAACATGAAATGGAAAAGGGACGAACCGGATGAAGGAAAGCAGGGATGAAAGAAAAACAAAGATATACGAGAAAATAAACACGAATCAATCTGTTTGTCGACTTGGAATTAGACTCCCCCGTCTGCGACACCGAAGCAGAAGGAGGAATGAAGAACGAAGCACGAGGAAAAAAATGAGACAGGAAAAAAAAAGAAGAAAGATTCATCCCGCCGCCACCCCCTTCCGGTAGTACCGGCCCAGTCTATCTGATATGATACGAAAAAAAGTGACATCCCCAAGCAGAAGCCTGAATCATCATCCTCATCAGCAAATTCAGGTTCGGTTTCTGGCCCTTACAAGAAGGGGAAAGAAGATGTTTGGTATCCGGTCATAACGGCATCATAACTTTTTTTTGTGCCTTTTCCCGCCCTCCGGTTGATTTGATATTGATCTTTAAAAGGTCAAGTAGGAATAAAAGTGAAGAGACCAGTCTTGTGATACGAAGCGAAAGTTTTGGATCAGATCATGTTCGGGAACCCGTCCACCCCAGGGATGGGCCCAACGGGGCTCATGAGGGAGGAGCGCGGCGGCGGCGGCGGCGCTGTGGACATTTGAGTGTGCAGCTGCGGCGGCAGGGCCCGGGCACGGGGCATGGGCGGAGGCTGGAGCTGGATGTGCGGCTGTTGTTGCAGTTGTTGGGACGGCAGGGGCGGATGCGGCTGTTGCTGGTGGTTCTGGCGTCCTTGGGACAGCGGCCGCTGCTGAGCTGGCTGCTGCTGCTGCTGCTGCTGCTGTTGCTGCTGTTGCTGCTGTTGCTGCTGTTGCTGCTGTTGCTGCTGAGGCGGAGGCTGTAGGGGCATCGGGGTCGACAACTGAGACTTGGCCGGCGTCGGCGTACCGGCGGCGGAGATAGCGGGCGCCATCTGCGGTGTGACCGGCTCGACCCGCGGCTTGGCCATGTTCGACGCCGCCAGCGCGCGTGTGTTGCTGCTCTCCCTCCTGCGCTTGGGCGCGTCCTTGATTTTGGGGTGGGTGTGGCACTGGATAAAAGAGTTAGTGGGTGTGTTTTACAAGGCGTATTTAGGGAGCGATCTTACCTTGTAGGCGTGCCTAAACCACGTCGTTCCCTTCTTCTTACTGCTTACTAGCGCAATCCACTCATTGCAACTTCCGCAGAGGCCCTCCCACACATCGGGATTACCATCCATGCGCCTCGTCTCCTGCGGCTCCTGGAAGGGGTTGCCCGTGGCGGCGCTGATACCGTGCGTGAAGCTCTTGTCGTACCAGAAAGCCGAGTTCTTGAGCACCAGCCACCGGCCCGGCTTGCAGATACCACACCAGCCTTCCCGCTTGTTGCCGTGTCCTCGCACCCACCTTGGCGTGTACAGGTCACCTTCGAATCTGAGCTCCTGTTCGTGGGGTGTGAGGTCCGGGTCGGCGGGGTTCATGTCCTCGGGTGGTGGGGGAATCTGTTCTTCGTGTAGCGAGGCGTACAAGTCAGGCGGGTCCGAGAGGTCAGCGTAATGGCTGTGAAGCGAGTGCGGATCGGCGTTGCTCTGGAGCATCCTGAAGAGTCCGTGAGAAAGCAGCGGAGGAGGAGTCTCAAATTGATGGTGGTGCGTTTCAGGATGGAAGGTATGAGACGGCAGCTGGGTTGGTAGGAGCATGCTGTTGCGTTGGAAGGCCGGTGCGTTATTGTAAAGGTACGGATGCTGCTGTGCGGCTTGCAGGTTCCCGAAGCTCAATGGCAGCTGGCCTTGGGCAACCGTGGGCGAAGAGTGGCGCGACGACAGGCGGGCGTGCATATTGAACGCATCGTGCGGGTGGTGGTACACGAAAGGGGACGGTCGCCGGTTGGACGCGGTACCGTAGGACCCAGTAGACCATCTCTTGTTCCTCGCGCTCTCGACCGAATAGGGCGCAGCGCGCACGCCCGGCCGCGGCGACGGCGAGGCTCTTCCCCTGCTCTGGGTCCGTACCAACTCCGACCGGCTTTGCGGCGTCATTCTCGGCGAAGCGACAGGCGACAGCTGGGTCGACGAGATCATGGACGTTCGGTTGGATGGCGGGGGGTAGTCGGAAGTGAGCGAGGGAGCGTCTGAGAGCGCGGTCGAGAAATCGTCGTAGGAAGCCATTTCTGACAAGCCACCGGTGGTCGACACGGTAAAAGAGGAACCAGACATTCTGCGCGGGTTTATTCCGTCGAACGCCATCGCGTCGCTGTCCATGGGAGGGCCGGAGGTCCTAAGATCGAGGATCGGAATCGCCTCGTCGGTCGTGTAGGCCTGCCCTATCATATCGGAATCGAAACCGGGAATCCCAAGGCTACCGTCACATGGTTTCTGTGCCCACGCATCTGGCGGAAGGGTTAGCCCCTCGATGGCCCCATGCCGGTCGAGGTACTCACTGCTATCCATGGTGGTGGTGGTGGGGTAAAAGTCTTGGTGAACGGAGATGGGCCTGGATGACATGGCGTCGCTTGTCGGGTGCTGCATTTGCAATGCCGTCGAGTCCCACGCCGGAAGGCCTTCGAACCCTTCCCCAACGCAGAACGAAAAGCCCTCGTGAATCGTAGCGGGCCGCGGCCTCATGCTTTGAGAAGCCGGCGCCCCCCATACTGCATGCGATGCTGCCATCGAATCCGTCCTAGGCGGTAGCGTGGTATTCCCGTTCATGGCGAGGACGGGAGCTGGATGAAGCGGCGCGGTCTCTCCGCCGTACTTGGTGCCGGGCTCGTTGAAGGTGAAGGAAGGTATCTGTGTTTCGTGCCGTCTATAACATGCATGTAAGTGTTGTGTTCCTTGGTAAGGAGAGCGGCAAGCAATGAGTGAAGGCGTACAGATGGCCCTGAGTCGAGTCCATGACTACGCGACTGTAGGTAAAAGAGTGTGCTGGGAATCTATCGATCGGAAGTTGAATCGTCTGGGGGAGGGTTAGCATGAATATCCGGGACCAAACCGAACCATGGTGCTCGAGGGGCCCGCTAGGGGGATCCACCGCGCCAGCGTATCGTGTGTCATCAGACTCCAGTAGGGCGCTCTTGTAACTTACCGGGATCTTATAACACGCGCGATGTCCGGGCTCTGGGCATCAGACGTCCGGTCAGCTGTAGCAGATGAGTGTGTGTTGTTGTGTGTCGGTTGGAAGCCGGAATGTGTGCGACGATGGGTAGTAAGGAGTGGCGAAATGGTGTGAATGAATGGAGGGCCGCTGGATGGACCGAAGAGCTGGGAGGGCCGATGGCTAGGTGTTGGGAGGAAGAGTAAAAGACAAGGAATGCCAACCGAGGTATCGGAGGAGTGGTGGGAAAAGGAACGTGATGGGCTGGATGAGGGAAAGGCTCCTCGTCAAACAGCAGTCCACAGCTGGTGCCCGTCCGGGGTACGCGGAAGAGAACCGGCTCTTGGTATATTATAGACCAGAGGCTGATATTTCAGGGGCTGCAGAATTTGTTAAAGGAGCGACTATGGGACAACCAGTGTGAACTTCCGTGGGTGGGACGAGGCGAAAGGAACAAAAGAGGCCCGGATGACGGGGCGGCGTAGGACCCTGGGGTATAAGAGAGAAACTACCGCGAACCGGGAGTCCAGGCTCGGGGACCGGGGGGTGGGAGTGGAGGAGAGAGGGGGGGGGGGCAACGCAGTTACGGCTCAACAGGGTCGGGTTCAGAACACCGGTAGGAGCTAAGCCGGATTTTCCTGCTACAAACCTGACTGACGTCTGTGAGGTTGAGGTCACTTGGGGTGTGCGAGAATCTTCTTGGCCCGGCTCCCAGGGGACCAGGTGCAGGGATCATGAAAGACAGAGTCGGGATGGGCTGGCAAGGGCGAGCAGGGGGTAGGGTAGCATCCGTCCGCAGATGACGGGGTAGCTGGAGACATGAGAAGACCAGGCTTAAAAATATTCTGCCTCTTCCAGATCGAGGGGCCTGGACATCAGGCCGAATGGGCTGCTCGCAGATGCCCAAGATCTGAACCCAATCTACAGCAGATCCGAAGGGCAGACCTGATGGGCAGCCAGGGAGCCACAACGGAAGCTTGTTACCGTGTATAGGGAGGGTCGGGCTGCGCAGGCCCAGGTATGACAAGACGGGGAAGGGAGGGAGGTGGTTTGGCGGGGCCAAAATAGAACAAACGAAGAAGAGAAGAAGCGATATCGTTTGTTCAGAAACCGGTACCTGACTGCGGCACGACACAATCCACTCAGACGAGACGAAGGGGGTGAATGAGAGGGAGCTAAACCCGGCCGGGAGCGGGGCCCGTCGAGGCTGAGGCTGGGCAGGGCGGCCCCGGGGGAAAGACAGCGGGGGAGGAGGTGGCTTGTCTCACCTCATGCGTCCCGAGAGCGAAGGGCGAGGTGGCAACGTGGGAAGACTCCGAAAGAGATGGTGGGGGCAGAAAATAGAAGAGTAAGAAACGGGCGATGAGGTGCACATCAGCCCAAAACCACAGACCTCATGTGTTCGCAAACCGCCGCCCAAGGCCTACACCATCATAAGATCTCACGGCTTGTGCGGCTTGTGCGGCTTGTTTGACACGGCCAAGGCGATCGAGCAGTTAACCTGGCACGCAAGACCGGTGATTCCCGCATCGCGAATCCGGCCTCGGTTCTTCCAATGGGTTGCAGCCGCCGCGAGATGGTCGCAACGGAAACGTCGTTTTTAGTCAAGGCCGGCCCTGGCTCGGCACCGAAGATCACGGTTGAGCATGTTTGGCGCCAGCATCGGGCGCTGTTTTGGCATGGGCGATCCGGATCTCATTCAGGGACACTCCTGTTTTCGCCTTGCCCCAGATCCCCACATGATGTGCGGCTTTGGCTGTGAATCCAGACCCGGCCGGGTCTGAAGATCTGGGCAGACAGATTCCGAGGAAGTCTTGGGGGCTGCAGGATCAGGTGCCGCTGAACCGTCAAACTTCTGTCCCTCTCGACACTTTGGGCCACAAGGAGTCAAGCTTGCGAATTTGGATGATACACTACATTTTGGGTGCGGGTGAGGCGCGATGTTGCAGCCTGTCAGTCCATGTCTCTGGGTAAGTAACCTCACTGTTTGCCCGGTGCCATCGATCGAGGAGGGCCAGCTTCAGTGGCTGTGAATGGGCGGGCTGGCGGGCTGACGGGTCGGGGCGGGCAACAAATAGCGAGGGATGACCAACAAGAGGCCGTGCGCAGGGCATCCCAAGCCCAACACAGCAGATTGGTGAAGGGCGGAATGCGATGATGGTTCTGGGATAGTGGAAATGGACAGTTGGCAGTTTGGGGATTTCTGAATTTCCCACCTAATTGACCCCACAGCCAGGGCAGGTACGTGCGACCTCGCGGAAATGTGGCTGCCTAAACTCGATGAATCGGATTCCGCAAGGGGGTTTTGAAATCATGACTGGTCTCCTCCGAAGAAAAAAAAGACAAAAAAGATGGTGGTGGTGGCGGTGGTGGTGAAAGCGATGGTATCCGGAACGCGGTCGAAAAAAGCGAGCGATGTCGTTGGAGAGGAAGACGCGAGTCACGGCAGGGGTTGCAGACGTTTGAGGTCGACGTTGCAGCGGGCTTCGGGCGCGTCGTGATTCGCCACCAAAAGGGGAATCTGCTGCAAGGTTGGTTCCACGGACCCGAAGTCCGCGGCTTGTGGGTCTCATGGGTCTGCGGGAAAGCACGACAGGGTGGGTCAGAGCAGCTTCATCAGCGGGGTCAAGCAGGGGTCATCCGTCTCAGATTTGTCGCAGAGGCGGGACCAATGCTACCTCCACAACTGCACTTCGTCTCGCCATCGAGCCATCGAGCCATTCATCCCAAAAGTCAGCAAGGGAGCAAAGCCCCTCGTCTCTTCTTTCAAGATCCAGATCGCAACTCTCCGAAGGGTAGGTTACGCAGTTTACGTGGTTACGTGCTGCTGACAACCTGCGCTGCCGAGCTAGCCCCCGCCATAAGCTCCGGAGATAATCAAGGCCGAGAGCAAAGAATTGGAATACCCAATCCTTGGGTGATGAGAAACTACAAGTACAATTCAAAAACCTCCATGATACCCATCTCAAATCATCATCGGATGGTTCCTTCTCCCGATGGCATGCTCGGCGTGTCATGGACCACAAACAGAAAAAGCTGAAATTGAGGAGGATGATGGGGGCGTTTGGTGACGTTTGGTCAGGTTGCGGGAGCGAAACCCCACAACCCCTTCATCGTCAGCATACCCAGTCGCTCGATGTTTGGGCGTCGTATCGGGGTGACATGAACCATTTTGGGGTGCATCTCGAAACCACTCATCCGTTCCTGATTCGTTCCCCGCTATCCTTCTCCGTTTTACTCTAATGAGTTTCTCGTTTCGTCAAACTACACAGCCTACGCTAACTACCTGCAGCGTTCCTTGATCTCAAGATGGAAAGATTCGATTTTCAATGTGCAGGTTTCCTCTCCGAAACGATCCGACCTTGCCACTCGCTCCGCCGGCTGTTGTTCGTTTTGTCCCCCTGCTATGGATCCCGATTGCTCACCCTGCTATCTCCTCCACATCGACCCGAGCATCCCCTCTTATATGATCACTTCTTAAGGTCCGGAGGTCATGGGTAACCTGGCTTGGTAGCCCTAGCGGTAGATATCATCGACCTATAGGGCTGGCCGGCGGGCAACGCCTTTGTAAGCCAGGCTGCGAGGTCACCGCTCGACCGAGCTTCGACCTGGCCGCAAGCAGCCCCCAGCCCATCAGCAACACGGGGATTGTGCTTCTTTCGCCCGTCTTTGGTAACGAGTCAGCCCGTACATACCTCTGCACTTTCCTCGATACTCGGCTTGTGTCGATTGACCGCGCCAATCTCGGATCTCCTCGCTGCCCTGCTGCTGCAGTGCTCGGACGCCCCCTTCCACGCAGCTTCCATAACATATTCCGTGCAGGGCCCAGCCCAACCTGACTGGCCACCCCTGCTCCCTTGCTGCCTTGATCGGTTTTCGGCGAGCCCGGCAACCCAGCCTGGCGCTCGGCGACCTGTTCGCGTATCGGAGGTGACAACTGTAACCGAACGCCGCCGGAGATCAGACATGTTTTCATAGTTTTGCATGACAACGCCCGCCGCTTTGGGAAATTATCGTGCCTTTTAGCCGTCCTTTCCACGGCCTATACGTCGGCTCTTATGGAGATCCCGGAGCCAATGATGGCGCGATCTTGTTCCAACAGGAAGAGGCCGCCTGATCGAGCTCTTCCTGGACGGAGCCCTGTGTGCCGGCGTGCTGGACCATGCTCGTCTGCCCATCTGCGGGGCAGCTGTGGGATGTGGCTTGCGTGGACGCCGCGACGCCGGGCCTCGGCGGGCACCTATCACGGGACTCAGTAGGGATGTACCCAGCGGCGGAGGGAGATCCGAGGCGGGGGAGGGAGGAAAGATAACCTCATAACCAACCGCTCGAAGGCCGTAGAGGGGCAAAGAGGGGTGAGAGTGGCAAAAAAGAAAAAGCACAAGATATCCTATCCTTGAGTCTTGACCAGTTGGCGTTGATGACTGTGGCTGGCTGGGTCGTCGTGTTCTGCTCTCATGGGGCCGCGACGCTTGCTTTACTGTCTGGTGTTGACCAGCTTAACCCCACAACCCGTCTGCCCCGAGGCCATCCATTCCGTAGCTCTGACTCACTCGCAGGACGCGTGGGCTGTCCTCAACCGCTGGCTGAGCTGTGGAAGTCTAGCCGAGATGCCGAGTTGGGCGTGTGCCTCCTCACCACGACTGACATACGCACTTCACTTTACACGGCCAAGTCTCAGCCCGGGGCATTCCCTCCCCCTCCCCCTCTCCCGGCCACTCGGGGACCTGACTCGGGCTTCCCAGCAAACTCAAATCCGGGGCCGGGATTCCCCCGCTATGCCAACCATTTGTAAACCTGATCCCTCGGCGAGGGAATTGATGACAGAAGGATTTGTCTGAGGTTGAGCCGGCACAGATTGAGCCAACCGAGGCGTGGGGCCAGCTGTGCCTCTCAGAGACGGGACGAGAGGCACTTGGTTCCCTTATTAGCGCAGGGGCACGGTCGTGTAAGAACCCAGAAGCGCGGGTGAGCAGCAACGCCGCGCTGAGCCGCAGAGGGCTGTCCCTGAGAGGGGGGACGTGGCGAAGCTAGCTGGAGATCCTCCCGTCTGGGCGTTAATGCCTGGGTCTTGGGGTGGCGACGAGTCCGATGGAGTGGGAGAGCCTGGTCGGCGCCGGGATCTGAACTGCAGCCCTGTTGAGTTTACAGGCCATGGTACCTTCAATCCCAGTGGGCGGTATTATTGCTGCGGTAACAATTATTCAAGAAACTAACATGGTTGAACGATGGATCTGAAGAAGGTGACTATACTACTCCATGCTCAGACCTTCATTAGGTTGTATTTACCCCATCCCAAAAAACTATAAATCCTTTCCGGGTCCTACACCGTTCTCTGGTGCTCTTGGTTGGTGACACACTTAGAAAACTAGGGCTTTCGGGAACAATACTGCGTAGACGCCCGCAAGACTAGCGGGTTGAAGACACAGCGAATCTTGCTATGATCGTTTGTGTAAGTGGGTGGGATTGGTTCCATAACCAGCCCTACCAAGTAATCCACCGCCTCGACTTCCTCGAACTCAACTCCATTGCTATGCAGCATACCCGTGCCGGGCACCCAACATCGAATCGAATGCCACTCCAGGATGGGATAACAGCTTCGGCTATCCACACCTCAAACTCCATCTCTTGAATCCTCTCTCTCTCTCTCTAGTCGTCCCCTCCACCAGTCCTCCCACCCACATCGAAGTTCTCCTCACACCCACGCCTATTTACTCCCCTCATTAATCCTCCTCCAAACCTCGCTCTCCGCCGCCGACAGCCTCTCCCCCGCCGCCTTGGCAAGCTTCATCGCCGACCCCAAAAAACCCTCCTCATCATCCCCATCCCCCTCCCCGCCCCGCCCGGACTGGTGGTACGCCGTCGGCGGCGGCGGCGCATACCCCGACGCAGACGCGTTCTGCTGATACCCCGCCGGCCCCGACATCGAGCCCATACCACCACCACCACCACCACCGCCGCCGCCTAAGCTACCCAACCCCACCCCTGAAGCCGCCGACCCCGGGCCGTAGTTGCTGCTCGTTCCGCGCTGGTTGTACCCCGTCTGCGGTGGCGGGATGCCCATCTGGGGCAGCGGCGGCGGCGGGTAGCCTGTTGTTGTGCTGGCGCTGGCGCTCGGGGGCTGGGTCGGCGCGGCGGTCGGTGCCGGGGGTGCGGCGCCTGCGCCTGCGCGGGGCGGGGGTGGGACGGAGGACGTCGCGGTTGGGAGGCCGGTGGCTTCGGGGAGGCGCGGGACTGCGCCTGGTTGTGGGGGAGGCGGGCCTTGTTGTTGTTGGGAGGGGGTGGTTCGTGTTGGGGGTGGGTTGGGAGAGGGTTGGTATGGTGAGGTTGTGGTGGTGGTAGTTGTGTGGGCTGGGGGGTTGTTGTTGGGGGGTTCGGCTGGGGCGGCGGTTTGCGGGGTTGCGCCGGAGGCTTTGGCGGCGTTGATGGGGGATTTAGTGTAGACTTGGATGGGAGCCATCGTGAGTGTTCTTTGAATGAATGTAGGATCGGATCTAGTTGTATTGACGGTGACAATGATGGCTTTGGAGGGGAGTTGGTGAGCTGCGAACGTAGTTCAAGAGGTGGAATATGTGTCAAAGGAAGTTCTGGCCCTCTTTTGCAGACTTCCGGTACGATATTGCGCCGATGCCCGCTCCTTCTTTCGAATGAATTACCCAAGGTCACAAGGTGTTCGGTGTTCGTTTGCTGACTGCCTGCCGCTGCTAGCATGCCCGTGGTGTAAGTGGCGACGTCATTGGCAGGTGATCTCAAAGCTTTGCCAGCTGTAATTCACGTTCCATCCAATTTTCCCTCCTTCAACAGAGGCCCAGAAAAACCGAATGTACTACCTAGGTAGCTTAGGTAATGAAGAGATGCTTACAATCACAAAATAATCTCAGGCCTTCTTCAGCTGGCATTCTTTGCCTCATTTCTTTGAGAGAATGCCCCAAACCAGCGTTGCGAGACTGTGAACCTGCCAAGGATATGCCAAGTGCATTAGTTGTGAAATGGGTTTAGTGGCTTGGCTCACTGCCTGCCGGTCGCAGGGGGACTCGTGAACGTTGCGGGACGATCTCGAGTTGGAGAGTTGAGCTGATGCGTATCAACAAATCCGGTGCAGGGCCAGAAACTGGCGGCACACGGTGAACGAAAATCAATACCTTCTTTCAAAGGTCCCACAAACGGGAACCCGATTCCACATACAGCCGAACACACACCAATTCCCTTACCATCCGGTCGAGAAAATAAACCGAGTTTCCTCAACACCACGAATATTGGTCCTCCAAAACGCGGGACCAACTTTTCCCACCGCCCTGCATCTCGACGTGCCGACAATTCCATCGCCCGCGGTCGCGCATTCACGTTAAACATATCCATCTTTATCTGGCGTAACTGCGACAGGCGCGCACAAAGATGGTGGGCAAAGTCAGCGACCGCGTCCTCCTTCGGGAAGGTTAGTGTTCCCCTAGACATCCCCCAAAGAAGGCCACCCATTTGTTGTTCGCTGTAAAGAGTCATTGCTAACCGGCATTTGTTAGGGCTCGAGCGAACCGACAATGGCATGAAGCAAACCAGCTGGCCCGATGTGCCTCCAATCAACCAAAAGAACTACTATACGTAAGAGCTCGTTGTCTGGTCGGGGATGGCGAAGAGGGACTGACAAAGGCCCCCAGGGACTATATGAAGCGCGATGACCAGTTCCTCTCCTTCCGACTACAGAACGAGGCGAATAGAGACCGGCTGGTCCAGACTGCAAAGGACCGAGACCGCGCCATGAACACCGCCAATGCCAACAACGAAGTCCCCCTTCCGGTCGACGATCTTCAGGGGGAGGATGGACCGGCCCCTTCGGCGAGCTTTATGGATCCCTCGAAAATTATTGTAATACACCCAGGGAGCCAGAACCTGCGCATCGGGTTTGCCAGCGACGCCCTCCCGAAGACGGTCCCCATGACCCTCGCCACCAAGTACCCCCAGACCGAATCCGAGATGCACGAGGCGCTACCGCGGCGCCAGTTCGAGGGCAGGACAGTGGACCAACAACACGGCGAGGAGTGGTCTAAGAAGTACCAAAAGATGTCCAATGACCTCAAGGTCGACATGCGCGCCAACAAGCGCAAGGTGCTTCCCAACTCGAAGGACCTGGTGGTTAACTTCAACCGGCGGACCGAGCCCGAGATCATCTCCCAACACAACGACCCTCTGCAGATCGAGTGGACGGATATCGAAGCCCCCCGGGAAACCGAGTCGTCCTCGTCCGTATTCATTGGGCAACAAGCCCTGCGCGTGCCCGACGACTCGGACCCCAAGTTCAAGCTGTGGTGGCCGATTCAACATGGCTGGCTGAACGAGGACGACTACCCGACGAGGGCACACCTGTTCAACGACCTAGAGACTTTGCTTGACCGGACCTTTCGATGGGAGCTGGGTCTCAAGCGGAAGGCAGACTGGAAGCAGTACAGCTGCGTCATCATCATCCCGGACCTCTACGACAAGCGTTATGTCGAGCTGCTGCTGCACCTTTGCATCGAGCTCTTCGAATTCGGTCGCGTCTCCTTCATCCAGGAGAGCATAGGCGCGACCTTCGGCGCGGGATACACACAAGCTTGTGTGGTGGATGTCGGTGCGCAAAAGACGTCCATCGCCTGCGTGGAAGACGGTCTCTGCATCGAGGATTCGAGGATCAACCTCAAGTTTGGCGGGTTCGACGTCACCGAGACCTTCGTCAAGATGATGCTCTACGACAGCTTCCCATACCAGGAGATCAACCTTCGTCGACGGTACGATTTCTTGCTGGCCGAGGAACTCAAGATCAAGTACTGCACCCTCTCGCAGGCCAACATCTCGGTCCAAAACTTCGATTTCCACCTGCGCGCACCGAATCAGCCGACGCGCAAGTATCATTTCAAGTTCTACGACGAGGTTATCCTCTCACCCATGGGCTTTTATGATCCCTCAACATTCGACAACTCCACCAAGCTCCGCGGTCGACGGAAACTAATGGACCGCTCGTATAACGCCTACGACGTCGAGGTTCCTGACGACCCGGCCTCGGCCGCCCAGCTCGCCATCCTTGCCCTTATCCAACCCTCCGTCACAACGACGACAACAACAGCAACAGCGACCGCCAGCTTTGCCGGTGCACCAGACATGGCTACCCCCAGCAAAGAGCGCACCCAGCCCTTCAACTTCCTCTCCCAGAACGGCAACGCCACCGGCACACCGGGCACCTCCAAAGCCCCCTCCCCAGCCCCCGACGGCGCCAGCACTCCCGTGCCGGTCCCCTACGTCTTCGGCTCCTCCCGCGACCTCAACGGCGGGAGCCCAGCGCCGAGCGCCCGCAACGGCGGCACGCCCGCGCCGGCCAACGGCACCTCCGTCCTGCCGGGGACCTCCTTCGACGGCGCGGCGGGGCAATCCCAGCCGCAGGTGCAGCAGCGGTCCGCCAAGTCGCTCGCCATCGAGCGCGACTCGGTGCTGCCGCTGGCGCCGCTCGACATCGCCATCATGACGTCGATCCAGAACGCGGCCAAGGGCGACGAGAAGAAGGTGCGCGAGCTGCTCGGCAGCATCATGGTGGTGGGCGGCGGCGCCAAGATCGCCCACTTCGCCCCCTTCCTCGAGGAGAAGCTCAAGCTGCGCCGCCCCGACCTCGCCGACCGCATCCTGGTCAGCCGCAGCGCCCGCGAGATGGACGAGCAGGTTGTTGTGTGGAAGGGCGCGAGTGTGTTTGCGAAGCTACCGACTAATGATTCGTGGATTAGCGGGTTTGAGTACAAGATGCTGGGCGCGAGGGTGGTGTATCATAAGGTGCTTTGGCAGTATTAGGGCTGGGGGTGGGGTGATGGATAGGTGGGAGGGGGGAAGGGGGTTGGGAGTTTGGGGTTCGTGGCGTTACTGTGAGGTACCTGTCTCCTGGGTCCTAGGAAATGCGAATGAATAACGGTTTCATTTTTCTATTTGGGGGCTCTCTCAAATGTGCCTTGTACTTCCATAGATTCCACCTCGGTTGAGTATCTCCTGGACTGAGAGCCATAGGCCATAAAATTACTTCTAGAGCATCTTGACTTCCTCTTTACCTGTCTCTCAACCTGCCCGTTGCCGCCCGTGTATTCACATTGGGGTTTTTAAAAAAAGAAAGAAAGCAAGGAAGGAAACACCAGAAATCAGGACCGACCGCAAGGTCCTGGTGCATCCCCGCAACGACAACACGGCCATCCGGCGGACGGGGCGGGGCACTCGCCGGGCAGGCCCACCCAAAGACGGGGAAGCTCCGCCTGTGTGGAGGGGTTACTCCTGTTTCACCAATCAACTTGGTGGGGTCCTGTACTAAGGAAGGAGGTCTTCAGCTGTTGAGGTTGAGCTGTGCCGTGGTTTTGGAGGCCTGACTTGCCCGACTTGGACTTGTGCACGCGACTGATTTCACCTGATTTTAACGTGCTCTGACCCAGATCACAGGCAGGAAAATAAAACCCGGCGTTACTTGCAACATCGCCGGCACCCGATACTCTCTCTCAACCACTTGCTAGTTGCTACTGACCTCTTAGGAGCCAACTCATCTTACACCGCTATACAACCAGGTCAGGACCGGGTCGGAACACCATGGCAGGCTCAGCGACCGCTGGTTTACACCCGCTTCCGGATGGCAGCCATCAAGCCGGCGGCGGGGTGTCGGGGAAGGTGCACACGGTCAGAAGCCTCAACGGCCCTGTCCTCGCTCACCTTCAGAAGGTCTACGCAGCCCACGCCGGCTCCGATAAGGAATGGAGCCCCGAGAAGGCGGCCGCCTTTCTAAAAGACATCCAGTGCGACACCGATGCTGAGCGCTCTCTCGAGCTGAGCACTGGGAAACCTTGGGATTTGAACGCCTTCCTCCGGTACATGACGTCCTCCATCACCCACGCCGTCGCGCCGCCTCACGAGGAGGATCTCTCGTGGCCGCTGTCCAGTTACTTCGTTAGCTCGAGCCACAACACATACCTTACAGGCAACCAGCTGTCGAGCGACTCCAGCGCCGACGCCTACAAGAACGTGCTCCTGCGCGGCTGCCGGTGCATTGAGGTCGATGTCTGGGATGGCGACGACTCCGACAACGAAGCGGGTACTAGCAGCAGTAGCGATGATGACGAGGAGGCCAAGACCACGCGGAAGCCGCGTCTCAGCAGGATGACGGGCAAGCTCCCCAAATCTCTCACGAGCCGGCTGGAGAAGACAAACCTGGGTAAGAAGATGGGCAGATTGGCGACCATCAAAAGACTCTCCCGCTCATGGTCCAAAAAAGCAGGAAACACGACGGGAACCCCGACCGCTACGACTGAAGTGACCACAACGACGAAGGACGCCTCAACCACGAGCCCGCCGGCGAGCCCGCTGACAAAGGTCACCAGCGCGAAGGAGCCGAGGGTCCTACACGGGTATACACTGACCAAGGAGGTGTCGTTCCGCGAGGTGTGCGAAGCCATCAGGGACTACGCCTTCGTCGTGACGGACACGCCGTTGATCGCCAGCCTCGAAGTCCACTGTAGCGCGGAGCAGCAGGAGACCATGATCGCCATCATGCACGAGACGTGGGGCGAGTTCCTCCTGCCCGAGCCCAAGGAGGACGCCACGCACTTACCCTCCCCGGCCGAGCTGCGCGGCAAGATCCTCGTCAAGGTGAAGTATGCCCCGCCCGAGGGCGGCAGCCCGCTCGGGACCGATGGCGAGGAGGACGCGTCCACGGCCAAGAGCAAGAAGCCGTCCAAGATCATCCAGGCGCTCAGCAAGCTGGGCATCTACACGCGCGGCGTGTCGTTCAAGAGCCTAACGCAGGCCGAGGCGACCATGCCCACGCACATCTTCTCGCTGTCGGAGAAGGGCGTGATGGAGGTCCACGAAAAGAGCGCGCTCGAGCTGTTCGAGCACAACCGGCGCTACCTGATGCGCACCTACCCATCGGGCCTGCGCATCCGCTCCTCCAACCTCGACCCGGTCGTCTTCTGGCGCAAGGGCATCCAGGTCGTTGCGCTGAACTGGCAAAACTGGGACGAAGGCATGATGCTGAATGAGGGCATGTTTGCCGGCACCAGCGGATACGTTCTCAAGCCCGAGGGTAACCCCTCCCCGCCCCTTTTCTCCTCTTCTGTCTCGTCAATGATGACGACTGACGTGTGCCAGGTTACCGCATGACCAAACACCTCCCCGCCACCACCACGCCCACCCCGCCGCCGGCAACGAACCCGCAAGCAGTCGCCGTCCGGCACTACACGATGGACCTAACCCTCGAGATCCTCGCCGCCCAATCCCTGCCCCTCCCACCGGGCGACGAGAAAGAGTCCTCCTTCCGACCATACGTCAAAGTCGAAATCCACGTCGAAGAACCCGGCGAGCGGCACGGCGCGGCCGGCGCCGACGCCGTCCCCGCGGACGGGCGCGAGAAGGAGGGCGAGTACAAGGCCAAGACCAAGTCGATGAAGGGGTGCGACCCGGACTTTGGGGGGCAGGCCCTGCGCTTCGACGCCGTCCCCGGCGTCGTGCCCGAGCTGTCCTTCGTGCGCTTCCTCGTGCGCGACGACGAGCTCGGCCGCGACTCGCTGGCCGCGTGGGCTTGTGTGCGCGTGGATCGGCTGAGGGCCGGGTTAAGGTTTGTGCATCTGGTGGATGCGGAGGGCGTGGAGACGGAGGGGGCGGTGCTTGTGAGGGTGGGGGTGAAGCTGGTTTGAGGGGTGGGTTATGTTGGTGTTAGTTTGCTCGAGCATTTTGCTTGGAGTGGTGGTGGTGGTGTATTAGAGGTCGGCGCATGGGTAGCGATGGCATAGCGAGCGAGCGAGCATGACGGTCGGATTGTGGGATACATATCAATTTGGTGGAAGGGTATTGCATGAGGGATACATACGGTAGAAACATGGCTGGGAAACTTTAGATGAAAAGGATTGTCACTTGAGTTATCACTTTCTTTGCACCGTCGTCATTATGGTTCATGATCGGGGATGAAATGGGAGAAGCACTGCCGGGATTAGTGACTGCCTGCCGGGGAATCCGGTCTTTCCGATAAGAGCGATAAGAGTTGTGGCTGAAATGACCCACTTCAATTCATTGCCGTCCCGAGGCGATGCCTTGCGCCGCGACATCCATGAACAACCGCCAACTTCCTGCATCTCTCTTCCCCGCATATATCGATCCTCCGGGGATACAATGAGCAAGCCAGGCTTCTCCTTTGGCCTCAAGAAGGCGGGCGCCTCCAAACCGGCACCCGCGCTTCGAAAACCAGCCCCCTTCGGCGGAGGCGATGATGACGGCTCAGGAGACGAGTCGAAACCAACCAACATAGCGCAGGTCTCGGAGCTCAGCATATTCGACACCAAACAACCCACAACCCCCAATGACTCCCCCGACCGTAGGAAAAAGAAACCCAAAAACCAACCCATACCACCCCCCCCCTCAACCAACCAATTCACCGACCTCTCCAGCGCCCTCACCTCACGCAAGCACGCCGCCTCCGCCGCGGCCGCCGACCCCTCCATCTACGACTACGACCTGGCCTACGACTCCTTCAAAGCCGCGAAAGCCTCCGCCACCACCGACCCGGACCCAACCGCCACCGGCGAACCCAAAAAACCGCGGTATTTCAGCGCGCTGCTCAGCGCAGCCGACGTGCGCGAGCGGGACCGACAGGTGGCCGAGGAGCGGCGGCTGCAGCGGGAGCGCGCGGCCGAGGGCGACGAGTTCGCGGACAAGGAAAAATTCGTCACGGAGGCGTACCGCCGCCAGCAGGAGGAGAACGCGCGGCTGCGGGCCGAGGAGGAGCGGCGCGAGGAGGCGGAGCGGAGTCGGAATCGCGGGCGGGGGATGGCGGATTTTTATAAGGGGATGCTGGAGAGGGGGGAGAGGGAGCATGCTAGGTTGGTGAGGGCTGCGGAGGAGGGGGTGGCGGCGAAGGTTGCGGAGGGTGGGGGGGAGGGTGAGCAGGGGGAAAAGGAGGAGGGGGAGAAGAGTGCGGCGGAACGGGCGAAAGATATTAATGCGAAGGGTGGGAATGTGTTGGTTAATGAGGACGGTGAGGTCGTGGATAAGAGGCAGCTGCTCAGGGGCGGGCTGAATGTCGGCGCCAAGAAGAAGGTCGAGGTGCAGCAGGAGAAAGAGAGGCAAGCGCAGGCTGCGGCAGCGGCTGCGAGGGCGGGGGCCGCGGCGCAGAGTAAGGGGGTGTATGCGGCGGGCGGGAAGCAAGCGATGCGCGAGCGCCAGACGAGAGTGTTGGAGGCGCAGCTCGAGGAGACGCTGAAGCGGTCGAGGCAGGAGGAGGCGGAAGAGGCCGCCAAGGTGCAGCTTGCGAGCAAGAGCAGGAAGACGGATGCTGATATCTCGAGCGCCAAGGAGAGGTATCTGGCGAGAAAGCGGGCGGCAGAGGAGGCGAAAAAGAACGGCGCGGAGGGGCCATAACATAGAGGCCCCTGTCGTATGTATTTCTAGATGATACCCCGGACCGTCTTCTGCAGCAATGGTATGCTGCCCGCTCGTCCCGACCCAATGCCCTCGTGGATACCGGTATATGTGTGTATGCTGTATACAAACCCCAGCCCTGCCCCGCCCTGCCCTATCCATCTATTCCCTATCGTACAACTACAACCCCGGGGATTGTCGGGGCCGTAGTAATGTTGTACAAATCTAGACCGCCCTATCCGGCCTCTACATGTTGGAAAGGCCCTGGTTGCCAATCTCCTGCTGTATCCTCCGGATGTATGTCGAGTTGACCTCGTTCCACGCCGCCATGTACTTCTCCATGCACGACGTCAGGCACGTCTGCTCGCCGCTCGAGAGGGAGCTACCCGGCTTGGGAACGCAGCGCTCAAAGCACTTCTCGTTAATGTTCTAGAGAGAATATGTTAGCGTCAGGTTTCAATGGGTATAGAAGACCGGAAGGTGCCGAGATGGAGATGGGGGTTGAGGTTTGGGTGTACATACCTCGATCAACGTCCGCGCGTTCGCTGTGTTGGTGGCCTGCAATGCCTGCTTGATGATGGCCTTCTTAACCGAGTCGGAGTCCATGGTTGCGGTTTGGTGGATAGCACGTGGCTGGGTGTTCGAGATGAAGTCGCTCAGCGGTTTTGAATGGAGGGAGGGAAAAGTTCCCAAACTGTGGCGCATGTGAATTGCAGATGAGGCTGGTGCGAAGCGAACCTGAGAAAACGTGGAGAAGGTGGAGCACCGTCCACTGTACACAGGGGTAGCTCAGCGAACGCTGGGACCAATCGCTCGGCGCTGCACTGGCTGGCTGAAAAGGCCAGCTAAGGTAATCCGTCTGCCAGGGCCTCGAGATGCAGCATTCGAACCACCCACCACCAGCTCCTGTCGGCTGAGCGTTCCGAACGGTCACACTATCTTACGCACTCCTTCGGATATTTTATTTCGTCTTCTTCTTTTCCCTGTTTGCAACCTTGGCTACGGCCCTCCAGAACATCCCGCACGAACCGTTTCCTTCCCTTATTTCTCTTTCTTTCTTTTCGGACCCAGCCAAGAATCGATCAATTCTTTGGTACCCGGCGCAATGTTGAAATCAGCGCTCTCGGCCTTGTGGCTGGCCACGCTTGCTTGGGGCGCGGGCAAGACGGATGAGGACAATGTCAAGAGCATAGGGGTGCGCTGCTACGTGCTGTGGTCTAGTCATTGGCAATTGTGCTGACAATTTTCTTGTCTACCTAGCTACGGACACACAGTCTCGCCCAGGTACGCATGCTTGCGCTGTACCCCTACCGCGTCGAATCGAGCTGACTTGTATCCTCCAGCCGTATCTGGACTCTGACATGCAAAGTCGGTGGTACGACTTTGGTGGCGACACGATCATCCGTACCGACCAGTAAATACCCCTTTTATCATGCGACCCCTGACGTCCCGAACGCCATCTAATGCTGCTAATCGCAGGTACATCCGCCTAACCTCCGACCACCCATCACAGACCGGATGGCTCTTCTCCAGGGTCCCATTGACGGCGACGAACTGGGAGATCGAGGTGGAATTCAAGATCCACGGCAAGAACCAGCTGTATGGCGACGGCTTCGCCATGTGGCTCACCAAGGAGCGTGGGAAGGTCGGCCCCGTATTTGGCAGCGCCGACCGTTTCGAAGGCCTGGGCATCTTTTTCGATACGTATAAGAACAACCGCCCCGGCGTCGTCTTCCCCTACGTCATGGCTATGGTCGGCGACGGACAGAAGACGTACGACAAGGACACGGACGGCAAGGACACCGAGTTTGCCGGCTGCTCGGCTAGGGGCATCCGCCATGCCAACGTCCCGACTAAGTTCCGCCTGACTTACTTCCAGGACAAGCACCTCAAGCTGGAGCTGCAGTACAAGTCCGAGGGCGAGTGGTCGCTCTGCTTCGAGACCGACCAGCCGCCCGCGATCCCGCAGGTTTCCTACCTCGGTTTCAGCGCCGAGACGGGTGAGCTGAGCGACAACCACGACATTATCTCGATCGACGCCAAGAACCTATATCAGTCTCGGCCCGCGGCCGGCAAATCCACCCCCGGCAGCGGCAAGGGCAAGAAGTCGGCGACTGCTAAGCAAAGCGGCAGTTGGACCTGGTTTTTTATGAAGACCATCTTTTTCTTCATGGTTGTTGGTGGTGCCTATGCTGGATATACGGCCTGGAGGACGAACAACAAGCGGAGCCACCGCTTCTGAGATTGGCATGTTTGGGCGAGGAGCGGCGCTTGAAGGATGGGGATTTGACGACTATACACGGCCAGAAAACAAAACAAAAGATACCATATCCATTCACCCTTCTAGCCGGTAAGGGACGATGTGGGTTTGTTCGTTGCAGTGTCAGACCGGTTGGGGGGCGAATTCACTTACTCATGTATCAGTAACGTCTCTTGGGTCTCGGGCGGAGTTCAGCATCTCTACAGCGGCTTCCTTTACGTTTCTGCTGATTGAAAAGCCCCCTTTTTCGTGATTCTTGAGTCATCATTACAGCAACCCACGAAGGGGTATGCTATGACATTCTTGATTAGGTATTCGAGCTACCTATGAGTGCTATAGTGCCTAGGTAGGTATGTAGGTATGGAGGCATGTAGGTCCTGCTCTCACGTCCACGTCCAGGTCCTAGGGATCGAGGCCCGGGCACCAAAACTTCCCCCGCTGCGCTCGTCGCGCCAGGTGGCCCGGGCTGAACCGATCGCCAGGCTATGACGGTGTGAACCGGGCAACATGTCAAGATCGATCAGGGGCTGACCCCTGCTCCGAGGATGCCATTACCCCACACTAAGCCCCTCCTTGATTGAATCGACTCCCTCCAAGGCCGCTGGCGCAACCTCGACACCAAAACATCAACGATGGCCCAGAACATTGCGAACTCCATGTGTTTTTCTCCGGAGAGGCTCAATGTCTGCATTGACAACTGGCACATGCGCAGCTGACTGGAATTTTATGCAGGGTATGCAGGATGAGCTAGATTAAGAATAGCTGGCAAAAATGTTTTGACAAAGCAGCGGGAAGTGACGCCAGTCGCAGCAGCACAGCAGGTCCCGGCAGTGCGTGCCAAGCAAACGGGACAATGGGCCGGTGCCCGCTCCACAGGGATCCCCTCCAGCTCCCACTGCAGCTCTGGTTGCTTGCCCGCCTGTGTGGGTGCCGAGCTTCCCCTTCAACTCGAAGCGGGCAGCGCCGGGCTCACACGCAAACCTGGAAGCTCAGCCAGCAGCAATTCCCTTGCAGCGAGTCCCATCCACCGTTCTCAACCGGGCTTCCGTCATTCTTATCCCTCCCTTCCATACTACCTAGTACCCAACATCACCCAAGTCTCTAGTACAACCTCACCACTTTCATCGAGAGCCTACTGCACCGTGGCCGACCAGCTTGCTCATCCGCGCTCCGTTTTCTCGGTAAAGCGAATCGGGCTGCAAGCAAGGGGAGGTGCAAGACCTTGACTTCCTAACTGCAAACCGGAGACTGCGGATTGCGAACTCATATTATCCTTAAATACTCCCGGGACGTCTTTCTTCTCTTTCATAACCTCCTTGCAGCCTCCTCTCGGCCTGGTAGCATCCATTGGTCCATTCTTTCTCTTTGTGCCGCTGCTGTAAGCAACCCTCCCTCCACCAGCCGCTCGCGGAGTTGCGTGTTGCAGCCCCGTTCGCTCAGCTACCCGGCGGTGGACATCGTTACCTATCGTCTCGTCCCTTTGCCGTTCGTTGCGGCATCCTCCCGGCATCCTACCGTCATCGACGTTTACCTGACCGCCCTAGGGCCAGGTGATATCATCGACGCTCGTAGCCCGCGACATTCCTCAAAAACCCCTCCACCGGCAACAGCGCGCTGTTCCCTCTGGGCCAAACGTCGTCCCCATCTCCGGCGTACAGTACTGTACCAAATCCCTCCGACGAGGACCACCGGCTCATTGGCCCGCGGTTTAATTACTGTGCAGCTTTTCGTCGCAACGGCTTCTTCAATCCTCCATTCTCGGACGAGCGCTTGCCCAATTAGAAGGGGCTGAGAGCACTCCGGTCAACCATCTCATCGAAGCGCGTTGATGCACGCCCTCGGCGGCTTCCTCAGGAGGAAACGGACGAGGGACGGCAATCCGGGCCATTCACCGCCAAGCAACCCGACGAGCCCCGTAACACCGACAGGAAGCAGCTCCGACCAGTCCTCCGTTCCCCGCGGCTCTCGCTCGAGCGCGGCGTCGCAGTCTACACACCGCTCGTCCGCGACTGCTACTCTCCAGAACAGGCCGGCCGAACCGGCGGCTGAGCAGCAGCAGCAGCAACAACAGCAGCAGCAACAACAGCCAATGAATACCCTCTCGCCGCAACCGCCCTACGCGGTGGCACAACACACACCCTCACCCGGTACCGACCCGCAAAACGTGCCGCGCATCTCGAATTTGATCAATCCGCCTCAGGCTGAAGGGGCGGCTGGCTATCAGCAACACCAAGGAGGGCAATATGCGCAGTACACTTCGAACAATGGCGGAACGGCGCCAACCCAGCCTCAAAAGCAACATCAGCCGCAACAACAACAACCCCAGCAGCCCCAGCAGGCCCAGCAGCAGGCGCAAGTGGCAGTAGCAGCAACTCAGGGGGAGGTGCGGGTGACCAAGGGGAAATACTCGCTGGCGGACTTTGAGCTGCTGAGGACGCTGGGTACGGGCAGCTTCGGCAGGGTGCACCTGGTGCAGTCGCGGCATAACCACCGGTTTTACGCGATCAAGGTGCTCAAGAAGGCGCAGGTGGTGAAGATGAAGCAGATTGAGCACACCAACGACGAGCGCAAAATGCTGGGCGAGGTGAAGCACCCGTTCCTGATCACGCTGTGGGGCACCTTCCAGGACCCCAGGAATCTGTACATGGTGATGGATTTCGTCGAGGGTGGCGAGCTGTTTTCGTTGCTGAGGAGGTCAGGGGTAAGTTGGGACGACCACGGCGGGGGGGTGGGCGAATGCACGGGCTAACCGGTACGGCAGCGCTTCCCAAACCCCGTGGCCAAGTTCTACGCTGCCGAAGTCACTCTGGCGCTAGAGTACCTGCACTCGCGCAACATCATCTACCGCGACCTGAAGCCGGAGAACCTGCTGCTTGACCGGCACGGCCATCTGAAGATCACCGACTTCGGCTTCGCCAAGCGCGTACCAGACAAGACATGGACGCTCTGCGGCACGCCCGACTATCTCGCGCCCGAGGTTGTTTCCAACAAGGGCTACAACAAATCAGTAGACTGGTAAGAAGGCCACGCCGAGCCACGCGCTTCCCCCCCCCCCCAACAAAAAAAGAGAAGCCACTGACGGACGCGGTGCGCGCGCAGGTGGTCCCTCGGCATCCTCATCTACGAGATGCTCTGCGGGTACACGCCCTTCTGGGACAGCGGGTCGCCCATGAAGATCTACGAGAACATCCTGCGCGGCAAGGTCAAGTACCCGGCCTACGTCAACCCGGACGCGCAGAACCTGCTCGAGCGGCTCATCACGGCCGACCTCACCAAGCGGCTCGGCAACCTGTACGGCGGCTCGCAGGACGTCAAGAACCACCCCTGGTTCGCCGAGGTCACCTGGGACCGCCTCGCCCGCAGGGACATCGACGCCCCCTACTCGCCCCCCGTGCGCGCCGGCGCGGGGGACGCCAGCCAGTTTGATCGCTATCCCGAGGAGACGGAGCAGTATGGGCAGACGGGCGGGCATGATGAGTATGTTGGCCCTTTTTTTCTCTTTTTTCTTATTTGTCTTTCTAGCACGACAGACAATGTTTGGGGACGCGGGACTGACCAAGTACCAGATACGGGCATATGTTCCAAGACTTTTGAGACTGCTTGTCTGCTTCGAGTACTCACCTGTGGGGGTTTTAAACACACACGGCAAGGTTGGGTTATGCCGGCTTTTGCAGAGCCCCCCATTTCGAAGACCGCTCGAAGAGCTACCTGCTTGAATTCTGTGTTGGAAACGAATAAAAAAGGGGCGAACCCCCGGAGAAAGAGAGAAAGAGTGCGGCCCCCGGAAATGCGAATCGTTCTGATATCACCCTCACCCCCTAAAGAAAGCATTCTTCCATACAAAGCAAACGCTATCGAGGAGCATGGTTTACCGGCGCTGTACTGGTTATTGGGGGCAGTAGGATAGGATAGGATAGGATAGGGATGGGAGGGGTGGTGTGGGTGGCAAGGCTTGGTTTTGGGTACGGTACCTACGGATGTTGCTATGAAAGGTGGTTGAAACTCTGTGTTTTGGGGTCATCTCCTGCTTTGTCCTGGTCGTATGGTTCTGATCTGCATAACGTTCAACGGTCATGGCGTTTCTCGTGGGCTTGAGGCCAGTCCTTTCCCCTCGGTGTCCCCTGTGAATCGCTCCCGGCCCGACCTCCCTCTCCACCCGGGCAACCTGGCAGCTTGAGGACTTCCATGCCAAGCGGGCGGGAGCTAACCTTATTTCGGCTTGGCGGCGGGGAGAGATGCTGGTTGGTGCCGGGATGTCGGAGATTCTCGACAAATGTACTCGCTGTGGAATCTAACTTACTGTAAGAACGGGCATGTCTAGATCATATCTGATGTTCAGATGAATAAATGGAACTTTGTTTTGAGAAAAATAGTGGACGAAATGCAGTTACTTTCCACGTTGTCAATGTCTTACAGGCGGTCTGCTGAGGTGTCCACTGAAGCAAGAGCGAGGGTGCGCCCAGCCACCGGTAATTGGCCCTGTCGGTGGTGAGATTTCCACTCTTTTCTCGCTGGCTCTGCAGGGCGTTGCATGAGGGGGGTTGAGTACACTGTGCTGTGTTATACCGTGTTTATTGGAACTGCACTGTGGTTTCTTGCAGACTCTTCACGAAAGCTAGAAAGGTTCGCACGGTATGCATAAGCCGGCGGTACTTGCCCGAACGGTGTGATGGATCTTCGGGTCACAGCGACAGAGGCCGCCCGGGGGGAACGGTGGCTGGTCGGCTGCAAGAATTGCAGATGGATGGGGGGCAGCAATTGATCTTCATGAAGTGGGTGAGTTTGTGAGAATCGAATGGAAGTTTGATCTTTTTATCATTTTAACGGTTTTAAGACGAGCCATTGACGTTGAGACACGAGCTGGAGGAAAGAAAAGAAAAGAAAAGAAAAGAGAAGGAAAAGAAAGGAAAGACAGAAGATAATAAGCCGAGGTGACACGGTGAGCAGGGTCACGGTGAGTAACCTCAAATCGTTGTCGTCAGTCCAATTGTATGCTTACACATTATTATTCAGGTAAACAAAACGGTGGACTGGGGAATCTCTCTTTCCATCTCTGCTGGCACGGGACTAGTTAGAGAGCGAGTCGATTTCGAGATATCAAGGGAGGGATCAAAGCATCCTATCCTTGTACGACAGCCAACCCGTTCAATACACCCTATCGAGGCGTGGCTAGAAAGGAACCCACTACATCTGCTGTGTGAGGGAAAGGGGGAGGAGGAAAAGCCATGGACGACTACATGTTTCAGACGTACGTGGCCGAGTGCAAGTGCGTCCGGGAAGAGACCAGTTATCTCGAGATCTTCAATTACTCGGTGAGTTGGTTACCTCCCTTGCTAGAGGACATCAGAGCTATTACTGATGGTCGTACGTTCTAGGATCCCTCCTTCAACACCTCCGAGGAGCACCGTTTCCGCTTCGACGAGCTTCCCGATGAGTTTGGCAACTTTTTGCACCGAAGAGTTAGCCCCCAGATTCCCAGTCTCATAGTAAACCAGGCCTAACAGTTTCTAGGGGGCGTTTGCCCCTCCCAAGCTACGCCCCGGTGTCAAACTGGTTAGCGGAATACGGTTGATGTGAGTCGTCATGAGATAGGAATCACCAATTCCGGGCTTTGTGGGCGTTCGACCGTTGTACATAGCTAACACGCGGCCGTCTCCCCCAGCCTCCAACAAAACGCACAGCATTCCGAGACTTTCACGCCCAGCTATCTATCCTTGACACACCAAGCATACGAGGAGATGGTGCGGGCCTTGCATCTACCGTTCCGTGCTATCGAGGGCACCAGCGCTGTCGGGCCCTTCTTCTGGGGTGCCTTTGACCAAAACGACGAAGACCCGCATCTACGTATGGCCCCTTTTATTCGTTGACACACACACACACATAAACACAGACACTAACTCGAGAAGAAATCATCTTCCGCAAGTCCGACGTTCGCAAGAAGGGCAAGACACGCGGGTGGGAGCTGATGCTGTCGCACTCGTTCCGCACGCACATCACGACGGGCTACGCCAAGGGCACGGCGTCGTCCGACATGGTCGAGAGCATCAAGCACCTGCGGGCGTGCGCGGACCAGATCCTGCACCCGATGCTGCTGCCCATCATCATCCTCAGCCACGACCTGTCGATGAAGAACGACCAGAAGCAGCGCAACGCCCGCCAGTGGCTGCGCGACCTCGAGACCGCCGTCAGCATGCGCTCCGAGGTGCTCGAGGAGGAGAACAAGTACATCCGCGGCGCCATGATCGACCTCGACCAGATCAACATGGACCTCGTCGAGTGCCACTCGCAGGTGCTGTGGAAGCGGCCCCAGGCCTACCAGGAGATCATCAAGGGGATCTGCCAGTCGATGGACCGCTTCTGGGAGAAAGCGAGCGAGGACGAGGCGTACGGGGGCAGAGGCGGGGAGGTCGATAAGCTGCACCGGAGCATGATGTCGCGGCTGGACTTTTACCAGGCCAAGCTAAAGGGCATCGAGAACTACGCACACATCACGCTGGAGCGGCTGACGATCCAGCGGGCAGCAGTGAGTCCCTTTTCTGTCCCCCCCCCCCCCCCCCCCCCCCTTTCCCACCCCCCTCTCTCCAACCCCAAAACCACACCAACAACATGACACTAACACACAACCCCTCCCCAGCTCTACAACATCATCGCCCAAAAAGAATCCAAACTCGGCCTGCAAATGGCCGGCGAGCAGCGCCGCCTCGCCCACGCCGCCAAGCGCGACAGCACCTCGATGAAGATCCTCTCCCTCCTCGGCGCCATCTTCCTCCCAGCCACCTACCTCGCCTCCATCTTCGGCATGACCTTCTTCAACTTCGTCCCCGACGGCGGCAACGAGCCAGAACCCCCCACCCCCACGGGCACCACCACCACCACCACAGGGGGCACAGCAGCAGCAGCACCACCCTGGAACCCCGTCTCCCCTTTACTGTGGGTTTATTTCGCCATCACGATCCCCATCACGCTGGCCATCGTGATAACCTGGCGGTGGTGGGACCGGCGGCGGGAGAAGCGGTATGCGGCTGAGGATAGGGACATCGAGGAGGGGATCGAGAAGATGGAGGCGCAGATCATGGCGACGATGCGCAAGCGGACCATGAGCAAGATGCGCACGTGGGAGGTGGGGAAGACGTGATCTTTTTTGAAAAGAAGGGGTGGGGGGGGGTGGGTGTCTTTGCTGGGTGGGTTGTGGTGTTGTGGTTGTTGGCTAGGGGGCGTTGAAAAGAAAGGGGGGGAGGGGGGGTGAAGATTGGAAAACGTAAAGGGTGGGGAGATAAGAGAGGAGAATAAGGAGAAGGGGGAAACGGTTGATTTGGTCGCTTTTGGGATGAGGCATGCTCTTCTGTTTCGCTTTTTCACGGCGACCCAGAGAGCAGCCTGCACCGCTGATGATTAGATGACGATACGGTTACGAGTTATGACTGACGATGATAGAGGGCGCTGTGCTGTATGTTGGCGTACAGTTGTATACAAGCTCTTCAATATCTACCGGTATCATATTAATTTACTTCTCTTGAAGGTTGCGAAAGTGACTGGGAGACATGGCCGATTATATTCATTAGATCAGATTCAAATAGCCAGCGTGATGAGCCGAGTTTCTTACAACCTCGCCAACATACAACCCAACCTTCTAATGCGCTAGGTATCTATGCCTCTACTCCTATAATGCAACCCCCTATATCATACATCATATACATCATACACTAGATTAGCGCCTGCCCCATGAACATGCTCTCCTTCACTTCTGACACGACATCCCTCCGGTCGTCCTTGCCCACCAGCACAACTCCCCTGCCGCGCCTCCCCATCCTCCCCGCCCTGCCGAGCCGGTGAATAAAATCGATGGTGGTATGCGGCACGTCATACAGCACTACGTGCCTGACGGCCAGCGTATCGATACCCCGCGATGCCAAGTCGGTGGCCACGATGACCTTGGTGTTCGGCAGATGCCTCCGGCTGACGCCGCCCGCCTTGGCCAGAATAGCCTGCTTATTCGCCTCGACGGCGTCCTTGCTCATGCGCATGGGCTCGTTGGTGGTGAAGCTGTTCAGCATCTCGCTCTGGCGGTGCTCGGGGGTGTCGCGGTGCAGGGCGATGGCGTCGATGCCCTTGGACACCAGATACTCGGCCACCTCCTGGGTCGTGTCGCGCTCGTTGACAAACACCATGATGCGCTTGATGTCGACCTCGTCCTTGTCGGCGCCCTCGTGCATGGCGGCGTCCTTGCCGATGGTCCAGATGGCGTCGGCGCACGCAAGCAGCTTGTTGTTGCGGTAAGGGTCCTTGGACACGTCGATGACGCCGAGCTGGACGCGGCGCGGGATGGCGTGCAGGTTGGGCGTCGCGATGCGCACGATATTGGGGAAGTGTGTGGCCAGGTAGTTGTCGAGGCGGCGCGGGATGGTGGCGGAGCAGAGGATGAGCTGCTTGACCGAGGGCATAGCGCGCTCGACAATCTTGGAGGTCTCTGGGGAGAAGGAGCGGTCGAGGAGGGAGTCAGCCTCGTCAATGACGAGGTGCTGCACACGCGAAAGGATATTGGGGTCTCTGTGTGCCATGGCGGCGAGGAGATGCGGGGTGGCAACGACCATGTCGATGCCGCCATGGCTGTACATGTTGCGCTGGATCTTGGCCGGGAGCTGGTTGGACGAGATGGAGCGGACTTTGATCTTGGCCACGTGGGAGATCTTTTTCGAGGCGGCGAGCACCTGGTCGACGAGCTCGGATGTCGGAACTAGCACGACGACGCGGGGGCGGGCATGGTTGGGGTGCGGCTCGAATTTGTCGATCCATTCCGACACCGGGGTTCCTCCCCGGCGCTCCTTCTCGGCCTCTAGCCGCTCGTTGTATGCCTTGGCATCTGCGTCCTCGGCCTCGGCCACCTTGAGGGCGTTGATGACGGGTAGCAAGTACGCCAGCGTCTTGCCGGACCCGGTCTCGGCGGCCAGGAGGAACTCTTCTCTTTGAGTCTCGGGCGTCGGCATGCGGTAGTTTGTATCCCTGCGCCGCGCGGCCCGCTGCCCGAGTAGGGCGGGGATGGCGAGCCTCTGGACCGGAGTGGGCTTCACGTCCACCATGCCCTTCAGCACCTCGTTGTAGACGGCCTCTTTCAAGACCGGCAGTAGCTTGAACTGATCGAAGGATTCGACGTCGGAGATGCGGGCCTTGACAGTGACACGTTCGCGGTAGGGAATGCTGGTGAGGGCACGCTGCATCTTGAGGGCCTTGAAGCGGTTATCGTCCCTGTCCCGAGTCGCGCCCGGGTACCTCTCTCTGGTGTTCCTGGTGTCTCTGTCTCTGTCGCGTGTGCCTTCGCCGGGTGCTTGTGCTGACCCCGGGGGTCGTCGGCGGCGGTCGCGGTCGACGTTGGCGACGGTCCGATTGGCGCCCGCCCAAGGACCCTCGGGTCTCTGACGGGATCTCTTGGGAGCATCTGTTCGCGGTCCGCGGGCGACACGGTCGGACAGCACCATGCGTGATGGGCGGTCTTTGGTGTCTCTCCGCGTTACAAAGCTACGCTGGCTGATCCATGGCTGCGCCGACTCTAGGAGTGAGATCCTGGGTTGTGCTGCCGAGCGGCATAATAAGCACACGGAGCCGCGAGCTGCCCTCCACATGGTCGCGAATAGGGTATCGAGATGGTTGGAATGGCGACTACCGACTAAGAGAATAACCTAACAGGCGGGACGAAAATTAATCTTGGCCATCAACTGTTCTGCCGTCTTCTACCGCTCCAGTTTGAGTGGGGTGGGCACTGGTCTTGGCAAAAGCGACAGATTCGGAAGGCGGTGGAAGTGGGTGGGCAGGTCGGGGCATGCTGCAGACTGCATGCAGCCCGTCTCTCATCGATGGATGTTTACCAGAAGGAGCAATCAAGTCACTGATTATGGGCAGCCATTCGCCAATCAACATATCGAACTAATCGCACTCGATAAGATACACAACCACAAAATATCGTCCCAAAACCCGGCTGGGAAGTTGATTCCTGGTTGTTGAAGATCTGCAACCGATGCAAGAAACGAAAACCCCACAACTGCAGTGAACTAATCCATGCTTGCAGGTTGCCGAGGTCACGCTGTACCCTCAGCGCAACCTGCCCGCATGCACCATGACGATGATGTCGTTCGGGTCATGCCGAGTCTCGACCTGGTGAAACAAACAGACGAAGAAGCTCTTTCATTTTTCAAGATATTCCTCCGACTCTCTTTCATGCACTTGCGCATCCTGATCGTCCTGATCGCCCTGATCTCCCCCCAGTCCTTCAATCACCCCACCAACTCCACCCATCGCCATCTCTCCGTCGCGAGGTGATCCCTGCATCTGTAACCCCAGCGCGTCGGAGAGGACCCCGCGGTGGTTCGCGAAAGTTGCGCATAGCTTCGGGACACTTCCTCAACCACTTGAACTTTCCTTGGACATTTCCTTTTCTCTTACTTCGTATTCCTAAGTAATAATATCCCTCAGCGCACCCGACCTAATCAGTCTCATCATCAATGGGCTCTCGAAACCCAACGAACTGGGACCAGTACGAACGGGGGAGCTTCTCTCGCACCGGCAGCGTCTCCTCGTTGGATAACCGGAGCGCCCAATATGAAAGCGACTCTCTCCTAGGCCGCAGCGCCGGCTCCAACCCGGGCGATGGCGAGTGGACGCAGCATCTCAGGCATAGAAGGTAGACTTCGTCCCTTCCCCTTCAGAAGCAATTCAAGATACTAACACCCTCCCCCCAGGTCCTCAGTAACCAACCGCCTCGCGGCCATAACCGACATCGGTGGCGTCAACAGTATCCGCTCCTTCACCCGCAGCTGGCAACGCGCCGCCGGTTTCTCCGAAGTCATCCCCCAGCGCCCTTCCTTCGTCTTCGCCCCAGACCAAGCCCCCATCGCACCCCCGCCAGACGCCGGCGATGTATCCCCCTACTCTCAACAACAGCGCGACATCGAGGCGGGCGCCTCGCCCTCCCTCATCCGCCAGCACCTCGAAGCCGCCCTCCGCGCCGGCGAGCAACACCCTCCCCGCACTGATAGCCCCGAACCGGGCGCGAGCGCCAGCCACGGCGCCCTCCTCCACCGCCAGTCCAGCCGCGACTCGCGCGAGGGGAAACCGCTCGACGGCAGCGACAGCGACCTCATGCCGCAGGTCTTCCGCATCGGCAGCCACACGACGACAAACTCCGCCAGCGGCGGCTCCATCTTCGCCATTCCGCCCCACTTGGCCACCCCGCCGCTCATCGGCAGCTACCGGTCGCTGGTGTCGGGCCTGGACTATGGAACCATCCGCTCCGATGCGAGCGGCGGGAGTGGAGGCGGCGATATGACCCACGCCGCCGCCCTGTGGCGCCAGCAGCAGGAGGCCGGCGGCAACGTGCCCGACGGGGAGCTCCCGCCTATACTGGTCAAGGAGGTGGAGCAGGATGGGAAGTTCGTGCTGGCTGTGGAGGGGCAGTCGACGCTGCCTCAGACGGTGTTTAATTCGACCAAGTACGTTTGCTGACCCGAAGTTTGAAGATTTTGGAGGGTGGTTGCTGACCGGTTGAGGATAGTGTTCTAATTGGGGTCGGCCTGCTGAGCTTGCCCATGGGCATGAAGTACGCCGGCTGGCTCTGCGGCATGATCGCCATGTTCCTATGTGCGGCCGTGACTGGGTGGACGGCCAAGCTCCTGGCCAAGTGCATGGACCTGGACCCGAGCCTCATCACCTTCTCCGACCTCGCCTACATCTCGTTCGGTCGCAACGCCAGGATAGCCACGAGCGTGCTGTTTACACTTGAGCTTCTCGCGGCGTGCGTGGCCCTAATCGTGCTCTTCGCGGACTCGCTTGACCTCCTGTTCCCCGGGCTCCTTTCCGTGACGGGCTGGAAGATATTTTGCGCCATCATTCTGATACCCCTAAACTTCCTACCGTTGCGGCTACTGAGCTTCACCAGCGTTATCGGTATCTTTTCGTGCTTTACCAGTGAGTATCGACAAAATATGACCACTTGTAAATGGGATATTGACGCTGTCGTCCAGTCGTGGTCATCTTGGTTCTCGACGGCTTGATAAAACCCACCTCGCCTGGCTCTCTCATCGAACCGGCCAAAACCTACCTCTTTCCTGCCAACTGGTTGACGTTGCCGCTGTCTTTCGGTCTCCTAATGTCCCCGTGGTAAGTTAAACCGTCATATCTTTCACGGCAACCTGACTAATTCTCCGTAGGGGCGGCCACGGCGTGTTTCCCAACGTAAGTCCGCCGTCGCCACCACCACCCCTCTTCCCCGGTTAACTCACTCACCACATCCAGATATACCGGGACATGCGTCACCCCCATAAATATACCCAAGCGCTCAAGATGTCCTTCTCCTTCACCGTAGGAACCCCCCCCCCCCCCTCTCCTACCCTAATCAACCAACCTCCTAACCACATACAATACAGTACGTCCTCGACCTCACCACAGCCGTCGCGGGCTTGCTCATGTTCGGCGACTCGGTGCGCGACGAGATCACATCCAACATCCTGCTCGAGGCCAGCTACCCGCGCGTGCTGGCCGTGTTGATGTGCCTGTGCATCGGCATCATCCCGCTAACCAAGATCCCGCTCAACGCCCGCCCCATCGTCGCCACCGTTGAGGTCCTGCTGGGCCTACACCAGCAGGCCGTCGCCGGCCCCGCCGACTACGACCCCGTTCCTTCCTCCTCGTTCATCCACAGTCTGGTGGGGAGGGGGATGGGCTTTCGGGGGGCGATGAAGGTGGTGATTAGGGTGGGGGTGGTAGTGGTGTTTTTGGGCATCTCGATTGTGTTTCCTGCGTTTGATAGCATCATGGCTTTCATGGGCAGCGCGTTGTGTTTTACCATTTGTGTGACGTAAGTTACTTCCCCGTTTCTCTTTCCCCCACTCTCCCCCTTACACCGGTTTTCTCCTCTCTCTGTGACGGGACAGGGAGTGGTGAGAACTGTCACAACAGTCGGGGGATGCCCCTACCAAGACCGGGTTACTAACCCGCTCCCTGCCCAGGCTACCCCTCGCCTTCTACCTCAAGCTCTTCGGCCACGAGATCTCCACCCGGGAGAAAGCCTTCGCCTTCACCGTCATGGTCATCTCGTTCGTCCTGTCTGTCATCGGCACTGTCTGGGCCTTCCTGCCCAAGAGCTTGATTGGCGCCGAGCCTGCGACGCCGGAACTGCGCTAGCGGTATCCCCGAGTGCCCTTCCATACCTGTGGGCGTGGGACGCGTGGCGTGGCTGGGGGGGACCCGGACCGGCTGAAGCGCGCGGTTGCGGATTCCCCGGGGGTTGGGCCCGCGGCCTGGCCTGGTGTTGGGAATGCGGAACGTCACCCGATGACCAGCAGGCCGTTGGGGGGCTTGGCTTGGGCCCCGTTGCTGTGGTTGCGTTGGGTGCGGTGGTGACGAATTGGTTTCTGCGACAATCATGTCATGAGGCTGGATGGATATGCGGAGCGGTTGGCTGGGGGGGGGCTGGTGTCATGTTCATGATCTGGTGTTTTCTGGGGCCACATCTTCTACTTGGGTTCATGTTCATGCTTAGGCTTTATTCATGCGTGCATACATACCAATAGCATTCGGCGGGGGGACAGGTTGGGAATTGTTTATGGGACTTTCTAGATTTCACTTCACGTCACAGCATAACCAATTGACTTCATTCGAGAAGCCCATTGATGCACTTTCAGTCATGAACTTGACGAAACGGACGCAAACACTAACACTAACACCCATCACCAGGTCCCAAACACTGATTGATACCTCTCCCCACAGCCAATGCCAACCGAACAAATAGCCCACATCTCTCCTGACGACTCCTGCATGCACTGCACTGCACTGCACCGTCCGAACCCACGCACCCCATGTCCCTGTAGGGGTGGTGGGTGTTTGTTGACAGTGCCAGCGCATGTGTCGCGCTGGGATAGGAGGAAAACGAAAGAAGAAGGGGGCCATGGCGAACGCCCCCCCGCGCCTAACTACCTAGGTACATATGCCCTGTCCGCCACTGGGTACCTATGTATGTACTAGGTTCTATAACCGTACGAACAGGGCCCCCCATCGAGGCGAGGGCGGGTCCGTTGGTGGTGTTTGATGTCTGTTGTTGTTCCTGCCGGATGCGATGCAGGTATGTGGTCCTGCGTGCTGTGGCATGACATGGCCACGAACTTGTCTGCATGAAGGAAGTCTCCAGACGTTCGGCTGTCGGGTCGGGCGCCCGAGGGGCGTTCGTTCACCGGGTCCTGGAGCAACGGGTCAGGGAAGCCGGAGAGACGGAAACCGCAGGTGGTTGCTTGAGGTTTGTCTCGTTTCGTCCAAAGGTAGATAGTTAGTTTCTGGCGGGTTAGTCTGGTCTCGCAAAAGTGACGAAACATAACATCGCGAATCTTTTATTTTCTGAATCTTGAGACGAAAACAGTGTGTTTGAGAACACCGAATTGATAACCTTTGACCATGTTTTGCCGTATTTTCATGATTCATCATTCACGTAAACAAGTGGAACTTAATGCTCGAGTGGGTAACCTCTGGTATTCTAGATTTGATCTCCTCGAGACAGTTATCTAATACACAGAAAGCGAGTTGAAGGCCGAAACCAGCCCAACCCATGCCACTCATCCAAACTTCCCCTTTCCTTCACTCAACCCCAATTCTCCGTCGATCGATCTGTGTGTAAGAGTAGAAAAACAACTTCCACCAAAATGATGATGACCCTGTTCCACAACGCTGCTGGTGCTGTCTGTCTGTCTGTCCGTTTTCCCGCCCGAGTAGAAAGTAGAAAAGCAAAAAAAAAACAGTAATCCAACTACCCCAAATGTCCAGTTTCGCCATTTGTGAGCCCCAATCGCGCCAAAACCGATGCCACCCAGCCCCTTATGTTTGTGTCGTTTCGTTCTAAACCATGCTATGCTATAAAAAAAGGAAAAAAAAGTTTGAGTGAGAGACGATCAAAATATGTAAGATGATATGTGTCGAAGTTGTTGATCGATTTCACCGATCGATCTGGTGAGAACAGAACAATTGAGCGTCTCACCGCACAGCCAGCGGTGGAATGCCCAAACAGGAAGAAAAAAAACAAGACGAGACAGACAGCAGCAGGGTCAACACTCTTACACCAAAAAAAGAAGAAAAAAATAGATCGAGGTATCAACCGACGGAGGAGGGATGATGATGAGGGGAGGGATAAGGATGAATGATGGCGGGTTGCGGTGGTGTGGCCCCAACCACAAGTGGAAAACCGGCACTCGTGCGCACCGCGCTCCCATCAGGAGCGGGCGGCTTGCCAGTTAACCAACCCCCCGAGATAGCCGAGACCGGTGCGCTTCTCCTTGCGCCAGTCGAAGTTCCAATTCCAATCTCGATCGCGACCTTTAGTTCGCGGGCATTCCTTGGTCCGGTCGCGACTGTTGTTGGTCCGCCTTCCCTGGTGGTGTTGTTGCCCATGGTGATTGTGTTGAGGAGAGTGATTCCCAGAGACAGAAGAAAATGGTTGGTGAGAGTCAGTGTGTATTTCAAAGACACCGGGTCCCTTGATCGGGGAGCTGGCGGAGAGGGCGGCCCTAGCAGGCCGAACCGGGCGAACCGAGACGTTGACGACCTTGCGAGGCGGGCTGCCGTGCGCTCGCCGGCGCTCGCCAAGGGCTGCCCACTTGTCCATGCCGTTCTGTCGTGACGTCGGCGAGTTCCGCGGAAGCTGAGGCTCCTCCTTGACCGGCGGTGCCTCGTAGACAAACAGGCCGTCCATGTCGGAATCCTCGTCGAAGACTCCATCGATAGACGGAATCGTGTTCTCGTCACTGGCAAGAGTGGCCGACTTGGTGGCGGGAGACAAACCTTGTCGGGGCGTGTCATCGTTGTCGGCGGCCATGGATGGCGTGGCAGTGCTCTCGTGGCTCCAGGTCCTCGAGTTCAACTCCTTGAGGTTCTGCAGCTGGTTCGCCTGCTCCTCCTCCTCCTCGAACTCTTCATCCCACAGATCACTCCAGCTCTTGGACACTCCATCGCTGCGACCAAAGACCAGGGACATGGCGGACTGGTTGCGGTTCTTGGACATGGTGATCGGGAGCGACCCAGCCACCGGGGCCAACTTCGCGGCAGCCTTTGCGGGCAGGACCGGGCGGAAGTTAGCTGGGGCGGCGAACGACTGCATCGACAAGCCCAGGTTCGAGTCCATGTAGGACGACATGGACGGCGTCTGCGCGGTGCCCGACATCCAGTCGGCGGTCGTGCCCGACTTGGAGAACAAGTCTTCCTCGTAGATCTCGTCGTCGGGGATGGCACTGAGCTGCCGGATGGGCTTCGGAGGCGTCGCGTGCAGGGCCTTGGCCCACGGGAAGGCGCCAGTGTCGACCTGCGGACTCTGGATGGAAGGTGTGCGGAGGGGCTCGCGGTTGGAGCTGGCAACCACGCGGCGGTCGCTTGAGCAGAAGTCGTCAAGAGCCTCGTCGAGCGTGGTGAAGCTGACAACGCGAAGCAGGGCATCGCGGGCTCCGGCCAGGGAGCGCTTGCTGGGGTCCATGTTCATGCACTGCACGATGACCTCGTAGGTGTCCTGCGACATGGCGGGGAACACGTCGAACAGGGACTGCCTGTCGCGCGAGAAGTCGAGGAACAAGGGATCCGCCTCGGTGGGCGTTGTAAAGGGATTCTTCGAAAACAGAATGTTAAGAAGGCAGATGCCGATAGCCCAGATGTCGGCCTGCGCAGGCGAGTACCCAGCACCAGCTGAGTCATACTGCTCGGGCGACATGTACCGGTCGCTGCCCACGGTCGATTCGTAGCTCCACTCGTCCGAGGTCGCAAGCCCGAAGTCGCCCAGCTTCATGGAACCCGACTGGGTCAAGAAGATGTTCTCGGGCTTGATATCGCGGTGGTAGATACCCTTCGAGTGCATGTATGCAACCGCGTCCACGAGTTCCAGCATGAAGCGCCTCACATGTTCCGTCTCCAAGGGGCCATGGCCGATGCGGATCGCCTCGTACAGATCACCGCGCGGGCAGAACTCGAGCACCAGGTAGATGTGCGCCTCCGTCTCGAACGATTCGTTCAGGTTGACGATGTTCGGATGCAAGCCCAGCTGGCCGTGCAAGACGAGCTCCTCCGACTGGTCGTCGATCGCAAACTCGAGGTAACCATCAGGTGACGCTGACCTCTTAGTTAGGCACTTGATGGCGACCGTCTCGTTTGTGAAGGTGTCCTTGGCCATGAAGACCATGCCGAAGGAGCCGTGGTTGAGAGGAGAGATGGTCTGGTACCGACCACCGAGCAAAACGCCATTTTGGAAGTCGTCGCGAAGGCATTCCATGGCGAAATAAATTAGGTCTAATCGTGGGTGTACGGCGTCGAGAGTGGTGGTACAATTTCCGAAGAAGCTTTTTCCCAGTCTCCAAGGCCGTCTATGCCGGTCGAGTACGTCTTATCAAGACAAAGGTTTCCAAATTGTACAACAGAGAAAGAGGCTGGCTGCGCAACGCTGAACCGAGTGCTGAGCGGTCGAGGTAATGGCGAGAAGTGAAAACGGGAAGAGAGGAAGATGTACAAGATCGCGGCAAAAGGCGAATCGCAAACAGAAAAGACAAGTAGCTCCGAGTCGTTCACTATCCGAGGCTCATGGGAGGGTATTTTGGGTGCTCCAACAAATAACAAAGAAAGGCGGCCGAGAATAGTGTCGTGAAAAAGGTTGGACTAGTAGTCCCGAAGAAAACAAAAGGAATGGTCGTTATAACATCGGTACGAAGGGAGGATGGGTGTGTTGTTGTTCTTGTTGTTGTTTTGTTGTGGTGGTGGGAGGATGCAGTCGAGAGCTGAGGGAGTGCCCCAGGTGACCAGAGCTGAGATCCGGTGTCGGTGGGGTGATGGGAAGAGAAGATGGATCAAAGACGAAAGTCGATGATGGTCGATACCGATGTCGAAAGCTGGCTGAAGGAAGACAGACGCAGCTTATCGTCAACGACAGGACGAGTTCGGCAAGGCGGGGCGGAGAGGTGGACGATGGCGAGTGAGACCAGGTGGCAGACAGCAAACCGGGAAGGAGTTGCGGCTATTGGAACACCTGGCGGATCGTCGATGAAAACATGCGGGGGTGAGGGAGAGTTGAGGGAACAGGTGGACGAAGAGATGACTCTTCGACCCCCTTGTTCAACTGGCGAAGCGTGATTCACACAGCCGGTGGAGACTGATTGTTCGGGACCTGACGATTGTTCGGGGGACTGAACCCAAGATTCGAACAGCGAGTGGGACAACCGGGTCCGGGCTAATCAGCAGCGCTCAAGGTGCCAACGCAGGCGACGCAGGATTGCTTGAATGAACCGTGGCTGATGTATGGAAGCTCGCGAGGACTCGGAAGCAGACTCGATCGATGTTCAGGGGCTCCGGAGGGAAGTCGTAGATGGCTGAGCTGGTCGTCTCGTCTTTCGACTGCAGACTGCTGCGGATGCGGACCGAGACAGGCAAAACAGCTATATTATGCAGCGTGGCAGGTGGCGTAGCAGCTCAGAGCCAGTTGATTCTGCAGCGCAATGCTGGTCGCAGGCTCGTTCGTTCGTTCGTTCGGGAGAGTGGGTGATTGAAGGACGATTGGATGGATGCGATTAAGAACGGCCGTTGATGGTTGGCAGCGACAGCGATTAGCGACAGCAAAGGCGTGCAGAAGTATACGACTTGATGGGCGAGGGCGAGGGCGAGGGCGAGGGCGGCAGGATAGAGGTAGGTAGGTGGGTGGTGTTGGAAACGGGAGGCGGTGGGAAGGGGGAGATGGGTCAAAAGAGAAGCAGCCTGATACTGGACGACCGGGGGATGCGCTGGGAGAAGATACGGGCTGCGGGTGGAAGCGACCAGAAACTGCTGGGACAACAGTGGCCGGGCCTTGTCATCAGCAGTTCCATGGCGGGCGGCCTGGCTCCTGGCTGGCTGGCTGGCTCGGCTGGGCCCAGGCTGGGTGCCGCCATGGATTCGAAGGGAATGTCCTTGGCTGAGCAGGCCAGCGGCCATCGTGCCTGCCACGGAGGCGAGACATGGGGTGGTGGCCAATGGCACATTGATCGACCCGAGTGTGAACGGGTGATTGAGCACTGGGCTGTTGTGTGGAGTCACGGTCGCTGCCAACGTGCCCTGTTTTCAGATGGCACTGTCGTGTGTGTGGGGCGCATTGCACAGCACAAGGAGAAATGACGAATGGGGGATTCAGAGAAGGCACACCGCTCTACCTTGCAGTGGCAAGTGCATAACGTGACTAGCCTCTTTAGCTCTAGTAGAATACCTCTTATAGAATAGCGTCCTTCCTCCTCGGACAACGAGGAACCGGAATCCCATCCTCGGGTACCTCTTTGGGACGCATTCGCCGACAAGAAGGGTGTCCGATGTACACAAGTACCTGACAAATGTACACAAGTGGAGCCTTATCCAGCCTCAGGCACACTGCCCAGTTTAGCAGCCACACCGCCCATTTAGCTCGAGTACCTTGCGCCAACCTGCCAACCACGGCACGCGACTTGCAAGTTGGGTACCGCTGCATCTGGCAGAAACGAATTGTCCAGTGGGAGCTGGTGCTGGCCAGGCGGTGCTGCGAAGTCGTCGCGTCTGGTTTTGGTGAGGCCACGTTCGCGGTCGCCTGATGAGGTCCTCGCCCCACATACCACGCTGCCTGCCGAGCCAAGTGTGTGTGCTGCATTCCCCGGAGCGAGGGAACCATCAAGTGTCATCGCAAAACATGGGGATCCATCCGCCAATTTTCCGACAGCTCCACGATGGGGGAATTCGCAATGTCCCAGCAGGCCCAGGTGATGAGCTGGATGAGTCGGCAGGTTGCCATGGTGGATTCTGCTTCCGGTGATGACCACACTTTTGCGTGAAATTGCGCGTCCAGCCGAGTGCATCGATGGGAGGCGACGATGGTCTGGAAATGTCCGAGAGTCCGTTCTGGGATGTAGCCTGAGCGCCTGGGAGCCTGAGGCATAATGATGGAAGTCAGTCGATGTCGCCATTTCTGGGCTTTGGTCATCCTCCTTCGAGCCCTTTCTGTTTCACTTGGAGCCGGACGGCAACCGAGAACCTTGATTGGCTCGTGTGACCTGCACCCCTTTCTCGCTGCATCCGGCCTTCGTCATTCGCGTCCACGTCCTCTGCGGCGCGGCGCAGGCTCGCGGTCCAGTTGCTTCAGGTAACCGCGAAAATAGCAGCAATTACAGTCACTCGCACGGGGGCCGGTGATCTGGACACGGTCTTCGTATGTGCACATGTAGCTCCAGATTCTACATGTGTCCTGCTTCGTAAACCCGGCAATTCCCGCTCGGAGCGGTTTTATCGCAATCATCCAGCAACACAACCTCTGTTACCTACTGTGTACTTCCTACTCATTTTACACTGTCCAGATTACTGTGTCACGGCAGCTGAGGAGGACGCTATCATTGGCAGTCGATCATGGAGATACCAGAAAACGGATAACACTCAACTCACTAGTATACTTGTACACAGTCACTCGCTCTTCTTTCTAAGCGGGGGATTGCTGTTCGAACAACGTGGGAGCGTCTGATCGGCCATGGATGAGATAACGTCGAGGCCTGATTGACATGGCCTCCTGGGCCTGATACGCCGATTAACTCACGACCCCCGACAGCGATCCGATGTCTCCGGCGAGTTTGTGGCCTCATCGGCCATTCGACCGGCGGGCCAAACTGCCGAGGAATGTCGAAAGCCACAACCAGACGGCCAGTGACGGACCCGTTTTGTTGCCGTTGGGGGTTCACGAGAATCGGGTGACGGTGGTGCCACTGTCTCGTGTGTGACGTCGTCGTGTGACCTCGACGCCCCCGTCCATTATCGGCTATCGACAGCACGGCAGGACAGTTGGCCTCAGGCCAGACTGACCTGCAATCGAAGGGCGCCGAGCATGTTTCGGCTGGGCAGTTGAAACCACCCACAGCGGGGAGTCGACCAGGACTAAACGGGAAGAAGATATGGGAAGCGTTGAGTGCAACCCACACGGCGGCGCGCAATTGACCAATCTATGCGAATTGAAACGAATGCCGGGCATGGGTAATTGGCCCTCTGGAAATGGGGCCATGATGCAGGACGCCAACTGATCTTCGGGTGGTCCAGCGCTAGTTTAATTGGGGTGCATTTGTTCGACAGGAGAGTGTCGCGCCAAACCACACGCGTCGACGGCCATCCAATGCCCATCCCACCATCTTTTGGTGTCATTACGACACAAAGATGCACGTTTCCAGGCGCTAACTAAAAAGGAACTGGGTGGTTGATTTGCAGAGTGGCTGGCTTGAGGCTGGTTGTTGTCGCTTCAGGATTGCGTTCTCATCCTCTCGAGCACCAATGACCAACAATAGCGCTGGGCCCAAGGGCGGCGCTTTCCACTCTCCGGCGGCTGCTGTCTGTTGCATGGTTTCGACGAGCTCCAGCGACTTACTGCGTACACAGTCTGAGGATTTGGGACGACGGTAAGGAAGAAGTCGTTCCCACACTGTTCCAGGAATGTCAACCGTCAGGGTCCCTCAGGTCCTTGGAATTGGGACGTGCGCCGCGATGGTCGGTGCAGCGCTGCAGATCCCCTTGCGGCGCATGATGGACGCTCGATCGATGGCGGGGTCCTGTGTTTGGCGTTGATGGTTGCCCCTCCTGTTTTTGAATCCAAGACAGAAGCAAGTGCCTACCTTGGTAATTCCTCAGGCGGGTTACCGACGAGAGTGGCTCGAGGAGTGGTGGACAAGACTTGAGATTCGCTGATGGAACAATGCGCCGATGCGTTGCCAGAGCCGGACTGTTGCCGGACTGTTCGCCTAACCCAATCACAGCGTCCTCCCTCGCATGAGCATTCCTGCGGTAGTCGCCATGTCTCTCGCGATATGTCGGTGAGACAGACATAGCGATGGAAAGTGAATCGAGTGGGCTGTTGCTCGTTCGACGCCCCGTCGTAGAATTCCTCATCTCGTCGTTGTCGCATGAACCAAGCATCATTTTGCCGCTGCAAGGGGATGATGGCTTGATGCCCCCCGGGCATGCTAGGCTGTGATTGCTGCGCAGCACGGCCGTGATCCTGCCGCTCGGGAAGCTGTTCGACCTGGAAAGAAAATTGACGGGTCCTTGGGATCTCGTTGGCACCAGTGACACTGTGCGTTGTTCCGTCTGTGCGCCAGGAGTCCATCCAAGAGTTACCTCGTACCTCGTTAACTACCGCGAGACGGACAGGCGACGGCAAGTTCTCGCGACAGAGTTAGTTATTGGCGGGACGATGCAGCGCACACACAGTTGCCGGACCAACTTTGGCGCCATCATTCTCTTTTCCTTGCGCCTCTCCACAAATATCGACACATAGTATGCAGGCTTCATGTATGTTAGCTGCAGGTATGGAGTGGTGGTGCGGATGGAGATTTGATGTCCGTGAATTACAGTGGCCGCGCAACCTTCAGGAGACGACTTCGGTCTTGACCGCCTTTCTCTGCGACCAAGTTTTGGAGTTCAGCACATCAAGCCTCCAACCCCAACCCCAGAACCTCAGTTAGCTCCTGCTGCAGGACCACGAACCCGCAGGGCCATGAACTCAACTAACATTAGTCCCGCATCCCTCAATGTGACTTCGTTCGTGAATCTGAGCGTGATAATGCATGCGACGAATTGAGTTGTCGATATCGATAGGTAAAAAAAAAATCGGCGAAAAATTCCAGCCGCATCCCCGAATCCCGCTCCACTCACAGAGCAACATCGACAACGTGCCTTTCTCCCTCGAGACCGACTTCTTCACCGCCTAATTGATCACGTCAACGCCGACGACGACTCGGTGTTTTGCTGGCTTTCATTCCGGTCATTTCGGTCTTGTTGGCCCGCTCCTCCGCCCCGACCAACCCGCTGTCACCAACAACAACAATCCGTCGCCCGCCGAGCCAAGCCCAAACTAGACCCCGGCCCCCTCCGTGCCGTCAACATCGGACGACAGTGTAGCACCCCTTGTCGAAGGACCATGGCTGCTGCAAACAAGCCCCGTGTGGTGCTCCTCGACATTGGTACGGTGCCCTCCTCTCGTGCTTTCATCTCTCTTGAGGATATGGCGAGAATGAGCTAATACGGGCCCCCTTTTACTTGCAGAGGGTACTGTATGCCCCATCTCATTCGTCAAGGATGTTCTTGTAAGTGACGAGGCGGGTTTCCCTTTTCGTCCCCAACCTCTTTCCCGGACCACGACTTGGTCTCTCGGCACTGTGGCGGTGGTCTCGCCCTTTCTTCATCACATCAGACCTCGACCACTCATGGCCAGGTCTGCCCCTCCCACTTTCTCTCCTCCCCTGCTCGATCACTGGCCGTTGCGGTTTCCAACCGCCTTGGTGTGCCACAGCAGCCTCAATACCACGGACGGGGAAGGGAAGGGAGTGTGGCATTTGCCTTGCGTTACATAGTATTCTCTGGGAGTACACACGTTGCCCCCCATCTTCAACAAACACACAGCAACCACAGCAACCAGCCGCTTACCCCTCTCAAACATAACTTTATACACATACACACACTCACACACACTCACACACATGCACACACACACACATACACACATACCATACACACATGCACACACACACACATACACACATACCATACACACATACACAGGCACACACACAAGCACAATACCATTACACTATTCCCCACCACCCACACGCACCCCCATACTTCCTCTCCAGCATGTAACTAGCATGTACTAACACCAAGCCCCTCCCCCCCCTTTCAAACCAACAGTTCCCCTACGCGCTCTCCGCCCTGCCCAGCACGCTGGCCCAGGAATGGGACACGCTCTCCTTCGCCCGGTACCGCGAGGCCTTCCCCGCGGAGCACGCCGGCACGCCCGACGCGCTGGCGGCGCACGTGCGCGACCTGATGGCGCGCGACGTCAAGGTCGCCTACCTCAAGGCGCTGCAGGGCTACCTGTGGGAGGCCGGCTACGCGTCCGGGGCGCTGCGCGCGCCGCTGTTCGCGGACGTGGCGCCCAAGATTGAGGAGTGGACTGCTACGGATACTACTACTACTACTACCTCCAAGGCTGCTAGGGAGGGGGATGATGGTGAGGAGGGGGAGAGGGGTGAGGCCGCGCGCGTCATGATCTACTCGTCCGGCTCGGTGCCCGCGCAGAAGCTGCTGTTCCGGCACACCAACGGCGAGCCGGCGGACCTGACGGGCAGGATTGCCGACTACTTTGACACGGTCAATGCCGGGCCCAAGATGGAGCGGGCGAGCTACGAGCGCATCGCGGCCAAGTATCCCGACGTGCCCGTGGGCGAGTGGCTGTTTCTGAGCGATAACGTGCGCGAGGTGGAGGCGGCGCGGGAGGCCGGCATGCGCGCCTGCGTGGTGCAGCGGCCGGGCAACGCTGCGTTGGCGGAGGACGTGAGGGGTCGGCTGGAGGTGGTGGAGAGTTTTGAGCAGCTCTAACTACCTACACAGTAGTTGATGGAACTGCGTCAAGAGACAGACCGGTAGTGAGATGGTGTTGCTTGGCGCTTGCGTGTGTGTGTGGTCGATGCCCATGGATTCTCAACGCTGGTTGATTCTTCGTCGTTCGGTCGGCATTCGCAGATCCGTTGGTCTGGAACCGACGCTGAAGCGAGACCGTTCCCCCCATTGCTTCCCAATGGGATAAATCCCTAGCCCCAAAAGTAAAAGCATCAATTGATGTTTAGTTTGGCCCTTTGGTTGCCCGAGTACGACCCCTGAATTCCAACTCCATCCCCAACAAACCACCACAGGCTCCGATAGGCCGCTCACGCTCACGCGACTCCCTCACGCAAAAAGACTTGACGATCGTGTTGGTCGGACTCTCATCCGATTTCCCCAGAGCTGCTGCCGCTCGATCCGCCAAGGCGACGTTAGCTTCGTTACCCCTCAAAACCTGGGGAAGTGCGGCTGGGCGGCAGCGCACATCGTGGCTGGCATTGCACCCCCGCCCCCCCAAACTTGTCGTCATATGATCAACATTGCCCAATCCAGCCACCATCATGGGGTCAAATCTGCAATCCGCCCCCCGACGACGACAAATCGGGGACTGTCCATAGCCCGGAATTCTTGTTCTCTGTTCGGGCTTCACTCAGGGGGTGGCGACGAAAACATTGCGAACGGACGGACCCCCCTTGTTGGGCGCGCGGGAGATCGTCAAGAGCAACCTGGCAACATTGGCAACTCCATGGGACCGCATCTCGTGATCCCGGCGGTTCGGTGGCGACAAGGGGTTTCGGGCACCGATAATAGTTGTTCCTGGTGGCTCGCTAGTGTGTTCCTGACCAACGAGGAATTCATGAACTGAACAATAATTCAAGGTGTGGTGATCTTGCACATCGAGCTTGAATAACGACTCCACCACCGGTCTTCCTTGCTAAAACCGCGCATCTGCATCATGGTCAACGGCCGCGGGTGCGCCCAAGAAACCGCAGGCCTCGATCCCAACGAGTATAACTTCCGGTTACCAGAGTGGGCATTCGCCGTTCGGTCCCTTGGCTAAGAAGCCCTGATGGGTATCCCGGAGTGAATCGAAGGTCCCTTCGTCTGGCTTCTTGCGTGGGGGCAAAAGCTAAGCTAGTCTCACGAGTAACCGGACACCAACGGCGTCGGTGTGTTACCATCGGCCAATCCTCGCTGCAGCTGAAAAAGAACGGTGGCAATTGGGGGTCTGAAGCTCCTGATCTCAGGCCTTATTAAGCGGAACGAGACATACTCCTTGTGGGGATTACCCGGGCGAGGAAGACTGGCACTGACTGGATGTCAGCACAAGAGTAAACGGGTCTCATAAACATGATCGGCGAGGCGTGCTGATGTGGCATTGTTCGCCGATGGCTACAAGGTCCTTGATCGCCACTTGAGTGGGATTGGGGGTGCTGCCAGATTGGGGATGCCGTCGGTTTCGGGGCACCAGCCCGGACAACGGCCGAGCTCGAGAAACCCCAAGTCGGCGGAGCCCCCGCAGAGTGAGTCGTCATCCACCGGGAGTACCAGGTCATCTTAGCTCCATGGACCATAGCTAGTGGAAGGTTCAATTCAGCACAACAGCGAAATTGTTCCGGGTCGGCCCCGACCGAACCTCTTTCTTGGAGAAGGTGCTTTCAGTTCCTTTGCAAACCCGATCCCTTCTCCAGAGGTAGTAGACTAGCCGTTGGGTTGATTTGGATTCGACCTTGGCATACCCAACTGCTTTCATGATTGCGACCAGTCTTTCCTCATCCAAGTACCGAGAATTCGTCAAGCATGGCGCCGGTAGGACCAGGAATAGGCTGGAGAAGCTCGCTAGCAGATGGGGAGAATCGAGATATCGTTCTGGAGCCCGGAGGAACTGTACGGTACGGCGGAGCATCTCCCCTCGATCCTTCGGCTCTGGGACATAATTCAGGACCAGTGAGAGAGAGATGATGTCGAACTGCTCAGACTCATCTTGTGGCAAGGGTCGTTCCATGAAGTCCTGTTGCAGGATCCCGTCTCCTTGGCTGTTCAAGTCGATCCTCTCGATGTCAAAGTGGCCGCTTTTAGAGCAAGCGTTCTGCGTGCTGAGTGCCCCAACCTCTAGCATCCTAAGGCGTCGACCTGAATTCGCCCCGTGAGATGAGAGACATGGTTCCAGCCATTTCATGAGAACTCGGGAGCTGTCGCCTCCTCGGTCATGCCGCTGGCCTTGCAGACTGGCTTCCTGGTAACCCTCGATACCGCCCAACGCCTTGATCTCGACCTCGATAGCTGCCTCCTCAACCTTGTTTCCCTTGGCAATAGCCTGCCGCTTTCTTTTCTGCAGAAGATGGTGTTTGTTGATGAGTGCCTTGGTCGCGCTTCTTGATATCGACTTGGATCGCTGCAGTACCGGCGGCCGCCCTGCCGCTAAACGTTTTGCCGGGCCCTTCTTCTTTGGGGCCATGAGTTCGGAATTTGGGTTTTAGAGAAGCCAGTCGAGAAATGGGATTTTATTTAGATCTGTGGGAGTCGTCACTCACATCACACACTTTGTGTTATCTTATCGGCCACCCGCCAATCCAAGCTAGCACGAGCCACAGCGAGCCACAGCAAGCCACCAGACATCTTGGCGCTCCGCACACACAATTTCTCAGCTCTTTTTCCAATATTCCGCCATTTTTCCTCATCCACGACCGACTCGACAATTTCGCCCAACGCCGACAAATTCCTCAGCAATGGCTCCCAAGGACGCGAAGAAAGGTACATGAACACCCAAATGGTTGTCAACACGCGCAGAATCGGCCGTCGCTCAATGCGCACCCTCGCCGTCGTCGCTCCGGCGGCGGGGTGATGCACCAAAGCAGCAGCAGACTTTGCGAGTTTGAACAAGACGGGCCACTCCCTTGTTCAGGCGAATGCTTTACTGACGACGCTTCCTCGGACAGGCGGCGCCTCCAAGGCCGGTAAGGGCGCTCAGGCCAAGAAGGCCGCCCAGGCTGCCCTCAAGGGTGTAAGTAGCTCTCAGATGAAGTAGAATCTCGAATGCGCCGCTAACAGCTTCCAGGTGCACTCGCACAAGAAGACCAAGGTCCGTCTGTCGACGACCTTCCACCTCCCCAAGACCCTCGTCCTCTCGCGCGCCCCCAAGTACCCGCGCAAGTCGGTCCCGCATGAGCCCCGCCTCGATGAGCACAAGGTCATCGTCCACCCGCTCAACACCGAGGGTGCCCTGAAGAAGATCGAGGAGCAGAACACCCTCGTCTTCATCGTCGATGTCAAGGCCAACAAGGCCCAGATCAAGCAGGCTCTCAAGAAGCTCTACGACATCGACACCGTCAAGATCAACACCCTGATCCGGTAGGTTGCCATGATGCTGGGGGGATATTTCGGAATAGCTACTGACAGACGCACAGCCCTGACGGCTCCAAGAAGGCCTTTGCCCGCCTCACCGCCGATGTCGATGCTCTCGACATTGCTGCCACCAAGCTCGGCCTCGTCTAAACGGATTGTTTTTGGCTGGGAGCTGGGGAATCAAAAAAAGGTCGGCACATCGAAGGGACATGGATTGCATTTCGATCGGCGTCAGATACCTGGGCTTGGGCACTTGACTTGGCAATGAAAAAAATTGACATGACCTTTGTGCCGTACTGTTGCTGGGGCTGTATTGGCCATCTGGTGGTTTGAGCGTGCTCGTGATTGTGAAGTTCCGCTTGAGCTTTGGCTGAGTGGATAGTGACGCTTTGTGATACGAGTAATCTGTGCCTGGCAATTAGTGAATCGTTCCCATACATCAGTTTGTGCAGAGAATCCCAACCGTCTATTCCCTTGGTCTATATCGTCACAGATAATAGTGTACAATGCATGCCTCCGTCGACATACCAGCACCTGTCAAGTGCAATGCGGTCTATCCCATCCCTCAATCAGACAGAGCCTTGCCCAACGGAATCCGTTCATACATCTAGTCCGCCCCGGCCTCATAAACGCGCGTCCCAAAGTTTGGATAGGCACCCAGAGAATATCCCACCCCTCAATGGCTTTATCCCCCTGTCCCTCCTCCTTCCCCAACCCCCAAACCCGGACCTTGTTCGTACACCTCCCCCTCCTTAACCTTCACCTCCCCCTCCTTAACCTTCACCTTCCCACCTTCACCAGACCCACCAGAAAACAGCACCAGCTGCACTACCGCCGCCGGAATCACTGCTGCTGACGCATGCTCGCCAGGTGCTTCATCGTCGCGAGGTTGGCGTCCATGAACCGGTCCACGCAGTTGGCCAGGCAGCCCTTCTCGGTCTTGTCGAGCGCGCCGGACCGGAAGGTGCCCGAGGTCACGCACTTCTTCCAGCAGATGCCTGTGAGTTCGTGGGTTTCTGTGGAGGGGGGCGGCGTTAGTTGTTTGCTTTGTTTGGAGGGGGGGGGTGTTTGGTTGGGGTGGGGTGGGTTTGATTGGGGGTGAGATGGGATGGGGGGTTGGGTTATGGGTTTGGTCTTGCAGAGGGGGGGGAGGGAGAGGGGGTGCGATGGAGGTTGGGAGCTGTCTGTTGTGTAAATGGTGGCAAGGGGAGAATGGCCCGGGGATGGGAATGCCGGCAACGTACGGGACTGGATGCGGGCGCGGTGCTCCTCGTTGGCAAAGAACTGGCGCAGCTCGGACTTGTCCTTGTCATTGAGCTTCTCAATGTCGGACTGGTCGATGTTGAAGTCGGTGGAAGACATATTGGGTAGTTGGGCGGTCTGCGGTTCTTAATGCTAACGGTGGGAGACGGATGGTGTAGTGGTGTTTTGGACTTTTTGGCGGAGCCGCGGGCAAAGCTCTGCGACGGTGTGCGGCCAATCAAATGCTGAGTGGGTGAGCTTGCTGAGGGAGCCGTCAGCGCGTGAACTCGGAACGAATAGTCGTCAACACTGTGTCTTTCCTGATCGCTGAACGGTTATAAATACAATCTGGTAACCTATACAATCTGACGGCCTATACAATCTGGTGGCTTATACAATTTGACGGCGTGTACAATCTGATCACCTTTCCCAGTCTGAAGACACAACATGTTTGCGTCTAGTACGGGGGAACTAACGACATTGCCTCCCATTCTACTCTATGAACGACACACCATCCATAACCACCCTCGGTGGTCATGAATCCACTCATCCAAGCACGTGTATAACTTGTAATCCTAGCCTCTCCAAAGTAAACCGCGCCACCATCTACAGTAGCCGCCGCATCTTGTAAGCTATATATGCGCAGACGACACAGAATGTGATCAAAAAGCCCAGAACACCAAAGAAAGGCCCCAATGAATTGGCATCTTGCCAAGGAACCATGACGTTCATGCCAAAGAGCCCAGTAACCACGTTTAGCGGGACGACGATGGATGCCAGCAAGGTGATCTTGCTCAGGACCCTGTTGGTGTTGGTGCCCTGGGTAATGCCGTCGATGGAGATCTGCGCCAGATAGTTGCTATGGGCGCGGGACATCATCTTTTCGAAGTGTCCGAGGTTGTTCATCATGGTGACAACGTGGTCCTGGATGTCACCGAGATATAGGCCGATGTCCATACGCGGCGTGACCTTGTAGTTCTCGTTGCAACGCTTTGTGAACCCTCTGAGGACGTCGGCCTTGCCGCCCAGCAGCCGCATTAGGGCCATGGTGTTCTTGCGCGCAGTGCCAATCTTGCGCAGGAACTCGGCCATGTCGTCCGTCCGGGCGATAAACACTTCGTCCTCAATCTGGTCGGTGTCGGCCTCTAGCCTGCTGATGACGGGTGCGAAAGAATCAACAATATCGTCGCTATACGTTGTGATTAGCACGAGTGGTTGTTGGGCCAGGGCAAAGTATACTCACATCAAGGCATAGCAGATCCAATCACTGCTCAATGCAACATAATCCTTCAACATGGCGATTCTCTTCCGAACATGAGAGGCATGCGGGTTGCTGGAGTAGCTGAAACTCAGCGTGCCCTCGCGGAAAACAACCACATAAATGTTGAACGGCACGAACTCGTTCTCCCCGGTCTCCTCATCGCGTTCGATGCCGAATGACCGGAAGCAGGCGAAGTAGTAGGAGGGGAAGAGCTCAATCTTCTCGCGGGATTCCTGCGTCGTGACGTCTTCCACCGTCAAAGGATGAACGCCAAAGGCCCGGCAGATCGCACGGACCTCCTCCTCTGACGGCTTGTTGATGTTGAGCCACCAGACACCGTCCGTCTCCCCCCTCGGGAAGGTGAAGAGCCCACGAATGTCCTCGCCCGGCAAGATCAGGCCCTCAAGGTCGGCCGCGTGGATGGTCGATTCCCAGGCGGAGGAGAAAAAGCTCACTCGGCTATGGTCGACCGGGGGCGGCGGTTGTACAGTCTTGGCCGGCTCCTCGGTATCCGATCTTTCGGCCTTCTCGGTGCGGCTCTCGCTACCGAACGGAGTGCCCAAGAAATCGCCGTCGATGGTCAAAGTAGGGGGCGGCGCTGCCGTCTCGGTGCTCTCGGGCCGCAAGTCGGGAAACAGTCGGACGGCCGAGGGACGGCGGGCAGCTTCGCGGGCCTCATTCTCCGTTTGGATGAAGCTCTCGAGGTAGTCGAAATCGATGTAGAGATGATCACCCCTCTGCTCGTCCTGAAGCGGAAAGCACACGTCCTCTTCGGCGGATTTGTTCGTGGCCAGGCTCGCCGTATCGGCGGCTGTCGCTACCGTCTGCTGCCTGCTGCGGTAACTATTGCGGCTGGCGCCCGATGCAGTGCGTTGTAGTTCGAGCTCCTCGGGCTTTCGCTCTAGCTTCGGATCAGAGACCGAGAGCCCACGCTCCCGCCGACGGGCCTCGGCGAAAGCCTTGACCGAGTTTGGCGGAGATGAAGACCGCTCAGAAACCGATTCGATGGTTGGGCGACGGGTTCGTCGCATGCTCGGTGACTGCTCTCCAGCATCCTCATCAACAATGGCTTCCTCGAAGTCACGGACCCTAGGCTCCCCGGAAGCGCCCCCCGGCGCCATTACCCGTGCTCCGTATAGCGAGTCGAAGGTTCCCCTGCGAGGACGGTCCGCCGGGCGATGGGCTGAAGCCGTCTGGTTCCGGTGGTCGTCTAGTTCCGGGACAGGGGTCGAGTACCCCGAGCTGTTGGCAACTTCCTCCTGGTCGGACATGGTTGCGATATCTTGTGGTTTGTAATCGGTCGAAACAACTTCCACCGTCTTCCTTTCCCGCTCCAACAGACACGAGTCAAATACAGCCCTCGGAGCGTGCCTTCAATGGAATTAGCCGGCGCGCATATTGGAGTGAGCGCTCCTTGTCTAGTTCACCAGCGGAAGGCAGCGAACGGCCAGGAGCCGTCCGCGACGACGGACGTCTGGTTTCGACAACGTGAAGACCGTGATGGTGGTTGGCGGTTTCACCCACAGGTTGGTGAGCGAGAACGTCGGTACGGAATCTTCGGACGGTCGTCAGAATGGATAATCGTTGAGAGCCGGCTCGATTACGGTGGCTGCTTGTTCACTCCGCTGTAGGCCAGCTCGGGGCCTAGGAGTGAACGTCGGGAGATCTTGTTGTAGATAATGCCCGCCAACTTGGTGGCTTGGAATGTGTGAGTGGTGATAAGCTAGTGCTGCGCGACGTTTGGCTGGAAAACGCGTCGCAAAGTTGATATCGAATGCGAAGATCTCTGGCCGGGTGGCGTTGATTGAGAATAAGCTGACAGGTTTTGAAGTTGAGAGAGACGGTTTGGGACGAGAGAGAATGAGATTTTGCGCAGGGCCTCGATCGGTAAATGGATAGCTCGGTTTTTATAGGTTTCCTGCTGATTTGCGAAGCGACGTGCTGGCTATCGTGCTGTTGCCGACCGAGTCTTCGTCACAGCTCAGAATCCGATCGGGCCGAGCTGAAAGAGACCAGAATCAAATGATTATGGTTACTCTTGAGCGCGCAGCGCCAGTAGGAGGATCGGCGGAATATTTGTGCACCCAGGAATCGGTGTCGTGTCTGGTTCCACAGAAGAGAATTTGGATGAGATGTGGTTCGGTGGAGGTTTGGTGGGTGAAGTGAAGAAGAGTGAGGGTTTTCCTTGGAACAATGCAAGAAAAACTCTGGGCTTTCAGCGGGCCCTACCACGCATTGGCTGATCCCGCTTGTTCGGTCTCCATGAATGACCGGATCTAGACCTCTGCATATATTGGTATGTGAGGGAAAAATACACATCAACCTGGAAACTCCATAATCATATCAAATTGAAACCATCTATCAGGGGAGAGTTATCTCTTCTCAAGAAGGATCGCATCGTGCATGGAAGAGATGCAGCTCGGCACTGAGGTCGCCTCAGGAGTCCAGGTACCGAACGTGGGTTGTTCGCCTCAATGGCAGGGGTTGGGCCTGTTGGCGGCATCGTGCGGGGCACTAGGACCAATTCGACTCTTGGCATTCGACCCCTGCGCATTGACAGAAAGACAGCTCTGGGAAGCCACGTTGGAATCCGGGTTCCAGAACGACGACTGCAGCATCATTCCAGCGACTCGAACCCGCAACCTTGTCACAACATAGGTTCGCGTTGGTATATCACGATGGCTGAACAATTGCTGGAACAGGCCCGCGACCTGTTTGAGGGGCAAATCGTTTGTTTTCCCCCTTGACCGAGCACAATGTGGATGCAATCGCTGACAAAAACCAAAGGATTTCGAGGGCCAGAAGCTGGTCGAGCTTCTCATCAATGCGGCCTTGACGCTCGTCGGAGTAAGTTGCTGTCTTCGCTACCTGTCAAATAATCAAACCTAAGCTAACTTGTCATGCGTTTACAGGCGATCGCCTTCTTCGTCGGCTACTTCCTCCAAGACATCAAGCTCGCTGTTTACGTAGGCCTGCTTGGCACCGCCGCAGTCTTCGTCCTCGTCGTTCCGCCCTGGCCCTTCTTCAACCGAAACCCCGTAAAATGGCTACCAGTTGGGGGAGTCACACCTCCAGCAAACCTTGTGGTCGATGATAAGATGTTTAGATGAGAGAGCCACAGACAACTCGCACAGGTAGCATCTTACAGAAGCAAATGTGGAAGGCAGTGTTGCATAATAACGTCATAATGAGCCGGAAACCGTGATTTGTCGCCGGCTCGGTTCTCCCTCCTTATAGGTGCTATGGATGAGACCAAGCGTGACCGTGTCGCAAAGCCATGCCACGACGCATCTCGACCCGGTCCATGTTCCCGATATATCCGTGGCCCATCTTCTTGGAGCCCAGCAGCTGCCGTTGCCTATCTTCCATACTTCTGGAATTCCCAGTCTCTGTTGTCGAGCGGGCAAACTTGGCGCGCCTTGAGCCATCTCGAGATGCAGTGAAAGTGAAATGCGTGCTGCATGTGTTAGCAAGCATGGCCATCAAAATAGCGGAGGCGAGTGCAATCTCACATTGCAGATACCCCAAGCAACAGTGCACTCCTCACTAGTAGCCGACGCCTGGTTTGCTTGACATTCGATGCCTGGGAAATTGGAAAGTCAGCCGTCAACCCAAACACTGAATCAGGCAAGGTAGGTGATGGATAGACTCACAGAGGTCCATGATGTGGTTCCTGCAGATAGCGCAGTTGTCGACGACAATATCCCACGCCCAGAGGGCTACCGCATTCCACTAAAACGTCGTCAGAGCGTGCCAAAGTAGCTCAGATCAGGGCCCCGCGTACCTTCTTCACCTCAAACCGCTTCTTTCCTTCCTTAGCCTCGCCATCGACGCCGCTCTTCTTCTTGGTAACGGGCGCTGAGGCTGGAGCTGAGGTGGGCGCATCAGTCATCTCGACGTCGGCCATGCTGAGGATTGTCGGGTAATGTGGAACGTAGGGATGCGGATGTGTCGAGGCCAATTGCCGGCTCGTAAAATCAGGTGGCCGTTGGGAGAGGGAGCTCCGGGGTCGTTCTGTTATCTAGACGTCAAGGTTCTTTGGAGTCCTACTAGGCAGCGCTCGTTAGTCGAGGTTTGGGAGCTGATGATGATAATACATACAAACCTTTCTCGTCGGATTACCCTTGAAATTGCAGGACTAATAAATAGAGAGCTTTTAGTTTAAAAGTCGTAGTTTTGCGAGCTGTTTGTTGCCTTGTTGGCGGATTGCAGACGCTCTGAACAAGCACCGAGGGGTGTGTTGCTTGGGCCCCGCCATGACCGTGAGGCACATAAGGGTTAGGGTGAGCAGGCATACAAGCCACAACTGGCCAAGTTGAGGTCGCCACTGCGGATACAATCCAGATTAGGTTACATCACGTTGGCTACCTAGGTACCTATTGTGAATATACGAATACTTATTATCAAGTCCTTGTTTCTCCAAGTATATTTATCTGAGCCTGGGATCTTTATTTATTTTCCTGTGCACAGAGCAAGCAACGGTTATGATTCAGGAGTTTCACTTGTCTGATCAACAACGTCTGATTCACGGCAGCCAAAACCAGGCAAGGAACGACTTTGCTGATTAGGGTTTACAACGCCTCAACTACACATCTTACAAATCTCATATCTATCGTCCAATCTACCCAAATAATACTGACTACAAGAACACCCAAAATTAGTATGATGACAGTCTTTTCGAAAGCTCATCTCCTGCTCGAGGTTGACAAGACTCCAAGACCACACCGGATTTGCCAAGAACCAAAAAGGGGGGTCGACCTGAGACAGGGTTTGTGAAAGAACCTCCGCTTTCAGCCTTGCTAGGTTGGAATGGACCACCCCCCAGCCTCCATCGCAACTCACTCACCAGACTGGAGCCAGGCAAACCCGGTTGTCCTCACTTGCTATCTCGAAAATAAGGCCACAAATCACCTAAACATGCTCCGAGAAAACACAGTCAAAAGAAGTACTTCTTATATCACTGCAGTAATACCCTGTACATTTCCCCCATTCCAGCGCCGCCCGTGCCGTCTCGTTGCACTTGTCTCCTTTCTTTCTTAGGTTCCCCTGGCATAGCTTTTCCCAAGCCCCGGGTCCCCTCCAATCACTAACCCGTTGCCCCGCCTAGCGCAAACAAACAGACGATCGCTGGGAGGAGTCAACCTCGTCACACCCGCTGTTGGGCCTCCCTCTTTCCCGACTTGAATACTCGACCAACCCACCCTTCTCTTGGTTTTGCAAAAACCTCGTTAGGCCGACGCCGGCTTCACAAACATGGAACCACAACCACAAGCACCATCGTTGCCACCTCACAAAAGCACTCCGGCTCGGCGACGCGCGAGGCGACCCGTCAACTCGCCTGCGCGCAGGACCTATGCTTCCGAGAACGATATGCCGAGTGAGGCCCTCTTCCCGATCGAGCTCGCGGGGCCGTCTACCCCCCAAAAATCGGCCTCCAACAGTCCCGTCCCGTCATCGCAGCCCCATCAAAAGTCGAAGGCTAGAAACGGAAACAAAGGGCGAGCAAAACAAGTATCGTCGCCCGGGCCTGCAAAGCAAGGCCGGACAACGCCCCCGCAGACAACAGCAATCAAACCGATCACCGCAGCCGCCTTTGCCGGCGCAACTTTCCATGCATCCCCGGCGCCCGACTCCCTTCCCATCCCAAGCTTCCTGTCGAGGGCCCTAGACTCGCCTTCGGTGCAGGAAACCGATCACGCCAGCCGTGAGCCGTCCCCTCCTGCGACCGACTCCGAGGCCGCTCCCACGCCCCAGCACCGTCTCCTACCCACCGACGCCCCCCCGCATGAGTCCCCTCTCGATATTTTCTTCCGGGCCGACAGGGCCGAGAAGGAGCGGGCGCGCAGGGCAAGTTCCGCCAACATCCTCGGGTCGCAGCCGGTTCCGTTTTCTCCTCCCTCCCAGATCCGTTCTCCGACAGAACCGAAGACGCTGCCCGGGGCAATGTTCAGCGCTGGCAACCGTCGCCCCTTTCCCCAACGCAATCCTTCATCCGGTATCCCCACCAGCGAGCTCGACGGCGTGCCGAGCTCAGTGATTGGCCCGGCGCTCTCCAAGCCTTTCCAGGAACGGATTCGAGAGGCTCGATCCAGCAAGAAGCAGCCCGAGCCCGCACAAAACCCTTTGCCATCTCCGCAGGACCAGGCGGCAATGGATATGAGCGAGAGGTTAAAGAGGTTCCTGGCTATCCCTCCGAACTCAAGCGAACGGGCTCCTCCTCTGGGGCATTCGGCGGTCCAAACGGCGCACCAGACGGCGCCCCAGCCCTCGTATCCCTTCTTGTCAGGTGGTCACCCCCCGCAGCCCGCCAATTTCCTGCCCCCCTTCTCAGCAGGAGGCCAATCATCGAGGTCCACCAGTATGGTCTCTCCCTTCGCCCCGGAGGCTGCCCCAGGCATCTCGCCGCCGGCATCGTCGAGCGGCACGCCTCCGGCCACCAACAACCCGACGGATGGCCGGTCAGCCGACCTCTTGCACATGGAGGACAACCTGCGGCGCATGCTAAAGATGAATTCTGGGCCGGCCCCGGCAACGCCGCCGCGTCCTAATTATCGGAGTTCTTGACACCGGCCGGGGCCGGACCTGCGGGGCCAAGTTCTTCCCCAGCGGAGGGGAAGTAAACAAAGCTATATTTGCGACAGCTTTCTTGGCAACTTAGCCGCCCGGATTTTCTTTTGTCGGATCTGGGATCATGTTTTACCACTCTCTAGTTTTCTTTTCTCTCTTATTCATCTCTCGTTACGGTTTTCTTTTTCTTTTTCTTTTTTTGGCGTTGAGAGGAGTTGTCCTGGCGGCTGGATGGGACCTAGTACGGTTTGAACGCATCTGGGAGCGACGGTGCCAACGGCGGTCGGTCGGTCGGACGGAGCTTTGTGTGTTGTGTTTCCCGGCACAGGGCATGGGCGCGTTTTGCTTGGCTCTCGCTTGCATCGATCATGGGCGATAGATAGCGGCCGGTTACCCTCGTTTCGTTTCATTCTCCGTTATATCCTGCATCATTTTTTCTGGATCTGCAGGGCGTCCTCTGGGCCTTTGTCACCCACATATCGCGGGGTGCCGGATCTTGGGGGAGGGAAGGCGGGTGCGGTCTCGGTTCGTGATAGACGGTTTTGGCGGGCGAGATAAGGGGGTCGGCAGGGAAACACGCCATGGACATCTGGAGAGGCAAAGAGGGGTCGCATCTTTTTCGTTAACTTCCCGCCGCGCTGGCGAGCCATGTCTCTTGGGTCTACGCCGTTTCATCCTCTCCACATTCTTCTGGTTGGGAGCGGGCATTGACTCATATGACTAATGCATCGAGGATACTGGTCTTTTTTCATCGGATACCCCCTTTACCGCTGGACGCTGGAGCTTTCTGGGTTCTGGATGTTTCGCGGGTTGGGCCTGCCGGACGGAGTGGTCGGCACGGGTGGGCCTGGTTTCTTCCTCGGGGAGAGCATACGACATCTGGCGGGCGGACGGGTTATAGGGCGGGATTTGCGGGGGGTGGAAGGGAAGTAGGGAGGGGAGCGTATGTGTGGTGTTTGGATTCCGGCTTCAAGGCTCTTCTCATTGGTATTGCCTTGTTTCTCGCTCCGGGGGGACTCCCCGGCCACGTGGAATAGGGCGGACATCAACGAGGCCTGGAATGGGTGGCGACCGCAGCCTGTCTTCGGAGAAAGGCGACCAACAAGCGAACTGTGGTTCGCACCAAGCCCACCACATCACCAACACCACACGGCACATTACCGACATCACAACGAGAAAAAGAAAAACAGAAGAAAAAAAAACGGGAAGCATATATCGTGGATTCGGCCATCGACAAGTTTACAGCGAACATACCTAGGTAGTTTTATCTGCCGAAAGACACATATTATCTCCCACTTTGCTGAGCTCTTTGAATAAGTGATATTTTGTGTTTGTGTGTCTCTAGTCGACCTGTTGCGAGCTTATAGTTTATCCAGGGCAGGAGAAGCTGAGTGGGCGGGTGCCATCGCAGAGTCCACTTCCTCACAACGCCCCCAAATTATCCAAGCAGTCAAACATCTCCAAACCACACGCATAGACCATTACCCTCAGCACGCGCAAACAAAACAAACACTCTTGTTAGGCGTTCTTTCTTTCCCCGTTGCCTTTGATCACACACGCCTGCATTGGGTGATTTATCACGTGATTTCTACCTCTCACCCCCGGTTGCTATGAGCTCCCACCTGCTCTTTCGTCAACATTTCTCCTAATAAGGCTTGGAAACCGGTTCAGGAGTGATCGAACCAAACATAACTCGCATGTATCTCTTCTCCCAAATTTCATCGAGAATTACTTGAGCCTTGGAATTCCATCGATTACCGGGCTGTAGTTTCCTTTTCTTCCCTTTTTGCCTTTATTCCGTCGTTTGCCGACCGACGACTGGCACTAACAACAACATCGCTGTCATCAAAACAACAAAAACCGGAATCACCATCAATCACCATATACGATGGCCGATCCCTGGGCAGATGACGACGACGAAGAATTGAAACTTGCGATTGCGTTATCACTCGGATATGATCCGGAGGAACAGAAAAAGCGCCGGGAAAAGGGCGAACTGATTGACCTTACGCAGGACGATGGTAATTCCGGGCAGGGCAATAATGGCGGAGACGCCGAGCAAGAAGATGATGATGATCTCGTCATAGTCGACCGCAGCAACGCTGTCCGGCCCAAACCCGTACCCAAACAGGACGCAGCAGCAGAGCAACCGGTTGTCCCCTCGGCAACAGTCTTTTCCGCTTTGGGGCTAGACAGGAAGCAGATGGAAGAGGAACGGCTTTCACGGGCGTACAAGCGCAAGGTGTCTCAGGTTGATGGAGGCGACCGTGATGATGGTAGACCGACCCGACGGTCGAGGTTAGACGAGGAGCCCCCATTATCGTTTGTGCGTCGTGAGAAGGGGAAGTCTACAATACCCAAGGGCCCTGCCTCGAGCTCGGCACCATTGGCGATCTCGGAAGATACCAAACCAGCGGCACCCAAAGCTGCGGCCTCGGCCTCTTCACGCCCACCCGTGGTCCTCCCCTTCCCTCGCGGGGTCATCAAAAAGACATGGGCATATCAGCAGCCCCGGAAAGGCGACGACATCAAGATCGAAGAAGTTCTCCAGAAGCAGCACCTACAGCTCGCCGTAGTGAGCTCGTACCAGTGGGACGAACACTGGATGCTATCCAAGATTGATATCGCGCGGACCAAGCTCATCTTGGTCGCGTTTGCCGCCAATGAGGCGCAGGTGGGCGAAACCGTCTGCTCGTTGAACTGGGGGCCGCCATGCTAACAAGGTGAGGATAGAAAGAAGAGATGCGCTCCAACGTGCCGCGCGACAGGATCCGGTTTTGCTTTCCGCCCATGCACGGTATCGGGGCGATGCACTCCAAGCTGATGCTGCTCAAGTATGAAGGATACATGCGGATTGTGGTGCCGACGGGAAACTTTATGTCGTATGACTGGGGAGAGACCGGGACCATGGAGAATGTGAGTTTTCCTATTGTTAACGACGTTTAGCTCAAGGTCGAGTGCTGACGGTTTGTAGATGGTGTTCATCATCGACCTTCCCAAGTTCGAGTATGCGGAACAGAGGGAAGCCCAGGAACCCAACGCGTTTTCTGAGGATCTGTTTTATTTCCTCCGAGCCCAGGGGCTAGACGAGAAGCTCGTTTCTAGCTTACGGAACTATGACTTCACCGAAGCCGATCGGTATGCGTTCGTGCATACAATGTAAGCCACCACATACTTGCCTTTCAGCTACCGCAGCTACTGAATGCTAACCCACTTTGTCAGTCCAGGTTCTCATACAGAGGAGGATGTGTGGAGCCGAACAGGTACGCGGCCTAGCTCCTAATGGCTTCCTTCGGCCACACGGTTGACGTTCTTAACAGGATACTACGGTTTTGGTGAAAAGGTCCGCGGTCTAGTCCGCTGTACTGCGGAACCCCTTGATGTTGACTTTGTGGTAAGTTCGCTGTTACTGCAACCAAACCTATTCGGTGTCCTGGAATGGCAACATGGAACTGTGTTGACCAAGTACGCAGTGCGCGTCCCTCGGAGCAATCAACTACGGGCTACTTTCGGCGATGTACTACGCGTGCCTCGGCGATCCACTATTGGAGTACGAAGCACGTATGGGGAGCAAAAGCAAGCGTGAACCGTTTACCGCTCGGGTGAACTTCCTCGTCAGAGAACATATGCGCATCTTCTTCCCCTCGCGGGAGACCGTCCTCCAGAGCAAGGGAGGAAAAGACGTCTGTTTACCCTGCCACCATCTAACGAACCCCCGAAATTATGGCAAGCCTTGCTAACACTAAACAGGGTGCCGGAACCATCTGCTTCCAGTCTAAGTGGTGGCAGGCCCCGACCTTCCCGCGGGAACTCCTCCGAGACTGCAAGTCGGTCAGACCAGGCGTGCTCATGCACAGCAAGATCATATACATCCGCCCCAACGATCCCGACCTCAGGTCGGGCCGTTGCCTGGCCTACGTCGGCAGCGCCAACCTCTCCGAGAGCGCCTGGTACGCACCTCCCTTAGCCAACCTGTTGATGACCCTTTTTTCTGTTGCCCGCCCTCGAGCCCAGCTAACCGCGGCCGCGTCACATGACAGGGGAAAACTTGTCCGCGACCGCACCACCGATAAGCCTAAGCTCACTTGTCGCAACTGGTACGTATCCACCACCCCTCCCCTCCCCTCCCCTCCCTCATCACAGCCCGATGGGATGCGGCAGCCCCGATCAGTAGAGGTCAATCAAACTAATATGGATACAGGGAGTGCGGCGTGCTCCTCGCCATCGAGGAAGCGAACGAGGGTCCCAACACACCGGTGATTGCGGAGGGGGGTGCTCAGAGTCGGGGCGCCAATGCGGGTGAGGACCGGCGCGGTGATGATTTGAGTGACTTTGAGGGCCGTGTGCCTGTGCCGATGGAGTGGCCTGGGAGGGTGATTTGTGAGGGGGCGACGGCGGATGCGCGGCGGCCGTGGATGTTTGGGGAGGGGTGATGTGTGATGCATTCATTACTGGGGGGGGGTGGTGTTGGGTTATTAAGACCGGCCTGGATTATAGATATTCTGGTTTTGTCGGCATTGTCGTTATCCTTCGATGGTTAGGCACTCGCTGCAGTGTGATTGATAGAGACTGGAGAGGGTGTGTTTGTTTGAGTTAGAGATTGTATTATTATGATGGGCTTACTGTGCCCGTCCTCGTCGAAGAAACTGAAGTGGTTTTCACCTTGACTTACACGCGCGTTTGGTGGTGCAAGTTGATGTTTACTTTGCCCCTTTCGAGGTTGGCCGGACATTAGCGGCTACCTGCGTACTTTCCTATGTATGTACCTACCTAAGGTAGGTATCACACCCGCGGGGAGGGGTTCTATGCGCAGAGCATGGGTACTAGTACCTACCTAGGTACCTACCTATGCGGCGGCGTCAGGCGATGACATCTCCTAGTTATTTCTCTGCCCTGAGCACCTACGTTTTTCATAATTGACTCAGCAGCCGATCGTTGTTTCCTCTGCTCATTGGTGATATGGCCCTGATAAACTATGACATGTTTTAGTATAGGTATCTGCATACCTACCTAAGGTATGTACCTATCTTAATCCGGCCGCACGGCTAACATTTTCCCCGGATGTTTAGACGCGACACAGCTTGGGGACTCGTCGATTTCCGGCCCGGAAAACCAACTAGTGGCGTCATAATGCTATTTCTAGATACTAGCAAGCTGATAGACTTTGAAAATGGTATTTTACTACATGCGATTTGCTAGAGCATGCCAGCCTGAGGATCGAGAGCAATGTTCCGTAGGCCTCTGTAGAACACCATGAACTGGGAGCTGGCAAGGTAGCGTAAAGGAAATGTCTCCGTTTTATGCTGCATTGTGGGCGAATGGGGAGGTAGTATGATAGCTAAGCTCGTGCCTCTATCTTTAGCTACCTAGGTAAACATGACGCTGGGAGGCTGAGGTGATATGGGAGCCCCAAGGCGTGACTACAGCCTAAGCTACCTAATAACGAATATGGAGATAAAATGGCGACGCAGTGGCGTGCTTGTCTTATGCCACACGCTATCCAGTTGTCTACGCACGTCAAGAACAGATAAGGTTAGAGCAGGAGCACGTTGAGAGTATCGACACCGAAGCATGGGGGGATTGGGTCCAATGGTTGATGTCGTGATATTGTGTATATGCCAACAACCATAATTTTTGGGCTCCTTACTGTTAGGATTTACCATAGCGCAGGTGGCAACTCCAATGTATGACTCTTCAAACGTCATGCAATTTTCGTGTCTGGAGTATATATAGCCTCTGCCCTTCCCCCCATTTCCAGGACGCCTTCTTTTTCCCATCTTACGCTCGACGCACACTTCTGTGCCAACCTCTCGAGCCTTTGCCCACGATTTTCCCTTCCGCCCCCCATCTTCCCTCGTCTTTCGAGCTTACCTCTCTTCTCCTCTCTCGACCTCCCTCCTCTCTCGACCTCCCATCCTCCGGTCTCCCCTCTCCTCGCCTTTTTGTCATAACCATGACAAGGTAAGCTGACCCCCCCTAGCTTGCTAACATGCACTTTTGTAGTGGCGAAGACAATCGTAAACACCACCACCAAAACGACCGCCACCACCCAGCCCAAACCCCCCAAGAACCCGAAGCTAACCTAGGCCCCCCCCCTCAGCTGCGCCGCCCTCGTACATGTAGCCAGCCGAGCTCCAACTCCCGCCCCGCTCCTACGTCCGCCGTCACCTACTCGGCCCATCCCCGTCCTTCCCCACCCCTTCATGCTAGTGGTAGAGGCCAGAGTAGCTGGGAACTACGAAGGGGGAGAAGGGGGGTTTCCTTCCTGTTCCCCCCACCCCCCTCTTCGCCTCGCTGCCTAGGTACCTAGGTAGGTAGTGAGCTCTCTGTTGTTGGGCTTTCCTTTCTGACTTCCGATAGGTACAGAATAGATAGGTAATAGGTAATATTAATTTTTTAATCTAAAACTTTATCCTAATTCTCAATTGTCTTGGGTTTCCGTGGCCTTCGGTTTTCGAGTGACTTCAATTCCCGACTCCCTTCTGCTCTCGGGCGGCTTCACTCAGCCCTACCAAGACTCTGAAACCCTGCCCCTGCAGTGTTTCAACGGCTCGGCAGTTCACCTCGTGGGTTGACAGGGTATGACAAGGATAAAAGTGGCACCCCACTCTCCACCCCTGCTGCTGATTTTCTTTGGCTCAACGTCAAGCCTTTCCAGCGCCCTGGGATGCTGTTACCTTGTGTGTCAAGCTCACGTGCACCACATCCCAGCGTCCTCCAACGCCAATTCTCCCCTTCGGTCCAAGAGCAACAATTTGTTTCAATTGAATTTCGGCGAGGCAGCAGGATGCAATAGCTGGTAGCGCTGTATTCAATTGCCGGAGTCGCCCATTTCCCTCCAAGTTCTGCGCCGCATCCTCGGCAGCAGCCGCGCGGAACGGACGGAATCCGACACTCGATACGGGCCTGCTACCTACCGACTTGGGGAGTTGAGTGGGAAATTGGGGTGCTGCTCCCCTTCTGAGACCGTTGTTTGACACCGGGAGTTTGCTTGGATTCCGAGTCGTTCAATCAATCGGGCCCGGTTGTCAGACGGTTAACACGCCGAACGGGATCGTTCGGCTGCAGTCGAGGAGGGTTGAGCGTTGGGCGTTGAGGATCGGCCCGCTGGTGTGTGTGCGTGTGTGCAACGGCCATGTTGCGTTCCACCATGCCGGCCTCGGCCGCCTTGAGGCGTGGGGCTGCTTCGGCTGGCTTTGGAAAGGCGGGCCTGCAAGGCGGGGTGGCAATGGGCGGGTGTGGAGGTCTCAACGTCGGGGGCGCGAGGTATCTGGGCAGTGGGAGACGGTGGCAGGCCGGGAATGTGCTGTATAGCCCAGTATCATCAGGCCGCCTTGGGAGGGAAGGTGGTTTGGGACCTGCGATGGGAGTCGAGCTTCACGTGCAGGCGAGATGGTTCGTTATGTCGAGCAGGTGGAGGCGTGACGGCCAGAAGGCGACGGGGACCGGGAAGCCCGAGACAGGAATGTCAGGGGAAAGCAGGTATGGAATCTGCGGCTTTTCTTCCATGGTCTGCTGGCTGCTAGTTCCTGGAGTAGCCCATCTCACGAGACTCTACCCCTGGTTTCCTGACCTACACCATCCACTACGGCTACCGCCACATGTCCTGTCCCTTCTCAGCTTCCATCGCTAACATCCCAACAGCCCTACGCCCGCGCCGCCCAAGAAAGGTCCCGCCTCTGCCCTCCGCAAGATGCTGCCCGCCATGCCCAAGGCAACCCTCCGCGAGAATATCTACACCATCCCCAACATCTTGACCGCCTCCCGCCTCGTCGCGGCGCCCTTCATCGGGTACTGCATCCTGCACGACTATCATACTGCCGCCCTGGCTCTATTTGCCTACGCCGGTATCACCGACGCCCTCGATGGCTGGATCGCCCGCCGCTGGAACCTCGGGACGGTCGTGGGCACCGTGATCGACCCCATGGCCGACAAGACGCTCATGACGGTGCTCACTGTGGCCCTGGCCGTGAAGGGGGCGCTGCCAGGTATGGTTATGTTCTTTTCCAATCTCTTATTCTCATGCTCCCCTACCCCCGCTACTGTCCCCTCTATTACTGCCCCCCCGTGTTTGCCATGGCTCACCATATAACCCAGTCTGGCTCGCCGTCATCATCCTCGGCCGAGACGTCGCCTTGGCCATCTCGGCAATCTACTACCGCTGGATCTCACTGCCACCACCCAAGACTTTCGCCCGGTACTGGGACTTTTCCCTGCCGTCGGCCGAGGTGCACCCAACCCAGATCAGCAAGTACAACACGGCGCTGCAGTTAGGGCTAGTGGGCCTGACGACCCTCGCGCCCGTGATTCCAGCGGTGGATATGAGCAGCATGTTGGGCGTCATGCAGTGAGTGCCCTATCCCATCTGTTTGTTGCGCATGTGCCCCCCGCAGTCGCTGATTCTCACCCAAGCTATGTCGTGGCCACCACCACCGTCTGGAGTGGTGCCAGTTACATCTATAGCAAGGACGCGGTCAAGATCCTGACGCCGCAGCAGGCTGAGGAGAAGAAGGCAGAGCAGGAGAAGAAGAACCCCAGGTGAAACACCAGGGCCAGCGCTCTCCCACCCCTGCGACAGCTGTGAGGCGCATCCCTTCCCAAGCAAAGGGCAAGCAAACCTTTGTCGGCGGCCTGTTCGAGTGGCAGCCGCGCGGATACCCCTTCTTGGCTGTGTGCCATTTGGATCCTCTGGACCTCAACTGTATACCTACATTAACGGCGGCACCGGGCGTCGCGGATACCATATGTTGTAACTGTTCCCTCATCATCTAAAAATACTTAATTACTCCCCCAAACACCAACCCTCTAACCATTCCATGATATGTGCCTTTTGTCATCCATCCGCTACATACTAGTCATACACACGAATATTCAGGTGATATACAGCCCCTCCAACAAACCCCAACATACACACCCAATACCCAAACCCAAACCCAAGAATCACATCCCCTCCGCCCGGCTCTTCGCATCCAACGTCTCCAAATCCTCCGCGCCCGCAACATCCAACCCCTCCACCACCCCTTCCCCCTGTACCACCACCTCCGCAACCTTCCTCCCCCTCCCCCCCCTCCCTCCACCCATCTCCCCCCGCCTAACACTCTCCAACAATTTCACCAACCCCGCCGGCGTAACCCCCTCGACCCGCCGCGCCTGCGCCAGCGTCTCGGGCCGCGTGCGCGCCAGCACGTCCTGCTCGGCCAGCGCCAGGCCCTTGACGGACGCGTAGTCGAGGTCCAGCGGCAGGCGCAGGGCCTCGTCGCGGCGCAGGCGGGCGGCCTCGGCCGCCTGCGCGCGCACGTACGGCTCGTAGACCACGTCGACGGCTACGCGGCTGCGGATGTGCGGGGGGAAGGGGTTTGTGGATGATGGTGGTGGTGTTGGTGTTGCTGTTGCTGTTGTTGTGTGGGTGGTGGTGGTGGTGGTGGTGTCGGTGGGTAGGCGCGCGTGGACGAGGTGGTCGGCCGAGATGCCGCGCAGGCGGAGCACCTCGTGCCCAGTGCGCTTGCGGTAGCGTTTATTGTTTGTGTCGGTGCCGGTGCCGGTGCCGCCCGTCTCGTTGATATCGCCGGCTTCGGTGATTGCTGTGGGTACCGGGATGCCCATGTCGGACCACTGGTCCGGGGTCAGCAGGGTGTCGCGCAGCAGGCGCTTGAGGTCGGCCATGCGCTGGGCGTCGTCGCGGAAGCGGGCCCAGCGGGCGTCCGAGACGACCCCCCACAGCCGGCCGTGCGGCGTCAGCCGGGTGTCGGCGTTGTCGGAGCGCGCGCTGAGCCGGAACTCAGACCGCGACGTGAACATGCGGTACGGCTCTGTCACGCCCTTGGTCACCAGGTCGTCGATCATGATGCCGATGTAGCCGTCCGACCGGGAGAGCGTCACGGGTGCCAGGCCCTGCGCCGCCCGCCCCGCGTTGATCCCCGCCACGATCCCCTGCCCCGCGGCTTCCTCGTAGCCCGTCGTGCCGTTGATCTGGCCCGCCAGGAAGAGGCCGCGGATCGGCTTGGTCTCGAGCGTCCGCCGGAGGTTGCGCGGGTCGACGTAGTCGTACTCGACGCCGTAGCCCGGCTGCAGCATGACGGACTTCTCGAGGCCGTTGATGCTGCGCAGCACTTGCTCCTGCACCTCGGGGGGCATCGTCATGCTCAGCCCGTTCGGGTAGACGATGTTGTTGTCGAAGCCTTCCGGCTCGAGCCAGACGATGTGTCGTTCGCGGTCGCCGAAGCGGACGACTTTGGATTCCAGGGAGGGACAGTAGCGCGGGCCCTTGACCGACTCGCGGATGTGGATCGTCTTGTCGAGGTTCGCGCGGACGATATCGTGCGTGGCCTTGTTGGTGAAGGTAAGGTAGCAGAGAAGCTGTTCTGTGGTGGCGACGGTGTCGTTGAGGTAGCTGAATGGCGCGGGAGGCACATCGCCTGGTTGTGGTTCGAGTATGCTCCAGTTAATGCTGTCCCTGGCGATCCGCGGTGGCGTGCCCGTCTTGAGCCGGCCGAGCTGGAAGCCCGCCTCCCGCAGTGACTTGCTTAGACCGAACGTAGCCTGCTCGCCCATCCTCCCGGACGGATATACCTCCATTCCGATATGTATCTCGCCGCCGAGGAAAGTTCCCGTGGTGATGATGACCTGAGTCGTCGGCAGCACCTCGCCCGACTCCAGACGCACACCCGTAATCTTGTTCTTGGCGCCATCGGCGTTGGGGTCGTCGTGGTTGTCGGCTATGACGATATCGGATACCCTACCGAGGACGACGGACAGGTTTGGGTATGTCTGGAGCTCTTCGCGCATGTGCTTCTTGTACAGGTCGCGGTCGATCTGGGCGCGGGGCCCCCAGACGGCCGCTCCCTTCGCCTGGTTCAGTATCTTGAAGTGCACCCCCGCCTTGTCGATGACGCGCCCCGCCAGTCCGTCCAGGGCGTCAATCTCGCGCACAATGGTGCCCTTGCCGATGCCGCCAAAACTCGGGTTGCAGGAACAGACGCCGAGGTTGTCTATCTCGGGCGTGATGAGGGCGGTGCGGGCGCCCGCGCGGGCCGCTGCGGCGCATGCTTCGGAGCCGGCGTGGCCGCCGCCAATTACAATGACATCGAATGGTCTGGAATAGGCAAGATGGGGATCAGTATTGGCATAGCACAAGTGCGGGCTCATGTGGGTTGTGTATGTTGCGGCGGTTTTGTGTGCAGACTCACCTCGGGTCGGAACTGACAGTCGCAAAGGTTCGCCTTCTGTTAATGATGACTTTGCTACGGAAAACAGGCCGTGGGAGTGGCCTGACAAGGCCCCTGGGAAGCCATAACCTCATCATGGCGACCGAAGTTGCTCCACCTGGGATGCTGTGATGGTGGTGGGATGGGATGCGGCCAAAAACAGAAAATCAATCGGCCGATAAGCGATAAGGAGGCCCACAGCGAGGGACGTGTCTTGGCGCTCAGCACTCGGGTCAAGAATCAACGCAGCGATATGTTGAAAAGTGCTCGAGAGAAGCCAACATGTAAAATCTACCACGCACATTGTATTCAGCGAGCGGGATATCGTGCACACAACCTAGTAAGTCATTGGTATCGTACTCCGGAGATAGTAAAAGTACAGCGCGTCCCCGAGACACCGACAACCCCCACCATAGCCCGGACCCCCGTTTGATACAGTTGCAGGAGGAGAGAGCGCATCGTTTCAGTCTCGCGTCGATGCCTCATATCGACTCAATTGTAAATGCGAGATTTCCATCCGCCATTTACTGGTGCTGGCCCTCGGCCTCGCCGCCCTCAGCTGCCGGGGGGTTGTAAGGGCGCTTCAAAACCTCGAGAGCACCTAGAACAGTCAGTCAGCATGCTTGCCATTTCGGAGTCACGGCGCAACATACGCTGTGCAAGGTTCAGGCCTTGACGGGGCTTGCCCTCGCCGTCGACATAGTTGGACATGGACACATCGGCTTCCACCATGAGCAGAGACCTGTTTTGGCAAGTCAGTAAACCCGTTTCGTAATATGTAACTAAGCCATCCTTGATTGAAAAGCAAACAAGCAAACGTACCCCTTCTGCAGCGACAGGTAGAAGTCCCGGCGCGGGCCCTCGTCGACGAAGCAGCTCACGTTGAACCAGCTGGTCTTGCGGTGCTCGCCATGGCCGGAGTTGCTGGCGACGGCATAGCGCAGGTACTCGCGGCCGGTGCTAGAGGCGCGGACCTCGGGCGTGTCGGCCAGGTTGCCGACGATGGTGATGCGAGCGACCGGGCGCGAGGCGGTCGTGCTGAAGGTGCGCGCGGCCGTGGCGGGCCGGGCAACAGCGCGGGAGGCGGTGCGAAGGAAGGCCGACATTTTTGCTGCTTCGGTTTTCTTTTTTCTTTTTCGATGGTCGAAAGTTGCAGGGGTGAAATGGGCCGTCGATGGGTCGATGGGGGTTGTCGGGATTCGGATGTGGCTGGCTGTGTGGACTTGTGGGATGGGGCTGGTCAAAATGGAATTACGATGCGCGAGCTCCGGGCGCGTTTGATTGCTGCGACGCGAACCATTAAAATCTATCTGTGGCTGATGCTAGAGCTTCTGCCACTGGAAGTGGACCCCTGGAAGCATGGCCGTGGCTGAATGACTCTCTCCTCCCACACCCACAAATCTGTTGCCTAATTCGTCTACACGGTAAACGGAACTTCCCTCCCTCAGCAACGTCGGAGCTCTTTCCAACCTTCTTCCGTTATCCGCTTTTCTGCTCTGCAGAAAGCCATGTCGGGGTGTCGATCGATGCAGGCACAGCCGCGGTGTGGCCAGTTTACCGCCGGATGTCGTAACCGAAACGTTTCGACCTGACAAATGGCCCAATGAGTTGCGACTGGAGTTGGTGATCGTGATGGCACACCGACTCTTGCAGCATGAACTGCCGAACTGCTGCATCAACTGTTGCAGCAGGAACACAGAACCCTGGAACTGAAGAAGCGCGGAAGCTCAGAAGCGCGCACACGCGCGGGAAGGTCGGTTGTGTCTCAGACATCAACAGTCAGGTCCAACACCCAACCTACAGAATTATTTTGGTATGTACAGACGAGATGGAAGTACCGGCACTATCCGTGAGTGGTACTTTGTACCAAAACGGCATCAGTGTGGTAGCAGTGTGTGACAACAGGGTCGTGGAAAATGGAAAATGGAAAGCCTCAACTCCGGGACCGATGGAAACAAATTGCAGTCACACTCGGGCACGATGCGTCACTTCCCGGCATTGAACTCGTCAAAAATCAATCTTTGGTGACGGACTAGAACCCCTGAAGTCGGGGCTGTTCGCGGTTAGCAGTGGTCGGTATTCTTTGTTGACTTGGGCGACTTCAAACCTCTGCCGCCGCTGAGCCTTGCCTCTTTGGGGGTTGAATAGAGCTTCAATAAGCCGATTCAGCGCTTCTCACCTGAATGCTTCCCGCAACACCACCATCACAGTGGGGTATCGGAGTCTTCTGTCTCAATGTGTCAATGGACTACTTCCCGTCAATAAGCCAATGGAGCAATAGAGCAATAGCCATGGAGGAGCTCACCCTGCCGCCCCCTGGCGCACCCCTCGCCGTCGTCTTCCTTTATGTTGCCCATCTCGCCGCCGTTAGAGTCCCTCCTTCTATTCTGCGTGCCTCTTCTCTGCTTCAGAGCCGGCTTCTACTTTATCTTGGATGCTCATCCGTGAAACTGCTGAAATCAGTCTGTCCCTGGGGTCCATGAACCGGGGGGAAACAGACACTCCTTCTCACTCACTCTTCACCTTCCCTTCTTCACTTTGTCAGGGTCTTCCAGCCTTGACTTACAACTTGCCACCATGGCCTCGACAAACACCACACTACCCCCCAACAGATTTGCGCAGTTCGGCTTCACAACAACCCCTGACGAGCGTATTGGGCCCGGCGCCCCTTACACGTCTCCGTCCCTCCAAGTCAACCTCTTCTTCAGGGTCTTCCTCGGCCTCGTCTCCCTCTTTGTCACCTGGGTCCCCGCTCGCCTCCTCTGGCGGAATGGAGAGTTTGCCGGTACCGTCATCTGCGTCATGCTCCTCGTCCTCAACCTTATCACCGTCATCAACGCCCTGATATGGCGCGATGACAACGTTCAGACGTGGTGGGCAGGCCAGGGCTGGTGTGATATCATGACTTACACCTTCTTCGCTATGCATACGGCCTTCAACATCTGCATGTTCGAAATCATGCGTGGTCTGGCCTCCAAGGTCGCCCTCAACCGTGCCGACAAGCCGACGCGCAGCGAGAGGCGCCGGCAGCGCATCGTCTCGGCACTGGTGATATTTACCGTCCCCGTCATCCAGGTCATCCTCACCTACTTCACCACCTTCGGCCGATATAACGTCTCGACCCTGGTTGGGTGCAGTGCCGTCTACTACCCCAACTGGATCTACCTGGTCTTCTACATTCTCCCCACCCCGGTGTTTGCTGTTGGCGCAGCTTACATGGCAGGTAAGTCACCACAACCCCTTCAGACTCGGTATCCGCTCACCGGTATCCCAGGCCTCACCTTCTACCGCTATCGGAAAATCGAAAAGGTCACTAGAGAGGTCGCCCGGTCCAAGGACGGCATAGCCGCGGCCAGGCAAGACCGGGTCAGGAAGAAGCTCTATTTCATGACTCTGGTCTGCATCATCGTGGTGCTGCCGCTCGTCATGGTCCTACTATTCTTGAACATCATCCAAGGCGCCCCCTGGAATCTGCCTTACGATTTCGACGCCCTCCACTTCGGCCCAGACCCCTTCAACGTCTACTTTATCTCCTTCACCACAACGGATATGATGCACTTTTCCACCCTCAACATTGCCTTTATTGGCGAGCTCGCCGGCATTGCCGTTTTCATCCCCTTCGGCACCACCCCTAAGGCCTTGAACATGTACCGCGGACTTCTTCTGGCCGTCGGCCTGGGTTACGTCTTCCCCAAACTGAAGGAGGAGTACGTGCCCCGTGCGAAACGCGGCGGTTCCTCGTTCAGCTGGGGTTCACTAGCTGGCCAACTGCGAGGCATGAGCATGCTCGGGACAAGGTATGAATATCCTACCTCTTTATGTGGTACTCTTCTTATACTGACTCGTGCCGTGTAGCTCATCATCCACCCACAAGGACACTCTCCTCCCCACTGCTGAGCAAGTCTCAATAGCTAGCCGCGCCGACAGGGCACGCTCGTCCTCTCTGACTCGAAACCAGCCCGAGGACCTCACCATGAGCGGCGGCATCGACTCGCTTTCATACCCCGAAAAAACAGTGTCGTCCTCCACTGCCGATCATAACCCTTGGCCCGACCTCTCCGTTACCGAGATCGACATGGCCACGGCGCAAATAGAAGCCGGCCCGCCTCCTCCGGCTCGAAACCCTTATAATAATATCCTTCCCACCCCGTTTGCCAAACCACACCCGAGGCTTCCCTCTCTCCCCGCCCTACACACCCACAAAAGGGAGCAGCAGCAACATGAATCATCGAGGACGGCGACCTTCCTCACGCTCCTCCCAACCCCCAGCCCATCCCGAGGAAACCAAACCTCACCACTAACAACAACATCACCAACACCGACACCAACCAAAACGCCAACCAAAGCACCAACCCCAACACCAACCCCCAAATCAACCCACCACCCCCACCCTCACAACCACCACCAAACCTCTCCCTGGACAACAACAACACCCCCAACCACCACCACCATCACACCAACCCCTCCCCACCCCATCCCCCACACCGGCACCACCACCCACCCGCACATCGGCGTCGCCACCCACGTCTGGGCCGACGACACCCCCGAGACCAACGCGCACTGGAAAGCCCGCCTGCGCGAGCGCGAGGGTATGGGCATTCCTACCGCTACCACTACCACCACCACCAACTCCACCGCCATGCCCGCCCCCGTGGAGCAGGGGGTGGTGCGCGTGGAGACGCATATTGCGCGGCGGTCGGTGGAGGTGGACTTGGAGCGGGCGAGGGAGGAGTGGGACGCTGAGGGGGGTTATGAGATGGGGATGGGGGGGAGGCGGGTTTCGAATGCTGCGAGCTAGGCGCTTGGGGTTGAGAGAGCTTTGGGTTTGGGTTTGGGGTTTGGCGGGGGTGGTGATGGGAGGGTGAGGGGTGAGAGGGGGGTTTGAGGTTGGGATGTGGTTCTGTCTTGGTTGGGATGTTGGTATTTTGGAGTCGTTTTGGCATTCTATTCGACAGTTCTTTTCGGCGGTGGTGCTTGGTTTATGGGAGGTTGGAAGGGAGAGAGAAGGATGTGTAATGCAGGGAAGGACAAGTACTAAGTATTCTTTCGTTTTTTTCTTATTTCTTTCCGTGTCAAGCTTACGCAAGATTGGACTGAGCGAGAAGCTCTCGGTGTTGGTTGGCGGATATACCCAGATTGCAAGACAAATTTGACGGTGCCGCCTCTGCGGTACACACACCACTCTCGTCCGATCCCATCTACATGTCAAGCATCATCGAACCAACGTACTCATGTCACATAAACACAGTGGCGGTTTGCGTGGGGAAGCCCAAGGCAAGTAAGTACTGTGTACACAGTGGTGTAATTCCAAACGCCAGAATATATATAGTATCCAACGAGACAGGTAGTGAAACAACCCGCCCTATCCACAATTTACAGATGGAAACGGACTGCTCATTGTAACGTATATACTAATATGGGTATCACCACACCCCGTGTACGTCTGTCTCATGCTTTCATTTCTCTGAACAATCTCCCACCACCCGCCTCCCCTTCCCCCCCCAAACTGTCATGGGAACAACACAGGTGCCCCACTCTATCCCTAGACAGCAAGAGAGAACAATGCGAAAACAATGCAATCGGTATCATATCTTCTGGCCTCATCTTGTCAACTCTCATGCAGGGCATCAGCAACAAAGGAGAGAGGATAGGAAAAAGAAACAAGACGCCACTGATGATGATGATGATGATGCAGCCAAATCCATACCAAAAACCCAACCAACCAAAATATCAAACCGAAGAGACGCTTATCCCTTTGAAAGACGCGATGAGAAAATGAGACGAAGAAAGAAAAGATCAAAGGGGAAGTACACCCCCTCCACCGCCTTCCCCCGGTCCTTCCCACCATGACCCCCTGCGCTGTGTCGTACTTGCCCGCATCCATGCCTCACCATGGCGCAAAACTTCGCTTCTCTCAGGAGCAACCCCTCCCCCGCCACAATATGACTAAACTCCACCATTTCCATGACGACTATCCTAAAAAGTGCCCTCATCACCAGCTCCCCAGTCTCACTTCGCCGGGGGGTGGGAACGCCCGCCACACCCCCCAGCCTCACCCCCAAACAGACACCACCACCACACCACCACCAACCCACTCAACTCACTCCATCCGGCACCACGGATGCTCCAAGACCTGATCAATGGTGTACCGCTCCTCGATGTTGCGGTCGAGCATCTTGCGGATCAGGTCGATGCTCTCGTCGCTGACGGTGTAAGGGACGCGGAGGTCGCGGTCCATGATCTCGTCGATGCTGTAGAAGGGGTTCTCCTTGTAGGTGATGGTGTACAGCAGGATGCCGAGGGCCCAGACGTCCTGCTCCTTGCCGCCGTACGGCCGGCCCGCGAGGACTTCGGGCGCTGCGTAATCTGTTGGGGGGGGGGTGGGGGGGTTAGTGTTAAGTGTCATTTGGTTGTTTGTGTGATGTGTGTGGGGTGGGGTGGGGAGGGGCTTACCGATGGTGCCTACAAACACGTCAAAGGGACCGCTCTTGATGTACGCGGCGCTCCCGAAATCGATTAGTTTGATGTGACCCTCGCCGTCCAGGATGACGTTTTCGTCCTTGATGTCGCGGTGTACCACCTGTGCCTTGGTGTGTAGGTGGTGGACGGCGCGGGCGACCTGCACGAAGATGCTGCGGATCTCCTGCTCGTCCATGTTGGTGCGCAACTCGATGTAGTCGAACAGGTCCATGCCGGGCAGGCCGTGGGGCGCCATCTCGATGTAGTAATTGACCTCGTCCTCGAAGAAGTCATCCATCTCGACGATGTTGGGGTGTCGCAGCTCGCCCCGCCGTAGGTAGTCCAGCACGTGGATCTCGAGCGGGACGGTGCCTAGCCTGCGGTCACGCGTCCACGTGTCGACGAGGATGCGTCGCTTGGTAACATACTTCAGCACGCACTTCTTGCCGGTACTGCGGTATCTCGCCAGCTTGACCTGCCCGTAGGCGCCCTGGCCCATCTCCTCGATGATGGTGAAATCATCAATCGACTTCTTTTGTGCTGGCTCTGCCGACTTGGACGAGCTGGCCTGGTCCTTCTGAGACTCGGAAGCCCGCTGTGAGCCGGTAAGCTTGGCCGCGGCGGTGATGGCGACCGACTTCAACTGCCGTGCCAATGACGAAGTCTTTGTTTCCCCTTTCTGCGATTCGTCCGAATCGGATTGCATATCCAGCGGGGTGTGGGCCGGCGTTTGGCCTGGTGACGGTTGATGCAGGGGTGTTGCGGTGCCAGAAAACGATGGCGATGACGCGCCCACGTTTGTCCGCGAAGCGTGGAGGTGCCGTGAATAAGTAATCCAAAGAGCATACACCATCTCTGTTTGAGCCAGAACAAACATATCGTTCGCCTCACCCTTTGGTGACTCAACATCGTTGTTCTCGACAACAGCCTCATTGTTCGTCACGACTTGCTTTTCGCTCTTTACTACCCGCATCTGAATGTCAATTCGGAGTTGAGATCCGTCCCGGTGGCGGGCCGGAAGACTGTCCGGACGAAGGAATCCTGCAGCAGCATCCGGCTGTCCCTCCTCGAGTGCCAAACACGCCGACGCCTTTCGGAACGAGTGCTCGGGAATTATGATACCATCGGTCAGATCGACGCCCTCTCGCTCAGTGAGGACGCGCAGTATCTTGTCAAAATTTGGCACCAGTTGGTTAATCGAAATGCCGTCCGGCTTCTGGTGGCCAAAAAGTGCACCGCAGAATACCGAGTTGGAGCTCTTTATTGTGAGGTCTTGAGGGCAGACCACGATAATGCCGGCAATATGCGGCAAGCTCGACACGCGCAGTTGGGTGGTTCCCCTGACTTGTTCCACCGTCGCCGGGATGCTGACCCGGTCGCAGTTACGACACGTGTAGTACTTCCGCCTCGCGATCTCGTGATAGTCGATTTCACCGAAGCGTGGGTCAATGCCTTGCCGTGGGATTCGGGGTATCAATAAGCCGATGTCTTGGCCTGGCTGTAGACTTTCGTTCCCCCAGATGGGACCTAAAGCACCAGAGAGCTTGAGGACTGCTCCATCCTCATCGACGTCGATGTACGAGACATCCTCGTGGATCTCTTCCAACACCCAGATCAGGCCCACCCGCTTTTCAATGACCCAAAAACTAGCAGAGCCCGTGGCGCCGTTGCGTTTCTAACCATATTGTTAGCCTTAAGTCACCTCGCTAAACGGCTTCGTACTCACTTGAATTGGGACAACGTCGCCGCAGAGCAGTACACCCCTGGATTTGCTGCTCTGACGGTGACCCTGCCCTGGTGTTGGAGGTTTCGGATCGCCACTGTGGATGGTGGCTGGTCGTCTCGCAGCCTTGGGTGTCTGCGATCTCGAATTTGGCTTGCTCAGCAGCTTTGCCGTGATCCCACCACCGCGTGAGCCAAGGAGCGTAGACGTCTGTACGGCAGGCACCGGCTGGGCGATCTCGCTCTCGGAACCATCTCCGGCATGCTCGTGGTTGCCCTTCTGCAATCTCCCAACGAGCCATGCCCTCCTCTCTTCCTGTACCACCTCCAATATGCCCATTTTCCTAACCTCGGCGGCGGTGACGCCGAACAGCAGGCAAGCAAGATCATTGGCAGCAATAATCGTCCATGGCGGTTTCGACTCGGTGGTAAAGATTGCTTGGGCAGCAGGCACCCACCTCGTCGGGTGATTGTGTACGGCGGGGCTTGTGCCGGGTGGCGGATGTACCGCAGGACCGAAGGGTTGTGATGGCCGGCGCTGAGGCTGCGTCTGCGTCTGCGGCTCGGCAGCGTGGAACGGTTGCGCCATGACATCGATGAGCTTTTGCTGTACCGATGCCTGCATTATGTCTGTGTCCGTCATGGTTCGCTTCAGAATGCTAGGACGTCTTGACGGCGGCGGTGATGTCTTGGCCGTAGTACCACTCGCACCACTCTCATTCGTCGGCGTCCTTGACGAGCTCTCAGACCCCGTACTCTCGCTGGATGGGGGTTGCGACCGCGAGTCTGAGGTTGGAACCGATGTTTCCTGGTGAGGGGCCGGTATCTCAATGACCACGGGGGGGCGTGTTGAAGCGGTCGGAGACGTGAGTGGCGTCCTATCCATAGGCTCGGGGCTTTCGGTCCTCAGAGCGAAGCCCCTGTCGAACACGTTTGCATTTGATGTCGTTGCTGGCCCGGTCAATGGCCCGGTAAGGATACTGCGGCCGCCGTTGGGGAGATTCCCAGCGCCGACCAGCTGTGCCTTCGTCAACAAATCCAGCATATTTTGGGCCTCGACGTCACCCGTCACCCGTGCCTGCGCGCTCGTTATCCCCGCGTTAGCCGCGAGCGACCACGCCATTCTGTCTCTCATGAACTCCATTGATCGTTTCAGGACGTTTTGTCGGTTGTGTATCAAGTCTTCGGATTGATGTGCGAATGAAAACGAATGGAGCGATTCGGACGGAAAACGGGAGAGGTCTTCGGTAAAGGTGGGAGAGATAGGACACGGGGACACCGGGGTCGAGTGGTGGTCAAGGAACATACTGGCGGAGGCAGATGTTGACCGAGACAAATCGGTGAGTGACGGGTTTCTACTTGAGACTGACGGCATCGTGGGGGTCCTCATTGCATTAGGTTGCTGGCGTATGCGTCGAAGTCCGGACATTCCCAAGCCGTGGTCGTGGTCGGTCACGATGGAGCTCCTGTGACGGATAGCACATGTCAGTGACCAGAGACGAATCAGTGCGTGACCGGACTTGTTTGACCACATTAGAGGGTCAAAGCAACACAGCTATCCCGTCCTGCAATCAACCGCCACCCCTCTTGCTTTTCTAGGAAAAGCTGACCTTGACATTGTGTCGTACTCGACGGCCGAGGCGCCGGCATCGAACGAGAAGCGGATGCGAGCCTTTTCAGAGTTGTCGCCCCCAGTCCCTACAGTCCCGAGATTTCCGGTGCTTCTGTTCTTGGGTATCTGCAAAGACGGCGAGAGCCTTTGGCGGCCGCGGGCCTCAGCTCCGTGTGGTGTGTCTTCGCCTGTCATGGGCGCAGCGCGAGCCTCGGTGTCAGCACAGGCCCAGCGTACTCGGAGCGGCTTTTGCTTTCTGCCCGCTGGGCGCTGCTGAGCAGGCGGCGGCGCAAGGCTTCTGACTCACCATTGTCTGAGTTCCCGCCGCATATACCGAGCATAATTGAGGCAAGCAATGTACGTGCGGATTTATAGGAAAATAAAAAACAAAGGGAACGATTGGCAGTTTCCTCGCGGTGAGGGCGGGGGAAGGATGGAGATCTGTAGCCAGATGGACGGTTGAACGAGTTATCGATGGAGAAATCGGTTGGTGGGGTTCAGGCTGCGTCGCCTTGCGAGGACCAAGCCACGGCGCAACACCGGATTTAAAGGGGCCGTGTCAGGCGGTCTTTCGTCTCTCGACTCAGCCGGCGGTTGTCCTTTGTACCTACGGCGTACCCCGGGCACTTCGTACTTCGAACCTCCACTATTGGGTGACGTAGGGATGAGGATGTCAGATTCACAGTATGTGTAGAGGGAGGAAGGTTCCGGTCTGGGCTGGTGTCGAACAGAAAAGCAAGGGCGTTCATCCGACCGAGAATGAGGGAAAACGGCATCAACACAGGTTCCAGGTTGCTTCCTGGAATGTCATGTCTCGGAATATTAGCGGTAGGAACGGCTCGCAAATTCTAAAATTCAGAATCCCGCGCAGGGCTAGCGAACCGCACCCCCGCAGCCGGCGATACACAGCATCCGGCACGCCGCGAACATGGAGAAGATGTGGACTTGTCCTTTTTATTTTTCCCCCTTGGTTGCAGCCAAGGAGACGCTGTGCCGCCACTGTCAATATCCCGGCAGACCACTCAAGAAACCAAAAGCAACACGTGGAATCGTGTCGGTTTTCGAGGCAAAACCAGGCCAAGAAGAGGCGGGTTGGGCTGCCCGGGCTATTATCTGTGTGATGTCCTTCCAGGTGCCGACCGAGAGTATCGGATTTGTTGCGGGTTGTTCCAAAATCCCCATCCCACCTCGAGCCCACCAACCAGGCTTGGGTGACGGGGGAGTGACCTTGGCCACAGGGGGTAGCACAGTGTATATACAGTGCTGACTCTTGAGGCCTGAGACAGAAATGCCAGGACGTCATCGTCATCCCACACCGAGAAATGCGAGACAAGGCTTTGATTCTCATGCTGAAAGCCTCAGAATAAGCGAGACCACAACTTCCCACCTTTGGTGTCAGCGCGGATGATGGTTCAAGCCGTACAACAAGGTGGCAAAAGTAAAGACCAAGTCACAGTTGAAATATCCAGGTGCGCACGGTTACCCTGCAGATTGGGTTCCTTGTTCTTGGTCGTAGCCACTGCAACTCGAACCCGAGTCATCAAAGCGATTATGAGGCAGATCCGGGTATTCATTCCGTTCCTTTGTTTTATTTGAGCGAACCGACTCCATCCTATAACTCTGACCACCGGTACCCAGTCGGTGTATATTGTAAACATCAGCAACGCTGGTTGGGTTTCGGGCCATTTTAGGTAATTATTTGGCTGCCAGCAACGGCGGCCCACAACCCATGCCCGTGCCGAAACAGACTGCCTGCGAAGTACGAAGCCATCGAACATCAGCCGCGCCCAGGTCGACGATCGTTGCCTTCATTTGGATTTGATTCAGACCTCTTGGCGACTCAGAGACATGGCACCTTTGTGATGCGTTCTAAGAAGTTCGGTCTATATCTGGCTTCTTTGCCGTCAGGCAAAACAATGAGAACAGAAAATGGCTCTGCGGGGGTTGATGAACTGCCACCCCACGCTCACGGGCCTCGCTCGCGCGCTTCTTTCAAATTATGTGTGGTAATTGTTACACCGGTTTCCCAAGCCACAGACTGCACATCGCCAACTTGGCTTTTCACATGTTTTTCCAGTGACGTTCGATTCATCCGAAACGGCATGGAACAGCCCTTCAGCTCAGCTTCAGCTAGTCCACGCGTGCTATATGGGCCGTTACTGCGTGTTTCCGTCAAACCGGACGTTCTAGCGAGGTTGTACGCTGTTTGTAGCCTTCTGGGCCTCATCATGATATCTCCCTGACGTAGCTCTCACATTTGCCTCGATTCAAACGGAGCTTCGACGAACTAAAATACAAAGCAAATAATAATGAGAAAGGACGAACACCGTCGTTTCTTGACACAACCTTGAGTTAACCCCAGCTCGTTTAACTGGCGCCCGGCATCCTCGGGCTCCACAAGCCGCTGCGGATGTTTGGTCGCTCCCGGCAGTCCCGCCCCCGCGATCGGTTTGCGGCCCGGCCTCCCCATCTGAAACGGGCCTGGCGGCGACCTCCTGTGTAGACGGGCAAGACACACACGACACACCAACACGCCGGTTTCACTGCTGCTCACTGTGTGTGGGGAGCCACGAGGCGTTCCGTTGATCAGGTCAAGCATCCAACATCCCCGTGCTACCCCTGGTCGCGTGGCCAAACCTTCCAAGGCCGTAACAAAGACGAACGGGTCAGATGGGGCGGGTGTTTGCAGCATGCCAGGTCAGCGGACTTTGGGCTCGGCATGTCTCCATTGTTATTGAGAGTTAATACCGCAGTAAGTGTAATTCTCTTCACTACCTATTTCAGCATACGGTGACGACTGTTTTAGATGGACGGAATACAAGAATTTGTGGCCACGGTTCGGATTCTGCCAGCACCTCGTGGGGCTCTGATCAGAATTATCTTGTTTTGTGTTCATGATGCATCCCTCGTTCCTCTTCATCTCATCTATTAGAACCGGCAATGTACAAGTACCGGGAACAACCTAGAGGATAGGTCGGTACGGAGTACCTACACAGTATCTACCACCGGGTCATGGGAAACCCGAACATTTACCAAATGAGCTCAGGATCATTGATGCTAAATCGCGCTTATACTCGTGGTACAGCAAGCGCCTAAAAGGACGACCACCTGAAGGCCAAACTTCTAGGTTGGGTACCTAGGTGGTGGTCCGAAGCGGGCATCCATCCGCCTCCCCACCCTCTCCCGGTCTCTTCAGCGGGGGGTGGGGGGGTAGCGAATTCGGGGTCTGCTGCCGGGGGCTCGTGGCGGGGAAGACCACCGAAATGGTTCCGATAAGATAAGGCCGCTTGACAGCCAACCCCACCTTCCCTCCTCTCCCAGTCTCCCAGTCACGCCAGTCTGCCACTGTCTCGCGGTTCTCATCAACAACGAACCAGAGCCAATCGACAGCCAACCCCCCAAGTCACGAACACCCCAAACGGTGCCACGGAGGCGGTCAGATGGGGGATCCAGGGCCTGGCCCGTCCCGGTTCCAGGTGTATTGCGCCCTTGACGATCGACTTGTCCAGAAGGGCTGACTACCCCTCCTTGAGGCTTTCCCTATTGTTTCTTTTCCCAAGGGTTAAATGATGCTTCAAACGCATCCGGAAGTCCCCAGGCAAAAATAGTCTCGCAAAGTTGATGTTGGAGAACAAACGGTTGGGCGCCGGCTTCACTTTCATAAGAGAAACAAACAGTTTGCTGCCCCCCCCTCGCATCGACCGGGCAGCTCCAGTTTTACCAATCACTCAGTCCTCATTCTCGGGATTCGTTCAGCTTTCCTCACATGCCCAATTCCCAAAATCGCCGAGTTCTCTCCGTCTGAAGTCTACCTAGGTAGCTGACATCGCTGTCATTGTCGTCTTATCTGCTCCGCTGGGTTCTCGTGTGTTCCTATCATTCATCCTCCCGTCAGCTCTACTGTGTACACGCGCTCAACCATCTTTCAGCTGAGGATTTGGAGGAAGCATTCTGGGCCATAAGCGTGAAACCGCTTCAGCTGCGCAGCCTTCTTGGGCTCAGCAACAAACACAAACAGGCGACCAAACTCAGCCGCGCCGCCGATATCGACAACGACAGCTGTCATCACACACTCGTCACCATCGTAGTTTTCTCGTTTACTACACACAAAAACCGCGCACTCCGTCAGTTTCCGACTCATTCTCCCACTCTCGCTCCATGGCCCGCTGTTAGTCAGGTGAAAGTTGGCATCTGCCCACTGTCCGGGGTGGGAATATCCCTCCTTTGTTCGGGCGACTTCCCCGGCATCTCCTTGTCTGCGCCTCTCACCCGCTGTTTGAGCCCGACCCCACCATCGATATCATTCCGGGTCGATTTGACGTCGCCACCTCCGCAGGCGCCAATCCTAAACCGCAATTGGGCAGGTGGAGGAATCCCCGAACACGCCCTTTTTCTCCCGTGCCGGCGCTTGAACCTTCTCCGTCAACCTCAACCTCCGAACCAGACACCTGTATCCCATTCGTTCCGTGCCTGACTGACGCCTGACAAACCGTCCCGATCCCGGGGCAGTTACCGCCATGGCCGACTCCGAAGTAATACACGAGGCTCCGACAACATCACCGAGCCCCGCCGTCTCGGACGGTGCCCCGGTCGGCGATGGGGGGATTGAGAATGTGGCAGAGCCGCGACCAAAGAAGCGAGGAAGGGATAGGCTACTTCGTGGTCTGCAACGCATGCAGTCCTCCTCCTCCTTGAATCGCCTCGGCCGTTCCAGGTCCGCAAGCAGTCCTTACAGCAGGTCCGGCAATCTTTCCTGCATCAGCCTGGCGTCCACCGCCTCCCCGTTTGGCCAGCCGAGCGCCGGCTCCTACTTCTCTCAGTCATCCGCCGCCGGGAGCTCGAGCGCCCATACGTCGATTCCGGCCAGTCCGATCGCCGAGTCGCCTGCTCATGAGGGACTCGAGTCGGTGCTGGCCATTCGACCAGTGGGCTGCACTACGCCCGCCCCAGTTACCGTTTCACTTCCGGCAACGATCAAGAAGAAGGCAACCGCATTCAATCTCTGGGCGGACATGCCCCGCGAGCTCAAGATCCATGTCCTCTCGTTCCTCGGGCCCAGAGAACTAGTGCGGGCTTCGCGAGTCTCTCACGAGTTTCACAAGATGTGTTTCGACGGTCAGCTATGGACCAGCCTCGATGCCTCCGAGTTCTACAGGGAGATACCGGCGGAATCTCTGGCGAATATCATCGTCTCGGCCGGGCCGTTCGTGAAGGACCTCAATCTCAGGGGCTGCCTTCAGGTGGAGCACTACCAGCGGGCCGAAGTGATGGTGAAGGCGTGTCGGAACCTGATGAATGCCACGCTGGAGGGATGCCGAAATTTCAAGCGGTCAGCCCTTCACACGCTCCTCAAAACCAACAACCGGCTCGCCCATCTGAACCTCACCGGGTTAGACGCGGTGAACAACGCCACCTGCAAGATCGTGGCCAACTCTTGCCCGCAGTTGGAAGTGTTCAACGTCTCATGGTGTAAAAACATGGACGCCCGGGGCATCGGGTTCGTGGTCGACGCTTGCCCCAAACTCAAAGACCTTCGTGCCGGCGAGATCAAAGGCTTCAGCACCCAAGTGGCCGAAGTCATCTTTCGCACAAACACTCTCGAGCGCCTTGTCCTTGCCGGCTGCGATCACTTAACCGACGCGGCTCTGCAAACCATGCTCCACGGATTTGATCCGGAAATCGACATCCTCACTGATCGTCCGCTGGTTCCGACCCGTAAGCTCCGCCATCTCGACCTAACCCGCTGCACCGGTCTCACCGACCGCGGCGTCAAAACCCTCGGTTACATGGTCCCCCATCTCGAAGGCCTCCAGCTCTCGGGCATCCCCGCCCTCACCGACGCCGCCCTCGAGCCCATCCTCGCGTCCACCTCACGCCTGACGCACCTCGAACTCGAAGACCTGACCCGGCTCACCGATGGCCTGCTCTCCCAGCACCTTGCCAAAGCCCCCTGTGCCGCCGGGCTCGAGCACCTCAGCGTAGGCTACTGCGAGCACCTGGGTGACGACGGCCTGATCGCCGTCCTGCGCGCCTGCACGCGCCTGCGCAGCGTCTACATGGACAACACGCGCGTCAGCGACGTGGTCCTGGCGGAGGCCGCACGCATGGTGCGCAAACGCTCCAGCCGCCGACCGCCACCGACACCGACAACGACCCCCCGGCCGCCCGTCGTCAGCCTGAGCCTGGCCGTCTACGACTGCCCCAGCATCAACTGGACCGGCGTCCGCGAGATCCTGCACCGCAACACCACGGCCGCCGACACCACCGAACCCGAACCCGAACCCGAAGCCGACAAACCCACCACCACCGCAGAGAGCGGGGGCAGCACCGAGCCGGAGGCCGAGACCGACGAACCCCTCCTCGTCTCTCCCACCACCACCACCACCACCACCCCCAACCCGCCCAAACCAACCCCCAACCCCCGCCGCACCCTCCCCACCGAGATCATCGCCCTCAAATGCTTCCACGGCTGGCAGATGACGGTCGACGAGCACACGAAGCGGGTGCTGCGCGGCGACGGCGCCGCCGCGGCGCGCCTCGAGCGCAAGTGGGCCGACTACATGCAGGCCAACGAGGAGGCCGGGGCTGGGGCCGGCGGCGGTGGCGGGCGCGGGCGGAGGAGACGTGCCCGCGAGGCGCTGGCTATGCGCGAGCTGGTGTGGGGTGGTGATGTCGCCGGTGGGGGTGGGGGTGGAGGTGGGGGTGGGGAGGTGAGTGTGGCGGGGGGGAGGAGGAGGGCAAGGACGACGGGGTGTGCTGTTATGTGAGGTGAGGTGGTTTGGGTTGGGTTGGGTTGGGTTGGTTTGGTTTGGTGGGGGGGGGGTTCTTTTGTGTTTTGTGGGTTTGGGGGTTGGTTGGTTGGCATGATATGATTTACGCATGGATATGGATAAGAATGGGGTAAGACGGGGAGGGGAGTTTTGGCGGTGGCTTTCTTGTTTACGTTTACTTAGGGGGTTTTCTCTTTTTTCTTTTTATGTTTTCTCCCTGTTTTCCCTAGAGGGCGTTGAATAGGGCATTCATTGGACCACGGCCTACGCAACGGAATTTACAGGGTTTTTTATCTGGTCTCTTCATGGTAACCACAGTCAACACGGAAGATGTGGTTGGCTTCTTGGGTCGGGGTGTTCCTCCCTTCGCTATCGCGGGCACTTCGGTTATGGTCCTCTCGGTTCTGGTCTCTCGGGAGCCATAAGGTCCTGGAGGATATGGGGAGTGAATTTGATGCGGTATTGTTGGTTGGGGGCTCGGTAACTCACTGTGACATACAACTTACAACTTCTGCGTGCCAGCGTAGGAGCCTACATATCTAAACACTTGCCCTAGCCGACCTTGACTAAAGTCAGACGGTGGACGTCATCTCGAGTGTTCTAATGGGACTAAAGACTAGTTGTGTTGCCTGGTTACCTGGCCTAGTGATGCTTGGTTTCGGCTGACTGAAACAACACGCCGTGACACTCCTTCTGATCTCGGCCAGCTTTAGTCCGTCCAGTTGGGGGTGGTCGCCGGTAGTAGAATGACCACGGCTTAACCACCCAGTCTTCAAGCGACATTATATTGCCTGATTGCTTGATGTTTCTTATCGCTGGTGTGAATGTCTTGACGGAGAACCTATTATACGAGCACTGGTGGAATCTTCCATTCACTTTCCGAGACCTCCGAAGAGGTGACCTCAATTCCCACTCCCCTGGCTGGTACTAGATCAAAAGTCCGCCATGTGGCGTTAGCCTCTGCAAGACGCTTCGCCACAAAACACATCGAGGTGTGAAGGGGTGTCTCCTTGGACTTGTAACTGTATCCTCTCCGAGGTAGCTAGCACAAGCCCTCACCAGTGTTTCGAGCTAAGCCGTGCGTGGTTCAACAGAGGTGTATCATGGCCATGTCACATGACGCCTAAAGCACACACAGGTATCTTGCTTTTGCCACTAAAGACTCGTGACATAAACATACGGTTAAGGCGGCGGACGGACCAATCGACCGCTCAGGCATCCAAGATCAGATTAGGCCAGTCGACATGACAGCACGGGAGGCGCGGGGTGATCCCGGGAGCCGTGACCAAAACAAGGCGAGCCCAACCAGTCGGAGGCCACGGCCGGGTTGTGGCTCTCCTGGCGCACGAAAGCGCGGGCGATGATGGCGCACAGGGTCTCGCAATCAGGCAATTTCTGAGTCCGGCACCCTCGCCCGAGCCGGCGAGGGCTGTCGTGTCGAGTGGCACAGCGTGCTTGTGTCTTGCTTGGATATGCCCACCGCCCAAAGGGGCCGTATGCCACAGAGCTTTCTCGACATCAACGGCGTTGGTGGCTGGGAGAGGCGAGTGAGGCGTAGAGCTCGTGACCCGATGGACCGCTTCACTTCCGGGGGGATCCCATACGGGCTGATTCCTCGGACTGGGCATGGCTTTTCGGACGATCAGCGTCAGAGGACATGGGGGTCTCTAAGTGGGAGATGTCGCAGGAAGGCCGCATGGAAAGGATAGGGTCCCCAGATGCTTGCGGCGGGGAAGACCGGGGTGGTGTGGATTGTGTTCGGCGTTTTGATCGACTGCAGGAAGACCGTACATTGTCCCCCACAAATGCGAGTCGAGGGTGGACCGTTAAGCTGCACTGTTACTTGCCGAGCCAAAGAGAGGACAAACCGGGGTTTCTCAACTGTCTCCCACGAAGCAAAGGGACGAGGTGTGACTGAGCTACCAGTCGCCAAGTGTCATGGGCAAGAATTATTGCCCATTTGTTGAGCCAATGGCGGCCCGGTCCTGCTTCAATCGGAGCCAAACCCCTCGAGAGGCTGCTGCAGTTGATGTGGGATGAGTATTTCATCACAGCTGAAGCTGCCGGGAGAATCTTCTCGTGGTTCGAGGATGGGCGACTAGACCTGTGAGTGAAACCTAAGATTGACAACAATGCTCCCACGCACCCAGAACTCCAAGTATGGGAGAGTCAAGGAGTTCGCTCGGGCAAGGGTGGGCTATCTGTACAAGTCTCTCCCACGATAATAAAAAGCCAAGACCAAGTTGGAGGGGTCTGCCCTTCTCGAAGGATGAAGGCGAAAGCGAAGGAGATGGCGCGGAATGTGGGGTGAAAAGTTGAACAAAAAGCAGGCGGGGTGGGCAATTGGACAAAAAAACAGGCTGCTCCCATGGTACGCCTGGTGTCTCGAGCTTTGATTGATCAGGTGCGAGCTGCAAAGAGCGCGGTCGGGGTGTGATCTGCTACTTCTGTGCGTATGGTAATTATGAGGTTGGGGCAACGCAAAGAACTCGCATGCGAACTGTGCCGCTTGGGGAACCTCTAGGAAGCACAGATTGCAGAGCGACCGGAGCTCAAGCGGGGCAGCTCGGTGTAGGTGGGGCAGACCCACTCAACGGGCAGACTGCCGCTGGAGAACGCAAGCGATTTATTTGTGTTGTGGTCGAGAAACACAGCTCGGTCCCCATCACCATACATACCTACCTACCTAGGTAGGCACCGACTACCGAACGCTTGTAAATTTAGGTGGGAAAAGGAGTGGAACAGGAAGGGTCAACACGTTGAGGCACGCTTAGATGAGATGAGCACCTACTCATGACCCTATGAGGGTTGCCGCATTGTGTTGACTTTTCTTCCACCTTATCTAACGAACCGTTGCTATCAGAATTGGTATAATGTTATGTAGACGCCCTATCAGGATATATTTCGCTTTTAACATGGAGCAATGGGCAGTGGATTCCGTGAGAAAGCAGGTATTCGATACACGTGCTGAACCCATGGTTTGAAACTTTTGCCGCTTCTTTTCTGATGCTCAAGGCAGTTATCGCCCGCTCGCCCTCTAAAAGCTTTGCCCTGCCAAACCAAGTTGACCCCTCTTTTTTTTAACTTTTTCAACCTTCACCCTCTCTTTCCTTCCACCACAACCATTCCCCCGATGTGGTGAACTTAACCTCCCCATCTCTTCCTCCCCAATTCCCCATCTTTTTTTCTCTTTTACACCCCACCCTCACACCCCTCATCAAGCTCCTCCTCAGCGCCCTTGCATCAGCTTCCGCATCCCTCCGCCACGCGGCGCTCTCTCCCATTCCATTCCTGGTCAGTCGCGCACCGTCCAGAACCCCGCTCTAGCAGTTTGCAGGTTGTTGCTAGGACGCACGCCGCATCAATTGGCCGTGTCCACCGCCTGCTGCAAAAGGTATGTGCCTTCTGCCCCGCCATCGGCTGCGCGGTGTCATGGCTCCCCGTTTCTCTTTCTGTATCCTGCACCGGCCTCTTTCTTCGCACAAAAGAAATCCCGACGGCAGGCGCAGAAAGATCGTTGGATCCTGGGTGGCACTTCCTAGTCCTCTGCGGAGTCACGACCTGGTTTCTTTGTCCCGGCTCGGTGGCGCAACTTTTTAAAAACGTCACGCACCCATTGTCCACAACCAAGCTAACTCTTCCACAGCCCGAACCAACTCTACCTACCTTCTTCCCTCAACCACCTTTTCCCACACATCCTCGAAACCGCAGACAACTCGTTCCGTTGCCTGCATCATATTGACCTGCCAAACTTCTCTTGGAATCCTCGTCATCTCCGATCATAATGTCGGCACCGCAAGACACAATCCCACCCAATGGGTCTGACCTCAACGAGGCCCTCGACCAGCTTAACCTCGGCGACAACGAGCCGCGCCTGGGCCCGGACGGAGAGCCCGCGCCGAAGACAGACGAAGAGTATGCCCAGACACAGCTGACTTTGCGCGCGATTGTCTCGTCAAAGGAGGCTGGCGTCATCATTGGGAAGGGCGGAAAGAACGTGGCCGACTTGCGCGATGAAACCGGCGTGAAGGCCGGCGTTAGCAAAGTTGTCCAGGGTGTCTACGACCGGGTCCTGACCATCACCGGTGGCTGCGAGGCTATCTCGAGAGCCTACAACGTTGTTGCCCGCGCCCTGTTGGAAGGCGCACCCACAATGGGCATGGGCGGAGTTGTTCAGAGCAATGGCACACACCGTATGACCCCAGCGTTCTTGATGCTTTCTAAACACGCCGTTGACAGTTAACACAGCAATCAAACTTCTCATCTCTCACAACCAGATGGGCACCATCATTGGCAGGCAAGGTCTCAAGATCAAGCACATCCAGGATGTGTCGGGCGTGCGCATGGTGGCGCAAAAAGAGATGCTGCCGCAGTCGACCGAGCGGATAGTCGAGGTTCAAGGCACCCCCGAGGGCATTCAGGTCGCCATCTGGGAGATCTGCAAATGCCTGGTGGACGATTGGCAACGGGGCACTGGCACCGTTCTGTACAACCCAGTCGTCCGGACTCAGGCTGCTGGCGCCGCGCCAGGCGCTCCCGGAGGCAGCAGCTTTGTGCAGGACAGGGCCCCGTACGGCGGCTCGCGTGTGACGCGGACAGGTAACGGCGCTGACTTTAGCAACGGTGGACCCCGGCCTTATACCCGCCGTTCGGACTCTGACGCTGCCGCTCGTGGCCCGCCGACTCACGATGAGAATGGCGAAGAGATTCAAACGCAGAACATCAGCATCCCTGCCGACATGGTTGGCTGCATCATTGGCCGTGGCGGCTCCAAGATCAGCGAGATCCGCAAGACGTCAGGGGCCCGCATCTCCATTGCCAAGGTGAGCAACAATACCCCCCGGCCTACCCCGGCGGTGTTCTGTTCTAACGAAGCGGTTCAGGCTCCTCATGACGAGACGGGCGAGCGGATGTTCACCATCATGGGCTCGGCTAAGGCCAACGAGACGGCATTGTACCTCCTGTACGAGAACCTCGAGGCTGAGAAGATGCGCCGGCAACAGCAGGCTGCCCAAACATCCGAGTAGAGTGCGGATGAGGGTAGACGGAACTATAGGCTGTAAGAAAACCGGACATGTTGTAACCGATGGAGTTGCGCGAGTGGGATCATTAGCAGCTGCCCAACCACGCCCTCCAGGGTTATTGGTTTGGGTCAGTTTTGGCAGCCCCTCGTCACGGGTCATTCACCAGATCTGGCTGCCGCAAGGCGTTATTATTCAATGGGGGGGACGATGCGACGACAATTCTCTTAACCTCAAAAAGCATTCCGCCAGATTCTTCTCTCTTCTTTTCCTTCTACTTGGACCGATTCCGCTCCCTCACCCTACCCTCATCCTCGGTAACGAGCGGCCGGGCACGCCAGCTTTGCCGGTACGATAAAGTGGACAAAGTCCGCTCCTCGGCCGGCTAGGGGATGCGAGCCAGTATCGGGCGGAGGGGCAAAATCAATACCCTGCCGCGGGCGTTTTCATCAAACCCGCGGCTACCGTCTCACCGAAATTACTACTTTAGCCCGCATTCACTCTCCCTTGCCTCATTCAAGGCATCATCAGGCCGTCTGTTTTCACTCTCAACACGCATATTTCTCCGTCGTGGACGATTGGACTCCCTAGCATTCTCGTACCGACTGCGGCCGCCTGTTATCCCGTCCCTACCTCAGTACCCAGCACTCTCAATCTGGGAACAAGACTTGCGGCATGTTGCGCCGCCGCATAGCCAACCCTGTCGTTGCCTCGGGTTGGGGCACGACGTTTCATGAACCATCGACCTAGCATCAGCAGATCTTAAGGAAGATGTCTAGGAGGGGGCATCTAGGTGGAGGCCAGGCAGACTAATATATGAGTAACTCGGACGCACGAATCCCCCTTGATGTGAATCGTGGTGATCTGGTGTACGTGTCTTCGGCTTTGCAGCAAAAACCCTAGCCGTTCCTAATACCGAAATCTACCTAGGCCGGATGATTCGAGGAACACATCTAGGCACCTAATGCAGCGCCTAGTACAATATGAGTCTCGAGCCTCCATATTTGTAGCCTCGATAACTACCTTATTTCCTATCTCGGCTGGCATCGGAGCCGGCATGGCACCCCACAAGGCGGCGAAAAGCAGCCCTGCCGTGAAGCGACCCGCTGAAACGGTCCGGCGGCTAGCGCGGTAAAGGGGGGCCTGAGGAGGGATCGTGTGGGGAAACCTGGAAGGCCCAGCTCCGAAAAGCCAGCCTGGCCGAATGTCAGGCAGGGTCCAGTTGCACGCGACGGCTGAAGCACTTCATCCCACCTTCCATGAATCGGCCACATACTTCGAATCTCAAAATACTACTTCGTACTTCGTACCGCCCAACACCCTCTTTTGGCCTTGCTTTTGTCTTTTCCATCCATCCCTTGATGGCGAACCTCCCTGAGAAGTGATTTCACCTCTGTCTCATTGTATCATTCACCACAATCGCGTTTCTTGCCAAACCGTCAAGGTTCTTGCGCCCTTGGTTGCATAGACCCTTGCACGTCCCTCCTTGTAAAACCAAGCGCGATTCGCGATGGCTCGCACAAAGCAGGCCACGCCTCTCCGGCGAGAGCCGTCTTCCGAGTACTCGGGCAAACACGATCGCCTGCCGCGAAGCAGAGAAGTCAGTGCGACCCATGAGATGGAGGAGAAATCCAACGGAGTGGCCAATGGCCAGGTTTCGGTTGGTGATACCGCGCCTCGCGACGAGGCCGCAGCCCCCGTTGTCGCAAAGAAGGATGCCGGCATCGTCACCCTCATAATTGACGTCGCCGGTATCTACGCATCCTTGTGAGCCGTCCTCCCTCCACCAACCCACCTCACCTCATTCCACCCCACCCCATAACTCGTTCCCAGCTGCTGGCTAACCACCAACACCCCTCCCTTCTTAGCTTAACATGGGCCTACCTCCAAGAAAAGCTCACCACCACCACCTACGGCCCGGCCTCCTCCCCAGAGCGCTTCAAGTTCCCCGTCTTCCTGCTCACCATCCAATCGCTCTTCGCCTCCCTCGGCGGCAAGCTCTTCTCCGTCGTAACCACCCCGCGGGGCCAGCCGACACCCCCCCTGATCCCCAACCGCCAGATCCTCTTCCCGCTCCTGCTCGTCGCCTTCACCAACGCGCTGGCCGCCCCCTTCGGCTACGCCGCCCTCGCCCACATCGACTACATCACGTACATCCTCGCCAAGAGCTGCAAGCTGCTCCCCGTCATGTTCCTGCACATCACCGTCTTCCGCAAGCGCTACCCGCTCTACAAGTACCTGGTGGTCGCCGCCGTGACGTGCGGCGTCGCCGTCTTCACCCTGCACTCGGGCAGCCGCAAGCACAAAGCGTCGAGCCACAGCGGCCAGACCGCGTGGGGCATGCTGCTGCTCGGCGTCAACCTGCTCTTCGACGGGCTCACCAACAGCACGCAGGACTACATCTTCCAGAACTGGCGCGCCTACACGGGCCCGCAGATGATGGCGGCGAACAACCTGCTGGGGTCCGTCATCACGGGCGGCTACCTGGTGCTCAGCCCGTGGCTGGTGAGCACGGGTTTGGGGGAGTGGTTCGGCATGGACGTGACGGGCGGCGGCGGCGGTGAGCTGCAGGCGGCGCTGGGCTTTTTGGCGCGCTATCCGGCCGTGTGGAGAGATGTGCTCGGCTTTGCGCTGTGCGGGTGCGTCGGGCAGGTGTTTATTTGTGAGTTTTCCCCTTTGTTTTTTCCTGCCCCCTTTTCCCTTATACCCCCCTTCCCCCCCCTCCCCCCCTACTCCTCACCCTTTATACCAAACTGCGAGACTAACACCCCACCGCAGTCCACACGCTCTCGACCTTCTCGTCGGTCCTGCTGGTCACCGTCACGGTCACGCGCAAGATGTTCACCATGATCCTCAGCGTGGTCGCCTTCGGCCACCGCCTCTCCCACATGCAGTGGCTCGGCGTCGGCCTGGTGTTTGGCGGCATCGGCGTCGAGGCGCAGATCGCGCGGCGCGAGAAGCTGGCCAAGGAGGCCGCGAAGAAGGCCAAGAGCCAATAACCCACCCATTGCGGTGTCGGTTGGTTGCGGTGGTTGTGGTGGTGCGTGGTGGTGGGAGGTGGTGGTGGTGTACATATGATGGTTCCCGTTCTGGTACATATTTTGGGTGGACGTCGATAGACAGACTTGCTTGCATACTTTATTCGAGCTGGCTGGTTGGTTAGAATAGATTCGATGAGCGGCCACGATTGGTAGTATACTGCGTCAAGGGAAGATTCAATCACATTCACCTGGCGTCTCACAAATGATACGGATATGTTTGTATGTGTGCGTATATTCGCGGCGTACTCGCCTGTCCTATCCTAATGCCTACCTAACCCCTCCAAAAATAAGAATTACCAAATACACCTCCCTCCCCTCCCTTCCGTTTCCTCACGCCCCCCGCAAGACTCCGAAAATACCATCGTTTCCATCCCATGCAACTCCCCACGGCATGTTTTCGTTTCCCCTCCCCCCACCTCTCATATCATACCCGTCCTCTCTTGTATTATACATTTCGTTTAGGCGACAGAGGAAAAACCAAAACGCGCTGTTGCGGCTGCTGCAAGTGGCGACAATCCAGGAGACAAAAATGCGGGTAGCTCCTCTCCAACCCCTCATGCGCCTCCGCCATGTTTGCTTGCCATGTCTGTTGCATTGCGGAAAACGATGGCCAACTCTCCGTAACAAAAGAAAGCATGCATTGTGTGGTAGTGGTGTTCGTGCGTTGATTGTGTATGTATGTATGTGTGTATGTGGGGCGAGGGTCAATGCCGCGGCGAGGCTAGAGCATGTCGTCGATCGACCGCACAATCGGCGTCTCGCCCTTGGTCGGCGGGCTTCGCGGATCGGCCACTTGTACGGGCCTTGCAAAGGGGAAGTGAGGATCGCGCGGGAACATGGTTTCGCGCGGCGAAAACAGGCCCTCGCCCGGCGTCGGCGGGCTTTCGACGAACTGCATCCCCGTCATTTCAGAAAAGGATCCATGAATCGGGTTGTTGGTCATCGTCTCTGCGCGCGGTGACATGAGGGCATCGTCATCCGGGAAGCTGGGAAAGATTGCCACAGACCGCTCCGGGGTCGGAGGCGCCTGCTCGATTATCGGCTTCGGCGGGGGACCGAGGTTCAACGATGTAAACCCGAAGGTGCCAGGTTTCGATCCGAATCTGTGGGCTCCAAATCCCGGGGAAGGAGGCGGCTTCGAGAAAGGATCGGACGGCGCGAAGCCGGGAGACATTGGCGGTCGTGATAACTCGAGTGGTGCGAGCCCGGTGGGAGGAGGCGGCGGTCTCGATGTTGGCGGGGGAGCAAGCTTTGGCGACGGTGGGGGCTTTGCCAATGTAAACTTGCCAAACCTAGGGGACGGCGGGGGTTTCGACAGCGCAAACGTGCCGAAGCCGGGCGACGGCGGGGGCTTCGATTGGCTCATGGATTGGCTCATCGATTGACTCATCGATTGACCGAATGTGCCAAATCCTGGCGACGGCGGGGGCTTCGACTGGCTCATGGATTGGCTCATGGATTGACTCATCGACTGACTGAATGTGCCAAATCCTGGCGACGGTGGCGGTTTGGATAGCGTGAAGCTTCCGAAGCCTGGCGAGGGCGGGGGTTTCGATTGACTGATCGATTGACTGAAGCTGGAGAAGCCTGGCGAGGGCGGCGGCTTCGAGAGCGTAAACGAGCCAAACCCCGGTGACGGTGGCGGTCTCGAGACCAAAAAGGACGGAGGGGGGAATTCCGAGTCGGATGGTTGGGGGGCAAGCATTGAATCAATGTTAAACCGGCCAAACTTCCCCGGGTCCGCCTCATCTTCCTTTTCTGACCACGAAAAGCTCGATGGGGCAGACGAAGGGCCCGGCGAGATCGGCTCTCCTCGGTTAGGGCTCGCGTTACCTCGCGTCCGGCTTTGATTCATATCTGAGCTCGCATGTTTTGATGCCGGGTCATCGGCCGGCAAAGGCGCAGTGAGGGGCTCTTTTGCCGCGGCATCGATGTTGTCTACCGACATGGTTGCTCTGTGCGTAGGGCTTCTGCCCGGCCGCGGCTTTAAGCCCGTGCTCGGCGAGAGCCTCCGCTTGGCCATCTGCTTCTGGAAGTCCTGCAGGCAGTACATCAGTCTCATATTTGGGCTGATCCACCGACTCTTTCCCTGGGCCGCATAATAGGCGTCGTTGACGCTGAGCTCGGGGTTCTGGAAGAGGCCGTAGGCGATAATCAAACTGGCCGATCTGCTGGCGCCTTGCTGGCAATGAACAAGCACCTTCTTGCCTTCCTTTGTGCGCTTATCGATGGTTTCGCAAAGGGGCATAAGGTCCGGCGAGATGTCGGTATTGTGGTCCCAAGGCATGTGGATGTACTCGGGCTCCTTGAACGATTGCGCTTTCGGAGTTGTTGGGGTGTTGTCCTCTGGGAAATACTCATATGCCGTGGCGAAGCTGGCGGTCGTCGCCGCAGTCTCGGGAATCGGCGAGTCTTCGGCGGGTGTATCCTTTTGTTGGCTGCCCGCGTCAGACTTGAAGGGGTTGACGACTTCACGAGCCACGTTGATGACCACGTCGAACCGAGCCGCCTCATCGGCAGTCGGCTCAAGATAGAGGTAAACGTTGTCGCCGTAGATGGCAACCGGACCATCTGGGTAACCAGGCGACTTTTGGTCCTCGTTGTTTTCGACCTCGTGGTAGGGTTCGGTATCGAACGCAATACGATTCGCAATTTGCGGGCGTATCGGTGACTCCTCTTCCCTGATCGTCGAGCTCATGGTAGGACCCTCAACCGGTCGTGAAGGGCGCAAGAAGGAAGAAAGGCCAGATTCATTCCGTTCTAGCACCGTCGGTATTGTCATCCCCCCAGGGGGGCCAAATGTTGCGGACCGAAGGCCGGACAGCATCTGCGGCGTTGAGGTGGAGTGCTTCAGGGCGCGGCGCTGCAGGATGGGTGCAACGGTTGGAGAACTCGGTACCTCGAGTGTTGTGTGCGTGATGAGATCTGAAGTGTTGGTCTTGAGGCTGAGTTGACTGGGTTTGCGTTTCATGGGAGCAATCATGGGCTTGATGAAAGAGGGGGAGGAGGGTTCTGATAACAACGACGAAGAGGTCGCAGGTGGTTGGATGGACAGGCCCTTCATGTTCTTGAGCCGTCTAGGCCCAGGTGAAGTCATGGGCCGATCGCGGTTTGGGTCAGAGACCGTGAGCCTGGCCATGCTGGACAGGCCCCCAAAGGGGGTTGGCGCGAAGCTTGGGAGGTGTGCGAGGTTGACGGGCGAATCAGGAGACGAGGACGGAGATGGATCCGAGAGATCGGACGAATCTGCGATTGATAATGTGGTCGTGGGGGAGGAATCGGCCGACTCGGTTGTTTGTGTCGACGTGCTGTCGTTGTGTCGATGAATGGAATCTGACGCTAAGGCACCAGGCCTTATCCCCGGCTGCGGATTTCCAGCGAGCTTTGCGCCCTCCATGACCACCTTCGGGTCAACAATCGTGACGGGGTTTGACTGGTCCAGGTCCGTGATACCGCTGTCCACCTCATAAACTGACATTATCGAGGGTATTTGGTCCTCGAACAACCGCCGCGCCACGGCAGAAGGCATATTCGGTGGCTCGGAGAAAGTAACAGTTGCCGTGATTTCCTGGCTGAGCAGACACCTGGTCTGAGCTTCTCGTACTTCAATCGGGCCACAGCCACGTCCTGTTCGTCACGGGCCGGCCACCGGGTCTCTTGGCCGCCTCGCCGTCTGATAGTCGCCAAGGGATAATCAGATCGATTGGTCTAGACGCTCTGCGGGAGGGGGGAGATGCGTACGAGAAGTAGAGAGCCTGTTGCGAAAAGGCGCCAGGGACAAGGTCGGGTTAAGCGGGACAGCGCTGCTGAATCCTGGCTGTGCTCCGTCGATGTCTTCAACTGAAGTAAGAAATGAATCCCCTACTATCCCGAGCACTCTTCGATGTGCTTCTTTTGTGTCGACCAGAAAGCTGGATTAAAAAAAACAAACCCAGATACGGACGAGGTGACGCAAAGAGGAAGAGACGCGGTCGGTAAACAATCTCTTTGGGCGGAAACCTGAGACGGCTGTGCGCCGAGCGGAGGCTGGGGGGAGTAAATGGTCTCGGAGGACGATGCGCGGAGGGACTGCGGCGCAGCCGAGCGGGGGGTTTCCACGTTGGATGAAAGGATCAACAAAAATAAGGAACGAAGGGTGAAGGGGCCGGCGACCAAGCGGCGTAGGCGTCAATACATGGCCTAGGCGTCCAGTTCAGTCGGGGAGAAGAGAGGAGGTTGGACTTGGGACAGGAGGAGTTGAGGGCGATCGGGGTGGTTGCGTGTTTGTGAACTTGAGGATTGGCGGGTCAAACAGCGGGGTCCCTCTTTGTCTCGACTCTCGACAACCTTGGAAGCCGAGTCTGGTTCTCGGCCGATGCCACGTTCCCTTCCGGATTGCGTGTTGCGTTTCCGGTCGAACCCTTTCGATATCGAAGCTGAGAAAGGAAGAGGTGGGAAGGAAGGAGAAGGGGAATGTGGGAGGTGCGAAAATGAAGAAGAGAATTGGCTCGCCAGGAAGTTCCAGGTTGCCCAGGTTGCAAGGATGCAGATGCAGCGATGGGCGCGAATCGAAAAACCACCAACCTTCGGGGATGCGCGAGTGGCAGTGGCAGGAGCAGAGACGCAGAGCGCAGAACCACAAGCGCTGAAGGGGTGCAGCTCTCCAGGCCCGGGGCCTCAAAATGGGCGAAATTGGGGGACGGCAAGCCTGGGCGGGCAGAACAACCTGCAGGCTCGGCCTGCAGAGTCCCACTTCAAACCCCCGGCTCGGTGCTCGACGGGCATGGGGTGCCTCGGGAGAGGGAGCCACTGGTCTGCGACCAACTTGCCTCCGCCTGGCTTCGTGCAGGGGCGGGGGCAGGGACCGGCCAATGACAAGACATTGTGCGACACCCCACTTCCTGGTGCAGAACGCCGGCGGCTAACCCCTTTGTGAATTGCTTGCTTTCAAACAATCGACGCTAAAAATAGACGTCACGACCCACGGAAGCAAAATTATACGGCAGTGCTGATTGGAGGGGCGCCTCGGTTCGATGTGCTTTTGGCCAATCAGCCACGACAGAGTCTGGGAGTCCCTGCCTCCGCAACTCTTCGACGTCCTGCTGGCTCCTTTCGATGGCAACCGGCAACTCGAAGGGAAGGAACTCAGGACATGTGGAAGACGATCTTTCACGCCGGTGCACTGGCATCCTGCACTGAAGCCTTCCTCGGTTGTTATAAAGCCCTCGCTAACAGCCTGAGTAAGTATTGAAGGCGATGCGCAGTCTTACACGGATTGAGCGTTAAGAGCACGCGCTGTTCCATTCTATTAACTCCCTACCGATGAACTATATATGGAGGGAGTTCATGTGTCGAGCCCTGCAATCAGCTTCTTAAATTTGGGTCACATTTCTGGTCCTCCCATTCCACTTGTCCCGCGTGAGGCTTTCGTCATTTGGCGCTTATTATGCCAGATCTCGCAGATCTGGGTCCCTCGCTGCCCGTCGTCAACGACAACGACATTCATGAGAGCCTCAGGCCCCCGAATTAGCGCCGGCCAACCGCTGTGATGGGGGCGGTGGCCGGGATGTTGGGACAACCCCCGCCAATTCGCATGCCTGTTGGCCACACCCGATTCTTTGACGATGAAAATAGTTAGTGAGTCGTTGGTCATTCCCGGCCATCCCATTCTTTCTCGGGAGCCTCCCGTGTCTTACAGAGAGACACCTCGGCGGTCAAGCCCGTGCCACACGATCCCATCTGCCCCGGTCTCAATCTCGGCGCGGAAAGGGAAGATCCTGCAAAGGATTGTTATTGTAGCGTCCTTGTACATTGATACATTCCTGCTCCATTCTGTCGTCATGACCAGCCATCGAGCTTCTTTCTGGAGTTTGATTCCCTGAAGCGGGGACAGGATGGACCTGGACCAGAAACGTGGTGCCCCTGTTTGTTCTTGAGCCTGATAATTAAAACTCGGCTTCGAAGCAAAGCAGCAGGTGTTCTCGGACCGAAAGTTTGGTTGATTTACCTTGGATGTCAATTTAACCCGCTTTTCGGCCGTCTTACCTCCGCAAATTCTTGAAATACCCGCGCAGGGTTTGTGATCCCAGGACGGCATGTTTCCCTCGACATTGCTGCTCTCTCACGCAATTGGACAGCAGAAATCTGAAACGAGCTGGGTTCATTTTGTGGGAGCATGACACGTGCACTTGCACCACTGTGAAATCTCGCTTGTTTTGCTGGTGGGTCTCCTTCGGCTGCCGGTTGCAAGCGAGTTTCCATCCCGTCCCGCCGCCCATCCATCACTCGAGCAAAAGAGTCAGACTTTGAAGCAATGTGGGTGCCAAGCGCAGAGCCGCACATCGAAACTCACGAACCACTCGCCGACGTCAGCAATGTCCTGAATAACAAGTTTGCGATCCATGGCTGGCAGCGAATGACAACGGTCACGCTTTGACTTTCGCCCCTCATTACCTCCCGTCCTTCCAACGCCGGCTCCTCTGGTGTCAACCATCGCGTGAAGGCATCGTGCCCTCAGATACCCTTCCCAGCATGTGCCAAAATGGGCCATAATGGAACTCGGTCCGCGAGAACGGGCCGTTCACTTTAGACCGACAAGGCCTTTGCCGGGGCCTTGTAGCCGCAGGTTCAGCGAGGCCACCCCCTCTCATCTATTTGCGACTGGATAGTTATTGATAGTCGCGCCATAATGGGGTTTTGTGACACCAAACAACCAGGAGGTAAATAAAGGGTCGACAGCACGAGTCACAGGATAGCCTCAACATAAAGTAGGAATATGTTCCGAACAAATGGAGTGGTCTTGACCCGAGGTTCGATCCCCAGCTCTAGCCATTCAACGGGCGGCTCGCCGAGTCTGGTCCGTCCACGATAGGCTTGTTTCCCCCGCCAGTTTGCGAGACATCTAGCATGTCAATTCGCCTTCGCCAACCGATTGCCAACGATGTCCGAGATGAAGCTTTGCATCAAGACTCAGCCATACCGCCACTGAACCAACCCCCCCGCGAGCGGGGTGCGCACCTCAAGCCTCATCAGCGTTGCGCAAGAGAAGTTCCTGACAGTTACTGAAACCGTTGATCTCTGACAACACTCCAAGTATCAGCCTCTGGGTCTGTGCTCCTCAGCCCGGTCCTCATCTTTCACCAGTTCCTGCATGAACCCCGAGTTGCCAGTTAGGACTTCAACTCATCAAGCCCAACCCGTTCAAGCCCTACTGACATCATAATGCACGTGTACGCAAACTACATCGGCTTCGCCAGGTTTCTACAAAATAATGCATGATTTCGGCAACATGTCCTACTAGTGTAGTTACATATGTACAGAATCAAGCGAGAGGAAGACCCCCAAAATGTCTCTCCTGTCAAGCCCAAAAGTGCGGATCCCGAGACAGTCTCGACGATCGGTCCCGGCGAGGCGGACACGTCGGAGCCACACTCGAGTCTTACCATCCGGGCTAACAAGCACCATTAGTTACGCGCTATCGAAGCACGGAGATCACGGCTCCAGCCATCGGCAGCTCCGCGACAGATCCAAATGTCCCTTGCTGTTCGGAGATCAGATGCTTGCATAGGGTCCTGCGTTTTGTTCATTTGTATTCGCAGGTTAGAAAGTTCTGCTTTGTCTTAACTATCACGAGGTGAACATGCTAGTTAGTCGATCACGACTGTTGCGGTCGATGTCAACGCCTCCCCGATCCTCGACGTCTCAAAGTCTCGCTTGCATTGCTTCTTTCTATTCACGATGCATGTGCGCATCGAACTTTCGACGTTGGCACGGTTGGGTTGACAAATGGACATGATTCGCCAATGGCTTTCTTGAGACCCAGACGCTGCCAGACTCCAGGATCAGTGCAAGAACCCCTCCGACAGTGGGCATCCGATTCCCTCCCCCGGCTTCTTCTGGCGTCAACCCCTGGCGCACAGAAACGCGACACCCCGGTTCGGGCAGCTCCTTATTCCCATGGCATACAGGGTTCGCAAACAAGGCCTCGCGCGTAGCGAAATAAAAGAGACAAAAAAACTCCACGGACGGGGATGCGAGGACGGGGATGCGAGGACGGGGATGCGAGGACGGGGATGCGAGAACGGGGTTGCTTTCCCTTTCCCACTGGGTTTCAACTCGTCCGTTGATTCTTGCTTCCCCGGCTCGAGCCCGGTCCAGGGCCGGTGGTCGCGCCGCCTCCATGCACCTCATGCCCCATGAGGAGGTGCGGAGGATTGCGGGGTGAGATGCGACATCAGGTGGTTTGCGACTGCATATCCCCTTGGTCGGTTAATAAAAGACACGCTTTGGTCGCGCAAAGGGCGGCTGCGCTGAAGAGACTGGCAGGCCGTTAGATATTAACTAGAAGATGCGAAGAAGAATCCACGAGATGTGGTCGGGCTCGATCGGTCGGGCTATGTAGCTCCGCCTAAGCGACGGTTGTGATCGATGATGCCCAAAGAGGGAAAGGACGAATTTTGGGCCTGGCTTGGTTTGTCTGGAGCGCAAATTTCCCGCATCGGGCTGCTCGTTGGGTAACTCAGGCGACGGTTACAAAGTTTTACGGTACGACACCCTCCCTGTTCGCTCTGCCCCCACCTTCCATGCTTGAACCGAACACATCTGTTTCTTTTCTGCCCCCTTTCCGAGCCCACTTCCGTCTTCCGTGTCTCTATCCTTTTCCATTTCTTTCATTCTGGATCCTTCATAATAATTCAATATCATTCTCGATTTTTTTTTAATTCATTATTCCTCCGTTAGAATATCAGGGGTTTTGGAGAACTCGAGTGGGGACTGGGTGGACAGCCCGTGTTAAACCATGAAGACGGTCGGCATAACAAAGTGATATCCAGTTTTTCGTCATACCGATAGGATTTGCACCTTCATCCACCTTCCTCGGGACATCATGTGGCGCATTCATCTCTCATATGCCTCACTTTTTGACATGCGTGCTTTGACATTGATGAGTTGTACAAGATGTTACCAGAGTCGCACTGCATTTCAGATTGTGCGTTTTGTGGAGCATCGGTTCTGTAATTTACGGTTGGCGCATTGGCTCGAGAGCCACTGAGCATCGCCCACGCATTCAACAGTCATCACCAGCGATTGCATGTTTCTCCCCGCCTTCGCAATATCTTTCTATGTTTTCTCATACAAACAACTCAAGCTCCAGCTACACTTGATCAGCCAATTACTCAAACTAGAGCTACTTTGCACTCTCGATATTGTGCTTGTTGCTCGTGTTGCCCACTGCTCTAATAAGGCAGATACGGGATTGTTCATGCGTCTGCTGGACCTCCATTTCAGACCGCTTACGGTTCGTTGCTGCAGCTGTCCGCTCCCAACGCGCCCAACCTAGATCTGGCAGCGGTCCTCGACGTCGACCCGCAAAGTCTGGTGTCGTTGCTGGTGCCCCCTTACAACAACTCGACGAATGCAAACGCTTCGCAAGACTGACCATTAAACAAACATCTTCCCGAGACACAAACCCCGGCACTGGAATTTGAAACCAGGAACCGAACCGCGCATTTTGACACGCCCGGCACAGCATTGAGTGTGCGCGCGCGGTTGGGTGGATCCTCGAAAAGCACGGGGCACCTCGGACCCAAAAACATGACATCGACCAGTTTCCCTGCCCGTTCCTGGGCCCTCTCCTCGGATCACTCGAGCACCAAACCTCAACCCCTGGAGGCGCACGACACCAAAGGATCGCACAACAACACCGACACACGCAGCGAGAACAACAATTTGCACGCGCATCGCCAAAACCACAATTCGTCTAAACTGCCCACATTTCGGTTTGTCGATTTGAAGAAAAACCGCATTTCACTCCCGTCGCTGCAACAACCCACCCCACTCGCGCCCGTTTTGTCGCAAACCGTCGCTGTTGATCCCCTGGACCCAACTCGGCGCATCCCTGAACCGTCGCATAACAGCCTCCACCACTCCAGCAGCACCCCAACTCTTCCGGATAAACCGGCTTCATCCGAGTCAAAGGACAGCGCCGGTGCCGCGAGGACTCGTTCCCTCAAGTTCTATCTCTCCCAGGCCGAAACCAAGTCCGACTGCTCAACCACAGCCTCAAAGCGCCCAGCGTCCTTTCCAGAGCCGCCCAAAACCGCCGGCGACACGTCTGCGGCGCAGTCGCAAACCACATCTCTCCCGGTCCCAGGGATCAGGCGTCGCCTGACCGAGAGCGCTGTCAAAGAAGCAGCAGCGCAGGGGCAACGGGTATTGCTGTTGCCCAAGACCATCGGGGCCACGAGATCCGAGGGCAAAAAGTCGCGCCCCCCAATCTCATACAAACCACCCACCACGACCGACGCCGCCGCCACCTCGAGTGGGCGCGCCGTTATTCCCCCTATTAGATCTTTCCGCTCTTCTGAATCGCGCAAGAGCGTCACGGATATGCCCGCCCGATACACCTCCGGAGACTCGTACAACGAAGACGCGTTGGAACCCAACCAGCGCGACCGCGCATTACGGGCTCTTGAAGGCCGGCGCAACGAGGAGTTTTCGCATCAACCCCCTTCCGACTCGGGCGAGATGACCACGACGACCGATAACGACAACACGGCAGACATTTTTATGAAGATTGCACGAGAGGACCCGGCGCCTCGGGCGTCGGAGAAGCAAGCGGCGCCCGCAGAGCCGAGTGTTGTTGTAAGTCTTTTATGTCGGCTCGCCGTCACACCAGACCCGGTCGCTAATGGGATACAGTCACGAGTTGCCAGGGCCTCGCACCGCCGCCCTTTTTCAACATCTACCCCTGCCTACGATACACCTTCACCTCCCCGGCTGTCGCGTCGTCTTTCCGACCAACGCGATGGCTCACGATCTCGCCAGGCGGCTGACAACCACCATCCCGTCCAACCACTGATGCGAGAGTCGTCTTATCGGACGCCCGGGAGAGAGAATCTACCTCCCATCACCACCAGTGCTGACAATTCGAGCCGTTCGCAGGTTGGCCGGAGCTCCATGAGGCCATCCCCCGTTACTCCCAAGCAAATCTCGTTCAAAGATTCCTTAGGAGAGAGTAGCTCGTCCTACCAGCGCAGAAGGCAGTCACTCACGGAAAACAATAACCTCTCATCCCCGAGGGTGACCCAGTACAGGAACGCAAACCTCGTAATGACTCAGGCTCGGACTTACCACTCCTCCCCTTTGGTTCCCAAATCCGCAAATGTTCAGCCGGATGAACCTCAGCCTAATAGCTCAGAAACAAACCACGGCGTCGAGGGAACCGAATCTTCTTCGTCGACGGCAGCACCATCCACTGTTTGGGATGAGCTCGACGAGCTAAAGTCGAGGATCCATCGGCTGGAACGGACGGGTAAAATGCCGCCCACATCTGGTGGGAACGTGTCTAGATCATCTGACGAGCGCCCACGAACTGCAACGACAAATGCCACAACCGTATCCGCTTCCCCCAAGCGCGGTTCAGGGCCCGGTTCGTCACACGCAGAGGGCCACAGTAACAGCACCGCGATGTTACCACGCGAGGCGCAACCCCTACTCCTATCCGCCCTTAGCAAAACGAAGAATCTGCTCAACCCAGACGTGTTCAGCGCCATTGAATCAGCGGCGGCCGACGCCATGACCCTAACGGCACTAATCGGCGCCATTGGCCAACCAGGACCGATTTCGAGCAGCGCGAGCACGATTGGAGGATACAACGGCAGTGTTACAGACAGGCAGCTACGCAAGAAGGCAGACAGCATTTGCAGGTCCCTGACCGAACTGTGCCTCGCGCTGGCTGACCCGACGGGGCGAACGAAGGAACCCCAACCGGCAAGGGTCGTTCTAGATCAAGGGGCAATGATAAGCCCCACCACCACCAACGCTTCTCTAGACGTGGTTGCGCCCCAGAGACGGCCTAGCGCCGTCGCGGAAACGGTAATAAAGGCAAGCACGAGCCCAAGGGCCCCGACATCCCTAGAACAAAAGAGGAAGACGATGCTAGCCAGCATCTCGCTCCCCACCGCCCGCTACGCCACGGCCCCTACCACACCGCTGGACTCTACTGCCGGGCGCAAATCATCTCTCCTCTTGGCCCGGATCCGCCGAACGGCAACCGATGAACCCGAAGAGGCCCCTCAGGGCGGCAGAAGGTCATCGTTAATGTTGAGGTCCAGGAGGAACGGGTCGGAAGAGCCCGAGGAAAGAGGCGAAGGGCGAAACGAAGGCCGAACCGAAGGCCGAAACGAAGGCCGAAAGACATCTCTCCTCCTCCGCAGTCGAAAAACCATGAGCGAAGATGAGGACGAGTCGCGCGCCCGAGGCCCCTCCAGGGCAGTCACCGAAGTAAACAACTTCCGCATGAATCCGCGCGAATCCACCATGGCTGTCCACAATCATCAAGCTCCCTCCGAGATCCCGGCCACCCCTTCCGCGCTGCCGCGTCGCAGGATGATCCCAGCTGCCATCGCCACCCGTCTCGCCGCCGCGGTCCCCTCTGCCTCAACACCGAGCACGCCAGCACGCAAGTACCTCGAACGCAGCTCGCTCCCAGAACGCGGTGCGCAGCCGGAACGCGGTGCGCAGCAGGAACGGGGCGCCTACCAGGACCGGGCCTCGTACCTCGACCGCAGCACGCACCAAGAGCGCGCCATCAACACCCTCTCGGAGAGGCTCGCCGAAGAGCGCGGCCAACAGCAGCGCCAGGCCTCGCTCGGCCAGAGCGGCATGCTCAGCAGGACCGGCAGCCTCGGCCGCCGGACGCGCGAGTCCGGCATCCCCAGTCTCCGCTCTTGAGGGTTGAGGGGAGGCCCATCACAACGAATTCCGCAACAAATTAGACACGAGAGAGCGCCGGGCCGGGGGGAGGGGGGCGCAGATGACGCCGCAAACGACACATGATGAACTTGGCGTATATTGTTACGTTCACACGACTTGTACCAATACCGATATATGCATGTTTGCCGACGGGCGGCATGGCGTTTAAGTCTTTTTTGGGCATCATCGGATATAGGACACTCGCATTTAACGACTTGTTTTTTGCATCCAGCATTCAGCATTGCATCGTTACCGTTGCATTTTATGCATTTTGCACTTTTTTTCTGGTCGGTTTGGAGGATTTGGAAAAAAGAGGACATTGGGCGGTATGGTAGTCTTGGAATTAATCATGGCGTCTTGGTTTCCACGACTGCCTAGGTACGCAGAGATGAAACGCCCATGGGCAAGGAGGACGAATGGATAGTTTTGGTTGTGCTTTGGAAGGGAAGGGGGTATAAAAAGGAGGACGGACGACGTTTTACGCCATTGTTATTTTATGGATATCGGTTGCGCTGTTAGGTCGTTGGGTCGTTTTGCTTCTGCATCTGCGGGGTGGTTTTGGCGGTCTTATATCAACTACTAGAGGCGCTCGTGTTTTTCTCTCTGGGTATTCCAGGTCATTTCTGTCCGGTGTTGGCGGTGGGCAGGATTTGGACGGTCGTCGATACCCTTGGGTTGGAACGGACGCGTGGGCACAAATACGGGTGGGTGGAATGGAAGGCAGCGAGCCGTTTGGGTGGGGCTGGGAGTTGAAGGGCTGTATCTAGTTGTTAACTGCTTGTGTAATGACGATGGGTCTTCTGTTTTTTGTTCACATCGAGTCTCTCTGTTTGTGGTGTTGATTGAATGTGGCTGTCGGCATGACTCACCGGGATACAGTACATGACTTGGCCCCCATTTTAGGTACTACAAGTCTTCGAGAGTATTACAAAAGAGACAACTTGACCGTGTTCTCTACTCCAGACAGTTGGCCCATTTTATATCAAAGAACAATATCTTTCCTTTTTCTCAAAGGGGGGTAATTCCTGGCCTTATCGCGATTAAACCGAAAAACAGCCTCTCTCAACATCTCAACTTTCAACCCCACATTGAATTCCAACCTTAACAAGCAACCTCAAAAAGTGAGCACCACTCCATCCTGCTGTGCTCGTTAAGTACATTCCTTTTTCCCTTCCATCCTGTATTTATGCAAAAACACCTCCTGACGCTGCCCCGCCTTTTCCCGGCCGCAACAGTCACACCCTCTCACGCTTGCACTTCCACACTCCCAACATCCAGATTCTTATCCACCACACCACTCCTAACAGCAAAACACATTCCCAGATCTCAACTCAGGCACCTCAAGCTCAAGCTCAAGTCCAAGCTTACAACTGCCCCAGACACACCCACACGCGCACACACCCATCTGTTAAGAAGCCGAACCGCAACAAAAAAACCAGCAGCAGCAGCAGCAATGGACCCCGCCGCCCTAACAATGGACGGCGACGACGCGCTCGCGGACCGCCTCGAGGATATGGCCATGTCGTCATCCCGGAACTCGGGCGGGGGGCGAGGAGGTGGGAAAAGGAGGGGTGGAAGAGGGGGTGGTAAAGGCGGAGGAGGTGGTGGTGAGGGGGGGAGGGCGAGGCGCGAGGTGGACTTGTCGAGGGCGCTGTCGAGGCTGTTGAGGCATCAGGCGGGGAACGCGGGGGTGGAGCTTGATCGGGAGGGGTTTGCGGATTTGGGGAAGGTGGTGAGTGGTCTTTTTCTTTTCTGTTTTTCTTTTCTGGTGTTTGGTGGCTGGGGGTGGGTTGGTCGGGGGGTGATGGACCGCCGAGTGGCGGCATTATAACTCGGCGAAGAGGAGGATGTGGTCTATCCCTACGATACACGGCAACTAACAAACGCCCAGCTTCAATGGGGCCCCATACGCACCCTCGCTCCCACATTCCCAGAGATCCTCAACGCCGTCCACAACAGCGACAAGCAACGCTTCGCCATCAAGCCCAACCCGGCCACCAACCCGGACCTCGACGAGACCTCCACCGACCCATCCGACTGGCTCATCCGTGCCAACCAGGGCCACTCCATCAAGCTGGACAGCGAGCACCTCCTCAAGGCCCTCGCCCTACCAGCCGACGAGAAGGACAGCACCGCGGCTCTTCCCGAGGGCGCCATCGCCATCCCGCCCGCCGTCATCCACGGCACTTACTTCGCCTTTTGGCCGTCCATCATCGCCAGCGGCGGGCTCAAGCCCATGGGGCGGAACCACGTGCACTTTAGCACCGGGCTGCCGGAGGACTCGGAGGCCGGCGTCATCAGCGGGATGCGCAAGGATGCGGAGGTGCTGATCTATGTAGACGTGGCAGCCAGTCTGAGAGACGGTGGGATCAAGTGGTGGATGAGCGACAACGGGGTGGTGCTGACCGAGGGCGATGCCGACGGGCTGGTGCCGCTGAAGTACTTTAAGGAGGTGACCGGGCGGAAGCAGGATGTGGGCCTGCTGTGGAAGGATGGCGTGAAGGTGGCGGACTTACCCGAGGGTCTGCAGGTGAGGGCGCCGCAGGGGAAGAGGGGTAGTGGTGGTGGTGGGAGGGGAGGACGGGGTAGGGGACGGGGGAAGTGATGGGGGACATGAGAAGATTTTGCCGGGTTATAAGATCGTTATTCTCGGTTTCCCGAACTCCCAAGAGGGTATAGCATCGCCTATATCACCGCTATCAACTGACGATATCCCGTTGTCCATCCAACCCTAAATGCATCGCTCTACTAACCCCTACCCTGCGGGCCACGATGACCATGCTAGATTCCAAAACCCATCTAGGTAGGTGTGTACCAGATCGCATCCATATCCCTTCGGTAAATCGCCAACCGCCAAACATACCCCAAACCATATATACCCCCCCCCCCCCCACCTACGCCTCCCCCGCCTGCGGCAACGGCTCCGGCCCCCCCACCATCGCCATCATCTCATCCACCTCGGCCAGCCGCCTTCCCTCCTCGGCCAACAACCACACCAGCACCTCCTCGGCGGCCTTCTCCCGCGCGTTCCGCCGGCCATACACGTTGGTCACGCGCCCCAGCCCCTCGGGCACCTTGATGGCGTCGGCGCCGAAGTCGGCGCGGCCGTCGAAGAATTGCGGGTTCGAGGGCGTCGTGAATGATGCCGTTTCCCTTTCGGTGGTGGTGGTGCTGTCGGTGGGGAGGAGGGAGGGGGTGATCTTGTAGTGGGGGATGGCGAAGTTGAGGAGGCGGCATTTCTCTTCGACGCGTTTTGTGGCGGGCGGGTCGTCGTCGTCGTTGCTGTCGCTGTTATCGTTGTTGTTGTCGTCGGCGGCGAGGGCGGCGGCGGCGGCGGCTCTTCTTTGGGCGCGGTTGTCGGGGTTGGCATCCGGGTTGTCTCGCTTGGGTTTCTTCGCGGCTGGGGCGGGGGTGGGTGTGCTGGTGGCGTGTCTGGATGTCCGGAGCGGCTTGGGGAACTCGACGCTCGTGCCGTCCGTCGGCATGTAGCCGCCGTTCATGAGCCATTCGATGCAGCACTTGGCGGCGTACTGTTTGGCGTCCTTCTTGCGGCTGAAGCTAGGGGCCGCGGGGATGCCCTGCTCGTTGGGGGTGAAGCCCGCTTCCGGGTTGGGGAAGGCCATTTGCTCGGCGTCGGCGGTCGGCTTGAAGAGGCAGCGGTAGGTCCATCTCTCTTCCGGGGCCGGCTCGTCGATGAAGGCGGGTGTGCCACCGTGGGCTTGGGTGTATCCTGGTGCGTGTTAGTGAGGGGTGTCAGGGGTGATGAGGGGGGATGTTTGAAGTACGATTCATCAGGCTGACCCAATCGCGGTTGCCAATCTCAGGCTCTATCGAGCGTCTAAGATCGGAAATGGCCCGTTGTTGAAGTGGTGAAAGCGGTTTCGGGTTCCGCTCCTGCTCCGCGATCCATTCCTTCAGGTCGCGATAGTCGACGGGTTCATCCAGTATCGACATACTAGTGGCAGCCATATTTTTGTATTTTTGCTCGTGGGAAAGTGGGATTGTGAGAATGTGAAATCACCCAAATTCTTTCTTTTTGTTAGAGGTGGCATGGATTTGAGAAAGGTTGAGCTGAATATTTGTTTCCAGTGCAATAGAAACCGAGCTCTCAGGCTCTCAGGCTCTCATGCAATTCTGACTGAAAGTGAGGCCCCCAACCCCACTTCATCACCCTCCACCTTGCCCTCCGCATGGAAGAGCCGAGTCTCGAATGCACCTCTTTTCTATGACGAGTACATATGTAGTGAGGCCCGCCATTTATAGCAGGCTCAAAGCCCACATCCGAACCGATTATCCGACCTCTGGAAGTCCCCACGCACCCTGTTTCACGTCTCCCACCTATCCGTACACAGTACCTTAACTAAATAGCTTCACGCTTAGGTCCATCATGGCGTCCAAACCATCTCCGTCGACACCGGTGTCAGCTTCATCATTTGTAGGACAAGGGCAAGACACCGATTTACCAACTATCCGATTTAAGAATACGCGAGATCTCTTTGACGTGATCTATTCCACGCCTGGGGATTCCCTCGCTGTTACACGTATCGTGTTACGCTTTTATTGCCATATAGTAGCAGTATAGTTACTGATTATTCAAGATGTCTCGCCTGCCCATTTCGCCACAATCGAGCGTGTGCGAGACAAGCAACGCCGCAAGTTCCGTTTCCGCCGTTACGATAGCGATTGCCAGACCCTTTTCATCGCCATCCCAACCCACCTCCATGAAGCACTCCATGCCCAAATTTATCAGAGTTATTATGTCAAACTTGTCAGAAGTGGCAGAGGCGATAGGAGCTGGGTGTCAACCGGTGCTGCTACTTGTCGAGCACAAGGCCATCCTGGAGGAGATGCTGCGGAGGGCGACTGTACTGGCCGCCCACGCTCAAGACATGATGCAAGAAGCCCCTGGCCAACACTCCTGGTCGAAGCGGGAGAAACCGAGTCATTGGCCAGATTGCGCAACTACATGATCTGGTGGTTTTCTGCGTCAGATCACGACGTCAAGATCGTTCTCCTCGCCAAGCTTGACCATACTCGCCGCACTATTACCTTGGAGAAGTGGGAGGAAGAGCCCGGCAGCACTCGTCCAGGAGCAACAACAACACGGGCCGCTGCTGCCCTCCACCCGGTGCTCCGGCAAAGTATTACCATTACTCAGGATACCACGACTGACCCAACATCGTACCACGTCACCAGTGAATTGGTGCTCGGGTTCAGCCTCCTCTTTCTTCGAGATCCGGGCCCGGGCGAGGGAGACGTTGTCCTGAGCATTCAAGATCTCGAGTGGTACGCGGAATGCGTTTGGAAAGCATTGTAAGATGAAGTAATTGGCAAAGGAATGAATGGGGAAGACCGGCCTTGTTTCTTTTCAATGGAGGCACTCAAGGTTGCGAGTCGATGTGTGAGCCGTGAGCCAGGAGGCAGATCCAGGCCGCTGCGGTAGGCCTCATTCCCCAGCGACTGTGTCCGCTGGCTGGCTTGCTCACGGTTTAACCCGAAGTTCGATTCCAACCCACCCAACTCAGCTTCATGCGGTATAGGGAACGGGGGTTGAGAAACTGTACAATATTTCGCACTCCATGGTATGGGTATCAGAATTCGCGTCAGTCGCTTACAATACTAGAGACTAGAGACAATCCACTTGGGGCCTGCTTGTCATGCTCACAAAAAACCGCTTTCAATCCTCTTCGAAGAAACCACCATCATCGCTCCCCTCATCATCGTCTTTCGTCCCCCTGGCATGCCCCTTCTTATGGTTCGGTCTTGATTTTGACGTCTTCGCCTCCGGCTGCGGGACTCCCTTCCTCGCCTTCTTTGTCGGCTGTTGTTTGGACGGGGCATCGTCCTGTGCTGGCTGCCCAGTAACCTCTGGACCCGAATTCGTCTGCGGCCGCCTATTCTGCAACCTCTCGAGCGCAGCTTGGCCGTCCTCCCTCGTCTTCTCCACAACGGTCCACATGGGCGGCCGTGGGCTACGCAGATATAGCGCCGCCTTGTTCGTCTCCTCCTTCTCTCCCGCTGCGGCGCCGGCGTACAGGCTGATGTAGGGCTCCAGGAAGGGGAAGTATATCGCGTAGTCAGTGTCGACCTGCGCAACATGGAGGTCGGCTTTGAGCTGAGCGACCTCCTCGGGGTCCGTCGCTTGCGCAACCTTCTTTTCGAGCTGTTTGGCAAATCGCATTGCCTTTTTCCTTTCTAGTCGTGGGGTTAGAACCGGCAATATGGGTAGTAGGAATAAAGTCTGGCATACCAAAGAACCGAACCATGTGGTACTTGTGTATCATGTGGCTTCTATCCTTCTTCATCCGCGTATCTTCGATACGCTGCTTGTGTGCCGCCAACTCTCGCTCGAGGTCGTTCTGCTTGTTTGCCGGAAGCTTCAGGTTGTCCCGCGCGAGCAGCCTCTCAATTGCCCTAGCACGCTTCTTGATCGCATTGAGGCTGTTGATGTCGACGGCCTGTGGCCTTGGTTTATGCGGCCGGTTGGTCCTCAGTCGCTTTCTCGCCGCGTTCTCGAAGCCGTGGCCCGAAGACTCGGTGTCTCGATGCGGCCTTTTACTGCCCATTTTCCTTTTTCCCGTCTCGGTGTTGGGCGTTAGAAGGCAGTCGTTTGGTGTTCGAGTGTTTGTAGAGCGAGTCGAAAGTTAAGCGTTCAGAAGGTCCAATCGATCCCACTAAGCCAGAAATTTTGGGCCCCGCCGTGCGTTGCCTGCCGCGAGTGTGCATAGGGTTAGGGTTGCGTTGCCGGCTTGAGTATCGCATCGCCTCTCCACACTCCTCTCCAGGAAACTACTCTCTCGGATGCTTCATGGATGAACTTAACCAATTCCATGTTTATGTTTGCATGGTGATAAAACAAAACAGCATCAAAACCGAAGTGAGCAATTGAGGACGGGTTGAATCTAGAGAAACAGCACTCGTTTCTCTCTGCAATCCTCCAGCCTCGGAAATCCCCGTCTCATCATTATCCATCGCATAATCCGCATCCCGCCAGTGACCATCAGCAATTCATCACTATTCAGTTCTGTCCGTCGCCGCAATGGATCGATCTGACTCGGGCTTGATCAAGTGGTCGCCAAGCGCAAACCGGGATTCATTTATACATATCAATTTACAACATCGTGTGGTGCAGCTCTATGAACCGACAGGCATAGCCCAGGGAGGGCTGTTCGAGCACAGGAAACTCACAAAACACGATGATTTCCCGCCTCTCACCACCTATGACTGGTCTCCGACCGTGCCCGGCCTGGTTGCCGTGGGCACATCAACCGGCGTGGTTAACCTGTTGCGGGTCGACGACAACTCCAACGCCTATCTAGAGCTCGGCCTGAAGATGTCGCGCACTTGCCAGGCAGTGGCATTCAATACAACTGGGAAACTAGCCGTCGCACTTGATAGGGTCAGGAGCGATACCTGCCTACATATATGGGACGTCAACCGTCTCTCGACTATGGATGCTACCGTCTCCGGCTTCCCTGCGAATGCCCGGATTCCTTCGGAGCCGGTTGAGAGGCTGGAGTTGAATGCCTCGGTGTCTAGTGTCAGATTCTTTGAGGACAACCCTAACGTGTTAGTTGCGGCTGTCAAGGGTCAAGGCTTGCGGATCCATGATCTACGAGGTAAAGCTGCCTTTGACAGTGACTTCGAACCTCTCGACTGACCAACAATCTTTCTTACTTAGACCAAGGACAGGGGCCAGTCGCCCAGTTCCAAACAAAATGCTGCAACAACCTGGCCATCGACTATGCCGACCAAAATTACTTTGCGTCTTCTGCCCTCGACATCCCCGGTGTCATGATCTGGGATCGCCGAGCCACTAGCCGGCATAACGCCAACCAGTCCTACAGTGATGCCCTTGAACAGGACGGCCTTCCCTGGGGCGGAGCTCTGTGGCTTGACCGCGCGGTGCAGAACGAAACAAATCCTTCCGATAGCGGGGACTCCTTCATACGTGCCCTCCGCTTTTGCCGTGACCATGCGGGCCTGCTTGGTGTGCTCTCGCGAACTGGCCAGCTGAGGGTTCTGTCGACGAGACGCGAGCATGTCGAAGACGACGTCAGGGTGGACGGTAGTCCCGAGCTCCTCGAGGTCAGACGGTCATACGAGTTGGACCCTCTCTACACCGAACCCAACCGCAAAAATGACAAGATCATCTCGTTCGACTGGATCACCATGAGCTCTCCCGTCCTTCAGCCCCGGGCCTTGGTGCTTAGGGCGAGCGGCGCTCTCGAAGTGCTGCAGAAGCCATCCTTTACTTCAGAGCACCCCTTCAAGCTAATACCATGGCAGCCACCGCATCGGGGGCAAGCCGGTATGTCCTAAATACCCCCTGAAAACGAACAGCGTTAACGGCTTCACAGATGGGACGGATTACCAGGAGTTGATGAACTTCGAGCCGCCGCACGCACTTGATATTTTTGGCCCGTTCTTGACAGAACAGGCCCTTTCAGACATACCGCTGTTTGGGCCAGATAAGGCGAACGTCAGGTCTCTAGTAGAAAAGAGTCTGACAAGTGCAACGCCCGATGACCGTCTCGTTACGGAGGAATCTAAAGGCAGCAGCTCCTCTCTATTGTTCGACGACGCATCTCCAGTCGCCGACAAGCTCAAGGCACTGAGGTTGGCTTCGAAACAAGGGAAAGAACAGCCGGACGAGGCGCTTCTGTCTCAGTTGGAGCGGCACGAGAAACTGCTTACTGATGCTAGGGACATGGCGGGCCTTTCGAGCAAAGAACGGTTTGCTCTCGATAACACCATGCTTCTCCGCGCACAAGAGGGCTACCGCTTTGACTTTGTCAAAAACCAGGAGATTGTCGCCGATGATCCCTGGCTGACGGATGTTTGGGCCTGGGCTGCCGGTGAGTACGGTGGCAGTTTATCGTCAGTCTCTAGATTCTAACCAACCCCGACAGGCGCCGAAGCGGCCGCTGCCGACGGCGGGATGATATCACACCCTCTAGATATTGGCTATATGGGAGTTCATAGTGTCTGGACCAACGACCTTGGTGAGTAATCGCAGTCCCCTCGGGTTCCGCGTCTGACGCCAAATAGGGAGCAAGCCTCAGATGAGGCTGTCGGACGACTCGTTACCCCCTGACGAGGGCGGGTGGGAACGCTGTCTGAACGCGATAAACAAGAAGCTTGGGGTACCCAAGTTTGACGGAACAGTAGAGACTAAGCGCTTACATCACAGAGAGATGTGTCTCGAGATATGCTGCCTCGGCCGCTCCTATGATGAAGAATTCAAGCAGGCAGTGTCCACGTCGAGTCCGGGGAGAGAATCGGCGTGGTACACCATGGTCGCCGCCCATGCCGTATTCAGAGGAGACGTAAAGCGGGCTGTACAGGTGCTGAAAAAGGCCAGCTCAGAGCACCCGGAGCTGCTGTTCGTCTCGCTAGCGCTCCAGCTGATCGGCAAGGCCGGCGACGACGACACCAAGACAGCACTCGATTTCGACGAGAGGGTGGCCTGTAAGACAGACCCCTACCTGCGCGCAATCTCGGCCATCATCGCGACCGGCAACTGGGCCGAGATCGCCGATCAGAGATCCCTACCTCTACGCGACCGGTGCTTCGTCGCGGTCCGCTACTTCAGCGACGACGCCCTCACCGCCTGGCTCGAGCAGGAAGTGACCGCCGCGATCAGCACCGGCGACATCGAGGGCATCATCCTCACGGGCATGACGGACCCGCTCGTCGACATCCTCGCGCGCTACGTGCACAAGTTCAACGACACGCAAACGGCCACGCTCCTCCTCTCCACCTGCGCGCCGCGCTTCATCGACGACATCCGCGCCACCGCCATGCGCAACGCCTACCGCTTCTACCTCCAGCGCCACCGCGCCTTCTTCTTCCGCGCCAAGTTCGACGTCGAGTCCACCCTCCGCAGCAAGCACCACGGCCGCCCCACCGTCCCGCCCCCCTCCCGCCAGATCGGCCTGCGCTGCGTCTACTGCGACGTCGAGTTCAAAACCGAATCCCTCCCGCCGCGCACCGCCGGCAGCGCCAGCGGCGGCGGCGGCGGCATCCCACCCCTCCGAACGGGCCCCAGTAGCGGCTTCAAGCCCTCAACAACAACCACCACCAACACCACCGCCGCCTCCTCCGCCATCCCCACCCCGACCTCGACCCCGACCCCGCGCACCGAAGCCCGCGCCCACCAGCAGCAGGCCAACCCTTATACAGAAAAGATGGTCGCCGCCGGCATCAGCTGCCCCAGCTGCAAGCAGCACCTGCCGCGGTGCGTCGTGTGCCTCGAGGTCGTCGGCATGCCGCGCAGCAGCAGTGGCAGCAGCAGCAGCGCCAGCGCCAGCGCCAACACCAACACCAGTGGTAATGGTAGTGGTTATGGTTATGGTTATGGCAATGGTGGTGGTGGTGGTGGTGTTGGGAGCGATCACGAGGCGCGGCGGCGCACTGCGCGCTTCCCGACCTTTTGTGTCGCCTGTGGGCACGTCCTGCATCTGGACCATGCGCGGCAGTGGTTTGCGCGGCATCGCGAGTGTCCGGTGCCCGAGTGTCGGTGTCTGTGTAATTCGAGGGTTAATGAGGAGTTGGAGTATGCTTAGCTGGCTGACGGACGGGTTGGAGTATGCTTAGTTGGCTGATGAGTTTGGGGTGGGCGCGGGGGCGTTGATGATGGTTCGGTGTTTTGGTAAATAGTTTTGGGGTTGGGTAGTATGGGGATCTGCGGTGATGAATTCATAGTTAACATAGCCTGTTGCTGTATTTGTCTACGCTGAAACGGCTCCCCTTTTGAGCGTGCTTTTCGGGATGCAAGCCAGCTGATGCACTGCTCGGTTGGAGATGCCTCCTGGTGGGAGCTGTAGATTGAGTCAAGGCGGAGTTTTGGAGAAGGAAGGTAAGCCGAATATCAGGACTTGTTGTTACATGCGTTATTCTCGGGTCAATTCTAACAGCAAGAGGCCTGGTTCTGAGTACATGATGAAAGGCTTGGCTGGCTATTAACTCCAAAAGTCAAGAATCTCAGAACAACTGGTAGGTTTCTTTTCATCGCCTTGCGGGTAAGTCTAGTTATTTCAGAGAGCCGTCAGACGTCGGTTGAAACCGCAAACTCGCGGTGGGTTCACGAAGTTTACTGTGGTATTTGGTCCAGCTCAGCCGTTGCTTGTTTCTCCGCAATGCCAACGTTAAGCTTTCCTGTACCAAGCCAGCAATGACGACACAACAGGAGCTGAGGAGCTTGTTCCGTCGATGGTGCCAAGGCCATCCCGCTCCTTTGGGTCTTGGACTCTTGGGATTTCTTGGGACTTTCTTGGGAGCCCGGAGTTCAAGTCCCATCTGTTCCTGGGCACCTGGGCAACGGTAGCCGGAAGGACGGCGAACCGGGGGCAAGGGGCCAAGAAACCTGGGGGAAGCTCTTGGCCCAGACCGCTCGCCAAGATCGGGCCAAGGGCGGCCAAGAAAGGGCCAAGAAGGGTCGAGAGACCGCCAAGATCGAGGAGAGGGTTGTCGTTGATAGTGACTTACCCAGACGAGATGAGGAAACGGGAGGGTCTCTCCGCGGTGCATCCAAGTCAAAGGATGATGACAACGGGGCATTCGGGGAACTGTGTATTTGCAGTAAGGCGAATAAACCTGATTTTAGGCAGCGGGATCGAGATGCACAGCATCAACTATTCTCGAGAACCCCCTGAATCCTCTCCCGTTTCGGTGAGCTTACATGGTAACCCCCTTTCCAAGATATTCACGTGTCAGCGTGCTTGGCGGGGAGCTGTTGGAATGGTGGGAGGGTGGGTCACAAGGAGGGGTTCAACGGTGGGGGCTGTCTTTGGCACTGAAAGGTCGGTATCACATCATGTCATGGCGGATCCTGCGGATGATCTCAGCGACTTCATTGTCTCCTTTGGCCGTAGTGTACTGTATGTACTGTCTCGACTGTACACAGTATTGTGTCCACGGTAGAGTGGCGCCACCCGATAGCAGTGGCAAGCGACCTACTTGTGCTGTTGATACACAGTATGGCGGGGAATATCCGAGGATATTATGTACATAGTCGATGGAAAGAAGGGTTCAACATCCAACCACGTGTTGTTTGTCCCGGGTTGACTCGCAGCAGCACCCACCGAGCTGCCGAGCCATTCCACCCACACTCGAGCCGCCGACGTTCAAAGCCCAGAAACGGGAGTGAACGGGCTGACGGTCTTGGCCACCTCCCCGCCTGCTCAGCGGGACTGTTCAACCGGCGCTGAAATGAAGGTTCCAAGCGAAAAGGGGGCTGTGTTGGACCCAAGCTGATGGTATTCGCTGGAGGGACGAACGGGAGTCGGGGAAGACGGGTCGCCAAGTACTTGGCACGCGGAGGCTTGATCTCTTGGCCCGGCTGGCAAAGCTTGGCATCAGTTGAGGAATCGCGAGTCTCACGCGGGTTGCTTGTTCGCGTTGGGAGCCGGGTTGGCGGTCGACTCCGTGTCGAATCTGTTTGACCTCCACGTCAGTCAAATCAAACTTGCAAACGGTACCCAAGAGGGGGCTCCTTCCCCGGCCTAGAAAGGTTCTTCTTGCCTCCATTTGCTTCTCTGAATCATTTTTTCTTCTTTTTTTTGAAGAGGGGATGATGCCCGACGCGACCCATTTCAGTGGAAACCGACCAACAACAGAAAGAACCAAACCCGCTCTTGGTGGGCCGAGGGATCGCTCGATTTGGCCAAGCAAGAGCACACAGTGGAGGTCCGCCTGAGCAGCCTGGGCATTTCTGGGCAGGCTGGGCAAAGCGTGTGACCAAGGGGCAAGGGCAAGGAGCGCCGCCAAGGCCTCTCCTACAAATACCAAGCCTTGGCTCTGACTTGGCGGGGCTTGGCGCGCGTCGGCGGACAAGTCGCTCTGTTAGGTCGGCGCGACCTGCAGCCGGGTGGTTGCGTATCTGCACGCTCCCTTGGCAACAATTGGTACGCAGGACGGCCCGAGGACCCCTCTCTTAGCCAATGAGCTCCGCTTGGCATCCGAGGCCCAGGCTGCCAAGCACCCGCCAAGCCCTCCGCCAATGTTACTGCCATAAGAGTGAAGGCGTCATAAAGACAGAACGGCCCGCTGTTCTGCTGAACTGAAATGTTGATCGATTTTCCCCTTAGCATCGCCAGAGTAACGCGCAAAAGGCATCAGTTTACACACCAAAGTTCAGACGATTTTTCCGCTTTGTGTTTTGCACCGATCTTCCATCGTCCTTGGCATCATTCTTGTTCCGCGCTGCACTGTCGACTCTCTTGGCCTTGGCGCCCTTGCTGCAGCAGTCGTTCAACTCTGGGCGTTCTTGGTAAAGAGTGGGGCACATAGAGTTTTCAGCACCACCACGTGATTTTCGGAACGGAACAAGTTCAGCAGCAACAACACACCGACCTGACCGTGCCTGAGGACCCTGCCAAGCATTCAGCGACCGAGCACGGAACCATGTCGGGAATCTCGCCGCCCACTCAGGCTCCGGCCCAGGACGGCACCAATGCCGCTCCGGTCCCGGCGGCCCCTGCTCCGGGAACCTCGAATCCGGCGTCCAACGATAATACCCCGGCGCCTTCGACCGGAGCGACCGCGAGCTCTAATTCAAGCTCAGGCCCGGATGACAACCTGGTCTGCCATTGGGGCGCCTGCAAGGAGCCCTTTACCTCGGCCGAGGCCCTCTATGTAAGTTGCAAAAGTGAATGAATGAATCCACGATTCGATTTCAAGAATGCCATTGAAAATCGACATGGAAAAATACCAATGGAAAACTAAAATTAAAATGAATTTATCGGGTCGCTGACACTTCTCCAGGAACACATTTGCGAGAAACATGTTGGTCGCAAGAGCACCAATAACCTCAACTTGACTTGCCAGTGGAACCAATGCCGCACCACGACTGTCAAGCGCGACCACATCACCTCGCACATCCGCGTCCATGTTCCCCTGAAGCCGCACAAGTGCGATTTCTGCGGCAAGTCGTTCAAGCGGCCCCAGGATCTCAAGAAGCATGTCAAGACTCATGCCGACGATTCGGTTCTTGTCCCGGGCCGCAACCCCCAGGACCAGCCCGGCGCCATGAACCCTAGCTACCGTCCTCACCCGGGCACGAAGCGTACGTATTTCTCCTCGATCCTCGAATTTACCTACCCTCTCGAGACCCCGGGGCTGATCTTCCTCTAGCTCCTTCCGGCTTCTATGACCACAATGGCCACATGCGCGGTGCCAACCCGGCTCACTTCAGCCACCCCCACCAGAATGGCCAGGCTAGCTACTACGGCCAGCAGCAGCAGGCGCCCCAGCCGGCGTACCACACCCCCATGTACTACCAGCATCCGATGGGCGGCTCCCGCCCGGACTACATCGGCCACCAAGCCGCGGGTTTTAACGAGGCCGCGCGGAAGCGTGAGACAGACAGCCTAAACGAGTTCTTCGGAAACATGAAGCGCGCTCAGATCGACCCGCGCTCGTATAACCAGATTGGCCGCTCGTTGATGCCCGTTCACTCGTCCCTCGCCATGTCTGCCGGCGGTGGTCTGGCCACCGAATACATGCCGCAGGCCCCGCACACGCTCGGTGTCGGTGCTGCTTCAAACGGCCCGCTGGCGCAGCACTACTACCTGCCGCCCATGCCCAATCTCCGCACCAAGGAAGACCTCCAGCAGATCGACCACATGCTCGAACAGATGCAGTCGACCATCTACGACAACTCGGGGTCGCCCAACGCGTCCTATGCGCCCGTTGACATGCGCCACTCTCCCACGTATGCGACCCGCCCGGCCGTCGACGGGTATGCCGTCACGGCTGCCCAGGTCATGTCCCCGCTGAGCGCACCGACCCACTCCGCCGGCAACACACCTGCCGTCACCCCGCCGTCGAGCAACATGTCGTACACGTCCGGCCATTCCCCGACCGCTTCTTCGGTCGGCCTGTCGCCGTCGTCCCGCCACAGCTCCGCCTCGGTCTCGTACCCGAACCTCCCGAACCGCCCGAACCTGCCGTATCCGTCGGCCGCCGGCCTCGGTTCGACCTTTGCCCATAACGAGCGCCGTCTCTCCGGCGGCATGCTCCAGGGCTCACGCCGCGACGGCGACCGCACCCCCACTCCCAAGGGGCCCGACGGCGCCGCCGTGAGCTCGCCTTCGGAGGAGTCCGAGGGCGGCGAGACCGAGTCGTACGACGAGTGGCTGCAAAATATGCGCTCCGTCGACTTCCTCCGCGCTTACGTGCGTACCCGCCTCGAGCGTCGCGAGTACGAGGAGGGCTCGGACGACGGCCGCGTCGACAACAGCCGCATCGACCCCATGCTCGTCGACCGCAGCCGCGAGCCGCGCGTCAGCTACCCCTCGCTGCCGCCCATGCAGTGAGCGGCGACGTGAGCGAGCGGTCCATGCTCATCCAAGGGACGTGGTTCGGAACCCGGCCTCATGCCTCAAGGGTTCCTCTCACATCCCATTTCTTTCGTTTTCTGTTTCGCAAGATACCTCTTCTCTCCAGTCTGTCATGTAACAACTGGGACCTTCTCGCTCGACTGGCCCGCAGCGTGTGGGTTAGCGGGACGAGGCCTAATGATTTCTGTCGCTTCACAGCTCCGTTATCAATGACCGGTTATTCTGGGGCGCATTCGCTTTTCAATGGCTTCCCGGCTTCGAGCCGCATGATTGTATGGGTCTGGTTATGTACACTACCGGCTTTGGGGTGTTTTTTTTAGTTGCTCTTCACTCTGCAATTCAAGGTCTAACTAAAGCCAACTCTGTGTGTTTTTTGTGGCTTGGCGGGCAGGTAGAAATTGTCAAGTAGAAGTGAAGCAATTTTCCGCGTTAAACAATGGTATCTGCCTGCCTGAACATGATATGTCTGTCATACGTTTACCCATCCTCATACCCCTCCATGCCAACCTCCTTCATATGTTATACAATTACGCCCCCATCCATGCCAACCTCCATCCTATGCTATACGATCCCTCCCATCACAAAACCCTCCAAATCGCCCCGGCCCTCGGCGTCCCCTCCTCTGTCCCGCCCGACCCCTTCCGATTCATCTCCTTCACCCACGCCATCTCGTCCGCCACCGCCTCCCGCTCCATCTGCTCCATCAGCTCCAGCTCGGCCAGCATCCCGTGCACCAGCGCGCGGCACCCCGCCAATATCCGGCTCAGACTCGACGGCTCCTCCCCTTCCTCAGCAGGCGGCGCCTCGCCCAGATCCCGCAAGTTCCGCCGCCACTCGTCCAGACGCCGAACAAGCGCCGCATGCTCCTCCCGCCAGGCCGCCGACGGCGTTGGTATAAAAAGCTCCTCCCCATCCGCCGCCTCGTCCCCCTTTCCGTCTCCACGTCGCCGACCCTCCAAAACCCTCTCCACCCCGCCAACCCACCCCTCAAACCCCCTCACCACCCTCTCAAACCGCCCCTTCGCCTCCCCGACCCCCCACAGCCCCGTAACCACCCCATCCAACAGCACCACCCTCTCCTCCAACCCCATCCCCCCCTTCCCACCACCACTTGAACCACCACCACCACCAATATTACCAATACCACCACCACCCCCAACCCAACCCATCAAAACCCCAACCGCCCTCTCCACCCTCACATCCCCCTCCAACCCCGCCACCTCCCCTTCCAAACCCCTCACCACCTCAAACCTTCCCCTTAGCACCTCCCGCGCACTACCCTCCCACTCTGTGCGCGCGGCGGCCGCGTCGCGGTGCAAAAGGTGCAGCTGCAGCAGCTCGGCCTGGAGGCGGGCCGTCTCGGCCGAGAGGGCGACGTTGGCGGGCAGCTTGGAGGGGGAGGGCGGGGCGAGGATGGCGGATGTTAGGGCTTTGGGGGCCGGGGGTTTGAGCGGGGTGTAGTGCTGTTGGTGGGTGTTGAAGGCGGGTTTGGGGGTTGAGGTTGTGGGGATGGGGGGGAGGGGTTTGGTGCTGGTGGTGGTCTTGGTGGTTGAGGTCTTGGTGGTTGAGGTCTTGGTGGTTGAGGTTGTGGGGATGGGGGGGAGGGGTTTGGTGCTGGTGGTGGTGGTGGGGACGGCGGGTTTGGTGAGTGGGGATTTGGTGAGGGGGGATTTGCTGGTGCCGGAGGATCTGGGTTTGGGAGGTGCTGCTGGGAGGGAGGAGAGGGAGAGTGGTCGGCGCGGCGTGGTGGTGGTGGTGGTGGTTTTGGTGGTGGTTTTGGTAGGGGGTGAGGGTGGGGCTGCTGATCCGGGTGGCCGTCGGGTATGACTTGACAAGAGCGGGCGGGGGCGGTCTGCTACGGTGGTGGATGAGCTTGTGGTGGATGTCTGTGATGGTGGCCGAAGGGTTGTTGTGCTGGACAGGGCCGTCACGGAGGACTTGGCGCGAGCATGCCGGGATGCGGGCCCGGTGTCCGGCCCCCGGCTAGTGCTGGTGCCGGAAGCAACGCGGCGAGAAGTGGGGACTCCCGAGGAGGTCGTAGGCCTGGTTGCTGGCAAGCCCGGTGTAGATGACCGGCTCGAAATTGATGTCTGGCGAATGGAAGCCGTACGAGTAGGACGGCTCGGGGGTGATGCCTCTGGTACGGGGCTGCTCTTCTCGCGCTGCTGTGAGGATGTCGAGGCGATACGAGCGAATACGCCTGATAATGGACGAGCGCTCCTCGCAGAGCCGCTGCTGGTAGTAGCACTTCTCGTTAGGCGGGTCGTTGCGCTGGCTGCTGCCCCCGATGTCTGTCCCTTAACAGGCAATCTGCTGGGCGAAACATTGCGCAGTTCACCGCTGCTGCTCGTCGTCTCTGGTCTACTGCTTGGCTTGCGCAGTGAGCGCGCACGCGACAGCGCGCTGGTGGATGTTGTCGACGACATTGCTACCAATTCCAATGTCGTGACAATGATGGATTTAGCAACGAGTCTGCCAGATGGATTTGTTTATTTGGAAGTTGTCGGTCGAGTCGCCGCATTCAAGGGTTGTTGATTTGTGGTTCCAATCGATGCAACCGGCAAAGCTGACACGCTAAAGCGAACCCCTGGTAGCGGGGCGTTCCTGGCTTCCGACAGCGCGCCTTGCAAGGCGGTCAGCCCCTGCCCAGTCACGGCAGCGCAGCTGGCAATCATAAGTGGAGTGGGTTGCATCAAAGTCACCAAATCGCGATGAGCATCTTTATGGGGTTCGAAAGAAAACAACAGAAATGTAACTAAGCCTTGTCCCAACACCTGATACATCAACGAAGAGAGTGATGGACAATCTGGGAAATGTCATGCATTGGACAAAGCGGCTTTCTATTTCGGACGACCGCTTGACCGTAGACGAGACATCTACACACCTATCTATCCTCGTCCAACCGTTATATACCAAAAAAACGTATGGTTCCACGTATATCTCCTCCCAATGGTATCTCTAAAACCATGGTTTCTGCCCTTATCACATCGTTTAGGTATGTATATACTCATCATCAGCCCCAGGCTTCTCTAGCCGTCAAGCTAACCACCCTAAGCAGATCTACCGCTTTTCAAACACCAAACCACAAAAAGGAACCAAATATACGTATATATCAAAGCCGGCCCCAGAAGAAATAGACGAATAAACGATAGAAAAAGATGTCCGCAGAGCGCCCTCTATCCGGGTAGTCACCTGCCCACCTCTACATCCCCACCTCCACCACTCCCCCATCCCCAGCAAACCCATTCCCAATCCCATCCCCCCTCTCAACCTTCCTCCCCCTCCCCACCTCCCTCACCACCGCATCCACATCCCCCCTCACCCGCCTCAGCACCGCCACACAGCCCGAGCACACATTCAACGCGCAGGCACTGCAGATGTAGCACTCGGCGTTCCGGTCCGCGTGCCCGCACGTGCGGCAGGCGACCGGGTTGGCGCGCTGCCGGTTGGCCGTCATGTAGCGGTGGCGGGTCAGGCAGGCGCGGTGGCGCGCCGCCAGCGGCCGCGCCTCGGCGACCGCGTCCGCGGGGAGGGGGGTGTACCACCCCCGCGGGAACAGCGCCGCCCCCGGGTGGTCCGTCGTGTCCGGCTCGCTAGGGTCCGGATCGCGGAGCGGGAGGTCGGGGGGGAGGACGGTGTTTGTGGGGTGGATGTTGTTGGTGTAGTTGCTGTTGTTGTCCCATCCGGTGGTGGTGGGGGGCGGGGCGGTGAGGGTTAGGCTGGGGTGGGAGGGCTGTTGGCGGAGGAGGGTCGGGTCTCGGGGTTGGGGTGGTTTTACTGTCTCGACCGACCCTGTTTCCGAGATGGTTCGCGGGATGGGGTCGCGGTTCGGGTTCTGGGGCCAGGGGTTGAGCTGGGTGGTGGACTGGGGAAGACCGGTTTGTGATGGCTCCTGACGGGGAGCGGGGGGGAGGGTGCGCTCGTCTTCGTCACCCTTGGATGGTGGCGTTGGAAACTGGGTTGAAGCAAGGCCATTGCTTCGGTCGGCCGGCGGGGAATAGGGGATGTACTGTTTCTGGCCTGTTTGGTCCCGCTCAGACGCCGGCGGAGAGTAGGCAAGGTATTGGGGCTGGTTTGTAGTTTGGCTCCGGTCTGGTATTGGGGATACCGGCAGAAACTGGGCCTGGTTTGTAGTCTGGTTTTGGGCGACCGCGGGAGGCGCGGCGTGCTGTGTCTGCTTCGGCGCCTGGTTGATATCGGGCCGTGGAGACGTTGGGAGACCCATCTGTGAACGCACAGCTAGTCCCGTATTGATCGGTCCCGGTGCCAGAGATTGGCTGCTCTTGGCATGGCGAAGCTGCGCTTCTGTGGCCCCGATAGCTTTTCGGGCTACCGGCTTTGTCTCGCCAGGAAGCTCGAGAGATGACGGCGGTGACAGTGGCGAAACGACCGTGTCTGGCTGTGGACTTTTGACATCGTTGGTTCCATACTCGGGCGTGGGGAGGCGCGCGGCCGAAACTGGGGAGACGGCCGCCGATGTCGCGGGACTGAGCGTTGTCTGATATGCCTGCGCTTCCTGGCTTTTCGATTTGAGTTCCTCCCGGCTTCCTTGTCGCCTCCCATTCCCTAGCTTCTCCTTGAGCCGCGACGCCTCTTGCCCCATACTTGCTACCCCTTGCGATGTACCTTCCCGCCCAGCAGCGGGCCGGATATCCCGTCCAGGCAGACCCCCGTTGCCACTTCGTGGTGGAGCTCGTTGTGTTGCGGCAGGCTCGAGCGTTTCGGGGTTGCTCCGGGGAGGGAGTGGAAACGGTTGCGAAAACAGATCGCTCCCGCTCTGCTCGGTGTTTTGGGCTGACGCGGCAGTGGAACCGTGACTGGAGACCAGCTTGAGATCCGGAACGGCCAAGCTTTTATCGGCTTTGAGCGATCGCCGTCTCCAGAGTTCCCCTTGCTGCGGAGAGCCGTTCCCTAACGGCGATCCGGTATTCGTCGACGTTGATGGTTGCGTAATATGGGTTTGCAGGTCGGTGGGCGTTCGAGGTCGCGGAATGCTGCGCTGGGCATCTTTCAAAGGCGGCGGCGGCGGCAGTTCTTTGCGATCTCCCTCGGAAATTCGATTACCATTGTGCTCTTGCTTTTGCACATTTTGATCCGATGGTAGCGATGGCAAGTCACGCGTGGGGGCTCCGGACTGTGTGCCACTTCTTTGCGTGTCTAGGCTTGGTAACACGACCGAATAGGCACCTTTTGAGTTAAGCACCCCCTTGGGTGAGGTTGCTGATGACGACCTCGGCGAGTCGGCCGTGTGGTTGGAGTAGGCCGATAGGAGACTCGAGATGGAACCCCCAGGAGAGGACAGCGGGTTTGGAGACGCCAACGCTGGGGAAGAGGTTGGCGCCAGCGTTGGTGCCACGGTAATGGGAGCTGCAACGGGCCGCCTTGGGATGCTCCGAGGCGGCGGGCCGGCAAACTTGGGGGGCAAGGACGGCAGCGGAGAGTTCAGTGGCTTAGCCATCGTGGCCATCGTCGTCTCATTGGCTTGCGCAGTCTCGATTTTCTTTGGTGGTACGGGCGGCAGCGGCGCGTTGGGTTGTGTAAGAGGCAGTGGCTTATCAAGGCCCAGTGAGAGATCAAGTGTTGACTCAAACTCAAAGGTTGGTAGAGCAGGAGGGGCCGGGAGAGCTTTCGAGAAACGAGACCGCCCGGATTTCGGGGGCTGGAGGGTCGAGGCCCCCATCATATCGACCCTTGATTCCGTTGCCCCGGCTTAATCAAGAACAAACGTTGATAGCTGACCGCTTCTATGCCGCGGGGGTCGGGGTCGGGAGTGATCCTGCTCGTTGTTTTCTCTGACGCGCGTCGCAAGGCCCGCATTTGGTGTCGCACATGGATGGGGCCGGTCGAACACACAAGGTCTCGACTTATACGCGGACCTGTTAACGACAGGGCATACAATCCGACTTGTTAATGTGCTGCTTGGTCGTTTGTTGGGTCTTTCACAATGGGCCGGCCGGGAGGAATCGTACGAGAGGCGTGGGCATAAAGGGGTATAAACCGACTGCAAAAAGAAGACTCAACCAGACAGGAAGCCGACCAGATTTTCGGATCTTCTACGGTGATGCAACAGGCAACCCCCAAATTAGACGATCGTCTTGCCCCCTTGCCCCTGCCCCTGGTGCCCCTGGTCCATGGTCGGCTGAAACGGCGACTGGTGAAAGGGGAGGGTGCCGAGCCAAGGCCATCTTTTTTTATGACAGGGGATCACCCAAAGCCGGTCCTCGTCCGGCTGCGCTGACTGGTCAGGATGTTGTTGAAGTGGGATGACACGGGCGGCTCGACGCGGTTTCTTGATCTGAATTGGAGGTCGAGGACGGAGGCCTGTTTCGCCATTCATGCCGTTGGGGGCGACATATCATCTTCGTTCTTGGTGCCCGTGATCTAGATTGTCCCTTTGCCTTCACGGCTTGAACAAGCAAATATGCGTCGTTACCTATACATACATAACTGAATGCACAACCACATGGAAATAACTTGGCCGTGTTACGGGAAGAGCGGGAAGAGCGGATGTGACGAACTCGGCAAGACGAGGCGAGGCGCCACAATTGATGAACTGCCTCGGTGCCCGGTCTTCCGGCGCCATCGCATGAGGATCTTCACCGGGGTCTTGCAACAACTCCCAGATTGGCGTTCGAGGTTTCTTGGAACTGGGCCGAGAACAACAGAATGTAATTATTTTGTCGTGTCGCCATCTACTTCGTCCGTGCACAGGTATCTTGTGGGATGCTGGATGTCTGAAAACAATAAATACCATACCGCAGATTAGTTCTGGAAGATGCGATTTCCACTTTGCCCTTCAAGTTTTCTCGGTCTAGTTAAAAATTTCAGCCCTGGGACCCTCCAAGTCCAATCGATAACGATCTTGGGCCGTGCGGTTTCTCGCACATCAATTCCTTCCAAGTTCAAACGAGTCCCGCTCGAGCTCCAATGTCAAGATCCAAGCAATCCTTTCCAAGATCCACCGAAGGAGGCCAGAAGATTGAATCGGGCCCAAATGCAACCCAATGTTTCCTGGGACCTGCATCAGCCCGCAGGCTGGTCCGCTTCCAAACGGCCCGCTTTCTTGTCTCGTTTCCTTCCCCAGATCTTATCGGGGTAGTTTCAAGAACACAGCTCCGAATACCTACCTGAGCTACACACAAGACCCCGCAAGAACGAGCCGACGAGATCCATATGCTTGGACGATACTCGCGCTCCGTGACAGTGCTTATTGCGCAATTCCGTGATCACGCCTGCTTTTGCTCGACTGGGCGCAAGATGGAAACGCTCACTCATGCCGCGCACAAACCCGGCCACCGCAGGTTGTACTCGGCGTCTCATACGGACGTGACTTCACCGTCACCCGCATGGTCACAAAACACAGTTGTGCAAAGACATGATGATGGCTGTCCGCGGACTACTCCAAGACCATCGACACTTCGGTTCCCCTCGTTGTGTCCCTCACCCAGGCCGATCACAGTACCACTGGCACTCCGTGTCGCCCGCTGTGTAGTCATGAAGCATCGGTTGTTACCTCCGGGCTGCTCGCATGTAATGTGGAAGGCGAATAATGATAATGATTCGGTTGTCTAGGTAACTTTGCAACGCAAAGGCATGCCTCGACATGTCATCCCGTTGCTCGGCCGTTGGGATGGAATGTGAGATGGGACGAAATGCTATAAACAAACACATGTGCCTGTGGTGATGTTCTCTATCGTTCGGCTCAAAAATACAAGCAGTCGACGATATGAAACTTTCCATTCTCATCGCGAGGTTCAGCTACGTATGGGCGACCCAGAGCCTTGCATATTCCGTCCACGGTCACCACCAAGATGCCGGATCAGTTCATGGACCCTCGTCCGATGGCTCTGATGCGGGCCAAGTTGCGCCGAGAAGTAGCCTGTTGCGGCCACGGCAAGATTTCGATACCAGAGCCGCAGCAAAGGCGGCCATCGACGCTTTGAACAACAAGTTCTATTCCTCCACGCAGGCCATCTGGTCACCTGGCGACCCTTGGTGGCTGAGTGGCGTTGCCCTCGCCAGTGTTATAGACTACATGCGCAAGACGGGCTCTAGCGATTACCTAGATCAGGTCCACGACATCATCCAAGTGCAAAGAACCCAATACGCTGAAAGCGGCGGCGACTTTCGTGGCCAGTCGACCGACGATACGGGCTGGTGGGCGCTCGCTATGATTCGGATGTACGATCTAACGGGCAACGACACCTACCTCAACATCTCGGTGGAGGACGAGGCTCACATGTACAAGTCTTGGACCTCGTCCCCCTGCGGCGGTGGCATATACGTCGATGTCGAGGCCAAGACATACAAGAACGCCATCGCCAACGAGTTGTACATCAAGCTCGCCGCGTCGCTGCACAACCGTATCGCCAATGACACGGAGTACCTCTCCCGAGCGGAAACCGCCTGGTGGTGGTTCCAGGAATCGGGCATGATCAGAAACGACAGCCTGATCAATGACGGCCTGGCCTCAAACAGCGACGGGATCTGTTACAACAACAAACTGCCCGTCTGGACATATAACCAAGGCGTCATTCTCGGTGCCCTCGTCGGTCCGTCCCCCCCCTACTTCCGTCCCCTCCACGAGCGAAAGCCCCTGACCTCCCACACGCAGAACTCTACCAAGCCACCGCCTCCGACACCTACCTAACCGCCGCCTACACAATAGCCGACGCAGTTCTCTCGTCCCAAACCAGCCCGCAGCTCAGCAAGGACGGCATCCTGACCGAGGGGTCCTGCGAGCCCGACGAGGCGAACGGCTGCAACCACGATCAGCAAGTCTTCAAGGGCGTGTTCGCCTACAACCTAGACGAACTGCACAACGCAACCCCGGATGGCAGCGGTAGGTTTCGTTTCCCCAGCCCCCAACCCACTTACACCCCCCACAACCCCATCCCTCCCCCCTCCACAACAAGATAGCACGACCCCCTAACCCCCGCTCCCTTCCATACTGTCACACTCCTCCCAGCCCAGCCCGCACGGAACAGAAAGACAGTACGTAGGCAGCTAACCCTCGAGTGCAGAGGACCACCCATACCGGAGCTATCTACAGCAGAACGCGCAGAGCGCGTACGCCTACGCAAGGGGCAAGGCGACTGACCTATACGACGTCAGCTGGGTCGGGCCGTTCCAGAACTCGACGATCGGGAAGCAGGCAAGCGCGGTTGGGCTGCTGGTTGCTGCTATTTGAGTACTTGAGTAGGGGTTGGGGCTTAAATTGGGTTAGAGGGTCCATGGATGTTGTGAGATGCAGTATTCATAGCAGGGCAGTTCGTAACGATCCATAGCTTCACGACACCTTAAGGCCGGTTCTCTGCCATCGGCAAAACTACAATCACTTTCTCTATCCTTCAAGCCTCCGGAAAAGCCCACGGACATCACAGACAGACGGCACCAACGAGTTCCTTTACAAAATTCAGTGCTCAATTTGGGAGGTTCTTTGTGACCAATTCCCATCCATCCGTGGCAAATACCGAAGCAAATAACAGAACCGCGGGATATCAAATGTTAACGAAAGCTAGTCCGTCCCAGTGTTCGTTTCTCTCCCTGCGAGGCCCTCGTACCTCTTGTTCCTCATGACTGTTTTCGTAACTCAACCTAATATCTTGAGAGCCCTTTGCCAATCCTCCGCGTTCCCTTTACCGGTTGCCCCCTTTACAGGTTGAAAGCCCTCCTGGGGTAGGTCACCCCCTCGACGGCGGCGTCATCGACGAACCAGCTGCACCGTTCGCCAGCGCCCTCGTTGACCAGGGCGCACGGCAGGCCGTTGCCGGCCTCGAAGATCTCCTTCATCACCTCCTTCTTGCCGCCGCCGGTGGCCACGAACGCGACCCGGACGGCGTGGGTGACCACGGGCAGGGTGAGGGTGACGCGCTTCGGGGGCGGCTTGGGGGAGTCCTCGATGGGGGCGACCCAGGCGCTGGTCTCGCGCAGCAGCTCGTGGCCGGGGAAGAGCGAGCAGGTGTGGCCGTCGGGCCCGCAGCCGAGCAGCAGCAGGTCGAAGATGGGCAGCTTCACCGAGTCGCGGCTGGCGAAGCTCTTGACGAGCTCCTGCTCGTAGTTGTCCGCCAGCTCCTGCGTGTCGTCGAGCAGGCTCGTGTCGATCGGGTGCACCACCGGCTGCGCCGCGCCCGCCGGCAGCTTGTCGAGCAGCTCCGCCTTGAGCAGCGCGTAGTTGGAGTCGGCGTGGTCGAGCGGCACCGCGCGCTCGTCGGCGAAGAAGATCTCCCACTTATCCCAGTGCACCACGTCGTCCTCCGATGCGGGGGGCGTCAGGAGGGCCTGGGCAAGCGTCTTGGGCAGGGAGCCGCCGGACACGGCGACCTTGAAGATGCCGTGGCGGTGGATGCCGGCGGTCTGGCACTGGATAATGTAGGCGCGGAGGACCGGGGCCAGCGCGTCCACGGCGGGGAACGAATAGAGGTTGGCTTGGCCGCCCATTGTGACTGTCGGCTTTTCTTTCCGGTTCGGGATTTGGTTCGTTGCGTCGTACAGGCGTCAATGTCTCGGCTCAATCCTGACGGAGACGATGCGAAACAGGTTCAGCCCGGTTCGAAAGTTGATTCGAATCTGAATTAGAAAAGCTGGGTAAGCCCGGGTTAACTTCTATGGATGGCTTGTTGCACAATGTTTGAGGGGATTTCGTAACGCGTTTCTTGGTTGGTTGCTGAGTGTAATATTGGAGGGGTTGATGGAGGGGTAGCTGCGTGGGAGCTGTCGAAGCCGGCCGAAAACAGTTATCGATAACACTTGGAGGGGTACACCGCGAGAAGAATACTCAAAGTACCTAAAGAACAAACTCAGCAGTTCCATTCTTACCTCTACCGTACTGGACAACGGAAATTGAATTGTTCTCAATTTTTACACTGATGGAAATTGGAAAGATGGAAGATGACTAGACGAGCCCAAGGTTGAGGAAGGGGGAACACATCCGGCCTCCCGACAACGGCCGGAACTCCGAGGTTCTCAGTTTCGTGCTGCTTAGATTATTCTAGAAATGTCTTTTTTTTTATCGGAGCTTTTCTCCGGATCCCAATAACGAAGGTTTCATGGCGTCTCCGAGACTGTTCTTACCGCCCAAGCTTCCTCCATGATCTCCGTTTGCTCTCAGAATGTTGAAATCCTCAATACTTGGGATGGTTACGCCATGGGTTCCATGACGAAATTCTATCATTTTCTCTTTGAATGGGCCAAGGGCGCCACACAGTAAGATGTCTGTTCGGTCGCCATCCGAGCCATCCACCTGCCGAGCCTGCCTCGTGCCTGCGTCGATGATTCTAGCAAGTTGTGGGGAAGCAAGTTGAGGGGCTCGAGAGGGGCTCGCAAGTGGGGGTCATGGAGCTCTGCATCCGGCGACGTCCACGATGACCTCGGGAGCATGCCTCCGTTTCTGGTCTTTGCCGTGTTAACAGGTTTACAGAACCTCTTTGCAGCTCCCCCGCAACTGAAAGATAAGCCGCGGCTCCTTTCTTCCTGCACAGTATCCGGGTATTGTGCCCAGGGCAGGGGTCCTCCGGGGCGCTGACCACGAGGCCAGATCGCCCTCTAAGATAGATCTACAAACGAAAAGAGCCGTGGGATCTGATACCCATCTTGGGGGAGACCCATGGATCCTGCGGGATGGAAAGTGTGGTGGTGGGACTCGCAACAATTACGTCATAGGTGTCGTTTTGGCAGCTGGGGTTTTACCAGAAAGCGAAAGAACTCTGCAGACGACCATCCGAATATTGCTGGCCTCGATTGGACCCTTAGGGGGTTCGTGAAAAATCAATCATCTCCGGTGTTTGAATCAGCAATCGCTCATCCACAACTCAATCATTAATAGCGATGGAGTGTTTCTTCCTCTACTTCGTAGGAGCTTTGGATTCAGATAAGCAACTCAGCCACCTCAGGGCGCCAACCAATCAGTAGCAGGGTTTCACGTTGATGGGTTTGCGAGGTGCGAGTTCGGCGTTCTCAAAAATAGATTCGGGAGCCATGTTGCCCCCAACCTCAGAACGACCCTAAGAACGACCCCAAGAACCACCGTAAGACTGCTCAACCGAAACTTCCGCAAACCAGCCAGTCGCCCCTTTCCCTCAACCAATCTGCAAACATGACAAAACCTAAATACCTCACTGGTGACAATGCGGCGATAGATGAATTTATCAACCGTTTCGATGTGCGTGGTTGACTCATCTATCAGGAACCCCTCAATGGCAGGCTTACTCACACCCTCACTAGGTCTTTCTGCTAGACTGTGACGGTTAGGCATATTAAACCCCATATTTTGACGCAATGTTGACCTTTGTCAGGGGTAATATGGTCCGGTGACCATGTTTTTGAAGGCGTTCCTGAGACACTGGAGTACCTGCGATCGAGAGGTCAGATTGGCCCAGGACTTACTAGTCTCCAAAGCCACACCGCTGACCCCCACCAGGCAAGAAGGTCGTCTTTGTGACAAACAACTCGACCAAGTCTCGGGAAGAATACCTCAAAAAATTCACAGGCCTAGGCATCCCCTCGGACGTCGAGGAGATCTTCGGGTCGGCCTACTCCTCGGCCATCTACATCTCGCGCATCCTCCAGCTCCCCGCGCCCAAGAACAAGGTGTTCGTCATCGGCGAGGCCGGCATCGAGCACGAGCTCCGGAGCGAGAACGTCCCCTTCATCGGCGGCACCGACCCGGCCTTCCGGCGGGACATCACGCCGGAGGACTGGAAGGGCATCGCGGACGGGTCGCACCTGGACCCGGACGTGGGGGTCGTGCTGGCCGGGCTCGACTTCCACATCAACTACCTCAAGCTCTCGCACGCGCTGCAGTACCTGCGGCGGGGCGCCGTGTTCCTGGCGACCAACACGGACTCGACCTTCCCCATGAACCACAACTTCTTCCCGGGGGCCGGGTCGATCGGCATGCCGCTGGCCTACATGACGGGCCAGCAGCCGCTGGCGCTGGGCAAGCCGAGCCAGGCCATGATGGACGCGGTCGAGGGCAAGTTCCGGCTGGACCGCGCCCGCACCTGCATGGTGGGCGACCGGCTCAACACCGACATCAAGTTCGGCGTCGAGGGCCGCCTGGGCGGCACGCTGGCCGTGCTGACGGGCGTGAGCAAGCCTGCCGACTGGGAGGCGGAGGACGCCGTGGCCGTGCCGGCATTCTACGCTGACAAGCTGAGCGATCTGCGCGCCGCCGACGCCGCGGCAGCTCCGTGACCCCCCTCCGCCCCCTTTTGGGATTTATCTGGAACGGGTCTACTCAGAAGAAGCAGGACTTAGCCGCATCTAGCTCATGTCGTGCGCGGTGAGGTTGCGGGGTTCTGGTTCGGGTTGGGTCGTTCTGTTGGAGGGAGGCACGGCAGTCGCGGGATCCGAGACCATCCTTGAGCACGAAGTGACGAATAGATCTAGACTTGCCACGCCTGCTCAGATGCGTGTAACTCATTTTCAGTGGACCAATGCAGGAGTGAACCCTGAATGGGTCCCTTGGTGACACTAAGATCGGCGGTCCGTAGTTTCTTCGCTAAAACCGTTGCTTTTCCCCCCTCATTTTTTCTTCTTTCGATTCTCTTCCCCAAGCTCCCCATCGTGCCATCTCCATCCTCCGCAGTGGCAAACGGACAACAAATCGTCCCGAACCACTCGCGAGGGCGACTTGGCAGTCGATCCGCTGAACCCCTGTCCCGTTCTCACGATCAGGACAATCAAAGGGGCACGTGGAGAAAGGAAGACGTCCTTGGAAAGGGGGTAACGTCTCCGACAGGGTTTTGAGCCATGTAGGGTCTTGAGCCACGGCAATTCGCACCCAAACGCATGGTCAACGAGTGCATCAGAACGTCGTCAATTTACACTCTAAAAATAAGATAAAAATACCATTCGAACGAGAGCATTACAGAGAATCCAATACAGTCATTCATAATCCCATCCCAGGGCCCCAACATCCCCAAAAGTCCCCCTCTAAATAAGCCCCTATAATACAGCGCTTATCTCCCCTAAAATACAGTAGGTTCGTACGTCGGCATCGAATAACGGTCGTGGCGTCGCGGTTTCGGGTCGGGGTCGTTCTTCGTGGCGGTATTCGTGATCGTAAGGTTGAGGAGAGTCGAAAAATCGTGTTTAGGGGAAAATTGAGGAGAGTTCTCTTGCTCTGGAAGACTTGTTGAGATCATCAAAATTGGTGGAAATGAGGTTGGCTCAAGTGGGTACATGGCTCAAAACCCTGTCGGAGACGTTATGACGTCGTGCCCCTCCCTGGAGGTGTGCCGCGTCCAATGGGCTGCTGAGGCCATCTGCAAGCCATCTCTTGGAGTAGGACCCCGACTCCCTCTGGCCAAAAAAACTGATACACCAAAACCTGTTTTTTTCCAGAACCCCTGGACCCACCCACCTATAAATGCAGCATCACAACAATCAATATCAATCTTTCTTAGTAAAACAGTATTATTTCCAGTGTAAAAAATGGGCATCGTATACAATTCAACACCTCAAAGATCCCAGGTCCAGGGTACTGTCACGAGAGGTGGTTGCCTGTGATGGCACTGTGGCTCAATCGGGGTTAGCGCGCATAGCGCCTCGCCCTACTTCCCCACGAAACGATCGCTAGCGATCCCACCACCTCTCTTTTTCTCTTTGTTTCAGTTTCGATATTATAGTTGTATTGACTGGTGGCCTGACCCCATGGAATATCTGCTTCTCGTCACAAACTGAGACCAATCTCTCTTACCTGGGAAGGTATAATTAATATCCCACCGAAGAACCGAAGATCAAAGATTGAAAGCGTTGTTTCAATCGACCCGACAAACCAAATCCATCCACCTGCGTTTAGCCGAACCAACCGGGTTGGATACCGAAGACCGCCAAGATGGCACGCGAGTCAGCCGCTGACGATCGCGCCCGGAAGGAAGTACGGTTCGTGATCGAAGAGATCAATCGTCACGATCTCAAGAAAGATACCCCGTTGCGCCGCCGCTCGTCGGCAATCCACGACGTGCCGCTGAACCAGGCAGAGCCCCTCGTGGCCGAAGATGACGAAGACGCCGAGCCGGCTACGATTGAGAAGTTCACCCGCGATGTCACTACACAACTCCCAGACGTGCGTTACACTGAGACGCGCGAGAGCCTTGTGGAAGACCTGCGTGCGAAGCTTGTTGCATTTGCCGACCACTTCGCTGGCAAGTACAAGGACAAGGCTCCTGCGATGCCGTTTACCCGGATGGTCGACGACGACCCCAAGAAACCGGATGCCATGTTCGCGGGCGTGATCAATGGCACAGTCAATGCCACCGAATTCGCGGATCTCGCTGCCCGTTTCCCCGACGAAGTATTCAAGGAAGTCAAGATGCGCGGACTGTTGACCGCAGCATACGCGGAGCAAGTCGAAGAGCTCCATACTATCGCCAAAGACCTGGACCGTAACTTGAAGTACATCCACGATTGGGTCCCGATCATCGCCGACAATCTGAAGACGACCCATGACGCAGACTTGAACAGCCGAACCGAAGAGGTCGTGGGCCTTAACCAGATCATCGCCGATCTCATGATGCAAGCGCGCGAGGGAACGGTCGCTACCCACCATTCTATTCGCAGCACTGAAACCGCATCTGGCGGGAGCAAGGGGCGCAGCGCAAAGCAACCCGACCCGCCTATCTTCCTCAACGACGGGGCTAAAGATACTACGACCTTTGAGACCTGGTACCGCAACCTCCAGAATAAGCTCGCCGCCAATGGCGACCACTTCTCGAACGATGCTGCTAGACAAGGGTACATCGAGGGGAGGGTAGGTGGGAAGGCAGCTCGCGAGCTCGCTCCCTATCTCCGCGAAACCCACCCTGACGTAATCAACACGTCCGAGAAGCTGATGGCTCACCTCTGGTCGGAATACAACGACCCGCTCCAATCCGAGAAGTCCCTGACAGACTTCATCGAGCTAGAGATGAAGCCGGGTGACAGCTTCACTGCTTTTAAAAACGACTTTGTACGACTTGCTGGTGAATGTGGCAAGAGCAAGGTTGAGTGGAAGGCTGAGTTCAAGCGCCGACTTCCCGGCACCCTCCAGAGAGCGTTGGCACCGTCGTACCTCGATCCCGCTGTTACGTTCGATCAGTATGTCCGACTTGGCGCAGAGATCTCGCATTCCTACCGCCAGACAGGCAATGGCCATGCCCCGCGCCGCGATGGCGCGCCACGCGCCGCGAAGACCCCGAAGATCTCGGATCCCAGACCTGCAGCTCCCAAAGCCAAGAGCCCGGCTCCCCAGCTCTCACCCGAGGAGGTGCGCAAGCTCTATGATGAAGGCCGCTGCTTCGTCTGCCGCGAGAAGGGACATACGTCCCGGGAATGCCCGCAGAAGACAGGCGGCGGAGCCGCAGCTGGAGACTGGAAAGCGCAGCGCGAGTCCCGCATTGCGAACCTGCAAAGCCGTTGGGCGGCGAAGGAGCCTGCTGAGGAGCCTGCCACTCCCCGAGCACCCGCCTCCAACAAGAAGAAGCTTGCGAAGGTGGTTGAGCTGCCTGACAGCGCCTCCGACTCGGAAAACTAGATACCCTGGGTAGTCTCGACTCCCTCTCAGGGTTGGTATCAACAGTCGGTGTGACAGAAGCTCGACCGGATTTCGTTAGCAAGTTGCTGGGAGGAAGACCCTTTCTCACCTCTTGTTCCATAGCGAATAATGGAGTTTCGTTAACCACCACCGACGTTTTGGTTGATACGGGAGCCAATGGCTACCTCTTTGTGAGTGTTGCCTATGCAGAACGACTGTTGAAGCAGTTGAAATTGAAGACTCGAACCGACTTCACGCCCCGACCCGTGGGCGGGTTTGACAACAAAGGCGCGTGCCAATTGGTCGACGTGGTGCTCGTCGGGCATTTTACCATCCAGAACCGCACTCTCCGCGACGAACCGCTGCTGGTAATTGATTCCAAGCACGATGTGATCGTTGGTGACAAGTGGCTTGACTATCACGACATCCTTACCGACAGCCGACGCCGGAGACTGATCTTCCCTACTGAATGGCTCCCTGATCCAGGATGGTGGAAGAAGGCTGATATCGAGCTCGGCGCACCCCCGACCGGACGCCCCGATCCTGCTATAATGGAAGACATTCAGCGCCGCGAAGCATTGATGGAAAAGGAAGACCAACGAAGGCGCGATGGGCGAGCTGTCGCGCAGCGAATCGCACAGCTGGAAGCGCAGGCGAGCCGCCAGCCTGTTCCGCGGCCGCCGACGTCATCTGCGTCCCCGATTACCCACCTCCTATCGCGATCCGACCCGATACCCAAGACCGTTCGGTTCGATCCCCCTGAACAGCAGAAGATGCAGCGCGCGCTGCAAGGCCTTCCTCCCCCGCCAAAGGAGCAGCCTCCTAAACCACGCGTTCGGCGAAAGGAACCCGCGATCGACTACAAGCGTGGCACAGATAAATACGGACCGTACACTCTACGTAGGGATAGCATCGGCTGGTACAAGGATCGCCCACCCGATATGGCCGTTATCGGTGCCATTGCATTCAGGCAGATTGCGCGCAACCTGCCCACCGGCTGCGTCACTCTTCACGAGATCGACAGGATGATTGAGGACAAGCTCGCAGAGTCGATGCCCCGAGATGATCACGACCTGCGTCAGAAAGCAGTCAACGCGATCCCGAGCGAGTACCATGACTTCCTCGACGTGTTCAGCAAGGCGGAATCCGACGATATGCCCCCATACCGCCCGCAAGTCGACCATAAGATCGATGTCACTGGCAGGCCGGAGGATCTGGGATATTCGCCGCTGTACAAGCTCTCTTTGGAGGAATTGGAAGCCGCTCGGAAATATATCACCGAGAACCTGCGGAAAGGCTTCATTGAACCAAGCGATTCCCCGTGGGCCGCGCCCATCCTGTTCGCGATCAAGGCTAACGGTGGACTACGCTTCTGCGTCGACTACCGAAAGCTCAACGCGATCACAAGGAAGGACCGGTACCCATTACCGCTGATCGACGAGACTCTGGCGCGGGTCTCCCAAGCCAAAATCTTTTCTAAGATCGATATTCGCCAAGCCTTCCACCGCATCCGGATCAACCCGGAACACGAAGAACTCACAACGTTCCGCACGAGATACGGCGCGTACAAGTACAAAGTGATGCCGTTCGGCTTGACCAACGGCCCAGCGACCTTTCAACGGTTCATCAACAACACTTTGATGGGTTATTTGGACGATTTCTGTAGCGCATACATCGATGACATCCTGATCTTTTCGAACAACCTCCGGGAGCACAAGGAGCACGTCGGGAAGGTTCTGGAGCGCCTCCGCGAGGCGGGCTTACAGGCCGACATCGATAAATGCGAATTCCACGTCACCAGCACCAAGT